TGTTGAGTGAGGGTACTCGTGATGGTATCCGCCTGTTGAGTGAGGGTACTCGTGATGGTGTCGGCCTGTTGAGTGAGGGTACTCGTGATGGTATCTGCCTGTTGGGTGAGGGTACTCGTGATAGTGCTCGCGGCCTGAGTGACCGTGCTCGCATCCTGAGTTAAGGTGCTAGTAATAGTGCTTATTACGCTCAGAGTATCCGTCACAGTCTTTGCCCCATCAGCTGCAGTAACGGTTGGGCCGGGAATCGTAATTGTGGATGCATCCGCGGTGACCGTGAGCGAGGATGTGATCGTACTCGCCGCCTGGGTGATCGTACTCGCCGCCTGGGTGATTGTGCTCGCTGCTTGCGTGATAGTCGAGGCATCTGCGGTCACGGTGAGCGAGGATGTGACCGTACTCGCCGCCTGGGTGATGGTGCTCGCGTCTTGAGTAAGCGTCGAGATGATGGTGCTCGCAGGCTCGGTAATGGTGCTCGCGTCTTGAGTAAGCGTCGAGATGATGGTGCTCGCAGGCTCGGTAATGGTACTCGCGTCTTGGGTAATGGTCGAGGCATCCTGCGTCAGAGTACTTGTAATTATGGAGGCATCCTGGGTCAGTGTCGAGATAATGGTGCTCGCAGGCTCGGTAATGGTGCTCGCGTCTTGAGTAAGCGTCGAAGTGATTGTGTCCGCAGCCTGAGTAAGCGTAGAAGTGATTGTGCTCGCGGCCTGAGTGACCGTGCTCGCATCCTGAGTCAAGGTGCTAGTAATAGTGCTTGCGGCCTGAGTAATTGTGCTCGGGTCCTGGGTCAATGTGCTTGTTACGCTCAGATAATCCGTAACCGTCTTTGCACCATCAGCAGCAGTGATAGTGGTGCCGGGAAGGGTGATTGTGGATGCATCCTGCGTCAGAATACTCGTAATTGTCGATGCATCTTGGGTAATGGTTGAGGCATCCTGCGTCAGGGTACTCGTAATTGTTGAAGCATCCTGCGTCAGTGTGCTCGTAATCGTTGATGCAACTTGGGTAATGGTCGAGGCATCCTGCGTTAGTGTACTCGTAATTGTGGATGCATCTTGGGTGATGGTCGAAGCATCCTGCGTAAGAGTACTCGTAATTGTCGAAGCATCCTGCGTCAGGGTGCTCGTAATCGTCGACGCATCCTGAGTCAAGGTGCTGGTAATAGTGCTCGCGGCCTGAGTGATGGTGCTCGGATCTTGGGTCAAAGTGCTGATTACGCTCAGAGTATCCGTTACGGTCTTTGCCCCATCAGCTGCAGTTATCGTAATAGCCTGGGTAATGGTCGAGGCATCCTGCGTCAGAGTACTCGTAATCGTTGAAGCAGCCTGGGTAATGGTCGATGCATCCTGCGTCAAAGTACTCGTAATTGTCGATGCATCCTGGGTAATGGTCGAGGCATCTTGCGTCAGGGTGCTCGTAATTGTCGATGCATCCTGCGTCAGAATACTCGTAATTGTCGAAGCATCCTGCGTAATGGTCGAAGCATCCTGTGTAATCGTCGAAGCATCCTGCGTCAGGGTGCTCGTAATTGTCGAAGCATCCTGGGTAATGGTGGAAGTCAAGGTGCTTGTAACGCTCAGCGTGTCAGTTATCGTCTTTGCCCCATCAGCGGCCGTGACCGTAATAGCGGGTGCCGTGAAGGTAGTTGTGATAGGATCCGCGGTGATGGTGCTCGCGTCAAGCACTGACGTGACGGTGCTCGCAGCCTGAGTAATGGTGCTCGCATCCTGAGTGAGCGTCGAGGTAATGGTGCTGGCGTCTTGAGTAAGCGTCGAGATAATAGTGCTTGCATCCTGGGTCAGCGTAGATGTGACAGTGCTCGCGTCAAGCACTGATGTGATAGTGCTCGCAGGCTCGGTAATGGTACTCGCGTCTTGAGTGAGCGTCGATGTGATCGTGCTCGCGTCCTGAGTAAGCGTAGAAATCGAAGTAACGAATGCCGTCAACGTCTTAGCTCCATCAGCAGCAGTGACAGTGAAAGAGGAAGTGATTGTGCTCGCATCCTGGGTCAGCGTAGATGTGATAGTGCTCGCGTCAAGCACCGACGTGATAGTGCTCGCTGCTTGAGTAATAGTGCTCGCATCCTGAGTGAGCGTTGAGGTAATAGTGCTCGCGTCCTGAGTGAGTGTCGAGGTAATAGTGCTTGCGTCAAGTGTTGACGTGATGGTGCTCGCAGCCTGAGTAATGGTGCTCGCATCTTGAGTGAGCGTCGATGTGATCGTGCTCGCATCCTGAGTAAGCGTAGAAATCGAAGTAACGAATGCCGTCAACGTCTTAGCCCCATCAGCAGCAGTGACAGTGAAAGAGGACGTGATTGTGCTCGCATCCTGGGTCAGCGTCGAAGTGATCGTGCTCGCATCCTGGATCAGCGTCGAAGTAATCGTGCTCGCATCCTGGGTCAGCGTCGAAGTGAGTGTGCTCGCGTCCTGGGTGAGCGTCGAAGTGACCGTGTCCGCAACCTGAGTAAGCGTAGAAGTGATTGTGCTCGCATCCTGGGTCAGCGTGGACGTGGCGATAGACGTAATAGTGCTCGCATCCTGGGTCAGCGTCGACGTAGCGATGGACGTAATGGTGCTCGCGTCCTGGGTCAGCGTCGATGTGATTGTGCTCGCATCCTGAGTAAGCGTCGAAGTGATTGTGCTCGCGTCCTGGGTAGAGACTGAAGTCACAAATGCCGTCACTGTTTTGGCTCCTTTTGCAGCCGTGATTGTGATCGGGTCTGCGGTGGAAATCGAAATCGAAGTGACAGTCGTTGCATCCGGCGACAGCGTCGAAATCGAAGTGATAGTCGAAGCAGACAGTGTCAAAGTCGAGACGTCTGTAATGGTGGACGCGGCCTGGCTGAGCGTGGATGTGACCGTGGTCGGATCTTGAGTTTCAGTCACGCTCACAGTATTCGTGAACGAAAGTGAAACTGTCGTTGGATCCTGAGTCAGTGTACTCGTAATGGTCGAAGCATCTTGAGTCAAGATGCTAGTGAGAGTGCTCTCTTGCGTGAGGGTGCTTGTGATCGTGCTCGCGGCCTGAGTGATCGTGCTCGGATCTTGAGTCAATGTGCTCGTGATCGTATTGGTGATCGGATCCTGAGTCAACGTGCTCGTGATCGTATTAGTGATCGGATCCTGCGTCAGCGTGCTCGTAACCGTCTGGGCTCCATCAGCAGCCGTCACTGTCGTACCGGGCTCAGTAAAGGTAGTTGTGATAGCGACGGTCTGCAAAATAGGGTTAGCAAGTGCTCTGCCTCACTCTGAGGATTATTGGGTAGAACAAGTCCAGTGCTCAGATCAGTTGCGCAGAATTGGTATTTGAGGGCAATTGCAAGCTTTCCAAGTGAAAAATTCCTTGTAACTGATCCTGAAGCATTTGGACAAGTTCTTTCTGGAGAGACTTACGGAAACGGGTAGAGTTAGTGTCGCAGTGGAGACAGAGACAGAAACTGAGCCTGACGCAGTGACAGTGTACGAAATGGTAGTCGGGATCGTGCTTGTGATCGTGCTGGCCACTTGCGTGATGGTGCTCGGATCCTGCGTTAGGATACTCGTGATAGTATCGGCCGGCTGAGTCAGGGTGCTGGTGATGGTGCTTGCGTCTTGAGTAAGCGTTGATGTAATAGTATCCGCCGTAAGAGTGCTGATGCTCGTAACGGTCTGCGCCGGCTGTTGAGAAGCACTAATAGTAAGGGTCACTGTCTTCCCTTTACCACCACCGACGGTAATTGTGGGTCCATTGATCGTGGCCGTAGTTGTGACGGTACTCGGCACGAGCTGGGCGGGCGATATAGTGACAAGAGAAGTGATAGTGCTCGTGCCCCGCGGTACAGTGACAGTGGCGCCAGGAATTGTAACAGTTTGGGTGGTGCCAGGAGCCGTTATCGTGCCTAGAAAACCGATCAGTTGACGGGATAAAGGTACTCGAGAATGCACGACTTACTCGCAGGAAGCGCGCTCGCCTTGTCTGTCACCGTGATAGTTGCTCCGGCGCTGCCAGAGACGGTGAGGGTCTGAATTGAGATGCTAGTCACTGTAGAGACCACGCCCTTTCCGGTCGAGATGGTAATCGTTTTAGTAGGGCCTTCCACAGTGGTCGGGACGGACACGGTAACGTCGACGCCAGCTTTCGTGACTGTAGTCGTGGCCGTCCTCGTATCAGTCGCTGTTCGAGTCACCGTGGAGGCTGGTGGTACGTCAGTGCGAGTAGTTGTGTGGTCTACGATGACCGTGCTGGTCGTTGTGAGCGTCGTTGTTTCCCTCGAACCCGAACCTGTAACCGTAATGGCTTGCGTGGTCTTTGGTTTCTTTGGCCTGTGTTTTCTCCTTGTCCTCGTACTCGTAGTCGTTACCCTCGCAATCTTTGTCCTCGTAGTCGTGGTCTTCGCCCGAGCCTGGAGGATGGGCCCTTCAGCCCGTTCCTGAAAGTCGTTCGAGCCGTGCACGACATCATCGTCACCACCGAAACCGAAGGAGTCGGCAGGCCAGGCTTCAGCACACGCGAGTAAGAGCGCAAGGAAAATGAGAGATCGCTGAAGGAACAACATGGTGGTCAAGCACCATGAGCAGCAAAGGGAAGACCACCAAATGGGGACGGCGTAACGAAGTCGAGTACCTACACGATCGGCAAAGCACGTCGGACGACGTGCGGGACATAGTCGGGATATATGCTGACGTCGTTCGCTAAAGTGGGGTGGAGATGATGGTGAGATCTGCGATGCACCACAGCCAGACCGAGGCCGCTCAGCCCCAGTCGATGGTGGTGAGCATAAAATCTGTGAGCCTAGAACAAGATCCGCGCATTACGACCGTACAAAGAGGGTCTGACACCCAGCGGACACCGCCCTGTCGGGAACCGTGGGACAAGAGGTGAGGCGTCGGACGAGGCCTCTGCTAGAATCGGGATTTCTTGCAGGGTTTCTTGCAGTGTAACGCCGGAGACAGGGCAATAAGGTTCAGCCATGTTCGATATAGTTTGACGCATCCACCTGGTGTCGCCGGAAGGGTTTCTGGTTGTTTTTTTTAGCGTATGCTCGCTTCCACTGTTCGCCGCTTTCTAAGGATCTCAGCCGTTGGCAGAACGGATTTCGCACCACTGACGGCGCTTCATCGTATCGAAGCGAACTCTCTCGTGAACTCCAGGTCCAGGCAACGAGTAGCGCTCCGAACGAACGGTGGTAGAAGAGAAACCTACGATCTGGCCCGGAGGGTCGCTCGGCGAAAAGAGCCATCTTTGTCAAAGCGGCAGTCCCGTGAACCAGCACTTGCCGTCCCTGGCTTTCCGTGTTACCCGTGTGAATTTGCTTGGGTAGTCGTCCATCAGATGTTCGCAGTGCAGCATCTTGGCATGGAGTGACGTTCGTACTGTATGCACTCGACGGCGCAATTGCGACATCGTTCATGCGGGTAAGAAGTAGTGCCCGCAAAGCCGCAGGGCGGCGGGGCGGCGGGCTTGGCGGGCCGAATGCGGCTGGGCTGGACTGTTATAGACCGCAGCCAAAATTGCTTGAGCCGGAGGCTGGGACGGCCGTATGTACAAACTTCCCAAACCAACCCGATCGTAACGGTGCCCGATCGTGTTCCGGTCTAGAACATGGTTGCACGGTCTCGCATCGTATTGAGGTGCATTGCTCATGTAGTAGAACATTGTGCTTGCTCACAATAATGCGTCGAACGATGAGTGAGCTGACCAGAAGTCGTCGTACGGCCGTCGTCTTACGGCCGCTGCACTATTAAAAGACCTGCTGTACCAAAGACTTTGCGGCGCTCATGGTCGCTGCTTGGCTGCCCGGGGTGATGCCTGTCCGCAAGACAGCCTGGCGGATGTGGCTTGCATCATGTTATGCTATGCCCGACCGTTCGCTACTGCTGTCATGTATTAAGCCAAGACCGAATACGCGATACGTTGTGATCGGCAAAGTGATCCCACCTCCGCAAGCGGAAAGCTGAACATGGTGTCGTCTCGCTTCCATTCTGCGGTGAGGGCACCCGAGCTCATGACGTGCAGGACTCTTGAATGCGACGACCGCTCCGAAAACCCGTCAGGATAGCAGCTGGCGTTTCGTGACAGCGCTTCCATCGATTGCACCGAGCTGTTCAATGGCCGCCGGGATCGAGTGCTGTCGATCTTCCCCTGAACCAGCCGTCAGCGTGGCGACCTCTTTGCTCAATTGGTCGGCCTCGCCTGTCATGCCTTTGCTCGTCCCGGTAGAGCGGTGCGGGTGTGCAATGGCAAATGGCAGACACTCGACCGGCAGCACTTCGGCTCTTGCGCGATCGCGGATGTGCCCGGCGCCCTAACCAAATTGAGCCAGGGAATTTTTTTTGACGACACTTTCACGTGGAGTCGGCTTTTGCAGGCATCTTCTTCAAACTACCACACTGGTCTGTTCTTTCACCCAATTCTATTTCCCATTCTAGATACAGTCCCGAGTGCGAGTAAGTCAGCGCACTCACAACTATCGATGAGCGCGGAACAAGGCTCTCCGGAGCCGACTCAAGATCAGCCGGAACGAGTCGCAATTGGCATCTCTTTCGGCAACAGCAACAGCAGCATCGCCTACACCACCGCAATTGAAGGAAAAGCAGAAGTCATCGCCAACGAAGAAGGTGACCGTCAGATTCCCTCCACGCTGTCGTACGTCAACGGCGAAGAATTCTCCGGCACTCAGGCGAAGGCCCAAATTGTTCGCAACCCCAGAGACACCATCACTTCCTTCCGAGACTTTCTCGGCAAGACATTCGAACAGATCGACCCGAGTCCTTGCCATGCAAGCGCACATCCTGTGTCGGTGAACGGTGGTGCGGGTTTCGTGGTGCAGGACCATGTTGCGGAGGAGAGTGAAGATGCGGAGACCGAGGTCAAACAACCCGAAAAGAGCACGCTCAGTGTTTCAGAGGTCACAACGAGACATCTTCGAAGACTCAAGCAGTCCGCCACGGACTACTTGGGAAAGAATGTGACGGCTGCAGTCGTTACAGTGCCCTCGGATTTCAGCGACGAGCAAAAGACGGCGCTGTCAGCTTCAGCACAGAAGGCCGGAATCGAAGTCCTCCAATTCATCCCCGAGCCCATCGCCGCGCTTCTCGCACACGATGCAAAGGCACAGATTGCCGCCGAGGGCGGTCCTGCTTCTGAACATCAAGACAAGATCGTCCTGGTGGCAGACTTTGGTGGCACTCGATCAGATGTTGCCGTGGTGGCGAGTCGAGGAGGGATGTACACCACGCTTGCAACATCACACGATTACAGACTCGGCGGCTCAAGCCTCGACAAAGTTCTGGTGGAGTACGCAGCCAAGGAGTTCCTGAAGAAGCACAAGACGGCCAAAGATCCTCGCGAAACCGAGCGCAGTCTCTCAAAACTGACCTTGGACGCCGAGAGCGTGAAGAAAGCGTTGTCCATCGGCGGAAGTGCGTCATTCAGTGTGGAAAGCTTGATTGACGGGCTTGATTTCAACCTCACGGTCAACCGGACTCGCTACGAGCTTCTCAGCAACAAGATCTTCATGGCTTTCACCCGCCTCGTGGAGTCTGCAGTGCAAAAGGCAGACCTGGACATCCTCGACATTGACACCATCCTCCTCTCAGGAGGCACATCACACACCCCCAAGATTGCATCGAATCTCCAGTCCCACTTCCCGGAAAGCACCATCATCATCTCGCCGTCCACATCAAGCTCCGCGATCAACCCAAGCGAACTCTCGGCGCGGGGTGCAGCGATCCAAGCCAGTTTGATCTCCGAGTTCGAGAAGGAGCAGATCGAGGAGAGCACTGAGGCGGTTGTGACGGTTACGCCCCATCTCCACAACGCTATTGGTCTGGTCGTGGCCGGTGGAGCAGCCGGTAAAGAGGAGTTCAGCGTGCTTGTGGAGCCCGAGACGCCCGTGCCTGTACGGCGGACGGCTCAACTCACCGTGAAGGATGGTGGCGATGTTATTATCAAGCTGGCCGAGGGTGGGCGCTCGATCGTCGTGTCGGCGGCAGAGAAGGCAACCACGAACGGTGCCGCCGACTCAGATGACGAAGACGATGATTCCGACGACGAACCGGAAGAGAACCGGTCCAAGGTCTGGGCTACGCAGAAGGTGATTGCGGAGGCGGGACTTCGGGGAGTCAAGAAGGGAGGCAAGATCGAGGTGCAAGTCAATGTCGCCGCCGATCTAAGCTTGACGATGGTCTGCAGGGAGGTCGGAGGCAAGGGTGGTGTCAGGGGTGTCGTTCAGGCCGCGAGGGTGGAGCTGAATGGCAACGCGGCATAGAGTCTTGGATGGGGGAGGCATGAGGGTGGCGGCGTTGGTTCGCATCAGCGCTCTACTTACACGTAAGATGCGGTTGAGGCTGGTTTTGGCGCAGAGTGAGGTAGAGATTCGCATCCAATGATACGATGCGGGAGGTCCTTTTGTGGTTTGTGCATTGCTTGCTTCTTGGTGGGTTCTCCGTTTCATTTTCGGGTTGCACGTGATTGCTTTCGGAGACGTGGGCATTTCGCGTTTCTTGGCTTGGCTTGCTGCTTCGCGACTTCCTCGTTGCACTCTCTCGCGTTTCAGCTTGTTCAACCTCTCTCTTCACTCTCGCATCACCCACCCCTCACGCATCAACCCTCCCTTGCCCGTTCTCTGCGGCTTTACGATCCTCCAAGCTCCTCTGTCGGCGCTCACATGTCGCCTCGCACGTCAATCTGAACACGCCACGAGCTCGACTGCTCATACTCTTCCTGCGTTCACTCCTCGCTGCCACCTGGCAGGGAGACGACGAAGATGGCAAACACTCCAGATGCTGCGGCCCAGGACGCCAATTCGGATGACTTGTGGGTTCCCACGCCGCCGCCGCCCGAGTTCACCGAGATGTTGAACGAATTCTACAACCGCCATCCATCAGCCAGGCCGCGAGAGCCCACTCCTGAGCCCGACCCCGACGCCAATCTCGACCTCACTCAGCTCAGCCTCGACCCTCACAAGACTCTGAAGCAGTTCTTACACGACCATCTCACTCTCAACAAAGCTCAATTGACGGAGTATTGGAAGAAGTTTCGCTGGGAGCACCCCGGCGTGATGCTGGACTGGTTCGAAAGCTCATACCTCCCCACCGCAGGTCGCTCTCGACATGAAAAAGGCTACGTTGTGGACTACGAGCAATGCACGCCACAGACACTTAAGCGTTTCGTCATCGACCGTCGCCTGCAAGACCCCTACCCCGTTGGTGTGACGCTCAAGTACTTCTACATCCGTATTCTGGAGAGCGCTGACCGCCGTCAAACCTTTCGTTTCATGGACTTACCTCCCGAGCTTCGCACCTGGGTCTATGGTTTTCTGCTTACCCTGGTGCCCAAAAAGACCGGCGGGTATCGAAAACCAAAGTATTGTCATCCCAACATCCTCCGAACCTGCCACCAAATGAACAATGAGGCAAAGTGTGTACTCTACGACGACAATACTGTTCAATGCACGTTCGAAAAGATCGAAGAAGACTACGACCACTACTCGCAGAAATGCAGCATCAACGACATATCGGTTGAATACTACGATGAGCGCCCCGATGCGATGGAAGACTTCCCCGAATACCTACGTCGATTCTCTCATCTTTCAATCAGTGTCAGATACGAGATTGAATTTTGTATCAGCGAAGATGGCCCAGACTTTATGCCGCTCAACCATATGCTTTGTGCATTCACGTCCTTCCTCATGGCCGGCCATCGCCTCCAAAAGCTCGAAATCGATCTTGATCTCAATCTGGATCTTCTCGAGTACGCTGACGCCGACTCGGATACCACGTACAAGCTCGTCCTTTATCCTTTCCTTCGCTTGCGCAACGTCGGCCAGGTTGACATCTTCACGTACGACTACGCCTTTCCCGCGTGCATTCGACGGACTCTTTCCAGGGACATGAGCATGTCGGGAGCCGTGATGAACACTCTGACGTACTGGAACATCCTCTATGACGAATGTCATGGATGGGAGAAGGTGGACTGTGCATCCGACGAAACTGGCGAACTCCTTCCGGCTCAGCAAAGTATCTCGGAGCAATGTAAGAAGGCTTTCGGCATCATCTGGACTTCTTTTACATCCGCCAAGGACGAGTGGCGCTTCAGGCTCCATTTATTTAAGCTGAGGAAGCTGCTGAATCAAGTCAAGACGGAGACTGTTGCGAAGGCTGATGAGAAGTTGGCCGAGAAACGCGTGGCGAGGACCGAGTTCGAGAAGGATTCAAAGAATGGCGTGCTGAGGACCAGATCCCGGGATATGAAGATCGTCAAAGGCGAGGCTACCCATGAGGTCGATTGGATGTCGGACAGTGACGATGAAAGTGCGTGAATGAACGTTTGCTCGAAGAACAGTGCGGCGGGTATTCGAGCTTCATTCTAGACGACAGTACGTATAATTTGCATGCACTGCATCCACCACCTTGCTCTTTCTTCATTGCCCCCATTCCAACTCATATCAGTGGTTCCGGTACGCCATCAATCTCCCAGACATGCACATTTCGTGAATGTGGGTTTGGCGGCTGCCTTGCTGCCTGGCTGCTGCCTCACAACTTCCCTTTTGGGAACATTCACGTTCTGGCGCATTCTCCTCCCGTCCACTTCTTTTGACACTTGAGCTGCCTGCATTCACTCGCCTGCTGCACTCACCTCCGACGAGGGGATGTTAACTCTCTCTTTCTCATCTTGCTTCTTTCTTCTTTCTCTCTCACAGACCATCTCTACATCAAAGGACCAAGATGGCACCCCCTCAACTTCATCGCCCTGCTGGCTCCAGCATCTTTGCTCACGCCGCCACCGCTAAAGCTGCTTATGCCGCTGCCGCCAGAGCTGCCACGGACGCCGCCAAGGCTGCCGCTACCGCCGCCTCTTGCGCAGCTGATGCGGCTGTGCATGCTGCTAGTGCTGCGAACGCTGCAAACGCAGATGTCGCTGCGACTGCCGCTGCGGCTGCTTCTGCGGCTGCCCAAGCTGTCCAGGCTGCTGCTGACCTTGCTGTTGACGCCGCCAACGCCAACCATGGACTCCCAGATTCTGCCATCTCCTCGGACGATGTCAGCAACGACTTCACCCCTTCAGACGATAAGTTTGAGCTTGATCTGCGGCAACACTTCGATCTCGACCACGCTACCTTCGACCTCGGCTATCAGTCGACGTTGGAAGAATTCATCATAGAAAACGCTTCTCTCGACTCCGAAAACCTGAGCCAGTACTGAAATGAGTTCCGCTGGGAACTTCCCGGAGCCCTGCACTCGCACAACGAGAGCGCATTCCTTCCGTCTACGAAGCGCAATGAGAATGGCTGGAAGATAGACTACGATCGTTGTTCTTCGCGGGAACTCAAGGGGTTTGGCAACGATCGCAAACTACAAGATCCGTATCCTGGCGGGATTACCCTCAAGCGCTTTTGCATCCGCGTTCTGGTGGAGGCCGATCGGCACAGCTCCTTCAGATTCATGGACCTCCCCCCCGAGCTACGAACGTGGGTGTACCGCGATCTTCTTACGATACACCCCGATGCTCAATCGAACAGAGAGGGGCGTTGCCATCCGACCATACTCCAAACCTGCCGCCAGATATACATGGAGGCAAAGACGGTGCTGTACGATGGAAACACCCTGGAGTGCGTGCTTACAAGCTTTGGACAGGAGTGCGATGACCATGATGAGTCTTTTATCGTCAATGGTCGACTGATTCCGGCCTACTGCCCTGATGACATCGCAAAGATTCCGGAATACATCGTCCGATTTTCGCATATCTCGATCGTTGTTCGTTTTCTGGACTGCGGCTTCTGCAACGTCGAAGCATATGCCATGGATCTCAACTGGATGCTGTCCGGACTCGCATCCGTTTTGATGGATCACCACCGTCTTTCCAAAATGAAAGTCACGATGGAGATTCGTGAGGATGTGAAGCGGCACGAGGTCTACAAAGAACTCCTTTACCCCCTCCGACGACTGCGAAACATTCAAAACCTCACGATCACTTCGAACGACGAGGACTTTCCTCGCCACTTCGAGAGAATTCTTGCCCGTGACGTGTCGAAGACCACTCCAGCACTGAACACTCTCAATTACTGGCGTGCATTCCATGACGAAGCCGCAGCATGGCAAGAGTTGCTACATGCTGCCCAAGGAATTCCCTACGTATACAAATGGAACGAATCGCTCTGGAAGCCTCTCATGCCGCGAGATATCAGAGATTCGTTTCACGAGATCGAAGAGGACTATCTCGTCTCAGCATGCCTGTCTGGTCCGGACGAACAAGACTTTCTGATCAAGCTCTTCAAGCTAAAGAAACTGCTTGACGACCGACAGCACGACGCCTTCAATCAGGCTTCTAAACTCTGGGGCGACAAAGTCGCAGCGAGGAATGCGTTCCAAAGTGATCCTGTGACCGGAGCACTTACGAAAGTGGGACCAGCGGAACGGCAATCTTACGGGGCACCGACTAGCACTCTCGATGAAGATTTCGTCGGCTGGGACGAAGGTGTGAGTAGGTAGTCGGACGACGAAAGTTCAGACAGCTTCCTTCGTTCGCCACACTATCGCAGGCGATACTGGGTTTCCAATCCATCCCCCAACCCACCAACCCCCCTCACTCTGCACCGATCAACCCGAGGATGTCGCAATCACGCCGGCCGACTCATGCGCCCTCACATTCCCCGCATTCGACACACCGCCCGTCCACTTTCCGTCTTTCTTTTCGAGCTCAACAAGCGCCATACTGGTCGTCTTCAGAATATTTGCTTTGAACCCGGCCAACTTCGGCAGCCTGCTGGACAGCGCTTCCAAATCATCGGTGGTGGGGAAGGTCTTTTCCATCACACCGTGTCGGGGATTTTGGACCTGTGTGTACTTTTATCAGCATGATGAATAGATTAGCAAGTACGATCGAATACGTTTCACTCACGTTCATGTAGAATTCCAGCGTAGGGAAGGCGACGACTTCCACCTGCTCGAGATTCTCGCACTTCTCCAGCACTTTGATTAGTTTCTTCTTGAACTCCTCTCCAGGTGAGACTTCCAGCGTGACGTTCAGCACCATCAAATGCTTCTGCTTCTCCATCACTTCCTCCAGATTCTCCAGCGTGAGCGTGTACATGGTCAGATTCAACGCTCGTAATCCCTGCGGCGAAATCTCCTCCTTCGTCAAGGCAGATACAGGGTCGGGAGCAATACTCTTGTTGAAAGCCATGATGCCCTCCTTGCCCCCACCGCCCTGAATCGTAGTCGGATCCTGCTCGTCCTCATTGTCCGCAGCATCCGGAAGAGAAATGTTGAACGAGCAGCTGATCAGTCCCGGCCCAATGAGATCCGGCAACTCCGTAGCCTGCACCCGATGCAAGAAGTCCGCATCCTCATGGCGATAAGTGTAATTGACTTCCAAAAACATCAAACCCCGCCTCGCCTCCCCCTCCACATCAGAAGTGTTGTAACGCAACCATGGCCCCGCCGCACGAAAGAAATTCGCCTTAGCAAAGACATCAAGCAAATGCAGCGCCCTCAACTCCCTTAGTCCTTTGAAGAAATCAACAGCATCCGCCTGACTCTCGTCCGAAATGCCCGAGAAAAGCTGGCTATAAACCACCACGCTTTTCAACTGCGGGAGGCGAGCAGCCAGCTGCGCGAGGAAGCCAGCCGGGTACCCGAGACTGAAGAGCTCGAGGGTCAGGCTTTCGATGCTGGAGGGCAGCGGGGGAATGGTGAAGGGCTGCGAGAGGAGCGACTGGTAGTCGTCGAGTTTGATGTCGCTGGTTAGCGTGAGGGCTTTGAGGCCGGCGGCTTCGGGGGGGAAGGCGGGGAGGTTGAAGTCGAGGAGGGGGATTTGGGCGCCTTGGGCTTGGGAGGGGTCGACGGGCGCGCCGGGGGGGAGGGAGGGGTCTGTGGTGGCCATTTTTTGATTTGGTGGAATGTGGAAGTGGTGAGATTTAGAGGAGGGTGGTTAGGACATTGTAGAGGGGAATTGGTCGTCATTCATGGTGACGTTGATTGAGAGCTCCCTCCCTTACGAATTCATGCACATTGCCCGCGTTGTGTACCTCGAATGTACCTCGACTTGGGGCGTATTCAATAATGTGGGGTTGTTTTGATGGAGACGGGAGGAGAGGGGAAATGCAGGGATGCCGCTGGAACGGGCGGACGTTCGAGCGGAAGGTTGATCTTTTGCTCGATGCGGTTCTTTCGTTACGTGCTCGAGGTGCTTATTTCTATACTGTTCCCGACCTTCCCTTACTGCTCGACCTGTTCGCTGCCTGCACCCGCTGCCTTCTCCATATCTGCAGCCCAGAGTGCTGCACCGCAAGTGTTGGTGAAAGTGAACAGAATCCCGGCCACTGGGATCATCTCCAATAGTACTCCAGCAACTCCAAATCTGGTGGATGTTCGTTAGCAATAAATCTCGATGCAAATAGTCAGTCCCACTTACCCAGTATAGGCGCCTTGCCTCTCCTCGATGTGCTTCTCACGTTGCGTCTGGTTCATGCTCTGTGTTTCGGTCATTAGCTATCTGGGATGTACCTCCAACGCAGAAAGTGATCTTACCTTCAGCTGAAAGTACCGAGAGTGCACCTTCGGCCCCACTCGCCTCCCCTGCAGGACGATAAACATGGCCGTGCCCACGACGGGAATGAAGTTGAGCGGCAATTGCAGCAGATAGCGAACGATGGACGTCGGCGCAAACTGCTGAAAAGGCTTGCTAACCAGCTTCCCCAACCGAGCAATCGTGTCGCCCGCGCCACCAGACTTGACCGTGCGCTCCCTCTGCACGAGCGCAGTCTGGCCGCGCGCAATCAAGGTGCCGTCGAAGGTGTCGACTAGGCTGTCCTCGATGAGCAAGGCGCGAGCGATGGCTTGCGTGAGCATGCTGGACTCGCTGAGGACCAGGAAGGCGGTTGTGATTGCTGCGATAGGGCCTTGAGTAAAGACCATGACGGTGAGTTGCGGGACGTAGGCGAGCAGGAACATGGCGGCGGTGATTCCTAGGCCGAGAGTCATGGTTGGCGCGAGGCGGGAGAGGAGTGGTTTCCACAGGCTGCGGTGGGTGAGGAAGTAGAAGATGCCCTACATTGAGAGTCAGATGGTGCAATACGGAGACTTTGCCATTAGGACGTCGTCGAGTTACCTTGAATGGATAGAGATATGCTCCAGAGCGCACGCCGGCTTGGGCGGTGTTCGCGACGTCGTGGAGTTCATGCTTGACTGTGTCGCCGACCTTTGTCGTCATTTTCTTGCTGCGGGTGGAATCGGCCATGTTGATAAGAGGCTGCTTGCTTTGAAGAAATCCAATTCCAATGGTAGGAAGAAGAGGCGGAGCGTGTCAATGGATAGACAGGATGTGCAGGACAAGGCATTCCATGACGCACCCGCCACAATGACGATGGCCGGCAGCCACGACTTGCGGCGCAGTTCCCCCGAAGAATCGCCGAGCGTGCCTGATTTTCTAACCACACTTCACCCGTCAGACGATTCCATTCAAACAACACACCACACCACAATGGCCTCAACAATCTTCCTGCCGGGCGAACAAGTGCCATCAGAAGTCCTCCCGCGAAGCAAAAAAGGCACATTAACCCTCGGACCCGGCCTGCGCCATATCCCACCAGCAACCGTGCTAGCCACAACCCTAGGCTCTCTGCACATCGACCACAAAAAAGCAGCCCTCTGGCTCGAGCATGAAAATGGCCGCTATCAACCCGCCGTCGGAGACCTAGTCATTGCACAAATCCACCACTCCTCCGTCGACACGTGGCACTGCTCACTCACGCCGCATACCTCCCTGGCACTCCTCAATCAACTGGCGTTCGAAAGCGCGAGCAGGAAAAACCGACCTAATCTCAAATCTGGCGATCTCGTCTACGCCCGCGTCAGTCGGTGTTCCAAGTGGGACGATGTGGAGATTGAGGGGTTCAACTCGGCGACGGGCAAGGCGGAGGGAATGGGGCCGCTGAAGGGTGGGATGGCGTTTGGGATTTCGCCTGCTTTTGCGAGGAGGTTGATGATGGGGACGGGCAAGGATGGGCTGGCGAAGGGTGGGGTCGTGGTTTTGGATGAGGTTGGAGAGAAGGTCAAGTTTGAGGTTGCGGTGGGGAGGAATGGGCGGGTGTGGGTGGATAGTGGGAGTGTGAAGACTACTATTACGGTTGGGCGGTTGTTGCAGTCTGCAGACGAAGAGAAGTGGGATGTTGAGCGGCAGAGGAAGGAGGTGAAGAAGGCTTTGAGGGATGTTTGAACGCCGTTGGAGAGACTACGCTTCTTCTCTCTGATGTGCTGAGACTTCGAGGCCAGCCCTTGCCGAAATCGACGACGGGACTCCTTCACCAGTCGACGAGAACGAATGGACCCTCGATGTGTGCTCTCCGACGCACTTCCGTTCCGTTGCCACGCCCGTCGCTCCTCATACAACCCCAGTATCGCCGTTCGATCCGACGCACTTCTCGTCCTTCAACTCGGCTGCTCTCGATCGAATGGTCTCCGCCAGGGTCACGACCGATTTTGCTTTGATCCCGCCGGCGTCTGCGCCATCCATGGCTTCGAACACAGCTTTGTTCAGCCACTCGGGCGCGGCACGGACGATGCATTGGCCGCAATTCACCGCAGCGGGAATCACACAGTTCGCCCGTCGATGCACTTCCACGACCGCCGACCAGGTCTTGCTCTCATCCTTCCGCTGTTCGGGCTTGAAGTTCACGAACACCACGAAATTCTGCTCAACCTGCCCTCCACCTCTGATCCCGAAACCGCACCTGGTCGACGGAGGTGCATAGCTGAATACCCATTTCCTGATCATCCCGAACCACCCCTTTTGTTCCATCAGAGAGCTCCATATTCTCAACGCGCCCATAGCACTGAGTTTTGCGCCCTTGAACACCTTTGCCCTTGGGCCCCGCATGTCTAGGACTCTTATCGGACTGAGATTCACCGCAAAGATGTTCTCCCCATAATACACACCCAGCACATCCTCCCTAACCTCGCGTCCCACCATCGCCAAATCCGGCTGCTCGCCTCCCGTCTTGCTCTCCGGCCACACGAAGAAGTCCGGATAAACGACAGCTTCTCTCCAGATTGCCACTTGCACTTCTTTTGGCAGATCCATGACTCTGAAAGTTTGCATTCCATCTTCCTTCTCCTCTGCATTGGGCAGGATCGCGGCAGCAGCAGCGCCCCTTTTCTTCCTTTCATCCTCCAGCTGGGCGAGAAATCTTTTCGTCCGCTCCGTCGGGCGCATCAGGACGCTCACTTCCGAAGACGAGGGCTTGAGTTTCAGCGGAGAGGCATCGTAGATCCGGATATCACTGGGGTTGCGGGCACCCTTCGGTTTGCTTCTCGAGGCTGTCTTCTTCCCATTCTTCTCCGTCGCTTTCGCACCCTGCTTGGGAGTTTCCGTCTCCTCCACTCCTGCTTCGATTTCCTCTCCTTTTCTTGCTGCTTTCTTTGGGAGACATGTGCCTTTCGATGTTGTCGACGATTTTGTGACGCCTGACCCTTTTGTGGGCGAGAGGAAGGAACTCAGTCTTAACTTCGTCGGGGCTGTTGAAGAGGTTGCCTGTTTGGAGGAGGCTTTTGGTTGGGTGACTTTTGCCTTTGCTGCGGTTGAGTTCTTGTTGGGCGTTGCTGATTTCTTCGCTGTGCTGTTCTTGCTCGCGGAGGTGGGCTTGGATAGCATGGTTGTGGTTGTTGATATTGAATAGGAAGGCTGTGCAAGTGGTGGGAGGTTGAAGGGTTGTTGTGGGATGTAGTGAGCAGGTGGATGGTGAGAAGAAGCTCCAACTCAGAATTGTGTGGAAAGAGGGAAGTGAGATCACAAGGCAGACGGGATGACGAAGCGGCGAGATGAAGGGAAGTGAAGGGCCCAGAGTTGGGTCATGGAAGGAAGGCATATGCCTGTCATATGCGTGGGCTGTCCGCGGCAAAGGACACACGAGAGTGAAGACTTGGCTGACCTACTCACCGACATCTGCTCCCTCAAATTTTCTCCAGGTCAAACTCCTCAAGAGAGCATTGATGAGAATAGAAAGTTGAAGTGCACCTCTGTCGTAAATCAATGCTACACATTAGAGTATTGGTCTATACCTATGCATACGTATGTCCAAGTCGTCGCCCCGTCCGATGTCCATCCATCATGCCCATTGCTATCGTAGAAGACATACGAAATGCTCTGATTCCCTGAACCACGAAAGAAACGCCTCCGCTTACTCATCGCCAAAAAAAAGGAGAAACAACAACGTCAAGGCCTCACCCGATCAACACCCACATACTCCCTCCCATCCCTCCCCGTATGTCGCCGCAAGGCAAACCTCGGGCTCGCCGTCGCAGCAAAGCGGGAATCGCGCTCCGCCACCTGCTGACCTCCGCGTCCCATCCGCCGCATACTATCCGCCAAACTGACGCGACTGGCACTCACGTCCCTTTGCTGTTGTTGGTGCTGCTCCTGCTGCCGCTCCTGAACATGATGCCCACACACCGCCGCCCGCGCCGGCTCCGCGCTCAAAAGCCGCGTAACGAGATCCGTCCTGCTTTCCACTGCGCGAAAAGCAACATCGTCCAGCACGCGACTCGTGCGCACCAATTGCATGGCGTCGCGGAAAGTGCAAGCGCGGTTGCCGAGTGGGAGACGGCGGTCGAGGGTTCGGGTGCCTTTGGAGGGGAAGACGCCGATGATGATTGCCGCGGCGTAGAGTGCTGCGAAGACGACGAGGGCGTAGTAGGCTGCGACTTCGGGGAAGATGCGGATGCGTTGGGTGGGGACGTTGAATTGGGCGAAGAAGACGCCTCCTGCTAGGATGGGGAGGGCGAGGGAGAGGAGTGAAGCGAGAGAAAGGAGGGCGATGCGCATGTGCCCGTTGGAGAGGGCGGAGATGGTGATGTGTAGTGGTGCTTCGGCTGTGTAGCTTAGCAAGAGGCTGCGGTCTGCGGACGCACCGGAGTCGGAGAGCAAGGTTGTGTAGGGTTTCAGGCGGCGGTGGGCGTAGTCGATGTCGAGGAGGGCGAGGTAGCAGATCATTGCTGCGGCGGCGGGGACGAAGGAGTAGACGAAGTTGGTGCCGGAGAAGCCCAGCGTGCTGACGAGCGAGGGGACGAGGGGCAGGAAGCCATTGCTGATGCGCGTTTGGGAGAGGTAGCTGACGATCAGGAAGGCGAGGAGGAGGAGTACCGCGAGGAGAATCCAGAGGCTGGCGAAGATGGGTTTGAGGAACCAGGGTACTGCTCTGCCTCCTGTTGCCAATGCATCGGCTTCTTCGTCTGCAAAGTGCGGTGGGTATTTCGGCAACATCTTCTCCCGACTATGGCGTTGCTCGCGCCCCATGCCCGGATCCTCGTCCAGGCCTGAGCCGCGACTTTTCGGCTCGTGCGGGATGTAGGTACTCTCGCGTATCCGCCCGCCCTGCACGCTGTACATTCGCGCGGACCTGTTGGGGATGCCGTACGAGTGGAAGACGTCGTTGCTGCTTCGGGTTGTGCGCCAGTAGCCTAGGGTGGGAGCGTCGAGTCGCAATTCTTCGTCTTGGGTCAAGGTGAGGGCGTTGCTTCGTTCCAGGAGGACCATGAGGTCCGCGAGACTTCGAGGGTCCCATTTCAATCCGGTGCCGATGAGTCGTCTGCGCTGCGCCAGGAGCCAGAATAAGAGGGATGTGACTGAGATGAGGAGAACGACGTATAAGCCGATTGTCGGCCAGATGGCGCCGGCGGTGGCGAGCCACCGGAAAGTATGCGGCGCGCCTTTGTTGGGGGAGCGCACGTTGAAGGAGGTTGCTATTAGAGGGATGGTGAAGATCTGTAGCCAGGAGGCCAACATGAAAAAGGCGATGACAGGCTGCTGCGCCCGAAAGTGAAGGAGATAAGGGAGGAAAAAGGTCTTCGGGGAGAGGAGCAGGAGTGGACCCTCTTCTCTGCTTCTCTCCGAAGACTCAGATGCCATGGCGATGAAGGGCGCAATGCGGTAGACTGCCACCTCGATCTGAACGAGCCATAGGAAGAGGAGAATTCCGAGGATGGTCGGAAGATATTCAAAGACGAAGTACTTCGCATCTCCAAAGTAGCCGTAGTTGAAGATGCCATCGTGTGTTAGGCTCCAGACGGCGCAGAGGAGGAGTAAGGCGAGGATGGCCAGCAAGTAGAGCAGGAAGAGTGTAAGTTGCAGAGGGCGCAGGATACCAGGAAGGAAGTCCAGCGGACGATGACGGTCATTGATATTCGAGACCGGGATGAAGACATTGGGAACGTTGTCAGGAGGAGGTGGAAGAGGGGGTGGGTTCGATCCTTGTTGCGCTCGCTCGTCGAAGGGTCGTGCGGGGGTCGGCCATTGAGTGGTCGGAGGGTGGGTTTGGTCTTCTCGTCGGGTCCGATGCTCTCGTGCTGCCAGTCCTAGAGCCGCCAAAGCTCCGAGTCCGCCAACTTCTGCCGCAGCGCGTCCATCGTCTTTGTGTTCTCGGTGGCCGATCTCTTCGTCTGGAACATTGACGAATCGCACGCCAGTGTCGAGTTGCTGTCTCGGTGCATCATACTCTTCTGTGTCGTATGGGCCGCCGTGTGGATACACTCTGCTTCCTTTGACTTCTTCGTCGCGGGTAAGTTGATCAATGGCGAAGCGAATGTACGGGGTGTCGTCGATGTCCGGACTGGCCCCTCCTCCCTCTCGTTCAATGTCGCCCAACACGCTACTTCGCGCGCGATCGGGGTCAATGTACTCGTGGCTGGCCGGCAATCCATCCAAAGGGGGCGACTCCATGACAGTGCTAGGGACGGGTTTCCGCCTCACGCCACCTACTCGCAATGCCGTCGCAGCCGTTGCACCCATCGTTCCGCCAGCTTCGGTGTCGGAAGTGTAGCCAGTGGATCTTCTCTTGCCTTCCCCGCGCATTGGAGTTTTCCTCATCTCGGCGTCGTCAGGCACGACATGCTGAGGCGCAGCTGCCGCGCGCAGGCTGGATTCAGATGGTTGATGAAGCTGGGTGGTGGATTGGAGTGGGGTTCCGTATCTCTCGGGCGGAGTGTTGCTGCGTTGGGGGAACAGGGGAGAGACGGGGGAGGTGCGTCTTGCGAGTGTTGGATCGCTGTCGGATTGGGAGGATGGCTTGTGGCCCGTCTCCTCGCTGGCTGCCGAGCCGGAGAGGGAGTAGTAGTCTTCGGAAGCGGCGATGGACTGTTGTGAGTGCTTGGCGCGGATGATGGACGGGTTGGAAACTGCGATGTCATGTCAGTATCTCGTCGTGCCTGCTGAACTCGTACAATTCACAGGAACAACTCACCGTTGGTCTGTCGCAAGGTCAGAGGCGCTCCCAGGCTGCCGCTCATCGTGCCAAGGGGAAAGTGAGCCTCATGAAGGTGGGTGAAAAGGAGGACGACGACGGAGAATACATGAACAAGGTGTCGGAGAAATGATGTGACATGTGGAAGGCTCCGCGGAGAATTAATTGGATCGGGGTGTTATTTTGAAGGGTGCGTGGTTGGAGACAAGGCTGGGGCCTGAGGTGTGGCTGGTTCCCGCCCAGCCACGTGCCCCTCGCCACAGGGTTCGCCGGTGGCCCAATTGGCCCGAATGCAGCGCAAATGGACTCTGCATCTATTGGAAATGATCCGTCACTTCTCAATGGGGCTGTGATGTATTTTGGTCCGGCCGCTTTGGTGCGTTGTTCTTGCATTGTCGGAGACCGGAGCTCTTGGGAGGCGGGGATCACAAACCTTAATCAAAAGCTTAACGCGCCGCAAGGCCGTGGGCCGCTGAGGCCTCAGGCCTGTCACCTCTTCTTGTTCCCCGTCACCTTCACGTTGAAATGACATCCCGCTTACGACGTGTCTGCTTGTTTACAAATACCCTCTCTTCACTTCAGAGTGCACGACCGCTGCCAGTTTGGACTCACATAGCAAATCGCCAAAGGGGCAACTGACTTGGCTCTGCTTTGCTCGCCCACGCAGAGTAAGGCCGCGTCGCGCTCACGAACCCTACATCGCTTCCACCACCTCGGGAAGCCGCAGAGCGCGACCGAAACCCACTCGGTGGAGTGATCCACTCGGAGTCGGTATCGACGTGCCCAGCATGCTCCTCACGCCTAACCTCTATACAGTCTTTCAGAGAGTCGGGCGCGAGTATAAGCCGGTGCGGCTGATTAGTGCTGACTCTCGACAAATGCTGACCTCAGCAGCTGCAAAACATACATGTAGCAAAGAAAGTACTTTTTGGCTGATCTATTCATCCTTCCCATTCTGTCCCCATTCTCATTTCTCTTTCCCCAAACATGACATCCACGGAGAGCCCGGTGGTCCTACAGACCGAACGCTTGATCCTGCGTTTGGCTGACCCTTACAACGATGCGGATGCCGAGAAGATCCTCAGCTTCTACGTCAACGGCAGTGGAGGCCACGAGAAACTCGGACTTAGCAACATCGACGATGTGCGGCTACAGCACAAGGCCAATGGCCCCCGCGCGGAATACTGCACACTCGCGCCGCCGCCTGTCGGCTCGTATTTCCTCATCCATCTGCCAGCCAACGACTCCACCCATAACGGCCACGATCCGGCCGACACCAAGCGAGAGGGGCCGCAGATTGGCATGGTATCCATGAGCTTCCGCCCGGAAATGCCCTGGCCCGACTTGGGATGGGCTCTGCACGCAGCTTACGAGGGGAACTTGTATGCTACCGAGGCCGCCCGAGCAGCACTGGCATGGTGGCGAGATGTCATTGGCATCAAGGAGGTGTGGGCCGGGACGCTGCCGAACAATGCGAAGTCGCAGCGGTGTGCGGAGCGCGTGGGATTCGTCCGCGCCGGCACCATGGACATCGTCTTCGGAGACCCGCCCGACGAAAGCCAGCGCATCAAGGACGCTGCCGCATTCGTATTGCCTGGGATGCAGTGGCGTTCTGGACTTACAGTGTATCCTACTGTCCAGCATAATCAGTCGCTCTCCAAATAAGGCTCTTAAAAGGAAGTACGTTCTACTGCCGTGCTCTTCCACATCGCTGAACGCACGGACCCGCCAGAAGCTTGCACTTCATCCATCCGCCCCAACGCTGTGGCTGTCCACCTCACTTCATCACTCTCCAGTACATGTCGTGTCGCTGCGCATCGTCTGCGAACCGTCCCATGCTATATACGTGTCCGTAATCTCACCGCCGAACCTCCGGCTTTTCTTCAAGCTTATTACCATGGCGAATTCCCACCTCGTTGCCCGGCGCAACACCCGCCATCCACCCCATCGCGGCAATGGATGAAGACGCGTTAAGTGGTTGCTTGACTTTCGCGACCGCACCTACACTACATGTAGCCACTTCTTCTCGCTAATGATCACGAACTTCACGAATACGCATTCTTTCGACGGTCTCTGAGGCATGGAGGAGCCACAGCCTTACGATTTGCTCGCCGCGGAAATAGACCGGGTCGTCACGAGTGTCTACCCCACGCAGCTCAAGGTATGGAGAACAGCCTCGATGCCTGGAGTATCTTGCCATATTAACGATCAGTTAGCATCTGCGGGACGTCGTGTGTATGGTATGCACAGATCTCGACGTGGACAGATGGGTGCTTTCTCGACCATGTCAGATCCCTGCGCTGGCAGACCGCATCCTTGCCGCCTTGCCACATTGGCCCTATGTTCTTGGAATGCTCACAAGACTGGGTAGGTCTTTGCGAGAATTCAGAGCATACTAATTGCTTACTGACAACCACAGCACGCAATGTCAAGATGAGAGATGCCTTTCTCCTCCGCCAACCAACGTTGCTCTACGACTGCGTGGTCCATGCTGTCCAATCCGGAGACACCGATTCTCGATATAATGCGGCCGCAGTCACCTTGCTCTCACACCCATTGCCCTCCACCATCGCTCTCCCCTCCGACTGCCAGAACTTGGTGATTCGACTGTTCGACCACGCCGCCCGCGCGCCCACCGTGTCCTCCATCCGTCCAATCTACCAGATTCTCAAAGGCACTTCAACCATGCTTCTCGGCATCCTGTCCAGCGGCGTCCTCCTTCGCTTCGAAGACCACCTCTTCAACATTGTCCGCAATCTAAAAGGCGACGATCAATCCCTCAGCCTCTACTGCCTCGCCATCATGAAGATCCTCGCCACCGCTTCCGAAGAGCAATTGTGCGGCACTGCCCTCAGCTCCTACGACACCCAAGAACTCCTTGCCAGCACCCAGCCCGTCTCTGCCAGTAAATGGAAGCCAGATACCGTCCGGCAATACTTCACCGAACGCAAAGCACAGAAGACGATGCAGCTGGTGGTGCTGCGAGTCATGTGGGCCTGCACACCTACGACGGGCGACTCGTTGGACGAGAAGCTGGAGAGTCTGCGGCTGGCCAATGAAATCATCGTCGCAGTGCCTCCGCACGAGAGGCAAACATGGCGCAAGGCAAATGCCCTGGTGCCGAAGAAGTTCGAGGAGAAAGTACTGTCGCCGGCGCTGGAGCCAGTCGTGCGCTTTCATGCGCTGTGCTTTTTGCTGCGTTTGGCGGAAGGTGGTCCGACGCCGCCCGGGGTCGTTGACGGTCTTCGGAAGATTGTTGTTAATGTTGACGATATTACGAAAGTGGTGGTTGGGGATGATACAGCGGTGGCTCAGAGCCTCATCCATTCGGCCGTCTTCGATGCGAGCACCAACACGACTCTGGTACAGAACATCGTTGACTTCGCTGCCGACTCTGGATCATCTGTCGCTTTGGAGTCTTACAACCGCTTGGCATTCTTACTACAACAAATGAACGCAGGGATCGACCATCAAGAGACCATCATCGAAGGCGTCATGCTTGCACTGGATGTTTTGGCCTGCGGAAATAAGCTGCGCAAACTACACCAGCTCATCAGACTCTCTCCAAAAGACCTCACCCAGCCAACGCACACCGGAGCATGTGCGCAGACCGTCCAAGAGGCCCGACGTATCTTGATCCACGAGCTTTGCGCCATCTTCCTCAAAGCGAGTCTTCACTCCGCCAACTCCACCTATTCCATATCTCGCGATACACTTTCCATGCTGCTCGAATTGCACGCATCCTCGGCGAATCCATTGAAATGTGGTCACCATGCTCATTATCAGCTGGCTACGTCCACTCCACTACCGTTCGTCGAAGCCATCGCAACACCAGCAGACTCCAACACAGACTGGCGACAGCAGCTGAAGTCCGAGATGCAATCACGGACGTCTACAGATGTCGAACGTTTGGAAGCCATGTTCGCGAAGGCGTGTGCGGAGCTCGAAGATCACTGCGACAATGTCGAGCGTCCGCTGCAAGAGGAGCGAGAGAAACTGAAAGCTCTGCAGGAGAAGTACGACGAGCTGAATCAAGCATATGCTGCGCTGGAGAACGAGAGCATCGACCGCAATATCCGATTTGATGCTTTGGAGATGGAGAGGGATCAATGCTTGACGGACTTGGATGCTGTACGAGAGGAGAATGAGCGATTTGAAGGCCGAACGTGCGAGCTGAAGAGAAGGCTTGAAGACGCTGATGCCGCGACTATTGTCCAGCGGAATGACAGCAAGCGGACTCTGGAACGGCTGGAGTTGGAGCACGCCGCTGTGCTCGCATGCAAAGTGGAAGAGATTGAAGATCTGCAATCGCAGACGAGAGGCTTGGAGGAGGAAGTTGTCAATAAAGAACGAGCGGTGCAGAAGGCTTGCACTGATGTCGAAGAAGCTTTATCGAGTGTTGCGGAATTGCAGGCCAAGTTGGATGAATTGAGAGGCGAGAAGGAAGTCCGAGACGGCGAGCTTGCCCTGATTTCAAAGTCCAGAGACGACGCTGAGCAGAAAGCTGCACGGTTCGAGGCGCAAGTCGCTGAGTTGCAAACCACACTGGCGGCAGCAGAGACTACCTACCAGAGCAATGCTCGTCAGATGCAGGTACAAGCCATGCAGGATCAGGAAGCAGCGAGAAGCATGTATGATCAGCAACTGGCGGAGCTGACGGCCAAGCACAACGAGATGACGGAAGGGCTGCAGTTGCAGCTCGCGGAGGCAGAAGAGGCATTTCTTCGACTTCAAGAGCACCGGGAGTCTGACACTCGACAGCACGAGAGCAGGATGGACGTGATGCAGAAAAAGGTCGGTCGTTCATTGACACACATACTCAACAGCCAGCTAATGACAGCAACAGCTCGACCGGCTAACCCGCAAATGCGAAGAAAAAGACCACCAAATCGCCGAAGCGGAAGCAATGCGCAGCAAAATCAACGACTTCATCGCCTTGGGTAAGCAATTTCAAACCGCTCCCCAACCACCAGCCGCGGAACCCCTCCGTCGATCCCGTCGCTCATCCGCCGCACCTCCAACGCAACACCAGCCCTTCGAAGAAGACCCCTCGCCGCCAACACCCTTCTCCACCAACGACCACCTTCAAAAGCAGCAACAGCAAATGCACCAAGACGCCTCCTTCGCCTCCAACCCCTCCTCCACCGAATCTCGCAACGGTCCGACGCCGAAACGTCCACGACCTAGAAGATCATTCCGCATCGCTGCAGCGTCGCCCGCTGGCTCGCCGCATACCATCAGATCCGTCAGGACGAGTAACGCCGCTGCCCGAACAACGAGAGCAAGCATTAGCACAGTCGGGAGAAGGCAGCCTTTACTAAGCGTCAGCGCCAATCAATCGCCTGCGAAGAGAGTGGGTCGCTCGGCGAAACGGGGTGTGGTGACGAAGATGCAGGAAGTGGAGGATGAGTCGTTTGGGGGGAGTGAGTTGTTTGCTGGGACGCCGGCGGCGGGGAGGGGAGTTTGTGAGGGTTTGCTGGATGATACTACGGAGCTTTGAACGCTTTTGGGGGATTGGATGCGTGCCTGCGTGGTATGCATGGGTCATTGCGAGGGTTGTGTAACGAGGATCGGGAACTTGCATATGAGATGGGGCGGGGGTGCGCAAACAGCAGCGGTGTCTCTGGATTATTCGTCTGCTGGAGTCCATTTCTTGCTCGACGTTGGCCGCAATCTGGCTATCTCGATCATCGTTGCTGGAGAGCAGAAAGGCAGGTGAATATGAATGGGAGCGAAGGCAGGTGCGACTCTGCCATTGCAGCAACTTCATCTCGTAAGTCGAACTTCACCTCTGCATTACACTTCACACTGCACCTTTCCATTTGCTTTGCCCCGGCAACCTCATCCGCTGCGGTCTCACTCCTGCAAGTGTGTCTCATCGGGACCTTCAAATCCAACAATCATGTGAACACGCGATCAATCACTGCGCGTCTGCCTGCATCGCTTGGCAGGGACCTCACGCACGTATCCATCACACGAGCAGCACGCAAACAACTTCTCTTTCAAGACATTCTGCGCATGGCACGCCGCATTTCACCTACATGCATGCCTTGTGCGCTCCCCGGCCTTGAGCTTGCGATTTCAGTGTCTGCGGACGAGACCTTGACCTGCTAGATCGTCGCTGACTTCACCGGCGCCAGTCGCTACATTCGTTTTGCATGGAATGATATTCAAAAAGCACACAGAGCACCGGCAATTCGTTCACTGGAGCCTCCATCATCCGAACCTTTGCGATCACTTCCACTGCATCGGCCGCACCGAGCGCCATCACTGTCGGCCTGGTATCGATCTTGAAGTAGCCACACTTCACAATGGAGAACATCATCCCGGGCCCCCGAAGCTATGCCGGCGCAGCAGCAGGACGCTCGGCGCCTGCATCACACCGCTCTCCACGTCACAGCTCTTCTGTCATGCCGACGCCTATCGGCCCTTCGCACAGGAACCGGCCGTTCAGGCACACGTCATCCAGGCCAAGGAATCCACCCCGCCACCAGTCGAATAGGCCTGGGAATGCGGCGTCCAACCTACGTCCACGTATACCGGGCCCATTGCCGAGCAGTCCACGCCCGCTGCCCAGTATGCAAATGACGAATCGGCCGCAAGTCGGTGGACAGAACAGCGGCGGCGAGCTCAAGCTTCACGTAAGGAATCTGCCCCCCGAATGGGGCACAAAGGAGATATTCGAAAGTCTGCGACATTTTGGCTATCTCATTCGCATCGAGGTTTTCGAGGACGATGCGCAGAGGGCTCGCTCCCGCAATGCGCGAGTGGTGTTCAGCCCGCCACCACCATCGATGGACTGGATTCATAAAGGTCTCGATTTCGCCAATGCCGTTGGTAACAAACGCCATGTGGAGTTTGCAGTCTGTCCACCAGCGCAACCACGACGATTCCAAAGTCCAATGAATGCGCTGCGAAGCTTCCCGGAGAACCTCAAAGTCACAGCATCGCAGCTGGACTTTGGCGTGATGAAGACGGAGGACAGCATGCTTGTCCTTCACTCAATGCAGGAGGGTCTGGTTACGCCCATCGAAATGGCTCTCAACCTCTCTCGCAAAGTCGTCGATCTCAACTTTGCTCTCCCGGGTCTGGCAGAGAGTGAGGGAAGAAGGCAGCGAGGCAAGTCATGGTCTTTCAAGATCCGCATCAATATCGCCCAAATGCAACGCATCGTCGAGATGAAGAACGAACTCACAGGCCAGAGGGCATGGGTGATTTCGATTGCACAGCCGCCCATGATCTACCGCAAGACCGACAATGTCCGAGACACCCACGAACCCGGTGCCACTACCTGGACTGAATGGCAAGCCTGGCTTCGCCAAACGGGGGTCGAGACGAGCGAGGCTTCTACCACGGACATGATTCAACTGCAAAAGACTTCGGGCATTGATTTCGGGAGATGGTTGACTTACAGCGCCATTTTCGACAAACCCACTGCGGACTCTGCGGCGTTATTCCAGCTACAACAGGCTTTACAGGACCACAATATTCCCATATCAAAGGAAGCAGTGGTCAGCTTTGATCACAAGACTCCCGATCTCCTCTGGACTTGGCTCGATAACCCTGTCACGGTTCTCGCCGGTGCTGAGACCGCTTCGACTGCTTCGGAGATGGCGCTGATGGCGACCGAGACGATTCATCTGCCCTTCCGCATACGATATCAACTCGAAGTATGCATAAGCCAAGGCATGCTGCACGAGTGCAACATTCACAAAGACTTCTTGACAAAGCTAGGCTCCATGGACGTCGAGCGAGCAGTCAAGTTGCTGGAGAAGGTGGCCGATGAGGGAGAGCGCTTCTACGACACCAACACCATCTTCGCACGTCTAATGAACAAGGTCAGCGTGGTGCGCAAAGAGCCGCCGTGGTACTACGCAATGGTCAGAGCCGCCATCATCACGCCAACCACCATCTCCTTCACGACTCCTGTCTTGGAGACGTCAAACAGAGTCATCCGCAAATACCACCAGCATCAAGACCGTTTCATCCGCGTCAAGTTCACAGACGAGAAGTATAAGGGCCGAGTACAGTCCTTTGGCGACGCAGTCATGAACGAAGTGTTCACTCGCATCAAGCGCACCATGACGAACGGCATCAACGTTGCCGGCCGCCACTACGAATTCCTCGCTTTCGGAAATTCCCAGTTCCGCGAGCATGGGGCTTGGTTCTTCGCCTCTACCAGCGATCTGACGGCGCAGAAGATCCGTGACGAGCTTGGAGATTTCGAGAAGATCAAGGTCGTCGCAAAGTATTGCTCCAGAATCGGACAGTGTTTCTCCACCACACGGGCTACGAGATGGACCGTCGACGACGAAAGAATTCCCGACATCGAGCGCAATGGCTTTTGCTTCAGCGATGGCGTGGGCAAGATCTCACCCTTCCTCGCGCGAATGATTGCGCAGGAGCTGGGCTATCCGAGCTCGAGCGAAGCTTTCCCTTCCGCTTTCCAATTTCGGCGAGAAGGGCACAAGGGCATTCTCGTCGTTGACCCTTCGCTGAAGAAGCATACCATCCAAACGCGGCCGACGCAAGAGAAGTTCTTTGGAGCCCGGCATCACGGCTTGGAGATTGTGCGTGTCTCGCAGTTCTCCACGGCCTACCTCAATGTCCAGCTGATCTTGGTCTTGTCTGCGCTGGGCGTGGAAAACAAGGTCTTCGTGGGGATGATGCGGACCATGCTTTCGGATCTGGAGGAGGCGATGCTCAGCGAGAGGAAGGCGGTTGATCTGTTGCAAAAGAACATCGACTATAACCACATGACGGTGCAACTGGCCGAGATGATCGCCAGCGGCTTCATGGAGACGAAGGATCCCTTCACCATTTCGTGCCTTCACTTGTGGCGATCTTGGAGTCTGAAGTACCTCAAGGAGAAGTCTCGTGTATTTGTTGAGCAAGGGGCTTTCGTTCTCGGCTGCGTTGACGAGACGGCAACGTTGCGAGGGCACTTTGAGAAGCAGTCTGGATCTGAACAGGACGACAGAAGCCTTGAGAAGCTACCACAGATCTTCCTGCAAATCGATCCCACGTGTAAAGGCAAGTGGAAAGTGATTGAAGGCGTCTGCATCCTCGCTCGCAATCCCTCCCTGCACCCGGGCGACATCAGAGTCGTTATGGCCGTAGACGCCCCAGCACTGCACCACATCAAAGACTGCGTCGTGCTCTCTCAAACCGGCGACCGCGATCTCGCTAACATGTGTTCCGGCGGAGACCTGGACGGAGACGACTACCTCGTCATCTGGGACCCAGCCCTCCTCCCAACCGAATGGAACCACGCCCCAATGGACTACACCCCTTCCCCGCCCCTGATGAGCAAAGACAAAGTCACCGTAGACGACATGACCTCCCTCTTCGTCACGCACATGAAACACGACCTCCTCGGCCCCATCGCCGTCGCGCACAAATACCACGCCGACGCCCTCGAAGCCGGCATCAAAGACCCCATCTGCCTCGAGCTCGCCCAGCTGCACTCCATGGCCGTCGACTACGCCAAATCCGGCGTGCCGGCGCAAATGCCGCGTCGTCTCAAGGTCAAGCGTTGGCCGCATTGGTGCGAGCCGAAGAACAAGTCACGCGAGAAAGTGTACCATTCGAAGAAAATCATTGGCCAGCTTTACGATGAAGTCGAGCGCGTGCCTTTCCGCGCCGCGTGGCATCTACCCTTTGATCAACGCATGCTCTGTGCATACACTCTCGACGACGCGGTCCTGCAATCCGCGCGCGAAGTCAAAGAAGCCTATGATGCGAGCATCCGCCGCATTATGAGCAAATACGGCATCGGCACCGAATTCGAAGTGTGGAGTACATTTGTACTGGAGCACAGTGAGGATTTCGGGGACTACAAGTTTGCCGAGACGATTGGGGAGGCGCGCGCGGCGCTCGTAGACACGTATCGCAAGCTGTGCTATGAGAAAGCCGGCACAGATGATAGGGAGAAGATGGCTCCTTTCGTTGCGGCCATGTATACCGTCACCGCGGAGGAAGTCGGCGCCGCATGGAAAGCAGCCAGGCAAACAGTCTTGAAAGGTGGGCGATGGGTCCCGGTGCGCGAGCCCGGCTTCGGGAATATGCCTTTCATGTCGTTCCCTTGGCTCTTTGCCAAAGAGCTGGGGGAGATTGCGAATGGGCAGAAGAATCTCAAAATGGAGGGATCGGGGGCTTTCACTGCGCCGCCGAGCAGGATGTTGCAGGCGGCGAAGAAGAAGGTGTTTGAGAAGGTGTTGGGCGAGGGCGTTGTGCTGGAGGAGTTGGGGGAGATGGTGCTGCCGCTTTCTTCTCGACGCCCGGTTGAGATGAAGACTGGCTTTGAGAAGGCGGAGGTGGAGGACAATGGCGACGTATCCGACGGTCTTGCCATCTCGACGATCAAGGAAGAAGAATTTGGTCTCGCCGCGCTTTCCGAGATCGCATCTGAAGCGCCAGTGGGACAACAAGCAAGCTCGCTTGCTCCCTGCACTACTCCGCCGCCCAGTGTCGCTCACCGCTCAGCGAAAATGGACCTCAACGGCACGCATCCTCCCTTTGCCTCTCCAGATATGAAGTCCGTCCAGCCAGCGCTCCCGCGGAAGGCATTGCCCGTCGCAAACCCCGAGACAGCGAGGCAGGAGATGCAGCCTTCGCAATCACCACCCATCCCCGCCGCCGAGACCAATGCTTCTGTCAACGAGAAGGAAGAAGGCAACTCAGATGCCGATGATGAGCTGGAGGACGAATATGAGGGGGAAATATTCATCACCATCGACACGAAACCATCTGCGCTTGATGCTTTGGCGAGGATGATGGAATTTTGAGCCTGAGTGTTTCAGGAAGGGGAGAGAGGGTGGTGGCGCGGTATTGAGTGGTTTGTAGTGAGTTTCTCCTTGAGGGTGGAGGTCTCCTTGCGTGATGTCGTAAATAGCTTTAGCAAACCAAACGTCAATAAACGATCCAGCGCCTCGCGTTTCCTACTTGGATACCACGTTGTCAAGAAGGCCGGGGGAGGAGACGTCTACGACCTACAGCACGTCAAAGCAGCAATCACAAACAAGGGGAGAAGAGAAGTTCAAGTTTTCAAATGCATTGGATGTCTTTGTCTGAATACTGGCCCCACCCAAACAAGCACGGTGCAGGCTCAGGGCCGACGGCAGCAGCAAAGAGCGTGCCGGTTACTCTCCCTCTCAGACCAACGATCATCCAAATGCCCATCGTCACAATCCCTTCGTGAGCACGTAGCCAGGTGGCATGCCGTGTCGTCATCATTCATCAGTAGTTGGGGAGCTACCAGGCGGCCGAGTAGGCGCCAGCAGCATCGGGAGTGAAGCCCTGCTCGCCAGCATCGCGAGTGAAGCCTTCCTCAGCAGCGGGAGCGGCAGAAGCATCAGCACCGTGGTGATCGCCGTTGATGCCGTTCGTGAATCCGTTGGCGCCGGTATCCTCTGCATCGTGGTGCCCGTTGGTGTCATCCAGAGAAGCACCCCCGTCACCTTCGTCCTCCGAGTTGTCGTCAAAGTTGATGTTCTTCGTGTCTTCGGGAGTGAGGTGCGAAAGGAAGTCCGGGACGTCACAGTCACACTCGACAAGCACATTGACGAGGTCTTGGGCAAGCCCCTCATCTTTCTCGGGATCGTAGAAGGAGGTGGCCAGTCCCCGATGACCAATGCGCCCGGTACGCCCGATGCGATGAACGTACTCGGTGATGCCGCCGTACATGGTCGAAGGGAGGTCGTAGTTGATGACGTGACGGACCGCCATAATATCCCAACCCCTTGCAGAGACACCGGTGGCGATGAGGATAGGAGTCTTTCCGGTACGGAACGCACGCCTGTTCGATGTCAGTACGGGGTTTGATCCAACACAGGGTTGCGACACTCACATAGCATCCTCACGCTCTCGCTGGTTGCGATCAGAGTGAATGGAAGTGGTCGGCAGACCCCTGTTGTACAAGAAGTCGTCAAGAAGGTCGACGGTGATCTTCGAGTTGCAGAAGATGAAAGTACGGCCAGGCTCCATGCTGAACAGCAGGTCGTAGATCGCGTCGCGCTTCCTGTCACGGTCGACCTCGATGACATTCTGGGTGATGTTCTTGTGGGTCGATCCAGCGCGGCCGATGCGGATGCGCACGAAGTCGTCACGCATGTAGTCCTTCGCCATGCTACGCAGATCTTTGGGAAAGGTAGCCGAGAACATGAGGAAGGTGTGGTCGGCATCGTCGTTGGTGTCTGAGATATGTCAGCGGCTGGCTACGCTGGCGATGAGTCTGCATGGGAAGAACTTACCACCGCCGGACATGATCTTACGCAACTCATCCTCCCAGTCGGAGTGCAACATCTCGTCCGCTTCGTCGATGACCGTGTACCTGGAGTAATGTCAACAACAATACTGTGCAAGACAATGAGCCATGAGAGCACTCACTTCACGCGAGACATAGTCAAGATGTGCGGCTTGTCCATGAGGTCACCGAGGCGGCCGGGGGTGGCGATGAGGACATCACACCCTTTGCCCAACTCCTCTCGGGTGATCCTCATGGGAAGACCTCCGTACGCGACACACGGACGGAGCATGGAGCGGTAGCACATGCGACGAGCTTCATCAAAGATCTGCATCGCAAGCTCACGAGTCGGGACAACAATAACCACAAGGGGCTCTGCACGAACCATGGAGCCAGGGTCGTTGATGTCGGGGCGAGGGCCTTGCACCCTTCTGGCTTTCCCCATGAGCTTGGAAACAATAGGGATGAGGTATGCAGCCGTCTTTCCGGATCCTGAAAGCCGTCAGCGGTGTGATCATTGCACCCTTTCAAGATTCAGCACAAACCTGTCTGGGAGACGCCCACCACATCGAGTCCCATGTTCACAGCTGGGATCACGTAGCATTGGATGGGAGTAGGACGGGCGTAGTGAGCGAGATTGATGTTCTCCATGACGACTGGGTGAAGGCCAGCTTCTTGGAACTATTGTGGGGTCAGCAAGCCGCAATGAAAGGCAACCACTCATGCAAACTCACCTCGCGGAACGGCTTCGGCTTCATCGCACCCTCAATCGTCACCTGCAATTCCAAGTTCGCGAGGTGCTCGCCTCTGCGCATCTGGAACTCGCCACCGAAGAGGATTGCCTCGAGCTCTGGCACGCGTGGTGCAACATCACCATACTCGTCGCGCCATTCGTAGACTTGACCCGCTCCATGCCAGTTGTCGTTGTTGCCGCCCATGCTCTGGAAAGCATCGTAATCGAAGGCGACCTGGTTGGTCCAGCCGGCCTCCTGAGCCCTGGCGAGGTCGGCAGACTGCTGCTCAGTCATTGGGACGGCTTCGGGGGCCTGCGTGGCCGGGTTTGGATCAGTTTGATCGACGCCGACGGTTTGATCCATTGCTGTGAGGAGTGACGGGAGGTTGAGGTTGAGGTTGAGTGGATGAGCTGCGTTGAGTTGAAGTCGTCACTTGAGGAGCTCGAGCTCTGTGTGCAAGGGTGATTCTCGAAACGTCTGCACCCGTTGAAGTAGGAACAGCGCGGCGTTCGAAAGTGATGGGGCTAGGGGATCGTGCAGTGATTTGAACTGCGAGGTATGTCAGCTTGAAAACGAGCTCAGAACCAAGATCAAGCCTCAGCAACGTACGTCGAGGATGTTGTGGATAAGGGTCGACTTCGGAGTATGGAGGGAGTGCTGATCGTTGGGAAACGTCGTAGCTTGGTAAAGGCTGGTAGTGCTGGAGTGGGTGCCAGTCACGGTACGGATCGTAACTGTTCGGCGGGTGCTCTTGGTTCAGCCAATCGCCGGCTGCGTCGATGGGAGGGGTGCTAAGAATTGCAATAGGTTGAAAGCCTTGTTGACGGCCACGGAAACGCCGGAGCGCAGCTGGATCGACACGTTCGCCTCCGTCTTGAGGCTGTTCGCTTGAGGGAAAGTTGTCTGCGCGCGGCCAAGTGAATGGAGAAGTGGGTTGAGAAGCCGGAGGGTGATCTTGAGGAGGGGGGTTTGCTCCGGGAGAATTGGCCCGCTGGGCCATTGGGGGGATTGAAACTGCCAAGCCATTAGCGCTGCCAAGAGCCCCACATTTCATGTGTTCTTCCAGATGAGGAAGGTACGCATGAACAAGTTAGCAGGGGCAGCCTCAGACAGCAACAGCAGCACGTGACCGTCCAGTTGATAGGAGCCATGAAGTCGAGTCATCGGGTCGGCAGCAGAGATGCTGATGATGGTGTAGGGGAACATGAGCACGGCCAGTTGCTTGAGATGCTGTTTCGCTGTGATGCTTGTGATGATGTACGCGCGGCCAAGTGAAAGCACAAGCGGTTTGAGGAGCGGGAGGGTGATCTTGAGGAGCAGGGTTTGCTCGTGGAGAGTTCGCCCCCGCTGGGCCATTGGATGGTAGGCGGGTCGGCGATGTAGCATCAAGGGGATTATATCCAGTACAGGCGGCCGTAGTGTACATGTGCTTGGAGACAAATGCCAGCTGCTGTCGAAAAGGGGTGCGTGACGTTGTTGGCCAAATTCATGCTGTGAGTGACGCGTTGCTGGTAAATCAGATCCTCTCGTAGTGTGATTGCTGGTGAGCAGTGGACAGAAGATGGGCTCCTGCTTCCTGAAGGCCAGTGACGCGGTGACGTTGCTGGCCCTGAAGGTGACAAGCCGTGCTGCACCAACAAAGGGCAAACAGACGCGTCTTCAGCATCAGCAATCATCATAGCCAGTGTGCAAAGCTGCAGGGAGAGGCATAGACGCGTTGTGAGCGGAGAAAGAGCGTGTTTGTGTGCTTCACGTCTGTGTCAAGCGTTGGCAAAGCCAAAAGCTCACCGACAGCATGATCCTTGACGGCGTGAAAGGCTGGCGGCGAGCTCCTGAGCGTCCTGCGAATGGTCCGAACGTGCTGCTGTTGCTGCTGAAGCGACCTGCTAACTTGTGCGTGAGTTTGGGGGGAGGGGGGGCGGGCACTCACCGTCGGTCGGTTGGTCTCTCTCGTTGTTGTCGGTGGGAGCTTGAGAAGTAGTTTTAATAGCCAGAATTTGAGACGCGGTCCGTGCGTAGGCAGCCTGATGATGGCATTGCCATGACAGCAGCGCATTGGAGCTGGAAGAGGGCAGCAGATACTCGGATGGTGTTAGGAAGAACGATATCTCGCTCGCCATGTCGTTGTAGGGTGTACTTCCCCCTGCAGGGCTCGTGTCGAAGAAGAGGGGGTAGCCGCGAGGAGATCGTGGTGGAACAATTTGATTTCCGCGGACATATAACGTCTATCCACCACTTCAATGCATACCTGTAACTCAGTCAGCAACCATCTCCACTTGATGCAACAAGAACGATTCTTCATACCATCGTGCACTTCGCGCCTTGCTTCCGACCGCGCGCGGTGCCCGCCTTACTTGCCAGCTTCGACAAGCGCTTCTCCTCCAGCCAGCATCCCCAATCATCCACCACCGACTTCAGGAAGCTGCACCGGCGAGGTACGTCCGCCTATGAAACGAGCGGCATCCTGCAACCGCGAAGAAAGCCGCGGTGGCCTCCCACTGTGCTCCGGCCGCGCAGAAGCATCTCAATGCCGATCCCTACCTCGAGCCTTTATCGATCGCCTGCAAGGCCGCTCCAATCCCTGCTCCCGCCGCAGCTGGACAAACAGCATGGTTGCGTGCCGACGGAGCATTTGCCCAACAATGGCCAGCAGGAGCCAGTCCACGTCGCTCGCCAGGAGCGATGCGGGCTCCGGCGCAGCTCAGTCGCACGCTCGACTTCGAAAAAGCGAGAGGAAGATACATGGCAATCGCCAGGAGAAAGGAGAGAGGGGACAGACTCACCTGGGCCGTGAACGAGAATACGAGCCGCAGCACAAAGCATCCTCATGACAGCGAGTTCATCGAAGCCAACCGCAGGAGAGGCGAGCGCTCTAGCCGGAGTGGTTTGCTTCACACAGACACCGCAGGAATGAGTGAAAGCTCGCCATTGCGGCAACATGCCTTCGTGAGACAAGGCCGGCGTCTTAAATACCTGGCAGGAAGGTCACGCCTTTTCGACGACGCGAAACGCGGAATTGTCCATAGCAGGAGTCCAGCCGACGATATTTATCTTGGCCTGAGAGCCGCGCCACCAGCAATGAACGGCCAGCATCGAATACCGATCTGCTCAACTCTTTGAATAACGGCGTATCGCACAGTCCACGCTGTTCCCAGGGCCCTGCATTCGCCACTGTCCAGTGGATACCGGTGTGCGTGCAAGCCAAGATTCAAGGCCATCAAGTATTTCCTAAGAGCAGCATCGTCAGGGCTGAAAGGAGCCTTGATATCCATCAAAAGTACTGCGACTGTTGACGGTATATCATCACCGGTATGCGGCAGATATCGATCCGGGCATTCGTCATCTGAACCGGAGACGAAAATCCAACAAGTACAACAGAGTGGAGTGCGGAGTCCACAGCCAAGCAGGGGCGAATCTTTTTGTCTTACTCCGGCCATAAATGACTGGACTGAACCGGATGCTCGTTGAGGGCCAGCATCACACATGACCAAGTAAGATTCCTGAGCACCGAGAGAGCGTGGTGACCTGGGAGCGCATCTGCATTCAAAGGTCAGCAATGAGTATATCTGCGTCAAGTCAGCTCGATTGATTGCAGTCTTGTGTCCTCTTCTTGCGTTCTAGATGAGGGAGCAAGAGCAAGTGCGAAGCATATCACTCGACGATCGGACTTTTTGACTTCCATTTCCCTCATTTGTTTCTGCTTTGGTACGGCCAGGGCGGAGCAGCCATGAGGGACGGGGTACCATCATTAGTCGTCTTCGCTCAGGACTCGTTTATTATCTCGCTGAGAGTACAAGTGAGCAGGTTATTGCCGTCTGTTTTATTCTTACACGGATTCGGGGCCTTCAGCGCATCAAATGTTCCACTGTTGGGAGTGCATATGAAGCAAGGGCTTCTCGCGCGGCGCCCGCAGCTACCATGAGCCTGTTCGCCAGCCCTTGTCCAGTGTTGTAGAGCATTACAGGTGCTCGGAAGTGGGGGCATTTTTCAGCGCATCAGGATGGAGGCGATGCTGCCTTCTCTGAGCTGGTGTGTGCCACCCGCGGAAGAGCGTTCTGCAGCCGGCTTTAATTGTCTCTTTCTATTGCATCGCTGCAGGATTTCGTCCTTCTCCAGGCTGCCGGATCGAGGCAGCAGGTGTTGTTTGGGATGGCTTGACGCCCGAGAGATCGGGTGCTGGAGTCGCGACTCTGCTATGCGCCATTGCTGCGATATCAGGCACGGTCGGCCTTTCTAGCAGTCTTTCATAGCTTCCCAGTCTTTCTGGAAGCTGAGCACATGCTCGCCGCCTTCGCGATAGCCATCTCGAGGCCTGCCCAATCTCGCGATGATGCAGCTCGTCCGGGATGAGCGAGTGTGTGGCGTGCGGAGGTGAGCGGGAAGGCGAGCGGTGGGGATACTGGCACGCGCTCGCTGAGCGTTGTTATCAGTCCATTTTGATTCCGAGGGTGTCGTGATTGACCGTTCGAAGAGTGTAGGAGGTGTAGTTGCGATGATAAGTGCCGCGACTCAAGATTAACATGCTCGCCAAAACTGTTGTCGCGCGCCGAGGGGCTATGCGTGTGGGGAAGCTTCCATTAGCGATTCTCACCAAAACCATTCGTCTCATGCATTATAACCTCATCTTTTGCCACTCACCTCGCTGTCGCGCCTCAAACACGTGCTATATCGTCAATCCAAGGTGTTGCTAGCGTCTGATGCCTACACAGCTACCGCCGCCGGTGTGTAGGCAGGTGCAGGCTCTGCTTGAGGACACTAAACTTCCACCTACAGCCATTGCCACACGCGTTGGTGTTAGCAGACGGACGATTGAGCGAATGAGGTTGTCCTTCGAGCTGTTTGGTGCTCCATATCCACCGCCTGCGAGCCGTGTTGGTCGTCCACGCGCTCTCACGGCAGAGCAGACGAAGGTGTGTATATATCCGCTCCTACTGCTCGTTAGCTCGCTGACGCGTCTACTGCAGTGGATGCTCGATTTCCTCGACGATCGCCCTTGCTCCTACGCGGACGAGATCTCCCTCGCTGTATACGACGAGTTTGGTATAGATGTAGCGGAGCGATCGATCTACCGGTACCTACTACAGGCTGGTTGGACGCGTAAGGTGTGTAAGGAGACTGCTGCTCAGCGCAGCGACGAGTTAAGAGCTGTGTGGCGAACAAGATCAGCTCACTGGCCTGCGGATAAACTCGTCTTTGTGGATGAGAGCGGAGCAAATGAGAAGACAGCTGCTCGCAGGAGGGGGTGGTCGCCAAAGGGGCTCAGCTGCTCAGTGATCCGGACGCTCGCTCGCTCGGAGAGGTGGTCAATCTTGCCTGCTCTTACAATCAATGGCTACCTGCCTCAGCCGCTTGTGTTTCAAGGCTCGGTGTCGAAGGAGGTGTTTCAGTGGTGGCTTCTTAACCGTGTAGCGCCATATCTGTCGCCTGGCCATATCATTGTTATGGACAACGCTTCAATTCACCACAATCTAGGCGTTGAAGAGATGTTAGCTGATCAAGGCATTCGGATTGAATACCTACCGCCGTACTCACCGGATTTCAACCCTATCGAGCTCACCTTTCACGCTCTCAAGCAGTGGATGCGGACACACTAGGGCGAGGCTGCAGCATATCCGGACTTTGGTCGCTTCATCCGTGAGGCTATAGAGCACGCCGTTAGCTCTGACGCTCGCGGCTACTTCAGGCACTGTGGGTATGAGGTTGTTGAAGGTGTTAAAGGTGTTGAAGGTGTTGAAGGTGTTAAAGTTGTTTGAAGGTGTTTGAGAAGGCTTGGCACGGCTTCAAGCTTGCGAGGCTCGTCGCCGGATGGACGTTATATCTCTACAACAACACCATGTTTGAGGACACGCAGTTGGTGGTTCATTCTACCTATCTATCTCCATTGTTTCCAAGTGAAGGAGCAAAAATCGGTTCAGTGGTTGTGGTGTAATAGACGCTCGAAGGTGAATCGCCTCGCCAGCTCGAAAGTCGTGATGATGTCACTGCCTCTTCCACTTCCTCAGGCTCTGCTTCACCTTATCCATCTGACCGGCCTTCAACCCCATATCCTTCCACTGAGCTGCCGTTATACCTTTGATTCCATCAAGATCCCATCCATTATCGCTCCATTCAAGCCGCATACGGTCCAAATCGGCCCCAAAACCACGCCAGCTGTCACGCTCAGCACACCAGTCAAGAAATCGATCCACACGCTCGGACGGAGCTGAAGAGCTCGGTTGTGAGGATGGCGGCTCCGGTATAGCGCCAGCAGCAGGTGTATAAGGAGGGCCCATACCTGGCGGCGGGTAGGGGAAGTAGTAAGGCGGCCATGGCTCCCTGCCACGACGCTCTGGCGAACGAGACGGTGGAGGCTCCAGCTTCTTGTGGTTAGACGACTTTAGCCTCATACGAGCCTGGCTCTTGTGAAGAGCGCTGTGGATATCTAGGTTTGGCACCCTAGCATCTAGGTTGCCGGCTTTGATCTCAGTAGCCCATTCAGCAAAGATGTCCTTCGTGAAAGGGCAGTGATTGTCAGGTACGTTGGTGTTGCGCCAGTAGCAATAGCCGTTCTTGCCATCACCATAATTAGGACAAGCTTGCTGAGTACAGGTCCACTCGAGCCGCAAGGAGGCGCTATAGTCGCCTTGAGACTCCATCTCCTCGATCTGCGAAGGAACTAACGCCTCCTGGCGAGTAGTAGCAGTCCGGCGGCGTTGAGACGAGGCGGCGGCAGGGCTACTGCTCGCGAGGACAGTAGACACCTGGTCACGCTCGCAGAACCACAGCATGGTTATACAGGGCTCTGTCCACCCGTGTTTTTGCCAGCTTATGAGGCGAGCGAGCAGCTCCTCAAACTCGTGCAGGTACTCAATATCCGTCTTATACTGCTTCTTAGCCGGCTGATCCTCATAAGAAGCAGTAGCGGACAGACGGTATATCTTGAGGTTGCCAGCCTGCTGCGCAGCCCATGCCTGAGCCATGTGATATACTGGCTGATTGCCTTTGCAGGTCTTCCGTTTATACGCAATCTCCCGTTGTTGTTGAGTGCGGCCAGCGAGCACACGCCAAACCAGCTCATATTCGAACGTTGACGGATCCACCGTCAAATCCACCACCTCAGGCTCCGCCTCTGAGTCGTGGAGCGACTGAAAGCCATCAAGGCCTGTATCCGCAGCCTCAATTTCATTCAACAGTGAATCGTCCACAGCGGCAGCAGCAGACGCGTCCATTGAACGACTGGCAGCGGCAGTAGGAGCGGCAGGCGCGTCCTTCGTCTTCGAGCGAGCGGTTGTAGTGGCGGCAGCGGCAGCAGCTGCAGCTGTAGCTGCTGTAGAAGCGTCTGTTGTTCGGCGGCGAGCCTTTGAAGGAGCCTGTCGACTGCCCTGCTTGCTGCTCTTCCTTTTGCTAGGCAGTGGAGCAGTAGGAGCAGTAGGAGCGGTGGCCACCGCGGCGGCCACCTTAGGTGTAGGCTTTGAGGCACGCGCTGGACGCGTTCGCGGAGCCATTGCGACGGTGAGGGCGCGCGAGCAACTAACAACACCTCGGATTTAGTGGTATACACCGTTTGTATGGGTTACTTTGGCCTCATATCAACTCAAAACAAGGGCGACAGCGAGGTGGGTGGCAAATAACGAGGTTATAATGTAAGGATTGAACTGCTTTGGTGAGAATCGCTAACAAAAGTTTCGTGACGCGCATAGCCCCTCGGCGCGCGACAACAGTTTTGGCGAGCATGTTAGCTCGAAGCGGAGTTGGCTCCGCGAGAAAGCTCCACCCACCTACGCCTCTGGCAGGAGCTATCATCCTGCCCTCGCAAAATTGTTCATTCGACGAATTGTTGTTTGGATATATAGCACGGCATTGTACTCGCTCGCAATCCGGTAGCTATTGTCTGGGTGCTGAAGTGTGCAGGCTCGAGGCAGTGGGATTTTGCTGCAAGTCGCAACATACTTGGCTGGCTTCGCGACATTCCCTCTTGCCAAAATCCAGACGCACAGACGACCAGCAACTCCGAAGCGATATGCGATAGCAGAAGATCAAGTCGCAAACACAGTGTGCATGGCAGAGAAGATGGCATCAGCAGCGCAGCCGCAGAGCCCAAATCTGGTGATTCACATTCTATCGCAACATGTCAGAACGGAAGCAGATTGGAACTCGCTCATCGAGTCGAACTTCGCGCCAAATACTCAATGGACTGCAATCCAAAACAGACTACTCGATTCTAGCAGTTCCGACTCCACCAAAGCAGCAGGCAAAGTCCTCGAGATCCGAGCAACACTCACCCTCTCAAACCCCAACGAACGAATAACGGTCGACCACTGCAAAGCCCTCCGCAACTCCGAAGCCATCCAACATCTCCAACAAGCCGAGAAAGTCGAAGTCGTGCACCAGCCTTTCGACCTCTACCTCGACCATAGAACACCCGGCCTAGCAGTCTTTGATATGGACAGCACCCTCATCCAGCAAGAAGTCATCGACGAACTCGCCCGAGCCGTAGGCCGCTATGACGAAGTCGCCGCCATCACCGAAGCAGCCATGCGCGGCGAACTGGATTTTGAAGCCTCGCTACGAGCGCGAGTGGGCAAGCTGGAAGGCGTCGATGCCAATATTTGGGACAAGTTGAAGCGGGACGTTATCACGGTCACTCCTGGTGCGCGACTGCTCGTCAAGGCGTTGAAGGGACTGGGATGGAAGACGGCGGTGCTTAGTGGAGGCTTCACGCCGCTTGCTTTGTGGCTGCGGGATCAGCTTGGGCTCGACTATGCGCATGCGAATCATTTGGCTCTCAACGAGGCGGCGACATTGCTCAGTGGGAAACTTGTGCCGGGGAGCAAGATCGTGGACGGGGTCGCAAAGCGGGAGTTACTGATTCAGCTGGCCGAGGAGAACGGCATTCCGCTGAAGAACGCCATTGCAGTGGGAGACGGCAGCAATGACTTGCTGATGATGTCTGCGGCTGGCTGGGGAATTGCCTTCAACGCGAAGCCGAAAGTGCAAGAGGCTGCTCCGGCCAGACTCAACACGTCGAGTCTTCTCAACATTATGTACTTGCTTGGCTATACCAATGCCGAGATAGCAAAGGCGGCAGATGTGGAAATATCGATCCTTCACACTTGAGCCGAAGAACACAGCATTTAGACTATACAGCTAGAGCAAGGCCACGGCGTCGTAGATAGCCCTCCATCCCCTCCAACCACAACTATAATTTCGTCTTCGCCTCCCCCTCCTTCAAAACATAATACGCCTCCTGCACACAACTCGCAATCAACTCTCCCCTACGATCAAAAATCCGGCTCTGCATCTCCGCCCGTCGCCTATCCGCCCACGGCGAAGTAACCTCAATATAACACTGGTCGTCCGCACGAAATCCATCGTGCCGCCGAAAATGCACAGTGTGGTTCAGCGAAGTGTACATTTTGAAGTCCTGGTCTGTTGGCTTTCGTGCGCTGTCGTTGATCCGGGGGAGGCCGAAGGAGTGGTTGTGTAGCGTTGGGGCGGCATCGAGGATGTGGTAGTCTGAGAGAGCGATGATTCCAAGGGCGTGGAGGCGGGATGAGGAGGTGGTGATTTCGGGCGATATTGCCGCTACAGAGGTGTACAGAGTCGAAGCAGGGCTAGTTCGGCCGACTGTTGGCGAAGCTCCAACGCCTTCTAACGGGAGGCGTTGAAACTTCATATACGGTCCATATTCGTTGCGTCCAATTTCTAGATCGTCCAGTGTGATCGAGTCGATCGTCTGCTTCCCTTGCCGCTGCACAGAGTGTACCATAGACCGTCCATCCAAGGCAGCGTACCGCACAAAACTGCATGTTATGTGCCCCATCACTCCCCCCTTCTGCTCGGCGGTGATGACTCTCGTGACGAAGCGACCGCCGTCGCTTAGTCGCTTTACTCGATGCACTACCGGAATGTCCGGATTCGTGCCAGCCAGAAAGTAAGCTTGCACAGTGTCTATTGCAAAGTCGGAGGAGACGGTTTCGAAGGCCGCGGCGGATGCTTGGGCCATGAGCGTTCCGCCGGGGAAGACTTTGCTGCCTGGCCAGGACCAGATGGGGTATTGCTGGGTTTCGAATACATCCTGCGGATGCATTAGCGAATGACCATCACATATCATGCTCGCGCATTAATCACTGACTTGATCTATTTGTCGGAGTTCGAGGACTTGTTCTAATGTCTTGGGCGCCATCCCGTCGGCTCCAAGTTGCGCAATGCTACAAGGCAAAGCTACAAATGCGAAAGCGGAGATCAGAATGCCAATGTCATGCAAGGTGTTCGTTATAGATCGAAGTATGCATCTGTCCTCTCAGATGTCGACGTCTCGCACGTGGATACCTTCTGCAAGCGGCTAGTGCGCCAAGGGTTCGCGCATTGAGGGTGAATGGCGATGAGGCTCGACATCACATCTCCACTCGACTCAAATCATCCTTCTTTCTATCAAATCACGTCTTACCAGCACCTTCGGATCATTTGAGAGCACGAACAACCCAGTTTCACAGCTTGCTAGGCTGGTATATCATGCTTCGAACAAGTCGCCTAAACGACCCCAACCCGGTCTGGGGAAAAAGTATAGCCCCGCCTTTTGAGCAGACACCCGGCGATCTGGGGAAGCGGCGGGGTGTGAGGTGTGTGGCTGGACGCACCTCAGGCCCCGACCAGCTCTCCAGACGCTGCTGGCTTCCCCGCGCTAAATCGCAAGAAGCGTAGCCACGACCTGCGGACCAGCATGAAGTGCCGCGGCAGACGTCGAGTGGCGGCAAGCATCGTCACGCGCCCAGGCGGCGAGCAGCAGACTGGTAGGCTGCACGGGCAGCAGACACGAGCCTGGCGACCATGCGCCGCAAGGTACCAGCTCTTTCTTTCCCCTCCTCTATCTGCAAGTAAGAGTGTGTTACTCCAACTTTTCCTTTCTTTTTCTTTCCACATCATACACTCCTTCAGCGACTCGTATGCTGGCCATACTCATTGGCCTCCACAATGCCTGAGCCACCTTCACCCCTCACAGCCGCGTCTGCGACCTTGTCCTTCCTCGACTTCGCTACGAATTTCCTCGATACTGCTCTGAAAGGCAGCGCACTACCAGGCAGCACCACCCAAGACCCCCAAGAACTCGCCCGCGAAGCAGAGCAGCTGAAAACGGTCGATGCCACTCGCGATCTTCCGAAAGACCTGCTTAGCGACAAACAAGCGGCCGATGCCAAGGACACCGAGGCCGAACGAGGGCTGCAGCGAGCGTTGGAACGATGCAAGCTCCTTGCGGACAAGGTAATCGCTGCGCTGCAAGGCTGTCAAGTGGAGAGCAAGGATGGGAGTAAGAGCGTTAAGGTGGACGAGAAGCGGAAGGGGGAGATGGAGAAGTGCAGGAAGGAGATGGAGACTTTGAGAGTTGAGTGCGCTTCACAGCTACTGCGGCTCTTGAGTAAGTCTCTGGGAGGGGACCGTCTCCCCTCGTTCAAGAGCTCTGAATACTGACCATGCTCGATCCAGACGAAAGACAATCCGCCGATGCAAAGAAGCTCGATCGCTTACGACAACGAGATGCCTCCATGGAAGCAAGAGTGGCACGGCGATTCGAAAGACTGCGACAAGAGCTGACAACCGCACTTAGCCAAAAAGGAAGCAAAGACAAAGACAAGTCAAGCAGACCACTCTCCATCATCCTGAACGACATGCTCATCGAAGCCCGACACGTCAAAATGGCGCAAGAAATCCTGCTCAGCTTGCGCTACGACGGCATGGAATCTCGGAAACACACCATCGCCGAAACGCACGGCGTCACATATGAATGGGTCTTTTCGTCGCCCAAAAGTCTACGCAGGCAGAAGGGTATGCAGGCGAACTTCTCAGAGTGGTTGGAGAAAGATGGCGGCATCTTTTGGATCACGGGGCATGCTGGTTCGGGCAAGTCGACGCTGATGAAGTTTGTCGAGAATCACGAGACAACTCGCGCCAAGCTGCAGGAGTGGGCGACGGGGTACAAACTCGTCAAGGCTGGTCATTACTTTTGGGTGAACGGAAGTGGGTTGCAGAAGTCGCAGCTGGGGTTGTTGCGAGCGCTCTGCTTCGCCATTCTGCGTCAGTGTCCCGACTTGCTGCCGCAGCTTTGTGAAGAGCGGTGGAATGCGGGCGATGCGCGGCAGCAGCACGAAAAGGAGTGGAGTATCTCGGAGCTCCAGCGGATTCTGCATCTCCTACAAACCTCCGAATTCAAAGAGACGGATGAAAAGGTGCGCTTTGCCTTCTTCGTGGACGGGCTGGACGAGTATAGCGGCGACTACGAAGAGCTGCTGTCGGATCTCCGACAACTTGCGACGTCGCCTCATATCAAGATTTGTGCAGCCAGTCGACCATGGAATCTGTTCGAGGAGGCGCTCGGGCGAGATCCAACAAGGATGTTTACCATGCAAGAATTGACGAGCGACGATATAGCGGAATACGTGCGGGATACACTCGAGGACGACGCAAAGTTTTTGGAGCTCGAAAAGCACGACGCTCGCGCGGCCAAACTGGTGGACGACATCATCTCCCGTGCGAACGGCGTCTTCTTGTGGGTGTACCTGGTTGTCCGACGAATCTTACGCAGCATCAACAATGGCGACAGTCTGGAAGTGGTGGAAGAGAACGTCAGTCACTTCCCCTCTAACCTCGACGACTACTTCAAGCACATGCTCGACACGGTCGACATTTTCCAGCAGCGCGAGACGGCGCAGATTTTCCGTGTGTGCATTCGTGCCCGCCAACCTCTGGCCCTCCTTGCATTCTCCATCTTGGATCCCGACAATCCCATTTCCAAGCGACTAGCCAGCGACCAGCCCGTGGACCAGAAGGACGTCGATGCAATGCACGACAAAATGGACAAGCAGATTCGACTGCGCGGTCCAGACCTCCTCGAAGTCATCCGCGACGGCAGGTACATCCACGTCACCTTCACGCACCGCTCCGTCCGCGACTTCCTCACACACAACAACATGGACACGCTCTTCGAGTCGCGCACCGGCGCGGATTTCCAAACCGGCGAGCCCTTCGAGCCCCTCTCTGCCCTCTGCCGCATGACGCTGCTTACGCTGCAACGCCTCGAACTCATCACCGACCCCGAAACGGCGCGAGAGCACTACTACGCCCTCATCACCGACTGCCTCGACTACGCGCAAGACCTCGAAGTCGCACAGCACACCGTCGCCTTCCGCGAGCTCAACCAACTCGAATCCATCCTCGAAGCGAATGCAACAACCATCGCGACGAAAATGGACACAAACCGCACCAACCCCCTCCTCCCCCTCGCCATCCGCCGCAACCTGTGCCTCTTCATCAAACAGCGCGCAGCGCAGGGCCCCTCAACCCTGCAACCAACGCTCCAAGCCCCGGACCGTCCCCTCCTGCACTACGCCCTCCCCCGCTTCACCCTCCGCGCCCCAGGCCCCCCCACTTTGCTCCCAGAAATGACCTCCATCCTCCTATCCAACGGCTCAAACCCCAACACGCAATCCTACCTCCACGACGCCGAACCCCCCTTCACCCTCCGCAAAGGCAGCATCTACTTCCTCTACCTCCGCACGCTGTACTCCCTCTCCAAGCGGCCTAAATTGCGGCCCCGCGGCTCCGGCGCGCTCATGGTCACGGAAGCGCTGATTGAGGCCGGCGCGTCGTATGTGCCGAATTGCCTGACGGAAGATGGGAATAAGGGGGAGAGGGAGATTTTGGAGTTTTGCTTTGGGAAGGTGGAGGCGGCGAGGTTGGTGGGGTTGAGGGCTGCGGGGGGTGCTGCGAGTGCTGCGAATGGGGGTGCGAATGGGAGTGAGGGGCAGGAGGTTAAGGGGGGGAGGACGGGGAGTGGGACTGCGAGGAGGCCTTCTTGGGCTAAGGCTAGGAGCTCGTTTCGGCGGTTGTCGATTGGAACTTCGGGGAGTGCGGTGTCTTCTTCTTGAGATGCGAGGGGGGGAGAGTAGTGTGGTTTTGATGATGATAGTGATGGGTCTAGCAAGGAGTTTTCGGTGGTGCGATACTGTCCACATGTAGTCCTTTCAGTATAAATCTAGCGGTCTAACGTATTCATCTATGCTGTAAGCCAACGCAGTCGGGTATCTTCCAAACGACACAACATAGCCTCATAAATCCAATTCACACCGCCTCCACAACCGCCGCAGCCTCCATCTTTTCGCCTCTCAAAGCAACCGCCTCACCCCCAGTCTCAGCATCCAAAACCTCAAACCCCCCATCCAAGCCGTCTAATCCATCTAACCCATGAAACCCCTCCTCAACAACCCACTTGAGCGGACTCTTGCCCAAAACCTCACAAGCAAGCCCCACAACCAACAAACCGGGCGGCCGACTCCCTTCCTCCTCAACAGCAGCAACGACAAACTCCAAAGAAGAGCGTATAACCCTCTGATCCGCGCACGAAGCGCGCTCGATAATCGCACAAGGTGTTGATGTCGGGTATGGGGAGGTGGAATGCGTGGTCAAACTGGCTACCAGATCTTGGAGACGGTGTAATGCCATGAGGAACACGACGGTTTGGTTGCGGAGATAGGGCGGTGGGTCGGGGGAGGCGCCTTTGCGGCCTGTGCCTGTGCACACGAGCACTTGGTCGCTGACGGCGCGGTGCGTGACGGGGATGTTGGCGAAGAGCGGCGCGCTGAGAGACGACGTGATGCCCGGCAGAACCGTAGCTTCGTAGCCGTGTGTGCGGAAAAAGGCCACTTCTTCCGCCCCGCGACCGTACAAGTATGGATCGCCTTGCTTTAGTCTGAGTACTGTCTGGCCTGTTTGCAGCGCCGCGAGGCCGAGCTGGTGTAATTCTTCTTGCGCAGCGTCGGCGTTGCCGGGGAATTTGCGCGCGACGTGGATGGGTGTGCGACGGGGGACGAGGTCGAGGACGGGACCGGGGACAAGTTTGTCGGCTAGGATGAGGTCGGCGGAGCGAATTGCTTTCAGCGTCGCGGTTGTGAGGAGATCCGGATGGCCTGGGCCAGAGCCCGCGAGAATGATGCGGCCTTTATTGCGCCGGGCGTCCAAGGCACCTGGGTTCAAGAGTGCTTTGTCTGAGGCTGGGGAGGGTTGGTGGGTAGTTTCGCGGGTGTACGCCGCGAGAATGGCATCCACGTCGGCGTCGGTGATGGCGGCGAGTCGGCGCAGCGGCCAGTACTCGCAGATCTGGCTCAGCCAGCGCATGCGCCTCGCCTTTGCCGCCTCGGCGTCGGAGGGGGTGATGAGTTTGTTGAAAGCGGCATTTTGTCCTGCATCATCATCCTCTGCATCTATTTCCGCCGCCGCCTCGTTGGCATAGTCCTGCTCAATGATGCGCCTGCGCACTGTTCCCAATCTTTCCACCGCATCGCCAATATCCGACGGGAGAGAAGCGGCGATATCTCGCCGAATGCGTGAAGCGAGTTTGCACCCCTTGCCCGACGTCGTCACGCCAATCTGCAAAGGCCCCGAAGTATGGGTAGATAGCAGGGTGAAGGAGGACAGATTGGAGGAGTCATTGACATTGACAGGGATGCGGAGGCGCCTGCACAGCGTCGAGATGTGCGTGGCCTGCGCGTTGCGTGCGCGCGAGGTGACGAAGACGGCATCAACGATGTAGTCCACCTCTTCTCGCCCCAAAGTCTTGAGATCGGCGTCCTCGAAGTCGCGCTTGATCCACTGGATCTGGTGGTCTTCTACTCTTTTCAATAAGCCGTAGTGTAGATTGCTGCTGTTCTCCGGGGCGATGAGGATGGGCTTTGCGCCGACTTCGAGTGAGCGGGCGCATCGAGCGCTGGCGAGGGGATTGGAGCCGATGATGAGGTGGATGTGGGAGGTCGAGTCCACGGCCGTGAGTAAGGCCGGGGCCATGATGTTGTGGTTGTAGGGATTGGCTTTAGGGAGTTTTATGATGACATGTTCACGGAGGAAGTCAGCGCGACATTTCCAAGAACACTTGACCACATTGTAGAGTTGGGAACGAGAGGAGGTGGCGCGAATGATGAGGTTGAGATTCATGGATTTTCTGGAGATTGATAATCGACGCGATAAGAAGTATTCGCGATCGCTGATTGGTCAGCTGTAGACTGCCGAGCGCTGAGCAAGGCTGGACTTTGCCACCCAGTCTTGATGATGGAGTAGAGTACCTAGCCATGCAAATATACAACGCTTTAGCGAAGTCGACCGACAAGCCTTGTATGTTCCGGATAAAGCTTCGAGCTCGATTGGAATCGGGTCATAGAATCATCCGTATTGTCGCCGGCTGCCTGTCGTCTTCCGGCAAGTCTAGCCTGGCAGCTCGATTCAGGCGGTGGTCCTAGGACTGATCACGTCACACTTGTTGCCCGTCGAGCATATCTCTGAACATGTGCACAAATCATAGTCATCGTTCCTACCTCACCCGTCTTCGACATCATCCAACCCCTTGCCCATCACCACACCCAACGCCCTCCTCGCCACGGCAATGTTCCTCTCCAAAGCGCCCAACTTGGCATAAGCCGCCATCAGACTGGGATCTTGACTCTCCACTCGCACCTTTTCCCTCACGCGCACTTCTTGCCCTTTGTACTGGAAAACTTCGTGGGCCTCGTCGTGGAACACTTGTCGGCCCCCTCCCAGCACGGCAGACAATCGATCGCGGAGGGAGAAGCCGGTGTAGGAATGCTGTCCAGATGAACTGGAGACGAAGGAGAGCGGGGTGTTGGTGCCGGTGGTGGAGTAGGCGGGCTCGAGCGTGCGCACGTTCAAGAGAATAGCGGCTTCGGAGATGGTGAGGTGGAAGGAGATGTGATCGGGGAGCGGAGGCTGGAAAGCATCGCCGGGCACAGGGTCTTCATGCCACGCTTTCTGATCCGCCGTCCATCCTCTCAATGCGCCTCTTGCTTCTTGAATGTTGTCGTGCAGTAACATCATCTGACCAGAGATGAAGTCGGCGTTCTTCCTATCGCCTGTCCAGCGCGTGGCGTCTACAACATCGAGGCAGGCATTGATGAGGGTGCGAGTGGTGGCAAGCTGTTCGAGGAAGAGGGTGGAGGCGGCGGGGAGGTTGGAGATGGCAAGACGGAAGGCCGTCTGGCCTCGGGGCACGGGGATGCTGGGGAGTCGCAGGCTGATTTCGCCCTTCATGATGCGTGTGCCTACGCGGGTGATGTAGCCTTTGAGCTGCTCAGACCGCAAGGAGCTCAGCACGAGCGTCGACCCCGGGTCTTGGGGGGCGAGCAAGTCGGCGCATTCTTGTAGGCCGTCTTTGAGGGATTGCAGCGTGTCCTGCAGCGCCTCGAGGAGCCATTCGAGCTCGCGCGCAATGTTATCTTCCTGCTTTTGGAGGAGTTCGTCTGGCGCTATCGGCGGCCAGATTAACGTCGACATGATTCGTCATGGTCTCGCGGTGATGCGGGAATGGCCGTGACGTTCTCACCGCGTCTTTAGACCGGCAGTTGTCGAATGCAGCTCTCGCGATGGAACTTGGCCAAGCTCGAGCCTCATGCGGGATGTGCCGCTGGCTCTACCGCTAAACTGATTCGGGCGTTGCCGGGACGAACGCGGGTTCCATCGAGCATTGGCACGTCGGGCCTTTTCTTCATCTGCTGTTTCCACGCTGCCTGCTGGGCTCTTCGCAACGAGAACAAACATCGACGTGGAGTGTCTGAGACAGAACACACCTTTCTCTTGCACGACTCTCGCGACCGGAATAGTGCTGCACTGAAGAGATACTCGCTCCGGCGCATTTGAAAGGCCAAGCTCGGGCATGACGTAGCTGCCAAAGCTGTTCGCATCGGCCCAACACCCGAACCTTCTTTTCACGCAGTGCACCTCCGCCCGCGCCCAGAACACGCAAGCAGGCGCGCCAACTGTCATCGACGTCACCTTACCGTCTGCGCTCACGCTGCCCGCCGATCCGGGTGACTTCTGCCTTCGCTTCCCTCTGACACCTACATAACCCTTCTCTCCCTCTACCCATCCACCCTCAGCTTCCGACACATCCCGCCCCGCCCATCCTCCGCCCTCCTCCGTGCAAGGTCAAGACGACCTACACCCGTCAGCACTACCACCCACAATGGCAGCCCTAAGTCAGTCCTCCCCTTCTTCCACACGCACCTTCTCAAGTCCCCGCAGCTAACCTCTCCCACGCGCAGGAGCCGGCCTCTCCATCACCTCCATCATCCTCCTCGCCGGCGGCATCGTCCTCCAGTTCTTCGTCATCCTCTCCGGCGTCGTCAACAACTCCGCTCCGGTCAATCTAGTCTACTTCCTGCAAGCCTCCACCGCCGGCATCACCAGCTCCACCGTCTCCCGCATCCCCGCCAACGCGCGCTGGACCTTCTTCGCCCTCTGCGGCGAAGCCAATGGCCACAATGCCAACTGCCACCAAGTCCATCCCGCCTTCCCCTTCAATCCCCCCGGCAGAGAGAACTTTGGCACCATCCGCGGCATCCCATCCCAGTTCATCGGCACCGATAGGTACTACTACCTGAGCCGCTTCGCCTTTGCCTTCTTCCTCATCGCCCTCTTCTTCGCCGTCGTCTCCTTCTTCCTCTCCGCCTTTGCCCTCTGCGCGCGTCTCGGCGCCTACCTCACCGGCCTCACCACCATGCTAGCCCTCTTCTTCCAGATTGTCGCCGCATCCCTGATCACGTGAGTACCATTCCTCCAAACCTGCCAACCAAAACCCAATTTACTGACACTCCTCTACAGTGCCTGGTCCGTCCTCGGCCGCGACGCCTTTAGGAAAAACGGACAGTCGGCCAAGCTCGGCGCGTACGGCTACGGCTTCACCTGGGCCGCGGCGGCATGCTTCCTCCTCTCCACCATCCTCTTCTGCGTCGGCGGCCGCGCCGACAAGAGCTCCGGCGGCGGCGGCGGCCGCAGCGGCGGATACTTTGGCCGCAAGCGGAGTACGCGCAGCCGCGGCAGCTTCGTGGACAGCGAGAGTGGGAGGCGGGTGAAGGATGAGTACGAGTAATGGTGACGAGGAAGAATTATAATATCTATCCTGGCATTTCTTTCTTTCTCCGACGCACAGAGAATATATCGTCCAGCGTCGTCGCGCGAAATACCAAGCTTGGATGGGGCTGGCTGGGGCGTTTTGGGCCCGCGGGGCAGCAAATACCGATTTTTAACTTGTAATGTATTTCGAAATGTAATCACATACATACTGAAATGATACCAATGACACAAAGACTCATCTATATACGTTTTCGTCTACCTCATTTCACTCGTGTTGCCATTCCATCCCATTCACACGAAATAAGAGTGCTCATACATCCCACAACTCCAACAACGACTGCGCAACCCCATTGCCCCCTTCAACCCCCTCATCGTCCGCCAACTGTTGCGCCAGCATGAGAATGTTATCCCGTCCGAAGCCCGCGCCGGAATGCAGCGTGAATGGATCAAAGCCCCAGTCCTCGCTCCCCGCCGCCGCCGCCGAAGCATGAGGCTGCAACGAAGCGCCGTCCTCGTCTTCTAAGCCGGTGTAGCGTGCATGCGAGGCGTCCCCGCCGCTGCCAGGAGCAGAAACACCTGCGCCGCTTTGGAGGCCAGCAGCGTGCATGCTCTCCCCACTCGCCGCATCACCACTCCCCCTTTCCCCCGCTTCCGAAACAGCAACCGGCGTCGCAGGACTGATGGTCGTCATAGGCGTCTGCGCGAGCAGAATGCTCAACTGCTGGAGTTCCGCTTTGCGCAGCCCGGCCGTCGCGTTGCCGGACTGGATCATGCGGTCGAGGATGTAGTGGGCGTCGGTTGCCCAGCGCGGTTGCTGTGCGGAATGCGGGTGGTGGAAGTCGTGGGTTGTGTTCGGGGTTGTGGTTGTGGTGGTGGTGCTGAGGAAGTGCGGGGCGGTGGTGTGGACTATACATAGGACTACGCTGGAGGAGAAGAGGTCTTCGAGGTGAGAGGAGAGGAAGGTTTCTTTGCGCCGGGCGCGTTAGTTTGTTTCTTCGGGTCGATTTGGGGAAGGAATGCGGGGGAGGCGTACCGAGGAGGTCTAAGTCGCAGAGGGCGCGCAGCATTTGCAGCACGGCTTTGGCGGAGTCGATGCAGGTTTGCAGGAGGGCGGAGATGGGGGATTGCAGCTGCAGGGGTTGCTGTGTGCTGGGACTGTTCGCGTCGGAGATGCACTTGGTTAGGATGCCGATTACGAGGGGTCGGGTGGTGAGGACGATGCACTGTTTATAGATTGTCAGTCCCTGGGCGTGGTGTCTGAAGGACGAGTATGGGACGCACGTGATGGTAGGCGAGCGTCAAGTGTGTAGACACTCGGGACAGTCCCCCTACCGCGCCCTCCCTCCTCGGCCCGATTAGATTGTCAAGCTCGAGGGAAAGGTCGGCGAGGATGCAGAGAATGCTCCGTGTCTCTGGGAGGAAGGAGCTGCTGAGTGGTCCTCCAACCGCATAGACCACTGCGTTTTCATCAGCAAGTATATCGGAGACGTGAAGACATTAGAGAGGCATACTGTTGAGGATACGTGCCGTGACACGCGAAAGCCGGACCTGAAGCGTCAACGCCATGGCACGTGGGGAGGAGACGACGTCGGAGGGAAGCGGCGTGGTGATGTCTTCGTCCCGAATGGAACACGGCGCTCCGATGAGGGCGGAGAATTCCTGATCTAGAGCGTAGAGACTCCACCAGAGGTTACTGCATCGATTTGAGAGCGCTCGACCGTGCGTTTCTTCTGGACATTCGCGGTGGATCCCGCTGATGAAACAGAGACGCAAGGCTTGCCCGATCTATCGCCGTAGTGTCAGTGCCAGAAGCGTCATATGAGATGCTGCCGAGCTACCATACATATTTGAAGGCAGTAGCTCTCATGTCGAGAGCCTGCAAGTAAATTGCCGCCAGGCATAGCACCTCGATCTCCGTCAGCCGATCGCCGAAGATGTCGTGCGAATCCGGAAGCAAAGCCAGCGCACGAGAAGCATACTCCCAGCCGGGAGGATTTGACGTGTCCGGGGTGTGAGCGAGGAAAGCCTTGCCAAATCCAAGGACAAGCAGAAACTGCGCAAACCACAGTCTGTTCGACTTGGCGATTCCAAGCGGGTCCTGGTAGAAGCGATGGAGGAGCGGTTCAAAAGAATCCTCGCAGACGAAGCGGTAGACCTGGCCGAGGTGGAATTGAAAGGTGTTGTAGAGGTAGAGGGAGAAGTCGATGGACGGGAGTCCGCTGACGTCGGGCTGAGCGTCATCGGGGAGATGAGACCAGGAGACGGTGAAGGCCACGCCGTCCAGGTTCATGGGGTAGATGAGGCGGTCGCCCTGATGGCCGCAGCCTTCGAGTACGGCGATGACACGGCGGCAGAAAGACCAGGTGGAAGAGGGGCCCAGGAAGCCTGAGGCTAATGTCAGTGTCTTGGGAGCAATCCGGTGTCATACGCGAGTCACTTTGGACGTACATGGTCTTCCCCGGCCATCACGGATGAAGGATCGGCTATTGATCAATGGGTTGAGAGCAAAGTCCGCATCGCTGGTGTCCGTGTCTACCGTGGCGCTCCGATCCTGGGAGACGGCAGAAAACTGGTGCGGCGAAGTCTGCGGAGCCTCAAAAGTAGCGGATGGCGTCGCGGTCGTGTGAGCTGGCGCAGTAGAGGTAGATGGAGGCTGCGAGCCAGACGACACGCGAGCCTGCAAGCGACACTGGTTCTCCAGCCGGCGCAGATAGGCCTCGGAGACGGAGATGCGGTTGGAGGACTCGGCGAAGACGCATTCGCGGCGCAGGTGCACGCACTTTTCGCATGGCTGCCGGCCAGAGCACTTGACCTTGCGCTTGCGGCATCGCTCGCATCTGGTGGGGAAGAATCAGCGCCTATGGTGCCCCGGTGGGTGAAGACGGAGACCTACGCCTTGCTGGTGCGTGCCGATGCCGCCGACGTGTCTGCACCGCTGTCACCCTCCATCATCCGTGCTCGGTGGCGTGCGATGTCGCTATGCGTGGACGGAGGTGTGGTCCTTGAGTGCACGCGTGGTTGGGGGCGGAGGAAAGGGCCGAAGGGTGGGTGGGCGTCGATTGGCTGCTGACGCCGGCTCGGCTTTCCGTCCCAAGGCTGCGGCAGAATGCACTCCCTCAATTTATCCAACGACATGTCACACTCCCCAGTATTGGATAGGTCCTTCGGAGGGACGTGCAGTAGCTCCATTATGGTAAGACGTTCACAGTTTTCAACGCTGAGATGGAGATGCGAGAATCTTGACTTCACTCTTGTCAATCCACACCATGTCAAAACAAACGATCAAAGTGCCCAAACCGGGCTGCTACGTCCCAGCAATCACCTTCTTCGATGCCAACGAGGACAAAATCGACCTTCAAGCACAAGCCAAATTCTACAAATACCTCGCGGGCACCGGCTTGCAAGGGCTTGTCATCCTCGGCACCAACGCAGAAACATTCCTCTTGACTCGAGACGAACGACGAACGCTGCTTCAACTGGCCCGGCGGACGGTGCCCAAAGGCTTTCCCATCATCGCCGGAGTCGGCGGCCACTCTACCGCCCAGGTTCTCGAGTACATCCTCGACGCTCACGAGGCAGGCGCAGACTACGCTCTCGTTCTCCCCTGTGCATACTTTGGCAAACAGACGACGCCAGCCGTAGTTCAGCGCTTCTTCAATGAGGTCGCGCGACAATCGCCTCTGCCAATCCTCATCTACAACTTTCCCGGCGTCTGCAACGGCCTCGATCTCGACTCCGACTTGATCACTGCCATTGCCAAACAGAATTCAAACGTGGTCGGCGTTAAATTGACCTGCGGCTCCGTTGCCAAAATCAACCGCCTCGCCGCCGTCTTCCCGCAAGACCGCTTCGCCGTGTTCGGGGGGCAAGCCGACTTTCTCCTCGGTGGACTGGCAAGCGGGAGTGCAGGCTGCATCGCCGCATTTGGAAACATCTTCCCGCGAACCATCGTGGAGATATTCAACCTCTGGAGAGCAGGAAGGCGAGAGGAGGGGTTGAAGTTGCAGTGGGCCGCGGCGTTGGCCGAGTCCCCGACCAAAGCCGGTATTGCGAATACCAAGTATGCGACGGCGGTGTTTGCTGCGCCCAGGGCGGGGATTGAGAATGCGGATGTCTTGTTGAGGCCTAGGCATCCTTATGAAGCGCCCGCTCCTGCTGCGAGGAAGGTGATCGGGGAGGCAATGCGGGAGCTGGATCGATGTGAGCGGACGCTGGGCGGGGGAAGAGGGTCGAAGTTGTGATGAAATCCTCCATCTCGTCTGTAATCGTGCACTGGCTTCTACAGACTCGAAGCATCCACCAGAGTCCGAGTGGAGCAAGCACTTCTGTTGTACGTGTGGCCAACCACGAAACAGCTTCAAGGCTCTCTCATCGGGCAGCAAAGCCGACTCTACTCGCTGTCAATCTCAGTCCATCCCCTTCCAACCCAAATATTGCAACACCACAATTTCACCAGTGCCGGTCAAAAGTACGAGACGATCCGCGGCTTTTCCACAGCCGTGTCCAGCCGCGATGAGGTGTACGCAACAGGTCACGTGAAAGGCTGAATGTTTAAACGGGGCGAGTCGGCAGAGCGAGCAGCGCGGAAGGCCCTGCCGAAAAAGACGTCAATGTTTGCAAGGCGCGTCAGAAATAAATACCATCGAGGCCGATTTCGCATTTCCCGGATCTCTCATCTTCGCCTTTCTCGTTCAGCATGAAGTCTTCAATTGCACAGACGTTGCGTGCTCTCCCTGCACGGCCTATTGGGCGGAATGCGCGGCGGTCGTATGCCAGCATCACGAACAATTGGACTGCTCCGGCTTTCGTGAACGAGGAACCGGTCAGTGTTGTTGAGTCGAGTGACTCAGATGGGGCTTACCACTGACAGAGCGCTTTACCAGAAAACATATGCGCCAGGCTCTGCGGAGAGGAATGAATTGGGAAATGCGATCAAGAGCTTAAGAGCGAAGCTGCCCGAGCAAATCCCCATCAAGAGCCAAGGGAAAATCGTAAGAGACCACAACAACTTCTAAACATGTCAGGACTGAAGGATGGCTACAGATCAACGACAAATACTCCGAGCATCAAATCAACCCCTCCCGCCTCCAAGAAACCGTCGCCCACTTCGCCAGCGCCACGCCGCAGAATGTCGAAGCCTGTATTGAAGCCGCTCTCGCCACGCGCCAAACATGGGGCACGCTACCCTTCCGAGACCGCGCAGAGGTGTTCTTAAAAGCAGCAGATCTCATCGCCGGCCGCTACCGATCGGACATCGTGGCGGCGACGATGCTAGGTCAGGGCAAGAATGCCTGGCAAGCGGAGATCGATGCCGCGGCCGAGATTTGCGATTTCTTCCGCGCGTACGTCTACGAGGGTGCGAGAGTTCAGATGGAGCAGCCGAATGTGGCGCACACGAATGGAGTCGAGAACTGGATTGAGCAGCGGCCGTTGGACGGGTTCGTGTACGCCGTCACGCCGTTCAATTTCACCGCGCTCGGGGCCACACTCGTGGGCGCGCCGGCGATTATGGGGAATCCCGTGATCTGGAAGCCTTCCCCCTTCGCCGTCCACGCTTCCTGGCTGCTGCATCAGATTCTCATCGAGGCTGGATTGCCGCAGGATGTCGTTCAATTCTTGCCGGGCGATGCAGAGATGATTTCGGACATTGTGCTCAATCGCCCGGAGTTCTCGGGTTTGTCGTATATTGGATCCACGGCTGTGCTGAAGCACTTGATGGGCACGATTGGCAAGGCTACCGCCGAAGGCAAATATCAGAACTTCCCTCGAGTCGTGGGTGAAGCTGGAGGGAAGAATTACCACCTCATCCACGCATCGGCGAACGTCGATCATGCGGTCAAGAGCACGGTGCGTGCTGCGTTCGAATTGTCCGGCCAGAAATGCTCGGCTTGTTCGCGAGCATACGTCGCCGAGTCGATCTGGCCGCAGTTCAAGGAGGCTTTGGTCAAAGAGACGTCTGCCTTGAAAGTCGGCGATCCGGAAGACTATGTGAACTTTGTCAATCCCGTCATCCACGAGCGAGCGTTCGACTCTTTGCAGACAGTAATCACGAACGCCAAGAACGATGCAGCATTGGAGCTCATCACTGGAGGCAAAGCAGACAAATCCAAGGGCTACTACGTCGACCCAACCGTCTACACAGCCACGGATCCTCGACACGACATCATGAGCCGCGAGCTCTTCGGCCCCATCCTCGCCGTGCACGTATATCCTGACAGCGAATTCTCCAAAATGCCAGAGCTCATCGACACCACCTCATCGTACGGTCTAACCGGTGCCGTCTTCGCGGAAGACCAGGAAGCCATTCGCTTTGCGAAAGATGCGCTGAGTCAAAGTGCCGGCAACTTCTACATCAACAGCAAATGCACCGGCGCAGTAGTTGCGCAACAACCCTTCGGAGGCGCGAGGGCGAGCGGAACGAATGACAAAACGGGGACGATGAGTTTGCTGCTGCGGTGGACGAGTCCGAGGACGGTGATGGAGGGCTCCACGCCGTTGGAGAACGTATTGTACCCTTCCAACGAGGTGTGAGTTGCGTCGGAACGAGCGGCATAGATGATAGACGATTTGCGATCATGAGCGTATCCTTTGATCCTTCACGCTCCAACGATCGGATTCTTCTTTGTCACCATGCATGCTCGACATCATTTTGTGTCGTGTGACGGAGAGATAAGGCTGTAGCAACGTCGGGTGCCCACATTGCACTTTGAGCAGATGTACTGCCCCACAGCCGGTGGGTGCGGAGGTCGGATCCGTTATCGTCGGCAGGGTCTCCCATGGCGTGGCAAGTCTTGGACTGCTTCCAACTTACGGCGTAGCGTATGATGCTGGTGGACTGCGTAGATCTTTACCCCTCTCAAGGAAGAACAGGCCTCTCGATAGCGATGCTGACATCCCGGACATTCAATATGTATGTCGTTGGAGACCCCCTTCTCCGTCCCTTGGACGGTCTCCATCGACACACGACATGGAGGATATCAAGGACACAAGCTCCGCGAAGTCGTCGGGCTTCGAAGCCGACGTCAAGAGCAGCACGGGCAAGCTCGAATCCCAGACCTTCGTTGAAGACACCACCGACGCATCGTTCTCCACTCTCAGCGATGAGGCAGATCTCGACGACCGCGACATTGTCGCCGGCACCAAGGCGTCCATCGCCGACGCCGTCCACGCCGCCGTGCGGGAGGAGGATGCGCACGAGCCGGCCAACACGCTGCGAGCCTGGATTCTCGGTTTCATGTTCGTCACCGTCACCTCGGGAGTCAACATGTTCTTGTCCATGAGATCTCCGGCCGTCACGATCCCCACTGTTGCCGTCATCCTCTTGGTCTATCCCATCGGCGTCTTCTGGGCTCGCGTCATGCCCACCCGAGTCTTCCACATCTTCGGGGTATCCTGGAGTCTCAACCGCGGACCGTGGAACATCAAAGAGCACACCACCGTGACGCTGATGGCGAACGTGGTCTTCGGGTATGCGTACAGCACCGATGCTCTGCTGGCCCTGCAAGCGAAGCCGCTGTACAATTTGAATCTCGGCTGGGGCTTCTCTCTGCTCTTTACGATTTCCAGCCAACTAATTGGAATTGCGTTGAGTGGGCTGTTCCGGCGCTTCGTCGTCTGGCCGGCCATCATTACTTGGCCGCAGAACTTCTCGACCACCACGCTGCTGTATGCGTTGCATGACAAAGCGAAGACCGACCCGGCCAAGGCCAATGGGTGGTCGATTTCGCGGTATCGGTACTTTTTGTATGTCGGCGCGGCATCGTTTACCTACTACTGGATTCCTGCGACTCTTTTCCAGGGACTGTCGGTCTTTTCCTTCCCAACGTGGATCGCGCCCGACAATGCTGTCGTCAATCAATTGTTTGGGGGCTTCACTGGCCTCTCATTGCTGCCGCTCACCTTCGATTGGACGTATGTGATTGCATACCTCCAGGACCCCTTGCTGTCGCCTACAATCTCTCACGTGAACGTCCTGGTGGGCCTGATCGTCTTCATCTTCATCACGACCATTGGTATATCCTACTCTGGTGCGCTGTACACCGCGTACCTTCCCATCAACACTTCCACCACTTTCGACAATACTCAACAGCAGTATGACCCGCAAAGGATTCTGGGCCCGGGCTTCAGCTTTGATCTGGAGAAGTACAAGAAGTATTCGCCCTTATTCCTCGCTCCCACGTTCGCCCTCAACTACGGTCTCAGCTTCGCGGCCCTGACCGCATCAATCGTGCACGTCGCCCTGCACCATGGCAAGAGCCTCTGGTATCAGCTGAGAGCGGCCAAAGACCAAGTGGCCGACGTGCACTACTCGATGATCAAAAAGTACAAGGAATGTCCCGACTGGTGGTACCTGGTGCTGTTCCTCGTCTCCATGGCTCTGGGCCTCGTCACCGTGGAAGTCTGGCCCTCCCAGCTGCCGTGGTGGGGCTTCTTCGTCTCCGTCCTCATTGCTCTTGTCTTCATGATCCCCTGCTGCATCATCCTGGGCATCACCAACATCCAGCTCTCGCTCAACGTCATCTCGCCGTACATTGCCGGGTACATTTTCCAGGGCAAGCCGGTGGGCGTGATGATTTTCAAGGTCTATAGTACTATCGTCCTCGGCCAGGCGCAGGTGTTTTCGGCGGATCTGAAGCTTGCGCAGTATATGAAGGTGCCGCCGCGCATTACCTTTGCCGCGCAGATTTCTGCGGCCGTGTGGGCGTGTTTTGTGCAGATTGCCGTGCTCAACTGGACGCTTGCGAATATTGATGGTGCTTGCACGGCTGATCAGGTCAACCATTTCACGTGTCCAAACGGTACGTTCACGACAATCGCATTTGATATTCCAACACACTGACCATGAAACAGGCCGGACGTTCTTCGGATCGAGCATCGTCTGGGGCCTCATCGGTCCCCATCGCATGTTCGGCCCAGGATCAATCTACGCCCCACTGAACTGGTTCTGGTTCATCGGCTTCGCCCTCCCCATCGCATTCTGGGTGCTAACACGCATCTTTAAAAAGAGCAAAGCCCTCAAAGTGCTACACGCCCCCATCATCCTCGGAGGCATGGGCTGGCTCCCCCCCGCAACCCCGCTCTCCTTCTCCTCGTGGGCAATCGCCGGGCTCATCTTCAACTACGGCATCCGCAAACGCTTCCATGGCTGGTGGTCGCAGTACAACTACCTGACTGCCGGGGCGATGGATTCCGGGCTGTTGATTGCGACCGTCATCATCTTTTTGGCCATTACTTTGCCTGGGGCAAAGGTGCCGCAGTGGTTTGGGAATGTGCAGGTGTTTGAGACGGAGGATGCGCTGGGAACGGCGATTCGGAAGGTTGTTCCGGCTGGAGGCACGTTTGGGCCCAAGACGTGGGCGTAGGCGTAGAGATAATGTGAGAACAGTAGCTCTCGGTTTACATTGGTAGGCTCGAAAGACTGTCGTCGTTGTTTTCGGCGTGCTGGTCTGCCGCACAATCCATTGCACGTGAGTCTTGTTAGCAATTTGGTTATCGCGTCAAAAGGGATCATGCTTTCCGGCCTTTGACGATCGCAGGAGCACGCTAGCGTGCAGTGACGTTGCGGTGAAGTCGGGGGTTGTCGGGGATGGCGGGGGCCAAAGGGTGGAGTGGTGAAGTGTTCAGGGCAGGCTTCGGCTCGCCCTTCCGTCCTCCGATATACGGCGCCAGATGCTGAGTCAACTGCTTGCTCAGCCTCAGGCTGTGAGTTGGGCTACTTTGGCTACATATCCACACAATACCTACCAAGCATCTCCAATTCTTCACAACCTAGCTTCAGGAGAAGCTTGTAGGCGGAAGCAAAGATGGTGCTCAATCGGCCTCATGGGCTCATGGCGGTCAAGTCGCTTCCCAGCCCGGCTCAACAGTTCATCCAAGACGTCAGCGCCGACCTTCGAGATCTCACGGAGTTCTACAGCATTTCTTTCTCGCCCACAAGCCTCACCCGCAAGCTGGACTACATCAAGGATCGCCGCGCCGAACTCGACAAGATCGACTTTGACCAGCTGGATCAGGAGGGCCAGATTGACTGGCTGCTTATCCGTGGCTTCCTCAAGAGGCAAGGGCGACAGCTGCATGCGGCCTCGGAGAAGGTCAAGGAGTTGCATCACCTCCTTGACTCCTGGGCGCCTTCTTTGATTCAGATCTGCGAAGACAGGCAGCGAGTCCTTCCTGTAGATGGGCAGACTGTCGCCGGCCAGCTCTCTCGTGCACAGGTGGAGATCCGCTCCTTATGTGAGTCGATCAAAGCTGGCAAGACGACTGCGAAGACTACCAAGGAGAAGCTGGCGGCCGAGCGTGCAGCACAAGCCGTGACCGAGCTACAACATCATATGCAAGAATGGTTCGAGTTCTACAATGGCTACGACCCTTTACTATCGTGGTGGATTGCCGAGCCGTGGAAGGAACTGCCTACTTGTATGAGTGCCTACGCCGACCTCATCCGCGAGAAGCTTGTTGGAATCGAAGACAAGGACGAGATCATTGGACAACCCGTGGGCAGGCAGGCGTTACTGGATGAGTTGGAGGCGGAAGTCATTGCATACACGCCGGAGGAGCTGATTGAGATTGCGGAGCGCGAGTATGCTTGGTGTGAGAAAGAGATGATTCGTGCGTCAGAGAAGCTGGGCTTCAAGGACTGGCATGATGGTCTGGAGCATGTCAAGACTACTTATGTAGCGCCTGGCGAGCAGCCTTTGGTAAGGATGTCCGCTATGCAGTGCGAACATGTTCTCTGACTATGGGACTAGATGATCCGAGCTCTGGCGGAGGAAGCCATGGCGTACGTTAAGAAACACGACATGATCACCACGCCCACGATTGCGAACGAATGCTGGCGTACGACGATGATGTCCCCGGCGCGGCAAAAGGTCAATCCCTTCTTCCTCGGCGGTGAGCGGATCATCGTCTCCTACCCGAAAACAGAGCAAAGCCACGAAGACAAGCTGATGAGCATGCGGGGAAACAACCCGGCCTTCTCCCGCAGCACCGTCTTTCACGAATTGATTCCCGGGCATCACCTACAATTCTACTACCTCGACCGCTGGCGGCCATACCGGACACTGTTCATGACACCCTTCTGGACTGAAGGTTGGGCATTCTACTGGGAATTCATCCTGTGGGATCGCGGCTTCCCCGGACAAGTGTCACAGAAGTATGCCACGAATGAGGCCGAGAACCGGATCGGCATGCTGTTTTGGCGGATGCACCGTTGCGCGCGCATCGTCTTTTCCCTCAAATTCCATCTCGGTGAGATGACACCGCGAGAGTGCGTGGACTACCTCGTTCAAAAGGTGGGGCATGAGCGAGCGACGGCAGAGGGAGAAGTGCGGAGATCGTTCAATGGCGAGTACAGTCCGCTCTACCAGGCGGGTTACATGCTCGGTGCGCTGCAACTGTATCAATTGCGCAAAGAGCTCGTCGGCACGAGCGGCGCGGGATGGAGCGAAAAGGCCTTCCACGACCGCGTGATGAGGGAAGGCGTGATGCCGATAGAGCTGCTGCGCGCCTTGCTGAGCGGGGAGAGGCTGAAGCGGCAACGATCGCCGTGCTGGAGGTTCTACCAGCCTCGATGATACCCTCCGAAAGTCTATTGCCGCAACTAACCATCAGAAGCGTGGGCACTACCGTATCAGTGGATCAGACCAAAGCCGGCTTCACACCATCGCCCGCCCCCACACGTGCAGGCCCAGACTGCTGCCTAGTTTGTGTACGGGTCGGCTAGCCAGGGCGGAAAATTGAGCAAATGGGGTATTCTTGTCGAACATCGCAGCAACGACGCCTTCACACTCACAATGTGTGAGAGAAGCAAGCAGCTTGACCGCAAGTGCTGGCTCGGAGTAGTGAGCAAATGCGGCAAATGCTGGCACAAGACCGAGAGGCTCAGAGACTAATGCCGGACCCTGGTGAAAGCTTCGCCACTTTATTTGTTACTTATGCAGGTCGGGAAGAGTTACATACGACCACACGACCTGGGGTTACGTGGGCACGGTGGCGAGTCAGGACTACGGGGCATCACGCCCACCCCACGCCTCGGATAACCAAGGCCTTGGCTCTCCACGGGGTAGATGCTTGGGTACACTTGCGCGCGACATATCTACCGAAATGATACGGCGACGGGCAAAATTGAAGCAATGAGGTGGCGGTGCCTATCACGACGAGCAGAAAATGCCCGGCTGGGACGGATGATACCTCCGGAAATTAGGGTTTGCCGTCGACGCGCCAATCGACTACTTTTCACCTTCCAGAAACGTCGGATTGTGGATTAGTATAGAGCGCGCATGGGCCACACCAACGACACCGACTGCGCGCGCATTGGGTCCGCTGCATCTGGGACCAAAGATTTGCAGTAGCGTGGCGAGGATAGTCCAGCATGGGAAAACTATGTAAGGGCGGGCGTCGCCCCTCTGCGGCCAGGATGTTTGCCATCCCGACCACCTTGGAGCTGGACGACTTGCAATCATGCGTTCCTCTCTCTACGTGCTGTTGAGCACTGCGCTCACTGCCTTTGCCGTCCCGCCTCTCCCTAGCTATGTCGGCGTTGACCCGGCCAACTCCAATGCCACCAAGGTCCCCGGCACCCTCGCGCACTTTGACCAGTTAATCGATCATGCGAACCCTTCGTTGGGCACATTCAAGCAGCGCTACTGGTGGTACACCGACTACTACAAGGGCCCCGGCTCGCCGGTCATCATGATGACTCCCGGCGAGATCTCCGCCGACGGCTACCAGGGCTACCTGACCAACCAGACTCTCAACGGCCTCGTCGCCCAGGAAGTCGGCGCCGCCACCATCCTGCTCGAGCACAGGTATTGGGGCACTTCCTCCCCCTACACCTACCTCTCCACCGCCAACATGTCCTACCTCACCCTCGAGAACAACATCCAGGATCTCACCTACTTTGCCAACAACGTGAAGCTGCCCTTTGCGAAGTCGGCCACGAACGCCAAGGATGTCCCCTGGGTCCTCATCGGTGGTTCGTACTCCGGCGCTCTCACCGCCTGGACTTTCGACTTGGCCCCCGGCACTTTCTGGACTGGCCTTGCCACCAGCGGGCCCGTCCAGGCCATCTCCAACTTCTGGGAGTACTTTACCCCCGTCCAGGCGGGTATGCCGCAGAACTGCAGCACCGATGTCAACCTTGTTCTCGACCACATTGACTCGGTCTTCGCGAAAGGTACGATCACACCGATATGATCTTATTTCGTCACTTCTCGGATATGCTAACAACACGCTGTAGGATCCGCAAGCGAGGTCACCGCCTTGAAGAAGTCCTTCGGCCTCGAGGCCATCGAGCACCCCGGTGACTTTGGCGCGGCCATCGAAAATGGCCCGTGGCTCTGGCAAGAACGCCAATTCTTCCTGCCCTCCGCCTTCTTCACCTTCTGCGACTACGTCGAGAATGCCGAGAACACCACAAACACCACGAGCCCCTCTCAGTTGCCGGGCGCCGGCGGTGTCGGTCTGAGCAAGGCCCTCGCCGGTTACGCCAAGTGGTTCAGCGAGGTGTACCTTCCGGGCTCCTGCGCCGCCTACAACTACCCGGTGTGGAGCTCCAACAGCAGCGTGGGTTGCTACAACACCTACAATGCCGACAGCCCCTTCTACACCGACCGCACCCTCAACAATACCATTGACCTCCAATGGTGAGTGTAATTGAGCCCGCCCTGACTTGGCAAGGCAGCTGACATGACACACAGGTACTGGATGCTCTGCAACCAGCCTTTCGGCTACTGGCAAGACGGCGCGCCCGCTGGCCAACCCACCCTCGCCTCCCGCTACGTCACCGCTCAGTACTCCACCCGCCAGTGCGAGCTCTTCTTCCCCAAGGGCCCGCAAGGCCAGACCTACGGCATCGCCGAGGGTCGCACAGAGACAGAGGTCAACACTTGGACAGGAGGATGGGAGATCACCAATGTTACAAGATTGGTCTACACGAACGGCCAATTCGACCCGTGGCGTGATGCCACCGTCTCCTCGACTTACCGCCCCGGCGGCCCGCTTCAGAGCACCGCCAGACTCCCCGTGAACATGGTTCCCGACGGTGGACACTGCACAGATCTCCTCACGCAGAACGGCCTGGCCAATCCCGGTGTCAAGGCTGTGCAAGACGCGGAGATTTCGCAGCTCGTTGGCTTCCTCAAGGAGTGGCCTGGCTCCAACAACGGAGGCTGGGGTGGCTCCAACGGCGGAGGCTGGTAATACGGGCAGTAGAGTGTAAGAGAAAAGCATCGGACAAAAGTTGTAGATACTTTATGCATAGCAGATACAATCGTTATTCCTCATTGTCGTCTCATTCCTCGCTCAAAGAGAGCGTTTCGCTAAAACTACCCTACAATCAAGCGATAGAGTCCTTTCGCTTCTTCTAGACTCTCCGACTTGCTGACTCGACAGCAACGCCCAAATCCCCCCTCACGTGCCTAAAATCAAGAATTAGCGATGACGCTGGAGTAGCGCATGCATGCATTCCGTCCCTGAATATAGTGTGGGGATAGCGCACACCCTTGCGCCGCAGATCCAAGTGCTGACCCGCGCATCCGTGGAAGGGGACTCCGCGCGAGGGCGGAAGGCTCGTCCGCCTTTCTCCTCCATCCACCAACGACAATCTGATCCGACCGCTCTATCGGATCGCCAATCCCGTCCATCAACTGGGGAAGTGGGTTTGGGCTACGCTGGCTTCACTGCCTGCTTTCCATCGCGTGCCAGCAGCTTCCCCGCTTCAAGTGGATGAGTGCGTGAACCTGGGGTCGGGATGTGGACGCTTTGCCTTGCTCATTACATCATTCGCGTTGATATGCGGCCTTGTGAGCCCGGAGGGTGCATCGCTTTCGACTGCGATCAACATGTCCGCTTCCCGGGTGTATCTTATCGTCGACGGTGGAGGGCGGAGGGATGTCATACTGCGCAGATCGTCACACGCTATGGGGGAGAGGGGGCCTAAGCGACTTCGTCCGGTGAGCAGGAGGAGGAGGTGTGTGATCTGGGTATATAGCGCTGGATCTTCGTTCTGCCCCGATCACCCAGCGATGACAAGTCTGCTTTCAATGCCTGTTTCGTTGCACAATGGTCAACCTCCGGACATTATCTCTTGCCTCCAGCCTCGTGCTGCAATGCAGCGAGGCTAGCACTTCCAAGCCTTGTCAGTCCTTCTCACAACTCACACAGGGTCACCATACTGACGCCTCCCCTAGTGGTCCCGTTCGCATATCAAGACATTCCCCTAGGCAGCATCAGCCCCAATGGCTGGCTACGCGCCGAGATGGAAACCGAAGCCGCCGGCCTAGCAGGCCACCTCTACGACTTCTACGAATTCGTGCACAAGTCCTCGTGGCTCAACGGCACGGAGGAGTACAGCGGGCTCAACGAGGCCTACCCCTACTGGATCAACGGGCTGGTGCCTCTCGCCTACGGCCTCGACAATCAACGCCTCAAAGACCAAGTGCACGCATCGACGGAGTACGTGCTGCAGCACAAAGTCGCGCCCGATGGCTGGATTGGGCCGGAGAAGGGAGGGTATCGCTTGTTGTGGGCGCGGACGCTGCTGTTCCTGGGCTGGACGAATTTAGTTGATGCGAATGCCACTTGGGAGGAGCCGATTGTGACGGCGATGCATAACTTCAACAAGCTGATGAATACCATGCTCAAGGACAACGGGACGGGGATTGTGCAGCAGGCTGATGGCGTGCTGGACGCTGGGTACTATTTTTGGTTTCGGTCCCGGACGCAGGATATGATGGTCAGGTGAGTTTGTCCTCGTATCATAACGTACCTCACGCGCTGACGATTGGCGTCCAGCTTGCAATGGCTCTACGATAAGCATCCCATGGGCCAAGAAGCTATGTTGCTGGAGAACATGCAGTTACTCCATCACTACGGCTACAAGTGGGAGAATTACTTCAAATGGGGGACGTACATCTACCAAGACCTGTACACCGTGCCGAATCGACTTACGAATGAGTACTTTCAATTCTTGCACGGTGTCAACGTTGGAGAAGGTGAGTCAAGCCGTGCTATGTACTTGCGAGTCAAGTAGCGCTGACGAACGTGTTCAGGTCTGAAGGCTGCCGCCGTCATTCGACGCTACACTTATAACGACAGTCTGATCCAGACGGCAATCGATGGGGTATGGCAAGAGTCCTAGAGACACCTTTCCGCGTAGCTAAAGTTCGATTCAGGTGAACTGGACGATGAAGTACCATGGTGCAGCCTCGGGGACGGTCCTGGCCGACGAGCGTGAAGACGGCGTCAATCCGTATTACGGCTCGGAAACCTGTACTGCCGTGGAAGTCATCTTTTCCCAAGCGTACAACTACCGTGCTCTGGGCAATGGCTTTTTCGCGGACGGCGCAGAGCTGGCGGCCTACAACGCTCTCCCCGGTGCAATGACTGGTGACTGGTGGGCACACGTATGACGATCCCCAGTAGCTCCCTCATTCGTTCCTGGGAACTGACTCTTCAACCACAGGTCTACATGTCTCAGCCGAATCAGCCTTACTCGAAGAATCTCAGCGAGACCCCATTCTACGACGTGAACACCGTCGGACAGACGTTCGGTCTGGAACCAAACTACCCCTGCTGCACCGTCAACCATCCGCAAGGTCTTCCTAAATTCACTCAGAGCGCCTATCTCACTCTCGGCGATGCGGGTCTGCTCCACGCGTTGTTGAGCCCTACGACCGTCACCACCACCCTAGGGAACGGGGCCAAAGTGACAGTCGAATGCAATACCAACTACCCCTTCGACGACGACCTCTACTACACCGTCTCCAGCACCGCAAGCTTCGACTTCTACGTCCGCCAACCCGGCTGGTCTCCAGGCTCCACCCTGACCGCCAGCGACGCCTCAACCTCATCAAGCTTCGACGCAGCCACGGGCCTCACGAAAACGAGCCTCCCAGCCGGCAAATCCACCCTCAAATACAGCATCACGACGCCCAACATCCGCACGGAGCCGCGCGCCAACGACACCATCTCCGTCTTCCGCGGCCAAGTGCTGTACGCAGCGCACATAGGCAGCGAAGTCACCTCCACCGGCCCGCACAACTACTACACCCAAGAACTGTACCCGGCCGACTACGCGCCGCCGCAGTCGCGCGACTACGTCATGCTCAACACCACCGAGTGGAACATGGCCGTCGACCCCAGCACGCTCGTCTACCATGCTGCGAACGCGAGTGCGGCGGATGGCGCCTCTGCCCCTGGCTCGCTGCCGACGCCGATCTTTGCGCCTGGCAATCCGCCCTTCTACATGACTGTGCAGGCGTGTTTGATTGATTGGCCTCTTTTCTTGGGCTCTACGCCTGGATGGCCGATTCCGTTGAGCGAGAGGAAGTGCTTGGGCGATACGTTTGAGGCGAAGTTGGTGCCGTATGGCAGTGCGGAGTTGCGGATGACGGAGTTGCCGACAATCAGCTTGAAGTGAGAAACCACAGAGAAGAATGGATTGAATAGGAAGACAGACACACTCGTTCTTGTCTTTATGAAGGTCTAGATATCCGCACTGTGCAAGTCGCGCTTGTACCGTTCCTTCGCTCGCTGCGCCGTCTCGTCGAAGTTGACGTGCGGCTCGGGGTAGCCCAGCTTCTGGAACTCTTCCTTCGAAAGTCGATCGTAAGGGGCGAAGATAGCTTTACCTGGGACGTCTTTCAGCTCCGGGACCCATTTGCGGATGTAGTCGCCGTTCTTGTCGCATTTCTCCGCCTGCGTGATGGGGTTGAACATGGTGTAATCTAGTTCAGTAGTTAGTACTATAGCCATTTGATGAGTGAGATTCGGTACGGGCCATGACTTACTCGGCTCCCACCCGTTGGTGTTATTCGACATGTCCCAATCAACCAGATGCTCGGCGAAATACCTCTCCCCCCGTCGATAATCGATCAGCAGGTTCCCGCGCAGGTAAGACGCCGTGTTCATTCGCAGGCGATTATGCATATACGCCTCGTGATTTAACTGCCGCATCCCGGCATCCACAAACGGCACGCCCGTCTTACCCTCACACCACTTCTCCCACCCTTCCTCGTCCTCCTCCCACTGCACGAAGTCGAATTTCAAATTCTGTGGCATATTCATGGAGCCGTGAGGCTTGATGATCATCATGTGGCGGTAGAATTCGCGAAAGACGATTTCACGCACCCAGGAATCGACGCCGACATCGCCGTCGTCGAAGTGCGCGCCTTTGTTCCATTTCTGTGTGGCTTGCAGGACTTCGCGGACGGAGATGATGCCGGCAGAGAAGTAAGGGGATAGGCGACTAGAGTTGTCTTTAGCGGGTTCGATGCGGTGAGCGGCGTATTGGGAGACCTTTTTGTTGAGGAAGTGGTCTAGTCGTTGCATGCCGGCTTCGTGGCCCGGAGGCCAGAGTTTGCGCAGACGGTTTTGTTCGTCTTTGGAGGCAAAGTTCTTGGTCTCTGGGAGGTCGGGTATTGCGGAGCCGAAGAGTTTCTTCAAGGAGGATGCAGTGCTCTTGTCGTTGGCTTCTGGGGCTGGAACGGTGTCGTAGTGCGATGGGTTCGCTTTCGTCTCCGACAGCCACGCTTTGTGGTAAGGCGTGAAGACTTGAATGGGCCCACCCGCGTTGGTGGTGAGGAGAGTGGGCTCCATGGCGGTTTGATCGTGCAGCACTTCAAACGACAGGTCTTGCGCCGCTTGAACCGCTTTGGCAACAGTGATGTCCCGACGGAGCTCATCGACCTCGTACTCCATGTTGGCATAGATGTGAGAGACGTTGTTGTCTTTGACGAACTGGAGCACCTTCTCCGTCTTCTGATTGCGCTCCGGGACTTCCACAACGGTAAGCGGGATGTGCTTATCCTCAAGTTGTTTCTGGAGAATGCGCAAGCTCTCGAGGAGGAAGTCGATGCGCGCTGGCGATGTGCCGTGCCACTCGAGATCCTTGGGGCTGTGCAGATACATGGTGATCAGGCTGCCGCTGCCCTCCTTTGCCTTTTGCGAGGCTTGATGGAGGGCCTTGTTGTCTTCTTGCCGGAGATCTTTGGATCGAAACCAGTGGAGAACATTGCGCGGTTTGTGATCTGAATTGTTCTTCTCCAGAAGCTCATCCAATTGATCGTAAGGCGTGTTGGCGTCGATTTCTTTGGCACGCTTTGGCGTTGGCCGTTTCAACGCCGGGTCTTCCTCCGTAGCACTGTTGGAGCGCGCCTGCTTCTTACGTTTGGGTGCCATAGTCAAAACGGATTGAGCAAACTGTCGACGTAATATGACAGTGTTGATGGGACTGGTAGATGGCAATGAGTGGAAGCAGCGCAAAGAGGCAAACATCAACAACGGGCAAGGAGGATTGTGAAAAGAAAGGGACTTTCTGTACCTGCGTCGGCGCTTGAATGATTTATTCCTGGGCAGCCTACCACGGCCAGAGTAATGGCCAGATGATGGCTCGATGGTGCTTGGCGATCGGATCGACGACCAGTCAAGATCTTGGTTTCGTCCGATCAGATGGAGGGTCCGCAATGGATGATGGAGGTGGAGTCGGCGCGCTGCAGGGCGTCATTGGCCTGTGCGCTGCACGTGACCAGCCTGACCCCGGCAACCTCACCTCAAGGTGGAGAGCAGCCAGCATTCACGCGACTCGCTGTATCTCATTGATCAACGCATACTCGATGATTGAGAGATAGCAGCTTGCTCGATTGCAGCGTTTGGCCCATCGACTTAAGTTGTACATCCATCACTGGAGATAGACCATCTTTCCCACCTCCGTTGCTCCGATACTCTATCTATCCTTGCTGGTCCCCTCGCAATGTCTTCCGAGGAAATCACTCCCTTCCGCGTCGACATTCCCCAGGCTGAAATCGATCGTCTGTACACAAGACTGCTAACCAAGGACATCCGACACCCAACAACAGATGTCGTTCCAAACACCGGAGATGACTACGGCCTCCCGACCCAATGGGCCCAGGACCTCACGCAATACTGGCTAAACGACTTTTCCTGGACGCAAGCGCAAGAAAAGCTCAACCAGTTCCCGCACTTCAAAACGCACATCGAAGGCCTCGACATCCACTTCATCCACCAGCGGTCCCCCAACCCCAACGCAATCCCCATCCTGCTCCTCCACGGCTGGCCCGGCTCCTTTCACGAATTCAGCGAAGTCATCCCACCTCTATGTGAAGGTAACAACACCGATGGCCCCTCCTTCCACTGCATCGTCCCCTCCCTCCCAGGCTTCTGCTTCTCCTCCCCACCCGCCCGCCGCGGCTGGACAGTCAAAGACACCGCCCGCGTCTTCCACACCCTCATGCAGCGCCTAGGCTACAGCGCCTACGCCGTCCAAGCCGGCGACTGGGGCCAATTCGTCGCGCGCGAACTCGCCGCCAACCGCGCCTACGCCTGCAAAGTGCTGCACCTCAACTACTGCCCCGGCGCACTACCAGAGCACCTCACGGACTCCGACCTCACCGAGCGGGAGAAAGGCGCTCGAGCAAAAGGCGTAGACTGGCGCACCAATCACGTCGGCTATGCGGTGCTGATGCGCACACGTCCGCAGACCCTAGGCTGGATGCTGCAAGACAACCCCATCGGCTTGCTGGCCTTTGTGGGCGAAAAGTACCACGAAGCATCCAACCCCGCAATCCACAATTCGCCAAAATGGAAAGAGCACATCCTGACGACCGTGTGTTTGTACTACTTCACCGACTGCATTGCCTCCTCGGGTTTGATCTACTATGAGAATGTGCCGCATCATTTGTTCGCGCAGTATGCGACCGAGGAGGCGAACCGGATCAAGTGTCCGTTTGGGTATACGAGCTTGTGGTATGATACTGCACCGAATAGTCGACGGGCGGTGGAGCGGACGGGGAAGTTGGTGTGGTATAAGGAGCGGGATTACGCGGGGCATTTTGCGTGTTTGGAGGATCCGGTGGGGATGGTGGAGGATGTGAAGGAGGTGGTGGGGAAGCATTGGGAGAAGTAGCTCCCACTTTCGTATGTACAAGCTATACTTTTGTGTGCACACTTCGCTGCATACCTAGAGAGGCATATGTCGCCAGGTTATGAGCGCAGGATGAAGTGTCCGTCAATGTCCACAGCTCCACCTATACAGGCCTCGAAGCTTGATAGGTACAAAAGGGCCGTTGAATAATAGGCAAGAAGTTCCCCACGATCAGCGCAGGACTAGGGATGAAAAGTCAGCATAACCATATTTCCCAATGCGCCTATTAGGACGCTCACTCACATGCTGTACTTGTCGCGCATAATGGTGAAAGAAAAGCAACACTTGGCCGGCGCATCGTCCGCCGCGTCAGCATTCGACCCCTCCCGCTCAGCTACATTGCCTTCACCACTTTTGCCTGCGGAGGAAGCATTGCGCTTCATCCTCTCCTTGTCGCCGCCACTTCCATACCCTTGAAAGCCGCCCTTTGCTCCTTTGGGCCTCTTCAGAGAACACGAAGTCAAGATAGCTTTTTGCGTCTGGTCGAAAGCAATGGCGCCGAATTTCTCCCAGTATGACACCAGACTGTCCTCGGCGATGATCTCGTGGATCGCCAGCTTGCCGTCTCGCAGACTCTCCCACGGGACACCTACCAACTCCGCCATCTCGCGATTTCCTCGGAAGATCTCGCCGGTGCGCCTCCAGCAGCACGCCGGAATGGCCATAGACGCAAACACACGATCGTACTCGAGCAAACTCCGCTCAAACCACATCTCGACCAGCACAAGCTGCATATCCGTCAGCCGCTGCGAAGCCTCGCGGAATTTCGGCCGGAAACCATCAAGCTGCTGGAAGATGCGCAGCTGCGACTCGCGGGAAAAGTGCTTGGACATGTAGGCGTTGAGGCGCGCGTAGCCCTGGACGTAGTTGAAGGGCTTCAGCATGCCGGCGTCGTACTTTGCTTGCAGCAGTTTGTGCAGGCGGTCTTCGGCGCTGCTAAGACCGTCCGGGTCGGCGGCTGTGAGGTAGAATTTGTTGAGGTCTTGTTCGGAGATGGGGAGGGTGGAGTTTGGGCGGGAAATTTCTTCGCCTGCTTTGAGCTGTGCTGCTGCTGTAGTTGGCGGGGCGAGGTCTTGGTTTGTTGTTGCTTGGGGTTGCGGTGGGGCTGCCATGGGTTGTGCGGCGGTGGGTCGTTGTTGGGTTTGGGGTTGCGGCGTCTGCAGACCGGACGCGCCGGTCGTCATGGCGTTGAAGGAACTGGTGGCGAGGAGGGGATCGTTGACGAACATCTGGTGCGCATCGCTGTCGTAGTTGAAGAGGGCGCCATCGTCGACAAGCGAGTTGCTGAGGAATTCGTTGAGCATGTTATACTCATTCGTCACCTCGGATGTGGAGAACATGTAGTTGGGGTGGAGATGGTGCATGTCTTGGAACTGGTTGGGGATGCTCGCGTTGCTCCAGTCAAAGGCATTGGGCATGAAGGTCGCGGGAAGGTTGTTGGCCGCGGCGGCGGCCGTGACTCGCTGCAGCTGGACGGGCGAGAGGGGCGTGGGTTGGAGAAGCTGGGGTGCAGCCGTTGACACGCCCATTGTCCCGGGCATTGCCATATTCCCTTGCGCATCACCGGCAGCTTGGGTGAAAGAGCCATTGATGCTTCCCAGCTCGTTGTTGACACCGCCGTCCGGCGCAGGAGCAATCTCGGCCTGGCTCATGTCACTCTTGCTCTTCTTTTGAGGTTCTCGGGGCTCGTCATGGCATAGATGGCCAATGTGTCTCTTTACGCAGCGCGCACACGGCCTCTCCAGGTCGCAGGTCATATGTGAGCGGCGACAGTAGACGCAGGCATGATTGACCTTGCGCCGCTTTTTCTTGCCATTCTCTTCCTCGTGGCCGGCCGATGAGCTGGATTTGCGCTTGGCTTTGGTGTCGGCGGGACTGTTTCCATCATCACGTGGGGTGGTGTGTGTCGGAGAGAAGGACGTCGAGTCCATGGTGCTGCGGCGGGATGGAGATGGAGGTAGAGCAGGCGCATGTGCTCCGTCGCGCCTGTTGTGGGTCGTCGTGGACTCGCGTGACGAGAAACGTGTCTGCCTGGCGCAGTCGCGCGTACATTTCACGCGGACATATGGAGCTCGGGGTTGGAGAACAGGATGATGTTTCCAGCCAGCTTCTGGGCCGCGGCGTCGCGACCAATGATGGGCGGCGGGAAGGATGCGTACAGTCAGCAAGATCGGCACGCGCCAAATGGCGGGGGAAGGCGCGTTCGGTCAACGGCCAAAGCTTGCCACAACCTGGCCACAACCAACCAGATGTCGAGCAACGCGCATAGTGTATGCAGCTGATCTTACCGCGGATTTACACGAAGCATCTCGAGAGGTGGTCAAAGTTGATAGGATGTCGAAGTGGCATGAGAGTAGCAATGCAGATGGGATAATGAGGACTACCGCATGTTCCCTCTACCATACATCCACCTCCCACTTTTGCAAAAGAGTTATACCTGGGCCTAAAAGAAGCTGATTCAAGAGCTTACAATGTATACTCCCATTCCTCAACAAATGTGGTGAGTAGTAAGGTGGTGTACTGTAGTCGTGATGCATTGAACGCTCGCCATGGCAGCTCTCGGCCGCTTCCGACAGCTGGTTACATCATCCGGTGGTGTGCTGGTCCCTCACATCACCAGCGTGTCTTCATCCATCTTTCCACTCTACACATCACGCACAAGACACCGCCCATCATGCCAGCAACAGCAGACTCCCAGCCACACCTGGCATGGGAAACAAGCTCCTCAAGCACCAACCGCACCGTCTCCGACCGCCTCCCCCCAGAAGTCGCTGCATGCCTCGAGAACGCCCGCTTCCTCCATCTCGCAACCTGCAACAACAATGAACCCCACGTCTCACTAATGAACTACACCTACCTCCCCCCGGACGCGCGACCCCCACCTCAACTCCAACAAGGACAACAACAAACCCTCGAACTCCCCCGCGGCCCGACAATCATCATGACATCCAACCCCTCCTCCAAGAAAACCCTCAACCTCCTGCAGAACCCTAATGTCAGCCTCCTCGTACACGACTGGGTCAGCACGCGGCCACCGAACATCACTTCAACCGGCAGTGGCGGCGCAGGGCGACGCGAACGCAGTCCAGGCGGCGGACGCGCGAGTTCGCTAGCAAACATGCTGATGCAGATGAACAGCGCCGCCGTCTCGAGCATTTCAGCCACGATCAATGGCGAGGCGCGCGTGCTGGAGCCCGGCACGGCGGAGGAGAGGTGGTGTAGAGAGCAGCATTTGCTCAATAATACCTTCTCGGGGCAGGAGGATACTGTGTCTTCGGCGAGGATCCCGGGCCCGCCGTCTGTTCCACCCGGTGTACAGGACGCAAGTGCAGGAGAGCGGCCTACTTCGGGATTCCAGCAGCAGCGGGCGCTGAGTGTGCAATTCGACCGGGACGAGGGAGGGTTTGGGACGAGTCCGGCTGATGGTCGGGCGGGCGACGGCGGGCGAGGGAGTTATATCGAAGACGAGGAGGTGAGGGTTGTCGTGGTGAAGATTAAAGATGGGCGGATTAGCGATTGGAAGGGTGGAGTGAAGGACTGGGTGATTCAAGATGCCGGTGCGGAGAGCTTGGTCAACGGGGTGGACGGGAACGCGTGAGACTTGAGGAGCAGCGACGCTAATGAGAAAGCTGGAAATGCCCGGCAGAGCGGAGTATCAAAGGACGCCGAGACCGATCCAAGGCCACTCGCCTGACGCTGGAAAGGCCTGAGGGAAGATGAGGCAGATTTGAACACTCGAACGTTCACGTACGTCACAGCGTATTGTGTCGCGCTCTGCAAAAGCAATGGTCCTACTCGTCGAAACTAGGCCAGTCGTAGATTAAATGCTCAGATGCCACACCTCAGTCATCAAACATGCATCAATTGCCCGTCTCATCCCGTCTGCCAACCTCCATAGGCAGGAGCCTGCTCCCCACGAGTCAACAGCAATGCACCAGCATAAGCAAAACTAGTCATCGTCAAAGATAGCAGTCGCATTAACGAGAATCGTATCCAGCACGCGAGCCTGCAAGCCCGCATCGGCAATTTGCGGGCCAGTCTGGGTGCCCATGAGGCTAGGTCTGTACCACATTAGCAATACACTCGTTTGCAAAGGGTGAACGGAGGAACATACGCAAAGCACACGGCCAAATTACTACTACTCATGCGATTCCGGCCCTCGTTCTGCATCACGCGATTCAAATGCAGCACAAGCGCCCGCAGCGTCGCGTAATTCGGATCCGGCAAATCATTGATGCCCTGATGCAGCGCATCACGCCGCTGCTCATCCGACTCGATCTTCGCGGCATCGATAAAGGTGGAATACCCCGCGTGCGTAAACAGGGGATCGGGCAAGTCGCGGAAGAATTGCTTCAGCAGCGTGGCGACGGAGTTGACGTCGTGCATGAACGCCGCCGGGTTGCGGAAGTCGATGCGGCTGCTGTCGTGGTCGAATTGCGACTTCAGCGTGCTGATGTGCGACGCTGTGCCGGAGAGGCGGTAGATGCCTTCCACGTCGAGGCCGAAGGTGTCGACGGCGAGGATGCATTGCACGACGACGAGGGGCACGGCGATTTGGTCGCGGTTGAAGAGTTCGTCCAGGCTGACGCCGAAGACGGGCCGGAGGGGTGGGAGATTGTGTTGCGGGGCTGGCGCTTGGGAGCCGTATTGTCGGGAGTTGGGGGAGGTGAGGGGGCTGGCGCCGGGGATGATGCCTGTGGATTGCTGTTGCTGCTGGTAGGGTGTTATGGATCTTTCGGCGGGGTGGACGTCGCTGGGGTACGGCGGTGCGGCGCCAGCTCCGTACGGGGGCCCCGCCGGCGAGTTGTAGCGACTGGCGAAGCTGTTGGGAGATTGCACATTCGGCGATTGCACCTGTGGGGAGCTGGGTTGCTGATCGAATCTTCCCGCAGTCGACGGACGCTGGCCGTACTCGCCCGAGGGTCGCGATGGTGGCACGACGGGTGCGGCGAAGAAGTCGTGCCTGTTATTGGTGCTCGCTGGTTGGCTGCCTGGGGTCACGGCAGTGTTCACTCCCAGGCCAGATTGCTGCTGTTGTTGAGCCCAGCCACCACTCACAGATCTGTCATTCGTGGTTGCCGCAGGGGTTGGCAGTTGGGTCTTGGGCGCGAGGCTAGGATGGCGCTGGTATTTGATTTCGGCGGGCGGCGGGGGAAGTTTCTGCGATCGGACGAATGCGTTGAAGTCGGTGTCGTTGTCAATGTCCAGCACGGTGTCACGCAGACTCTTTGGTCCTCCTGCCGCATCTCTGTCGGTCAAGGGGGTCACCGCTAAACCATTCCCAAGCAGCAGCTTTTCATTGAAGGTTGCTGAGGTATAAAGTTAGTTTCAAGGACTTGCAACATGCTTCGCAGAGGGTGTACTCACCAAATTTCTGCAACTGCAGCGTCAAGGCAGAATCGCATTCCCGAATCAGCTCAAGCAGCGCCTTCACAGCTCGTGGCCGATCGGAGTTCAACAGCGTCTCCCTTTGGCTGGAAGCCTGCCTGACCTTCTCATCATACTCCTGATCGGCAAGCTGAGTCTTCTTCAACAGATCCGACTCATACTGCTCCGCGCTCTTGGGACCCTTCAACCCGATCCTCCTTGAGCCCTTGGTATCACCGGTGCGCGCGCGGTCATAATCCTCAGCAAGCGCATCGTATCGCGACTTAGCCTTGAGCATGGCCGCCTCGGCGTCCGAAGCGCGCTTCTCCGCATCCAGGCCCTCATGTTTCCACTGCTTCCTGCCCCGCTCCATATTTGTGGACAGCTCGTTCAAATCCTCGTGCATCTGGTGCAGCGAGAGGGCGAATTGCATCCCGTTCTCCGCCATGCGCTCGTGCACGCGCATCACCTCGGCCACCTGCGCCGCATAGCTGCCTGCCTTGACTTCAACACGTTTCAAAGCATCTTGCTGCGTGCGAACGAGGCGGCGAAGGCCCGTGGCTTGCTCTTCCTCCAGGGTGGAACGCTTCTTCAGAAAGGCGGCGAAGTCTCGCGCGGAGGCGACGCTCTGCTTCAGACGGCTGAGGAGGGTGGTGATGCCGACATCTGAGTACATGACATCTTCGACATTCTTGGGGATGCCGACGCGGGGAGAGGTGGAGGTGATGGGCCCGGGCGTGGTTGCGCTGATATTGGGGTTGGGACTGCTGGGGGCGGAGGCGCCATTGAGAGCGTCGCCTTCGGCGCCATTGAACTCGCTGCGATTGTACTCCCCCGACATGTTGCGATGGGTGTCTTGTCAATTGGTGATGGACGTTTGATTGTCTTGGGCGATGCGGCAGAAGAACTGGGCAAAGTCTCCCCAAGACGTTTCACGTAGATTTAAGCTTTCGCCTCAGCCACGATGACGAGGCGGGCTGCGTGTTTCAGCGACAGTGCGCCACACTAGGCAATTTAGTACTGTAGGGGGGCAATACGAACATCAAGTGAAGGTCAAAGTCTGAAAGCAATCATGAGACACACAAAGTGAAGAACAATGGTGCCCTTTGCATTGCTATGGAAGTCATTTCCTCATCCAGCGTGAAGCATGTCCACCTCAAGTTCTCCAACCTCGTAACCAAGCGCAATCGTGCAACGGTCTCTTCCATCCTGCTGCTGCAATTAACAGAGGATGTTCACGATACTCTTTCCCCATCGAATCCTTCTCAATCAACATGACTGGACGTGGTGAGCGCTGTCCAACTCGTCCACCATAGCCTGCACCGCCTTCTGCGCTTCATCCTTCTCCTCCAGCCCACTCTCAGCAAGACTGATGGTCTTCAGGCGAGGGAGCAAAAACTTCTGGAACAGGTGCATCAGGTCTTTCTTGTCCCCTACAAGCTCCGCGAACTTACGCTCCAAGGCCTCGTAGTCCATGTCGCGGAACCATTGGGTAATGACATCGCGGACGTGCACGATCATTGGAGCGTAGTAAGTGTCATCGGTGACGAAGGCTGGCGGGAAATGATGGTTGATCTCCGCCACCAAGGTGCGCGCAGCCTGCTTCAAGTCTTCGGTGCTGTCGAAACCGATGACTGGAAGCTTGCTGCGTACAACGTCGGACGAGCGTTGCGCCTCGTTCACCCGCGGGACAACATGAATTTTCGTCAACTCATGCTCTGGGAGCGGAATCTTTTGGGTGGAGCGGTCGGCTAGCATAGGCCATTCCATCCGGTTCAGTGCATACTCCGAGAGGTGGAGGAAGATGTTGTCAGGATCCGTGGCTTCGTCGCGCGGGCAGTGGCACCAGGTGGTGTGCTCGCAGATCTGAAGAGGTCCGATAGTGGCGGGTGCGACGACTATCTGCGCTGTACTGTCCTGAGAAGGAGTGGGGGATGGCGATGCTGTCTCGTCCGAGTCGGAGGATCCCAGGGTGATCTCTTCATCGTCTTCGCTCGCGGAGTCGTGGCCTCCCGAGCCGCGGTTGAGGTCGGCATAATAACGTGCTGAATACAACATAGGAGCTAGAATGCTCAACCGTGACGCGCGAGGAGGAGACTGTTGTATACCAACGCCGCCTTCCTCGCTGTAACCGTCTTCTTCGCTGTCATCATCTTCCTCGTCATCGCCGTCTTCCTCGTCGCTGTCGTCTTCTTCCTGGATGCCGTAATCTTTGTTGTCCGTGGTGGCAAGCTGTACAGAGGCTGGCGACGACGCGTCTGCCGATCTCGTACTCTCAACATCGACCTGCGTCTGGGTTGCCGGAAACCCCACCGCCCCGGAATTGAAGATAGAAGTGCGCTGCATCGTCTCAGAGCTGTACACGAGACCTCCTTCGACGTCCTCGCGAACCTCCGTTCCTTCGGTCGCCTCGCTCGTCTTCGCGTCTTTGCCCTTTGCTCCCTCCCTGTCGCTCATCCTTGCCGCGTGCAGTGATGAGTGCAGGTGGAGATAATTGACCAAAGGGTGTTGTGTACTGTGTAGTCAAACGTGTGTCCGGAGTGTACGGTTGGCGAAGAGAAAGAGAGGCGTGTGGAAAGGGGTCGTGCGTGTGCTATAACGAGACAAACATGTTGGAATTTGGAAGAATACTGTCTGCAAACTTCGGAGGCGTGGAGGATGTCTTGGCTTTGCTGTGTGCGACAATAGACGCGTCCAGATTGGGTTTGATTGTGTGTTATGTCATTGTGCGTTCCAATTGTCGCTTCCCGAGAAAGGAAAGAGCGACCACGCGTTTGCACAGTGGGGGTCGTCTCGGAGCTTCCAGTGGGCGAGAAGGGAGAATGCATGCGAGACGATCACACAATGAACAGTGTGAATAACGCGTGAACGAGTTGTCGATGCGGGCCTTGATTGCCATTTCGCATCGCCGGCTAGACATTTCTTCACGCGTCTGCGTATCGCAAATCCAGCCCGATGGCGAGCGCGACTTCACGAATAGTTGTCATCCATCTCGTTAACAGAGGGTGCGCATCGGCGATAAGGGCAAACGTCACACTGCCCTCATCTCCAGACTCCTGGCCAGGAACATCGTACAGCCAAATGCCATCCTCGCCAAAGAAGTCCTTGCCAAACAAGGCTTGAATGGTAAGCGCCTCCTCAGCATCCTGAATTATCTGCTGTACGCTCTCCCTTGTGATCGAAGAAGTCAATTTCGCATTTTCCGCTGCCGGTACGCTGGGTGTAGCAGAGGTATTCGAGTGCGACGACGAAACAGCATGCAAAACCCCTCGCAACACACCCATACACCAACCCACTCTCAACCCCAGCTCCGCACCCAATGCGTAGCCTTCATCGAAACCCTCCTGGATGTGCGTTGATTTGCTCGCAGATATGCCTTCGCGGTAGCCGTTGGTCACATGCGTGCTTCTCAATCGGGGGATGTCTGATGGATCCGTCGGCTGATGAACTGTCCTGTCTGCACCTGGCGAGGGTGGTGCAGAGCCAAATACATCATCTAGGGGATCATGGTATTCGCCCGAGGCGTCAACTGGAGTGCCTTGAGTGGTCATAAAGATCGTACCAGCCCTCTACCGGAATTTGTCTTGTGCCAAGCTGTTTGGATGGAGGAGGGCATATTTTGCAAGATGGACGGCTTGTTGAGATCCTCCGCTACGATTGACAGACTTGTTTGGTGCGTCGAGTCGTGTTGGAAGTGCGAGATGGGATGGTTGACGTTGGAAAGAATGGGTTTGTGCACGCACAATTCGAGTGAGGTTGCTGGCGTCTTGGCGGGCTAGCGGGCTCCACCTCCGTGTCGTGGCGCCTGTCGACTCCGGACGGCTCGTGAAGTTTATTGCGCACGCCCTCTCCCGTCCTCGTTGCACACGTTCTCTCAGGACGCGCTTCTTCACTGCCAATCCACTTCTACCAACTCCATTCCCATCATCTCGCCACGCCATTACTACCCCAACGCGCCGCTCACGCCGCTCCTAGCCACGTGAACCAGCGCGGCGACGTACCAAATACTACGAATACATTGTACGCCACCTCAGGCCTCTTAGATCTCCTCTACGGCGGCCGAGCTTGATCTTCATCCGCCCCCGACGCCCCCGAATTCTCGACCGCAGCGTACTTCAAAGGCAGTGCGTGGCTCGCCCGTGTACTGCGATCCCCAAGATATTGTCTCACCGTGGCGGAGTACGGCATCCCTGATCCTACATCGACCTCCCTTCCACCCGCATCCGCTGACGACTCGACTTTCTCAGAAATGACTCCCCGGCTAATGGCGCCTCGACATTAAGCCCGAATACCACCCCATCCGCCCAAGCACCTCCCGTCGCCCGTTCGCTCACTCCATCCCCCACCCCTTCGCAGGGTCGATTCCGCAACTTCACCCTCGGCCGCGGCCTGTACAAGTCCAAATCTACTGCTGCGATCAAAGAGAAGGCCCAGGAGCAAGCAGACATGACTAGTGTGGCACTCCCCAAGGGACGCGATGGAGCGGCGGTAGACACGCGCACGCCTTCTCCCTCCCCTTCGCACAGCAGCGCCAATGGCGGCGACGCGTACAAGCCGGACTTGTCCAAAGAAGTCTCCATGCTGAGCACGAAACTGATCAACGCTATCAACTACCAGACCAATCTCGACGACTCTCTCCAAAGCACTCGGCATCAGCTGGAAAAGGCGCAACAAGAGTTGCAGAAGGTGCGAGCGGAGAAACAAAGCCTGACTGACGCTGTGACGCAAGGCGTACTCGTGAAGAAGAGCGAGGTGGATGTCACCATCGCCGAAATCCGAGCGGAATTGGCGCAGGAGAAGGAGAAGAGGGAGAGCGCGGAGAGAGTCAAGAGGCAGACCGAGAGCGAGGTGGAGACTCTGACCGGCTCGCTGTTCGAGGAGGCTAATAAGATGGTCGCCGAGGCCAGACGGGAAACCGAAGCCGCCGAGAAGAGAACATCGCAAGTGCGAGCGCAGCTCAGCGACACAGAGATGTTGCTCGCGTCGCAACAAGAGCAGTTGCAAGACTTGAAATCGACCATGGAGGCGCTCGAGCGCAGCGCTACGAACATTGCCGCTCAACGGGATGCCAGCATGCCCTCCACCCCGGTCAATCGCCACTCAGGGGCATTCGACGTGCCGCTGGCAGGCCCTGTTGTAGACCAAGCAGATGTTCCTCCGAACCATCCGCTATACTTTTCGCATCTCATCCAACCAGTGATGCGGAACGATGTAGCAGCATACAACGACTTCGCCGAACTTATCTCGACCGCGAAGAAGGTAGCTCCTCCACACTCACGATCCGCAAGCGGGAACATGGCGACCTCTTCCAGCTCCACAAATTTGCATGCCAATCCAAACAACACCAGCGCAGCGAATACTTCTTCCCCAAGCCTGCCAGGCTCCTTCACATTCAGCAATTCCAGTAGCCCGTCTACTTCCGCCTACCAAGCTCCCGTGCCCGCTCTGAAAGACACCAAATTCTACAAGCGTGTTCTTCTCGAAGACCTGGAGCCAACACTGCGCCTCGATCTAGCACCAGGACTGTCCTTCTTGAGTCGGCGCTCCGTCCTATCCGCTCTGCTCAACGGCACCCTCTTCGTCGAACCCCTGGCACCGAGCAGCACCTGGAAGCTCTACGCACCCGTCTTCCCGTGCTCTTTGTGTTCCGAGAGCCGCAAGACGGAGCCTTACATTCGGCGCCACACCTTCCGCACCTCCGAGAGCGACGATTCTTCTCGCTACCCGTTGTGCGACTTTTGTCTAGGCCGCGTGCGAGCGGCGGGCGACTTCATTGGCTTTCTGCGAATGGTGAGGGATGGAGTGTGGAGAGCGGAAGGCGAGGCCGGCGAAAAGGGAGCATGGGAGGAGGCGGTAAGGTTGAGAGAGAGGATGTTCTGGGCGCGAATTGGCGGTGGGGTTGTGCCCGCTGCGAGTCTGGCTTTGAATGCTGGCAAGAGCACGCCGACCAATGCCACGGCAAACGCCTCAGACGACACGCCGGAGCAGCAGAAGGCGGAAGGCGAGCAGGCGGATGTCTTCCGCGAGAGGAAGGGCAGCATTGATGAGCCAGAAGTTTTGCAGGCCCAGGTGAAAGAGCTAAAGCGGAGGACAATGCTGCACCTTGGCGACAGCAGCCCCGCCGTATCCGTCCTTGCGAAAGATCTGGATGCGACGCCTCCTCCATCTGCATCATCCCAGGGCACAGACGACGAACAAACCGACGCTTCTGCCCAACTGCAGCGGGAAGCAGCCGGCGCACCACTCGTGCCTACGCCCTCTTCTGAAGATGAAGGCATGGTGTCGGCGGAAGAAGGCCCGCCGTCTCCCACTCCCCCGCCCGTGCCGGAGCACAAGTCTATTCCTGGTAAAGAGAGAACGGGGAGTGATGCGAGCACCGCGTCTACCTCCACTACGCTGGCTGCAGCTCGCACCCGGCCTTCGAACGATGAGAGGAGGGGCTCGAGTGTGTTGGATCGAGTCAAAGCGATGGAGTCCCGGGGCTGAGCTCTGGTGCCTCGCCATCAGCTGCAGGGAAATGAATTGTACTGATATGTTTCGATTGTGCTATGACCGGTACACGCGATGGAATCCGAAGAAACCCTTGCAGATGGGCGTTGTTTCTGTGCCTGTTGTTTGCATGCATAGCTGGAGGAATGTCTTGGGCCAAAGGGAGCTGATCAAGCCAGACCTGCACGGCGCAAGCGTCCCTGAAAAGGCTGCGGAGGCTTCTGCGAGATTCTCAAAGACTACATTTACGGCTACACAACTGGACGTATTACAAGATTCCCCCGAGCTCCCCGTCTATTTCGCCTCCCCCAACATAAACTCTCGCAAGCACTTAGCCAACCTCTCCGGCTTCTCCAGCGCCAAACTATGCCCGCACTCCTCAAAGATGTAGTCCACCTGCACCTTCTCGGCGACCTGGAGGATGTTCTCCTTGACCGTCGGGCCGAAAAACTCGGGCGCGCCGACGGTCATGATGGGCAGCGTCAGCTTGCCGCCCGTCTTGAGCAGGTCGTGGTGGATGTCGCCGTTCTTCAGGCCGGCGCGGTACGTTTCGAGGATGCCGCGCAGGCACCCGGGTTGCTTGACGCATTCGATCCAGTGGTCCAGTGCGACGGGCTCGATGGAGGTGGGGTTGTAGCATTCGGATTTGATGAACATTTCCTACCACATCCATCAGTTTGCAATCGAAAAAGAACGCAGACGGAGAGAAGGGAGACTGACCCAAAACTCCCGCTCCTTCCCCTGAATCAACATCTCCGGCACATGCGGAATAAAGAAGAAGCCCAGATGCCAGCACCACACGCCCTGCTTCCGAAACTGCGCGGAGATGTTCTCCTTGGTCCAGAAGCTGCTCTCCTCCAGCCCGAAGCCGGACAGCAGCATTTCGCAGTAGCTCAGCGTCTTGACGCGCTCGCGGTACTTGGCCGCCAGGGCGTAGGCGTAGTCGGCGCCGCGGTCTTCGCCGTGCAGGTGGAACTTGTCGTGCCCGAGTTGCGTCATTAGGTCGGCCATGTCGTCGGCGTTTGTGCCGGAGTCGTAGCCGTCGGTTGTGGGGGGTTTGTCTGGTTGGACGTTTAGTCGTCTGTTTTGTGTGAGTGAGAGGGAGGGGTGTGGACAGACCTGTATACCCGAAGCCTCGCAGATCGGGGGCGACGACGGTGAAGTAGGGGGTTAGATATGGCATGATTTTGTACCAGTAGAAGGAGTTCTTGGGCGTGCCATGCAGGAGGAGCAGCGCTTCTTTGCCCTCGCCGGCCTATGATTCAGTATCAAATTACGCATTAGCAATCTACTGCGCAGATTTCGTGCGGCAGGTTATGAGTTCCCTACAGTAATGAAGTGCATGCGAATGCCATTGACCCGGTAGCGATGGTGCGTGACGGGCTTGCCGTTATGGTCGTACGTTTCCGCAAACGAAGACATGCTTGTTGATGCGTTCCGGCTGATTTGATTGTCGAGATGTGCAGTGAATTGTACTTCTAATTACTTGCAGACTGAGTGATGTATCGCAGGGAGGTTTCTCGGAGGCTCTTGTCGTCCGGCCTCACCCCACCAACCTATGACGGGGACCCCGCATTGATGATGAAACGGCGGAGCCAGTTCCAAGACCAATTTTGGGATTTTTTGTTTTGCCTTGCGCCACTAGTTCCTGGGCCGGACATTAGAGACGATGTGGAGAGTTGGTAAGGGGAACCCCACATCTATGAGGATCGAGTGAATAATGTCCCTGACTTCTGTGTCATCTGCCCGGAATGGAAGGAGCGGAATCGCCAGTCGACTTGCCTCTTCGCGGCCAGATGGGTCTGAGGATATGCTCCAGACCCAGGTTGTAGTTTAAAGGCACCGACTGAAGTGCTTCTGCATATCATACAGTTTAAGACTGTACAGTCTATCGGATTAGAGTGTATCGCTCAGTGAAGCCACTCCGCCTCTTATCCCGCCCACCCAACCGTATCGTCACAGTCGCCGGAAATGCTGCCAGGAAAGACTCCTGCATTGTACAAAGTGAACACCAAAACGAACATGAAACACCTCACCCAGCAACCAGCACCCAGACCAAGAAGAAAATCATCAAGATCCCAAAGATCTTCGCCACCAACCACCGATTGCCCTTGACGCTATTCCAATACTTCATCAACTCCCGCTGCGCCCCTTGGACATTGTCGACCACGTCGTCGGTGTTAGCGTCGATGCGCTGGATCTGCTCGGCCTGCTCGCTGACCATCTGCGACAATTGGCCGAAGATGCTGCCGAGCTCGTTGATGGTGCGCTCAATGGCTTCTATCGCTTCGCCCCGTTGCTGGATGTAGCTGTTGGATGCTGGCGCTTGCTCTTCGAGGAGTTGCATTTGTTGTTGGGAGGAAGAGTTGGCGTAGAGGGCAGAGGAGGAGCCGCTAGTTGGTTCCAGGCTGAGGACAGCGTCGCCTGAGGATTTTGATTGCTCGCCAGGTTTCGGGGTTCGGTTGCGTGAAGTCGGGGTGGAGTAGAGGGGGGAGTCTGTTCGGGCGGCGGGATCAAGGTGTGATGCTTGTGCGGAGGATTGTTGGGAGACGGAGGAGACGAAGTTGTCTTGTCTGCTCCGGCTCGCCTGGATGTTCTTGGTGCGCACTTCGAGAACTTCCTTGAAATTCACGCTGACATCCGCGAGTTTGCCTTGGAGGAGGACGACGACATTCTTGTTGTGCTCTTCCTCCTGCGCGCCCGTCTTGCCGCCGCCTGCACTACTACTCCCGCCGGATGCGTGCTGCACTTTGGAGAGTTGCTGCAATCGGCCGATCGACTGGTTCAAGCCTGCCAGATCTTGCTTAATGACAAATGTCAACTCTGCGATCTCGACCGGCCGGTCGTCAAAGAGCGTCTTTCGCCTCGCCAGTTCCCCTAAGCGTTGTAGCTTGCCCATGGTTCCGCTAATTCCTCGTCCGATCTGAGCGGCATTGCGCGCGAACTCGCTCCGCTGTTTTCGTGTGGGAGGGGTGGCACTGCCATTCTGCTGTTGTGTAGCATTGAGGAGAGGTTGTGATTGTGGCTGGCCGACTTTCCGTTGCCGTGCAAGCGACTTCTGGGCCTGGGAGAGAATGGAGCGGAATTCGGGGGTGCGATCTTGGATGGTGGTGGTGACCGTCGTCGTCGCCGTGCTGGTCATTGTGGCGTAGTGAAAGGGCAGTGGTAGATGGTCGAAAGGAGGGTCAGGTGAGGTTAGAGACACGCGGCCAGATGGCCTCTCGTACGCGATGCGTGCAGTATGCGCCGCTTCGGGCTTCGCGGGTCCCAAGGGATTCGCGTGCGGTGCTCGTAGATGTCCTCTGTCGTGCGAAAGGATGTTGTCGGGCTATTGAGGGCTTGAATGTGGTCGTGAGGGCGAGGAATGATGTGCGTGGTACAAAGAAGTGTAGGAAAAGGGCGCCACCACTCACGTCGCAGCGCAGACGACATGTGGCGCGGCCGGATCGGGGACGCTAGGCCCAAAAAAGAAACGCGACGGAGCTTAAAAGGTTAAATTCAGGTGTCGGTGATGTAGCGTTGCGCAATGCGAGGAGGCGGAGTCGTGGAGTGCAGAAACCGGGCAAGCAGCCAACATTCACGTCTCTCTTGACGTTGTCTCATCCTCCCTCGTCTTCACCGCTCCCGACCACCATCACTACCTTCGCCACCCCGCTCTACCCTCCTCCGAGCCGAGCTGTCACGACCTCCGCCTTCCCTGCCTCTCCCTCCATCTGTGCCACCCGTTGGGCACGAACCCATCACTATTCCATATGGTGCCATGACCTCTCTTCATTAGCGCTCATCATTTGCCTTTCCTACGCGCGATACCAGTATGGCGCGTCCACCAGGCAGTGGGCCTTCAGGTCCGCCCGTCTCCTACAAGACTGTACCCGGTCGTCACAGAACGCAAAAATGGAACGTTGCAAAACAATACGACTACAGCGGCGATGACTGGGGTGGCTACGATGCCTACGACGACTATGGCGACAGCGAACCGCCTCCACAACCACCTCTACCTTCATCGCCCAGCATTCCCCAGCTGCCTTCACAGCAGCAGCAACGATTGGGAAGACAAATGAGTTTTGACCGCACAGACCCTACGACGGAGTCTAGACAGTTCAGTGCTGGCCCCGTCCTCTATGCCGGCGTGAACAATGAGAGGAGTACGGGTGTCAGTCCTGCTCGTAGTGCCGTCAGTGCCACTTCGAGTGGTGGGAAGAAGAGCGGGGAGTTCCAACAACCTCCTGTCGGCAACGCGCTGCGACAACGAGATTTTACGGACCCCGGGCAAGTCCCAGCGCCTCTCAGCCCTGCCGCTCGCGCCTCTCCAGCACTCTCTTCCTCCTCCTTCGCTGCACCAGCGACGACACCCGGCATGAACAACCCGGCCACTTTTCCTCCGCGGAAGAGTAGTATCGGCAGCGGGAGTTCGGCTTCCGATGCTGTTCCCAGCGCAGCAAAGGTCGAAAAAGAACTGCCCACCCCTCCTTTCATTCGTCCCTCCGACATCTACAGGCGCTTGGCCGAAGAGCGTGAGAAGGAGCGGCAGAGTTCAGATGGTGGAAGGCCCAGTCTTGACGCTCTCCAACACGAACCCGATGCCGCTGCAGACTTGGATCCACCAAGCAGACAGCAGCGCCCTCTCTCAGCTGTGGAGGAAGCAGCCGCAGAGGGCCAACACGAGGATATCAGCGCCTCCGAAGGCTTTAGCGAGCCAACCAATACCCTCAATAATGCCGTCCTCCCACGCTTCAGCGGCGTCTCGGGCTTCGGAAACGACTGGTTCGTCGGTAGGAATAGTGGAAGCACTGTACGAACGACCACCTCTGAGTCCGCGCCGACCGTTCATGCTCCCGAGGCTGCATCTTCGGTGCAGACTACCCCGACCGCCGACATTGCACTACCAAACTACGATCCCGCGGCGGAAATTCTCGCTGAGCGCACGCATGAAACTCCTGTGTCTGCCATCGGACGCCAAAACCAGCCCGATGAGCTTGCACATCAGCCTTCCGCGGGCTACAGAAGTGCAGTGGAGCAAGCGTTCACACCACCTACGAGAGACAATTCGCAAAGTACGACGGGTATCTCACGAAGCGGCTCGGAGTCCACCACTGGTATAAGCCCCATCATGAGCCATGTACCCTTCCCTCCCATCGCGGAAGCTGCGCACCCCAATGCAACAGTTCCGACTACTGCTGGGTACCCTTCAAATCAGCCTTCGCTGTTGAGGAAACCAACTCCTTCTCACAGTAGGACTGGCTCCACCGAACGCGATGCAGCAATTGCCGGTGTGGGCGCCGTTGCTGCTGGTGCTGCAATTGTAGGACTAGCAGCGGGTCGGGAAACCTCACGGTCCAGGGAGCCTGCAGAGACCTCGGCCAACGAGGTAGCGGCTCCATCCACAAGCAGCGCATTGCCTCAGACGGGGAGAGCGAGGGCTGGAACGGATTACTCACTTCGGGAATCCGACCTCGCCGATGCTGTCAACAACAGCGACCCATCTTCCCCTGAGATCTCAAACAAATCACCCGTCGAGGCAGCAAAGGAGGAGCAGTCTCTCTTCTTGCAAACCCATTCCCTCACACCGTCGGGCACTCCTGCGCCTGCATTCCTCGAAAGCCCAGGCAGTGGGCGCGCATCTCCGGCCAAAGGCAGGGTCAGAGAGATTGCCGACAAATTCCATGATTTACACGAAGCTTCGCGCCGCAATTCTCAGGCTAGCTTGAAGAGTGCCAGTACCTGGAGCCGTGTTGGCTCTGAAGAGAACCTGTCTGCGATTCCGAGTCGAACTGCGGCCGCTTCGGGAGTAGGTGTGGCGCCGATTAGACAAGGCACTGGAGATACGTGGGCTTCGTCACATTACGATGCCGCGGAAGATCGCGATACGCCCGCAACTCCAGTCCCAACGGCTGGGGGTCTGCTGGCCGGTGAGCCCTCCCGCCCTGCAGTGGGCCGAGAGCAGTCGTTCCGCCCTCAATTACCCGGTGGCTGGGTCAGCTATCAAGATGCGCCATCCACGGCTGCCGAAGACCATGGCGAGACCCTGCCTGCGACGGTGTATGCACACACTCCTCGGCCGGCGAATGATGGGAAGAAAGCAGCCTTGAATGACTTTGATCTCGCCCCCACCACTCGAAAGGTATCTCTACCGGGAACCCATTACCAAGAGGGTCCGAATCACATCAATCAAGCCAAAGATGCTGGCGCGGCTCTTGGTGCTGCGCTGGTAGCATCGGTTGGAATGGGCCATCAGGCGCACGACTTTGGGTCGTCAGAACCAGCCGAGCCTGTGGACCAACCTGAGATGCAATACAAGCCTTCGACAGGAGACTTGAACCAATTGCATGTTCCTCAACGGCCGGAGCTCACCAGAGGCGACACCGACGCAACAGACGTGACCGACATTACTAGTGCGCAGAGCTCAGTGCCACCTACACCTCCGGCGAAGGATCCGCACAGGCATCGACCCGCGGCAGAAAGCGGTGAATACTTCTTCACGGTCACGCCTCTGCGGACCACCAAGTCTCGGGAAGGTTCGCCGGACAAGTCCATCGCCACCCCGCCTGCTTCTTCCGCGGCTCGATCTGGTGTGTCGCCGGCTATGTCGACATGGGTTCGACCCAACGATACAGAGAGCGATAGGTTGAGGAAAGAGATTGTCAGATCCCTTGATTCTGCGTCGATGGAGAAGAAGATGCAGGAAGATACTGCACGAACGCAAGACGCTCTCGACGCACCGGAGAATGCTCGTAGGGTCGAAGAGGGCAGGAACGCCCTACCCGCTGCGGAGTTCGGTGGAGGCAGGCCAGGAATGCTGGGCAAAAGGTTCAGCTGGGAGAAGGAAGATGACGAAGACGCCAGTACCCCGGATCTTGGATTGGGCAATACCACTCCAGCACAGCCTTCTGAGGACAAGGCCCTACCTCCTCCTCCGATTGTAAGGGAGCCCGAGCCGGAAGAGAGCCCAGAAATCAAGCCGGAGATGCCGTACGAGCGTCCCAGGAGCCGTGGGCTGCATATTGTGAATGCAGATTCTTCAGACGAAGAAGAACAAGCTGCTGCGAGCAGAAGGGCTGACACCGAGCGTCAGACTCAGGGACTGTGGGTCAACACGTCTTCAGCCGGGCCGGTGAGCCCGCTCACGAAAAGCCAGGAGGATCTCCATTTCAGGACCATCGCTGATGCCGCGAGGGATGGTGAGGATGGTCCATCTGGGCCTAGTCCGAACGTTGAGGAAAACAAGGAGAGGGTTGGCTTGCCTAGCTACTACACGCTTGATCTACCAGGCATAGACGGGTCAAGGCCACGCGAGACCGACCCGGCAGCGGATGCGCCTGAGGTGAAGGAGCAGCGGATCAGCCAGCAATCGATCGCAGAGCTGCCAGCCATGCAGGATATCCCACCCCGGCCAGTTCCCAAAGATACATCCTCTCCATCTTCCCCAACAGGCAGGATGAAGGCCCCGGCCTTCCGCGAAATCCTCGCCATCAAGTCTTCCTCCGACCGAATCCGGACCTACGACGAAACCCGTCAAACCTTCGCAGACACCAATACCGGCCTGTCCGACTGGCTGAGCGGAATGCTCGCCCAGCACCCCGAACACGCCGGCCTCGCCTCCGCCAATCCCGCTCAGCCCAACACCATCAGCAACCTGAAGGGCGCCCATCGCTCCAGCCCCAGCCTCGCGAAATTTACCCGCCAATTTAGCGCCACTGGCGGTCCAGCCGGAGCAGGCGACTATCAAGGAGGCTCCGATCTGACTGGGCCGAAGACGCCGAGCAAGGACTTGGACATGGACGAGCTGAAGCAAAAGGGCAAGGACTTGATGAAGAATGCGTCGGTGCTTGGAGGAAGGGCGCAGGCGGGCGCGAAGGGGTTGCTAGCCAAGGGCAAGAGCCGTTTTGGCAGTACGAGGGAGAACAGGAGCAAGGTATGAATTTTCCGAGCCCTGTGCGTATCCTTTTGCTTTTACACGCGTCTTTCACGAGCCTTTTGCATGCTTTTTGCTTTCTGATCTTCATTTGGAGCGGCTGTATGATGACTGCAAGGGGAGCGCACGGGCGGAGAGGAAAAAGTTCGAGGGAGGACTTGTGTTTTCGGAGCATTGCACTATACCTCTTTTCTTTGCTCGTGTAGTCTTAGGTCTCCTTTTCATCGACTTCTACTACTACATCACATCCCCCCCGACCCCTTCCCATCACGCACGCTACCTACATCACACTTTTTGAGAACCAAAGCTCATAGTAAGTGTAGGGCTTCCTCTCCTCCAACACCTCCTCCGTCCCTTCAGCTGCCACCGCAATCCCTCCCATTCCTCAGCGCTCCACCGCTCGCTCCTCCGTGCTCCAACCGCTACCTCCCATCCTCGACCGCAGCGAGCCCGACACAGTCCCCAATCAACCCACTGCTGGCATCACTCACGTTGCCACCGCCCCGGCTGCTTCGCGCTCCTCGAGTCCCGGGAATCCGCTCAGTCGCGCTCTCTCGCGGCTCCGAGAGCGGAGTCGAAGTCAAAGCTCCAGCCGCAGTCGGCACAGTCGCCATAGTCGGCCTTCGAGTCTGGTGCTGCTGAATTCTCACGAGGCGGAGGGCGCTGCTGCTGCGGGTGGCGGGCTGCTTGCGAAGGAGAACCAACGGAAGGACGGCGGCATGACTGGATCGGCTGCCGTGCCACCGCCTTGGAGCGAAAGCGAGGCTGGACCTCGAACTCCGGTTCCTGCAGGGAACGATGGGGAAGCGGGGGTTGCGAAGAGATTGGGCATTTTGCCTAGTCCTACCAAGAACGATTTCGAGGCGAGGAATCGCGAGGCGACGCCTCGCAACTTGGCCGATCTGAATGTTGCGGCTGCGAAGTTCGGTGATGGGAAAGATGAGGATGAGGAAGAATTATATGCGTCTACGCCTACTGCTTTGAGGAGACCTATGACGGGTGAGGAAGACCCGATGGGGCAGGCTACGCCTAGAGCCCCGCAATGGCAGTGGCAGCCCAAGGCAACCGATTCGGTTGTTGAGGGTGATGGTCTGGATTCCGATGCTCCTGTCACAGACACGAAGGAATACGATGCGCTGAAATATCGGGTGCAGCCTGGCCCTGGAGCTCTGGAAGAGAAGCAGGACTTCTCCCATCTTGTTCCAGGCGGAGTTGCAGCACATGACGAAGGCCGCACGTCTTCGGATACGAGGGATATCAGTGAGGCTGACGTGTCGAGCTTTGCAACGGCGGAAGAGCATGGGGACGATGAGAAGAGTGAGGTGTCTCCGCAAGTACTGCCGCAGCCTGCTGCCGTGGGCGGCGTGGAAAGTGGGAACGTGCGCACCTCCTCGGTGTCGAGCCTCGATGAACGGCATCCTGTTGGTGTCCACCCTCCAGGCAACATCCGAGACACGGACCGTGGAGAGCCAATCACGCACAACTTGCCGACGTCGCCTGATCTGATCAAGCCGGATGTTGGTGCAGGCGGTGGACATATGGGGAGAGCAGCTGCACTCGAAGAGAAGACTCCTGGACTCATGCAACGCTCACAACTTGCGCCTCTTGAGGTGCCCCGGCCACCAATGGCTAGGCCGTTGTCCTTTGAGCCTCTAGATCGGGATTATAAAGGCGCGCCAGTGCCGGAGACATTGCATCGCTCTCCGATATCTCGAGGCGACCAAGACTCCTTCACGTTCAACACCACGACGCTGACGAGACATCGCAAGGTATCACTGCCGAGCGCGGATCGCAAGTCTAAGCGGCTTTCTGGCTTCATGGGTAGCGAGACGGATACGTCGGCACCACAAACGCCGGTGGATGGGCGATTGGCTGGTGAAGCACAAGAGAGAAGCATACCGGACGTGCCTGAAGTGCCTATCGTACCGCCGGCGGCAGCGTACATCGATCCAGCTCAAACCATGGACTTGCCACACATGCCTGAAGTGCCTGGCGTCCCGCCGGCAGCAGCGTACATCGATCCAACACAGACCAGGGACATGACACAAGTGCCCGGAGTTCCTACCGCCCGACCGGTTACAGAGGCCCTCGGTAACGCAGGGAGCGAGGTCAAGCAGGGCAGACGAAAGTCGGGAATATGGGATGCTTTCAAGAGGAGCCCGAGTGTTCCCAAGAGTGAGGTGAAGAGGGACGAAACCCCTCAACAACAGTCCACGCACAGAGAGCACGGCACTTCCAAAGCGCCGCCGCCAATCACGACCACTGCGTCTCGCGCAAGGCTCGAAAAGCCACAGCGAGCTTCGGCCACGCTCATCGACACCGAGCAGAAGCAAGAGAAGAAGAAGAAGCGGCTTTCCGGCTTCGGGGCGCTCTTTGGTCGCTCCAGTACCACGGGGCACGAGAGCAAAAATTCTTCAAGTGGAATGAAAGGCAAACCATCCCGCAACGAGCCGTCGACCAAGCAGTTGCCACATCAAAGGCGCTCCTACGAAGCGGAGGAAGAAGAGATAGAAGCGCCAGCAGGAGGATGGTATGTGCCGAACGATGACCCGGGAAGATACCCTCCTCCGCAACAAGTGCAGCAATGGCCGCCCGCACAAGCTCCGCACGTTTCGCCGGCTACAATGTACTCGCAGAACAACACGCAGATCAGGCCCGACCATGACCGGTATTGGCCTGAGCCTCCTCGGCCTCCATTTCAGCAAAACCAGTCAGCTCACAATGCGCAGCTGACACCACAGGTGTCGGGACAATCGGAGTGGCTGCGGAGCGGTAGACAACAAGGACATGGCTCCATCCCGTCCATCTCTCCTGTGCGAACCAGGATGAGCTCGGAAGGGTACGCTGCACCTGACATGAGCGGATTTGGACAGGTCCATAATGTCCGCACTGATGAACGTGAGATGACCGGTGCCGGAGTCGGCCAGCATCCCCTTGGATGTAATCCAGGCGGCTCGATACCATCAGATTGGGTGCCACCAAAGCAGGACAGTGAACAGTACATCCTGGGCGATTTGCCATCTCTCAACACGGGAAGGCCGGTGCACGAGGAGTTTGAAGATGCACTGCGAGAGAGTTCGACATTGCAGTATGGGCAGGCCATGTCGGCCGATGTCCCCATCCATGGATCGAACAAGGGACCGGCCCCAGCCCTCTCATCAAACGATGGCGGAGAATGGCAGATGCCCACCCCGGATGAGAAGAGAGTGGAAATGAAGGGCGTGAGCTATCCGGGACAGGAGTGGACCCCGGCGCCATGGGAATGAGAGAACATGAAGATGCACGGAGATGCGACGTAACGATGCACTGGATATGAGACTGCGATGTGCCGAATGCATGTGTTTTGGTTAGGATGGGTGAGCGAGCATGGAACGCCGTGAATGATGGATGACTATGCAATGGATCTTAATACTTCGAAGAGAAATGAGCGGTGTATACGATCTCCTCATGTATATTCCGGCGGTGACTCGCAATAATAATGTCGGTCATCGCCAACCCCAGCCTACTTCATGAGCTTGGATCAATCAGGTCAGGCTCTGATTACATAATCACAAGTCTCTCGACGAAACGACATTTTCTTCCCACTCTTCGACTATAAAATATCTAGACCTATCTGCATCTAACATATTGTCAGGCACTGGAGATGGCGAATACTGAATCCAAAGTACTCTCCAGCCCTCGTCTATACCCTGCTCCGCCGTTCATGACAACTGACATGCCCGGGCAGAAAAGGAAGAGTACCGCCAGCCACGCCGAGCAGAAGAGCAAATCGTTGAAAGAAACATCCAAGCCGTCGGCCGTCTTCACTCCGACTAAGCCTCGCCACCACACGGTCAGCATTGCTCTGCCGGGAAGCATCATTGCAAAGTATGCTACCACCGATCTGCACACCCTCTCACTTTCCGCCGAGAGGCATAATGCTGACCATACTCGCCAGTGCCTTGACTCACGACCAAAAGACCGCATTAGCCGGGCACATTGCCCGCGCATGCGCAGTTTTTTGTGTCGACGAAGTGATCGTCTTCGACGATGGACAAGCGGAGACACGCCCGCCCGAGAAGGACGGCTACACAGCCTTCACCGACCCCAATTTCTTCCTCTACCACTTGCTGAGCTATCTCGAGACGCCTCCGCATCTGCGCAAGAAGCTATTCCCAATGCATCCCGATCTGCGGACCGCCGGCTCTCTTCCAAGCCTCGATATGCCGCATCATCTGCGGAGCGACGAGTACTGTCCGTATCGGGAAGGTGCCGTGGTGCGCACAGGGGTTCGTGGAAGCAACGCGTCCGGGGTGCTCGTGGACTGCGGACTACAGCAGCCAGTCTTCGTCCCGGTCGAAGTCGACCTCAACACACGGGTCACCATCAAGCTGGATCCCGCGGGCGGAGAGGATGGCGAGGCGGTGTCGCCCGATGCTCCTCGTGAAGAAGCGGGCTACTACTGGGGCTACGCGATTCGGCAGGCTTCGTCGCTCGGCAACGTCTTTACCGAATGCCCATACGACGGCGGATACGACATAAGCATCGGCACGAGCGAGCGCGGATGTGATGCCCGCGAACTTCTAGAAGCCGGCTCGGAATTTGCCGTGACCCCTTCTTGGGATCATCTGTTGGTGGTGTTTGGCGGGGTCGCAGGGCTGGAACCGGCACTGGATGCAGATGAGGCCCTGTTGCGCACAGGAGTTGATCGGGTGGAGATGGTGTTTGATCATTGGGTGAATCTAGTGCCTGGGCAGGGCAGTCGGACGATCCGCACGGAAGAAGCACTTTGGATTGGCCTCACGGAACTGCGGCAACTGGTGGTGACAAGGCTTGCGGCTTGACGGCAATGTGACTTACTCATGCTGACCGTCCGCGACATTGGACGCGCATTGGCGGCTAGGCTTGTCGCGAACAACGGCTGCCTCCATTCCTCCCCCTTCGATACGCGGGAGGAAGGGTTCATTGGCGAGTGATGCGCGATTTGCTGCAGGCCCATAGCCAGCAGGCGGTGGATTGCCCTGATTGCCCTGATTGCCCTGTCATGCAAGATTTCCCGATCTACGCGGCGGGCAACATGTGATAATAGGGCTCAAAGGGGGTCATGCGACGGCCGAATCGACTTTCCCTACAGACAAAGCTGCACGCTGAGATGTGGAGGGGAGTGCAATGTACACCAGGTTGGCCACGGACGATAAGGCTGGAGACGGCCATGCCGTCGTGCAGCGCTGGGGGACGGATGTTTCGAGCTCGTGGGGAGAGGAATGGCGTGTCCATGCAAGCGAACACATGGCACTGGGTGGAAGAGCCGCGTGGACTGCCCGCTCTTGCACTGTACCGTTAAGGTTTATAACCGTCATCCGAAAGATCTTACGTTAGCTGACACACGCCACGGAAGTCGAGAGCCTTGCGGCGTCCAACTGATGGTGTGGGTTGCCGCCATGGACGCAGAAACGAGTGTGGTGGCTGCACCACGCGCCGGCAATCCCCACGCAAGTACGTGGACGGTTCCGAGCGCATCGCATGACCTGGGCGACCAGGTTGTGTCGGCATGGTCAGCATCATTGTCTTGTGTACAGTGCAGCCAAGTTGCATGCGGCTGGCTGACGGGGCACGATAGGGGCAAAAGCAGCGGAGGGCAATGAGATGGAATCTGGGGTTGCGAAAGAAGGATAGAAGGCTGCAACTCGCCATCGCGGTGAGGCAGATCGTCGGAGCGGTGGTACTGGTGTACCAACCACCTTAACCAACCTTCGTACGTCCCCGGTTTGGGCGGGCTTAAATTGGCCCTTCACTCGGGTTAGGTGCCGGCAAGGGCTACATAGAGGGCTATGGGCGGGAGAAGACAGGTCACGGCGAGATACCGGGGCAAATGTGGCCGGCGTTGGCGGCCGATTGGATGGCGGCTCACCGACGTCAGTGGTCTTTCGTGGCGACGCACGGCGACGCGGTGCAGCAGGCAGGGGAGCGCGGTGCGTGGATGGATGCATGGCAGGCCAACGGAGGGAGCATTTGGGCGGTTGGGCGGGTTGGGGGAGGGGTCGAAGCAATACCAAGGGAAGCTTAACCGCCCGCTAGGCCCCATCTGCCCGCCCGCCGCCTCCACCGCGTAATTTGCCGGTGGGGGCGCGACACCTCGCACGCAAGCGGTGCAGCGCTGGCCGAAGGATTCAGGGCCGCCTGCCTGCGCGACAAACGCTCACCGACCCTCGCCCTGCTCCACCCAACCGCGCGGTCCCAGTCTTTTGCCTTTCCAGCGCCGCCCGCTCGGGACAAGGTTTGGCGCTAATGCAAGCATCGAGCACGCTCCTGCTGCTGCTGCTGCCACTGCTTGCCTCGCTGCTGGCCATGCCTGTCCTGCCTGTCGTCGTCCACCAATTCCACCGTTGCCTCTTCGTATTAAACCAATCCACCGCCCTAGGGTCTCGCCATGCTGACACCTGCCCGCCCGCACGCCCTCTCTTCTTCATCTCGGTCGCATCTCTGGCTCTGATGTAGACACCCTTTGCTCTGATCGATCGAGCCCCCTCCCACTCGCGCCCACACATATACTCCCCAATCGCATCCTCCCTCCACCGCCCCCGCCTTACCGTCTCCGATGGAGACCATGGACTACAGCTACTTCCCGCCCGGCGGGCACACCTACTCCTCTTACATGCAGTACGCCGGTCAACGAGCCAACAGCTACCATGGCAGCGTCGATGCTAGCCCGGTGAGTGTGATGCAGGCACGCCCGCCCACAACACGAGTGCTAATGTGCAACGACACAGGGCATGGAGAACCCGCTGGATGCCAACAGCTTCCTTGCCGGCTCTTTCGACTACTCCGCCTTCGATCCGTCACTGGGCGGCGCCGCGAGCTCCGGCCTCACCCCGCTTCCGAGCACTTCCGGCTCTCCCACCGCGCAACAGCTTTCTCTGATCTCCAACGGTTCCGTCGACAGCGGCATCGCTCTTGACATGGACGATGGCCAGCCGAGCCGACGGGGCAGCAGCGAAGAGAAGGACATGTTGACTCCGGCGCAGTCGCGGAGGAAAGCGCAGAACCGAGCAGCGTAAGCCAGCCCAGCCTTCCCCACTCTTTCCCCAAGCCTTGCCTTGCTGCCTCCGCAACAACAACCCCACGATCCCCAGATCAATGACTAACATGCCATCAGACAACGAGCGTTTCGCGAACGCAAAGAACGACACGTCCGCGATCTCGAAGCCAAACTCAACCTTCTCACCACCACCACGTCCTCCCTGCAATCCGACAACGAACGCCTCAAACTCATGCTGCAGCGTGCGCAGACGGAAAATGAAATACTCCGCGCCACCGCCACCTCCTCCTCCCCGCCACATCTCTCCTCCGCCTTCGTCGACGATTCCACATTCCTCCCCTCCTCTCGCCCCCGAAAGTTCCCGTCGCGGAGTAACTCACATCGCTCCTCCGCCGCCTTCCTCGGCACCGACTCCCCCCGCCGAGCGTCCGGCACCAACACTTCCGGCGATGGACATCTCCTCTCCGCGAGTGCCACTTGGGATCTCCTGCAGTCACACCCCCTCTACCTCTCCGGCGCCGTGGACATTGGAGAGGTGTGCGAGCGCTTGAAGAAGATGGCGCGGTGCGACGGCATGGGACCGATGTTCGAGGAGGGCGAGGTGCGACGGGTGATTGAGCAGGTGGGACGGAGCGGAGGCGACGAACTCATATGACGCTTGCCGATGGCTAGTGTTTTGCGGTGCGGTTGATTTGTAACGGTTGTACTCTTAGAAGGCACGGGTAATGTGCGGATGTCGGATGAGGCATCATCATCGTCACGGACTCAGGCATTGGCCGACTGGATAGCGACGGACTACTATTCTACGACGGAAGGACGGCAACGGACGCTTGCTGGCCAGGCAGGCACTGCGATTGGGAGGCACAAGTACCTCGCTCGGCGCAACAACTATCAGATTTTGGCATATACCCCCTATTTGAAGATCGATTTATGCTGTGTATCTTATTCTGACTACGTGTATGGACTGGGAGCAGGGGCCGATCTTGCTCGAAACTTCTCTGCGTAGCTCAAATTGAGATTGGACTGATCTACCGTTTCGCCTCCGAATTTTGCACCGAAGACCAACATCCAGGGTTCACGATCGCCATGCTACTAGCTAGACGTGGATCTCGTGGCAGCCCTACAACCAATTGCCGAGGGCAGGGGGTGGGTTGGGGCAGCAAATGATGAAACCCGGCGCATCTCTTCCCCTCATCTCACTATCAGTTTGCCCAATGAGGCGAACCATCGCCCTCCTCAACAGTCCACATACCCAAGGCAGGGGAGGATGAGCGACAACACGGGGAAACGACTTGCCAAACTACGGCGCCACCGGCCGATTTGCTTCATCAAAGAAAATGCAGGGTTCTCCCACACGGTAATCGTGCGCCCCTGCGTATCAAATGAAAATCATGCAAACACACCCCCACGCATCCAGAAAGCAACCAGCCGCCCACAGCACTGTAACGTCCGCTCGCAGTTCGCCTCCTCCCCCCGGTCGCGCGAGTCACGCGTGCCACTGGCGTTTGCACGTCCAACCTTCGGGGCCGAACGGGGCGGCGGCGACGGGCGACGGAGGCGGGGCCCGCTTGACATATCCTTCCTTCCGCATGCGGCATGGCGGGCGGTGGAATATGCGGCCGACAAAGGCGACGTGCAGCCTGTCTAACCAGCACATGAGATGCCTTATCGTTGGTTTTGCTGAGTCCTCCGATTACGTACGGATTCATGCTTTTTGGAGGCTTGGAATTAGGGTGGCATGTTCCGGCGTAGTGTCGGCTGTGCTTCCGAGTGATGCTTGATGGCGCACGCATTTGTGCCTGTTTTGGGCTGGCTAGGCTGAAGTTGGGTATTGGAGTTGGTGGGCTTCAAGCAGGCATTTATTAAGGCGGAGATGGAGTGACACGACGAGGCGAAACGTGGTTCTTCTGAATCACTGTCCCATTCTCATGGCCATTGCGGCGCCATCTGCACCTGTTGTGCCCGTCCTTTCAATGCTACCTGTGCACCGTGAGTGATTCCACCGATGATGCAATGGCGACCCTGAAGGCGCGCCTGTCTGCACGCGATTGGATTTCCCTTCTGGATTGGCGGTAGCAGAGCGCGAGGGTAGCGCCACGGAGATCATTTCAACCTCGCCTTTACTCGCTATTCTTACCCCGGATCCATGCCCTACATACCCGCGGTATTGCACGGAAGAGCTTTCATTCGACCAGCGGCCGCATATACCTCATTTCGAGCTCGCAGGCGCTGCACTGTTTTACCTGGTGGCTACCTCCCTGACGCACACCGTTGCACTGCGTGCAGCACGTCCGCACGTGCTCGACTATGCAACGTTGCTGGTGGCCATCGGAAGCTTAACAGTGCTTGAGTGCCTTGCTCCATGCGGAGAGTCCAGGCGAAGGTCGTCGCCATCAACCGTAGGCCGACGTCACCGAACGCCCCTCTCTACCTACTACTATTTCTTTCCATCCGGATGTTACCCTGCCTGTTCTTCCGGAGGGCGTGGATTCGGGACCGCCTGCGCCACCGCAGCGCGGCCTCCACCCGGCGTTATGACACCGTCTCGCGTGGACGGTGTGATTGCGTGTGCCGGTGGGCGCAAGCAGGCCAATGTCGCCAAATGCCACCCGACCCCATCTTCGCCCGTGCTAGTTCGTGGGTGGAGGCTCAAGGCAACGTGGGCTAGCGTTGTATTAAGCTTCACGCCGTTCGGCGCCGTGGATCCACGCGGGGCCTGCAGCTGCGTCCAGGTGTCCACACTTGAGGCTCGCCGTGATAAGTCAACCGACGGTTTGCAGGGCACAGTTGGGTGACTAATCTTGGAACTGCCGGTGGGGGGCCGCTGTGCGGGCAACTTTCAGCATCGCGACAGCTCGACGGAGCGGGGCCCGAGCGTGGCTTAGCGGACCAGGGCAGGGCTAAATCGCAGCAACGCTCGGGCTTCCTCCATCTCTCTTCTCCTCGCTTGTCCTTCCTGGCACGACGCTCACGTGGCAGTGCTCGCGCGATGCCTGCTTCTTCGAGAAGGTACCTTGTCCTTGCCCTGATTCCCGTCGATCAAGGGCTGTCAGCAGAGCGCAGTAGTCGCAACCGGCGCCCTAAACCGCGCACACTTTATTTCGCCGTTCGCCTGAGGCTAGACAGGCTATAGTTACTACCTCCGCCCTTAACGCGCCGCCTCTTCGCTTCCAAGCTGTTTGGGGAGCCTCCGGGGGATTCTCATCAATACTTTGACGCGCTCGCATCAAACGTGCCCTATTTGCGCCCTCTCATCTCGGATCGACGTGGTGGTCCAACGGATCCACGATACCGGAGAATGCCGACAGCCACGTTGCACACGAGCGCAACGCCGTGCCCACATACTAGGCTCGTGGAGGCTATGCCGCTGCTATAAGGGTAGACCAACAGAGACGGCATGAGGCCTCTTTCATCGATATTGCACGCTGGGGCCCTGCCGCTCTTCGCCCCGGTTCTAGATCGTGTGTCTGCAGCAAGGCTGTCGCAAGCCGGAGCCCTAGCGGAGTCCGGAGCCGTGTTCGGGGCCAAAGACATCCAGAGCCGAAGTGCGCATAGAAAGAACCACGCGTCAAACGGATGACACTCGAGACCAACCAACTTCAACTGTGGAGATGAATAACTTAAAGTAACCCAGGTACTCCGGACAACCTCGTGGCGTCGGAATGACCGGATGCTGGTTCTAGCCCTCGAAGTTGCGGGCTTGTGTATGGTTGCTGCATGAAACCGCAGAGCCTACACTTCCTTTTTATCTACTCTACATGCACCTTCCACTCCGTTTTAATTTGGCAATCCTTTCTAGACTCGCGCGCTCCCAACCTTGCCCTTTCCTTGCCCTCTGGCCCCTCTTCCCTCCATAGTGTTGGCGACAATCACTCTGTCAAGTTGAGACGGTGACAACGAGGAAACTCGATGATGACGCTTGGCAACCAGTGCCCTAGGAGCCTCAGCGGACTAATCGGCCCGTTGTGCATGATCAAGAGCTCTGGAACAGCCACTCGACTCTGGGCGTTGACATCAAGTTTTCAACAATGCTGACCCGCCACCAAGCCTTGATTCCCCCGTACGCCGAATCAATGCGCTCGCAGTATCGACCGCCGCTCCGTCCCCATGTGATCCCCCCCTTCACGGAACGTTAATCACCTCCACCGTGCCTTTGAAGACATCGTACTTGACCCCCACAATCTGCGTCTCTTTTCTGACGAACGGCGAGTTGCGCAGCAACGTCACGTCCTCTCGAATGCTGTCCTCGGGCCTACAACGAAAGATGAGTTAGCAGTTGGGCCTTTGCCTTCTCCCCAAAGGGAAGACGGGCAACACTCACGGTCCCAGCATCTCGCCGTATTTCGTATTCTCAATCCATTTGCGCTCCGCGGGGTCTTCGGTCCGCGAAAGCAATATGTTCTTCACATCCGCGTCGTGGAAATGCGTCATGCCGCAATCTGTCTCGCATCATCTCTCATTAGCAACTGCTCTATCGTCTCCATCATCTCCAACCTGAACTAACCGCTATGGTGCATAACCACAATCGTCGACGGCGACCCAATAGCATCGAGCACAGCAATCGAGCGCAGAGCATCAAACGTCCTCCCGCCCGCATTGCGAATGACGACGGGGAATCCTACCACCGCCAGCAGTTGTCAGCTCGAGCCCCGCTGCGACGAAAGAGAACACCGTCGGGGCGAAATGTCTTACGTTGTTGCGCCGTCTCGTCCAGCCCGAAGATGGCGTAGGGATTCAGGCGCGGGTCGGCGCAGGTGATGATCATCACGCCGTCGTCGGGGGTGCGCTGCCGGTTGTGCATTTGCATGAGGGTGGGGATGCCTTTTCGGCTTTCGGCGTGTTTTCTGTTGATTTCGGGCACGGTCAGTTTGATGCGATGGTGAAGAAAAGGTGGTTGGAAGGGCGAGTATGCGTACTGGTTCCGTTCGAACATGTCGGTGAGGGCGCTTGGGACTTTCGACATCTTGGGGACGGTTCTGGGTGTTTGAAGCTTAGAAGGCGGGAGAAGCTGTTGACGATGATGGTGCTATGGATGGACAAAGAGAAGACGAGGAAGGCAGAGCATGTCCCCTTAAGTACACTTTGCCCCGGCCGTATGCTGAGTCTACGCCGCAGTTGTCATTGCAGCGAACGTGAATCGATTACCTTACTTTGACGCGCGCCATCCGACGAGGTTTGACAAGGCATTAGTCAGTGATTACAGGACATCAGGCCTAGGCATGGACTCCATGTAGTCATCGCGGGAAGGCTTCTGGGACGAAACATTTCAAAAGGTGTGAAAGGGATTACTGTTTGTTAGGTGAAAGGACCTGATTGTGCTGGGGGCGAAGAAGCCACGAGGTCGGACTACTTCTAATCAATGCCGAGCTGAGGCCGCGGCAGTGTGCAACTTGCTGTCACGATGAATAAGCCCAAGCCCGATGACGTTGAAGGCTGGGAAGGTGTTGGTTCGCGTATTGCGGAGGCCAGCGAATGTGCTGAGTTCATTGTATTTAATAATTTATACAGGTAGTTGGTGGTACACGTAGAGATCTTTCGTCTCTGCACGAAAGAAAGCATCACGAGCGGAGAGACAGCATCGCCCTGCTATGGTCGAGTACAAAGACCGGCCCAGCCGCGTCAAACCTGCGAACTCTCGCCTAACGTCCGTAACACGCCCTCGTACACGCCAAACATGATGGCCGCGCTCGGCACCACGCGCAGCATGTGCGGCACCAGCCCGCCGTACAGCGCCGGCATGCCCTCCTCGCGGAACACGGTGACGAAGCAGTTCCAGAGGCCGTTGTACTTCACATTCCCCGCTGCGTCGACGGGCGCCTGTCGCAATCGCGTGCGCACCACTTCGTGTGGATATGTGATGAGTGCTGCGATGAACTTTGCTCCTCCCGCCGCGGTCAACTTTCCCGTCCATGCTACCGTTCGATCCCAGAGCGTTGGAGGTCGACCGGATAGGGCGAGGTCGCGTTCTCGCCGGGAGAGCGCGCGTTTCGCCTGCTCGTACAGCACCCATTGGAGCGTGCTTTCGCTCACGCCGAGATAGCTGGCACTGAGCCCGCGGTACAATCCTCTGATGCCCTCGGTGCGGAAAGTCTGGCGCACGCAGTCCCATGCATTCCGGTATTGCCTGCCCTGGCCGTCCGCTCCAGCATGCTGTCTGTCGAGTTGGAGCCGGGTTTTGACCAGCCAGATGGGATTGGTGGCGGTGCCTGTGATGATGCCTGCCGTCGCGGCCGCCAAAAGATGCACGCCGGCCGTCTCCTCGCCGCCGAACAAGAGGGAGCTGTAGACTCGTTTGCCGTTGCCGTACGCCCAGAAGTTGATGGCGCGCGCCGGCACCACGCCGATGAGATTCGGGCCGAGGCCTTTGAAGAGCGCGCGCCAGCCCTCCGTCTTGGGAATCTGCGCGAGGATCTGTCCGGTCTCCGCAATGTGTAGCCAACCCGCTCGTACAATGCCCATTTGACTGGGTGCGGGGATGCCTTTTGCCGCGCGACTCGCCGCCAACTGATGTTGGTAGAAGGTGCTTTGCAGCCGCGTTTTGAGCACGTCGAGAGGCGACGTCAAAGTCGCGGAGGTCATGCCTCCCAATCCACCCGCAACGAAGTGCGCCCAAGGCCTGCGCTCCTTAGCGGAGGGCGCAGGCGGCGAGGTCATCTGTCCTCCATCTTCTGCTGCTTTTGGATCGACCTGGCCCAGTTCGCGGGACTCGGTGAAGGGGCGGGGGACGGGTTGCGACGGCTCTGCGTTCGCGCCTGTGGATCGAGATGTCGCAACCATCCACGAGGTGGTGCGGGAGGGCGGCGGAGAGGTGCTGGTAGGTTGTCACGGCGCGCAGGTCAGATTGGCAATGTCATTGGTTATCGCTGTGTCGCATGGAGATTGAGCGAATTGATCTGGCTGTGTGGGATAAGGCTGGAATGCTCGGGTGGGGAAAGACGTGGTTGATGAGCGGGAGATTTTCTTGAAGTCCATGCATGATCCGCGCTCCGCACGCGCAGCCAATCAAAAGCCGCCTCTTTCTGCGGCGAACGCGGGAGTCTGCTCCCGAACGTCACCACCGGGCGAGCATTGCGAGTGCATCTCCAATCTCCAACGTCTATCTGTCCCTACCACCCTCGTCGCGACCCCATTCGAACAACGTCACCATGTTCGCGACACCAATACGTCTCGCGAGCCGCGGCATGCCCGGCTTCTGGCGGCGCAGCATGGACGAGTTCAAGCGGCAAGCCAACATCGCCGTCAAGATGGAGGGCCTACATGTCCCCACCAAACCCCGTCCGCTCATGCAGTTCGAGCACCCCGGCGACATCGAGCGGTGCAAAGTGATGTGTGATTCGAAGATGGGCGGCTTCAGCAAAGCAAGCTTCACATTCCAAGAGGGTCGAGAGCACCAGAACAGCACACGCGAACAAGGCATCATTGGAGACGGGAATGAGAACGAGGCAGGAGAAGAGCCATCACATGTTTTGTTCAAGGGGAGCATAAGTACAGAACTCCCGCCGAACCAGCCGGATGTGCAGCGCAGTGGCTACGCGGCATGGAGGACGCGGGATCGAGGGTGGTGGATGTTTGGCAAGCTGCTGTGGGACATTGACCCTTATACCTTTCTGGCACTACGAATCAAGAGCGACGGGAGGAAGTACTTTGTGAACATCCAGACCGAGTCGATTGTGCCCACCGACATCCACCAGCATCTGCTCCCGTGCTACACGCCGGGGCAGTGGGAGACGGTCATCATTCCTTTCCACGCTTTTGTGCGCACAAACTATGGCATGGTGGTGGAGCCGCAGAGGGAAATGCTGCGGCAGAAGGTGCGGTCGGTGGGGATCGGCCTGACGGATCGCGTGCCCGGTCCATTCGAGTTGTGCATCGCGGATGTGTACGCGACCAACGCTGCTCCGGTGAAGGGGGTGGGGAGGGAGGAGAGTGGGTTTGACATGGAGCCTGAGCGCACGGGCATGATGGATGAGATTGAGCCGAGGAGAAAGAAGGGAGAGCCGGAGCGAATCCTGATATGATTGACGATCCGACTCCACCGAGAATATTTTATGAAAATGCGCAGCCAAGGGAGAATGGTCAGCACCGGGCAAATTTGATATGATCGCGATCGACCGTGACAATCAACAACAGCGAGGCCACGGTGGGGAACAGCATTTGATTGGGGAGCGCTTCCGAACACGATCACGATCTGCCTGGCCATGAACGTGATGATGTTCGTGGTGTTGGGCAGAAGTCGGATCGCAGGCAAACCCCTACCGTGCAAGATGGCGTGTCTCGCCAACACATAGCCTGTGGTGGGTGAAAGCAGCACAGCCGAAACACGGCATCGACGGAAAGCTGCGCAGCCAGTCGCCACGGATGCTTGCGGGGAGGGACAGAGGCCCCAGATTGGAAGCCATATCGCGGTACCAACAAGTACTGTCTCTGCCACATGTGAGATCGAAGACGGCAGCACTGGTAGAGTTGCTGGATGCACGCTTGTGGCATCACTCAAATGAAACACGACCTGCATGCCCTACCCTGCCCTGATCAAACCACCTTGCCTTAGGCGCTACTGCGGAAAATGCCGGACTGCAGCTCGCCAACCCAGTCCGCCGCTCTCAGTCATTCACGTGAGATTTAACAACTCCCCCGGCATGCGGTAGGGTTGGTGGCCAAGGTGGCGGTCACGACAATCTCTTTGCCTCCGCCGCCTCCTCCGCCCCCAAGCTGACACTACATGTACTGTCCATAGGTACTGTACAAGATGTCGAATCTCCTGGCCTCAATTTGGTCTCGCGTGGAACGGTTGGAAGCCCTGAAGCCCTAGGTAGGCTACGTTTACCTCATCCATACCGTCGCGACCGGGGGAGCTTGCGGAGGCGCAAGCCCTCGTCGGCATCCTCCGAGCTGCAATAATTCAATACCTGATTTTCCCGGTCGTGCAATCGGTCTGTCGCAACGACAGGCGATGCAGTGCAGGGGTTTGGCGCCATTTATCGGCTGTCCATGCTGCACTCGGACTTGCCGTCAATGTGCGGTGTGACTGTTTAGTGAACATGCGGGTTGACTTGCTGGTTCCATCTCGTGACACTCGGCCGGGGTGAATGCTCTCCCCGGCTCCGCGTGAGAGATGGCGAATCTCGGGCGGCCACCAGGTCGCCGGTTGACTGCTGGATCTGGGGAAAGAAATGAGAGCCCCACTCCTTGCTCCTCGTCTTCTCCATCAAACCTCCGACGCTCCAGACACAGAAGGCCGCGGGGGTGGCGGGCGGAGAGTTCGTCCATCCCCGCCGCCACTTTACTTTCATCCCCAGCCACTCGCGGAGCACACTTGTGGCTGACCGCGCATTTGTCTCTTTCATCGCGGAGAAACACCACATTCCAGACAAAATCACATTGTTGTGTGTACACAAGAAATATTGTCTGGTTATAAATGATTTTAATGGTGTTTCTACGCGTTGGCGGGTTCCCAGCACCCCCGAATGTCGAGAGGTGGCCGATGTTGGGCGTGGCTGGCAGGCACAGCCTAGTGCGCAAGGCTGGGAACTCCAACCACCTCACCCAGCGAAAATAGCCACCACACCCTGGGAAACACCCAGCACGACCTCGTGTTGCGCCAAACATGGCCGGAGACTTCTCGTATCTGTCAACTCGGACAATTACCAAGCCTCATTCGGAGGTTGGGATATTTGACATGGCGGGTCGCGGGCGTCTACATATATTCCGACCTGTCACGCTTCATCCTTCATCACATCAATTCTCCGACATCCAAGTGAGCAGCACCACCCTTCCTTGCCCATTCTCCTCTGCACATACTTCCTTCCCGTGCACATACTTCCATCCCCCAACACCTCACACACATATCCTTCCCCTCCCTTCACTCTTCCAACCTCCCATATCCTTCACCATGCAATTCACACTCTCCTCCCTGGCGCTGCTCGCCACTGTCGGTCTCGTCACCGCAGCCCCTCAATCCCCTCCATCGAGTGCCTTTCCAGCTGGCGGTCCTCCCGGCGGTCCTCCCGGCGGTGCCGGCGGTGCCAGCGGCTGGGGTGCAACAACCAGCAGCACCTGCGCAACCTCTTACCCGACGTCTATCAATGTCCTCACCGACCCGGTGACTCTTACTTCCACGACAACCTGGTGGAATACCTCGTACATTACCACCTCGACCCCGAGTCCCGTCGTACATACCGACTACAGTAAGTGACATTTCTCACCCTCTACTATGCTGGCCTCGCACTAACATCCACAATAGTCACCACAACCAGCACGTCAACCACGACGTGGTCCGTCCCCACCAGCATCAAAGTGCCCTACACCACCTACCGCGTCATCACCATCCCAGTGCACACCTACAACATGACCTCCTCCTACATCACCTCCAGCAGCGAGCTCTACCCCACCAGCGTGCTGACCGAGTACTGCACCAACACGACCATGATCGTCGACGTCCTGACGACCAGCACCCCCGTCTACGACCCCTACTACATCACCAGCTCCACCATGTCCACGGAGACGGTGACGGCCACCAGCACCAGCTGTGCTACGTGGACTGTGGACCCCAGCTGGCCTACGCAGACTGGTTGGTAAAAGGGGCTGTATGTAAGGCATTGAAGACTTCGATGCTGATGATTGATGCGTTGACGCGAGGGGAGCACATGGAGCAATGATGCTTACGCTTGATCTTTGTTGGCACGGCTGGAGGAATGCACAGACGATTTTTGCGCGACGGTTGATGTTTTTTTCCGTACTTTACTAGAGATAATATGGGTAACGTGGTGTGAAATGTGAGAAACCATTCAGAAAAACATCTTCTCGTGTCTATATATCTAGATTGATGAGCGAACAGGCTAAAAGGCCCGCGCAATTCATGTCAGCGTCCTGTGTATTAAAAGGGCAACTCCATATCTTCCGCCCGCTCCTCAGTCTTCCCCGATGTGCTTCCCGTGCCTGTGTCACCCACGGACTCTCGGATGAAACTCGCAAGCGCACCAACATACTGCTTCTGGCTACTGGGCAGAAAGTGACCCCCAGGATGATACACCACTCTCTGCACCCCACCCTCTGCGCCCCTTGGATTCACACAAGCATCCACAAGTCTCAAGCTCCTCTCCTCGCTAACAACCGTGTCCACCGTTCCGATAAAATGCATCATGGGTGTGTGTATCTTCGGCTCATAGAACGCCTGATACAGCGCGTTGGCCGACGCTCCAAATCCAGAGTAAGACACGGCAAACTTCAACGGCGGCTGCACCGTTTCTTCAATGAAACCTGTGTCCTGCACGAAGGAATCTGGGTAACGCATGCCGCCGTTTTGTTGCGCTGCTTCGAACGCTTCTCTCCGTCCAGACTCGAGGAGCGCGGCGACCATCCCTGCTGCCGCGCCACCCTGCGAGAAGCCTATGACGCCGTCAAAAGGGCCTTCGTTCTTGATCACTTCGGCGATTCTCGCTAGTCCCTGCTCCATGCCGGCGTACACGAAAGGCTCTGTGTCGCCTTTCCGTCGCCACCAGCCATACGCTTCCGGTTGATCGTTCTCGTCGCCAGCGAATCCAGGGATATCTCGAGGGTCCAATTTGATGGGAGCGGTCGGGTAGTGGAATTCCAAGCCATCGGGGTATTGCTCAAGATGGCCCGGTTTAGGGGCGGCAGGAATGGCTTTTTCCAGGGCTTTCTTGACGGCTTTGGTTTTGATTTCGAAGAGACGGCCGTCTTGAGTGAAACCGTGGAGCATTAGGATTTTGAGGGTTCGGGAAGGTTGTGATGCGCCATTCGAGGTGGCCATAACGGTAAGACGCCGGGAAGGTGTATCGATGGGACGATTGTGCGTCAAAATACGTTGCAGTCGTGGCGATTGGGTCCTGACCGCATTATGTAGACGGTTGAGACATTGCATTGATATTCAGTCCGGCGTTGATAATGATGGGAAGAATGGGGTCAAGTATGGGGAACGTGATAGACGCATCCGACTTGACAAAAGTCGTGGTGGAGGAAACTGCCTCGACGTGACGTCGATCGCGACAGGCAGGCCGCAGTAAACAAGGCACTCCCAACACCACCTCATCGAACACGACGCTTCTTCCCCTCGCCGCAACCATCTTCAATATCTACCCTATCAGTCACAGATGAGGTGACGATGATCTCGAGGCTGCTGTCCTCGCGCCTCACTCCCGCCGCCCGCCAGATCCCCTCCGCCGCGCTACGGAGGTCGGGGCCAACATCGCAACATGTCGTAGCCAGCGCGCCGCGAGCCCCCTTCTCCTCCGCCACCTTCTCCCGCACCCGCCCTCACCACCTCAACTCCCCGCGACGATGGCCTCTCGGCGCCAACGCCATCCACAACCTCCCCGCCGTCCGACATGCCTCCTTCGCCCGAGTCATCCCGCAACTCGCCATGAAGCTCATTCGCCTACCCGCCATGTTCGGCGCTGCGATGATTGGCGGTGTCGTCTATCTGCAATACCAAGCTGCACAGGCGGGCACTTGGGCTATTGACACGTTCGGCAAAGCGAAAGATGCCGCGACATCGACTGCCAGCGGTGCATTCGAAGGCTTGGGTGGGATATGGGCGCAGGTTGGACAGGGTTGGGATAAGACGAAGGAGGAGGTAAAGGGTGTCAATGTGGAGATGCCCGGATGGATGAGGGACATCTACGAAGGCCGGACCGGAAAGGAAGAGGGCGGGTCTGGTGGGAGCGGTGGCGGTCCAAATGAGCCGAAGCGCAGTAGTGTTGGCGCGGGCGTGGCGGGCGCGGGTGCTGCGACTGCTGGAGCCTTTGCGCTGGATGCCGAAGGCCAAGAGGACGATCGGTCGGACGACGTGGCTGCCAGAGACGATCAAATGATGATGCTCACCCGCAAGATGATCGAAATCCGGAGCCTTCTCCAAACCATCGGCCAGACCGAGTCCCTGACTCTGCCATCGATTGTCGTGGTCGGTTCTCAATCGTCCGGCAAAAGTTCCGTCTTGGAGGCTATCGTGGGCCACGAATTCCTCCCCAAAGGCTCTAACATGGTCACGAGGAGGCCAATTGAACTCACGCTTGTCAATACACCCAAAGCCCACGCCGAGTATGGTGAATTCCCGGCGCTGGGTCTCGGCAAAATCACCGACTTTTCCCAGATCCAAAAGACGCTCACGGACCTTAATCTGGCTGTTCCGGAGAAGGAATGCGTTTCGGATGACCCGATCCAACTTCGCATTTCTTCGCCCAACGTTCCGGATCTTAGTCTGATCGATCTGCCGGGCTACATCCAAGTGGAGGCTTTCGACCAACCAACGGAGCTGAAAGTTAAGATTCAGGAGCTGTGCGAGAAATACATCCAACCACCCAATGTCATTCTGGCGATCTCTGCTGCAGATGTCGATCTTGCAAATAGCACTGCACTTCGCGCCTCCCGACGTGTTGATCCGAGGGGAGAGAGAACCATTGGTGTGGTGACCAAGATGGACCTCGTCGAGCCCCAGAGGGGCACTCAGATCTTGAACGACCGGAACTATCCTCTCAAGCTGGGATACGTTGGCGTGGTCTGCAAGATTCCGCAAGAATCCAAATCGCTCTTCAAGCGAGGCTCGGCCAACATCCTGAACGCCATCTCGAAGAACGAAGCAAGCTACTTCAATTCGCATCCCGAAGCTTTCGGCGAAGGCACCAAGGTTACGACAGGCACGTCGAATCTGAGAAAGAAGCTGATGCATGTTCTCGAGAGCACGATGAGCGCGTCGCTGGCCAGCACAAGCGAGAAAGTGTCTCGAGAGCTTGCCGAGGCGACGTATGAGTTCAAAGTGCAGTATAACGAGCGACCTTTGTCGGCGGAAAGCTACCTGGCCGAAAGTCTGGATGCCTTCAAGCACGGCTTCAAGTCGTTCACTGAGTCATTCGGTCGGCGGGAAGTAAGAGAGATCGTTAAGAACGAACTCGATCAGCAGGTCTTGAATTTGCTCGCGCAGCGATATTGGAATAAACCTGTGGAGAATCTTACCCCCGAAGAAGGCCAGACTGTACTCAAAACACTTGAAGAGCTGCCCAAGGTCAAGGAGCAGGACATGGAGCTGTGGAAGCTGAGGTGCGACGCCAGCACCAGCACCCTCACCAAGATCGGCATTGGTCGGTTGGCGACTAGCATCACGGCGCAAGCGTTGCAGGAAAGTGTGCAATCGCTCATCCAGAACAGCACATTCTCCAACCACCCCTTCGCTGTCAACGCCATCAGAGAAGCGAGCGAGGGCATCTTGCGAGACCTCAGTTGGGAGACGGCGGATGAGCTGGAAATCTGCGTCAAGCCGTACAAGTATCGCGTCGAGGTCGACGATGCAGACTGGAGAAGGGGAAGAGACCACATCGCCGAAGTACTGAAACGTGAGCTGCGAGACTGCGAGGCCGCCGCCAAAGCTATGGAGGAGCAGATTGGTGGAAGGCGGAAAGCCAAGGACGTCATTGGCTTCATCGACAGAGTGAAGCGCGGTGAAGTCGTGCTCGAAGGCGACGGAGTGGGAGGCGCAGGAGGTTTCAGCGCCGCGCTTTTGACAAAAGGCCGCGAGGCGCTCTTCCTGCGCGACCGTGCGGACATACTCAAAATGCGTCTCTCCGCTGTCAAGAGTCGACAATGCTCCACGCCCGCGAACAAATACCACTGTCCCGAGGTCTTCCTTGACGCGGTGGCGAGTCAGTTGACCAATACCGCGGACTTGTTTCTCGATGCTGAGCTGCTGAGTAAATTCTACTACCAGTTTCCGCGGCGATTGGAGCAGGAGTTCAGGAGCTTGGACGAGTCGACGGTGGAGCGGTTTGCGCGCGAGGACCCCAAGGTGCGGAAGCACTTGGACTTGGTGAGGAGGAAGGACGGGCTGGAGCACGTGCTCAAAGAGATGGAGAGTTTGCGATTGTTGGAGAGCCGGGAACGCGAGAGAGGAAGGAGGGACGGCACGAGAGGCGAGGTGCCGGAGAGCAAGAAGAAGGGGTGGGGTTTGTTTTAAGAAGATGAGCGGCGTTGGGGGAATATATCTTGCTGATGCTGCTTTGATTGTGCGTGCGTGCGAGGGCAATTTTGCCATTTGTTGATGCTCGTAGTCATGACGATATCCACTCTGATCTCACAAGTTTGCATCCAACCTGTCTTTCACTTCTACATTACATTATTAGGTAGTACTTCTCAATCCCACACGCCTCGCAACACAGGCCGCGCGGGATCCCAGGGCCCGTGAATCTCGTTCTTGTACCGCTGCAGCCCGATTAACCACCAGCTCGTCAAACCCATGCCGAGACAGCAAATGATGCTACCAAACACCGCGCCCACAATGCCCGAAACGTAGCCTCCTCCCGAAATCGTCATATTCAATCCTCCCGACGCCAAGAGGACGAGCAAAGTCGTAAGCCAAAGATGCCCCGCCCAGCTGTTGTGTCGCAAATGTCGGCGAAACATGGGGAACAAGCCGAAGACTTCGATGCTGAAGAGGCTCAAGCTGAAGACGTGCGTGGTGGAGGGCAGGCGCGAGGCGAGCACGGTGGACGCCATGACGGCCGCGTTGGTGGAGAGGGAGGCGGGGAACTTCGATTCGGGCCCGGCGCCGTAGTCGAAGGTGAAGACGTTGAGGATCATGAGCCAGCTGCTGAGCGCCCAGATGGAGTCGATGGAGGTGGATTGCGTGAGGGATTTGAGGATGGGCGAGAGGCCTAGGAGCGAGCAGTAGATGAGGATGGCGGATTTGGCGGTGATGAGGCGCTCGCGGGTGCGGGCGGAGAGGGCGGAGGGCTCGCCGTTGCAGGGTGGTAGGTCTGGGTTTGGAGAGGTGGTTGGGATTGCGGGGAAGGAGGGGAGGTTGGTTTCGCTGTTGGCACTGAGTGGGGTGTCCATGGAGTTGACGCTGGGGATGCGGGAGTGGGGCGGAGATTGGAGCGCGCTCGGCGGGATGCTCGCGAGAGGGATGTGCTGTTCCTTGAAGGGCATGCCGAAATCCGCCATGTCGGAGCTACTCCGCGCAGAAGTCTTGTCGCCGTCTGTGGCGGCGCTGACGGGGGAATCGCCGGCTTCTTTGGCGGCTAGCTTGGCGGCGACTTCGCTCTCTTCGCGCGTCTGCCAGTAATCTCTCAATACCCAGCCCGCCACGGTCCCAAGCGTCGCCCAGCCGACGACCGTCTGAGGGCTGACTCGCTCCTGGAAGATGGCAGTGAAGCAACAGACGAAGATGACGACGGAGCAGACATGCTGCACGATGATGGTGCTATCCGCCACCAGCGGCCAGAACTCATAAGGTCGTAGTCGTGGATTCCGCTGCAGATGGTCGAGAAAGGTTTCCTCGTCGGTGTAGTTGTCGGGATAGGACTGCTTCACCCAAAGGAGCTTCTTCCACGGCACTTTCGGCCCCGAGCCTTCCTTTCCGTTGCGCCTTCGCCGACTGTCGCTGCTCCCACGTCGTTTCTCCCGCCATTTACGGGCGTCGGGAAAGCTTCCATTCGTCTGTGCTACCGGTGCGGCCGTGTTCGGGGCAATAGAGCGCTTGCGCAGCGGCGGAGGCGCGTAGAAGGCATCTTCCGGTCGCAGGTAGGACTGTCGGCCAGACTGGAGTGAGCTTGTACGTGAGGCTTCTGTGGTTGTTGTTGATTCAAAGTGCGACATGAAGTCGGACACGTTCGTGGCGGAATGGATGGCCAGTCGTGTCTGGAGTGACGAAGTCGAGTTCAAAACTACGATGGCGCGGCTGCGGCCAAGGGTCAAAGTCTCGGGTCTCAAGGCTCCTGTTTGCAGTCCATGAAGAGCTCTCCGTCTAGTGCAAACCCAGCATAATCTTTGCTAATGATTTCTTGTGTTCACTTGGATCAATCAGGAGGTTGTGGGCGTGAGCCGATGTGGCTCTGCCGGCGCGCGGCCGGCTTATGTAAGCGGCGTCCCCGCTCGGCCTCGCGCTCCGAAGCCGAACAGTTGTCGACCTCTTCTTGCAACCACTCCAATATATTACACTCGATGGCGGATCAGAAGTGGCGCTACCCCATAGTGGACGTGTGGGCAAACCCGCCGGGAGTGAGTGTCGAAAGGTAGAAAACGAGTAGGGCTGACCTTCGTTAAGCTCGGCGCCGCCATTCCGGAAGTCGCCAGGCTCTTTGAATACAGCCACTCCACTCCCGAGATCGCGGACAAATGGCGCTCGCCAGAAGATGTGATTGCGTACATGGACGAGGCCGGCATCTCCCACATGTGCATGTCCGCATGGAGCCGTCCGGGCAAATTCGTTTTCTCCAACGAGCACGTCGCCCAGTATACTCGTGCCTATCCTGACCGCATCTTCGGACTGGCGGCCGTGGACCTGCATGATCCCGTCAAAGCCGTGCAGACGCTAGATCATTACGTGAAGAAAGAAGGCTTCGTGGGTTTGCGTGTCGTTCCCTGGCTGTGGAACTTGCCACCAAGCGATGCGCACTACTGGCCTCTGTACGTCAAATGCATCGAGCTTGATATTCCCTTCCTCACTCAAGTTGGCCACACCGCGCCCGCATGCCCTTCTGAAGTTGGACGACCCATTCCACACATTGACTGGATCGCGCTCAAGTTCCCTGATCTCAAGATCATCATGGGCCACATAGGTGCGCCGTGGGCGCAGGAGACCGCGCTGGTGGCGTGGAAGCATAAGAATTGCTACATTGATACCAGTGCCTGGTCGCCAAAGTACTATGACAAGGAATTCATCAAGTTTGCCAACACCACGGGCAGAGACAAGGTCATGTTTGGCACCAACTGGCCACAGCTCGGTTTCAAGGCCTGTGTTGACCGAGTGAACGAGTATCTCGTTGGAACCAAGGATGGATTCAGAGATGGTGTCGTGGAGCCCTTCATGGGCAGGAATGCGTTGAGGGTGTTGAAGTTGCCCGAAAATAGGACAATGCAACAAAAGTCTAGACTTTGATCTGTACATAAGTCATCACTTCCTTCGATCTTCGACTCCCAAGTTCCGCTTCCACAGATCATTAATTCCAACCCGCTCTTCTCGCGTCAGTTTGCGGGCCACTTCTGCTCGTCTCCGCTCTTGTCCTTCCCATCGCGTCATTTCTCTATCAATGAAGCGAGAGCACACTTCTGCGCACTCTCTCGGTCTCTCCATCCCGACCAGGTGCCCGCAGTTCAAGACGACCTCTTCCACCCTGCCTGCTGCTACTCCTCCGTTGCCATCATTGCCAGATCCGGTGAGATCCATCTTTGCTTTGCGGTACTCTGGCGGCGATGCTGGAGATTCTTTGCCAAAGACGTACAGCGTGCTAGGCTTGATCTCGGGCAATTGACGGTACAGCTGGTCCATCTCGGGGCGCCAAAACGGAAGGCCATCCATGTCCTCGGAATGGTGATCGTCGGGAGGTCTGTCGTCTTGAAGCAGCCTTTCCTCGAAATATTTTGGCCGTAGGTAGAAATACACTTCTTGAGCGACGGTCGTACTGAGAGTCACCGGCGGTCCATCAGCACTGTTCCCCGCCGGCCCTTGGTCCACGTCTCGCAAGCCGAAAGCAAGCCACTTGTCGAGCACGCGCGGATCCCAGCTCTGGTAGTAAGAATTGCTCCGGAACTTGGCAGCGGCTGCCGCCCGCGACGGCCAAGTATCTCTTCGGAGCGTGGAGAGTCGTGCAAATTGTTTATGCGGGAGGAGCGATGTTTGGAGGATGGGGTCCACGAGGATCAAGCCGTGCAGAAGTCTAGGATGTAGGAGGGCAAGATGTGCTCTGGTATGAACGTCAGGCTCGTGCTAGACAGGTCAAGAGCGAGACCTACAGATGTGATGCGCCCACGCTGTTTCCGATGCCAATGATAGGATGTGGCATCTCTTCTTGGAATTGGTTGATCAGGAACAGAAGGTCTCGTGCGTGGTCGAGCCAGCTTGCTGTTATTGTGTCAACAAATTGTAGCATGAGACAGCACAGATTTGGGCAGTTCTTACGCTCTGGACCCAACACAGCCTCATTCAGAATGCCACTTTGGCCCTGACTGGCAATATCCGCAATCCAGATGCTTCGAATAGAGCAGCCTTGTGCACGCATGCAATCCTCCAAGTCGTCCCAAAAAGGCTCGCACATCTCCTTCGGGAAGCCATTCGCATGGGCGCCGATGATCGTCACGCCTTCATCGCGTCTTGATGATGCGTCGCCTTTCGGAATGTATTGGTTCACGTGCAGTCTCAGCGTATCTCGACTTCCCAGTGTTCCCGCCGCTCGATCGCGTGTATGCTGCGCCTTTACCACGTGCTCCACGACATTGAAGTTGGAGGTGTTGCGTCTCTGGCCGCGGCCTACGAGCAGTCGTCGGTGGCTTCGAGGGAAGCACCGTATGACGTGCCGTTGACCTAACATCGCCGGCTATTGGAAGTAATCGATGATAACTAGGGTCGCAGTAGAGGTGCGCAAATAAATTCCAGGAAAGCAACTCCGCGCCGAACACGCGCCAATGAAGCGCGGCCGGCGTTGTTTGGTTCTTAATGGAGAAGCATTGCAAGACCTGTCAAGGCGACCCAGGTAAGAAGAGATACAGGTGGGAGGTGAATGCGAGGTCGTTGGAGATAAAGCCGTAGTCTTCGAGATGGGAGTTCACGGGCATAGATGTCAGGCTCCTTCCCGAAGCGGATGATACTCGGCAAGCCCTGTCGTATATCAACCTGACTCCCGAAGTAATGATCGAGACACTGTACGAGAATACAAGATTGCGTCTATATATATAGATTGTAGTGGGCCAATGCCGTGCTCGTGTGGCGTATAGCGATATCTAGTCGCCCAAGAATCCCATTCGTGCAATCCAGAAAGCTGCACAGCCTTCTCCGAGGTGACTAGATGACCCATCCAGCGTGTCATGACGAACATCTAATGAGTCTCAACATTAATGCCTTATCACTATACGCACACCCTGACTGCCTTTGTACTGCACGATATTGATGCAGTCAGCAGCCATAGCCACGTCCGCCCTGGTCGTCTCAAACAACTCCAACGTCGGACCGTCTTGCTCGGTCTTCGTAGGGTCGTACACGTCGTACTTGCGGAATATACCCGCTATGAACGTCTGTAGCTCTTGATAGGCCAGATGCATTCCAAGGCACTGTCGCGTGCCTTTCGAGAAGGTGAAGAGGTGCTTTTGCAGGGCGGGATTCTCAAGGTACCGCTCAGGGAGAAAGTCGTCGGGTTGCGCGTACACATCGGAATGCCTGTTGAGAAGAGGCGCTGTCATGCCTACGCCGGTGCCGGCCGGGATGGTAAAGATTTTTCCGTCTGATGGACGTTGGTAGATCAAATCTTCATCGGGAGCCAGACGGTCTTGTCGATGCGTAGCGCCGGGGTAGAGACGTAGTGCTTCCCTGATGATTGCGTTGAGCAGTGGCAGTTCGTCCAGTTTAGAAGCGGTGGGGAGAGTATTGACATCCGGAATAGCGGTCTCCAGTTCCTTTCGTAGTCTTCCCAACAGCTTTGGATCGGCGAGCAGGTGGTACATAATTGCAGCCAGTGTAGACGCCGTAGTGTCTGTCCCAGCAATCAGCATCACCATAGCCTCGTCGCCCAGCCGTTTCGTCGTCTTCTCCGACAGCGGCATATCGCTTTTGACGAGTTCGTGGAAGATGGTCTTCCCTTCCGGATCCTCTTTCGCATCCCGAATACCATCGATACGAGCATAGAGTTCCTGTGATGCATTTAGCAGTGTTCAATTCCAAACACGACGACATATTTCCTCACCTTCATGAAACCGGCAAAGACCGCAATCCTGGGCACAAGCAGCTGCATCACCGCAAGCGGCAAGTTCGCCATGAACAACATGAGTGAGCGAAAGTGCGTGCCCATGTGGAATGACGACTGAGGAATCATGATGTCGAAAAAGGCGGCATTGCAATCTTCCATGTCCAGACATCTTTCCGCCTCGCCAAATGCATACGCCTGGATGACGTCTTTCGTCGCGGCGCGGAAGGCAACGTTCATACCCACCGGCTTCCCTTCTCTCGCCCAGCCCTCCATGCGATGCAGCAAATTAGCCAAAGTGTCGTTGATCACCGGCTCCAGACGGCGCACGTTGGCGTGGGAGAAGTACGGGTTGAGGGCAGCGCGACGGCGACGATGCAAGTCGTGGTCTCGAGTCGACAGCATCGAGCCATGGTCTTGCATGGTGTATAGAAGGGTGTAGAAACGCTCGCGCCGCATCTTCGGCGACTGTGTGTACAGTGTCTCCACGAACTTGTGGTCGTTGACGTGGATGGTGTCGGGTCGTGTGCGTACAATCGGGCCATACTGCCTGTGCATCTCCTCCACGACCCACACGTATTGTCCGCCGCGCACCACATCGTGGTAAGCATTGTAAAGAGTGGTCACTGCTGCGATCTTGGGGCCGGGAAACTTCGAAAGCGGATGGAAGTAGAGTCTGTAGATGACCGTGAAGGCCACATATCCGAGCAGGGCAAGCGCCAGCAGCCAGATGGTGTTCATGACGGACGTTCTCTAGATGTGTAGAACACGAGCGCAGCAAGTATCCAGTCTGAAGCAAAAGAAGGCACGGCCGTTAGCAACATGTTTCGCTAGGCTAAGGCAAGACTAAGATACAGTAAGCACAGGCTACCGCGAGGGTGTTGAGGGTCGGCTCCCGTCGTTTCAGCCGTTAGCATACATGTAGGTATGAAGCCAAGGCGGCCGACGTCAGCACTACCACCTACCTTACTGCACCGCCCAAGTGTGCGCGCAGTGAAAACAAATCGCCCATCAAGGGTCTGAGCATTGATACAGCCGATCGTCATTTTTCATTCTATCCAGAATGCGCAGCGTCCACGTTACAAAGCGCTACCGCCAACCTCCCCAAACCTATCAAGGCGCCCGAACGCAGTGCATGCAGAATAAGGTACTTGTCATGTCCATGGTACACACAGAGTCCAGCTAGGCAACGGCCCCAACAACCAGCGCCGCCAGACCCTCCTCCTCACTCCTGACCTCTACCTTGACCGTCACGCCCGACTTCGCACTATACGCCATCCTGACATTGCCCGCGACCTTACCACCCGCAACGCTGCGTCCGAACAGCTTGAGTGCGTGCGTGCTCGTGCTCAGCGACACCTCCGTTCCCTCGAGCGGCTGCATGGCTAGCTGTTTCACCAGCAACTCCACCGCCTCTTGGATGCTTCTCGCAGCAGAAAGCTGCAGAGTCTCCTCCGCCTCGTCCGCGCCATCCAAGGATTCCCAGATGCTCGAGAAGTTGCCGGCAAAAGCGGGAAGAATGTAATCCGCGCCGGTGAGCTCAAGGTCTTCCACTTGATACTCGTCTTCGTATCCGCTCTCCTCCGGCTCGTTCGTCGTGGGATCAATTTCTTTGATGGTGAATTTGAGGACGTTGGTGAAGCTGGCAGCGGTAAATGTCTCGCCGGCGGGTCGCTGGAAGTAGACATAGACTGTGCCCGGTTCTTCAGCCTTGAGCGCGGGGATGGGGATGAAGAAGCCATCGTCGAGGCCGCTTGCTTCTTCCCCGTCCTCGCCTGCCGACGGTGTGCTGACCACGCCGACGTCCGTAAGCACGTAATCGGCAATGGTGTTCTTGACGTCGAATTGCAGGACAATGTGGCCGCGGAACAAGTGCTTGACAGCCGAGACAACGTATTCCGTCTCGCTCTCCGTCAATTCCACCACACCAGAGCTCTTGAGCAGCGGTCCAAAGTCCTTGAACTCCGGGATGGCGGCCAGAGCTTGAGCATACTTTTGGCTTGCTGCTGCTGAGTCTCTGGCTGCATCCGCCGCTGCCGCTCCCGCCTCTGCCTTCTTGGGTCCACTGATCGTTGGTGCTTTGAGTGTAGGCGTTGCAGTCGTGAGTTTCTTCGTCCGGTCTTCCGCAAGCGATTGCTCCCTGGTCACAACGGGGACATTGCTGAAGTCGAATGGCTTGGCGAATGCTTCGGCAGAGCTGCCATTGACGTAGTGTGCCAACTGGTCTTCCAGAATTGGCAGAGAGAACATTGAATCTGTCCGTACGAGTTAGTAAACAGAAATTTGGCGAAAGAAGCGTCCAAGAACGTACCATTGCGCACAAACTTCCCCACTTCTTCGTCATCTTTGTCCTTCATCAATCTGAGGTTGAGCGCCGCCCGATCTCTGACCTCATCGTCCATATCATCCAGACATCTCCTCAACAACACCTCCACCGAGCTCTTGACATCCGGATCTTTCTGTCCGACTCCAAACTTGGCAAGCGCAGTGACGGCCGCGGCTCTGACGATCGCATTCTCCAGCACCACACGGTTGTAGATGTATCGGATGTACTTCGTGGGTTGCGCCGTCCTCGGCCCTTCTAGTCCAAGAAGATGCAAGATGCGCACAGCGAGCTTGGTGAATTCGCAATCCTCGATGAACTCGCACAAATGCGCCAAAGCGTCTTCCTTGCTTTCCGGAACGAATTTGATGAGATCGAAGATGCTCTCCACCACACTTCGCTTGAACTCATAGCCGCCCTCGTCACGCAAGACACCTGACAGGAATTGCAGCATGCCGGCCTGCTTGGAAGGGAATTTGAGACAGAGTGTCCGGATTGCCTCCACCACGGTGACCTTGAACTCGTCTGTGATGTCGGACATGAAGGTACTGATCTGCTTCATCAGACGATCAACCGATGCCTCGTTTCCGGTCTTCAAGAGGGTGGTGATGGCGAAAGTAGCAATGGAGCGATTGGTGTTGGAGATCAGCGCCTCGATATCGGGGTTGCATTGTCGCACGGCGTCGGGCTTGAAGGAAGCGAACTGATGGAGGATTCTGATGGCCGCAAATTTCGTTACGGCTCGCGGGCTCGTCAAGAAGAGCTGAAGGACGTGTATCGCCTGGCCCACCTCTGCGTCGGTAAGATCGGGCATGCTACAGATGGCCTTGGCAGCCTCGAAGTTGACCATCTCGCTCTTATCCCGCAACCAGTCGTCAAGAAGTTTCATCATTGGTTTCCGCAGGCCAGATGGTTCGTCCTCGGCCAGTTTCGCCGCAAGCCGGACCAGCATGACTCTTGCAGCAGGGCTTTTGACAACTCCCGCAGCACTGTACTGTTGGACCATCTTCACCAGTGCCATTCGATCGTGCGATCGCATTTGATATAAAAGGCCAATGGCGTGGTACTGTGTCATGTAATTCGTTGAGGTTGCGGCCATGTGCGCATGCTGGCCCATGAACCCCGACATCAAGCTGCCACCGGATTTGTTAGAAGAGGCGGCTTCTTGTGTCTCGGATTGCCAGCGGCGGACGATGTCGCGAGCGATGGGGAGGAGGTGGTAGGAGGAGACAAGGGCGGCGGAGGAGACGGAGGGGTTCTTGTCGACAATGGCGGTTTTGATGTTGCGTTCGATGGCACCCACAGTGGAGGCCTTGGTGGCGTGTCAGCAAGATGCATTCGACGTGCTGGTCGATTCTCACGAAGAAAACTCACATCAATGATGCGACAAAGCGCGCGAATGGCATTGGCTCGGTATAGCTCGCCGGTGCCCACCGCCGCGGTGTCCTTCATGATACTGCTCGTGACCATGATGACATCCTCCGCCTCTTTGCTCAGCTCTTTGATGATGAGGTAGACCATCTGCCGTAGCGAGGCATCTTTGTTCTGAAACAACTTCGAGATGCCGAAGAAAAGGGAGGTGGCTTCGTTGGTGGGGAACGACTCGCCGGTAAAGAGGAGGAGGGCAATCTTGGTGAGTAGGATGCGACATTTCCGCGGCGAGATGGGGGAAGTGTTGAAGACACGCGCTGGGATTGTCAACTTCTTGCAGCCCCAGAATGTATACAGGGAGTGTGAAGGGATGGCGAACCTTCCTGGAAGACGCTGGTGCGGTCTACCTTGACGATACCAGCGTCATCCTCATCCTTCTTGTTGAAGCTCATTTTGAAGGTTGACAAGGCTCCCTATCGGAGCGACATAAGAAGGGGCGGAAACGAGCGTAGAGGCGAGTGATGGATGTTTGGATTCGTGGTGGCTCGACTTGAGGTCCAGGGACGGGGGGGACACTTTTCCATGCGAAGTCTTGGCATTGGCCGCATGACTCGCGTGGCCTCGATACGAGCTGCGTAAGACGAGAATATCTCGACGCCTTCTCGTTTTTCTTCATCTTCTTGACGCAAATCCTCTCGTTTCACATCGTTTCAACATGGATGATATGCCGGTGCAAGTGCCGGTGGATGATCCCAACGCAGACACAGAGTGGAATGATATCCTCCGGAAACATGGCATCATCCCCGAAAAGCCTCCAGACAGGACGGCCGAGATCGAAGAAGCGCTTGCAGAAGCCGAGCAAATACGGTGGCAGAGACGATTGGAGGACAAAGACCTGGACGAGCTAGATGAGTTGGAAGACGACGAAGACGAAGAATTTCTTGATGAGTACCGCCAGAAACGAATGGGCGAGCTGCGCAGCTTGCGAGATGCCAGCGTCTACGGCCAGGTCTTTCCGCTGCAGAAACCAGAGTACCAAAAAGAGGTCACCGACGCCTCCGCCAAAACGTCGGTCTTCGTTCTCCTTACCTCCTCCTCCGGCACGAACCCCGAATCACAGCTTGCCATCGAGCTTTGGCGACAATTGGCCGTGAAGTTTGGCGAAGTCAAGTTCTGCCAGATGCAGGCAGATCTGTGCATAGAAGGATATCCGGATCGCAACACGCCGACTATCCTGGTGTACAAGGACAAGGATATCAAGAGACAGATTGTGACATTGAAGGAATTGAAGGGGTTGCAGACGAGCATGGAGGATGTGGAGGGAGTCTTGATTGATGTGGGCGCCGTGAAGTATGGTGATTGGAGGTTGAGGAATCGCGAGGCGAAGGCGGCGGAGGAAGAGCCGTGGAAGAGCGTCAAGCAAAGTCAAAAAGGGCTTGATGAAGATGAGGACGAATGGGATTGAATCCGCTGCAGGATCATTGCCTCAGTCTCGGAATAATGCCTACTCCTATCCTCTCTACACCGTCCACGTACTCAAGCGTCTGGGTCGCTGTCCATCTCGTCATCCGCATCGCTTGAACGCTGAGTCGCTCGCCGGGCCCGCTCTCGGTCGCCATATCTTGTCTCTCCAACTGAAATCACAATGTCAGCACCCTGATATCGAGGTCACCGTGGACCGGAACGCACAATCTGGCACCTGCAAGCTCACACCACCACCCCGTCTACCGAAAGTCGACGTCGAGTCTTGGTCGTTCGGCCCTGCCACTTGTGCCACCTTCTTGGGCAGCTGGTCCTTTGGAATCAAGCCATGCTTTACGAGAATCGCCAGACGTCTATCCGGGTGAAGTCCCTGCGGCGGTGGCCGGTTAAAATAGCGCTCCCTGGCTAGCCGCGATCGTTCGGCGACCTCGAGTCTGCGACGGCGGCGCACTTGTCGAGGTGGGAGGAACAGAGAGTCGTCCGTCCATGCATCCGACGACTCGGCTTCCAAGCGTGTGGGCGATGATGTCGGGAGGAGGTTGAGTTGCGGGATCTCGAGGATAGGAACGTCCGAGCTCATTGCGTTCACTCCGGTCAGAGGTGGTGGAAGGCTCGTTGGGCGTCCAATGGCGAGGGTTTCGGATGGCAACGTCACCACGGTGCTGTCAGTAATACTGCACTCGCTATCGCCGCTGTTGTCCTCTTCCTTCTTTGGACTGCTGATGTCAAAGCCATCAAGACGCCGCTCCAGCTCGGATTCGCTGGTCAGTGGACTGTCGCTCAACTCATACGTAGCCTCGATCGGCACACCTCCAGTGTTTTCTGGCTCTCCGTTCACTCTGGTCAAGAATTCCAGCTCGCTGTGCAGACCCTCTTCCGATATGAGATGAACGTCCTCCTGCGGGCCAATGCTCGAAATCTCCTTCTCTAGCTCTTGACCATTGTCCATTTTCTTCGTCTCTGCCCCATCCTTTTCAATCGTCAGGTTTGGGCTCGACAGCAAAGAAGCATCGGCAAAGCTGACAGTCTTCGACTTTGAGGGTGAAGAAGCAATGGCAAAACTGTCGACCTTTGGCTTTGAAGACGAAGGAGCATCGGCAAAGCTTTCAGTCGTTGACTTCAAAGACGTAGGCGCATCGGTGCAAGCCCCTCTGACTTTGTCCGCATACGAAGAAGGTCTGGGTGGCGAGTAATCCAAGCTCCCAAGAACACGGCGTGCTGCTGCCCTGGCTGGTGATCTTTTGCTCGCAGAGCGTCTGGGAGGAGAGAGGAAGTCGGCATGCGGGCCCCATGGCTCGAAGCCTCGGGGTTTCAGCCGGCCCAGGCTTGCTCGCTTTGATTGTCTGGTTGGAACGGCTTTGGTTGGCGCTTTCTTGACATGCTTTGTTGCTGTGGTCGCCTCGTTAGCAATTGATCAATCCGTGTGTACTGGAATTGCCGGGGGCAGATGGACAAGGTGCATTATTCTCCTTGTCGGAGCTCTCGACCGCTTCTTTAACCGCGGGAAGACGAGTCTTCTTGTTGTTGGTAATGCTCGTTGGCATGATTCGATCGTGGATCATGCAAGGTGTGATCTGTTGGTTGCAGGTGCAAATGTACGGGCTATGGGTGTTGTCATGAAGGTTTGGTCGGTCTGGGATTCGCCGGGATTTATTATTAGGCGAGACAAAGCGAGTGCTGAGGTGGAGGCAATAGCTACAACTTCTTTGACAGCAAGTGTATTCGATGAATCTGAACCGAGCAGGCGCGATGTGATATGCTTGAGGGGAGTTGGATGCGACTTCCGCCTACATCTAGTTCATCCGCTGCACATACGATGTTTCCACCTGCAACTGTTCAGTCTACATGCATGTATGTCCATATATCTAAAGGTATCGTACAAGGCCATCAGTAATATTGCAACTCCGCCAACGCGCTCAACACAGAGAAATCATTGGTATGCTTCCAACTCCGTCTGCGTCCACTGCCACAAACGCTCCCCCAGCTTTCGATCCTTCGACTGCCTCGTCGCCCGCGGGCCCTTCTCCCCAATCGGCTCATAATACTCTCCATTCTTCAATAGCTTCTTATCACACGTCGCCGCCCAGCACTGATTGAAATGGCCCTGCTCCACCGGCGTCCTCTTGCCCACGCTCATGACAAGCGCCGGCAATTTCGTCATCAACGACACATTCCCGAACAGCCCGGTCATGATGTAACCGGGGTGCACCGAGACGAACGTAACTTCCGGGTATCGCTCGGCGAGCTGCTCGGTGTAGAGCAGTTGCGCGAGCTTGCTTTGCCCGTAACGCTCCCATCGGCCGGGGACCATCATGCTGCCGAGGTTTTCTTGCTTGGATCGCAGCGTGTTGAAGTCCATGCCTTGTTTGGGAGCCTGTTTGTATGCTATCGACGTCATGTTGACGACGCGCACGTCCGCGCCGGGGAGCTGAGCTGTTTGTTGGAGGAGGGGCAACAAGAGCTTGACGAGGAGGGAGTGGCCCATTTGGTTGGTGGCCCATTGGATCTCGTAGCCGTCGGGGGATGTGGCGGCGTCGACGGCCATGATGCCTGCGTTGAGCATGAGAATGTCGAGTCGATCCGTGGCCGCTTTCAGCTCGTTTGCGCAGGCTTGCACGGAAGACAGTGAAGAGATGTCGCATTTGAGGAAGCTAAGCTTGACATTTGGCGACGTTTTGGCGACCTTGGTCTTGAGCGCATCGGCACTGCGTTCGTTTCGTCCACTGAAGATGATATGTGCGGGGTCATGTTTGGCAAGTTCGGCGATGGAGCCTGCGCCGAGTCCAGCGGTACCTATGATAGAGAATGTGAGAAGGAGGAACGGAGGGAGTCATGGGGCTCTTGAATCTTACCTCCCGTGATGAAGATGACCTTGCCGGACAGGTCGGGAATCTCTTTGTTTGGTTGGAATGTACGGGACGCCATTGAGTAGGTTGATGATGGAAGTCTTTCTGATGTAGAAGATGTATCGCTGTCTAAGGTAGTTGCTGCAATTGGAGTCGATTGTCTCCTCTCGAATGTCGCAGGGCTTCTGGTGGTATTTATATGTTCACATCGTCCAGCGTAGCATCGTTCCTAACGGCCGTGTGACATTGCTCACACCCTCTCGAACGGAGAAACGTCCAGCAATCGGCACAATAGATTGCATCCTTCCCGCAAGGCTTCGGCCGGAACCTCAAACTTGCACCTGCCCGATTCGGCCAGCTGCCATGACGTAAGCTTGGTGTATCTTGCATCGAGCGTGGTCCTCCACATCGCAATCCCACCGTCTGTACTGCTCACTTCCTCACGGCACACGCTTCTCTCAATGCCTCGCACTTATCTTCGAACCCACTCATCTCTCCGTTCAAAGTGTCGTATAAGCCGCGAGCAAGCCCATCCAGGAAGTCCTTGTGGGCCGCGTTCTGGAGATGTTCAGCCGCCCAAAGCCCTAAGATCGTCGCGCTAATGGCATCGTCAACCAATAGACAATGCGCACGATCAAGACTCAATTTCTTGCCATCGCCCGATGCCGTGGTGACGTATCCGAGGTTTCGCAGCAAGCTGAACGAGGATTGCTTAACCTTCTCCCAATCACCGTGACACGCGTAGGCCTTACACAGCCAAAGGCCGGGAGGGACAAGAGCCAGGCGAGGTTGCTTCTCGTACGTATCGGCGTCATAAGACTTCTCCAGCTTTTCCATCAGCCTTTCCACCCGAGCCATTGATTTCTTCACCGCCTGCTTCGATGCTGATATTGGGCTGGAGGACAGCACTTCCTCGGCTTCCTTCACCGTTTGCGAACGCTGTCTCCGTTGACTGGGTGGTGCCTTCGCCTCCGTCTGGCAGAGCTGGCAATCACACTTGAAACCCCATATCTTCTCCAGCTCGCTTTGAGTAACCGCGTTATCCGCGTTGGGCAACCGGTACGGCATAAGGATTTCCTCGCCCTTGTTGATGTCTCTCGTTGCTCGTAGAATCATCACGTCGCCCATGAACGACCGCATAGCGTTGCCGTTGCAGGCGTGATTGACGTAGGACGTTGTCAGCCATAGGCCGGTGGAAGGGTAGCCACTGGGGCTCTGCACCTGACGTTGCGCTGCTTTGCTGCTGGTCTTGGTTGAAGGACAGCCAAAAGTGTTGTGAGCAAGGACGGCTTGAGCTCGGAATGTGTCCACTGCTACCACCCCATCGACAACCGCTGGTGGTGTGCTGTAAGGATAGTCATCGTCGAAAAGCTCAAAGAACCTGGTGGCAGCGATGGAATTGTGGCCGAGCTTTGCGATGATGTTGAAAAGCAGAAGACCTTGCGTGCCGCTCAACTGGCGCTGAGAGTTGCTGTCCAGGAGAGTGAAGTCATGCCCTCCTGGATCGGCGTCGCAAGCAGTCGCACAAGCCTTCTCGCACAAGATCAGATCACCTGCGGAGATGTCCTGAGTAGCGAACAAACCGTTGCCGTGCGAGCCTGCCGCCTTCTTCGTCGTCTTTGCAAGGTAGTCTGCGTGGTCGAGCCGGTTTCGCTTCTTGCTGACACTCTTGCCCATCTGGGTGAAATCGTAGTTTCCAGTGCGTTGCTCGTCCAGTCTCTCCCCAACACGTTGTAATTGCCGAATTGTATCTTGATCATCAGGCTGAAGCTTGCTGGCCTCAGTGAATCGTCTGCTAGCTTCCTTAAAGTCACCCAGCTCGTACGCTGCGCGACCAGCTCTGAACTCAGATTTGGCGTTGAGAGCAGAAGTCGCTGCGTTTTGTGAGTCACTTGTTGCAATCACAGCAGCTTTGGCATCGGAGAGAGCCGTCTCAAATCGCTTGAGGTAGATATTTGTGATTGCGCGATTCCGAAGAATGTCGCAGCGTATTGATCCGTTCTGGTCCTTGCAGCGGTCGAGGCCAACGCTGAACGCTCGCACGGCATCTGTGAACTTGTCCGTTTTGTAAAATTGGTTGCCTCTCGTTTTCCAGTCGAGCGCAGAATCCTCTCCTTCCTTGGGTGTAGATTGGAACTTTTTCGGCGCCCGTGAATCGGACGACGAGAGGTATACGAGGTCCGAAGGATGATCAACTCGAATAGACAAATCCCCATTCACACTCGCTTCGAAGAACGGCTCTTTGATGGCAAAGATGCATCCATCAGATAGCAAGTCTGCAGCCTCAGGGGAAGAGTACACGTTGTACACAGCCAAGCGCTCGACATCGCCGCTTTCATCTTCGACAATCGTGCGCACAGCCGCAGCTTTCACACCATCGTCGGCCGTTCGAACGAAGACCACCTTGCCTCTGTGATGAGTGTCGAGCTGCAAATCTTTGAGACTCATCGGCTCGATTTCACTGAGTGGCTTCGTGCATGGCGGATATGCATCTCCCACGAAGTACTGCCGTGCTTCTTGCCCCATTTCGTTGGCTTGTCTTTGCATGTCGAATTCAAAAAGCGTCATTCCCCGGTTCCGCGGCGGTCGCCCTCTGATTGGGATCTTGATCTCGGCCATGGTTTAGAGTCGCCGGACTGCCCTGCACGTGGGTTTCCAGTTGTGCGTTGAGCAGCCGCTGCGAGCGGTATTTCAAATTAGCAAGGATAAATGATTGGAGCTGGGAGCAGCTACTATCTTCGAGTGATCCCACGCTCCAATCTGGTTTGTGTTGCACGAAAGTGATGCCTGAAGTGACAGAATCTCGAGATCGTTGCTGCGCGATCCAAAAAGTTCTGAGTACGAAGACCGTCAAATTCTTGGCGGAGAATCCCGAGACGACCAAGAAGATTTATGAATAGCCACGTCCTCTACTTTCTTAGTTCCATGCGTGCTACTTTCTAGATACATTGTTTCACTGCCGGGCTCACCGATCACTGCCATGGCTTCCGCTTCCACTCTGCCCCACAGTGCTATCATCCGCTTGCACTCCTTCCGCATTCAGTCCGTGCTCGTCAGCATCATCGTCCACCGGCGCAGGAATGGCGACGAGGTCCTCTACATCACTTTGATCGGAGACTTCTTCTTCCGGCCGTTGATCGAAGAGGCGTTCGTGATGGTCATGAGAATCGCCCTCGTCCATCCTAGCGTTCAGTACCGCTTCCCTCTCCGGCGAGCTGTCCGGGATTCTTTGCGCGGTTACCACCTTTGTCACGGCATCATCGACGGGTTCAGCAGATCTTGCGACCGGCCCAAGCTTCGTAGCTCGTTCTTCTTGTGATGTTCCCTCAACAGCGTCGGAGCTCGCTGCATGCGCTGCGTCACCGCCTTCATCTGCGATCGATGCAGGCCTTGCCGGTAGCGGTGGCGGTACCTTTTTCCTTGCTACCACGTTGAAAGTCTCATTGCCTTCTGACACATGCAAAGCAGGCTCAGATGTGGTCGTCTCGAGGTCAACAAGCGCGGATTGTCCGGGCCACTCCTCAACGTGATCTTCATGATCAGTGCCATAGTTTTCTGTCCAGGGTCCAAACTCGCTTCCGGGGGTGGCGACGACCTTTTGCCCATGGTCCGATGCCTCTGTCGCTTCGTTACCGTCGTGTGAGACCTCTGAGGCAGATGCCTCGCCGACAGCAGCATGCGCATCCTGCACCCCCTCACCCATCGGCCTCCGCGGCGGAAGAATGGGCTTCCGCTTAACACTGCCTTTCCCAATGACAGCCGGTAGCCAGTTCTTCTGCGGCCCAGGGAGAGGCATACCAGGAGGTGGCAATGGTCGGCCTCTTCCTAAGGGCTCCTGCGGTGGACCTTGCGTTGCAGCGGGTCCACCTTTGGCTGTGCGACTCGCAAGTGCATTCCAGCCCCAATTCTTCGCGGCCGTCGTTGCCGCCGCCGTCGCAGCAAGGATGTTTTTGCCTTTGTCCACTGCTTCTTGCTGCCGCTGGCTACGATTTGTTGTCTGTGAGCTGGAAGTCGACAGGTCGCTACCCACGCGGTTGTGGGAGCGAACGGTGCGGTCAGCGAAAGGTACCGCCGAAGTGTCCAGCGATCGGCGACTTTGGCTGTCATCCGTTTCTGCCGACGCCGCAGCAGCTGTGGCATCGGCATCCTGCTCTGAGCTGCGATCGACTATTGAGCGATTCCTCATCTCCCGCATCGTCTCGATTGCGCCCTTCTTGACATTCGGTTGGGTCGAGACAGGTCGAAGTCGCCATCGCCGTTGGTCTTGAGTGTGGCTGTCGTACTGCTCGCTCCTTGTGGGCTCCATCCTCGCCAGGCTCTCGTCTAGTCGTGTGGAAGGCGTCGAGGGTGATAATGACGTGAAAGATGGACTTCTTATCGGCCTGGAAGGCGATTGTGCCGGACTAGGAGGTTCTTTATCGAATGCGGTTTGCAGCGGAAGCGAGGCAACCGAACGACGCTTGAGTTCACCCAGCTTCTCTTTGGCCAGTGCGCCCGTCGTTGTAACTTTTGATGTCGCTTCAGATCCAGACGAGGTCGCCGATGAGTCCTTTTCCGGTGTACTTGAGTCCGCGAGTACAGGCATGGACATGGTCTTGCGGTTTCTTTCCTTGAGTAGCTCTCCAGCGGATGGTTCTGGAGGCGCATCTGCAGCTTCCTTCAGGTATATTCCACCCCTCCACTGCTCGTCCCTGGTGTCGAGGAAAGGCGTATCGTCCCAATTTGGCTTGACCAACGTCTCGCCAAACACCGCTCGGATTCGGTCCTCAATCGCCTTCAGGATGAAGGTATACGTTATCTGCCGTTGACTGACCACCGGCTCAACTTTGATGTCCATGTCCGGAATCTTGTCGAAACAAAACCAGATGCGATTACTCGGACTGGGTTTGATACGCACCAGCATCTGGCCTTGCAGTCGCTGCATCTTCCCAGACAGCAGGAGATCCGCAGTGCGCGTCTTGAAGCGCGGACCGAGATCTAGCTTGGCCAGTGCGGAAACGGTAATCTTGAAGTTCCCGGAGTATTTGACATCGAGGGCGATTGTCACATCGCCGCTGATTTGGAATTCCTTGAGACGAAGGTTGGAGAAAACGGGGGCGGCATCACCAAGATCGATGGACTGGACGGCCAGCGATGCGATAAAGGCCGGCTTCTGTACCCGCGCAATCTTCTTCTCAATCTTCTCTCGAACGAGAGTCTCGACGCGATCGGTGTGGTGTATGGCGAGGAAGATGCGAGATACGAGGGCGTTGAGGGCTTGTGTTTCTGGCGTGAGAGCGGAGTTCGAATGGAGTGTGGATTGCAGCTTGATGATGGCATCAGTATCAACAGGCTGCGGTATCGGCGGCGGGTTTCGAGTGGACAGAAGGGCGTGATAGAAGTCCTCCTTCTCGATGCAAGTGTTGGAATAGAGGTAATATGGCGCGACCATACTCGCTTGTCCATTAGGTGGTATCACGCCGTCGCTGAAGTTTGGAGTCAGGACGATGGCCGTGCGTTTGATGAAAAGATCTCCGTCCTTGAGGACCTGCTCCTCAGCCTCGACGGGCCCGGAGAAGAGAGAGATGTCGTAGTTGGAAAGACTAATCACTTGTCGCACTTCCACCTCCGCGGAAGAATCGTACAGCATCAAGTGGCCGTGGCGGAGTACTATATAGAAGATACTGGCGGGGGTAGACTTCTTCTTCGTCTTCGTGATCGACGCGTCGGAGGAGACCTCTTCGCTATTGAGTACTGGACGAACAGAGGTGGTATGCTTGTTCCTGTCGAACACCGAACGGTATACGCTTTGATAGACAGATTCATTGCCAGTGCCAGTATCACTTGTCCCATCTCCGGGAGGTGCTCCGGTAGCTGTCGTGGCATTGTTCCTTGCGTTGAAAGCGGTAACCGCCGCTTGGAAGTCGTGTCTTCGCAACACCGCAAATGTCCCACTTGATGCCGACTCCTCCTTCTCATCTCTCAGGCCCGCAAGCAGTGCGCCTGCGCGCCTGGTCTTCCCATCCTTGTCATCCTTCCCGCTCTCTTGCTTTCCATCCTCGACCTTCGGGAGCCAGAGCCAGGCCGGCACCAATACTGCGGCAAGCAGTAACGGCAGAAACGTTAAGCCGCCGAGCACGTAGGTGAAGAGGAGGGTGGACAGGGTCATCGTCCCGCATGATAGGGCATTGTCGTGTCGCGAGAGTGTCAGCGAAGCAGACGCTTGGCGAAGGGAGTGATGTCGATGGTTGATGACTTGCTTTCGAAGCGGAATGGGACAATGCCGAGTCTGTCAAAAGTCGCGGCATCGACTTCACCTCGTCCCATCCGAGCCGACTCACCATCATTCCATACGGCCTCCATCCTCGCGATACAGCGAGATATGGCGCACGATATTCCTGATTCTTTGTAAGTTGTACGAATCGTCGAAATTTGTTCATCTAATCTCACCGCCGTACCCTCGTCTAACTTCTTGTTTCGTCTCTTCAAACTCGACTCTTCGGTCTTCTACATATTTCTCTCCTTCACCGAACAGTCCTTACCAGCCTTCTCATTCAGCATTGCGGGTACCGATGGAAGGCAATTTATCCGTTCTGTACTTGTATGCAGTATGTATTGAGCTTGGCGTTGATTGAACTGCCCAGCTGACGCTGGAGGATCATCCATACGCAGGGTGGGTATCGTGTCCTCCCCATTATGCTTAAGGCACTGGGCGATGTACACTTGCTCCGTAAAGATCTATTCACTGAAGCCTGACATCTGATGGCCCTGGGGAGAGCATCACGTGGTTGCATGCTCTCCTTTCACACTTCGTCGCCACATCCAATCTGCAACTCACCCTTTGCTTCTCCGAACGCTTATCACTTCATCTACGAGCTTTTGAATCGTGCTCCGTGGCAGTATGTGCTGAAGAAGCTTCTGCTCATAAGACTTCCGTTCACAATCGCTCACGAATCCCGGCATGCGATTACACGTCAACAGGACCCCCTCGCGTTGAAGCTTACACTCCTCGCAATACGACCGGCATAGCACTGTACTGACAGCTATCACTAACAAATGACCTGGATGAGCCCGGGATATGGGTATGATACGCATACGTGGCATCGACGATTCACCTTCTAGATCCTCCGCCGCGCGTATGGCGATGAACTCTCACTCACGTGCGCTACATCACGACCAGCACAGTAATACCACGCACAGGCGGAGGACCTCAATGAATCGACGTTGACATGTGCACTCTCTTCCACTAGCACCAGAACTGACTCGCCGGTCTCCACAAAAGGCATCCCTCTGCTAGGTGCTTAGCTTTTGTCTGCCCTTCGTTGACGCAGATGTTGCTCCTTACTCAAGGTAAGTCTCAGCTTTGGTTGTGCTAACATCTTCCAAGAACTTCTTATTGGCAGAGCTATGTATTGAGGCCAACATTAGGAGACCTGACACACGCAAGCTTATGCCGTACTACCCATCACTCGGACGTCCAATGTTGGGCAAGAGCAAGCGGAATGCTTACCGCTGGGACCATCCACGCATGGTCTCAAGTCTGCCCAAAAACCTTGCGTCGGTTACACGCTCAAGCCAATCGAGAATGCCGGGCGAATTGCAAAAGCGCCGCAGCCCGAACGCGAGTAAGCGGTAAAGAGCTTGGGAAGGTTAGCGTGTAATGATTATCGCTCAGTCGCCAAGAACAACCAGTGTGGCGAGTTGAATTTGCGAAAGGTTGACTGATCAGTTGCATATATACTCCACCCCAGCCCTTGTCGAGCTCGAGTCACGCCCAAGCTTCTCGCGCTGCGACAAGTGCAGGCTGCTGCCTTCGGGTGTGGACATAAGGCACAGCTCCAAGAGGTGAATGAAGCAGGATCAGGACAAAGCTGTGCTGCCTTCCAGCCTGTCCTTTCTGGCTTCGCAGCAACTGTTGCACAAAGCACGCAGAAACGGAACCTCAACAGCATACCTTCGGAATGGACGAACCCGGCACCTCTGGATAAGAGGGAACCCTGCAATAGCCTCCGAAGGGACGCCTACCAGCGCGGCTTCTGTCTGAGAGTGCAGCTGATCTATCTTCTCCACGTCTTTATCTCGAGCTGACTGTAGGTACCGCAAACAGAAACAGGAAGAATGTAGGTGTGAATGAGTTGTGCACAGTCTCCAGGCGAACCGAAGATGATTGAAGGGGAGTCCGACCAGTGGGCCAAGTAACAGCGGTGCGCAATACATCCGACAAGTTCTGGTCGACTAACAAGGGCTTAGTGAGCATGACGAGCTCAAGCCAGATGTTCCTCATACAAGGAGCCCCGCCCAGCGGACTGGCAACGGATGCATTCTCCACAGTGCTGAGAAGGAGGTGACGGTTGGCTACACAGAGCTGGACGGCTCGTTCGAACAACCAGCTCCTCCTCAACGCGCAGGCGAACATGGCTGAAATCGACAGGTCGGCTGGAGGAACGTCAAGGCCATGTAGAGATGACATGATGCTGCTGCGGACATATTAATTGGCGCAAGGCTGCACGACTCCCAGCTTGGCTCCCCTCCGCCGGCCATGCAGCACAGCTGGGGATCTGATGTTGAGAACCAGGACTTGCGCCAGCACCTCATGCTGACGGAGCACAATTTCGCTGCGAACACGGGGACGGAGATGGATAAAGTGCGAAGTGCGCCCCGCATAGTGATACAGCACGCTGATGCATGCCAGTGACAAGATCCGGCTGCGCAGGCTGTACGGGAGTTCATATGCTTGTGGCCGCTGCAGTGAGGAAAAGTAGGGGGCCTTTACGGCGATGTTCTACGCTCTCATCTCCTCGCGATGAAGAGTTTTGTGCCAACGCCGCTCGTCCCATTTGCACGATTGTACGCGGCCTCCACACTTCAAGCTGAATGTCGGATGAGGGTTGAAAGGACTTGGGCGCCACGCGGACTCTTCGATGCTCGACAGCGAAATACATTGCGAGCGCCGTGAATTAGATGTGGACGTGAAGATGTCCGAGGATTAGGCGCGGGGAAGTCGAGCCCAGCTCCCGGCGAAGCGTGGAAGCCGGGATCTGAAGCCGTCGCGACTTGGTCCCAGGGCGTGTCGCCATGAGGAGAGGGCCCGCGAAACTGCACGTCGGAGATCTGGCGGCTCTGGCCGCAGTGAGAGAAGAAAACAACCACGACGTGGAAGGATGGCTGGCCGTTGGCGATGTGGGTCGTGACAGGGGTGTGAGTCTCGGCAATTCACTAGCGGGCCATCCTCCGCTCGGCGTATTTTCGACCTCACCTGCTCCATCATCTGGCATAAAACAAGCAATCACACGTCCGTGGAAGCACCACTACCTGCAAAATGGAGTTGGAGTTCTGCGGTGGGGTGTCAGGAATACCAGGGGGCTGCATTCCAGAACAAAGCTATGTTTGCCAGGGTGAGACCGGCAACATTCCTCAACGGCACAGCGCCGGCCCGGTCTCACCATGTCGTCCTGGTTAATGCCTCCAGGACCATGTCGAACGACGACCATGTCTCCGCCTCTTGTCTCCTCCCACGGAAGCGTCTCAATTTAAACAACTGCAAGTCTCTCAATGCCGGATGCGTGGTCGCTACGCTGCTTCCGGTGAAGCTAGTCCATGCCTGCGATCTCCTCTTTGTTCAACTCCATCCGGAAGTGAAAGAGCTTGCGGTTCGCTTCGAGCTTCGCACCAACTGCAGAATTTAGCTGCTACAGCTTCGCAATAAGCGCGAGACCTGGCACGACTTACACCATCGCTGGATATCCCAGGTTTCCACGCCACAGACAGTCGCGAGCATCTGCACTTCCGCATCGTTCGGCGCTTGACACTTCTCGAAGAACTCATTGAGTAAGATCTCGCCATCGCGGTTGATTCGGCGGTCCCGCCCGGTGGTCAGCCCAGCGCTCCTCGTGTCCTTGCTAGCAGTGGTTGCTTGATCCACCATTCTAATAGAAAGTAAGTCAAAGAGCAGAGCAGCGAGATTATGTGCCATGGTGTACTCACTGACGGACTTTGTCATGTGTAGCCTGCATCTCCGCAATCAACTCAACAGGAGTCCACGTTGGCGGCGACGCATCAGCGCAATCGAAATCCGCTGTCTCTTTGGTCATCATCGAACGCAGCGTGAGATCTTGGATCCCATCCAGTGCTTCGCCCTCCGCGGCGTACAACGCGTTAAGGGCTGCTACCCTTTTTGCGTCCAGAGGCTGGTTTGTGGGAAGGACCACGCGCCCAGAGAAGTGGACAGGATTAGCCATTGCGATCCTTGCGTCCTCCTCATCACCTGGGTCGTTCGCTTCTTCTTCGGGCTCCAACAATAGCGACAATTGGTCTTCGTAGCTAAGAAGTGAGGCTACAAACGCGGCGCGCGCTTCTTTCTCGACTGCAAGCGCATTCGACGAGACCAATCCCTGGTTGAATCCGCTTCTGTTGTTCGCCATGATAGTTTTCTGCTTGGTGTTGGTGCGCATATGAGCAGAGATCGGGGTGAGTAGACGCTACGATTTCTCCAGAGCGATGGTTAGCGACGTTCAAAGCTCTGTGTGACACGAGCTTGGTTAAAGTTCAAGCATACAGCGGCGGAGCAATCATTGCAGCTTGGCCAAGGAATTTCGACGTTCATTGAAACTAAAACAATGTTGAGCAGTGATGAGTGCATTCTGGACACTATGTACGCCGCTCGGGTTGGACTATCTAACTACTACTAACGTGCTGATGACTCGCTGAGGGGTATCTTTGGATCGAAACGGCAATGTGTCAGGCCGAGACTATGATGCATTCGCTTCTCGATCATCACACCGTGCGCATGGCTTTCTGACTTGCACAAGTACTCAAACTGCATCTTGGTTGAGGAATTCGGTCCAGTCAATCGCCTCGTCGCTGCTGTTTCCCAGGACGGTGGTGTCGAAAGCGTCCCATGCTCCTCCTTCTTCGACTTCGTTGGGATTGAAGTTGATCTGGAAGTGATTGGTCGGGTCGAAGGTCGCGTTGTAGGGGTAACTACCACCGGCGTCTTCGATGACTGTGGCAGCATTGGAGAGAATGTTCTCGGAGGGCGTGTTTTCGGCAGCAGTGGTGCTTGCGAGCGCCTCAAGCAACGCACGCTGAAGGTTGGCGTCACTTGGAGAGATGATGAAGTCTTGCCCGGCAAGCATGACACTGTTGTCCACGCCATCGGTGACGATCGGCTGCACAGCCATGGTGAGTGACTCGGAAGTGTTGGTAACTTCAGGAGCTACGTCGCCTGTAGTCACGGCGTAGCCGCGATTGTAGCAGTGCCACACCAGGTCATCGACGCCGAGAGAAGTGCTCGTGTACTCGTCAGGGAATTGGGCGAGGGACGGTCTGGCGGTGCGGGTGAGCTTTGGGGTCTTGTCCTGTACGTACGGTTAGTATAAGTTCGACTGATACCCGCTCAAGTCAGCATTCTAGTAGCTTACCTCGCCATTGGCGTCCGGCTGAGTGAGCTGCCAGCCCATCCAGGCCATGTAGCGGTCAGGGGGAATGACTCCGATGAGTGGAGCACAGATAGCGAAGAACCCATCCAGCGGCACTTCCGCCTTCTCGCGGCTTCCGCGCACGATGCTGTATGCTTTGGCGAGTATGGCCCTGCGAGTGTTAGACTGACGTTGTGTCTAGATAGTGTGAGCTCACTCACCACTTGGCTTCGAACGGATCATCATGCCACCACGTCGTCAGGATCTTGGATATCGACTTCTGCGTGTTTGGTGCGAGCGAGGCATTGTAGTACTCTGTCAAACGTCAGCGACATTCATTGTCGAGGGCAGTGAATGCAGCAGTGAATGCACTTACTGCGAAACGCCATCCACGAGTTCAGGGGACGCTTCGGACCACCGGTCACACTCTCACTCTTCGCCTTCTTGTTGCGCTGCTTCTTCCCGGTCTTTGCAGCCGCCACCCCAGCCTTGACTGTCATGGTGGATGCTGCGTTGGACGCCGTCCCCGCAGCATTGCTTGACTGTGTGTCTTGGAGTGCTTGGATGAGCTGAGCGATTTGCGCCGCTGAGCAAGAGCCGATGAAGTTTTGCATCGATGCGGGCAGGGATGAAGTAGCCGTAGCCATAATGGCGTTGATGGCTCCGATGGCTTGGGTGCGGTCAAAGAATGGTAACAAAGGTATGTGCGGATGCGGTACAGCTGCTTTGAGAGGAATGTCTTGGAGCTTTGATTTTCAGAATTTTCACTGTGCGTTGCTACGGAAATTGGGTGGCTGGCAAGGCAAAAGTTTCAGTCCGTGGGTGCAGGCTGTGCATCTGAGTGTTACACAAGTTTCACTTTGACTTTAGGGGTTCCGTCAGGGCTGAGAATACTCAAGGCCTTGAGGATATCAAAGGCGCGAGCTGCAGTACAGAAACCAAGCCCTCTTGCTCTCTGCTGCCCGCATTCCAGAGATGTTCAGCCAACCAGTGAGGTTGACGCCGAAAAATCCCGCCCCTTGCATCGGAAGGGTTGATCCCTCCAATCTTTCCAGTAGCCCTGCGATCGTTGCTACATCCTCCTCGGCGAACGTGATGTTCTCGTCGTGGAACTGTGCAGTCGTCAATACAAGCCCATTTGTGACATGGGTGTGTTTCCTAGCTTACCTGCACCAACGTCCAATCTCCGGTAGGAGTGAGCAACCATTTCAATTTCTCCGTTCCTGGCTGCTTTGAGCTCACAGCAAAGCACTCAGCCCAGGCCGCCTAGTTCTACTCGTTAGCGCGGACAGAGCATATTGCTAGGCGTGAACGTACGTATTGGCGTCTGAGTACGTCGGAGTAGTTTGTTTGTAGAAGGGACCCGACCATCTCGATATTATCCCTTCTCCAGTGCTCCACAATAGCGACGCCACCGCGAGGGAGGTACTGTTGGCGGAATACAGCATCGACGTTCCCGTCCTTGAGGTCGTCAAAGTCACTTTCGGTGAGTGTCGGCTCCACCAGGTTCCTGCTCAAGACGGCCCATTGCATCGGACGGGGACGATTAGCAACATCAATCTCCACCCGACGCGTGTCATCATCCATCAGAACCCCATGGCGGCCGATAGCATCCTTGAGCGACTCCCAGAGCTTGCAAGCCCTCTGGATCTTGCGCACTTGCATGCGGAGCTTCTTGACATAGGTGGCCTGCTCCAGCCGGCCCAAGCCATGGGGCTCCGCGAGCTGCATAGCGACGACCATGTACCGCTCGATGCGCAGGTGGATTTCGGTCATCAGCTTGGGCTTGGGATCGCGCAGAGTGACTTGGAGGCTGATGCGTTCGAGCTTGCGGAGCATGCTCAGGCGCCTGTCTGCGATGGGCACATCATTGTTGTTGACTGCAGGGCGAGCGAGATGTCAGTGGTTGATCAAGCGGTAATGGACGAGACGTGCCTGCTCACCTTGGGTAGCGGCAGCGCGTTTCTTCTCGTTCTTCTTGCGGATTTCGTCTTCTTGCTTCTTGTAGGCTTGGTGGACGCTGAGAGGGAACTTGTCGGGGAAGTTCTGCAGCAGCTCGTCCATGATTGTCGCTTCCGTGAAGGCGGGAGATGGGAGAGAAGTGCAGAGAGACAGTCTTTGTTGGCCCCGCGGAGTTGGAGAATAACAAGACGCGTCGGCGTAACGCCGGCCCGGATTTAGAGTTTGATGACATGCAGGCGCCGAAAAAGCAAGCATAGTCACGTGAGCTGCTGCATTTGTATGTTCTTAGTTTTTGCACCGGGTGTTCAGCAGATGCAGCGTTCTCCTCTCCCGCCATTAGTTTGAGATTATGATACTGCGCAACAGATCCATCTCCAGTCGGCGCTTCTTCGTCTTGTGCCGGAATACGTCACCCAGCCTCCTTCTCCTTTTCCTTTTCCTTATCCTTCCTCCCGCCACCCCAATCCGAACACCAAATAAACGTCGGACACCGCCACTGCGTTCCCCTCTCTTTATTCCCGCTCGGGCCCAAAGGCCGCGCGCACATCCAAAAACTGCGCCCCTGATTGGATCCCTTCTTCTTCGTCTGCATCGTCTTGCAGGGCTCGTCGTGGCCTTCGCACATGGGCGCGACGGGGCGAGAGAAGAGGGCGTTCCAGGAGCGTTGTGTCTGCTCGGAGGCTTCGAGTTGGGCGGAGAAGTCGGAGGGCGTGGGACTGGCCGCTGTGGAGGGGTGGGATGTGTCTGGGTCATGGTCATCCTGATCATCGTCTGCCAGCCGGTCCTTGGCCGGAGTGCGCTTCTCTGGCGTTGAGAAGGCTGAGATCGCGGTTGCTGAGGTCTCAGTGGGCCTTGGTTTGCCATTTGGTGATTGCGCACTCGCCTCCCCCGTTGCGTCCCTCTGCCTCTCCACATGAGTCTCATGCGAAGCGCTGTTGGTGCGTACACTGCTTGTTTGGAAGAAACCTTTGAGACTTTGTTGACCCCTGCTTGTGGACACAGCGCTGTCGGACTTAAGACGCTTCGAGGACTTTTCCTTGGGAAGCGAGGGAATTTTGCGTTTGGCGGATGCGGAGAAGTCTTCCTCTGAGCGGCGCTGAGCTGTGCTCGCCGAGTTGGAGTCCTGCACTTGCAATGTTGCATTGAAGTCGTTGACAGCAGCGTTCATTGTAGGCTGCTCTCTTCCCTCAGCCTTCTTAGCGCTTGGTGCGGCAAACATGGACTTGATGCTCCTCCTTTTGTCAAACTCAGGCAGACGCTTCGCTGAAAAAGCAGGAACATTAGCCACTTTCCACTCCTGTTGCCGTTTCCCATCCGTGAAAACGCCAGATGGACTCATCACGTCCAGCAGGGCTATTTCCTTGCCCGCATAGTCAATGCGATCGTGAAAGTCGGCATAGACGGGGCAGTGATCTGATCCAAGTAGGCCTTCCTGGATGTTGGCGTCTCTGATCCATCCACGCATGCTTTCAGCAACGAGCACAAAGTCGATGCGGCCACCGTAGTTGCCAGGTCGAGCGTTGATCTTCTGTTCCCAGTGCGTGTACATGCCTTTGCGATCGGGGTGAAACCCTCGTGTGGTATCCCACAACACGCCCTGCTCTCGTCCTTCGTCCCTCTCACCAATGACTTCTCCTTCGACGATGAGTTGATTGAAAATGCGCCGATTCGGCGTGGAGATGTATTCAGCATGCGTGATACCCTCCTTCTTGCAGTCTTCGAAAGCGCCAGCTTGATCGAGCTCGTCACGGGAAACGTTTAGGTCGCCCACCAGCACGACTCGCTTGCCGTTGCGGATGAGGTTGCGAATGCGACAGTCCAGAGCGGTGATGAAGCCATATCGGAAGTCGTCCCGCAGCCCATTGCTGTTGGCAGGAGAATAGACGCCGAGCAGCACAAATGCTGGGAATTCCAGGACCACGCAGCGCCCTTCCGCATCAAGCATGGCAGGATCAACGCCGAGCTCTGCGACTTGTATTGCACTCGGATATCCCCCGATACTCTCCTCTTCTGGCAGGTCGCAGTACGCAACACCCGACGGCGAAGGCAATACACCCAACAAGCCCTCCTCGGCTCTGATGGGGGCGCAGGTGGCATTGCGAGTGTAGATGCCAACTCCAGAGTACCCCTTCTTGTGCTTCGGAAGGCTGAAGTAGCAGTCCCAGCCGTCAATGAGGACCATGTCGTCTCGCAGGTCTTTTCGTTGGATCTTCAGCTCTTGCATGACCACGATGTCGCTGCCGAGTGTATCGAACATGGCGGAGAAGGTGCGCGCGGTGTTCCATGGCGGGTAGGAGAAGGGGTTTCGGATGCCGTTGACGTTCCTGTATCATTCAATGGTGAGATGACAGGGACTCATCTGGTGAAGGCAGAGCGATCTTACCATGTTGTGAGCCTCATCTTCGCCACCTGGCGCTTGTGGTGGCGCGGAGTGCTTTGTCTGCAGCACTCATTGTCGTAAAGTGCGCACACGACGTCGATCCTACCGCGTCACTCCACTCTGCAGCGACTCCCGAAAAGAAGGATGCAAGGATGTGTTGCGTTGTGGGATGTTTGTGGTGCGGGAACTCACCGACAGATGACGTTGGAGCCTGCCCGGAATTGCTCCGCGCTCTTGACGCGAAAATCACCTGACACCGCGTGCATCTTCAACTCACCACACGTCTTCCTCCTGGTGTTAGTCTCTAATCGCAAGATATGACACAACGTACCTGGGCGAACACGGCCAGAACCACCAAAGGATGAAGGAAGATGCCTCGCTTCCTGACTCCCGCAAAGATTGCGCTGCTGGCGCTGGCCGACCTGTACCTCGCCGGTGAGATCCCCGCCAGCGCCAAACTCGCGGTGCTCACCTTTCTTGCCTCTCAAATCAACCCATCTTCCGACTTTCCCGATGGAATGATCGAACAACGCTTGCAGTGCTCGAACGGCGACCTAGAAACACTCGCGAAGACTCTGTCAAAGTGGGGATTGGACGTACCCGGCCGGACCATCTACGATCGCCTTCTCCGCCAGTTGTGGGCATTGAACGATCTCGATGCACTCTTCGTCCTCTTTAGGCGTCTCTCCGACTTGCTCACCGTATCCGCTCCAACATCTGGCGTAGTCGTCCCTCCCCGAGTTTCTCGCGCCTCTCCGCTCGGCCAATTCATTCGGCGAAGTTGCTATGAGTTTGAGCGTATCCAATTCGCCGATGTGCAAAAGCTATGGTCAGCATTTGTAGCATACCGAGCACCCTCGTACCGGACATGGGCCGAAAGAAATGCAGACGCTGCTCGCCTGGCCGCTCACCTCGAAACCCTTCATCTAAACATCCCCGAGCAGCCGTTAGCAGAACACACAAGCACTCACGACGTCAATGACATTCTCAACCTGTCTATCCAACATCTCCAGAAACTCGGCACGCGCGTCCCCTCGGCCGTTCATGCTCGTCTGCGAGACTGGTACGAAGCACAGGATGATGCAAACGCACAGTCGCTGCGTCACTTCATGGCGTTCTTTGAGCACTGGCGAGCGGCACAGATGTCGATGGCGTTGGAGAGTCTGCATCAGTACTTTGATCTGTCACTCGGTGCGAATCGGGGTGGTGATGAGTTGAGAGCGTACTTTCAGTATGCCCAGTTGCATCAGAGCGTCCTGTATGCGGACTTTGAGTGCTGGGAGGAGAGTGTGGAGGCGATGAGGGAGTGTATTGGCACAGGTGAGTTCGTTTCTGTTTCGTTGCGAGCCTTCACGTGCCACATCACGTGCTTGATTGCGAAGTGATGTGCTCGGAAGTGAGGCAAGATCTCAGTGACAGTCATTGAGCATCGTCTTTCCTACGAGAGCAAATGCTAATTGCATACCAGCCCGAGAGAATCAAGACACAGCATGTCTCAACTTCGCCCTATCGTGGCTGCTCCATCTTCGCCAAGTGCATCCAGACGACAGCACCGTGTCCTTCGAGAGCCTGATCAGGCTTCTCGGCGGGAGCACAGAGCATGACGAGATTGCGTTTCTGAAGGTGAAAGCCAGAGAGATGAAGCACTGGACGTTGATGAGTAGCACGTTGCTGGAGGAGGCGAAGTTGGAGATGTACAGCGTGAGTCAAGGACCCCTACCCATCGTGCAGAACGTCTCGCTAAGGTCCCGTGACAAAAGGGTGGCAACATCAATCGAGCATTCGAGCACATCCTGCAAGCCATGTACCTGAATATGCAACATGATCAACGCACCTTGATGCCGGCAGCAAGCTTGTTTGAAAGCGCCAGTTATGAGCGCCTCGGTGAGCCTGATCCGTTCGAGTGGTGGCTGAAGACTCCGTCAATGCCTAACAAGGACACAGGGCAATCGCGCTTGGCTTACCGCATCTGCGAGAGTGCGCCGCTCCTTCACGCCCCTTATGCTCCTCTCAGTGACCAGGTCCGAGCAACTTGCCGTACAGCGCATGTCCTTTCGCAGGCCGGGCACTTCAGTACTGCAGAGAGGGAGCTGGAGAAGTTAGAGCATGATGTGAAAGGAGTGACCAAATTGCAGGATCGCATCACGATCCGCAAAGCACTGGTGCGAGTCAAGCGCCAAATTCACCGGTATGTCCTCTGGCGTTGTTCTCTTGAAACGATCTGACTCTAGTTAGGGAGCGACTCCAAGAGGCTAGCAAACTACTGCGCGAACTCCGTCCGTGTCGGACATCAGGCGGATCGGAGGCGGATTTCGACATCAGCTTGATGGAGATCGAGCTTCTCATGAAATCGAAAAATCACGAAAAGGCACTCGAGATTGTGAGTGACTTGATCAAGAAGCGGAAAGCAGCAAGAGTCACAGGTCGGTCCGGAAATTCCATGCGTACTTTTCACCGTTTATGCTGACGCCGCAACAGACATTGCCGAACGACTGCATCTGCTCATCCTCAAGAGCAAGATCTATGCGGCAGCCGGCCAGCATGCGAAAGGCTTCTCGATTGTGCTACGAGCGGCATCGACAAGTGAGCGCCACGCTCTGATGTCCGTACTTGTAGACGCTTTGGCAGTATTGAGCAGCATTCTTACAGCCTTGGGCGAGTCTGAAGCTGCTCGACAGCTGGCAGAAGCGGCTCTGCCACACGTACGTTTAACTTTCAGCGGGATAATAGGAAATCAAGAAGCTAACGAGACACAGGCTCTGAGTGGCGCCAATGCTCAGTTGCAAGCCGAGCTGTTTTCGACGCTGGCAGATGCAAACGTCGGCTTGGCTGGCAAGCAAGTCCGCAATTCACACGACCAGCTGCAATTGCTAGGCCTTGCCATCACTGCCGTGGAAAGAAGTCGAGCGAGTATGTCAAGACGCTTTCTTTTGCAGCGTCTTCCCTACTGACACGAAGTAGTATATGCCCAGCTGAGCGATGTCTCGGGAATGTCACTTTGTCTGACGAAGAAAGCAAGGCTGGAGAGAGCCAGCGGTGATGGTGAAGCTGCGGCAGCGACTGATGAGATGCACACGCAATTGTTGATTGATGCCGACAGTACTTATGCAGATGGAGCGGATGCAGAAGGCGATGTTGTTATTTGAGGCATCGAAGCCCGCAGCCTTGTGCTTGTGCATGCCCGACCCCCGTTTAGGCGTGTGCATACTTCAGCACGACATGACCAAATATACCCGCTCCTCAACGACACCTTCCCAAGTCGAAGTTTTTGAAAAGTGAATGGACAATTGCATATTGACTCACGACTCAATTGATATTGTTGCGCCTCTGTTGTGACAACTCTTTCAAACCCAAGCGGATGTTTAATTGAAAACCTGCTTTTTTGGCTTTCCCAGAATCCTTGCCGTCTTACTGTTCCACCTGCTGGGCCGAGTTTCTTCGCTTCCAATAACCCACCACCCTCCCATCCTGCATCACGGAAAGAATGGAACAAACAGATACGACCATCACTGACCTCGATCTCACCCAGTACGGGCTGAAAAAAATCGCGAGCGGCAAAGTTCGCGAACTCTACGAGATCGATTCCGATACCCTCCTCTTCGTCGCCACGGACCGCATATCAGCCTACGATGTCATCCTCGCCAATGTAAGAAGCCCCCGTCTGCACCAACCGAATATCTACTCACTCTCTCCCAGGGCATCCCAGGCAAAGGCGCCCTCCTAACCCAGCTCTCCGCCCACTGGTTTTCTCTAATCCAAACCCACCTCCCCACCCTCCGCACCCATCTCCTCCCAACCCCAACAGCACTCCCCCCCTCCCTTCCCCGCAACCTCTCCACCCGCTCAATGCTTGTGCAGCGCCTCAAAATCATCCCCTTGGAGTCCATCGTGCGCGGCTACATCACCGGCTCCGCGTGGGCAGAGTACAAAACGCACGGCACCGTGCACGGCGTTCCTGTCCCGTCTGGCCTGCAGGAGAGTCAGAAATTCGACACCCCAGTTTGGACGCCGAGTACCAAGGCTCCGGCTGGCGAGCACGATGAGAACATCAGTCCGACGCAGGCAGCGGCGCTTGTGGGGAAGGAGTTGGCGGGAAGGATTGAGGACGCTTCGTTGAAGGTTTACCAGATGGTGAGTGGACCTTTACTCGCTTTCCTTCTATCGTTTGTGAGAGGGGGAGAATGCTGAGAAGAGTGTGTTGCAGGCTCACGACTACGCCGCTGCGCGCGGCATCATCATCGCCGACACAAAGTTCGAATTCGGGCTCGACGAGGCGACGAACGAGCTGGTGCTGGTGGATGAGGTGCTCACGCCGGACAGCTCGCGCTTCTGGCCCGCGGATCGATATGAGATTGGGAGAGGGCAGCAGAGTTATGACAAGGTGAGTTCCGTCTGTTTGATGCTGTATAGTGGGCACATCTAATGAGACATTTGTAGCAACCGCTTCGAGATTGGTTGACGAGCTCGGGCCTGAAGGGGAAGGAAGGAGTGAGGATGCCGGAGGAGGTGGTGAGGGATACGGAGCAGAGGTATCGAGAAGCGTACGAGAGGTTGACGGGGGAGAAGCATAGATGAGAGGTGCCGATGGACATTCGCGAAGCTCAATCCCCTTCGATTGATATGGCTGAGCGATTTAGGTCCTCGCGGTGCCCATCAAAATCGCTCGCAGTACTCAACATACAGGAAGGCGAGGGCGAAACACGCAACTGTTGTGAATTTCGAGGATCCGATCCCCTTCGATGTAGTCAAGCTAACGTCTGCCTTCATATATACGTAAACCCATACTCAAAAACGTCGTCCATTGGCGCGAGGAGAGGCCCTCCCCCATTGCTCTTCACCCTTTCCTGCGACCTTGTTTCCCAAGCGAGCACGGAACCAGCAGTAACTCGCACACATGCATTCAAACCACGGTTTCCTCTTCCCCAACCGTCCCGCCGTGTATTAGTAGCTCCTGCTCAAACGCACGAGTCATCCCTTCCCGCATTCACCACCACGCTCCCTCAGCCCATTTAACATTACTCCGATTAAAACAACAAACATGCAACATAGATTCACTGATTAGAAACGGTGGCCCCACTGCTCAGCGTCCACGCCAACTTCCTCTCCTCCAGATTACAACTGAATCCATTCCCCAGGGAAATATTCTGCGCCGCAGAGCCAGACTGCTGTCCCGCGCTGCTCAAATAGTACTGCAGCGTGTGCTGCGCGCTCGCTGCCTGGTTCAGCTCGCCCGAAGCCTGCAGGATGTACAGCACAGCAACGCCCGCGAAATCGGTGATGGAGCCCGTGTCCGTGAAGGCGGAGCGGCGCGTCGCGCCATCCTGCTGGAACGTGACGAGCGTGTTCTCCTGCGCGCAGTTCAGGTCGGCGGTGGAGAAGAGGCCGAGCAGCGTCTCGGCGTTCAGCGGGACGTTGAAGTCCGCGCCCGAGCTGGCGATGAGCTGCGGCAGGTCGGAGCCGATGGTGGCTTGCGAGCTGAGGCTGACGGCCGTCGTGGTGCAGCCCGAGGGCTCGTGCACGCTGCAAGTTTCGCCCGTGTACCCGTTGACGCACAGGCAGCTGCAGGAGTTGTCGCGGGCGATGATGTGCACGCCGCCGTTTTCGCAGGACTGCGTTGCGGAGCAACCTTGGAGTGTGCCGGAGGTGGGCTTGCTTGCGGCTGTGGTGGCTGGGTGCTGCTTGGGTATTACGAATAGAACCACGGGGATGACTACCGCGGCGGCGATCAAGAGCACCAACAGGGCGAGAAGCAAGAGGAACAGCCAGAGCGGCATGCCGCAGCACTTCCTCTTGGTCTTCTCGCGAACTTCTGCGGCATCGCTGTCGCTTGGCAGCTGCGAGTGTCTCAGCATCGAAGAGAACTGGCCCAGACTCCTGCGCATCTCGTTGTTCTGGCCTCCAACGTTTAGCATGTCCGACATGCTCGCTTTCGACTGCCGGGTGTTGATCGCGGCGCGGTACTTCTCCACATTCACATCGGACTCCGAGGTGTTGAAGAAGTTCATGCCTAGTCGACTGGCTGTCTTGCCGCGGTCGAGGTTCCGTGCCAACTTGGTCGCTCGTCTGATGAGGTCAGGGAGTGAGGTCATGGAGCCGCGTTCTCCCCCAGCGGTATCATCTTCGATGAATGACGGGCGTGAGCGACGTATTTCGGACTTTTCGGTGAGACCTTCGGTATCGTCTGAGGGCCCGCCTTCGGTAATGGTGCCAATAGCGCCGTACTCGTGGACATCATTCTGTTCATCACCGTATGCGTGGGCAAGGGGCGAGAGCGGGGCGGGAGGATCGTCATCCTGAGCCCGTAGTACTGGTGATCGGCGTTCCGCAGGAATATCAAGAATCTCAGCTTCTGACGCGGTGAAAGATTGGCGTTGTAGGCCAGGGACGGGGCCGAGGAGATGACTGCTGCGTCGTGGACTGTTGCTTCTGGCGTCTGCGTCGTTCTCGTCCGCCTCTGCTGCGTCTACCACCATGGCGCCTGCACCGGCTGCTCCGACAACGGCCGCGACACCCGTAGCATCCCTTGCAACACTGTTGTCATGATCCAGAGTCCTGTCCTGGCCCGCACTGTCGTCGGGTGTCGGACCTTCTGACACCCAGGCTCCCGGTACGGGTTCGTGTGCCTCGATGAAAGGAGTGAGACCGTCGGACGACTCTGGTTGGCTCGAGTGCATGGTATTGGCGTCTCCTGAGCTGCTCTCTCTCCTCCTCTCCCCGTTGGTGATGGTTGTCAAGGCAGGTCGAGTCTTCTTGCCCAAGCTAGCTTGCCTGATCATAGGGGTAGGTGTCACACTATCTGAACGCGCCGATTTCATCTCAGCGTTCTCATGTATGTTTTGTGCGAATCCGACTGGCTTCGCCCCGCCGTTCTCGTCGGTACGCTGCGCAAGTGTTGGAGATTCGTTGTGGTCCACCTCGTTTGGTGGGGTTGATGATTCCCCTTCTTGGGAGCCATCCGACTTCTCAAAGTAGTAAGACGGAATCCGCTCGTTTGCATGGTCGCTGGCTGGAGTGAGGGTGGGAGGGTTGGGAGACCTTTCGGCCAGCGGCGCGGGGACCGCCAGACGAGGCAAGTCCGCTGGGCCTCTTCTTGATGAACGCTGCCCAGGGGGACGCGGGGGTCTTTGTTGGTAGTGCGTGCCAGGCGCCGGGCCCGAGAAGCCGTGGGCAGGCTTCTTTGGTGATCGAGGCTGCGGCGGGCGATGGTAGTAGACGGGCGCAGAGGGTGCGTTGTATCCGTCGCCAGCCCATTGTGCATTGCCCGGGTGCATCTTCTGAGACGGAGAAGGGGGTGGGTACGGTTTGCCAGACGCTCCAGGACGGTATGGCGGACGGGGTCGATCGGAGAAGGAGAACTGATAGTCTACCCGCGGCTGCGAGGGTGGGGGATGGCGCGGAGGATGGCCCAGGGGGCTGTTGCTGCGCGGAGGGAAGGGGGATAGTGTACGTGGTGGGAGTGGCCAGTGTTCGGGCTCGCTGTCGGCCGTAACGCCCTCGTTTTCGAGCGGCCAATTCGTTTCTTGAGGCAGCACTGGCGGTGCATGCTGCTGTGGGATAGGCCGTGGCCGATATCGTGCATCGAGCGGGGCTTGGGGAGGGTACATCTTCATGCCCGAAGAGGCACGAGGTGGACCATGTTGTGCCTGAGTCGGCGGTCTTCGCGGGGATGTTGGCTGCATTTGCAGCGGGGTTTGGTGTCTTGGTTGCCTGTCGAGGAAGGTGTGGTGTCAAATGAGTGGATATGGTGTTGAACGAGTGGATACGGGTGAGTGAATGGTAAAGAAGGTATCAGCAATCGCTGCAATGCATGGATGCGTCGTCGCCTCAATTTCGCTTCTAGGGCGGAAAGGCGTTGCTGTGCTACAGATCTGCGGATTGCCGGAAGATGCAGGTGTCGCGGTCGCCGGATAGATGGCGCGTTTGTTCGGACGGGTTTGCAAACTAGAGCTCGTGGTCGAAGCTGGCCTCTGCGCTTCGTTGCCGGTTTTGGGAGGTTTGCAATTTGACGGGATGGCAGCGCGCGGCGGGAATTTGCATATCGTGTTGTTTGTCAGAGATGGAGCGGCGAGAAGGCGAGGCGAGGCGATGTGATGTGGGCGAATCGGACGACAATAGCGTGGTGGGCGTGATTGTTGAAGGAATCGGACGCGGGGAATGCTCGAGCGCAGCCTTGCAGACGCGTGCGGCGCGTGACGTGGCACGCGGGGAATTTCAAACAGTAACGACGGTGAGGTCTCGACGGACAGCAGTATTGCGAGAGAGGCAGCAACAGCAAAGCGGAGAAGGAGGGAGGGGGAGAAGGTGTAGGTGGATGACAGGAGGAGGAGGCCGCGGGAAGGAAAAGGGACGGTGGGAGAGAGAGAAGGCGCGCACGAATGGCGCATCCCGGAGCAGAGGCTGTCGCGCTGAAATTACACGCGCGAGCAGGGCCCCCGGCTTGTCAATGGGCGACGATCGGCGAGTTCGCCGGCTTAGACTCTGCCCCTAACCAGCCGAAATGGGCGCGAAACCTGGGGAATGCAATTTTAATTCCACCCGCAACGATGAGATGCCGCGCAGGAGCGCTCTGCGACAACGGTCAGCCAGCCAGGCAGCTGGCAACGTTCGAGCAACGGAAACCACCAGCAACGCCTGTCGTCGTCTGCGTGCGCGTCTGGGCATGGTGATCAACACTTGGCTGCCAGCGAGCTGTAAAGTGTCGCGACGAAACACGACGTGCAGTAGAGCAGCATCGCCCTGCTGCACGATGATTGCACACCTGAAGCCCCTCGACGCCCATGGTGTCAGCATGCACTAGTCCCGATACGGCTAGTGTAATCTGCCGCCACAGCGTGGCTGCACAACTCACAGGTTCGAGGAGAACCGCCCTGAAACTCGCTGCGGGCGCTCATTGGCTGGCTGGTCGTGGTCTGGTTGGAGCCTTCCTCGTGTTCTCCAGGGGCAACAAACCCTTCATCTGCTCCCCGTCTCATTGTCCAACGACTCACAACGATGTGTTGCAGCCCACCACTCGTCGGATATGGATGGGTGAGGGTGCTGCTATCGGTGATGCATGCATGATGAAAATGCCCCAACGCCCCTCTACGGACCTCCCTCCGACCCACATCTGGGCCATATTAATCTTAAATTCCCCTAATGCCCGTTGCCAGGATTCGCTTGCCAATCAGCCGCGGAGGAATGCCTTCGCCATCTAAAGGTGCGCAGGTCTTACAAACCCTCCTAAGCTCTCGTGTTCTCCGACGACGACGACATGGGTGCCTTGAAACTTCATCACCCGGCCCTGCTTTCACCCTGGGACAATATACAGATTACAAGGCTGCGAGGATCTCTGATGCATGGCCCGCTGCACGCATCGCGCAAGCACACGAGCCAGCGGATCCTGCTCATTAAATGTACCACTGCACACACCGCGCCGTCTTCTCCACGCGCTCTTGGGTAGGATGCACGAGCTTAGCACGCGAAATTCTCTTCCTCTTCTCTTTCGTCATCCTTTCTAGTCTTCACACTTGCCTCTTACGTTCTTAGCTACCTCCCTTCAGGCTTACAGTACCTGACTGATGAGGCTGTGGCTTCACGTTCCCTGTCCGTCAATTGCGAGGCTTTTGTTCCGTGTATTTCCATGTTCATTTGATGGCGTCCATATTCCCTGTCTCCTTGGCACATAATACGTGCACTTCTTGACATGAACCGTCATCTCTACCTCCGGCACCTCCCATCCCTGTCCCTAACCCCTCCACTCTCACTGCAGCGACCTTCCCCCATCAACATACAGCTCAATCCCCGTAATCAAACTCGCCTCATCGCTCGCCAAGAAGGCAGCCGCATTGCCAATATCCTGCGGCGTCGCCGTCCTCCCCAGCGGAATCCCCTTGATCAACCCCGCCCTGCCCTCCTCCGTATCCGTGCCGCCCAAAACCGACGCCAGCATGCCCGTCGCCGCCGCAACGGGGCAGATGGCGTTCACGCGCACATTTTCCTTTGCAAACTCCGCCGCCAGCCCTTTCGTCACCGCACTCACCGCCCCCTTTGACCCCGCGTACCACACCAGGTTGGGGCGGGGGCGCGGCGCGGAGATGGAGCTGACGTTGACAAACACGCCTCCTCCGGCTTTCTGGAAGACGGGGCGCACCGCTTTCGCACTGTGATACAGCGGGCTGACATTAATCTTCATAATGCGTTCGTACTCCTCCAGCGGGACCGTGTCGGAAGCCTGGGCGTTATGCACCACCCCAGCGTTATTGACGACGATATCCAGCTTGCCGAACGCATCGAGCGCGTGCTTGACCGCAGCCTCCCAATCGCTCGTCTTGGTGACGTCGCCTTCGTAAGCCTTGACGGCCTTGGGGTCGAGCGAGGCGGCCACCTTTTCGCCATTCGCTTTGTGGATGTCGAAGATTAGCACGCGCGCGCCTTCGTGCACGAACTTGCGCACGATGCCTTCGCCTAGCCCGAGTCCGCCGCCGGTGACGATGGCTACTTTGCCTTCCAGGCGGCCGGGATGAGACATTGCTGTGGGGAGTGGGATGTGGTTGTAGATGTGATGTCGAGTCTCGTATTGTTCGTCGATTGACAACGTGGCAGTCCGGTCAGAGAGGATAATGCAAAGTTGATATCGTGGAGAATGTCTGGTCTACTCTCACTCTGATTTCGTAGTGGCAGTCAAACATTCGGCATACATCCTTGTCCCTGACATCCGACTTCACCCCGCAGGAGGGGCAACGAGGCGGCAAAGGTGTCCGAGACACGGGCGAGCTCGCCTTATTCCCGATCCAACTCACCAAAGAAATTGAATAACTTGGAGGTTTCAGGCACGGCAACACAGTGACTCTGATCATTGGACTCGACGATTAGCTCTTCCTCTTTCTCTGATCCTATCTCTCGACTGCTAACACCAACAGCGCCAGAGCTAGAATAAGCCCAAAAAGTGCAATCCTCCCATCAACGCCGCGCCAATCCACGCGCCCCTTCATACAAGGGGGCGCGGATGATATCAAAGGGTATATGCTTTTGCAAAACATCAAAGGACGTGCGAGGTGTCGGGACCGTCGCCTCTCCTCCTCCTCCTCCTCCTCCTCCTCACATGACGTTACATGACTTCATGCCGCCTTGCTTCTCATTCTTCGCCTTGACCGTCAATGCCACGCGCGCGGCTTCGGTGAAGGCCTCATTGACGCCGCGGTTGCGTTTCGCCGAGCATTCTGTCAAGCGCAGCATCGTTAGCGCAAGTCCGTTCACGACCCCGTTCGAGAAGAGCGCAGACCACTTACCCAGATACCTCAACGCCCGAATCTTCTCCGCCACCGCCAGCCCCTGCTTGTAATCGATGCATGGCCGCTTGGCCTCCTGTGCCGCCGCCGCATCGTCCGCATCGTCTCCACTCTCGCCCCTCAAGTCGCATTTCAGTGCAACGAGGACCAGCTTCACCCCCGGGCAGTTCTCTGCGATTTCCCCCACCCACTTACTCTCCACGTTCTCCAGCGACTCGGGCGAGTCGACGCTGAAGCACAGCATGATGGCGTGTGTGTCGTCGTAGCTCAGGCTGCGTAGACGGTCGAATTCCTCTTGCCCCGCCGTGTCCCAGAGGGAGAGTTCGACGTGGACATCGTCGATGAAGATGTCGTGGACGTAGTTTTCGAAGACGGTGGGCTCGCTGGGAGGGTGTGTGTTAGATGCGGAGGGAGAGGAGATGAATGGGGTTGCCGGCCTTACTACACGGTGGGAAAGTAGCCTCTGGTGAAGACATTAAGGAGGGAGGTCTTGCCGCATGCGCCGTCGCCTCTGTGGGAGCGGATCAGTCAGTTGGCTGGCCCCTCGTCTCGTCCTGAGGAGGGGAGAGATTAGAGACATACAATAATACCAGCTTGCGCTGCACCGTCTTAGATCCGCCACATAGCTTCATCTTGCCCAACTGCCAATGCCGCAGCTGCCAGTCGCCCGTACGCGAGAGAGCCCGACTCTATCGCGCTTGCCCTTTGTGCAAAGAGAAGCGGCAGTGCTGATGATGGAGTGCTCGAAGACTCGGCAGAAAGGTCGTTGAGATGGGGTGGGGGCGAGAGAGGGCGTCAATGCGCCGGAGCGTCGTCAGGAAGCGCGGCAAAGAAGAATAAGAACCGATTGCGCGCAGACACGGGCTAGAGAGCGACAGTCGTGGTAGAGAGCAGAGGCTTTCGTGAGGTCAGGTACGTCAGCGAGGTGAATGGAGGAGGGAGAGAAAGGTGTGGAGAGATGGGGAAAGTGCAAGACGGGTTGGGGATGCAAGATGGGCGAAGCGTGCTCTGGATCTGGAGCGCAAAACGTGGCGCCGGCCGAAGCTTCCCGTCGATCCGCGGCATGTCCTCGGTATGCCAACCATCCGGCAACGGCTGCGCATGCTTGGCCTGCTTTTCGACATTCGCGGCACTTCGTCTTATTTTTCCTCCCAGGACATCACTCAATGCTACACTCCCATCCCACATCTGCCCTCCCATCCATTCCGCACACGCGGCCTTGCATTGATGAGCTGCGGGCTGCTGCACGGCTTGCCTTCATCGGTGGTCGAATGACGCCAATTCTCAGCCAAGATCGACGGCGGCGGGCAGGTAGCGAAAGCCGCAATCCGGCCCGTTGTGGGGGATTGCATGTCGTGCATGAAAGCGAGGGCTGTCTTTTCTCTACAGCACCAAGCCTTGTTGACACCTGTCCGGCAGTCATTCACGTACCTTAAGCTCGTCTTTCCTCAGATAATTGAGATCTTGTTCGAATACATGATATAGACAGCAATCGTCTCGCGCATACGTGCACCACTTCAATCTTCCTCCATCCTTCCCCCGCGGCCTTGCAGTCGCCTCCCCATGTCCACTCCCTCGGCATTCTTGCGCACGCCGCTCATGAATCTGCCAGTCTCTGACCGCTTCTTATCCTCTTCCTCACGTTGCTTCGCTTCGCGCGCCTCGATCTCGGCCAATCGAGCTTTGCGATCACTTTCCAGCTCGGACGCGTTGGACTGCATGGCCGCAAGTCTAGCGGCACGCTCGGCGTCGGCATCCGTCGCGGCTTTATCGTTGTCCTTCGGAGGGGAGGTGTAAGATTTGCGGTGGGATGGGCGGCGCTTGTCATCGTAGTCATCGTCTTTCTTCCGTCGATAGGGTGAGCGCGAGTCTGACGATCCTGATCTCCGCGGGCTGGGATACGACCGCCGGCGATCTTTGCGCTCATCGTCGTCTCGTCTTCGCGGCGGCGATCGCGAACGAGACCGTGATGGGGTATAATCGCGCTCGCGGCGTGAGCGAGACTTTCGTTCGTCGCGACTGCGTCCCGCATCCTCATACCTTCTTCGGGGAGGTGTGCGTGAGCGGGATCTGGAGTCGGAGGGTGACGGCGATCGGCGTCGATGTCTATGTGACCGGTGGCTTCTCGAGCGCCGTTCTTCACCTTCGTCGCTGTACCTCCTTCGCTTACTCCGGTGTCCATCCTCATCTCGGTGTCGATGTCGATGGCGATGCCTGTGCTTGCCCTCCTTCTCCTTATCCTTTCCGTCATCCTCCGTCTTTCCCGCAGCTTGCATCAACAGGCGTCTCTTGGCGGGATCGTTCATCATCGCCTCATACGCGGCCTGCTCTTGCTTCTTGATCGCCAACATGGGATCGTTCGCTACCTTTGCCATGGTATCCCGCGCGGTATTGGCATTGCCATTGAGCGCCATAAACCCTTGCTCCCCAGCGTTCCCTCCAGCATCCTTCTTCAGACTCTCCGTCTCGCTTCTCTTGACCAAGCCGCCCAGCCTGCGCTTGCCGAGCAGATAGCCCTCCATCTCCTCGCTCACGCCGCCGGCGCCTCCAAGTCCACCGGCGCGCGAGTCATTGTACATCCAGTGCACCTTATCCACCACCTTTGCCCCTCCAGACGCCTCCTGCAAGCGCTGCAATTCGAGGATCTTGCGCTCCTCTTCGCGCTCCTTCAGCACCTGGTCGATCTTTTTCCGCTCATCCAAAGCCTTCTTTTCTTCTTCGTACACCCGCTTCTGGTTGGACATCAAGTTGGGATGCCATGATTTCTTGAGATTGAGATCGCCACCCATTTTGGCGACGTTGGCGGGAGGGATGGAGTGGGTGGGTGCGTGGAAGAAGGAGTGTTGGTGAAGGGCTCGTGAGTCGAAGGTGCGTGGCGGCGGGAAAAGTGTAAGCGGAATGCGGAGGTGGCCCGTGCTCAATCTCGTCGACTGCGGGAGCTGCCTGAACTTATGCCTTCACGACACCTCCGAACTGACATGTTGCAAACCAAGCACCTCCCACCCCCATCTATTTCTTAGACCCACCGACAGTTATCTGAGGTGGTCGTCTTCTCGCACTCATCGCTCCTAATTCACAAGTACACGGCACACCGTCAAGATGTCGGACGATGATGATTTCATGCAAGACTCGGACAACGAGAAGTGAGTGCTTCGTCGACCGTTTGTCATTACATCCAGCTGACTCCCACAGCTACGACTTCGAGTACGAGGACGATGATGATGCCGATCAGGGGGGCGACGTGGACGTTGAGAACAAATACTACAATGCCAAACAGATGAAAGGCGATGCGCCGGAGGAGGCAATCGAGGAGTTCCTGGGAGTGCCCGCGTTGGAGGAAGAGAAGGGCGATTGGGGGTTCAAAGGCTTGAAACAGGCCATCAAGCTCGAGTTCAAGCTGGGCTGGTACGATAAGGTACGTTCAATGTTGCAGACGCGACTCTCCATCCCTCCTGGCCCCAGCTGACCCCGCCAGGCCGTCGAACACTACACCGAGCTCCTCACATACGTCAAATCCGCCGTCACGCGCAACTACTCCGAAAAATCCATCAACAACATGCTCGACTTCATCGAGAAGAATGCAGAAGACGAGGCGGCGAATGCGTGCATGGAACAATTCTACTCCAAGACTCTCGAATCCTTCCAGGCGACCAACAACGAGCGGTTGTGGCTGTCGACAAATACCAAACTGGCGAGACTGTGGCTTGCACAGAAAGACTATCCTCGCTTGACGGAGAAGGTCAGAGAGTTGCACAAAGCTTGTCAAAGAGAAGATGGAACAGATGATCCAAGCAAAGGAACGTACTCCATGGAGGCGTATGCGCTGGAGATTCAGATGTACTCCGAGACGAGGAACAACAAACGACTGAAGGTGAGCTATTTGTACCACACCCATTCTCGCCACATCTAACGAAATGCTGCAGGGCCTCTACAACCGTGCTCTTGGCGTACGCTCCGCCGTCCCGCATCCCAAGATCATGGGCATCATCCGTGAGTGCGGTGGAAAGATGCACATGAGCGAGGAGAACTGGAAGTCTGCCCAAAGCGACTTCTTCGAATCGTTCCGCAACTACGACGAAGCCGGCTCGCTCCAGCGCATCCAAGTCCTCAAATACCTCGTCCTCACCACCATGCTGATGGGCTCCGACATCAACCCCTTCGACTCGCAAGAGACCAAGCCGTACAAAAACGATCCGCGGATAGCCGCCATGACAGAGTTGGTGGACGCGTACCAACGAGACGACATGGCAGGCTACGAAGGCGTCTTGCAGCGGAACAAAGATCTGGTGAAGGACGAGTTCATTGCGGAGAACATCGACGAGGTGACGCGAAGCATGCGGACGAAAGCGGTCGTGAAGCTCGTCGCGCCGTACACGCGCTTCAAGCTGGACTTCATCGCCAAAAAGCTCGACATCTCCATCGCAGAGGTGCAGGATATCGTGGGCTTCTTGATCATGGACAAGAAGCTGCGCGGCAAGATCAACCAGGATGCAGGTACGGTGGAGATTGAGAGCGGTGCGGATCAGGAGCGCATGAGTGCCGTTGCCGACTGGACGAAAGCCATCCGCTCCCTGGCCAATCTCGTCCTGAACGACAGTGAAGGCTTTAAGACAGACGACGCTGGTGCTCCTTTCGGATCGCCAGCAGATGGGCTTCCGACGCCCCAGCGTCCGGCTGCAAACGCTGGAAAGCGCAAGCCTCATCGGACCCCTGGCATCGCGGCGAAATGACTTGCATGAAAAAGCGTTGATCCGCGTGGCTACATTTCTCCCGCAACCCACCATTGAACATGAAGCATCATCCTTAGCGAAGTGCATTGAGACTTGCAGCCGTCCATCTGTCCATCTGGACATCTCGGGCGGAAAGATGCAGTCAGATCTGAGACCATCACTGGGCGCGAAAACAGCAGCAGCGCACAGAGATCCACTCAAGAGAGATTTGGAATTGCTGCGCGCAGCTAAATGGAGGGCTGCATTCGCGGATACCGGGGAAACGTGTTTGTAGCAAGAGGGGAGAGGAGAGAACCGTTGCACCGGTGCCAGGCGTGTCCATCTCGGACATCTTCGGCCCTGCGCTTCCGATCTTGCTTTGTGCGACGAGAACCACCACGAAACACGAGAGTAGCTAGACGTCTTTGTGTAAGGTCGGCCGCGAATATCCGCTCCTTCCGCCTATCCCCTTCCCTTGGGTTCTTGCCGACGGTATCAAGTCAGTCGCGTACGTAGACCGCAGAGTCACTTTCATCAGAATCCGTCATTGCAGAGATCCATTTGTAATAATGTGATAGGTCTGAAGAAAGCAGCTGCGAAGTTCAGCCCCTTAATGTTACACCGCCGTACCCTGTGACCGTGCTATCGGAATGCCGCGCCGTGGCTTGGACGAGGATGAGAAAAGAGACAGGTTGTTCCCGCACGGACTGCAGACTGCCTGGTCACCTTGTGCATGGGGGCTTTTGGCGTTGATCGGGTGCTTGCATTGGAAGTGACTGCGATCGTCCCGGACATGACGGATCTTCGAGAGGGGGTACAACACCTACCTGTACGTGGTTGGGATGCCGTTACATGTGGCATTGAAAGCGGCTGTCATATCGTCAATGCACGAGAGAGCGCTGCTCCTCACCCGCGCAGTGAGCGCCCGTATCACAAAGAGGCTTGCATCGAATGGCGTCATGGGTGCACGTCAGTGCGATTGAGAGGGGAGCTTCGAGAAGGACGAGTGGTGTTCCTTGGGTTCCCCCTTTCCGGCCTCGAGCGCCAGATGGTGCGGTGGGGCGGTAGGCTGGTAGGGCGTCGTTTCTTTGACTGAGAGATTGTCCCTACCCGGACTTAGATGTCTGATTGCTGTGCCTTCTTGGGACGGAAGGTTTACGAACGGATGGATTTAGCGATGCCCAAAGCCACACACTGAGCAGAATGTGAGCCGACCAGTGTTGCCGGGAGCGGATGATATGGAGCTTGGTAGTGCCGTGCCGAAGTGGGCGGCGCGTGCGGGTGGGAGTGCGTGTTTGCACGACCGATTGCGGTATTGCTGCTTGATGCTGTTGCTCTCCCGCGTTGCCGTTCTCGGTGCCTGGCATGAAGGGGAGCGGGCTGGATGTGCTTCCGCCGAGCGCGAGGCCACAAGCTGTATTCCCAATAGCCCAGTTGGCGTCTGGCAAGGAAAGGGGGAGTGTGTTCCGAGATGATGCAGTTTTGCACGGCGGCCCGTGTGTCTCTTTTTATATCTTGGGCGTGCAGCTGCCCTTCTCGCCCCGGTCGTTTGGGCTCTCCTCTCCTTCTGCCCTCCGTTACCTCTGCTTCAGAGCAGTGCAGCGGTCAAGGGAGCAGATCCACTCGCTTTGTCCTCGTTTGCCACAACCCTGCTTCGCTCTCTCTCTCTCCCTCCCCTGCTTCCACCTTTCTCGCTCGGGTTCCCGAGGGACTGGGTGAAGAAGCGAGAGTGCAGCACCCCACGCAAGCTTCTCGCGTTGTTGCTGCACACTCCCTTGTGCTCCCCTTGGGGCTGATCGGTCACATGCTTGCTGCTCCGTCGGCCGCCTACTTCCAACCTTTCCACCGTATCTCCTCAGCTCTGCACTTTGTGTGTGCTGATAGGAACGACAAGGAAACAAGGAAGCCAAGTGACAAATCGGACGGTGCATTAGATCAAGACGGAGACTGGCCGGTTTCATGCCAACGCAGCCCTCATTCCAGTGTGACTCCAGCAGAGGCCAACAACCAGCCACGCAATCTGGACACCGACACATCGTCCATCCAGACCACGCAGTGATAGAACAGCAGACTGACGACGTGGAGAACAGCAAAAGATTGGTTGGAAAGTGGCATCAGAACAAGACAGCGTCTTGAAGTCGTCGGCCCCACCTGGCGATCGTCGCGTGTGTCTAGCGCGTGTCGTTGGCGAAGGCAGCGGGAAGCCTGGCCGCCGCCGCCGCCAGCATGAACGCAGCATCGCCTTTCTTCCCATACTCCCAACACCTCCCTCAACATCCCCCGCCCGGTCCGTATCAGCAATATCATGATCCTGCCCTTGCGTCACTGGCATATGCACCGCTACAGCATTTGCCCCTGCAGCAGCTGGATCCGCTCTACCCTCAGCAACATCTCGTCTTGACCCCGGCGGCAACCAGCTTCCACCAAGCTCAGCCTCAGCAGCAGCAGCACTTGCAACAACCCACTCACCCAGTCTATCAACACCACGATCCTGCTCTTTGTGCCCGCCAGCGTCACATCCGTCCATCTCGGGTGAACATGGCGTCCTATCCGCAGCAAGACATGTCGGACGAGCAGCTCTCGGAGTTCCAGAAGTTGAGCAATGAGTACGTACCGGAGGTGACGGTAAGTCTTGATCATTTAATCTATCCGCCTCGCCGGACTGCTAGGAGTCATCGAATCAGTACTAATTGTCATCACAGGGACCTCTGGTCGGCGAACGACAATCCAGTACCGCAATTGTGGCGGAATATGCCTCTGCTGACCCCGTCTTCCAAGCCAAAACAGAGGTGAGTGGATGCGGCAGATGAAACTGTGAGGCCGTCCTCTGATGCCACTTCTCAGGCCCTCCCGCAAAAGTACTCACACTACCGTACCGTGCGAGGCGATGGAAGCTGTGGTTGGCGTGGTATGTCCTCACTCTCACCCCTTCACAATTCGTCACAGATCTAATGAACCCCAGCGGTCGCTTTCGGCTACTTCGAAGCCCTCATCCATCATGGAGACCCCAGTCGATTCCTGGAAGAAGAGACCCGTCTACGCTCCTCTTCAAACATCCTCAACATGGCCGGCTTCGACCCTTTCATCTACGAAGACTTTGCCGATGCCATGTTTGACCTCTTGCGGGATGTCGCGAGTGCCATGCAGGCTGGCCATGCCGAGCAAACCCTGTTGGCTGCTTTCAACGATGAAAGCAACCAGGCCAGCATCTTAACCTACCTCAAGACCCTCACCGCAGCCTGGATGAAGACTCGTCCACAAGACTATGCTCCATGGCTCCTCGAACAAACCGTGGAAGAATACTGCAATGCCTCCGTCATGCCCACCTCCGCCGAAATCGAAAACGTCGGCCTCAGCGCTCTCAAGGACACCTTCTTATCCCCGGCTGGCATCACCCTCGAGGTCCTCTACCTCGACCGCAGTGAAGGAAGCGAGGTCAACATGCACAGGTTCTCCCCAGTCAACCATGGTGGCTTCGATGTCGGGACCGTCCGACTGCTCTACCGACCGTATGTGCACATCAAGGTCTCCCGAATGAGCGATAAGCTAACCGTGTCTCAGGGGCCACTACGATCTGCTGTACAAACTCCAAGACCTCCCCCACGCCGCGGCTTCCGTGTCGACGTATCTTCAGATCGCCAGCCAAACCCATCGCGAGCCCATCTGCGCCATTGGCATGCCCGACTTCTTGACCGGATTCGCAGGCATGTCGTATGTGAGCCCCCACCAAGCTTGGGTATCTTACCCCGGTGGCTATGGCGAGTTTGATGGCTTGGCTCCGCCGACCTCCCTTCACCACTGCGCTCACACCCTCTCAAATCCCTCGGTCACTGCCTCTCCGCCCAACGTACAGTCGCATCCGATTTACGCAGCGCCAAATGCAGCTCCGCAGCTGCTGCAGCCTGGACAAATGTCGATGGAACTGCCAGTGCGCACATTAGCACAAGCGGGCATGGTGCCACAGCCGGGTTGGCAGCAACAACTGGCCGGCGGCCCCTTCCGGCCCTCTGCTTGGGAGTTTGAGCCCGATGTCCTGCAAGCCACGGCTCAATCACCGTTGCAGACGGCCATGTTCAGGAAGTGAGTACAGTCTTGAGCCTCATGTTCACATTCAGATATGCTGACATCGACTTCGTCCAGCTCACACTACAACACGGCGCACTTCATGAATCCCGACTTTCAGCCCGAGGAATGGCATCCGGAGGACGAGTACATTCTGGGCAACGGCAAGCCCACGCGACACAGGAACAGCGGATGACGTCCCGCCAACCATTGACTGCCCCGAACTACTCCGACCACTCGACACCCCATAGCTCATGAATGTCACACGACAGCGTCACACCCTCGACTAGCTTCTCGCGTACCACCCGCCCTTGCGAAAACGGCTAGCCACACAGCGAATACATTCTTTCGACCACTACTCATGCCGAGCCATCCACGGCCCACGATTCTCACGACCCCCAAGACTTATTCACCTCAGGGTACCCTACACCAACAGAGCGCATCAACAGCATCCTTCTTCTCCAGCATGAATCTATCAGCGTTTTTCATTGCGCTCGAAAAAATCACAAACAACAGATCATAGCACGGCGGAACATCGCAGCAGCACAGGGGGGGTCATCCAAAAGGCGGTGTTTCTGCTTTGACCATCGGTTTTCGGGACGGACGGGGGGAGCCTGCATTCGGCGATGGCGATTCAGAAGGACGGGGTGGTGGGTGGTGTCTCTCCACTGCGAGACGAGCTTTTGATTTACCCTTTTTCCTCTTTGACATTTGTTGCATGAGATACCATTGCATTCTATAGGCGCCATATGCATACGACAGGATTGTGTCGCTAACTTCTAGCATGGCCCTTGTTCGGCTCGTTCATTCCGTCAACGTGTCTGCGACGGTTTCATGACTCACTGACCCAGTTGCCCATTCTGTATCGATTGCAGGCCAATTCCCGATCGCATGTGCTCTTCTGAGCGTCGACTGGTTTTGCTGTCGGGAGTGTCGAGATGAGTCAGCCTGAGGCACCAATTATATGCCAAGATTTTTGCCCCACATTTCCACCGAGTGCAAATTTCGCCCGTCATGCCAAAAGCACCTCTCCGCTCCTCCTCCCCAAACACTTGCCACCAACAACTCACGCCAATCCATCGAACTCATCACCGGCACTTCGAAAGTCGATTCTCCATTCGATTAACTCCTACACCACCCACGAATAACATCGAAACACCGTCAACATGGTACGCGGGACACCCGGGGGCGGTGGCGGTCGGGGATGAGCAGCAAGCACACGACCACTTGTCTATTTCGATGGCTGTGCGCTTGCATCACTCAGACCGCCCACTGTCACCCATGCCTTGCTCGCCAGCAACAGAAACTAATGCTATCCTGATAGGTTCTCGCCGTCGATCTCCTCAACCCCACGCCGCAGGCCGAGGCCCGCAAGCACAAGCTGAAGGTATGCCATGTCCCCCTCCACACTGGACCTGTACAGGAGCAATGCACTCACACTTCTTTTTCAACAGCAACTCGTCCCCGGCCCGCGATCCTTCTTCATGGACGTCAAGTGCCCCGGCTGCTTCACCATCACCACCGTCTTCTCCCACGCACAAACCGTCGTCGTCTGCGCCGGCTGCTCGCAAGTCCTTTGCCAGCCGACCGGTGGCAAGGCGAGACTCACAGAGGGCTGCTCTTTCCGGAGAAAGTAGATGGAGGATGGATGGAGAGGATAGAGGTGGGGGGTAGATGGACGGATAGGCGGGGGCAGGACATGCGGTGTCTGCCCCGTCCATCTCCCGAACTCCTTCGAAGCATGGAGCGATTCGAGCGCAAGAACTAAGGGACGCGGCGTTGGGGGCACGTTTTGCAATTGCATTGGAGGCGAGATGGCGATTTCTCGGTGAGCTCTGACTGCGAGGGCGAGGATACCGGATATAGACCCCGTCGAGGATGCCATACCCTTGCTCATCGTTGTTTGTTTCGAGTAGCTGCAACTCATCAAAAACTTGAACCTATGAAAGTGACTGTGTGCCTCCGCCATTGTCGTCGTGCTCATCGTCCAAGTTACTGCCACTCTCTGCCTCTGACTCGCCAGATGGAGGGCCTGAGGACTTTCCGCAAATCTTGCCTGCACTCCACCCCACCAAGCCAATGGGCTGAAATCCGCACCGCTCCCGCTCCCACAAACCTAACATCGTGAACCCGGTCAGCATTCGGCGCGATGGAGCCAGGAATCGAGCGAGGAAACCAACTTTAAATTGTCAACTAGTCAGCATCAGAGGCCGCTATATCATCATGAACCGGTAAGTCCCCTGCGTGCTCTGCTATTGCCTTCCCTTTTCCTTTCGATCGTCAATCCACTGAATTGGTAACCCGGCCACACCACACTCACTCGATGACAACCAGGTACACGAACGACGAATGGGACAGCATCATCCTCGAAACCGAGGGCGAAGTGCTGTACCGCGTGGCCTCGAAGCAGCACGCATCCGCGGCCCAATGTCCCCCAATTGGCAGCGAGGCGTTTACCAAGACAATCGATCATACGCTTTTGAAACTTGAGGCGAAGCAGAGTCAGTTTGATGATCTTTGTGCTGAGGCGAGGGTGGATCGGTTTGCGGTAGGCTCTTGTCCATTTCCTCTTGATGAGAGGCTTTGGACTGATTTGTTCAATAGACGGTGTGCGTACGCGCGCAATACGTGCAGCAATGTGTGGCCGATTTGAAAGGGTCGGGTGTCAGGGTAGCGTGCGTGATTGGGTTCCATGAGGGAACGTATGATTTATATCACAAGTCGCAGTGAGTTCCAAATGGCATCAACACCCGACCGAGTAATCGAAACAATCCCGCTAACGAACGCATCAGAGAAACCAAGCAAGCCCTCGCAGCCGGCGCCGCCGAACTCGACATCGTAATCAACTACCCACAACTCCAAAAGAAGTCCTACGCCTCCATCTACACCGAGCTCGCCGCCCTGCGCTCCCAAGCCCCGCACCCCACCACCCTCAAACTCATCCTGGAAACGTCGCAGCTCGACGCCTCGCAGATTATCGCGGGATGTGCGCTCGCCGCAGCCGCGAATTTCGACTTCGTCAAGACGTCTACGGGCTTCAATGGGGCGGGCGCGACGGAGGAGAATGTGCGGCTCATGGCGACGTGTTGTGATGTCCTGGCTGCGGGCGGGAGGGCGCGGATGCAGGTCAAGGCTTCGGGGGGGATTCGGACTTTGGGGGATGCGGTGCGGATGTTGGAGGCGGGGGCGAGTCGGTTGGGGACGAGTGCGGGGGTGTGGATTGCGAAGGAGGCGAAGGAGAGGGTTGCGGAGGGGAATGGGCGGGTGGTGGAGGCGGGGGAGGTGAGGGAGGAGAGGCCGGGGTTGTCGACGAGGCTGTTCACGGATTATTGACGAATTACTGAGAGACTCTCATGGACGCAGCGTGGCATTAGATTATCCTGATCAAGCGGTAGACTCTACTTCGTCTGACAGAGCGCGCAAAGGAAATCGGCCAGATCGCCCTTGGAAGCCTTCTGGATGTCCTCTTCAATCGACTGGCCGCGCTTCGACTCGTACTCGCGCTTCACCCGCAGCAAGTGCACCTTGTCCCAGTGCAAGCGCACCAAGCGGGAGATGAGCAGTTCATACCGCAGCTCCTCGTCCTTGTTCTTCTCCGCCACGTCCTCGATGGCGTGGCGAAGCAGGAGAGCGTCTCGGGCGGGCTTGTTGATGACGCCGTTGAGGATGTGCGCGATGACTTCGCCCTTTGGTTGTTGTCAGTCTCTTTGTTCTTTGACCACGTTCAAGGCTAATACTCACCACTAGGTTATTACTCTTCTTCAGCGCCGCTCGCGGGAAGTTCTCATTATACACCCTCTCATAAGACTTCAACACCTCCCTCAAATGCGCATCGCTGCGCAGCACAATAATCTCCAACATGGTGCTCTCGCCTCCCTTCGGGGCGGTCAAAGCCTTGTGCAGCGTCTCGATGTCCTTCATACGGTACTCCACGGGATACACGTCCTGCTCCTCCTGCCGCCGCTCCTCGAGCACAAGCAGCACGGCGGTGCGGAACTTGTCCATCTTCAGCTCCTTCTCCATGCACTTGACGAGGTCGTCGGAGTACCGCTTGTCCTTGAACTCGTCCTTGATGTTCCAGATGTCCGCGTTGCTGCGGCCCATGAGCGCCTCGATGAGCAGCTCGCGCCGGCTGCCGTGCGACTGGTAGAAGAAGTTGGCCCAGTAGCCTTCGCTTTCCCAGCGGCCGAGCGCGGTGACGTACGCCGCTTTGCCGAAGTTGTGTTTGAGCTCGGAGTTGATGTGCTTCGACAGGTTGACGCCCTTGCCCTGCACGCGGATCTGCTTCTTGTACTCCTTGCGCAGATATACGATCTGGTCGTGCGAGAGGGTGGGTAGGATTTGGCAGATGACTTCGCCGTTGGGGTGGCCGTGGTGGCGGAGCGCTTTGCCGATCTTCTTTGCGTCTTCTTCGGGATCGTAGACGGTCACGCGCTTCTTTTCCTTCTCGCGGATCACCGTCTCCTCCGTGATGCGGACGGATTTGCTGCTCGCATGCGTTCTGGCGGGTGAGAGGGGTTCCAGGTCGCTGAGATCATCCTCGTCGTCGTGCGGTCGATGGGCCAGTGGTAGGGGTGACATTTGTTGGTAGGTTCCTCGGTAAGCCTCGAGTAGAGGACTGGGTGGAGGCAGTTCTCCTCCGACCGCGGGCTGGTGAACGCCGAGTCCTCCGACCGAGAGATGGGCCATGCGTGGGGCCAAGGCGTCTGAAGGAGCAACACTATGGAGTCCGCCGCTCGTTCGTCTTTCTATTTCCATCCGGCTTTGAGTCGAGACAACGCTGGAGCGGTCATATGGCGTGACTTCTACCGCATTCGTTCTCGGATCATACGCGCTCTGCGACTGCTTGCGAGATCCAGGCTGGTCATGATAGTATGGGGCCTCGGACTGGGAGTATTGCCGTCGCTGAACATCCGTCTTGTAAGTGATGTTCTCCGGAGGCTGGGCATACTGATAGCCGTAGGAGGAGGATCTGGAGTCCGAGGAAGGGTAGGGATATGACGGTTGCCGCCCGGCTTGGGACGGTCGTGGGGCCTGCTGTAGTTGCGGTGGGTAGTTGTCGTAGGAATTCTGCCGAGGCGGGTAAGCGTCGTAGGAATTCTGGCGCGGTGGTGGATAGGTGCCATATGAGCCTTGGCGATTGGGTGGTGGAGGGTGGGGATCCCCATAGGCCAAGCCGTTGTCATATCGATCTGGCGGTGGGTAGTAGCCGGGTCGCTCATTCGGGGGATAATCCTTGTAATCCGCGTCCTGAGGATACGGCCTGGGCGGGGCAAAGTAAGCCGATCGCTCGCTCTCGTACGGAGGAGAAGCCGGAGGATTGTCGAAAGAGCCTGGCATGTTGACGCTGGATCCGGCGGGTGGGACGGAGTAATTGGCGGTTGGAGAGGTTTCGGGCATACGCACGGCGCTTCGGGATCGCGACCTTTCCCTTCCTGGTGAACGGGCACGCGAGCGGCCAGAACGGTCGTCGACTCTCAAGGACATGGTGCGGGAAAGGATGGCAGATGGGGGTTCAAGCGGGGGAAAGGAGCAGAGCAAAGGTACCTACCTCAGGTACAGGGAGACGTGGAGAGCAGAGAGAAGACGGAATGGCAGAGTGTGAAAGGCGTTAGGGCTGAAGCTGCGTCTAGCCCATGCCCTCGTGCATATGATTAGTTCATTACCTCGCCCGTCATGCAGGTGGGTGGCCTTGGGGCCAGCGGCAGAAATTGGGATGAAGCCAATGAGCGGGGGTGGGGTGGGGCGAATGCCTGCGGTGGTTGTCGGGCTTGAGCGATGTAATTAATCTCTGCTGCTGCTTCATGCCTGGACCAGTCCGGGGGCATGTGGCCTTGCGAGTGCAGATGTCCGCGGCCGTGGCCGACTGTTCATCAATCTATCGCCTGGAGAAGGTACCATGCTATATTCATCCCGTCTGAACCTGCGGTCTGTCGAGCTTGGCCCAGGTCGCGTGACTGGTGAATAATAGGTGTAGACATCTAATCCCTGGTCGCAGAGTCCAGGGATTGTGCTCACCTTGCCGTCCAAGCAGATGGCAGTGGCAGTTGGTCGTGTAATGCACGCTGTTCCACCGCTTGAAGCAAGATGCCTTGGCCAGCTAGTCATCGACACAGACTCCTGTGCACAGCTTGTTAGCTTCGTGTCAGGGCGCGTCGTCGCATACAATCAATTCGCCTGGAGCGACGTGTCACGCTTCACGAGAGAATGGCGACGGCATCTTTGTCTCGAGGTGGAAAGAGAGCGGCCACAAGGCTCCGGAGTTAAGGCTGGGATGCTCGCAGATAAGGTTCGCCCGCGTCGGTTAAGTAATCAGCGCATCAGAGCTCGCAGCTCCACCACCACCCGCTCCAGACGTCGTGCATCGTTGCTTGCCTCACTCCCGGGCGGAAGAGGATATCGCCGTCTCATTTGGACCCGGCTTCATCTATCGCAACCTCCCATCCAACCATGGCCGACTCTCGCGACGATGTCTTCTCTCCTCCCTCCGAATGGACGGCAGAAGATGACGACATGGAGTATGAGGTGCGTTGCCCGGAAGCGTGCCAGCAATGATTAAACAATCCATCCTTCCCACATCGCTGACGCCAGTCTGATCACAGCTTGCATCCGAATCCGCCTTCTCACCCACCACAGAAGAGGGCGACATCGAGGAGGGCACAACGCTGTACTTCGATGCCGAGGAGGGAACACTACGAACATCAAATGGAGCCGAGGTGTTAATAGAGATGGATGGTGATGAAGATGAGGACGATGACGATGGCGAGTATGAGGATGAGGATGCTTCAACACGGGAGTCGCAAGAGCCAGAGTCGGAAGCAGCAGCGGAGGAAGCGGATGGAACTCAAACACCTCAGCCTGCCACTGCCGCAGCAGCAAGGCCCCAGAGACAACACTTTACGAGTAAGTCCCGGCACCACTCCCTCTCAAATCTATCCTCCTGTCCTTTCGCCCAATCACCGTAGAATTCTCGTCTGGCTGACCACGTATCTCGCACCGGTTCAGTCACTCAACAACAGATCTTACAACTACTCTCCCAATCCGGATTACGCGGCTTCATCTCATCAGGTATCACGACCAGATCTCAAGCTCACAGAACGGGCCGGGGTCAACACATGCAGCTCGATGATGATGATAATGATGATGATGAAGCAGCCGACGACGACGACGATGACGATGACAGCGACGCCTACCTGGGTTATGCCACGCGAAGATCTCGCAGAAATCGCAGCACCTTCGTCGGCGACCGATACCCCAAGATTCCGTCGGAGAAGGGTCGCGAACTGATGGACAGCGGCACGTTTGGAACGAACGACCACTGCGAACACACCTCTTGTGGCTTGCCGTACTCCGAAACCGATATCGGCAAACGCCGGAAGTTGGCGCGGAGAATGCTGGACCGCGAGATGGGAGTCGAAAGTCGAGGCCGCGCGCGAGCCCTCAATGGACTCGCCGCCCAGAACATGATTCCCAGCTCCAAGGCCGACCTGATCGTCAATCTGAACGCACGGTGCTATTCCGGCCAATTCAGTGAAGATGGCTCCTTCTTCTTCGCCTGTGGGCAGGACTTTAAAGTGCGAATGTACGACACGTCCAACCCTTACGACTGGAAGTACTACAAGACCGTCAACTACTACGGCGGCCAGTGGACCATCACCGACGCAACCCTTTCACCAGACAACAAACAGCTCGCCTACAGCAGCATCCGAAGCCAGGTATGTCTTGCCAACACCGATCAAAGCGACACCTCCGAGCCCAGACTGCTCGACTTTTCCGACATGGGCGCTGGCGGTCATAGTCACCAGTGGGGTCGGAGTAGAGGCCATTTTGGAATCTGGAGTTTGCGCTTCAGTGGCGATGGCGGAGAGATCGTCGCGGGCACGGGTGACCAAAGCGTCTACGTCTATGACCTCGAGGCGCAGCGGAGTATCTTGAGAATCCCCGCACATACCGACGATGTCAACGCGGTTTGCTTTGGAGACAAGATGAGTCCGCACATCCTCTACTCCGGCTCCGACGACACCACGCTCAAGGTCTGGGATCGAAGGTCGTTGGCATCCATGAGGCCGGCTGGACTCTTTCTAGGACATACAGAAGGCCTGACATACATCGACTCCAAAGGCGACGGCAGGTATGTTATTAGCAACGGCAAAGATCAAACGTGCAAGCTGTGGGATTTGAGGCATATGATCAACACGGATGAGGGAGAGCGGATCAATCCACAGGTATGCTTTTCAATTGGATTACTATTCGCAAGCCTCGGATTCTAATCTTTTTTGGTAGGACTACACGACCGGTTTCGACTACCGCTTCTCGCCATACGATATGGACAGCCACGAGCCTCACCCGCATGATTGCTCCCTCGTGACCTTCCGCGGCCATCGCGTTCTTAAAACCCTCATCCGCTGTCACTTCAGCCCACCAGGCAGCACTGACGGCCGCTACATCTACTCCGGCTCCCACGACGGCAAAATCTACATCTGGAACATGGACGGCACCAACGCCGGCCAGCCCATCAACGTCCTCGCCGCCACCAAGAACTCCCGGCCCCCAGGCGACGAGAGGTACGTGGACCGCTACGACCACTACGGCCGCGGCGGCATTTGGAAAACGATTGTGCGCGACTGCTCCTGGCATCCCTACGCGCCCGTCATCGCCGCGACGAGCTGGAACGGGTGGGACCACGGGCTCGGCACGTGCACGGTGCATTCGTGGTCGGACGGCGCGGACGGCGACGAGATTGGGGATTTCAACGAGGCGGCGTGCAGGACGGGCGAGGCGTTTGCGCACAAGCCTAGTCTGGGCAGCACGCCGATGGGCGCGAGAGTGACGGCGCAGCTGCATCATGATGAGAGGTACTATGGTGGGGTGAATCCGCAGCAGACTTCTGCGAGGCGGACGAGGCTGAGCAACAGGATGGGTTTGGGGAGCTTGTGGGCGGGAGACGACGATGGGGATGATGTCTGACTAGCCGAGGAGCCTTTTGCTGTGTACCCGATGGCAATGCGGTAGCCGTGATGCTCTCGGCGTGGAATATGACCACGGTGGTGGATACGACCGAACGAATGGTATGGTGTAAGGAGTCTTTGCGATGGGATGGGGTTGGGAGAAAGGTACGACTTGATACTGGCGCTCGGGCACCCGGCGCGCCTCTGATACCTCTTTGGAAATTTTTGTCTCTCTCTCTCAATGCGAATACCAATTCTCCAGCTCTTCAAAAGGAGAACGCCATGCTCGAGTATGCTCTTTACTGTACAACTTCCGCCGCCCATCCCGTCCATCCCTCACGCGCCGCCGACAAGAATGTTGTTCACGGGGATATGGACTGTGATCCTGCATCAGCTTCCCCTCCATTGCTCACACTGACAGTTAGGAGAAGAGTGCAACATACTCAGTTTGACAATATACCCAATCACGCCCATGATCAAGAACCCCATCCCCACCGCCTGGCTGATGCGCAGGAACTCGCGTCGGTCGGCTAGAATACAGACGCACAAACGTCAATGAGTGTCGCAGCGACGAGGGCGCCTGAGAGGGAGGGGAGGAGGACGCACGTTTACTGCACCTCGTCACGAAACTCCGGCCGTCTTTGAGGAATTCGCGCGGCATTTCGAGGAGCTCTTTTGCTTGGTCCATGCTGGCGGTCTCTGTCTTGAGTCTCTCGCTGTGGCTTTGGGTGGCGTAGATGACGATCTTGAACTTTTGCGACGGGTGTTGGGTTGGAGTGTGGTGCGGTGCAGTTTTCGAGAAGGGAGGTGGTCGGGGGAAGGACAGCTTGCTGCTGCTGCTGCTACCGCCCCCCGGAATTCGAGGGCTTGGCAGGGCAGGGCCGGCGTGGAAGTTTGTTTGCGCCAATCAGCGGGCGAGGCTGGCTTCTGGACATCGAGTGTGCATGGAGTGCAGCATCTATTCTATTGCATCTATTCATCTGACTTGAATCATGAGGACCTCTGCGCTGAAGCCTCGCCGTGTTGACTGCCGTGTCCTTGCATGCTCAACTTCAATGCCCTCTGCAAGTCCTCGTCTTCCAGATCCTCCGTGGCTGTGGCACGAGCCTTGCCCTTGCTGCGATGTTGCAGTTCCAAGAGGCTTTGCTTCTTGATATACTCCATCACAATCTCCTCCTCCGTCTTCTCCTCTCTCGTCTTCTCTCCATGCTGGCGCTCTTGTTGCGCCTCGAACTCGCTTTGCTTGGTGCCTGATAGATGACCCGAGTCGTATGGAGGGCTTCGAGGGACGCCTGTCGACTCACCAGCGGCAGCAGCTGCGCGCTCAAATTCTTCCTCTTCCTCGTCGTCGAGACCCATGGTCGACTTCGGTTCACTATCGCTGCTCAGTCTCTGCTCCGTTGTACTCGATGTCACGGCTCGAGTGGGGTGTCCGTCATAGTCCGCTGCTTCGCTGGAGAGTCGCTTAGGTTCAGCTTGATGGTTCACCAGTGTCCGTGGTACGTCTGCATGATCCGTCGGCCCTTCTGAAACTTCTTGTCGTTGGGACTGAAGCTGGGACACCGCTTCCTGAATTGCACGCATAACATCGGCGTCCTCTTCCGAGTCGCGAGGCGCCGTCGCCTGGTCTAGCTGTTGGAGGCGTTCACTGATGTCAGTGGGCCTTGGCAGTGGTTCGGAGGCCATGGTAGGGGAGCGCAGAGAGGACTGTACGCCGCCCCTGGCGAGACTGCCACCGCTGGGATCGCGCGTTCGCTGTGCTTCCAGGATATCCCGAATCACATCAACGCTCTGCCTCTTCTTCACATACTTTCGGATCAGCTTCCACCGAACAATGACATCTTGTCTTTCCGCCTCGGTGCTCTGTCGCCACTCTTCGTAGCCTTGCGCTACTCTCGATGCGATAATGTAGTTCTGCACATTGCCGCCGAACATCTTCTCCACCTCTTTCCACGCCCCTTTCATGAAATAAGAAGGAATGGCGAACAAAGCTGCGCCTGGCTTGGTTGCAAACCCTCCAATGCCTTTCCCCATCCCTTTGAAGAACCCACTCGTCCCCTCTTTCCGAGCGCCTTTCCAGGGTTGAGTGACCAGACCGGTAACGCCATCGTACATTCCAAACCCAAACTCTTTTCCTATCGCCTTGAACCCGGATTTCATATCGGTGACTTGCTCTTGAGGGCGCACGGTATCATCGGACCAGAGCCTGGGCGCGTTGTGGAAGCCTTTGGTCATACTCACAGAGATCTCCATCGGTGCCGCCACCGCCGTCTTGACCATGCGTCCGAAACCTTTGCTCGTGTGAGCGCCAGTCCGGCGCATCAAGTCGCGCTCCTTGCCAGAGTCGAGATCATTCCGACTTGGCGGTTGGCTTCGGCCGGCGTGGTCCGCTCTGGGATTCGTCTGGTCTTGTGATATATCGGACACAGAGTATGATCCGGGTTTCGGCATGGGCGTTGGTAGACCTGAAGGGGTGAGAAGGCTCCGAACGGGAGAAGGACCTTCCTGGATATCCAGGCTCGTTTGACTCTGGTCGGGTGAAGTTGGCGGAGTCGATCTCTCCCTACCACGTGAGGTTTCGCTTCCGCCAGCAACTGTCGGCACAGGTGCTTGTGACTGCTTTCGACTGGACGCAACGGGCATGCGCACAGCCCGCCATGTCTCCGTGGGGAAATCAGCCAGTCCCATCACCAGGCTGCTGAATGCCCCAAATACTGCCGCGGCTCCGCCTGATACGGGATCCCAAGGCCCTTCGTCGGTGGCATATTCTTGTGGCCTGAACGGCTCCAAATCGTTGAAGTTCAACAGACTCGCATTCGTCAAGGTAGAGGCAGCAAAGGGGCTCAATTTGACCTGGGTGCGTTTGATGCGCCAGGCGGCGGGTTTCGATGGTACAAGTGTGCAACGGAGTCGGTCGGGCTCGAGATATTGATGGAACGATAGCGCACCCATCTCGCTGCCTCGCTCCGCCGCGATCTTGCTTGCGAGCTCTTTGGCGCGTTCGAGACTTTCCGGCTTCAGACAAAAGTTGATAGCATCCGCTAACTTGTCCGCCGTGAGTTGTTTGTGAGGGATCGGATCTGGGCCGGCGCCTGCTCGAGAAACCATGGCGCCCCAGAAAGGCTGATCTCCGAAGAAGGGCACAACTAAAGTTGGTCGCCCTGCGGCAAGGCCTGCTGCAATGGTTCCAGCGCCACCATGGTGGACGACGCACGAGACGTGTTTGAAAAGCCAATCATGTGGTACGTTGCCTAGCATGAAGACGCCATCAGGGATGCGAAGATCATCCGCATCAGCGCCTATGCCTCCCCAGCCTTTGGAGAGCAGAACACGTTGGCCAGTCATCCTGACGGCTTCGAATATGAGCTCGGTCATCGCGTTCGGATCGTCTAGTACGATGCTGCCGAATCCAATGTAGACGGGAGGTGGTCCAGCGTCAAGGAATGCATGGAGATCAGCCGGGGGAGTGTAGTCGGTAGCCAAGTCGAGAAAGAAGAACCCGGAGATCGAGATATGAGGGCCCCAATCTTTCGGTTTAGGTATAAGGGCCGGAGACCAGCAGTAGGTATGAGGGACTTTGAGCCGTTCGAGCATTCCGGGGGCCCAGATCAGACTTACGGGATCCAAGTCAAGACACTTTGCGCGAAATCGGTTGATGGTGTCGCCTAAACCCTGCCACGAGAGGAGTTCAATCATCGCGTAACTTATGTAATTGGTGAGTTGAGGGTCGGCATTCGAGGCTTGAATATTTGCCAGCGGATGGGGAAAGGCCTGGGTGGGCGAATATGGCATCGTGAACATGATATGCAGCGGAATGCCTAGCTTCTCTGCACAATGGACATGGGCGAAGCTTGGGGGATTGGCGATGATACAGTCGGCGACGAAAGGTCTCACTGCAGACTCGTCCCCAGAGGACTCGGAGCGGTCGTCTTGAGGAGGACTCATCCCATGACCAGCTTGGTAGCACGATCGCCAACAGCCTTGGAGATAGCCGGCAATGTCTTTTTTCCGCTGACCGACATCCCCACTGATGAGAGTGCGGAAGCCTGGCATCAGGCCCGGATTCTTGACCATGAATGCCATAAGTAGGGAAGGGTCGCCGCCGATGCTGAAGAATTCCAGGCCGTTCTCGAGTACAAAGTCCTTGAAGACGGGATGTGTCGCCAGACGTATGCGATGGCCATATGTCTTCAGGACTTTTCCCAGGGCAACGAAGGGCTGGACGTCTCCGCGCGAGCCCACGACTTGAATCACAATATTCAAGGGCGGGGGCGGAGGAGTCCCATCATCACCTCCCAAAGAAGGGGGAATATAGGGTGGAGGTGCCGGGCCAGTCTCTTGAACCTTCTGGACCTGTTGACGTAGAGCTGGGATAAAGATCTGGGACAAACGCCGGTTGAGCTGATTGATACGAATATCGACACGGCCGTCATCAGTGACACGGGCACTGGTACCCACGCCGTCCTTCTCGCTGCGAATCTCTCCATGGACCTCACCGTAGGCAGGAGGTGGCAGCGCATCGTTGTCCGAGTCGGGAGTGGCGAGGTCAATGTCGTGCAGAGCAGGGTCCTGTGTCATGGGACTGGCGAGATCGATTTGGGTGGCAGAGGGTGCTTCAGCTGGCTGGAGACTTGATTGCTGCACCATGGTCGCTGGAACTGGTCGGCGCCTAACTGAGTGACGCTGGGCGGCCATTGTGTTGAATGAAAGAACGCAGCCTGGACTCCGCTCAATCGTTCACGGCATCGGTTTTATGAAGTATCAAAGCGACCGAGACAAGGGGCTGTGCGAAATGACGCAACTGTAAGGCAGAAGGAAATGCGCAGAGTCCTTGTGATGGACATGTCGATGGCAGACGCGTATAAGATAACCATGCAGGCTGAGGCGGAGGACGAGGAGGGCAGGGATTGGGGTATTTCTGTACATGCCCATTAGAGTAAGAAAAGGGAGCAAGGCTGCATAAAGTCAAGGCAGCAGCATTGAGATATGCCGTTCAGCGCGGAACCGGAGCTCGGAGTTGAGAACGTGGCTCATCGCTTGCGTAGATCTCTTCATCGCGGAAGGACGAGCCTCGAGCAGAAACGGGAGAAGATGAGCAGGCGCAGCATCGCTGAAGCCTTGACGCCCGTTTCAGCGCGGAACTGCAAGCGGCTGCCTAAACTCAATCGCGTCGGCACGTCCCGCGTGCCCCAAGTATATCACACTCCGCGGCCGCGCTTGCGAAGCACAAGGCTCCGAAATGTCTCTTCCACAACGCGCATTCGACACGGCTACGACACACCACAACACATCACAACACATCAGAACGCCATTTATACTGCTACCCATCGAATTTGAAAGTCAAACGTACCAACACATGGCATCGCAAGAAGACTCAGTGACAAAACCGAAGCAATGCGTCCAAATCGAGCGACTCCGCGAAGACAATGAGTCCGATGTCGAAGGTTCGATCGACTCAAGGCAAAACTTAAGAAACAGCCGCGCCCTCACATCCAACCATGTCCCCCCAACCGCGATTCCATGGACTACATCCACCATCATCGGCTTCCAAGCCTTCCTCAAATGGGCCCGCACACCCTTCGGCTTCTTCGTCGTGCTCTACAGCCTCAACGTCGTCGCCTGGGGCGGCATGCTCTTCCTGCTCCTCTGCAACGCCAGTCCCGCCATGTGCTGGGCGCCCGTCCCGTCCGCCGAAGCAGAAGTCCACCGCTCGCCGGCAGCAGCGCTACAATGGGTTAGTACGCAACCGCGGATGTTCAGCTGCAACAACATCAACAGCCCGCGGCGCATCTGGATTGAAATCGACTCGCAGATTCTCAATGCTCTCTTTTGCGTGACTGGCTTTGGCCTTGTGCCCTGGCGGTTCCGGGATTTGTATTACCTGCTGCGGTATCGCTTCATGAGTCAACGGAGGTACGGATTGGAGAAGAAGATGTACGGCTTGCAAGTCCTGGCGGGCATCCACCGGACATGGTTCCGCCTTCCAGGCTCGTCCACACTGGACGATATGTCACTGGCGGAGTACAAGCGCACGCTAGGTCAATCGACTGCGGATTGCTCGCAAGCGGAGATTCGAGTTGCTCTGCCTCCCAACAAACAGCTTGGTGACACGCTGAGCGGGGTTCGCGCTCCTGCGACGGCTGTGTGGAAGATGGACTTTTTTGTCTGGTGCAATGTGGGCAACACCTTATTTCAGGTGATGTTGTGCTTTTTCATGTGGCATCTAGACCGATACAATCGGGCGCCGTGGGCGACGGGCCTGTTCATTGCGTTGGCCTGTATTGTGGTTGGTGCGGCGGGGATCATGAGTTTGGTCGAAGGCAAAAAGGTGAAGAAGATCGAAGGAGTCGCCAAGATGGTTGGCACGACTGGTGATGATCCGCAAGATATGGTATAGTCAGTAAGAGGTGATAATGTTAAATTCCGTTTCAATCTGGATGAAGTTTGTACGCGACCATATACATCAGCCCTCTCAGTCGGGACTGCATAGACTCAGAACGCAGACATGGGATCGTAATCCTCCTGCTGGAAGATCTTCTCCATCTGGCGTCTCCTGATGCCAATGTTGCCACCATCGAACAACGGCAGACACATTGCGTCGTTCAATAGACGAGCGAAGGGTTGGTCGGTGCGATAAGAGAGCCTGCGAACTGTTAATGGTTGTTGCCTTTGTCAGTCAGCCCTGCCCAGTACTCACATGCCGACCGCGCTCATCGCGTCCGTCACGCACTTGACACAATTGTCCGACGCGAAGATCTTGGACTCCAGACAGAGCTCTTGTCGAGCCTTGAAATCCCCAGGTCCGTTCTCGAGCGAATACAAGGCCTTCCACGTCAGCAAGCGACACGAGTCCATCCGCATTTTGATGTTGATCAGCAGATCCGCAACGCTCTGCCTTTGGATCAGAGGCACCGTCCCTCCACGGCTGTCTTTCTTCGCAAAGTCGAGTGCAGCAGTGAAGGCGGCGCGCATGACGCTGACCGAGAAGGCGCCCACAAGCGCAGCGGAGGCCGTGAAAGACTGCTCTACGAGCGTCGCAGCAGCTTCGCCCGCCGCAAGTACGTTTTCTTCTGGAACTCGGAAGTCGGTGAATTTGCTGTGCGGGCCCGTGGTGGCAGGATGGCCCATCAAATCCGGCTCCGCTAGAATCTCGTAGGCGTTGGGACCGTTCTGTGCAACAATCTCGCGGTCGACGAGCAGAATGATGATGGCCTGCGAGGGATCGGCGAATTCCCCTTCTGTCTGTCTGCAGACCACGCATTGAAGATCGGCGCCCTTGCCATCCCAACCGCCGCTGTTGGTTGTCCACACCTTTTGCCAAAGTCAGATCAAAATACACTCAAGGCTTGGTCGCAAGTCACCTTCTCTCCGTCAATCAGCCATTCGTTTCCTTCTTTCCTTGCAGTAGTTTGCAGTCCCTTTGCACCTTTCTCGAGCCAGTTGGCAGTCCCGCCAGGCTCGGAATGGACCAAGCTAGCCAGAGGCTCACCTTCATCCTTCAAGAAAGGAGCAAAATACTTCTTCTGAAGCTTCGCATGTCCCGACATGATCAGTGGCGTCAGACCCAGTCCCGTAGCAGCGACTGTCAAAGTCACACTGGGGTCTGTGGCGTACAGCTCTTCCAAGATGATGGCTGCGTCGAGCAGAGACTCGCATGCCCCACCAAGCGGGACGGGAATCTGACCTTTGATCTGGCCAGCTGCGACGGCCGTCCGGTAGAAGGATCGGATGGACCGAAACCTTTCCTTCTGATCCGGCTTCTTAGAGTAGACCGCGTGAGCACCGGTCAAAACCTTTGCTGCGTATGCGCGAGAGCCATTTCGCAGCTCTTTTTGCTTGTCGGACAGAGTGAAGTCGAGCATGGTGTCGTTGAAGCTTTGTCGTGACTGTGTTGAGGATCGATATAAGGTTGCGGGGTGAGATACGCAGTATTTCAATCAATGTCTTCGGGCCGGGACCTTATCTGAAGGCAAGGTGAGGTGATGTTCAAGCTGCCGGGAAGCTTCACGAAGCGGAAGCGTTCCGAGACCCTGCAGCTTGATCAAGGCGGAACGGACGAGAAGATCGACAAGCTGCAGATGGGCGGTTATCATCGACCCGCGCATGTTGAAGGTACTAACGGGAAGGTCCCATGATCTTCAGCATAGCCTAGTATTGGCGCTCAATCAACGTCGTAATCGTCGACTCGCGCGTCCTGGAGCGGATTATTGAGCCATTCCCAATTGACCCATGAGGCCCATCTGGCAATGACCTTGCCACGGATCAAAGCCAGTGGCAGAGGGCCAAATCCGCGAGAGTCGCGAGAATGCTTGAGATTGTCACCGACCACCCAGCAATGACCGGGCGGGATCTGATCGCACATCCATTAATGTTGCCCTCTCGACCAGGGAATTTCTCTCCATTGACTTACCTGTATCATCTTCCCCTCATTCGCAAGCGCCACTGGATTGTCGTGATCGTCCACATAGGCAGGGCCCATGGTGACAAAGTCGCCTTCCAAGCCAATCACCCGCTTCACTGCGTGCACTTCTCGATCGGCCGGGTGGACATAGCTGACCAGGTCGCCGATCTGCACTCCACGGCCGCGTCGATAGTACTTGGAAATCAGCACGCCGTCGCCCGCGCTGTTGAGAGTGGGCAGCATGCTGATGCCCCAGGTGGTATTATAGGAGAAGAAGTAGGAGGTGAAGAGATGGTGGGCGAGAAAGGTGCCGAAACTCCAGCGAAGCAAACCGAGAGGACCGATGGAGAGCACCCAATTTCCCAGAGGCTGGATGAGGTTCTGGTCGATGCGCGTAAGGACTGCAGGGCGGAAATGTCGTGGCCTGCTGTCGTGGAAAGGGCGACGAATTCCTGGTCGTTGGAGGGCTAATTTGATGGAGCGCCAGCGAGCTGCCGTATTTCGTCCAGGCCGCAGCATTTCAATGCTACTGCGCTGGAGGAATCCAGGTCGATGTGATGATGCAATTGCACGTATCCTTCATGTCGTTGCAGTTGCAAAAGTCGGGACGATGATGGAAAGAACAGCCATGTGGTGCGGCGCTGGCGCGTTGGCGCGTGTGGGCTGTGGCTGAGCAGCGGCGTTTGAGGATCGCCGCTGTTTGGGAGACGTCAGCACTCACTCTCGCATCACCACCTTCTTCTGTCGTACACCAACCTCCTGCATTGCTACACGTATCGCAAGTCTAAGGCGCAAGATACTCACGTCCCGTCCATCCTCCACATCCCTTCCGCTAAACGCCCCCTGCCACTCGCATCGCCAAAAGGCTTCCTGAGGCAACTCCGAATCAGGATGAAGCAACGATAGTTCCCAACCCAACGGCACAGGCAGAATGGCGACCCTTGCCGGCCCCTCCTCCTCCCCCGTCTCCTCTCCCTCCTTCAACCGCCGCCGCAAATCCTGGGCCCGGCGCATCGAGCGCTGCTGCTGCTCGACAATCACCCATTTCCCTCTCGCCTTCGTCTACGGCCTGACCACCTGGGCAATCTACGTCGAAGTTAACGTCGCCTTTCTCGACTCGGGACGATGGTCTGCTTGCGCGAAGGCGGTGCTGGGAGTGCTGCTCTACGGCCTCGCGAATGCGAGCTACACCGTCGCCGTTTTCACCAACCCCGGCTCCCCCCTGGATCCGCGAATCGATCTCTCCTTATCATCTACAAGAGGCGGCAAAGGCGGAAGAGTCAAGAGTGGCTACGATGTTCTCCCTACACATGAGGACCACGCATCTCCGGCACACCACCCGTCTGTGCCCGCAGACATGACACTCGTGACGGCCAAGGCGAGCAACGGCAGTCCACGCTACTGCAAGAAATGCCACACGCTCAAACCTGATCGCTCACACCACTGCAGCACGTGCGGCCGCTGCGTGCTGAAGATGGACCACCACTGTCCCTGGCTGGCAACGTGTGTGGGACTCCGCAACTACAAAGCCTTCCTGCTTTTCCTCATCTACACCTCTCTATACTGCTGGCTCTGCTTCGGCCTGACAGGCAGTTGGGTATGGGCGGCGGTGACCGACGATTCCAGAATGCGCCAGAGCTGGCTGATCATCAACAACATCATGCTCGCCGTGTTGAGCGGCATCATAGGCCTAGTGTTGTCGGGGTTTACCGGCTGGCACATCTACCTCGTCTGCAGAGGGGAGACGACAATCGAAAGTCTAGAAAAGACGAGGTATCTTTCGCCTCTACGCAAGAGCATGGCGCCCTCGCAACACAGGGGAGACATTCCCTCCGTCGGCGACATCGAAGAAGGAAACGGCATGCAAGACCAAGAAATGGGCCTCTTGGACCAACTCAAAGAAACGCACGCCAACGCTCTACCCGGCATTCTCCGACCAGAAGAAGGCGAATCCTCCCACCCTCCATCAAGTTCGCAAGCCAGCCCCAATCCCCACCCCAACGCCTCCCCCGCCAAAGCCAGCCTCCAACGCTCCTACGCCGCCATGGAAGTCCAACGCGAGCGCGACCGCTACAATGCCTACCTCGACGAGCAAGACAGCGAGAAACTGCCGAACGCCTTCAACCTAGGTTGGCGACGGAATCTCCGCCACGTCTTCGGGCAGCAGGCGCTCCTCTGGTTCCTGCCGGTGTGCAATACGAGCGGCGACGGCTGGATGTGGGAAGTCAGTCCGGTGTGGCAGGAAGCGAGGGCGGAGCAGGAAAGGGAGAGGGAGGCGAGGATGAGGGAGGATCGGGCGTTGAGGGAGTTGGATGAGCAGTCTTTACAGGCTGGTCGGAGTCAGGGGAGGTTCGAGGGACCAGTGCAAAGGGAATTCAAGTGGATGGGCGGTCAGGGGTTTGTGGATCGTGCTGGTCACGCTTATCCGCAGAGTAATGGGCATGCTGCCGGCGGTAGCCATATGCCAATGCAGCCGCTTGATCGGCGGAAAGCACCCATGATGCCGCGAGGTCATGGCGATGTGGACAACTACGACTCGAGCAGCGATGAAGATTCCCACTGGCGCAATCGGCCCAGAAAGATGACTTGAAGCGAGCGAGATGTATTGATATTGTGCAGAGTGTCAACGAGTGGACGTGAGAATGGACGATTTCATTGCTTCGAATCCCTTTCATCCCTTTCGACTGTGGGCTCCGAACCCGCAATTTCCACTTCAGCGCCCTGGATGAAGCGATAAACATGACCCTCCATCTCCCGAGCTTCCTCTCATCTCAAATCCACCACAGTCGATGTACGGACATACCACACCGGACGGAAGCTAGAGTCTTACGAGGCAGACGATCGACCCTTTCCCATGCCCTTCATCGCGCCGTGGCCCATCGAACCCAGAACGATGTGGTCTCCCACCGCATCTTTCTGATCATCCTGGCGGTTGAGAGCAGCAGACTTGGCTGCGTCGAGGGGAATGGTGTTCAGGAATGCGTCCATCTGTTCCTTGTGGATGGAGCAGATGATCTTGTGCAGCTTCCAGTGCTTCTTCTGGCAATCCTTGCTGCAGTACTTGCGATCGCGACATCCAGCACACACTTCCAACCGCTTACCCCCCTCGTCCTCGCGGCCGCAATGAGCGCAGACTTGTGCAGCGTGGATTGGTGCAGCACCCAGCTCCTCGTCTGTGGGTGGCCCGATGACTTGTGGAATCATCATGCCGTTGCTGACCGTCAGCTCGAGAACTTTGAGATGCCCAAAGTTCTTGATGGTGGTTTTGCCAGGCATCATAGCGCTGATGGATGCTTCCAGGAAAGTCTTGTTGCCCCATTTGTACGGCTCGCCTTCTTTGTACGTCTCGATGGCTTGCTTGAACTGTTTGATGGCGAGCGCTGAGCGGACGAAGCTGGCATCGACGTTCTTGATGTGCTTGATGTACGCGGGATGCACCAGCTTCGGGAGTCCATCTTTCATCTTGGCCGGCAATTTGGCCCCAACAGACATGACACCAGCAACGAAGGTGATGTATCTGTGGCCGTCGAACGGTGTCCAGCAGCGGTTGTCCTTCCAGAGGTCGCCTTCCAGCAGGCGGATCAGAGCCCCAGAGTCGAGGTATGCGCGCACGATTTCGATCGAGTGTGTGCCGTAGTTGTGCTCTGCACCGATGGAGAATTGGTTGGGGAGGAAGTGGTCCGTGATGCCAGCCTTGCCGTTGACTTTGGCTCGCAGCTCACGCAGCCCGAGCTGCTCGTCGAAGTCCTTGGTTGCCTCGTACTCCAGGGTCGTCTCCAGCATGCCTTTGCCCTAGAAAGAGTCAGTGCTGTTCTGTGTTTCTGCCTTCTGGTCAGAATACTCACCCAGTCTTTGGGGAATGCCTATTTGATGGAGCTGTGGTGATTGGGTATGGGAAGGGGACGTGAGGCTCGCTGCCCGAGAGATATTGGTCTGCAAAAAGTTGAGGAGAGGAAAGGAGAAGTGAGAGGAAATGAGAGGAACTAAACTGAGTCCACGGGGGCGAAACGTGACGTATGTGCAGTCAGCGCAGGCATCAGTGTGAAACTTTCGATGCAAACGGAAGGCACGACCCATTCACCCCCTGACGCGTTCTGACGCGTCTTGCACGTGACGGCCAACGGAGCTTGGAACCAAGGCTTGTGGTCACGATCACTCATTCACATTCGACGGACGGGCATTGCTCATCGAAGTTCTACCTCATCCCTTCCGAAGCAGCTTGGCCCGATCTTCCATACCGTATGCATGCACGTGACCCTTATGCTTCGTGGCCCCCTCTCACGTAACCTATTGACACGCTTCGATTCTCGGTCCAAGCCGCCACTCAAACCGTCTCTTCGTTCGTCGCCTCCACGCACACCTCCTTATGCGTCGGCCACTGCTTCTTCTGGCAGGCCTTGCTGCAGTACTTCCTCCCCTTGCACCTAGCACAGCTGCGCAAGTGAATGCCTTCCTTTCCATCCTCAGCTCCGCAACCCCCACAAACATTAGCACCGTACCTCTCGTCGTTGTACCGCGCTCTCAACTTCTGCAGGCCGCTCTTGTCACCCTTTGGTGGATTGTAGAACAAGCCGCCGGGTCCAGGAACGTTGATTAGTCCTCCACGGGATGGGAGCGCCGAATGTGCCTCCTCCATGGTGCCGATAAGACCAAGGCTACTGAAATCGTAAGGCACGCCATCCTGGTATTCACCCGGGCCGTGCAGCGCTTTCTTCATCTGCAGCACACCGTCATGTGGCAGACTGACGCACATGTAGACTTGCTTCATGGTTTCCTTAGACCTGGCGGGAATGTGGCAGCCAAGAGTCATTGCGCAGGCACCAGCAAGCATGAACTTGTATCCAGGGTCCCGGAGGGTGTCGCCACACTCGCCCGAGAGGAGCTCGGTTTCGTACTTCTCGAGCATCGCACTGAGCGCGCCGGCATCGTGATGATCGCGTGGGGCCGTAGGGTCGGAGCAGTGCGAGCGGTACATCGAATAGCTGATCTCGTCTTCTCCGAAGGCGCCTTGATGTTGCTGCTCGCTGGCTTCGTTCTCGCCGTTCGACTCAGAGGCACGGCTTTCATTCTTCGACTTCTTGGCTTCCTCTTCGAGCCGCGTCAGTCCCGCATCGTCGTTGAGTTCCCAAATGAGATCGAGGTCATGGTCGGAGTCGAAGCTATATCACGTTTAGCATGTATTGCGACTCGGCGAATGATGCTGTGAACTTACAGCCCAAATCCCCAGGCACCCATCTTGGCGGAAGCGTCCTAACGAGTTGGTGGCTGTGGGATGTGATGAGGTTGAAATTGGAGAGAAATTCAGGATGATGGGAGAGGTGGTGGATGAGAGGGATGTGCGGAAAGCCCTGATATTGAGAGGTTGAGAGTGGTGCGTTGAGTTTGTGTCACGTTTGTGCATGCAAGCACCCGTGAATCAGACGCGAGATTGACGCGACTTGCTTTTAGTCACGTGGTGAGAGCCACATCCACAGAACTCGACCAGCCTCAAATCGAGGTAGTCTTCCATCAATACGAACCTTACGAAGACTTGGCCCTCCTACTCTTTCCCGGCCTCTGCTTCACCGGCCTGCCCTTCATCTTGCGGACCGAATACCCCGTCGCATCGCCGGCCGATTTCGCGTCATTGCTCTTTGCAAATCGCTTCTTCCCACCAAATCCAAACTTCTCGTCCTTCTTCTGTCGCTTGTTACGGTTACCACCGGCTCCATTGCCTCCCCTTCGACCTGCACGGTCTGCCTTCTCGCTCTCTGCTGCGTCTTCGAGCGCCACGTCGAACATGTCGTCCTCGTTGGCCTTGAGATCAGCACCTTGCCGTTCTATTCGTTTGTCAGTATGGGTAGACACAACTTGATAGGGGAAGTGAACGTACTCCTCTTCAAGGTATTGATCTTCTCCATCGTGTCCCTCTTCGCCTTGTCTCTCTCCTGCAGCTTCGCAACCTGCACCGCCTTGCCAAACTTCTTCAGGTCACGCTGTCGTCTCGCGTCGACACTGGCCTTCTTGCGTGCCGCCTCGTCGACCATCTTCTGCTTCACCTTACCCATCTGCTCTTCCGACTTGACCATTTCGGCAAAGTAGTCCGCGGGGCGAGCGAAGGGGACGCCTTCCTTCTTGAGCAGCTGTCGTGCCTCTTTGACAGCATCAAGGGACTGTTTGTAGAATGCGAGTTCGCGGTTCAAGTCATCCTCCACATCGGGTATTTGGACTGGCTCGGCTGAGGTGACGGATTGCACCGCGGAGAAGGGCAGGTTCGAGGGTAAGGCGAAGGCTTTAAGAGAGCGTTGGAGGGCGGTGGTGTTGTTGATGGTCAGTCGCTGATGCGGTATCACGTCGCCTCTCTCGTCTGAAGCCAGGGATTCGATATCGGAGAGTGGTATGTCTTCTTCCCCTTCTGCTGCGCCGTTCGGTTGCTCGAGATCTTCATCTTCCTCCTCGGATGCATCAGAGTCGGAATCGTCGACGAGCTCGCTGAGTCCAACTCCACCAATCTCGCCATCTACCGCAGCTTCGCTCTCATCCGTCTCCCAGCCGCCCACTTCTCCGCCATTCTCCGCCTCCAATGCCTCTGCAGCATCCGCGGCCAGGGACTCTTGTGCCAATCTCTGATCCGTCAATGCTTGTCTCTTGCTCTTCTTGTCTGCTGGCTCCTTCTGCTCCTGTGCGCCGGCGCCAGCGTCGGCCTTCTTCCGCCGATTGCGCTTCTCTGCTTCTTTCTGCAACTTTTTCTGGCGCTCGAGTTTGTGGTCGACACCTTGGAATCTGTCAAGCGCCGTTTTGAGCTTGCGATCTTTCGCCATGGCAAATCTCCGTGGGCGGTTGAGGAGGGGTATTAAACAGGTAGTGGCGGGTTGATCGCAAGAGCGCGTTGTCGTGAAGCTTCAGTTCTTCAAATTCTCGAAGTTCAAGTTCTCACATGCAACTTTTTGATGGCCCGAGCGCAGGCGGGTGAGGCTAGCCCGTTGAGGAAGCTCCGGAAAGCAAGTCAGGGTCCGCAGACACTTCCATCCCGTGAACACATCAAAGTCTATCCAACACGTTCAGATCAACGTATGCGAGTGGAAAGTCTCCACATACTCAACATGTCGGACTCCACCACACTATCCGCGCAAGTGGACAAACTCAACATTGGCGATGCATCGGTTGGTACCCTCACCTTCTCGTCCTCACAGGGTGCAAAGGGGGATGGCATTGCGATTGCTGGAGCTGACTGGACGATAGAATCCCGACACAGCACCATCGGAGCTTGTCGCCGTGGTAGACGACCTACTGAATCAGTTGAGCTCGAAGTTCAGTAACATGTCCAGCGAGCTGATTGGGAAAAGTACGAAAATCTACATCTGGCCTGCAAATCCAGAGCCGTTCAAGACTGACGCACGTAAAGTGGACGAGATGTCCCGTAGGCTCGACGCGCTGGAAGCCAGTATACACGGTAGCGGTGCTCAAGGCAAGGATGAGGAAGGGGATCAATGAGGAATGCAATCCGGAACGGTCACATTCAGCGAGGAGTCCGGCGCCCGGTAACTTTATCGATATGGGTCTATGCTTTGCGCGGAGATTGTAGTGGTATTTTGAGCATGGCTGTGTTTGACCGCAGATATTCCTTGGAGAATGGCTTAATGCCTCGAATCACATCTCGGGCTCACTCGTTGTACAAGCAAGGGTGCAATATCTGTTCCGGCAGCGTGCGTGTCAGTGTCAAGTGTTAGGGAGTTGATGACATGTGACAAGGAATGTGCGGGAATCAATTGATGAATGCAAGCCAATGAATCGGCGGGCGGAAAGTGCAGCCGGGGGGGCTACGCCTAATTGGGGGCGACATGGACGGACGGCGTTGGTCTGTGAGCGATCGACGACACGCAATGCCATCGATCCCTGGACGCTCAACGCCTCGCCAATGCATGTCCTCCGGCCTGGCTCACGCTGCTCTCCTTCCTCCTCCATGCCATTGATCCGTGCAAGCATGAGGTGTGGCGCATCGCACAGAGCATTTCATTGTCCCGCCATCGTGGAGTGAGGCCGGCGTGGTGAAACAGGGTACCCGCACCGCCCGCGCGCGCCCACGCTTCAGGCCGACCGCAAACCGCCCAGCTTGTCCCACCCTCGCTCCTGCCCACCCTGGCTTCCTCCAACCTCACCTTTGAAGCGGCCTATGGGCGAGACGCACAGTTGTCCGCCCAGACAAGAGGATCGTGGTTAGCCCGCGTCTCCCACCGCGCCAGTCACATTCCCAATCGCCCCCTCGCCTCCAACTCCAACTCCACTTCCCGCGACAACTTACACGCCAGAGGCTCAAGCAGCGCCGGTTTCCGCTCACATGAGTTGCTCCCCGGCCTCACCAAGACCCTCACCCACCCTGTCTCGCCCGCCGCCCTCGTGAGCCCAGCCGAAACCGAATTCGCACACACCCCCATCGAGGCCACTTTCGCCGATCGCATCGAAGGCCCGCCCGACCGCCCCCTCCCCGATCGCCCGACTGCCACTTCTCGATCGGGCATTCAGAGAAGCAGAAGCGGCACAGCCACGCAAGCCGACCAGCAACGCCTGCCCGACGCCAGCGTGGACAAGTTCGTCATGCAGCCAGGTGAGAATGGGTACGAGAGTGAAGGAGAGGCGGACGACGAGTCGGATCGCAATGAGATTGGCATTCTCTCCCCGAACGAGGCGGAACACTATGACGACGATCAATCACATCCCTCCGAGTCGGACGAAGAGCATCTTTCGCCCAGCGGAACAGACACGCTGCTCGCCACCGGCCAATCATGGGGAGATCGAGAGGTACGGAGTCCTACCGGCAAGATAACTCAATGGAATATTGAACAGGCGGCGGACTACATCTCGTCGCTCGGAATGGCCATGCAACAGTACAGTCAGACCTTTGTCGACGAGGCTGTCAATGGGGAGGCGCTGATTGCGCTCGGCCACGATGAGCTGCAAGAGCTTGGCATCAAAAGCGTGGGTCATCGCTTGACAATCCTCAAGGCCATCTACGAGCAGAAGCTGCGGGCGGGAGTGAAGATTGACGAGGGTGACTACGTCCCCCTATCGGCGGAGGGCGACAAGTTTGATCAAAACGCAAGTCAGGACGATATCACCCGTGTGATTGAGTCAATCAAACTTCGCGACCAGCGCATCATAGCTGCCGAGGCCGAGCTGAGGGCGCTCAAGATTGATTTGGATCGGATATCGGAAGAGAACCGCAAGATACGCGAAGAGACGCTGCCCATCATGAGATTGATCAAAGATCAAAGAACACCCTTGCCGGACCCGGCTGGGGGAACGCTACCTTCACCGCGAGACATCGCCCCTCCGAAACAGGAGGAGAGTAAAGGCAGCTCACTGAGTCGGAAGTTTTCTACCAAGAAGCTGTTCCTGGGTTCGACAAAGCAGCCGTCACCCACGAACCCCACGATTTCAGGACCAATCTCACAACCACGAGAAGTACGAGACGATGGAGGCGCACACCTCGAAGCGAGCGCGGCAGCAATGGCGGCAAGCAGTCACCTAACCACCAGCATGACCAGCCAGACAAGTCCGAACAGCATCCATAATCAGCAACTCAGCCCCACCAGTCCGTACAGCGCGCAAGCCCCATCATCAGGCGGCTCCTACCACCACACAACTTCCGCACCACGATCGTTCCAACGTGACGCCACGGCGACCAACCGCCATCATGGCCACGTGGACGACTCTGGCACAGGTCACACCACGCCCGGCCACATCAGCCAGGCCAGCACGGTAGTGCCCGAATCCAACCCGCAAGTCGAAATCTTCAAGAGCTTCCGCGTGAGCATTGAAGATCCGTGTCGTGTCGTACTACCCGTGGTATGTCCACAACATCTATAACACCCTTCCTCCTCGACTTCGACTAACGTGAAACACAGGCTCTACGACGGTACAACATCCAAGACGATTGGCGGCAGTATGCGCTGTACATTGTACACGGCGACCAAGAGCGGTGTCTCGGCTTGGAAGAGAAGCCGCTCCTCCTCTTCAAGCAGCTGGACAAGGAAGGCAGGAAGCCGATGTTCATGCTGCGGAGACATGCCGCACCCGCCGAGGGCTGGAGCAATAGTGCGAGTGTGGGGCAGGCCCAGGAAGGGGGAGGCGCGAAGGTGAGTTCCATCTATCAAATTGTATGATCTGGACCAGGATCGGGAAAGCTGACTGTGCGCTTCTAGCAAATCCCCGGCGGCGTGCTCTAGAAGAGATGTTGTGCCTGGCTGTTTCTTGGGAGGCTCGAATAGGGGGTTTGAGCTGCAGCGATTGCCTCGACATTGATGCCTGTGACTTTGTACAGGAAGCGGCATGCTCCAGAGGTGTACAGCAAAGGTCACTTGCATTGGCGATTCACGATCTCACCTTGTTAGAATCTACATCCGTGAGCAAGGTTGACACATGCGACTCAAAGGACTCCATGCCGGAGCAAGAGGGCTGGTGCAGTTGAATCAATAGGTCGTTGTGTTCATCCAGCGAGTACAACAAAAGATCGCTAAATACCAGAGCCATGCTCGCCCGCCTCCCCCATTGCGCCGAAGACCTCTGCAGTGCAAAGAACATTTCCGTGTTTAGCGTACACGCCATGAATCGTCTCCTCTTCGCCCATAGTTGCTCAATCTGGCACGCCGCTTTTCTCATACCGCCTGATAGAGCAAAAGGGGCTCGCCGACGTGCTCAATCTCAGGGATTGTGCATCGCAGGTCGAAGGCTTTCGAGAGCACAATTTTGAAGATCTGTGGGAGATGAATACTGGTTAGCCAACATTATGCTCTTTATTATCGTAGTTATCATTTCCCTCTCCGGCTTATATGACTCACCTTCTGCACATTGATGCTATGGCTCGTACTGCTGAAGATCAAACTCGCCTTCATGGCCTTGGCGAATCGTTTCGCCTGCTGGCTGATCTCCTCCTGCTCTTCGCGCGGGAAATTGACGAAGTGGTCATACTTGGTGCCGACGAGGAAAGGGATGGCGGTCTTGTTGAAGCCGCGGCCTTGTCGGTACCATTCTTTTATGCTGTTGAGGGTGGATTTGCGGGTCAAGTCGAACATGAAGAGGATGGCGACGGCGTCGTTGCAGACGAGGGGAAGCATGTTGACGAATTCGCGCTGCCCGCCCAAGTCCCAGATGCTGAAGGTGATTTCGGTGTTGCGGATGGAGATTGTCTTCTCCATGAAGTTGACGCCTGTAAGGAATATTTATTAGAGGTGTGGGAAGATGTGAGAGGTTTGTGTAAGGCTTACCAAGAGTCTGAATGTAGTCTTCGTCCCAACTGCCCTCGACGTACTTCACCATCAGGCTCGTCTTGCCAATCTGCGCATCTCCGACCATCCCGACTTTTATCACGACGCTCGAATTCTTTGGGGCCTGCTGTCGTTGCGCATCTTGGCTGTACTGGCTCTGACTCTGGGTGGAAGGTGGTCGACTCAGCCCGTTCCCTTGCTGATATTGATCTGGGGTGGCGCCGCCGCTCTCGGATTGTGGGTAGGGTCTGGAGAAGCCGGTGTCTGAGTAGGAGGTTTGTGGTCGCTGATCATACGCCGCTTGATGCTGCTGTTGGTGCTGCTGCTGCATGGAGGAAGGGGTGATGGTGTGCATGGAGGCATCGTCGAGGCTGGATTGGTGCTGGCCTTGCGAGCCGTACGTTTGTTCGTAGTCCATTTCCATGGCTGTGGAGGAGCGAGGGAGATGGCCAGACTCGGGGCCGTGGTGAGTGCGTGTCTTCTACACGACCGAATGGGAGTGCTTGGGTGTGGCTCGCCAATGTTGTGATGCCCGACTGCCGGTCTCTGTGCGACCTGAGGCACGTCTGCAATCCTCCTCTTAGATTCTCAGGCCTCGAGGTCGAGTACGGAGAGGAGACTCTTGCATATGACGACCAAGGCTGAACAAGAAACAATGGGTCAGCTCGCTAGGAGAGCTTTGGTGTGCGGTGGTATACCAACAGTCTCGCAATGCAAGACGTTTGGAGGGGAGGGTCTAGGTGGCCAATCAACGCGCAAGACGGGTCAGGGCCATTCCCGACCGCGCGACACTGGCGCGAACCGGCGAAGGCTAAATCCGCGGCCCTGCAGGCGGCCGTCACGCGCCAAGCCTTTTTTTCCGATGCTCGATATGGAATTTTTGGTGGCGCATCCGACGAACAAACATCTTTTGATTGTCGACACGCTACACATTGAAGAACGCGAGCGCGGAGTCATCACGTCTGAAACACGACGTCTTGGGCAATCTCAATCTTCCAGAGGATCCCGAGTGCAGCAAGATGGCGAAGCGTGCGGCCGACGATGATAACCAGATCGAATCGCCTGCTCTGAAGTCCGGGGAGCGGCCAGTGACTGACGTCGCCCTTGGAGAAGGCGAGGAGTTTGAGGATGAATTCGAAGATGAATTCGAGAGCGAAGACGAGATCCTGGAAGCTGGCGTCGACGGCCGACCCGACGAAGAGCGCGAGGCTGAGGAGAAGGCAAATGGTTGGACTCATTACCATTCTTTCAGTCTGTTGATATACGGCTAATCCGCAGACAGGGTCAATGGATGTCGACCAACAGACTTTTATCCCCAGTAGACATCGACTAGAAGCAGGCCAAACCTTGGCCCCCGACCTGTCGACATACCACTTGTTACACACCCTTGAACCCACCTGGCCTTGTCTGTCGCTGGACATTGTAAAGGACAATCTAGGCGACAATCGGAAGTCCTACCCCGCAACGGTATATGCAGTCGCGGGGACACAAGCTGCTCGTGGTCGAGAGCGGGAGAACCAGCTCATGGTCATGAAGCTATCCGGCCTTTCGCGCAACGAGAAGGCTGGCAACCTCGACTCGGATTCTGACTCGGACGACGATGACGAGAGCTCCGACCCCATCCTCGAAACCAAATCCATCCCACTCACCTCCACTACCAACCGCATCCGAGCACATCAATCCCCTCAGGCGTCAGCCTCAACGCCTCCAACGACCCTTGCGGCGACCATGCAGGAATCAGGGGACGTTCTCATCCACGATATCACATCCCACCTCCAAGCCTTCGACCGCCCCGGCTTTCAAATACCTCCCAACGCTTCCAAACCACTCTGTACCATCCGCGCTCACAAGAAACACGAAGGCTATGCCCTGGATTGGTCGCCATTAGTGCCGGCGGGCAAACTCCTCACAGGCGACTCCAACGGCTCCATCTTCGCCACCACCCGAACAGAAGGCGGCGGCTTCGTCACCGACACGAACGCGTATACCGGCCACAGCGGCAGCGTCGAAGAACTGCAATGGTCTCCCAACGAACGCAACGTCTTTGCCTCCGCCTCGTCCGACGGCACTGTCAAAATCTGGGACGCGCGATCCAAATCTCGCAAGCACGCCGTCTCCGTCAAAGTCTCCTCTTCGGACGCAAACGTCCTCTCCTGGTCCCACCAAACCCCGCATCTCCTCGCTTCCGGCCACGATGACGGTACATGGTCGGTTTGGGATCTACGGCAGTGGAAGACGCCCGACACGGCGAGCAAGTCGCAGCCCGTGGCGCACTTCGATTTCCACAAGGAGCAGATCACGAGTCTGGAGTGGCATCCGACCGACGATTCGGTTATCTCCGTTTGTGCCGGCGACAATCAGCTTACACTTTGGGATCTGGCTGTTGAGCTGGATGACGAGGAAAGCAAGTACACGGCTGACGTGAAGGATGTGCCGCCACAATTGCTATTTGTGCATTACATGGAGCAGGTGAAGGAGAGCCACTGGCATCCGCAGATCCCTGGGACAATAATGGCGACGGGAGGCATGGGATTCGGAGTGTTCAAGACGATTAGTGTGTAGATCTGCCAACAATCTGCCCAACCCATTGTTCTGCACCGCAAAAGTCGTTATGTAGCTCGTAACGTATTTTGTTTCGCCCACGGAATAGGAGCGCCCAGATCAACCATGGTACCAAGGCCAAGTCTGTGCCGATCCCTCATCTGTACCTCCTCGCATTCTCGAGTGCCTCTCGAGAACTGGCGTGATGGACGTCGGCCGCTCAGTACAATCAGCGAAAGCGATCTTACGAGCCGGCGATGGCTTGACAGACGCCGCTAACTGCTCGGCGAAAGACATCGAACTCCATCGCTCACTGTCCGACAGCCTAAACTCTTCTTCCGGCAGTGGCGGGAGTGGTTTATTCGTGATAGCACAAGAGCTAGATGGGCCAGATAAGCTGAGTTGCGGATAAGGCCCGTGATTTCCAATCGCATTGCGCGGGTCGCCGGCTCGATGGGAGAAGTGGGATGTCAAAGCGCTGTCCATCAGCGCTGCGCGGGCTCGGGAGACACTTCCTTTTCTTTGGCTTTCGCCTCTACGTGGGATCGGATGAATGTGGATGGATTGTTGGCTTGAGTTTGTTGGCTCCGGATCGTCGACCTCATGTTCTGGATTCTCCTCCCTAGATGGTGGGCTCCGTCGTATTCGCAGTGGTTTCGGGTAGAGATCGTCAAGCGCTTCGTATTGCATTGCATCAGGTACCAGTTCAGCCTCGTCGTGGTCTACACCCATCGGACTCCCAGCCTCCTCCGTGTGAACGTCGTCTAACCCCAGTCGAACGATCTGAACCCCATGCATGACGACTTGTCGCAGAGCATATCGATATTCCGGTTCCAGAAGAGCGTGCAGATCGCTCAGCACCGTCACCTTCTGCTCTCGGGTCAAATGCATCGTCAACGCTGCAATGTCTTGCAGGATCCTGACATCGTCTTCGCTCATCCACACTGCATTCCGGCCTAGGAGGACTAACTCGTCGTAGCGATCGGTCGGCGTCGTGGCTAGGCAGCGGAGCTGTTGGATAAGTCGACTTTCCAGCATCGACAGCATTCGCCGCTCGGAAGCGCTCATGGGATTTAGTGCCGTTGGAGTGTTGCTGACGTGTGACTGGGGGCATTGCTTGGCTTCAGTTGTTGAGATCTGGTGAGGCAGAAGCGACCAATACTTGCGGTGCTTTGCTTCCGCCGGATAAGTTGCATTCTTCGAAAGGTGATCACGAGGGCTGGGAGGCGGGTAGTCGTGACTCTGAAATGATGTGAATCTGGACGCAGCACAAGACACGATGTTGTTGATTCGTGTCAGCCTTGTCGGCTTTGAAGCAGTCGATGATTCGGCCTTCCTAGTAGGCTCATGCTGTGGCGATTGCGATTCCTGCTTGTAAACTGCACGAACTCGACGAAGCTTATTGCAGATTTCATTCCAAGGATCTTTGCCGGGGAATTCGCAAGGCTTCATTGTATGAGAGGAGGGGTTTCACGGCTGTGTTCATCAGCAAGAATGGATTGAAGGTAGGATGAGGAAGGTTGGAATGAAGGCTGTGGATGAGAGTACAGTAGCTAATGTCAGAGTGAGATAGTTTCGTGATCTCGTGATCACCTGCTCAGCCTTGCTAGCGGTGTATAGTTGAGCGCATGTGAAAGCATTGAATCGTCACGGATATCTGGAACGCACAAGATGCGAGTATCAGCAAGTACACTTTCACGATCTCAATCTGATATCGGTCGCATGCACTGACCCCATTCTCGTCTCCGAGCCCTTTTCGTTCAGACCCCATGCATGACTACTACCGTCATGCACTGTAGCACGCCTCATATCCCTCTTGTATTTGCCTTCAAAGCTGCCACCTGCAGCACGATGCATGACGCACGTGTTGTCCCATAGGATCAGGTCCCCGTCGTTCTGCCAGTCAATGCTCACGACGTACTTGGGTTGGCAGGCGTGCTTGTACACCGTGCTGAGGATCTCCTGGGACTTTTCGGGAGAGACACCCTCGATGTGATGAGCGTGAGAGGCGATGTAGAGATTCATCCGCCCCGACGGCTCATGAGGCTGGATCAACCTGTGGCGGGACATGAAATGATCCTCTGGGTTGATGTCGGAAAGTGATCCCGGCGAAGCGAGTTTCCGGGAGTGGTAGAGCGAGTGGCAAACGACGTAGTCCTTCTCCAGGAGTTCTTTTTTGAGATCTTCCGGAAGCTCGTCGTAAGCAGTCCGCGCATCGGCGAATTCGGTGTTGCCTCCTGTGCCTTTTGGGGGAAGTTCGTGTGCTCTCAACAAACTGTAGCCTGCCCGCCTAGGATTGAAGGAGCTGTCAACGTGGAATAAAGAATTGCCCTGCCCCAGGATTAGTCAGAGCGGGCACAAGTTGATGAAGAGGGAGCATGGCGTACTTTGTTCATGGCAGAGCGATGGCTATCCACGGGGGCAACAGATCCGTCTTCAAGGAGGTTGCTGACATCAAACAATTCCTCGAAGTCGAGTCGATGCTTCTTGCCAAGCTTTGTATAGGGCGAGACATCGTCGAGTTCGCCGAATCTTCGGGCAAAGGCGACATGTCTGGCGTCGTCTGGGAGGCATTGATCGTTGGTATGTGAATGCCGGGGGCACGGAGCGTGTAGTCACCTTACCTAAGCCGGCCTTCCTGAAGACGACCACGCCGTACTATGCAGGCAGCAATTTAGCATTGGCCGAAACATGAGAAATATGGAAGAGTGTGTACTTTGGTGATTGCCTGATATATCGTATCGAAGACATCGGAGTCAAGTTCGTCACTAAAGTCTACGCCATGGAGCTCGGCGGCGAAGGTGCGGTGTAAAGGATGAATGACAATCTCGCTATCCTGCTTGTGAGGCATCTCGTATCTATTGCGGATTCATTTGTTCAACGCATGGAAAGAGTCTCGGAGGTAGGTACCTCGGCCGGAGGTCAATTGCGGAGGCATCCCCTCCGCTCACAGCTGGATGGATGACAGCCCGCCGATGATCGGAGACGGGAAAGCCGGAGAGGTACTCCGAAAGAGTGACATCCAAAGTAGGTTTGGCCTGTGCTGGGTATACCTGGATGTACGACGGGGCGAGTGGTGGGTGATGATAGAGTTCGTGTGCCGCTTGTTCCGTTCTAGGCCATGTATGTTTCCGAATCTCACTGATCATGCGAACATGGCGTGAGTTGTTGGTGAATGTTGCCTGAATCCGGGGTGGAAGTCCATACGTCATGTGTCATCGCATCGATCCACTTGGTGTGATTCCTTTCCTTCCCGGGCCATTGGCAAGCATGTTGGCGCGGTCAGTCGCTATCTGTAGGGGAGCGTCGATCCCGTTCCATATAGCACATCCCGTCGACTGCAGCAAGTGCACAACGGCACATCTAGAACGTACCGGCTCTCTCGTGTTCGCACCCCCTGCTCCCCCGCGCGGAAGCCAGCCCGTGAAGGCGTGCGTGCTCCGCGCGGCCCCCAGCCTGATGATAGGACGAGACGGACGCCACGATATGTCGCGTGCTTCCATCCCACGCACCAGGGCAAGACGGGTGGGCAGAACGGAGGAAGCAGGTCGACGCGATAGGCTGGCCCTACGGCCCGGACTTACGTGCGGGGCAGGTGAAGTGGAGATGAGATCGGCCATCGCGCCATCTAGTCGTGGGACGGTTGGCCTAATTTTCTTCGCTCTCCTCCGACTTCACCTTGCTTTGTGTTGGAAAAAGCAACAGTCTGCGAGGGGAACTCGCACACAACGCTCACTCCTCTCCCCCGAGCCATCGGCACAATGTGAGCCCAACCCATGCGCGCCTTGGATGTGGCAAAGACGGCATCTTCGCCCGCGGGAGCGGCTCTGTCGCATGTGGCGGGTGAAGCATCTCGGCCCTTCAGGAAACGACGCTAAGGAAGAAACTAAGACGGCGAAGCAACCCATGCAGGGTTAAGCTTCGCGAGAAGGCGACTTGACTGGCGCATTTCGCCGCCTATCGCCCTGCTTCACTCGGCCCTCCCATGCTACTGGTCGTCTTTTTAGCTTTCCTCGCCCTGCTCGCCCGCCATGTGCTCGGCCGTTAGAGTTTGGCCCGCCCGTGGTGCACGACAGGATCAGGCGACTGAAAAGGCGTCGTCCCCGCAGGCAGGTTCTTTTCTCTGCCTTTTTTTGTGTCATCACATCTCTCCTTCCACGTCTCTCTGGCAGTAGGCCTTTTCTTTCTCATTTTGACTCGGGGATCGACAGCCAAAGCGCCATCCCATCCACCCCAAAGCACCAACCACTCCTCCCAGAGCAACAATCAACGACGTCACTGTCACAATGGCGCATCTGTGGGAGATGAACACCAACGAGATCGACCGTAGAAAGTCGAGCGTCGTTGCCATCCACGGCCCCGACGGCGCTGTCCGCCGGGTGTCGGTCACGCAGCTCAACGATGCCGACAGGGCCCTCGCTGCCGAGTTTGGCTACGAGCCCGTCTTCAAGCGTGAATTCGGCTACTTCTCCGCCTTCTCCTTCGCCGTGAGCATCAGCGGTACCTTTGCCACCATCGCCGGCACCCTCTCCTACCCTCTCTATGCCGGTGGCAGCGCTTCGGCCGTTTGGTGTTGGTTGATCTCCGGCGCCGGGTGTATGTGCATTGCCTGCTCCGTCTCCGAACTCGTCTCGGCATATCCTACCTGTGGTGGTCTGTACTATACCGTTTCCCGGCTGGCGCCCAAGGAATGGGTGCCCTCCATCTCCTGGGTCGTTGGCTGGCTCAACCTGCTCGGACAAGTGGCGGGTGTAGCCTCCTCCGAATGGAGCGCTGCTGCTCTGCTTCTTGCCGCCGTGTCCATGGGGACGGACTTCAAGTACCTACCTGGAAATAACGACGTCGTGGGCGTCATGGCCGGCCTCACCGTTCTCACTGGTCTTGTCAACGCTCTCTCCACCAAATGGATGGAGCGCATGACCAAGTGGTACGTCGTCTTCCACGTCCTCATCATCGTCTCTTGCAGCATCGCCCTCCTCGTCGTGGCTGGAAAGCATGGCACCCTGCACACCGGAAAGTATGTCTTCACAAACGTCGAAGACCCATCGCTCTCCGGCTGGACCCCCTCTGGATGGTCCTTCTTGTTTGGCTTCCTGTCTGTCTCGTGGACCATGACCGATTACGATGTAAGTATTCATTCATCATGGGAGTCATAAGATCGTGAGACTGACCTTCTCCAGGCCACCGCACATATTGCCGAGGAAATCCAAGAGCCCGAAAAGAAGGCCGCCTGGGCCATCAGTTTGGCCATGGCCTTCACTTACATCGTTGGCTGGCTCTTCACTATTGTCCTGTGCTTCACCATGGGCAACCCGCATGAGATCCTCAACTCTCCCGTCGCCCAACCCGTCGCGCAAATCTTCTACAACGTCCTGGGCAAGTCCGGCGGCATCTTCTTCACCGTCGCCGCGTTCATCATCCTCATGTTCGTGTGCTTCACCGCCGAGCAGGCTCTCGCTCGAACAATCTTCGCCTTCTCCCGCGACAATCTCCTCCCTTTCTCCCGCGTTTGGACCAAGATCCACCCCCTCACCGGCACGCCCTTGAATGCCGTCGCAATCTCCATCTTCTGCTGCATTGCCATCAACCTCATCGGTCTCGGCTCCTACACCGCCATTGCCGGCGTGTTCAACGTTTGCGCCATCGCTCTGGACTGGAGCTACTGTAAGTCTCGCAAAGCCGCAATCACCCGCGTGGGCAAAAGAATCTGCGCTAACTCTGTTCCACCCAGGCATTCCCATCTTCTGCAAGCTCGTCTTCGGCAAGTTCAAGCCCGGGCCGTGGTACATGGGCAAAGTAGGCTACTTCGTCAACGCGTGGGCCTGCATCTGGACCGCCTTTGTCGCCATCATCTTCGTCATGCCCACCGCCCTGCCCGTCAGCGCCGAAACTGTAAGTGCCTATTCCCATCACCCCCAATCCCCGCGTATGCACCAGCTAACGTCTGAATCTTGGCAGATGAACTACGCTGTTGTCTATCTCGCGGGCATTCTGGCCTTCGCCGCCATCTACTGGTACGCGTACGGCAAGCGATTCTACACCGGGCCCATCATCGAGGCCAAGGTGGAGGACGAGGCCTTCTCGAACGATGTGGAGCGCAGCAGCGATGAGAATAGTATGAGGAAGCGAAACATTGTTGAGAAGGAGAAGAACTAAGCGGCCGGGGGTTTCTTTTCTTTCCTCTAATGTTGGAAATGTAGGATGGGACCTGTTGTGAGGAGGAAACGAGGGAAAAGGGGGCTTTCCTTATTTCGATATCTGCCTTATACCTACTCACGCAAAGTCACGATGCGGGAACACGATTTGAGCATCCATTCAGCACTGCAACTGTTCACTTTCTGCCTTGGAAATTTGCATTCTGTACTTCTCGTATACAAAATATGAACTCTGCAAAGCGGTCCAGAGTGCGACGTCTGTGCCGTGCACCTGCCAGCCTAGTCACGTCGCTCCGATCGCCTGTCATACTCGGTGGTCGTCGTCTCCTCTTGGAACGTGGTCCTGTTGTCTTGATACCCCCTCCCACCACCGTCCGCATACTTCCTCCGCAAAGCCTGCAGCCGCTTCTTCTTGGTGTGCGCGTTGATGTAGGTGCCGATAACGAAGCCGAGGAAGTTGAAGAACGGCACCCAGGTTTCGTGGGGGAGGAAGGCTTGGGCGAAGGCCAGGGCGATGGGAGACGTGATCCAGGAGACCTTCATGACGGGCATGAAGCCGGCGCGGACGGTGGCGCGGATTTGGTGGAGGGTGCGGGCGCCGGCGATGACGGCCATGGAGGACAGGTAGACTACGTTCTGGATTGGGGAGACCTGGGGGAGAGCAGGCTGTTAGCAATGGCAAGTACGTGGAAGTAGCGCGGGGCTACTTACAATCAAATTGGAGACGATGATTTGCATAATCTTGGCTCGTAGGCTGGTCCTGTTTGCGAAGAGTCTCTGCAGGATGCTGATCATCAAGTGTCCGAGGGGTGCACTGATGAAAGCACCATACAGAGCCATTTTGGGCACGCGGCTGGTGAAGTAGTTGCCGTTCTTGTTTCGGTCTTTGGCAATGTAAGAGGCGAGAAGCTCTTGCAGACCGGCGAGAGAGCCCGACGTGAGCATCTTGGTGCGGATAGGATACTTTTGGAGTTTCGCGAGGTACCACTATTGCGCACAGCGTCAGTATGCGGTCTATCGAGAAGGCTCCGCTCTATGCCTACCGCGAGATAGCCTCCAGGCCCAGCACCTCGAGTGAGCGCATCGCCAAGCTCATGCACGAGGCCTTCCCTATGCTGCGAGAAGCCACGCTGCGAAGGATAAGGACCAGAGCCGGAGGTGGCTGTCTGCGTCACTCGGACATTTTCGCCGAATCTCAATTGCTGTTGTTGCGACATGACGAGATGAGGTGGGGCATCAGCTGCCTCTGCGAAGTCGTGGATGGTTCAGTCGGAGGTGGCGTTGCAACAACACTCGACGGTCTGCCTATGGACGGAAGAGTCGCTCGTCCTCGGTTCACCAAGCTCGGCACGTCAGAATGTATGGTGGGAGGCGTGTTTGTCGGAAGCTCAGGTTGGTGGGATGTTTGGTATTCGGAGGCGTCCATGCGCGTTTCCCCGGTTGCGACAGCGGGCGGCTCGGCGCGTCGGTGACCGGGGGTCCAAATTGGCCGATGACACTCCATCGTACAAACCTCCGACCAGGTTGACCTCCATTGTCGTCTTACCGTCCTTCGGTACGTCTTCGATGCTGTTACGGCTGCATCACATAAGCGGAAGGTGTTTGCTGCTGACGATCGAAGTTCCGGGGGTCAGGACGCTGAGCAAACTGCGTCTTTCAGTTGCCGTCGTGCATCCCATCTCTTCCTCCCCTCGCTGCGGGTGTGCATTGCGCCTGTCCATGTTGTGGCAAGAGATCGACACTTATTAGCGTGGTGAGAGTGAATATGGAGGTGAAGTGAGGTTCAAGAAGCCCCGCGATCCGCCCTTGACGATGACGGCGGATCCACGTAGCACGGCGCGTGCTTGCTGTACGCGGGTGTCAACACTTAGAATGGGTAGGTGCGACTGACCGGGCAGGCGCGACTTTCTTCACGTGAAGTATGACCGAATTGGCGAATTGGTAATTCAACATCGCCGCACCGCCCTCCTCTCCTCCTTCATGTCATTTTCACGTCCCTCCTTTACTTCAATCACCCCGTTCGGTGGGAACGAGGCGTGATATCACATTCATTACCAATCAGTTGCTCCTCTCGCTCACGCCTCGCAGCTTCGTCGAACACAACCCCAACACTCGGTCTGCCTTCACCTCCTCACCATCAAAATGGCCGCTGTTCCGAATCCTTTCATGCTGTCCCCACATTCCTTCCCCGGAGATGAGAGCACGCTGCCTAGCACAGCTGGCGATACGTGGCGCTCCACTCCGCAATCCATTCCCTCAACCTCGATGCCGCCTACAAAGCCCTCGTGCAAACAAGTCAGTCATCTCCAGCGCCGTGAACAACGTCGCAGCTTCACGCCATGCTTGCACTTCCGGCATGTCTTGTGGTCTCCAACAAAGCTAACTCCCCTCCAGGCCTCCCCCAAAACGCTGCCAACTTCATCCAAATCCACTTCGCCCCAGACTCCGAGCAGACGTGGCCCCCAATGCACTCACATGATCATGGATCGACGTTACGGAAAACACAAATGTCACGTTTGCGGCAAGAAACCCGGCCTCGGCTTTCTCTACACATGCCAACAAGATTATATCGATTCAAACAGGAGCCTCCCCCCGGTCATGGGTGTCGCATCGCGGCTGCCAGGTCATGGCAGCGTCTTTGACCGCTTGGCCAAACTGGCGGAAATTCTAGAAATGAGCACGAGCGTTGTCAATCAAATTCGCGCGGAAGAGTACAGCGTGGACCAAATCCACCTTCTTTGCGCTCAGCGGCTTTTTGTTATCGAAACCATACGCAAAGCGGAGGCGAGGACCGACGCGTCAGACACTCCGCCGGACTCACCGCTTGTCCCCTCTCCAGGCATGTTGACTGGCAGCTTGAATTCCTCGCCTCTCTCTAACAATTCCGCCGCAGCTGACTTCCTGAGCGTACAACCCGTCCTGCACCAAGTCCAGAGTAGTGCTCTTGTGATGCCACCGGCCGGCACACCGTATGGTACCCCTGTCTCAGGCTCGCCCACCAATTCGAACAAGAACCCACCGAAGAAGCCGAAGTGCAATCTTCAAGTCTGCCACGCGTGCCGACCGCTGTTCCAAGATCGCGTCCCCATGAGTCTTACTGGCGTGCTGAAGGACGAACTACCACCACTCACTTGGGCCGAGATGCGCAGGTTGCCCGTCCTCGACGCCAACGTCCTCGCCAACATTCATCTACGCGAAGCGACGAATGGGTCCTTCGCTTCCTACTATGACGGCGATCTCGCTAGCTCTGAAGGAGACGACCATTTCGCAGAAGACTGGACTCCGACTGCGTTTGATCTCCATGCTCCGTGGTACGAGGATGAATCGGACGAGGAAGACACAGAAGAGGAAGAGTACCCGTGTCCAGGCCCAGGCCGTTGTCGCGTATGGGTGCCGTTGATGGGCTGCGCATACGATCTCGGCCACACAGACGACCAGCGTGCGATTAACCACGGGTTCGCGGATTCGAACGAAAGTGAAGAAGAAGGACAGAGCAAGCAGCAGCGTGCAGCTCCCACGCCACCTCCCCACCGTTACAGCCCGTCGTCCAATGCATCGTCCATCAGCCTTCTCGAGCCGCCGACTCCATCCATGCTTGATTCGATGACGAGCTTTCCCAAGGCCTACACGGTGTGCGGCATCATGAGCACTCTGCCAGACTGGTCCTACGAGAATATTGGCACGGACAGCAACAGCAGCCTGGGCAGCGAGGTGGAGGTGGAAGGCGGTGTGGCTTTGACCGAGGAGGCTGTGGAAGCAGGTCTGCCCGATCTCGTCACCGATGAAGAGTAATGGAACATGTGGTGAGAGGCGCTCCGCCTACATCTCTCGTGCTCGGTGGATGCATTCAGTATGGACTTCCCTCAGACGACTCCAGCTTCACAGTACATATTAGCAATACTGGAGAGCGGTGGTGTAATGGAGTGTTTATATGGGGGTCTACATTGTCCATAGATCTGCTGGCACCAGCACAACGAATATCGCTGTGGAAGAGTTCGACGCTGAAATGCAACCAGTGTATCAAGAAATAGCAGTGCCAGATGAAAGGTATGCCGTGCGTGCATGTGTTCTCGCCATCCCTGCACGATCGATCATTATCGCCAGCGAAGTGATGCTTTGATCATTCCCCAGCTATCATGCTCAAAACTTGCGTTGCCGTGAGGCCAAGAACGATCTCCACGGCAGCTTCCAGTCAGTCACCCTCAGCTTGGGCGAAAAGACGTCGAAGTCGGAAGCTTGTAGCCGGTCAAGCCAAAGCTGTGTAGCGACAGCAGGCATGAAGACACCAAACGCCCTCTCCACGTCCTGCGCCGGTGTGCCCTCATGTCCAGTCACCAGAAAGTGGGCGTGCTCCTCTTCCTCTTGGTGCTCGTATTCGTGGCCAGCGTCTTGGCCCGCACGCAGGTTCTCCATCATTTGACGAGCGGTGATGAGGTGATCGTTGGCGCGAGTCGCCACTTGGAAGACGGCATCGCGTAAGCCGCGCGCACTCGATCCGTTGCGCAGCACGTCCTCTTCCCGGACACCGGTATCGGCCATGATGTCTAGAGGCAGCACGACGGCGCCTTGCCGAGTCGCGCCAACATCGCCTGCAAATTGCCCTTGGTTTGAGTGGGCGTTCGGTGGGCCGGGAAAGGCGATTAATGGAAGGCCCCTCAGGACCGCTGCGATGCCTGCCGCCTTTCCAATGTGGCTTGCAACGTGGTCCGCAGTCAAGCTTGCCATGGGCAACGCTTGGAGAGTCAAGTAGAGGAGGGTAGCGTATGTGTTCTCCGCATAGGTCTCCAAGCTGTCGAGGGTGGGATATGGGCGATTGTCCAGGTGTTTCTCGCGGGTGTCGATGATCCGCATAAACCAGCTTTTACTAAATGCGCCCTTTCCCTCCGTGGCGTTTGCGAGTTGCGAGGCGGCTTCTGCGAGCATGAGAGCGATGGGTTGCTTCGGCGGCGTGCCGGCGAGGGATTTGGAGACGGCGTCGCGTTGGAATTGGAGGCGCATGGCGCCGATGGTGGGGGTAGAAGTGGTATCTGCCGTGCGGGCGACCTCGATGTTGAAGGCTCGTAGGGCGATGTATGCATCTCGGGCGTGGCGAGGGATGTAGGGGAGGAGGAGGGAGGAGGGAGTGTCGTATTTCCTCAGACTGTCCAGGCAGAACTTTCGTGCGCTGGCGATCTCTGCCGCGGATGAAATGGGAGTCGCAGGTTGGTCGACGTGCGTCGAAGCGTATCGTCGGCATCGAGTGCATGTTGAGGCTTTCCAGGCTGTCGCTGTGTGTCTTTGGATGGATCTTGAGCCCGTTTGGACGCCTCTTGCGGCGGTCATCTTGAGTGGCGAGATGTTGGCGTACAAAGGGGGGTTCAGGCCCGGCAGTGTGTCTTTAACTGACGCTCCCATCCATTGCAGTGTGTATACGAGGTAGTTGAAGAAGGGGAAGAACAAGGGTGGTGGGAAAAGTGGTGATGTGAATGTCCAAAAAAAAGTGGTGGATTGCATCACCCCGCATCGTTCATCTTCCTGCCTAAATGGATTCGCGTCGAGGCGCGTCTTCCACTTCACGCCTGCACCTCACCTTGTCAGGTCGCCATCTCAGCACACCTCTCGCCATGACAGACGTGGAGGAGCGGCCGCACAAGAAGCGGCGCTTCTTTGTCGATGATTCTCCTGCTGCAGAATCATCGCTCCCTCGTGCGAACAGCGTCGCAGATTCATCACAGCCTCCCGCACACTCACCACCTGCAGTCGAAAGCGACGATGCGCTTCCGATCGACGTTTTCGATACCGGCCTGTTCAAGGCGGTCGTAGGAGATGGTCTACCAGACTCTGCGGTGCTAAGCTTACAGAAGAGATTCGGAGACAACCTGGAGAGCGCCATCAACGCCTATTTTGATGGATCATGGAAGACTCCTTCTCCCCAGAAACCGCCGTCCATCCCACAAGCAACAGCACAGAAGCCACCCTCCTTGTCAAAGCAACTCAGTAAGGATGCCACCTCTGCGCAGAAATCCCACGAGGCTGCGACGGCATCTTCGCCTCCGCCCAAACCGCCGCCACTCGAGGTCATGCCGAGCAAGAGATATATCGGAGCGCTTGGAGTCGCAGGATGGATGACGAAAAGTGGCTCGGGCTTACTCAAGCCCGGTGACAATGTCAAAATCGAACGGTCGAAACAACGCCCGTCACAGAAGCTGGGTGCGGGTGGCAAGATCAGACAGCCTCTCCGGCAAAAGGTGGATGTCATCGTTCGCTTCATTGACTCCCACGGCAGCGAGCTTGGCCGGCTGGAGCAAGAGCCTGCCACATGGATCTCGACTTTGCTGGATCAGAATGTCTGCTCCTTCGAAGGCCATTGTATCTTTGCCCCCGAGCGCGTCCGGACGAATGACACCGTCTACCTCCAGCTCACGTGCTACCTGCTCAAGCAAGCTTTCGATGCAAACAACTACATCAGACCGCTTGACAATAACCGCCAAACGGGCCTCTTCGAAGCGAAAGAGACACAGGATGAGCGAGATCTGAGAATGAGACAGATTGGGCTCGTCAAGCTGTTTCAAGAGATCAATCTTCACCCCTCGCAGATCAACGAGCAAACAGCAAAGCACAAGCGGGAAGGCATATTACAAGCCGCTGAAGTGGCTGAGAGGTACGAAGTCGACGGGTCCACGGGCAAGAAACACGGATCGGATTCGGGCAAAAGTACGCCAATGGAAAATCCGGGATCATCACCGCCTTCGGAGGGGAACGAGGAGGGCGAGGAACTGGAGCAAGACCAGCTTGATACGCTCTACAGGAAGGCGCAATCTTTCGACTTCAACACCCCAGAAGCCGAGCCGGCCGCCTCGTTCGACATGGATCTCCGAAAGTATCAGAAGCAAGCTCTGCATTGGCTCATGTCCAAGGAGATAGCATCAACGCAGGACCATAAGGAGCAATCAATGCACCCACTCTGGGAAGAGTACCACTGGCCATCGAAAGACGTAGATGGAAAAGACTTGCCAATCGTCGCCGGCGTCGATGCATTCTACATCAATCCATACAGCGGCGAGATCAGTCTGGACTTCCCTGTACAGGAGCAGAATTGCTTAGGAGGCATTTTAGCAGATGAGATGGGCCTCGGAAAGACGATTGAGATGCTGAGTTTGATCCACACCCACACGAGCCCAGAACAAAAGGCTGCGATGAACAGCAGTGGCGAGAGACGTCTCGATTCTGTCAACAGCTTGCCCCGCCTCCCCAAGTCGTCAGCATCAGTCGAACCGGCGCCTGCTACCACACTGGTCGTCGCCCCGATGAGTCTGCTTGCACAATGGGCCAGTGAAGCGGAAAAGGCGTCGAAGCACGGCACCCTGAAAGTCATGATGTACTATGGCGCCGAGAAGACCGCCAATCTTCAGACTCTGTGCTGTGCTGCTAATGCCGCATCGGCGCCCAACGTCATCATCACAAGCTACGGCGTTGTGCTATCTGAATACAATACCGTCGCGTCGTCCTTCGTCGGAAACCGTGGCAGCCACGGGGGCCTGTTCTCCATTGAGTACTTTCGTGTGATTCTCGATGAAGCGCACATGGTGAAGAACCGGCAAAGCAAGACCGCCAAGGCGTGCTATGAGCTTTCCGCGATCCATCGATGGGTGCTGACTGGTACGCCGATTGTCAACCGACTGGAAGATCTGTTCAGCCTGGTGAGATTTCTACGCGTCGAGCCGTGGAGTAACTTCAGCTTCTGGAAGACTTTCATCACATCCCCCTTCGAAAAAGGCGAGTTTGTTCGGGCGTTGGACGTCGTACAGACTGTGCTTGAGCCGCTGGTGCTGCGGAGAACGAAAGACATGAAGACGCCTGATGGCGAAGCTTTGGTGCCTCTACCGCCCAAGGTTGTCGAAATCGAACGGGTCGAGCTGAGTACGCCCGAGAGGGAAGTATATCAACACATCTACGCCCGGGCGAAGAGGACTTTCGCCGCGAACGTCGAGGCCGGCACTCTAATGAAGAGCTACACCACCATCTTCGCGCAAATCCTGAGGCTACGACAGAGCTGCTGTCATCCGATCCTGACGAGAAACAAGGCTTTCGTGGCAGAGGAGGAGTCTGCTGCAAAGGAAAGCGATATTGCCAATGGTCTTGCGGATGACATGGATCTGGACTCGTTGCTTGAACGGTTTCAGGCAGATGAAGGAGAACAGGATGCGTCCAGATTTGGAGCGCACGTCCTAAAGCAGATCCAGGAAGAAGCGGAGATGGAATGTCCGATTTGCTCCGAGGAGCCGATGATCGAGCAAGCGGTAACTGGCTGCTGGCATTCGGCTTGTAAGAAGTGCCTGCTGGACTACATCCAGCATCAAACAGACAAAGGGGAGATTGCAAGATGCTTCAACTGTCGAGAGCCTATCATTGCACGAGACGTGTTTGAAGTTGTGAGACACGACGATGATGAAGACGGCGATAATGGGCAGAACATTGCATCCAAGGCGCTCATGGGTGCCATCGAAGACGACGAAGAAGAAGAAGAGCTATACTCCAGCACGCAGCTTGACCAAGCCAAAACCCCAACCAGGATATCCCTCCGACGAATCAACCAACTCTCGAGCGCGAAAATCAACACCCTCCTCTCGCAACTCAAAAAGCTCAAGCGCGCCGAGCCCGCGACGAAATGCGTCGTCTTCAGCCAATTCACCTCCTTCCTCGACCTCCTCGCCTCCGCCCTCCACACCTCCAACATCTCCTACCTGCGCTTCGACGGCTCCATGTCGCAAAAGGACCGCGCCACCACTCTCACCACCTTCGCCACCCGCCCGAAGTTCACCGTGTTGCTCATCAGTCTGCGCGCCGGCGGCGTCGGGCTGAACTTGACGTGCGCGCGCCGCGTGTTCATGATGGATCCTTGGTGGTCGTTTGCGGTGGAGGCGCAGGCGATTGATCGCGTGCATCGCATGGGGCAGAGTCAGGAGGTTAAGGTGACGCGGTTTGTGGTGCAGGAGAGTATTGAGGAGAAGATGCTGCGGGTGCAGGAGAGGAAGAAGTTCATGTAAGTCTACTGTCCTTTGGAATTGGGTGCTAGAGCTGGACTAACGATTGGACAGTGCAAGCTCGCTGGGCATGATGAGCGACGAGGAGAAAAAGTTGCAGCGCATCGAGGATATTAGGGAGCTGTTGAGTTGAATGAAGATCGGCAGGCGCTCTATCTTACGGAAGTCTTCGTGCATTCATTATCGCTGCTCCGGTCTACCTGATACGGAAGTCACGAAAAAGCGTGCGGGTGCGATGCAAGAATATCCAACTCAAAAGTATCCGCCAAAGGAACTCATCCATCGTCTTCATCCCATGCAGAGTCCACGTCGGCCCACCCACAGCCCCATCTCAGTCCTTGCCCCTCGCCACACCCGCGTAAATGTCGTGCCTTTTCATCATTCTCGCGCCAGCACCGTGCTTTGAAGTCGTCGCCAATGGTAACCAGCTCTCCGTCGTGAGACCAAGCAATTGAAGTGACCTCCTGGCCGTGGCCACGAACGAGGGCAGTCCCGTGCTGATGGATTGGGAATTCAGCTTTAGATTTTGCTGTCGGAAAAGACGGGAGGGCTGCTTCGTCGTCCTCATCCGTGTCGTTGATTGAGGGTAGTCGTTTTGGCAAGTATTGTTCATCGGTCGGGAAGAGGACAGCGTGACCATCTGAGCTCCCGACAGCGAGGACCTCGCTCTTGTCTCCTCTCGCCTGTCGGATTGCGGCTTTGACATAGAACGTGCCGACCCTGAGAGCTGGGTGCTTGAACCCGTACAGCGGGCCGAGACCTGATGTCGTAGGCGCGGCCATGCGGGCTTTGTTGTTATTGGTAGTCGACGTGTGTGGCGCATTTCCAAGTGCCAGGTGATTCGTAGAGTAGGCGTATACAATGCTGTCTCTGCACACCGTGTACAGCCTGGCCCCGTCGCCGGAGAGAGCCATGGCGCTGATTCCGTAGTTTCGAACGTGGTTGACGGGAACAGGTGTGCTCGCTGCAAGAGCGTTGGAAGAGCGCCGGCCGACATTGCGAAGGTCCCACAGTTTGATGGACGAGTCGACTTCGCTTGTCGTCAGCAGTAGGTGCTCGCGACCGTTGCCCAGGTGCTGGATTGCTGTGATGGAAACACCGCCGGCCTCTGTTTGATCGGAGCCAGAGGCGCGGGACGGTGCTCTTTTGAGCGACCGATGTGCGCTGGCTGCATCCAGAGAGTATTTGGAGTACCTAACGGAAGGCTCCAAACCTCCGTTGTCGACATTCCGAGCGAAGGCGGTCCGCAAAGACGCCACCGAACCCCGACCGCCGCATCGCATGTCCCATAACAACACGCTCCCGTCTCGGCTACTTGTGGTGAGGATATTATCGTCGTTCGGTTGGAAGCGAACTTGCTTAACACTGCTCTTGTGCCCGGACAAAATGCAGACCGCGTGTTGCGTGTGCATATCGATGATTCGAGAAGTTTGGTCGCCGCTTGCAGTCGCTAATAAGTAATCGTCTGAGCTGAAGGCAATATCCATCACTGCGTTGTGGTGTGGTCGAAAGGATACATGAGCACGCGAGAAGTCTGAAGAAGGTGCAGAGTCGATAAGACGCACGCCACCCTCTTCATCTCCAATCGCCACGAGGGAGTTGGTGTTGCAATTTGCAACGCAGAAAGGTAAAGGAGCACCGCCGTAGCGATGTATGTCCCCTGGCGTCGAAACAAATCGTGTGGTCTCTGATCTCCAGTCCGCGCAGTGTGCGTAGCCCTTTGGTCTTTGCAAGGCGGCATCATCATAGCCAAAGCTCCGCTGCAAAAGGCGCTGGCCGTGACCAGACTGGCGAAGACGTCGGATTGGCTTCGCGAAGATCTGCAACTCGTCCGCCAGGTCGAGGACGTCTTCGTCATCGGAGAGCAGCGGGGAAGGGGGATCCGCATACACGGCGAACTGCTCTGCGGTCTGCATACGTTTCAGTGGCGATGACTGAGCCGGCGAGCTAGAAAGATCGACAGAGCATTTCTGGCGCTTGTGGGCCCGGAAGGAAGTGTGCTGGGTGTCGGCAAAGGCGAGTCTGTCGGTTGGCGGTGTATGTCTGCGAAGATTGGCGCCATTCTTGGTAATGTCCCTGAGTTGACGGCCAGCCTTGCTCTGCCTCGCATTTCTGGCGGAAAGACTTGCTCGGGGGGTGAAGAACTTCTTGAATCTTTTCGGGGTGACGGTGGGAGGCTTCTTGGGCTTCAGGCTGGGAAACTGGATGTTCTCCACCTCTTCGATGATCTGATGTCGCTCATACTCGCTCCCCTGCGAGGAGAAGAACGGCGGCTCGGCCATGTCGACGTCATCTACCCTCACGGTCGCAGAGTGCTGTAGATAGAGGATAGATGCGTGGTGGAAGAGCAAGAGAGGGTGGAGCATTAGACAGATGTAGTTCGAAGCGAGGCGTCGTGGACTTTCCACGGGAGGACGCGCCGCGCGGGCGCGTCTTTTAGAGTTGCCACTAGGATAGATCCGGCCTATCTCCGCTCGGGGAATTTCAGCGGGCTACAAGAAATTTCGAGCTGCAAGCAATGCGATCGAGTCTGTCTTCTCACAACACCTCGCACGGCATGTCGCAAACGAAACGAAAGGCCGTCGCAGACGATCGGCCTAATAAGAAAGCGAGAGCCTCGACCAACGACTCTCCCCGACAACATGCGAAGCCACCAAAAGCTTCAGAGAAGGAGTCTGGTGAACGACGAGCTGTGTCCAAGTCTTTGCTGCAACAGGAAGAGCGAGCCTTTCCCCGAGGAGGTGCCAGCGTCCTTACGCCGTTGGATCATAAACAAATCAAGGCGCAGGCCGAACGAGACGTCTTATTCGAACAAAATACTGGCGCGTCGCTGGGCGAAGAGGAGGAAAATGCCGGCGCTGTGAGGCATGCGAAGAAGCCAAAGAGATCGAAATCCAACAAATACGAGGATGGCAAAGTCGAAAAGCCGAGCATCAAAATCCACGGCCTCACAAGCAAGAATGTCGTGATTGGAAGCATGGTGTTAGGCTGCGTGACGGCCATCTCGGATCGAGATGTTTCACTTGCTCTGGCGAACAACCTGACCGGCTACATTCCCATTACTGCCATCTCTCAGCGCTTGACCGAGCGTATTGAGAAACTCGCACAAGATGAATCCGACGAAGCTGCCGCGGATCAAGATGTAAACCTCAAAGGTCTCTTCTACGTGGGTCAGTGGCTCCGCGCCACGGTGACTGCAACAACTTCCGAGTCAGAGAGTACCGACGGCAAGAAAAAGCATCACATTGAATTGAGCGTGGATCCCAGACAAACGAATAGCGATCTCGGTTCGGACGGTGCGGTCCTGAATAGCATGGTGCAAGCTTCGGTTCGAAGTATTGAAGACCACGGCCTCGTCATGGACATAGGATTGTCGGATGCGGACGTCAAGGGCTTCGTCAGCAACAAGGAAGTGGCCACTACTTATGAACCCAGCCAAGTGCAAGAAGGTCAGGTCATGATGTGTTTGGTCATTGGCAAGAGCAGCAACGGCAAGGTCCTGACCCTTTCCCCCGATGCCTCTCGATTTTCGATCCTTGCCGCAGGGAATGACAAAGACCTGGCGATCGTATCAGTCGCTCCCACCGTCGACACATTCCAGCCTGGAGTGGCTGCCAATGTCCTCATCACGGAATCCGGTCCCGGAGGCGTTGCTGGAAAAATCATCGGCATGCTGGACGTGACTGCAGACCTGGTTCACACAGGGACTTCGCACAACAACGGGAGTGCCGCGCAAAAGTTCAAGATTGGCTCGAAAGTCAAAGGCAGAATCATTTGGACTGTTCCCACGGACGACGGTGGTCGTCGTGTGGGCATCTCGTTCCTCGACCATATGCTCGTCCTTCCACCAATCCCTTCGAGATTACCCAAGGCTGCGAGCGCCAAATCAAAGACTCTGGCCGACGATCTCCAACAGCGTGCACCCCTCTCGTCGATCATTGAAAGCGCCAAAGTCACCCACATCCTTCCAGAACGTGGGCTATTCTTTTCGATGTCCGGACCGTCAGAATCCTCGCTATTGGCCTTTGCACATATCTCGCAAATCACAGACAACCGCATTGATCGGCTAGATTCCGCCTCCGGCCCGTATAGAATGGATTCGTTACACAAGGTCCGGATCTTATCATACGATCCTGTCGACAATTTGTACTATGTTGCGCTCAAGAAGTCCATCATGGATCAACCCTTCTTACGCGTTGAAGATCTCACGGTCGGCGGCGCTGTCAGAGGCACCATCGAACGACTCGTGCTCGGTGCAAAGGGCGTCAACGGCGTTCTGGTCAAGATCAGTGACAGCATCAACGGTCTCGTTCCGGACACGCATCTTAGTGATGTCCAACTGCAACATCCTGAACGCAAATTTAAAGAAGGCCACCCAGTAAAGGCGAGAGTTCTCAGCGTTGACCTAGACAGGCGGTATGTTCGGCTCACGCTGAAGAGGTCACTGGTCAATGAAGATGAGATGCCTTCTATTTGGCAAGACTATGCCAAGCTACAGCCGGGTATGGAGGGCAAAGGAACGATTGTGAGTCTTTTGCGCACTGGCGCCGCCGTTCAATTCTTCGGCAATGTTCGAGCGTGGCTTCCGGTCGCAGAGATGAGCGAGACGTACATTGAAAGTGTGGAGAAACACTTCAGACTCGGACAGACTGTCAATGTCAGAATCCTGTCTATCGACGCAGCCGCGCAGGAGATGAAGGTCTCTTGCAAGAGCTCGACCAGTTTCGACGAAAAGCAACAAGGAGCGTGGGACACCGCATCTGCAGGAGAGCTCCTTTCTGGTGTTGTGTCGGCCAAGAGCGCTCAGGACGTCACTGTGGACTTGGAGAATGGCTTACGAGGCCTTCTCCGGATCGGCCACCTCACAGATACACCGGGGGAGAAGACCCAGAAGGCTCTTGACAAGATCCACGTCGGGAAGAAGTTATCTAAACTCGTTGTCCTGGACAAGCTTGAGCGCAGCCACACTTTACTGCTCTCGAAGAAGGCCAGTTTGATCGAAGACGCCGCCGCAGGATCCCTTGTGCAATCTCTGGATGACTTGGAGGAGCGTAGATCCGTCCGCGGCTTCGTTCACAACGTTGCAGAACCTGGTGTCTACGTCGAGTTCGCGAAGGGCCTTGTAGGTCTCATGCCGAAAAGCCAGTTGGCGCCCGGGATGCTCACACAGCCTTCTTTGGGCGTGGAGAAAGACCAGAGCATTACCGCCTGGGTTTTGAGCATAGATCTAGCCAGAGAAAGATTTGCTCTAAGCATGCGAAAGCCGGAGGAGCACCCTTCGAAACCGGTGCAAGTTACATCAGCTTTCAGCGCTTCGGTGTCTAACGCAATCGACGAATCCATCACGTCAATGTCAGATCTTGCGGTTGGAACAATCACCAAAGCACGCATCGCTTCGGTCAAACCCACACAACTCAACGTCCGCCTCGCAGACAACGTGCAAGGTCGCATTGACGTGAGCGAATTCTTCGATACCTGGGACGACATCAGCAACAAGAAGGCTCCTCTACAAAGACTGGAGCCAAACGCGTTGATCGACGTAAAGGTACTCGGAATGCACGATGCAAGAAATCATCGGTTCCTTCCCATCAGCCATCGACAGAGCAGTATTCCCGTCTTCGAGCTGTCCGCAAAGAGAAGCCGCATTGAGGATGGGGACGAAAGCCACCTGGCGATGGATTCGATTAAGATCGGCTCTGCCCAGCTCGCATTTGTGAACAATCATGCTCACAACTGCATATGGGTCAGTTTGTCGCCAAACGTGCGAGGACGTGTGGCTCTCATGGACCTGTCAAGCGATGTCGGGCAGCTGCAAAACCTGCCAAAATACTTCCCGATTGGCTCTGCTATCCGCACAACTGTCAAATCAATTGACGCAGCGGCGGGAAGACTGGACCTTGTCGTCAACTCAGACGCCTCTGACGAGCCAGTGACAATGGAATCGCTGTCCGCCGGAATGGTTATGGCTGGACGGGTCACGAAGATCAGCGAGCGCTCCATCAATGTTCAGCTGTCAGACAACGTGGTTGGCGTTGTATCCCTCGTTGAGCTGAGTGATGACTACGATCAGCTCAACCTCCAGCAGCATCAAAAGAACGACATTGTAAGGGTATGCGTGCTGGACGTGGACATTCCCAACAAGAAAGTCTACCTGAGTCTCCGTCCGTCGAGAGTCCTCAGCTCGAGTCTGCCCGTCCAGGACAAACAGATCACGAGCGGCTCCCAGCTTAAGGCCGGTGATTTGGTGCGAGGCTTCGTCAAGCATGTCGGGGACAAAGGGCTGCATGTTTCATTGGGCGCCCGATTTGACGGCTTCGTCCGCATTTCGGATGTCAGTGACAAGTATGTCAAAGACTGGAAGAGCCTTATGGAAATCGATCAGCTCGTCAAGGGACGTGTCATTTCCGTCGACACTGACGGCAAATCCGCTCTGCTAAGTCTGAAAGAATCGCACGTTGATCGCAACTACACGCCTCCGCTCAAGATCAATGACCTCGCAATTGGCATGATTGTAACGGGGAAGGTTCGGAAGGTTGAGGATTTTGGCGCGTTTGTCGATATCGACAATACTCAGCCCCGGTTGTCGGGTTTGTGCCACAGGAGTGAAGTCGCCGCGAAGAGGATCGAGGACGTGAGGAAGCTCTACTCTGCCGGCGATGTTGTCAAAGCGAAGATTCTGGATGTTGATGTCGATGCGAGGAAAATCAGTCTTGGTTTGAAGGCCAGCTATTTCGCTGACGATGTGGACGAAGATGAAGACGATGATGAAGGAGGAGTGGAGGTCGACGAGGACGAGGACGATGATGAGGACGAATTCGAGGAGTTCGAAGATGATGCTGGGAGTGAAGACAACGATGTCGATATTAATGGCGGCGCCAACATTACTGACATCTTTGCAACGGACGAGGATGCCGGAGAAGCGTTCGACGATTCGGAAGGAGAAGAGATGGAGGTTGACCACGCTGCACCCACCGCCGGTCTCAAGACATCTGGATTCGACTGGACAGGTGACACGCTAGGATCTGCTATCGAGGCACCAGTGTCTGATTCGGAGCCGGATGCACCTGAAGCAAAGAAGAAGAGGAAGCGCAAGCCGGAAATCAAAGTCGATTTGACAGGCGACTTGGACAAGTATGGCCCACGCAGCGTCAGCGACTTTGAGCGACAACTGCTCGGACAGCCGAACGATTCTGGCCTGTGGATTCAATACATGGCTTTCCAGCTTCAATTGGCCGAGGTGCAGAAGGCTCGCGACATTGCCGAGCGTGCTCTTCGGACCATTCATATCCGCGAGACCGAGGAGAAGGGCAATGTCTGGATCGCCTGGCTCAATCTGGAAGTCGAGTACGGCGACGATGAGCAGGCCGAGGACGTCTTCAAGCGTGCTGCGGGAATGCAAGATGCGTTGGAAATGCACGAGAAGCTGGCGTCCATCTACATTGACTCCGGGAAGCACGACAAAGCAGACGCCATGTTCGAGCGGATCGCAGGCAACAAGACTTTCCGAGCCAGCCCGGAAGTATGGCTCAACTACGCCACCTTCCTGCTGGACACGATCAAGGAGCCAGCACGGGCGCGCTCGCTTCTTTCGAGAGCCTTGCAATCCGTCCCGATCGGCGAGCACCGCTTACTCACTGCCAAATTCGCCGCGCTCGAGTTCCACTCTTCCCAAGGCGATGCGGAACGTGGACGGACGATCTTCGAAGGGCTCGTCGCCGAGTGGCCGAAATGGACGTCGGGGTGGGACATGTTCCTTGATCTGGAACGCGCCAGACTGCCGCATGCGGTCAGTAAGGAAGCGAAGAGTGAAGCTCGGCAAAAGGTGCGGGCCTTGTTTGAGCGTATGGCCGGCCAGAAGATGAAGAAGCGACGGGCCAAGTTTGTGTTCAAGCGATGGCTGGAGTTTGAGGAGGCGGAGGGGAGTGGTAAGACGGTCGAGAGGGTGAAGGCGTTGGCGAAGGAGTATGTCGAGGCGCAGAAGGCTAAGAGTGGCGGAGATGATGACACGGAGGAGTAGATGTGCGTAGCTGCCGCTTTCGGAGAGTGAAGTGGACCTGCATCTCCAGCCTTGCGCGGGTTGGTTCTCTCTTTTCTCCTTCTAATCGTCGCGGGGCAATGCAATAGCTCGACGTGTCAACCATGGTCCTGCCGGAAACTGGAGGCATTATAGTTGCAGGCGAGGTTGGTGGAATTAGTAAATTGTCGCCAAACGCAGTACACCCCAACATACTGAGTATGTCGCGTGGTGGTATCCTGAGTCAGCGGAAGCGAGGTGCAGATCTCTTTGTCGTAAAACCGGCGAGTCTGGTTGTATGTCTGGTTGCATGCCTACATGTATGTAGTATTTCCTGTCGATCTATAAGGAATAGTGGGAAGGAGCTCGAAGAGTGCATATTCAATACAACGGCCGTTGGAAGGCAGCAAGCGAGGTCAGGGAAGAGTGGCAGCCTTCTCTATTTGGAAGGTACGGATACTGATATAAAGCCTTGTGAGTGAGCCACATTTCCACCCCATCATCACACACACACACACACACACACACACAATTTTCTATTCCAACCTCTACTGCCCGACAATGCCTCTCTTCCGCACCACCATCGCAGCCCTGTGCATCTGCACCGGCGTGGCAAGCGCACTCGCCATCTGTCCAAGCAACGTCAACTTCAAACTCGAGGCCGCGGGAAAGTACCTTACGCCAGGCTACCCCTGCGAGTCCCACACCGGATGCGGTGCCTATTTCAGCGTGGACAGCAGCACCGACTTCGAATACACCATCGCCGCAGGGACGAGCAGTCTCCTGATTGCCAACGTGCCCGCAGGTTCTTTGACGCCAGCCGGACTGTATGCCCACGGGACAGCGTTCGCACCGGGACAGCTGACGGTCATGTTCGGCACTGGCCCGCCGCGCGACATGAACTGCACGATTGTCCCCGATCTTAGCCTCCTCGATGGATCGTGCAACCTGGAGTGCCAAGGGGTGTCGGAAGGTGTGAAGAGTAGTGGGCAGAGCATCTTCACGGACTATGCGAATCAGTGGTTCTTGGGGCAGGCGAGCGGGATGCAAACGGTTACGGTCAAGGTGAGGTACGTTGACGGAGGGCTCGGATTGATGTGATTCTTCTGATCGGGCGGTTGGGTCAGTGTGCCAAGGGCCTTCTTTTTCTCTTGTGGCTTATCCCCTGTCGATATCCACGTTGAATGAAAGTCCCTTCAATCCCGCCAATGGGACCGCACTGCGCTTCGTATGCTGCTTGGTGATGATGGTGAAGGGGAATGGTGGGTAGGGAGCAGGCAGCCAAAGCAGCCTCGTAGGTAAGGAGCTCGGCTTGCAGCTCGCGTAAACTCAAACGCGAGCAAGCAACGTCCTCCCGCCCGCAGAAAGCTTGAGCTTGCATGCAACCAGAGCCACTGTCCTCGACAGCAAGGTCGGTCATCGTCGAATGACAAGGAATGCGCCACCACGGCACCTCGTAGCCACTTCCATAGGAGCCGAGTCCTCGACGAATGGCGGCGAGCAGCTCCCACCCTCTCAAGCCTTGGACACAGGCCCCCCGAAAACGCTACCGTCTAGTCGACGCCACCTTAATCGACCCGAAAGATGGCAGCATCCATCAGCACTGCTGCATCGACCTCAAAGACGGCCTCGTCCACCGCATGACTAAACTCACCAACCAGCCCTCGCCCGCGGACGAAGTGCTCGCCTGGACGCAAAACGAAAAGCTAACGATCATCAACTTGGACGGCAAGTACGTCCTACCAGGCCTGATCGACTGCCATGTACATCTAGCTACGCCGCCGGGTGAAGACGGATTGAAAGATACAATGAACCAGGATCCCGCTACCGCGCTGCTGAGACAGCCCTATCTCGCCCATGAAATCCTCAAGCGCGGCTTCACCACCGTAAGAGACTGTGCCGGCGCAACGCTTGCAATGAAGGAAGCCTTCAACGAGGGCCTCTTCCCTGGCCCGAGACTGTTCATTGCTGGGAAGGGCATTGGACAGACAGGTGGCCATTCGGACTTCCGCGGCCCCAAGGATGCAGAGTATCCGTGTTGTGGAGGGAATGTGCGAGGACTAGGGAGGATCGCCGATGGGGTAGAGCAGTGCCTCCATGCTGCGCGGGAGGAGCTACGGCTGGGCGCGGATTTCATCAAGATTATGGCTTCTGGCGGCGTCGCGTCGCCCACGGACAAATTGACCAGCGTGCAGTACACGCCCGAAGAAATTCGAGCATTCACCAAAGTCGCTTCCGATGCTGGAACCTATGTCACCGCGCACGCTTACACCACTGCTGCTGTGCAGAATGCCATTGCCAATGGAGTTCTGGGAATCGAGCATGGCAACCTCATCGACGAAGAAACGGCGCAGTTGATGGCAGCCAAAGGCGTCTTCCTGACCCCCACCCTTGTCACCTACGAGACCATGGCATCCAAAGAGTTCGGCTCCTTCCTGCCCCCCGCCATCGCAGAGAAGAATCTCCAGGTCTTGAACGCTGGCTTCAAGTCCCTCCAGATCGCCGATGCCGCCGGGGTGACCATGTGCTATGGAACAGATCTGCTCGGCCCTCTGCAGGTCAAGGAGACACGGGAATTTACCCTGCGCAAGCAAGCCGGCCTGAGCGCCCTGAAGATCCTGCAGAGCGCTACGGTCAATGCAGCCCGGATGTTGCGGCAGGAAGACAGATTGGGGCGGTTGAAAGAGGGGTATTTGGCGGATCTCATCGTCCTGAATGCGAATCCGTTGGACGATATCGAGGTGCTCGACCGGCCGGAAAAGCATTTGCTCGCGGTTGTGAAGGATGGACGGGTCATGGAGTCGAGATGGTCGAAGCTTCCGATTGAGAGGGTCATATCGACGCAGATTGAGTAGAGGGCCTTGCTTCTTTTCCCCGGTCCCGAGGTCCATGCTTCAAGTCATGACGATCAGTCCAAGTGAATGGTCAGCCAGCAGTTCAAGGCGAAAAGGGTGCTACGGGATCGACGCTGATGTCCAGATAGTCCAACCCCCAAATTTCAACGTGTTGCACATCATCCACCACTATTTCACGAACGTCCATCGCTCCGTCGTTCCGTTGGTTTCGGGGGCCACGTGAGATCTCGAAAACGCGATCGCCAAGCCCCAGATATCGGAATTGTTTCGCTCCTACTTTCTCCACCAGATGACCGATGTCGCGTTGCGTGATCCCCAGTTGACCAGCCGCTTGTTCTACCACTTCACCGTTCAATATTCGCAGAGCACGCAGCTTCGGTAAAGATGCCAGAATGAGGCTGAGAGAGGGGCGAAGCTCAGCACCTTCCACGGCCAGGCCAAGCTGTTCAAGGTGTTGGCACTGCTGAACCAGAGTCTTGATCTCGTCTCCACCCAAGATCCACTGATCGGAAAGGAGAAGATTTCGCAAGGTCTTGCCATGGTGACTGCCCAGGACATTGAGATACTGCTTGCCGAGCTCAACGACGTCCGGGCTCGGTAGTGTCGGCGTCTTGGCAGGAGTATGAGGTGCCGAGGGTGTCGAAGTTGGCGAGGATGCTGCTTTGGCTACTCTCGAGCTGACGACGTAGAATTGTTCATGGCTTGTGGCGTTCGTTAGCATACGGACATGCTGCTCCGCTGGCTCATTGCATCGCGAGATGGGCCAGAAAGCCTTGACATCTTGGGGTATCTGCTTCCACGTATCGTCGTAGAATTTGTTCATCGGACCACCCGACATTCCCCCGAATGCATCGAGCATGCTGACGCTCTTGCACGTCTTTTCGTTGAGCATGAAGTCGACCATTTGATCGTTGGGGCCGTAGAAGTTTTGTAGAGCGAAGTGCTTCAGTGGTAACTTGTGGCCTGCGGTCGCGCAACGACCGAAATAAGTGGTGAGATTCAGTAAGGACTCCGCCTGCTGCCGGATTCGAGGCACAAAGTGGAGGCGTAGGTCCTCGAGCTTTCTGGAATGCAGTAGCATGACCGAGATGTCGTCCGGGTAGCACAAGGGGTCGATGTCCAACGCTTTGAACACACGCAGGTTGGCCATTGGAGGGATGATCACCGTGGGTCGCGGTGATCTCGACTTGGGAAACTTGATCGTCAAGCTGGTTAGGGTAGCGTGGGCGCCCAGCCCTTGGTACATGGTCTTTAGAGGCTTGCAGTCCAGCTCCCAACTGAAGGTCTGCAGTTTGGTCATGCGGTCGATCGCTGCTCGTAATAGGATGTTGAGCATCATACTATTGTCCGGCACTCGGCCTTTGGCAAAGTCTTCGACGCCCGCTTCATTCCACTGTCCCCAGACGCGGAAATCCTGCACCAAACCAGCATGTGACCGGGTGACGAGCCCGTTCAAACCCATGATGAAGGGACTTCCGCTCCCAAAGCCTTCCGGTTTGCCATTGGTGTAGCGCACTTCGGGGTAAGAATGCAGGTTGACTTTCTCGTAGAGCTGAGGCAGACACATGTAGTAGAGCAATCTCGACGTGCGCGTGAGGCGCGCAATGTCCGCCGGGTCATCCAGGAAGCCCGCGATGCGAGCAATGATGTTGAGCGGGAGACTTGCAGCTTGCGATGGCCCTCCACCCGCCGTCGCGAGACTCACGGGTGAGGTGAAGGTGACGAATCGGGGAATGTCGCCGCTGACGGTAGATGTGTACGAAGGGGCGCGCCGCGGCGCAGACGAATTCGCCATTGCACTATTCACATCCCGCTGAAGGAGAGTAGTCGGTTGGGCCAGCGTGAGGGACTGATGCCTGTCGTGTCCTTGGCAATGAAGAATCTCTCGGTGACGCGGTGATAGTCAAATCTGGCTGACTAAGTCCTCAGCCTCACCACGCCCTGCGGTGTGTCTCGACATCTACCTTACCTTTTCTTTCATCTGCCTTGCGCATGCGCTCGCCTGAGCAATCAACATGCGCTCCAAGTGGAACCAAGTACAGGAAGTGCAGCTTATATAGGTCGAAGGTTGGTCGACCAATGCTGGACATGAGACTTGAGGCAGTCGTTGTAGCTTTAGTCATTTTGCTCGCATTCGCGTAATTAATTCAGCCAGCCTCGAGAGCCCTTGGGTATCTTTTCGCGAGGACCAAAAGACCCATCTATCGTCCACCTTTCCTTTCCAACTCCCAGCGCCAAATCATTTCGCGATCTTGATCCCGTGTAGCCCCTTCACGCTCTTCCAGACGCTGTCCGACACCTTAACCGGCAGCTTCTTGCCCTTCAGTCGTCCATCGATGAGCCACATGCCCACCACAAACTCCTCTTTGTTCAAGCGGCCTACTTGATGTTCGTCCACCAAATCCCAGACCGTCGCGAGCACGTTGTCCTGCAGTCGTGATCGCGACCAAATTTCTCGCACCACTAGGTTGGAGACCTGCTCCATCACCGCATCCTTCAAATCTCGCGCTGCCGGGGAGTCGGGCGAGCGAGACACGACGGCGTGCTCTTTGATCGTGAAGGAGGAGTGCAAGCCTTTGTTCGCCGCCCACACGCCCTCATACCGTTTCCTCTCGCGCTCGGTCACGATTTCTCGCCATCGTTTGCGGTCTCCTTCGTGGTGCTTGTTGGGGTGCTTATGAAGCCGCTTCTGCACTTTGCGCTTGCTGTGGGGGTACAGGCCTTCGCCTTCCTCCTCCTCCGAGTCATCACTTTGCGTGGCACGCAGCGTCTTCTTCAGTGCGGGAGGCTTCGAAGGGCTGGGTGTCCTCGATAGAGCGAGGCCAGTATACTTGTGCCGTCGACTTGGCAAGGGCGGCGGTTCTAACCCCCGTGCAGGCGAATGCTGTCGCGATGAGGCCAGACTTGATGCGACCATTGCGCTCACCAGCTGATCATCGCTCATGTTGGGCGTTGGCCTGCGGGGATGCAGTCGATGGTACTGTGCCGGCAGCGACGGGGTCAATGTAGGCGCCGGAGACGCATATATCCGGGGGGGCTGACTGTCTGAAGATTTGACCGGCTCCAAATTCGCGTCGGGATCCGATCGAGCTCGCTGAGGCGGCTTTAGATCTATGGAATCCATCTTTGTCACTCCGGGCGAGGGCGGCCTTGCTTGCGACGTCGACCTATTCTCACGCTGAGCGGCGTGTGAAGTCGAGTTCGAGGAATCCGCATGGTTTGCAAGTCGGCTGGGAGTACCACGACGGGAGTCGTTGCCCGCCGAGCTGAGCGGGTTTTGGCCATCATCGACTTGCATCTGGATCATCGATGTAATTCCACTAGACGCGCGAAGTGGTTTCGGGGAGGCCAAAGCTAGGTCACCACTTGGCTTGACGACGATTGGGGCTGGCTTCTTGCCCGCAAGCTTCGCTGACGCGTTCTTCCGTTCAAACATATCCACCAAGGAGGTAGTCGGGGCGATTGATGAAGCATCAGTCGACTTTCCACCGGCATCTTTTGCATTGCCGCTGCTATGGTAGGAGGACAGCCTTCTCGGCTTCGGAGGTGCGGCCGGGCGTTTTGTAGTTGCGGCGCGCCGCGGACCATCGTTGCTGTTCAGTAGAGATGCTGATGCCTGGGCGGCTGCGACCATAGCAGCTTGGTGTGAAGGGGATCTCGACAGCTCGCGCCTCGGAGGTACCGGAAGATCCATGTGTGTAGTGTTTGTTCGATACAATGCCTGGTTGCGTCTGGTAGAGAGGCTATGGGTGCTTTGCGAAGAAGCGGTGCTCGCGGAGGTGACACTACGCTGAAGTGAAGAGCCATCGGAAGTAGGCAGCCATTGTGCGGAATGTGACGGCTTTGTGCCTGTGCCTGCAGTAGACGCTGCCGCTAAGGCTCCGGATGTTCCCAACCCCGTACTCGACTCCTCACTCTTCCATTCTAGGCTGGGCTTGGGTTGTGCAAAGGCAGTTGTCGCACCTCGAAGGGCAGGGTTTCGCGGGGAGGAGTTGTCGTGGCTAGCGAGAGAAGCGTGGCGCGAAGGATGACGCGGAGGCAGCATGAGAGCCTCGGTCAAGAGGTGTGGAGGCAGTGCTCATCGTCCAGTCCGGTCGTCGACGGTTGGCGGAGCTGGTTGCCACTATGAACGTCGGAGGATTGTGCGGACATCTCTCAGTCGTAAGCCGCATTTAAGATCAGGTGAGGTACGGTAACTCACTAGGGTTGTAGAACCCTAGCGGCCTTGCTGCCTTGCTGCCTCGCTGCCTGTTCCGCCGCCACTTGCATGTGGCTTGATGTTGCCTCACGACTGTCACTCGTGAATCGCATACATTGTTTGCTGAGGGCAAGGAACAGATGAACGCATTCAAGAGCGGCATTCACACTTCGTGTTTGCTGCTACGCGACACACATTCACGGTAGCATCTCCACCTCGCCCAAGATGGAGCACGATGACGCCGCCACGGATGTCGACGTGCAGGACGAGGCTGCCGTCCAGGAAGAACGCATGATGTATGGACACGGGGCGATGACAGAACAGGAACTCGACGACAAGTACCCCAATCGTCCGCACAACCATTCCAGGACGCTGCTCTTCTCCGAAATCTACCTGACCCTCTTCCATCCGCTCAGCGAGAACAAGAAGAAGCCAACCGGTCCTGCGGCCAACCGGAGAAAGCGCGGGATGCACGGTGGAAGCACCGCACCCAACGACATTCGTCGCTCGATCATCGCTCGCTTCATTGACCGATGGCGCCGCGATGTTGGTAACGACATCTTTCCCGCGTTTCGACTCATTGTCCCCGAGAAGGACCGAGACCGCGCTATGTACGGTCTTAAAGAGAGCACACTTGGCAAGCTTCTTGTTCGTGTTATGAAGATCGACAAGAATAGCGAAGATGGCTACAATCTACTGCATTGGAAGCTACCAGGAGTGAAGTCATCGAGCGCCATGGCGGGTGACTTCGCGGGACGATGTTTCGAAGTCATTTCGAAGCGGCCGATGCGCACCACCCCTGGAGACATGACGATTGCGGAAGTCAACGAGCTTCTCGATCGACTCTCGGTTGCCCAGAAGGAGGAAAATCAGCGACCGATTGTTGAAGAGTTCTACAATCGGATGAATGCTGAAGAACTCATGTGGCTAATCCGCATGATCCTCCGCCAAATGAAAGTTGGCGCAACCGAGAAGACGATTTTTGAGATCTGGCATCCGGATGCCGAGAACCTGTTCAACATCTCCAGCTCTTTGAGGCGCGTGTGTTGGGAACTATATGACCCCCAGGTTCGGCTCGAGGGCGAGGATCGTGGCATCCATCTCATGCAATGCTTCCAACCCCAGCTCGCTCAATTCCAGATGCGCTCCATCGAGCAGATGGTCGCTCGCATGAATCCAACGGAAGACGACCCAGTGTTCTGGATCGAGGAGAAACTCGACGGGGAGCGGATGCAATTGCACATGAAGGAAGACGACATCCCCGGAGGCAAGCGCTTCGGTTTCTGGTCCCGAAAGGCCAAGGACTACACCTATCTATACGGCGAGAGCTTTGACGACGACAATGGTGCTCTCACTCGACACCTCCGTGAAGCCTTCAATGACGGGGTACGCAATATCATCCTGGACGGCGAGATGATCACCTGGGACCCGAAAGAGGACAAGGTGGTGGCCTTTGGCACGCTCAAGTCCGCTGCAATCTCCGAACAAGAGAACCCCTATGCTGGTGGCAATCGTCCGCTCTTCCGCGTCTTTGATTGTCTGTACCTGAACGGCGTGGATCTGACCCCATACACCCTTCGCAAGCGTCGCGAAGCCCTCACGAAGAGCGTCAACAGCATCCACCGTCGCATAGAAGTACACGATTACAAAGAAGCGAAAGAGGCCTCGGAAGTCGAGCCGGCTCTTCGCCGCGTGGTCGCAGAGTCGACCGAGGGCTTGATTTTGAAGAATCCCCGATCGAGATACGCGCTGAATGAGCGCAATGACAACTGGATGAAGGTGAAGCCCGAATACATGACCGAGTTTGGCGAGGCGCTCGACTGCGTGGTGATAGGCGGCTACTACGGCTCTGGCAAACGAGGAGGTGGCCTGAGCAGCTTCATGTGCGGGCTCACCATTGACGATGCCATCGCCCCACCCGGCACGAATCCCCAGAAGTGTTACTCCTTCTTCAAGGTCGGTGGTGGGTTTACCGCCGGCGACTACGCAGAGATCCGTCATCGCACAGAAGGCAAATGGCTAGATTGGGATCCGAAGCGACCGCCCACGGAGTTCATCGAGCTGGCCGGAGGCGACCGGCAGCACGAGAAGCCAGACGTATGGATCAAACCGGAGGATTCCATTGTATTGGCTGTCAAGGCGGCACAAGTGGCTCAGTCCGATCAGTTCAAACTGGGATTGACCCTGAGATTCCCTCGCTTCAAGAAACTGCGTGCCGACAAAGACTGGAAGTCCGCGCTCTCGGTGCAAGAATTCTATCGCCTCAAGGCGCAGGTGGAGGAAGAACGCAAAGAGAAGCAATTCAAGATCGACGATGCCCGGCGGAAGCGGTCGAGCAAGAAGCGTAAGCGAGAGGTTGTGGTCCAAGGCCAGGAAGATCGAGTGCTTGAAACACCGTACGCCGGCCCAACAACGAAGGTCTTTGATGGCCTGAGCTTCTTCGTCATGACGGAGGCTATCAAACCTGTCAAGAAGACCAAAGCGGAGCTTGAACATCTCATCAAAGCGAACGGCGGCAACGTGGTAGCCTCCGAGAAAGACCCGGATACTGTCATAATCGCAGATCGAAACCTGGTGAAAGTGGCGTCTCTCCAAAAACGAGATGAGAGGAACCTGGTCCGACCTTCATGGATCCTCGATTGTGTCAAGCAAGCGGAGATCGACATCGCACGACTCGCTCTTCTGTTGCCCCTCGAGCCCGAGCATCTGTTCTATACCACCAGTGAAGATGCGGGCAAATTCGATGAGAATGTTGACGAACACGGCGATAGCTACGCCAAGGACGTGGATCCTGCCGAGCTACGAGCGCTGTTCAACCTCATGCAATGCGCTCCCGAAGACCAAATCGATCCAGCAGAGATAATCAGCCAACTCCACGAACATGGCCACGATCTCGACGGGCTCCAATGCTTGACCTTCCTCGGGTTGACAGCATATTGCGAGGATGTGCCGGCCGAGATTCCGAGGCTACTTGCTTTCGGCGCCGCCAAGATTGCTGCGTCGCTCGAAGACAAGGCCATTACTCATGTTGTGCTACCACGGAACACAGCTAGAGCTAAGAAACTTCGTGCGCAGTTGAGCTCGCGGAAGAAGGGACCACGAATCGTGACCTCCGAGTGGGTGAGCGAGAGTTGGAAGGCAAAGACAAGGCTGGATGAGGAGCGTAAGTTGACAGGCGATGCGTAAGGTATTCGAGGTAGAGATACTAACCAAACCGAAGGCTTTACCCCCTCTTGACAGGTCGGCATGCAATGCTTTCATTATGATTCCGCAAATCCCGCCGCGCACTGCTGCCTGCGTCCGCCTTACCCAGAAGTCTGGAGCAGTGGTGAGAGAGGGCAACAATGAAGCTCATGACTTTCATCAGCTGGGAAGTCGCAGGATGCGCGCTGCATTGCCCCCCATGATTGCGTCGGCAGCCTCTTTATTGCCGCCTAGAGCAGATTTGACTGCTTTCGAGTTCAAAGTGACGCTTTCCCATTCCACGGCATTCTCATCCAGTGGAGGGAAGAAGGGATGATCGGTACCTATGCGGAAGAAGCGGTCAGTATCTGATCGCCTACAGGATATGAGTGGTTGAGGGTGGAGCGTACCAAACATCAGTCGATCCGCGCCCGACGCATCAATTGCTGCTTTCAGACCCACGTCTGCATAGATCACCGCATCCAAGTAGACATTCTTCCTCAAGATGTCCCACACACTCCTCCGATTCGTGATCTTCCCCTCCTTCTTCAGATGTGCGTCATGGGCAATACAGCTTTCGATCCGTCCAGCAAGGAAAGGCAATGTCCCGCCGCTGTGCGCAACGAGCACGTTCAGTTCTGGAAAGCGATCCCAGACTCCACTGAGGAGCATTCGGGTGACGGCGATGGTGGTTTCCAGTGGAAATCCAAGAGCAAGTGGCAGGACGTGCCCATAATCGCTGGCTCGCTCCCCGTACACCGCATTAGGCAGACCGTAGTGAGGGTGAAGGAAGATGAGTTGCTTTTCCTTTTCCAGAGCCGCATAGATGGGATCCAAAGCTGGATCGTCCAACCCTGAGCCCAGCCCAGACGTACCCATCACGATCCCACGCATATGCGGTAGAGTCGTCAACCGCTCAATTTCCTCCACGACATGCTCTACCGACGCCGACAGCGGCAAGGTGCCAAAAGCATACAACCTGCCCTCGTGCTCGGCACACATCCTCTCCACATCATCATTCACTCTGCGAGCTGTCTCGGCGGCGGAGTCCGGTGGAAGCCAATCCAGCCAGGGATTGGCGAGGCTGATGACTGAGACGTCGATATCGTGGGTGTCCATGAAGGCCAGTTTCTCCTTGACGTCGTAGTATTCCTTGCCAATGGGCCGGCCGCGGGATGTGGATGCTGTGTCCTCGGCGGGGAGGATGATCAATCGGTCGCCGGCGGAGGGGTGGTCCGGGAACGACTTTACGTAGGGAACGGTATCGCGGGAGCGAAGGAGGTCCATGTACGCCTGTGCTGTTAGTTTGGGTAGTTGGAGAGGGGTATCTTGATGGCGCTGGTCTCACTGGTGGGTACATGTGTGTGTGAACATCAACGACAGGCATTTTGGCGGGCGTGGTTCTTCTTTGTCTAATGATGGGCCGCTGGAAATGATATGGCATGAGTAAATCAAACGATGATTGAGAGTCGCATCAAACTTATTCTAATATGTTCCGGTTAATGGATGTGGAGTCTTCGACTGTCCCTCCACCGCCAACCCCACACCCCACTTTCTTATCGCATGGCATGCATGCAGGAATGAGGAACATAAGACCGCGGATCTTTTGACCTGCATCGGAGGACAAGCATACTTTCACATCTTTTCTCGACCATCGAACCAAGACTGCGTAAAGTATGGCGACACCAGCAGTCACCAGCGCCGTCTCGTCCGACAATCTCGAGATCCCATTGATCGACTTCAACGCCTTCTTGACCGGCGACGCAGCGACCAAAACATCCACTGCAAAGGCCATCCTCTCCGGCTTCCAGACCTCGGGCTTCATCTACCTCAAAAACCATCCCATCCCACCCAGCGAAGTTCGCCAGACATTTGCCGAGTCGGCGAAATTCTTCCAACGACCTCGCGAGCAGAAGGATGCAATGGCCTGGACCACGCCCGAAGCGAATCGCGGCTACTCCGAGCCCGGACTGGAGAAAGTCGCGGACTACATGGACCGAGACGATGTGGCGAAGGCGCGAGAGGAAGAAGGGGCGGACTTGAAGGAATCGTTCGAGATTGGTCGCGAGTCGGATCGCGATTACGCCAATCACTGGCCGGATCAGTCTGACGAGGAAGGGAAGCGGTTCAAGGAGCACATGGTGCATTTCTTTGACCAGTGCAAGGAGGTGCATATGCAAGTCATGCGAGCCATTGCGTTGGGCATGGGGCTGGAGGAGAAGTGGTTTGATCCGTATACTGACAAGGGAGACTGTACGTTGCGGCTGTTGCATTATCCCGAAGTCAAGTCGGAGGTGTTCAAACAGAATCGCAATCAAGTGAGAGCGGGAGCACATGTGAGTTGCGGCTGTTGAGTGGCGCTTTTGGCATATTGGGCTGACCACGGTGCAGTCGGACTACGGAAGCATCACCCTGGTATGCTCATCTTCAATCCCATCCGAGGTAGTCGAGGTGGACCAACTGACGACGAATAGTTATTCCAAGATGCGTGCGGGGGATTGCAAGTCATGTCGCCCAATGGCAATTTCATCGATGCAACACCGATTGCCGACACCATTGTGGTGAATGCGGGCGACCTGCTGGCGCGATGGGCTAACGACACAATCAAAAGCACGAAGCATCGAGTCGTCGAGCCGCCGAGGCCGGCCGACGTGCATCCGTCACGCTATAGTATTGCGTATTTCTGCAATCCGAATTACGACAAGTTCATCGATGCCATTCCTGGCACCTACGATGGTGCGAAAGGAAGGAAGTATGAAGGCGTCAACAGGTCAGTTCGATGAGATGAGGGAAGAGACAGTTGGCGGAGGTTGACATGACACGCGACAGCTTCGAATACCTCGTGCAGCGACTGACGGCTACGTATTGATCGAACTTGTGTACTGTGTCTTATGTTGTCGGAGGAGGCCGATGCATGACAGCCTTGGCGAGTGAACGATGTAAAGAGTGGTTCGGGTCGTCGGGGAACGTGCGGCACGAGGCCAGTCTGGACTGTTTGAGTTTTCCCGTAGCGCTGCGCCGGCTCGAGGCCCTGCATTTGGCGGACAGCCAGGGCGTAGAGCCTGGTGACCTTGCAAGCTTTTGCAACACTCTGCCTCCTCTGCGGCACGCTGAGTAAATGAACGTCGACAAAGTCCTAAATGTCGCGAATGTCCATTAAATTGAATGTGATTTTGCTTGACGGAGTGGCTTGACCGAGGCCAACGACGAAGCAATTCACGCAGCGATAGAGTCAGCAGGCATGATGCACGGCGAATGGCATAGGAGCACATGATGAGAAGGATCTTGATGTCTCGGAGGAAGACAGAGAGGTGATCAGCTGACAGCTCCCGCTTTCCGCCCAAGCTCCTCACACCGCCATGCCGCAGCTTCCACTTCCGACGCCATACAGTCCCGTTCATCAATGCCGCCTCTGGTGGAATGTTGGGAACGACGACGTGGCCATGGCGAGGACGACGAGTGGAAACGTCGTAGCTGATGAGCACGTTCAACGCGCGGTGTGAGGAAAGCAATACCGCATCCGGCCATGCGCACGTGTAGGAAAATTCTTCCGGCCTCCACTGGACGGCGCGCAAGCGACCGCCCGGGCATGTCCTCGCCCGTTTCAGCGGCCTCGCGGGCGGCGTGGGCTCGTTGACTGGCCCGTAGCCGCGTGGATTTCGTAATGGAAACGGCCACGCGACCCTGATGGCGTGCCCTTTGCCTATTCTTCCTCGTCCCCTTCGTTCTATTCGCGGCCGCCGCGCTAACGTGCCTGTGGCGCCAGAATGAGTCGAGGCCACGCGCACCGAGCGGTGTGCACGAAATAAAAAAGATTCACGCCCTTCGCTCCGCGACCTTGTGCAAACACACAGCATTCGCATTTGGGGAACTTCGTCGGAGAGCAAGCAGGACCGATTCTTGCAGGGCCTTCGTAGTTGCTCATCACGAGTCTGCGCGCCCTCCCCGCCCCCGCATTCTCCCACACGCAGCGCACCACCGCCGCCCGCCGATCACGCGCCAATTCAGCGCCCTCCATCTGCTGCTTGCCTGAACCTTCTTCTTCCTCAATATGCCCCGGAATCTCTTTGGAGTCGACCTACGACTGCCATCCTCGCAATTGGACCATCAGTGGCCCGGCAAAATCTCCCCCACCGCCTCGGTCACGGAGCTGCGCCTGCCCACCATGGACCACATCAAGCGCCCGACGCTTGCAAACATGAGGAGAAAATCCGACAAGGATCGCGCTTCCTCCAAAGACCGCTCCCTTTCCAAAGACAAACATGCCAAGGACCGGCCGCAGACACCGCTGCTGCAGAAGCAGATCAAGCTGGGCATGATCATGGAAAGCCCTCCCGTCTTGTTCATCGGATCGCCAACGCAATCCACCGGCGCCCTCATCTCCGGCCGTTTGCAACTCACCCCCCTCGTCTCTGAATCCATCATCGAGACCATGATCATGTCTCTCGAATGCGTGACCACCACCAAACGCCCCGTACAGGATCGGTGCCGCGAGTGCTTGACCAACGTCAGCGACTTGTACGAGTGGAAGTTCCTGACCAAACCAAAGGTCCTCAACCAGCTCGACGGCGTCCAGGAAATGCCCTTCTCCCACATGATCCCCGGCCATCTGCCCGTCACCACTCACGGCCACATTGGAAGCCTCGACTACTATCTGCACGTTCGCGCGCGCACCAGCGACGGGCAGGAAGTGGAATTCCGCCGCGACCTCATCATCCAACGCGCCCTCGTCCCCGGCCCGGACAAGCACAGCATTCGAATCTTCCCCCCCACCAGCCTGCAATTGCAAGTCACCCTCCCCAGCATCGTCCATCCCCTCGGAGAGTTCCCCGTCGAATGCAAGATGACGGGGATTGTGAGCAAGAAAGACGACACCCAGATCCGATGGCGCCTGCGCAAACTCACCTGGCGCATCGAGGAAGTCGAGTCCATGATCTCGCCCGCCTGCCCGAAACACGCGGGCAAGGTCGGCGGGCAGGGCAAGGGGGTGCAGCACGAGCAAACGCGCGAGGTGGGGTGGGAAGAGCTCAAGCAGGGCTGGAAGACGGACTTCACCGAGGGCGCAGTGGAGGGCGAGTTCAAGGCGTTTGTCGACGCCGCCATGAAGCCCAACTGCGGCATGGACTCGCCCAACGGCCTGAAAGTCTCCCACAACCTCATCATCGAGCTCGTCATTGCCGAGGAGTGGTCGTCGCTGCGCAAGCCCGGCAACCCCACCCCCACTGGCGCCGCGAGGGTGCTGCGCACGCAGTTCGCGCTGAACGTGACTGCGCGCGCCGGCATGGGCCTCGCGTGGGACGATGAGATGCCGCCGAGCTACGAAGACGTCCCCGACTCGCCGCCGCATTACAAGAACGAGCACACCACGATCCAGACCTACGAAGGCGACGATCTGCACTTGGACGTGGATCATTTGACGTTGGGTTCATAACGACCTGAGTTGACATCTTTCGAAAACGAGACCTGTTGAGCGATTTTGGCGAAGCGAGCGAGCGAGCATTATGGCGGTATTTTGGATCGTTCACCCGTCTGAGTACTTCGAGCGTGGTGCCTGGCGTTTTGTCGAGAAGTCTATTGCATTGGTGCCGAGTCGAAGCATTGGGTTTGGCAGTCCACTCTAGTGTAGCAGCGCGGCCTACGGGCCTCCGAAATGAAATAATTCGACATGAATTCCATCGACAGACTCTATTTCTATGTTTGTTTCTCATGGCTGGCCTCCTTCGGACCCTGCTGAACTCTCCATCAGAAGCCATTGAAGCTTCCCTCACGCTGCAGTCGTAATCGTCGATCCCTCGGCAGAGCTCTGCTGCGCCATCTCAATGATTCTCAAGACATCCCTGCACTGCGCCGCATCGACCGGCACTCCACTGTTCCCTTGCAACGCGTCCACCAGCGTCTTGTAGAACTGAAGGTAGGTCGGCAGAGGAGAGACGGTCGGATGGATTGATCGTTTCATCTCGCTGCCCTCCGCCACTGTCAAGATAGCATGATGGCTCTCGGGCTCAATCGCGAAGCCCTGCGCCGTAGGTCGCATTCCCTTCCGCAGCTGGTCCTCCTGCACGTCGAGATGATATTTGTACCAGCTACCTTTAGTGCCACGAACCCAGTAGCGAAGCTGGCGCACGTGCGGGCTGATGACGCCCGCCTTGGCCGTGACCAGCATTCCGTCGTAATGCAGGAGAACGGTAAAGGAGTCGTGAGGGCCCTGGGTGACGCCTCTTCTTTGCTTGCCGAGAAACGCCGTCACTCGCTGCGGCATGCCGAACAGGCAATACACCTGGTCGATCAGATGCGAGCCAAGATCGTAGATGCTTTCGTTCCCGGGCTCGTCGACGACTTTCCACGTCGCTGGAGGCGCGTCCGGGCGATGGCGGTCAAAGTGCGTTTCAAACTCGGCAATGTCGCCAAGCAAGCCGTCTTTGATGATTTTCTGCAGCGTGACGAAATCCGAGTCCCATCTTCGATTTTGGTAGACGGTGATGAGCTTGCCCTTGGTCTTTGCCAATTCAATCAACTCGTCGGCTTCGCGCGATGTAGGCACAAAGGGCTTTTCGACAACAACGTTCTTCCCGGCCTCGAGACTTTTCTTGCACATTTCGAAATGCGTGGTCGGGATGCTGGTGATTACCACGACATCGACCTCATCATCTTTCAGCATGTCCTCTACGGATCGCCAGCTTTTGATCCCCGCATGGTCCTTTTCGGCGTCGTTGTCGGGCTTCGGATTGCGTTGAACTACGCCGTATAATTTCAAGTCTGGCACGGCGGTGATGAAGGGAATGTGGAAGACCTTGGCCGACAGCCCGTAGCCAACGACGGCGACATTCCAGGGGTTGACAGCCATTACGACAGCCTCCGCGTTGAGGTGCTGATGGGTTGCCATGGCCGAGTATGTTTGTTTGCTGAGGTCGAGATGTTCAATGCGAAAGTGTTTTAAAGCGGAACCGTGTGCGGCCTGGGGGAAAAGTGGGGCACTCACTTCATCCCACCAGCGTGTTCCGCCTCGTGCGATCACTCTTGAGGTCTCTTCTTCCAATAATGGCTCCGAGTGCTTGCGCAAGCCCTTTTTCATCGTATCGCCCCTCTCTCGGGCCATACAGCCGCACCGACTCGATTCCAATATCGGCGAATTCTTGCTTGTCCACTCGTGGGCTCGACTGGCCTACCAGGTGGACGATATGGGTGACATATCGCGCGTAGTCCACCCGTTCTGGAGGAGGCGACCCCCTCGATTGAGCGCAAGCGTTCGAAATTGCTGCCACAAAGTCTAGAGCGGTGAAGGGGTCATCGCGTGGGCCAGTCTCCCGATCAATCGTACCATTCAGAATGAGTATCTTTGTGCGTATCGCGGGAGATGCGACTGCTTCTCCGACGTTGCGTAGAATCAGCGATGGTAAGATGGAGGTGAATAGACTCCCGATGCTGTAGATGATACATTTGGCTCCGTGGATCGCTTCCACCACGCGGGGGTTGGCTGGCAGGCTAATCTCCTGTCCATACGGGTTGATGTACCATACCCGTTGAATTCGCGCGGGGATGTCTTCCTCGTCCTCCTTGCTGAACTTGATGGCTGGTTTCCGTAGCACCGGCAGGGTTCCCGGTAGATTGGCGTCTTCAACTTTGTCTTGTTCTTCCATCTCGCTTTCGATAAGACGAGCAATCGAGGCCGTCCTAGCCCCTGGCACCGCCTGTGAAGGATTACTGGGATGCGAGATACTGTTCTGTCCCGTAATGACAGTCCCATCGCTTAGGCCGGCAGCGATGTGATGGGCGAAGTTGGTGTTCAAGACTGGCAAAACAGACGTAGATGCAGGAACGGCGCAGATGCTGGACAGTAGGTATACTGCAGACTCGAAACTTCCCGTGAACAGTCGAGCTCTGTACGATGGTCAGCGAACGTATAAGACGGCAAGCCAGCAAAGAGGAGACGGAGATACCCCGTGAGGAAGAGATTGCCAATGCTGGCGCCGGAGAAATCGAAGCGACTCGTAGGCCGTAGCCTCTTGACCACCTCCAAGTTGAAGGCGTTGAGGAAACTCCGGATCAGCTCCCTCTTGGGGCTGCTGATTCCATTCCAAAGGAGGTGGTTGGCGTCCACGATATCGAGCCACTCGACGCGTGCCTCTGAGTAGCTTGGGGGCAGACGATAGTTGAAGAACTGCTTGATCGCCTTTGTTTCCTCGCCACCGTCTTCGGGAATAAGTCGCACCAAGCGTGAGCGAACATCGCCAATTCCTGTGCAAGTCTCCGTCAATCAGGGTGGCAGTGGTGGCAGCACGGCCATATGACTTACCGGGTCCACCAAATACCCGGATCAGCTCGCTACTGCTTCCCCCATTGTCCGAAATCGGGATGACATAGGTCAGAGTGGTATCATTAGCTGCTCTCACTTGATTGAACAGGTCAACGAGATTGTTGGCTGCACTGCCGCCGGAGAAAACAACGATGCCGCCGCGCGAGGGAGTCTGGTATCCGGAGCCCCAACCCAGCGATTGAAAGCCTGCAAGGTCATAAGGAGGTTTCAGGGTGCTATGGCCTTCATTCGCGAAGTCGTGGGTTGCCATTGAGAGTCGGAGGGGTGAGATGCAGTCCTCGGCATTTTGGAGGAAGGAGCGTGGGCTTTTGTCAAGTACTTTATGCATGCTTCCGATACGTGTTATTACATGGCGCAGGATCTCAGGCAAAGTGTCAAGATTGAGTGATGTACCACTTGGCAGCAAGAAGACAACGTTGCATTACAAGGAGGGCCGCTTTACGCGCGTCACAATGGATACGATTGGTGTGCGTAGCCAGCGGTGCAGTTGAGGAGAAGTGATACCTGTTGGACCTCGTCTACCTGATATGATTGCGTGCACGATCAACACGAGCTGCTGTTCCTCCTTCACGCGACCATGCCATTCGCACCGATTACGCTCGGCCAGCTATCCTGTCTTGCGCACCTTCCGTCACGTCGGTCCTGGATGTCTCGTCCAAGCGAATGCCCTCCACATTCGCGCCCTCCTGCTCGCCCACTGGCGCCCCTTCCCGTTCTGCCCGTCTTCTCCTCTTCTCCAGCAGTCTGTCTCTTGTGTCACGGAGATAGCGCATCTGCTTGTCATCCACACTCTGCATCCAGTAGCCAAAGCTCGCCCCCACCCCGCCGTACAGGCCGTAGGCCCAGAGCTGGTGGTGGAAGGGACGCATTTCAATGCCGAGTTGCCAGAATCGGACGGCAAGGCCTAGACATGTTAGGTCAGAGGCATGATTCTGGGGTGGAGGCATGGGAGTGCGCTCATTTCATGCTTACCGAAGCCTGACCAGAAGAGGATCTTGTTCACCATGGTGATCGCGGCTGTCAATCGATTGTGGGGGTGCGGGTGGTGGGATGTTCGAGCTCCAGGAGGAGCTGCAGCGGAGCGGTCAATGGGTCTTCGTATTCGGGCGGGCGACGGCGCCTGGGTCTGTTTGTCGCACGGGTCTTTGCTGGGGTGATTGGGGCAGTCACACGAGAGTTCCCTTTGACCCGCAGCTCCATGCCAAGGGATGTTCCGCCACCACGACTTTTGACAGATGAGAAAAAGCAGCAAAAGTCGTGGCACACTTTAGTACACCTTCCCAAGGCGCGACTATCTGCAGGTTTCATTGAGTTGTCCAAACCTCGACTCTCCCTTCGCCTCCCACCATGGCTGCCGACGTGACCATGAGCGGCCTGGACGAGCTCCAGCTGCCACCACGCAAGCGGCCTAAGGTTTCCGAGCTACCGCTTTCCTCCGCACAGCGCGCCTCCATCGATGGCTTGCTGCACACCTTCAAGAAGAAGGGCGAGTTCGACGCGATTCGTAAAAAGGCCTTCCAGCAATACAACGAGAGCGCACGACGCGGCATGTTCGAGGCGTCCTTACGTGCCTTTTCCACCGAGGAGATCGAGCAGGAGCCCATCAAATATCTCAAACCAGATCCGAGAATCGCTGCTCCATTGCTGGAAGGCGCGGCCGCACGCGCAAACAGCTACGCGAAAACGGAAGCCGACATTGATTCTTACATCGACCAGTACATCGCCACTGCGGAGAAGGCCCTACGTGAGATCCGGGTGAAGGAGATCGGCGAAGATGCTGCAGAAGACGAAGTCAAGCGTGGCAGCAGATCTGATGCCGAGTACGCCGTCGAAGCGGACAAGCGTCGGGCGGAGCGCGCAAAGAAGTTTGCAGCAGATGAAAAGGTGCGTAAGAAACAGCAAGCGCAGGAGCGGAAGAAGAAGGAACTCGAGGCTTTGAAGAAGAAGCAGGAGGAGCTACAGAAGGAGACGGAGCGCTTGCAGCGGGAGCAGAAGCGGAGGGCGGAAAGGGAGGCATGGAAAGCTGCAGAGAAGGAGCGGGAGAGGGAGAGAATCAGGAAGTTCAACGAAGACCGCGAACGGGTGAAGAAGGAAGCTGAGGAACGAGAGCAAGCCGCGCAAGCGGCACAGGCGAAGAGAGAGAAGGAACGAAGCGAGCGCGAGCAGAAGCGATTGGAAGAAGAAGCGCTGGATCTGTTGTTGAAAGAAGGCAAGGAAATGGCAGAGAAGGCGCGAGGGCGCGAGTTGGAGAGGAGCGAGAGCATGGAGCCGCCTGCCCGACTAGCCGAGCGGCCCAGTGGCCCCTCGAGGCAGTTTTTCCACTCTTCTGCTCCGAGAAACTACGCCACGAAGGAGGAGATGCGATCGCAAGGCCTCATGCCCACATCTCTAACGCTCAGAAAAGGCGACAAGCCCATGCCTCCGAGTGTCACTCCTGTCGCCGCTACGCCCACGCCAAACCCAAAACCATCAAGAGCAACATCCCCAACGCCGGACCGAAGACCAGAGGACGACGGTCGTACGTCTTCAAGAAGGGACAACGACAGGGATGCGCCGCATCGAGGATCGTTGTATAGAGACATCAGCGCCGAGCGAGAAGCCTGGAAAGCTCGACAGCGTGACACAAAGGATCGCGACCGCGAACGAGACCCTCGCACTGAGCCGAAGGGAGAAGAAGGAGAAGTCCTCGAGCGCGCCTCAACTCGCGCCAGAAGCCGATCGCGCGATGCTCGTCGCGACAGGGACAGCAGAAGAAGACGTGATGACGGCTCACGCTCTCGAACTCCTGTCAGGAGGCACCGGGATAGAAGTCGGTCGCGGTCACAGCGTCGGAGGCCTCGAACCCGGAGCCCGGTAAGGCGTGAAAGAAGCCGCAGTCCGCCTGGAATCGATCGCTACGTCCCTGGTGGTGGAGGCGGCGGTGGCGGCAGCTCCACTCGCCGAGCACGGGATGATGATAGGGAGCGCAGGAGCGGCAGAGACGATGACAGGCGTGAAGACAGCAAGCGCTCTGGTAAATCCGACATCGCTGATCGAGAGCGGGACAGGGACCGAGACCGGGATGTTGACCGAAGGAGAAGCGACCGCCCCCAGCCCGTAGAGATTGACAGATATGTGCCCGGAGGTGGTCGCGGTGATGATCAGGACAAGTCCTCGCGGCGCAGAGAGCGGACTCGTAGTAGAGACCGCGACCGGGAGCGCGACAGGGACCGAGACCGGATCCGAGATCGAGATGGTGAGCGCGACAGGAATCGAAGGAGCAGTAGGAGTCGAGACAGGCAACGTGAGCCCGAGAGAGGTTCAACTCGAGATGTTGAGCTGGATCGGGAGAAGGGGCCTGGCAAGAGGAGAGAGGCGAATGCGGAAAGCAAGAGTGAGAACTAGTCGCACTACCACCCCATGCCGGGTCAGAAAGGGCCAATGGAGTCATGAACGATCCGGTCAAGTTCTATATTCATCTATCTTGACCCGCTGGGTATTACGCACGATGCTCGAATGATATTGCCGTCTCAATTCCAGAAACTCCTCGCTAACACAAAGCAAAATTCTCTAATCCCTCAGCTTGCCCAGCAATTTCTGACCACCGAGAAGCAGTTTGCTCTTCCGTTTATTCTCCTCTGCGTCCTCGACGCCATTCGAGTCCGTCTGCCGCTGCCGCAACCGCTCGCCAAGGCCGGATATGTGTCGGGTGATGGATGCCGTTCGAGGTCGACTGGTCTGTTTCAACATAGGTATGTTAGTTGGGTATGCTTGAAAAGGGGGAATTGGCTCACTGACCTCTCCATCTGTGGTCGACGCTGCGGTCCGGAACAAGGAAGGCCGCTGTGGGGTAGTCGGTCGAGCCTCCACCTGGCCATCAAGAGCTCCAGGCGGTTCTCCAGAGTTGATATCTGCAATGGAAGTGGTCGACGGCGTGGAGGTATCCGACAAGGTACGATTCAGCGTCCCTGGGCGGCCGGACGCCATCGAGGGCCTACCGACGGGGCTGGAATCCCTCGTGCCGTTCGAATCGGAGTCGAGCTTGGCCTTGCTGGCGTTGGGAGACATGAATGAACTCTTGTTGGCAATCTCCCGGAGCCTGCTCTGCTGCATTCTGCTGGGCTTGTGGTGACTGAATTTGTTGCTGACAATGGCGCCGGCATGCGAGATCAGGGCGCGCACAATGTCCTTCTTCAGCTGCAGGGCCAGATCCAGGTTCGACCACGTCTTGTTGCGGTACTCCAGCGTCGGCAGCCGGAACACCAAGTCGTGGACGTCTTCGATGTTGCGCTTGCCGTGGCCTTTGTAGCTCAGACACAACACCATGCTTGGGATCTTGACAAAGGCCAACGTCATGTAGTTGCTCGCCCTGTTGACCATCTGCGTGAGATCATCTGGCTCCTGCTTCTTGTCGATAGCTTTCTTTCCTTGCAACCCGCCACGCTTGCCCTTGTCGCCGTCGGCGCCAGCCTTTGGCTTTTGTAGGGATTGTTCGCTGGATCGTCGAGCTGGGCCAGGAAGGTTACTCGTGGATGCATTGCCTTGTTGGGCAAGACTTTGGTTCCTCGCCTTGTCCGCAGTTCCTTGATTGGTGCCGCTCGAGATGCCCAGGCCTTTGCCATCTGCCTTCTTCTGTTTACCTTGGAGGTGCAGGGTGGGCTTCAGTCTCTGCTCCAGGGAGGCAAGACCATGTGGATGAGGATCGACTGAGCTGCTCTCTTCATCTGCCGGCATGCCCATACCATTATCGTCGGAATCTTCGTCCGCATCTGTGGGAGTCGGAGCATGCTTTGCCATGAACGGACTGAATCCGCCTCCTTCGAACGCGCTACCGCCAACCCCAGGGAAGATGTACTCAAACAACTTTTTGGCGACGTCTCGTTCGACCTGCAGCTTCAGCGGGACAAGGTCGACCTCAAAGTAGTCCACCACAGGAATGCCTGCAATGGCCTCCAGCATGAGCCACTGCACTCGCAGCATGCTGCCGTGCCGCTGTTCGTACAGGCCGCGCGATTCGTCGACGAATGGAGCGATGATCTGTGGGTAAATGGCATCTCTGAGCAAGTTGTAGCCATTGATGCCCCCAATCTCCACCATGTTGTAGTCGGACCCGTCGTTGTTGTGTGTACGGTTGAATGCAGCGTCCCGCAGTTGCAACTCCACCAGCGATTCGCCTTTCTCGCGGATCAGATGCCAGGCGATTTCGTTCGCGGACATGTTCAGGTGCATCATGCCAGCTACATCAGCCTGCTCGCGGCGGTCTTCATTGCGTTGCTGAGCGGTGGTGATGGCCTTCATCATGAAGAATAGCTCATCCTCACAATTGGCGAGATCCTGATCAATGGCAATCCGATCTTTCCACCCTTGCCGGTCGAGATACTTCTCATTCACCTGAAATTGCATCTTGATTTCTTCAAGCTGCCGAATCCTCTCTTGCAGCTTCGACACCATGCCCGGTGCACCGGAAAGGTCGCTGAAATCCGACGCAAGCAAGATCTTCTCCAAGCGCTCCGTGCGTGTCTTCTCGAGCGGCTCGCTGTACAGCAGCAACTCCGTCACAATCATGTACATGGCGTAGTACTGAGCAGAATCACAAATGGCACGGAACTGTGGGAACTCCAGCCAAACGTGGTCCATTCGCCTTTCTGCCTCCTCGGCACTTTCGGCAGTCGCTGGCTCGCCGCCGGAGACATCGTCGTTGTACTTCAGGCGCAGCGTGTTGTACTTATCATACCGAAGGCTTGCCGATGTTCGCTGGACAACTCTGTTGAAGCCGTACGGGTTGGTCTGGAATTCAACGATCATTTCCATGGGGACCCAAGGTGGCCAGTAGCTGCCCGACTTGTTGCCGTATCGATTTGCGGAGTACATGTGCAGATGTTCGGTGGCGAAAGACTTGCTGGTCGTGACGAACATCTGCAGGCTGTCTGCTGCGGCAGTGAACCGTCTTTGCACCAAACCCGACACGTCGTCACTGACCCGGTTCCTGTCCATGATCTGCACAACCTTGAGCTGCATTCCTTTGGCGCTCACCAAGACCGCAGCCTTGGGATTCTTTTCACTTTGCAGCTGCACTTGGGGCGCGATGAGACGGAATTGATAGGTGTTGAGGGCCGCAAAATCCACAGCGATGTCGTCCTTGGGTCCATCGTTGGTCGTCGTCTTCTCGGCGTCGTGGATAGGCGGGTCATCCGCAGTAACGAATGAACGACCATCTTTTAGCAGCTCATCGATGCGATCTTGAATGGTCGTTTCGTCGTCGACCGCGTCCGGAGACCACATGCCTTGATCGGCGGAGAATGCTTTCTTCCTCTGTGAATGCTCGTTTTCTTCTGCTTTGCGTCTCTCATCGATGATATCCAGTATGAACTTCACCGCCCGCCGCGACATGTAGTAGACGAATCCTCGCCGTTGGCCGTTTTGGTGGATGTATCGGAGAATGGTGTTCCGAAGTGAGTTGTTCCACTTGATCTGAGCGTTGTGGACAATGAAGCGATTGTTGAAGTCACTCGTGTAATCTCCAAGCGGAGCGGCGTCTGTGGCGTGTTCGAACATGGTAGTCTTTGCACTCTCGTGGGCTTCGAAGAACGCCTCGCTTGTCTCGAGATCAGGCACGGCGGCGGGATCATCGTCCTCCAAGCGTTGGTAGAGGGTGTTGAGCATCGACTCGAGGAAGTCGAACTTCTTTTGCAACTGCTCGCCATGAGCTCGCAGCGCCGCCAGCATCTCACGTTCTTGCGAATTCTCGCTCTCAATGTTTTGAATGACCTTCAGCTCTTGCTCGCCAATCGCTCTGGCGTTGTGCAGTTTCTGTTCCTTGAGTTTGTCTATGCGCTTTTCAATCAGCTCCGCCTGTACGCGCCTCGGGTCGTTCTTGGCAGACATGACACAGTCGTGAGTCGGCTCGTCACCGAAAGGACTGGAGCGGGTAGGGTCGCCGGCGATGTCTCCTCCATGGTCTGTGTTTCGGAAGTACGTAAATCGTGGGGCGTAAGCCAGGGGCAGAATCTTTGTCTGCGGATCCGTTTCTGCCGGCAAGATCCAGTCCAGCTCAACAAAATCGTCCATGTCGATCCAGGTAAAGTCGTTGTCGGGAATGGTGAATTTGGACATGTCGACTGAGGGGAGCTGCCCGTAGAGAGACGCAAGCGTGGCCTCGTTTGCCTTCTCGATGTCTTCAGTGCTGGTACCCGTGATGCTGGCAGAGAGAGCACGAAGATCTGCATGGATGAAATCCAGTTGAGCTTGATTGATCTTCATCCCGCTCGACTGCTTCGATTGCGCGCCCTGGTGACCTTGCAAGTCGAAGTACTCCCGGCGCTGATGCATGTCAAGCATGAAACTGTCCAGCTTCGCCTTCAGTCCAGTCGCAGACACCACATTCTCCTGGTAGTCTTCAGCGTCTTTGTGTTTGTAGACATGGCTGATGTACAGGGGCGACAGAAGTACATTGTACTTGAACGTGGCGATGTGTCGTCCCAGTTTCTTCCCTTTCTTATGGTCTGTAGAACCAAACAGCGGTCCCTGTCGGATGGGAAGCGACATCACGCCGGAGAACATGGACCACCAGCTGAAGAAGTGGGAGAAAAAGCGTGGGGTCAAGTGAATCGCATTGTAGTTGTTCGAGGGCTGGAGATTCGTGACGGACCATTGGCGATCGTGGGGCGCGGAAACAGCGACCGACATGTGAATGTGTCTGCTGCGGAACCCGTGGTAGGCGTCGTACTCCCGGCCGGGTGGTGCTTTTGCGTAGTCTGGATGCTTGAGAACGACATCGTAATGCGGCTTGAAATCGAACGAGCGCGATTCGTTGTTCAGCTCGCGCTCAAACATCATCCCGCCGACCCACTGCACCTTGCCAGAAAGCTTCATTACAACCTTCTTGAAAGTGGCATCTCTCCTTTGGCTAATAGAGCTTGAGGCGGAGCCGCCGTCGTCTCCCTCATCTGGATCCTGTATGCGCCGTGCGAAGCTGCTGAAATTCGGAACAGCCAGGACGTACTCGGCGCTACTCACCGTCATGAACTCGCGAGGATCTTTGCTTTGAGCAATGTTCCAGCGAACGTCATTCCGCCAGACCATTACCAGGCCAGCGCCTTGTCCTGTGACCACATAGGGATCCCTAGACCCTTTGAGGGCAAGATGGACATCGCCGTCCCCTTTCCACGCGACATTGATGCGGGAGTGGAAGCTGAGGCGAATCTTGTCCCAGAAACCGACGCGGTCAGATGGATCGGCCGGCGGCTTGGTGAAGCCTTCCAGCACTTGCATTGCATCTTGAATCCCCGGTTGGTACGACGTCCCCCAGGTTATCCTAGTCGCACGACTGGTGTTGATTTCGACCTTCATGTCCGAGTACGTCTTCACTGGTGAGATGGTACGCCTCACGTCGATAGTGTAGCCGTTGCCGCTCGCAGTCTTCTTCGGCGGAACGACTTCCACAGTGACATGGCGTTGAGACTCCACGTCGCGGAACTCTTCTGCAATGACGAAATCAGTGCGAACTGAAAGGCTAGGCGTCCGGGGAGATTGTCCATGGGCAAGAGAAGGCACATGCAGCAAGGGAAGGGGATAATCCCGAAGCTGGAAGCGCGCCTCGCCCATGGTGATGTGGAGATTCATCGGGATCAACAAGCCGTATTTCATCTCCTTGGGCATTCCTTTCCCAACATCGTGCAAGAACTTCGCATATTCGTTGACCGGAAACGACGGTTTATCAACGGTGATGTTGAGGTCGCTGATGGTGACGAGCAGGAGGGATGGGCGGGAATTCAGCGCGAGAATCTGCTCTTGCTGGTCGGTGTCCTCCGGCATATCATCCACTCCCCACATGACGTTCCGAATCTCGGATACCGCTTTGGTCTGGAAATCCAACACGCGGTCGATACGATTCTTCCACGACTGGGCATTGAGAATGTCCAGTCTCTCTCGGGCCTTTTCGCTTGTACAGTGCGAGGTATCACTCAGTCCACACTTGCCTTCTGCGTCGTAGCGCATTTTCCGGCGAGATTCGCGCTGGCTGTCTGGTGGGCTCCACTTGGAAGTTGGTTGCGTGCTCTGACTCCCGCGTGCTGCTGCATTGGGCTGCCGTGTTTTGCTCTTGGAGCGTGCGCGCCGATCATCAGGATGCGCCGACTGCGCTCGAAGATTGGAGCGCCCACGTTTCTTGCCTCGAGCGAGCCACTTCTCTTTCAATGCAAAGGCTTCTTCCCGTGCAAGCCTTTGTTTCTGCTCCAATAAGCCAGCACGATAGATGGCGGTGAGCTTCCACTCGAACGTGCTGTCCTCCACGTGCAGAACGCACATTTGAGTCCGGAGGTTGATCTTCGGTACATTCTTCGGACCTTCGGGCTCCTTCATGAGAACATCTTCGTTCGTGCCGGTTTTGAAGTGGTGCAGCATTTGCTTGTTGGCCTTGATCACGTTGATGACGTTGTCGAAGATGTCATGCACCACCAAGGAGTGTGGGACCGTGAAGCGAATCCCCTCTGCTACCACATCAATGCTCTTCTCTGCCACATGGCTCTTGCCGACCTTCCTGTTGATCTCGCGCAAGTCCATTCGTAGTACTCGAATACTTACGATTCTGCTCCAAGCCCCTTTCGTCCGCGGCATCTGCACGTACAGTCGACATAGACGCGCACGCGCAAAGGGAATGCCGTAGCGATGACGACCGCACTCCACGCCGAAAATCTGCAGCATCATGGGAGGATCGGCCGGCATGCGAGCTTTTACTTGAATGAGATCGGATTTGAAGTCGATTGTCGTGATTTCATGGCGTGCAACATCGTCCATGGTCAGCATCTGGCCTGGGATCTGTAAGCCTCGGGGTTTGATCGAGGCCGCGGTTTCACGTGGACGCGGTTTCTTCTCTGGATCCTGGAACGTCTTGCGAAGGACCATGATAGCTACGCCAACCGAGAATTGGTGGTACAGAGAGTAGTCAAGCAGGACATTACGAGCGTGGGAGTTAACATGGAGCAAAGGTCCATTGCTGTCGGTGGTGGTGGAAAAGGCCACTTCGAAACGCGGCACAGACAGGAAGGTGTCGACGCCTGAGGTTTCGAACGAGTCGACGATCAGGCCTTCCAGATTCTGGAAGTGTACTGTCAGTCGTCGACCATCTGCCATGGTAAATAAGCGCCTTCGGGGTGACGGTGTACGAGATCGCTGTTCTTTGGTAGGCGCGGCCTTGCTAATTGATCCTCGGCGAGTGAACATGTCTGGCTTCTTGTCGCGTTGAGCATTGTACTCCGAGGACCACGATCCAAGCTGGAGAGCAAAGCCTCGCGTGTCGGTCGAGATACTTTCATCGACACCTGCTATCTCCAGAGCAAAATCGGAACCCTCAATGCGGCTCTGCTGTAACCAGGAGGGTATTGTTCGGAGGAAGCTTGGCTTTGGTTTTTGCTCCTCATCGTGTCGGCGTAGGACGTTCTTGCGCAGCTGCGCGACAATCTGTCTCACGCCTTCGCAGATGTCCGGCCGCACCAAGAAGAAGGTGAAGGTCTGGAGACGTCCACTCACCACGACCGAGGCGTCTGGAATAGCGTTGATATCCACCTGAACCTCTACGGTGTCGCTGCGCAGGAGATCGTGTCTATCACCTGCGGAAGTCTGGTAATACAGCTGATGTCGGACGTGTCGGTAGTGGGTGCCGAGGCTGTAATTAGTAGCCCCTTGGGCCGCATGGGACGACTCCAGCTCGATCGCGATGGACGATACGGACGAGATCAGTAAGTCGTAGTCGTCATTCGTAGCATTGGCCTTGTCCATGGGAGGCAGGGAGACTCTGATTACTGGCTCCTGCACTGATAGCTTGATGTGAGCTTTCGGCAAGAGCTGTGAAATGAGCTGATGTCGACTTTGATGTTGAGTATGACCGGATGTCGCGGGCTGTGATCGCTGCTTCAGCAGCTCGCGTACGAGCGGTAGATGCTTCGGGTCCAGGTCAACCGAGGGCGAGGTGCAAACCAGGTTCGCGTATAGAATGTTGGCATTTCTCTCCACGGCATCCCGACCATCCGAATAGTTGACGGTCCTGGATGGGAGGGTCGTCTTGACGGTGGCGGTGATCATCGGGATGTAGCACATGCGCTCGGGGTGCTCGTGTCCGTCATCAAAGCCAGCAGAAATCGATATGGCGGTGAGAAGGCCTTGATGGGCCACGTCTCGGGTCGAAAAGTACATCCTGTGCGCAGGACTCTTTGGATCTAGCCTTAGGATGTCCAGGCCCATTTCGGTCATGGCCAGGTTGAAGAAGACGTCCTTGCCAGACTCCGTCTTGACATCGACCTTCCTGGACAACCCGAAGAATCCAACAGCGAACTGAACCTCCTGGATGCCCCGCAGTATGGACGCCACAAAAGCTCGCGAGTCCGAAACATTCTGCATGAGGCGGTCTTGTCGAATCTGGCTCGGTTCGAGGCCTTGGAGTGCGTTCGCAACGGAGTCGGTGGCGGAGGGTGCTTGAGCATGGGGCTGAGCGTAGCGTCCTCGCAGCAGATCTGCAGACTTCTTCGCATGCACAATGTCATCGTACGGAATGTTAAGCCGGCCGAGTTTCAGGGCAATGGAAGCGTCGCGCAGGCCTTGCAACTCATTGTGTAGCATGCCATGAATGTTGATTGTAGCATAGTCGAGGATCTCCGTAGACTCCCGGCCGTCGGGCGTGAACAAGATGCTTCGGACCAATGACTTCCACTCCGCCGGGGTTTGGGTGTCTGGCTTAGTCCTGTGGTGTTGGAAGAGTCTGCTACGGTCGACCGTCTTGCTGCGCGTGTCCACCGAGAGCATCACGCGCTCTATGCGCACCGTGCCGACTCCGACCAGATCCAATGTGATGGCGGTGGCCAGCAGATCTACCAATCTTATCCAGTTGATCTTACTGTGGAGTCTCTTGATCTTCTCTTTGATGTCTGTGAGTCTCCGCCACAGTCTGCCGCGTCCAATGTCATCATCCTCTGCGTCCTGCGCCGCTTGCGTCTTGTCTTGCTCGGCAGTAGTCCCATTGGCCTTTGCGAACGGCGCACTCTTGCTGCGGCTATGAGCGGCTAGCTTGTTCAGATCGACCGTCACGACCAGCTCGGTGATGACCAAACTGCACCAGGTGGGTAGGGCGAAAGTCGGGCGGTGGATGCTGAGGCCTACGCCTCGGATATTAATCTTGACACCATTGCGCAAGGTGAATGCGATGCGCCGGAAGCCGGAGAAGCCCAGGCGTTGAATGGAGACGCCGGTGACGATGCGCAGTACGGCGAAGACCACGAAGGTGAAGAGGTAGCCAAGGACTACAAGTCCCAGCAGGAAGGATGCGGTAGGAACAGGCATGATGTATGCGCCATCCGTGCTACGCGCACGAGCGCAGTGGCGGATAAGAGCTCCCCCTCAATGCACACATGCTCGTAGTTCCCTTCTTTCGAGACTGTCCGCGGTAGATGACAGCTGCTTGATGTGGCGGGAAGCTCGCCGGATCGTGGGCTAACAACGATGAGTGATGTTCCGGGGCCAGCGCTGGACGGAGACGGGGAGGAGAAAGTCGGCGCAACTCGAGTGGTGGATGAAGTCGAGATAGGTGGAGGTAGCAAATGCTGAATAACAAGCAACGGCTGCAGAGAGCAGAGCAAGTGTTGCATCGCAACCGTCAGCATCGTCGAGCTAAAGTCCGCACGCGACAGTGGGGCGCTCCTTCCGCTTTCGGGTGGATGCCGTGGAAGACGGCTGGAGATGGATTCGTAGAGTGCCTTCATTACCTTCCAAGGTTCTCGAAATGAGGCAATATCGATTGAGAGAATAGACGCTGCAATGCTTCAGACATGCATAACATTCGTGGTCATTTCATACGGCAGACGATGCAAAATGAGGCTCGCTCGTCGCAAGGCATGTCGTGTCTGATATCTATAGAGCTTTCTCTTTTCTTCGACCCTTGCCCGTTCGTCCTCCTCCTTCATGGGGCTTTGGCATCTGCCATCTGCGTGTCTGCTCCGTTGGTCTCGAAACCGCTCGCCGTCTCCGCGGCTTCCGACGCAGCGCTGGCGAATACCTGCTCCTTCACCATCGCCGCCATCAGGCCCATCTTCTCCTCATTCGCAATCTTCTCCGCGCTCTTGACGACCTTGTTCATTTGCTCGTCGCCACCCTTGCCCTTGCCACGTGGTCCTATCGGACCCATGCTAGAGCGCTGTTTGATTGAGTCGTGGACCTGTTTCGTCTTGCCCGCTAGATCTTGGATCTGCGATGTAACGTAGTCTCGGTTGGTAAACAGCGGCGACGATGAGAGCGTCTGCACCCAGTACTTGTTCCACAGCGCCTCCAGCAACTTACTGTCGAGGGTAGACTTGTAGTGGGAGATTTCGAGGGGATAGTATCGGTTTGCGTGGGCGCCAAAGTCCGCCGCTTTGGCCATGGGCACAGCTGCCATGCCCTCTGCCGATGCGTCCTGTCCTTCCGGCTTGTAGCCTTCCGGGTATGTTCTGAATGCCCCGATCTCGACTTTGCCCGCGCTGATGGTGCGGTGCGGGTCAATGACGATTGCGAGGAAGGGGTCGGAGTAGCTTTGTTGGTTGTGTTGCGTCGACACGTCGATCCCGGACAGCCAGCACCCGTAGCCTGGATGACTGTGATACCATCCCACCGCATTCTCGAGCTGACCGGCTTGCCTTGATCGCTCGAGAAACTTCACCATGTACTCATCTGCTTCCGACTGCGCATTCACTCTTGTTTCTGTCCCCTCTACCGGCAGTCGCAGCGCGTCTGTGACGATGAATGTTTCGTGTTCGATATAGCCCAGCATCAACCCCATCACCTCAATGTCGCCGCCGGATCGAGCGTGCATCACCATCTTGACCATCGCCACCGCCGACACTCGCACATATTTGAAGTAGTTTGGGTCGGCTTTCCATGGTCTCTCTGACACAAGCTTCTTGTTGGCGGCTACGTCCAGCGCGTAGAGGGCATCGCGACTCGGATCCACGAGTTTGACGGCGTTCTCGACCTCTGCGGCATCGTCAGTACCCAGCGGATCCAAGGGATCCCTATCCATCACTTACCCCAAGCTGTCTGCGCGTCCATGTTGCAGAGTACGAAGTTTGAACGTCGCAGGGTGGAAGAGGGTTACCGGGAAGCAGCTGGCATCTCCGAGAGTCGTGATGTTCCCATGAGCGGCGTTGGTACAGTGAACATGAAGGCTGCACGGTGCTCGCCCGTTTGGTGATGGAATGAGGAGCTTGGACCATCGGATTTAACCGGGGATTTGGGCACTAGCGCGTTTGGCGTGTTAACGAGAGCGCGCTCAAGCTGCGCGTCACTCTTTCTAGAACGCGGAGCAACATCACCAAGCACGCACGTTAGATCGGTCCTTCACACTTCTACGACGGTCAACATGCCTGGTGTGCTCGCTCAGTCGCCGGCCACGGTCCCCAGCAAGCGGGTCTTGCAAGACACGACGAACTCGCGCCAGAATGAGCAAGCTTCTCCCTCGAAGAGAGTCAAGCTCGCTGACAAGTCTACATCCAAGTTCAAGACGCCCGGCAACAGGGCGCCCAACGGCGGTCACCTCGGCTCGAGCCAGAAGAAGAGCCACTTTGAGGAAGAGGTGCTGGAGAAGCTGACACAGGACATTGATGCTCTGAAGCGAAAGAACTCGGAAAAGGACCAGCACTGGGCCCGGCCGAGTCTGGATGACTTCAATCACAAAACCGACACGCTCTGCTTTCAACAAATTGAAGCCGAGGAGAGCACGCTGCATGGCGGCAAAGCAACGGTCAAGCTGTTCGGCGTTACGGAAACCGGCCACTCCGTCTTGCTGCATGTGACCGACTTCATGCACTACCTCTACGTTGCCGCCCCGGTTTCCTTCACCAAGAATGACTGCGAGCCTTTCAAAGCCTACCTCGAGACCGCTCTGGCCCAGCATGCGTCAGCTATCCACTCCGTCCAGATCACCATGCGGGAGAACCTCTTCGGCTTTCAGGGCAATCAGAAAGCTGCTTATCTGAAGATCACCGTCACCGATCCCAAACATATCCACCGCCTGCGAACCTCCATTGAAAGCGGCAATGCAAATTACAAAGGCCTCTGGAAATCTGCAGAGGGTGGAGTGCTTACCTTTGACAGCATCCAGTATGTCCTGCGTTTCATGATTGACACCCACATCGCCGGCATGTCCTGGGTGTCTGTCAATGCCGACAAGTACCACATGATCCCGCAGCAAGATCGTCACTCGCACTGCCAGATCGAGGCATACTGCCACTTCCGGGACATCATTGCTCACCCCGTCGATGGCGAGTGGCAAAAGATGGCTCCACTCCGTGTCTTGAGTTTCGACATTGAGTGCGCCGGGCGGAAAGGAGTTTTCCCGGAAGCAAACATCGATCCCGTCATCCAGATTGCCAACGTCGTCACGAGGTATGGCGAGGAGAAGCCATTCGTCCGCAACGTCTTCTGCATGGACACTTGCAGCCTGATCGTCAACACGCAAATCTTCGAGTTTGAGAAGGAAGAGGCAATGCTGATGGCGTGGAGGAACTTTGTCGAAGAAGTCGATCCCGACGTGATCATTGGGTACAACATCGCCAATTTCGATTTCCCGTACTTGCTCGACCGTGCGGCGCATTTAAAGGTTGGCCGCTTTCCGTACTGGTCCCGATTGAAGAACGTCAAGTCTGTGGCAAAGGAAACGAACTTCTCCAGTAAGCAGATGGGAAATCGGGATACCAAGGCGACGAACACGAACGGCCGTCTGCAGCTGGATCTTCTGCAGCTCGTCCAACGGGACTATCAACTGCGCAGCTACACTCTCAACTCTGTATCAGCGCACTTTCTGAACGAGCAAAAAGAAGACGTCCACCATACCATGATTACGGAGCTGTACAATGGCACACCCGAGTCCCGACGACGTTTGGCAGTGTACTGTCTCAAGGATGCTTATCTGCCGCAGCGTCTCATGGACAAGCTCATGTGCCTGATCAACTACACCGAGATGGCCAGAGTCACAGGCGTGCCATTCAACTACCTGCTCGCCCGTGGCCAACAAGTGAAGTTCATCAGTCAGCTCTTCCGCAAAGCCTTGGAGCAACAGCTTGTCATTCCCAACCTCAAGTCCGAGGGGTCTGACGACCAGTACGAAGGTGCCACCGTCATTGAGCCTACACGTGGGTATTACGATGTACCCATCGCCACACTGGACTTTGCGTCCTTGTACCCCAGCATCATCCAGGCGCACAACCTTTGCTACACGACCCTCCTCAACAAGAGCGCGGTCGAGCGGCTTGGTCTGAAGAAGGATGACGACTATATTGTGACGCCGAACGGTGACCTCTTCTGCACGGCGGAAGTTCGCAAAGGTCTCTTGTCGCAGATTCTGGAGGAGCTGCTTGGTGCGCGAAAGCGCGCAAAGAAAGAACTCGCCGTGGAGACGGATGCGTTCAAGAAAGCTGTGCTCAATGGTCGTCAACTTGCCCTCAAGATCAGCGCAAACTCCGTCTACGGCTTAACCGGCGCCACTGTTGGCAAGTTGCCCTGCTTGGCGATTGCCAGCAGCACTACGTCCTACGGAAGACAGATGATTGAAAAGACCAAGGACGAAGTCGAAGCTCGCTACACGATCGCAAACGGATACAGCCACGATGCACAAGTAATCTACGGCGACACTGACTCTGTCATGGTCAAATTCGGCCCGAGCGATCTCGCCAAAGCTATGGAGCTCGGTCAAGATGCGGCAGACTACGTCTCGGGCAAGTTCATCAAGCCCATCAAGCTCGAGTTCGAGAAGGTGTACTATCCGTATCTGCTCATCAACAAGAAACGCTACGCCGGGCTGTACTGGACGAACACCGACAAGTACGACAAGATGGATACGAAAGGCATTGAGACTGTGCGGCGTGACAATTGTCGATTGGTGTCGACTGTGATTGAAACGAGCTTGAGGATGCTGCTGATCGACAGGGATGTCCAGGGGGCCCAGGAGTGAGTCCTCGTCGCTCCCCATACCTCTTGATGTGCGCTAATGCAAGGACAGTTTCGTCAAGGACACCATTTCCGAACTCCTCCAAAACAAGATTGACATGTCGAATCTGGTCATCACCAAAGCCCTGGCCAAAGCCGACTATGCGGCCAAGCAAGCACATACGGAGCTCGCAGAACGGATGCGGAAACGCGACGCGGGTTCTGCACCCGCGCTGGGCGACCGCGTGGCATACGTGATGGTGAAGGGGTCTGCCGGATCCAAGGGGTACGAAAAGTCGGAGGATCCGATCTTCGTCCTCGAGAATAACCTGCCAATCGATACGAAATACTACCTCGACAATCAGCTGGCCAAGCCGCTCGGCCGCATCTTCGAGCCGATTTTGGGGGAGAAGAAGGCGGCATCGCTGCTGACGGGCGAGCACACGCGCTCCATCTCCGTCGCCGCACCTACGATGGGCGGATTGATGAAGTTTACCAAAAAGACGGAAACATGCCTGGGATGCAAGAAGCCCTTGACGAGTCACGAAGAGCGGGGTGGCGCGGTCGGGGCAGAGTGCCGGGCACGCTTCGGCGAGCTGTACCAGAAGTCGCTGACGAAGGTGTCAGAGTTTGAAGTGCGGTTTGCCCGGCTGTGGACGCAGTGCCAGCGGTGCCAGGGAAGCATGCACAACGAGGTGATTTGCTCGAGTCGCGACTGTCCGATTTTCTACATGCGCATGAAGGCGAAGAAGGATGTGGAAGATGCCGGCAAGGAGTTGGAGCGCTTCGACCGCGACGCGACGCTTTGGTGACAGCACTTTGGTAGCGCGGGGATATGTGTGACGCTAGAGCGCTGAAGGATTCCGCGACTCTACGCAGAGCGCTTAGATTGTGCACCTCAGATACGGTGCACAGGAGTTTGTGGATGGACGTTGCTGCTTTGTCCTGCTGTGCAACATGTGGGTAGTGGAATACAGATAGTGATTTATGTCGGCATGTGAATGAACGGTTTTCCCAGGGCAAGATATCTGGATAGCCGCGTAGGCCGAATGTCGCCGCGTCGTGAGGCGTCGTTGCCGATGCGTGCACGTGCGGCGGCGTCTCGCATGTCCAGCCTTTCCTCGGTCTACATGAAGCCAGCGCATTTGGTGTGCAGCTTCTTGGGGGGAGACGCCATTCACGCGAGGCTCGTTACATGCAAATGCCGCTTTACGGCATGCGCCCAACCACAACACAAGCTTTGATGCACCTGCAGGCGGGCGGACAGGGTTGGGGCCTAGTAGGTCTAGCCAAGAGGGGTGAATATTCACCACGCAGACATCGAGCACTTGTTCGCTGGGGCACGAAATGAGAGCTGCACCTCATGAAGGGCACATACGCCACACTGTCGACGATTGTGTACATACAGTAAGCTGCACGCATGTAAAGGTGGTCCATCTGCGGCCCCCTGTGAGGAGGCAGCATTAATGTTCGCGCGTTCCTGACTAGTCCTCAACGCGGACCACTCAGCGCCGAGGGATAGCTCGGGCGGGCCACACAGCTGCAGGAACGCAGCTCGACTTGCTCGACCTGCACCGCGGCCCGACGTGATGCCTGCGGCTCTGACGGCACCCGGGGGCAGACACCCGTCACGCTGGCCAAATGTCGAGGGTCAGGAGACTTCATTGGCGGAGGGCGAAAGCACGAAAGGGCAGCGAGGCGCGGCGATTGCGAACGATTGACTTTGTTGCCCCTCCACCTCCCCTTTTACCTGCGCCCGCTCTCAGGCTAGCTCGAAAACATTACGTCTGGCCAAGGCCAGCTTGCCCTGTGCAGCGCCAAAGCTTAAATATCCCGCTGGCCTTCCCCTCGGCGGTTGGGTAGGGCGAAACGGCTATCGCGAAGCTGTTCCCATCGGCACAATGAGTTGCCGATCGAGGGGTGGCATGGTTGCTGACCTCCTTGGGGGAGCGGCGTGGCTCGCAAGCAGCTGGCTGCCCGACGCGTATGGAAGAGACGCGTCTGCGCGGCTGCTTGTCTCTTCGCGATCGGGACCCAGGGTTCGGCGGGCCATAAGCGAGTAGCATGTACATGGCTACATACAGTACACCCTCCCGATGCTGCCCTCCCGCGCGCCCAATAGGAGAGGCGGAGAAAGCGGGCATGGTGCAAAGCGCCAGGGGCTGCTGATGGAGTGCACGCCAAAAACGCTCGGGGTGAGGTGTGGTCTGTGTTCGCGACACGGCCGCATGCAGCCTAGCGCGCGCGCTCTCCTGGCTTGAGGAGACGCGATGGGCGAGAAAGTGTGCCCGCCTCGCTCCACCACCGCCTCGACCTCCCGTCCACCTCCTCCTCTCCTTGTCATCCTTGTCCTTGTCCTCTCCCTCTCCCTCCCTCACCCTCCATCTCTCATTGCTTGTCCTCGTCGTCGTGCCCGCTCGAGTCGTCTGGTACCATCACTCGTTTTGGGTGCCGTGACTCTCACTCCTCCTTCATTTTTCCTTTCAAAGCCCCCCCTCCGCCGTCACTCTTTCCGGCGAGTCCACTCTTTCGGCAGTCTTTGTTTGACTTGACATCCATCCTCGCCCACGCGCACAGCCGCACTTCGACCACCGCCTCCTCCCACACCGCACACCGCCTGTGGCCATCCTTTCACGTCACCTGCGTGTACACACAGTCCTTCCTCCCTCTCCGTCCACCGCCGCTCGCTTCCAACTACCGATTGGCGTTTCCCCTTACGTCCACTTCACTCCACTTCCACCCCGACAGTGGTCGAGCACGATTACACGATCCCGCGTTTTGGGTAGCATTGATATCTTGGCATTGCCATCGGCCCACATCATGGCCGACATCATGACTGCTCCGCCGCCACCCCTGTCTCCAATCGAAGACAGCTCTCCCTCCTGCTCCACCCCTCTTCCACCAATGTCCACGCCCGGACATGCTGCCTCTCGCCGGCCTCCCCGAAAAAGCACACTTGTATGTGTCGAGTCCCGTCCCTCCCCGCCCTGCTTCTGTCCGTGACTAATCGATGTATGGCATTAGACTCAGCAACAGAAGAACCAGAAGCGCCAGAGAGCCACCCAAGATCAGCTTATGACTCTCGAGGTCGAGTTCAACAAGAACCCAACGCCCACCGCGTTGGTCAGAGAGAGGATCGCCCAGGACATCAACATGACTGAGCGCTCCGTCCAGATCTGGTTCCAAAACAGGTATGCGTTGCAAATTCCCCTTCGTGTAGACCCTACTAACCTATAAAGACGTGCCAAAATCAAGAACATCGCCAAGCGAAGCATCGAGAGCGGCGAGGACTGCGATAGTATACCCGATTCGATGCGACATTACTTGGCCATGCAGCAATATGGCACGGGGAAGGGCTTGCCGTCGAACATGCTGAACAGGGCAGGCCCCGGCTACTCCCCATATGGCAACGGCATGCTAGCGATGAACGCGGAGACGCCCACAGGCAAAGTCGTCATCCAGCACTTTGCCTGCCGCTCTCTCTCCATCGGCACATGGCGTCGTGTTGCTCAAACTACCATGGACTTGGTGATCTTCTACTCGCCGGACAAGGCGTGCATCACCTACTACATCAACAATGATTCGGCGGGGTACAAGATTGAGTATCCGTTTGTGTGGATCAAGAACATTTCCCTGGAACAAGGCGATGTCCTCTCCGCGGCCGAAGGCGCATCGCAGCGCGCCGGTGGGCTTGTCATCGAGCTGACCCGAGCACCCAAATTCTACATGGATAGCTCTGGCAGCGGCGGCTTCTACGAATGCGGCGATTTCACGGAAGACCAGCAGGCGAGCCAGATCATGGTGCATCACCTCGGCGGCCCGTCCAAGGTTCTGAGCGGCCAACTTGCCAAGCTCGTGTCGTTGGAGGCATATCAGAATCGTCACAATTTCTACGACCCAAGTGCACTCGCCGTCTCTGCACCGGTGTCTCCCATTGTGCACCGCCCCCAGAGTCAGCCCAACCACCTCTTCCATCCTCACAGCAACATCAGCCTCCTTCCCCCCGAAGGCGCACCGGGTATGATGGGACCACCTGGCCCGCGAGGCCACAAACGCCAACGAAGTCGCTCTGTCCCCGTCGCAATCGATTTCTCCATGTTGCGACATCCCATGCCGTCGTTCCTCATTCAACCCGAAGGACAAATGCCGCAGCCTCCCTTGCAAGACCCCAGCATCTTTGCACCCGTGCCTCAACATCAGCATCACCCAGGATTCGCATCGAGCATGCCAGGGGCCTCGCTAAGCATCGATACCTCTCCAAACTTCTCGGGATTCCAGTTCGGTGGGCCCGTCTCTGCCACAACTGCGAACTCGCCCAGCGAATATGGCACGCCGGCTTTCCTGGCCGCCGGTCATCACGGAGATAACATGACCCACTCGCAATTCAACACACCCTTCAACAGCGGCTATCTCGCCGTGGACCCCGCCGCCATGATCGGAACGAGCAATACCCCGTTGTCTATGTACAGTCACGGCGACCCGGTGATTGCAGACGACTCGCCACCTCTCAATGGCGTCGGCCGCAGTCAAAGTGCAGATTTCTTCGGCACGCCCGGCGAGCATTCTCAGTTCGGCGACGAGGGCCTTTACCTCTCCGAATCCTTCCACAAGCAGATGTCCCTCCCCTTCCGCAACCCGATGTCCGAAGACTCCTTCCACTCGCCCATGCCCGACAGCGCGTACAATTACAACTCTCCGCGAACGACAGGCGCCGAAGCGAATGGCCAGCACACGCCGATGAACTTTCAGAGTCCCTCACACCAGTCGCTCCACCAAGACAGCGGTGTAGCCTTCTCCACTCCATCTCACGTTTCCCACGACCAATCATCGATGTATCCCAGCCCGAAGGACGGCAGCGTGGTGTATCACGATTCGAAGATGTACACTAGCCCGGCGCAGATGCACCAAATGCCGCACGACCAGAACGTCTACCAACAGAGCCCGCTCCGGAACGAAACCGGCAACGACGGGCTGGACATGCCAAACCTGGGCATGTATGTCAACCCGAATAGCCTGGGCAATCAGAAATAGAACTGGACGTCGCCTTCAGGGAACCTTTTCATTTCGTATCATAACCCCCCTAATTGCACGAATGGATGCTGCGCGGAACGAATACCTTTTGGCGCCAATGCGGAACGACCATGTCCAAGGCAAAGGAAAACCGAAGCGGGGGTTGGGGGATTTAATTCTAGTTTGGAGCCGTTCTCTTCACCGATTGCAGTGTGGCTGCCCGGAACGACTGGCCTCATGAAGAGTGTGAATACTGGGTCAGAGGAAAAATTGACGAATTTTTTACGTGGTCTGCGGTCCGGCGGACGGGATGGAAAGGACGGCGCGATATCGGCAAAGAGAAACCCCGGGGACTGTTGCATTGTTGCTGTTGCTTTACGTCTGCGCTCGATTGGGTTATGATGTCTGGGAGCGTTGGGAACTGAATTGTAGCTGATTCTTTTGACGTTAAGTCGCCGTTCAGGTAACGGAGCGCAGAAATGGCGAACCGCCGCCCGGCGACGCTGAGCGTGCTGGCTTGTATGAACCTGTCTTGCATAAACGATTTGCTTCCTCTTGTTCTTCGTCTATCTTTGCCTGTCTCTTCCACCTGCTGCCTTCTTTTGCCAAACTCCAAGTGACGTGTTAGGTGTGTGTATGTTCTGCCTTAGGCAGGAACGCGTCGCGGCCAATGAGCGCGCGCCTTTTGGGGCAAACCACACCTCACTGTCCACAACACATTCAGCACTCTTCGACGTCGTCACCTTCTCGCTACGCATCTTGAATGAAAGCGAGACGCGTATGGCGCATCCAGACTTGCCACGACTGGGCCTTCCAGTCCGCCCAAGCCCGGTCGAGCCACACGCCGTGACGGAGAAGCATCCACTCAACAGGACCACTCGTCTCGACAACGCAGCCAAAGAGGACTTCTTCCCACCGTTACTTGATAAATCGCCAGACTCCGGGTTCGGGCGCGCGGCGAAACGCAGGAAGTCTGGTGTGCCGAGCTCCCTCGACCTCCCCAAACTGCCTGCTGTTCAACATGGGGCGAAGCGACTTCGTATCCCGCCCACTTTGTCCGGCTTGCACCAGCCGCCGCCCGATGCTGGCCTGTTGCCGTCTATGTCTATCAAGCAGCCCTTGCCTGCAGGTAACAAGTCGGGCGTCGATGGCGTGGTGGGCAGAAAGTCGACGAAGCCGCAGGAGCACCCACAAGCCCAAGCCCGGTCGAACGACACTCGCTCGTCAGACAGGCACTCACCTGCCAAGGCCAAACGCAAGCACAACAAATGGACGGAGCTGGAAACTGCAGACCTACTGAAAGGCGTTGCAAAATATGGCATTGGGAAATGGACTCAGATCCTGAATCATCCTGATTACCAGTTCGAAGGTCGATCGGCTCTGGACTTGAAGGATCGGTTTCGGGTCTGCCGCCCGGACGATTACCACCTCAGTCAAGCTCAAAGTTCTCGCACCAAAGCACTCGGGAAGCACTGGGGCAGTGGCGCTCTCCTCCCACCAAATTCAACCCCCCTACGGCCGAAAGTTTCCGGCCGAGTATCGACCTCGCAATTACACGAGCTAGGCATCGACGAGCCATTTGAGAAGTCGACACGGCGACAACGAACCCTTTACACCGCTGCGGAAGATCAGGCTTTGCTACGAGGTTTTCAGGAACACGGCAATTCTTGGGCCGCGATTCGAAAAAGCCACGATGTGCTTAGGAATCGGCGCACTACCGATCTGCGAGATCGCTTTCGCACTAGATATCCCGAGGAGTTCGCCAAGATAGGACTGGCCCCGCGTCCGAAGCATTCAACCGCAAAGGCAAGACCCGAGCGACATGCTGATCGGGGAGGGCAGAATGTTGTGGGGGTCGCTATTCAGCCACGAGATGAGCAAGCCTCCCCTCTAGCACCAGCGAAAGGCCCAGACTCCAGCATGGCCATTCCCTCAGCTACCGATACCCGGAAGTCTCAGCCCACCGCAATCCTCCATGTTGATGACGTCTTCTGGGGCGCGCCCTTCGAATTCGACAATGCCGATTCCGAACCCATCACCCTCGATCGCGGCATTCTTGACTGGGCCTACGATCCTCGACGATCGGAGGCAAACACCGACGGCTCTACCTTTGGCCTTTCCCGACCTACAGCGAACAACCCTCTGTTGGCCTCCAACGCAGGAGCTCCCCCAACCTCCACTTCGTTGGCTGGGAACGCGTTGCCTTCGCTGGCGAGCATCACCGCGGTGGCGAGTGCGAATGGCTTCACCGAGCCCCTTGAGCTACCCTCTATGGTCGGCTCCTTTGGTTCTCTGGAAACTGATGGACGCGCCGGCGGGCACTTTATGAGCATGGACGAACTCCTGAGCTAAAGTCTGGAGCTTGCATTGGTAGGGAAGGGGTATCTGCGCTGCGTAAACCTGACATCTCCGATAGAACACCTCAGACTTCCAGCATCGAGCGCAACGAACTGTCGACACCCCTCAACCACCTTCCACGCTCCTCGAGCTCGTCTCCCATCCCGCCATTTTCTCTCCGCCTCCTCGCCTCCTTGGCCGCCTCCACAGCTTTGATCTTCTTCGCATTCAGAATGGACACCTCGTCTTGCAGCGCCATGACTTCAATCTGCTTGTGTGGTAGGACTTCCCGAAGAGCCTCGATCTGCCGGTCGATAGCGGACAGCTGATCATTGCGCTGAGAAAGGAGATCGAGGGTAGGTTGGAGGGGCATTGCGAGGAGGGGATTGGTGGATTTGGGCATCTGTGATTGCTGGAGATGCTGAACTGTGGATTCCAGGTTCGTGATGGAGGTTGGCAAGCTTTCCAACTGAATCGTTTGTAGCCGAATATTCTCATAACCTGGAGCATGTCAATTGCCAGCCACTTGGCCTGTTCCAACGAGATTGGAGAACGTACGTGCAGCCAGCTGCCGTCCTTGCGCTTCCAGCTCCTTGACCAGTTCGCGCACCTCTGTCTTCCGCTCCTTCAGCGCCGCCTTGTCACTCGTCAACTTCTCCGCCAACTCTGCATTTTCGCTCGCATCTACAAACTCGGGCTGCTCGGCGGTGATGGCGCGTAGAAATCTTTCCTTGGTCACTTGTTCCACGTACGAGAAGCGCAGTTTGGAGAAGAGCTCTTGGTAGTGTGCTAGATCGGCGGCAAGGATGGTGGGTGTCGCGCCATCGCGCCCGGCTTCGGTCGAGGAAGCGTTGGAGTCTCGATTGGTGGCGCTGGCTGTGGTTGTTGGGGCTTCGTTCAAGAAGGGCTGCGCAAGGGTGAGGATGGAGAGGGAGCGGTGGGCGTGGAGTGCTTGTAAGGCGCTTTGTGCGTCCATTATAATTGTATTTGAAGGAAGTGGGGACGATCGTTCGTATGTCTCGTCGATGGCGAGGGTGATGCGTGGATGTGTTTACTCGTGTGTTTACGCGTGAGGTCAGCGAATTTGCGGGGCGGCAAAACTTCGGGCAAATCACAAAGAAGTCATGTCGTGGATGTCAACGTCTTGCTCCATTTCTCTTCCTTACTGATACACCATCTAGCATCGGCATCTGTTAAATCAGACCATGCCACCTCTTGGAGAAGCCTTGGATGACGACTACGTGATCAGCCTGCTGAAAAAGGACGCAGAAGCCAACCAAAAACGCTACCTCTCCGCTGGACTGAGTTCTCTACATTCCCCAAAGTCGCGAGGCAATGCGCCGAAGCCGAACACTCGCTTTCTCACACACATCATCCGTGATGTCGACAGTCACAATGCCGCGTTGAAAGCGAAGGAGGAAGAGGAGTCTCGCGCGAAACTGGCGGGATTGAGAGCCGAGAAGCGCAAGAGAGGGCCCGAGGTCGAGGCAGGTTCTGAGAAGCGAAGGCGTGGCCACGATAAGCCTGGGAGATGGCAGAGTGTGCTTGGTCGAGCTTCGGGTGGACTTGGAGGACGGCGCAAAAGTGTGGAGCAAAGGAGTAAACGGGACTCTGAGACGTCATCACGAGAGCAAGCTGGTAGTGAGCACCGAAGCCGTGATGATAAGGATGAGCGCCGTCGACCCGGCCTCAAGCGTGATCACAGTCGACGCGCAAGCAATCGCTCTCCACATCATCGCACAGAACGGACACGTTTGACACGGTCTCGTTCAAGATCACCACTTACAGCTGCTAATGGCAGCGCCCGGGAGAAGACGCAGGCTGATAGCGAGTCCGATTCGTCAGATGCAGTCCTTGGACCGAAACCCGCTTCCCGGTCTCGGCCAAGAGGACGAGGCGCGGAGAGTTCTTCGGCCATGGACTCACGCTTCGATCCCTCCTACAACCCAAAGGAAGATGTCGATGTGGAGCCAGAGGAAGATCGGGATGAGTGGGATATGGCCTTGGAAGCGCTGCGCGATCGAGCCAAGTGGCGTTCACAGGGCGCCGATCGGCTGCGCGCGGCGGGATTTACGGACGAGGAGATTCAGAAGTGGAAGAAGGGTGGGGAGAAAGATGTTACGGATGTGCATTGGAAAGGCAAGGGCGAGGGCAGGGAGTGGGACAGAGGAAAAGTCGCCGACAAAAGCGGTCGTTTTGACGTCCAAGCTGCCTGGGCGTCATCAAAGGTGCCAAAGAAGTGATTTTCCTGGGCGCTGACCTAATATTCGGGTTACTGTTGAAAACTACGCCGGACGAGACAGGGAAATGGAAGGGAAGATCTTGAATTTGTGGTTTTGGTGGAGTGAAGAGTTGTCCGCCCCAATCGAGGAGTTGAGATTTCTCAGCTGTGCGGCCGGCCTCTACTGACGCTTCGGCAAGGCCGGCCACTGCTGTGTAGCACAGTGAACACCGCCGCCACAATACGCCATCCAATTCAGTTTTACTGGTACGACCTCGCGCTCAGGCCACGCTTGTTGAATCGTCGCAATCGCCCGCGCATCTGTCCTCGAATCACCGAAGGCCGGAACAATCACAGCGCCGTTGGGAAGGTAGTAGTTGACGTAGCTTAGGCACGGCAGCTCTCCAGATCCCGTCCGACCGACTCTCGCTCGAGGCGTCCCCTCCGCTTCTTCCATCTCCACGATCTTCAGCGCATTTCCGGATGCAAGAGTCGCATGTTCAAGCACCGATCTTGCTTGCTGGTAGAGGCGGTATTGAATGCTGTCTCTCGATACAGCATCATTCGGACGGCTCAGTAGGACGGTGTCGCCCGGAACCAGGCGTGCAAGAGCGTCCACATGGCAATCAGTGCTGTCAATTCCCACTGCGCCCTCCAGCCATATGAACCTGCTCACACCAAAGGTCTTTCTCAGGCCTTCTTCCAGCTGTGATCTCGACTTGCCGGGGTTCCTGTTCGGGTTGATGATTGAGCTTTCAGTTGCAAGCAATGTGCCTTCGCCGTCGAACTCAAGCGCCCCTCCTTCCGTGATAAGTGGCGCTTGGACTCTTGGAACGCCTTCAGCCTCGAGTATCCGCTTAGCAACAGACGCATCAGCAGCTCCAGGAACATCGAACTTGTCGCCCCAATAATTGAACCTGTTGTCAACGCCGGCGAGGTTCCCGTCAGCATCTGCTACAAAGACTGGCCCGGAGTCTCTGATCCAGATTTGGTCTACTTCCAATGGCTTGACCGTGACCGCTTTGGAGACGTAGGTCATCGCACCCTCAACATTGGGCTGTCTTGCGAAGAGCCAAACGGGCTCGAAACGGGCAATTGCGCTTGCAATGGCTGCGATCTCCTGACGCGCTAGATGCAAGTCACCCTCCATGGTCAGCCCAACTTCTTCTGGAGCCGATGTCATATCCGGCCAGGCCATCAGTGTCCGGAGATGAGGCTTCGCCTCCGACGGTACGGTGTACATTCTGGTAGCGAATGCAGAGGCCTGTTGTTGCAAGCTAGTGCGAGAAGTCGGCAAGTTGAAGGCTTTTAATGGGCAAAGTGACGTCCTGGGGATTGTAAAACGTGCCGATGCGATGCCTAGACGTCTGTTGACGATTGCGAACATGCTCTTCTGTCCAACAGCAATGTGAACGGTGTAGGAGGCGCACCATCAAGGCACAGTTGCAATGCTCAATTTGAACGATTCAGAATGGGAAGATAGAAATTGATATACCAAGCGCAACCGACCATCCTCTCGTTTCCAAGGGTCTGGAAGCGAGTACTCAACGGTGAGATGCGACCGGAAGGTCGATGACTCAAAGGTTGTGTTTCTCTTCCCGTCTTCTGGCCACTATTTCAAGCTTCGAGCTCCGAAAAGACTGTGTGCAGCGAGCGGAAAGAAGCACCCAGTTTCTCCTCCCAACAATCCCTTCAATCAGCGATAGAAAGTAGGAAATACTCGTGACTGAGACCGAACCACGCAACGCGGATGTCTTGCTTGGAGTGAGGTCAATTAGAGTTTGGCGCTAAAATTGCTGGTCTTGGCGGCGCACATCGGCGAAACTTTTCGTCAAGCCCGACATCACCACGATCTCGAGACCACGCTTTCCACCTTCACCCACCCCAACACGACACCCCAATAGTCCACCAAGATGAGTACGTATTGTCAAGCGCATGCTGATTTGGAGAGGAGGAGATCGCTGATGAAGTGAACAGCAAAGGGAACGTCCAGCTTTGGCAAGCGCCACAACAAGACGCACGTCCTGTGCAGACGCTGCGGTAAAGACGACCAGCTCCACGGCCTCGACGATTAATGTAGCTGACAGACCACCCTCAGGATCTCGCTCTCTCCACGTCCAGAAGCACGAATGCTCCAACTGCGGCTACCCCCGTGCCTCGATCAGAAAATGTACGAACTCCCGTCGATGAGCGTAATAGTGGCTTTCGGGCATGCGATGGATGGCATCTAGACCAGGACTGACATAGATGGCAGACAACTGGAGCGAGAAGGCGAAGCGGAGAAAGACCACTGGCAGCGGCCGCATGAGGACCCTCAAGACCATCTCACGCAAGGCCAAGAACGGCTTCCGAACGGGCGCGCCCAAGGGTGCCAGAGGCCCCACCGCCGAGCGATAGACGGATACGGAGTGGACGTGGTGTGTGGGAGGAGAAGAGAAGATGGAGCGAGAATCATTCCGGGCGAAATGAAGAGGAGATGCGTCACGCTGAGTAGCTCGGGCAAGATAGCGAAAAGCAATGAGGTCTTTCAACCAAGACAACTGCACCACCCATTCTGCTCCGTCTGTGTCGTGAAAAGCGGTAAGGATGCCATCGGCTGCTGGATCGGATGTGATTGTTGCAGCACCCATATCTACCCGGTGGAAGATGAACACAACATTTCCGAACGCCATCGAATATCTTACACTGAGGCTACACGGTCTAAAATATCATCCGGAGCGGAGTTTCGAACACACTCGTTGCGGCCAACGATCACGTCTCCATTGCCCTCAGCAGATCGGTCAGTATCCTTCTCTGATACTTCACCTGCGTGCTCCCGTGCGTCTCTCCGGGCTCAATGTGTAATTCGACTTTCGTGTTCCCGATGGATCTCAGCCGCTTTGCAGTCTCTTCGCCGGCTTGGAAGGGGACTACGCGATCGTCTGCACCATACCACAATTGCACCGGCAGCCCGGTAGGTATGTCTTCCACGCGAAATCCCGGTGCATTGGAGCAGAGCTCAATGTCATCTAGCCCGCCCTCCCAGCCTTGACGTGCACATGCCCGCGATGAAAGGAGGAAGGTGCGCACAAAGTCGGGGTAGGCTGGATTTTTCGCGGTTTCGACATCAGCGGGATGCATCTTCCTCACGTCCATGGATCGCCGCATGGCTTCCGCCCTCTCGTCGTCTGAGAGATCAAGCTGGTATTGTGGAACGCTGAGGAACAACCATCTGACGAACCATCGGGGATCCAACTTTCGGTTCAACCAGAGGAGGAAGGGCGACCAGGATTGGGGCATGTCCCACAAACCTAGCCCCGTCACGACGGCGATGGCTCGCAGACGCGGCTTCGATGGCTCTGATGGCAGAGCACGAGCGCAAGCCAGAGCGAATGGCCCGCCTCCAGAGGTACCGAGAACGGCATAGTCGTCGAGTTGGAGGTGGACGGCTAGGGCCTCGACGTCGGCGGCACCGTCGATAATTTGCCTCTTCAGAAATGGCCTCGGGTCTGGAGAACTTAGGCCGATCCCAGGCCGCTCGATGCCGATAATTCTTGCGCCAAGCTCTTTGGCGTTGACATCAAACAAGGCGTTTTCCAGTCTTGAGCCGAAGGCGCCATGTAGACAGATGATAGGCTTCCCATTGGGATCTCCAAACTGGGCGTATCCAACGGTCCGGCCATTGGGGAGAGTGAAAGAGGATGAATGGTCCTTGACGTCCCACTGGCGATATGGATAGTCTTTCGGCGGGGGCGGGAGAAGTTGGGGTTGGTAGGTCAGTTTCTGCCAGATGAAGGGAGTGAAGATAAGGGCGGTGCAAGAAGTCAGGAGAAGAGGAGTGCGATAGGGCGGGGGGAGTTGGTGCCAATAAGACCCCGACATCTGCATAAGTGTATGCGGGTGTTGCTGTATCTCGATGTCACGTGGAAGAAAAGGCGACGGATTGACAAAGGGGAGCAAGCAGGCCTGCGCTCGCAGTCATTTTATGTCTTTCACGTCGCAGCTCTGACAGCATCACATGGTCATACTGCGCCTCATGTAATACGGCCCACAAGCTTCGGAACAAGTGAGTCAGGGCCCATGTACATGCTCTATGGAGGCAATGGCAGGTGAGAGGAATGGCGGCAGCTGAGGTGCAGCTCCGACTTCACCTCTAGCCTGAATCCTTCGGGTGGCGCCGGGTAGCCTGAACCTTAATCTGCCGCGGACTCAATTTGAAGCTGGAATTTCTTGTATCATCACCTCAGCCTTGGAACAGCGAATCGACTCAGGCAATCGAGATCCACATGTTCCCATGCTCACCGAGCAGTTTGTTGCCGCAGTCGGCGTCCCTACGCGGGCGCCTGGCACAAATGCCACCAAAGATGTCGGCATCTTCATCAACGAGTCTCAACCGCTGAACGCGCAGAGAACGGTCTTCAAGAAAAGCGCAACGCTGCCGAATGGCCTGGCCATCAGCGCAACACATGTCTTTGCCGCGCAAGCGGGTAAGGGCGTGGTCCATGTCTACCAACGGCAGAAGGGGAATCAGGAAGCAACCGTGCCTTTCACCGAAAAGCTCACCTGCATTGCGCTTGCGTGCAACGATACAGTCCTCGTCTGTGGAACGGCTGAGGGGCGAATCTTTCTTTGGGAGATTGCAAGTGGACGACAAGTGACTACGGCCCAGTCCCATCTTCAGGCCGTCAACGCGCTCGCCGTCGATCCTACGTCCAACTTCCTGCTATCCGCCTCTGCGGATTCCACCGTCCATACTTGGTCAATCCCAAAGTTGCTGTCCTTCTCCGACTCTGGCATCGAGCCGCTCTCCCCGTCGACCACTTTCACCTCCCACAACGCCAGTGTCAATTGTCTGGCTGTTGGACATAGTGCAACCTCCTGCAACATCGCAGTGTCTGGCTCGTCTGATCAGACTTGTCTTGTCTGGGACTATCACACAAACACCCTCCTTCGAACCTTCCTGCTCACTTCTATCCCGTTGAGCTTGGCTTTGGATCCGGCAGACAGGGCAATCTACGTTGGCCATCAAGATGGTAGCGTCCAGCAACTGAATCTATTTGCGTCGGAGGGCCAACCGCGCCAACTTCTCATGAACCGTGCACAGAGGACGACGAGCGCCGCTCCACCCATCCAGCCCCCGCCTACTTCAATATGGAGATCTCCGGATAGCACGCTTGGACCGGCTCTCTGCGTCAGCGTCTCATTCGATGGGAACACCGTGCTGTCCGGTCATGAAAATGGAAACATGCTGATGTGGGATGTTGCTCGACCAGCTTCTCCGGCCAGCCTGCTACCACTACCACACGCTGGCCCGATCACAAATGTTTCCTTCTTGCCAGCTATCGGTTTCACGAACGACACACGCCGGACTGTGACGATCTCTACTGTTACGAAGCCTAAATTTGGTGCTTTTGATAGCGCCATGGGTATCGTCCCGGACAACTATGCGCTCAATGTTGAGTTATCTTTGAAACATCCAGGCTCACGGATATCTCCATTTGAACAAGCCCTGCATGGTCCAACATTTCCGGTGCATATGATTGACGAAGGCCTACATGAGCTTCTCCACTGGGGTCAAGACCACGGCGGTGTAGACACAACCGCAGCCGAAACAGATCGCGATTTCATGGCATTTGACGATGCAGATGATGGGTCGGCGCAACTCTCTCTGGCAGAGCAGAATGCTCTACTTCAAGCCGAATTGGACGCCTTGCGAAGACTTCAGAAAGCAAGCTTTGAGAAGATCGAAAAGGTCAATGCCGAAAAGAGGGCGCTTCTTGATCGCGAGCATAAAAGACTGGCAGGAGTTCACTCGCTGGACACCAATGGCCATCTTGATCCAGAAAGCCCATGAATTCAAAGTTTGTGGTTGGGCGACATTCGCGCCAAGCTTCGTGAAGGGAGGGCTGATGCAAGGCTGGCGAAAAGGGATGCCGCTACATTCTTCGCCTCTCCCCGGCTTTGTTTGGGTATTTGGCAAGGTGGAATGAGCCATGCGCGCCCCCGCCAACCCACTTCGCAAGGGTTTTTCATAATATCTCACCCGCAGCCCACGCCCTTCGACGCTCATCCTCCTTGAGCATCGATTTGTTGGAGTGGTCCGAAGATGGCGCCAAATGCTCGCATGATGCAGATCGTGTTGTTCTCGTTTTTGATCGCTGCTGGCTCAGCGCGCATTGCCCCCGTCCCTTGGGCTGCTCATCAGCGCCGTGCTGAGCACGTGGGATACGGCAAAAGGCAGCCTCTGGGGACAGGGACATATTCCACCTCCGCCCTGACGTACATCACACCTTCTCCAGGCGCCCCCCCTGTGGCAGTAACGACGGAAAGCCAGCTTGTTACTTCTTACCTCCCACAATTCACGCTGTGCGAGCTCACCACCGTCGCCGGGTATTCCCTGGCCTCTGGTGCATTTTCGGGATCGTCGAACTCTCGATTCCAAAATTCTTCGGGGTCGATTCCTACTGCAACGGGGACCTGTACGACGATATTTAGCCCGACGGAGACCATGGTGTGCGCAACCACGTTGACAGCCCTTGCTACGCGGTATACGGTTACAGCTTGTGACGAAGAGCTCACTTTCTCGACGAAGCTTGGATATGCGTTGGTCACCGCGAGCCCCACGGCGTCGTCGGCGGCCAAGAACGCCACTACTCCCGCAACGATCACGCCCGCTCCATCGATCCAGACAGTCACTACTTACTACCTGGCTCCGTGGCAACAGCTTACTGCGGGCACAGCTCCCTCTGAAGTTGACCTCAAGGTATGCAGGAGCTTCGACAACGACACGACAGAGTGCATTCTCGAGCAACAAGTCTGGGAGACGAGCCTGGTCACGAGTATAGCGACTTCCACCACCACGATTAACATCTCCACCACCATCCATGGAAACTCGCAGCTAATTGTTGAGACGTTCGTCGCCAATGTCACCGAGGTTTTGACGACCTTCAGCCTGTCTACAACCATGGAGCTGGAATACCAGACCGTGTACACCACGACCAACTCGGCGAATCAGACGACGGTGTCCACGGTGCCCGCTTCTCTCTCGACCGGTCCGACGATTTTCGAAACGCGCACGCTTCAGGAAGCTTCGGGAAATGCGACAGCTTCACCATCCAATCCACCCAGCGCGGACGGCACTAGTACTACCACTATCCACATTACGCAGACTTTCACGGGAGGGACGATGACCGTGACTGTGCAAGACAATTCGACTGTGGCGGCATCGACGGTTCCAGCGAGTGGAGCTACTACGCCTGCCTCCAGTGGAACGTAGCACCATGCTGAGACTTACTTCATCTGCAGTTTTTGATCAGGCTTGGGACTGGAGCGCGCATTGGTGTGGAGGATTTGGAGGCGACAGTAGACTCTGTCAAGCATGTTTACGAGGTTTCGGGTTTAGCACGTCAATTGAATCAAGCCAGCACAGGCTCTGTAACGATTTGTCCAGTCGTGTCACTCGTATCTGTTTTGAAGTCGTCCTTCGTCATGTGTTGCAGCAGGTAAGAGGGTTTGCTGCACACAGTACCGCGAGTTCATTATACATGGCCCACCCTCCCGTAGTATCACACTCCCAATCTCTCAGCCTTCTGGATGTCCTTCCTCGCTTTGCGAATGGCAACTTCAATCTCGCGCATTGCGCGTGCCGCATTGACGGCATCCGCGACAGCGTTGTCAACGCCTGCGGCAAAGGACTTTTGCGATGAGCGCAAGTCCGGCGGAACCAAGACGCCGAACCAGCGCAAGGGGTTCATGGCCAGATTCTTGCGTTTGAGATCTTCGGGGGTCTCCTCCTGGTCAGTGGTGGGGATGGGATCAGATGGCGAAGGTGTTGGAGCATCAGGTTTCTCGTCGAGCTTCGGGTTTGGCTTGTCCAGTTCAGGATTTGGTTGCTCGGGCTTATCGTCCTCCGAAACGGCCGTGGGAGCGTCCGTTGGGCCTGCTTGGGGGTCTTGGGGTTCGATGTTGGTCAGCGAGACAATCGCGACCTCGAGCCGCTGATCTTCCTCCGAGGGGCTAATGGTGGCTCTTCTGGTAGCAAGGGCTCGCTCGTGATAGTAGTCCTTCCCATATTTCCGCACACCTCCACTCGCCGTGAAGTCCGCTCTGGCCAGTGATAAGAAGCCGGCGCTCATGTGTTGTTGCAATAGTTTCTGCGCCGCAGTGTACTGATGCAGGTGGTTCAAGTAGCTTGTCCAGAGGGCGTCCAGACCGTCGTTCAGATCAATGAGAGACCCTCTGTATCTCGACATTGTTTCGGCCATTTTCACGGCCATTTCGAGCTCTAGATAGACGTCGCGTTGAGGCGACGCTGAATGCAGTCGTGTCGCAAGACGTCGAGGCGCGGAGAAAGTTCGGGCGATGGGGTGGAGTTGGATTTGGGTCTGAGACAGGCTTCGATACCTTACGATCATCATCACCTCACCACCACCATCATCGCCTCCCGCAAGGCAGAGCGGCGTCCGAGAATGCTGTCCAGAAGCATTGTCCGATCGCAGCGAATACCTCTGCTCCGACCTCTGCGTCCGCCGAGCGCAAGTGGCCGGGCTCCAGCGCATCCTCCACGCCACTTCTCGCAGACCTCGCGCATCCTGCTCCTCTCGCGCCACAGCCTGCGACCTCAGCTGCCCTACCTCTCGCAGCCCGCACTCTACCGCCAACAACCCCTGATCAACTACCAAATCAATCGCCTCCTCTCCGCCGAGACGACTTCTCGTTTCCGAGACCAGGTCTTCCTCACCGCCAAATGGCTCGCCATCGTCTGGGCCTTCATTTTCGCCGGCTCGCTGGCCGTCACGGCCGTCCTCATTGAACTGCAAGAACGCAAGAATCCAACCCCGGCCGAATGGCGGTTTTGGACGAGACAGGCTCTCAGGGATGCGAGGGAGGAAGCGAATGCAGTGAAAGAGCAGGACAAGGTTGCCATCGACTGGGCCGCAGCAGGTGGCCATTTCAGAAACTGCCTCAAACGATTGGAGGACGCCGATGTCGATGGAAACGGACTATTCCCTGTAGGAGGGACAGAAGATGGGCTGGGCGCGGAGGAGATTTTGATCCCTGGTGTTGGCAAGGCGGGGTTTGATATCACGCGCAAGAGCTACGAATGGCGCACATGCTACTTCGAAGTGCTTATGGGATGTGGCCTGGCCGCCGAGCATCTGGATGGAATGATGGTCGATCTCACCCGCAAGTTCGTCTTCCCGCGCTCTATGGTGGTTGGCCCAAGCAACCCGGACCCCCGTCCCGTGCCTTCGTTCATGGGCCACGGCATTGCACCACTGGAGGAGAATTGCGAGCCTGCGTACCCTGCGCCTGAAACGTACTACATGCGCATTTTGACGGGCAAAGGCTTCACAACCAAACAGAAGCTGCAGGCTGCGGAGGCGTACGCGAACTGGCTGGATTACAAGGGATTGCCGGCGAGTGCGGAGGAGATGTACCGCTGGGCCATCGACATCAGCAAAGCCGCCATGCCTGTACCCGCCGGAGTCGTCTTGGATGAGACTACGAACGTCTTGAAGGAAGATGCAGGAAAAGAGGCAACACCGAACCTGTTGAGAGCCACAACCGCTCTCGCCATTCATCACGCGAGGACCGGGAACGTCTCAGCCGCCTTGCCCATGCTGCTCTCTATCTTGCGCGCTCGCAGAGACGCTCCTGTCTCCCCTACCCCATACTCTTCGCGCTTTGACTCGGACGCGGACACGAAGTCACGGACAGACATTGGACAGGGCATCGCTTTCGTTCGCAATGTATTCCGCTCGGCTCAGTTTGCTGATCCCCCGGCGTCTGGCGATGAGCCTCTCACGCGGCCAAGTCCGCGACCCATCTGCGAGGAGAGCGAAATCATGCTTTATATAGGCGAGATCATCTTCGCCAACGATGACAACGATCAAAGGAAGTCCGAAGGCCTGGGCTGGACCCGTCAGGCCGTGCGGATAGCAGAGATGAGTCTTGAAGACCCCGAAATGCAGCTTGCCGAGAAGAGGAAGTGCAGAGAGTGCTTGCTTGCCGGCGTACAGAACCTGGAAACCATGCTTCGCCAGCTCTCGGTGCGCCAGAAGACTACGGCTGCCAGAGAAGGCGGCAGAAGTGGCGGCTGGTTGGAATGGAATGGCTGGTTTGGACGGGATGGCGGCGTCAAAGGCCCGGCGATGGACGAGCTTGTTGAGGGAGTCTTGGAAGAGGAGTTGAAGAAGGTAATTGCACTCAAGGGCCGGGTGTTGAGAGAGAACCTGGAGGGGCGCGGTTGAGGTTGCCCTCGGACACGGACACTGGAGCCATGCTCCGAGCAGCACTCCCAATTTGCCCGGGAACTCCTTGATCGGAGCACCCACGATACCACGCCAGGCGGCCTGTCCTCGAGAATGTTGTCCATTCTGTGCCTCGTATCGCGGAATGGGCTTGTAAGGCCACCCACGCGCAGCGATTCCGGCTTGCGCTAGCCTCAGCCTCACTTATGCAGCTTTGGCGTGGGAAGCAAGATGACATCACCCAGACATCCATACAACGAAGAGCTCATACGAAAGCTGCAAGGTCAAGAGACCTGGAATGCTAGGTCACGTTCACTCTCTCTATTTCGAAGTATGGCCAACGAGCTCTGGGACGAATTGAGTCCCTACTTGACAATTGCATTTCAGTGGGCCGTTGAGGCAGCACGCTGGTTTACATTCTACTTTCCCCAAGCCGGACTGCTCTTCTTCTATCCCAATTTGACATACCTCACAATCGTCGCCAAGCGATATACAGACGTTGTTTCCGGACGGCGAGACGGATTGAAGGCAGATAACAGCGCAGCGCCTGGCCTCGATGTCGCCCATTCGCCTCTGGGCAACTTCGTCCTCTTTGCAGTCGTCCTCTTACCGCTGTGCTATCTGTATGTGACTCAATATCATCTGCTGGACTGTGCACTCCCAAAGCGCGATACCCAGGAGACGCTTGAATCGAGTGGAGATGTGCCTGATGAGCTGTTGGACACGAGTCTTGACGCCGGCCTGACGCAAGATGCTGTCGAAGGGCGGAGAAAATTGTATGGCTGGAACGAACTGGACAAAGGACGGGATTGGCTTTTTTTCTTCCAGGTTTTGCTGGTCTGGCCCGATGCCGCAGCCAACGTGAACCTCGAGGTGATATGCGTGACAAAACCTACCTAGATTTACATCATCAGCTAATGCTCGTGAAGGTTGGGGCTCTGCTGGCCTTGCTTCTGGGCGACTGGCTGGCCGCTGCCATCATGCTGAGCCTCTTGTTTCTCAACGTCGGCACCACCGTATATCAAACTCAGCAGTCGGACGCGGTTTTCGCATCTCTAGCTCCAGAGGACTCGGTTTGGGCGGCTGTGGTTCGAGACGGGCAGAAACAAGAGATCCCTGCTCGCGAGCTGGTGCCGGGCGACATCGTATACCTTGGAGAAGTAAGCTGTCCTTATCCTCACTCGTTCCTTCATCTCAGTTCTGATACAGCTTAGGGCCAAACGATCCCTGCCGACTGTCGCATCATGAGCGAGGGAGCAACAGAGCAGCTTCTCACGGACCAATCTGCAATTACGGGAGATCCGGAATCCATCTCGAAAGACTATGGAGATATGTGCTATTACACTTGCGGCGTGAGAGACGGCCAGGCCATTGCTCGCGTGGAAGCGATTGCTCCTGCTTCTTTCGTCGGCCGTACGGCGGCGTTGACGGTGGGAGCGGGGAATTCGATATCACGCAGACGCGGTCAGCAAGTACGGCCGAAGGCGAGTTCCGTTTGGGCTCGTAAGCCACGTCAAACTATGCAGTCCATTGGAGCAGTGTTCGGCGTCTTCATTCTTGCTACCGTCGCCACCTTGATTAGTACGTTGGAGACTTCGCGGACGCGGCCTTGGACACTGGAGCTCTGCGTGGCTTTGATGGTCGCTGCTCTTCCCACCAGATGGGACGTGATGGTAACAACGATCCGATCTTGCGGGGCGGCACTGCTCGCTCAGAGCGGCGCAGTCGTCCAGAGAGTGCACGATGTCGAAGACTTAGCGGGCGTGGATGTTCTTTGCGTCGACAAGACGGGCACAATGACCGCCAACATCCTAAAAGCGACAAAGGTAGCGTGTCTTGCGGGAACACCAGAAGACTTGGTCCTGTCGGCTGGCCTGGCATCTGCAATACTTGCATCCTCGGACCGCGAAAGTCTCGATCCAATCGACGAAGCGTGTGCGCAGGGGCTGGAAGAGTACGGAGTCAGTATGGAAGGCTACGAGCTGATTGAATTCCATCCCTTCGAAAGCAGCACCAACTACATAAGGAGTGATGTGATTGGCCCTTCTGGCGAAAGGGAGACACACGTGAAGGGAGCGCCGAAAGCGATCATGGAACTGTGCAACCAACACGCTGACGACTACATCAACGATGCGCGAGCATTTGCTCGACAGGGCTTGCGGTCACTCGGTGTCGCCCGCAAGGTTGACGGCAAAGAATGGGAGCTCTTGGGTCAAATCGCATTAGAAGATCCTCCACGCGCAGACACTGCGGCAGCTGTCAAACAAGCTCAAGAACTGGGTATGAACGTCAAAATGCTCACAGGGGACGCTGCTGCGATTGCTAGCTTGAGTGCGCGACGATTTGGACTGAAGCACGCATGCGTGGACACCGAATCCGTATTTGCCAATACCAAAAGCGAGACGGAAAAGGCGAAGCAATGTGATCACGCCTCTGTGTTCTCCGAGCTGTCTTCTGCATACAGACTGGACATCGTTCGAACACTCCAGCAAACGGGTCATACTGTTGCCATCACCGGAGACGGAAGCGAAGATACGGCAGCCTTGCGGCTCGCAGACGTGGGGATCGCAGTCGAAGGCGCGAGCGAGAAAGCGCAGGCCGCTGCAGAATATGTCTTCTTCGAATCTGGCATCAGTGCTATCCTCATGGCGGTGCAAAGATGCCGACAGATCTTTGAACTGTCATTCACATATCTGCAATCTCGGGCGACCCTATCCCTACACCTCGTCGTTGTTACAATGTTGTATGCCCTCACCTACGGCGAGGTGTTCGATCCGACCTTGCTTCTCCTGGCTCTGCATTGCAACGAATCCGTCACGCCGGCTCCAAGCGGACCAGATGCCGACATCCCCTTTTCCAAGAAGCCTGTGCAATGGAGCAGTCGCGTGTTGTGGACTTCGACGCTACCGTTGGCGCTCATCCTCGGTGCGGGCACGATGCTTTCGATCCACAGCTGCGAAATGCAGGCCGATGTTGCAGCCACCGACACCGCTACCCGACAGCAGATCATCTTTCTGCATACCGTGTTGGCCAGCAGCCCACTACTATTGCTTAAGCGGACCAATTCGCGGTTCTGGAAGCTCTCTACGTGGAAGCGCGGTGCGGGTATGATTCTCGCCGTGGACGTTGCGGCAACGGCATCTTGCCTCTTGGGGAGAGCCGCGGCAAACGGCTCTTTGGACTTTGCGTCCCTACGGATGGTGTGGATCTGTAGTACTGGAAGCATCGTTGTTGCAGCCGGGTGGCTCGCTGTTGCTTCTGCGGAGAAATATGATGCGGACGATGACTGAATGGGCAGAAGTAGTCGATGCACGGCAGTTCATACAGCTTTCTTCAGTAATCTAGAAATATCCCTGGAGCACAGCGGCTTCGGCATTGAGCAAACTACTTCCCGCAGCGCCGATGATGGTGTTATGGCTCAACGCCACAAATTTGACGTCGAAAATGCCCGCCTCGTCTTCCCGCACCCTCCCCACAGACACAGCGTAGCCCCTCTCCGTGTCCCGGTCTAGCCTTGGTTGCGGCCGATCCGGCTCGTCCATCACTACTATCGCTTGCGCTGGCGCAGAGGGACAGCCCAACTTCTGTGCATCGGCAACATACTCCCGCATCGCCTGCTTGCACTCTTCCGCCGTGGGCGCCGGGCGGCGCTCGAACGACAGCGAAACGCAGGCGGTGTGGCCATCCAGCACGGGCACGCGGGTGCACGTGGCGCTGATGCGGAGGTCTTTCAGTTCGTTGAAGCCGGTGGCGGATGCGTTGATACCGCCCAGGATCTTGCGCGATTCGCTTTCGAGTTTGTCCTCTTCGTTGGGAATGTAGGGGACGATGTTGTCGATGATGTCCATGGATGGGACGCCGGGGTAGCCACCGCCGGAGACAGCTTGCAGTGTTACGACGGAGACGTCTTTGATGGGGCCAAACTCCTGCTGGAGAGCGATGAACGGGATGACGACGCCGATGACGGCGCAGTTGGAGTTGCAGACCAGGAAGCCTTTGTCGAGATTGTACTGCTTGCGCTGGTGCGGGATGAGGGCCAGGTGAGGGAGATTGATAGTCGGCACAACCAGCGGCACCAGCGGGTCTTTGCGGTAGTTTTTGGCATTTGAGAAGACGGGGATGTTGGCTTTCAGGAAGGCCATTTCTGAGCAGGGGTAAGATCAGCTTCGACGTTGACCATCTTCACAAGTCGTGCTGCCGAATAGATGAGGGTGGGCATACCTGCTTCGCCAGCGACGTCGCTGTCCAGGCCACTGAAGACGACATCGACCTCGCCGATAAAAGAGTCGGGCTTGCAGTCTTTCACCACCAGGTCGCCGAGAGCCTTGCTCATGGGCATGCTCTGCTTCCATTTGACGGCATCGCGATACTTCTTGCCCGCGGATCTGGGGCTCGCACCGACGGCGGTGAGTTGGAAGTGGGGATGTTGGGCCAGCAGGAGGATGAAGCGCTGGCCGACGCTTCCCGTTGCGCCGAGCACGCCTGGCGAATTACAGAGTCAATGAGGAGCTGGCGAGAATGAGGGCGGCGCGGCGCGGCGCACGATGCACTAACCACAGCGTTTGGGAGGGAAGTTGACCGTTCGCGGCGGCGATGATTCGTGGACACCATTCATCGCGGGCGGAGATCTCGTGACACGGTGAGGTGAGGGGGAGGTGGTGTGCAATGAATGCAATGCGTTGAGCAATAATGACTGGAGGGAGTGTCGCGAAATCTTTGGTCCGGAAAGAGAAAGAAAGTGGAGCCCCGCACAGCTGCCTAAACGGGGACTACCTTAACTATATAAATAAATAAATCATTGACCTTTCATGGAACTGCTGCGCTCATACTTGTGGTCTCATCATGAACTCATGTCGCGTCAATTTCCCTTCCCTTCCCTTCCTCGCCTCCGTCATGATGGCCATCGGGAAGGGCATGCATGGCCAGCTCCAAGCTCCACGCCCGCCCATTCTCCAGCCGCATCCGCTTCGCCAACACCGCATTCTCCATCCGCCACCTCGCCGCAATCCGCTTCTGCTTCTCCGCCACAAACTCCTCCAGCCCCCGGCTCTCCGCCGTGCACGCCCGGTCCATTTCCAATTCCTCTTTGCGCTGTGCCCGGAGCAAGTCCTGCAGCTCCTTCTCCTGCCGCGCCTGGCGCAGCCTCATTCGTCGTGCCTGTTCGCCGCGCAGGACATTGATGGCGCTGGCGTGCTTCGCGTCCATAGAGTCCCGAGCCTTCCTCAACCTCTCGAGTTCCGCCCGGGCTTGCTCTGTAACCACCCGCCCGTGCGTTTCCCCCGTGCTGTACGTGCCTGCGCAAAACGCCTCCAAGTGTCTCAGGGCCGTGGCGTTGTCGCGCTGCTCTTGTTCATGCTGTTCACGCAAGTCCGCTTCGGCTTTGACTTGTCGATCTTCGGCTTCGCCCATCGACCGACCGTGACGCTCAAGCATGTCGTCTTCGGCGCTCTCGTGCTGCTCGTTCATTTCCCGCCGCATGCGCTCATGTCGCTCGTGCAGCTCCACTCGTCGCTGTTCAATCCATGCTGTGAAGCGATCGTGCAGTTCGCCGTGTTGCTCTTCCAACTGCTTGAATTCCGGATGTTCATGCGGCTGCTTGATGTTGCTTTCTTCAACCGGTCCGTTAGAAGCTTGACGCGACTCGTTTGACTTGTTAGGGCCATCGTTACTCGCTCGCTCGCTCGATGCAAGCTCCTTCAGCTCGCTTCGTCGCAACGGCGCCAGGGAGATGGCCTCGTCCCACTGTTCAAGCCTCTGCAAAAGCTCGTCTTGTTCTTCACTCGTGGCGACGGATTGGACAAGCTCGCCGGGGATGGGGACGCCGCAACAGCTGGGAATGGCACCACTTGCATTTGCCAACGCAGACTTGATAGTACTTCGCAGGGCTTGCGTGCAGAGTCGATGGCCGCAGGGAACGCCATGCATCGCCCGCCGTTGGCTCGAGGTGTGAGGAGGGCAATGTGGACAGCCGTTGACCATGGCTCCGCTCGACTCGGGACGGTGGAATCTTAGCATGCTCAATCCTTTCAGCACGCGCGATCCTCGCTTGGATGTAGGCTCGGGCGAGCTCAGCGGCAATGAAAAGGAGGATTGCGCCGGGGTGGTGGGCCTCGAGAAACTCATCGAGGTGCGCGTCGAATCCGTCGTGCCTCTGGCGAGGAACATGTCGTAGTCTCGCAGCGACAGGCTTGCGCGAGACCGCCTCCTGCCGTGTCCTTGAGATGGATCCCGCGAAGGATCGGAATAGTTGGATGTCAAACCCGTGGATTCCGACGTCATCGAGTAGACGGACATGGACCTGCGGTCTGGCACGGAAGCATCGGTAGGATTGGAGAAGGGTCCGAGCGACGGCGACAGGTCTATGTCCACTCCCAACTCTTTCGCTTCCGTCATCAATTGGATGTCTGATTCCTCCTCTGTCCCTTCGATCGGCAAGCGCAGGACATCGGCGTGGTAAGAGGCTCGGAAGTCGGCGTAACACTGCTGCTTGGCTCCAGCATGCACCGAGCCGGCAGTGAAGCTCATATTGGCAGGTGACGGGTGCCGACGACGTAAGGGCCCGACAAGACAGGGCGGAGGTGCTTAATGTCGCATTGTGTAGCACGGTGTCACCATCATAGTCCGGATGTGTACGCGCGCATCGCAGACAGGGGAGGAGACGTCCGGCAACTTATTATTGCAGGTGACACGAGAGTGTCGATTGTCCGGCAAGCAATACGCCTCGGAAGTGCAGCTCGCACCAACCACCGGGGAGCCCTAAGGTCAACTTCCAAAACCAACCAGCCAAGCCATGTACGGTGCAGAATAAGCAGAAGATCGGCGTGCGGCACAACGCCCAGGGCCAGATCGTCACACCAGCCCAACCAGCCATCCTTGCTGCATCCGCCCGCGCCGATTGCGATCCGGGCAGTCGGTTGTTGGCCCACTTGCATACATAGCTCGCTTAGCGCCCTGAAGGGATGTGGCACGACGTGCATAGCTCCCCGCCGTGTGACGGAGTTTGTTTCGGTCGTGGTAGGTCAGTCCACTGGCGCAGACATATCCGACGTTTTTGACTGGCCGCCCCGTCGTGGCAGAGCGCGTTACATCCAACGCTGTACACCGCAGCGGTGTCTTTCTTCCAGACGCGCCGCCTTTATTGCACTGGGTCACAATCACGGCATCCTGCTTTGCATGAGCCCGTTGCCCGTTGCAATACCTTCATGCGTCCTAAAACGACTTGGGCCAAGGCAGATGGGTGACGATGTGATACGTGGGCCAAGCTCACCGGGATCGACACGCCGGGCCCGGTAATTGAACGTTACCTATTCTCAACAGGGTGGCCGTCTCACCGCTGATGCTGATGGCGACGCAGATCGACCAGGACGAGGGGTTCATGGGACCAGTCAAACTTTTGACACGTTGATGCTATCGACCGCCTCCGTCGCACTTCAGCTAAACTTACCACGTCAGAGTGACATCCCAGCCGGCCAGTCTCTCCCAAGTGGTCGTCCTTCGAGTCGCACGCTCACTGCTCAACGCTGGTTTGCATCCCTCGGCCAGCTCTGCGGACTCGGTCTGCTCGACTTCTGCACTCGTATAGAGTTGCCGCACCGTTGGAAGTGGTGTCGAAGTCAAAGACTGATGACCTGCTTACTCGGTCCAGTCAGCTGGCTTCTCCAGAGCTTTGCTAGAAACCTCTCTCAATGTGCCAGCGATACCAACTTCAGACAACACCCCAGTACTGCCACAAGAACGTACCTTTGGATGTCGCGCCTTCGTTGTCTCGCACTTGTCCTGTTGTTGAGTGGGTCTTGGCATGGGTGCGTGTAGCCCTCCGTATTGGCGTGCTCTGCTTCGTCCACGTCTTTATCTGTTCGGGAATATAAGTTGACCACCCCGTGACAGGGGCCTGGGAAGCTTTCAAAACCTCAAGAACGTCTGAGATGGTCGCTGAATCATGAGGCCGATCGATCGCCCGAATGACATCAAGGAACAAGCAGTCAGTCTTTTCATTGCGCTCGTCAATCAATCGATTTTTCTCGCCGCATCCGGCATCCCATTTGCAGCTGTGTGCTTCATCGTTGCGTTCTTCTGCGGTGAGCTTAGCGGGAGGAGGATCTGAAGCAACGAGTGCGGCTTTCGCTTCAGCCAGCAGGAGTCGGCATTTGATGATGGCCATGTTGACACTCCGTGTTTGGTCGATGATCTGGCGGGCCAATATTGGTAGATCAGACTCCATGTTTGAACGTAAGTGAGGCTGGACTGCATATCTCGAACGCGCGATTGCCATGGCTTTGTCGGTATGTTGAGATCCGGTCTCGCACCTAGTCGATGAGCCGAAGAGAGGGGTGCCGTCGATTGGTGAAGTTCCAGATTGAGCGACACATTTTGCTGGGATGAGTGCCATTCACTGGTCGAGTATGTCACCCACGTTCTCGCTTTGCTCATAAGTGAATAACGATGGGCTGTGAAGACGGGAACACTTCTGCAGTCTGCAAGGACATTGATTGGAAGCGACACGGTGAGATCGTATAAGACTGACAGAGTGAGATTGAAAGGAGAGTGTCAAGGAACGACAAACCTGGTTTTCATTGTTCCCACTGCACAATACGTCCATTTGCCTAGATTTCTTTGTGAATGTGGGTGTATGTCATTTGATGAACCGCCGACTCCTTTGATGAGACGCACGCCGCAAGTGGAGACTGGCGACAATCGACATTGCGAAAGGAACAGCTTGACAATGATCAGACGTGGAGATATATGCATTGGCTGTGTGAGGTATAAGGTGAGGTGGGTAGTGTGAGTACTGTACTGTAGTGTGATGCGGAACGTGAAATGTGGAGCGGCCCTGGCGGCAGGCAGTTGCAAGCGCCCGGGCCGGTCCAGCCTCCGCCTAACTGCACCGAAGCAGCTTAGCGCGAACGGTCTGGCGTCTGAAAATAGCCGTAGGTTCGCCAAGGCATGGACGTTGCGTGTGTCCTCAGGCTCCCTCCCACGTTCTCTGCCTGCACACTCGTGCGCATTCCCACGTTCATTACGCCGTCATCCGTCCCTCATTCAATCATCCCACCTCGACAGCGACTTCAACACCCCCCTCCCCACGCGTCATATCATGACACGGCCTTGAGCCTCCAGGCTGTCTGACACAGCCCTTTCCACCCCTCCTCCTTGCCGCTCGGGCCTACCAACAAGCAGGGCGTAGCCTTGCACGGAACGGCCATTGAGACATCTCATCTGAGGGGCCTTCCATTGTCCTGTCCACTTGTTACAAGTACACTGTCTACTCTTCTCATCTTGTTTCCTTTCGCTCTCGGCGAGCATGGCGGCCCCGGACTACCACCGCTCCACCAGCTTTCCCCCTCGACCTTACCGACGATACGAAGACGAACCAACTTTGCCGCGTCTGCCTTCCATCTACTCGCAGGACGAACCCACTCTTCCCCGACTGCCATCCTCCTTCTCGCTGCGTGAACCGACTCTACCCCGTCTACCCTCCAGCAACTCGCAGACCACCTATGACAGCTATTCACACCTCTCTCCAGTCCCTTCATACCACTCTTTTCCCCGCTACAGCGAACCCTACGAATATAGCGACACCATACCTCTCACCGGCAGGAAGAAATCGGAGTCGCATCACACCGTCGTGCCCGTCCAACCTGAGCAGGAGCTGCAAGATGATCTATTCATCCGCGATGCTGATCCCTCGAAGCGGAGAAAGAGAAGAAACGCCCCGCCGCCTCCACGAGAGGGCTGGTTTACTGGCAAGATTACATGGGTCGTGTTTGTCCTCACGGTGATTCAGCTGATCGTCTTTCTCGCCGAGGTCATACGGAATGGTATGCCGTTCATACAGCGCGAAGTTGTACCATTGCTAACCGAAGAGCGCAGCGATCCTCACAGCTTCGCCCATCGAGATTCACCCCTCCTTCAACCCTATGATCGGCCCTTCTCCCTACGTGATGATCAACATGGGCGCCCGCTACCAACCCTGCATGCACAACATGCCCAATGTCCAGAATGCGAGTACCACGATATCTTGGCCCTGTCCCAACGCAACTGCCGTCACCGGCTCGAGCGTGACTTGCTCGCTAAGTGAGCTCTGCGGTTTCAATGGCGTCCCCAATCCGCATCCGCACGGCAGCATTCATGAGAAACCTGCTCCAAACCAGTGGTGGAGATTCATCACCCCGATATTCATTCATGCCGGCATAATACATATCGGGTTCAACCTTCTCCTTCAATTGACCCTTGGACGGGACATTGAGAAGCTGATCGGCAGCATTCGCTTCGCAATCGTCTACTTCGCCTCCGGCATCTTTGGGTTCGTGCTCGGCGGCAACTTCGCCGCGAATGGCATAGCCTCATGCGGCTGTTCCGGCAGTCTCTTTGGCATCCTCGCCATCACCCTTCTGGATCTCTTGTACACATGGAAGCGAAGAACGGGACCGATCAAAGACCTTCTTTTCATCCTCGTCGACGTTCTTGTTGCCTTTGTGCTCGGCCTGCTGCCCGGCCTGGACAACTTCAGTCATATTGGAGGGTTCCTCATGGGGCTTGTGCTCGGCATATGCCTGCTTCGCTCTCCGACATCCATCTCGAAACGCACGTCCCCGTCGCCCCTTTCCCGACCGCACGAAGAGGGTTTCAGGGGCTTCTGCAGCCAACCACTGACCTTCTTCCGGCACCGCAAAGGCGTGTGGTGGGCGTGGTGGCTGCTGCGTGTCGTCACGCTTGTCGGCGCGCTCATCGGCTTCGTGCTGCTCATTAAAAATTTCTACTTCTGGGGAGTGACGTGCCACTGGTGCAAGTATCTCTCCTGCCTTCCGGTGACCGTGAACGGGGAAAATTGGTGCAATGTGGGCAATCTGGACTTTACGCCGACGAACGAGACGACAAGTGGGAGACCTCTTGCGAGAGGGCTGACGGACACGGCGTATATGGCTGCGTTAGAGGTAATGAACTCCGTGATTTGAAGCGGGTGGGAACCGGGATGTACTATGTCGACGCGCGATGATTATGGCGCGCATGTATCTGTTGCTGCGCGGAGTTTTCGAGCTGGGCTTTTGGATGATACACCCATTTGCAAGCATGGCGCTGGGACGGCTAGCCATTAGCGGTGGAGTTCTATACACCGTTGTCTTTTTATGTAGATATGTCATGTTTTGCGCAAGAAAGATTACACGCCCGTCTCTTTATTGTCTCAGGCTATCGATCTTCGCGCTTGCCTCCACCAAACGTATCGCTGACGCTCGCCTTTCAAGAACGCATCATTGGTCGCTGCCTGCCTGCTGACAAGCACGACTCTGACCCACGGAACCATGCCACTCGTTCGTTTGATGCGCATCACGTGGCCACTCTGCGTTCAAGCAGTTGATATTCATCGGTGGCATCCAATATCCCGATCGATTCCGCTCGGCCCTGGAAGATGTCTTGGTATGCACACGGTATGAATATCACTCCTGCTCCGCTGCCGAGCAGTGACATGGCCAGCCACGAAAGCGACCAAGCGCAGAATCACTTGATGGAACAAAATGATTCCCACGACACTCGCCAAATGGCCAACAATCCAGCGCAAAGCAACGGTCTGGATTCCCAAATTCTGAACGGGTTCGGCAGCCAGACTCAAGAATATCATCGGCAAGCAGGCTCAGGCCCGAGTCGTAGGAAGAAAAGGAAGCTTGACGACGCTGGCTCACAGGGAACGGAAGAGGGGAAGCTGCCCGGAATTGATGAGAAGCTGGACAGCCTGGCCGCACGGATGGGCCGGTTGGAGGAGTTGTGCAAGGCGATTGCCGGGTCGGTCAGCAAGCTTGGGGAACCCGGAATGCAAGAGAGGCGGCCTCAAGGCGGGAGTGTCGCAAGCACACACGCCCCGACTCATCCCAGGCCGTGGCTGTTGAATGGCGGTCCCACCATTAGCTCGATGAGGCAGCGAGCGCAGCAACCAGTCGCTACCGATATGTCACCGTACGTAGGTCTCGCAGCGAATCACTCTGGCCGAAAAGATTCCATGAATTATTCCCAAGGCTTACAGCATCTTGACAACAACGTCTCGTCTTCACATCCTCGTTAGCAACGGGGATCTAGCCACGGCACTCCAGGCAGGGCACGAGGATCAACGCTCTCATCCACGCCAAGGTTTCCGATGCTTGGGTATATGGACATGGATGCTGCCCCTATGCTGTCACAAGATGACCTGAGGCGCCTGAATGAAACCTGCCAGGACAGATTGAAGCGAACCCAAGAGGCGCTCAAGGAGCAGCAAGCTCGGAATGACGTCCACGCGGCAGAGAATACGGCACCAGAGGCTTTTCAGTGAGGGCTGATAATGTAACGCATGCGTCCGCTGGTGGAGGGCAGCCTTTCAACCAGCTGTCACTTGTTCACGAGCCTCTCCCCAACCAGCGCGAGGGGGTAGACAACTCTGCTCAGCGATCGGATTTGCAACAGCTCCCTTCGCAACCACAGAGCACAGGGGGGCGCGAAATGACGCGGGCCGAGGTGGACGCATGGATCACCACGCTTGCAGCACGTTTCGGTATCCCGTAGCTTGGATCCGCTGAGATGTTTATCTGGGAGACGAAGCGACAGGATGTACTGTGAGCTGGCGGGGGGCATCAGGTAGCATGTCATCCTAGATCGGAGTTAGCCTGGACCAACGTTTGCTAAGTCAAGCATCCGGAGGATGAATAGGCAAGGTGGGTTTGGGGTTCAGTTCAAATGTTGCGTAATATTTGGCTCCTCATTCCTCCGAAGGGAGAGTAGGACAGCTCCAATAAGTGGTTGTATCATCTCGTGAAAGCGCAGGGGGAGGGAAAAATCATGGAAGTGAACGTACCCTCGCATTGGATAATAAGACATGATTGCCGTAGTAAGCGGACAGATACATGTACTCCGAGAGGACGAAGAGAGGTGGAACAACGCGCTTCACGTATCACCGTCGTCGTTGTCGAACGCGAGTTTGATGGGTTTGGCTTTCTTCTTCACTTTCTTGGCCAGTTCGTGCTTGTTGGAGGCGGCATCGTCTTGGTTGGTAGGAGAGGCATGGTCCTCACGTTCGTCATCCCCGACGACTCTTCCGACTTTGCGCTTCTTGGTCGCAGTTCCATCCGAGAGTTTCTGCTCCGAGGTCCTCTGGATGGCTCCCGAAGCTTTTGGACTAGCATCGCCTATACTGTCGCCTTTGACGAGCTCGTTGATGGAAGTGTCATCGGCGGCTGTGTCAGTGGTGGTCATCTTGTCCAGCTCCTCCTTGCTGACAGTCTCGCCACTCTCGTCGATGACGGTCGGGCCATCGTCCTCGGTTTCAGCGTTGGCTCGTTTGGGTCGAGCCAACTGGCGTTCGTGCCGGTCTGGATCTCCGTGGCCAGCCTTCTGCGCGTGCAGGCGTTGCAGGAATGGCGGCAGGTTTGCCTCGTAGGATAAGTCTTTAGACTTGATCTTCCCCTCCGACGCCATCGCTCTTACCCCACGAGCGACGGTAGTCTCAAGATGTATATGCAGGGGAATTTCGCGACGTCGGGCGGGAGTGGAGAGGAATTGGCGGCATTGGGGGCGGATCGGCGGCGCCAAGGAAAAGTTACGCAAGCTGCAATTCTCCCATCAGATAGGAGGGACGTGTCGTGTTGGCCTGAGGTCGCTCTTCAAACTCCTCCTCCACTTCCTTCGCTCCCTCCACCATCTCTGCCCTCCCATACCTCCTTCACGGCTCGGAAGAAGAAGGAAGAGCCTGTGGATCAGACTCCTGCCGACCCCGTCAACTCGCCATTCTCCCGCCAGACCCGTGTCTGTCTACAACCTCCTCCCTTTCTCCCAACAACCCCCCCGAACCAATACGCTGGCCGACTGCATGCGGTGATCTTGACCCGAGCGCTTGCCGTCGTCTCCTCTCCTCCAGTCGCTCGTTAACAGCACCGCTGCTGCACTCTGTCGCTACATCCCCTCCCTGATCCACCATCCGCCTCCCCCCGACTCCCCCTCAGCAGCACAATTTCACCCTCGACAGTCCGATTGGCGCCTCCCCGCCCTGTGGTCGCTTGCGGCCGAAGTCGTTCCTGGCGGCATCATGGATTACCTCAAGTCCGTCCAAAAGCGCATTCCCTCGTCCGAGAAGCTGTCGGAGAAGCTGCCTCTGCCCACCCTCAAAACCATCCAACCCGCCTCCCTCAAAGACGTCTCCATCCCCTCCAGACTCGCCTTTCTCCGCAAGCGGATACGTCTGCGAGGCAACAGCAAGATCAGTGTGCCGCTGTACCTTGTCTTGCTGCTGCCTTGCATCCTCCTCATCCTCATCCTCCTCATCTTCGTCCACCACGATGCCACCCCCGTGGGCCGCTTAATACCCACCGGCGCCCCGCCGAGTATCCGCAAGATCAACGAAAAGTACGACAAGGTCTTTGTCACCGGCTGTCTGGAGCCGCCAAAGGAAGTGACGCACAACGAGCGCGCCAACGCGGCATTCGTCGTGCTGGCACGCAATAAAGAGCTGGACGGGGTGGTGGAGAGCCTCAAGAGCGTCGAGCGGCACTTCAACCGCTGGTTTCACTATCCCTACGTCTTCCTCAACGACGGCGAATTCAACAGCACCTTCAAAGAGACGGTGTTGAAGTATGCCTCGTCGTCGGTGGAATTCGGCAAGATCGGAGACGATCACTGGGGCTATCCCGACTGGGTCGACCCGGCTGTGGCCAAGGAGGGCATTGCACAGCAAGGCGACCAGGCCATCATGTATGGCGGCATGGAGTCCTACCACCACATGTGTCGCTTCTACTCCGGCTTCTTCTACAAGCACGAACTGCTGCAGAAGTACGACTGGTACTGGCGGGTCGAGCCGGAAATCAAGTACTTCTGCGACATCACCTACGACCCCTTCCTGTACATGGAGCGCACCAAGAAGACCTACGGCTTCACCATTGCCGTGAAGGAGCTGAAGGAAACGGTGCCGAACATCTTCCGCTACGCCAGCGCGTACAAGCGCACGCACAACCTGACTTCGCAAGGGCTGTGGGAAATGTTTGTGGTGCCGCAGGAGGGCTACAACCAAGACGGCTCGCCCAAGCCTGGCACCGTCAAGCCCGCGGAGCTGCCCAAAGGCGATCCCACGCACGACAAGAAGAAGCCGTTGCCCGAGGAGATTTTGCTGGCGGATGCAGGCCAACGCAAGCAGCCCGAGATCGACCCGGACGCCATGGAAGGGGAGAATTACAACATGTGCCATTTCTGGAGCAACTTCGAGATTGCCCGGCTGGACTTCTTCCGGAGTAAGGAGTATGAGGACTTTTTCCAGATGATGGATCGGAGTGGAGGGTTTTGGATGGAGAGGGTGAGTTGCGCTGTGTGCGATGATTGTTAAGAGAGCACCAAGCTGACCATTGATGCCTACGACAGTGGGGTGACGCTCCGATCCATTCTCTCGCGGCGGGTGCACTGCTCTCGCCGTCCGACATTCACTATTTCCGCGACTTTGGCTACCGACACACCACCATCCAGCATTGTCCCGCCAACGCCCCGGCGCGTCAGCTACCTCGCAGCCCCTACTACGGTCCTCGAGACAACCCGTGGGAGAACCCCACGATTGGCAAGCCAGCGCTGGAGAAGGAGTGGAGCACGTGGAAGGAGGAGGATGATTACTGGGCGAATTGGGACACGCCAAAGGAAAATGGGGTGGGTTGTAGGTGTAGGTGCGATACCGACATCCCCGAGGTCGAGGCCAAGGAAGGGAGCTGTATTCCTGAGTGGGTGGAGATTGCCGGCGGGTTCATCACCCCGGCGGCGCCTCGATGAAGAAGATGGGCACAGGAGCGTGATTGATTTGCAGCGGATTGTCTACCATGCGTGTATGGTGATTTGTTGCATGGACGGCGGCGAGCAAAAGGCGTTGGATGGATCTGTCCGCCGGCACGGAGGCATTCGCGCGGCCGGAACGGAGCACCTGTCGACGTCGGGGGCGTGAGACAGACGAACATGCTGGTCCAATGCATCGCTGCCTCCCTCCTCGCATGGAGGCGGGTGGCGCGAGCACGTGATTCGAGACCTTGATGGCAAGGCATGGCCACCTTTATTAGCAGGCCTGCACATTTTCTTGTATCTACAACGTCCATCCTCTGTTCCACTACGACGCTTCCCTACCTCACTCCACTTGTCACGTCTGAAAGCGAGCCCGAGGCGCTTGGGGGATGGATGGGATTCCTCCGGAGCTGCCTCCCCCCTCCATCCTTTATCCCCGCCCTCCACCTCCACCATCAATTGGCTCGCGTTTCCATTGGCGAGTCGCATTGGCCGAGAAGGGCAAGCCCATCACCACATCCGGCCGTGCCACAGTCCTTCGCCCCGTTCCCTGCCCTCCACGGACCCGTACTATCTACTAGTAGCAGCCAGGAACGACGAGGGATCCCTGGCGGAGATGTCGCCGCCGTGGTAAGCTTGATGGCGCCTTGCCCCGGGTGGGGCGTAAAGATTGCCCGCGTTACATCATTCTTGCACAGGCTTGACAGGGCAATTATATAACCGACTCCGTCTACATCTCTGGCCTCCCCCTTCCGTATCCCTCCGCTGCCACATTCTCGCTCGTTTCCCTTCCCTCGACGAGTTTACAGACCAACACAATGGCCCCCCAAATCCCCAAGACCTACAAGGCGGCCGTGATTGTCGGGCAGCAGAAACCGCTGGAGATCCAAGAACTCCCCATCCCGGAGTTGAAGGAGAACGAGGTCTTGGTGAAGGTCCTCGCTTGCGGTGTATGCCACAGTGACCACCATGTGCTGAACGGAGACATGGGCCCGCCGTGCGTACTCGGTCCTGCTTCTATGACTACCTTGTTTCCCATTCTAATCCCCCACTCAGGCAGATCAAGTGTCTCGGCCATGAATACGTCGGCGACATCGTAAAGCTCGGTGCGGCGGTGAAGGACTGGAAAGTCGGCGATCGCGTCGGCGGAGCATGGCACGGCGGCCACGATGGCACCTGTCGCGCCTGCAGACGAGGCCAGTTCCAGATGTGCGACAACAAGACTGTCAACGGTGTCTTCCGCGAGGGCGGGTACGGCGAGTACGCCACGATCCGCTCCGAGGCGGCCGTTCGAGTCCCCAAAGACATGGATCCGGCCCAGGCTGCTCCTCTGCTGTGTGCCGGTACGCTTATGGCCCCGACCACGACCTTTGCGAATGCCTAATGACCTTCATGCAGGTGTGACTGTCTTCAACGGCATGAGGCATATGGATGCTTCGTCGGGAGGCATCGTCGCCATTCAAGGGCTTGGTGGACTCGGTACGCACCATGCTACCTCTTTCCCCATGAGTTACGCTGACTCCAATATGTGAAGGCCACTTGGCGGTCCAATACGCGCGCAAAATGGGCTTCCGAACCGTGGCGCTGTCCAGAGGCACGGCCAAGAAGGACTTTGCCACCAAGCTCGGGGCCACCGACTACATCGACACCGAGGCCCACAGTGCAGCGGAGGAATTGAAGAAGATGGGAGGCGCGGACATGATTGTCGTCACCGCCCCGAACCCCGACATTATCTCCCCACTCTTGGATGGACTCGCGCCGGGCGGTACCCTACGTGCGTAGAACTCCGCTGAACGTGTGGAATGACAGACTCGCAGTCGACTAACATAATAGACAGTGCTGTTCACAGCTATAGGCCCCGTCCCCGTAAACACCGTTTCGATGGTTATCAACGCTCTCAGCGTCCGAGGCTGGCCCAGCGGACACGCCCTCGATTCGGAGGAGGCCATCGCCTTCGCACAGACCCACGGCGTCGAGTGCATGATCGAGAAGTTTCCGCTGGCGAAGGTGAATGAGGCGATGGAGCATATGACGTCCGGCAAGGTGAGGTTCAGGGGCGTTTTGACCATGACCTGAACGTGAATGGCTGTCTTGGATCGTCGGTCCTCTGCAGAAAAGTCGTATATACTGCGAACAATTTCAACCTTGGCGACGGAATGCTGAATTCACGTGCATGAAATTTGATCAACGACACTGCTTACTCGTACGGACATGACGATCCCAGCACCAGGTCGACTTCCCGGCGTCACCCATGACGAACCAGCTATGAATGCGATTTCGCGGTAGTTGAGTCCTGAGTTGCACCGCTCGTCTCCTGCAGGAAAGTGTCGTGCACGCGCCACTTGCTACTGTGCCTCGCACTGACTTCGTCCATCATTTTATCGACCTGTTCCAGCGTGAGGCCTTTCGTCTCGGGCACGAATATGTAGGCGAAGAGCGCACTGATGGCGCAGGTAGTGCCCCATACCTGTGGACGGCAAGCGTGAGCACGACGAAGACACCATTCGTGGACAACGATGACTTACGAAAAATACATGGCCTCCCAGATTTCCCTCGCCAGGCCCCACGATATATGGGATGATGACAGCAATGATGCAGTTCCAGAACCAATTGGACGCTGCAGACAAGGCGATGCCCTTTGCTCGAATGGGAAGCTGGAATATTTCGCCAATAACCACCCAGGCTGCCGGACCCCACGTCGAGGCGAAGAAGAAGATGTAAAGACAAACGAACACGATGAGGCAGTAGTTTGCGGTGGTGGAGTTGGCGTCTGATGTCCATACTGCTGCGACAATGAACTCGCAGATCGACATCGCCAGAGCGCCGTAGATGAGGAGAGCCCGTCGGCCGTATCGTTCGATGGTGTAGAATGAGACGGGTGTGGAGCAGACGTTGACGACCGTGGTGATGATGGAGATGACGAAGGGATCGGTGAGGCCGATGCTTTGGAAGAAGGTGGTGTTGTAACTGTTCACAGTCAGTACGAGAGGTTTAGAACGAGGCTCTGGGGAGTCTGAGCTGACTAGAAGATGAAGTTGATGCCGGTGAATTGCTGGAACGCTTGGATGGCGGTACCGATGAAAACCTTTCGGATGTTGGAGTTGCGATTCTGAATGCCGCCTCCAAAGCAACCCAGCCAGCTGACTTGGCCGATGTGCTTCTCATACTCGTAGTTTGCCTGGATTTCCGCAAGCTCGTCGTGAAGACGGTCCGAGTCTTCGGGCTGTCCGCGTACGCGGCTCAGAGCTTGGATGGCAAGATCCAAACGGCCCTTTTTGACGAAATATCGAGGACTTTCGGGAAGCAAGAACAAACCCAGAGCCAGAATGAGGGCCCACAGATACTGGATGGCAATGGGAATGCGAAAGGCACCCGTGTCCATTCGAGTGCGTGTCGCATAGCCCACGCAGCTTGCGAGCATGATGCCGATAGTGATGGCAAACTGATAGCACGACACGATCGCCCCGCGCACCTTTCGAGGCGCAACTTCCGACATGTACAGGATATTTGTGGCGGAGACGAAGCCGGCGCCAAAGCCCGCCACCAGTCTTCCAATCACCAGGCCGGGAATATCTGCAGCCGCGACCTGGATGGTGACGCCGGCCATGAAGATAAAGCTTCCGGCGATGATGGTTGTTCTTCTGCCGAACCGATCGGCCAGCGGGGCAGAGATTAGGGCACCAAAGAAGGTACCTGCCGACAGAATGGACACGATCAGCGCGTGCTGAGAAGAGGTGTAGTCGTAGCCCGTCTTGTCCACACTCGTCGGCACTCTATGCCCATACTGCTTCTTGAACTCGCGCATGGCGAGGACGGAGGAAATGTAGCCCGAGTCATATCCGAACAGGACTCCAGCAAAGGCGGCAAAGGCGCACATCAGGTATGCCTAAGAAGCGGACGGATGCTGTCAGTCGGACAACAACGTTGGAGAGCGATGCGCCAGCAGGACCGTCTCACCTTGAACGTTACCGGGGCCTCGAGACGAACAATGGACGCCGGGTCGACGGAGGCGTCGATTCTCTCCATGTTATTCGACGAGCTGGCAAAGCCCAGCTTGCTGCCTCTTACAGTCGCAGACATGGTATCGATCGGCCAGCTTCCCAGGGATGGTAGGCGAAGAAAACGGAGAAGAGAGGGGTTTCAACGCTTGCTTGCGCGCTCGTTAGACACACCACCATTCTGGAGGGGAGCGGTCGAGCGAGGTGCAACGAAAACGGCAACGGTAGATGAGTTGTGTGACAATGCCCGGTCAACACAGGAATGCGCATCCCTGTGCGACACAATCCGCGAAGCCCACCGTGTGGCATGTGATCCACACCTGGCCTTTTGCAATCCAATCAGTGTGCATGAGCACTATATTGGATGCCTCGTGTCCATTTGACATGCCCCGGGGCAGAAATGATCGAGCGCCTCGCACGGGCACAATGCTGAGCATCCGCCAGGTGTCACGAAATCTGATATGAGCCGAGGTGAAGGCTGCAAGATGCTATCCCCCAGCGGTAGACGCGAAGCGGGAGTATGTTTCGGAAAGGCTAGATGTTTGAAGAAAGAGCAAAAAAGAAGGACCATGGGCATGGCGGTCTCTAGCCTACCTCTCTTGCATGAAGCGGATGGGCTGGAGGCTGAACTGAGGTATCGCGCGTAGCCTGTGGTGTTCTTACTACGCCCTCATCACTCACTGTTGACATTTCGAATGTCTGTAGCAAGGCAAGTGAGCAGAGGTTTGCAGTCAAAGCACGCAATTCTGGCGCGAACGTGAAGTCACCACACGGAGAGCATGCGACGACACCTCCCACCACGCATCTGATCCATCAGCGTTGAATAACTCAGGCCGCGTCGTCCCCTCCTGTTTTCGCGATGTCTACGGTCGATGTTCTTCCGTCGTGGGATGCGAATGAGTTGATGTTCCCCATTGTCGTTCGAAAGGCGCGAAGGGATCGGCCTGTGGCATTGACGACGCCTTTCGATGTGCGATATGCCGACGACTCCGCAGTCGACACCGGGTTGCGGACGATGCTGAAGGCCGACTTTTCTTGTGGAGGCGTACATGCATCATCGCGATTCCTCATCCTCCTTCTTGAAGTGGAAAGTTGCTGAATAATGGTCACCTCTCTGGCAGAAAACTAGCCGCACTGGGCAGTCGAACCTTGACTCGTCGATGTAACTCAACCAACGAGCCCGTCGTGCGTCGTGTGCACGGCACTTATAAAACCCGGATGTGTCTTGCAATGATCGACATGTTAATATTCCCCTTACCCGAGTGTCGTTCAGCGTAATCGCAGCAGGCTTCGACAGACTCGCAGAGGTACACCTCCGTCACCCGGCCTCTTTACCCATCCCAACGCAGCTCGCCGTCATGGTGCACACCGTGGGTATTTCGGGTCCAAACGGCAACGTTGGCAAAGCGACTCTCCCCCTCCTCGTCGCCGCTGCGCAACAGGGAAAGATCAAGCTGGCCATTCTCCATCGTAAAGGCCATGTCCCGTCCCAAGCTCCAGCACACGAGAACATCGAACTCAGGGCCATCAACTACGAGGATTCCGTGGACCAACTCGCGCGGAAGATGCAAGGGATCAATGTGTTCATGTGTGTTGGATCTTTCGCTTGACCACGGCGAAACATTTCACGTACGCAACCTTCGCTGATCAATGGTCCGCCCAGTTCATGCGTTGGCTTCGAGGGCATCCCGTATGAAGCCAAGGTCGTCGAGGCTCTTTCTCGCTCTCCCGACCTCGTCACATACATCCCCTGCAGCTACTCCGCCAGGTGGAGCCAGGCAGAGCTCCACGACCCTGCCCTCGGGCCCATACTCAACTTCATGTACACTGGCGTGAACAAGGCGAAGGAACTGGGCCTCTCTGTCACGACATTCTACACCGGTGTCTTTGACCTCTACTGGTTCGAGTATGGCTTCATCGGTGCTCCCCTGAAGGAAAACACCGTCTGGGCCAATTCAAAGCAGCTTGCCAACCCCTTTCCAATCACGTGAGTGTCCTCTCTGCGATAATCGTGACGGTGACTCCACAAGCCACATGCCTAACGCATCGCTCGACAGGGTGATGGAGCATCTGGGTGCTGCCCTGGCTCGCGTAGCAACATCTGATCCCAGCTCCATCAAGGGCCAGCAATACTCTGTTGTGACCTTTTCGCCTACAGGCAACGAGCTTGTCGAGCTGTATACGAAGCTGAACGGTGCGCCGACCAAGGTCAAAGACTTCACTGATGCAGATCGTGCGGCCCTCAGAGCGGATGCGGAGAATAACGGGGCCATCAGAGCAGGCTATTGGGACCACTGGGCGGGCAATACATGGGCATACGAAGCGGATGGCATCACAGGTGACAAGAACTACCAGGGCCCGAGTTTGGAAGAGGTTGGGCGGCGGTTCTTGTAGGTTGCACTCGTCATGGTGGGGTTTGCGTGCAATGATAAGGTAGAAGTTGATGGTATTTATTCATGGCTGCTGTCTGTCGTGAAGGGCGGCAAGGCTCTAACCGCTTTCGATGCGCCAAGCGGAGATGTGCACGTTCCAGCTCGGACGACAAAGTCTCCAAACCTTTCCAACCGCGCTGTCTTTTGCCCACGCACCACACCACACCCTCTTGCAATGCCGCCGCGACTGCAGATCCTACGGTCAGCCCTCGAAAGGGTCTCATTGACTGCCTATCAGCCGCTTGCGCCCTTCCTTTACCCTGCAATTTGCCAGCAACGCGCCGCCTCTATCCTCTCCTCTCTGTCCGACACCAAGGGGGCATACAATAAGCGCATCCGCAGAGGTCGTGGGCCGTCAAGCGGCAAGGGAAAGACCTCTGGTCGAGGGCATAAAGGGCAGAAGCAGCATGGCAAAGTTCCGGCAGGCTTCAATGGCGGGCAGACGGCAGATGAGATTGTTGCGGGAAAGAGAGGCTTTCACAACCCGTACGCTGCGCTTTCCCCAACATAAAGAAGATGGTCAACTGTTGCTGACGTTGCACACAGGTTCTCCGTGGAAATGGCGCCAATCAATCTAAACCGCATCCAGTATTGGATCAATCAAGGCCGCCTCGATCCTACCAAGCCCATCACCCTGAAAGAACTGAACAGCAGCCGCGCTGTTCACGGCGTCAAGGATGGGGTGAAACTGCTTGCGCGCGGCAAGGAAGAGCTCGTCACCCCCATCAACATAGTGGTCTCACGGGCAAGTGCAGAAGCCATCAAGGCAGTAGAGATGGCTGGCGGCTCGGTGACTACTCGTTACTACACTCCATTTGCTGTTAAGAAGATCACTGGCGGGGAGATGGACCCTATCAATAGCCTGCAAAGCCGCGTAGCCGCCGCACCTCCCACGGAAGAGGGGGCAAAGGCGGTCGCAGATGCGGTGGCGGAGGAGAGGAGACGCTTCAAGTATCGACTCCCGGACCCGGTCAGGCGAAAGGATCTGGAGTATTATCGTGATTCGGCGCACAGAGGCTATCTCAGCCATCTGGTCGAGGCTGGGCAAGGGCCAAGTCTTTTCTTCAGAACGCCAGGGTCTACTGCGAGGAGCAAGAAGACTTCGGGGAGGGGGCCGAAGAGTACGAATACCAGCGAGGGTCGGCTGTGGTAGTCGCGCCTCTGCTCATCGACCTCGAAATATTGAGCATAACGGCGCCAAGCACAATATTCCCCCCGACAGAGGTGTCTTTGCCAGCGGATTAAGCGAACGTTCGACCGTCCCGGGATCGAGTAGGTGGTCGCTGCAAACGGAGCTGAAGAGAAGCGAGCTTCCTTCGGCCGTGCGCAGGAAGATGCTTGCTTGCTTGTCATGTCATGCGGGTGTGGTCTGACGCATGACATGATTCGGTGATTGTAGCAAACGTGGTCACATTCAGGCGGTGAAGCTGAGAGGATGGGTACACGCAAGCAGACTGGTGGAGGCTACGGAACCATGTGTAACGCCAATCGTGTTACGCGATTGTATTCAGACCAGCCTTGTCCAGACTCTCTGGCAGCGACTTTGAGACATGGATTGGTCATGTTGACCGCGGAATGTCATGATAGATGACAAGAGTTCTAGAAGGGAATACGTGGGAGGATCGCAAGTCAGCGCATCATAAGCACAGTGCATGTACTCAGCCTCGAGTGTCCGTATGGACCCTCACCAACAACCGGACCCCAGCATCAAATTGGTGTAACCAAACAGGCCGGCCAAAGCCGTTGCAGTATTCGTATTGATTACGTGCCCAGCTCTCGATCGATGAGGAGGCTTGGCGGTATTCAGGCAGCGTTGAACCCGGGTAAGAGCACATCCTGCAGCTACCACGTAAGGTGGTTCGCAAGCGCAAAAGATCATCGCGGGAGCAGGATCTTGACTCGCCTGTGGGTTGGAATGGGTGGCAAAAAGCCATCCCCACTCCTCTGCACCCACCAACACGCCCAGCCTTATTCGTGGTGGCCGTTCGGCTAGAGGTACCGCTCCTTCACGCTGGAAGCACACGGAATTTACCCGATGCTTTGTGCGTTTTTGTTCATCGGGCTGCCACACGGGCGGGCTAGAGTGCCGGTGGCCTGACCGCTTCTTCTCGATCCTCTCCTTGTCATGCACTTTGGCCCCGCATGGTCAAACGCCTCGAACACTTAATGCAGTCATCGTATAAGCGGGAACCAGCTCAACCCCTCTTGCGGCAGCGATCATAGCAAACGGAAGGAAAGTGCCGCGCGAGATGTCGGCGTCAAATATTCAGTGGTCACGCCCAGAAGAGCGGAGGTGAGCCATATCTTGATCTTGTCGTCGCAAGTGCTTCCGCGCAGTCTATGCTCCAGCCTCACTCGTATCAATATTAATACATGGACGAGCTCGGACCGTATCGCTCCCAACGTTTGGTGTGAGTATTGACGAAGGCCCGGCATTCGTGTACCCTCGGGCACATGTTCTGCAATTGGCCGGACAATCGTCACCCTTGAGGCAAAGTGGTTTCGGAAGTGCACGGAGGGGAAAAGCGATTCTCGGCCGCTGACGAATGTGTGGCGGATGAGTGCTGGTTTGCTTCACGATTCTCCACCCTACACCCCTGTCTACAGATGGAAGCGCGGGCTGTGTGAATGTGATGCAAAAGGCAGAGCGGCGCGTGGGTGGCTAGCAAGACGCCATCGCGTTCGCGGGTCCACGCGAATCCATCAATTCCTGGCCTCTTCGGGATTAGGGAACTTTGGAAATGATGGGCCAAAAGCTACCTCTGCTGTAGCGCCTCGCCATCACGAACCTTCTTTCTCACATGGGAGTGCTAGTACATCTGCAGGCCTGGTCGTGTCGCGGAATGAGATCCTACCGTGCAACGATCGCCATTAATCTCGACGTTACAATCGCACGCTCCGCAGCAGGCCTCGCGTTTGAGACGAGCCCCAAGCGGACGAGATGCGCTAGTAGTGCGACTACCCACCTGGGCTTACGAAGACAGGGTGATCTCTCATTCGCCCGCTCGTTTTCCCAGGTCCGGGGGGTAGTGGTATATGTCCGACAGGCGGATGGGGCTCAGCGAGTAACGTCGCCATCGTTGCCCGTCGCCTGCACGCATAGGCGCGTCACACGAGATTGGGCTCGTTGCAAGGAAGTCGATGATGCAAACCTTGTCTTTGGCAATTCCTTGGCTCGCGGTTCATCGAAGTGAAACCTCGCATACGCCACGTTCAGAGGAAGCCTCGGGACAACGGGGTGAAGGGAGGAAGGCTCCTCGCATACGTGTTTGTACACGGATCGAGTTTCCACAAGTGATGGATCGGGCAGTTGCGTGGACATGCTGGCGTTTGTTGGCGCCGTGCTTTGTCACGAATCGAGCGTCGACTGCCGATCTACCAGGGCCGAGCAATTATTAACTCTACGGGGGGCGGTGGAGGGCCGTGAGCTTCATGGATCATGAGGTTGATCAGAAGAAGGCGGCCTAGCAGAGCGGACTAGGCGAATGAAGCGGTCGCAGCTGCGGTTGAGCGGGCGTGACGGCACAAGCACGGGGATAAGCCCTCATTCCTGCCGCGGCCAACAGGGAACCAACGGGCGCTCGTAAAAGCAAGCAGCAGCTGGATGCGTCTGCCGGGTGGCGACGTGCGATCTCGCACCATCTGGGCGTCGAGTGATGATGAGGTACACTGTACCGGCTAGTAGACATGCGCAAGATCTCCACTGGGGGGCCCGAGAGCTGATCCCGATAGCACAGAGAGGGCGCGAGAGCGAGGGGTTCGTTCAGGAAGGCGCTGAACTTTGACCCGGGCCCGGCGTCAGCAGCGGGCAACTGGCGCTAGCCAAAGCGAGTTTTCTGGCCGCGAGTCTTTCCGCCGGCGCTGCTGCAGCCGAGCTTGCCTTTTTATTGGCATGCCGCCATGCTGCGGACGACGAGGAGGGGTGGGTGGCATTAAAATCCAGAGCCATCGGAATTAGCTTCTGCCGCTTGCTGCTCTTCTGAATCATGTGGGCCGCCAGCCGTACCGCCGCAGTGGCCGCGCATCGTCTCTTGGGCCACACTCCCTTTCACGCATGGACTGCACAGTTGTGTCGGGTGTGAATACGATTACTGCACGTAGGGGGGATGTCCACGGCGTCTGTGCGCGCGCGCGTCCTCTCTGTTCGTGTGTGCGTGCATGAAAATCAAAGGTGTTCGAGAGGACCGTGTACCGCAGGTAGAGTGGATGGCCGGAGTTGGCCTAGCTCGGGGGCGGGCATGCCATGAATACCTTACCTTCCCATTCGGCCCCTGGTGCATCTTCCCGCAGTTGCCTTTTGCGCTGACATCAGTAGTCCCTATCCTTCCCAATCATCATCCCCGCCCGTCTATCGTGATCAGCCATGGGCCGATGGCCCATGCCATGGACGCCGCCGCCTCATCCCAGCCCATCATCCTCCCATCACATCCCGTCGCACCCCGGGCTGGCGCGCTACAGTTCCTCGCTTCACCCTGTCCTCCCCTCGGCCCTTGGGCCCCTGCTGGCTGGCTGGCGGCTGGCGTGCTTTCCTGGCTGCCGCTCCTGCTGCTCCCGTGCTGCTGCTACTGCTGCATGTGCTCCGTCCCACCCACTGGCCCCGGCCCCGGCCCCGTTCCATCCAAGAACGGCAGGCGCGCTCTCGCCGGCCGTGCCCTCGTCCACGCCTCACGCCTCGGAACGCATGACGGCTCTTTGACGAGCCTCTCGAGCCTAAAATTTCACCTCCCTCTTTCCACTCTCGGCGCCTTTTTTGGGGCCCAGGCGCCAGACAATCCTCACCCTCTGTACCGCGCCCGTCCTTCACTCCCCCACTCACTGCTCGGCATGCTGCCGCTTCTCCAGATGTCTGGGCCGGGAGCCTGCCGTAATCTACACTGCCCGGCTGCCCTACATATCGCTGACCATGCTCCTTGCTTCAGCCGTCAACACACCGTTTGTTGTGATTGCCCCTTCCCTCCCCTCTCTTCTTTACTCTTCCCTTCATTAAACCTACTTCACCCTCGCCGTTGCGTCGCTCTCACCTGATGACCCCCAGGCCGTGCGCGTTGACATCACTCTCTCATCCTCACCTCCAGCTCCTGCCTGCAACCATCACCACGACGCCCTCTTCATGACCTCCGTCTTTTTGTCTTGCCTTGCGTTCCATTCCTCATGACTGCCCACTCACCAGCGTCACGCCTCCCATGTACGCACAATTCGAGCTTCCAGCAATCCGTCCGTCCTACTTTGAGGACCTTCTCGATCCCTCAGTCCCAGTCGGCTGGCCATCCTCCTCCATACCCTCCGACTTCCTCTCACCGCTCACGCCTCCACCCGAAATGAACGGCATGCCGGAAGCTGCACACCCCGGCTACTATCAACAACAAGAGAATGGACTTGGCACCGCCGGTTATCCATCGGGCGTAGATGCTTACAGACTCCCTCCTACTTCGTCGTTCCCTCGCGAAGTGTCGAACGCGGACTTTGGACGTCACTCGAGGCATCCCTCTCGAAATGTTTCGCCATTCCAACAACACCGGCAGCCGGCAATCGATGACACTCAAGCCCACCTTCATCAAAAACGTGCCCCACGCACAGACACGATTGCACCCTCATTCCAGGTACCGAAGACGGTGAATGACAGTGGCGGCAGCCTCTCCGAGCTTGCAGCGCAGGTGAGTGATGCCAGACGTTGAAGACATGTGAGAGCGATTGTTTGCTAACCCAAGACAGATCACTTGCTTGTTCTGGTTCGAGTCGTCAAATCTGCTCCAGCAAATCGAAGACTCCGTTATTCCCCTGCAGCCTGCGCGCCCGCTCGTATCGGACGCCAAACCGACGTCTGGCTTCCGGAAATGGGTGACCACGCTTCTCTCGACCACGCTGGTGGCGCAGAACGTGGTCATTCTCGCCTTGCTCTTCATCTATCGCCTGAAGAAATTGAACCCCAGCGTACAAGGAAAGCCAGGGAGCGAATATCGATTGTTGACCGTCGCTTTGATGCTCGGAAACAAATTCCTCGACGACAACACCTACACCAACCGCACCTGGGCCGAAGTTTCGGGCATTAACGTGTCTGAGGTTCACATCATGGAAGTGGAATTCTTGAGCAACATGAAGTACTGCCTGTTCACCACCGCCGACGACTGGTCGCAGTGGCAGGCTCTCCTGGGCAAGTTTGCCGCATTCTTCGAGCGAGCGAGCAGGCCGCTTCCCGCTGCCCTGCACGCTCCGATCCTGCCACCTGCGTCTTCTCTCAACTTCCCCGTGGCTCTTCCATCACCTCCGGCTTCGAACCAAGCTTCGCCGGCGTATCTGGCCGACCTGGGCTCGAACGGTGTGGCGTATGGCGTGCCTACCATGCCCGGACCTAGCCCAGCTCCGTCACCCCACGTCTTCTCCGCGCATGGCGCAGTCGTCAATCGCCCGAACTTACGGAAGAGGAGTCGCGATGAGCATGCGGTAGAGCCTCCTCCAAAACGACAAGCGGGCGGCTATCCTGAGTGGCAAGCACCGCATCAATACGCGATGCCACAGAGCGGTCAAGTGCTGCCGCAGCTACCGCGCCCGATGTTGCCCAGTCTGGCAAGTCAGAGCGTGTCCCATCCTTCTTCTGGCGTCCTCCACTCGGGTGGGCCATTACCACAGCAGCTCCCTCCCTTGGCCGTTCCTGGAAGAGCGATGGGGATGGTCTACCCCAGTATGAACGCCCCGAGTTTACTGCCACAAGTCCAGCAACTCGCCAATCCTGCACAAACGCAGTCTCAATGCTCGTCTCGGCAGCACAGTCCCTACGCAACTTCCAGAACGGGGTCACCGCTGGGTGGCGTGGCTCAATCGGCACCGTCGCTGCACCCGGCCGTCCAAATCTCGCCGACGTACTTGCTGCAGAAGAGGGACTCTCCGTATCGCCCGGTGCACAACGTCGCCACTCTGCTGCACCCCCCGCCATCCTCGACGCTGGAGCACCGCGCGCAGAACATGGAGAGCAACCAGATGTACTATCAGCCGCTGGGCAAACCACAACAAAGGCAGACTGGTCGGCTGCCGTATGTCTCGCAGAACATGTGGCTTGACGGTGACGGACACCTACCCGAGACGATGACTCCGGTCCAGCAATGGCCATCATTCATCAACACCAACCACTACCAGCAGCTAGTATCGCAGCAGTGAGAGCTTGAAACGAGCACCACTTCACCTGCAATGAGCTCTGTACCCATCGACATTACATTTTGATCAGCGAGGTTTTCGGCGTTCAAGCGAAGAAGCATACGGAAAGGAAATGATTTGTTTGGGGCATCAGCGGACGTTTGTCACACGGATGGAGTCGCATTTCATGGCGGAGGACTGGCCTGCGCCTGCGTGTCGACTGCGAGGCATGGCGCAGAAATAGGTCACTTACAAACTCGATAGCATGGATAGCTTAGGTGAAGCGGCATGAAAGCTGCCCTCACGGATTATTAGATGACTGAACGATTCCTCAATCCTTACACCATCATTGCGACAAGAAATGGAGGACCCAAGCACAGAGTGCAAAAAATAGCCCCGATCCCACGTGAGCAGCACGCCCCACCGGGAACACAGCGCAGGTGGCAGGTGGCAGCATCGGAAGGTGCAGTGCGGAGGTGTTTCAGACCTGCACCAAGTCCGCTCTGCCATTGGTGGATGAGGCGGGGCGGGGATCAGTCAGCGAGTCGGTCGGCCCCAGCCGTCGGTCTGAGACGCGCGGCGAGTTTCCATCCGTCTCAGAGTCTCCAGCCTTTGCATGGAAGGGGCGATGGTGATGGAACGGAGGTTTGCATTCATCAGTCCACACAATCAAACCGATCACTGGCCAAACCCGCCCCAAACTCGCAGCGATCCCATTCTCTCTGCGCCTCGGTAGTGTCGCGCCACCGTTTCTCCATCCCGCCAGCCCAGCCCTTTCTTGGTTCGGCTGACGCCTGACAACCTTCCGCTTGGCAGGCGGCGGCGGAGAAAGGCGTGCGCATGGGAGCCAGCCCGCTTCCTTCCAACCTTGTCTGCGCCCACCCACCGCACTCCGACCCAGCCTCGACCACTCCCCTCACCACCTTTACCCTCACACGCAAATCGCCTCGTGCATCTCCATCTCGCGATCCTCCCTCACCCACGCATTTCGCCACACACACACATCGCGCGAATCCGAATTGCCGCTCTTGTCCGTGCCCGCCTCTCTCATCCTTTGCGGCTCACCCCACCCACGCCCTCTCTCTTTTCCCTCCGGTACCGGCACGACTCTTTGACCGTTTGCATCACTCATCCCCGACTGGAGTCGCAGTCACCATTCCATACCAGCGTCACAAGATCATCGGCATCGGCCTCATTAGTGGGCGCAAGATCTCGACAAGGCTCCGCACGTGGGTAGACGGGCTTCCAGGTCGCACTTTCGCCTGCGCCTTGCACTTCTTCCCTCGCACGTGTGACATAAACCCTCGCCGCCTCTAGGCGCGCTCGTAGGGCTTTGTTACGATAGCCAATACCAAGCTATCTGGGCACGGCGTCACCACCACCGCAATCACACCATCTTGCGCCGTTTGACCACGGAAGATGCGCATCACATTACGCAAGGCGGCGCTATTATCCTTGCCCGTCCTGGCAAGCGCCGTCTCGCTCTCCGACCTTGCGCCTCGCGCTCAGAATCTACCACCGGCCTGCAACAAAGTGTACAATGAGCAGATACCAGGATGCACTGCCAGCGACTTTTCGTCACATGACTGCAGTCGGTCGTGCATTCTCGGCCTCTACGCCCTCGTCGACCCGATCAGAAATGCGTGCGGAAATAGAGGGATCACTGGCGAGAACTTGATCGTGGCCTTTCTTGCAGACATCGGACCGCAGCAGATCTGTGTTAACGCCCCGACCGGAACAAGCTTGCCGCCGCAAACGACCGCTTGGCCTCCCCCACCCCACATGGGACCTGGTTCGTCAGCATGGCCGTCACAAACCGAGCCTTGGGGCTCCACGGTCACGGCGGGCATCAGCACAGCGTCCAGCTTGCCGCCCAGTGACACAAGCAGTCTTGTGGTAGATACCTCGAGTGCGCCGACCATCCGCGCGTGGACTTCGCCGACGACCACATCAGCCAAGACTCCCACGGCAACGTCGTCAACCGCCAGTCCGCAAACCAATTTTGGCGACCATAGTGGCGGTGGCAGTCCGTTCGATGCCTCGGGCAATCTCGGGGGTGCCGGCAGCATCTCTTTGTCGATAGCTGTGGCACTCTTGTCAACGGCGGTAGCCCTCTTCACCACATTCCGATGACGAGACTGGACGCGAGGCAGCTCTGGGATGAATGTGACGGCCGATATGCATGAGCGAGTGGGAATGGCGTTGTTTGCTTCTGTCCTCGGGACCACGAGCCCCTGATGGCTGACTTGGATTGGTTTGCTGCTTATACCCCACACCACGTTCTCCTTTCTTTTCTATGTCTGAGATGAGTTCACGAGAGGAGAGGGCATCGGCCGGCTGGATGCGGAGTAGGGGCATCAAGCATACCGATGTGCGTTGTTGAGAAAGCATTCAGGTGCTAGTGCGGGGGCGGTACGATAATACACCGGATGGACATAAGGTACAGCAAGTGGCGGCCAGGGTGGCCAGTGAAGGAGACGTGTATCTACGTACAGAGTGACAGGCGAAGGGGTTTCTGATTACCGGATCCAGGTAACTCGGGAACTCCTGACTGTACATGAGAGCAACAATGTACCTTCTTCCTGACGTTGAAAGAATTTGCGTGTGATAAAGGCGCAGGCCGATGATGCTATGTCATGTGCCATGTCTCCGGGTGTGCTTCTGTCGGGACGCATGCTGTTCCCTAGCCTGATCGCGTGCATGGTCGAGCACATTGGCCGAAGAAAGACTAGCGCGGCTCGGACGGCCGCTTGAGCGGAACGAAGCGGGTTGGTGTAAAGCTTAATGATTAGGCTAAAGTTCTCACAGGAGCTTGAGGGAGCTCTTCAACAACTTTTGTCGTCATTCCCCAACGAAGACTTGACCTTTTTCCCCTCTCATCTCCTCAAAATCTTCTCTTCATCGACACAATGGCGTCGAGAGCTGTCACCACGAGACCGCTGGTCTCCGGCGGCGCTGCCATTGGCGTCACCCGTGTCGTCGCTCGTGGCTTCGCGACTTCACCTCGCAGATTCCCCGTGTTGAGCGCATCGCTCCGGAATGAGCAGAAGCGCAGCACCATTCGCACCCCTACAGCCTCCTTCCAACAGACCTTCAAACGCGCCTACGCTGACCAGCCCATTGTGGCGCAAAAGACGAAGAGACGGTCATGGTCTTTCTTCCGCTGGACGTGGCGGCTCACGTATCTCAGTGCCGTGGGTGGCTTGTTCTACACTGGATATAACATCTACAAGAGCAAATACCCTCCGGACCAAGATCCCCCCGATCCGAACAAGAAGACGCTTGTTATTTTGGGTATGTTTTCGACTGATGCGGTTGGTGACACGCGAGTAGGGACTAACAGCTTTACAGGTACTGGATGGGGATCGGTCTCTCTTTTGAAGAGTTTGGACACCTCCAACTACAACGTCATTGTCATCTCTCCCCGCAACTACTTCCTCTTCACCCCCTTGCTTCCCTCCTGCACCACCGGCACCATTGAACACCGCAGCATCATGGAGCCCATCCGAAACTTCCTTCGCCACAAGAAGACCGCCGTCCAATTCTACGAGGCCGAAGCGACCAAGATCGACTACGAGAAGAAGGTTGTGTACGTCAGTGATGATTCGGAAGTCAGAGGCGACACTTCAAAGACGGAGGTGCCGTTCGACATGCTGGTGGTTGGCACTGGGGCGGAGAATGCGACTTTCGGCATTCCCGGCGTCAAGGAGCACAGCTGCTTTCTGAAGGAGGTCGGTGACGCACAAAAGATCCGCAAACGCATCATGGACTGCTGTGAGACGGCGACGTTCAAGGGCCAAGAGCCTGAGGAAGTCAAGCGCTTGTTGCATATGGTGGTGGTTGGCGGCGGGCCGACTGGCGTGGAATTCGCCGGCGAGCTCCAGGACTTCTTCGAGAATGACTTGCGAAAGTGGATTCCCGAGATTGCAAACAACTTCCATGTGACGCTCGTGGAAGCTCTGCCTTCGGTGCTGCCCATGTTCTCCAAGAACCTCATCGACTATACCGAGCAGACGTTCAAGGAGGAGACGATCGAAATCCGCACCAAGACGGCGGTGAAGAACGTGACCGACAGGTACATCGAAGCCGAGCATGTGGACGCGTCGGGCCAAAAGGTCCTGGAAAAGATTCCGTACGGCCTTTTGGTCTGGGCCACCGGCAACGCCGTGCGACCGGTCATCAAGGACCTCATGGGACAAATTCCGGCGCAAAAGGACTCCCGCCGTGGACTGCTCGTCAACGAATACCTCGTCGTGAAAGGGACGGACAACATCTGGGCAGTCGGAGACTGCGCCATCGCCAACTACGCTCCCACCGCCCAAGTGGCGGCACAAGAGGGCTCCTTCCTCGCACGCCTCTTCAACCAGATGGCCAAGACCGAGGAGATTGAGTCGGAATTGCACGGCCTCTCCGAAGCGCAAGAAAAGGCGCCCAACAAGGAAGCGCGCGACAAGGTATTCGGGCAGATGAAGGATCTTCAGAAGCGTTTGAGGAGAGTCAAGCAGATGGGGCCGTTCGAATACACGCACAACGGTAGTCTGGCGTACATTGGATCGGAGAAGGCCGTTGCGGACATTAGTTGGTGGACGGGCAATCTCGCCACCGGCGGACAGTTGACCTACTTTTTCTGGCGCAGTGCATACTTGAGCATGTGCTTCAGCAGTAAGTTGTTTGCCTGTTCTTACTGAGGACGCAGGGGACTGATGAATTTCTGCAGCTCGAAATCGTATCCTCGTGATCATGGACTGGATCAAGGCAAAGACCTTTGGCCGGGATGTGTCTCGAGAGTGAATGGAGGGCTTGTGTGAGTGACGAAACGGGCGCGTGGTTTTGACGTGGCCGTCCATGGATCGGTTCAATGTCCTGTATGTATAAGGCACGGGGTGGCGGGAGTATGGGGACGTCATTGGGGCCGGTCATCTCATGAAATTGAGCAGGATGATGACATGGGATTGACTAGACTGAAGTGTGATGTATGAGCAACGACGTTGCTTTCAAGCTTGTAGACTTTGCCTGACAACCAATCATTGCGCGTGTGTACTCTAGTGACATGCAACCGTCGTCTCTATAGTTTCCCCTTGGCCTTCCATTGCCGTTGTCTCCGCCGTAACTCCTCTGCTTCTTCGGGGGTCGCTTGCGGCTTTTTGGTATATCGAATCATCCCATCTTGCGTCAGAGTGGCCACCTGCGTGCCGTCCGGCGCAAACATCCTCCCGTGAAACATGGTGCGTCCGTTGGATGAGCGCGTCGACCAATCCTCATTGGCAAACCACCTGCCACGCTTGCTCGTGTCATCCATCGGATGGACATTGCTCTTCGACGGCCCGAACATCAAGTCCTCCGTGGACGAATGGAATGAAGTCATGTGCACAAGACTGCTCATCTGCGTCCACAGATCCCCGATGCCCATCTGCATGGGGATGAGGTACAAACTGTTCCGGTCGGAGGCGTAGAGATGTGCGCAGAGATGGAGGTTCGGATCGGGCGGCATGTCGCCGCATGCGCGGTAGAACATCAGTCCCCGCCGGTCGAGGGGATGTCGGTCGGCATCGTAGGGGGTCATGTCGGGCTTTGTCTGGTCCAAGCCGGGAAAGTCGTCCTTATATCCCGTCTCTTTCTGCATGGCGAGGAACCAGGGAATGTCCATGCTCGGGGCATCGGGAAAGTCTGCGGGTTTCTTGCCGTGCAATACTACCTTGTACTTTTCCCACAAGTCCACGGGCTCCTGCACGTCGATGAGGCTGCTCTCGGGCGTTTTGAAGGATATCAGGCCGCTGAAGCAGATGGCGTCGCTGTCGCCCTGCGTCACGGTGACGGCGCGCGAGGCAATGGATCGGCCATCGCGGATCTTGTGAATGTGGTAGATGAACGGAATGGTCAATTGACCTCCGAGAATGAAAGTGCCGACGACGTTCTATAAAGCCGATCGCGATTCAACCATTAGCCGACTGGTCACACTCCTCTTTCCCCTTCCGTCGGTGCTGGATCGCTACCGCTACCTCACTTACATACATATATATGGAAGCCCTCCGTCACCGTCTGGGCAGCGGCCCAGGCCGCCTGCGCGTAGACGTGTCCGCCATATGCTCGGTCAACGGACCTGCGCAACTGGCCACCGGGGGTGAAGGGCAGGGCGATGGATTGGTAGGTGGTGTCGTCGATCTTGCGGAGCTTCATTAGCTCCGCGAAGGGGAGGTGGACATTGCCATCATGCGGGGGTGGCATGGCAATGCTATCGAGGGACGGCGCGATCTCGACGAGGGTTGTTCAGCAATCGCATGACATGGTCTGTTTTGAAGCGCGGCGGATGCTGGAAGTGAAGTCATATCCGCTCTCGCTTCGCCGGACCTCGGCTTTACAGTACATCACGACCCTTACACGGCTGTCCACTGGTGTTGGCGCAGCCTGGCCTTAGGGTTAGGGTATAGGTTGACCGTAGGCAAATAACATATGCAGTAATGGCTACTTGGCTGCAGTGGATGAGTAGTTGACTTGCTGGTGGCGACGACGAGAGTGTTGGAATATCTATATCGACGGAAAAATGCCATTGCTGGTCGTGTTGCTATCCCAGACGTGGAAGACTCCGTGTCCCTTTGCTAGCCTTCCAGCACAGATCAATACGTTAATGGACACACAATAGTAGAGGTGACATGTTTGGGATAGCTGGAGCTCGAATCTTCTACCATCAATCAATGGAAGCATCGCCAGGCCATCCACATCAGGTGGCAGCAACGGCCCTGAACGCATTCCCGGCAAATTCATTCTCCATCACTGGAATGCGCGCAGTCCTCATGCGGACCAAGCCCCCAGAGCTTGTAGTTCGCAGCTCGTCGGAGTCAGTGATTTCCTCTTGAGGCGGCCTGCCGTCCTCTGACGTTTTCGGCTCCGACGGTGGTATCGATACGCTCGTATCTGGAAGGTCATCGTCTGGCGTCGAAACTGTGTCCATTGGGAGATCGGCAGCATCGAGACCATCGAGTTCCTCAACAGGCCCAGAGGTCGTAGTCGTGAGCAACTCAGGCTCGAGCCCTGCAGCCTCAGCAGTCTGCACATCCGCAGGCTCAGTAGTGACGTCTTCTGGAGATGGCACTTCCGACACATGCTCCCTTTCGTAGAACAGCATGAACACTCCACCCTGACTCAAGGCGTCTGCTTCCTCAACGGGACTGACATCCTCATCGCTCAGTCGATACCATGGGTCTGACTTGGTCGTTGGAAGTGCATCTTCAAGGTCCACTGATTCCTCTCCATCATCACTGTCGCCTCCTTTCCGCCGAACCGGATGCTGACGATAGGCAATGTAATGGCCATTTTCATGCCGTCCGTAATGCGTCACCACAGCCTTCAGCCTGAAATGCATCCCTTCCACGGCCTGTTCTTCCTCAGCCATCCCGTCTTCGTCTAACATCCACGGCGCCAGGTCCAGAAAACGGGGGTACTCGACACGTGCGTAGTTCTTTCGTTGGACGAATGTGGTCTCGTCAAACACACTCCGATTCACGTGCACCACCAGACATTGCGGTGAACGAGCGACCACGGCCTGTCTCGTCTTGGTGCTCGAGACTCGAGCCTTCTTCCCGATCTGGCAAGCACCGGACAAGGTCTGGTCGGTGAAGTCGTCCTCTTCGAGCGCCTTTTGCACGGCAGCCAGGCGCTTGAAAGCTTGTGCGCGAAGCTCGGGTGGAAGTTGTAGCACTCTTGAATCAGCAGATGGTTTGGCCTCCGCGTCAGTGCATTGGTACCCTGGATCCGCGGGCAGCATTTTCTTCAGTTGGTCTTGAGCGTGCAGCAGGGTACATTTGGTGCACTCGACGTCGGTGATTTCTTCCAGTTTGGTATATTCGTCCAGGCAATCTTGAATGGTGGTGGTGTTGCTTCCGACAGGCAGAGGAAGGGTCAGGCAATTGAATGGAATCATGCTCAAGCCCTCGGAATAACCACAGCGAGTGCAAGTCACCTTTTGGGCGAAGAGACCGTCGAGTGGGCTCTTTCCAGCCTTCACCGTATCCTTGGAGTCCTTTTGCGTGGTTGCTTCCGCATCATCCTCAGCAAGAGTCTCTAGACCGGCCTTGGCTGCTGATGCTCGCGAGGAAGCAAACGCCTTTATAGCTTCCTTGTCAATGGAGTCCAGTATTTTAGAGTAATATTCCTGCGCATCCTGCTGCTGCCATGAACTCATGTTCTTGAGCTTCGCCGGCGTCCACAACTGACGTCCATTGTTCGCCGGGTCGTTGAGGTTGTTGACAGTTGCCAACAGACTCGCACTCGTGCTCTCTTCATCGGAACTCAAGCTCTTGAGGTAGGCGTTCAGAGAGTGCAGGCTCGCGAGTCCTTGTAGCACGCTGTTTTGGTAGCAACTGGTGTCCCAATTGCCCAGGCCTGCCGGGGCATCGGAGTCGAGTTGTGGCCGTGAAAACAGGCTGGTGCTGGCCCGCCGCATGATGCCGACACCTTCGCTGGCGCCGGCCGGTAGCTTGCTGAGTAAAGATGCACCACTCATGCCGAGCATGCCACTCAAGGCCTCCTTCTTTGCCGCATGCGTTTGTGCGAGCATGCCGGTCGTCGCCAGCTCCTGTCTCTGGGCGCGGTGCAGGAGCAGCCGTTGAGGAATGATGTAGACTACGGCGTCCCAGATGAAGAGGTGTGGAGCGGCAACGGGATATTTGAAGTACAGCGAGAGGATGTAGAGGAAGGCGGAGGCGTAGAGGAGGGAAGTGGTGAGGGAGGGCGGTTGGAGGGAGGCGGATCCAAGATATTCCAGCTGCGCCGCGCTACGCTCCATCGTTCGCGACCTGGTTCACGGGAACAGAGCGGAGTTCATGTAGATGGGATGCTCTTGCGACGGAGCGCATGGTCGGTACTGAAAGAATGTGGAAGAGGTGAGTGTGCGAGTGAGAGTGTTTCAGTGAATTGCTGCAGGCAAGTTGAGGAATGCAGCAGAGGTTGCTGACAAAGATTTCGAGATTTCTCCAGATCTGGAATTTCATGGAATCGATTGAGAACCAACCTACGACACACCCCATCATCCCCGTGCGTTAGAAGAGATGGGCAAGACGCCAAAACCGAAGGCGAGAGGTAAATGATGCTACAAATACCGCGACAGTTATGCCTGAGCAGCATTATTGACAATCTACTAGAGCAATCTGTTCACTCCCGAGCAGCTCGCCGCCAGGCCACACCCCCTCCGACCTCGAGCCTCGCAGCGAAGCAGTCAGCACAGGATGTCGCGGCCCAGCCGTGGATCCATCACGCCCAGAACGCTGGCATTGCAAAGAAGAAAAAGGCCAAGCCTTTGACGCGACAACAACGTCTACGACACCAGCGGGGCATGGAGAATGCGGCGAGGAATGTCGACAGGCTGGAGAAGAAGGTGGCAGAGAGCAAGCGTCGGGGGAGGAAGGTGAGGGACAGACGGACGGAGTGGGAGGAGTTGAACGGCAAGGTCGAGGCGAAGGGAGATGGAGCAGAGGTGGATGATGCAGAGGAGATTCGGGCGCCAATGAAGGCGGACTGGACGAAGAAGATGGTGGAGGTGGAGCTGGAAGAGGCGCTGGAGGAGATTGAGGGCTTCGAGCTGCCTTCCATTGCGCCGCAACGCGAGACGGTGGACGAAGCGGATACGGCCTCGCTCGAGGCAGCGCCAAAGGAGAATGAGCCTCTTGCTACACCGACGGCAATTGAACTGGACGAAGTGACTTGAAACATGCTACATTGAGCGGCGCCAGCATTCCAACAACGATGAATCGACGTGCCCTCTGGCAGCCTCGGCCGTTGATGGGATCCTCGTCAGATGCCCCACCAGTCCAGGACAAGCATTGGCACCTGCATCGCGAAAGTCCAAAGGGTTCAATACGATCCACAGGAATACTATCAGGCATTCTTTCGACCAAGCCCAGCGCTGTCAAGGAGGATGATTGCACAGTCCTGAGCACCATGGCCTCGAGGTCCATTGTCGCAATGCAGGACACAGTGTCGCATCATCAACAGGCAATTATTGCCTATCTACAGTCTCCATCGAGAACAACCCAGTCCTATTTACTTGCAAGGCCAAGCGAGCACGCGATTGTTTCCGGCATTTTAGGCCCCACCGCGCCAGCCAGCTAATAAACTACGAGGCAAGGATACCGTGCCGTGGTATATTTTCAGCCCTGACCCGCTTGACCAAATGCCTAAGTTTCAGTCTTCCACCTCGTTTATCCATGTCTTGTGATTACTCCTGCCATCTTCCCGTGATGGCTAATGCAAATATCGGTACTCACTGACGTGGAATTGTCAAAAACAGCCGACAGACAAGCATGGAAGGAGTCTTCAAGCCTTCCACCACCATAGCGTGGGCCAGGTTCTTGGGAGTCTTCGCGCCATCCCTCTACTGCGGTATCACGGCCCAGCGTAGGTCGAGGTGAAGAGAGCAATGCAGAGCTAACGTGTCTCTGCTAACCAGGGTTCACGGCATCAGATAGTTTGACGTTTGTCCAGCCCATCATTTCACACGCTCCCAATGAAAAGACCATGGCGGCGCAGTGGTATCGCGGTTACCAATACGGTCCATCCTGGGTGCCTCCCCTGATCGCTACAGGCACGCTGAGCAACCTCTGCCTTGCCTACGCCGCCACCAGCTCTGCGCAGCGTGATCTGTACATCGCCGCCGGGCTGGCCATCTTCAGCGTTCTCCCCATCACTTTCTTCTACATGGAGCCTGGCATCAATGGGGCAACGAAATGGAAGGTGCAGAGCTTGTTGAGAGAGGACGGATTTCACCTGCCAGACACGAGCATTTGGATGCCGAGTTCGAGGAAGCACGGGAGTACCGCGGCGTCGCGAAGATGGGGGGAGGAATGGAGTATGAAAGAGCTGATTGTGTTTTGGCGGAAGGTGAACAACGTTCGCTGGGTGATAGGTGGAGTGGCAGCGGGATTGAGTGGATGGGCGACACTTGCCATGCTACCCTAGACTTGTATCTTGCACCTGGTGGATGAAATGAGAGAGCTGGGGAAACGCCGCTCGTATTCACCCAGCCCTACGCTCGGGCCACCGTCCAAGGCAGAACGGAAATGGGCCGCGGCTGGGCAAAGCGCGGCCCCTCATTCACTTATTAGCCCACGTCTAGCCGTTGCGTACTCGAGCTCTCCAGACTCTCGAAGATTTTCGGAGACGAGGTCGTCGTCTTTCGCATTGAACATCACCCGTGTGCAGGGCAGCCAGCCATGTCTGCCACCGACGCCAATGGCACCGCAGATGGCGCCGCCGACATCAGCAAGCTCCTGTGGGAACACCCCGACCCCAAGTCCACCAAGATGTGGGACTTCATGCAAAAAGTAAACAAGAAGCACGGCAAGACCTACCATACCTACACGGATCTCTACCAATGGAGCATAGACAACGTCGCCGATGCCTGGGCCGACATCTGGGACTACTGTGGCATCCGACACTCCCAGCCCTACAAGCAGGTCGTACAGGATGCCAACACCATGTTCCCTCGTCCCGCATGGTTCGAGGGAGCCAAGTTGAACTTTGCCGAGAACCTGTTATACCCCACCAACGAGCCCAAGGAGACCGATGTGGCCATCATCGCCGCCACCGAGACCACGAGGGAAGAGGTCACGTGGAAGGAGCTGAGGGAGCGGGTGCACAAGTGTCAAGGGGGAATGCGAGCTGCCGGGTTGAAGGAGGGCGATCGAGTTGCGGGCTACGTTGCCAACCACACCAGTGCCTTGGTTGCCATGCTTGCTGCGACGAGTTTGGGTGCCATCTGGACCGCGGTCAGCCCCGACACCGGCGTGACTGCTGTCCTGGACCGAATGGTGCAGATTGAGCCCTCCTTGCTCTTCACCGACAACGCCGTCATGTACAATGGCAAGACGCATCCCGTCCTACCCAAGGTCAAGGAGATTATTGAGAACCTGCCGTCCCTGAAAGCCACCGTCGTCTTCGAAACCAGCCCGTCGATGGACACGAAGATTGAAGGAGCACAGCAGGGCAAAGTCATACCCTACAAAGACTTTACGAGCAAAGCTGCAGAGGGCAAGATGGAATTCGCACAACTGAACCCAGACCAACCCGTGTATATCCTGTATTCCTCGGGAACGACCGGGGCGCCAAAGTGTATCGTGCACGGCGCCATCGGCACGTTGATCCAACACAAGAAAGAGCACATCATTCAAGGCGACATTCGGCCGGGAGATCGGCTCATGTACTTCACTACATGCACGTGGATGATGTGGCACTGGCTTGTTTCCGGTCTGGCTGCTGGTGCAACGTTGGTCTTGTACGACGGCTCGCCCTTCCAGTACCTGGCAGACGGGAAGTCGGCCAAGGACAATTTGGCAATGCCCAAGTTGATTGACGAGCTCGGCATCACACAGTTTGGCACCAGTGCCAAGTTCCTGTCTGTCCTGGAGCAAGCCAATGTCATGCCCAAAGAGCACGGCCTCACACTGAAAACACTCCGCGCCATCTATTCCACCGGCTCACCACTGGCGCCCTCAACATTCAAGTACGTCTACCAAGCATTTGGACAGGTCAATCTGGGATCGATTACCGGCGGCACAGACATCATCTCTCTCTTCGGCGCGCCGAGTCCCCTTCACCCGGTGTATGTTGGAGAAGTGCAAGTTCTGGGTCTTGGCATGGCGGTGAAGGCGTGGGACAGCGAAGGCAAGGACGTCAGCAAGACAGGAGAGCCAGGCGAGCTCGTGTGTGTGAAGCCATTCCCGTGCCAACCCGTGACTTTCTGGGGCAAGGAAGGGAACAAGAAGTATCAGTCCAGCTACTTTGACCAGTTCCCCGGCGTGTGGGCGCACGGCGACTTCATCCGTTTCAACCCCGAGACAGGCGGCCTCTTCATGCTCGGGCGGTCAGATGGCGTGCTGAAGCCCAGCGGCGTCCGCTTCGGCAGCGCGGAAATCTACAATCTCCTCCTTAAGCACTTCCCCGACTCCATCGAAGACGCGCTGTGCATCGGCCGAAGGCGCGAGCAGGATACCGATGAAACGGTGGTGCTATTCTGCAAGATGAAGGAGGGAGAGAAGTTTAGCAGCGAGCTGGCGGATGGAATCAAGAAGGTGGTTAGGAAGGAGTTGAGCGCGAGGCATGTGCCGGGCGTGATTGATGAGTGTCCGGAGATTCCGGTGACGGCGAATGGCAAGAAGGTGGAGGGCGCGGTGAAGCAGATTTTGAGCGGGACGAACGTCAAGACGAGCGCTAGTGTGGTGAATGCTGGTTGTTTGGATTGGTACCGGGATTGGGCGAAGAATCATTGATGGGCGACTGTCTGGCGCATCTCATGTCACGATACTTCACCAAAATATACTGTCCGTATCTACAGGGCCTCCGTTAGACATACAGCCTTCGAGATCGTCCCCTTCGGCCAAGGTGACCAGTCATTGGCAGCGAGGTTTTGGTAGCCTTCATCCCCAGAAATGTCCGAGAAAAGCTGCAGTCGGCGGCCCCGTATTTCACGTGACCAGGCTTCATCGACCCTTCGGAATCGTTGAATGATAGGATGGGCAGTCTGAATGTTCTGTTTGAACAGAGGCATACGTAGCTACAGAATATCCGGTGAGGGTGAGCAACAGCTTGTTCCCGTCAAATCACTCTTTGAAGGCGTCCTTGGGCTTCCCAAACTCGGCATCTAATTCCTTTTCGATTGCCGCATGGTACCTATCGATTCCGCCAGGTCGGCAACATACGGTAAGAAGGTCGTCGGGAATGTCCACGCCCTTGGGCAGCTCGGTGGTCAGGTTGCGGGTGAAGAGAGTCATGCCATGGCCAATATTGGGCTCGAAAGTGTAGGAGATGGTGGTGATGCCCTCCACGCCGCCCGAGCCGTCCGCGTTCACGCCGACCTTGTTGATTTGTTGGAAGACAAACTTCGTGGGTCGTCGAGCGGTGATGAGGGTCCACTCGGAGTGATAGGTGTTGGGTGGGAGGTCTACTTTCTCCATCCAAGTGTCTCCAATTTGCAGAGGGAGCTTCAGATGCTTCGAGCCCTCGTGCATGCCTCCACTGCCTTTGTACGTTCTGCCCCAATTGCCCGGGTTGCTGACGAAATCATACACCCTCTCTGCAGGGTGCGCAAAGACCGTCTCGGACGTGATGCTGAAATTCCCCATGATGCTAACGGATGGCTGAGTAAGTGCTTTTGCTGACTGACTTTGACAAACTCGATTGTTTGCAAATCGCCGAGTAATGAGGTGTTGCCCGTAATTAAGCAGGCAAAGCAGGCTGTGCCCGCCCCCGCCTTCCAACTTCCACCGGACAATGTTGCCGATGGCTTGACTAACAACGGATGCGGGGGAATCGCTCCCCTTTCGTGCTCGAATGACCAGCCAGTCCTGCAAGCCGTGGACAATCTGAACGACCCATCATACTTGCTCCTTTGACCAGACGCTGAGCATTTTGAGATCAATTGATATTCGAGTCTTTTAAGCTATACAGTGATCATGAGGTTTCCAGGAGTAGCGACTGTCGTTGGTGCGGGATCTGGTATGCCACATTCAAGCCAAGTTCTTCACAGTCCATAATAACACAATACAGGTATCGGACGCGCAACGGCCATACTGTTCGTGAAGCGGGGATGCACCAAGATCGCGATCGGAGACGTCAATGTTGCTGGACTGGCGGAAACGAAGAAGCTGATGCTTGAGGTGAAGGGGGGAATCGAAGTGCTCGACGCCGAATGCGGTATTGATTCACTCCAATGTCTAGAACAACTCGTGGACTAACGTTGTGTGCATGGCAGACGTGACATCGGAAGAGTCCGTCAACACCTTCTTCACCAGAACCGTGGCGAAGTTCGGAAGGTTGGATTACTGCTGCAACGTGGCAGGCATGTTAATTCCCGGCGCCTCCACTGACCTGTCGGCGGCTCAATACGACAAGCAGCACAGCGTTAACTGCCGTGGAATGTGGCTGTGTCAACGAGCCGAAATCACACAGATGCTGAAGCAGGATCCCATCGACACTCCAGACAGCGCGTTCCAGTCGCGAGGAGCCATTGCTAATGTCGCCTCAATGGCTGGGTTAAGGGGATACGACAACTTGGCCTCGTATAGTTCGACGAAACACGCCATCCTCGGCTTCACCAAGTGTGATGCGTACGGCTATGCTTCGAAGCTGATTCGAGTGAATGCGGTCTGCCCCGGCGTGATAGCCACGCCAATGCTGGGAGAGATCGATCCAAACGATAAAACGAACATTGCTGAGATGACCAAAGACATGGCCATGGGTCGGCAAGGACAACCAGAGGAGGTGGCCGAGGGTCTGCTATGGTTATGTTCATCGTACGCCAGCTTCGTCACCGGAATTGGCCTCCCGGTCAACGGTGGGATGGTCGGAGCGTAGATTCGATGCGACTAAACTCGCTAGAGCTTGCCATATCTTAAATACTCATCTGTAAAATGAAGATGAACATACGTTGTATTGACATGGCGATGCATGTGCAGTCACTTCGCGATAAGATTTCACAGCCTTGCGCTGCGCCGGATAAGCTGCGTTTCGATCAGCCACGTGGCGGGTTGAGGCAAATGCGAAATGCTCTCAATAGTTTACGCACATTCCCAATATCTGGCTCACTTTACCGATGTTCTCCTGCAGTCGTATAAGATATCCGAGCTAAGCAAATGATGCATCGGTGGGAAGGTGACCCTATTACCCGCACGGCAGACATTTTCCGGGTGACCAGACTGTCGCCAGGGCATTAGAGACCAATGGTGTCGGTGTTCTAATCCTTTTACGGTCGTCCAGAGCTCCCCGGGTCTGACAGCACCTGCAACCCTTCTCGTTCACATTGCTCTGAAATATACCGCACATCATATATCCTGTTGTCGAGATGTCGCCAGCAGAGCCTGTCAACGCCGACGTAATGTAGGACTCTCTTGGAGCTCATGTCCGACTTCGACTAATCAATGTCATAGCATCATTGGCGCCGGGTTTGGAGGATGCTACTTGCTTAAGTTGCTGCGGGACGCGGGCTTCTCGGTCAAGGTCTTCGAAGCTGGCTACGGTTTGGGCGGCATCTGGTCATGGAATCGCTACCCCGGCGCGCGCGTCGATTGTGAAACTCCCTTCTACGGCTACTCGGACCCTAAACTCTGGAGTACCTGGTTCTGGCCAGAGCGATTTCCCGATGACAAGACGTTAAGAGAGTACTTCAGCCATGTCGACAGTGTCTGGAAGCTGTCAAAAGACGTCTACCTCGAGACTCGCGTCACCGCTGCGTCTTTCATAGACGACAAGGAGCAGCCGTATTGGGAAGTGCAGACGGCCGACGGACAACTCCATAAGTGTACATGGTTGGTACCCGCCACCGGCACTTCCTTCAAACAATATATTCCTACGTGGAATGGTCTCAAGTCTTACAAGGGCATTATCGCTCACTCATCCCTCTGGCCTCGAGAAGGAGTTGAAATTGAAGGCAAGCGTGTCGCAGTCATCGGTGCTGGAAGTACTGGCGTTCAGTTCACACAAGATGGATCAAAGGTGGCCAAAACCTTGACTCAGTTCATCCGCACTCCCAACACCGCTCTCCCCATGGGCCAACGCAAAATCAGCCGAGAAGAGATCCTTAGTAACAGGGACAAGTACGTTATCGTCGTCCGCAGGTGCCCGAAAAACGTGCTGACGGTGTGATCGTAGGTACGGACATTTGTTCAAAGCTTGCCGTGGCACGGCCTTCGGTCTGCCCACCGAGGGGTTGACGTTCGGCACATTCGACGTCAGCGCAGAGGAGAGGGAGGCCATTTGGAATGAGTTGTGGGATCGTGGAGGATTCAACTGGTATGCATTCAAACGGCGAGATATCTCACAGTTTTGAGCTGATATGCGGCAGGTCTATCGGCGGCTTTCCAGATACGATCATCTCCAAAGAGGCGAATCGCGCCGCTTACGACTTCTGGGTGAAGAAAACGAGGGCGAGGATAAGGGATCCAAAGAAGCGAGACCTGCTTGCGCCATTGGAACCGCCCTATTATCTCGGGACCAAAAGACCGTCTCTTGAGCAGGGTGGGCGCACCTGCCATTGAACCGGCGCCATATGCTGACATCCTGTAGACTATTACGAGGCGATTGACCAAGAACATGTAGAGATAACGAACTCGCCAATTGTCGAGTTCACAGAAACGGGAATCAAGACTGAGGATGGAAAGGTCCACGAATTCGACGTGATCGCCGTCTGCACCGGATACGATGCAGTCACCGGCGGTCTCCGAACAATGGGCATCAAGGGACGAGGCGGCGTCGACCTAGACGAATACTGGAATGACGGAATCCGTACTCATCTGGGCATGATGATACACAACTATCCTAACCTGTACATGATCTACGGCCCTCAGGCGCCCGCATCATTCACCAACGGCCCGCCCTTCCTCGAGATGCAAGGCGAATGGATTCGCGATGTTATCTGCAAACAGCGCGAACAGAAGATCCCCGTCCTCGAAGCCAAAAAGGACGCCGAGACGGCTTGGGCCAAAGGCATCAGTGAGCTTGCCAATGGTACATTAGCCATCCACACCAACAGCTGGTACATGGGTGGCAATGTGCCGGGAAAGAAACGGGAATTTCTGTTGTACCTTGGTGGATTACAGGAGTGGAATCGGGCGTGTCAGAATGCGTTGAGCGATTGGCAGGACTTCGAAGTCACTCGTGGATCCGAATCGGTAAAGCTGTAGGTTTAGAGAGAGAGGATGCTTTGGACAAAGTAGATTGATTGCAACATGGCTTCTCCCTAAAGTGATCTCCACAACCAAGACTGTACAGTGCAAGCGACACGCATCCGACCACTGACCCAAGCGCCGAGAATATGCGATCGCATCTCCATGATGCCAGACGGTTTCGAACCGATATTTCTCGAACTTTGTTTTATACTTAATGAACGCCGTTGCTTTGCGTGCCATTGAGCTTCGATGGGCCGTTGGCTTTGATGGTGAGAGCCTTCGGACCATCGTTCACCTTGTTCTTCCTATCTCTTACCCGCTCGTCTTCGTCTGCACTCGGCTTGAAACTGTAGAATTTCTTCTCGATCCCCTCCTTGGTGATGTAAGGGGAGAGATCGCCGCCTTCCGCTTGAGCTTTGGTGAATCCCAATCCCATGAAGGAGAACATGTTGTGAGGGCTTGAGTACTTGATGTTGTAGTCCTCATACCTCGGGGTTCGAATCATCTCGGCGTAATGCAGGGAACTGCCCGGCCAGACCGAGTTGACTCTTCCGGTGACGTTGTCCTTGTACCATGCGCGACAGTTTGGATCTTTCCACGTTGTCCCATGGAGCCAAGTTTGGGTGTGCTCGTTGAACTGATCGGCGACGTCCTGCTTCGGGTCGAAGGAGTGGATGTGCTCCCGCTGCATTTTCTTGATTATCGTGATAATGTAGTCACCGACAGCCTGTAAGGGGCCGAGAACGGAACCGTTGGAGACGGGAAATGTTGGGCCTTGGAACTGATAGAAGTTCGGCATATCGGGAACGGCCAGACCCAGGTATCCTTCAGGGATCTTCGCCCACTTGTCTTGTAGCAACACCCCATTTCGACCTTTCATGGGATAGTGAGGAACGTAGGATACGTCGAAGCCGGTGGCACATACAATCGTGTCGACTTCGACCTCTGAGCCGTCACTGCCAATCACAGAGGTCGGGGTAACTTTCGTGACCGCCCCTTTATGCAGTTTCACGTTTGGCTGCTGCACTGCCTTCATGAATGGATCCCCTGCTCTCTGAGTTAGCGGAGAACACTCTTGATGCCGGGAAGAGCCTCAAACCAGGCGTTAACCTCCGACAGCCGAAGGGGAAGTCAGGGATCAGAATGTCAAAGATATCATCATTGGTGATATGTTCTCTCATCCGCTCGCCGAACCTTTTCCGCGCCATCAAGGCCTCCGCCGACCCTGTCATCATTGCCCTGATACCATGGATCCCGTTTAGCCCACCCTCGATCGATTTGGCCAGGTCTACGAGCGCATCGGTATCATCTCTCAGAGTTTTGCGCTGTTCGAGTGGGTCTGTCACGCGATTAGTCACGTGATCCAACTTATGAGTGCGAAAGATATGTGTCTCATCGCGTGGGTACAACTTACAGTCGCGATTGACGCCCGAGTGGCCCGCGAGGTCCACGAACCAGACTGCCGTTCGAACGTATACATCCATATGCTTGGCGTGGCGCTGGAGTGACGGAACAACCTGAATCGCCGATGCACCGGAGCCGAGCACGGCGATACGATCGTTGGCCCATTGCTCTGGTCCATATTCATCCGGCCAACGGGCGGTATGCAGGAGTTTGCCCTTGAACGAGTGCAAGCCTTCGACTTCCTCCGGAAACTTCCAATCATTCAAGAGTCCGTTGGCGCCGAGCAGAATATGGCAGGTTTCGGTGGTGGTTTCTCCCGTCAAGGCATTCCGGATATCGACGTGCCATTGGCCTTCTTCCTCGTTCCATTCACATCTTTGGACGACGGAATTGAAGCGCATAAATTTGCGCAGGTCGAAGCAGTCCACAACTCGGAGAAGGTAGCGGTAAATGTCGTCGCTCCCCGATAGATATTGCGGCCAGTCCGCGTTGAGTGCGAACGAATAAGTGTACGCGTGACTGGGCACATCACAGGCGCAGCCTATCCAAATACGTCAGCAAACGTAGGGCACCTCGCTGGACTCATTAGGTACCTGGGTAACGATTCTCAAGCCAGGTGCCCCCAATGTCGCCATTCTTCTCCACCACAACGTGTTCGACATTCTTGCAGTCTCTTTGAATGAGGTGCGCCATAAGAATGCCACTCAATCCGGCTCCAATGGTGAGGACGCGAACAGGACGGTCTTCGCTATTCAAGACTCGGTCCGGAATTGCATAGCCTGTTGCATCGTTCCTGTGGCCAATTCGATATCCGTACTTCCCTCCCGGTCCGTTGGGATCTGTCTGATCATTCTCATCTTCGTGGTATTCGAAGACCATGTTGGCGTTGTTGGAACGACGGGCGTCGATCGATTGAATTCGAGAGAGTCGACCACAAAGGCGTCGAAACGAGTAAATTCGAGAGAATTGACTAGAACAAGACCGAGCTCGTAATTGTATCTGGCAGGGGGTGAGACTTACTATGTACTGTTTCGCATCGCCACCAGACGTGTGGTGTAATGAAAGTGGACGGCAACTCTCATCGTAGCCGAGGGCTCTCCAGCGTGCGAATCGCGGCCAACGCGGTCCCGGGAAAGACAGCCGCCATGAGAGGTCAAGCTTCGCCGGTGCCGGCCGCGCATGTCGTTGCCACAACACATATAGAGCGGTGATCAGAGATGCCAGTCGAGCGGCGGCATGTGACGAAGTTGTTTGAACATGCTCTCACAAATATCTCGCAGCCTGCGTATAGCACGGCCAGCACTGCGATGTCGTGGAATGGCCACGGTCAACTCCGGGCTTTCCATCAATCGCCTTGCCGGCGCAGTTGGCGCTGAGATCCACGGGGTCGACCTCAATCAACTGGACGATTCCACCACCAAGGCCATCCGGCAGGCTCTCCTGGACAATGGTGTCATCTTCTTCCGCGACCAACAACTCAGCCCCGATCAATATCTGGAGGTCAGCAAGAAATTCGGCAAGCCGGTCGAGTACCCCTTTGTCAAAGGCATTGATGGATACCCCGAGATCATTGAAGTATTGAAGAAGGAGACAGAAAGAGCTAATTTCGGTGGAATATGGCATTCCGATACCGTTTACCAACAAGAACCCCCGATGGGCACGATTCTGTACGCGAAGGAGCTGCCGCCTTTTGGCGGAGACACGATGTTCGCAAGCCAGGTTGCAGCCTACAACTCACTTTCCGACGGCTTGAAGGCGACGTTGAGCAGCCTGACGGGTATCAATACCTCTGCCAAAGCAGCCGTGTCTAAGACGCGCGAAGATCGAGTGGGCGATTCGGGAAGCAAGGCTGATGACCTTATCTCCTACCATCCAGTCGTCAGGTTCGTTCGCCACTGTTTATGAACTTACAAGCAGTACACTAATCACTTCACAGAACCCATCCTGAGACCGGCAAGAAGGCGCTGTTCGTCAACGTTGCACATACCGAGCGGTTCGACGGATGGTCGGAGGACGAAAGCACTCCGCTCCTGCAATTTTTGCACCAACACCAGATCAAACCCGAGTTCACATGTCGATTTAGATGGAGTGTTGGCAGTGTTGCGTTCTGGGTAGGCGAGCTACACGTCCCGTGACTGAGTCGCCATCGTTGCTGATTGAATGTCTTTCTAGGACAACCGACAAGTGCAGCATTACCCCATCAACGACTATCACGGGTACAGGAGGAGTATGCATCGGATTACGCTGGCGGGTGACAAGCCCAAATGATTGTGGATGAGGTGTATTTAAATTTCGATTGTCTTTGACTGTTGAATATGAGCGTTGAAATGCAAAATGTTGGCATGTGACCTTGACAGGCACCCTCCGCTCACTATGGAAACGGCCCGGAGGCTCTCACAATCGTTGAATGTATAGTATAGCAGATCCTGAAATAGGTTCGAGGCTCGGGAAGGCTTGTTGCATGGGAGATGGTACATCCAGCTGCAGGCTACGTGCCAGAAGAAGTGATAGCCATACCATGTCTTCTGGCACGAACCACTTCTTCTGGCACGCAGCCTGCCGACCTGCCTGTCATCCTTTCCCCGGAACCTTCCCCGCCGAAATTCGAGACCGTTCGGCGCGGCGTGTGGGGTTCTCGGCTTGCCCAAGTCCGCGTGCAGCTCGTTCTAAATACTACCGCGCCGAAACTGCATCTTCCGGATAAAGCAGACGAGCATGAAGGATGGAGACGGGAGAGGCGACCGCGACTCCCGCGCCTCGTGGCACCGGTCGCAGTGGACCTCGAGCCTCGTTGGCATGCATGAATTGTCGACAGCGCAAGATCAAGGTACCTCTCACACCAGCCCTAGGCACGCCTGGTGATCCCACAGACACGACAATTCACTCACCAACCCCCCTGCAGTGTCGCATGACAGATCCCAACTCCGCGGCGTGTCACTCGTGTCGCTCCCTCGACCTGCCTTGTATCGTCAACAAAGACGGTGACCGGTAAGCCTTCTTCCACGACATCCTTCGCATGCTGTCTTGTTCGTCTGACTAACCTCGACACAGAAGGAAGTAAGTGCCACCGCAAATCCCTACCCGAGCTGCCTGCAGTTGTGCTCTCCCCTTGTCGATTCGTACGATGAATGGCTATCCGCTGACGTGTTCTAGAGCTGGGTCACGGCAGCATGTCGCTGCACTTCAGGAGCGCCTCGACTACCTCGAGTCCTACATTGCCAATCAGAACGCTGCTGCAGCCGACTCTTCTTCCGCCTTCCCATCCAATGTTGGTCCACCTCCGATGGGCGTTCACATGCCCTCATTCGATGGATCGACTGCCTCGGCACGACGCTCCAGCAATCTCCCCGACTCTCAAGGCTCGCAAAGTAGCCCCCAATCAGCAATGTCGAACGTGAACAATCTCATGTACATGGACCATGATGTGTCGCCAGGTCAAGCGCTACCGGGTGGTCAGTCTCGTCAAGCGGATCTGGGCCGACTAACACCATCATCCGACAAAGAAACAAATCGCCTGCAACTCGATGAGGCGTATGGCGGCCCACGGTTTTACGGTCCCACCTCTCAAGCCCATATCCACCGCCAAAGTGTACCCGTCGAAAGCGAGGAGCACGCCACGCACGACGAGGGCCTCAATATCGATTCCACGCCTCTGCGAACGGCAATCTTCTCAACCTACTGGAAAATCCAGCCTCATTCCATCGTCATGGTCGACGAAAGTCTTTTCCTCGAAGGCCGAGAGGGCAGACGCCGCTCAGAATACTACTCCACGTTCTTGGAGGATGCTCTACTTGCATCTGCCACACGTATGAGTACCTCGGGAGGCGTACGAGCCTTGGGCCCCAAATTTGTGGAGCGCGCAAAGGCAGCCATTGCGGACGAACTCGAGCGGCCCAACACCGCGACTCTCCAAGCGTTTCTTTTGCTCAGCGATTTCGAAGCCACGAGGGGCCGAGATCGCTTAGGATATCTGTACTGTGGTAAGTCTTGTATCTCAGTGTTACCATTGCCCCTATCTAACGTATGCAGGTATCGGCTGCCGCCTGGTTTTCGACCTCGGGCTTCATGAGAGCTGCGCAGATCTCGTCTCCAGAGGGAAAATGGCACCGCACGAAGCCATGTGGCGGCATACTGTGTTTCTGGGATCGTACGTGTATGACAAACTCTGGAGCCTCTACACTGGACGACCCGGCACTATCCCCATAGCGACTGTCGACGTAGCACACAGTCGAGCGCTGGCGTCTGGCTGGCTCGGTCCTGCCTCCCTCGATCCTTGGGTTCGTCTCTCCTCGGACATATCGGAAGCGACAGACATTCTGAATGGAACATCACCACTCAACGACGAGGCCAAAGAGCGACTTGTCAGACTCGACGAAACGATCCAGAGACGCCCTGAGAATCTACCACTCGAGCTGATGCTAAACAAGGATCGGGTCTCTGATCTGCCTCCGAGCGCGTACAGCCTTCACATTCAGTTTCACGGCATTCGAATCATCCTGCACAGACTGCTGTACAAGACGGCAACTCACCAAGCCATCGAATCACCAAGCGACGCCGATCACAGAAACTTTAGCCTTGAGCACTCGCGGGCAATCATGTACGAGAATGCAACACAGATTGCACAGCTTGTCTCCGTGTATCAGCAGATCTTCGGGATTGAGCAAGTCATCACCATCATGCTCGACAACTCCTACGTTGCTGCTGTCGTGCTTGTTTCACATCTCCTTCGCGTGGGACAGATGGATCCTGTCCCGCCTGGCGTCGATAGAGATATGAACCGTCTACGGGCGCTGGCCGACCTTCTTTCGAAGGCGCAGAAACACTACCCCGTCACCGTCCGCATGCGATTCTCCCTGGCCAGTCACGTGGAGAACACACCCATGGCCGGCATTTTCGGAACGTTTGCGCACAACACCCACGAACCGCAAAACGCAACGGTGACGGAAGTGCCATCCAACATACCAGCACACGCGCGACAAACACTGCCAGAAGGCAGCGCCGAGATCTTTCAGGACTTCAACGCCGGTCGCGCCGATATGGCTCTCTTCGAGGACTGGGGCGGTGACACGGGCGAGAGTATCTTCCAAGAGATGGACATGCAGAATATGCTGTCCTGGGCACTGAGTCCGCACAACACGCGCACGGATCTGGCCTTTCAATGACGAGACCATGGTGAGACTTCTATACTCGCTATAATGTAGAGCTATTTCCGGCCTCTCCGGCACGGGATTGTTCACAATTTGCTGCGCTCGCGCAGGTCTACACGCGAGGGCAGCTCGTTTTCCAGCGCCGTGGTGTTGACATAGTAATCACTCAGCTGGCTCAGGTCAGTGACACCCAGTAGTCTCATGGTTGTTTGGATCTCGTCATTTAAGACTGTGCAATGGTGTCAGTGTCTCAGGAATACGGCTGCTAATGAGGACGAAACTCACGTTCAATCAACTTGCAAACGCCATCTGTGCCATAGGCGCTCAGAGCGTACAGGAACGGTCGTCCAAGTCCAACAGCTCGCGCACCCAACGCAAGTGCTTTCAGGACGTCCGAACCTCGCGACACTCCTCCGTCCAGGTAGAATTCCATCTTCTTCAACAAATCAGGCCGGTACTTGCGAATTTCGAGAAGGGTGGAGATCGAGCTGGGAGCATAGTCCATCTGGCGTCCGCCGTGGTTGCTCAGATAGATACCGTCGATCCCAGCTTCGGCAGCCATGACCGCATCTTCCACCGTTTGAATGCCCTTGAGGATGACGGGTCCCGTGTTGCCCCACTGCTCACGAATCCACGAGAGGTCGTCCCACTCCAGGGTTGATGAGTGTGCGCCTCGCACGATTGGAGCATTGTCCTCTGTGCTGAGAGAGCGTGGAATGTTGATGCCAGCGGCATGATCCAGCTCGGCTTTGTACCGATCGTCTTCTTCCCGTTTTCCAATGACCGGCGAATCAACGGTCAATACTAACGCCTTGAAACCGAGCTTGATGGCGTCGCGAATAAGAAAACTGGCGTTGGGCTTAGCGACTGGAACGTACAGTTGAAATGTCAGAGCGCCGCCTTTCTTCTCAGCCGCCAGACAGGCCGAGAGCTCTTTATGCGCGACGGAGGAGTAGGTGCTGGTGCAGTAGGGGATGTTGTGGCGCGCTGCGCCTCGAGCAAGACAAAGCTCGCCATCGGGATGCCCTTGTCGAGCCTGAGCGGCAGGAGCAATGAAGAACGGCAGGTCACTGTCGTGTCCCATAAAGGTCGATCGCATCGAAACCCGACCCACGTTGCGCAGCACACGAGGCCGAAGCCTTATCCTTGTCCAGTCCAGGCGATTCTGCTGAAGGGATGCCAGGCTGTCGGTCGCGGAGGAGTAGAACACCCAGGCCTTCTTTGACAGCCCCTGTCGTGCCGCCGCCTCGAATTCATCGACGTTCTGCAAAGTTGAGAGAGGCGGCACTTCGCCTTCTTTTACGAGTGGCATCGGCGGGCCTGCTGCTACAGAGCCTGCGACGGGGGACTCTACCGGCCCGAGGTGCTTCTCTATGACGATTCTCAGTTCTTTGATATTTTCAGGATGCGAACGGACGCTAGATACCTTTTGGAAGATGGGCATCCAGGGTGCCTGCTGGGTGGATAGGTTCGTATTCTTCAGTGGCGTCCTGCCCCGCGAGCCGGAGAATGCTCGAAGGGCCTCCTGGATGCTCATTGAGAAAGTCTGTAACATCATAGGCCTGTCCGGCAATGACAACCCAGCATGAGCTGCGGGAGTTGTGCTTCTGCACCTCCTCGAACTTCATCTTGAATATCTCTTCTGAGTAAGAAATGTATAAGCCGTATCACCAGATCCTCGTGACCAATGACTTTTCTTCTTTCGAGCCTTCACTTTCTTTCCATCAGCACGTCAAAAGAAGGGCGGTCTGGCTTATACTCTGCTCATCACAACGGCATGAGGAAGTGTAGTGCGGTTAAAGTAGCGTAGTCGGCACGTGGTGGCCGGCTTCGGCTCTTATACTTCCGTCGGGAACTCACGGCTCCTGCGGCATTTGATGTCACCTTGTCCTTCCTTTGCTTGTTCAGGCCGGGCTTGATGTGCATGTGGAGTGGATAGGTATGTGGTGGTGGTGATAGGCTGATTACGTTGACCGAGTGGCATGACCTTTTGCGAGCGTGTCTGCTATGAAGCGACTGCAGACTGACAGTCTACTGAGAGCTGGCAGAATGCACTAGTCCGAGACACTCCTCACTGCTCGCTCACAAACAACCCAGCCATGCCCATGCCAGTTCCCATGCACATCGACGTGACCAAAATCTTCGCCTTCCTCCTTCGGCACTCGCTCAAACCGCACACAATCTGTCTAACGCCGGTCATGCCGAAAGGATGACCAAGAGCAATTGCACCCCCACGCGGGTTCAACTTCTCCCATTCGATGCCAAGCCGATCACGGCAATATACTGCCATTGAGGCGAATGCCTCGTTGATTTCAATCACATCAATGTCGTTTATGGACAGGTTGTGATTGCTAAGGAGTTTGGGGATTGCAAAAACGGGACCGATGCCCTGGAAATGATTAGCTTATTACCCCAAGCGGCATCGAATGACCCAGGCCGACTCACCATAATCCGTGGCTCGAGTCCAGCAATTGCCGTCCCGACGTACTTTCCCAGGATAGGCTGCCGGAGCTCAAGCGCTTTGGATCGTTTCATGAGCACAATCGCTGCCGCACCGTCGGTGACCTGACTCGAATTCCCAGCATGACTTTTATCACCAAACTCGGCGAAGGATGGAGGTAGCTTGCTGATGGACTCGTAGGTAGTTCCGTACCTGATCTCGTCCTTGGTGATGGTCTTCTCCGTCTCCGTCCCGTCCTTGCCCTTGACTTTCACCGTGACGGGCACAATCTCGTCATCGAACCAGCCGCTCTTCTGCGCAAGCTCCGCCCGGCGATATGACTCGACGGCGTAGTGATCTTGCATCTCGCGGGTGATGTTGAATTCAGTGCCGACGGTCTCGGAAGTCTGACCCATAGGTTGTTCACAGTCCAAGGCGCTTTGATTTGCATTGCGGACTTCGTCGACAAATGGCCGATTGAGTCTGACATTGCCAAAGCTGAGGGTCTCTGCCCCCACAGCGACGCCAACGTCGATCAGTCCGGACGCAACCTCATTGGCAATGTGTTGCGTCGCGGTCAAGCTCGATGAGCAGAAGCGGTTGGTGGTCGAAGCGGCCGTGGTCACTGGGAAGCCAGCTGCCAGTGATGAGGCTCTAAGGTGATACACTGCAGTGCCATCCCTCACGTTTCCAAGACAGATATCCCCGAATTGCTGAGGGTCGACGTTGCTTTTCTTGACCACTTGCTCCAAGAGGCGGAAGAGCAGTGCATCCAGAGGCGTATCTTTGAACCCGCCCTTCTTGGCCTTGCACAACGGAGTCCTCAAGGCCAGAGTAATGACCACATCATCCGCTCTCTTCTGTGTTCTGGCAGTTGTCAGAGAGGCGAAGGCATGACAACCTCGGGTGTGCTTACATTCTGTCAATCGGGCTCGCATTCGGAGCCACATGGGACAAGATGCTTTGGAGGCGTTCGGTCGCCATGATCTTCTTTGGTCGATATTCGTCGATGCTCTTGAATTATCCAGGCATTCTCGGGTGCCATGTGCCTTCCGTCGGCCTGCTGTTGCGGAGTAACAAGCTCTCCGGCTGTCGATTAGCCGGCCAGCCCTTCGCCAGCCCTCCGCATCCGACTTCGGTACTGCCGAGCACTCCTCCAGAAAACAGTCTTGTCCTTGCCGCGGAGTAACATGTGTTGAACTGACGACCATTGCAGAGATGAGAGTGTTAAAATCACTAGAGTCGGACTTGGAGATCCCTCAAGTTGATCTCTTGACGTTGCTGTTTGGTCGCTCGCCCTACCGCTTGCCAAATCCAATCATGTCCGCTAACACGCATCGCAGATCCCAAATGGGGCGACGCAGAAGACGATACAGTGCTTCATGTTGAAGCCGCGAATCCTCGCAACACCGTAACCAAATCAGAAGCCCGAGATTTGGTACAGCGGATAGCATATGTCCTGCGGAACAACTATGGCATTGGCGCGTCCGAGTCCGGCCGGGATATCGTCCTGGCTACCAGCTGTGGAAACCCCATGATACCCGTCGTCTTTTACTCGATCGTCGCGGCCGGAGGAGTCTATAGTGGTGCCAGCACAGCCTTTCGTCCGGCCGAATTGGTGCGACAGATGAAGGATGCCGGAGGTGACCTGCGACTTCTCATGTGCAGTGCGGAGTACGAACAATCGACCGTCCAGGCTGCCAAACTTTGCGGCTTCCCACTCGATCAGATACTCGTCCTCGACTATAGCACTCCTAAGCAGTGGACTCTGCGGACTTCGGATCGCAAAGATGCCCTCAAGCTTGGACAGGGCCAACGAATGGATTGGGAACGAATTACGGACTTGAAGTGAGTCGCCCACATCTTGAAGGACGGAAGTCGACCATCGCTAATGACTCTGCAGAAAACTCGAGACGACCACGACCTGCCTTCTCTATTCATCCGGCACGACCGGCCTTCCCAAAGGCGTTCGACTCTCCCAATGGTCTCTGGTTGCAAACTGCGTCTGTACGATGTATGTCGGCAAACGCTTCAAAGCCCAGAGTAAGAATTCGTTCAAGTTCAGCACGATTGGACACCTCCCTATGGCGAACGTTGCGGGCATTAGCTTGTACTCGTGCAATCCCTTCTATCTAGGCGGAACGGTGTATTGGATGGACAGCTTCGATTTCGACCGCTTCTTGGATTATCAGAGACAATTCAAGCCCTCGTATCAATTCAGCGTGCCGCCAATCTGGCTGCGGATTGCAAAGAGTCCGAAAGTGACAGATCAGTTCGATTCTCTGCAAGTGGCGGTTACTGGCAGTGCGCCGATTGGGAAAGAAACCATGCAGGAAGCGAGGCAGAAGCTGGGCAAAGGTAAGGCGTTTTTGTCGCAAACGTGGGGCACCACCGAGACTGCTGGAGTCATCGCCGCACTGGATTGGCGAGTCGATGACAAGTCCTGGAGTGTCGGTACTCTGTGTCCAAACATCACCATGCGCATCCTCGATGAAAATGACAACGACGTGGCCGATCCATCACGTGACCCGGGCGAGTTTCTTATAGGTGGTCCCATCCTCGCGGAAGGATACCATAACAACGACAAAGCGAACCGGGAGACATTTGTCGATGGATGGTATCGAACGGGAGATATTGGAGTCTACAAAGATGGGCTGGTGTATATCATGGATCGCAAGAAGGAGTTGATCAAGTACGTCGTCCGACAATATTGCGAGGCCTGGGGCTAACGTATCTCACAGGTTCAAAGGGAATCAGGTGGCGCCGGTGAGTTCACACTCCGATTGATATTGTGGGTTAATGAACGTAGCTGACGGCGACTTTAGGCTGAACTTGAGGTGAGGATGCACTGTCCTCGTACTCCGAGCCAACATCGATCACTAACACGCTGGTAGGCTTTACTCACATCGCACCCCAAAATCGAAGACGCCGGCGTCATTGGAATCTGGAATCGCGAACAAGAAACCGAGCTCCCGCAAGCCTGGGTGGTGCGGAGACAAGGAAGTAACGACACGCCCATCAGCGAGCAAGAGATCCTCGATTTTGTAAAGGAGAACGTATCGGGGTACAAGCAGCTGCGTGGGGGCATCGTGTGGGTTGACGAAATACCCAAGAGCGCATCGGGTAAGATCCTGAGAAAAGAGCTCAAGGCGAGGGCGGAGGAATTAAAGGCCAAATTGTGAAGATGTTGCTTGCGCTGCCTTTACGTGTTGGAGCGCAGGTTGGGAAGGTGCGATACAGCGACTTGCCCACCGCGCCTTCTGCTTTCACGTCTTGGCACCCCAACGAGCTCGACGTCTACCTGCAATGCTGATGCCCTTCCATCTCACTTCACTCTCCTGACTTTTGCATCGTGAGGTACATTTGCTCATGCTGTGGGACTCAAGATGACTGCCGAGATCGTAGCAAGAGATGTCAGGCTTCCAACCGACCGTACTATTGCCTTTGCCATTTCCATCGTAGCCTCCAAACCTGAGGAGTTGAGCATCAGAGGTCGGCAGATCTCGACTCTCATCACAAACTCCGCTGACACCTGCAAGAATACATCGCACTCCTTCGACAGCATATCGCACCAGACCGCCGCGAGCATGCCCTCAGCTCTTCGCATAACCACCTGGACAGGTCAGCATATTGGCGCTCGCAATACGAGCGAAGCAACAACGCACGCCGAAAAGCCGAGTATGAGGCCACTGGTCTCAAACTGGAGATTGCTAAGCTAAAGGAGCAGCTCACTGAGCAGATTCCCGACGGTGCTGCTGGCAAGAAGCGCAAGAAGGCTGATGGGAACGATGTCCTCGTGCCGCGATCACCAAAGCGACCGAAGCCATCTGCCGCAGTGATGACCCGAGCCGCTGGCTCCGCAGAAATGATCGCAGAGTTTGATTTCACCGGCATGGGTGCAGCTTGTAAATGCTTTGCAGCCCTCAAGTTGTGTACCGTGTTGGCTAATGATGGTCAGGCGACACGCTCATGCGCAGCTTCTACCAGGTCAATTGCATCCTCACAACCAGCCAGAAGACCAATACTCCAGTCCTCGCGCAAAACTGCGTTCAGGCTGCTTCGGCAGTGGTGCAAGTGATCCGACAGATTGTGCTGAACGGCAGGACAAGTGATGATCCCAAGACGATTTTCAGAGCTTCCAGTAGAGCTGTCCTGTCCCTCACAATGGGGTTGAATCGACTGAGCCACGTTCAGGATGGTGTCGCCGTCCAAGGCCACGTCATATACGCATATGTCCGCATGTTCGCACATCTCGTTGATATCGCCTCGGAGTCTGTCCAATCAACTGTACTGGCATCTGACAACGCTGTACGCCCAGAGACAGCAACGAGGAAACGAGGAAAATCGAAGATGGCATCAAAGCAGGCTGCTCAGGTGTCGGATCCTGGAACACACCCAGCCAGGGATATGTTGGCGACATTCGTGTTTGACATCGTTGCGCAGTTGGACTCCAAGAATGAAGCGCACAAAGCCTTGTTCGAAGGGTACACGTACGTCGTACTGGAGAAGCTAGGCTCCCACTTGTATACGCTTGTCTTCGGCATTCCGCGGGCCGCGACGATTGAGGGCGAAATCTCGACCGTTCATGGCGAGGATGTCGACAGAGATGGCAACAAATCCGAAGACGGTCAAGCGAAGGCCGCAAGACTCGAGGCTTCGTTTCTCCTCCAGCTCATGAAGCGTATTGTGGCCATCGCGCCGGAGTACCTGGGGACAATCATGAGTACTAAACCAGCGATGTCGAAAAAGGCTGGTGTCCGAGATGGCGTGAAGGGTGCTTTAGCGAGTACAGCCCTGAAGCGTCTGCAGCAAACTCTGATCAAATGTGCGTTTGGTGCGGAAGAATCCCACGGTGCTGAGGGATTGCAGGTGAGTAGTACATGACGTTATTGTTCATTGACGACTGCTGACAGCATGTCTTTGTGGAGCAGGATTGCCTCAAGATGCCAGTAATGGTCGATGCGCCCTTGGCGATACCAGAGGTCAATGAGGCTGACGGACGGGAATGGTTCATCCGAGAGATGTGGAGGCTCTTAGGATGGCAGATCCTTGGTCAGGAAGAACAGCTTGTTTGAGAAGCGAATCAACCCCCGTGCAACGTAGACACGAAGACGATGTTGTCGTTTGGCTGCAGCTCGTAGCGGTCTTCGCCTTCGAGCTCCCAGTCGGCATCATTGATCAGGACCAAGACTCCCGGTCGTCTGAAACCACGTCAGCCAATCTTCTACGCACTGATAGCCTTCCGAGTCAGGTTGGACTCACATAGAATCGTCAATGACAAACATCTCCTTGCGCGGATCTTTCATCAAATTGTCGCAGAGGTGTTTGATCAGAAAGCCCACATTTGAGGGTTCTTTGCGATCATCACGTGCCGGTATTGAAATCTTGTGGACTCGTTGATTCGAAAAGAGCATCTCGAGACCGCCCCTGGAATGTTGTGAATATTTGCTTGCGGATGAAGAAGGGGGAGGGACGTACGTGAATTCCACCGTCAAGGGGATATTTCGCTCCATTTCAACTCTCTGACGCGAAGTGACCTTTTCAATTTCTCGATATACGCAGGCTGCGGAACGGTTGAATTGATCACTGGCCTACCCATATCGATGTAGCGACGAGGAGAGCTTTACCGCTGCTGTTCTTTAACGTGGCGCTCGGACCATTCGGGCTGACTTTTTATTCTTCAATATCAAACTCTAAATTCCGACCTCGACCTCACATCTACGCAGGCAATGTCGAATCTCGCAAACTACGATTCTTGTCGAATCGACAGATGACGCTTGATAATGCCCGTGGATCTCGAATATATCGCCGCTGGCGGTAACAGGCATCCGTCAGCGGCAGACTGGGCGCCTGGCTTACTGGCTTTCGGGGCTGGCAACAATATTGCCCTCTGGAATCCCACCGACCGCACAAATCGAGGGATTTTCGCTCTGCTCAATGGCCATACTGACGTCGTCAATGCTGTGAAGATCTACGACGAACTTGAAGGACGAAGTCTCATTACCGCCGGTGCGGACAAAACTGTTCGAGTATGGAGAGCATCTGCCAATACATTTGAGCAAGTGCAGTGTCTAGAGGAGCACAAGGGATCCATCAACTCCATCTCTATTCTGCCCCGCCAAAATCTGTTCGTCACGGGCGGAGCCGATGGCACAGTGAAGGTGTGGACGTTCTCCGCGTCACAGGCTCGACTCGCAGAGTCGATTCAGGTCCAACCTCGATTCATCCCGTTGACTTCCGCGTTGGTGGAGCTCGGCGATGGCATGGTCGTTCTTGCGGTTGCAGGCACCTCGACGCTCATCCACCTATATTGCCGCCAAGCTTCGACTTCAACATTCAAGCTCCAAACGACCCTGACTGGACATGAAGGATGGATTCGTTCGCTCGACTTTACGAATGAATCCGAGTCGAACGATCTTATCCTTGCATCTGCTAGTCAAGACAAATATATTCGCCTGTGGCGCTTCAGAAAATCTTCGCTCGCACGTCCGGCTGGATCAACTACTCCTGACACGAAAAAGTCAATGTCCAACAAAGCGCACCAGGTCGGAAGCGACAGCAACACCTACAACGTCACTTTTGAAGCCCTTCTCATCGGCCACGAAGATTGGATATGTACAGTGCGCTGGCAGCCGCGACAGAGTGCAGGTTCTGCAGTACAGCTGCTGTCTGCCTCTGCCGACAACTCTCTCGCAACCTGGGAGGCTGACGAAGCATCCGGCGTCTGGATCTGTCGAACGCGGCTGGGCGAGATCAGTTCTCAAAAAGGCTCTACGACGGCGACTGGAAGCACAGGCGGCTTCTGGATTGGATTGTGGGAGCCATCGGGCATAGAGGTGGTGAGTCTAGGTCGTACTGGCGCTTGGCGGAGATGGCAATACGACAGTAGCAGCGATGGGTGGCTCCAACGAATTGGTATCAGTGGACATTCTCAAGAAGTCAGGGGCGTGGCTTGGGCAACGGATGGCTCGTACGTGCTCTCTACTGGAGCTGACCAGACAACGAGGTTGTTTGCCGAGTGGAAACGAGGTGACGTATGCTCGTGGCACGAGTTCTCCCGACCACAGATTCATGGTTACGATCTGAACTGCATTGACTCATTGACTCCTCGGCAATTCCTCTCCGGGGCCGACGAAAAGCTGCTGCGAGTGTTTTCTAAACCGCGCGCCATTGGAACTTTGCTGTCGAATCTGAGCGGAACGACGAGCGAAGTAAATGACCTGCTGCCCGAAGGGGCAAGCATACCAGTCCTCGGCTTGTCGAATAAAGCGGTTGGCGAGGACGACGATGTCGACGGCGAGAAAACCAACGGCGATGATCCCACGACTCACGTTCATGACCATGCCCTAGAGCTTGATCAACCACCGCTCGAGGATCATCTAGCTCGTCAGACATTATGGCCGGAGCACGAAAAGCTTTATGGCCATGGGTACGAAATCTCAGCCGTTGCTGCCAGCCACGACGGGTCAATAGTTGCGACGGCTTGCAAGGCTTCGTCCATCGACCACGCCGTCATCAGACTGTACGAGTGTCAGGAGTGGCGGGAGGTGAAACCGCCGTTATCCGCACACAACCTGACAGTCACCTCTCTCGCTTTCTCTGCAGACGACCAATACTTGCTGAGCGTGAGCAGAGACAGGCAGTGGACGCTTTTCAGGCGCGATTCAGAAAAGTCACAAACTTTCGAGCTCATGGCGAGCAATCCGAAAGCTCATTCACGAATGATACTCGACTGCTGCTGGGCACCGAGAGCACAAGATGGTGACTATATCTTTGCAACTGCTGGTCGAGATAAGTCCGTCAAGGTCTGGGTTGTCAAATCATCGACGGATATTGAATGCATCAAGACCCTCACCGCGAGCGTGCCAGTCACTGCTATCGCGTTCGACCCGAAGCTGGCGCAAGGGGGGTACAAATTGGCGTACGGAACTGAAGACGGAGCTCTACACATCGTCCAGTTATCGGAAAGTCCTATGGAGGTGGTGGCTGATTTGCCTGTGGACAATCGTGTGTTGCCCTCTGGACCCATCAACGCTATTCAATGGAGACCCAAGCCGGCCGCAGAGGTCGCAGGTCCAGCGCTTGCAGTAGCCAGCGATGACACCTCCTTCCGAATCTTGAGAATCCAGCCGTAGGGATCGAAAGCTTGCCATTTGTCTCGAGCGCGGCATAATCTTTCAAGCCTCATTCGAGTCATATTGCTGGAGCTCTCCATATCCCTCACGAGCTTTGCTGCCAAGATGCCACCGCCGCAGCCCTTCCTGCCAATTACCTCTGACGAAGTCGGAACAAGAGCTCTCGAAAGTAACCTCCATCTGTTCCAACCGCAACCCTTTGGTCTCTCTTACGAACAGCCAACACAGAAACCACGCCAGGACATTGAGACCGGCATACAGCCCAAACACACCGGGATCGCCAATCGCAGAGAACAACGGCGGCGTTGTCAGACTCAGAACAGTGGCCCAGATATTCGCCGTACTTATCCCCAGGCTCATTCCAATCTCTCTTACGTCCAGCGGAAAGACTTCTGCCGAATAAGCGCAGGGCACTGGACCCATGCCGGGGCTGTAGAGCGCACAAAACAGGTAGATCAAGGAAGCGAGGACGATGAAGCGGGCTGTGCTTTCAGGGAGGCCAATGACCACCGCTATGCCCGCCATCGTGACCGACATTGGAGGTAGAGTCCATAGCAACAGCCTCCGCCGACCGAACGAGTCCATAGTCCAGATGGCGGGGAATGCTCCGAGAAAATTGACAAGCCCAAAGATTACAGACGCCCAAAGCGCCAATAGCATTGACCCACTGGCACGAGAGAAGATGGTGGAGGAGAAGAAGGCGACGACGTTGATCCCGCAGAGCTGCTGGGAGAGCATAACCGTGAAGGATGCTAAGAGAGCTCGAAAGTTCCGAGGTTCCGTATAGAGTGACATGAGCTTCTTCCCATACGAAGACCGTTTGGTGGGCGGATTTGTCGTCGCATTCGACCGGACGAAAGAGTACAGCTCCACAGCCGCTTGCAACTCGCTAGACCGTAGACGGCGGAGAGAAGAGAAAGCCTTAGGCCATTGTGATCGTTTCATGTACCAGGACGGCGACTCCGGACAGAAGTAGACCAGCATGAGGAGAGGTATCGTTGGCAGGGCCGGCGCAGCCAGTTGCAAACGCCAGATCAGATCGTCGTCAAGATTGTAGACCGCCACGTTTGCGAGGAAACCCAGCAGAACGCCGAACGCAACGAACATCTGCCAGCTCACAGCCAGGCCTCCTCGGATGTACGCAGGAGCGGATTCTGCCGCGAAGACAGATACAGTGCTTGCGTTCAATCCCATCCCTACTCCCAACGTCAGGCGAAAGGCGACGAGTATGGGAATTGATGCGTAGGCAGAGGGTACGAGGGCGCATCCGAGGTTGCCGATCAGGCAGAGTAGTGTTCCGATGAAGATAGCACCTCGCCTTCCCATGGCGTTGTTCACGGGCTCGCTCAGCCAACATCCCACCAGTCCGTTGCTGAGGTACATTGCGCAATTGATCAGACCTAGCAGGAAGGCGGCATTCTCGCGTCTCTCCGGCGTCAAATCGAGCGCTTCGGCGAGGTAGAGGTTTGCACCGTTCATACCAGTCTGCGCCCATCCTTGCTCTATAGCACCGAGGGAGCAAATGAAGATGGTGAAATAGAGTAGTCGCGGCTGATGCCAGGGGTAAGCGGTCTCGTGATCCAAGACCTTTGACGCGGCGGGGTCGAGGGCGAGAAAACATTCCTGGTCATGGTCTTGTTGATATCGCGCAAGCAGAGCGGCTCTTTGTAACAGCTCAACGCGATCACTTAGGCCGATATGTATGGCGAGCTCGTTGATGTCTGGCTTGAGTGCGTCGTGCTGCTCCATCTTTGCCGCGTTGCTTGGCCGCTTGGTTGATGACTGCTCCCAGTGAATCTTTCGTCCCTATCCATTCTTGTCACAGGAGGTATTTCGAGATGTGTGCCCTCATGAACCCTATCGTGAATTGTCATGACAGCCTCAGCACAGCAGCTCGAAGTCATCGTGGCGCATTTAAAGTTGCGGCTCAGCGGGAGCGCCCGAAACTTTTCACGTCAAGCAAGCTTCAAGATTCGGGATCACGCAGACGTTTCTCGAGAACCATCAACCGACCATCCCCTCGCCCATCTTCGATCGCCAACATGGTTCAATTGGAAGAAGTCCCCGACGATGAGCTGCACCCCTCTCAGCCTGGGCCAAAAGAGGATGAAGATGACTGGGACACCGACTCGGGTTCGTCCAGCGCCATCTACCCCAACGCCTCCGCTCGAACCTTGCTCCCTTTCTAACATCAGCCTCTCATCGCACAGAATCCTCCGTTTCCTCCGTCGACGACGAAGATACGCTCGACGAAAGTCTGCTCGACCGAGTCGCGGCACTAAAAGACATCGTGCCCCCCACCTACCGCAAACGCATCTCCACCCTCTCCTCCACGGGCTACAGCTGGGCATCACGCGCGCTGAGTCTGAGTGGCAAGACGCTGTGGGTGGTCAGCACGAGCGCGCTGTTATTGGGCGTGCCGTGGGCGCTGGCGTTTAGTGAGGAGCAGCAGGTGCAGGAGATGGAAAAGGAGATGCGCATGCAGCAGAGTGCGAATGAGGTATGTCTATCTTGCTCGCCGGCTTTTGCTCGAGAAAAAAGACATATGCTGACTTGGGTTGATACAGTTGCTCACGCAAGGCACCGGGGCGAAACCCGCATTGTGATTGCGCGATTTGGCGTTGTACTATATTTCTCTACTCCACGCTGTATCACTTCTGCCCTCCAAGGGCCCAAGAACCTTCAACACTCCTGTGCGATCTGCTGAGTCTGGCTGATAACGAGCCTCAACACTTGAAGATTCCGCTACACCATTGACCGGGGCTGCGCTATACACATTATTACGTCGTCGCTGAAATTCAACATCGTCCAAGCACAGTCAACTCCTTCTACGGTCACCGCTTCCTGAGCGTAGCCTTTCGATCACCGTCTGCTGTGCTGACGTGCCCATTGCCCACAGCCACCGCCTCAACATTGCCCACACTCTTCTCGTGGCTATTCACGGAGCCATTCAATCTCTTCACGTCCACCTCCTCCACTTCTTCCACGTCTTCCTCATCATCGCTCCGCTCATCCTTCTGCACGCCCTTGAATGCGTAGCGGCAGAAGATTCTGCAGATCAAGAAGAACCAGAACAAGTTCACCGCCTGTAAGCTGGCCAGCAGGAAAAAGGTGATGGGCTGACTGACGAAGCACTTGTATTGCTGGTTGGGAAAGTCGACGTCGGACCACTTCCACGCATAAGGGCCGACGGTCATGAATTGGTTCGCTTTACCGAGGTAGGGCAGATCGAAGGGGAAGAGGGAGTAGAGGATGCGGAGGTTGATGAAGTGGCGTAGGTATGCCCAGATGCACATGAACATGATGTAGTAGGGGCCTGTCGCGACCGAGTCGAGGTAGTTGAGAATCTTGGACGTCTGTCACATGCTAAAGTCAGCGGATTGTGATGCGAAGATGTGATCTCAATGAAATACCGCAATGAAGAAATCCGAGACGTCGTGCGTTATGTACACCGCAATACCCATGTAGGTAAAGTGAAATCGGTAGCTCAATGCGATCAGGGCGACGGTGATGACATGGTGCAGCACCAACTCGCGAAAGTCCTTCCTCGGCTTCTCGAGCTGCAAGAGGAGCACGAGGGCCTGCAAGACCCAGAAGGAGGCTTGGATGAGGTAGTATGCCTTGAAGTACGCTTCGTGTGCACGGTGGGGGAAGCCTTCGTACATGCCGACGACGTTAAAGTACCAGACAGGGGTGCGGCTCATCAGCCAGACGCCGTAAGGGCCGATGAAGGAGAAGTAGATGGCGAAGTAAGACTGTTCCATGAAGCGCGAGATCTTGCCCTTGCTCCGGATGCCGAGGCGGATGGCCATGGGACGGATGAGGCGTTGCATGAGGAATTCGCGGGTGAAGAGGAGGACGATGGTGTAGAAGGCGACAAAGGCAATGTCTCGCGGGCCCTTGCCGTATTGCGTGACATTGCCGATGTGGGCGGGGAGGGTATTGGTGCGTTCGTTGAGCGGAGGGTTGGGGTAAGAGAGGAAGATGGCGGCGTGGAGGGGGTTATGCTCGCCGGGGGAGATGAGGTAGAGGGAGAGGATGGTAGCGGTGAGGATCAACGGGATGAGCCAGGTGTGCTTGAGGGATGCTCGGCGGAAGCGGCGGACGAGGTTCTTTGCCTTCTTGCGCTTGCGGCCTCGATCTTTCGGATGCGCGGACTGGAGAGAGGGTAGAAGAAGTAGTCAGCGGATATGTCATTGCATGTCCAGGACGAGGCACAGCATTGCATACAAGGTTGCCCTCGGCGGGTAGAGAGGGTGCTTTGAGGTTGGACGTGGCGAGTGCGTTGCCTCCAGTATCTCCTCGAGGATCGGCGCCGAGTCTGGACGTCCTGCGTCGTTGCACCGGACGTGTCTCGTCTTTCTGCACGCTCGCCATTCCATTTGTTCCAATGGAGGGGAAGGTCTCGGTCTGTCTCGACATGTCGGCGAAGGAGTGGCTGATGGTCGCGCTAGGCCGAGACCATACAAAGGAGAAAAGAGGAAGACGAAGACGAAGAAGAAGAAGACAGTAGGAGAGTAAGCGCGCGAGGCCGGGAGGTTGGGCTGGTGGAATAAATTACAAGCAGTCTCCTATCGTCAGATCGGCCGGCGTTGCTTCAGTTCCGTCCCGCGAAGCTTTTGGTCGCGCTTTCCCAAATCCTCCACCGCGCCTGCGCGCCCCGTCCCGCTCCGTCTCCGCCGTCTCCTGCCGCCGCACGTGCCCTGCTTGACCGCATCTGGCTGAACGTCTACATCTACATGAACTCTACCTCTCGCTTCCCATCCCTCCACCATGCCCCTCTATCAAGGCTCCTGCCACTGCGGGCGCAATCGATTCGAAGTGCAGATTGCCGACCTCCAGCATGTGCGCGTGTGCGACTGCTCCATCTGCGCCAAACGCGGCGCCTTGAACGTGAGGGTGGAGGAGAAAGACATCCGCCTCCTCACCAGCCTGGACGAGCTGACCCTCTACCAATTCCACACCATGACGGCCAAGGACTACTTCTGCCCGACCTGCGGCATCCTGCCCTTTCGCAGACCGCGCACCGCCCCGGAGCTGTGGACGGTGAACGTGCGGTGCTTGGAGGGCGTGGATCTGGATGCTTTGCAGAGAGTCAATGTGTATGGGAAGCAGTATCCTTGAATGATGGTGAATTTGTCACGTCTTCGCTACTTGCCGTGCCATGTGAGCCGCCTGAATCTACGGAAAGCTTAGAGACCGCGTCAAAATGCTCCCACCACCCTCGTCATCTTCACGGGCACGGTGTCCATGTTGTGCATGCTCCGGGGGAAACGGCAGAGATCCCCGTTCAGGCATCTATCACCCCTCATGGTTCCTTCGGTCGCCACGGGAAAGGGACAGTGGTGTCTGCGAGAAGACTAGTTAGCGTACCACTCGCAACAGCAACGACCTATTGCACACCACTTACCCGTAGATGCACTGTGGATCCGTGCATTCGTGACCTCGCTTGCAAGGCGTCTCTCGCGCTACAGCGCGAAGCCATTTCAAATCCTGCTGCGTAAACTTGACGTCGTGGTTGTGAGGGCACTTATCCTTCCTCCCCGCGTTGAAGTGACAGCAGCCGGCGCCGATGAAGTGCTGGTTGCACGCCTTCAGCCTCTTCACTCGCTGCACCTCGTCGTAGTCAAATTCGAGCTCGACGTCCAGGCGCTGCCCTCGTCTGTTCCGCTTGACCGCATTCGCCGGTTCCGGTGTTGAGCGAGGAATGTCGGTCAGGGGCTTGTGGGCATTTTTCGTCGTGATGGCAGCCCATGTAGGCGCTCCACCTGCGCGCAAAGGCTGAGGCGATGCAGTCCCGGCGCAACTGTCGGCGCTCCCGGTGCGGGGCGTAAAGACGTTGCTCGTGGCGTTCAAAGCCACGCCGGGCGTGTCGACGCGCTCCCTCGGGCTGTTCGACTGACCAGGAATCGCTACTTTGCCCGCGTGGAAAAGTGTGGGGAACTTCTTGATTTGAAGCGGCAGCGCCATGATTTCCTTGTCGAGAGGAGCGCCTTCAATCACGGTGAGTCGGGCCCATACTTGTGGATCGCTGCTGTATTGCTCCAATAGCTTCGTGTAGGCGGTGCTGTTGCCGCATCCGAGCAGCACTTGGCGGCAATGATAGTCCTTGATGTACAGATGGAAGCTGTCTGCGAAAGGGTTAGTGAATTTAAGCGCCTCTGACATACGGTGATTATGCACATACCAATGACTTTCGACTGTCCAATCGTTGGTGCTGGACCTGTATCGACAAAGTCGAAGGATGGGAGAGCCAGGGTCAAGCCGCGTGCGAAAGCTTCTATGACGAAGGGGTTTGGTATGAGGCCGGCCTGGGTACATGCATCTCCGAGCCGCTTGACGTTGCCAAACGCGCGGACCACAATCTTGATGTGTTGAGGGCATTGGGTGACCTCGCGGGTAGACCACTCAATGATGGCATTCTGCAGGAGGATTGCAGCCTTCCTGCCGCCAGTCTCACACTCGCGAAGAAGGCTGGGGTGGAAGATGAGGTGGTCGGCATCGATGAGGACGACGATGAAGGGGCTTTCGTTGAGGAGGCGTTGCAGATTGAGGGCTTGTGAGTGCCAGTAGGTGGCGGTGCCCAGCGATTCGCGGGCGGCGTCGTGATCTTGCTGGTTCTCCTCGATGTACTTCTGGTGCTTGCGGCAGAGCAGGTCGTAGCGAGTGAGGATGTCTTCCAGCAGCGCGTTCTTCACCTGATCGTTGTGCTTGGTCTCTTCGTAGCGCGCCCACAGCTGTTGGTTGTTCGTGTCGTTGGAAGGCGCGCCTGCTCCAGCTGTCGCATGGCCGTTCATGATCGCGGCAGGGGATGAGATGCGCGAGGAGGGCGTGGGGAGGACAGTGAGAGTGATGCCTGTTGGGTGGAAGCGAAGGATGCTATGTGGAAGAGCGTCAGTGGTGAAGGAAAGTGATAGAGTGCCTCAATCATAGAAGAATGTGAATTAAAGAGGTAATCGTCAGTGGTGAAGGAAAGTGATAGAGTACCTGAATCATGGAAGAATGTGAATTAAAGAGGTAACGTGCGCGAGTGGGCGGCGTTTGATGTTTTGGAGACTGATTCGACTCAAGACAATAGTGCATGAGCCCGGCTGCCGCCTTGCGCGCAAAGTCACGGCTGGCGGCAGGAAGGCGCGATGGAGCGTTTCGAGGAGCTTGTTTGTCTGGCTGCAACTGGTCGCACCTTCCCTCTAGCCCATGTTTATTAAATTTCAGCTGAGTGCACGTGAGGAGAAGAAAGATACTTGGCTGTACTTTCCGTTGTTTCGTTGGTCTAGACTATGCAGAAACCTTGTTTGCTGCATGGAAGTGACGAGTCACAAGTCAGGGGGCCGCCGACGGAGGGCGGCAGGTGCGAGTGGGGCCTCGCTTTCGAGCGTGCTACGGATTCATCTCTGTCTCGCAGATTCATATTGTTCAGCCATGGCAGGTTGACATGAGACGCCGGCGAGCCCACTCACATTCTATGTTTCTATTCCGAGCCCTCATCCGCTTCATTCTCGCCGCCACTCCTCGTATTCCGCCTCCAAATGTGCCTTCATCTGTACCATCTTGTTCCCAAAGTTCTTCCAACACCTCCAACATCGCATGTCCGGGACGGTGAAGTGTCGGTAGTCTCTTCGAAAGTCATCGGCGGCAAGCGGGTAGGCGTCGAGGGGAACCAAGAAGTCGGTGGTAAAGGATAGATAGTGGTTCTTTTTCTTCATGCTCTCGCTATGCATGTCGCGGCTCAAGACGTGGATATGCAGGTGGTTCATGGACGGATTCGCGTGCGTGCCGGAGATGATCTCCTTTGTCCAGTCTCGGCCGGCGGGAAGGACGTCAGGCGGGTCGTCAGAGTTCATTGCCTCGTTACGAGACTGCTCGGCGGCGGACGAGCTGCCCAATCTCCTGCGCAGTTCACTGGCCACGATGCCGCGCACCTTCTTCTCCTCCTCCCGACACTCGGCCAGGAATTGGACATCATCAAAGGCTTCTTGTCCGCGGAGAACGTTCTTCTTGGGATCCCGAGGAAGGATGAGGAGATGGACCGTGGCTTTGGGGAACAGATCGTTGATTACGACAAACTTGTCGTTGTAGTAGACGACACGACTCGATGGAAACGACGCGGGATCAACGGTGTATGCGGCCAGCTGCTGCGGGTTAGATGTGTGGGACAATGAAGCGTCGTGGAATTGGATGACCCACCCCATCCCTCCCGTAGAAGGTTGTGTGTTGTGAGGGAGCATCGGCCTGCTTCTGCTCTTTCGGCAATGCGGGTTTCGACTTCATCAATTCTGTGACTGCCCATCAATGATCAGAGCGTAGCATGACAGTGAATGGAATCGACCTACACGCATTCTGCGATGGTGCGTCTCGATGGTCCGCCGGACGCTGCTTAGCAAAGGCCGTGGTCCTTGACACATCTTCGGGGCCATCATCCGCCGATAATGCATTCATCGACATCGTCCTTGAGTCCCGCTCTTTCATGACAATGCACTTGAGTTGGAGCTCGTCATCGGCGTTCACTTGATGGATGACTCTGGGATTGATGTCGTAGGCAGAAGTCGCATGCCGAGTCCTCGAGCACGGACTTTGGTGGCGTCACTCGCGCAGCTTAAACTTCCCGCGCCTTACACGCGAAACGCGTCACATTTCGAGCTTGCATTCACTTTACAAAAGTCATGTTTGCTTGAGACCTGTATTCTATCCTTCAATTTGGCGTCCCTCGTGCAATCCATCTGCCTGGTGATGACTCTCAGCCACCTTTGGATATGGCGAGATCCAGCGCTCGCTCTCAGCGCAAGCAAGCTCGCCTGAGCTTCACTCCACTGCCATCCTCCTCCCCCGCAACCAAAGGCTACCATCCTCAGATTCGCGATCGCGCTGCAGCAGTGACCCTGGAATCCAAGTCGTCAGGATGGCCCGGCGCCATGCCTACACCCGCGGCCACGGAACAGCGACGCTCGGATCCTGCGCATGACGAGAGCGACAGTGACAGTGACATCCGTCCTACACACCGCCGTCTCACCTCGGGTGACAAGCGTAAGCCCAGCTCGAGACAGGCCCGACTGGACTTTTCAAACGCACGCCACCCGGACACCTTCAGCTCACCAATCAGACTCTCTTCCCCGGCAAGAACACAGTCTTCCGGCAAATCAGCGGGCATGTTTGGCAAAGCCCGATCTCGTGTCATCGATGTTTCTAGCGACGACGATTCCGATCAAGGCCTCCCCTCTCCTAGCGCTCTTGTTCCACAGCAACGAGGCGACGATGCGCCAGAAGTTCGCAGCAGAAAGAGAAGGACACGGAGCACCGCCAAGACGACTGCAACAGACTCAGCTTCAGAGGACGACAACATCACAGTCCTAGCGGCTCCTCGTTCTGTGGTTGCCTTGGAAAGTGAAGACGACGACGACGATATGCCTACGTCGACGGGTACTCAACGTCGCAAAAGAGCAAGACGCGCATCGCCAGACAGCTTCATCGCTTCATCCCCACCGAGAGTGATAGACAGTGACGATGATCTCGAAATTGTTAAGCAACCAAGGAAGAGAAGACGCCAAGCGGAAGAGAGCAGTAACGAGAAGGACGAAGAGTCAGTGACACCGGCCAGGCAAAGGGGCAAGATGCGAAGAAAGCTCAGCCAGCGTGAGCAGGAGGAGCTGGAGGATGAGCTGGACGGCTTGGGGCCTAGTTCCGATGTTGAGGCGTCTGCCCGCAAGGCTCGCAACGACCAGGCTGCAAAGAAAAATGTCAAGCAGCAAGCCCTCGAAAAACTCAAACGTATGCGATCCGGACAAGCGAAGGGCACGAGTCAAATGCAGGAGGAAGATGACGCGGTAGAGCCTCAGCCTGGTTCTGACGCGTCCTCTCAGGGAGATGAGAACTACAGCGAAGAAGAAGATGTCCACTCCCGCCCTGTCCGGAGCTCCCAGATGTTCGAAGAGGATGAAGATGACGCCAACTTCATCGATTCTGAGGATGAGCCGGGCAACCCCCTCGGCATCCCAGATGGTCTACCCCTGGAATATTCCCGATACGCTTCCAAGAAGCCAAAGGAACTCTTCCCTCACGCAGTAGAATGGATGGTGCAAAAGAAGATCAACCCGGCCTTCCAAATGAACGACGCCATCTACGACCTCACCTTTCGGAAGCTCGACGATGAAGTCACTGGCCTCGCTGGATCGAAGTTCAAGTCGTCCGTCTGGACGTCTGACTTTACCCTGAGTCTCAACTCCCGTCCCACCATCGCCTTTGCGTCCATCGATCGCAGCGAAGGCGCAAACTGGATGCGCGATCATTGCGATGCGTGCAACCGCAGCAATCATCCTGCCACTTTTCAAATCCAGTTTCAGGGACGACCGTACTACCGCAAATCCCTCGAGGATGTCGCTGAGGACGACTCCGATGACGACTCCGACTCCGAAGACGACTCTAATTCAAGAAGCGAAGATCCCGACAAGCCATCGCACGACGAACAAGGCCGTCAAGTCCCTCCCCCCAGCAAGACCTACTACGTCGGCAAGTTCTGCATGAGCAATGCCCACACCGCACACTCGCTGCATCACTGGCGATACCACCTGAACGAATGGGTTATCGAGTGGCTGACGCGGAATGGGTACAACAACCCCGACGAAGTCGTCAAGAGGGATGCGTGGAGCACGAAGAAGCGGAGGAAGTTTGCGAACAAAATCACCGACAGGATGGAGAAGGAGGGCGTGATTAAGCAGTTGTATCGCGATTACAGGAAGAACATTGACGAGGCGCGGAATAGCAAGCAAGGCCGATACGGAGACTGATTTGGTATGGGGCAAACAGCGCGTTAAAGGTAGAAGGCTGCTTGGAACAGCCACAACGCCTTGATCATGATTTGGATATGAGACACACTCGCTATTGGACGTATGCGTACCAACGTTAAGATACCCTCATCAAGTCTTCATCGCCAGCTCATTCAGCGCTTTCAATCGCATGATCAAAGTGAAGTGGGATGGTAAGGGGATTTTGTCACGACGGCGGAAACTACTTCTGTCCACCGGTTCCCTTGTATCCCTCATTCTTCAACACGCCATTCAAGTAGCCCATCAAGAACTCCTTTGCCTGTACCGGCGTGGTGGACTTGCCAGGCCCGCCGCCCGTCACGCTGCCCGAACCGATGCGTCCTCCTCCCATCTCTTCACCCCCAGTAGGGGTAAGCGGCGTTCCAAGCGTGAATGGCGAAATTGGCGCTGTCGGGCTCGTAACAGACGCATTCGAGGTCCGGGTAAAGAGGTTAAGAAGAGCATTCTGCTGCTTCCTTTCAGGCATGGCACCGTTGTCCGGCATCTTCAAAGAAAGGGGTGGTTGACTGCTTGGCACTGTTGGCGGCGGAGGGGTGGGTTGCGCCTGTGATGACGCCGAAGGCGCTCTCAGGAGACCGAGAAGATCGGTCTGAGCATGTCCTGCAGGGTGGGACTGCTTCCTCTCCGCGACATGTCTCTGCTCCTGAGCAGGAGGAGCAGCGGAGGGGCTAGCTGCTGTCGAAGGCTTGCCAAAAAGAGCAAGCAGCTGATCTCTCTTATCAGTCGGCTTCTGGGCCGCACTGCCTCTCTCCACTTCGTCGGTCGGATGTCTTTTCAAGATGTGAGGCGCGAGTGCTGATTTTGGCGTCTCCTTGTTCAGAGGACTGGCTGGAGCTCCAGGATTAGGCGCATGCGCATTGCCCGATGAGCCAGGTCGCGTCAAAATCGTAAATTGGGATGACTGAGACCCATTCTCTTTCAAACCGCCAACTCTGGTAGACGGCATCGGACTGGGCACGGTCTCTTGGACAGTCTGGCGCTGTGGCGACACAGAAGTCTGTTTAGACGACGGCCGCTGCAAGATCCTCACAGGAGAATGCGGCTCGCTAGGTACTGGTGTGGATCTTGCCGATGCCTTATTGATAGCTGCAAAGGGTTTCTGAGGGTGGTCGGATGCGGCACGTTGCACATCGGTGGCGACGGGCTCTGAGCTGGGCTCAGGCTGGCTTGTCACCGGTGGCCTCGCCTTTGGTTGTGGTGGCAACGTTCTCGTGATCTCGTTCCAAGTTGGTTTCCTCTCCTGCAATTTTGCTGGTCTGCTTGGCTTTTCCACACCTGCGGGCACGTGCGAAGCGGCTTCATTGATGACCGGCGGAGAAAGAGGCTGCATCGGGGCAGAGGGCGGCGGGGTGGAGGCTGCTGGCTTTTTGAACAAATCGAGCAACGCCGTTTGATGCGTACCCGAAGCTCTCGCTGAGGAGGAAGGCTTCGAGGGCAATGTCGATGCCGACGCGGACATGCTGTTCCCACCCTTGAAGACGTCCAGTAGCCTCATGGTATGTTGGTTCAACCGAGGTGCCGGTAGCTGAGAAGCATTGGGCACCGCCGGACCATTCGCGATAGGGCCCTGCGGTCCCTGCGCCATGAAAGCGTTTTGAGGGGGTTGCTGGTGCATTTGCGGTACAGGGACGGGGACTTGTGGCATCGGCGGTCTGGGCAGGCCATTGAAGGGCAATCCATTCGAGGGACCGAATGGTGGAAAGCCAGGCATCTGAGGCTGTGGAACGAAGTGCTGCTGATGTTGCTGCTGCTGATGATGGTGATAATGTTGATGCTGATGCTGTTGCTGCTGTAGATGCGGTGGCAGCATGCCGGGAGCAAATCCTGGTGGTTGATTTGGCATTCCCCCAAGCGGACTAGGGCCAGGGCCGGGACCGAAGATGTTTGGCGTAGGCAGAGGGTGGTCCCTTTGCTGTTGCGGTACATGTTGTGGGGACAAGGGGAATTGCGGAGGTGGAGGAGCGCGTTGTGGCTCCCAAATCGGTTGTCGTGGATGAGTGGGATGTGGTGTTTCTGGCGGCGGAGGAAAGGCACTGATTTGCTCAAAGGGAGTATGAGGGTCGGGGCCGTTGTTGGAAGACGGTAAGCCGCCTCGCAGCATGGCTAAGAGATCTCCAGCGTGCGTTTCCTGCACCTGGCTCTGCGGCACAGTTGGCGCGGTACTAACATTCAGTAGCCTCCTCAACTCCTCCTCTTTTTGTCCCACTGACACGCCCTGCCATTGCGGGATCTGATGGTCTTCACTTTCGTAATCCGTGCCCAACGACTGTTCTCCGACATGAAGCCCGTTCCTGTTCGAAGTTTTCCGCTGCGTTTCGACAATATCCTGCTTCCTTTGTTGCCCAATCCACTTCTTCAAAGGGCCCAAGAAAGGGGCGACCATGTAGAATTTGTTGGCATGCGCCGTCTCCCCCTCGTTCTGCTGCTGCTGCTGTTTACTTTGTTTCTTGAAACCGGGTAGGTCTTTGATCCCAAACCACTGAATCTTGCCGATTTCCTTCCTCGTCTGAGTCTCGAAATAAGTGTCTTCGGGCACTCCACGAACGACGAAGAGACGCATGTGTTGCTCCCGCATGACAATGTCAATGTACTTCAGATCGTCTTCGTTCTCGGGAAGCAGGCCGGAGGTAGATAGATTGTAGCCCGTCTCTTCGTAGACCTCGCGAATGGCGCAGTCGAGATCTCTCTCATCCTTGTTGATCTTGCCCCGAGGGAAGGACCAGGAAGAGCCACTCTTCCACCCGCGGACGAGCACCATCTTCTCCATATTCTGGTCCATCAGAATTGCCCCGCGTACCGGCACGCGCACTTTGTATGCTAAGAACTCCTCATAGGCTGCGAGGTGCTGCGCGTCGGTAAAGCCACTAAAGAGCGGGCAATGGTGGAAGAGGAGCAGACAGAATTGCCTGAGGGGTAGATGGGGAAGAGGCTGGGCGCCGGAGGCCTGCACGGCGGGGCGGACGAAGTCTTCGTAGAACCATTGTGCCTCTTCCACCTGGAAGCAAAGCCGCGGCACGGAGGAGAGCTCGGAGGCGGGCAGGTTGAGGAGGAAGCGCACGCAGAGGTCGTCGAGCCAGTCAACTAATGTCTGGGGAATCTGAGGCTCGGCCATGATGTCTTGCAAGGAAAAGGAACTGGTATGGCATTGCTGGTGGTAGGCAGGAGAGGGTATGAAGTAGGCGCGCCAACAACGATGCCTCGGTGTCGGACGGCGGTGTTGGCGAGTGATCCAGAGCCCCTGCACCAGACGTGACAGTGATCAGTGGGAAATGAAGTCGGACACTACAAAAGGAGGGTGAAGAGGTGGTGGTGGTGGTGGTGGTGGTGGTGCAGCATGAAAGTCGCATACCTTCCTGACATCAAAGTCCACATCCACCACGTGTGGCGTCGAGCGCCACACCCAGCCACACTTCACTACAGACCTACAAAGATGTCATGCCCAAAACTTCCCAGCACACGCACCACCCCTTCATGCAACCGCCATGTCGGACACAGGCGATCTCAAGAGCCACGCGCTCAACAGCTCCCACGACTTCTACGACCTCCTCGACATCCAGGAGGGCGCGCGAGAAAACGAGATCCGGCGTGCCTACCGCAAAACCGCCCTCAAATACCACCCGGACAAAGTCGGCGGCGACGTCGAGAAGCTGGAAAAGTTCCACCTGCTGCAAATCGCGTACGATGTCCTCTCCGACCCCGCCGTCAAGGAGTTGTACGACAACGCGAGGCGCGCGAGATTCGCCAAGGCGGAGCGAGATCAGCTGTTCGAGGGGCGGAGGAAGGCGATGAAGGAGGATCTGGAGCGCAGGGAGAATGGGGCTGCTGTGAAGAGGAAGAGGGAGAATGAGGCCGAGGTGGAATTTGAACGAGAATTGGCCAGGCTGGCAGAGGATGGGAAGCGGAGGCGAAAGGAGAGGGAGGAGATGTTGAGGCGAGAGGCGGAGGAGATTGAGCGGGAAGAGAGGCGAGAGAAGGAGGGCGAGGTTCCTGCATCGACGACACCTCGCTCGAATGGACAAGCAACCGCCTCGACGGCGGATGTCGACCGTTCAGTCACTCTGAAACTTCCCGTGACCGAGGAGACGCAGCACATCAATGAGGCAGAGATCAAGGCTCGTTTCGAGCGATTCGGCAAGGTGGAGCACGTGGTGCTGCGCGAGAAAAAGATCAAAGTGGATGGCGAGAAGCATCGACAACTGTACAAGACGGCGATCTTGCTATTCCAGAGCGCCGTCGCTGCACACGCGACTGTCTCCGATTTCCCTCGAATCTCCCTCAGCGAGCCGGAGACGTACAACTGCTTTCAAGCTGTTGGTTGGGCGGGTGGCAAAGAGCCGGACTTTATACCCAAGCCAACAGCCACGCGGGTCGAAGCACCACCCCCGCGACGCGAGCCCAATGCTCCTCTCGCTGTCCCGCCTGCTACAAACGGACACGGCCAGAAAACTCCCAGCTTTGGGAGCTTCAAGACCGCCATCAAAGCCCAGGATGGCGGCCCAAGTCTGGACGAAATCACGATGATACGCCTGAAGAACGCCGAGAGACGACGCATGGAGGAGAAGATCAGGCGAGAGGAGGCAGCGACTCAGGCCAACGCGGAAGATGCTGCATAGACCCCGACGATGAACTTGCAGGAGACCTTTTTTGTTTGCGTTCAGCGTTGGCGTTCTACATTTGAAGATACCCCATTTGGACAGTTTGCGAGATTTCAACTGTGAACGGCGCCCATGATGGCTGCCGCAATGACTACTATTGTGATACTTCTCCATGTCTCCGCCCTTGCGTTTGATAGTGACCGCCCCGTTCTAAGCCATTCGCAGATCGCCAGACGAACAGTGGCAGGCCGTCACTGGCGTTCAGAAGTCCATGGCCTCCGTGAGGAAGGCAGCCCCCTCAACTCCTTATTCCCTGCCCATTCGAATGCCGTCCAAGCTTCCTGAGGTGGGTATCATCCGATTATGCTGCTGCTGCGCCGCCGCCCAATGCTTCCTGCGTCAAGGCTCCTCATCCCCGATAGGACTGTTGAGCGTGTAGTGGAGGATATCGCTGAGAGACAACAACCCCTTCAACTGCTTGTTTTCGTCGATGATGATCAATCGATGCACCCGCGACTTGCGGATGGTGTCAAAGATGGTGCCCAGTCTGTCGTTGATTGTGCAGGTGTAGATTCCCGGGAAGTCCTGTCAGAAGAATTAGAGGGCGTCCACACTCTACGTCACGGCACTCCAAACTTACATCTGCCCGCTTCTCCAACGCTTTGCCGACGCTCAAGTTGAGATTGTCATAGTCGCCGCCCTTAAGGAGGACAATGACATCCACCGCCTCGAAGACGTTCAGTAAAGTGCCATCCTTGTCCAGGATGGGGACGCAGGAAATGTCTCTCTTGACCAGGGTATGGATGACGCTCATCACGGGGGTGTCCATGTGCGCCACGGCAAGATTGCCGTAGGTACCGACGGTGGGCAGATCGCGAAGCGGCTTCCGAAGCATCTGCGTCTCGCGTACATTGACCGAGACAAATTTGAGGATGCGGTATTGCGTGACCAGGCTGACCACCATCTCTCGCTGCGTTTCGTCATCCACATCGACGAGTGGGATTCGCCTGGCGCGAGATTGCAGCATGCGAGTACATGCCTCATACAGCGAACGCAGGGGGTGGATGGAGACGGTCTCGATGGGAGTGACGCCCAGTGCGCGCTCGACTTCGCGAAGACTACTGAGCTTGAATTGGTCGACCTGCGAAAGGGCTTCGGGGTTCTGCCAGTAATATTGCACAACGTTGATGTAGTCGTTGACAGTGAGCAAGCCGGCGAAAGTTGAAGTCTTGGAATCCCATAGAGGTGCGGAGACGATGCCTGGTGAAGGAGCATGTCAACGGACTGGGCTGGATCGTAAAGACAAGAATGTCGGTACCACTCACCACACTGGATTAGAACGTTCAAGCTCTTCCTCACGAGGAGGGAAGTATCGAAAACAATCAAACGGTAGCTCAGAGGCAGGACATCGTAGCTCGTGCGGACCTTGAGAAAGGCACGGATCGCCTTCTACAGAGCACGGCGCAGGCGCAAAGTTAGTGGATGGTCAATGTAGAGAGGCAGCGCGCAAGAAACAACTTACCAGACCCGCAATCTGCTCCGCGTCCAACGGCGTCATCGATTGAGAGGCAGTCGATTCGCTGTCTGCTGCATCCGAGCCTGCTGCCACGGGCTGAATGCGATTCGACGGCGATTGCGGCGCAGAAGAGCGGGATGGAGGGCGCAGGTAGGAGGATGGAGCAACATAAGGCAGACGAGCGGTGGCGCTCGATGACAATGCTGGCCCTCCCACCCCTGCGCCTACGTCTGCACTGCTACCGTGACTGGCGGCCGGGCCGGCTGGTGCTGCTCCTGGGGCGTGCTCATGGGTCTCGATTCCCTCCGCCGCTGCTGCTGCTTCGCCCGACATGTCCCACTTGCCCGCCGCTGGGCATCGAGAGCGCACGCGCCCGCTTTCCGACGAGGACAGTTGGATGCTGCGACTGTGGCGGCGGTAGCTCCCGCGTGCTTCGGTGGCGTGCGTGTGTGCAATCGAGACGTTGCTGAGAGTGGGTGTGGTTGATTGGGCGAGTGGCAACGAAAGGATGCAACTCGTGCCGCTCCGCGGGGAATTTTGGCGGGGCCAGTGCACACGAGCGGGTTACATAATCATCCCCTCACGTGCTGTATGGGGCCTTGTCACGTTTAAGAAGACGAAGAAAGGAGAGAGGAGGAAAAGGAGATGCAGCTGCTCAATCCGGGCCGTATCTCAATGTCACCGTGACGTCCAGACATTTTAAGAAATGCCCAGCATGGACTCAACGAAATGCAACGCACATCATCGTAAACACCGGCCCCATAGCTGAGGGAGCAACAGGCCTCGCACATCGCTCAAATCACCCCTCCTCTCACCGCATCCGTCATTCATGCCAACAAGCCCCTCTAGCGCTAGCTATTCGCCTTGCCTTCCTGCGCCGCCTTCTGTCTGACCATCTCCTTCAGTGCCTCCTCCCTCAGCGCCTGCGCATTCAGCTCAGGGCCTGGCTCCGTGTCCTTCTCCGATGCAATGATTTCATCGGGAGCCTTGGCAATCTGGCTTTCCGGAATCCCACTCTCCTCCAGCTTTCGCCTGCTCTCCCGCACAATCTTGTCGGCCTCACTAAGCCCGCCTTCCACTGTGCCCGGGTCTCCCTCCACCCCGATCGGAGCAGCCTTCTTTTCCACATTCTCCTGCAGCGCTTTGTTGTCGAAGCGCACAATCATGCACGACAGATTGTCGGTGGAGAAGCGAGCTAAGGCGTGATCGACGAGCATCTTGGAAGCAATTTGGGGATCTTGCTGGTTGCGCACGAGGTCCACCGCCTCCTGATCTGAGCAGACGTCCCAGAGCTATAGATTGTCAGTAAAGTTGAGCTTCATGAAAGGAGCACGGGATCGGACAAGCACCTACGCCATCACAAGCCAGAATCAAAAACTCGTCAAGATCCGGCTGGATCACAGTTTCCGTCGTGTAGGGATGTCCAGTGACCAAATCCTTCATATAGGCATCACCCAGCGCGCGCGTGACCGCTAGCACTCCGTTCACGCGATTGTTCAGAATCAAGCCTCCGGCGCCCGCGATACGCTTGCCTTCGTTTTCATCACTGCCCTTGTGGTCGTAGGACAAGCGGAGAGCCTTGCCATTGCGGCAAAGAATGATGCGAGCGTCGCCGACATTCGCCGTGTACAACACGCGCTCCCTCGTAGCCTTGGCCCTCAGCTTGCTCTCTGCAGTGATGGCCTCGGGCGACTTGGCAGCCTCTTCGTGGCTTTGCGACCCGTTCTTCGACTGGGCCTTTGCAGCCTCCGCGGCGGCAGGCGCAAGTGCCGTGGACCCCGTTGCCGACTGAGTGCTCGGTATTCGGTCTTCCCAGCGCAGGACGGCAATCACCGCCGTACATCCGCTGTTCTTGAGCGGAAGCTTCTCGAGCTGTGTATCGACAGAGGTAAAGGTCATGTCGAGCAGCTCGGGAATGGGAGTGTTGGGGTGCTTGCGGATAATGTCCTCCAGCAGGATGTGCACCTTCTTCCCACACCATTCCGCGGCAAAGGTGCCGGCGTGTCCGTCGAAGATGGCAAAATAGCCATTGTCCGTCTCCACGATGGAGGTGTTGGAATCAACGGGGGAGAGGTTGGATCCAGATGCGCGCGACGAGTTGGTAGAGGCGCGGGGTTTCAGGGAACCGTCCGATCCCAAGAGAGGTGCGGGCGTGCTCAAAAAGTTGTAGAGATAGGCGTGCGTATCTTCCATGGTGCGTCTGCACTTCTTGTTCTTGTCCTCGGTGACGCCGACGCGGAAGGTGGAGCGGGGGCCGGGGACGGATTCGCCGGCGGAGTTGTTGAGGGAGCCATGCGGCACGCTCAGCGCGGGGTCTTTCATGCCCAGCCTCTGCATGGGCGTCTGCGAGGCCTTTTCCGAACGGCTGTCGGGGGAGCCGCCCAGATCGCGGAGGGTTTGCTTAGCACTGCTGAAGAGATCGCGCGCCCTCCCCACGCCGCTACTTCTTCGCTTCTTTTCGGCGGCCGTGGTGTCTTCGGGAGAGGCGGTCTTGCGCACGGGACTTCGCATGTCGCGGGGCACCGCATCCCTGCTCTCTTCCTTGCTCTCATCAATGACGGGGATGTTGTTAGGGCTTTGGGTGGGTTCAATGGTGGCAGCGCCGTCCATGGTAAGGACATCCTTGCTGGTCTCCTGGCTGGCTTCCTTGCCATTGCCGTTTCCGCTTTCCTTAACGATGCTGTCCTTGGCGTGGCCGTCCTTGCCGTTCTCGCTGCCTGAGCTGCCGAACATCCTGTTCAGCAAGCCGCCCTGACCGGAGAGACTGCGTCTCTTATTCCCGGCCAGATTTGTACTTTGCTGCGTGGCGACTCCGCTCATGTAGTCGCTGGAACGACGCCGAGGAGAAGTCGCTGGAGGGCCGTGGGTGGTAGGTCGGAGAAGGTGTGCGGTGAGGGTGTGCGGGAGCGGGCAAGGCCTCGGCTAGCGCGAGACGGAGGGGGGAGCTCTACCGAGCGCACAGCGCGGTCAGCAAAGATGATGCCTGAGAAGGACAGCGGCGCTTGGTGGGAGGAAGAGCTAGTAGAGGGTGTGTTGGAGGGGACGAGGTGGTGGAGGGGAAGGTGGTGGTGCTGAGCGGGCAGGCAAGCAGTGCGGGAGGGTGGAGATTGCTGTGGAGCAGGCCGCTTACGGAATTTGGGGGGGCCTGGCGAAATGCGGGCAGAACAAAGCGCGCACCACAGTTGAGGGCGTGGCGTGGCGTGGAAGGTGCGATGTGTGAAGCAGGCTTCTTTGTCTTGCGCGCAAGAAGGGCACGGTGTGTGATGGACAGCAGCGTCGGTGCGGGTGTGGCAGGTGGGTTGTCGTCAGAGGCGGTGCTTTAATAAGAAACAAAACGTGACCTGCGCCTGTTGCGCCTGCCCCTCGATAGGGAAGCCACGGTGACGTCTGGGCTCGGCCGGCACTCGCGACGCCTTGCTCAGGTCACCATCAATGTCCGACGCGTGGATGAACCACTGTCCCACATGCTTCGCCGCCTTGTCCGACACTTGCTCTTCCAAGTGCGTCTTCGCCACCAGCGCCAACCCCACATCCGGCTCGTTTAGAAACGGGAGGCTCGCTGCCACGTCCTTGTAAGCCTTCTTCTTCCACGTGCGCTCCACCGTGTTGGAGAGGTACATGTCGCTCGTATGCATCTCCACCAGGTCGCGGAGAGAGCCACGCAACGCTGCCACCATTTGATGATATGCGAGCAAATGCCGCGACAGTGGTCCCGTGTACCCAATCTCGGCGTGATGGAACGACGCCAGGCATGCCACTCGGCTGATGAGCAAGGTATGCGCTCGATCCGTCTCGGTTCCGCGAATAGGTGCGCCGGAGTATGGGGGTGTGGGGAAGAAGTCGCGAGAGTTGAGGATGTCGTGACGCAGCAGCTCAAAGGCCAGGAAGATGGCCTCTTCGATTTCAAAGGTCGTGATCCCGTCTGCAATCAGGCCACTGGAGTTTGCCTGCTCGAGAGCTGCCTTCAACGCCGTTCCCCATGCGGAGAGGGTGTGATCGGGGGCGATGTAGCCCCGGTTCTGGAGCAATCGCCAGACAGCATTCGCAACAACGTCTTCAGTCTCCTGCAGCTGTGAGCTGCCATTCTTTGTCATGGGAGCCGAGGTCTTCTTGGCTTCTGCCTCGCTTGCAAGCGCCATTACCGCGAACATCAAAGGGTTCTTCGCGATATCGTAGTGCGGCTTCGACGCCAGTGCACTCGTCTTTACATGCCAGCTCTCGTTGGCCTTGGTGGAGTCTGTCTGATCGGCAATGTTGAGGGGCGTCTTGGAGTTTTCGCTCCAGTAACACACCATGTCCACATCCGTCTTATGGTAATATCGGTGGAGCTGGCGTGTGATGAGCGCGAGTGCTTGCGCTCGGAGCGGTCGAAGCTTGTCCTGCACCAGTCTCTTGTAGGCCTCGGAATCGCCTCCGTCGAGCGGCGGGATCTCCACCACTTCCATCCGCGTGCGATAGTTGAGGACTCGGGGGCTCAATGCGCCCATGGCTAGATAATCGTAGAGCTCGTCAGGTAGTCGTTGTCCAATGAATGCGTGTATGTCGGCCGGCCCGCTCTGCCAATTCTCCGGCTCGATTTTACCGTCGTCGGTGAGGGCGATGGGGTGTCGAAGAACGCAGCGCGCTTTGAGAAAGGAGTCTCGGTAGCTTTCGTCTTTCATGTTGTGAAGCAGCGTGTTCGTGTCGAGGCCTATCCGATTCATGAAGTTGCGCACGGTGGGGATTCGGGAGCTTGCCGAGTCGATTTCAACCTCTGGAAGGATGGGCAGAATGCTGCAGCCGGAGAGTAGGCAGACGTTGACGAAGCGCTCTCGGCTTAAATTCATCTTCTCGAGACAGTTCGTCACCGAGGTCCAGGTGAAGGTGGGGGTCTGTCCCGCCTTGCCCTCGGCCCAGTCAAAGCTGATGATGACCTTTTCCGCCCCGAAGACAAGACACGAAGCAGATCCGGAGATGGCTTCGATGAAAGCCCCTTCGCGCTCCATGTGTACGAGCTGCGAGGCGGCGGAGTACAAAGCGCTGCCGGTATAGACGCCCTGGCGATGGAGGTACAGCTGCACATTGCGCACAATATGTTCGGTCTTGTATAGAACTTGGTGGTGTCAGCAAGCTGAGGGGAAACACGGCACAAGGACGACCAGACTCACTCGCACTCCCAAAGGCGTTGACCGCTTGATCGGCCTCGCCCTTGTCATAGACGGACCACGCCTGATTCAGCGCCTTCTCCGCCCTGCGCGCCTCGCGGAAGACACTCTTTCTATCCTTGCAGGGATGGTCCAGGCCGTCGAATATGAAGATCGGCTCGATTCCGGCGCTTCGGAAGTGCTCGATGTCATCGTTTAAGCGCTTGTGGAGACCGAAAGGCAGGCCGCCCAGGGCAGGCAGGAGTGGTTCTGGTTGCCCGACCGCCAAGATAGAATGGACGTAGTCGTCTGCATCAATTCCGACGTGCATGCCCTTGAGTGCTTCGATGGACTCGGTTACCGTGACCCCTTCATTGACCGCCCACTCCTTGAACGCTACGGATTGTGCACCCATCTTGTGCGTCGGAGGAGACCAGAAGATGGGCTGGAGCTTACAGCAGCTTGCTTATTCCCACACTCGGCGTAATGCAGATGTCAGAGGGAGGAATACGTGCGAGAGTGAAGGAGCAGTAATGTGGAATGTGAAAAGAAGATGAATGGGAGGGTGAGGCTGGCGTCTGGGGAAAGTGCGCAGCGGGCCGCGCTCTGTGCCTGGGATAGCGCCGAGTCTATTTGCGTCTGCCCGAGAGACATTTGTGACAGGTCTCTTACTCCCTCACTTTCAACTTCACAAGGCAAAATAGGCAGAAACAGAGACGTGACTATGACTAAAGTACAAGCATTATTCCACCGTCTTGATCTTACATCTCCACCCACTCTGCTGGCTCAACAGCGGCAGGCTCGCCCCTAGACACCATCCCAGCTCGTTGCCCTTGATCTTCTTGGCAATCCTCACTTCGCGATCCAGTGGCATCTCATACCCCGTGCTCAACAGAGCCAGCATGAAGTTCAGGTCAAGGCAATACTCCGGTCGATCCTCCAACTCGGCGATGGCATTGGGGATGCTTTCGAATGCCTTCCACGCCTCTCCACCCTCACACACTCGAGATGCCATGTCCTGGAGCTGGCGAAGTGTGAAGGTGTCCGGCATGCCAAGCGGGAGCAGGCGCTCGTAGAAAAAGGAGAACAGATACACGTCCTCTCGAGCAAAGGTCTGCTCCAGCGACGGCTGGTGCACGCCTTCGAATGCGCAAGGCGTGACCGTACATTCCTTGTCTTTGTGCAGCGTCTTCTCCGCCATAGACCGGCACAGTTCCGCAGAGCCGGCAGCCGGGCCGGTCATGTTGACCGTCACGCTGGCGCCTAGTATGTGACCCTCTGGTAGGCTGACTTGGACTTCCCGGCTCTTGCCCACACCGATGCAAGGGTTCGTCATCGGGCTGTCCAGCCAAGAGTGAGAGCCAGGGTTGGCATCTTGAGCATTCTGGACCACGAGTCGGTGCAAATTGTTTCGCGCTTCCATCAGGCCGAATCCGAGGTAGGAGTGTTGGTACAGCGTGAAGTCTCGGCCGCCAAACGACAGCTCGTACTTGTGATCGCCCTCCTTCATCTTCTCAGGCATGCCGCCATCTGCGGCAAGAGGAAAGGTCGGCTCAAAGACAATCTGGGTGCTGCCTCCGCCAAGATCGAAAACGGCGGCTGTCGGCGTCTTTGCAGGTCCACCGATGTTTCCTAACAAATAGTTGGTCGTGATCCACGCGTATACACCCTCGTCTTTGCCATCCATCACCTCCACACCCCCATGTTGATCATCGACGAGTGGGAATGGATACTGCGTCTCCAAGCGGTGCCTCACGGCCTTGAGGATACGCTCACTGAGTTCCGGGCCAAGTTTTCGAAGACCTGCCGTCGCCTTGACCGCGATGGGGGTGCAGGATTTCAATGGCTCCGGGACATTGTCCATTGCGACCTTCATCAGCATGTCCAGGCTCTTCGCCGCGCCTTCCGAGTCCTCCTTGTAGCTGCTCAGTCCACTCCCACCCGGTCGAGGGATAGTCGTTTTGAAGACCTCATCCTCCAGTTCAGGAGTCTGCCCGCAATTGTTGAATCTGTACACATGTATGCGACTCCCCGTGCTCCCCGCATCGATCATCAAGGCATACTGGATCAAGGGCGTGGCAGGGGTATAGCTCTTGGAACATTTCGTGGTCGTCAGAGTGTGCTTGCCAGCGGCACCGCCTCCCCTGAAGACGCGTAGGGAGGGGAGGGAGGGGACATGATGGCGGGCGGAGAGGTAGTAGAGGGCGACGAGGAAGACGACGCTGAGCAAGACAGTCTTGATCAGGCGCGAACGCTGCCCTTGATTCATCCAGGCGGCCAGACGTCCGTGTTTCCGCGATTGGAAGGCTCTTGCTTTTGCTCCGGTGCTGCTCCGGCGAGATCTCTCGCGAGGAGGTTCGTGATTCGGCAGGCGGAGGGAGGAGGAGCGGCGCGGGCGAGGAAAAGTTACGTACGACCAGGCGGATGGACGCTGTATGGCATCGCTGGCGCCGGACATGTGTGTCGAAGGATTAGACTGGCGGCAGGGGTTTGGGTTTGGTTCGCTTGCGCATCACACTCGTATCTTGAAGGAGTGACTTTGGGTGGGTTACGGGATTACGCAATTCTAAGGAGGGCATTTTGCTGCATTGACAGTTCGTCGCTTCTGCCTCAACCGAACCCAAAAAGCCCTTACGCCACATCACCTGCCGAACGGCCATGAACTCTATTTCCTTAGTCACCCGTGTGGCGTCAAGTCGTCAACGTCAACCTTGTCAGCCTGCCATCGTACTCGTACAGGTACCTGACCGAGTGCTAATAAGGTCCACGATGCTATCACGCACACCAGGCCTCGACATTCGTGTGGAAATCAAGACAGCAGGAACGCCGTGATCTCGTCAAGATACCCTCACTTTAAGCTGCCCGATTCCTTGCACACCTCCAATATGGATGTCCAACTCTACGTCTACGACCTCAGCAGAGGCATGGCCCGAAGCATGAGCCAGTCCTTTCTGGGCATCCAGATCGATGCCGTTTACCATACGGCGCTGGTCTTCAACAACCGCGAGTACTTCTTCGGCCAAGGAGTCCAGGTGTGTTATCCGGGAAGCACCCATCACGGCCGACCGATGGAGATCATTCCCTTGGGCAAGACACACTTGCCTATGGACACGGTGCTGGAGTATCTCGAGAGCCTCAAGCAAGTCTACACGCCGGAGAGCTACGATCTTTTTGCACACAACTGTAACAACTTCACCCACGACTTCGCCATGTTTCTCCTCGGCACCGGTATTCCAGCTCATATTACAAACCTCCCGCGTCGCGTCTTGGATACCCCATTCGGCGCCATGCTCAAGTCCCAGATTGATCAGAGTATGCGCTCCATCACTCAAGCCTCGCTTCCGCCGCAAAGTATCCCGAATGGGCATTCCGCTGCGCCTAACGGATATGCAAGCGAACATGCCGCTGAAGTCACTGCCAAGCAAGAATCAGGCTCGATGAATGGCACGAAGTTCGGTCGTGTCTTTGATGTCACGCAGAGCAGGGTGTTGAACGAGCTTCTGCAGTCTGCTTCGAATACTGCTGCAGCACTCTTCTTTACGTCCTCCACATGCGCACCCTGCAGGATTGCATATCCAATGTTCGATCAGCTCGCCCAGCAATATCCACAGGCGGTCTTCATCAAGATCGACATTAGCAAGGCGCAGGAAGTCGCCATGCAGTACCAGATCCGCGCAACACCAACCTTCATCACCTTCTCCAGAAGCTCGAAGAACGATGCTTGGTCCGGAGCGGATCCCAACCTATTAAAGGCAAACATCGATCATCTCATGCAATTTACCTTCCCCCCGCACCCGCATGCTCTGCTGAAAACCCCCACTCTTCAAGTCGCATCGCTCAAGCCCGTGACGTACATCAGGACGCCACCGCTGGACAAGCTTATGACGAAACTGGGTCCTGCCGCGACGCAAAAGGAGCTCTTGGCCCTGCGCTCCTTTGTGGAAACGAGAAACCGGGATCCCAAAGAAGCCAAACTACCGGATCTACCATCTGTCTCCCGCACATTGCAGACGAGCATACTCACATTGCCAGCCGAAGTCCGTTTCGCTGCGTTCGATCTTTTCAGGTGTGCCATGATCGATCCGCGCGTCACCAGCTTCTTCGCCGAGGAATCGTCGGACTCGACCGTGCACACTCTTGTGCAGCATGTCAACGGCCTGAACGACTGCCCGCACAGCTTACGCCTGGTGACGCTACACCTCGCCTGCAATCTCTTCATCTCCCCACTGTACGTGAAAGAATTGATGCGGCAGGAGAGCGCTCTATCCGCATCGCTGGTCCAACTCATCTCCTCCTCCCTCCTCGATGCTTCCCATCCGACGACCAGGGTAGCAGCGGCCTCGCTGGCATTCAACATTGCAGGTGCAAACTATCGCATCCGCCGGGAGCAGGCGCGGGAGGGCATGAGCGAGAGCCAGCAAGTCGAGCTCGCAGCCAGTCTGCTGGAGACGGTGTTGGCGGAGGAGAACGCGGACGCAGCCAAAGCTGCCTTGCTGGCGCTGGGACATTTGTTCTACTACGCGCCGCAAGATGGGGAGGTGATGGATCTCGCCGGCGCACTCGACGCGAGAACCACCCTAAGGGGCAGCAAACTGCACGTGCAACTGGCGGGTGAAGTGGCGAGCCTGGTGTGACCCTTCTCCCCTGTGCTTTGCTCGCCTACACATGTAGACATTGTAATGGAAATGAAAAGGTGGTCCGACGTGTAATGTCAATTCACTCCTTTAATTAAACAAGGCTCCGGGTATTCGCGAAAATCCAGCCATTACCCAATGAATGAAACGTACCTGCCCCATCACCGAGTCGACTGCGAGACTGATATGTAAGGATCGTCATGTATGTACACTCTTTTTTCTGGTTCTTTCTTGGGGTATCGATTCCAAAACGGTCGTATCGAGACAGAGCCTGTGCTGAAGTGGTGTGCGGTGGCGGTCTCACTTCTTCTTGTTGCCGCTGATGCCTAGCTTGCCTAAGAGGCCTTCCATGCGACTCCCTCTCCTCTCCCTTGCAGCCGGCGGAGCGTCCATTCTAGGCTCATCTTGCGCAGTCGTCTCCACCGGAGGGGCAGTTGCGGGGGCAGCGGCATCGGGGGCGACACCGTCTACCGCGGGAGCGGGATTAGTGGCGGGATTCTCGTTCTCCCTCAGTGCAGCATCGACGTCTCTCAGCTGGTTGGCCGGGGCGGATCCTGACCTCTCCCGGTCGAGCTCGGAACCGCCGACGCCCAGCTTGGAGCTGCCCTCGCCGTTGTCCTGGTGTAGGCGCGCGGGAATGGTATTGGCCTGGGTGTTGTCATATGTGAGCGGATCAGGACTGCCCTCGCGATCGAGCGACAGGTCGCCCGTGGTGTTGACCATGCTCTTGCGCCGGTACTCGCGTTCCGCGATAGCCCGGCCGCCGAGGGATTGGCCGCCGGCGGTAGGGATGGCGAGGGGGTTGTCGGCCTTCAGTGGAGCGCGGCGGGACTTATCGGCAGCGGCGCTGGCGACGGAGAAGGCGCGGGATGATTTCAGCTCGCTGTTTCGGGGGCCGTCGCGGGCCTTCATGTCCTCCTCGCTCGGCGGCCAATTGATCTGCGGAGCAGCGTCGCGCACCGGCTCCTTGCCATTTGTCGACATGATGCTCTGCGATCTGGACGTGTCGTGATTGGAGAAGGGCTGGCTCTGAACCGCTCTGGCTGAGGACGAGTGGGGTCTCGATGAAAGGTGGGGTTGCCGATGACGTTTGAATTGGTAGGAGGCGCAAGGACAAGCTGCGCTCGGGGGTGCGCTCAACAGGCGAGTATAGAGATGGGCGACGATCGTCCAGTGCGGACTATCAAGGCAGATCGGTTGGCGGCGGAGGGTGGTGGAGTCTAGGAAGGTCGGCGGGTGAGTTGGGATGGTACGGAGCAAGCTGGGGAGAGAGGATGGAGGGTGGGGTGGGCAAGTGGGGTGGAGGGTCTGGGGTAGTTCAAGTGGGGACGGCACGGCCTGGTGCGAGGCATCAGGATCGTCGGGGTCTTACCGATGAAATGAAGTGCGATGAATGCTTGTCTTCGATTCGTGGAGCGGCGGAGGGGAGGGAGAGGTGGAGTGGTATGTAGCAACAAGAGGAAGATGTAGAAGATAGGTGGGCAGAGGGAGGAGGTTGGCAGTCTCACTTCCCGTCTTCTGCCCTCACCGCCAGCCTCGCCTGCACTTGCCTCGAACGCGGGGGTTGGCAGGTGTGTGGGAAATCGTCACAACCCTGGCCGGGAATGAACAGGCGTGGTGATCAATGGTGTTGGGTACTTGCGTGTACCATGAGTGTATCACGGCTCCCACGGCCTCACGATGTCCTCCGCCTGGTTCCGGGAAATTTACAGGATTCAAAGCGTCTCAACCATCCAACCCTGAATGCTTCCCAGATACCGTCGACGCACTTGTACATGCACCAGTCCCCCTTCTGCTCGAGGCTCCGCATCACTATGTCGAGCGCCGTCATGCACAACCGAACACGTCGCAACCCGCGGTCGAGGTGGGGATCGTAGCACGGCCAACGCCGCCATTCGTCGCAGACGCCTTCAAGCAGCACAGCCTATCCAAGCTGTCCGTCGTTGTCAATCGCCCTGTCTGTCCACGCGCTGTCCAACTTTGGTAGAGAGCAAGATCGGAAATCGGGCTAGATGTTTGGTACATCGCACTCATACCGACTCACGGCGGCTTCAACATGGTGCGTACCCGCTCGATCCGCCGATTGGCCTCTTCCAGTCTCTGCAGCCGTTTCTGCCGCTGTCCCTCCCGCTCCTCCAAGCGTTTCAGCTTCTCCTTGAGCCTCTCGTTCTCCCTTTGCAGCGCGGTGGTGTCCGCGGCACCCAACCCCCCGTCCAGCGAGCGCTGCTGCTCCTCCAGAAGCTGCAGCTGCGTCTTCAGCGCCGAGTTCTGTTTGCGCTCCGTCGCTACCATTTCATTCGCTTGCTCGAACAGTGTCGCGCTCAGATCCTCAATCTCCGCGCTGACCTCGTTCGCCTTCTTCTCCGCCGCAATGCGTGCGGTCTGCTCTTTGATCAATTGCTCCTCCAATTCCTTTTCCCGCCCACCGCCCACAGCGGGCGGCGTTCCGTTTATCGGGCTAGGTGAGGCTTTTCGTGTGCTCATAAAGCTATTGAAGCGAGAAATGCCGGGTCGCTGTGCACTTGGCTGCGCAACTGTGGTGGCCGTTGGGTCTGATGGGGTGGCGTTCTTCCGCTGCTCCACACGAAGCTTCGCCTCCAGGACGCGAATGTCGTTTTCGTAATCCGCATATCGTTGCGCTGGGGGGAGAAGGATGGTCAGTAGTTGCACACCACATGAGTGGAAAGGGGGGAGGTACAGGCAGCACTCGCTCGCTCTGCCAACGCCCTGACCTCCTCCTCCAGCTCGCGGATCCTCTCCGCATCGTCGCCCTTGGATGAGCCCACACTCAAGGCAGAATCATGAGGGCCATGGGAGCCTTGTGGGTGGTGGAATTGTCCATTCTGCTGTTGCTGCTGCTGCTGCTGCTGCTGTTCCATAGCCCCTGCAAGTCTGAACCCGACCCGGCATCCCAGGGCGGCATGAGCGCCAGCGATGGAGGGACTGCTGCGGGGAACATGCACTGCGGGGCAGTCGGGAAGGATGCTGGCGCAGATACAATGTGAGGATGTTTAATGGCAGCCAATATGGGGCAGTGGTAGGGCAGGGCAAATCGGCGGGAAAAGGGCAAGCGGAGGCGGAATTCCAGGGTTGCCGCGCTGATGCAAGGTCAGGCCCAAGCGAGTGGCGAATGATCTGTGGCTGGAATGGGCACTACGCCTCATCACTGCCCTGGTTTTCAATGCGTTGCTGTTGGGAGGGAGAATACAGTATGGCAGTCGCCCTCGACTTCAGCTTGCAAGGCGGCGATATTGACGTGGCTTCATTTGCTTCGTCTTCTTCTCTGCCTCCATTTTCGCTTAGCGCGCAGCGCGCAGCGGAGCGAGAGGAATGAGGCGGTTTGGAGAAGTGGGACAATGAAAAGATCCAAGTTGCCCTAGTCTATACGGCATGTCCAGGCAGGCGGAATGCTTCGCTTCTGATGACGACCAGGGGCAGTTCAAGCCATTGGTGGCCCTCCGTGACATCAGGTCGAAGGCAGGTGAGGAAGCCCACCACCGTGACATCACTTTGGCGACTCGCAGGGGCCTGAGGGGCCGGTGTAGGATCCCGAGCTTGCTCCGGTGGGGGATGTGAATCACGCAAGGATACGAAGGAGATCAACGAGGCCCCATGTGGCGTTGACATGGAATGCGCAGTATCTGGGGCAAGCGAACAAGCGAACAGGCGAGGAAGCGAACAAGCGGACCGGGAATAACAACATACGCAGGCCTGGTCGCGAGATACATGCAGGTACCTACATGTAAGTATGACATGCGCGGGGAGAAGATGGGGAGGGTCGCAAGCCGCGACAAATACATGCCTGAACGTGAATGCAGGGCAAGCGGCCAGGCCGCGGATCGTGGGCGTTGGGAAGATCGGGCACACTCGAGACCAGGGCGACGTGGGGTGAGGTGCCCGTCCGGCAGTTAGGCATTACTGTGATGATGGTACGCCGCCAACATTCAACATGGATGAGCCATGTCGAGTTCATATCGTCTGCAGCATGCGGCGGCGTGATTGGCGGAGGCCGGAACAGGGCTGGGCCCGCATCCGAGTCGACGTGCCGCGGCAGGGAAGGGGCAGTTGGGCAGTCGCCGATCCTCTCAAACGGAAGGTGGGATGCCCTGGATGCTTCGGCTGCCTGTCCGCCGCCGCCGCTGCGGACCCGCCAAACGTCCAGCGCGTCATTGCGACGGTGGCGGAAGGCACTTGAGAGCTCTGCATTTAAACACCCCGACGACAGCGAGCAGAAACTACACGGCAAACTCGCCATTGAACGTCCCGAGGCGAAGAACAGTGAATTTCAATCAATTGTCAGGTGCAAGCCACTGCCCCGCGCCTCGAACCGTCACCGCACCTCCAGCTACTCCCGTTCCAGCATTCGCCACACCACCTTGCGAACCTCACCGCCACAACCACCCGTCCGCGCCTGGCTCTACACACCTACCATCCTCCCCGTCACCAATACAGCCAACACCAGGCCAGCCCTTGCCATCCTCCACGGCGTGTGGACAGGTCTCTCGTGACGGGGGGCCCGCGCGCCATGTCACGCCGCAACGAGCACGCCGCGCGCGAGCTCGCGTTCGATGATCCATCCTTCCCCCCCCGACCCTCTTTCGACTTCGACCCGGATGCGACTGCCTTCCAAAACTTCCCCGACGACGGAGGAATTGACTTTGACTTCGCCACCGCTCTCCAGTAAGTCTCGCCGTCCCCACAGCCCTTGTGCGCCGGGCTGACGCAAAGCAGCAATCCACATGACCCTTTCGATGCCACCCTCATTCCCCCCGTGTCCCAAGGTGTCCAGAGCACGGATACCTCTGGGCGCCACTCGTACCCTGCGCCGGCCCCGGCATCAACGCAAGCCCAGATTGTCAGCGGCCGCGAAGACCGCGTCAATCAACGCTTCGGCCAGATAACACCACCCGACGAAAGAGTGTCATCCTCCTCCAAAGCACCTCCGGCCCACGCACCACCCTCGCAACAGACCCGTGGCCAGGATCCCTCGAAGCTCAGTAACGAGCAAAGAGCACGCAACGCCGCCAACACCCGCCATTCACGCTCGAGGAACGCGAAGCAACAGCACCGGGCCGACCACGCGGATTCCACCGAAGCTAAGAGTGAAGATGGCCAGAAGCCGGGGAAGAGCTTGCATGTTCAGCGCGAGAAGAACCGGGTGGCTGCCGCAAAGTGCCGAGCGAAGAAGAAGTCGGCAAACGAGCAGCAGGCAGAAATGGCCAGCCAGTTCAGCAGCACCAACAACATCTTGACCAAGGAGATCCGCGACCTCAAGAATCAGAAGACCGAGTTCCAGAATCTGCTTCTCGCCCACCGGCCGGGAGTGTGCACTTGCCATGGTATCCACGACTACAATTACGGCCAAGCACAGCGCCTTGTCTCGAACGCCAGACGTCAAGTCGTCGAAACATCCTCCTCTTCGCCCTCCCAAGCCAGTCTCGCCTCCACCCATTCGCCCTTATCAGAAGTATCGGGCACGATGTTCCACGGCTCATCGATGGACCTGAGTGCGGATGGCATGGGCGTTCATCCCAGAGCCGGCTCGTTCGACGACCCTATGCGCTACGCCTTCAATCAGAATGGAGACCCCGACACGCTGCATACGACCAGCGGCGATCCACTCATGCATCGAGAGTTTGCCGAGTTCCTGCAAAGTTCACCCGGCAGTCGGGCGGGGTTTGCATAGGCATCTGGGGGTTTGCAACGCGTTTGAGCGTGGGGAGACGGCGTCTGTTAGTTTGGCGGCGCTCCTCGCATTTTCTTCGGTGGTAACAAAATTCAGGTGGTTCCATGAGCGTTTTAGGGGGGGTTTTGCGAATCCTGCGAAGTGAGGTACATGTGCCATATGCGTAAATGTGATTACACGCATCTGAGGACGATTTTCCGTCGGCAACGCGGCATTTTGGAGCTTGAAAGGTGTCTGCTTGCACTGTTGGCAACGAGAAAGAAGCGGAACGTACGAGTGTTGTAGTCCACAATATGCCTTGCGTACATCGCATCTCTTCACACTCAGGCCGGGCCGGTATCGATGCGCAAACGACAATGCGACACAAAGGGTGTTTGAAAAGGTCTGAAGTGGCTGTCACGGGAACGGGCACGGCTGTTGGGTGGATGCTCCTCGTCGTGGTTCGAAGGGCGTTGCAGAGAGCCTGGTCGGATTGTTATCCGCCATTGTGCAAGCGAATGGCCATGGTCTTGGATTACAGTCAAGCAGTAATGTGCCTGCTGTAATATGGAGTGCAGTTGTTCCAACAAAGTATGTCTCGGTCATGGTCGGGCGGGTGTAGTAAGGCGCGCGCGACGCCTCGGTCGCTGGCTGCGAGGGCTCGTGCCACGGAGTGCCAACACCACGTCACTCTTTCAAAAAATGGGATCAAGGTAGGTATTCCATGTGTACATCGTGTGTGGTTGGCACGAGTGGTGGCGTGGTCGCTGTTGGAATCATTTGCGCCCGCGCGCACGACAAGTGGTCGCAGCCGTCAAGCGCGCCTCGCTACACTCATTACAAACACCGCCAAACACGAAGAAAGTTCCTGCAATGGTTGAGGGAGTAGAATGGCACCATGCTGGAGCGTCTCGGCCAACGAGGCCGTCGTCTCCACTTCCTTGTTGTTTTGCGCCGAGCGCCGTAAACGTGTGTCGCGAAAGTGTAGTCCTTCCAAAGAGGCGAATCGTACACTGATTGGCAGCATATGCGACAGCTCGGCTCAAACGCATTAGCTATCGAGGTGGTTGGAAGTGTGGTGTGGGTGACGTGACGGGACTAGATGACATTCATCAAGGTGATCAGTCGCTCGGGCTTCAGTGACTCGCCGAGCGTCTTCTAGTCGCACCCAGGCGAGTGACCGCGCGCTGCCCAGCATCCACCTCTTTGCGGCGCTCTTGCTCGTCAGCGTACGCTGTTGGACTCGTTGATCGTTGGGCATGATGCGTGTCTCGAGGCATTCTCACCACTTCCACATCACTAGCGAGCCTGAGGCATGAAACTCATGACACCCTTTTTCCCAACTCTGTGACGTAGCTCCTTCATCGACACAACTGAACACCTTCATCCTCTCCGTCACAAAGCCCGACGAACTCCATCTTCATGAGCCTTTTCTCCACACTGAAAACAATTCGGACACGGCCTTTCACCTCCTTCATCGTTGCAGTAGGCATCGCTCTTCTTTCCTCCTACTTCATCGCTGATTCACCCTTCTCCAAGCCCGTCCGCTCGCACAAGATGCATATCCAATCAATCCCCATGTGTAAGTTAGAGACGAAACCCCAGGCCTTCATACCACATCACTCATCTGTCCGTGCAGGGGAGGGCTCTGGCAACAACTATGCCTATCTCGTCACCGATGACAAGACGAAAGACGCGGTCATCATCGACCCCGCCAACCCACCAGAGTATGCCACCATCGCAGCATCCCATCGCTCCACCTTGCAGCAAGCTGACCTCGTCGCAGGGTGTTGCCGTCGCTGAAGAAGGCGACCGAGCAGGGCATCAAGATCACGAACATCATCAACACTCACCAGTACGCCGCGTGTTCCGCTGAGCTCTTTGCAATACACTTGCTGACACTCAGCCAGCCATCACGATCACGCTGGAGGCAATGCTGAAATTGTACGATGATCTTCTGGTCTTCGTGTGCTCATGAACTTACACTTACAGCTCAAATCCTATTCGGTTCCGATCATCGGCGGGAAGAACTGCGACAAAGTCTCGCACACCCCCAAGCACGGCGAAACATTTACCATTGGTGAGGGCATCAAAGTCAAGGCGCTCCACACCCCGTGCCACACGCAAGACAGCATCTGCTATCTCTTCGAAGATGGCAACGACCGAGTCGTCTTTACGGGCGACACCCTGTTCATTGGCGGCAAGTAACCACGTCCTCTTCCAAATGGACGCCATAGCTAACTCGGGCTGTCTGTCTTCAACAGGCTGCGGTCGCTTCTTTGAAGGCACGTCGGAGGAGATGGACACGGCCTTGAACAAGACGCTTGGAAGTCTGCCGGATGACACCAAGGTCTATGTCAGTAGCATCATGCTCGGCCAACAAGACGTATCGCAATCTGACCACACGCAGCCGGGCCATGAGTACACCAAGGGAAATGTTAAGTTTGCCGTCACAGTCTCGCAAAGCGAAGCCATCAAGAAGCTTGAATCGCTCGTGAACTCCAACAAACAAACCCAAGGCAAATCGACCATTGGCGATGAGAAGGTGCGTCATACTTTTGGCCATGGATGTTGGGGATGATTGCTAACTACCTGCACAGAAACACAACGTTTTCATGTTGCTTGATGTGCGTCTCGACCAACCCCATCGCTGCGTGACACAACTAATACGCCGTGCAGGATCCCACCGTGCAGAAGTACACCGGCAAGACGAACCGCGTGGATGTGATGACCGCTTTGCGAGAAGCGAAGAACTCCATGTAGACATTGTCACCTCCAAACCGCCAGAGGTAGATCAAGCAGCATGCGCATGTGCATTCATCGTCAAAAATGACCTGAAATCGTGACTATCAATATCTACACGGCCATCGTAATTGCCCGCCTGCCATCTATGTCGCCATGCCGACATTGCATCCTGTCAAGGGAATCCTCGTCGTCTCGCTCTCGTTGTCATGCTGATGATTCGATGGCTCATTGATTGTGCATCGTGGCGATGCGCGCGGTGACTGCTTTCGGCGCGACTGAGTGGCAGTGACATGCCTTCACATGGTGACTGGTCAATGACTCCACTCCCCGCTTCGACGCCACCTGCCCCTCTCTCACATGCTCTTCATCTCCTACCTTTCGTCGACATCCCCAACTTGCCAGACAGTAGCCTACAAAATGATCACACGAATACGAAACTAACCCTCCATTCACGATAACAACCACAATGTCCACCCGAGCCGAAAGATTCAAGGAGGGGCCTCAGACGGCCCAGGAGCGACGCGCCGGCGAGTCTGTATGCAGAACGATGCGCTCAACGGACTGCACGCAACTTTCTAATCTCTGATGTAGGCGCTGAGCGACTTTGCCGACTACGTCCAGCAGCAGCAGGCCCTGCGCAAGCCAGCAGTCGCCGGCAGTCAAGCTGCCACTGCTGCATCTACCAACGGAGCGTCCAAGAATGCCCACGCCGAGCTTGACATCCTTGATTCCCTCGACCTCGCAGATGCGAAGCCAAGAGTCCGGTTAAAGGAGCTGTTGCTTGACGACGGCGAAACTCGAGATGATGCCACTCGACAGCTGCGCGGGATCATCGAGGACCGATTGAACGAAGGGCACGGCGAGTGCCTGTTCGACGTCGGGCTCGAAGACAATGGCGACCGTCAGCTGTTGACGGAACAAGAGTGGGATGCCGCTCTCGCGCGGCTGAAGCGAATCATGAATGCGCTGGCGGCGGACTGGAAGATACTCATGACCAAGAACGTGCCCAACAGCCCGGTCGACGTGGGCAATGAGAACATGAAACAGAAGGGATGCATAGGGAAGTTTATGATACGGCGGCGTCCCAAGGATGTGGATGATACCATCGAGACTCGAATAGCCGTGGTGGGCAACGTGGATGCCGGTAAGAGCACTCTGCTCGGAGTCTTGGTCAAGGGAACGCTGGACGATGGCCGTGGTAAGACACGAGTCAACTTGTTCCGGCACAAGCACGAGATCGAATCCGGTCGGACCAGCTCCGTTGGAATGGAGATTCTCGGCTTCGACACCAAGGGAGAAGTGGTTGTCTCCGCCGTTCCCGGGCGAAAGCTAAGCTGGGAGGAGATTGGCAAGCGCAGCGCCAAAGTCATCTCCTTCACCGACTTGGCTGGGCACGAACGGTACCTACGCACCACGGTATTTGGACTGCTCTCAAGCGAGCCGAACTACTGCCTCTTGATGGTAGCAGCGAACAACGGCCTCATCGGGATGAGCAAAGAGCATCTTGGCATTGCGCTCGCCCTCAACGTCCCCGTCATGGTTGTCATCACCAAGATCGACATCTGTCCTCCTCAGATCTTACAACAGACCATCACGCAACTGACGAAAATCCTCAAGTCTCCTGGGGCCCGGAAAATCCCAATCTTCATCAAGAACCGCGAAGACTGCATCAACACTGCGACGCAGTTCGTCAGCCAGCGCATCTGCCCCATCTTCCAGGTCTCCAACGTTACCGGAGAGTCGTTGGATTTGGTCCGGGAGTTTCTCAATATTCTCCCGCATCACGGCAAGTACGACGTGGACGCGGCCTTTGAGTTTCACATCAACGACACCTTTTCGGTGCCCTTTGTTGGCACGGTCGTGTCGGGCGTGGTCAAGTCTGGCGTTGTGCACGCCGGCGATACGGTGCTGGTCGGCCCGGACGGACTCGGGCAGTTTGCCACGACGACCATTCGAAGCATCGAGCGCAAGCGTATATCAGTGCCGGTTTGCTCGGCGGGGCAGAGCGCGTCCTTCGCGTTGCGCCGAGTACGGCGGAAAGACGTGCGCAAAGGCATGGTGGTCCTGTTGGCCAAGTCTGACGCGAACCCCAACGCGCCGGTGGCACAGCCCAAGGTCTACAAGGAGTTCATTGCAGAGGTGCTCATCCTCTCGCACGCGACGACCATTCGGACGAAATACCAGGCGATGCTGCACGTCGGGCCGGTCAGCCAGACGTGTGCGATCATCGACATCGACCGGCCGTACATTCGGACTGGCGACCGGGCGACCGTGGCTTTCCGCTTTGTGCAGCGCCCCGAGTTTTTGTGTGTCGGCGATCGAATATTGTTTCGCGAGGGCCGGACGAAGGGGCTGGGGATTGTTAAGCAAGTGGGATACGACTCTACCAAACCGCTTAATCCCGACGCCCCCAAGGACGAGACGGAGAGTGGTGTGGTGAAGACGTCTACCAAAGCCGTCACTTCTCAAGCATGAGTGTGGGAGACGAGGAGAGCCTCCATGAACGACTTGATGTCGTTTCGAATGTGTAGCAGAGATATCTCCGCCTGTACTATCTCGATGTCTGTAAGGTGCAGTAACATCCGTTTCAAACAATGTTTTTTGGATTGGAATTAAGGGCGTTCCGTATGTTTGCTGTGTATACAGTCCCTGATCTCCTGATGTCCTGATGACATGAAGCCTCCAGACGTCACGCTCAGTCAGCATGAAGCCCAACCTTCATCATACTCCATCTCGCTCTGGAGCATCCAACAACCTTCCGTCCACGACCTTGCTCTTGGATCATGAGTATTCCTCGAAGTATAAGGCAGACGTCGACAATCTGCGCCCGATGTCTGCGCCAATACGGTATCCGATCCTATTCGACTAGCGCTGGCCGCAATCCACCTCCACCTCCACCTCCTCCATCTGGAGCCGCGCGACTCAGCAATCGCCGCCTCCTGTCCATCCACGGCCAGGATGCGGCCAAGTTCCTCCAAGGCCTCATCACCGCCAATGTACGGCCAGAGTCCCGAACCGGCTTCTATACTGCCTTCCTGAACGCACAGGGAAAGGTGCTCAACGATGCTTTTGTGTACCCTACCCTTGGCTCGAAATGGCACGACGCGAACACTGCTTCCGACGAGCTGGGCTACTTGCTCGAGGTCGATGGCGAGCAGGCTGAAACACTGCTGAAACACCTGAAAAGACATAAATTGCGCTCTAAATTGAAGCTCCGTTTACTTGAGGAGGGAGAGCTGAGTGTATGGAGCGTGTGGAAAGAGGATGAGCGATGGACTGCGCACACCAAGGCCGAGGACGGCAGTGGAGCCATTGGCATGACGGATTCCCGGGCCCCAGGGATGGGACAACGGATACTCTTGCCGTCACAGAACTCCAAAGACGACTTACAAGAATTCCTAGATGGCGTGCCGGAGGCTCCGATGACCGCGTACACCCTCCGAAGATATCTCAAAGGCGTCGCCGAGGGACAGGTGGAAATCCCACGTGAGGAGTCATTGCCGATGAATTGTAATATCGACATTATGGGTGGCATCGACTTCAAGAAAGGCTGCTATGTCGGCCAGGAGCTCACGATCCGCACGCACCATACCGGAGTGGTCCGTCGCAGAATCCTGCCCGTCGTGCTGCATGACCATGCACAAGCACCTCCGGAGAGAGTGGAATACGTTCCAGATGCTTTCGACGAGGTGCTGGAGAAAGACGCAGACATCAGGCGAGATGACAAACGAAAGAGGCCAACGGGCAAGTTCCTCGCCGGCATTGGGAATGTCGGGCTCGCAATGTGCAGGCTAGAGCAGATGAGTGATCTCAAAGTGTCTGGTGAGGCAAGCTCGTTTGACGGCGGCGATCGATTCATCGTACAGAGCTCCGATGGACGCGAGCTGGGAATCAAGGCGGTGGTGCCGGATTGGCTGAGAGGTAAGATCCGCGAACCCAAGATACAGAAGCGAGTGGGCTAGGGTGTGGCATCTCAAGGAGACACAAGTTGCTGCTTGGAATCTGTCTGCACTACGAACCCGCCTATCTGCCGTCATGATACTGGACAGTGCCCAGCGGTGCATGGGTGTCGAGGGCAGGCTACCGCGACTCGACGGGCCGGATATGCGCAGCGGCGAGATGAGAGACACTGTCATAGCTTCGACTGCCTCGCCGACGCTTGGCTCAGCACCTCGCTCTTCGCTCTCTCCCTCAATTCTCGCCGCAAGAATTTGCCTATAGCATTCTTGGGGAGCTCATTGATGAACGCCACGCCACCCCGCAACTGTTTGTACGGAGCCAGTCGATCTGCCACATACTTCTGCACCTCGCCCTCACTCAACTGCTCCCCTGCAGCTCGCACAACATATGCCCGAGGCCAGTCTGTTCCAGGATCGTTGGGCGCCGGCACACCCACCACTGCCGCTTCCCGGATATGCGGATGCGTGAAGAGCAGATTCTCGATCTCCGCGGGAGCTACCTGCAGCCCTTTATACTTGAGGAGTTCCTGCGCGAACCGACTTGGTCAACGTCCTGCGACAGCCTACTGAGGGAAGGAAGCTTACCTTTTTACGATCGACAATATAAAATCTATCGTTCTTCTTGACTGCAATGTCGCCCGTGCAGAGCCACTCTCCATGAAAGGTGTCTTTGGTCGCCTGGGGATTGTTGTAATACCCGTTCGACACCAACGGGCTCCGGACCAGCATTTCGCCCTCCTGCTTGTCAGGGTCGACGTCTTTATAGTCGTCATCTACCATTCGAAGCTCCACGCTGGGCAGTATATCGCCTAAGCAGCCCGTATCGTCGCCCTCCTGGTCTCGGCGGGCGGCTGTGACTGCGCCGGTCGTCTCGCTCATTCCCCACGTTTGACCAATCATTTTCTGATCCCCCGTCCCGACAATGCTATTGACGGTCTTCATGAGATCGCCGTCCATGGGCGCAGCACCAGTCGAGGCGCCCTCGAGAGACTTCAAGAGCGGCCACATTTCAGGTGACTTGCTAATCCGGAGCCAGATACTGGGCACGGTATACCACACTGTGATACGATGCTGCTTCAGATACTTGAGCAAGTCATCCCACACGTACCGACGCATCCAGATGACGATAACCGCGCTGTAGAAGGGGGAGATCAAGTAGCCAAACAATCCGGCGATGTGTGAAACAGGAAGATGAGCCAAGGTCGAGTGCTGCTTGGGAACATATGTCCCCTTCTCCGTCTCCTGCGCGACGTACGCGCGACCCGAAAGAGCCATAAGATACGTTTCCGCCACCAGATTGAGATGAGACAGCATGACTCCCTTGGGGAGGCCGGTTGTCCCTGAGCTCCACAGGATGACGATGAGGGATTCCTTCAACGCTTGCGGGTCGGTAATTCGCTGCCATTTCAGCTTGTTCTGTCCGATGGCGTTGACCGTACTGTCCAGACTTCGCAGGCTCCACGTTCCCGCCGTCGAGTCGAGGAGTAGGACGTTTCGCAAGGGCAAGTGCTTAGCCTTGGCCACTTGGGCCGCGAGATCCTTGTGCTCTTCCCCACATACAATCAGTCTGCTCTGGCCAATCTCAACCTGTCTGCTCAGCTCGGCGACGGTGGAAGACGGGCTGGCAGCGGAGTAGACTGCGCCTGCAGCAATGACTCCGTACAGCAGCGCAGGCACGAGGATTTGTCCGTACGTGATGACCGTGACCACGTCTTTCTTCGGCCCCACCGAGCTGAGGGCGTAGTTGGACTGCAGGCCGTGCGCTATCCGTTCAGTCAAGTCTCGCAGTTGCGCCTTGGTCACGGTGTTGTCGGCGCTGGCAGCATCGACGTGAAGTACCGAATCCTCCTCAGCGGCGCTGTGCTCGGAGTCAAACAGTAGCGTTAATAGGTCTACAGATGGAATGTCTGCTTTGGCTTGAGTGGGATGCGTGTATATTCGAGGTTGCATCTTGAGTGAAGTTGGCCAAGGCGAGGCTGACGATGCAATAAGTGGGAGATGAAGTGCTTCGGTAATAGAAGTGTAAGAACAACGATTGAATGATTTCTCCCGCTCAATGGGTTCCAAGAGCCTTGTATCCAGACTCGCAAGGTAAGGTCACCCGTCTGATACTACCTCGACCCCAACTTCCAGCCGTGGGGTGCTGAGGGGCAGCCGAGGCTTCAGGCTGTGGACGAGGCAGGCATTGCAGCAACATTGCATTCCCTTTGCCTCTCTCCTTCTCGATTTGAACAATTTCGACGATGGACGTTTACGCCAAGCGGATTGGATCCCACTCAACGCTGTAATGAACGACAATCCTCGTGGTTCATCCCTCCGACCACTTTCGGCCTCGTATCATCCCACAGCTGCGTTAGCAAGTACTAGACTAGTGACAGACAGGCATGTACTCGACAAACTCATCCAGCCAGGCTGAGTGATTCCATCGTATGAACGCCGCTCTATGCTTTGCAATGATATGATACATTCGGAACCGTCGCAAGCCCACAGGACGCCAGCATCCACAAGCTGCATGCCCTATATTTTGAACCTCTCTCCAGTCCGATGGAAAGGATCCCACACGCCTCGGACGCTCTCGTTGATGCTGGTGACCATATTCCTGCCGGCGCGATGGCTCTTCTTCATCTTCTCCCCGCTGTCTGTCTTCAACAATTGCACTTTGTTAATAATCTCCGCTGGGGTCATGTTGCGCACGCAGATCGCCTTCTCGCGTCCGTTCACATAAACGCCCTTGATCACGGGGTGTTGGCGCGGTTTCGGGGAGACGGTGACTTCGATGGATGGGTTGGAGGCGGCGAATCGAGCGAGGTGGGTGCGAAGGTATTCACTGCGGTGGTCTCGTCAGTCATTGCAGACGACGTGCAATTTGCATAGCACGAACTTCATGCCCCTGCTGCTGCCCGCCCAATCGCAGTAATGGAAATCGAGGCGCTTGCATTGAAGGACGAATGCGCCGATGCCATTCTGCGAGAAGTTAGCATCTGATGCGCTTGGAGGCGTAGAGGCACGTGATGCTCTCACCTGTCCCTTCGACACGGCCCGGATGGCTGCCAAGGGCATCTCTGTGTGACTACTCCGATGTCTTTCGTGGTGTTGCGCCGGTGTTATCGAGCCATGTCATGCGGGATGTGATGGTTCTGTCTGAACCTCGAGGGGAGTGATAGGTTTGGCGAATCCCAAGTTCATGATTTGCGACGGGTAGATCCGGCGCTAACGTTTTTGCTCCTTCCAGCTGGCCGCGTTCCTCCAAGCGGCAGCATCCATCAAACCTCCCTCCCACCATACCTCTTCGACACAGATTTCATCCGTGTTTGGCCGTTTTGTGAATGTTCTAACTCTCCCATTCAGATCACATTCTCCTTCGCAAGTGAAGGAAGTGGTGGACAAGTCTCTTCAACGCGCTTGGCCGCGTGATCGCGAGCCAGAGCACGCACACGCCAAATCCACAGCGCGCCTCCCCCTTGTCCATACTCTCTCGCGGCTCGGGGCCAGCAACAATCCTAGACAACACCCGGCATGACGGACAAACTCCCACCCAACCTCTTGGCCCTCTTCGCCCCTCGTCCCGCCCTCCGCTATCTTCCCCCCGCCGATCATGCCCCCGAATCACGCAAAACGCCGTACATTGATGGCGTAGCTTCATACGTTTCCTTGCTGAAGGAAAAGGCGCAAAAAGCCCAAGCGGCCGAGAATGGAGAAGCAGATAAATCCGATCCCGAATTTGAACGCCCTCCTACGGAATCTTGGCTCGAGGCGCGTGATCGCAAGACCATCGAGAAGCAGGCACAGCAGGCGTGGCTGGTTACGGACGGGGTCAAGGAGCTATATAAGCCGAGTGAGGACCAGAACATTCGCGGAGATGCCTTCAAGACGCTCTTCGTGGCCCGCTTGCCCTATGATGCTGAAGTGAAGGATCTGGAGCGAGAGTTTGGCCGCTTCGGGCCGATCGAGCGCGTGCGAATTGTGACGGACAACGGCCAGACCACCAAGAAACGCAAGGGAAAGAGCAAGGGGTATGCGTTTGTGGTGTTTGAAAAGGAGCGGGACATGAAAGGTCTGTCTTACCATGTGGATGGGGTGGCTTGTGGTGTTTCGAGCAAGGCTGACGTGACTTCCATTCTAGCTGCCTACAAGGAGACTGAGAGCCTCTACATCAGAAACCGTCGGGTCTTGGTGGATGTCGAACGCGGGCGTACAGTGTCCGGGTGGAAGCCGAGACGCTTCGGTGGCGGACTGGGAGGGCGTGGGTATACGAAAGCGGAGAAGGCACGGCCGGCCGGCTTTGGTCCGCCATCAGGTCCAGGCGGTTTCCGAGGCGGTTTCCGGGGTGGCTACGGTCGTGGTGGCTTCCAATCAGGTGGAGGCAGGGGAGGAGGTGATTTCCGCCCACGCAGAGGGGGCTATGATGGCTTCGACGGGCCACGAGGCGGAGGTGGCCCTAGAGGAGGCGGGTATCACGGCAGTGGCATGCCACCCAACGGAGCTCCCGCCGGGCCCCGTTCAGGTGGTGGTGGTGGATATGGAGGGCGGGGATACGAAGACCGCGGGGGAGGAGCGAGGAACGCCAACTACGAGCCTCTGCCGCCGAGAGGTGGGTATCGTGACCGTGACGGTGGTGGAGGAGGGGGAGGGGGAGGGGGAGATCGCGGTGGTGGCGGGTACAGTGGACAGAAGCGGCCTCACGACGGCAGTAACTACGACGACCGTGGGCCGAGGAGGCGGTACTGACGTGCGTGTTCAGGCTCGGTTGGAATGGTAAGGCATCCCCCAGTAATGTTGTGCGACGATTGGGTAGGTACCAGACTGACTCTATAGGACACGACTCCGCCTAATGACGACAGCGCGCAACAGAAGAAAAGCTAGAACGGTGAGTCGGACTACCTCCTCCATGGTAAGGTACGGCCGGCTTGCAAGATGGAGGCAAGAGAGGGCATCGATATGGGGTGAGCGCGGCACAGAGAGCGAGAGAAGGGAGGAATCCCCGGGAGGCTCCGTTCCTTATCCTGTTCACCATGTATTGCCTGCAATCCCAGCTTGCTCAAGGCGAGTATGTATTATAGGGCGCCTGAGGAGGATTGAGAACCGCTGGAAGACGCTTGAACGGCTTCGATATGAGTGGGTAAGGTAACCTAGCCACGAGGCTTCAATCCACCCTCTGTAACAACACTCCCCAATCTCGATCCTCCGTTCGTCCGGAGGATCTTTCGTCTTGAACCAAGTTCAGTCAAGCAATCGTTGAGAGAGAAGAGGGCGAAGAAGATGAGCTTTGCTCCATATCTCCTTCAAAACTTGACACATCGGTGATGAAGCTCCGAGAATTCCCGTGGCAGGAGTGGCTTGAGCTGTCCATTGATCCGTTCCTGCCCTACCCGTTCCTGCCCCACGCCGGCCGGAGCTGTCAGGGAAGGTGCTAGCTTGTTTGCACTTGCCCCTCCAAATTTCCAGGGACGCACGCCGAGTATTAAACGTCCACCAACTCACATCCGTCCTCCGTTGTCACTGCTTTACCGCGTCTCCCCCATCCTTCAACCCACTCATACCTCCATTCAAGCCAAGATGTATGCCCACACACTGCAACACAAGGCCGAGGCGCCTGCTCCCGCCACAGGCAAGAAGGGCGGTCGGCAGTTCTTCGTGGGCGGCAACTTCAAGATGTACCTCCTGCCCAACCTCCTTACCTGGCCGATAGACGAGCCGACTGACAAGAAGTGTGTGAATTTGCAGGAACGGAACCATCAGCCAGATCAAAGAGATTGTCGGTCACCTCAACGACGCCAAGTGCGACTCCGACGTGGAAGTCGTCATCTCCCCTCCCGCCATCTACCTCCTGCTCGCGCGAGAGCACCTGCGCAAGGGCATTGAAGTGGCGGCGCAGAACGTGTTCGACAAGCCCAACGGCGCCTTCACCGGCGAGATCAGCGTCAGTCAGTTGAAGGACTCCGGCATCACGTGGACCATTGTCGGCCACTCGGAGCGGAGGACGATCATCCAGGAAGCCAACCACTTCGTCGCCAACAAGGTCAAGGCGGCACTCGACGGCGGCCTCGGCGTCGTCCTCTGCTGCGGCGAGACATTGGAGCAGCGCGAGAGCAACAAGACCATGGACGTCGTGCTGGCGCAGCTCGGCGCGGTCGCGAAGGAGGTCAAGGACTGGAGCAAGATTGTCATTGCATACGAGCCGGTGTGGGCCATTGGCACGGGCAAGGTGGCCAGCAACGAGCAGGCGCAGGAAGTGCACCACGCCATCCGCGAGTGGCTGGGCAAGGATGTGAGCTCCGAGGCGGCCAATGCCACGCGAATCATCTACGGCGGCAGTGTCAGTGAGAAGAACTGCAAGGACTTGGCCAAGCAGGCCGACATTGACGGCTTCTTGGTTGGCGGCGCGAGTTTGAAGCCCGCCTTTGTCGACATCATCAACGCCAGGTCGTGAAGATGCGCAGGACACTTGTAGGGAAGGGGATGGGGTAGATGAGACTTTTCCACGCAATTAGTGCCTTGTTCATGCATTTTGCGGTTTCTACTATGCTTTCTCGCACGACTGACAGCACTCATCATGTCGTCAACCCTGCCCATAGCCCAAGCAAGCCCGCAGCCAACGCCCCGGCCGTCCTTACTACGTTGTAGGAGTTGTATGTCTTGAGCAAATCAATCACCTTCAACTGCACGTACTCTCGCTCGTCCATCGGCCCATCTCCAAACGGCTCAAACTCTTCCATGGGCGTGATGGCTCCATCTCCCCCCCTGCGCGGCACTCCCAGCAGACTTCCTCCCGCCAACCCAGGGCCTCTACCCCCTTCGATGCCTCGTTCCGGCGACGCAGCGATAACTCGTACTCCAATCCCCGAGGAGCGGCGGGGAGTAGTCGTCGCCGTCTCATCCACCTCTGACACCCACAGCAACTTCTGACTCGGCGTCTCCATGACCAGCAAAGCCCACGGAATTTGTGCAACCATTGCAACGCTCGAGGCAGCCCACAACTTCCACCGCCCGGCAGCGTGCTGCTCCTGATACCCCATGTATGCCAATGCCGCACAGATGACGGCCGCGAGGAGGTTTGCGGGCGCCGATGTGGCTTTGAGGGTGCGGTAGAGATGGGCAAACTGTTGTGCCGCCAGGCGGTGGGATTCGTGCGCCGCGGGGTAAAGGGTGGGGATGATGGTACTGATGGTGGCTAGCTGGCCGGCGGAGAGGAGGGATGCGGCAATGGCGATGCCCTTGAAGGCGGCGACGGTGGTGCCGGGTGGGCGTGGGAGGGATGCAGCGCTGGACATGGTGGATGTGGCTTGCTCTTTTCACTGCACGACCCTAATGCAATTCGACACGTAAGGACGGTGGCAGAGTCATTCGAATGTCGGCGTCTCCCTTGATCGCGTGTGCGGGGGACAGGACTGGACATTCAATGAGGGTCAATGGGGAGGCAGACGGATGAGACATGGTCTCGGGAGAGCGCAAGCGAAGCGGCGGTGACAGGTGTCGGCTGATGTGGAACCGCGGCTTGAACGAGAGAGCATCGTTCCGTACGTCTCCAGTGTCGATCTGCGACGTGTCTGCATCGTGTCGTGCATCATCGCGAGCAGGCTGGATGGAGAGGAGAGAGATGGACTAACGGGCGAAGAAGGATTCGGGGTGACACCTTTTGGTCATCGCTGCCTGCCCTGCGTAAGACGCGATCGAGGTCAATGCCTCAAGCTCGGGGGGGAAAAGTGGGGCGCGGCTCAGCCTTGTTCCTCTCGCCAGGGCATCCTTGCAATACTGGAATCGACCTACGTAAGGTAGGCACTGGTTGGTTGTGCAATCGATCCATCCCATCTACCACCGACTCAGACTCGAGCCAACCTCACTCGACATTGGCGAGCGCAGGGGATGTGGAAACCTCTCCTTATCATCAGCCACCTTGCGCTTGAACAACCCAATATCCTTCAACAGCGCATCCACATCCGCCTGCCACTCATCATGTCCAAAGCAATCTTCATCCTCGCACACCGACCGACTGTCATCGCCCATTCCACTATCCGAGCCATCGCCGCACACATCCCGAGCCTCTTCAGCCTCGTCGTCGTCGCCCACGAGTCCAAGATCGCTCGGGAGGACAATGGGGTTCTTCAGCTCTCCCACCGCGAGCGCCAAGTGCCTTCGCAGCGCCTCAATCTCCACTCGCAGCATGTCATTCTGTGGTCTCAGCTCTTCCACTTCCAGCGTGAGCGCGCGGATCTTGACCTCTGAGACCGCCCGGGACTCCTCCATGGCCCGTTGCATCTTCGACACCTGGCGCTGGTAGTCTTCCAGCTCGTCTCGCGCTCGGTCGGCTTCGTCCCGCTTGTGCGCCGCTGCGTTATTGACGGAGAGCTGAAGGGCTTTGATCGTCTCTGCCATTTCCATGATCTTCGCATCTCGCTCCGCCGCCGACACGGCATCTTGGTTGACGTGCGCTTTGGTGCGGATTCGTTTGGCTTGGTCTGCGTAACGCAGCGTGGACAGCGTCTCCTCGTAGTCCGTCGGGCTGATGCATGCCACCATGGCCGTCTTGGAATTGCCTCCGAGTGAGTCCTTGAGGAGCCAGGTGAGCACGGAGTCTCGGTAGGGCACGACCTCCACTCGACGCTTCGATTGGTTCTGCAAACCGTTCATGCGCAGGGTCTTCTGTCGTTTGGGGTCGGCCAGAGCTGCAATCACGCGGCCCAAGGTGGTAAGAGACTGATTGATGTTGCCCCCTTCCCTCAGCCGTCGGCCTGTGGCTTCTGTGCGATTCGCGCGTTCCGACCCTGCAAGATCCACCAGCCGCATCCGTGCCAGGCGCTCAATCGTGCTGTCGGTGGCGATGTCGTGCTGGATCTGCTTCAACGTCAGGGTGAACACGGCATGGCTTCGGGAGCTGGTGTCGTTCATTTTCGTGCTGGCGGTCGTCCGATTCAAATCGCCCATCTTCATGAGTCGTTCAATGTCCTCGTAGCACTTCACCGGTTCGTCGATCAGGTTCTGCACATACACCCCATCGCTCTTGCTCTCTCGAATCTTCAGGTAGGTCGGCGGCGTGGTCCGGGGGGTCAACAGGTCTTTGACGTGCTCGTTGTAGATTTCAAAGTAGGAGACGTGAACGTTGTACGTTATACTGCCATTTTGCTCCTCTTCAATCCTCTCAAACAGGCCCCGGCACGTCCGTGGGATCAAGCCTGGCTGGTCTGGCGTACCCATCATGGTATACGACTTGCCCGAGCCAGTCTGCCCGTAGGCGAAGATGCAGGTGTGGTAGCCGTCAAAGTTGTGGTCGAGAAACTCCTCGCCAAACGAGGCGTAGATGTCGTGTTGCTGGGCATAATGCACATCTTTCTCATCGTGCGACCAGAATGATTTGTCGAATGCGAAGCTCTTCTCCTCGAGCTGTTTGCGGCTGTACCTCGACTCTTCGGGGGGATGCAGGGTGGTCTGTTGGGTGTGCGGATTCATCTGCACCAGGCATGGTGACTGCTGGTCCAGCTCTTCGTCCGCGTTAGCACTGGTATAAGACGGAACGCGGTCGATCAGCCTCACCTCGGCGTACAAACTTCCTCACCCTCACCACCACCTTCACATTTCCACCCTCGGCATCTGGAGGGGTGAAAGGCCGGTCCATCGCTTCGATCACCGGCTGCCTGCTCCGCAAGCTTGGTGTACTCGCCGTGGTGTGATAAGTGTGCAAGTCGGGGGTTGTGAGGGAGCGATGCGCCATCTCAGTCGCCGGCCACCGCGCGCAAGTGCAGGTGTGGAAGGCGTTGCACAGGTTCTCGAGTTCGGTCTGGGAGCGTTGGCGGAGATGAAGGTACATCTAAAACATGCGCATATCCGTCGGCCTGATCATCGTCGGAGGGAATGACGAACGTTGCTGCTCTGTGCGCGGATCCACTTAAGTCGCGGTGGAAGGCACGCCGGTTGGTGATGGCGGCGGTGATTAAACCACCGGCGGACATTTGTTTGCAAACACTTCCGTGGCGCATAGCAACGCCGCCTTCCGCTTTCGGGAATTTAGCCGAATCCTCCTCCGACCGCCGCACTCTAAATCCCTCCGACGCGTCCATCTCGTGTCGTCTCATCACCGGCGTGCGTGTTGTCTCGCGTATTCATACAACACGATGGCGACCGCCGTTTGCACATTCAAACTTCTGGTGATGCCTTGTTGAGGGATTTCGACAAGCATGTCGCACTCCATCAGCACCACCGCCGGGATGCCCTCACGCTCCCCGCCCACCACGAGAACTATCTTCTCCGGCAATCGTGCACCTTGCGAGCCCAGAATAACGCTGCGATTCGTTTGTTCGATGCCGACGATAGTGAAGCCTTCCATCTTCCTGTCCGCCAAGTATGCCGGGATGCCAGACGCTGACAGCTGGACTATGGGGAAGTGCAAGTGCGACGAGACCGAGACGCTCGTGAAATCCTTGTTCGACACCACATTCTGGTTTTGGAGGCATAACGCCGATGCTCCAAATACCTCAGACACACGTGAGAGACCACCGAGATTGTAAGGGTTATCGACGAGCGATCCGACTACAATCAAATGGTCCGGACGCGAGCCCAACAGTGTTGGATCGGACAGACTGCGCGCGAGATACGCCGTGCCCTTTGTCTGAAGCGCCGCACTTACTTCTCCAGATGTTCGAGGAACAATGGCCGCGTGTTCCACTGACCTCGGCGTTCCATTGAGTTTGGCAGGCACTGGACGCTTGACCGGGTCTCCCAGGCTCATCGATGGCCCTGGTAGCGTGATGTCTCTGCTGACGTTGCTGTATAATTTGACAAACTCCTCACGGGTAGTCAATGGCGTATCCACGGGGTCAAGCAGTAGCCAGTTCCCCTCGACCAGATTCGTTAGTGTGTGATCCTTCTGAGGATTGAATCTGCCGAACTGTCTCTCCAGAGGAGGCTCAATGAACCGGTCCAGAGCTTGGATGTACTCGTTCAGCGTAGTGATGACTGCGTTCTCGATGATACTCGTCCATGCGTGGGCTCGGGCATGCTCGAGCAGAATAGGAACCTGCCATTGCGCTTCATGGCGTATCACCACCTTTGACGATGCCGCCAGAGGGACGAAACTAGTCGCCAGCTGCAATCCAAAATCCTCATTGCTCTCACCGCTGCATGCTAGGATTGTGCCGATTTTCATGAGAGACGCAAGGTGCTTCGGATTGGAGTGATGGTCTCTTGTCGCCAGTCTTTCTAGTACGGTGTATTCCAGCTGAAACCTCACCAGGAGACGTACGGTCATCCACTCCAGGAGGTATCGATACTGAGGCAGCGGCTCTATCTCTAGTACGTGATACAATGCTTCTAGTACGTCCAAGACCAGTGTCGACTCATCCGGCGTGAACTGTTCCAGACAAAGCAGCAGAACTTGCAGTTGGAGGGCGTTCTTCCACGGGCTCACTGTTGGCGGAGGGACTTTCTGCGCCCGCCATCTGCGCAAGATCCGGGCCAGGATCTCACCTGCAGCCCCCGGACAGCTATGCAGCCGATTCACGAGATCAACGAATGCTGCGAAGCCGTACGAAGGCCGCTCTCCGAAATAGTGTTCCCATGCGAAAGGCGTTAACGGAATGATGGCTTCTTCCAGCATCAAGTCGGGTGTCGGCTGTGGTGGACGCTCGGCAACGCTGATGACGAGCTCCGCGATGTCGAGGACAGCAGCCGCGGCTGGCTCTGTGATCAAAGCACGTCGAACACCCACCACCAAGGGCGCGAACATGAAGATTTTCGTTCCTGCAATCCGTAGAAGGGCATGTACTTTCTGCCTCATGGCTGCCGCTAATGTTGCATCTTTTGTGGCTCGGAGCAAGACCTGTGGATGAAGCACCACGGAAACCATCGCGACAAGGAGGTCTTTGGGATACTCCAGGTATTCCAGGTCATCCCACATATCTTCCATGTTGCTGCTCTCGATATCGAACTTGCTGCACTTCTCAATGGCTTCCTTTTCCCGAAGTTCTCGTCGTGAGCTCGATTTCGCTGTGGGACCCAGTCCTGGTTGATTGTGTATCTTCACGAACAAATAGTCCCGGGCGACTTCTGGTAGCCCTGAGATCCCCGAAAGTCTTTCCCGCTGCTGCACGCTCAAGGTATCGCCGAGCCCTTCAATGAGATAGACCGTGGCGTATGCGAATAAGGAGTTTCGTTTAAGCAAAATGGTGTCGATGACAACATCCGCAAGTCGAACTGGCTCGTTGGCGTTTGCTAGTTGCCTCCTCAGACACTCTACCATCCGATCACCGTGCAGGCATCTCCGTCGTCCCTCCAACATCCGCAGTGTTGACACGAACAGCGAGCCTTGTATTGCCCACGGCAAAAAGTCATCGCGGAAGAATTGGAGAAAACTGTCATCGTTCGGGTCGAGGTTGGCGTGCATTACCCAATTTCCAATGAATTTGCGGTTCGAGTCTTGCATCTGTTTATCAAGACCCGAGGCCAAGAGAACATACAGCCACTCGACACGTAAGGATTTGTTTGCAGCTAGCGCATCGAGATCTGCCTGACACTCGACCACTTGATTGATGTAACGTGCCAAGACAACCGTCTCGAAGACCGTGCAAAAGCGGTCATACTGCGCTCGGACTTGGTCAGAGACTGCCACGGAGTCAGTGACTAGTGTAAGCTTGAAGATGTTGAGGCATATTTTGCGTCTCTCGGAATCCCCTCGCCGCAGGCCGTGCATGACGGGCTTCCAGTAATCCGCGGCCTCGAGGGTCGTGATGTGGGTTCCTTCCGGCAAGAGCATCAAACGTAGCCATAGTGAGTAGCCGATCAGACTGCGTTGCGTCCTTATATCGCTTGTCACAAGGCTCTGCACTGTGCGCCATATTGTGTCGAGGGGTAGTTTGGTCCAGGCCGGAGTGGATGACGCCCTGGCTGGCAACAGCATGATGCAAATCACATCCCTTGCTGCCATTGCAGTGGATGTGTCTTCCATGGCCACAAGGTCCAGACAAGCATGCAGAATTTGGACATGGTGGTCTCCAACCGGCAAAAGCGAGATTGTCGATCTGGCAAAGAAAAGATAAGATCGAATGCTTTGCTCTTGCGAGCCATTGATCTCGGACGACTTAGCGTTTTGCAGAGCGCGCGCTGCCAGAGAGAGCAGCTGGGCGCCCAGTTGAGGATACTGTCGGCTGAGGGATATCGCACAATCTACATCACCACGGACAATGGTTTGGTCCAGGAACGAAAGCAGGGCTGTCTGAGTTGCCGGATCGGATGACTGTGCGATCAAGGCCACGGAAAGCTTCAACCCGTCGAGATCCTGGACGTTTAGGCCTTCAATCAAGCCCTGCATCAAAGCAGCTCTATGTGAATCGGGGATCGCATCGAGTATCGTCCTCGCCGTAGAGCATCCTCTCGGATGAATTGGTAGATCCATGGCAAAAGTCCGAGAACTTGTTTCTGGTTATTGATCAAGAACATCCGGAGCACGCACGCCCATCCTGGTTAGACATCGACCCGTGCTGCTGAATCTGTGCACATCACACCGACTGGAATGTAGCGAATGTGTGCATTGGTGTGGTCTCGAAATTGCTGCAGAGGAAATCACGACTGACGAATCGGCAAACCTTCTCCGAACGCGCCTCGAAAGGTCCAACCCCGCGGGCAAGCAACTGGAGGGCAAATCAAGGCTAAGGCAGGGAAGTGCATGAGATGACCGCATTGGCAGGTCTCCTGCAGCTAAGGCTGTGAGATGAACGCAGAGATGGAGGTGCCATGACCACCCCACCTGCACGCCGAGGGAGCAATATCGCGCGGCCTTCATGTACCTGCAACCCAGGGCTCGCCCATTCTCCGCTCCGGACGTGATCCAAGCACTCTCTCGCTGCGACGATGGCCGATAAATTGATCGTAGTAATCGGCGTGACGGGCAACCAGGGCGGCTCCGTCGCACGACGCTTCCTCAAGGACCCCAATTATCGCGTTCGTGGCATCACGCGCACCCCAGACTCGCCGGCGGCGCAGAAGCTGGCGGCGCAGGGCATTGAGATTGTCCAGGCGGATCTGGACGATGTGCAGAGCCTGAAGACCGCTTTCCACGCCGCCAATGCCATCTTCTCCGTCACCAATTATTGGTAGGCTTCAGCAGAGCGAATCACGGAGAGGGTTGTGTTGACAAAGTCGAGTAGGGAGCCATTCTTCCGCCCAGATTGCCGAACAAAGGCAGCCGAAGCCAACATCTCCTGCAGGAAGTACGCATATGATGTGGAGTATCAGCAGGGCAAGAATATCGCAGACGCCGCGGCTTCCGTTGTCGACACCCTCGATGAGAACGGGTTCCTTGTCTCCACCCTCAGTCACGCAGGCGTGTGCAGCAAAGGCGCGTTCAAGGAGCTCTACCATTTCGATGCAAAGGCCGATGTCTTTCCTGCATACGTGGACGAGAAGTATCCCGCCCTAGCAAAGAAGATGTCACTGATTCAAACGGGCTATTTTACCTCCAGCTACCGTCTTGTCCCCGAGGCCTACTTCAATAAGGTCAATAGCAGTGACCATACGCTGTACACTTGAACTTATGCTAACGAAGCCCCAGCGACCCGACGGCACCTTCCAAATGAGCTTTCCAACAGATCCCAGCGCTAAAGCGCCGCACTTGTGCGTCAACGAAGACACCGGTCCCTTTGTCTACGCCGTCTCGCAGATGCCGCCCGGCAAGACGTATATGGCGGCCGGGACGTGGTGTAGCTGGCCCGAATTCCTGAAGACCTGGGGCGAAGTGAACAAGGTTCCCGTGAAGTTTGAAGACCTCTCCCTTGAGCAGTTTGTTGAAGCCGCGCCAGACAAGGAATTCGGCGCCGAGGTGGGAGATATGTTTGCGTATACAAGTGATCCTGGTTATGATGGAGGAGATTCTAGTATCTTGACGGCCGCCGATATTGAAATGGTAAGCTGTCTTGCTTGTGTCTCGAAGTCGCCGAGCATACTGACTCAAGGCCGGTAGAGGGGAATCGAATGTCCGATGACAGGCATCAGAAAGTACTTCGAGTCGCAGGATTGGACTTCGGTGCTCAATCAATGAGAGCGAGGAGACGGTCAAAGTGTATAGGATATCTCGTCAAGTCGTATATTCATCTCGCATGGTCGGTGCCTGTACACCGTGAGCCCAGTGTATCACCCTTCCGGTTTCCGCCCGTATAGAAATCGGTAGACCGTGTATAGATGTAAGTTTCTATCGTTGAACTCCTTCTTTACCATTTCAAAGACCACCCGCGCTTCGTCGATGGAATGGTTCAGCACGCGAGTGTACAAAGCCATGGAATGTGCTTCGACAGAACTAGCACTAGTCAGCACAGGCGAGACAGGACTGTGACGAGCACCTCACTCATTCATATGCATTCGCTCGAGTCCTCCAAGCTTCTTCAGGGCCGGGTCTCTGGTCCAGGGTCCGCTGTTGGGTTCACGTCAGCATCTGCGTCCACTGTCTCTTGACAGGCTACCTACATGGGACACTAAAGGGGGCGATTAGCACGGTACCAGTAGCCAATGCCTCCGGACAGGATCGCTTACCTTTACGACTCGCTCGTGCACGTCTATGAACCCGGCGTCTTCCATCCATTGCCGGTGGAACCGGCCAACGTTCAACGTCTTGCCGAATGCCGTGCTCGCTTCATCGAGCTTCTCACACCAAGAGCGTGACCATGGGGCTCTCAGCACTGGGGAGGCACAATGTCAGCACGATGAGCTGGAAGGATGTTGCCGAGTCGGATATGCTTACATTGGGGGTCATCGTCGGAGTAGATGGAAGCATCATATTCCTGCACCTCCAGATACGCTCCGGGCTTCAATTCCCTCCACGCCTGCTGGTACAATTTCGGGAAGTTGCCCGTGCTACCACTCAGTGCCCGCCAATGGATGAAGTCGAATTTGCCGATTCCTGGAAAGTCCCAACCATCCTCGAAGTCGTCCACGTAGAACTTGGTATTTGGGGGGACAAAGCCGGGCTGGATGGGGGAGAGATCGGTGCCTATGACGGTAGCGCTGGGAAACTTCTCTGAGACATCGATGGCCCAAATGCCCGTGCCTGTGCCGATGTCCAAAACAGTCTTGGGGTCCTGGATCGGCGCGGTGTATAGCGCATCGCCGATGCAGAGTTTCCAAATTTCGTGCTGAAGGTCGAGGCGGTCCTGCTCGACTTCATCGTTGGGCAGATAGTACTCTCCTTCGCGGTATGCGTGATACCGGCGACCGTTTTCGTAGAAGTAATTGGTAATGGAGGAGGTTAGAGAGGCGCTGGAAGAAGCAATGGACGGGTCGTAAGTGGAATCGTAATCGTCGAAATCCTATGCAAGACAATGTTAGAAACGTCGCACAATCATCCCCGCGCACTTGGTATTGGGATCCGCACGTCTTCGTCGATTTGCAAAGCCGCGCGGTCGTGGGGATGATTTCCCACGGCGGTGGTGGCGGTAGAGGCAGCAAGCGACTGCTCGTCGGCATGTGTTGTCGACGGCCCAATGGTCTGCCGCACGGAAGGAGCGGCGTCATCCTGTGTGGTATCAGGCGCGCCCTCCATGATCGGAGATTGCGAGTGCAGCTGGGTCTGCTGCAGTGCAGAGGCTACTCATAAGATATGTTGGTCGGATTGAAGCCGATGACTTTGCGCAGTGCATGACCTTTAATCAAATCCAACGCGGATACTCCCGTCCCGCCCGCTGGTCGCAGCCGATCAGTGAATCGGCGGACGCCACTGACGCCTCCCGATGACCGGCACACGTGAGGTTGTTGATCTGGAATCCTTGAGCAGATTGAAATGGGGGATTTTTCTGCTCAAAACTCGTGGAGGTATCATTAACTCCTGATCAACTGGCATAAGGTGAACCACGCGCATTGACCTCACTAGCCGTCCGTGGAGCGGAGATCGTGAGATCTGGCAAGCGTCATCGGTGGCTGAGCCGAGGACTTCACCCAACGAGTGGCTTACTTTGATCGTCGACTAAAGACAACAATACTTCGCATCATCCATCTGCTGGCGAAGATGACTGGCGAAGAGCGGCAGGACGAAGATGGCGAGAGACAGCCATTGCTGCAGCAGCAGAGGCATCGGAGAGAAAGTCAACTCGATGCCGGCGAAGGCGGTGACAGTCGCGCCCTCATTACCTTTGACGACGAAGACGCGGAGAATCCTCGAGCATGGAAGTTCCGCGAGAAGCTGGCCAACATGGGCGTCATCGCCGCCATGGCCATCCTGTCTCCCCTAGCCTCCTCGATGTTTACCCCGGGCATCGGACAGATCGCAGAAGGCCTCGACACCGACGAGCAAAGCGTTATCGCCTGCACCACCGGCTTTGTCATTATGCTGGGCATAGGTCCGCTCATCCTTGCTCCGCTCAGCGAAACATTCGGACGCAGACCGCTATATCTCGTCTGCTTCTCAATCTTTTCCCTGCTGCAGATCCCGAGCGCCCTCGCCCCGAACATCGAAACGCTCATTGCCGTCCGTACCCTGAGCGGCTTCTTCGGAAGCGTCGGCATCGCGAATGGCGGTGGCACCATCAGCGACATGTGCGGACCGGAGGAGCGCGCCTCCCTCTTCGGATGGTACTTACTTGGGCCTCTGTTGGGACCGACGATTGGACCTCTTTTTGGTGGCCTTGTCGTTCATCATTTGGGATGGCGCTGGGTATTCTGGATCCTCACCATCGTCTGCTCGGTCAATACGCTTGCCGGCTGGCTGCTCCTGCGCGAGACATACGCGCCCATCATTCTCCACAAGCGTAAACAGCAATGGGAAAAGGACGAGAACGCACCCGGAAAGTACAGTTACAAGGGCGAAGACACGCGACCCCTCGCCAAGAAAATGCTTCGTTCCTTCCTGCGCCCATTGCGCATCTTCACACAGCCGATCGTTTTCACGATGAGCATCTACCAAGCCATCATCTTTGCGACGACATACAGTATCTACACCAATATGCAGCCCATATTCAGCGACAAATACGGCTTCACCACCGATCAGGTGGGCCTGTTATATCTCGGTCCAGGACTTGGCTTTTTGACCGCGGTCTGGTTCATTGTTCCGTTGTGAGCACTTTTCAGGGAGAACTTGTCCAGCTGCCTCAAGGTCAATTGCAACGATCGATGAAAATGCCGCCGGTGACAACCTTGCGCAATTGACCACAGCACTAGACATGTTTTACCCGACACCCTTGAAGTGAGACAATGCATTTGCTAATCCTAAAAATTTAGGATTGATCGCGTTTGGCGCATGCTGGCCAAGAAGTACGACGATGGAGGCCGTCCGGAGTACCGCCTGCCACTCGCGAACATTGGCTCGGTGCTTATTCCGATTTCCCTGTTCGTCTTCGCATGGACGGTGGAGCGCAAGGTCTTCTGGCTGGTGCCAATCATCGCGACCTACTTTTACGGGTACGTTTGTACAGGGAACTTGTTCACCTTCCTTGTCCCAGCAGCTGTCATTCTTAGAATGAGACAAATCACTTGCTAACCCTCGAAATTTCACAGTATCGGCCAAGTCACCATCTTGAACACCACCACCAACTACTACATCGACAGCTTTGAGCGGTACTCGGCGTCGGCCATCGCAGCAGGCGCTGTCTTTCGAAGTGTCGTCGGCGGCATCATCCCCTTGTTCGCTCCCGGCCTTTTCGATGATCTGGGCTATGGATGGGGCGTCTCTGTTTTTGGTTTCCTGGCCCTGGCCATCGCGCCGGCGCCGCTCATCTTCTACTATTTTGGCGCTCGAGTACGAAAGCGATTTCAGATCGACTTGGATTGAAATGTCAATGCGTATAGCGAGCTCGATGTGGAGGTTACTGTGATCTTGTAAATAGCTTGATCATACAGCAAGCAGCTTATTCGTTTCAATCATTCCTAAAGACGTGCATGCAGGCCAAATCGCAGGAAGAGCTCCAACAAATCAATACCAAACACAATCAGGGGTCAACGGCGACGGGCGCGGTGGAGCTCGCCTCCTTCTCCATCTCTTTCCGCCTTGCCTTCCGCTTGGAAAGCAAGCTTTTGAGCGCACCCAAACACCGCGTCAGGCTCTCCTCGTCGATTGCACAAAGGCGGTAATTCCGCTCCTCGCTAATGATCTGCATGCAGAACGTCTTGCTCTTGCTAATAGGATCAATTTCCACCGCATCGATGATGTTGGAAAGTGACAGGACAAGTAGGGCCGTGTACTCTGCCTCGTTCTTGTAGAACGCCAGGCCTTTCGGCCGGACGACGAGCCACACCTTCTTCCACTGTCGCACGCCCGATTTGGACTTCAACAGGTAGATCCAGCCGTGATAGACCACGCGCTCTTCTTCCTGCGGAAACTGTGCCCGCCGGACTTCGTCCGCGCTCAGACCCAGATTGATCCCGGACATCTGACTGGCATTTCTATTGCCCATCGTAGGCCGGGTCGGTGTCTGTCCGCCTGGCTGGACAGGGCGCACGGAGCTTGTCGAAGGACGGGTATCGGTATTGGAGAGCGAGAGGGCTGAAAGTCTCGGTGCGGAGCCAGCCATGTCGGAGAGGTCGGAGAAGGAAGTGCGCTCGGCGCCCGAATACTCGACAAAGGAAGGCTGGCGGGCAGTGGTGGCGGAGGTGGGTATGGCGCCTCTGTCTCGCGTTTTGGGCAAAGAGAAGCTGGCAGTCAGGCCATCGGCATCGGAAGAGCTGGCATACCCGGGGATTCTTGTCTCTACGGGGCTCTGGGTGATTCGGGCATCCATGCTTCGCTCGAAGCCTTGATAGGAGGTCGGGTGCCCGCCGGGGCTGGCCAGGTATAATTCGTCCTCATCCTCGTCGATACGGGCTTCCCGCCGTATCACATCCACCCACGCCTCCGCCTCCTCTTCGGACGCAGCCTGAAGGTGGTAATTCCGGGCGGGAGAGAAGAGAGCGAAGACATGGCGCTCCTTGCGCTTGGGGTGTCGTTGTCGCGCGATGGCAGTGAGGTCGGACAAGCGGATCTGGTGTCGAAGCTTCGATTCGTGCTTGTCGCGATAGATGGAGAGGAGGTTGGGGCGCAGGACCATGTAGATACTCTTCCAGCCCTGCTAGATCTCAGCCTTGTGGCGGGCGGCGTACTTTGCATGCGCCGAGGCTCACCTTTGTATGTCTGGTGCGTTTGGACACCTGGCCTTCCTTGATGATGCGGTCAAAGTCGAAACTGCCATTCTGCGCGACGGGGGAGAGGGTGTCATAGGCAGACAGCCCGTGGCGGTAGGGTTGCAGACTGGGAGGAGGGAGGTTGAGGCCTGTGGGCGGAATGTCTCGCGGACGCGAAGGCGCGGCGGTGTCTGCCATGGCGTACTATGGTGGAGTTGCTTCACCAGCAAGCATCAGGGTCGGGAAGATGGCGCGCGTGGCACGCCGATGAACGGGGGGGAAATGGCCATGCATTTCAAGAGGGCATGACAGCTTGACGGGCAAGACGGGGGCGTCAATGTGCTCGGGTGCATTCCCGCTAACGGCCCCAATACGACGCTAGCCCAACCTTAATTCACTCTAAATTATGGATCACAAAGATTCATACCGCATGAGACCAGACGAGATGGACTGCATGACATATTTAGCCAGCGACTGCATCTCTCTTGTCACCATTTCATAGTCCTTCTTCGTTTGCGCCATGCCTGTCGTCGGCCCGGAACGGCTGGTCAAACTGCAACAGCAGGGTGATGGTATCCGGAACGTACGTCAAACATCTCTTGTGCGCCCTGAATACTGCTATGGACTAACGTCGACCTCCACTAGATCTGCATCCTTGCACACGTCGTACGTCAAAGTCTGGCTGCACGCAACAAATCATCCCTTCGCTGACGGACCTACAGGACCATGGCAAAACATCGCTGACCGACGCTCTCATCGCTACGAATGGCATCATCTCCCCCAAGTTGGCGGGGAAGATCCGCTATCTCGACTCCAGACCCGATGAGCAGCTCCGCGGGATCACGATGGAGTCTTCTGCCATCTCGCTGTACTTCTCTCTGCTCCGCAGGTCCGCTCCTGATGCTCAGCCCGAGCAAAAAGAGTTCCTCATCAACTTGATCGATTCGCCCGGTCACATCGACTTCAGCTCCGAGGTCTCGACTGCTTCGCGACTGTGTGACGGTGCCGTTGTCCTGGTTGATGCCGTCGAGGGGGTGTGCTCGCAGACGGTCACTGTACTGCGCCAGACGTGGACCGAAAAGCTCAAGCCCATCCTCGTCATCAACAAGATGGATCGTCTCATCACCGAGCTGAAGCTGAGCCCGAGCGAGGCCTATACGCATCTGAGTAAGCTGCTCGAGCAGGTCAACGCCGTCATGGGCAGCTTCGCATTGGGAGAGCGGATGGAAGACGATCTGCGGTGGCGAGAGCGCATCGATGAGAAACTGACTGCCGCCGCCGTAGCCAAAGGGCAAGATCAGGCCGATAGTCTCGACGGCGCTCCCAGAGGCAGAGTCAGCAGCATTGTGCAAGACGAAGAAGGCGTGGTGACCAGTGGGACGCCGGCAGAGTACGAGGAAAAGGACGACGACGACATCTACTTCGAGCCCGAGCGCAACAACGTCATCTTCAGCTCCGCCATCGATGGCTGGGCCTTTACCCCTCGACAGTTTGCCGGCCTGTACGAGAAGAAACTGGGCATCAAGCGGCGCGTGCTCGAGAGGGTGCTGTGGGGTGATTTCTACTTAGACCCCAAGACCAAACGCGTGCTGGGGTCGAAACATCTCAAAGGGCGGCATCTCAAACCAATGTTTGTACAACTGGTCCTCGAAAACATCTGGGCAGTCTACGAGGCAACGATGGGTGGCTCCAACCACAAGGGCGACCCAGACCTTCTGCAGAAGATCACCAAGAGCCTCAACATCAACATTCCCGCTCATATCATGCGCTCAAAGGATCCCAAGGCCATCCTGAGCGCCGTGTTTGCCGCATGGCTCCCTCTATCCACTGCTCTGCTTGTGTCGGTCGTCGAGCAACTGCCCTCCCCAGCGGCAGCGCAAGAGCTCCGCATGCCCTTGCTTCTCGATGCCTCTCCCGGCGCAGAGCACATCGATGCCAAAATTAGCGCTGCAGTAACACACTCCACCCAGACAATTGGCGAGCCGGTCGTTGCCTACGTGAGCAAGATGGTCTCTATCCCGGAGAGCGAACTGCCGGCCAACAAACGGAGAGGTGGCATGCTCAGCGCTGAAGAGGCCCGAGAACTTGGGCGGAAGAAGCGGGCGGAGATCGCGAGAGCTCAAGCGCAAGTCAACGGGGACTCTGACGTAGGTTCCCTGACCGAGGCTTTGAGCGCCGCCGCTATTGGCGAAGACGAGGTCGCCGACGATACGAATGGTGAGACGCAGAAGGACGATCCCGAGCACCTGATCGGTTTCGCGCGGCTGCTGTCGGGGACGCTCACCGTTGGAGATGAAGTGTACGTGCTGCCTCCTAAATACACCCCGGCAAGACCGCATGCCGCGCCAGAACCCAAAAAGGTGACAGTCACCGCCCTGTATCTGTTGATGGGTCGGAGCCTTGAAACGTTGCACTCTGTACCTGCTGGAAATGTCGTGGGCATTGCAGGATTGGAAGGCGCGATTCTCAAGTCCGCAACGATTTGCTCGCAATTAACAGGCGCTCCCAATCTGTCATCCACCAGCGCGATTTCGACAAATGCGCCCATCGTCCGCGTGGCTCTAGAGCCCGTCTTCCCCGGCGACCTGGACAGAATGATTCGAGGGTTGAAAATGCTACAACAAGCAGACCCCGCAGTGATGTACGAGCAGCTCGAGAGTGGCGAACACGTCATTCTCACGGCTGGCGAACTACACTTGGAACGATGTCTGAAGGATCTCCGCGAGCGCTTCGCCAGATGCGAGATTCAGGCCGGACGTGCGATCGTGCCATATCGAGAGGGCATCGTTCGAGCAGAAGAAATGAACCCGCCCAAGGATCCCGCTCTCGGGAGAGGTCGAGTGGAGAACCTCACAACGAGCAAACAGGTGACGATCCGACTCCGGGTAAGACCTTTGCCAGCTCCAGTCACAGAGTTCTTGATCAAGCATGCCGGCGCGGTGAAGCGGCTGTATTCGGAGCGGAAAGCACAGGAAGAGGAGCGAAGTGTTCCCACCGGCGAGACTGACCCTACAACGGAGGAATTTGCGGTGCAAGATGCTGACGCCGAGGATGTGACGGGCGACGCTGGCCACGCTCTTACCTTGACTGAATTCCGAAAGGAACTCTCGGATGTGTTTGCGGAAGAGACAGCTGAGAGGGAGGTGTGGAAAGATGTAGTCGACCGGATATGCTCTTTTGGACCTCGCAGGGTTGGTCCGAACATCTTGATTGACGCTACTAAGCATGCCGTCTGCGGAAGATTGTAAGTCTTGCCGTGCGTTTGAGCTACGATTATCCAGCTAATACTTGCCACCTTAGTCTTCAAGAGGAGCATCTGACCGGCCAGGAAAACGGGCAGACGGACAAGCACTTGTCCGCCCTCGCCGACAAGGCCACCTACGCATTCCAGCTTGCTACTTATCAAGGCCCGCTTTGCAATGAACCAATGCAAGGCGTCGCCGTCTTCCTCGAGGACATCACCACGAACGTTGCGGAGGGAGAGGCCAGTCAGAACATTGGAAGACTGACCGGGGAGATCATCCGGACCACGCGAGACTCCATCCATCAGGCCTTCCTGGACTGGTCTCCACGGATATTACTCGCCATGTACAGCTGCGAGATCCAAGCGTCAGCGGAGGTCCTTGGAAAGGTCTATTCCGTCATCACGAGGAGGCGAGGCCGGATTGTGTCGGAGTCGCTACTAGAACCGTCAACCAACTTCACCATCCTGGCCCTCTTGCCGGTGGCGGAGTCATTTGGCTTCTCGGACGAGATACGCCAACGGACGAGTGGGTTTGCGGCGCCGCAACTGGTGTTTGAGGGATTTGAGATGCTGGACGAAGATCCGTTCTGGGTGCCGACTACGGAGGAAGAGTTGGAGGATCTGGGGGAGAAGGCGGACAAGGAGAATGTAGCGAAGCGATATGTGGAAGCTGTTCGGGAGAGGAAGGGGCTGTTTGTGAGGAAGAAGGTGGTGGAGAATGCGGAAAAGCAGAAGACGCTGAAGAGATAGGAGGATGAGGTAGTCGAATGGAGGCTGACCATCTCATGCTCGTGGCCTGTGGAACATGCTTCCGTTGCTTCGCCATTCTCCCAACAGCACTGACGTTTCGGTCTTGACGTCTTCGACGATGGCGTCGACTCTACACGCCGCCATGCCAGTCAGCAGCTGTGTGTCTAAGAAGAGAAGGGACCCAGAAGCACATACTTGATGTCGTTTCTGTCGTAGCCAAACGGGTCCTCGAGCTGAACACCAATGGCTTCAATTCCGTAGAGCGTAAAAGTACTGACATGATCAGCTCAGGTGCACTTTGGCAAAGTAGCATTCACGTCAGAGATGGAGGAGACATACACAACAACCACCATGAGAATGGTCCACCAGCCCATCGTGCGCACCAAGGCGAATGGCAGCACGCAGCCAAAGATGGCTAACACTTGTTTCATGTGGATGAGCAACGCGACGGGCAAAGGGGTGAGGTGGATGGTCTCCATGCTGCCGTACGCCGAGACGAGGGTGTTGAGCTGGACGGATAGCTGGCTGGCTTGCGGGCCATGGAACCAGCCTCTGTCATGCCCGCGCTTGATGTATCCCTCGACCTGGATACTCAGCTGCATCAAGAGGCCGAGACCTTGGTCTTCGAAACTCTTTGTGCCCGGGGGAAGCAATTGGCCATACTCAGATTTGGCCGTCGACTCACTCTCACGCCGCATCCGGTCCATCTCCGTCTGCGGGAGCAGTAGCGGCATGGTCGAGCCCCATTCGGCGCGGAGGTGGTTCTTGGCGGCGTAGATCATGGCGAGGAGTAGGCGCACCGTGCGTTCCGTATCGGCCTTCTCGGCGTCGGTGGGCGGCGACTTTTCGTCGTAGGAGCAGGTCAAGAAGGAGCGGGTCAGGTTGCGGATGCACGTCACCACGGTCGTGAGATACTGGTTGCCTTGCCAGAAGCGGTCATAAGAGGTCTGGTTACGGAAGACCAGCATCAGCCCGACGACGATGGAGAGCGATGGGATGGTGGAGCTGGGGAGGGCAAGGTGCCCATCGCGGATGATATCGAGATAGACTACGACTGCGGCAAAGACGGCGTGGAAGAGGACGGGGCCGGCGATGGTGCGGTGGATGGCGCCCTTGATGAAGCGCAGCGCGAGTGGCCATCGGCGAGGCTTCTTGCGGCTGGAGTTGTAGAGGGGAAAGGTCGGGGCCGGGAGGGGCACGTTGTCGGCGTAAGGCATGGCGATTCCGCGCGTCCGCACGCGTCTACAGCAGTTACATTATTTGCTGGTGAGTGAAGTCGAGTTTACGGACGTGAATGTTGTGGAATTTCCTTTCTTGGCCTCGCGACGTCACACCGTTTCACATCTCGCTTGCACCACTCAACCTCACCCCACACTCGTCGCATTTCATCTTTTGACGCACTCTCGCGCATCACCCAGACAGCCCCTCGATGCCCCGGCAATGCCTCCCAAACGCAAGCAGCCGGCGGTGAGCGCATCGGCCGCCAAACCAGCGACGAAGCGACGGTCCAAACTCGCCAAAGAGAACAACATCACAGCCGAGGAAGAGGGCGAGATTCAAGATGCCTTTGACCTGTTCGCAGCCCGGAGCGCAGAAGCCAAGGCGAAAGAGAATGTAATTGCCACCAACGACGTGCGCCGCTGCCTCATTGCCCTCAACGTCCCGCCGACCGACCAGGCGGAGTTGCAGGAGATCATCGAGACCGTCGACCCCGATGCATCCGGCTGGGTGGCCTACGAGACCTTTGTGGCCGTGGCGGCGCTCAAATTGCACGCGAAGCACGACGACCCTGACGCGGTGAATGAGGAGGTTGCGACGGCGTATCGGCTGTTCACCAAGGGCCAGGACAGGGAGATCAATCTGAACGATTTGCGCCGCGTGGCCAAGGAATTGCGGGAGGATGTACCGGAGAATGTGATGAAGGACATGATCCGGGAGGCTACGGCTGGCGGACTGGGAGGAGTGAGCATGGAGGATTTTGAAGGGGTCATGAGACGCGCTGGCGTGTTTGGATGAGGGGCAACATATGATGGGGTGCAAGGGCACGCCGTCTTTCGTCGGTCTCTGCTTGGTCCTGCATCCTACACACTTACAACACGGCCAACCACTTCTACCGCTTCGGATACCAGATTTATCATTCAGCCGGGCTCTACGAAGAGGTACGAAGCTGGGCCTTGACATGGCTGTCAGCTTCGCCGCCACCAAACAGCCCCTAGCTGCTACCGGTTGCCAAAGTCAATTGCGCAGAAAAGCCTCCAGGGCAGGAGACGCGAGCATGCATCTGCCCACCCGATCGTGGAGCAAGCAGCTCGTCTGGCGCACCAGCATTGGACGCTGCGTAGACATTCATAGCACACGATAGGGGAAATTTCAAGAACAATGGAGTGTGACTTGATAACGCTCATTTGAAGATGCAATCGCTAATGCCGCATTAGCCGCCTATGCATGAGGACAGCTATGCCGGTGGTCGGAGTCGTGTGTTGTCTGCACGCGAAATGATGCCGAGAGCACAAAGCCAGATTCCAGCCGCGCCTACGCAACATCCATAGCTTCGTCACCCCCTCCACCCCTCTTCTCGGTCTTCACCCACTCCACAAACTCGTCAATGACACTCGGCCAGCTGCTCTCCTCCGTCCAAAAGCCCAGCGTTTCATCCTTCATCGTCTGCTCGGCAAAGGTCAAGGTCTGCCGCCACAGATCCTTGTTGACTGCCTTGTTCCACTTCTCCTTTTGGAACTCAAGCCACCACTCCAACCACGGACTGGTTCTTGTGCGCCATGCGAAGCCCTGCGACGAGAAGAGCAGCGACCAAAACTCGGCGGCGACGTCCTGGGAGAGGGATTTTTGATTGTTGGAGAGGCCGAGGACGAAGGCGTGGTTGTAGACGTTGCGGAAGATGTCGGGATCGGCGGAGAGTTGTGAGCGTCGCTGGATGACGACGTTGCGGATCTTGGGCAGAGTGTCGCAGCTTGTCTCCAAGCAGCCATCGACGAAGCCTTCGCGCGTGATTTTGCCGAGAGCGGGCGACTGGACGAGCTCGGAGAAGATGAAGGCGCTAATGTCTTCCACGCCGATGGTCATCTCGCCCAGCATCTTCGATGTGCCTTCAATGTTGATCTCATCCGGATCGTTCTTGGGATCATCGCGGTATTTGTCGAAGAGTTTGTTGGCGTTGGCGTGCACTGGATTCGGAGCGCCATTGGATGCGTTGGAGAAGAATCTGGAGGTCAAAGACGGGTTAGCATGATAATCGGGCTGCAACGTCAAGCAAGGCACGGGTAAAGGGGAAGTGCAAGGGGTTGAAGCTATCTAATCGGAGGCGGCATTCGTGGGACCGAGGCCGCGACGTACCCCTCCAGGGCCTCCCTCTCTCTGTAACCGGCCAAGTCGACGAGGAATTTTTTGACAAAGGGGTCGAGATTCGGCACATTGGCCAACCAAGCCTCGCGGATGTAAGCCACGCCATAATTTGGGATGATCATGACTTCCAGGAGCGAGTCATTGGCAGTTCGGTCGACATTAAGAATGTGGTGGGTTTCCATCAAGAAGGCAAAGGCTTGTTGCGTGACGCTAGGGCGCAGGGGCTGCTCGTCCTCATCGAACATGGGGCCTTCGAAGTCCATGGCAGCGGCGGTTGTAGTGTGCCTCGAGAATGATCGACGCCCCGGGTGGAGCAGCAGACCAGGAGTTGATGACGGGAAGGGTGAGAGTGATGATGTGTTGCGGTATGATGTGATGTGCAGAGGAGGCGGAGGTGAAGTTCGTTGAGTGCCCACCACTTTCCACTTCTTTTCCCATTGCCACTTTCCATAATTCACTTGGTGCAAGAGGGGAGGGCCAAGCAAAGCAAGAGCAGAGCAGAGCAAAGGAAAGCCAGACTTACGCATTAATGGCGGCGCCGACATTCCAGTTGTGCTGTTTGAGCAGTTTCGAGGCAGCGTTCTTGTCGGACTGCGTGACTTGGGTGAACTCGGCGAGCGCGCTCTTCTGCGCGCTGCTGTAGGATGGGGGCATGTCGGCTTCCCGGAGTGTCAGTCAGTGCGGTGGGGCAGATTGTAGGCGGCCTGCTATCGGTGACGAGGCATGTGTGTCGCGGATGGAGGAGATGTCGATGATGGATGAGTGGATGGATGGATGGATGCGAAGGCGAAGGGGTGGTGGTGCGACGGCGTGCACCATGCGCGAGAGGGTGAGGTGAGTGACGTTGGCGGGGCATGGATTGGCGATGGACGGAGGATTAATAAAACGGGCGCCAAGAGCGCGCAACTTACCGGCAGTCTCCCCCCCGCTTTTCCTCACCTTACTCCTGGCTGTGTCGACATCGTCGCCGTGCTCAGCACGTCGTTTCGCCATCTTCGCCTGTGCCGCTGCTTCGCTGCACGCTGGCTCACTGCAGAACAGCGATGTATTCCCGCCAAGTCTGTGGCGGTGGCGGCATGCGAGAAGGGGGTAGAGGAGGGAAGGCGCGACTCAAGGTGAGAGGGGGAAGGAACGAGAAAGGCAACCGTCGGGCACGGACAACGACGCCATTCACTGCTGATGCATCAGGTGTAATGCAATGCAATGCTCCGTTGATCAAGCTCGAGTGAATGCCGTTCACGCCCCGTCGCAGGACTGTCCGTCTTGCTCATCTATCACAGATGCAAACTACCCGATCTGCTTGGGCTCATGTGCCACCACAAGAACGCGGCACTTCCGCCATCATCACATCACCTTCTCCCACCGCTCACTCCCCCAGCGGCATGCTCTCCACCGCCTCCACCAGCCCCCGGAAGTTGTCCGCCTGCAGTTCCGCATACTTCACCCGCTCCTGCGCCCAGTCCTGGTGCAGGCGCGACACGCGGTATTGCGTGTGTTGGAAGTACAGCAACTCGTCCCGCACGCACTCCTTGATGAACACCCCGCGCGCATGTTGCTCCACGATGGATTGCTTGTCCTGTGCCGCCTCTGTCAGCCTCTGCCCACCGCTCTTGCACTCTCCCCACTGCCGCTCGCACTTACATTGATAATGGCATTCTCCACCTTTTCCGCTTCTCCAGCCTTCGCCGCCGGCCCTTTGGCCTTGATGCCTTGCAACTTCTGCTCGTTTGCCTGGATCTTGCGTTCCAGCTGCGGGATGTTGTCCCTTGCTAACCGGTCCCGCCGATCGAACATGTCTCGCATGCTCACCAGGCTGTCCCTCATCGCCTTCAGATCCTCCAGCAATCCCTCGTCCCACGCGCGCGCCTCATCCTCGTGTAGCGCCTGCGACGTGCTCAGGTGCTTGGCCGTGCCCTTCATGCCCTCGTTCAGGAGAGGTACGTCATTCGTATCAATCGCATACGTATCCGCGCTCGACTCGCTCACACTGGTGAGACTTTGGCTGAACCGTGCATACTCGGATGCAATCACTTCCTTTCGCTTGCTCAGCCGCTCGACCAGATTGCATAATCCAATGTAGAGCTCTGCCGACCTCCGCACCCCAGCACGCACTGTGTCAAACGTGTCATGCAGGTTTTGGGGAAGCGAGTCTTCCAGCGCCGGGGGCAGAGTTTTGCCAATAAACTCTTCCTGCACCGAGATGGTCGCTTGTTTGCGCCACACAGCAAGCTCCTGTGTACTGTCAGTATGCCGCAGACCAACGGTAAGGGTCAGGGGATCTTGCATCTACCGTAGGCACAGTCAGGAACATCACCACCAATTGCTCCTCCCTCAAGATTGGATGCCGCACCAATGCGTTTGCAAATCTTGCCAAACCCCGTCTGCGCTTCTCCAAGAATGACGAGTCCGCGGCTAGATGGTTACCGTTGATTTGTACACGCTTCGGCGGGAGTAGTGGAAGCTGGCGGAAGGGATACCGCTTGTGCAGGCAGTCTAGGAGCCAGACGAAATCGCTGTACCGCCGGATCACCTTGCTGTTCCGACGAACCGAGGCGACTTCGTAATTCCGGTGCTGAAACAGGAACATGCCCTCCTTCTCGTCCAAGATGTTCACCGTCACCACCTCCTCTGCCCCTTTACTTGCCGCCCGTGGAGGTACCGCACGATGGGGTGCGGTGGGGGCATTGTCGCCATCGCCGAATCCTCCCGCGCTTCCTCCCACGGCCGAGCTTCCCAGCCCGCCTTCGGCGCCGAACGACCCGGGCCCGCCCCATGCCGCACTTTCGCTGTTGCCCGATGGGGCGGAGTTGTACGTACCTGTGGGAGTGGAATCCGACGGTTCGGCTGCGTGGGTGGTGAAGCTGCTGGTTGTACGCTGGCCGCCGGCAGATCCCACTCCGTTGAGGTGTCCATGGCCTTTGTGCATTTCCGGGCTCGCCCACGGATCGTTTTCGCCAAATGCAGCGCCGAAGGAGGGCTTTCTCGGCGTGCCTCGGTGTCGTTCCGGGGAGGCCTGGGCGCCGGACTGAGCCGGGGAGTGTGAAGAAGGCGCGGGCTGTGTGGGTTTTGGTGTTGGTAGGGAGGGCAGGGGCAGCTTTCGACGTCTTTCATCCACTGCATCCAAACTCAACTCTTCCCCCTCTTGTGCGAGGCCGATCAAGGCCAGCGTGACGTTGAATTCATCTCTTCCCAACGTCGCGCTCTCGCCGCGACTCGATACGACGTCCCAGATCTGATTCTGCGCGCTCCCACTAATTCCACAATCAGACAGAAGCTGTTTCGTATGAGCAGCAGAGATACTGCCACCGGCTTGCAGGCGATCGAAAGAATCGACGTAGAGCTCGGGGACATCAGCATTGGCCAAGAGCGACTTGACTAAGCTCCGCCTGCCCGTGCTCTTCTTGGGGGTGAAGCCCCATGGCGAGCTAGCATCCACGGGGGCGGTGCTGTCGTCGCCGAACATGGAGGAGCTGGTATTGGTCTTCGCTGCCGCATCGTCATCGAACAGGGAGGATTTGGGGCGGGCGGGCGAGTCGGGCTCGTCGCCGAACAGAGACATCGGAAGGGAGGGACGTTTGCAGACGGGATGAAGAAGAGCGGGCGGAGATTGTCCAATGGCAGGCGGGTGGTTGGTGATGGCGAGTGCAGGTGTAAGGTGAGACGGTCGGTCAGGAAAGCAGCCTCGAAGCCGCACAGCTTCCGAAGGCATCGCGAGTCATGTCGTAAGGCCCACTGGGGTTTGATTGGTTGGCGCCGTCCGCGTGCCGCGTGGAAACGTCACCCTCTCGCGCTCTTTCACCATCAAATCTTCCGTTCGCTCACATCCTTTCCATCGCCGTACATGGCATGGCTGACCAGCCGGAGATTTACCCTTCGGATGTGGTGGGGATGATTGCACCATGAGCTCTGGCGCCCATGCCTCCAGATCCTGCATCTTTGTCGCGAAACATTCGTGCCTGCAAACGAGCTGGTGGCGCTGAAACCCACACTCCTGCAACACTCTATCTGATTGCAGGACTGAAGCCTGTCTATTCAGAACGAAAGACATGGCTGAAGTAAGGTATGTCGCAGGTATACGAGGGACAACTGGGCCTCCTTCACCACCGCGTTTGTTTCTTTCATAGCTTCATATATTCGTTGCCCTTCTTCTTCTTGCAGTCCTTATCTTTCTCTCTTCCACGCGGCCGGGCTCTGGCATTCCATTTGCAATACTACTACCTCCTTTTGAGTTGCCTCCCTTGTTGTGCTCACTCTACGCACATCATGAGAACCACACTCCTCCTTGGAGTGGCATGCCTTCTGTCAAATGCCGCCACCCAGCAGTTCGTCATGTACACCCCCGGCGGCGACGACACTTCTGTTGAGCGTGCCGACCCCATCGTGTCTCCGGGCAATATCAGCCAGCATGTACATCAGATCTTCGGAAGCAATGCATTCGCCCCGGAAGTGAGCTATGAATCGCTGCAGAAGGCCGATTGCACCACCGTGGCCGACGCCTCCAACCAAGGCAATGCCGCCGACAACAGCATCTACTGGCACCCCGCGCTATACATGGAAGCATCGAATGGAACGGGCTACATCCGTGTGCCCACCAACGGCCACAAACTCTACTACAAGAACGCCGGGACTGGCACGCCACGCGATCCCTTCGAGTTTCCTCACGGCTTTCGCATGCTTGCCGGCGATCCATTCCTACGCGCCGCGCATCCCAACCTCCAGCGCCAAAACATCACGCAATGGATCTGCCACCAAGCAGTCGGGATGAATCAAGGAACGAGCGGAGGCTTTCCCACTGGCGTCACTAATTGCCCGAATGTCGATGGCTTCAATGGCGCCATCCACTTCCCACACTGCTGGAACGGCGGGGATTTTGACCCTGCCGATCCCACCGCCCATGTCATTTACCCTTCCGGCGACATCGAAAACGGCGCGTGTCCACCATCGCATCCCACTCGGCTGCCTCACATCTTCATTGAGAACACGTTCAATCTCGATGCCGTCTACGATGCCGTCAAGCCAGATTCCTTCGTTCTTTCACAAGGTGATGCTTCTGGCTATGGTTGGCACTTCGACTTCTTTTCAGGCTGGAAGGACGGCGCCATCCCTGCCTTGCTGGCGCAATGTCCGCAAGGCAGCTACGGGAATGAAGACATCGGCACCTGCCCCAACTTCGAACCGCGGAGCACCCCGGCGAGCGAGTGCAAGTTGAACACGTTCTTCCGCGAGAACGTCAACAGTCCCGGTAAGAATCTTCCGGGATGCAATCCGATTGTGGACACCAACCCAGCACCTCAGTATGTCCCCGCGCCCCGCGGCGTATCCTCGACACACTGCACTCTCGTTGCGAATGGTGCATCGTCGGGAAATCCACCCGCAAAGTCAAGTCGGACTAGGGGCTCAAAGCACTCTAAGACGGCCACAGCAAAGCGGTCTAAGACGTCCATAGCGAAAACTCGAACCGAATCATGAATGGTTCACGAGGAGGCTGCTTACTATGCAGTGGCAGGAGGTTGTGGGTCTCTACTAGTAACAAAGCTCATCGTTTCAATGGCAAGACATTTCACGAGTCAGCAGAAGACAGTTCAGGCTGATGCCGACCACTTGTCGAGCTAGGCTGGCCGTCAACCTGAGTATAGCACAGGTGCCGAGTCCCAATGAAGGACGGTGTTCGAACTCCATACTGTAGTCTTTCGGGTAGAGGACGCCGTCGAATATGGTTCGATTAGGATGAGGTTTTCTGGACATCGCTACCTAACTGAAGGGAGTTCAAAGCCAGGGGCTTTCGGCAAACGACCTAAAGGGGATTCCTGTATACAAGGCAGCCATCGGCAGGATGGCCGGAAGAGGAATAAGCATGAGGAAGACCAGTTCAAGCGTCCGAGTCGAGGAGGTTTGGAGGGTGCGATCGGCGCCAACACGCGAGTGCCGGAATCCGACATGGTGAAAAGGGCAGGTGGGTATGCGGAGGCAGCCTCGTGGCGCCGGCAAAAGCGGGCGGCACGCTGCAGGTGACAGGAATGAGTCGCGTTGGCGCAGAACTCTCACTGCCATGAGGCTGGGAGTGGACGAAGAAGGCGTCGGACTATGGGCGCAGGCTAAAGAGCATGGTGGACCGGGCTAGACCCGACGCGAGGCTCCACTTGTCACTCTTCCCGCCCCCGGAGACACATTGCTGCATCGGGGTTGACGGCCGGCGCCGAGAGATCCGAGAGCAAGAGAATCACTGCCGGAGCAGTCGCGAGTCTTCTAGACCAGGGCTGGAAGGGAATGTCGAGCCTGGAAGATCTTCCGGAGCTCTTCTACAGATGCAGCGCTGAATCTTATTATACGACGCTACCGTGCTGCGTGGCTGGCCAGACCGCCGGCGGCTCTAGCGGCACGACGGCAAAGTGTCTAAGCGAGGCCGTGTCAGGCTGAGAGTGTGCGGAGGTGTGGCTGCGAAGGCTCGCTCGGCGGTGCGTCTCCCGACAGCCGCACAGCCAGGCAAGCATTCATCCACCTCCCCGTGCCCGCCATGGCACTCCGGCAGACATGGATCAAGAACGCCGCACGCCTCAACCTGCCGCCAACCCCATTGCCGTGACGAGGTGGCTCAAGCCGGGCAGATGCCGGCAGTGATCACGCACTGTACTGTAGACACTCCAACCGAACCCTACTCGCCACCGCGGCACACATCTTCACTCGGCGTCGCAGGGCCGTATAGTACACAGTACAGCTGCGCGCATTCAAGACACTTGCCGCAGACAGGTCTAGATGTCAATCATTCATACGCCAGTCGGACGGATTGCCCGTCCTCCGAGAGCCCTTATGCCGATCGATTGTCACTATGCAACCCCGATCGTTCTTTCTCCCTCGCCCAAGCGGGTGATTGGGTCGGTCCTGCCCCAAGCGAACCGTAGAGTTCTCGCAATTCAGGGTTCGGTCGACAACTCTCCGCAAGCGAAGCGTGTCTGGTTCCCTCTACCCTTCTCTACCACTCCTGGGCCATCCTAACTTATCGACGATGTGCCCGACTTCCTTGGTTGGTCACACGTCACCGCATGGCCGATTAACGAGGCTGTCATTCACCCGGCTGCTCACACGCAGATCGCCTGCAATGCGATGGCAGGCGTATAAATATTCACATCATCCGTCCGTCGTCTCGTCGCTCGTCTGAAGTGTACAAGCAGTAGAACACACAGCGCCCCTCGTCCGTCTCATTCTCAATAATACACCTTCCCTCGCCGCCTGCTCCACCCGCCATCATGCTGTCCGCCACCACCATCCTCCAGGCGCTCGCCTTTGCCACCGCCTTCACCACGGTGTCCGCCAAGACAACCTGCACCAACAACCTCGTGTCCTGCCACAACATCTCTGCATCCGCCAATCTGTGCTGCGTGAATGCCCCGGCCGGCACACTCATCCACACGCAAACCTGGGATTACAACAGCTCCTCATCCCCCTCCGAGACATGGACCATCAGCGGACTCTTGGTGCGTATCATGCAAGACGCAACTCTACGCTTTCCTTTTACTAACGCACAATGCCCCTTCAGACCGCAGACTGCAACGGCAACATTGTCAAAAACTGCGACCCCTCCCGCGCCTACTCCAACATCTCCAACATCCTGGGCGAGTTCAAGCAGACCCTGCTGCGAACACAGCTGTCGACCGACTGGCTGAACCAGTCCTCCTCCACCCTGGGCTTGACCGAGAACGAAGTCTGGGCGCAGGCCTGGGACACGTACGGCACATGTCTCTCCACTCTCAGTCCCACTTGCTTCGGGGTAAGCTTCTGCCCATATGCCAATAGTCGATTCACCCGCTGACTGCAAACGAACAGGCCGGCTACGTCCAAGGACAGGAAGTGCCACCCTACTTCCGTCGCGCCGTCAACCTCTACCGCAACGACGTGACATATTTGTGGCTGCGCGATGCCGGCATCGTGCCCTCCAAGGCCGCCACCTACACTGCGAACGTCATCATGGGCGCGCTCAAGGCGCAGCACGGCCACCCGGTGTACATCTACTGCGACGGCAACAAGCTGTCCGGCGTGGCGTACTACTACAACGTGGCGGGCTCCATCGCCAACGGCCAGATAAGCTCCATCTCCGCCCTTGGCGGCGCCAGCACCTGTCCGTCGAACGGGATTGTGTACCTGCCGAAGCCGTAAGGGCTTAAAGCGGTTGCTTGTTTTCTTGTTCACACGCGCGTTTACCAACAGCATAGAGGAGTTGGGGATGGAAATGGGTGCGGGAGAATTGCCTTGAAAAGACCATCGCCTGGCGCGGGTCGTGCTAGATTTTTCGTATTTACACTAAAATCGACTTGAATGTACCATGTCTATTGTTCATATAACATCAATCGTTATCCTCAACGGAACTTCGCCGGGGAGTGGGTGAACGGGTCTGCGCGGGCGAAGCTCTCTCAGAGGTGGTGCTGGAGAGGCGTGGGGACATCTCTCCACTCACGGCCAAGTTGCTGGCCGTGTTCTCCGGGACGGCAGCTGCATCGAGTCTGCTCGAGTCGGGGGGCCTCCAAGTCCTCACACTGTCACGTGGTTGTGCAGGAATGATGGTTACCGGCAGTTCTTCGCTCTGTCCACGGCCTGCTTTCTTCTCGCGTGCGTTTTGGCCCAGCCCTACGGCCGACACTCCCATGCGATTCTTCATGTTCCACGACGAGGATTTCGGAGTCGAGGTCGCCGTAGTTGTAGACCGTCCAGTGACTTCTTTGCGCGCCTGTTGAACCTCGGCGGGAGGCGATGCGCGTTTCCGCTTGAATGGATTCGAAACAGCCAGCCAGCTGCCGCTGGTCCGTCTCCTGTGGTGAGACGGCTCTTCCACCTCCGATACCACAGGCCCTTCTTTTTCTGGATCGGCGGTGTTTCCCGCCCGCCGTTGCTGAGCTCGAGCTTGCGCCTGCGCGCGTTCTTGTTCGGTGTTGCCGTTTGGATCTACTCGTCTCCTCACCGGCTGCGGCACGTCGGCCGCCGGATTGTACTGCACGACGTAGACTGTACTTGCAGCGCTCGTCGTGTCTGCCCTGCTAATCGGGCTGATCACCCGAGATGGCGGAGTGATGTCCGATGGCTCACGGGCTTCGGCTAGCTCTTGTGGCCGGGGTAAAGCGCCAAACTTGATACTCGGGGAGGGATTGGTGGGATGTGCAACTTCGGCCATAGTACTCGTCGACACCTGAGTCGTTCCCTCCTGACCCGAAGGTACTGTGTCCGGGGACGACGATGCCTTTGTTCGAATACGAAAGCGCTGGGCAACGCTGGTCAGTCCCTTCTCCAGTGCACTGGACTGAGTTCCGCCGCCGTCCTCATCCCGATCGTCGTCACGGCGGAAGAGTGCGCTGCGTGCACGACGGGAACTCACCCAAACGACTTCGTCGCTCGGCGTAATGTCCAGCATCTCATCGCCGTCGAAAATCTCGCGCCCGAGAATGCCATCCTTCTTTTCATCTCTTTCCAGTGCCTCGATACGTTCCACCCACTCCCACACCACCACGCTCGCAGCGGCCGCACCGACCCAGCGAAAGTAGTCACCCCAGGAGGCCACATCGGAATTGGAAACATCGGTGACGAAGAAGACGACGGGGGTGAGGATGGAGGTGAGGGAGAGCAAGGCGACGAGACCAATGCTGGGCATCTTGGAATGGTAGAAGGCGTAGCGGCGTTTGGTCATGGAGTAGTAAATGACCCAGGCGGCGTAGAGCAGGCCCACGGCCAGCTCGAAGAGATAGGAGAGGGCGGGGATGGCGTCGTAGAACTGGCGCGGGGTATGCTGCGGCTTGACGACGAAGGCGTTGAGACAGGAGAAGACGGAATCGAAGAGGATGAGGGCGAAGCCGATCCACTTGATGAGCACCTTCTCCTTGTGTCGCGGAAAGAGACGAATCAGCGTCTGCACTTGGGCAAGCCAGATGAAGACGTCGGTGATGACGCGCATGATGCGGATTTCCAGGGAGCCGAGCACCTCGTCGCGAAGGACAAGGGCATCGATGTAGCCGACGGCATATTGGCGGCTCGCGAACTTGAACGTGTCTGCGGTGGCGATGGTCAGGGAGATGGCGCAGGTGAAGGCGGCGACCTTTTGCAGCCAGGGGCGGGAGCCGATGCCAATGAGGTCGGTGTTGGCGCCGGTCGAGCCGCCGATGATGCCATGGCCACTGCTGAAGCCGGGGGCGGTGCCGGACTGGCCGAGGAAGTTGGTGCGCGGGGTGATGAGCAGCATGACGACCAAGATCCACGCAATGACGGTGGCAGCGGCGATGACATAGGTCTGCGGGATGGTGGAGGCGTAGAAGGGCTCGCCGCTGGCGATGGAGGCAATGTCGGCAATGGCGACGCCGGTGCACTCGGGGTTGAAGATGGCATCGGTGGTGAGGGTGATGGCGGTGCCGGCGAAGGCGATGACGCCGTTGGAGGGGAGGGAGAAGGGGGTGCAGTGTTGGAGGAAGGTGGTGGAGGAGGTGGTCGGCGTGCCCCAGAGCTGGCGCTTGGGTAGGAGGGGAGTGGGACGACGCATGGCTGCGACGGGCGGCGGGAGGCGGCTTGCGACACTCGTGGGGTCAGTCGGGAGGGACGGCCATGGCAGCGCAGAGGGGGTGGCGGGGCCGGGAGACGCAGGAAGGGAGTTGCGTAGGAGGGCGAAGAGGCGGTGCGAGAGAGGGTGGAGGTGGACGGAGGGAGAAGAGGTTGCGCTGCGCTGGGGATGCGATGAAGCGATGCGATTCGAGGCCTGCGCCGCGTTCGGGAAAACCTTGTTCCTCCCGCCGCCAGTCCCCGTGCCCCACTAGTCCTTACATAAGCCACGAGCATCAATTGCTGCATGTAGAGGCACGACATCATCATGTCCTCGCCCATTCGCCTTGCTTGTTAACTAATACTTGGCGTCTTCTGCATTTGACCCGGTCCAATCTTCTCGTTGTCAACACCATCCTCTTCAAGTACGGTCGTGGTATCGCATATCACACTATCGTCCCCTAACCCTAGCCATCTAACGCCATCATGGCTGACCAGACGCTGGGGACATTGCATTCGTTCCTGCAGAAGAACAACACCCAAACCTCATCAGGCGGGACTGTCGTGAGCTACTCACACGACACTGGCTCCGGCCCTGTGCTGTGCGCCGTCCATGGCTATCCCCAGTCCAGCTACATGTGGCGACACGTATTACTCTCATGTTCAACCCTCCTAAGCTCCAGATGTTCTTGCTGACGATCATCAGCTCGCTCCGTTGCTCAAGGACAAGATTTCCCTGTTTATTCCGGAGCAACCTGGATATGGCATCTCTTCCCTCCCGCCATCCTACGACAAGCGTGTCGTTGGTGGCCTTGTAATGGAAGCGCTCCACCGAGTCTTTGGGAAGGACAGACCGGTCATTTGGTGTGGTCACGATCGGGGTGCGCGGTTGGGCCACCGATTACTCGTAGACCGGGATCCCTCTCATAACATCCAAGCCGCAATGTACGTCCATGTCCTCGATATCGCGGCCCTGGGTACTCATCTCTAACCCTTTCCCCCAGCCTGATGGACATTGTCCCCACCCTCGTTCAGTACCAAGTCTTTTCAAACCCAAAGGCAAGTGTAGCCTACTTCCACTGGCCATTCCTCGCCACCGACCTGGCTCCAACAATGCTGGAAGCGATGGGGGGAGGCTACTTCTGCAACCTCACCCTCAAGAAAATCAAGGGCGGGAACGAGGAGGGCGTGAAGAGGTTCCAGGCAGACTATGCTTGGGATCACTACTCCCACCAATTCAACAACCCCGAATGCATTGCTGGAAGCTGTGGCGACTACAAATGGGGCGCCACCGGCGAGCCCGAGGCCCAGGAAGCCGACCAGAAAGCTGGCAAGAAGGTGAAGGTGCCAACGCTCGTCATCTATTCCGCAGCGAATCTGGGCAGGATGCACAATGTCTCCGCCGTCTGGAAAGACTGGGTGGAGGGAGAGCTGAAGTGCCACGGGGTGGAGGATGGGTATGGCCATTTCTTGCCGGAAGAATGCCCCGAGGTCATTGCGAAGGACGTGTTGGAATGGATCGAGCATGTCGGAAAGGCATCCTAGATCGATTGTAGCATCACGCCATCTAACCGTGAACTTTATTGGGGTATCCAGTATCACATACAGTGCCCGAGAAGCCAACGCTCCACCGCACACTGCCCATTATGACCACCATCAAACAAAATCCTCCCAACACGCTGGCGAAGGCGTAGCCCCAGCCATGCTTACGTCGCAATCCGTTGATCTCGCCCACCCAAGTGCTGACGGTAGTCAGACATCCGCAAAACCCATCTTGCACGCCTTGCAACACTTGACATCCTATCCGGCCCCCACCAAGCCCGCCCATGATGCCAACACCAACGTGCTGCAGATCGTAGCACATGCCCTCGATCGCGGTGCCAAACATATTGACCGCAAACGTGCCGAGTGGGAAAGCAGGGACCAAGCCGTTGAGCTTCAGACTGACGTAGAAGCGCAAAAGGCAGCCCAGAGGTGCAAACACGAGGGCGAAAAGCACTTCGCCGCGCCACTTTTCTTGCGCCCAAGATGTATCGCCTAACGGGCCGCCCGGTCGATCGGGAGGCCAGATGGCGAGGAAGATGGAACCCAGCCAGCAGCCGAAGCCCAGGAACACCGCGGCTGGGTCGACGAACTTGCGCACAAAGCGTCCATGGATTCTGGGGGTAATCGGATCTGCGAATGCTGCGACCTGCGCGCCAATGATAAGCCCTCCAATGGAGAGGGCGATGGTGAAGATTATGACTTGCAGAAATGCTTCGAAGGAATAGCCGTCGTGGCGAGCGATTGCACTTGAGGGCGCCGGCGCGACAATACCAGGATGTGGATGGTTGACTGGGGTGGGAAGGCTGTTGGAGAGGGCGAGGAAGACATCGCGGGTGAAGGAGGAGAAGGAGGTGTAACTACCACAGAAGCCCGTGGCCAGCCCGATGTAGAGTGGAATGGCCTTCTTGCGTTTCGTAAGCTCGGCTTTCCGGCGGTCTCTGTCTTCGGCAGACGCGTTCATCTGCTTTTCCTCCTCCCTCCTATCGCGGCGGGAGTCCTGGCGGAAGAGAGCCTGATCCTCGGCAAGGAAGCCGAAGATGAAGGAGCCGGCGAAGTTGGCCCAGATGACGGGAGTGACAATGGGGGTGCCGGGGTAGAAGGTGATCCATTGCGTGCCCAGTCTGGCCAGGGTTCCCATGATGGCGAAGAAGATGAGGTAGGAAACGGTGTAGAGCTCGGTGAGGTACCTGGGCGTCTCGCGCTCCCGTGAGCGATACTCTTCGGGCTGCTTCGGCTGATGGAAGGGAGGGGAGTCTGCTGCTTCATCAGGTGATGGATCGCGTCGGGTCTGCTGGCTCTCGAGAGTGTTGGGATCGTGCCTCTTCGGGGAGCTGTCCACTGGCGGCGGTGCAGCGACTTCGGTAAGATCTTCCTTGCCTTGCGGGATGTTGCGGCGCCGACGAGCCGATTCGCGTGGGCGCGAGCTCTTCCTGGAACGCGAGGCTTCGGCAGAGTCTCGATAGGAGGGGTCGTCTTCGAGTTGCGGCTCCCGGCGATGAGAGCGGGCGCCATCATCATCGTCATCCGCCTCGACCGGGCGGGCTATGGCGCATTCGTTGAGGTCTTCATAGTCCTGCGGTTCGTCATACGCGTCACGCCTGGAGCGCGACTTGGAGCTGGACGAACGTGGATCCGGGGTGTAGTAGTCGTCGCGCGCTTGGGAGGCGGAAGTGCCGGTTTCCAGGGGTTCATCATCGTCGGGGAGCAGGGTGATGCGCCCCAGCCGGGAGGACATTGTAGACCGCGTCCTCGTCGCACATTGATGCGCCTCCGTCTTCACCTAATTACGGCGCACGCGATAGCCGTTTCACCGTCTCTCCAGGAGGCATTATTGATGCACGAAAATGTTCAAAGAGGGTGATGTTTGGCACGGGACAACACTAGGCAAAACGAAATGGCCCCACCAATCAAATGCCATGCCGACAGCCGTTGCAGGTCATTGTGATGAGGATGGCACGGACAGGACGATCGGAAGCTTCTGATGAATGACAGACAACGGGGAAGAGGCAAAGTAGGTGTGTGCCGTGATTGTCTGCTGTCCGTTGGCGACAGTCCTTCAGGAGTGCAGAGCAAAGCTCCATCGTGGCCTTGGGCCAACAACTCGCGGCATTAAAGCGCCCCCACGTGCGCGGGGTGAGGGGACTTTAACTAAACCACTCTGTTGCCTCTTCACCGACGACGTTACCCTGTAGAGCTCGTACTGCTCCATCTCTCCGTTTACCAGAGTACACGTCGGCCACATCACGACAGTCAGGCACTCATCTTGTCGCATACTTGTAACATGGCGTCGAATGTTCACATCTCCAAACACCCCTGCGTGAGGGCGAAGCTGAGCCAATTGCGCTCTCGCTCCACCAACGCAAGGGAAACCAATGCTCTCGTACATGAGATCGCCACCATGGTCGGCAGTGATGCTCTGGCTCACGGCCTTGACATTGTCGAGACCGGCACCGTAAGTCCTCTTCCTTCCCACCCAGCCGAGCACCGGCTGACCCTGGGTTTGCAGTGTCATGGCCGCTGATCGCTTTCGTGTTTTATGCGTGTAGGACTACTCGCCCCTTGGCTACGAATACCACACCGAGCATGTGTCGCCCGAGAGAATCTGCCTGGTGCCCATCCTGCGCTCGGGGCTCTCCATGATCCCCGCCGTGCAAGCCCTACTGCCCTCTCCCGTACCAGTCAATCATTTGGGCATGTACAGGGAAAAGAGCACCTTGCAGCCGGTGGAGTACTACAACAACCTGCCCTATCACAAGACCGACGACCCCCCGGCCGCGGAGCTGGCCATCGTTGTCGATCCCATCATCGCCACCGGCTCGACCATCTGCGCCGCCATCGACACCCTCCGCGATTGGGGCGTGCAGCGCATCATCGTCATCTCGGTGTTGGCAAGCGAAGACGGCTTGCAGCGAGCCGCCGACTCTTGGCCCGGCGCCGTGGAGCTATGGGTGGGAGGCGTTGATGCTGAGACGGATGACCGAGGCATGATCAAGCCGGGTCTGGGAGATATGGGTGATCGGCTATTCCTCACGGTGGGCAAGTAATCCTAAACACCCCGGGGCCCCGGGGGGGATGAGTATGGTCGGACGTCATCGGTCCCCAAAAGTACCTGGAAATAGTGAGACCACGGAAAGAAGGGTCTCATGCTTAGCCAAGAAAAACCACCAGGCGTCGAACTCCGAACTGATGAACACCCATTTGTTTGATTTGCTTTCCGTGCTTGCCGCCTCGTCAAGCCGGATCGACATGCCGCAGAGCGCAAGCGAAGCCGCTCAACAAGACATCCCCAGCCGCGCCGCCCGTCATAAGCACCCGGCTCAACCGGGAGGTTCTGGGGTTGATCTTTGCCTGCTCGAACCCTCGTGCCGGTCCTCACGACCACGATGATAAATATGACGATCGTTCGTTAAAGCCTCCTGCATCTCATGTCTCCCTTTTAGGAACTTTCCCCTTTGGGAGGCGCCACAATCCGGGGTGATCAGTTGGAACGTCGAGCAATCTCAACTCTTGATCTCATTTCGATCCGCGCCAGCCAAGTGCCCCTAGTTGATGCGCTACATGCCCTATTCTGTACTGATCGAGGCCTGAAGGAGCCAGCAATGCGGCACATGCTCACGTGAGCCGGAGACCAGGGCTCCGAGTAAATGAACGGCAATCAAACAACGCTCCTGCAGCACCTCTCCGCGCTGACAGTGGGCGAATACCTGCGGAGTACCCGCTCGTCAGCCTTCAAGCCCCTATACCTGACCATTTTTCACACACCAGCATGCCCAATTGACTAGTTGGCATCAGTGCTTTGCCAAGGTGGGTAGTTTCGCTAGTTCAACCAGCCCCGAGTAAGTGGATGGCATTGCCTACTGTACATATGTACTGGCGCTTCATTTGTCTGTTCCGTGAGCATCATCACCGCCCACTTCACCGGTCCTTTCTTGATGTCGCTCACTTATTCAATGAATCCATCTTTCCAAGCTGAACATGAAACTCATTCTTCTCTGCCTCACGCTGTGCGCAACTGCCCAAGCCGTCCCAGTGCTTGTCAGCCCATGGAGCGTTCCTGATCCGAAACACGGAAAGGCTGATCCAGCCGTGGGCAGCAAGGAAGTAACGCATTTCCCACCGGAAGACGACGCGGAATCTATCTCCTCCCACTACATGACCTCGCAAGCCAGCACACCAACGACAGACACCGAGCCGGAATGTGAACAGGATCCCGAACTGATGGAAATCCTTGGCCACGTCGACGATATACTCGCCAGCGATCTACCCGCAGACGAGCAAGTCCCGTTCATCCTGGACGCCATACTGCATCATACGGAGAGTTTGCAGCAGCACGCGTGGTATCTCGGAGATGTAGAGAACGACGTCGACAAAGCACCCGCCCATGCCTCTTCGAGCAGCCCAGAGAAGATGCAAAGAATGTTCCGCGCCATCCTGGAACGCACGGAGGATTCTATCGCGCTCGACCGGATACGTGCAATTCTCTCCGAAACCAACTCGTTGCATAAGAAAATCAACAAGATTCTGGCTGAGATTGCCGATGATCTTGGATTGACAGTGGACGTGGGCTGGAGCGACGGCGCCCAAGTTCCTCTTACTATCGCTGATCACGATTGATGAGGTTGACGGGAATGACCAATTACATTGACCAAAACATGGACATGGTGCAGAGTGCATTCGGGCAAGTAAAATTGTATTACGCCATTGCACGTGGCCAGGGCGGATTGGTGACTGATTCTTCCCAACAAGCTTCCGCACCTTGGAAGACAACTCCATACACCAAACTTAGAAGGACCCAGGACTGGCATATGGCCCGGAAAACAGAACGAGACATGTCCGCGCCGCCCGCCTAAGTCGGTGAGTGCGACGTCACGGCGATCCGAGGTCTCAAAGGTAACGATCCCGAGCCCTCCTCAGCTGGCGTGCCGATCCCCGAAAAGGGGCTTGCTGTGCCGCTTGGGGCAACGGGGATCTGAATGTCCTCTGGACTGCCGGGGACCAGCTTCTGCGGAAGACCAGGAATGTGGATGCGCTTGGCGGAGTTGTTGTACGAGGCGGGGATGATTTCGATGATTTCATTGCGGGGGAATTGGAGCTTGGGGATGTCTGTGGCGGAGCAGGCCATCAGGTATCCGTAGAGGACGCGGAGGACGGATTCGTGGGCGATAATGAGTAGGTCGTTCTGCTCGCGCTCGAGTTCGAGAATGATGGGCTCCAGGCGGACGGCGAGATCATGATAGGACTGCGCACTCAGTTAGCACTAGGGTTGCACTCAAGACGTGAACACGGTCACTCACCTCTGCACGTGGATAGCGGTGGTGATATGGGTCCTGTTCGTGCTTTGCCACCTCATCGGGGAACTTTTCCCGAATCTTCCTCTCGCTCATCTTTTCGCAAACGCCAGGGTTGAGCTGGCTCATCTGGCTGCGTTGTCTCACGCGGTACCCCCGCGCCTCGAACTCCGCCCCGGTCTCCACTGTCCTCCTCCGCGTGCTGGTCCAGACGTTCAAGGGCTTCAACGCCGTCGACTCTGGAGCTCCGTGGGCGATTAAGTTCCGCCGCTCAGATTCGCGGTGTGCGATCAAGGTGTCGGTCATCTTGTGCGCATACGCTTCGCCCTCCGCACTTAGACTGGCATCGGCTTTGTAATTCTCCTCGTCCTTGGTGGTGCCGGCACGGCAAAAGTAGGTCTGCCTTGACTTGATGTGCAGGTTAAGCAGGTAAAAGACGATTCTCTGCGACAGATAGCCGAACGCGCAGTTGTTCACAATCACCCTTTCGCCGGCGTTGATCATCTTGACGTAATGCAAGTCGGTCTCCTCCATGGTCTCAAAGTGCGGTATCCGCGAGTTGATGCGTTGCAAGTAGTCGCGGACCGCCTCCTCCGGTGTCCAGTTCTTGTAGTCGGGAGAGCTGATCTTAACGGACCGCACGTTCTCCTCGATGATGCGCTCATCGGTACATGCGCTTTCTATGAAGAGCGTCTGCACGTTGTGTTTTTCAAACTCTCTGGCCAAAGCGCGACGGCCGGCGGCGAGGGGGTTAACGGCGTCGTAGATGGCGATCTGGCCGTTCTCATGATTAAGAAAGTGCAGAATCTCTTCTCTGCACTTTTTGAGGATTTTGTTGCGCAGGAGCACGGAGGAGGAGGAGGCATTCACATGGAAGTAGTCATCCGGCATCTCTCCCGTTTGGCCGACGTGCGCTCGCCTGTAATCGCCGAGATGGAAGATGTGCGTCTTGACCCCAAGCCAGCGGAGATAGCGGGCAAGAGCGACACTGATGTGGGTCTTGCCTCGCGCAGGCAGCCCAACGGTGGAGATGACAATGCGGCCGGAATGGAAAAGGCGGCCGGATTCGGTGGAGTAGAGCTGGGCGGGGGCCAGCGACTCCTTCTCTGGCAGATCGTGGATGGCGTCGACGTTGGTGCTGGAGCGGCGTCGAAGCATGAACGACTTTGCCGCCAAGTCTGCGGTTAACAGAGTGTCCATGGCCGGTGTGAATGGGCGGGTCCGAGCGAGTGGACAGAATGCGCGGCCGCGAGGCGAGCAGAGCAGATGAGAAGAATGGACGGTAGACAATCAGGGAAGCGAGCGCGTCTTTATGCTATCGGGAGTTCAGTCGGGTGATGGAAGAGCAAGGATGATGGCCTGTTCATAGCATTGCGCAAACGAGCTGCTTGACGGAGATTCGTAATGCGCAATCGCGAAGCTTCAGACGGCAGAGCGGAGATCAGTAATCCGAATGGCGGAGCCAGTATCCTGACTGTTGGTGTGTCAGTCCTTTGGACGGCAGGGAAGACGGATGAAGGCAATCGGCAGAAGATGGGATTGTGATGAGGTTGCGAACTGATAACGACCTCAGGCGGCGGAATGATGATACGAGGGCGGGACAGCCCGCATTCAAGCTCGCCCGTCATTGGCCAGCGAGAACTTGCAGTTTTTTGAAAGACACCTCCGAGCTTCACGTTCCTTTCGGGCACGCGATGCGGTAACTTCCACTTCTCTCCATCATCACTCCTTCATCTCTGCCTTCTGCGTCACTCTCGCGCACCACTCGACTGTCTTGTCTGACACCATCCCCGCCCTCCAGCCCTCTTTCTCTCCCCCGACTCCGCCGTAATGGCGGCACCTCCTGTCGATGAAAAGCTGGCCGCACCACTGTCCACACCACCAATCCTCCCCTCCACCCTTCCTCCCCCGCGCACCAATCGCTTCACCGACAGCATCCTCGATGTCTTTCGATCCTTTCAAGACCGCCGGGCTGCGCTCGGCCTCTCCAACCCAGGCACCGTCGATCGGATAGCGCACGAGGTGCAGCGAGATGTCCTCCTCAACAACATCACCTTCTCTGGTTTGCGCGCCGAATTGAACAAGAGCTTTTCCATATCGCCCTTGTTTCAAATAAGTCATGCCTTCTCCACCGGCAGCCAATACCTTTCCCCCTACACCTTCCTCGCCCTCTACGGCACCGACAATGTATTCCCAGCCCGGCCCACCCCTACTCTTCAACCCTCCCCTTGCTGACTTCATCACCAGTTTCTCTGCCAAGCTCAACTCGACTCCGACTCCACCTTCTCTGCCCGCTTCAACACTCGCCTCACCGATCGCTTGACATTCAAGTCGAACGTCCAAATGTCCCCCGCCTCCATGGGCGGGCCGGGCGCCAGCCAACTCTCCCTCGAACAAGACTACAACGGTGCCGATTTCACTGCTCAGCTCAAATCTGTCAACCCCTCCATCCTCGAAGGCTCTCTCACCGGCATGTTCATCGGCAGCTACCTCCAGAGCATTACTCCGCGATTGTCCTTGGGCCTTGAAGGCGTTTGGCAGCGTCCAGGAGCCGAGGATCTACCCAACGCCGCGGTCAGCTATGCGGCAAGGTACAGGAGCGACGAGTGGATTGGCAGCCTGCAGCTCCTGACTCAGGGTGGCCTACAGGGAAGCTACTGGAGAAGATTGACAGATAAGGTGGAGACGGGAGTGGATGTGAATCTGCAGTTTGCCGGCCTGAATAGCGCCGCGATGATGGGTGGGATGAAGAACGAAGGCCTGGCGGTCCTCGGCGCCAAGTATGAATTCTCCCGCTCCATCTTCCGCGCGCAAGTGGATTCGCAGGGAAAGATTGGCTGCGTCTTGGAGAAGATGGTCGCGCCCCTGGTGCGCGTGACATTTGCCGGCGAAATGGATCATTGGAAGGTGAGAGACTCCTCGAGGGGGTCCGTTGAAATGCAATTGCTGACACAGGCACAGAACGCCGCCAAAATTGGACTCGCCGTCTCCATTGAGAATTCCAGCGAAGAACTAATGGAGCAGCAAGACAAGATCTCGCCGGCTTCGCCACCGTTCTAAACGGTCGGCCTAGTCTTGCGATTATCCATCCTCTTCACTCTGTAGACGACAGCCAGAGACAGCATACCTCGGATCGGCTGTGTGGGCGCGAAACGGCGATTTGTGTACCTAGAAAACTCGTTGCCGTATCGGCGCAACAAACGGCGGGTGGTCGGCATCAGCATAGCGTGTCAAGGGGGGTTGTGGGCGTGTCAACGTTAGATTCCGCTTCGATTGTGTATGATAGGTAGCATTTGGATGACAGTACAAAGGCCTTGACCAACGCGCGATCGCTCGCTTCATTGCTCATCGATTTTGACTTTGCCAGCCTATATCGTGTCTATCCTCGCACCCCGCTCTAGTATCTTCCTTTCCGAAGCAGTTCGAGGACACGGTCAATCTCCAGCTGCACATCACCGTCTACCTTCGAACGCAGTTCCTCCAACGCGTTCCTGTCCTTCATCTTCCGTGCCTCTTCCACCGCCTGCCTCGGCATGCCGCATTTGAGCCACATTTCAATGCGCTCACCCAATGGAAGTGTCGTACACTTCGGGATGAACACCGAGGCAAGCTTGGTATTGCCGGCGCCCAGAATCTCGTTAAAGTAAGGCTGAGACACGTTAGCATTCGAATTACAGTGACGCGACGGCAGTAGGCACAACTCACCTCCCATCCAATCGGACTTTTCTTGGCCTTCCCAAGATCCTCCAACTCCCGCCATTCTCTCCTACTAACCAGTGCTCGCAATCGGATCCAGGAAACGGTCTTCTCCCCAATCTTGAACTCACTCTGGATCTTCTGGCTCCGCTTGACATTGCCCGTCTTCATCAACTTCGACAGCGTCTCGTTAATCGACAAGCCGACATACTGCTCATTGAGCTCCTTTTCAAATGTCTCCTGAAAGCGGAGAAGCTTCTGCGTATCCTCGAGGGCAGCCACCTGGGCCGCATGCTCTTTGCTATCGCGTAGAAGGCGGGAGGCCGATTTGAGCTTGTCCGTAGCAGAATTCAGCTCGCTGGCGTCAAGTGCTTCGGAGAGGAGGATATTAGAGCCGTCCAGCGGCCGGTCGCCTTGATAATAGAATTTCTTCAGCATTTCCTGATTCTCATCTGACGCGGTCGATACAAAGATTGCGGTGGCGATCGGGCGGCTGCGGATAGTGTGAAAGAAGCTTGACATGGGCAGTTTGTTCCTCAGGTTTCGTAGCACAAAGTCGATGAGGTCGGTGTCGCCGCTCAAAATGGCCTTGTCGAGCGCGATGGAGTCCTCTCCTACGCTCAATAGCAGCGGCACCTGTTTGCCAGCTCGAGGTTCATGTTCGAGCAGTTGCGTGGCGAGCGTGCCCCGTCCTTCATCGTAGGCCGCACGCGCAACTTCCTCGAACGAGATGCCACGCCTTCCGTTCAGCTTACGCACGATCTCTTCGCATATGCTGTCTTCGTTTGTGTTGGAGCTGCGCACCTTTTGACGGGCCCAGCTGACGTAGATTCGATGTACCGGTAGATGCAGAAACTCGGAGACTTTGAGCGCCAGCAAGTACTCTTGCCGGCTCACCAGTCGCTGTACAAGCCTCTCCGGGGTAAGTCGGATATACTGTTCATATGAAAGAGGTATTCCAATTTCGAAGAATCGAGCGGCGTTCAGCACGCGCAAGGCTTCGGTCATGTCGACGAAGTCGTCGCTGTTGTAGAGGTCGAGCACGGATTTGCCGAAAGAAGCAGCCTTCAGGAGTTGCTTTTGCCGATGAATGCTGAACTCCCGTCCTGCTGCTTTGACGCACACATCGACGGCTTCATCGAGCTGCGAGCGAATGATCTGGATGTTGTCGTCTGCTTTTGGCGACTTTCGCTCGAGGTGATCTGCGGCGTCCAGGAGCATGGCAGCCGGAGCATTGGATCCGAGTCGAAAGACTTCCTCTGTAGAATCGGGGACCTTTTCCAAAAAGTCGCAGACATCGTTGGTCAGCAATCTGATACCGTCGATGTCCGGCAGCAGGTGGACAAAGGAGGTGTAGGGTGGGTACTCTGTCGCCTTGCCATCTGGCCCGACGAGATGGATTTCGTCTTCCCACGCGAGTACAACAGCGTTGTTGCCACACCATTGGACATCTTTTGGCGGAGTCTTGACCTTGGAGTCGTACTCACTCAAAGGGTCTTGGAAGTCACTGCTAATCACCCACACCTTGCCGTCATCGGTGTAGAGGGCAATGAATTTGCCATTCGGAGAGATGTTGATGTGGTGAAATGGACCGGCTTGTAGACCCCGGTCCTCAGATTCAGCTGCATCCACGACATAGACAGTTTTGCCGACTGCTAGCAGGACTTCGACGGAGCGGGAAGACGTGTATTCCGGCGGCACGACGGTCCAGGAGAGAACGTCACCGCGCGGAGGGGCCGCCAGAAGTTGAGGCCGAGGCTCCTCATACCTGGTCACGGCAACTAGACTGTTGTTTCCCAGCAGCGCGACAAAGCCACTGGCCCAAAACTTGCAAGCCACCACTCCGTGCTCTTCCGCGCCATGTCCGAGGCTGGAGGGAGTGAATTCTCCATGCAGATCTGCGTAATTCCGAACGGCGCCATCATCGGTGACTACGAGCAGCCTCTCATCCTCCGACCAGCCCACGGCTACTATTCTCCCGCGATCCCATTGGATCTGCCGGATCAACTTGCCCGCGCAGCTGTAGATATCGATTGAGGACGTGTCGGTGTGGGAGCCACGGTAGGCAAAGAATTTGCTCTCATCTCGGTACAGTGCTGCAGCAGTCAGATTGGACTAAGCGGGGCGTGTGCGGTGTGCATACCTACAGCGCCACTGAGAGGGGCCCCGGCGACTTTGTAGTTTTCGAGTTCGATGTCGGGATCGAAGATGGATGTGTAGAGCTGGGTCTTGCGGTAGAAGCGGTCACCAACCCTCTTCCAGTCGGCAGTGGCTTTGGACATTGTCTCCGATGCTTCGCATTGTGCAGGAGTGCAGCCGCGAGCGTGGTTGTGAAGCTGGCCGGAAGACGAGATGTGGTGTCGATGAGAGCAGGCTCAAGTTGCCGTCCGTTTAGACGGTTGGTCCGTGCTCGCGTAGCTGCTGCCATGCTGCGACCACACCTCCCGCCCTCCATCGACCACACCGGCCTGCACTGCACCTCGGACTGTGCGGTTTGACGAGTCACTGCTCACGCGCAATGAACTGACACGTCAAGCTCTGCGTGGGAGTGAAAAGAGTGCAGTGAGATGTTCCGCGCAATCCATCGTAATGGCAACTTCGACCTCTCCGCCCCACGCCATCCCGTGCTGGATCCGCGCATCCAGGCCACTCTACAGGGCCTCGGCGATCTCGAGCTGGCCATCCTGATCTGCCTGATAGCACAGGAACACTGCATGCTCTCGGCGGAGTATGGCTCGATCCAGGATCTGCAAGAAGGTTTGCAGCTCATCTGCACCACGACGTTCAATCTTCAGCCTGTCGTCGTCCACTGCTCGGAGCACATCACCATTGATGAGTTCAGCGAAGCCATCTTGGTCCCCCCGCCCGACGATGAAGGCCGTCAGGACGTTGCTCCCCGCCAAACGCTCGCCGTGGACTTTACAGCGTCGCGCGGCAGGTCTCCAAGTCGCTATGGAAGCAACACGCTAGACAATCGGCGCATTGCAGACGCAATCATCATCACGAACATGGATCTGGCTCCGGAAAGTGTGCAAGTGCAAGCACTAGAGCTCATGCGCACCAAACGCATCTTCACGCGAACCGCCCTGCACACGGCCTCCAAGGATTTCATGGTGCTGGCCATCCCGTCGCATCGCGGCGCTCGTTTATCTCTGCACCTGAACGATCTCTTCTGCATGTCACACTTCCATGCAGAGGAAGACGGCTTGCCGTATCAGAATGATGATGTAGCCAGGCATACCGCGCCTCAGCTATCTTCCCAGGATGTGAAGGAGCTCCGGGCGTTGGCCGAGGAAGCGCGCATAACTCCCGAAATCGCGGCGTACCTGCATCACATTGTGGTCTTTATGCGCAACAATCGGTATATTAAGGGCGGCGTGACTGCCACTGCAACAAGACAGCTCCGAGCAATCTCCAAGACACTCGCGGTGTTGCACAGCCTCAATTTCGTCCCGCCGTCTCTGGTGGCCCTTGCGGTGCGAAAGATTTACCCACATCGCCTCAAATTGACCACAGTGGAGACCGAACGCAGCTTACAGTGGGGAAGCGATCACACGGCAGTGAAGAGATTGCTGGAAGGAGTGACGATTGGGGACGCCATTGAGGATGTGCTTGCGAGCGTTGAAACGCCGCTCTAGTCTGTACAGTCAACGACTGATCCGCCTGCGCAGCCTAACCCCATGGCCGCGTACTCGCCGGCTACAATACCTCGGCGCCGTCTGCAGTGAGAAAATCAAAGTCCGCCCCGAGCTCGGCCTGATTCACTCGGCTCTCATATAGGCCCCGGTACCCACGCTTCTTGGTCATTACTCGCTTGCCAAGTTGGCGAGACCGCTCGTCGAGATTAGTCTCGCGCTCTCGAATCCTTCTCTGGATCTCTTCTCCAGACAGCGCAACTTCCAGCAATCGCTTTTCAACATCAAGTCGGATCATATCTCCGTCCCGGACAATGCCCAGTGGCGAGTCTATCATGGCTGATTCCGGGGAGACATGGAGGACAATGGTCCCTCCGGCACTACCACTCATTCGGCCGTCGGAGATCCTTACCATGTCCTTCACCCCCTCTTTCGACAACTTTTGTGGGATCGGAAGCATTCCCGCCTCTGGCATCCCCGGATGACCAATAGGCCCAATACTCTGCAGGACGAGAACAGAGTCCTTTGACACCTGCAAAGCCGGATCATCGATTCTCTCAGCAAGATCGGCAGTGTTTGCAAACACGACGGCGGGACCAGAGTGAGACAACAGGCGGCGTTCCTTGCACGCCGAGGCTTTGATCACAGCCCCCTGGGGCGCGAGGTTCCCGCGCACCACCACTAAGGAGGAGTTTGGGTGGAGTGGGTCGGATAGAGGCCGGACAATCTCGTAAGAGTAAGGGAAGCCCTTGAATGGCTGTGCGTCCAGCTCTTCGCCGAGCGTCTTCCCGGAGATTGTCATGGCATTCAGATACAGCAATGGTCGCAAAGCCTCCAGAAGAGCTCGCATACCGCCTGCATTATGAAAATCGGTCATGTAATTGTCGCCGCTGGGTTTCAAGTCCACGAGCAAGGGTGTGTTTCTTCCAATCTCATCGAATGTATCCAGCGTGATCGAGCCGGCGACGGCCGGGTGTCGATTGATGATTGCGAGGAGATGCACCACAGCGTTAGTTGACCCGCCCATAGCCTGCAGAACGGTAATGCCATTCAAGAAGGATTCCCGAGTCAGTATCGTTTGCGGTCGGCGTTGCGACATGGCCACCTCTACTGCCCGAGCGCCGGTCTCTTCAGCCACCCGAAGACGCGCCGAAGACACCGCAGGAGCGGTGGCGCTGTTGAAAGGCATCAACCCCAGTGCAACTGTGATGCATGCCATTGTGCTCGCCGTGGCCTAGTGAATGTTAGCAGCTGGAGATTAAAGATCGCAACAAGCAAGTACGTAACATCACACCACATGTTCCCCCAGTCGGAACCAACTCGGCATTTAGCGACGAGATGTCTTCGATGTCAATCTCGCCCGCACGATACGCTGCCCAGTTCGAACGACAATCCGTGCAGGCGCCTAAGCGGACACCGCGATGCGATCCTGGCATCATCGGGCCAGTTACGATGGGAACGATGGGCTTGTTGGACGAAATGGACCCCATGAGCTGGGCGGGAACCGTCTTGTCACAGCCGCCGATCAAAATGCAGGCGTCCATGGGTTGCGCCTGGATCATCTCCTCGGTGTCCTGACGATCGGGGTCAGTGGAGCGCCATCACTGTGCACGAAAGAGGTCACATCTACAGCTTGTCGGACCAGGGTTGACTTACCATCGCCATCAAGTTCCGAAGGTACATGCTCGTTGGGCTGGAGAAGCTTTCGTGGATACTAACGGTAGGAAATTCGATGGCCAGGCCGCCGTGCAAATGGATGCCGCGCTTGAGAGCCTCGATGAGTTGCGGCACATTTGCATGGCATGGATTGAAGCCCGAGTGGGTGTTGGTGATGCCGATGATGGGCCGGGAAAGAGAGTCATCGCTGAGGCCGGCAGCTTTGATGAAGGCTTTACGGAGGAAGAGGGAGAACTTGTCATCGCCATAGCCTAGGATTCTCAGCCTTAGCATGTGCGTTGTCTCGCTACAAAGGTGTTGGATAGAGTAAGTCCAGTGTCATGTTAAGCTACGCGAAGGTGCTACTCGTGGCAACTGTGAGGTTTGCGAGCGCAGAGATCCGTGCGATTCATCTCGAGACAACTGAACAAGTCCATTTATTAGAGATGCTTACTTGCTAGGCCCTGCCGGAGACCGGTTCGGGATTCAAGGGGAACGGACAGGTCGTAATCGCGCAGCGACGAATGACCATTCTCCATGCTTGATGTGACGAAGTATCCGTAGATACGAGGAGAGATTGATGATGGGATGGTAGGCTTGGGTGTAATACCTCAAGGTTGGAGGTGTCGGACACCACCATTGCGGCCTGAGGCATCACCGCTTTTCCCGAATGGGGGTTCAAGCGTTTGAAATTTGTTCCGCGAAGCATCCCTCTTACAATCTTCTCTTAACACAAACCTTTCGACCACCGCATGTCTGTTCCAGCTGTACGTGAACGGCGGGAGCACGAAATACCTGGAACGTGTCATTCCCAAACTTCAGAGGTAAGGTGCATGTCTTCCGCTTCGAACACTGGCGGCAGAGCAGAGGACAGGCGGGGACGACAACAAGACGCAATGAAATATGCTAGAGCTCGCCATCTTCCCCCATAGTTGAGCGAGTGTGGACAGAGTTGCAAGAGTGAACCCGCCCATCACTCCGGTGATGTGGTGCTCCCCCACTTTACCCGCCGAGGAGTTCAAAAATGATTCGGAAGGGTTGGTATGGGGAGTGGACATGACTTGAGCCTTGCGATGCGAGGCTTGAATCTACTCTATTACTGAACGAGAGCCAGCTCGTCCTTGTATCTATCTCACGTCATTACGTCGGTTTCTTTGTTGGTACAATGCTAGCATGCCACATTAGTCGGAGCCCATTTCTCCATGCATCACTCGGCCCTAGTGAGATCCGCTGTCGCGGTAGAACTTCTCCAACTGCCGCGGATCCTTCGTGGCGATGTAATAGTTTCCCCCATGGTTGGTCCAGCTCACGCTGTTGGAGAAATAGTCAAACTTCTCCTGCACAAACAAGTTCGCCACCGAGCCAATGTTGCGCATGGAAATCTTGTGTCCTTCCGGTACGAAAGGTTTGAGGCTGACGATTTTGCAGCCCGTTTTGAGGTCCAGAAACAGGTCGCGTAGCTTGTCGTTGAGCGCTGGCGTGAAGGCCTGGTTGTTCACAAGGACCAGATCGGCTTTTTTCAAGACGTCACCAATCTCTTGATTTCGAGTGAAATCCCCCTGCAGAAGGTGGACCTTGCCAACCTTGAGGCCAAAGAGACGTGCGCGAGCGGGGAACTCTTTGGCCTGGAGTTCGGCCAGTCGGCACGGATTCTTCATATACTCGATGCCCCAGCTTTCACAGCCAACCTCCAACGCAGCCTGCAGCACAACGTTGCCCACCCCAGAGCCGAGATCAACAAAGACCTGGTCTTCACGAAGCCCGACCTGATGAAAGATGGAGCTGCAGAACCCATAGAAGAGCTCGCCATACACGTAATCGGTGCCGTTCTCGTACGCACGTAAGCTCTCCACTTTGGGCGAGACCGCTCGGGCATAAATTTGATCCAGTATCCTCTGCACCAGCAATAGTGGGAGTCGCCGTCGGGTTGCCAACTGCCGTTGAATCGTGCCATCTTGTACGAGAGAAGACAGGAGAGCGTTGAATTTTTCCACGATGCTTTTGAACTCTGGAATGCTTGCATGATTCCAAGCGCGCTTGAACTGCCGCTCCAGTTCCACACCGTCCGTCACAAGCTCCTCTGCTGCCGCGTCGGGGCAATAGAACTCGACGACCTTGTGGATGGTCTCGGAGATGTCCTCCATCGGCTTATAGTCCTCCTTCGCATTCCTCGGCCACTTGAGCTCGAAGCGCTCGCGCGCAGAATTGCTGGGATACTGTAGCTCCAGCGTCTCGAAAAAATCATGACCCCAAGGAGGTCTGTATTTGCTGGCGTATTCCCCCGAAGTGCAGTCTGCGCCATGGATGATGTCAAGCGCATTCTCCTCGCCAAACGCAGTCTCGTCCACCAGCTGTCGCGCCGGCCCCGTGCCTCGCGTCAAGGCGTCGTTGGTCTTGATGCGCTTCTGCGGACCGTCCAAACCATCTTTGCTTGAATCCTCGTCATCGTCCTCATCTTCGCTGCTGAAAAGAGCGCGATCGGGGGTATTGCTCTTTCTCTTCACCCCTTGCACCTTGACTATTGCCTTCTGCACGGGTGCACGCAAGGTGGGAGACTTTGTCGTGCCGTTGCTTTTGTACGGCTTCTGCGACAGCTTGAAACGATTTGCCGGCGTCGCGGCGGTGGTGGGTGGGGGTCTGTGGGTGCCGTTGGAGAGCTGCTTCTTGACAGGGACAACGACCGTCTCCTTTCGGATGACTGGCTTCTTGCCACCGCTCTTGGGATTGAACATGTCGATGTCAGAATGCGCGAGGCGGGCGCATGGCACCAGTCGGTGATGCTGCAAGACACGATGAAGAGAATGAGTGGCGCTTTGTTGCGAAAGAATGTGTGCTGTCTTCGAGGAATGCAAGGGTGGAGAACATGAAATGACCAGGAAATACCCTCCTCATTCTCGAGAGGTGCTGAAATTAAAACTTGAGGTTTTGGGTGGAAGTTGCCTTGCATCCGCTTCCGGAAGGCGCATGCTGCCTCAGGCAGGCGCAGACGCCGACCTCGGCCAGCCCCGGCTCTGCGCCGATGAACGCGGCGGCGTAGGGTGATGGCTGTGAGGGCCGGCCTTTCTGCTACTTAACCACAAATCATCGGCGCGTGGGTGAAAGGGACTTGAAGCTGCTGCATAGCCCTCCACTTCTATCCAAAAGCCTAGCTCCGTGAGCACGCGCAAAGAAGTTGGAAAGCTCACAGCCAACTCGCATGCTAGGTACTCACGCTCGCTCATTGACATCACCTCCACGTAAGGTGCAACAAACACACACCTAGCCCAACAGCGGACGTCTTTGCCGCGCCTCACTACCTTTGCATTATCTGTTTCGGTGATCTTCGCCATCAGTCGAACTGCCGCTTCCTGCAATATCCTTCCATATCATCCGACAGCTTCGTACGGCACGCTTGATCGGCGATACCACATCGGCAGAGAGATCTCAAGATGGACCCTATTCCAACCACACACGAAGCCAAAGGCGAGCCCACGTCGGTCAGAGAGCACGTCCTTCATACCGGTGCCTCGATGCTCCAGAACTTCGACCCCGTCAAACACATTTGCGCCCACCTGCATGCCGCCCATACGCCGTTCGATGACCCTGGAAAAGCGGTGGAAGCGCATCACTATTGCACGATATTGAACGAAGACATGCGCCAATGTATCGTCTACGACGGCAAAGACAAGAATGCGCGCTTGATCGGCATTGAGTACCTGATCACTCGCCGTCTTTACGAAACCCTGGACCCGGAGGAGCGCAAGTTGTGGCATTCGCACGTCTTCGAGGTCAAGTCTGGCCTGCTCGCTCTGCCAGTGCCGTCCGTTGTGCCCGATAGCGTATGGGTAAGATATCAAGCCATTCGCACAGACGAAAGCTCTCGACCGTCACCGCCGCAAGCTTGGATGTATCCATGCTAACCCTGCAATAGGAGGCTGCGGAGACGGCGGAGATGGAAGCAGTGATCGGCATGTACGGCAAGGTATATCACCTCTGGCGTACTGATTTGGGCCATCAAATCCCCCTGGGCGCCCCACAGCTGTTTACGAGCTTCACCTCCAAGGAACAATTTGATTTTGATGGCTTCGCTTCCGAGAGAGATCGGCGGCTAGGGACGGACACGCAGGTAAAGAGCGTGAAGCGGGCAGCAATTGCAGAGCCCGAGATCCACGGGGACGCCGACGCAGCGTGGAAGAAATGAATGCGCGGTAGGGCGGGCGCGTCATGCTTCACAGCACAAGCACCATGACAGATTTGTGGACGGGAGAAAAAAATGCCATTGGTGACGTCGGGTTTCTTCCGTCCTGCTACGCACGCGCCACACTTCCACCCTGTGCCAAACTCCTCGATTTCGTAATGCGCCGTGCTGGTGACGGGATGATTGCACCAATGAAGTTAAGGGCGGTTGCGGCCGCTCTGCGCCACCAATCTGATCTTCCTGGTTCGCCACATCGTAAGCCCCAAAGTGGTCACTTTGGGTGGAGAGGAGGCTTTTTGCCTTTCGAAACGCGTGGGTGTCACAGCAAAACGGCGCGAGAGCCTTGGGGTGGCGTCCAAGGTCAAGGAGCTGAGGCAGGGATAATGCGTGCGGGCAATGGAATTGCGCACAAGACCTGGAGCTCTCTTCACGCGCATATGTATGTATCGAGACTTCGGTCAATGTGTCGGTCATGGATCAAGCCACGCAACGGGCAAGTCTTTCGCGAGCAGTCGCATACGTCAGGGTTGCGGGGACGACGAGGGATTGGCACGAGTGTAAATGAGATCGTCGGCGAAAGGGGCCAGGGCAGAGGCACGCCTTCCAATCAGGTCATGACGGTGTCTGCCAAGTAAAATGCCAGGCGGTGCGGTGCTTGGGGCTAGAGCGTCTGAATCGAGACCAAGTGTGGCGGAGAGGGCGAATCGCGGTCAATCGATTGTCGCGATGCGCGACGCCGGTAAACGAAACGAGGCCGTGACGTCACCGGCATCATCCACCCTGCCCAGCCTGGACCGTGCCTGCCTTGTACCTTGTTGCACCGCGCCAGCCAGGCCATCCAGCAAAACTTGATTGTTGTCCTCCCTCCCGCCCATTCATCCATTTCGCATCAAAGCATCTTCATCCTCCTCACCTCACCCTTTACACACATTGAGCACGTTATCGCGGCTCCTTGCTTACACTCAAACCACTCTTGCTACCTCTGCATTCGCACCATTCTCTGTTGACAGTCATTGAAATCGTCCTCATCGCCCTAGTCCATCCAGCATGGCTACCGCGGCCGTGAACAAGCCGACAGACGTCAAGGCGCGCGACAAAGATGTCAACGCCAAGCTGCAGCTGTATGGCATCTACGCCGCCTTTGCCCAGGGCAAGGTCCCCTCAGTGAGTCTTCATTGTCCAGCCACACGGCCTGAGTCCCAGCTCACTGACCACCACGCCAGAACAAACAAATCGATGTTGCCATGAACAGCGCGCTCGAATGGGGCCCCATGCAACGACCCTCCAACAAGCTGTCCGCAGAAGGCCACACCCTCGTTGCCGACCTGCGCGACGTCATTGAGAAGGCCAAGGTCATGCTGCTCACCAAGAACGAGGGCAACCTGCTCCAAGATTTCATCTGGCAGACCCAAGACATCTCTGCCGAAGGCGTCAACGGCCCCAACGCCCCATTGGACAAGGACACCGCGAAGCAGCATGGTCGCGAGGCCCTCGACGGCCTTCGCACCCTCGGAGAACTCATCATCACCAATGGCCAGTTCCGGAAGCTCTGTAAGTGATCTGCCGCTCATCCGAACACTCCGCCGCTTGCTAATCTGTCCACAGTGAGTGACTCGACCGTGTTGTTGCGCGATATCGCGGGCGACGCAGCCGAGAAGGCCGCCAACAAGGTGAACCCCAGCGATGAGGAGCTCTCGCAAATTGACGCCCCGGCCGAGGACCACACCTGGCATGACAAGCCCGACTACAACGGCATCAAGAGCAATCTGCAGGACAAGCTTCCTTTGAAGAAGCAGGATGCCAAGGATGCTGCAGCCGATGCCGCCAACCAGGCCCAGAACACCGCCAATCAACACAACAACGCAAATGACGCCTCCAAAGCCGGCGCCAAGGACGGTGCGGGCCAGCTCAAGTCCAACCTGTCCTCGCGCTTCGATGACGACCAGAAGGAGAAGCTGCGCCAGTACCGCGAGCGCACCAACAACTACTTCAAGCAGAAGGTGCCCAAGGAGCGCCGCGAGCAAACCATCTACCGCTTGAAGAAGATGATTGTTGAGATCCAGACCCACCAGGATTGTGAGTGCTGCGATGTGAAGCCAGCTGACATGGGGACACGAAGCTAACCGTTTGTAGACAACCGCGCAATCGACACTCTACTCCGCCTGGCCGAGGAATACGCAGGTCATGGTAAAAACCTGGCTGGAGACAGCACAGGAACTGTGAAAGGTGCCACCGGTCAGGACAGTGTACAGGTAGCTCAAGCTGACTTGCGGGTGAATATTCTAGATCTTTATGAACGAAGTCGGCCTGCGCTGACAAACATCAAGGAACTCCTTGAACGCTTCGCCAACAGCACCTCGTTCGACGACGTCATCGACGCAATCAACCAGATTTACCGCGATGCCGACCAAGACCCCGAGCTGAAGCAATGGTTCAAGGACCTCGACAGCTACATTCGCCGCCTGCTCAAGGAAGAGGGGTATGTGCTCGAGGATGCTTCCAACGAAGAGTGGAACCGCCTGTACGACCACGGCAGATTCTTGCTCCGCGACCGCTACCGAAACCACACCGATCGCATTGTGGAGGAGTTCAAGTTCTTGGGTGGGCAGTTCGACTCCGACCCGGAGAACAAGGCCTTCGCCGCATCCATGGACAAGCTGTTCAACGACCTGGGTAACGACGAGAATGGCAAGCCCACGTTCAAGCCTCATCTCGTCAAGGACTTGACGGAGGTCTTGCTGCCGGGCTTCTTCGAGCACATCCGCTACGTCCCCATTCCTCGCATCGAGTACTCGGACAACATGATCGATGCCATTGTGGAGAACCTTGTCATCGAAGGTGACAACCTTGCTCCGAACATCTTCGAGTTTGGCAGTGACAACCACTGGCGCTGGGGCCGCAAGGGCGCGGCGAGCAGGAACAAGAACAAGGTCCTCCTGTCCGCCTCCGGCATCCAGATGGATCTGCGCGACGTCGCCTACTACGTCAAGAAGAAGGAAGGCTTCCCAGGCATCACCGACAAGGGTGTCATGGACGTCTTCCTCGGCGGTTCGGGCTTGAGCTTCAAGGTGGCCATGGAGACTGCCGACCGCACCGACAGGCAGCACTTCTTCAAGATCAACACCGTGAGCGTGGACATCCAGAACATGAACATCAAGCTGAAGCAGTCCAACCACAAGCTGCTGTTCGGCCTGTTCAAGCCGCTGCTCCTCAAGGTCATGCGTCCCGTCATCCAAAAGGTTGTCGAGAAGCAAGTCCGCGACAGCGTCACTCGCGCCGACGCCTTCCTCTGGCGCGTCAAGCAGGAGGCCGACCGCGCCCAGGAAGAGGCCAAGGCGGAGATCCAGAACGACCCGATGAACGCGCCCGAGAACATCTACAAGCGCTACGCCGGTGCCTTCCAGAGAGAGATGCAGAAGAGCAAGGATCGCGCAGAGGCGGCGAAGGCGAAGGCCAACAAGGTTGCGGGCTCGACCAACATCGCCATGACGCAACAGGACTCCATGTTCAAGAACATCTCTCTCCCTGGCGGCATCTCCACCAAGGCCACCGAGTACAAGCAGTTGGCCGACAAGGGCGACAGGTGGGAATCTCCAGTGTTCAGCATTGGCTCGGCCAAGGAATCGTCCAGCCTCCCATCCGTGTCCAAGCCGGCTCGCAAGCCTCACGCCACCACTGAGATGACTCTCAAGAGCAAGGAAGAGTCCGTCATCCCCACCGGCTCCGCGGTCAGTGGCCGGCCCGTGAACGACACTACCCCGGGAATCTAATCGGTTCTCCGGTCCCAATCGATGGGAGACTCACGATGACTCGTTTGGATGCCAATACATTCGTTTCAGCGGCGTTTTCAGACCCTCCGAGAAGATACCCTTGCCTTTGCATTTGTTCTCTGGAGAGTTGGAATCGAAGGGAGAGGCACGGTCGTGTGTTTGCGTGCGGTGCTTTTTTGCTTTATACATTGTGATACCACTTGCTGCGTTTCCAACGGAAGCACATTCGAGGGAAAAGTTGGGGTTCCTTGCCTGCTTACTTTAATAACTAACACCGACACTCCTCATCAGCGGCAGCCCTTCTTCGTTAGTTTGAGCGTCTTTAATAAGAGTCGTGATTACGTTTTTGCAACCAGTTCATGCTCCTTGCTTTCCACTTCTCACCAACGTCTCAGATTAGCAATGTCTAGAAGGAAGAGGCAGTCATGGTCACGTGATGGCTTACTTAATGTCGGCATCGCTGATGTTTCGGACGACGTTCCCGGTCCTGTCTATTTCTTTCGCCATGTGGACGCGGAACTTCAGCACAACACCAATGGAAACGACCATTCTCAAGCAGCTACCTTGCTATTGAGGACGGCACCGATGCCCGAACGTGAGCCTTTTTCCAATTCTCCAAACAACATGCGCCGCTGGCTGGAGGACTATGGCGGACGCCGAACCATCAGTATCACCCGGTGGAAACTCTGATACAGGGGACAGCAATGGAGTGGTTAAGGGGTCTCATCGAGGCGGAGCTGTGGCCATGCCCTCGTGGTGCGCAAAGGGCCTGTCCGAGGGCAAGAAGTGGTGGGGAAAGACTGGCATCACGTGGTCGATAGCCCGTCTCATGTTCAAGGGTGCTCTAACCCCGACGATCATCCTGGCGGCTTATCAGAGTGACGCCTGGTCGGCCCAATATAGCACCCTTGGATACTTGATTGGAGTCATGGCCCAGCTCTCGTTGGTAACGCAGCCGCGCGCAAAGTTTGTTCAGACCAGTACGTTCGGAGCCTCTTAGTGCAGTTTACGACTCCATCCAACGAGCTAACATGTTCGCCACAGTGCTGGTGCAAGTCCTGATGGTGTGCCTGGCCACCGCACTCGCAATCCTGGCTTCGTACTGCTCGGTTCAAGCGAGGATCAGCTCTGAAGGCTATACTGGACCGGGTACTGGAGGTCCGGGGACCAGTGGAGAGGCGTCTCGAGGCGCGGAGACTTCCACTTACAACAGCTCTGCCTCCGCGGTAGTAGGAGTCTGGCTGTTCATCGAGATTTATGGCGTCAGCGCGTTTCGTGCACATTTCCCACAATACAACCTCCCCAGCATTCAGTTCGCTATTGTGTGAGTTCCCAAAGTCCAGGTATGATGACCAACTGGAGACTAACCACCGAGCAGTACAAACGTAGCGCTCACTTATGCTCCGCAGTTCAGCACTATCGCGCAGGCCGAGTCACTGTGTCTGCGTTTGCTATCCGCTGTTCTGTCTGGGTTCGCCGTGGCTACCGGGGTTTCGTTGCTTGTCTTCCCGCTGACTAGTCGACATTTGTTGTTCAATGAAATGACCAACCTGATCACGCAACTGCGAGCCGCCGTAGGGGCAAATCAAGCGTATCTATCGAGCTTGGAAAATACGGATATGTAAGTCTCGGATCGCTGATTTGTGCTGCGCACATCATCCGCCATCAAAACTCCTTTCCTCTCGATTAGACTTGCAGCCTGATATAATTGAATCTCCAGGTTTGCAGCACAACGGACGAATACCGCGGGCGAGAGACCTCCTCAGAGCCCTGAAGCCCAAGCACTTCAATCCAAGATGAAGGCAGTATCCGCCGTCCAGGCCAAATGTGCCACCAACCTGACCTTTGCCGTTCGCGAAGTTGCGTTTGGCAAGCTTGGGCCCGATGATCTCAAACAATTGCACAAGCTCCTGCAAGCCATTTCGATTCCAATGGTGGGTCTGAGCTGCTTGTCTGCCATTTTCGAACGCATCAGTGAGGAAAGAGGGTGGGATCGTGCCAACCGCTTCCCCCACGCCAGCCGCTCGGACTCCCTCGCCCACCCGGAGCAGGGAAGACTGGAGTCCATCAACGAGTGGCACGAGCTCATCGGGGTTCTCAAAGAACCTTTCGAAGGGCTTACAGATGTCATCGACGCGGGCCTGTTACATTGTGCAATCACTTTGCAATTGTCGAAGGAACCAGGAACGCCACCCAAGGATCGCGATGACGAGTCGCGCGGAGACACGCCTAGACCTGGTGACTCCAACTTTGGAGAGTATCTCTCGCGTCGGGCGGATCAATTTCTCCAAAGCAAGCAGATCACCCTCCGTGTCTGGTGTAATCTGCACGACATTCAACTCCCCAACGATTACTTTACAGAGCGAACTCAGCCAATCATTGAGCTGCCTGCCTGGATGAAAGACACTGCATCTGCCGAAAGAGTCCGGCTGCGTACGCAGCTAACGATACTATTGTATGTTGAGTTCTTGTTGTGGAAGCTGGCCAGGAGAACACACGACCTGGTCAAATATGCAGACGACCTCAAAGCGTCTGGCAAGCTGCGCAGAACCCGCTTCGTCTTACCAGGCTACAAGCGCTTGCGAAAGTGGCTTTTCAGTGCGATGCATGGGCAGGATGCTAGTGAACACGACTTGTCCGAGGCGGCGCAGGTTTCTCTGGGCCAAGCGTACGTATCGCTGCGCAATCACATTGCGATCTTTGTGCGAGCAGGATGCTTACAATGTGACTATTTTTTAGATATAAGAGGAAGAAAGATCCCGAGCATCTGCCACCGAAAACCCAATGGGAAAGATGCAGCGATGTGTTCCGACGATCTGCCCGTATCTTCGGCTCTTCAGAAGTGAGTACGGTCTGAGTGTATTGCGATTCATACTGATCCAACACACCCGAACAGTCCTTGTTTGCATTTCGAGTGGCCACAGCCACCCTTTCCATTGCAGTCATAAATCTGCTTCACATCTCCCAAGTCTTCTTCACGAAAGAACGACTATTCTGGGCGCAGATCATGGCCAGCATCGCAATGGTCCCTTCCGCAGGTCAAAGCCTACGGGTCTTTATGCTCCGAATATTTGGGACGGCCGCAGCTATGGTAGTTGCTATTGCCGCGTATTACATCGTGGATGGAAAGACGGCAGGGATTCTAGTCTTGTACTTTATCTTCAACTTGCCGGGGATGTAAGTTACAGCGCCCGGGGCCCGGGCTTCCTTTTGAATTGTCGCTAATGATTGCTTCGAACGGATATAGGTTTGTAATGCTTCGATTCCCAGCCATCGTCGCGGTCGGTTTGATATCCTCTATTACGTTGACTTTGATACTTGGTTATGGGCTTCAGGTGCGAAAGGTCGGAATACAGAGAGCCGAATCCAATGGGCAAGAGTCCGTATCACTCAGTCTCGTTCTGTCCGATGTGCTTGCTGACATCTGCGTGATCTGGCATACAGATACTACCCGGTCTACGAACTCGCCCCAATCCGCTTGCTCACGGTCATGGCGGGGATCTTTGTCGCATGGATATTCTCGGTATTTCCGTATCCGATAACCGAGCACTCGCAACTGCGAAAGAACACGGCCAACTCCCTCTACCTACTCGCAAACTACTACTCGACCGTGAACGAAACCACTAAGATCAGATTGAAAAGAGGTGGGTACTTCGATGAGAGCATCAAGGGGAGCGCAGCGCAAAAGCTAGCCAAAGCGAGGCTCAAGGTTCTCTCCAAATGCAACGCTCTGCTCGCCAGCATGCGCACTCAAACGGCCTTTGTGAAATACGACATTCCCGTCGGCGGCTCGTTCCCCAAGGAGCGCTACCAGTCGATTACCGAAAGAGCTCAAAGCATCTTGAATTTCATGTCTCTGATCAGCATTGCCTCGACCACCTTTCAAGACCTTCACGAAGGAGAGGACCATGCTCGATACGAATGGGTTCGAAACCTGCGAAAGCTGGCAAAATCGGCGGATCTGTCCTCGCATTCCGTCACGACTCTGTTGTCGTTGTTGTCTGCGTCGCTCAGCAACGCTCAGCCACTCCCTCCATACCTCCAAACGCCCGATCCGCACACCCTGGCCGACAAGATGGACCAATTGGATCCCGAACTGTTGTCCGTGAGACACATTGCCGAGCCGGGCTATGCGAGCTTTGCAGTCATTCAGATTGCCTCCACGTGCATGATTGACGATCTCAAGGATCTCTTGGAAGATGTCAAGGAGCTGGTGGGTGAGCTGGACTTTTCATTCCAGGATCTCGACACTCCCCTGGCGTCCAGATCGATGATTGGAGAAATTCATCGCCTGCAGCCTGGTGATGCCAAGGACGATGGAGGGGACAAACAAGACTGATGGCGAGTAATACGAGCATTGGCATCTGTGCAAGAAGCCAACACGATTTTATAGATTTTTCCTGTATAGCACTTGATACACCCATCAATCATCCATCACTGCAGTGAGTGAAGTTGTGAGCCTCTGTGACAGAATTCGTGACATGGCTTGGCGTCGGAAAAACTTTGGACCTTGTCTCCATCGTTCGCTCTATAGCACACCCGCGCAACACGTTTGTTCAACTTTCCAGCTCTTCCGTGTGGCTTGACCGCATGCAATAGCCCATCATGACCTCTACAATCGGCATTCCGATCAAGCTGCTCAACGAAGCCACCGTGAGTTGTCCGAATTGCATCCGCAGAGCATGCCGGTGCTTACGATGATGTCGCAGCTGACGAGTTTCGTGACAGGGACACCAAGTGACCGTTGAGATCTCCTCGGGACAGACGTATCGTGGAAAGTTGGTAGAAGGTAGGCCAAGGTGGACGACAAGCATGACGCGTGGCATTGCTAACCTCGCGCGCAGCCGAAGACAACATGAACTGCCAACTGGAGAACATCAACGTCACCCAACGCGACGGCCGAGTCACCCATCTCGATCGTGTGTACATTCGCGGTTCGCATGTGCGCCTCTTCATCGTCCCCGACATGCTCAGGTGAGTGCCCGGAATGGAGTAGGAGGGCATGTTAATCCCAGCTAATTGAATTCGACAGGAATGCGCCCATGTTCCGTTCACGAAACCTTCGAGGCCGAGGTATTGGGTTGGCGAGAGGAAGAGCTACGGTGAACCGGGCACGTGGCCAGACAAGGAGGGGATGAGCGCGCGATGACATCTCAATGAACCCAGGAAGGAATGCTGTATACGGATTCTCGGAGAAGCAGCAATGTAGCAGTGGAACGAGGAAACGCCACGTCTGGCCTGCCAGATCCAGGTTCTCGGAGGTGAGAAGACTGGCGAGAGAAGTGAGGAGACTGCACAACCAACCCGAAGTCGCGATGGCATCGTGTCTGTGGTGCAGCGCAAAGGCCAAGGTGGAATTGCGATAGACGCCTCAGGCAGCAACCCGACCAATTTAGTTCAAAGCACGTGAAAGGTGCCTTGCTCTCCCACTTTCCGTACTTCCCACCACTCGTGACCTTCTTCTCAAACGTACAAGATGTGGAATACGTCCTTAGTGCATTCGTCGCAATGGAAATCCGGAACTCTCGTCGAATCCTGATTATTGGCAGCGCGCAATCTGGTGCATTGAGAGTGGTGCAGGGTGAGATGGCCCGACGGCGCTGCACTCTTTGCTCGCTTCTAAACAGCACCTCCAGATCTGACCGGCACTGCGCCTTCGCTTAATGAGGACGGCAGTACAGCTGGATTGACTCACGAATGGGACATCGAAACCGCCTACTACACCGCCAAAGTGCCGATATGGATGGATGAAGTCCGCAGTGCCGAAGAATGGAAGACCGAATTTCGAAGACCGGAAGCCAAAGAAGTCGTCGAGGCGATCGGAGCTTGGGTATATTGCTTCGAGCGGTCGTCTGACAGCAATACCATCACCAATGTCAAAGCGATTCTGGCTGCCATCCAAGACGTCTTGGAGGAGCACGTCGGCTATGCTGCGAATGCGGTCATGTTGGCCGTGGCGGTCCCTCGGAGCCATATCGCCACTTCTCAAGACATCGATCATGGGGAATGGGAAGACGTTTGTCTGGAGCATGGATTCGAGTTTATTGACTACGCGAGAGAAGGAGCGAACGAGTTTCGCGAAGAGACTGGTTTTGCCCGCTTGAAGGAGGCGTTGGAGGCGAATGAATGGGAATCCACTGCCGCTGATGGGGAGGAAGACGAGGCCGACCTTGACATCCATGGCCTCGATGATGACGAGCATTCCACTGGCTTTGCACGAGATGAAGCAGAGATGACGGCGGAACTGTTCGGGATGAAAGCGGCATTGGCTGATCACGATCACGATGCGGAACCTGATGACTTCATGTCCTTAAACGAGCAGGCAGGTCAGGTTGACGATCTGGACAGACTCATGGGAAGGCTCCTGGCAGTCAAGGAGCAGAGCGCCGGTCTCCCAGAATCGGAGCGAAAGAGGTTGGCCGCGAAAGCGGTGAAGGAGCTGATGCGGGAGTAATTGCAAACCAGCTCTGCATGCCACACGACTGAAACACGCTAGATGAGTGCACCAAACGTTACAGACGGCTCTATATCACACCTTCCTGTCGAAGTTTATTGATTTCAGCGTCACCAACGCCGAAGTCCGCCAACACTTCGTCAGTATGCTGGCCATGGAGCGGCGGAGGCCGCCGAATGGTAGGTTCCGTGTCGCTGAACTTCACCGCTGGTCCTAACCTGATGTTAGTCGCTGCCTCGATACGAAATGACTGCTGTACATGCCGAGCAATGAGAATTTCCCCGACGTCGCAGGCTCGAACGGCATTTCCACGACCATGTCTCGTGCTGCCGTCTGCGGGTGCTTGAAGACTCTCTCCATTGTGTTGATCGCTCCATACGGTAGCCCGCTTCCATCGAAGGCTTCGAGCCACTCATCCGTAGTCTTGAGAAGGAAAAGTCCTTTCAATATCTTGTTGAGCTCGTCTCGGTTCATCACGCGGGAATAATTGTTCTTGAATCGCTCATCACTTGCCAGTTCGGGCTGACCGAGGATCGTGCAGAACTTTTTGAACTGCACGTCGTTGACCGCCCCACAGACGAGATAGATGTCCTTTGTCTTAAAGGCATCGTACGGAACAACGCTGGAGTGCTGGGAACCCCACCTCTGCGCTTCTTGACCGAGATTTAACCAGGCCATGGCACTCTGGGTTAGTAGAGCAATCTGCGTTTCGAACAGCGAGCCGTCGAGCTTTTGCCCTCGACCAGTATGGTGACGGGCTTGCAAGGCTGCCAGTATGGCGCCGTGCATGTAAAGACCGGTAGTGAGATCGGTGATGGCTATGCCAGCCTTCACTGGAGCGCGGTCACGCTCACCCTGAAGGTGAAGAAGTCCCGCTTCTGGGAGGGCTTAGACTCGTTCCTGTGTCAAGACCATATGGAATGCATGTGCTCACTATGATAAGGCGTCAGCGTGAGGACTCAGATGAGATTCGCACAATCACCACCCACCCTGCACCTGTGATCATGTCGTACCCAGCGCGCTGCGCATACGGGCCGTCAGGGCCATAACCTGTCGAATCACGCATCAAAAGCTTGCGCGCAGAATCTAGTCAAGATACACCTACCGGAAACGCTTGCGAAGATCAGTCTCGGGTTGATCTCGCTCAACACATCGAACCCAAGCCCAAGCTTCTCCATCGATCCTCGTTTGAAGTTTTCAATACTACAGAGCATCAGTGGGAGAGGTACGGCTGCAGCGACTGAATATCATGCTCACAGGATATCTGCATCCTTGACCATGTCCAGGAAGATCTCCTTTCCGCGAGCATGCTTCAAGTTCAAGCGAACGGATCGTTTGTTCCGATTGCAAACGGCGAAGTAGACGGACATGGGCCCAATATTGGGCTTCCACGCCGCCTCTTCGTTGGCAAGTCGGATGTATCGAGTATCATCCCCTCGTTCCGGATCTTCAATTTTAATCACGTCGGCCCCATAGTCGGCCAGAATCTGGGCACAGTACGGGCCCTAACCAAAGAGTCATTAACAGCCATTATTCCATTGGGCCTCGACTGATGCCTCACCGCGAGAACTCGTGACAGGTCCAATACACGGATCCCGGATAAGGCAGCCGCGGCCGAGGGTGATGAATAGGATTTCTGGGATGCTTTAGGTCTCGACAATCGCCATCTTGTGCCATTCCGTCTGGATAAAATACACGGCAGTCCTTGCGGCCTAGCAAGGAGCGACCGACTCGCCGCAGACTGAATTGACTGCATTGTTCGTGGCTGTTAATCGCCGCGGATCGTCGCTGCTTTTAAGTACCTCGACACAGCCTCGGTCATCGGTTCGGGTTTCATATCGTGGTCGAAGACACCCCGCACTCCGTCAAAAAGCCCAGCCGACTCTCTCAAGACCTGCGAAAAGATGTCGACATGAAGTGAGGGGTTGGCACAGGCGTCTTTATACCGTCATCAGCACCTGCATCTCCCACGCAGACTTTGGTAGTGGACGCCGACTTTGCCGGTCCAACGCGTCACGCTGCATGGCATTGACAGCAACGAGAGCCGCTAACGCCCACCTGGGGCGGGCGTACGTCTTAAACGCTGCTCTAGCTCACAGAGCATCCTTCGTGCGCCACCGCTCCACCCAAGCAAAGCCCGACGTCTGTATCCTGGAAGTCGGCCCACGCGATGGCCTTCAGAATATCAAACAGCACGTGGACACATCCATCAAAATCGACTTGATCAAACGATTGGCCGCGGCCGGGTGTCAGGCGATCGAGGCCGCTTCCTTTGTTTCGCCGAAATGGATTCCCCAGCTCGCGGACAGCCCGGAGGTGATGAAGGCGATTCTCCCGTTGATGGAAGAGAAGGGGATTCGTGTGCCGGTTTTGACGCCAAATATGAAAGGCTTTGAGCGATCGGTGCAGAGCGGCGCGAGGGAAGCTGTGGTGTTTGCATCTGCTTCGGAGGGCTTTAGCTGGAAGAACACGAATTGCTCGGTCGAAGAGGCCCTGAATCGAGCTGAAGCGGTAGTCAAGGCGGCCATTAGCCAGGGCGTTCGAGCACGAGGGTAAGGCAGCGTTTTGCTTCCGTGAAGGACCGTCACACTGACCTCTCAATGTAGTGTCATTTCTTGTATCTTCGCTTGCCCTTATGATGGACCGACAGATGTGAGTAACGCAACGTCCTACCTGGCTTTAATACGTTCGCTGACTTGCGCATACAGCCTGCCAAGGTCCTCCAGGTTGCAAAACGCTTCTTGGAAATGGGGTGCTTCGAAGTTGGCCTTGGAGATACGATTGGTGTTGGCACGCCTGCAGCGACGGAGAAGCTCCTGCGTGTGTTGCTGTCTGAGATCCCCGCGGAAAAACTCGCGGGTCACTATCACGATACCTACGGACAAGCCGTTGCCAACATCTCCAAGTCGTATGAGATGGGGCTAAGAGCTTTCGACAGTAGTGTCGCTGGGCTCGGCGGATGTCCATACGCCAAAGGCGCCACTGGTAATGTTGCCACTGAGGACGTGGTATACATGTTCCACGACGCGGGCGTCTCTACCGGAATCGACCTCGAGCAACTTTCCGGGATTGGCGACTGGATCTCGCGGACGGTGAACATGAAGAATGGCAGCAGAGCCGGTGCGGCCATCTTTGCCAAGGGGCAGTCAAAGGCAGTCGCAACACCTGCTACTTCGACCTCCGCGGCAACCACGACCAAGCCCGAACTGAAATGGGAGCAGATATCGGACGACGGGGAACACCGAGTGTCACGATCCGGTCCGGTGGTTAAGATTACGCTGACACGCCCGCGCAATGGGAATGCCATGACGGATACGATGGTGGAAGGCATCACCAAGCTCTTCCACGATCTTGCCAAAGACCAAACGGTCTTTCAGATTGTCCTGGATGCTGAAGGAAAGTACTTTTGCACGGGCATGGATCTCAGCGCATCTGGCAGCACTTCCAACAACGACCGGGCCGTCAAGGAAGCGTATTACCGCAAGATTGAAAACTTGTTCCTCGCAGTCATGAATGCACCTCAGACCACCATTGCCAAAGTACAAGGGCCTTGTTTTGGAGGGGGAGTCGGCTTGACGTTTGCCTGCGACATCCGGCTGGTCTCGCCCAACGCTCGTTTCACCATGTCCGAGATCAAGCTGGGTATGAGTCCGGCAACGATCTCGCGGCATATGATTCGGGAATGGGGCATTTCGCTGGCTCGTGAGGCAATGCTCACGGGAAGAGAGGTTTCGCCGGCAGAGTTGGACAAGCTTGGCATCGTGCAAGGCATCGCTGCTTCACATGAGGCACTAGACGACCTCGTCACGGATTACCTATTCCGCCTGCGCAACTGTGCACCGCGGTCCGCTGCGGCAATCAAGGAGCTTGTGCGGATTGGGTGGACGGATCCGGGCGGCGAGGAGCAGACCAAGTACGTCAAGCACGTCTTTGCGAGCATGATCGAACCGGGGTCAGAGGGCGAGCATGGGATGTCACAGTTCCGCAAGAAGATTAAGGATGTCGACTGGGCGGGCTTTTGGGGCGCTCGACCGCTCGTTTCCAATTCCTCGTCTGCGTAGCTGCGCCGGCGATCGCGGATTGGCCAGGGACTTGTGTCGAACAGTCTAGTGAGTCAAGCGTCGTCGGGGCTGATTTCGCGACGTGGCACCAATTGTAGCTTGTAATCTAGTCAGATAATCAATCCAATGCATTCGACTGCGTTGGGTCGTTCACCTGTTCGTTTCGGTGTCTTCACAAATGGTATCGACATTGCGGTGACTAAGCAAGGCTCGTGCCTCGCCCTCCGCCCCTCTTTGCGGAAGTCAAAGCCCGAGGTTGGAGGGGCGAGAGTGGCCAATGGGTTACCGTGGTTGTGTCCATGCATGACCGAACGCATGGCCGACATCTCTTTCATACAATCATTGTCATCCATCTCCCCAGTATCCGCAATATGAGTAAAACAGAGCCTCCCCGGACGGGCATGCTCCATTCGCCCGTGGTCAAGAACCTGTTGCCTTTTGTCAGTGTGACTTTGTACCGTGCTGTTCGCGAACCCCTGGGGCTAATGCTCGCATTCAGATCATCGGAGGCGGCTCAGGCTGTATCGCAACGACTTGCATTCAACCCGTCGATGTCGTCAAGGTCCGAATCCAGCTGGCGGGCGAAGGGACGAAGGGCGGGCCATCCACATCTCCAATTGCCGTGGCACGCGCAATCGTGGCAGATGGGAAGTTTTCCGACCTCTGGGCCGGTTGGTCTGCTGGCATGTTCCGACAACTCACGTATGCCACCATGCGACTTGGCTTCTTCGACCGCTTCCTCACCTTCTTCGAAACGCGAGCGCGCGACCAGGGCAAGGCAGTAGGGTTCCGGGAACGAGCTCTGGCGTCACTGTCGGCCGGCGGACTGGCTGCTGGCCTGGCGAATCCGGCCGAGGTGGCTCTGGTGCGTATGCAATCCGATGGCATGAAGCCAAAAGCAGAGCGAGCAAACTACCGCTCCGTCTTCGACGCTTTGATCCGAGTCGCACGGGGGGAAGGACTGCGAGGGCTGTATAGCGGCTCATATCCCACCATTATCCGCGCCATGTCGACCAACTTTGGCCAACTCGCCTTCTTCTCCGAGTCCAAGAGTCAGCTGAAGAAACGCACGAATCTCTCGTTCCAAAATCAGACAATCTTAGCATCCGGCATCGCAGGCTTCTTCGCCGCCGTCTTCAGCTTGCCTTTTGATTTTATCAAAACCCGGTTACAGCGCGGGTCGAAGGTGGCAGGAGGCCCGCCCGAGTATAAGGGCATGCTGGATTGTGCCACAAAGGTTCTCAAGAACGAGGGACCGCTGCGCTTCTACCGTGGCTTCGGCACTTATTTTGTTCGAATTGCGCCGCATTCGTATGGCTACCCTTCGAAGGCATTTCATGGTTCCCGCTGACCAATTCGCACAGAATCATCACTTTGATTGTTGCCGACAACCTTCACGCTATGGTGAAGAAGGCGCAGGAGCAGTAGATGTCTGGACCAGGGGAAATGGATTTCACCATGAAAGATTCGTGCTGCCGGGCGACTGAACGTCCAGGTGGTTTGCACTCTGCTATCAGCGTACCACCATCACTCCCTTAGCTGTCCCATGCCGACGATCCGACCGGTTGGAACGGGTTATCAGTGACACCTCAGTGTGGACGACAAGGATCTCGCACAACACCTGAGGCCATGACACGACAGCGACGCATGTGTACGAGAGGGGATCACCGCATGGACAGCATGTAGTAGTACTCTATATAATTCTATCATCTATCATAATTTAGATAATCGTCTCTCCCAATGCCCAACGTCACCAGTGAAGCGGTCCTTGAGCCAAGTCTGATAGATATGTTCGGATTCCTCCGCCGTACTTGCTCGATTCATCTTATCATAGATACCAAGCTGCTCCATGAATCTGTCGTGATATTAGCGTCGTTGCGTCGAGGACGGGATTGAACTCTTTCGTAGACTCACCCAACGTTTGGAGAACAAACGGGACGGCCTTCGCATATTTGGCTCAGTGCCTGGTCTGGCGAAACAGCATACTTCTTCATCAAATATGCACAACACACAGCAGCAGACCTTGACTTCCCCATGGCACAGTGGACAAAGACTCCGCCGCCGCCGCTCAGCGCATCGTCGATGTACTGGGACGTCTCATTGAAGTACTCGAGGAGGTTTTCGTTGGGGTGATCGTCGAGCCGGATGTGCAGGCGCTCGTACTGCTTGAAGGCTCCCGCTTCGTAGATGTTGAAGTCGATGACGGAGACAATGTGCGTGATGCCGGCTTCCTTGAAAAGATCCGGCCTTTGGTAGAGAGCGTGCAAGCCGCCTATGTACAACTTGCCCGCGCGAGGAACCTGATCGAGCCAGCCCATGGTGATCGATAGCGACGGGGGAGGGGACTTGGTGGCGCGAATGTTCTCATCACCCACAAGCTAGTCCGCGACGGTCAAGTAAGGTGCATCCTGATGGCAGCTCGGCATACTCCCATCGAAGCAGCGTGGATGACAAGGTTGTCGTTTGGAGACTGTAGCGTGGTCTGGTGTGGCGCGCTCCTTTCGGTTGGACCTCGGCTCAGGCGCGTCCAGACCACGCACCTCGAATCATCGGGAACATAGCCGGCCTCACGGACTCGAAGGTGGCTGCAAGGTTGGAGATCGATCCAATTGTGTAGAGATGTGGACTCCCGACACGTACGTCCCGTGACAGAGACCATCGTGGGCGCCGTGGGTTGCTTCCTTGAGGTGCTAGTCGAGGGCAACGGTGTACAGCATCACCGTCCCGAAGCCAGCTTCCCAGGTTGAAGTGGATCTGATCGGAAGTCTGGATCCATACGATCACGCCCACTTCCTCCGTCGACTCTCGCCATCCATCACGGTGACCAGGTTGATTGGGGAGTAGAAAAGCTCTCCCTTCTCCCACCCTTTCTCCCACCTCTGCCCGCCCACTCGTAGCACCGGCTATTTGCCTGCCCCGGGGCCCCACGGGGATATGGGGCAGACATATCGCCTTCTTGACCTCCGCGGTCTCGTCCAATCTTGCTAGTCTGCGCCATGCTACTAGTTGACCAGAGCTTCATGAGGGGTGCATTACCCGGGCCTCGTGAGGCGTTCGGTAGCTTGGTCGGCTGAAGCACCACACCCTCCTACCAAGGCCACACACACGCCTTTTGATTTGTTTTATACTCCCCCATTGTGGTTGCAATCACTCGGATCGTATAAGTAGCCAGCATTTGCAACAAGCACACCTCGCTCTTGTCAGTCTTCAAACAGTCCAAGCACCTTTCAGCCATGTCGCACCCCGCCAGAGCCATCGTCTGTTACGATACCCATGACAATGGCGGATGGAAACTGGAAGACGTCACTGTGCGAGGGCCGGGTGAGGGCGAGTTGCTGGTGGAAATGGCGGCCAGCGGCATCTGTCACACCGATGCTCTCATAGGTGGCACCCCCGGCGGTGCCACGCCGATTGCATTCTACCCTCGCATCCTCGGCCACGAAGGCTCCGGCTACGTCAAGGAGGTCGGCCCAGGCGTGACGGTTGCGGCCGTGGGCGACCCCGTCCTGCTCTCCTTCGCCTTCTGCAACAAGTGCGAGATTTGCAAGGCCGGCCGTGTGTCTCACTGTAACAAATTCACCGAAGACAACTTCGGCGGCCCTTACAACGTCTTCAAAGTCGGCGACAAGGACATCAGCGGGCAGTTCTTCGGCCAGTCCTCCTTCGCCAGTCTCTCGGTCGTGAAGGAATGCTCCGTCGTCAATGCCAAGGGCCTCGTCGCCGACAAGAAGGAGCTTCAACTGTTCGCGCCATTGGGCTGTGGCATCCAGACTGGCAGTGGAACCGTCATCAACGCCGCCGAGGCTGGCCCCGAGGATGTGGTTTTGGTAATGGGCCTGGGCGGCGTCGGGCTGAGTGCCATCATGGGCGCCAAGATTGCCGGATGCCGCAAGATTGTCGGCCTCGACAGGATCAAGAGCCGCTTGGAGTTCGCAAAGCAGCTCGGCGCCACGGATGTGATCAATGGCGCGGAGCTGCCCGAAGGCAAGGACCTCGCCGAGGCGCTCAAGGAGGTTTGCGACGGCGAAGGACCTTCCATCTGTATCGACACCAGCGGCGCACCCCCCTTGATCAAGGCCGGCTTCGCCTCCGTTCGCAATCGAGGCAAATATGTCCAGGTCGGCTCGGCGCCATTCGACTTCAGCCTCGAACTCAACCTCGTCCAATTCATGCTAGAGGGCAAGCAAATCTTTGGCGCCATCGAGGGCCATGCGTACCCGCCAGAGTTCGTGCCGAAGATGATCAAGTGGTACAAGGAAGGCAAGTTCCCTGTGGACAAGCTGATGAAGTTCATCAAGGCGGAGGATTTTGAGCAAGGGCTGAAGGAGATGCACGACGGCACCACCATCAAGCCCATCATGTGTTGGTCGTGATTTAGGGACGCAAGGGATATCGAATGATGAATGTTTGATTGAGAAGCAGCTACGCTATGTAGAACAATTGAGAGTCTGGTCGTCTCACCTCCTCATACGCTGTAGCCATATCGGTCGTCTCACCTCCTCATACGCTGTAGCCATATCTAGAGTGCTGTGTACGGATCAATCTTGATGCCACCGTTCAGCCCCTGTAATATCTCGAGGAATTTTGATGCACAATCGCGACCATCTCGATCGAAAGTATCAACTGGAGATGGCGCCTAGCGGTCTCGAGCTTCATCCTCCTGAGCTTGTTTCACCAGAACCGGATGATCCTTCTTCATCCACTCAAAGTAGTCTTTCCACGTCTTGCCGCCGCCGCCCGCAATCTCGTTGGTCGAAATCGCCTTGTTGAAGGCCAGCGACACCTTGATGATGGCCTTGTTGACTTCGGCAAACTTTTCGAGCTCCTGCTTGACGGCATTCTCCTTTGGCTTGATTGACAGCACAGCACGGAACTGAGTGGCCAGGCGATCGAGGTGGCGGCCGGACTCTGCTGGGGCAATGATGAGGAGCTTCGAGAGGACGAGGCAGCAGAGCATCTTGATCTCATGCTCATCGGTGATACCATCGGAGATTCTGTCGTAGTACGCGACCATGTCGAGCCTCTGCCTCGATGCGGGAGAGTCGAGCAGGGCGTACATCGTCTCGTAGGCACTCTTCCGGATCTCCAGACCATCATCGACCTTGTGCTTGAACGGACCCATCGAGACCTCGCGAATGAGCTCCGGCCGGGGAACGGTTGCCTGCATTGCGTAGGACAGGAGGGAGGACAAGTGGGGCAGTACGAGATCCGGCTTGTTGTGCAACGCGCTGTTGAACGTCGAGAGACTGAGACGCTTATTCTCGAGATCTTCGTCGGCCATCATCGTCTCCAACATGGGAATGATGTAAGGGTTGAGGCTCGCGTTGTAGGACGAGTCGGTGTCGGAGAAGACGTAGCGAAGAGCCGAAATCACCATGCCCCTGATGGCCGGATTGGAGTTCTTCAGGAATGCCTGAAGCTGTGGAAGGTAGGCTTCGGCATCGATGGTCGCTAGGCGGCCGATACACTCCGCACCCACAACCTTGTTGTCCTCTGCCTGGCCGGATGAGATGATGTTGTTCCAAAGCGTGGCGGTGTAGGGCTTGATATCGTCTTCGGCACTGTTGTGTTGCAAAAGCTCTTTGACAGAGTGCAGAAGCAAATATTGCTTGCCTTGACCCATGGTTTCCAGGATCTTGGGCAAATAGCGCTTGACGTCGCCAGCACCCGCGCGGCCAAGCGCTACGGCAGCTGCTAGTTGCACCTTTTCCGAGCGGTCGTTGAAGTAAGGAGTGAAGCTCTCCGGAGTCAACGGGCAGTTGGTGCCCGTGCGGAGACCAGCCTCACCCAGTACGGACAGAGCAAGACATTTCTTCGCCTCTTCAGATTGGCTTTGCAGCTCTTTGATGAAAGCATCAAGGGTGACGCCCACATTTTGGCCACCAGATACGAGGAGCGTGCCGATGACCTGTCCGGTAACATCGGTATCGCCATGAACGCCCACGTTCAACAATGCCTGCATCAGCCCCGCGCCCGTCCCAGCATTGCCGATTGCTTCAACCAGATGGATCAGCGCGTCCAGCGCAACGCCAGAGATGCTACTGGTGACGATACTGCAGATACCCTCGATGACCTGCGGAGTGGCGACCAACTGCGGCCGCTCCTTGGCGAATGCTGCCAGCACCGTCAAGGCTGGGCTCATCATGTGGAGGTCGTCCGTTCTCAGGAGCGGAACAAGCATTTCAACGAGCTGAGCCACCACTGTATCGTCCATGCACTCCCTAGATGCCTGGTTGACGGTGAGCGCCCTCAGCGCGGACAAGCTAGCGCCGCGCAGACTCCGGCTCACTTTGCGCAACTGGGCGCCCAGCTCCAGCGCGACGTTGCCCACGAAATCGGGCTTGTAGTCTGCCTTGCGCTGTGAGTAGCATGCAATTGCCTCGACAGCACGGACGCATGGGAGGCGTGTGAGCTCGTTGCGAAGACGATCAGCAATAACCTGCTGGCCTTCGTAGCGATCATCCTTGCTGAGCAGTTTCTCGCCCGTAGGCCCGGCCGTGCGACCGATGAGCTGTCCCAATGTCCGCACAGCTTTCTGCCGGACCTCCGTGTCGGTGTCGTTGGCCGAGATCCTCTCCGTAACCACACCATAGATCTTGGCGACATGCTCGGCATTCTCCTTCTTGCTCGCTGCAGATCGAGGCGGGGTCAATGCTTTTACGAAGCATTCTATGGTCGCAAACGCCTGTCCCGACACTTTCGCATAGCGGTCCTTGGCCGACGATACGAGTGCTGGCACAATCTTCGCGAGGTGAGGTTGTAGTACGGTGCTGGCGTGGGTCTCGGCAATGACTCCCAGCAATGCGAGCGCTTCAATGCGGAGGTTGTTGTTGGCGAGATTCGATACGCTGGTGTTTGTACTGGTCAAAGTATCGACGACCGGTTCGATCACGAAATCAGCACGGCCGGAGAGTCCGCCACGCTGTGCAGACACCATGTCCTTGAGCAGGAAGAGGACGACTTGCTTGGTGGCAACGGTACTGGATTTCAGAAGCTTGGCCGCTCCTTTGACAACTTCGGGGTTGATCTTTGCCAATCCCTGAGTCGCCGAATCCACGGGTGGTGGAGTGGCGGGAGAGGCATAGCCATTCATTGCCTGTTGACCGCCGGCATCGATGTCCAGAGACTCACTAAGCCCTCGTCTTCTCTTCCGGCTCGGGGGCAATGGCTCATGATGCTCTTCTGTGCCGGTGTTTGTAGTCGTAGAGCCCACCTTGGTAACAAGGAACGCAAGTGTGGCAATGACCTCGGTGCGCACGCTTTCTTCTTTCTCCTTGAATCGTGACAGGAGGGCCGGTGCGATCAAATCGAACAGCGCGGGATCGTTTGGATCAAGCGTTTGGATGAGTGCGTGTATCACCCTCGCCGAACATCGCCGCACTTTCCAGCTCACATCGTCCTCGTCCTCGAACCCGGTCTCCTCTTCAAAGTCTTCGTCAAAGTCGAATTCGTCGTCTTCTTGCTCCTCCGCCATATCTTCGTCCTCATCCTCCGCGATGTTGGGCTCGTATTTCAGGAAGCGCGTAGCGCATGATAGAACGTCATGTGCATGCATCTTCATGTCGGGCGCGCACGAATCCAGGAAGCTTTCGACTGCGATCAAAGCTGCTTCTCTGACTTCTTCTAACTGTACGTCGCGCTCACCGTCTGCTTCGATTTCGGCCTCCTGTTGCTGTGCAAGTTCGCTCTCACTGAGCGGAGCGAGAACGAAGGGCGCCAGGGTCTTGAGGTATGGGCCAAACTTTTGAGGTATGCTCTTGGCCAGAGATCCGTAGACTGTGATGTACAGCTTTCTCTGTTGTGCTGTGAGGTGAGGCGATCTCAACTTCTCGATGGTCATGGTGACATGATGGGCGAGCAGTTCGTCGTTGAAGTACGGCGAAAGTGCGGACAATGCTGCCACAGCCTTCTTCTTCATCACGCTTCCACACTTGTCGCTCTCCAGCACCTCCATCGTGATTTGTTCGAGTGCCTGGACCTCCACATCCTGTAACATCGGGCCGAAGCAGCGAGCAACTTCTGTGAGGAGGTCCAAGCTGCTACTGTCGTTTCCGGTCTCGAGATCTTCCTGCAACATGCCTTTTGGCGGAGCAGGCATTTGTTTGCCCGAACTGAGGGGTACGATGATTTTCCCGACCAAGCGGGGAATGAGAGCTTTGCTAACCGCCGAGTATGCTTCGTTGACTTTTTGGCTCCGCTGCACTCCCGGGACAGGCTGTGGCAGAGCCACCACGATTGCTCTCACGCCCAACGCCGGTATGCTGTTGTCCAGATTGCCTTCGACTCTGATATTGCTGACCTTTTCGATCGTGGGACAGAGGATGCTTTCGGGGGCCTTGTTGACAAAAGGGCCCAAGCATTTGATGGCCATGTTCTGCACATCGCCGTGAGTGTCGGCGAGGGTGTGGAGCAGGCCGTCGACGACCTTGGCGCAGGTGGTGTAGTCGTGAGACATGAAGGTGGGGGAACCAATGGCGAGCATGGCGTGCAAGTCGTTGAGCGTCATGTATCGAATATCGCTGTCGGCGTCCTGCAGCTTCGGCAACAGCGAGGCCACATTATGGCTGGAGGGGTTGGCGGGGACTGCGGACTGCGACATGTTGGGCAGTGGTGGGATGGGTGGAGATGGTAGTGTAGGGCGGCGTTGGAGGCCGTTTGCGGCGGGAGGGAGGGGTTGTCGCCAGCACAATGAGTTGTTTGTGTGGTGGCGAGAGGGGAGTAGTGTGATGAGATTTGAGCAAGGCAGAAGAAGCCTGGGGCGGAGAGGTTCAATTGGACGGTCGCCTTAGCAAGGCAAGCACGGGTGGAATTGACTGATGAAGGCAGGCGCGAGCGTGAAGTGCAGGTGGGCGTTCACGAAACTTATGTAAGCGGTGGCGCCGCAGGCTGCCATGAATGAAAGTCAAGAAAATGGAAGATTCATGAGCTCTCTAGCATAACATCGATTTCTATCGCCTTTTCTTCATTCATTCAAGAACTTCACCGCTGCCGTCACTCGTTCCAACGTCTCATCCAATACATTCAGCTCGGCCAGTGTGTCGTCACCCTTCTCGTCTGCGATTCCACCTCCATTGCCCAAGCCTTTTCGGAACATCCCACTCGCATCCCGCAATGGCTGCAAGAAGCTTCCCGCAACGTCATGGTTCGTCCAGAGATCGTGAATGGACAGCGTGTCATGTAGATGTTGCGCGCACAGCAGGAGGTAGAGTAAGTTGAGTGACGCCAAATAGAAGGGAAGGTTGGTCCGGAAGGTCAGCCAGGCTTCGCGAATGGGAGCATTGAGGAGCTGCACTGTAAGTGACGGGAAGAGGAAAGCGGCAAGGCTATCGAGGGGGAACGGTGTGGCAAACATAGTGTGCTCCGCGGCCGTATCCTGGGAATGAGGAGCGACTGGCGTCGGGTTTGCCTCAATGGTCTCCCCTTTGATCCAACCAACTGCGCTGACTCGCAGGTTCTCGAATGGGCAATGTTCTAGCGTATCCCGGATGAATGACAATCGTACCTGTTCGTCAGGCTGCGAACGAAGGATGGTCGAAGTCAGGTAGTGCGCATGGCCCCTTAGGCTGCTGGAAGGACACGTCGATGATAATAGCGCGGTCACTTGCAGATATTCATTGAATTGTTCGTCCGACCCCGGCTCACCGATAGCGTCGCGTTCCAGCGTGACGAGGCCCAGGGCAATCACGGCATCGATCAGAGCTTCTGGCTCCGATCCCAGCGTTCCGGCACCCTGTTGCGTAGCGGAGAGGCAGTTTTTCAGGAGTTCCTGATGGTCGGGGAAAATGGCAAACGGAGGGCCTTTGGATGAGCCTGGCGAGTCATACAGGATGTTCGAGACTTGTCGCGCAGTGAACAACAACAACGATCCCAATCTACTAAGCGGGATGTCTTCTGCTGAGACGGGAGGTTCATCTTCATCGTGTCCGGTGTGGGCAGGGATTTGCTCGACGGTGACTGCGGCATGCAACAGCTCTTCGTTGGTCAGGTTCAGGTCTCTTGCGATGGTAGCCAGCTGGCCAAGAGCATCAATGCGGCGATGCAGGGGCTCTTCGTCGGCGAAGCGCGTTGCATACGTCTTGGTTTCGGGAATGATTCGGTCGGGGTGTAGTTTTTCCATAATGCGACTGCACCATGCCATGCCGGGCACGTCTGGATGATCAGAAGGCAAGTTGAGCATGTACTCCTCCACGACATGGGTGATGAAGCTTTGCAGTAGCCTCGACTGCATCGTCTTTTCCTCTGGGGAGACATCTGCACTTGATGCGGCTTCGGGGTCACCGGCGTAGGCGTCGGCCGGGGCCTTCGATCCCGCCGAGCTCAGCATGCCGCTGCTGCGTCTGGTTGGAAGGGACGGCCGTTTGGTTCCTGCGACTGACCGGATAAACTTGACGATCGCAAGAATCATCTCCTCTCGATGGACCACAGAGTTGGAAAGACTGGCTAGGATGGCCTGGAGGGTGGTGCTGAGGAAGCGACTTGGAAACTTGGTCTTGACACGAGTGTGTAAGATGGTGAGCATGGAGACGAGAGTAACGAATTGGTTGGTGGCCGTTGGTACGGGGGCCGCGAGAAGCCCGCTAGCCGTGGTTGGGGCTGCGTTGGATGTCGATGCTGTAGTGGCACCGTCATCTTCCTCCTCGGTGCCAGTAGCCTCATATTCGATAAAACGGAGGCTCTCGGTCACTTTGAGGATGACTTCCCGAGGATTGCCAAGACGAGCAATGTCCAGAAGACACTGCTGGGAGTCGGGGAGGAAGGGGACGAGCAGATGGACGAGATCCCAGCCGATGTTCGTCGTCAGCGACTCATCCTGCAGCACTTGATGGAGGACGGGTAGATTTTCGGGGGTCAGATTGTATTCGATGATTGTCAGGTAGGTCAGGTAGTCGGACTTTGGGGGAAGAGCATCGAGAAGGGGATTGTCCTGCTGTGCGGCCATTGTCGCTGGAGGCAATGGTTCACCCAGAGATGCAAGATCTAAGCGTGGAAGCGGGGGTGTAAGGGATTCGTCAACTCGGCCGTGTCGATTGTTCAGTATTCTGGAGCGTTGGAGGCCCGATCGAGCGAGTGGAATCGGGGATGCGAATGTGGTGTGATGCGATTGACGTTGCATCCGATGTCACGGCGGTGCGGTGCGCCCGTGCTCAGTCCAACGCGTGAATGACGTAATATTCACCCCCTCCAGGCTTCACGTCTACCTCGAGGCAAGATCCTCGAAGAACATCAGGCTGTTCCTTTCTTGTGCAACACCCACCCGGAATGCGCTGGACCAAATGACCTCCGCGGCGGAACACGTTGCTGCCTCGCCAGTGGCGGGCTCCCCAGCGTCTCAAGCATTCTACCACGCACTTCGAAATGGCTGCAATCGCATCGGCGAACAGAAATCCCATCTCTCACTCGCCCGCGATACCCTCCAACACTTGCAGCTGCATCCACTCCACCATGCCTCCACCAACCAGAAGACGCAATATACGCGTGCGGTGAACGAGACGGTCCAAGCTTGGCAATGTGCCGTGGAGTGCTATCTCGACGTGTTCACGTCTCTGGCGCACGCTACCGCCGCAGACTCGACGAATGAACGACAAGAAGCACCGGCACATTCGCAATTCATGCACATGGCAAAGTCCGCCTCGGAAGCTCTGGAGGTGGTCAAGAAGTTTGCAAGCAGCAACGAATTCAAGGGAAATGCCGAGAGCGCATCGTTGGCAGACGAGGTCGAGGATGAAGTTGGGGACGAGGCCGCACAAGAGGCTGATGGGAGTGGTGCAGATGACGAGAATGCTGCGAAACCAGAGCAGAACACGGAATCCCGTCTACAGATGTCTCGTGATGCCAGGAGGAGGAAGCGCAGGCGTGAGAAGTATCGAGAGCTACATCGTGAGAGCCTGGCCCAGAGCGCGGGCGAGGGTGCAAGGCCAGGGGATGCCACGAAAGGCACCGTGGAGAAGGAACCGACACAATCCTATACGACAGCAGCGGACTTCGTACCAACGACAACGGTGGAGTACGAAGACATCTCCGACGAAGTAGAGGCAAGGCTGAAGCTGAAGGAGGAGAAGAAGGCACGGAAGAGGACCGAGAGAAAGCGCAAGAGAGAGAGCGGGGATTCTGTGGAGTACGCGATGGCTGCGTCCGTGGATGAGAAGCCGGAAAAGAAGAAGATCAAGGCAGTGAATGGCGACATGGATCCGGTTGACGTTCGCGAGTATCCGTCTCGGAAGAGGCTTGAGCGTGATACAGATGATATGGTCGACGACTCTGGACGGAAAAAGCGGCAGAAGAGTCGGGATTGATTACGATAGGTGTCGAGTAGAAATGGAATACCTCTCATATCGTTCAGGCAGAGCCCATTAGATAAGTCCAAATACCCGACTTGTGCAACTCTCATACGTCTTCCTGCTCCGCAGCTGCATAACCGCTAATCTGCGACACATATGGAGGCCTTGCAACGCTCGTTAGCGATGGCAATAACCCAACGGCCGTCTGTTCAAGCGGTCTCAGCCTTACCGGGCCCAGTTCTTCAAGCCCACAATGACAGCGCTGCCAAGCGCATACATTCCCAGCAGACGACTCCAACTCCGATCACTGGTGTAAGCTGCCTGTCCCACGCTCAACCCAATCAGATCGTAGACCAGACATCCTCCGAAGATCCAATCACTGCCGGCGCTCAATCCCGCGAATCCAAGGCCTGTGGCGACCTTGACGAGGGTGCTCGGCGACTCGCCCTTGAAGAAGGCAATCGAAGTGTTGTGCAGCAAGTCCAAGACTCCAATGCCAGCAAACGTTTTCGACACGACGTGGGTCAAGATGCTGCTCCAGTCCCTGGTGTTCATCGGCTCGAGCTGGGTGAAGACGTAGAAGAGCTGTGCGGCTGTGTTGATGGTGACGAAAATATCGGCGGCCTTGAGCTGACCCGAGTTCCAGAAGAACATCCAAGTGCCTATGCAGACGTTGCCGAGTGCGTAGTATGGCACGAACTTGACAATCTGGTCCAGCTGCTTGCGTTCTTGCGGCTTGGACGAGTCGAGACGCCACAACTTGTACAGCCAGGCCAACTGGAAGAGTTGCTGCGGGAAGAAAAAGGCGCCGATGAAGTATGGATTAGGAGAGAAGAAGGATAGATTTGCGTCGTGGATATCCTTCATGTTGGGCGATGAAAATATGCCGTACTGCTGGGCTGCGAAGTCATAGAGGAATGAGGCTGGCGCGAGCCATCGGGCGGTGCTTAACTCGATGCCCATGTTTGATGGATTGAATTGTGTAGTGAGGGGGCAAAGTGTCTAGGTTGGATGGAGGTAGTTGAGGGAAATCAGTCTTGTAGCGAGGTGTTGGTTAAAAGGCTCGAGGTCCTTTGCACGTAACTTCCAGGCTGAATCGATCTCGTCATAATGAGCGTAACATTCAAACGCGGGCTCTCCGGCGGCGGGGTGAGACCTCATCACTCCGTTTCCGCTCCCCAAATACTCCGCTACCCATCAGATCCAATAACCATTACTGCGCACATTTGACAGAGCTTACACGCTTCACCGTCTGAGGCATCTATGGTTGAAACGATTCGCTTCTCAATGTTGGCATGGCCTTCAAGCCTCGAGGTGCAGACCGTCTCCGATTGCACGCCAGGCGAACATCGTTGATCTAGTTTTATAATGAGCTAGGGAATGATCATAAGACAGTCATGCAGCGTTCCCGATGCAAAGCCTGCAGCTTGCCAATCCACCGTCCAGATGGATTCGATGGTGATACTCCGTTGGTAAATCGCTTCTTGGGGTGGCTCTTGCTCAGTGCGCGGAGGATCTGGCGGCGAGAAAGTCACTCGCACGGTGTAAAGTGGCCGGAGTCGCGCAATAACGCGGCGCAGAATTGTCGCCGTCGAAGGTCGTTGCAGGCGCTGCTGGCCGGCTGTAAAAGCGGCTTGCTCTGCCGAAAAGAGCTTTGTGTATCATTGAAGTAGACGTTGAGCCATGGCATTCACGAATTCCAGGAGCCCAGCTTCTTCCCGATCAAGAAGACCAGCGCAGCAATGATGCCATAGATTGCTTTGTCGATCCAAGCGGGTACGACTTCGTTTGGACGCCGTTGTTGTGGGTGTGGTTGCTGTTGCTGCGGCGCAGGGGCTTGCACAGATGGGATCGTTGCTAAGGGGGCAGGGGCTGTTGAGGCGGTCTGGGTCGTGTTGGATATCCCAGTCGGCGGAGCCTGCGGCGATGCTACATCTGCAGCAACGCCAGCCCCCTTTGCAGCCCCTTCGCCCGGTTTTGTACTCAAATCTTCCCGATAAGCAAGTCTCAGCTCCTCGGGCACCGTTTCTTCTGCCTTTGTAACTCCGATAGCCTTGACCGCTTCCTCTTGCTCAGCCATCAAGGCTTCATTCGTCTTGCCGCAAGCTCCACATTTCCATCCCTTGCTCTGACCGGCCCACCTCTTCCTGGCCTCCTCGCTCGCGTCCATGCCGCCTAGTTGACCCTTGGCATCCGTGTCCATGAAGCTGCGGATGGCGACCAAGGCGGTACGTATTCCCCACGCCGGCTGCCATGTCTCTTCGTGATGGCCTTTGTAGCAGATTCACACGATCAGCGCACGTCATGCATCGGATGGACATCATGCACATACCACTGATGCTGAGACAAATCTCTCGATTCACCTCAAATCGACCGGTTGGGGTAAGGAAGCGAAAGCTCGGAGGCTTCAACGGATAGGCTGGCGGGAGGACTATGCGACCGTGATAGACACCCCCATCGAAGGGCGAGGGCGACGGAGGGCCGCGGATGGTGAAATGCCACTCAAAGATGTCCGTCTCCAAGGGCGCGGCATGGTAATCGGAGGAGGGCTGGTTGGCGAGCTCCGCCGCTTCTTTGTGGATGCGCTTGATGGTGGGGTTTTTGGAGGAAAATTGACCCACTGTGGCCATCTTTGGATGTCGGGTGGAAGGAATACGATGGTAGCGATCACGGCATATTGTTGGCAGGAAGAAAGATGCGGACAGGAGTGGGCAAGGCTGAAAGGCAAGTTGTCGATTGCGCTCCGCGTGTGGGGAGCTTCATGTTGGGGAATGAATGCTGACCTAATCAAGCGCGGGTTCGAGACTGATAAAATCATCGCTATTCCCACTGTACTGTTGAAGCATAAGCGTCGCGTCTCGTGGTTATGTACAATGTCCTGCTGTACAGTCGACAGCCCAGCAAAACGGAATGGCACAAACACCGCCTCCTCTACGCCAAGTTCCACGTCTTTGCATGCAATATCCGAACAAACGCCACCGCTGTGCAGAATACCAAAGATCAACCGGGAGAATCAAGCATTCGCTTCCTGAATCTTCATCTTCTCCAACCCCGAGACCAGATTCGCCTGGCTGTCGTGCGGCGTTCGATCGGGCGTCGGATCGGGGGTGGGCTTGTAAGCATCCAGCTCCTGCTGCAAGCTCCGGTGGTTTCCGCCACGGAGATACTCTTCATACTCCCCAATCAGCTTGCCGGCCTTCTCCCATCGTTGTGTTGCCGCCGCCCTCCGACGCTCCACGTCTTTCTGCAGCGCGGGCCAGTACACGCTGTGATCGTACTCAAAATTCAGGTCCCCCTCGTGATGATTCCACAAGTTCTCTGCCGGGATATAATCGCGCAGATCCTCGTTGAATCTCATCTTCTCCCGGGTCACCGGATCGATGAACGGGCTGATCAGCTTGAAGAAGGTACTAACATACCAGGGTAGTTGAGAGATCAGAGCTCGGCCTAGACGTTCAGGGTTGTGATTTTGCAGGATGTTGAGCACTGCGCGCGCCTGGCCGACGGTCGGCGTTTTCCCGCTCGAAGCACCCTTGAAGTTGATGAGGAGTGTCGCATTCTCCTGCCCGGGAGGCATCATATCCACCGTTCGGTCGAGCATGAAGCAGAGGTGGTGAATCTGTCGATCGGACATGTCCGTGTTTTGCTTGGCTGGGTTGAGATATAAGCACGGCCGGGCGTCGTTGTCGTACCCCATAATCACCTGCTTCCCCGTCTCATTTTCGGGGGAGATGTAGTCGAAGGTGAACGTGTCCGCGCCATACTCTCTCCGCCACGTCAGTGTGCTTTGCAGACGAACGAGAGCTTGGTTGACGTTCCACTTGGTCGCGCGCAGATATCGTAACAGGCACTCGCGGGTGAGCCACATGCGTTCGCCATCTGTGAGGGGTTCTTGTGTCGCCTTCTTGGCCGTCGACATAGGCAGCGTCTTCCACGTCGAAACTTTGGCAAGGACGGTGGCATACTTCGATGCTTGGTCGGGAGTGAGCGGTGTTTGCGGCGGCACTTTCGACTTGGGCAGCGGCTTCGGTATGGGGACCTTTAACGGGCCGTCGGTTGGGATCTTGAAGTCCTCCTCTTCCGGCTCGGATGCATTGGTGCTGCTGGCGGGGGTATCATTGGTAGACGCGCCCTTTGACACGCCATTGACGTCGGTGGAATTGAAGGACGATACGGCGGAGTGAAAGGACTCTGTGCGGGACGCAGGCAACGAAGGCCGCACCAGAGTGTCATCCGCGGTCTTTTCGGTCGGCGTGCCATTGACGCTGATGACCGGATTGGGGGTCACGCTCGCTTCCGCCATTGCCTCTCTATGATGCTGTCACCCACGTGTGCGTGGCGCGGAGGTCAGGGAGGAGGGAGGGAGGGTGCGGGGAGAGTAGGGGTTAGAGCAGCCGGGAAAAAGTCTTTGGGCGGTGGGTGGGTGGGATGGATGGGATGTTAGGCTGGGCCAGGGTTACTTCAGGTAAAGTTCTAGCCCAGGCAGGCAAGCAGGGTCCAGCAGCCAAGAACTGCTGATGCATGAAACGAGGGCGGTGTCGCCCACGCCAAGACCGTTGCGGCGTAGTCTTTTGTCCGTATGTGGTCTTTTGTCGGGCGATCACCGAGAGTCTGAGGGTATTGATAGAGCTGACGAAGTCTCACTCGGTAACGGTGAAGGGACACCTTGTCGATTCCAGCAAAACTCTTCTCATCGAAACGCCAATGGCTGTGTACGTGGTGCAACCTCACCCGATTCCCGCAGAGCCCCGGCGTGAATAATAAGGTTTGACTTTCACACGTTGGCGGGACGAACCGCGGGCGCAATCGATTTGCGGGGCAGCGCGTTCCTCGTCGCGTCTCTTCGCGACTTACAAGTTCTGTCGAGAAGCATTCGCAACACCTTTTGCTCCCATCAGCCGTCCCCAGAACTCACGACAATGGCAGATACGATCAACGAGCTGTTTGCATCGCCTGGTGCCACTCTCCCGCAAGATGTCACGAACGAGCTGCTTACCACCATGCGCCTGCATTCTCTGTCCGCCCAGGAACTGTTCTACAAATGGGAGAGTTACGTGATCAAGATGGGAGTGGACAACACCAACATGGACTACAAGACCGTCAAAGATTTTCGAAAGGACCTGCAAGACGCGTTGGATCGGGAATCCCGAGCCAAGGCCCATGTCATGCAAAGTGCATCCAAGAGAACAGCGCATACTCCGAGAGCCGCCGCCGTCGCCGTGAACGCTGACGATATCTATGGCATGCTCGACGGTATGGCGAGTGGAACTCCTGCATCGAGAAACTCGGGAGTGGCAAAGAGAAAGGCCAATAATTTCTCTACTCCCGCCGCCAAATCGGTCAAGAACGGCGTACACAGCTCGCCCTCTGATTTCAGGACACCCGCACTACCCAAAGATGGTCAAGCACTGGCTTTCGAAGACCGCCAAAATCCAGGCCAGGTGGTGGAGTCGCTCAACGAGCATCTCCCCGCGGCCACCACGTCTTCTCTCGAGACTCCTACGGATCCAAGGGTGAAGCTGAAGGCCAACACGGAATTGCCCAAGTTTGCTTACAGAGGCATGGCCATGAAGCTTTCAGAGGCATCTGAAATCCTCGACGATCGAATCGACAACTTTACAGATCTCATTCAAGCCCATCACCAGTTACCAGACCATGCCTTTGGTAATCCGGCTGCTCAGTCCACTGCGGAAGTTGTCGCGGTCGGACGTATCGCCTGCGATGTACCGAATGGTAAGCTCAACCCCGCGAGCTTGTGCCTGGAGACGAGCAGACGGATGGGCGCCGGTCTCAGGGTTCCTCTCAAACTCGAAGGTCTTAGCTTCGACTTTTTCCCCGGCAAAATCGTTGCGCTGCGTGGGACAAATGTCAGTGGTGAATACTTCTCGGCCACCGAGGTCTTGGAGATGCCTTCGCTGCCGGTTGCGGCCTCGACGCCAGACGAGCTTGATGTACACCATGCTCGTCTCTCCGGTGATCAGCCATTGAGGATACATGTTGCCAGCGGTCCATACACGACGGACAGCGACCTCTCCTTCGCCGCCTTGCACGCGCTACTAGAGCAATCCGAGGCGCAGAAGAGCGACGTTCTCATCTTGACCGGCCCATTCCTGGACCTCGAGCATCCGCTGGTGGCTTCTGGAGATTTCGAGGATCACCTTCCGAGTGATGCGAAAATTGAACCGGACCGAGCGACAATCAACGACGTCTTTCGCATTCTGATTGCACAGCCGCTGCAAAGACTCGCCCTGGCTGTGCCGGCCATCACAATCATCATGGTGCCGTCGATGCGCGACGTGATCAGTCGGCATGTCTCTTGGCCGCAAGATCGATTTTCGAAGCAGAATCTGGGCCTGCCGAAACAAGTGCAAGTGGTTACCAACCCCATCACACTGTCAATCAACGAGATGATTGTCGGTATCAGCAGTCAAGACGTTCTCTCCGAGCTACGGAGAGAGAATGTATGCCAGTTCGCCAAAGGACAGTCTATCGGGGACGATGTGCTGGCAAGGCTGTCTGGCGCGGTAATCGACCAACGACACTACTTCCCCATCTTTCCTGCGCAAGCACGGGAAAGCCTGCCAAACCCTACAGCCATACCCGGCGAGACGCCCGAAGTTGGCGGAGAGGAGAGACTGGCCGTGGGCGCAAGCTTGGACATTGGGTACCTCAAGTTGGGAGAATGGTTGAATGTTCGGCCAGATATTCTCATCTTGCCGAGTGTGCTGAGTCCATTTGCAAAGGTGAGCAAGTTGAGCGCTTCCCATTTTGGACGACTCACTGACGTCTCCAATAGGTAGTGAACTCGGTTGTTTGTATCAACCCAGGCACACTGAGCAAGAAGCGCGGTACTGGCACTTTCACCAGCCTGAGTGTCCAGCCGCGCACCGTGTCTGCCGAAGAGAGGGAGGCGGGTGAGCCGTTGGCGCATAACCTGTTTCAGAGGGCGAGGATCGATGTCGTCAGGATTTAGAAACCGACCGTCGGGTTCATAGAAGCATCAATGCATTAGAAGCCCTTGTTCTCCTCATCATCAAAGTTCGCCCGACGTGCGGTGGCGCTCTGAACAAGAAGCAGTGGCGTGTTAAATAAAGTAACGTGAAGTGCCGAAGACATAGCACTGCTGCCACTGCTCTTTGATTAGTTGGCTTTGATTGAGCCGTTGGTGCCATTCGACGCTCAGGTCAAGTTTGGATCCAGGTTGAACAAACTTTTGAAACGCATCTTCGAATCATATTGGTCCGCGATCCTCTCCAGCCAGTTTTTCGTAATGGCCCCCGTACATCTATAAGAGAATCAGCTGGTGCCAGTCGCTGCGAAGAGCTGCGTCGACGATTGATAAGTAGGACGTTTGCTGCCTACGCGCGCAGATGTTGGTCAGGTGCAGATGCGCCGACCGTCCGGGACCATCTTCCTCCAGATCGACTACCTACTTGCTCGTCTCGGCTTACCGCTGACATGATCTCTGATCGACTTCGTCCATCTCACGCTTCGGCGTGATATCACCCTCCCGGACTCGGTCGATTGAGCATCCGCCTATTCCACATGCGCATATTAATTCGAACCGTGCTGTTAGGCAAACTCTGGCTGTTGAATATCGAATCGTGTAGACACATATTCCCGAGGAAATGGAAGAGGAGCCAGAGGCCGGCAGCCTTGCAAAACGGTGCGGTCTCATTCGCCCGCTTTGCTAGTCTAGTCAATCAAGCGGAATTGGTGCAGTCCCAGCTTTGTCAACTTTCTCCTGATTGGCTCCGCATACTACCCTCTCGTTCGTCATGACAACCATGATTATTCGTTTCATCAATGCATTTGGTCGCGCGTGCACGCGAATTGCTACCGTCCGTCAAAGTGAAAAGTGCAACAACTTCTAGAGCAGCTCAGCCTTGGGAGAGGGCAGCTAGACCTGGGAAAGAAGCCGTGACGACAGATCCACATCCACGTTGTTGTTCATAAAATACGGTGTAATCGCAAAGATGATTGAGGCGAGTATGCACCGCGCCTTTCGTGGGTGAAAGATACGTCTACCTGCCAACGCCTCGCTGATTTGCATAATCTCATCGGTGTCACCGCAATATCTCCTCCCAATCCGGCGTGACCACGAACTTGCTATTGACAGGACCCATACTTGTTGCCATCCCGGGGGGCATCTCCTCATCATCGTCGTCGGTCTTTGCATCTGGAAGCGTGGTGACCAGCACGTCCTGCAAAAAGCTCACTTCGGTGCCCATGCCCACGCAGAGGCTCGTGCCTCCCCAGTCCAGAGTCACCCGCCCAGAAGCGTGCACTCTCAACTTCCCGACGGCGCCGCTGGGAAACTTGTCGCGAATGTTGATCGACTCCTTGTTGTCCTCGTCAACTACCGCGGACGAATCTGCTTCGGTGGTGGGATCGGGCTTTATTGCGAGTGGGGAGAGGTCCGGCAGGATGGGCGGGAACTGAAACAAATACACCTCCTCTTCCCGTTTGTCTGGTTTCGTCATGTCCACATCGCCATCGTGGTCGGTGGGTGCCGAGTTCAACGGACCCAATTGCTCCCGAAGCCTGGTCAGGTCCTTTTGTTGTCGTTGCCACTCCTCGCGTTCGTCTTGCAGCTGGAAGTTGGGTTCATCGGCGAACGACTCGGTGGATAAGGCCCGGTTCTTTGCTTTCGCCTTGCCCTTCCTTCTCGCTTCCGGACTTGACGGTCGCAGTTCTGTCGGCTCCGCGTTCGATGATGGAACTTGGGGCTCACCCTCTGGATCCTGTTTCACAGTTGCTCTCCCCTCAAGATCGCTGTCAGAGTCGGAGTATGTTGCTTGAAAGACGCTCTTCTCATCCACAGCCTGCATGTCCTTGGCTCGTTGCTTGCCCTTCTTCTTCTCCGACGTTTGTATGCCAGTCGTATCGTTTGCGTCGACTATGACGTTACCATCCTGATTCGTCGCGCCGTCGGCATTGAGGCCCATCGCTTTCCCCTTGCGCGCAGTCCTTGTGACTCGGATTGGAGCGAATTGGTCATGTTCGCCATCGTCTTGCATCAAATCGATGACCCCAAGATCTTCCACATTCACTCTCTGAATCGCATTCCCTTCTTCATCCTCGTCGCTGGAGATGTATCCACCGTCTTCAATGTTGACATAGGTGCGATGCCTCAACACGCCGTCGCCAGGGACACCTGTTGCAGACTCCTCCTTGATGGGTTTGCCGTCTATGGCTGCGGTCGTGTTTGCAGCGGAAATGGTGTCTCTTGATCTTGTGGCGCGTGTTCCGCTTGCGCCACTGTTCCATCTTCGGGCTGCTTTCTTTTGCGCGCTGGCCTGCTCAGCACCGAAAGGTCCGCTCGCGATAGCCTGAAACGGGGTCCTTGCGGACTCGTTCGCTGCACCTCCACGACCCCTTCCCCTCCCCCGATTGCCTCTCCCTCTCCATCCGCCCCTCGAACCACCCTGCTTGGACTGTGCAGAATCTCCAGGAGCCTTGCCAGCAGCCTCGCCTTTCCGTCGTGCGTTGGCTGCATCCTCCAGCTGCTGTCGTTCTGCCTGTGATCTTCTGACACCTCCTCGCGGCTGACCTGGTGCTCGTTTTCCTCTGGTCGCACTCGATGTAGGAACAGGCTGAGCAGGTCCCGTGTTTGGACTGGTATTGCTAGGGGCGAGTGAGAGCGATGTATTGCCATCCTGCGCTGAGCCAGCAGCTATGGCCTCCCCCACGACCGGTTTCGCATCTTGGGTCTCTGGAGCAGCAGCACCATCTGGCACAGCTTCTTTGGAGGAGCCGCTAACCAATGATTGCCGTTTCGGAGGCATTTCCGATGTGCGGAGCGAGCAGTCGTGTGAAGAAGATGTTCAGTGCATCGGATTGGTATCACTTTCAAAAAGTTCGAGGCACGAATTTAGACTTTGTAGGTGGACATGAGCGCCAAAGTTTAAATTCAAAGCACTGCGAAAGCTCACCTCTCCCCGCAGCGTCATGTCAGGTACTCAGGCCGATTTGAAAGACTAATAACAACTTGGATTGTCTAATGCGCGAGGCGTTGCGTGGTCTTGCTAGCCATGTGCTGTTCATAGAGTACCTGTGTGTGTTGTGTGAGGACACGCCTCGGACGCAACAGCGAGCACCTTGTGCTGGAATAACAGCAGAGCAATGGATATTCGTATCTTTGTCGAGGCATGTCTTAACCGTTCAAGGCAGATTGCAACCCTAATGATCACATGGATGTGAGAAGTATGCCTTTGCTGTGAGGCCAAGAGTCGGGTGTTCTGAGAGGATGTGACGTTGGCGTTGGCTCGAGCTTCTTCGAACTTAGCTCCAGCCACCAAAGACAGCCGACACAGCTCCAATGCTCGCTCGCACTACTACCCCCTCCTCACCGCACTCCCCGACACCTCCATCGTAACCATTGATCCTCGCCACCATGGTCCTCGCCCGCACCGGAGCCCTGCGCACCCTGCAGTCTTCTTTGAGACACAGCGGCCGCCGCGTACTTCCCCGGACTTCGGCGCCCCGCCGAACGCAGCTTGTTCAGAGACGCTATGCCAGCGGAGGATCGGACGGCGGGCATGCTGCTAGCTCCGACATTCCATGGTGAGCTTGTATTGCTCGTTGAAGTTGCTGATGAGTGTGCTAACGGCGACAGGCTCATCGGTGCTATAGCCGTCACCGTCCCCGCTACCTGGTATCTGTGGCCCAGTACTTCCGACGCCGAGCATAGCGCTCCTCATGCGGTCTACGAGGAATTCGCCAAGTCGGAGGAGAAGAAAGAGAAGGAGGGAGGTGGCGAGGAGGAGGACGAAGGCTCAGATGACGGCGAGAAGCAGGATCAGGGCTCCGAGGAGGATGAGTCTGACGGTCCGGATCAGAAGGAGGATCCTAAGAAGAGCGAGCCAGACGGTGGGAAACCCGAGAAGTCCGAGTCTGGAAGTAAAGACTCCAAGAAGGGCGGTTCGGAAGGTGGAGAGTCCAAGAAGGGTGAATCTGGCGGCGACGAGTCCAAGAAGAGCGAATCAAAGGGTGGTGATTCCGAGAAGAGCGAGTCCAAGGGTGGTGATTCCGAGAAGAGTGAATCGAAGGGTGGTGAGTCCAAGAAGAGCAAACCAAAGGGCGGTGATTCCGAGAAGAGTGAATCAAAGGGCGGAGAGTCAAAGGGCGATGATTCGAAAGACGACTCCAATGACGAATCCGACGAAGGTGAATCGAAGGACGACGACTCTGGAGACGATTCCAAGGAATCCAAGTCATCTGACAGCTCCAAAGACTCCGGCGACAGCAAAGGCGATGACGACAAGTCTTCCAAGGGGAAAGGTAAGACGATTGGCAAGTCTATTCACCCCGATAACGATTCCACTGTATGTGACGGAGTAATCCATGCGCGAGGCTACGATGTATCCTTTCCTTTGTGGAACGAGAGAATCACCTCATCCCTCATTAAGCCTGGGCTTGCTGACACTTCCTCCAGAAACCGGATCAAAGAAGTAAATCCGCGCAGTTTGGAATCTCTACCGGCGAGACGAAGCACTCGACTCAGATTGACCAGGACCCCAGCAAGTCAAAGAAGAGTGACGGATCGCCGGAAACTTCAAAGGCCAAGGGGACTGTCAAGACGGGGAATTAGCTTTTACTTCGATTGACTTCCCTCCGATACTGAAGCGGTAATGGAGGGGAAATGCGAGTCGGCATTTGTATATATTGTATCGCTAAAAAGGAGAAATGCAACATTTCAGTAGACGTTGACTATCTTGCATGGCAAAGTCAAATGATACAGCATTTGCAGGCGCAGTGCTCACTTTGGACTGTCATCAAATGCCTTTTGCCTGGTTCTCTTGTTCCAAGAGAGCGTTCTGCTTAATGAATCGACCCAGTCCTCGTTCTTCCGATCTAGAGGCAGTACGCTGGGAAACGGGAAACGACTGGCAGAGATTGTGACATAGTCGCCAGCCTTGAGCTCACACCGTTCTTTGCCGTCGAAGCTGGCCCAACAGCTTGCCCTTGCATCATAAGGAACACCGATCCTCAAAACGATCGTATCTGGTAGAACAAGTGGTCTAAAGTTCAGGGCGTGAGGAGCGATGGCTGTGATAAGAAGGACGGGTGCCTCAGGGTGCACCAATGATCCACCGCACGCCAGGTTGTATGCTGTAGATCCGGTTGGCGTCGAAACGCAAATCCCGTCCCCTTGCACCGTAGTAAAATGTTGGGAGTCGCCGAAGACCTCAATGCCGCTCATGGTGGCTGCGGGACCGCGGTCACACACACAGTCATTCAAAATCGAATGACTTCCATCAGGGTAATGGGTGCTGATATCATCCGCGAGGGTTCCTACTAGCTCTTCGACGAGATCTCTTTGATGTTGCGCCCTCTCGTGCTCGCGCGGTTTGGATCGCATTATGGTCGCTTCGAATCGCAGTCGAACGGAGACAGTGACTCCGTCACGGAATGCTTTGGTGAGGGTTTCGGGGTACTGTTGAAAGTCGAATTTTGTTAGGAAGCCTAAGGATCCTCCGGCGAAGGACATGACGGGCGGTACGATCCTCTGGAACAGCCACGATGCGTAGAGAACAGTACCATCACCACCCAGAGCCAGCACAATTTCCCAGGTGTGGGGCTTTTTTCGACAAAGCTCGGTCGTCCAGTACCTGAGTCGGTGTTGATATGAGGGGTCCTTGGACACGATGTCTTCGGCATTGAAAGCCTCGTTTCGCTCCAGCGTATTCTCAACCCACACCGTGTAGAAGTGGCCGTCAAGGCTTTTCTGTTCGAGAAGCCATTTTGCCATGGAGCGAGTTTTGGCGACAAGGCTTTGGTCGTGAGCCTTGGTAAGAAGGAAAACATTCCGGACTTTGAGCTTCACCTGGATTTTTCCTAGCTTTTTGGAAAGCTCACGGATGCCCAAAGCCATGTCTGAAAGTTGCTGCTTGGTGAGATGCCTTGATTGTGTATGAGCGTCCGCTTCTTGGTCTGGAGTGGGGTCTGCAGGCGAACGCTGGGCGATGCCTTCATCATCCAGAGTGCCCGACCTCACGCCGCTGTGGAGCAGCGTGTGTACGAAGCATGAAGTACTTTGTCGTGGATTGCCAGGCCGTGTCGAGATCGACGCTCGTCTTCTTTGCGCTGCAGAATCGCCAAAGGAGACTTCCAGCGGCTCGTTCACGCCTTCGGAGTCGCTGGACATGGGTTCAGGCTCGCCCAGCGGCTCTTCGATCTGCTCACCATTGGGATGTGCCGGATTGGTCGCCATTGGTAGAGGAATGTCGATGGCTTGCGATTCGGCTAATTGAGATGGTTTGAGAAGGGCGAGGGTCAATGGAGCTTTACCACGCATCATCAGTAGGATGTGACGTCCGTTTTAAGCTTTCCTAATTCAGCCAATCCCGCCGGGCTTTGGACACGATTTTCAACCCGGCAGGCCGGCAAAGCCTTACTAACGAGAACACCGCACATGCATGTCCGTCATGCAGCGCACTCGAGGATATACCTGAAGACATCACTAAGGGTTCGGCATCATTTGCCATGGCTAAACATACCATCACACCCTGGCGAATGAACGCGGACCTACTCCAAGTGCGGACACAACTCTTTTCCCTCTCTACCGAAGACAATCAAGCACGACGCCATGCCGTGAACCGCGTGATGGCATGGAAACTGCGCGGAAATCTCCCTCACGCCGTGGAATCCACTGCCTTGCTAATCGACGCCATCCTCCATCATGATTCGAACATCAACTCCTCGTTCAGCATCCGCGCCGTATACAGCGCCGCCTTCTCTCGCTTCGTTACCGGCTTCTGCGATATTGGTCGCCACAAGGAGCGAACGCTGGAGCCGATCAGCATGCTGGAGATTGCGAGGCAGATTGACATGCCTGCCGACTTTGTGGCATTAAGACATGAGGCGACTCACGAGGAACTTCCTGGCCTGAAACGCCTCACACATGCGACACAGCAAGCACTGGACTGGCTGTGGCGGGTGTACTGGAGTCGGTTGGATGAGACTGCAGGGGAGGAAGCTGTCGCAATGCCATCAGACGTCCTCAGATCCGAACTCTCGTCAGTGCTGCGCGCCTTTCGAAGGGAGTTGCGCAACCTCCTCCGTGCGCCGAAGTCGTCAACTCACCACGACACAGCGCTCGAGGTACAGCGGACATGTGCGAAACTGGAGGAATTGGGTCATGGTGCACCGCAGCTGAGCACTTTGTTGATCTCTACAATGCTGGGAGAGCGACTCATTCTGCCGGCAGACATGGAACTCGGCTCATCGCTGCGTGGCGCATTCCTTCTGTGGGACGATTTGATTCTCGAGCTCTCCAGACGCTTTGGTGACTTTGTGCGGGATCTCGGTATGGCGATGCTCGATGAACTAGCGAGGTCATCAGGCGTGAGACCTGACACAGCCGCTACAAAAGAGGGATTCGCAGATTGGCTGATTCACCTCTTATCGATACACATCAAGGATGTGAACGGCCAGGTGGACTTTGCAGCGGAGTTGATGAAGGGATGTTGCTTATACCCCGGCTACTGGACACGCAAGGTTGCAGCAAGAGTGTTGGAGCGTGGCAACGAGAGCTTTAAGGAGGAGTGGCGTGATTTATTAGAGGCTAGCATGGAGGGGAGTGAGTCTGATAGCCTGGCAGGGGCTGAAAAGCGAGGCGCAGATGGAGAGGCTCTGGCGCTGCATTCGCACATACAAGAAAGCGCGCATGGCCGGGCGGAGAGCTGGAGTAGGACAATATTGCCTCCAATTGCACCAATGGGTGTTGTTTAAGGTCTTCTATCTCGTTCTCTCCTTGAATACTGCATACTGCATCCTACGCCAAATGACGTGTTAGCTCAATGCTTTCCGGCAAGAGCAAAAAGAATTCGAATGGTGCAGCCAGGATTCGAACCCTCGCCCTCAGGGGCAAAAGAGTTCGGCCTCATTGGACCTAATCTCTCGATTTCAACCACATTGGGCCTACTCTCTCCTCAGGGGAAGCTCAGTTGGGTGTCGCAAGGGCAGTTCGTGGAGTTTTCGCACGTTTCGCCAGGCGGAGGCAGAGGGAAGATTAACCTGTTGCTTCAAGACGCCAATTTTCATGTCTCACCACTGGCTCATAAGGTGATATTCGAGGGGCCGCGAATTGTTTATATGCTCATGGCTTGCTGCTCGGCACAACTTCGGTTGTGTCACCCGGCTTTGAGGGCCTCATCCCTCTCCACGACGCTTTCTTTGAAGCGGAGCAGGAAAATCGTTTTTCCCGGCCACAGCTCATCGCCTTCGCCGGCCCAATGCGCCGTCACACCATCGGTGCTCAGCCCGGTAGCATCGCACATGCCTTCGATGATGCCGGCGACAAAAGCGGCGCAGTTCAGCTGGCTGATTTCCTTGGGGATGCTGATGAAGCTGTTGACCAAGGGCTCGTTGTCGATGATCATGTATTCATTCTTCTTCTCCGTGCCTTGCTCGAGCGCATCTGCGGTGCGGTTGAAGAGGGCACGCCAGACGGTGCCATGCACGAACTGAAGCAGCTCGAGAATACGGGTGGGTCGAGTGGCTGTTCGGGGGGGCTGTCGATAGAGGAGGAGGTCGAGGAGTTTGGTGCCGATGGGGTAGCCAGCGCGGTTGAGGCGGGTTTCGATCTCGCTCACTGAGCCGGACTTGGAGTGGTGGTAGGTGATGAGGGTGTTGAACAGGTAGGCGAAGGAAGCGAGGGAGGACTCGTTCACGCGCGTGCGATTCAAGTTGCGGTCGTAGATGGACTTGCGGCTGGATGGATAGCGGAGGGTGGATTGGAAGGGCTTTGTGGGAGGGAGGGGTTTGAAGTTGTCCTCCTTGTCGGCAGGCGCTGCCACGGGGCCAGGCATGATTGAGGCCGACGCGCTGCTTTCTCGTGGTGCTCTCAACGAGGTTCGTCAATTGTCTACCAAGTACAGATGGGATGAAGTGGAGCGCGTGCTCCACCCGCACCCCCCGGTCCGCCAAGACTGTCAAGCCAGCATGATGCCTGACCGCGTTCAGATGTAGCTAGCTCTACATGATTTCATGAGTTCTAAACAAAGGACTGATTTACGCGGAAGATGTGATATTATTCAATGGCTTGTCATCTTTCGAGGTCTTGCGAACACCCGTCGTCGACGACTTCACGTTCCTCCGTCAACGGCTGTGTGGTTTGGCGGATCACAAATCGGAACCATGGACGGTTTAGTGTCTTGTCAATCGCTCGATCGCGGTAAATGTATGCGAGGGTCATGATTGATGTTCAGCATAATTGATGCCCATTAGAGAGACGTGAAAGATGCTGCAAACAGCCAGCGAGCACAATTCATGTCCATTCACTGCCCAATTCATTCCTGAGGCAGAAGTTCACGTGCATTGGAATGAGATGGGGGCGTGCGTGCTATTTCCGGCTGAAAGGGAGGGCGCACGGGCCGCTTTCACATGCTTTTGGCGTGCTTGCGCTGTGGGTGGGTCGGGGCAGGTGATCACCGCCCGCCTTTCCCTCAACTGCGACGATGTGGGCGCAATCCCGTGCAACGACTCGCCCTCCTTGTCCAGCACGTGGTCACTCTCAATCCTCTCTTCATCCCTTACACTTGCTTATGCCCCCTCGCTTTCACGTGTCAATTGCCTTCTCCGCCCTCTGCGCTCTCGCCCCTGCACGTCGCGTGACCTCCGACGCCGCAGGTGGAGAGCGGCTGGCGCATGTGCATTGAACGCCTCGACTCGACTCCGACAGTCAGCACCCGAAGTCACATGCCAAATATTCGCTCCTCCCGTGGCCACTCCTCCTCTTCGCCTCCTCCGCCCTCCGCCCTCCCTCCTCCCATCCCATCTCTATCCCGCCAGACGCCATCATGGGCAGAGAGCAGCCGACCATCGTGCTGCGTCCCAATCAGAACCGACGAGATGAGCGGGCGAGAAGAGCGCGGGAGACCAAGAACAGAGTCATCCCTGACCTCTTAAGATCATGTCCGCGCGCAAAACACGGCATCGCGAGAGCCGAACTCATCGTCGACCCTTCCCCAGTCGCCGAATCCTCGTCCCATCACACACCCGCCGACTCCTGCTCACGTCCGGATCTCAAAATACGAGTTCAGCCGCTCGACACCCTGACCGCCGCCTCGCGAATAGCCGACAAGTCTCTCATCCCCAAGCGCTCCGGTCCTGCCGTCAAATCGCGCTCCAATGCGCCCAACATCGGTGTTCTGAATATGTGCTCTGCCCTTCGACCAGGTGGTGGTTTCCTAGAAGGTGCAAACAGTCAGGAAGAATTCCTCTGCGCGCGCACCACCCTCTACCCCTCGCTATGGGACTCCTTCTATCGCCTGCCCGATGTCAGCGGCATCTACACTCCTGACGTCCTGGTCTTTCGAGACCACTTGCCGGAAGCCAACGATCTCTCCAAAAACTCCCGCTTTTTCATCGATGTCATCAGCTCGTCCATGTTCCGATTTTCAGACGCCAGAGCAGAGGGCTGTTCCTGCAGTCTAAGCTATTGCGACAAGCACCGAGATCTGTCCCTGCGATCCATGCGCGCTGTGTTGCGGATAGCGCAAAGCAAAGGCGCGGAGAAGCTTGTCTTGGGTGCGTGGGGATGCGGCAGCCATGGCAACCCGGTCAAAGAAGTCGCCAAGAATTGGCGGAAAGTCATCGCCGGTGCTCCCCGCCAGAAGCGCCCCAATGCGGAGCGATGGGAGGGCATTGACGAAATCATCTTCGCCATTCCCGACCGCACCATGCTCCGTGAGTTCGAGGCCGCTTTCCAGGACATCCTCGCGCCAGATGATCCCGAGTCTTCCGAAATCTCACCAGTCGACTCCGTTGCGCAGCTCGATGAAGAGCATGCGAGGACGTCAGAGCTTCTCTCCCGAATCGCAGAGATTGAGATGCAAATTGAGCAAGCCAAGAACCCGCGGTTGAAGAACAGATTACGTGAGACCCTGGCCAACCTTCAAAGAGACCTCAATCAAGGCCCGAACGCAAAAGCGTCCAATGCGGAGGATGTCACCCCCGAAGAGGATGATCCAGCGGACGGCTTCGTCTTCACCGGCTTCCCAGCTTCTGATGACGAGGACAATGGCTTCTACCACCTCGCCGACAGGGACATGGACTCTGATTCCTCTGGCCGCGGTCAATCGGAGAACTACGAGTTCCGGCCAGGTCCGCCGGGTCTAGCATCCCACGACGAAGATGAGAGTCTCGATGAAGCTTTGTTCCCCGCCATCTCCCACTCTCCGAAATTCGACGCCGAAACGGGCTGGTATTCAGGCAGCCTGGACGGCTTGACGACCCTCTTGAAACAGAGCCAAGGAGGAATGCGGCATAGTCGTACCAGCCCCGGCAGTCCAGAGATCCGACCAACATCGGGCGATCTGGGCATCAACTCGGGGGCTTTGCACGAGTATCTTTCGAGGTACCAGGGGACGGACGTGGCTGATTATTGAAATCTTGAAGCGCGAATGTTTTGTGATTTAAATTGAACACCATTGGCGTGAAGAAATTTGCATTGGATGGCGCGACGGGTTTTGGGTGCTTCTGGACATTGCCGAGACACATGTAGCTCACTCGATATGCTGAGAACTCTTGAACATTATGACTGTTCCTTTTCTTCTTCCTCAAGCTCCGGCATGAGATGTAGATGTTCTTCATTTCGTTCGTTGCCGAACTTTGATTTTCGGCACGCAGGCATCACGTGACATACTGTCCCAATTAGGCAAGAACAAGTCTCCATGGACGATGGAGCCAAATGAAGAAACCACAATATTTATTGCGTTCAACAACATGAAAAGACACTCGAGATACATCCAATCATCTCGTGTACGTGAAGAAACATTCTCTGACTGTCCATTTTGCATTGCGTTCAACACCAAGAGACACTCTACATACATCCCATCATCTCGTGTACGTGAAGAACACATTCTCCTTGTCCGTCAAATCGAGGAACGCCGCCTTTTCCGCCTGGTGCTGCACCTCTTCCTCACTCCACCCGTTGTCGAGGATCAGTTGTTGGAGAGCAACTTTCTTCTGTCGGTTCCAGCGGACGTTGATGTAAGCCATTATGGCAGCGGCACACATGAGAACGCCCGTCAAAATGCCAATTGCGGCCTTACCCGGAATGTAACCAGGGGCGTCCTGAGGGAGAAAGATGTAGGTGCCGACGACAGATCCGACTCCAAACGTGAACAGTGTGAACGCATTGATCGTGTTCTTCTTCGTGTATCCTCCGGTATTCGAGGAGTTCCATGCGTAACACAAGGGGAACGTCGGCGCCGAGAGGTTCTGTATCAGAAGTCCGAATTCGAGAACTCCCTTCTTTCCAGAATTTTGCATTGTGGTCAAGATGATCATGCCAATCAAAGTTGGCAAACTGGTGAGTAGAACCAGACTCATTCGATCTTTGTAGCGGTCGGACAACCATCCCACCCCCACGACGGCCACTCCGCCGATGGCTGCCCTGGGCATATCAAGCAGGAGAGTGGTCCTCTCTGAAAAGCCAAGCCCTTCTTGGATCAAGTTGTTGAAGGCTGAATTCCCTCCATTTGGAATGCCCAAACACAATATAATCAGAGCCATGATCCAGGTGCGAATGTCCGTGAACGCTTCGCGGATCTGGTACTTCTTGATGTGTTTGTTGTGCGTGCCGCCTTGGTCGAGCCGAATCCGCTCCAATGCTGCGATCTTCTCTTCGTCCGAGAGGAACCTTGCAGTCGCGGCCGAGCTGGGTAGGTAGAAGATGACCAGAAGACCGCAGACAATCGCAAGAGCGCCCAAGACGATATATAACAGCTGCCAGGACGCGATTTGTCCGTGGTAGAAGGTTATTCCATACGAGGAGGCACCTCCCACGACAGAGCTGAGAAGGTTTCCAACGTAGAACTAGGTAGAAACGGGTCAGCGTGGGTAGATCAAAGGCGTGAGATCCAACGAAGTGAATCCCCGATAGGCAAGCCATGTATTGGCGTCGCTTACCCAGGCAATTCTACTTGCGCGCTCGTTCTGTTTGTACCACATCGAGACGATCAAGATCAAGCAGGGAGCGACGCAAGCCTCCAAGGTCCCAAGAAAGAACCGGAGCGCATAGAAGCCCGAGAAATTCTTGCACACCGCTGTGAGCATGACCAGGCAGCCCCACAGAATGATGTTGACGCCCAGGTATTTGGCAATCGGAAAGCGTTGTCCTATGTATTGCGCGGGAAACATCCAGACAAGGTACCCAACGTAAAAGGCTTGAGCAACTAGCATAGTTTTGGAGGGTTAGCATAGATATACCAAGGGGCAGCGAGTGTAATGGGCAATCCATCGCGCTTGTGATTGATGCTCCGTCCGCCAGAGTGGACCCGCATTGCGCAGGACAGGTCTCGGAACAGCAGACCGGTTCGGCCATGATGTCTTACCTGTGTTATATTGTATTCCCTTGACTGGAAATCCCATGATGCTTGAATACTATCATTTAAGAGTTAGCGTTTGCTTTTTTCCTTCCTTCCTTCTCCTCTCTCCCCTTACGCTTAAAATGTTCTTGTCGGTGAACTGGGTGAAGTATATGAAGCAGAGGAGCGGCATGATGTGAAGGTCCTGCTTGGGATCAGCCTCAATCGACCGGGATGCGTAGGACTATGTATTCGCACGATTTTCAATCTTAGCCGCTTGTAGTAGGCCTCATCGAACTGGTGGGCGTGTGTTCCGACCAGCCTGAGGGCATCGTCGCCGTCTGCGGCCTGGACTTCGCGGGGGGCGGCATCGCCATTGACATTCTCAACGACGATCGTGCCGACCTTCTCATCCGCGTTTTCGAGTTTCGAGGCGATGGAGTCCTGCTTCTTATCCTCGTTGATGGACGCCATTGTGCGTGAGATAGGGCAGGATGGCGGGGAAGAAGAGAGAATGACGAGACGAAAAGAAGAGGGGATGGTGAGTCGAGAAGGAGAGGAGATGTTGAGACGGTTTATAAGGAACAGCCAACTCTTTATGCTCACTTACGGTGGCGACGACGCAGCTCTGGATGTAACGTGCCGGGTATCTCATGCAGCGCATGCGAGATAGGCGGCGGAGGCGGCCAAAGGAGGAGTTAGAGTGCTACGATATCGGCGGATCGTCGCTCCTTCCTGTTACAGCCTAGTGGAATCCCACGAGCGCCCAGTGCCCCACACAACCCCGGATTCGCACGTTGTGATTTGTTCCGGTATCCGAGGCAGTGGAATGTCCTTTAATTCGCGTTCTGAGCAAATACATGGATCGAATGTACATGGGCCTCAAAACTTCAGTGCAACGGATACTGGAAGTCGACCACCGAGTCCTTTCTCCGCAGGCCTGAGAGACCAGAAGCGATCAAGAAGTAGTCATGTGGCTTGCAATCCTCATGGCAGCTCGAGATCATACCTCGCTATCGCAGATGCCGCAGGTTGAATCTTGCTCGATTAGCTCCAGTCAGCTTGGTGGGCACGTACCCAAATCGGTACTGTAGACATCGTTAATCTTACCTTATCAACCATCAATATGTTGTGCGGCATTCGGTCTGAATGAAGATGGCTATTTTTGGGCTAGGCTTCGTATTATGTAAGCCGGCTGAATTGACTTCAGGTCATTTTCTTGCCAATACTCCCCCGATTATTTGTTGCCAATCCTCCTCCGATTATCTATTGCCAATCCTCCTCCATCGTTTCTTCCCGATACTCCTCTCGTATCGTGTACGGCTAACGAGAGGTGCTGAGTGATGAGCCCTCCCACGACACTCGCGACATTCCAACGACTATAAAGAGGAGGCCGAGAAAATGTCGACCGGCATCGGGTCTTTCGTCGCAGGAGGAGCAGCAGCTGTAGGCGCAGTATTCATAACTCATAGTGCGGAGACAACAAAAATTCGTTTGCAACTGCAGGGGGAGCTGCAAGCAAAGAATGAGGCGCGAGTTGTATATCGAGGGGTTTTCCACGGCATGCGGGTGATCCTCCAGAACGATGGCATTCGCGGACTGTATCGCGGCATCGGCGCCGGCGTGAGTCCTCTTTCCGGAAGCGCTCTTGACTGCACACAGGGCTGACCGAAAGACAGTGCATATATCAAATCGCGTACGTGGTCATTCAGCACCTGAGCCCTCCATTCTTCCTCTCTGACTGTTTTTAGCCTCAACGGTGCGCGGCTTTCGCTATACGAGCCTTTGAGGAAACAAGTCAACTCCCTCATCCTTACGCGATCGTTCTCCGGCGCGCACGACACAAGCATCACCAACCGCCAACTCCCGGCCGCGAACGTAATCGCCGGCGCTTCCAGTGGTGTAATTGGCGCCGCGGCTGGTTCTCCGTTTTTCCTGGTCAAGACGCGGCTACAATCATTTTCTCCATCCCTTCCCGTGGGAACACAGCATCAATATCGTAATGCTTGGGACGGGCTAACGCAGATCTACCGCAAGGAGGGCGTTGTGGGTCTGTACCGCGGCATCGGTCCTGCAATGGTACGCACGGCGTGCGGCAGCTCTGTCCAGCTACCCACCTATTTCCTTGCGAAACGCACAATCCAAAAACACGGAGGACTGGCCGACGGCACTCCGCTTCATTTGCTCTCCTCGACCTGCAGCGGATTTGTTGTTTGCATAGCCATGAACCCGAGTAAGATACCCCGAGCACTACCGCAACACCCATTCATGCTGACTTCAAGCTCCCAAAAGTGGACGTGATTATGTCGAGGATGTATAACCAGGAAGGAAATTTGCTATACAAAAATGGCGTGGACTGCATCATGAAGACCATCAAGACCGAGGGCATCACCGCGCTGTACAAAGGCTTCGGCGCCCACCTCGCTCGAATTCTGCCACACACAATCCTCACCCTCACATTTGCCGAGCAGACGAACAAGTTAATGCGAAGGCTGGAAGACAGGATACTCCCGGAGCGTATCAAGGAACAGATTTAGAGGAGAACCTTTTTGCATTCCAGCGTGGAGTTTCCAGACGGGGAAGGTCATATGGGGAATGCTCCATCCGCCGCATGCTGTACATAGCCGAATGCCAGACTCCATCAGCCCCGGGCTTCATGGAGCTACATGTACCTTTACCTCCCAATGCATAACGTTGCGATGCTTCGGCATCGGAGGTCAACAAAACAACCCGCGCCCGGTCTGGACGGCGCCTTGGCATGGCCCGGAACCCCGTTTTGCAAACCAGATACATCGGACTCGTTGAATCTTTGTTTCTTCACCTACCCTTCTATCACACATAAATTCACTTCCATCCTGCGGTATCTTCGCAATGTCTTCTTATATGGCCACTCTTCCCCGGCCAACAAAGACATATCATTCGCAAACGTACGACCGCATTTCCGTGCATCATGCGTTCAGCGGCAAGGGAAAATCTGTATTGATCTCTGGGGGCGCAAGTGGTCTCGGCTACGAAATGTCGAAAGCCTTCGCCAGAGCGGGAGTTGCTCGCATAGCCATTGTCTCCCGCTCGCTGGATGCACAGAAGGTCAAGTCGGACTTTGAAGCTGCGTACCCAGATGTCGAGATCCTGCCATATCAAGCTTCCATCACAGATCACGCCCGCATGGCTCAAGTGCTCGGAGAGCTTGGTACGATTGACGTGCTTGTTCTGAACGCAGCCTTCGCCCACGGCCGTGGCAACGCGATGCAACTCAGCCTGGAGGAGGTGCAAGAGTCGTTCAATGTCAACACGATCGCGGCCTTCAGCGTCACCCAGGCCTATCTCGCAATGCCGGCACCCCAAAAGAAAACTGTGATCAATGTATCTTCAGCAGCAGCACATATGACGGGTTCAAGACGAGTGGCGTACGGTGCGAGCAAAGCGGCTGGCGCCCAGCTGATGCAGAGCTTTGCTTCAGCCTTCCCCGATGGCGACATCCGAATATTCTCATTTCATCCGGGAGCATACTACACGCCTGGGGTTGCGAAGAACATTCCGAAAGACATGATGGTGTGGGAGGATGAGAGACTCCCGGCAGACTTCACGCTGTGGCTAGCCGGCGAGGAGAGCGACTTTCTCCATGGACGCCATGTGTGGGCCAACTATGATGTAGACGAGTTGATTGCGCTCAAGGAAAAGCTCAGGAAAGACCCCGACTTCTTAACGATTGGTCTTGTTGGCCTCTAGACGAAGAAGAAAATGGATTATCGAAAAGGCAGCTTCAATAATCAAACCATTGGTATCATTGGCAATCAAATAACTAGTATTTCTGCTTCACGAGGTCGGGAAATCGGCTCCCGCCGGTCTTTGTGCCCTCGAGTCTCGTCAACTCCATACTCACGTACCCCCTCACTCTCTGCGCCAGGTGGGAGGTAGGGAGACTCGGTTCCGTCATTTTCTTCACCAACTTCACTCGTGCATCATCATCGAAATTTGCGTGCAAGTTATAATGCTCACGGATGAGCCTTTGTGTTTCCGAGGACGTGGCCGGGCCGTAGATTTTGTGTGTGCAGCCTGCCAACGCACAGCTCCAGACATTTTCTTGCAGCTGGTCTGGTCGATGCAGCTTTCGGGCGGCAAACTCGCTGGCATCGGCTCCTCCCACGACATCTGCATTGGAGGAAGGCGAGCTGGGTATGTCAATACCCTCATCCAAGATGTCGTTGGGTAATACGTCTTCTTCGTCGCCTACAATTTCTGTCGGCTGTCTTTTCCTTGGGAGGCCTTTGCTGGATTTCTTAAGCCTCAGCCCTGATTTCTGTCGCCCTGTTTCCAGGTCGCTGTCTTGCATAGCGGGAGTACTAGGTTGCCAATCGTCGATATCTTGTTGGGTGAGATGCTTGTTTCGGATCGGCCGAGCGAGTTTTGCGGTAGAGAAAGAAGCCTTCTTTACCTTGGTCTTTGGCATGGCGGCTTTGAACGGCTTTCCTGTTATTTCGGAGACAGGCGGACTGCTGTCCAAACTGCTGTCCGAACTGGAACCGTTTGAAACATCGTCCACTAACCTCTGTTCCTGATTTCGTTTTCTTTTCAGACTCTTGGTTGTTGACGAGGATTTCGGCTTCTCTTTTGCTGTACCAGTGCCTTCTAACCGTTGCCTCACTTGTCGCCAATCCTCCCCAAATTTCTTGATGAGATGCAGCAGAAGCGGGTTCTGTGCCCACTTCGCATCTCTCATGCAGGACATCAGTGCCTGCCGGTGTTTATAAATCTTCCGTTGCGCCTCCGAGGCCCCCTTCGCCACACCCATGATTTCGATGGCATACTTTTCGAACAACTCTTGTGGGCTGTAATCGGGGAGAGTGATGGCGCTCTTCCCCTTCCCCTGCCGTCTTCTCGTGGTGTAGGCATCGATCACGAAATAGATGAGCGTGATGGCGTCGGTCATCTCCTCGTAGGCCGATTGGTACTCGCGACTCGGCTTTATCTTGAACCATCCAGCGTTTCCTGCCGCCCACACGGCCACCCCATCTGAATCGTCATAGGCGAATGTTCGCACGGCGATCTCGATGTACATCGGCCGTGGCTTTGAAGGTAAGAGCCATAGATGTGCGCGCTTTCTGGAAACCGCTTCAAGCTGACCAGTAACTCGAAGGGGATAGTGTTCGCTGGCGAGTAGGAGGCTGACGGACTGGGAATCAGAGGGGAGGGTGACTTTCGCATCATTCAGACGGTATTCGGGCCAGTTGTCGGGGGAAGCAGCTTGATCGCAAGCCGCAAGGACGGAAGATTCGGAAAGCGGCAGCTTGGAGCGACTCATTGCGATCGCATGAACGGCCAAGACAAGATATTGGCGGTCGTGAACATTCTCTCCAGCCTTTCACGGCGGGGAAGGTGGCTTTGGGGATGAAGACGGCGCGTGTCATGGCAAATCGCGATAGACTTTCGAACCCCACTGCCCTCTGCGGCCACGCGACGGCACGGCCCGCCTGCCAGGCGGGGAGTCGCCTGGCACTAGTGAAAGTCTATTGAGACTTGAAAGTGAATTTCGCGACTCGAGCTGCTGAGACGACTTCTACTCAACCCGACTCAATGAGATCTCGCACGCTCTGTCAAACGCTCAACAAGCTCAGTCCTAATGTGAGAATGGCTTCCAACGGTGGTGTTGCAGGCAAAATCCACGAAGGCGTCTTTGGTACAGTAGGGTTCTACTCCCTGCTACCTCAATCACTTCACTGACCAGATATCTTCACTAGCGATCAACAAACCCACCGGCATCAGCTCCGCAGAAGTTATTCGTGTCGTTCAGTCCCACCTCAAACCATCCGCCCTCTTTCAACCATGGCTAGCGCGTGAGCAAGCACGCAAAGATGGCGAATCACACAATCAGAAGCGCAAGCGGAAGAGTTGGAAACAACGACAGCCCTTGCAGGTCAAAATGGGGCATGGAGGAACGCTTGATCCGGAGGCATCTGGCGTGTTGATTCTGGGAGTGGGAAGCGGCACGAGATCACTCTCAACATTCCTCTCCTGCACGAAAAACTACCATGCCGTCCTTCTCTTCGGTGTTGCCAGCGATACTTACGATGCTGTGGGAAAGCGCGTGGCTGAGAAGCCGTACGACCACATCACCAAAGACGCTGTTGAAGAAGCATTGTCTAAATTCAGGGGCAAGATCATGCAACGGCCACCCATCTTCAGTGCGTTGAGAGTGCAGGGCAAGCGACTATACGAGTACGCTAGAGAAGGGATCGAAGTGCCAGTGGAAATTCAGGAGAGGCCGGTGGAAGTGTTGAGTCTGGAAATGGCGGAGTGGTTGCCAGGCGGGACACATGACTATCACTGGCCCACGGAAGAGGCTGAAGCACAGGAGAAAGCTGTGGCGCAGAATATGCTCAATGTGAAAGACGGAGACGCTTCATCCGGCGCGACATCAACTGGTGCGAAGCGGAAGCGAGATGCAGATGGCGAGGACCGTGGCACCGACGACGAAGATTCAGCATTGTCGAAGCGATCTAAAACATCCCCGGCGCAATCAAACGCCCTTGAAGACCGAATACCAGCAGGCACGAATGCCGGTGCACCATCAGATAATGGAGACTCCCAAAGACAACCTCAAGGCAATCCACGTTGTCCAGCACTTGCGGTCCGATTGAGAATGGAGGTCACTTCAGGCTTCTATGTTCGCAGTCTTTGCCACGATCTTGGGGCCGCCGTCGGATCCCTCGGTCTCATGGCGAGCCTCGTCCGTACGCGGCAGGGAGATTTCAAAATTGGCGAAAACGTTTTGGAGTACGACGAACTGGCAAAGGGTGAGGATGTCTGGGCTCCGAGGATCGCAAAGATGCTGGATGATTGGAAGACGACTCACGGCGGCAATGATTCCGAGGTCGAGAACGACTCATCTCGAAGGATGGGAAGCCGTCGAAATGACCGCTCCCGCGTGCCTAGACCGAAGATCGAAGAGGCACAGACGCGGCGCAGGAATAGTAGCAGCGAGGAAGATTAGAACGAAGAGGATCACCAGATGTTGATTATCTACCTTCCTGTCCTTTGACTCCACCGCCTCCAAGAAGATGTCATATCAAAGATTCAGGCAAATACCAAGACGAAGAGCTACTAATGCCTTCCAGCTTGTTATTTGCCAGCTCGCTTCTCTATTCTCACCAGCAAGGCCATGTTATTCTCAGCCTTGACAATATCCATAAAATAAAGCTGTACCGGTCCACAAGCCTGACTTCTTACAGTATATTAACAAACCGAGCACCTTCAGCGGGAAGGTCCCTCGAAATTCCCTCACAACAGTCGAATGATAAGCTCTACAGGAACCACGGCCGAAACAATCCGGCCCCGATCAGCTTCTTCCGCTCGAGATTGAGCACTGCCTCCTTCAACAGGTGTTTTTGAACCTTGCCTTGCGCACTCAACGGGAGCTCCTCAAACCCCAAGTCATCATGCAAATCGTAGACCGCCTTTAGCGCATAATCATCTCCGAGATTCTCCTGCACGATTTCTTTGACGTCCTCAGCTTGGCCACCTGTGACGATAGCGACAGGCACCTCCCCTTTGACAGCATCTGGTACCCCCAACACGGCGGCCGAGATGTCGCTTTGCCTGCTAAGGGTAGCCTCCACCACGGCAGGTGAGATGTTGATACCACTCTGTTTCACCACATCTTTTGTTCTGGAAACGATGAAGATGTGATCGTCCTCGTCCATCGTTGCTGTATCGCCTGTCTTGATCCAGGTACCCCATTCGTCTCGGACGAACTGTTCCGGCAGGTCGTCATTGAGGTAACGGTCAATCATCATAGGTCCCGCGACCAGCAGCTCACCCTCTTCGCCCCGAGGGAGGACCTTACCGTCGGAGTCACATATGCGGAGCCGGGCTCCTCTTGCGACTTTGCCCACGCTCACAATTGAATGAATAGTCTTTTTCCATTTGTTTTTGTCTTCCCCTTTCATTCCAGAAAATCCGGTTCCCTCGCTCATGCCGCTCACCGTCGATACTGAAGCGTGCGGAAACAGCTCTTCTGCCTTTTCAATCAGATCGATGGTGATGATATCGCCCCCCAGAACCACTCTTTTGACACTGGTGAGACTCGAGAAGTCCAAGTGGTGCTGAGCGGCCAGTAGTCTGACTTGCGCCGGCACAAGCAAGAGCATTTCCACGGAATGTGCCCCGACCGCTGCATGCAACGCTTCCAGTGTGAAATGGCTATGTGAGAGGACGACATGATGACCATACACAATAGCCATCGCGCCCATACAATTGTACACAGCCCTGCTAGATGGGCTCTGCACAGCGTAGGAGCTACCGATATCCGCAATCCACATTTGATTGTATGCTGCGGCGGTAATGTTGCGGACTGTCTGTGGACAACCCTTTGGACGGCCACTAGACGTGCCGCTGGTGAAGAGGACCAATGCCACGCGATCACCGCCTTGGTCGAGCTCTTCTTCCTCCTGCCCTGCAAGGACCTCGAGCGATTCGGCGCTGGGCTGCTCTGTTTTGGCCCATGACGTCCAACCAGGAGTTCGGGGATCCTCGGTGATGAATCGGTGAGCCAAAGAGAACCCGATGGAGCCTGTAGCCTCATCCACAGATTCTGCAGCTGCAGAGTCGGCGACGAGGACCATATCCGGAGTTGTGGTGCGAATGTAGTAGATAAACTCATCTCGCCGGCCATGCTTGACTAGGTCCCGGTCAAGCGCGACGAGAGTCAACTGCAGAATGAATGAAACCACGCGCACGATGTGCGTTTCGATGCCGTTCGGTATGAGCGCTGCGACTGTCATTCCTCGCTGGACGCCTGCATCTTGCATCGCTTTGGCAACGACCAGCGAGGCATGACGAAGTTCCCCAAATGTCCATTGTAGACAGTCGACGGGTGGTCGATGCAAACTGGTTGTGGACAGTAGGTTTGCGCAATGATCCGCGGCTTGGTGGCAGGCGGTTAGGACTGGCGCATCCAGTTTCTTTTGCGCTCCATCCTCGAACATCTGCCACGTGGACTTGATGATTGCTTCATCTGGTGAAAACACCTCTGACGGGCGGGCCATGGCGGGCGACAAAGAGACAGGAGACGCGGAAGATTGGGAGATCAGGACGAAAGGAACACGACAGAGACTTACTCGTTGCTTTGTGCCAATTTTCACCCCTTCAATCACGGCCTGCACTCCTCTTGTGGCTGCATTTTCGTTGCATGCGCAATGATGTAAGTACCTAACCTCGCGATGGTGGGATTGCGGTAGCGGCGCGTGCAGGTGGCGTGCAGCTCCTTCACCAACCTCTTCTGGGCACAGCACCTGCGCACACACGGGTACTCGGCAGTTCTTCACGTGGCCCACGGAGCAGATGCCACCGGTACGTTCCCAACGTGTCATGCTCGCATGACGAGCATCTTGCGGAAATTTGCTCGCTGCTGCGTCTACAGTAGGCCCTGCCAAAAATTCCGGCGTCTGCCTCGCCATCGAAAACGAGAATTGTCCCCTGTGGAAGATGAGCATCAATGCAGAACCTGCACGAGACGTTCAGTGTCAAAGAGATGGCAAGGCGGATGAGAGTGGATGCAAGCTAACGTCCAACCGCGCAGCATGCCGGGCGCTCTGAGGCGATTCAAGTTCTTCTCGCCGCCCCACGCTCGCAACGTCCAACCCAACCTCACAATCAAGTAGTACAAAGCAGGGGCATTGGCAAACAAGTGGTCGCACGCTTTAGATCAATGTAACAAGCACTGTGTAACCCTGGCAATGTTGTGGTCCTTTCACGGCACTTCTCTGGTGTTCTGTTATACGTCGCGGTAATTGTCACGGTTTCTTGTCTACTTAATCCACTCCCTCCACCCATCCACTCTCTCTTCCCTCCACCAATATCCTATACCTCGCACATCCCCTCCTTTCTATATATTGCATATCACACCGCTGTCGACAACCTTCAAAGTCGACTATACCGACCGAACCCCCACTATCTAGAAACCTGAACTATACGGAAGATTCAACCTATACCCTCACCTTAAGAAACGGATCAGCAGTCTAGATCGCTTCATCGCTCCGGAGTAGGTGCACACTCTCACTGCCCGGGGCACTATCGCCAACAACCCTCTGGGCATGACTCCGCCCCAACCTCTCTGCGTTTTGGAGTTGGAGCGACACCAAGAAGCCTCGATGCTAGCCCCCTTCTCCAAATGCTACAACACTTGAGGCAAGGTCGTGGCGACTTGGATTTACGGCGATCTGAAACGGCGTCATCGGAAATGCTGGAACGGCCAGGGCACCATCCTCGATGAGATGCAGAAGAGGCTCGCGTACATCGAGCTTTCCAGCAACAACGTCACCGGCAGCAGAGCCAACATGGCAAACTTCCTCACCGTCATGTCGTTGATCACCGACCACCTGCACGGCGTGTACGGCGACAAGATGCACGAGCAGGTTGCATTGATCACTCCGTACGCTCGCCAAAAGCAGATGTACGCCGTGGCCTTCAACCGCCTCCGTCATCTGCCAGGTTGGTCTGATGCTCACCCCCCAATGCTCGGGACTGAGGACTCTGTCGTCGAGTCGGAGCATAATCATGTCATTGTGGACTACGTTGCCTGCGTCCCCACCCACAAGGAGCTGGGCTTTCCATCAAGACTTGGAGCATGCTGGCTATGGTGGTGATGGTGAGGATGGTGAGGGTGGTGGGAATGCCGACTCGCTGGACTAGAGATCCCGAGTTCACTTTGAAGCGCAGCAGCAGAAGCCATGACAAGCACATAGCATCTCTTTGAGCAGCCGAACACGATTGTTACATACCTTGTTGCCAGTTGTCCACACTCGTTGCTCTCCATATTTGAGACTCTGATCCCGGAAGAAGGGAGAAGAGGAAAGAAAGAAGAGGAGAAAGAAGAAGGAGAAGAGAGAAAGAAAGTACGTCAACGGCAGATATTCTTTCCTACAAGAAAGGGAGAGGAAAGAGAAAAGGCCTGAGGGGCGCTGGAAGGAGGTGGAAGCGGAGTAGGCGGAGGAGGAGGACGCTCTTTAGCCCTTGTCCTTCAATCGGAGAGAGACGAGGCTGGCAGCAAGGAACGTGGAATTGTAATGTGCTTTTCGTGATGAACACTCTTACGGTCAATGCACTGTGAAGAGTGGACGTAGTGATAATCATACTCGATTAAAAGATGCTACTTGCGCGCCTCTTGACAATCAACTTTCTCCCACCCCTCTGCGCCGCACTCACTAGCCCTGGCCGTTGGAGATATCGCCGGTTAAGCTTGATCAGGTTGTTGCCTGAGATCGGCAGGCCAGTCGTTCTCGTGGATCGTCGGCTTGGGCTGACGGAATAGCACACCACCTTGGTCACAGATCGATCTGTATTCAACCAAGGGGCTGTCGGCCATGCGTTGTCCGGACAGGTCGACGCGATGATTGCGCGATTTCTTCTTCCGCACTCCGTCTCCCGAGCCCGGTGCACCCTTGTCTTGCGAAGATTCCGGTGCACTCTTGTCTTGCGAAGATGATGGATTCGCTTTCGCCGGCAGCTTAGGATCGAAGAAGTCGCTGCCCACAATCCACAGAACTTTGCGCGCTCGTGTAAAGGCAACGCAAGCTCGATCCTTCAAGCGCATGAACCCCAGGCCACCGTGCGTCTTTGACGTAACAACATAGTCGAGAATGACGTGGTCCCTCTCAACCCCGGCCGCCGAATCGACTGTAGTGACCAACGGTAGCTCTTTCTCCGACCAGCCAAGCAGTCGAAGACGGGCGAATGCCGAGATGTACATTCGCCTCTGGCGGGCGTAGGGAGTGATCAATGCCACAGAGTCGTTCATCTTATGCTGATATACCTTGCGCAGCGGCCCTTTGATGAGGTTCATGACGGTCAAGAAATTGGCCATGTTTGCGCGAGAGCCTCCAGATTCCGATGAACGTCGCAGATTTGGACCGGGGAGTTCGAAGTAAGCCAGTCGGAGCTGCGTGTCGCTCAAGCTTGCATCTTTGGGATGGTGGAAGAGCTCCCTCACCATGCTCTCGAACCCCGGCTCAAGCGCGAATTTGTCTTCATTCTCAAGGCTAGCAATTGGGATGTCGTAGAAGATGCGATTGACGTGTTCCCAGAGGACTGAGTGCATGCGAGCTTGTTGCGTGAGCTCGATGAATGGGAAGCCGGATCGAATGAGTCGTAGGAAGAGCGATAGGCGGATCTGAGCGCCGAACTCGTTGTAGGTGGCGCTGTCATGGTCTCCGTTGCTTCCGTGAACGGAGGGAGCGAATTGTTTCAAATCTCCGTACATCCAGATGGATACGATCTTGTGACCCCATGTCGGATAGCACTGTGCGAGGGGGGTGAGCAAGGACGCCTCATGAATTGTAGTCGCCTCGTCAACTTCTAGCCAGACTCGGTCTTGATCGCCGGACGCGAACCATCTCCTCACCTCGCGACTTCCACAATTGACGGCGGTGCAGAGAAGGACTTTCGCATTTGCAAGCACGTACCTACGACATGCCCGCCATGCTTGGTCCATCCATCTCCACTCATCTGGAGAGAACAAGGGGTCTGAAGAGGTCATGCCATCCACTTCTGCAGCGTAAGCGGAGCGCCGGAAATTCGCGCCTTGGGTAGCCTGGGGACCACCGGCCAGGGGCGTCCTGACGGGAGCGGTGGTTTTCTTGACACGTGCTTCGTGAGCTGAGTTGATTCTGCGCAGGCTATCGCGGAGATACGTGAAGACATCAACATCTTCGGGCCACTTGACGTCCAAGACAGGATCACCGGACTCTGTTTCGCCGTCGGTGAACCGTATGCGATAGACGGTACCCTGCTGCAGATGCTTCCGTATGTGGCCTTCCACGGAGTAGTCGTCTATCTCGAAAAGTGAAGGGTCGGCTATCTTCCGCTTGTGCTCCAGAATAGTCCAAATTGCCAGTTCTTCTTCCGAAAAGTTTCCAGCTTGACTCTTTTCGCCATGATCTGCCAGGGACAGCACTGACAGTTGCATGGCGTATGCTCGGACGGGAGGCTCATCATCCGGGTAATACTGCACGTAGGTCTTGCACAGAGTGTCCAGAACGATGTCGGTAGTGCTGATGTATGCCACTTTGTCTCCGGCTTTCACTGCAGCGTGACCTTTGTGAACTTGCAAAAGAGTCTTTCCAGAGCCGCCGCAGCCGGCGACGAGACCCGTGCGGAATTTCACTGCTGTTGACATGTCGATAACCTTTGCTTGCATTGGTGTCCACGCTTCCTTCATCTTCAGCTCCTCGATGGCTTCCTTGGCCAATTCTTGATTGCTGCATCCTGCCCATGGATTGCTGGCTCCTTCTGTGAGGCCGTCGTAAAGAAGCAGGGGCAGTAGGTTGCCGCCCGATCCCTCTAATGCCTCTACATCATACGCCTTGTGAATGGCGTCGAGGTGAGAAGCAATGATCGAGTCGTTGATTCTTACGTCGATTCGTACCTTGAATCGACGTGCATTGATGGCTTGCAATCCGGCAGTGGCATAGGAATTCAAGGTCGTAGCATACTTGGCATTCACCAGGACGTGAATCGACGAGGGAGGCAATACACCCAGATTCAAATCTGTCGTGATTCCCCGGACAGTGACATCTTCGAGTTCGGCCTGCCCTTCGATGTGGAGCTCGAGCTTGGTATTGGGGTGAAGGGTTCGAACATTGCTCTCCAAGCCACTGTCGGGTATCGAGCTCAAGCGGATCGCAATAACGACGCTGTCAGCTACACTGTGGACGGTACAGACGTGAGTGTCGTTCTCCAGCGCCTTGAGTCGCTTGCACTCTTCGATGAAATCCAGGTGATGGCCATAACCGAGAGCAATCTCGCCATGCGTATTGTCGATGAAGCGATTAGCCGCGGGAATGGCGACAAAAGGCGTTTGTGCAGTAACAATGGTGTGACGAGAAAACATGGCATTGTGCCGGACGTTGGCGCGCTCGGAACTGCCCGGCTTGTACGCAAAGAAGTTCTTTCCTCTCCGCAAAGCACGGGAGACAGGGGTTTCGGTGGTAGCTTGGAGAGCCGGAAATTGTTCAAGAGCTTGTTGAAGTGCGAGAACTTCACCGTCGGCCTCTGCTCTCGCAGCTTCGTGTCGGAAAGGGTTAAGTCGAATGTTCACCTTCGTGCCCGACGTCTCGCAGACTGCTCCCAGGACTTTGAAGAAATCGCGCTCAGTGGAGGTGAGCGATGGGAAGTCTGGAGGGGGATTGAAATTGGTCACCACCGCGTAGTCGACGACGAATGACATTTCAATGTAGTATTCATCCGGGTCTGGAACTTCCACAGCGGTCTTGTTCTTTCCATGGACCTCGAGGTGCTTCCACGCGATCTCAAATGTGCCTGGTCGTATACAGTGGACGCGCTTGCCGGACTTGTGATCGTAGACGGTATTGAAGAAGAAAAGGACATTGCCGTTATGCTCGTGCGGATGGCGATTGGTTTTGCGATTCTTCATGCCACGGTGCAGGTGGAAACTGAGCTTGATTGCTGGTGCAATGGAAAGTCTGCTGAAGAATCCAAGAAGCTTGACTTCGCCTTCTGGTACCTTCTCGGCGTCGTAGGGTGCATCGAGAGACTTTCCGGACGGGAGGAAGTGGTTTCGTGGCATCTCCTCCGTCCGAAAGTAGGCGATACTGCAAGGCCAATCTCTGACGCCGAAGTAGTCAATGCCGTCCGAGGCCTTCACTTTCATGAGCTTCACCAACGCAGCTTCTTCATGCTCTTCGTGCATTGCTTCGTGATGTCCTGGCATTTTGGCGATGACCATGGGAAGTGGCAGTCGGTGTCCGTCGAATTGGTGACTGTTGTCAGCCTCGTCAGGGTCTTCTCGAGTTGTGGCCACAACATCGTTGGTGTGAGCATCCGCGTGAGGTCCCGGTGTGTCCGTGTCATCCTGTAGCGTTGCCATGGCTGTGTGCGTTGCGCGAGGAGGAGGCTTGGCGTAAGGAGGAAGTTTGGCGTAAAGATGAGGCTTGGTGTGGTGTGAGAAGAAGGTTTGGTGCTGAAAGCGAGGCTTGTTGTGGTGTGAAAACTTTGACGTGAGGATGAAACAGCGCGGATGAAACTGACCGAATCGTTGTCGAGTGTGAGGTGAGATTGGCCAGGCGAAGTGAGCGAAGAGGGCGACGGCGAAGTGAGGAACGGCGCAGGTTGTGGCGTGTGAACCAGAGGTTGAAAGGTGGCGGCAAGGAAGTGAGAAGAAGGAGGAGATGGGTGGTGTTGGTGGTTTCAATTAGCCCATTGAAGGGGGACCAGGGTCGGCGAACCCTCGAGGGTGGTAGTTGAATAGCCCTTTGCAGGGGGGCGAGAGTCGGTGAACTCTCAGGGGTGGTGGTAGGCGGCAAGGAGGTGAGGGAGAGGAAATAGGGGTGGGTGGTGATTTGAAAGCCCAGTGAAGGGGGACCAGGGTCGGCGAACCCTCGAGGGTGGTAGTTGAATGGCCCTTTGCAGGGGGGAAGAGCAAGAGGGGCGACGATGGGTGAATCGTCGACTGAAGATTCAAGAAATTGAAAATTCAAAGGTCTGTAGGAGGTGTGCGGCAGTATGACTGCCAAGAAAGTCTAATCGAGCGCGTTCTGATGACTCGCGCGGACGAGTGAGGTTTCTGGAAGGTTCCAGCGTCACCGTGAGTTCGGTTGCTGGGGGGGCGGAAGGCGGGAGCGGAAGACGGAGAGGATTGGAGGGACGATGATTAGTCATGGACGGCGTCGCAGCAGGGTCTTGAAACATCGAGGCATTTCGTAGTCTCTTACTAGGAGTAAGTTGAGATGTGTTCGCGTGATTGGAAACGTCAAACCGCCCTGACGGGCCTGGTCGCGATGACCATCCCCAATGTTCGCTACGCTGGCACATTGTGATCCATGTTCCAGGATATGGTATCGTCCCTCCCGGATGTATTTGGAATCTTCTCTTATAGCTCATGCGTCTTCTTACTTTATTTGGCCTTCTTACGGCAACACAGAGTACCGCAGGCGACTCCCTGATGTATGAAACCCAGAGGTGGCCAGCATCAAGCTGATAGTCTTCGTGCGACATCGTGCCTCTTGAATGGTTGAGACAGTGGCAATGCAGAAGATGTTCGAATTGGCTGAGGAGTACCGGTCTACTGTGGTGATGTCAACGGGTGGTCCGATGTACGTTTGGAAATCAGCTGCTGTCACCGGGGAAGAGGGAAAGATACTGCATCAATACGCCGCCGAGTTGCAGTCTACCATGCTATGATGGCGCATTTTATCGCTGTCGCTCGATTCCTCGATGTTCGCAGCGCGACGAGACCTACATTCCAGTCGAATACAGCGATGCGGCGGCCAGGTGCTGAAGAAGACACAAATGCGCGTACGAGAAGGCAAGCGATGGTGAGAGTTCACAACCTTGTCCGAGAACAAGTACTACCCAGTCGCACAGTTTTGCAGATGCACTGAAGCGTGGGGTGAGGGGGTTGAGCGCAGGAAAAGGCGTGGTCTTGTTCGGGAGGGATGAAGTGAAGTCAAACGCGGGACTTTGGGCTGGGTTGAGAGTGGAGCAACCCCAGCTTGCCCGGCTTGCCCAGATACGAGAAAGACGCATCGACATCGCAGCGTTCGGGCGGCAGGTCGCAACGCGCGAAAGCAAAATGCAGAGGCGTTTACACCACTCAGTAGCTCTGGGGAAAAAGACAATTCCACATTAATCAAATCGATACTTTTCACTGCCGCTTGGAAATCTCGCCGGAAAACAACAGCACGCCCCCCAGCCCCGACCCCGCGCACGCCCCAACTCACTCGCTCGTCGTGGACCTAGAAAGCAGCAAACCCTCCACGCACCTCAGCAATCCATGTGCATCAGCGAGCAGGCCGCGCATCGCACGTCTAATTCCTGAGTCCCTTCCGAAAGCCCGCTTCCTACTCGGTAGCAAAAGAAGACCAGTCCTCTGCTCCCATTGAGGGCCATGAACGATACCGGCCAGAGAGGATCAGACGCTCGGGAATCCAGTGGTGAGCAGCAGTATCCTCGAGCATCAGGGTTGCGGTGGATGATGGTGAGTGCGGTTCGCGCGGCCTGGATAAAAGACATGCAGTCTCCTCGCCGTGCAAGTCTTGGAACCATCCGTCTTTTCCCTTTCTCCCTATCTGCGTGCGTGCTCGCTCGCCTCTTCGTCATCATACATGCTAATAGAATGGAATGCCATTAATCAAACACACGCACAGCCCTCCTCGTCGTCGGACATGGAATGGAAGTATTAAGCCCAAACTCGTAGCTGCGTCACGGATTAGTCTAACGTCCTTAGTCTGCCAGATTTTGCGGGACAAACTCACCATCGAATCCCAAGAGCCCGTGCAGAGGGAGATGGCATCGTTGCTCACGCCCAGACAGCTCACGCGGTTGTCGTGGCCCGCGAGAGTGCCCACTCGCTCGCCGCGGAGGACGTCCCATACCTACACCAGTTGTGATTAGCAGTTGCTCCATACAATCTGTAGAAATTGGGACAAGTGGTCTCACCTTGCACTCAAAGTCGTCGTAGCCTGCGAATAATAGTCTGCCCGACACGGAGAAGGCGACGGAGGTGATGCCGCACACTGGCTCGCCGATCTGTAGAAGCATTAGCGAATTAGATCCTGTACTTCACTCCTTACAAGGTGTTCTTACAGTATAACTCTGCAACTCCCGATCTGCACGGATATCAAACAGCCTGCACGAAGCATCGTCCGATCCGGTGCCAAAAGCATTGCCATTGGGAAAGAACTGAATGGCGTTGATATCGGAGTCATGCGCCGCAAACGTCTGGCTGCACTTTTGCTGTCGAATATCCCACAATTTGGCAAAGGCATCACACGCGCCGGACACGAACTGGTTGTTGTCGAGCGGGTTGATGCTCAAGCTCATCACGTCGCCCAGGTGGTCGGCAAACTCGGTAATCTTCTGCCCCGTCTCGATATCCCATAGACAGCAGGTCATGTCGCCAGAGGAAGTGAGGATGCGGCGGTCGTTGATGAAGCGACAGCAGCTGAGGTAGCCGGAGTGCCCGCTGAGCTCGCGCGCCACTCGCGTCGGCCCTTCTCGCGCAGAGAGGTTGTAGATGGAGCAGATGTTGTCGAGGCCGCCGCAAGCCACGTAGTTGCCGCTGGGCGAGTAGGCGCACGTCATGACCCACGAGGAGCGCAGGGGAATGGCATGGACTTTGTTGGTGGTGTACGCATCCCAAATGATGAGCTTGCCGTCTTGCGAGGCAGACACGAGATGTCGGCGGTCCGTCGACCAGTGCATGGCGTAGATTTTGGCCAGATGGCCTTTGAGGGTGCGCTTGGTGCGCATGCCGAGGCGGGGAAGCTGTTCGGTGCGTTGTCGCGCGACATCTCGTACTGTGGGGTGGTAAAACGTGGTCAGCTATGCAAAGATCGGGCGCAAGGCTTGCAACAGGGGAAGCAGATAGCCAAAGGACAATGAAGGGGCCGGGGGACAAACACGCACATGTGGTATCGGCGAGCTCATCCTTCTTGCGCTTTATCCTGTCCTTGAGCGCCTCGGCGTCGCGGCGAGCAATTTGGATCTTCTGCTGAATGGACTCTGTATTGGCGTCGGCCATGGCGCGCGCTCGTGTCTCGGCCGGGGCCGACGGTTTTTCAACACCCGGAGTGCGCGGTGGCCGCCAGGGCAGATGGAGTCAGGTGAGACGAGGAAGATGCGAGAGGATTGACGCTGGCGTGCGGATGCAAACGAGCGACAAGAGGTGAGATGTTGATTGGGACTTCGAGTGTTGCGGCGCGGAGCTTGCACCAATTGGGTGGAGAGCTTGCTGGGATTGGGAGAGGAGAGGGAGCGCCGAGCGGCGGTGTTTGCGACGGGGAAGGAAGCAAAGGACGGTGGTGAGCTTGCTGCTGTGGCTGGCGAGGGAGCGGGGAAGACCAGCCAGGTATGCTGTCAACGGTAGAGGGCGGTGTGTGGAGAGGGTGAGGCGAACAGGGAGGGAGGTGGGACGGGCAGGGTGAGGTGAGGGTGGAGTGTGGAGAGCAGGAGGACGACGGCGACGGCACAGCAAGCTCACACACACGCCGACTGGTGAGGAAGGAGCGCGGCACAGAAACCCAAGCCGACCGGTGGTCCGTGCGCCCAAATGCTCACGCCGCCGTCCACCCACCTGCGCTGTCCAAACTCTATCCATCCCTGCGATGCACCTAATTTGCCATCGTGCATTGATACGGGCGGGGAGGAGCGATTGCTGGTGCGGTGCAGCCCGCCTCAAGCTCGAGAAACACCAAAGAGCTTCACATCGGTGGCGTCGGGTCGGCAACGCAGCAGAAGGTCGACGCGAATTGGCGGGCTCGGCAGATGATCGCCTAGGGGGAAACGCCTGTCAAACCCGCTGCGATCCCCGGCCGGGACATAGCGCCACCGGTGTCGTGCTAATGCGGGCGATAATCAAAGCCTGATTACCCACCCCCGTGGCACCGGCCTCGCCTATCAAAAGCCAATGCCGTTGCCTGCGTCCTCCTGTTCTCTGCAGACCGCAGTACGCCTGATGTGAGGTGAGAAGCGATGGAAGCGTTCTGCCGATGGAGCCATCTCGAATGCATGCGTATATCTCCATCCCTTCACTGCATCGTCAACACGGGTCCGTTGTTTGGTGCGCGCTTATCAATCCAAGCACTGCTACTTCACATAGCCTCGTCTATCGCCTCTCGGCTTATTCCCCATACTTGCCCGTCAAGAAACCCGCCACGGTAACCAGCACCTTCTCACGCAACTCCCCTTCCAAATGACACATGTGCCCACCACCGGGAAACGTCACCCAACGCACGCGCGGAATGAGCTCAAAAAACGGCGCGCACACCGCGTCGCTCGCCGTATCAAACTCGGCATTGTAGCTGAGGGTAGGAACGTTGATGTTCGGCAAGCGCTCCACGCACGTCCACTCCGACAGCGTGCCGGTACATTTGTTAGGCCCTGGGCCATACATGGACCGAAAGGAAGTAGGATCCTCCGCCTGATGTTTCATGCGCATCTCCAGCTCCGGCGGCGGGAACGGCTCGAGGCGGTAGAAGTGGCGTTTGAGCAAGACGAGGCCCGCAGCCCTGCACTCCGGCGAGTCGTAAGCGTCGTTGTGCTTGGCGTCTTCCATTGCCTTGCGCTGTTCGGGAGGAAAGTGCGCGATCAGTGAATCCATTGATGCCGAGAAGGCTCTGGCCGACGCCGTTGAACACGCAATGACCAAGCGGCGTAGCCCGCGGGGACGCTGAGTGGCGTACGCCGCAGCCAGCATGCCGCCCCAGCTGTGTCCCAAGATATCGAAGCCGGAGGGCAAGTCGTGAAGTCCAAGGTGCTCGATGATATTCTCCAGCTCCGCAACGAATCTAGCCTCGCTCCACACTTCAGCGTCACCGAGGAACTGGCGAAGACGCGTTGATGCTCCGCAGCCAATCTGGTCGTAGAAGATGACGGGAATGCCGTAGCGCGGCCAGAGGTTTGCAAAGGTGATGAGGTATTCATGTCCGGATCCGGGACCGCCATGGAGGGCTAGAAGAGGAGGCACGCCGCAGGTCAGGTCGCCGAAGATCTTGTAGCTCGTAAAGCATTCCGTATCTGGGCGTGATGGGAGTCGGAAGGCTACTTTGCCCTCTTTCGTTGGGGTTAGATCCATGTTTGCAAAGGCTGTGATTGGAATGTAAGGACTGAAGTCATTTGTGTCTGCAGAGGGCCTTTGATTCTTATACTGCCATAGGTTCTACAGTAAGCACTACCTAGGCTGGTAGATCCGGACCCGAAGCCCTCAGTCAGCGTGAGGTAATTGGGGAGTCAAAAATCCACAACGATAATCCACGCAGGAACACGTTGCAACAATAGAAACTCAGCACTCAAATCAACAGTATACAATCTATCTCCCCCTAGCCAGTCAAGAACCGCTCCGCCCCCCAATAATCATCATTGAACCTCACCGCCGTAATCCTCACCGGAATGCCCGCCCCATACGCCTCAATCATCTGCCCATTACCCGCATACATGGCATCATGATATACCGTCTGCGGATCGCTCAAATTCGTCGCATAGAAGATGATATCACCCGGCTGCAGATCCGCGCGCGCAACGCTTGTCCCCTGCACCCCGTGGCCAGTGTAGTTGGAGTCGGCCTGCGCACTCGCATCTCTGCCGATCAGGATGCCGTTGGCGTGATAGATGGTGTGCGTTAGGCCGGCGCAGTCGACGGAGTAGCCTGACGTTCCACCCCAGAGATAGGGGAGGCCGATGAAGCGTTGAGCGGCGTCCACCAGTGTTTGGCCCTTGGGATACGGGATAGCGGTCTCCGAGGAGTAGACTGAAGCATCGCTTGTGGAAAGGTAGGCTGAGCCGCCGCTCGGCACGGCGACTTGTATGGCGTCGCTAGTTTGTCCGATGACGGGCAATCTCGTGTCGTAGCTGACGCTCATGAAGACGTCGCTCATGTCCGCATCGCGGTAAATGTTAACCGAGGTGGCATTGTCGACCAGGGCAAAGGGCATGCTGGATTGCAGCGCTCCAAACCCAGTGTCGAGGGAGACTTGCGCCGCCGGCACCCACCCTGGATAGCCCAGCTTGTTCTTAGGCGTGGGCTGGCCGGTGGCGGCAATATGGTACCAACCGTCTTTGGCGTCGAGGATGTACACGAGGTCGCCATAGAGCGCTTGGCTCTGGGTGCGGTCTTGGGTCGTGAGGTTGAGGAACTGCTTGAGTGTCATGTCGTGTAGCCATTCCTCTGGATTGGCTGGGTTGGTCAGGGCTGGTGCATCGACCGGCCGTGGTTTATGGGGGTTTGTCCATAGTGTGGCGACGTCGACGGAGATGTAGCCAATTTGATGAGATGTACTGCGAGGCTGAAGCCGCGTTGGGTGTGCGTCCAGCGAAGCGGCGAGAGCGAGGAGAGTGGTGATGAATCGAGTATACATGTTGGACGAAGTGCACTTGCGTAGAATATCGTAGTCCCATTTCCTCAGACAGCTCAGCGATCGCTCGCATTATTAAGGAAGTTGCGGCCTTGCGGGGTTTCAACGACAGAATGGCACTGTATCTGGAGAATGTTACATGGTGTCCGGGTAATCAGCGTATAGCGCAGCTTGGCAGCTGGAGAGGCCAATCAAGCCCATGGCGATTGTCGGGCATACAGTTGCCCAAAGTCGACCAAGATCTGCGTTATTTTGGACGGAAGCGAGTTGGTGTATCAGCTTGTCGACGAGAAGGGACTTGGACTGACTCGTGGACCATGCCTCGCATTGTCTGAATCAAGCAGCCCGATCGTACGTCGCTGTCAGGCTCAGGAGCCATCTGCCATCTGGCTGAGTCCGAGGACCGTGACCGAGCGGTGAAATGCATCATTTTGTAGTATAGCTCATGCGGGAGGAAGTAAGATTAGACAATTGGACGGGCGAGGTACAAGCCATTACGGTATCGGTATGAGGTGTCAGACCATCGGGGCTCGGACTTCACGTGATGTCTTGTGCCTGGTCCTGGTTGTCTTTAGTGCCCTCGTTGATTAGTACTCTCGTTCACTCGAACCTGTCCGAGAGACAAACATGTTCCAGCCAAAGAAGGAGCGCAGAGATCGGAGTTCATGCCATATCATTCGCAATGTATGTGACACTCGTAGCTAAAGCATCAGCACCATGGAAGCCGCCTGAGTGCAGCAGACGCCCATCAAGAGTGAAAACTCCTCCCGCTCCGTCTTGATGTTGACAGAGCATCCACACCCATAACCTCTTCCGAACGCGAACCTCCTTCTCGAAACCCCGTTTACCGGTTCTGTTCATCGTCAGTTTTCCATCCAGGCGAGAGAATCGAATGACTCCGCGTGTGTGCCATACCTTGGTGAATCCGATATCCGTAGACTTCTCCCTAAAGCACTGACGGCAGATGTTGAGGCCATATTTGCGGATGAGACCGGCGGTGTGGGTGCAGACGCGGCTGTTTGAAGACAAATCCATCAGCATTTCCATTCTCCGTATCAAGACACGCTCCTGTCATCCCGCAATCTCACTCCTCCCACGCTCGCATCTCTTCACGTACCATTCTCTTGATCCCTTGCCGAATTTGCGCGGGCGCGAGTACCAGACGGACTCGTGCGACATGTTGGCGGTGCGGTGTGGTAATCGAAGGGCTTTTGTGAGGTGCGGAAGCTGGAGGAGGCGTCAGATGATGATTGCGACTAGACTGGCGCGGATGATGGATACCTGTTCGAGTGTGTGCTGGAGGTGGTCGCCGTGCGTGTGCCGTGGTCGAATGTCGATTTCTTCAGCGGTGCGGAATTTCGCTTCACGAATGTGTGCGCTAAAAGTGGGAGCGGGAAGGACCGAGACGCTAGTCCTAAATTGGTAATCACGCGGAGCGCTCCCATGTGCCAGCTTCCATGCTTCCATGCTTCCATTGAGGTGAACACACCTGACGACATTCGATGCAGCATTGCAGTCACTCGCATGCTGTGCAGTCGGCCGGGATGAATGGCATCACTCAGTGCTGCTACGTCAGCATCTCAGCAGCTCCCCTCGCGCCGCGACCAACCATGGCTTCTGCCTTCCGTCAGCCTTCCGAGTTCCCTCTTCTCCCTCTACCACATCTAACACTCAATTAGAACCGGAAGCTGCGCAATCTCGTCTCCCTGTCCCTTCGCAACCTCTCCCTCGATACACGCCACTCCGGCCGAACTCGCGGCAAGACGATTGACGATGATGCCGTACCGCAGACTCTCAAGAGCCCCGCTAAGATCGTTGCTCAGCGAGAGTTCCGCGCACTGGAGCACTCGAGAAGCTCGGAAGATTTGAAGAGTTTGAGCAGTCCTAAAGAGGATGAAGAATTTTCCACGACAGAGAAAGTCCAGCGCAATGGCACGCCACCTCGACCACAAATGCGGCGCATGCGGAGGAGAAGCACGCTCGAATGGGCCAATGCTACGCCGCAGCGGAGGCAGGAGAAGCTGGAGAGGGTGACGGAGGAGAGACTGATGGATGTATTCTTCACGTTACATGTTCATGGACTCGAAGGTTGGTAGGGCCAGCTTTCCGCGAGACTCGAGAATTGAGGGTGTCTGATGCGCGATACCTATTAGAGCCAATCTACATCTCGGAGACGGTCAAGAAGGCCATGAATCCTACCTTTCGACATATCGACCTGTCCGCCTGCTCACCCGGTGTCACGAGGGTTGATCGTGTCATTGTGCGGGTGTGGGTGAAGAAAGCCATGGCTGAAAGCCAATGGAAGCTGCTGTTGGAATTGGAGACGGCATTGCACCGATTGCAGTACTTGGGCAAGGGCGTACGTTGAGAATGATAACAGCAGTCCCCGCAAATACTGACCTCGATGCCAGTTCGACCAGTTGACTACGCCTTTGCCCCAGAACGCCGTCATTCTGCATCTCACGGATGGCATATACACCACCTTTAAAAACTTTATTCCCATGCCACCAACAAAGGGCGCACCAGCAGCAAGGGCGAATAACTCGCGCGTCCTCCCAACCTCATCATTCGATGCTCTCTTACGACTCTCGAAACTAGATGACAGCATTCAGGACGCGCTTGCCATTCGAAACCGAATCGCCTCGGAACTCGAGGATATATTCGAGGCCAATCGAGCAGCACTCACCGAGCAGGACCAGGTCTCGGAAGCGCAGGACCGGCTCAAAACGATAGAGTATGCGCAGAAAACGGTCGAGAAGCAGCTGGAGAAAGCACGCAAGCAAGCGGCGGAGAAACGAGAATCACTTATTGTACGGCGGAATCTCATGCGCAGCGATCTCTCGACACGTGAGGAAACCTCGCAACAGATGCACCGTTCGGCCGCCGAGGTGAGCCAGAGCAAAGACGACCGAGGCATCAAGCAGCGCGCCAACACTGCGCAGCGCAGGCGCGTCTGTGAAGATGTGCAGACCATCTATCCGATCCAGCCCATCGCCGGCCAAAGCCTGGCCTTTACAATTCGCAACCTGCACCTTCCCAACTCCGACGACCTCGAGGCCGAATCCGCGGACACAGTAGCCGCCGCCCTCGGCCACGTGGCCCACGTTCTACTCTTGCTGAGCTTCTACCTCGACCATCCCCTCCCATACCCCGTGACTGTGCGCGGCAGCACCAGCCTCATCTCAGACCCCATTTCTCTCCTCAAATCCACTTCCAAAATCACCACAGCGCCAGAAGACCCCAAACAGCGCCGCTACCCACTATTCTCCCGCGGTGTCCCGCGTTTCCGCTTCGAGTACGCGGTCTTCCTGCTCAACAAAGACGTGCAGCTGCTCCTGGAGAGCGGGTTTGGCGTTCGGGTGCTGGATCTACGACACACGCTGCCGAACTTGAAGTACCTGCTGTACGTGGCGACGGCGGGGGAGGGGGAGCTGCCGGCGCGCAAGGCAGGGGGTGTGAGGGGATTGAGTAGTGCGATGGGGAGCAGGAGGGGGAGCGAGAGGAGTGACGGGTCTAGCACGCTCGTGGAGAGTGTTGGGGCTGGGGAGGGCAAGGCGGCGGTGGAGAGTTTGATGCGGAATATGGGTGGTTGGGGGAGGAAGGGGAGTGCGTTGCGGTGATGGTGGTAGGCTGATTACTCGGAGTGTTCTATTACCAGCGAAACAATCTCAAGATCTGGTGATGGATGCGATGTCTTAGAGAGCCTGGAAGGGCTTCAGGTGCCTAAGGCATCCAGTCCGTTGATTCCTTCGTCGTCGTTGTGGTCTTTCACGCAAGGCACTGGCATCAGAGTGCCATGCAGTCTATTGTAAACGAATCCAGCCATGGCGTGGTCAATGCATCACCGCGCCAGCTCGCATCAACGGAAATGCTGATCTCTTCCAAATACCATTTCTCCCCGCGGCTCCGGAGCCTTGTCCGCCAACCGCAAGCAAGCTTTACCCCACTCCCAATGACCTCCGAACTACGACATCAGTGGAAACGTAAACATCCGTCCATCGATTGCCCGCCGTTCTTATCAGCGATCCCCCATCTTCGCCATCCGCATAGCTCTCTCTCATCATAGCTTGCCAAATCCCACTAGATTCCCCCTCTTCACCTTACCTGAGCTCTGCGTCCCCCAGCCATGTCTTCCTACCTTAGAACCACCACTCGCCTCACCCCCCTGCTTGCAACCCGAGCAGCCATCGTCCGCCCAGCTACAGCCTCCTTCCTCCCCTCGCACCGTAACGCCTTCGCCACCAGCGCAGCGAAAATGGCCGCCGCTCCCATTCAAGGCATCTCCAGCGGGCCCGCCCTCGCGGAGCTCAACGTACGCAACCCAACATTCTCCCACGCACACCCACTGACACTATCCCATTCCAGGCCGACATGATCCCCCACCTCCCCAGCCACAGCCCGCTCCTCTTCGCCCAAAAGAAAGCAAAAAGCCTCTCCTTCGAAGAGATTGCGCGCGCCCTCAACCGCGACGAAGTAGCCGTCGCCGCCCTCTTCTACGGCCAAGCCAAAGCCTCTGCCGAAGACGTCACGGCGCTGTCGAAGCTGCTCGACATCTCCGAGGCGACGCTGCTCGCGACGGACATCACGTCCATCCCGGACCGCGGGCGCACCATCATGCAGATGCCGCCGCGCGAGCCGCTGATTTACCGCTTGTTCGAGGTGGTGCAGAACTACGGGTATGCGTACAAGGCGGTGCTGAATGAGAAGTTTGGCGATGGGATTATGAGTGCGATTACGTTTAGTACAAAGGTGGAGAAGGAGACGGATGAGAAGGGGGAGTGGGTGAAGATTACGCTGCGCGGGAAGTGGTGAGTTGTTTTGTTTCTCTTGCTTCTGACGAAGAGCTCGTGCTGATTAAATGCCAGGCTGCCGTATTCCCGCTTCTAGATTGATCGGAGCTCGTCCAGGAATGAAAAGGTGGAAGGACGGAGGGAGATACACGATGCAGTCAGACTTCATCTCAAACGGAGCCGCCTGAAAGTCGTGACTGGGCCGCATGCAACTTACACGTGACTGACGCAATGTAATTACCACATTTACACGACGATTGGTAAAGGTCGCACAAACTTTTCATGCCTCTTCATCTCCTTACTTTTGGTCATTCATTGTTGGTCAAGAACAATTGTCATCGTTTCATCTCCATCATTCGTCCATCCTTACTCCTCGGGCTCTCCCGCGCTATCGACATTCATTCGTAGGTAAGACCAGGCCAAGCCAGGCGAGAATTGGCCGCAAACACACCCACTGAGCACAGTCACTCCTCAACCGCTGATTGACAAGCGAATCGCCAACCCACCTCATATCGGCGGAGACCCCACCAAGATCACAGCAAATCCGATCAACCAGCAACAATGGGCAACACCCACTCCAAGTCCAAAACAAACAAAACCAGCAACACCGAAAAACACATCTCCACCTCCACCTTCTCCTCCTCAACCACCACCACGTCTGCAGGCCCCAATTCCGTCTTCTCCACACCCAACACCAAAGAGACCGGAGGCATAGAAGGAGACCCGCACATAACCCATCCAACCCCCCACCCACGCAGCACGCGCAAGCACGCCCTAAGCGAGCTCATCGACCCCCAGGATCTCTCCATCGACACGCAGATCCGCACGCCAGACGGTACATTGTTGGCGCCGGAGCAGTTTTTTGTGCGGCGCGATCGGCCGGTTTGTTTGAGGGAGAGGCGGGAAAGGATTGTGAGGCGGGTGGGGGTTGCTGTTGCGGAGGCGAGGGCGAAGGTGGAGAGGGAGGAGATTGGTGCTGAGGAGGCGGAAAGGCAGAGGGGATGGGGGTGGTGTTTTTGAGGACGTGTTTTGTTGGTGGTGAGGGAACTCAGCCTCTTTCTAGCAGAGAAAATCGTCATGGACATTGATCGTCCATAGATGCGATGTGAATCCTCAGACCCTAGGTCCTACTCAGCTCGGCACGTGTTGGCCAGATAGTCGCAGTATAAGCCCGATAACATCCCGCCATGGCCAGAGATCCCCATCCAAAGAGGCCTCGGGTTTCCCTTTCCAAAAATCATCTGACTCTTAGTCGCCCCAACGCCATCGCTAGAAAGAACACAACGAAAAGCTCGTCACCTGTAAGCACCGGGCGACGAGCGAGCAGTCCTCGGCTTCTCTGCAGTGAGGAAAGAGCTTCAAAGGGTTAGTGAGAGAACACTTTCAGGGATCATGCCGATGCGCTTACCAAAAGGTGTACAAATGCATCTTGCCGGTCATCAGCTCCTGCCTCACATGAGCCAGGAGAACCTCGAGTTCCAGCTGCTTCCATCCGCCGGTGCGCGTGAAGAGGGCGAGCGTAAAGGCTTCGAGGGTGTTGTCAAGGAAGAGCGACAGGAACTCCCCGCCAATCTCCTTCAGTTTCTTGTCGTGCGGCCAGGGACCCAGCGGCACCAGCTTCTCCAGCGGCCTAAGACCGGTGAAGGGGAGTTCGCGAAGCATGTCGGGAAGGAAGGGGAAGATGTCGAATTGCACCTGGGGCGCCAGACGCCGCCATTCCTTCAGCCACCGGTAAGTGTAGCTGTCTTCCGGCACGGTGTCGTTCTTCCACCAAAAGTTGGCGCGGCCCTCGGAGATTTCTAGCTTGCCGCCGGGCTTGAGATGGCGATAGCATTGCTCCAACAGCCGCGGCCAGTTCTGGATGGCGCCGGCGAGGGTGCGGATGTGGATGAAGTCAAAGTAGTCCTCTTCGTACAGCCAAGGGTCGCGGCAATCGTCAATCTCAAAGCGGACGTTGCTCGGCACCTCTTCGTGCTGGATGGGGGAGAGGTCGGTGCCGATGATTTCGGCGTTGGGATACTGGTCTCCCATATCCATGGCCCAACTGCCCGTGCCCGTACCTATGTCGAGGATGCGGCGTGGATTGGAGAGCTCCGATAGACACAAATTCCCGCCGAGGACGAGGTTCCAGATGTGGTAAGTGGATTCTAAGCGTTCCTGCTCCCGATCGTCATTGGGGAGGAGGTAGATGCCGGGTTTGTAGGCGTGATAGCGTCGGCCGTTCTCGTACTCGTAGTCGAAAATGGATGAGCGTAGGGTGATGGTATCGCGGATGACAGACATGGTTTCGGCGAAGGTCGAGGGGGACTCGGCGGCCTCTGCTTCAACATCGACCGGCGGGTGGTCGAGTTCGGCGATTGGGGAGATGCCTCCAGTCGCGGGAGTGCTGATCGTGGGAGTGCCATTTGTGGGAGTCGTGTCCATGGGGGTCGTGTCCATGGGGTTCGTATCCATGGGGATGGTGTCCATGGGAGTGCCGTTCGTAGGAGTGCCATTCGTGGGGCCGGGGTATGGGTGAGCGCCATTGGGGAGAGCGCCCACGTTCCGTGTCATTTTGTCGACTCGCTGGACGCTGACAGAGAGTCGGTAGACAAATTCTCCAGAGGACCTTTAGCAGTCCTCACTGGTGGCGGGGCGATCGCCGCCGGCAATGTGGAAAAGTGGTGGGGGTGTAGGTGATGGTGCAGCGGGCCTGTCGCGAGATCAAAGGGCAACCATTCAGCAGGCCGGCGTTGCCTCGCGCAAGATTGAGCGGCCAAAAGGGAGGTCGGGGCCGGGGTGGGCTTGCATGGAGTGGTTTATGTACAGTTCGAGGTTGCACGGCAGGACAGGACCAGAGTATTGGGCGTCCCGGGAGCGTGGCAACCTCAAGGTTAGGCTTTGCGGCGGCACGTCAAAGCTGCTGCTTAAGCGAGGCCCATCCCCCGGTCACTCCTTCCCAATGGAACCGGAGCAAGGCGGCAGCAAGGCGGACAGTTGCACGCTGCTCGGCCGGGCCCCGCGTACGAATGCCAATCCCGTCCGTGGCTCTCGGCTTGCGTGTTGCGTGTCGCCTGCGTGCGTGCCGTGTGGCGGGGCATGGCATGCATGCAAGCTCCGGCTGTGGGCCGAGACTGCGGCTACACTCCCGCCCTCACGGCTCCTTTCCCGGTGGTGTGGGACGGGCGGACGCCACGCCTGCACTCTCGGGACATTTCACCCCACCACCTTCCTCTGCCTTCCATGCGCGGTTCGAGGCCCGCGTTATTTCCGCCGGGCTACTGGAAAGCATCTCAACCTCATCACGTGTTAGTCGTTGCTCCGTCTACCGTTACACTCTACTCTCGCCACCTCCTTGCAACGTGAACCCACTCGCTGTCCCATGCCACGACATCTGTCTGCCGTTAGTATGTGAGGTACCTACTAATGTCGTGAAATGGCAAACCTCGCCACTCCTTCCCGCTCGAGGGTACGAAGCAACGACACTCTTCAACAGCGCGAGAGCATGGCCCCTACGCAGGTGAACATATCTGCCGATTGGCGATTTAGTTTGTATGCACGCAAGTGTAGGTAAGCGTATGACCATGTTTTTGGCAAGGGCACCTGAGCCATACGCCTACACGCTCATGCTGAGATTCGCTCCTCGACAATACTTCATCCATCCCACAGTACACTCACTTCCTGCTCCCATCTCACTTCAACCCCGCGTTCACTGCTTGTAATTCCAACCCGGTCTCAGACGCCCTCGTGGCCCGCACGTGAACGTCACGTGCAAACACCGACCTGCTCTTTCCTCTTTCAGCGCCAATCCACTTTCCCCAATTACACAAACTCAACTCTCACTCACGCCAAAACACCCCCTCACCCCCAAACCATCTCCACCCTACATCTCCTCCCCAAAGCATCAACTCACTCAAGCAAACATGGGCAAAACCGACGAAACCGGCCAACTCAAGCCAATCAAGTGCACCATCGCAGCGTGCGAAATGCGCTTCGACACCCTCAAAGAAATGAAGAAGCACAAGCGCTACGACCCCGACCACTTCTACTGCAAAAAGTGCGACGTCGATTGCGCCGACTGGGAAGCGCTCACGCAACACAAAGTCGATGCGATGAAGCCATGGCTGCAAGGCCGTATGCCTGACCCGGAAGTCGAATCGCCCAAGCACATTGTGTGTGAGTTCTGCGGTGAGGACTTTAAGAGTTTTGGGGGGCGGAAGCTGCATCGTAAACAGGTGCGTTGATGGACTACGACAAACCCCTGACTATCTGATATGTCATTGTGAAGAGACTGACAACACTCATCGCAGTATCACGCCGCCAAGCAAAACATCGTCTGCCCCGGATGCAACAGCATCTTCGTCCAAGCGGGTTTGATGATTGCCCATCTGGAGCGCGGCGAATGCGAGACCATTACAAGACAGCAGTTCATCGGCAACGTGCAGCAGAAACAGATCGTCCAGGAAATCATGAAAGACCCCAACCGATTTCAAGAAGCCCTGCGCGAGAACGCGGAGTCGAAGCAAGACCTGCTCTCTCCTATGTCAGACGTGGGCGATGTTGAAGAAGGTGGCGTAGATCTCTTGGGATACGACGACGAGCATCAACAACGTAGCGTGGAGCCGATGCGTGCGGATTGCGATCTCATCGATTCGACCAAGCGTCTGGAGATCAGCAACACCTGGCCGTTCTTACCTGGTCAGGGGACGAAAGGTAAATGCACGTCACCGCAATACCCATCCCCACCAGACTCCGACAAAGACAACGCAGCCGCGTCCGAAAGCGTTGGCCCCAGCCAAGCAACAAGTCGTGGTGGAGGAGCAAAAGTCTACACAGAATCCTACCCCTCCTTGACCTCCCCAACTCCATCAACAGCAGTGACAGCGCGTCCAAGAGTATGGGCAACAGGCGCCACAGCCAACACCCTCTTCCCCGAAGCCAAATCAAACCCACCCCCCGCTGGAGACTGGGACGCAATCCTCACCCAACGCCGCGAGCACGCCACAGCAAGCACCAGCACCAACGCCTTCCACTCGCGCTTCTGGGACCCGCAATCAAAGGACTACGACGCCTCCATCTTCTACAACGCCGATCTCGCCCAATACACCTGCCCCTTCGCCGCCTGCGTCACCGTCGCCTACGACGAGCTCTCGGACCTCGAGGGCCACATGCGCTTCGCACACCTGAAGGACCATTATACGTGTCCGCAGTGCTTGAAGCGGTTCCAAACTGCCAGTGCGCTGATCAGTCATAGTGAGGCGGTGGCGGGGAGGTGTAGGGTGCGGGAGAGCGCGAAGTATCAGAAGTTGTTGGATGAGGTTAGTGGGGGGTTCTTGAAGGCGGAGCATTTGCGCGCGCCGATGGTGGCGAGTGGGAGGGCTTTGGGGAGTGATGGGGGAATCATGACGACGCGGTTTGAGGCGCAGATGCCGGGGGAGGCGTGAGTCAAGGCGGAGGTTGCTGTTCGATGAGTGGTTGATTATGGAAGCAGGGAAGATGGGAAAGGGGAGGGCGAGTTATGCTCGCAGTTTAGCCGACTACTAGGTAGTCTGAGCAGAAGCACTTGGGGGTGTCATGTCTCCACGAGTACCCAGTCCCACCAGGTACAAAATTCCCACTAACAATAAGTTAACACCACTACGGCGGCGATCCGTAAAACCCTGGCGACATCGGAGGGGTCTCATCGTTGATGTAATCCCCACCGCGCCCCATATCACAGCAGAAGTCTCCCACACAAAACCTGCTGCTCAGCTCCATCTCTCCTGCCACATAAAACAGCATCTCCAACCCCGAGTCGAACTCATCCTGCTCTGCGCGAGTCGGTGGCGCGCCTTGCCTCCACTCCGATTCGACCTCAATGCGCACAAGCTCGGGAATGACATACTGCCTCCACACCCGTCTCACGTCCATAGCAAGAAAGGTAACGTCGAGAAAGCCCTCGACGCTGTACCCGGTGTTGGTGCGCAGGCGGATCAGCACGTTTTTCTGCTCGCCGCCAAACAGCTTCTGCAGCGCGAAGGCATGGTTGGAATGGAAGCCGGGGTTGGAGGTCGCCGTTGTGCAGTACCCAAGATCGACGCACACGTTGCGCATCAGCAGGAACTGCTCTCGCACTACCATGTCCCGCCACGATTCGATGGATGGGATCCAGTCGTTCGCTTCTTTATGGGCCTCCGGCCCTCTCCAGTCGAAGTGTCGGGTGTCGAAGACAAAGAAGTTCAGGCTGAAGAAGAGTTGGAGCGTTTCGAGGCGTAGGAAGCGGCATGTTGCTGGGAGACCAAGGATAGCTGGCAGGCCAGGCAGTTCGGAGGGAGGCTGACATGTTGACGGGACGGCGAGGTTGAACTCCCCGCTGTCGTCGTCCAATATAAGCGTACGCCGTCCGAGTCGTAGAGGACTAGGGTTGTAGATGAGGTTGCGGACTTCCGGAGGGAGGCGATCGAGGGGTGAGTTTTCCATTTTGCAAACGATGACTTCTGCGAGGTGTGTGAGTGCTGGTGTGGTGATGCTGTAATGATGCGTTGGCGATTGCCGAAAGGAGGAGTCCAGACGTTGTCGTGAAGATTCATGTTTGGCTGCATCTTCGGATGATAAGGCCAGACTTCTGATGCTGCCTTCCTGTTCTTGACACAATCGTCTAAGGGAGTCGTGCCGCAGAAGCAGGAGGAAAGAGCGCCATCAACTAAGCAAGAACTGATCATTGCCACGCTCCCATGTGATCCGCAATCACCGCGGCAACACACGACTCCCCATCGCAGCACCGCCATGAGCCTGCTGCCCAGTCGGAGGCCCAGCAGTCATCAAACTCTGCAGCCCAAGATCTCTCCACGCCGGTTCGCGAGGCTTCTGCGTCGCACGTTGAATGCCAAAAGCTGCGTGCTGGTCCGGGATTACATCGTCCTCGTCGTCGGGGTTGATGGGCTGGTGCTGTCGCGCGACGGAGATTTCCTCGGCGGGCAGTTTGATGCGGGTGAAGTCGTCGAGCATGTCGGCGTGGTGGGATGCGTGGAGGTGCAGATGGGTGAAGTTGGAGTCGCGGGACTGGCTTTGTTGTCAGGGTGTGTAGAAGATGGGACGCGGGGATCCTACGTACCATGTTTGCGTCAGGTTGATGGTTATGTTGTGATTTCGGCCGTGTTCACGTCGTCTGGTTGTTGATGTCGCGGACATGAACTGCGGAGTTGCCGAAAGGAGTAAGGGCGGTATATGTGCCTTGCTACACCTCTCGCCCACCGTACTCGAAATATCGCCGCAAAGTTTCGAGCTCTCGTCCATTCAATGCGATTTGCGCATCCCTATCACCCACACGACACATCGCCTCGACCGGGCACGCACAGTCGAAGATGAGGCGATCCACGCCTCTCTTCGCCATCTACTCCTCCAAGTCAAGACCTCCCGATCTTGGCCAACACGTCTACGCCTTTCGACACAAAGAGACCAACCAGGTCTTGTACTCTCTCTATCGCAGTCTCAATGTACGTTGGCCGCCATGTCTAGCCGTCATCCTCTACACGCATGAGTGCTAATTCATGACATCGCACAGGGAACTCGCTCTCTCCTTCAACTCCCTGACATCGGCGCCAATACTGCCCAAGCGACCGGCACCATTCGTCGAGATCTATGGCAGCCTCTCTTCTCTGTCTCCTTCCCTCCAGCGCCCTCGCCAGCGAATCCGAACGAGAACGTGCAAGGCCTGCACGCGTATAGGCGACTTCGCGAATGGCGGAGACTACACGAGCTCTACTGGAAGCCGCCCGCCTCCCTCAGCCAACCCTACACCGAGCAGCAAAAGGAGGCGCTGCAGAAGAGGCTTGATGAGCGGGGAGGCAGCAAGAAGGAGACAATCTATAACTTGATCAAGCGCGAGAAGAAGAAGGTCCGGCGGCGGGAGGTGATGGATCAAAAGGCGAATTCTGTCGCAGATCTCGCAGCGGTGTTGATTGAGCAGCAGGAGGAAGGCGCTGTAAAGGGTGACCATTCATACATACAACGACGACAGCGCCGTTTGGATGAGGTGGAGGAAATCCGGGAATTGAGTATGGCCGCGAGTAAGGACGGATTCCAGAAGCTGGATGCCGAGATCGAGGCCCTGAAGCCCTACGCTGAGCGGCGGCTGGGTTACCGGAAGGAAGACGGCGCCAAGCTGAGCCAGATCCGAGCACGCAGGCAAATTTATGATGTGGAGGCGAAGAAGGCGCGGATGCAGGCTGCCGTTGACGCAGTCGCCGCGTACCGCGAGGAGTTGCAAAAGACACAAGAGCCGGAGAGACCAGCCAAATTGTCCACGCAGGTAGAAGATCTGATTCCCAAAAACGACCTGGACCAGCAAAAGGCTTTAGCTGCTGCGCAACAGCAAGTATTGGACGGAAGTCTGGCAAAGCGAATCAGCAAGCAGGAGGAAAGGGTGCAGAAGGCTAAATTGGCGCAGGAGCAGGCTGTCGAGCACCTGCAGCGAATGGAGCAGCAGCAAGAGGAGGCTCTCAAGATGCAGCCGGACCCGGTGCCGGCTCCAGACTTTGGGCAAGAAACAGAGCAGAGTGATGCAGCTCTGGCGGAGCCAATGGAAGCCCAAGCTCAAGCTCAGAAAGAGCGCCAGCACGCTCAGGCTCCGATTCAAAGGGAATACAAGCTGGCTCTCAAATACGCCCAGAAAAGGGTTGAACAAGCTCAAGCTCGGGCTCAAGGACGTCTCGATACCGCCAAAACCCGGGTTGAACAGGCTCCAGCCCTCATTGCCGAAGCCCAAGCCGAGCTCGACCGCCTTACAACCCTCCACAACGAAGCCCTCGCCCGGAACTCCGCCCTCTTCGACGACGCCAACCGCTCCGAAACTGAAACTCCCCTCTACCCGCTCCTCCCATCTCTGCCCCCCGCCCCACCCCTCCCAGCAGACCTCTTCCCCCCTAACGCCCTCCGCGCGCACATCCGCGCCCAGAATCGTCAGCAAACGCCCTCTTTCAGCATGCAAGGCGTGCGCATCAAATGGAGCGATCCTCTCGATGCGGAGTTTGCGCAGGCCTGGCCGCAAGCCGTGGAGCATGCGCCTATGGGGTTCGCGCGGCCTTCGGGCATGCCGAGTCCGACGGCGCCGCCGATCTATGATGCGGCGGAGAGGCGCGAGAGGGCCTATTCTTACTTGGCGCGGAAGGGTGAGGCGAGGAACCGGGCTGTGCGGGAGAGGGCGGAGGCTGTATTGAGTGCTGTCGATGGGGTTGCTCGTCAGGGAAGGATGCAGAAGCGGAGGGTGAAGGAGGAAGCGGTGGCTGTTGCTGACTGAGCTGTAGTACGGTTTTCTGGCTCGTTGCAGCATTTGGCTGCCGGTTATCCTGTGCTGGACAATGGATGATGCATGCGGGAATTGTGTGGGATGGAAGCATGGCTGGAGCATAGTTGTATATATATCGCACCATAGTGCGGACGAGACCTTTCAGTCGACTGGTAGATCGCTGCTCAAAAGACACTTCCGAGTGACGTGAACTGGGGTTTCTGCATAGTACATACAAGAGTGTAAAGTTCGACATACGTATCTATACCCTCTCTCGCCTCGCTGTACAGCCCAGAAGCAACAACCAATCATCGATACCTCTCCTCCTTCAACCGCCTATAGGGCAAAGGATAGATCCTCTTGCGCTTGAACTCCACGTCCCAACCTGGAATGCCGGCCCGGCGCATCACGCCCGCCGTACCCTCGTCCCACTGCGTGCGGAAGAGGTCGACGCCGACGGGATGCAGGCTGTACTTGTCGACGAAGGAGCGGAGGACGAAGTTCTCGCGTTTGCTGTAGCGGGCTGCGGAGAGAATTTCCTGCACGGGGAGATTTGCCGGGGAGGATTGCTCTTCTGTCGTGCTTGTGGATGTCTCTTCCTCTGAGATGCTGCCTTGCTGCAACACGAACACGCCCATGCGCTGGTAGTCTAGGCCTTTTTGCGCGAAGGCGGGAAGCCACGGGAGGATGACTTGGGATTCGGGGTCGAGGGAAGCGAGATCTACGCGCGTCTGCGTTGGGCTGATGGAGATGTTGGAGGCGAGGAAGTGGCAGCGGTAGCCGAAGCCGTCTTTGGCGACGTTGGGGACGTCCGGGTTGATGACGGCGATGGTGACGAGGCGCTCGCCACGATCGAAAGGCTGGATGTTTAGGCTGGGCGCATCTTCGGACAATGTAGACAGCACCAGCCCGCCGTGGGGAATGTCTTTCCTGCCAAAAGAGAGCGAGACGGCGATGGTGGGGTCGATGTGCGGCAGGATATCCGGGACGACATTCATCTGCGTGATGCGCTGCACGAGCACCTTGCGCTTGTAGCTGCGCCACTTCTTGTCGGCGAGGTGGCGGTAGATGGGCTTGTTCATGTCGCCCAGCCCGTCCTCGAACTTCTTGCGCACGAGCGGGTCGTTGATGTCGGCGAGAATTTTGAGCTCCTCGAGGTGCTGCCGCATGTCTCGCAATCGGCGCTCTAGTTGTTTGACGGACGGTTCGTCTCCTGTCGATTGCGACTGTGCCAGACTCGTCTGGACCTTTTCCATACGTCGCCTTTGTTCTGCAATCTCTGCGACTTTTTCTACCCGGTCTTGCTGCAGGACTTTGCGCGCTTCTTGGAAGCATTGGTAGGGGAGTTGGTGGAAGGGGATGCTGGGGGTGGAGGCGATTGCTGCGCGCCGTCGACGGGAGCCGATGGGGTAGATGCCATGTTGGGCGATGAGTCGTCGCTCGGATTGTGGTTTGTGAACTACAGCCGCGGATGATTCTGGCGAACGGAAGGGGTTGGCGGGCAGAGGTGGTGATGAGGTGGAGGTGATGTCGGTGACTTCTTGTCTGGAGGCATTCGATGTGGTGAATGTGCGGATTTGCAGATTGATCCTCTTGAGGCCGGGACGCTGCACGCAACGCGCCATTGGCCTGCACGCCCCTTCGAGAGCCATGGTCATGTGCGATGAAGAGGCAGAGTAATGGAGCTGCCCGAAAATACTCGAGGGCGACGTTGGACAAGCTTTCCGGCCTAACCAAATTTTGATGGACATTTCAACGACATCGTCCTAATTTAGACTAGCGTCGTCTGCGGCGAAAGCTTTCACCTCCGACACGCTCAAGTCGAGATCTTCTTGTCCCAGCACACACGCATCGACACCCACGCCCGCAGCTACGCCGGTGATCGATGGCGTCTCACCGGGCTACCTTGCCTGCACGGCACCTATTCAATGGCTTCAAGAAATACCAGCACCCGCTCCAAAGCGTGCGATGCATGGCGACAGAAATCCAGATCCCCCGTTCCACCATCTCGCAGACCTATCAAGACGCGCACCTGACATCCGCTGCCACCGAGCCCATCCTCAGAGACGACTTCAACATTGCCGCCGGTGCTTCCAAAATTACGCCTTCCCAGCAATTCCATCCTCAGCGAAACCCGTTTCTGGCCTCCGCCCATTGCACCGTCTTCGACTTTCCCTCCTTTGAACCGACATCTGTCGCTACATACCCCAGCACACACTTGCTGGTACCCATGAGGAAAGATATCCTCCACCGCGCTGTTGTATACGAGGGTGACGCCACGCGCCAGGGAACAGCCAACACGAAATGGAGAGCCGAAGTGCATGGCTCAGGGAGGAAGATTCGCCCGCAAAAAGGCACAGGCATGGCGCGATTAGGGGACAAGAAATCGCCTATGCTGAGGGGAGGTGGTGTGGCATTTGGACCCAAACCGCGCGACTTTGCTACCGGCTTGCCGAGAAGGGTCTACGACTTTGCATGGCGAATTGCCTTGTCCTATCGCTATAGGCAAGGCGAGCTCATGCTTCTGGACAACGAGACGAGCCTCGAACACGTCCCTCGCGAGAGTCGCGAGCGCTATCTTCGCGAGCTGCTCGTGCACAATCATCTCAGCAACGCAAGTGGAAGAACGCTCTTCGTGACATTGCAGCGGCAGGAGAGTTTGTACGAGATTCTGGAGGCGGGCTCCATGGGCAAGCATGCATTAGCGAAAGATGTCGATGATGTGGATGTGAAGGACCTGTTGGAGTTGGGCCGCATTGTGGTGGAGAAGCGGGCGTTGCATGAGATTTTCATGAGACATCAAAGCGATTTGGACTCGAGATTGCGACTGAGTGGTCGGGGAGATGCTCCGGAGGCGATTGAAGGACAAGCGGCTATCGCATAGTAATCGAATGCTACGCAAGGGCTGAACTCGTGCTTTCTCGAACGCTCCTTGCGATCCTTGTTTCTCCACCTCCAACAAAAAAGAATGCGCATCACAGACTCCGCATTTGGCCAACAATATCTGGCATACAACGACGTGCAGGCCGGCAGCTCGTTTACTAGGCTGAGAGGCGGAGCAATAAGAGGATCACAACGCCTTCCCGGATTGGCATGCGATGCGCTGGGAGCACCCCGCAATTTGTTCCCTCATCTTCAGCCTCGGGCACTTCGCCAGCAGATCTTCCTATTTAATCCCTGACATCCATTGTCACCACATCTTTCAGCATTAAGCTCGGCGAAAATCGATCAGGACACGTCCAATTCAATCGCCAGTCAATCATCAACTCACCCGCAGGAATCATCGCACCAGTCAAACAACAATGTCAACCCCAGGCCTAACCTTCGTCATCTCACGACCAAAGGATCCCCAAAAGACGTCCGACGATCTCTACAACCGTTTCTACAACGAAGAACACCTCCCCGACATCGTAGCACTAATGAAGCGCCTCGACTTCCCCGCTCTCGCCCTCCGCTACCAAAACGCCGACCCGGCATCGACTCGCATCCCCTACCTGGCTCTGTACCCCTACCCAGACACGGCGTGGCAAAAGACACCCGAACGCACGAAGTTCATCGAAAGCACGCGCCACAGCCGCGTCCTAGGCGGCGACATTTACGAAGCGGTCGACTTTGGTTTCCGACTGTACGAGAAAATCCAAACGTTCGAAGGGTACGGGCACGCGGAGAAGAGCGGGCGCGAGCGCGGGCAAACGATCGTGTGCGTCGCCATGGAGCCCGGCGCGAGCGAGGAGCAGCAGGCCGATTTCGAGGACTGGTATCGCAAGCAGCACCTCGATATGCTGAGTATGTGTAAAGGGTACCGGCGCACGACGCGGTATCGCCGGACGGACGGGGTGAAGCCGCGGTTTCTAGCGTTGCATGAGTATGCTTGCGAGCCGGACGAGTTGCCTAGTGAGCAGATTGCGCAGGTGAGTGCGACGGAGTGGACGAAGAAGATTCTGGCCGAAGCGGAGGTGTTTGAGAGGGATGTTTTACGGCTGGTGCATGTGGAGGGGGATGAGGGGGTGAAGTTGTGAGGGTGGGCACCGATGGAGAAGGGCCAAATCAGGAGGAATATCGATTCGGTGTATACATCAGCAATGTTCTTGATATAGCAGACGATGTGTTCGGCAAGTGTTGCTGCGATGTGGAAAGCTGGATGAGTCAGAACATGAACGACATATGGACGAGATGCACCATGCACTATTGACTGCCTTCAATCACAGCCAAAATCTTCCCAAACACCAAACACTATGACCAGTAAATACAAAATTTCGAATGCGTTCCAAACCATCAAACGAAAAGTAACCAACCTCCTCCCGACACACAATGACCCACACGACAACGCGCCTCGCCCTCCCCTCCGACGCAGAAACCATCGTAGCCTTATCCGCCCAAGTGCAACAACACCTCACAGCCTCGGGGAGCCTACAAGATATCGGGCCTCTGAAGCTAGAAACAGTCCTGACTGCCGCGCACGAAAAGCGAGTCTACGTGCACGAAGACGCCCAAACAAGGGAAACGATAGGCTGCGCGTTCGTGAGGCCGATCGACGAGCACTACTTTCCCCCGAGTTCTGGTGCGGACTTTGACATCACGACGCTCGCGCGGCCGTGGCAGTACGTTCATACCGTTATGCTGCGGCCGGAGGTGCAAGGGCGTGGGCTTGGGAGGCAATTCTTTACGGATGTCGTTGAGCTGCTTCGACCTTGTGGGGGCACAATTCTACTGGATTGTTGGGCGGGCAACGACAAGCTGCGTGAGTTTTATGCAAAGTGTGGGTGTCGATTTGTCGCGACGCTACGAGAGGAGGACTACTACATTGCAGTGTTTGTGTACGAATTGGCTGAAGGGAAGGGGTAGCAACGGCTCCTCCTTGGCTTCCTCCTCGTTCGCGCCCCGTCCTCCGTGTTTGGCAGCAGCCTCTCTAGCCGAACTCGGGCTTCTGGTCCGCGCCCTCGACCGCCTTGGAGTATCCCAATCGATCCTTGGTGTAGAACTCGACGGCAATGGGGTGGTTGGCAGCACCGCCGTTCAACCCGCCGGACTTGACGCAGGTGACGTCTGGCATGATCTCAAGCTCGGTGTAGAGCGAACTTCCGCAGTTGGAGCAGAACTATTGATATCGCAAAATCAATCAGCAATGCGGCTAGGATTTGGCCGGATGAATTCGAGAAGACGGACCCAGTGCTTGTTGATCTTGCCCGAGTTACCCTTGGCATCGTAGTCCTTGGGCTTGCCCTTGGTCACTTTGAAGTTGCCGCGGGGCACGACGACATTGCTGGTGTAGGCGGCGCCTGGAAGTCGAGCGGCGTCAGTCTTGCTTCACACTTCTGGCGAGCAGGGTAGGATGTACATACCAGTCCACTTTTGGCAATCGGTACAATGGCACAAGGCAGTCACTGCGGGCTCGCCTGAATTGAGGGAACCAAGTAAGCATTCGCAGCGCCGACTTTCTCCAGGTAGACCATGCGTTGCTCACCAGTGTAAGCGTACTCAATCTCGCCGCACATGCAAGATCCGGATGCCATGATTGCAGATAGATGGATGGATTTTGAATGACAAGTAAAGTATGAGAAGACGGCGAAATCACTCAAGTCTGAAGATGTTGCGGGAAATGCAAAAGAAAAGAAAAGGTGCCGGCGCGGCAGCAGAAATACCTTATGTACGCGCCCCCCTCCCTCGAAAGGTCGGCGAGATGGCACGTAACAAATGGAGCGCAAGCTTTGCTGCTACCCCTCACTCTCACCACGGGGTCGCGGTCGGTAGCGGGCAAAGGTCGCACAGTAGCGTTTCGCCGCCGCCCTGCTCGGAAGGGCGGATGTCCGTTCACGCGGGCCCAATGACAAAGCCAGAAGCGCGGGCTGGACGAAAGGAGCAGGATGCGGCTAAGGTTTGGAAGCACTGTGCACGCTTCTGAGGGTGTGGGAAAAGGATAGGAATGAAGGAGATGGTGCAGAAGGGTGGAATGGAGTGAAGAGAAGGGAAGAAGGTCGACGGCGAAGGTGCGAGTCGTCCTTACTCACCGTCGATGTCGTCAGTTGCTCTTGACCAATCATTGGTGGATATTTACCATCAAGGTCGAGTCACGTGATTTGAATTCTTACGTGATCCGACACTCTCACGGCCTGAAGTAGACAGTCCGCATTGCAAGAAGCGTCTCTGGTAGAGGACCCGATCCTCTCTATTTGGCTCGCTGCTCTGGACATGTTCCAACACATACGAGTGGAGATTCATCGCGTCCTTACAAAAAGTTACCAATTGGCGACCACAGAATTGCCCAATTAGGAAACTCCGCTCCGCTGTCCATCCAAATTTATTCCCAACTTATTATTACAGCATCGACACCTCAACCCACGCCGTCGTAACATCCACCGAGCGTAGCTCAAACGCAATGGCGACCCCACGCTGTACCACCACTACCTCTCAAGCCCTCTACCGCGTCTTCATCGCCCCTTACCTCCCCAAACAGCAGCCCCGACCGCGACCCAAACTCCCCTCCACATACCTCACCAGATCTCTAACAACCACATCCCGTCTCCACGCCCTCCACCGCGCAAAGGCCGTCCCAGAGCAGCGCCGCGAACTCTGGAACGAAGAGATAACCGCCAAAGTAATCCACCTCATCGACCCCGCAACCAACACCCTCCTCCCCCGCCCACAAACCCGGTACGACACGCTCCAAACCCTCAACCTCGAAACGCACCGCCTGATCCAAATCCCGGGGCAATTCCACCCAGAAGACAAGCTGCCCATCTGCAAAATCGTGTCCAAGGCTGAAGTCTTCGAAGCGAAGCGCCGGGCGCAAGCGGAAGCAAAAGAGAAGAAAAAGTACGAGGGGGCGGCGAAGACGCTGAAAACGCTGGAGTTGAATTGGGCGATGGATGGGAACGATTTGGGGCACAAGATGGGGAAGGTGAGGGAGTTTTTGACCGAAGGGCGCAAGGTGGAGGTTGTGCTTGCTGCTAAGAAGAGGGGGCGGAAGGCGAGTTTGGAGGAGTGTGAGGGGGTGTTGAAGAGGATACGGGAGACGGTGGAGGAGGTGAGTGGGGCGCGGGAGGCGAGGGAGATGGAGGGCAAGGTGGGTGGGTTTGCGAAGTTGTTGTTTCATGGGAGGCCGTTGCACAGGCCTTCAGCTGCGGCGGCGGCGACGGAGTAAGCGGAAGAATGATGTCGGATACAAGTACATCCAACAGAAACTACCTACTTCTTCCCCTTCATCTTCTTCGCCAACCGCTTCTCGCCCCGCACATCCTTCTTCAACCTGGGATCCACCATCTTGTACTTTCCCTTGACACCCCTAGGCCGACCAGCACCCTTATTGAAACCCCCCGCCCGCACAACCTTGACCTCCTTCTTCTTCTTACTGCCGCCCGTCTTCTTCGCCTTCGCCATCAACGCGGCGATATTGTTCGCCGCATCGCGCTCACTCATATCCCCGCCCTCCGCCAAGCCCTCCGACTTCCTCTTCAGCTTCTCCAGCCGGCGCGCCGTGCGCAAGTGCTTGCGCGCCTTGGCTTCTCGGACCTTCTTGATGGGTCGCGCATTAAGGGCGCGCAGCTTCTCCTTGATCGCTTGCGCTGCTTCGGCGCTGACGGGCCGGTGTGGTCGGCTGTGTTTGCCCTCATCGTCGAGGAACCACTCCGGGAGCCCGTCAGTGTCGCGGTGCGAGTACTTGTTAAAGATGTCGTCGGCCAGTTGGGCTTTGGTGGTTTTACCCGTTGCGAGGGCGTGGGCGAGCGTCATGGCTTCGGCGGTGATGATGTCGATGTTGGGCCGGCCTTCTTTCTGCTTTGACGAGGATTCGTCGTCGTCGCTTTCCCAATTGTCTTCTTCTTCTGGCTGAGCTTCTGCCACGTCTGCGTCGTCTGAGAGTTCGTCATCGTCCATTTCGATATCGATTTCGTCTGCCTTGCCACCCGCTTTGGGCTGCAGATCTGGACTGGCAACGTCAACACCACTGTCTCGCTCCTTTTCAGCTTCTTCGTCGTCATGCTCGCTTGCATCATCCATCCCCTCAATATCCTTGAAAATGTCCCGTTGGAAAAAGGTGGCCGCTCGACCAGACAAAGCACCTGGCGCTGTCCGAGGCTGCAGCTCCGTCATCAGCTTCCTTCCATCTTGTTCATCGTCAAGATCGTCGGCCGAGTCATCTTCAATGAGATCGGCATCAGAGCTGGCATCCGTCTCGGCACCCTGATCTTGTGCATCAAATCCCTCGAATTCGTCATCCTCCATGGCGTTGGCTTCCCTGCGCACCCGCTTCGCTCTCGCTTTGGTGTCTCTATCCTCGCGTCTGGCTTGATAGTCCTCATATAGGCTGTCCAACTGCCTTTCCAGCCCGTCCTCCTCTTCATCACTCTCCTCTTCTTCACTGTCCTCCTCATCCTTCTTCTCCGGCTCCCGGACGGCGGAGGTCAACATTCTACCCCGAATGATCTGATCCCTCACCTCCGAGCGATCAACGTCCTTCAGTTTGAAGGTAGCATCACCACCCTCGGCAGACTCAATACCGATTTCCATGGGCGTCGTCATGTTCATCTGCAAGCGCACAATCTCCTTTCTCTTCTTCTCGTTGTCTCGTCTTCGTTCCTTGCGCTTCACCTTATCCTGCATATCCTTCATATGCTGAATCTCTCCCTGCAAGCGCATCTCGTCGTCCATGGACTCGACGGTGGCCACCTCTTCACCCACCAGACCGTCCGTGGCTGCAGCATCGGCACCACTTCCTGCGGTCTTGGCAGTATCGGATGTCTTCTTTACTCTCAGGCCAAATATCTCTCTAGCCTTCAATCTCCATCTAAGCAGCAGCTTGAACTCTTTGCGACCCAGCACCTTGAGATCCTGACAACATATGCGCACCTCTTCCGTAGTCTCGGGAAGTCGGTCGAGCGCAGCAAGCGCAATATCGTCTCCATTCTCCTGTCGAAAGTGCAGCTTGTTGAGCCTGCCCAACATCTCAATCGGATCCTGCGTTTGAATGAAGTTGGTGGCCGGCTCTTCATGGAACTGCGTCCAATCCCCCTCTTCATACCCGTCTCGCTTCCTCCTCTTCTTCTCCGGATTGAACACGCGCGCCTCGTTATTCACCGCTGCCGCCTCCACCTCTGCAAACGCAAATTTGGAATCCAAGAACTTGGGGTCCATATGCCGGGGCGCCTTGTACCCCCGACACACATAAAAGGTCTCAGCGGAGACGTTACGGGAGGAGGGCGGCTTGGTCTGCTCGACGCGGGCGAAGAGCTGCTTGAAAATCCACTCCAGCTTCGACGAGTCCTTTGATCGAAAGACTTTGGTGACAAACGTTCCGTTCGGCGCCAGGAAATCCGTTGCCAGCTTCAAACTCGCCAACACCAGCTCGTTCTGCGTGAAGGCATCCTGCACCCACGCGACACCCACATTCGGCGCACCATCATGCACCACCGTGTCGGCCTTCCAGCCCTTCAAGTGGCCGCGGATTGTCGCCCTGCATTTGTCGGAGGTGATGTCGTCTTGGAAGGTGATGGTGCGGGGGATGGGTTTGATGGGGGAGAGGTCGACGCCGATGATGAGGCTCTTTGCGGGCATGGTCTCGGCGGCGACCTGCAGCCAGGAGCCCGGGGCGGCGCAGAGGTCGATGAGGCATCGCGAGGACTGCAGGAAGGAGAATTTCTTGTTGAGCTGGATGAGCTTGAAGGCGGCGCGCGCGCGGTAGTTCTTCTCCTTCGCGAGGTAGTAGTACTTGTCCAGCCGCGCTTTGGCGTGCTTCTTCTGGATCGCCATGCTGCTAATGTGTTCTGCGCGAATGGGATGCTTGGAGTCTTTCAAGCCGAGTCCGGCGCGGTGCTCGCTTGGTGAAGTTCGAAAAAAACTAGAGTTTCATGATTACCAAAGCCAGGGCGGGTCTTGGCACGCGGCGGCTGCTCCGAGATCGCCGGCGTGGTCTGCGGGCCGTTAATCGGATATGCCCCGCGCCGGCTCCGCACAGGCAAACGTCGAGGTGAAGAGACTACGCACGTTCTGGCCCTCATAGGCCTGGACCCTCGTGCAATCCACACGCGAGATGAAGCGGCACGATGAAAAGTGTGTCAAGCGCCCAGTTCATCCACACCGGCTCGTTGCGACAACTACCTCGCTCTATCTCCATGCATTTATGCGATGAGCCTCGGCCCGAACCCCGTCTCCATGCCCAGCGCCTTGTCGAACCAATGCCCCCCCCCGCCGACCATGCCATTCCTCCTCAAGAGGCGGAGGAAATCACCCTGTTAATACATGCTGACGACATCGGCCGTCGTGCTCGTTGCTCGTTGCTCGTTCCCACGCTCCCATGCCCGCTCAAGAAGAGCTCGTGTCGCCGTTCGTAAGTTGGCCGTCTGAATTCGTGCTGGGAGGATGCTTCTCCTTGTCGGGACACAGGCCTTGCTCCGCCGGAATGTCCGTCATGATCGGTTCGTGCGCAGCGATGCACCACGCTGGCGGCTCCCTCCTCCTCGCCGCCTCGCACATCTCGCGCTCGACGCGGTAATGCCCGCACAGCTTCCAGCACTTGCGGTTCACGTAGCACATTTGTCGGGGAATATGCCTGCCGTGCGCTGCTGTTTGGGGGCTTTGACGATTGCAAGCCTTCGGGATCCGGAGGAGCGACGGAGGAGAAAGGATGGCGCCTCACTTTTGAGGTTGGGGCTGATGTCGCCGCGGCGAGTGCTCGGCGCTGAGTCCGACGCCGGAGCTAGGTCCGAAGTGTCAGTCTTGACGTCTATGCCAAGGGAAAGCGTTTGCAGAGTTCGATGGGCAGACCGGGCGAGAGAGAGGTCATCATATAGTCATTGATGCCTTTTTCCGTGTCGTGGAAAAAGAGTCCGCCCTTATCATTCCTGTGGCCCCAACGTTGCAAGCCGAAATCCACACATAGCCATAACAGGTCAACGCGCCGAGGTCGAAGGGATCAGATCTGCGTATACATTGCTTGCATGACGGATGCTATCTTCCGGCCACGGAATCGATGCGGAATGTGGCTGAGTGACAGCGGTACCCGTGTGTTGCGATCGGAACGTGGTTGGATTGAGATCCGTAGCGCGGAGTGCCGGAGTCGATGGAGGTTAAGTGGAGCCGAGGGGTGGAGCATCGTCCTGTCTTTCCATGCTCGGACTTGTCCACGGATGAGCTGGATTTCCGCTTGGTCAGAGGCAATCCTTGCGCTCGTCTTCGCCGTGAGTGCAGCCGGAAGGCGGCAGCATTATCCTGACGCATCCGCAAGCATCCCTGTCAGAGCGGAAGCGAATCACCAGGTCGACAGCAGGTATCGGCAGGCGCAGTGAATGCGTCGGGCAGGTATCATTTGCCATTCCTCGTCACTGAGATGGAGATTCAGCAGGTGAGTCTCGATTCGCCACGCCTTGGGGCATGATCAAAGAGGCTCCGCAATCGAGAAAAGGCAAACGCCTTCAGCGAATTTCCAACCACTCAGCGGAGGAGCGGTGGTCGGCAGCGCGTGCTACCTCCACGGACTTGGCTCCGTCGATACACGCAAGATATCTAGCATGCACATCCGTGCTGGTGGATCTCGCGAGCGTCATCGTAGTCGTCGTCCCCCGTTGGCGACCGAGGTAGGGGGTAGGAGAAGGCGGCCGCTGTCTATCTACTTAAGGTGTCATTAGTACGCTGCACCCATGTGTCTTCCCCACTCGTCGTGGTGAGGCAGGTCCGGTGTGTGCAACCTGTCAAGATATGGGCACCGCACTTCTTGGCGTTTGGAGTGACCGTCGTCGATGATCCCTTCCGAGACTCTGCTCATGATGACACGGTCGAGCAGCATGACTTTCGACACCTGCAGACTCCGTGCGTGACGCACACTCTCCTCTAGCCCTCCACAACACATGAGAAGGTGAGGAGGCATTCGCGACCAGCATCAACATTCATGAAATATCTCGCGCGGGGTCCCAAAACCTCACCCCGTTGCTCACGGGAACAGGCTTTTGAGAGGTCGCAGCAACTGCTACACCATCAGCACATGTGTCGTGTCGACGGCAACGCGACTGGACTCACCAGTGGATGTCCGCCGACTCCCAGATGGACCCGTGCCACGATTCCCCTCGCGGGCCGTCGCCCCCCAAGCGTCTGGCTCCTGCTCTTCCTCCGCCGGCAGCTGCGCGTAACCCCCACTGAGGAAGACCTGCCACAGCATCCAGCGCACCACCCACATGTCGCCATCCGCACTCTCCGCGCTGCCGCCGTGATTGTACACGGCGCGCAGCGCGCCCTGGGACTCGATGTATAGGCGACGCGCCTCATCCAGCAGCGCGAGCTCGGTGATCTGCGTCACCGTCCACGGCTGCGGGGGAACATTGTTTCGCAGGTAAGGGACCAGGTTGGCGGGGGAGCTGCAGATGTTGCTGTGACCGCGCAGGGCGTCGTCCTGGTCGGGTCAGTCCACGGGGTGCTTGCACATCGGACTTGGGAGGAGTTGCATACCTTCATGCGGAACCAAAGCTCGCGGTCCGCGTCGACGTTGTGATCCATGCCCAGCGCCGACAAGAACTCCGTTCGACTGGCCTCGGAGAAGGAGCGGGGCACGGCTGGGAGACGCGCCAGATCGTTGCCTGGCGCCATGCAATCATTGTGCGACATGGCCAGGAGTGAGGAACCCGGATAGGCGCCGTTGCAGAGAAGGATAGGAGGCGAGCAGGTTCAACGCATCCTTTGTCCCATCTGCCAATGTCTTTGAGTTTAAGGGAGATGGGAGGCGATCGAAGAAAGGCTGCTGGAGCAAAGACTCATCCGTTGAGGCTCGCGCATCCCGCTCCAGTGACGAGTTGCCGCGCAGGGGACTATGGTACATGGAGAGCTCGTCTGACCCCGTAACACACCACGATAGCGCTGGCCTTGGACAGAAAGAGCGACCGGGGATAGCCCTGTCACCTCGAGTGTGGGGTGGGTAGCGAGTAGGAAGCGCAGTGGGTGTGGCGACAGTCCAGCCAGACATTGGTTGGGGGAGGACGGGAAGGACTAAATTCCAGATCGTCGGGCTCTCGCCGATCTGAAGGCGGTGCTAGACGTGACATGAGGATCTCATCACACCACACGAACGCGCGCATTGAGCACGACCACACCACTTCTCCGCCGACCAGGCTGTTGGGGGATTATATTGACATATCCTCGGATGCAGCTCCGTCTCGGCGCGGGGCCGGGCATCCACTCCGGAGAGGCTGCAACGTCACTCATCCTCAACCCTCAGCCCATTGCGCAGTCATACGTCAGCGCCCTGCTCGCTTACCCGACCTCCAGAAACTCGATCTGGCTAGGCCGCATACCTTCCGTGCCGTCGGCTCTGCCTCGAAAGGGAAGGCACATTCTGCAGCCATCGTCGGATATGCGTATCTGCCGCAGAAGGCCTGCACCGCACCCGCCGATCATTAATCACTCGCCGCGCGGGGCATCTTCCCCGCAGCCCTAACCTGTCAAATACCCCGCGTTGGGCGCCACACGTGTGCTTGGTGTGTTCACGCCCGCGCCTCTGGTGCCATCGTAGCCACTCGGATGTCGTGGTTCGAAGGGGCAGCGGTTCGCTCTCGTCCGCGACCAACGGCATCTAGGCACATCACACCACCTGGAAGCTACCGGACGGCGATCCGTTGGGCTAGAGCGCCGCAGACGGGTGCCGAGTCCCGGCGATATGCTGTCTTCTTTCTCCATCCAGTCTCGTCCCACGACCGCCGCGGCATGCAACTTGTCGAGCACCGTCAACCATCCCATACGTCTGGACCATGTTGACTTGGAAGAGTATCCATCATAGCATACAGAAGCCGCGGTTAACACGCCATGGCCGAGAAAGCCAAGGGATCTACATCTGCTTCCTACCGCACATCCGCCCTCGCCCTGATGCTCCGAGATATCTGCGACGCGATCGCCGATGCCATCTTCTAAGCGTCTCGATGCGGGAGCAAAGACTCGATGCCTCTACAGATGCACTCTCACATGCCGCATGCCGTCCACTGATTCCACCACGGGCCGACCAACCCTAAACGCCAACCTGCATCTGCGGACGTTTACGTATACACGATACGCGCTTGCCTCCTAGTGCTCGGAAAGCAATCCCGCATCGGACAGCGGCCGTCGGACCTCTTTCCCCCCGGAACATTGATGCAACACCATCGTCGCCCGCTTGTCTACCATGCAGTCGTGCCCTAATTCGGTCTTGACAGGCATCTACGCTCGCAGACTCTAGGCCTCTTGGACGGCACGTTCACATGCAACGGACGAATCAGTTTAGAACAATGCGGAGCAGAGTCGATCAGTCGAGGGATCTCTGCTGTGCTCCTCGGTCGCTAGCCGCGCCGCCGCCGAGTCCAGTTCTCGCCGCGCCCGCATCACCGCTGGTCTGTTGGGGGTTGCGTCCGACGCCGCGACGTTTCATTTTCGCATGCGATGAAGGGAGCCAGGCAGCATGGTGTAGGCCAAAGTGAACTCGATCAAAGTAGGAGACCTTCTATTGTATCCCATCCACGTAGTAGTCGCTCCTAGCGCAGGCCAGTTTTCGGACTTTGCTCCGACGACGCAGCAGCCTTGCATGCCTTTCATAACGCGGGTGGTATTGCTCAACATCGATGCTGAGACGGGACTGGACTAAGTAAGGGTTTCTTTGTGTTCAATCCATGCGTTGGATACATAGGCAAGTAAGCACGGCGGAGACTTCTCCGGCGCCCCGGGCGCCCTCGGTGCGCACTCCGACGCCGCAGCCTTGTTTGCCCGGCCAAGCAAGAGTAGCATGGGCGTGATGCTAGCCAGACGTCAGCAAAGCAGCGACATCACTACTATCTTCGCCAGAGACGCAAGCTCTTTCGGAATCTGCTCCGACGCCGTAGCCTGCTCGTAACAAGCCAAAGGAGCAGAGGCATGACGCCAAGCAGACGTCACCAAACCCGCTTCTTCACCAATATAGGCCATCTTCAGTGGCCAGAAATAACGAGCTCTTTCGGAGTATGCACCGGCACCGCAGCCTTGTGCATCACTCCCTTTCACATGCTGTACTAAAGCCAGTGGTGAAACGGGTTGAATTCAATCACGGTGCTCTACGATACTCTTAGGCCAGCCGCAACTCGGTGCGAGAAGTGTTCAGCCTTTCGGAGCATGCTCCGAGTCCGCGAGATCGCTCACCTTCCTCCACGCAACGGGTGTGACTGCGCGAACAGATGTGCGTCATCTCTGCGCTGTTTGCTGTGCTTCATTCACATGGAAGCAGCACTGCCTGCTCGGAGCCGTTTCCGGCTCCGCAGCATCTTTCGGGGTCCCCTCCGAGTCCGCGAGCTCGCTCTCTACCCCTAATCAACAGGCGCGTCATGTGAAGCAGATGTGAGCAATTGTATTGTCTTCCATCATATGAAGTTGGCGCTGGGCATTCGGAGTCCTGTCCGGCGCCGCCGCGTCGTTGCGTTGGCCTGTCGGAGCATCCTCCGTTCCCGCGTACTCGTTTGCTTCTCGATGCACTGGAGGTAATTTAGTTTGAGCAGACCTAGCCAACTAATAGAACAAAGGGCTGCTCAATCTGTAGTCACCAGTAGCGCAGGCCGTTCGGAGCCGCCTCCGACTCCGCGAGACTCGCTTTCGCATGCATTCGAGCACTGAAATAAAGAGGAGCGAAATGGGCGTGTACAATCTGTAGCTTTCGATAGTCTTCCCCCTCAACATCCTCATCACCACGAGAAGAAATGAGGCTTGGAGGACCCCTACAGCTGCAATCGTCGAGCACACTCCTCCGGCCCGAGCAAAGCCATCACCAACCCAATCTTCGGCCCCGGCAGTTTATAGCACAACCTGTAGCGCAAATACCGCATCAGTGCGGCGGAGAAAGTCTTGTATCTGCGCAGTAGCTCCTCGCTCTGTGTGGGCGGCTCGCTTGTTGCTGTCGCCCCTAGTCTCCTCGTTTGCAAGTCCGGTGGCGGGTTGGCGAGCAGTGCGTCCAGCTCCGCTCGGGGTAATGTGGGCAGGTTTTCTGGGGGGTCTGCGAATTGGATGCTGGCGTTTGCGTGGGTGTACAGGGCGTCGCGGACAGCGTGGGAAAGAACCTCGTCGACTGTTGCGTGGAGAGATTCCATGGTGCGCACAGCTGTGTCGTCCCCTGCGGTCTGCTGGCGAGTGCGGAGGTCCGCAAGAGCGTTCCGCAGCACGTCGTCCAGCATGTCGGGAGTAATGGCTTTAAACCTGCTGGAGTCTTTGCTGTACTCTTCCCGTGCCGGCTGGAGAGATGGATCAAAGTGGAAAAAGTACTTGTTCCGCTCGACGAAGTGAGGTGCGTTGGTGTAGCTGTTGCGGTCTGCGAGGAGCACTTCGGTGCAGTACGCTGCCAAGGCGTCGGGGCTGGCCTGTTTGCCACTGGCGTACACTTCACTGAGAATGTCGGAGTTCACGTGAGGCTGCGGGAATACTCGGCGCACCTCAGCCGCGACCTGATGCACCACCGGTTCGATAGGTCGCAGCGATTTCGTCTCCACCGCCAGCTCGCAGCGGACAGCAACGTGTTGCTTTTGCAGGTACCACAGTTTCTCCGTGCGCACCATTGCGTTGCCACGGGTGAATTTGAGATCAAAGTTCTTGATTAAAGACTCCATGCTCATGCGGTCTGATTGGTTGGGATTGCTCCAGCCGAGCAGGGCTAAGAAGTTGTTGAGGGAATATGGCAAAACACCGTGGGCCTCTCGCATGCTACGGACGTCCAGGTCGAGATCTTGGTTACGCTTCGATAACTTCGCTTGGTTTTTGTCGACAAGAAGGCCGACGTGCGCGAACTGGGGCGGTTCCCATTGAAAGGCGGAATAGATGTCGTAATGCAAAGGTGTGCTGGCCATCCATTCCGAGCCTCGAATCACGTGGGTGATGTTCATGAGATGATCATCGATCACATTCGCGAAGTGATAGGTTGGCGTGCCGTCTGATTTCATCAGTATGCTGTCTGATGCACCATCGCTCGCGCCATCCTCCGAAGCCACCTGAGGGGCTGCGGGCGAGCGCTTCAGTCGTTGAATCTTGCCGTACACTAGATCGGGATATGTGCGCTTGTGCGCATCGGCCGGAGGATGTAGTCGAACGGTGAATGCTTGACCATGATGAGCTTTCTCCTGCGACTGAGCAATGGAAAGCGAGGAGCAATTCTGATGGCATCCAGAGGTGACGTAGGATCCCGATGTGGCAGCACTAGATTGTTGCGTGCAAAAACAACGATACGCTGAGCCGTCCGCCAGCAGCCGCGCAGCATGATCCTGATAGATGGCATTCCGTTCCGATTGCCGATACGGGCCGTACGGGCCTCCAGTACTCGGGCCTTCGTCCCACTCAGTTCCTGCCCACCGAAGGTCCTCGTAAAGCCTGGCCTCTGCATCGTGAACGAGCCGCTTCTGCTTGACAGGTTAGCATGCCGCCGGGATGTCAAAGCGAAGGAGAGCGCCGCACCTGATCGGTATCCTCAATGCGGAGGATAAACTGCCCGCCTGTGCGTTTGGCGAGAAGATAGCTGAACAAGGCCGTCCTCAATCCTCCAATGTGAAGGTAGCCCGTTGGCGACGGGGCGAATCGTGTGCGAGCCGGCGCATCTGGCAGGACTGCCTTTCGCGGTGTCTCACGCGACGAGGTAGTGGAGAAGCGTCTTTGGGTCTTTGGGCGCAGTGTGATGTCGGATTTTCTGGATTGCGCGCATATTGAAAGCGGGCGACGTCCAGCTTTAGCATTCGAGAAGAAGGCGTTCTTGGAAAAGGAGATTGCAGTCCTTTGCGTCTGGCGCGTCCGACATTGAAGGCATACCCATTGTCTTGCAAGAGTCGTATCGCTTCTCAACGACGGAAAGGATTTCATCGAGCCCAATGAGTCCAGCGGGCGATGAGGAGTGGGAAGGCTAGGGCATGCAGGCCCTCGACGCGGGTGAAGTTTGAGTGAACTCCGGTCGAAAACGGTTAGATCGATCGGCCTTACTCAGCAATCGATAAGCAAGGCCCCGAAAAGTCTATTTTTTGCGCCAGTGAGATTTCCAGATGACGCTGGCAGCTTCTGTGCACGGAATCTGCGGATTGCTGATGCGACACCTCTTGAATCCGCGCTCGATTTCAAGGACTCAGCCGTCGGCCACCTCTGTCGTGTTCTTCTAGACATCACTTAGACTCACACTGCCAGTGTGCACCTCGATCCCGCCGAAAACTGTACACAACAAGCATACAAACACCACCATCATGAACGCCGGGGAAGATCTCGACCTCTACTCCATCTTGGAGATTTCCCAGAGCGCGACCAAGTCCGAGATCAAAAAAGCCTACCACAAAGCCGCGCTCACCTCGCATCCCGACAAAGTGCCCAATGAGCAACGAGAGGAGGCAGAAATAAAGTTCAAGGCGGTCTCGCAGGCCTACGAGATCCTGAGCAACGATGACACTCGAGAGATGTACGACCGGCATGGCATGGCCGCGTTTGAGAAGGGCTCCAACGGTTTCCCGGGCGGTGCTGGGCCCGATATCAACGATATCTTGTCGCAGATGTTCGGCGCTGGAGGAGGATTTGAAGGGATGCATGGATCGTTTGGAGGCCCTGGTATGAGGAGACGAGGCAAGGGGAAGCCCGAGCTTCAGCAATACGAAGTGACGCTAGAAGAGCTGTACAAAGGCAAGACGACCAAATTTGCCAGCACGAAGAACGTCATCTGCAGCGCTTGCAGCGGCACGGGCGGCAAAGAGAAGGCGAAAGCAAAGGAGTGCGATACGTGCAAAGGCACGGGCGCCAGCACACGATTACGGAGTGTTGGCCCTGGGCTGGTTACGCAAGAGACGGTGGCATGCAACACCTGCCACGGCCGCGGCAGCTTCTACACCGACAAGGACAAATGCAAGAAGTGCAAGGGCGTGCGAACCGTGAAGCAAAAGAAGATCCTCGAACTCTACATCCCGCGCGGGAGTCGCGAAGGCGAACGAATCGTGCTTCCCGGCGAAGCAGATCAGGATCCCGACGACGACGAGCCGGGCGATATCGTTTTCGAGCTCAAGGAGGTACCACACGACGTCTTCAACCGCGCGGGAGCGGATCTGCAGGCCGATCTCGACATTTCGCTTTCTGAAGCGCTGACGGGATTCAATCGCGTGGTTCTTACCCATCTCGACGGTCGGGGAATCTCACTCAACATCCAACAACCAAAGGGCAAGGTGCTGCGACCGGATCAAGTGTTGATCGTGCGAGGCGAGGGCATGCCGATGAAACGATCGGAAGCGAGAGGCGATCTCTACCTGACTGTCAACATCCAGTTCCCCGAAGATGGATGGCTGGGGAGCGAGGCAGAGGTGGCGAAGGTCCGGGCGGTTCTGCCGAAAGCGCAGCCACAGGGCGCCAAACCTGGCGAGACACCGGAGATGGTCGATGAGGTGCAGTTCGAGACGGTGGACAATCTTGAAGACTTTGGAGCTGGCTCCGGTGATCCTAGGGCTGGAGCGGAGTGGGAGGATGACGAGGAGGGTGCCGAGGCGCAATGTGCGACGCAGTAAGGGATTTCACGAGTTGGCAATTCGTTTTCATGTGGATCGAGCGAAGCATGGCGATGGAGTTTTGGATACTGTACAGCATTATACTTTACGATTCTTCTCAACTTGCGTATGGATATCCTACGAAAATCACGCATCAACTCAACAAACATTATTAGACATCACCCAAAGTTGACCAGCATTGCCGCCGCCATGACATCCAAAACCGCCAGCTGCGAATGGACAGTGGGATACTCAAACGGCCCATTCCACCACGGCCCATACCTGCCCTTCCCATCCGTGTTCTTGTCGAGCTGAGTGTGGAAGTTAATGTACACAAACGCATGAATCATCGCCGCGACTCTCCTCGCTTTCGGCGGGGGACATTGCATCTTGTCAATCACGTGGTAGAGGGTGCACAGCTGCCTCATCAGCACGGCTTTGAAGCCCACGCCATCGCTGTTTTGTTGCGGATCATGTTGGCCTTTCCCGTACGCGTCGGGCTCGGTCAGCACGCCGTTATCTTCGACCCATTGGCTGCGGGTCATGGATTTGTGCGCCATGTGGCAGGCGATGAGTAGATATTCGACCTCGCCGGTGACGGAGTACAGCAAGGCAAGGCTGCTCAGCGTCACGCCGGTATTGTAGGTAAATGTCCAGTCGATAGCTTGCTGCGAATCAAGCTTGATGTGATCAAGAACCACGCCTTCGTGAGAGCGATAGCGGCTGCGCAGGATCCAGCCTAGAGCATGGCGCGCGGCATCGATGCGTGCTTCCGTCAGTGGATCGTCATGCTCGAGCGCAAGACGAAGACCCAGTTCAGCAAACAAAGCGGTACTAATGGCATTAATCGAGTCCTCTCCCGCTTTCGAAGTCCACAAGACCGCGCCCGCCATATCTTTGCCTTGGAAGAAGCGCTGCTGAGGCGCCAGCTGGTACTGCTTGACGTGCCCCCAAACGGCCCTGGCTTGGCTGAGGAACCAGCGGTCTCGTTTGACGCCGTACAGACGCACGCAGCAGATGGCCCACCAGCAAGAGTCGTCGTTGAAGTCGTTGACGAAGCCGTGGGGGCTGTTGATTTGCTCACACCGTCGGAGGCTATCGGCAAGGCTGTCGTAGTATTTCTCATCGCCCAGCCAGCGGTCTTGGTCGGCGATGGCGGTGAAGCCGTTGGCGCATTGCCACCAGCCTATTCCCTCGATAGTTCCGTCTGGTTTTCGATTGGAGAGGTAGACGTCTATTGCTTCGTGGGCGGTGGCCTTGATGTCTGGAACCGGGTTGATTTGAGTGTGTAGCCATGGCGGCGACTCGGGCTGGGAGTCAGCCACGTCACGAACGGCGTCTCGGAACTCGGGCGTCTTGTTGATGAATCTCATGGTTAGGGTGAGGAGTACACATGACCTACGATTTACGGATGCAAAAGACTATAATGCGTGCCAGGCAGCAATATAATCGTTGTAGCTCTGGCATGTACCTGTCGTCGCGGCCATGTCGAACAGCAGTGCCCCGCAACTTCCCCAGAATCTCGACGACGACGCTGATTGGTCAAGCAACGTTTCTGGGGATGGCAGGAACGAGTCAACAGCGACAGCACTCGGTCTCTTCTCCAACAACATCACCCGAATGCTGGCCATAACGAGAGAGCAAGTGAAGTGATGCCCAGGTGCGTCACACAAGTGCGCTCAACATGAGCGATTGGCTTGAGCAGTACTCCGCCGCGCTCGATCAACGAGATGCTCGGGAACAGGTGCACAAGCGATATATAGATGCTTGTAAGACCTGTCCGCATAAAGACCGTGTCCCCCAAACTAACAGTCCTTCCAGACACCAAGCTCGCGGACAAGTCTGCATCTGCAATCAGCAACCGGAGCAACGCAGTGCCGACGTCTCCAATATCTGCCGTCCGCACAAGCACACCAACAGCCAAAGGCAAAGCCGCAACCATAGCAAGCGACAAAACAGATGACCCCCTCTCGACTCTCCGCACAGACCTAGCAGCCACGCAAAAAGCACGTGCAGCCTTGCAGGCCCAAGTTGACGACCTCACCACCTCACTCAAAACTCTCGAGGCCCAGAGCAAGGCCTCAACCACCCAAATCGCCCTCCTAACCCGACAGAAGGTCGATGGGGAGAGGAAGCTACGCGACCGCGACGAAGAAATCCGCGGCAAAAGCAAACTGGTGACCGAAGCGCAGGACGAAATGGTCGCGCTGTCTCTGCAGCTCAACATGGCTGAGCAGACGTCCGAGAAGCTGCAGAAGGATAACAAGGAGTTGTTGGATCGCTGGATGACCTCTAAACGCGAGGAAGCGGATCGAATGAATCGAGACTCGAGTTGGCAGTGAGTTTGCCTTTGCGAATAAATGCTAGTTCATGTGGTTGCGCGTATGCTATGTTTACGCCATGCCGACGCCTGGAGCCGCTACTGAATCGAAACCTCGTCAATACAACCCGCCCATTCGGTCATCGCCATCTCAGCCACTACTTGGCCACAAGACTGCCCGCACGACCCACATCCTGCGCCACCAAGCTCGGCCGTCGATACTCGCTATCCTTCTCATCCCCACTATGCTCCAAAACAGCAAGGCCCGACTTCGGCATGCCTGTCTCAGGATCGACCACACTGCTTCCGCGCCTCGCAGCCTGCACGAGTCCGGGATTCTGCTCGACGAGGATCTTGAAATTCCTCTCCGCCTCCCAGTTGAAGATGCTGTCCGACGCGAAGACGAGATTCATCTCCTCGAGCGTGCGCTGGTTGGTTTCGGGGTAGAAGGCCCAGACGACGATGATGGAGAAGACGTTGACGCCGCCGAAAATGTACAGCGTGGACGGGCCGAGTTTTGCGAAGATGGTGGGCAGCAGTAGTGTGCACCATCCGTTGCCGATCGACCACCCGACTACACCCCATGCGTTGCCCTTTGCCCTGATCTGAAGAGGAAAGATTTCGGCGGGATAGAGCCAGGGGACCGTCAACCACGTCGCACCAAAGATGGCGGTGTAGAGGTAGACGAAAAACGTCGCCGCGCCACCTACGTGCGTCTTGTACGAAGACCCGACAGCGGCGTGGGCAGTGGCATATGCCAGGCCACCGGCGCAGAAGCAGCAGATTCCCATTCCCACGGCGCCCCAGTAGAGGGTCCAGCGGCGGCCGATACGATCCAGGGTGAAGACGCAGACGAGCGTGGCCAGCATGTAGGTGATGTCGTTCAGGCCGCTGACCCATTGGCGATCGGCGGCGCTGATGCCGGCTAGGGTGAAGATAGTTGGGCCATAGATGGTGATGCCTGCGATGCCGATCTGGTGCGGGTGTTAGCTGTGCTGGACGATATTCCGACGGAGAGCGAGGCGTCATTACCCATTCCTGCAAAATCTGCAGCCAAATGACCAATTGGATGCGGCGCGCGGTATGCAGCTTCCCCTGCTTGATGCCAAAGAACATGGAGAAGTAGCTCGAGTTCTGCGAATTCTCCCTCTCGACCTGCACGATATTCCTGATGTCTTGGAACTCCGCCTCGGCAATTCCGTTCTCCTCCCCGCGCAGACGGCCAAGGATGAAGCGCGCCTCCTTCTCGCGCCCGGCCTTGACGAGCCAACGCGGCGACTCGGGCATGTACCAGACGACGCAGAAGAGGGCGATGAGCGGCACGATTTGGAAGGCGATGGGGAAGCGCCAAATGAAGCTCGACAGCTTCTGGCTGTAGAAGGAGGTGCCGTACTCGAGCCAGTAGGCGACGACGACGCCGAAGATGTTGAGGGTGAATTCGATGGAAACGAAGGCGCCGCGTGAGGTGTGTGAGGCAGTCTCTGTCGCCCAGACGGGGGTGATGGCCTGGGTGGGTGGGTGTTAGCGAGGGATCGTCTGATGGGGGTACGGAGAGCGTGGCGTACGTTGAGAATGCCTGTTCCGATGCCGTTGAAGACGCGCGCGCAGAACATCCAGTTGGCGTCTTGAGCACTGCATTGCAGAGCTGCACCGACCATGGCCCACGCGGCGGCGAAGCCGATGGTGAAGATACGGCCGTACTTGTCTCCGAGCGAACCTCCCCAGAGGGCACCGACAAGCGTGCCAGGGAGGTAGTAGACGGCAATCTGTCACAGCGTCATGGTCAGTCAACATGTTCCGGGTGAGTCCTTGTTCTTGTGTGGGTTCGACTCACGATTCCGCCCTGCAGAAGAGGCTTGGTCACTTGGACGATGCCGGTCGCGTCGTCGAAGTACCCGAAGCCCATGGTGGTGGCATAGTTTCGATTGCCATTCACGCCGCCCATCACACCTTCGATGATGTCAGTCGACATCCGGACGTCGACTCGTTGCGTGCAGCGACATACCTTGATCATATCCTGTTGCAAAGCGTCAGTCAAGGGCCATTCACATCACGCTCCTCCGTCCTCGAGGGATCCACCTACCAAAGAAGAAAATACTAAGACCAGCGACCAAGTTGACCGCAATCAACAGGCTTCGTCCCGACAGACGATGGGCTACGCCTCGTTCCTGGAAGTACGTGGGAGTTTGGATGACCATGATTGCTGATGTCCAGCCGAGTCTCGAGTCAAAACGCAAAGACGGATGGAATGGAAATGGTTGGAACGGGGTCGTGTGCCCATGATATATGTTTCCACCGTAGTACAGCGACCGGTGCGCATTGATCTGCGCCTCGAGCACGATTTGGATGGCCAATCTCTCGGGGATTGAAAAATTGCTCCCCGATCTTCGGGTTCCTTTCGGAAAGTGACGGCCTTTCAGCGGAAGTCATTACCGCTTTCTGGGGGAGGCGGGGTTTGCGGAGAAAGAGGGAGAGAGAGCATGGGCGCAACGTGGGATTCCATGACCCCAAGTTGCCGATCCATGCCGTAATGGCGCCGCGAGAGCTTGATTTTATGCGCTGGGGCGAGCGACTTAGCCCTCGATCGAGGGGCGCCTAAGGCTGGGTTGGAGCGCTCCGACTTCCCCGAGATGTTCCAGGCTCTTCTCATCATCATCATCACACGACGTCCGGCAGGCATCTACACCCCTTGCCCAACACACCTCCTCACAAACGCCAATGTCTCCGCCGGCCGACTCAGAAACGGTGCATGATCAGCCTTCACCCGCTCCACATTCTTCCATTTCCCCCCCTCATGGCTAGACATGGCTTCCTGATATTCTACCGGAATAGCGATGTCCACCTCGCAAAGCAAGTAGTTGCTCTCCACCTCCCGCCACGCCGCATAGTCGACGGTCGCATGGTACACGTCCTCGCTGTGGTTTCGCTTACACATCGCCCACGCCGCCTCCTTCTGCTCCGCGCTGCACGCGTTGTAGAACACCTCGCGCGGATCCCACGTCTCGTCGTTGCGCGGGAACATGTACACCCCGGTGCCCGGCTCGCCGGTGGTGTCGATCCAGGGCGCGTGCGCGCCGCCTTTCGCGCTCCAACATGAGCCGCCGACCGTGGCGACGAAGGCAGCCAAGTAGATTAGGGAGACGACGCCCTTGCCGTTGCTTTGGTCTTTGGGCAGGTAGCCCTCGCACGCTGCGGTGCCTATGACGCCGCCGAGGGAGTGCATGATTAGAGCTACGTTGCGATTCTGGTCGATGTAAGACTGGATGGCTTTCTGTATTACGGCGACGTCCTGCGACATGCCGCGTAGAGGTTTGGGGGAGTCGCAGGAGGGCATGTCGCAGACGGTCACCTGGTGGCCGGCCGAGGATAGATCGTCGACAATTGGTCGGTAGTGCTCGGCCACGTGCCTAGGATCGATCTCGTAGGTTAGCAGGCCGTCGGGGGCAGCTGGGGTGACTAGAGGCGGAGGGTCTTCATTACCAGGCTCCTGGGACGATGACGACGGCGAGTTTGTCGGTAGCCATTGCTGTCGATACTTAGATGAATTGTTGAATCGTTGAGAACCAATTGAAATCGGTCGTAAAGGGATCGCAGGGGCGATCTCTTTTATAATAAGACCGTCGGGGCGGCCTCTTGACGCCCCGCATCCAGATTTTACGCGTCCTCCACGGCTGAGAGAGCGTCAGCAAATAGCGTACCGACATAACTTACAGCGATCGTGCGAAAACGTGTCCCCTGCCTTCTCGCGGCATGCAATCCATCGGTGTGGATGGATGAACACCCTCTCCCAGAACACCGAGCCACGCGAGCAGGTCCCGTCAGACTCGCCCCGCGCCTCGATGGCTCGAAGCAACGGGGAAGATGCCGACGAACCCCAGACGAAACGCAGACGGCTATCTTCCAGCAATAGCATCCCAATCAAGACGACCAATACACGGAGAAAGACGGCATGCCAGGCTTGCCGACTGCGCAAGATTAAATGCGATGCCGTGCGGCCGACGTGTGGAATCTGCAAGGCGAGCGACGCCATGTGCAAATACACCGACCCGCTCCCTGAGAAGTTAACGTACGGTTCTCTGTCGATGTAGGGATGCACGTGCTGATTGATTAGGATTGACTCTGCTACGGATCTGTTGTCCAACAAACTTGATAGGCTTCAAGACGACATTGAGAAGCTGCGGACGCTTGTCCACCAGGGTGGCGGCTCATCAAGTAGCTACTCATCCCTGTGTTGTCTAGACGTCCACGAAACTAATCGAATAGTCTTTAATGATTTCCAGGCCCCGACCGAAGACGACCGAACATCACAAGCGAATCTCACCCGCCAGTCCAGCGCAATCTACACCGCCGAGCCCTCAAAGGACTTCTTGCCTATCCCGGCCGCACGAACTACAGCCGACACGGTGCTCACCTGGCCCGTCTATGAGGGAAAGTACCAACAGAGCGCCCTCATTTGCGTCCTCTTTGAACCGCTGAAAGCTCGCTCGTCTGGAGCCTTCCCATCCGAATGTGACTCCTTCACCGTCCCCGGTGGCCTGATCCCACCCGTCGAAGAGTCCATCCCGCATCTCGTCGATCGGTTCCTAGAGAACGTGCACACCAAAAACCCAGTCTGCGACGTCGAGGAACTCGTGCGGCAATCGCGGCTCATCGCAGTCAACGGACTCAGCTGGGACGCGTGGTCATGCTTGGTGCTCCTCGCCTGCGCCCTCGGCACCATCGCCAAACCTTTTGACGCGGCGGTCAATGTCGTTCCTCGTGCGTCTGGAGACATGGCGGCGGAGACGTCCTGGATTGCCGATGCTCCTACTACTCCGCGCGAGTTGCAGCAGGCCGAGTCATGTTTCGTCCTGGCTTGTCGGAGGATGGGCACGTTGAAGCACTCCATTCTCGGCTCGCAGTGCTATTTCTTCGCCGGAGGTGAGCATATCGTTCCTTTGCACGTCCTGGCATTCGGTTAATCACCCTCTCCAGTCTACCTAATGTACACCATGCGCCCCCTCCTCTCCTGGCAGTACTTCACCCAATCCTCCATCCTCTACCAACTGCACATGAAAAGCACACACGGCCTCGTCACCGACATCTCCGCCCTCGGCCAGATCCCCGTGCAGCACGACGACGACCTACCGAACCACAAGCCGCGCCGGCTGGAGGAGAGCATGTATTGGTCGTGCTTCAAGAGCGAGAGCGAGTTCCGCGTCGAGCTGCCGCTGCCGCAGAGCGAACTGGCTACTTACTACCATCCGCAGATGTTTCCTTCGCCGCCTTCGCCGGCGGATGTTGAGAAAGCGGGGCAGTCGAACGAGGAGCAGACGGGACTTGCTGCGGTGAATGACTTGGATCAGGCTGAGGCGGTGTCTTTGAGGCAGCATGCAAAACAGCTCTGCAATGAGGAGGAGAGCTGGTACTACTACTTGACCGAGATTGCCCTTCGACGCATCGGCAATCGCATCATCAACACCTTCTTCCGTCAGGATCCCACAGCGTGGCTAGACATCAAGCCATGGCTATCCATCGCGCTGGAGTTCGACGTAAGTCTATGCCCACCATCAACCCGTCCATGCACTCCCAGACTGACACCTCGCCCACACAGACCCAAGTCTCCGCCTGGTCCGCCCATCTGCCCGCCGCAATGCAACACTGGGAAACCAACTACACCATCCGCGCGCCCACCCACACCTCCCTCCCGGATGGCAGCGGCAACCACGTTTCACGCGAACTGAGCTGGGCAACAGACAATCGCCTGCTAGAAATGCGCTCCTGGCTCTACCAGCCCTTCTTGTACTACTTCATCCACAACTCCACCTTACCCAAATACCCTCCCCATGGCCGCCATGAATCAACATCCCCCCTCTCCCCAACAGCAACAACAACATCGCGCCAATCCCCCACCATCACAGCCAACACAACCACAACCACGCCCCCCACCCTCGAGACCTTCCTCCACACCACCCCACACCTGCAAACAGAGACCCACCTCTCCACGCCCGACATAACAAGCCTCTACCACTTCATCACCTCAGGCATAGACTGCAACCTGAAAATCCTCGACGTGCGCTCCCTGCGCCACCGCCACCACGGCCTGTGGTACGACATGCGCAGTCTGATGTGCGCGTCGCTGATTCTGCTCGCGGTCGTGCGGAGTGGGCATGAGGCGTGGATTCCGGGGGGTGTGGAGGTGCTTTGGGGCGGGGGTGTTGGGGATGGGGACGGGATTCAGGGGCGGATAGGACATATTATCGATGAGTTTGGCTTTTGGGCGGAGGAGAGTCCGGATATGGTGAGGCATGCGGAGGTGCTGAGGGAGGTGACGGGGATGGTGAGGGCGGGGTGGAGGAATATGAGGGCGAATGGGGAAGGGGCGATGGGTTGATGAGACGGGGTTTGTCGTATATAATTCCCTCTCTTAGTCCGATGCCCCAAAGGGAGTGAACTTGGCCGTCCGACTCCCAGCGAGAAACATCGGCACTTGCTGCGCAATACTCTCCGCCTTTTGTTTCAACTCCGCCCCAACCTCCTGCGCAACCTTAATCTCCTCCGCAGTCCGGATCTGCAACTCCACCACTCCACCAGTCACATCATACTTCACCACCGTCGGAGCCCATGCCCTCCACTCCCACAGGATGCGCGGCGTCTCTCGCAAAGCCAAGTCCTGCGAAGTATCGGAGCGATTGAACTGGCGCAGAGTCGAGAGGAAAAGGCGTAGCCAGCGCTTGCAATAGACAATGTCCCGCTTGCGCACGAGGTCCGCGTGCTCCCACTCCCTCCGCAGCGTCTCGAGGGATTTCCCCGTGCTGTTGTCCCCCTTCACCGCGCGCTCGAGGACACGCAACGCCCTGCGCGCAGCCGCTTGATTGGCCAGTGACAATTCCCGCCCCTCCAGCATCTTCGCATATATCTCCCGCGGCCAGGCGCGGTCTTGCAGGTTCTTGATGAGGTGGTTGTACATGCCCATGGTGGGCTGGACGAAGTACGGCGCGCCGGTCATGGATTCCCACAGGGTGAGCGCGGTTGATCGAGGGAGCTGCCCCGTTCTACTGCCGTCCGTTTGGGCTTTCACTCCGGTACGCGTCGACATTGATGCAAGGACGAAGGTCCATTCGAAGAGTTGCTCCCACACATTCAGATCGATGGAGAGGTTGTAGCGTTGAGCCATGTCGCCAACAACGCGGAGAGCGGCCGGCACGTCGTTGTTGATGCCGAAAGCGTAGGCGAGCGCGAACAACGTTTTCGAGTTCGGAGCCAGTGGGGAATCTTCGTTGAGAGGTTTCGTGGGCGTGGCCGCGGGTTTACTGGCTTGCAGAGAATCGACATCAACATCCCAGATACGACGCAAGATCGCTTTGACCGTGGCCATATCGCCCTCTCTTGCAGTGGCGATGATGACATTGCGGAAGCTCTCTTCGTCCGCAATGGCGCCATCTTTCAGCATACTGCTGAACATGCGAGTGACGTGCTCCTTGATTCCTCCTTCGCCGACCCTGTAAGTCGCAAACATCGGTGGGGGAGATGAGCGTTGCCGTGCAAGTTGGGAGAACGGAGTGATGCGGTCGCTCCGGCGGGATGATGTTCGATGCAGGCCATGCCAGGCGTGCGCGCCCATGAGAGCGTTGTAGCAGGCAGTGTCTGGAGTGACGCCGTCTTCGAGCAGATCCCTCCAAATTCTGTCCGCCGAGAAGGGCCGCCCTAGGTCTCGTGCGCTTTGGAGAAGCATGCGATACTCCGGCAATCCGACCGCCGCCCCAGCCCTGCGCCGGATGGCAAGCATGTCTTTCAGGACGTTCGAATGTTGCCGCACAATATGCTGAATGGGCGTGAGACCGAGCTGCTTGGCCACGGCATCGCTGAGGTCCATATGTGTAGATGTCAAGGGCAGCGTGAAGTTGGAAGGCTGCAGCACGCGGATGCATTCGAGAAAGGTGGTACGCGGCAGGCTTTGAACGAATTCCAGGTCGTTTTCTTTCTGCGCCGCGTAAAGACAGCGCGCCACCATGTCGGGTTCGTTGGCAGCAAGCGCTTGCGGAAGAGCGGAGGCGTAATCGATGTCGAGGAGAGCTCTGTCTCCAGGTACAAATCTTCTCTTGCTTGATGTAGCTGCTCTTGCTTGAGTGTCTTGTCGGCTGATCTCTTCTGTCTGTACCAGCCTTTCCGACACCACATTGCTCCCGTCTTCAACTGCCGATATCACCCGCTCTTCCGTCGTCGTCGTCGTGTTGCTCTGCGCAGGAGTGGAGGCTTCATTCGAGCGCAACTCCCACGACCTCCGCATCTGCGACAACGGACTCGACAATCCCGCTTCCTCTTCCAATCTCAACTCATCGCTCCGATCCTCCCGTCGCGGAAAAGCCAGTCCATCGCCCGTAAGACTGGCATCGCTATACCCTCTCCATTGACCAACGGCAACGCGCCCAGCCTCACACTGCGGACACATCCACCCCCCTCTTTTCCGCTTTGCAGACTTCCATACCGACTGCACCACTTGGTGGGCTTCTCGAGGCCCCACACGGGCCAATAGCGAGGTCATTGGCACCACATGTCGAGCCAGCAAAAGGACGGCGCAAATGTTTCGTCACAAACCTGACGTCGGGCAAAGAGAGAAGAAGGTAGCAGTCTTTGTGCCAAAAGTCGTAGTCGGGAGACTCAATCTGACGCCTGCGCCAAGAGCTCCAATTTCTGAGGGCGGTCAAACCTCACCTTCTCGCAACTGCCCGGGAAAGGAAATGCGCATACGCCATGGCTGATTCCGCCGAAGAGACCGGCGCCAATCCCGTCAACGAGCCCTTGGATCTCGTCCGGCTGTCGCTGAACGAAGTCGTGTTTGTGAAGCTGCGCGGAGACCGCGAGTTGCAGGGAAGGCTACACGTGCGTATTCCACCTTAGATTGACCGCGCGAGGCGAGTCCAAAGCTGATGGCACTCCACAGGCATACGACAGCCATTGCAACCTCGTGCTCGGCGAAGTGGAAGAGACGATTTACGTGGTGGATGACGAGGAGGATGAACAGGAGGAGAAAGTCAGGACGGTGAAGAAGCAGAGCGAAATGTTGTTTGTGAGAGGTAAGGCGATTCCATACTTGTCGCGTGCGCGCTGGCGGTCGTTGTGGAGGTGTGTGTGCTGACGGAGGTGAACGACAGGGGACTCGGTGGTTTTAATCTCGCCTCAGCAATGACACTGCAAGGAGACAGGATTGTGCGGGGGTGATATCACAAAGGCGTGCTCTTCAGAGATCGGGAAGAGGCCCAAGCAGCTGATACCATTGGCGGTAGAGCAGCAGCGCAAGCAGCAGCAAGTCCTGTAGCTTGTGAAAAGGCTCCACGTGGAAGATTGGGATATGCGGACGGGGAAAAGATCAATGGCCGACCGCGAGACCAGTCTTCCAGAGGCTCCCAACCGCAATCATACAATCCAACCAGAGATATCAGCGAAAGGCACGCCATTAGAGCATTCATAAACCATTGACGCTATCAAACATTCAACATTTCAAAGTCGCATCAAGACATTCCCATACCTCCCAATCACACCACCTCCCACTGACAAACAAACCCATACCCCATTCCCACCCTCCCCTTCATCCCCTTATACCCCGCCACCCCAACGCCCCTCCCATCCCTCCCATCCATCGACGTCACCGCCATAATCCGCGCCTTCTGCCCCGGACTCCCCAAATCCCTCACAGGCACATCACACCACCACACATCTCCATTCGTCTCAAAGGGGATATTATTCCTCTGCTTGCCCGCACTGTCACTCTCCAGCCCCTCCAAGTGCAAAATGTACACATAGTAGGGCCCCTTGCCGCAGCGCACGGGATCCCAATGCGGACAGATTTTCTGGAAAGAGAAGCGCACCGACCCACCGGTACGAGCGCCCGCAGTAGCGAGATCGATCTTGCCAGCCTCAGGTCTGAACGTGGTGCGATCCAACCCTTCTGAGGTGATGTAGCCGTCGAAGAAGTACGCGCCGCACCCATTCTTGTTGCCGGTGATGTACTCCTCCCACGAAACGGTGCGGCCATCATTGCGAAGCTGCTGCCCGCTCGCGGAGGGGAAGTGGTCGCGGCCGAAATCGTCGTTGGACTGTGTGAAGCGCTCGGGGGCGAAGCGCTTCTTGTACGGCTCGCCGGGGTTGCCGATGACGCCGGCGCCCCAGCAGGAATCGATGAGCTTCCAATGCCCGCCATCGATTTTGACGGCATTCCAGGCGTGATTGCCGTTGAAGGGCGGGATGGGAGCTCCAGCGGGCAGCTCGACGATGCCGTAGCCTTTGCCGTGCCCGGTGATGACGTAAGATTCTAGCCCGGCTTTGACGGCGAGGGCGGTGAAGAGGCCTGCGTAGCCTTCGCAGACGGCGAGCCCGGATTGCAGCGTTGACTGCGGGGTGGAGGGTTTGACGCAGTTGTTGAAGAAGGCGTCGACGTCGTAGGCGACGTTGTGGTGTAGCCAGGTGAAGATTGCGCGTGCTTTGTCTGTTGCGGAGGAAAAGGGGGCGGTGAGGTTTTGCGCGAGTTGGGTCACGTCTTGAGAGGGGAGGGTCTCGCGGGGAAATTTGGCGGCGTGGTTGTCGGGGGCGGAGTAATCGCGGCATAGGAGACAGGAAGCGAATGAGGTAGAGTTGGGGAGTGTGTGGATTCCGTCGAGTTTTGGTTTGGATGCTTTGAGGGCGGCAAGGTCGGGTTTGGAAGTCGTGGGGATGGGAGGCGGAGTATGATTGCCGTTCATCTGGACTCCATCTGTGGCAGAAGCCGGAGAAGGATCCTCCACTGGCGTGACCGGGTTGCCGAACCCCATAGCCAACACAGATTTCTTCGCAGGTGGAGGGACAATCGCCCTCTTTCCAGGAGGCGGCGTGGAGGAAGGAACAGTGCCACTCTGCTCAGGTTGCAACAAGCCCTGCGGCCTCGACGGCAACGAAGGCTTCCGCGCATCAGGCCTCGACGGCAACTGCGGCACAGTAGGCGAGGACTTGGTAGGATTAAGCTGCCGCTTGTACGCCGTGTTGGGCCTGTTGTACTTGTCGTACTCCGCTTCCTTGTCGGCCTGGGTCTTCTTAGGCGGCAAAGGAGGCAGCGAAGCGGGATCGTAGGCAGGCGCCTTCATCCGATCCGAGGTCGTCGAAACATTCGACCGCGCCGTAGCCACCGAAGCCGTAGATTCGTTCGAGCCTCGCCGGGCCAAGCTGTACTCTGATGGTCTCCTGCTGTACGATGAAGGCGTTTCAGAAGGCCGGCGGGACGGCAAAGCAGGCGACTCCGAGGGCCGTCGGGGAGGCAAAGCAGGACTCTGCGTCGACGTCCTCGGCGGTAGATTCGGCCTGGAAGGAACTCCAGACATGCCGTTTGGCCGAGCAGCTTCAGGGAGCTTATTCCCTGCCGCATTAGGCGTCACCGGCGCGTGGTCCTCGAGTGGTGGGAGATTAGACGATTGCGTTCGCGCGGGAAGAGCAGGCCGGTCAGGGCGCGCACCCGGCCTTGCGGGTGTTGGCGGCGGCGGGGGTCGCGGCCTTGAAGTTGGAGCAGGCGGGGAGCCGTTCGTTGCGTGCTCGTACGAAGGCGGTGTCTGCAGGCCGACCTGGTTCAATTTCAAGGCCGCGATCCTTTGCGCAATCGATTGCGGGGCGTCCGCCATTATGGAGAATTGGAGTCGCTGCTGCGAGGTTTTAGGCCGTTGACATATACAAATACATAGGGATGTAGAAGGGGATGGAATGCGTCGAGCGCGCGGAATCGTTGATGGGAGGTGTCAGTTCTAAAAGTGTTGCGGGACTTTTGCACAGCCTCGCCACGCACACGTGATCGACCAGTAAAGCGGTTATGAACAAAGGCCACCTACTCAGCCTCTCCCTCGCACAACTGAACTCAGTGAAACAAATCATCAAAAATGGAAGAGACAACAGTATCACCGAGACTTGCTACGAGACAGTACAACGCACGCAGAAACTCGCAAACCAGAAGCAACCAGAAGTATCAAAAGAAAGAGCCTCCATATCCCACTCCACTCCCCTCAATCACCCCCTCCCCATCATATCCCATCGCATCGCATTTTAGCCCACTCTCCATGCACCCGCTCCCTTCCCCTTCCGTCCGCATAGCCCGAAAAGCACAACTTTTGGCCCACTCTCGCTTCAAGTCAAAGGACCTCATCCATCCCTCCCAAGCGACCAGCAAGGCGCACCATTCATCAACCAGCCGACTCATTCCGTCTTTTTTTTCGTCCGAAACGATTACCCTTTTTCCATTCCACTTTATGCCGCTCCGCTCAGAACAACGACAGTAGATAGCGGGGCACAGTCCCCCTCCTCCGTATCGCATGGAAGAATCAGTAAAGCAGAGCAGTAGTAAGTACGCATAGCGCGCAAGACAAGACAAAAGAAAGAGGCATGATCGTCGTGTGTGCGGGACAGAAAGAAAACGAGCATCCTCCCAGCATCCACATGCGAGGCAGTCCGCTGCCAGAAACAAAAGAAATGGAAGAAGACACCCTTCCCAAGGGGAAAGCTTCTTCCTGTCGTTCACCTCCTCTTGCAGCATCATCCATCATCTCTCGGATTCAGGCCACCCTACCTCTTCCTCTTCTTCCCCCCAGCCTTCTCCGGCAAAGCAGGAGCCAGGAAGACCCCAGCTCCATTGCCATGCCCATGCCCATTCGCAATCCCACCCTGCATCTGCATTTGCATCGGATGATACTGCTCAACATCCTCGTCATACCCCTCAAAGGCCCCCTCAGTCTTCTGGACACCCTCTTCAGCCCTCTGCACTGAAACGCCCATGTGGCGTCCATACCGCCCCTTACGCCCATTCCCCTCGTCCTCACTAATGCAGCCCTCAATGCCAATACCGGCGTCTTTGCAGCGTCCGCAGGGCCGTTGCCGATCGCAGCCCTTTTTGCTCTTGCGGCAGCGTTGGCAGCGCGGTTTGGTGGAGAGGTCTTCCTCGTCGCCTTGTCCGTTGACTCCTGCTGCGGAGGGGAAGGCGGAGAGGGAGGTGGAGGTGGAGGAGGGAGAGACGCCGTTGAAGGCGTGCTGGTGGAAGGTGTTTAGGCCTGCGGCAGAGGCGATGGAGCCTTTGCGCGAGGCGGCTGAAGGGGCGGGGGACATGGGGATTTTGGCGTTGTTGTGATGATGGTTGGTGGAGGAGGACATGGGGTAGGTGAGGGACTTGTGGGCGTTGGTCTTGGGCTTGGTGGCGAGGGAGTTTGCACGAGGCTTGGTGTGTTTGTTGGCGCTGAGGGTGTGGTTGTTGCTGGGAAGGGAGGAGCGATGATGATGGCCGGTGGGGTGTTGTTTGGGCCTGCTCGGCTTCCGGTGATGGTCGGTATAACCGTCGCTGCCGGCGAAGGTGGCATCACGATGATCATCGTAGTCTTCGCCGCTGCTTGTGTTGCCCGCCGGGTCGGCCATGAGGCGTGCCTTCTTCCTCGGCGGGCCACCAGCGCTGTCGCGACCATAATGTGGGACAGTGGGCAGCTCGTCTTGTTGGTATCCATTAGCATCCTCGACGTCGCTCTCTTCGTCCGAGGAAGCGGCGTCTGCTTTGCCGCTCATGGCATCGTCCACAGTAGACGTCGAGGTGCGACCGTGCGAGAAGGCCATTGGATCGCCCAGACGCATGAGCTGCAGAGCGACATCTTCATCGGAGATGGCGCTGCCGACGGTAGGATCTGGAGTTGGTAGGATGCCACTGCCAGAATAGCGCCCACGAGAAATGGGAGCGCCAGGGCGAGGGCGATATTGATTACCCTGAGGATTGTAGGCGTTGTAGCCATTGCTTCCGGTGCTAGTTTGTCCGTACGGAGCGCCGCTGCCATAGCTCTGAGGAGATGGCAGAGGCTGCGTGTAGGAAAAGGTGGCCTGATTAGAATATGGGTACGGCGAGATGGCACTCGGTGGGCCAGCACGACGCTGCGGCGAGATGGAAGAGATGGATGTGCTCATTGGCACCTGTGGGGGAACGAAAAGCGGGAGTTCCTGGGAGGTGTTTGTCAGTCTCGCTCTCGACGACGAAGGGGTTGAACTTGGCTTACCGAACTCTCAAACGCCCTCTTCCTACGTCCGCCTTCAACGATATTATCCGTGCTGATCTCAGGGTTGACAACCTCTTGCTTGGAGCGGCGGGAGCTGGCCACAGAGCCACCACCGTTGTCGCCGCTGCTGTAACCCTCGCCGTCACCCATCATGCTATTGTCCTTGCTCTTCGTCCTCTGCGGACGCGGCTTGCCACCGGGAGCAACAGAAGCACTGCGCCGGCCGACGTCGGACTGCGGAGACATGCTACGTACTCCAGCAGACCTCGCGCCGGAGCGGAGGGGTGAATGATTGTGATGATGCTGAGGCGGACGCATCTCAAAGGGAGCGCCGAGGGTGGGCTTCTTGGGCGATGCAGAGTCTCTCCCGTCGTCGACAACCGACGCGCTCTTCTGCGCAACAGCGCGCACATACACCGTCATGTCATGTTCGAAGTTCTCGTAGGCTGCAATGAGATTGATGCCATCTTTGTTCTCAAAGCTGACGCCGTACTCGTACAAGCCGTAGAAGTTTTTGACGGTGGAGATGATGCCGTCCGTGGTGTCGTGCGTGGAGATCATGACTCTCATGGGCAGGCGGGCTTGTATGCGCGGGTCTTCATGGTCGATGAGTTGGAAGACGACATGCTTTTGATTTTTCTTCGCCGGTGACGCACGGCCATAGCCGGAGACGCCGGCCGGAGCGGTGTGATTTTTCGCAGGCCGCTGAATAGGGCCAGTGGACGGCTTTGCAAAGCCATTGTGGTCTTGTGTGGAGGCAGCGTGTCGAGTGGGATATTGGTGGCTCGATCTCCTCGACTCCGCCGCCCCAGCTTCCTGGTGGGCGTCGTTGTCCAACATGCTTGAGACATCCATGGATGCGGTGTGTAGTGCTCTGATTCTTCTTGATTTTTGCTTTTCGGACGATGCCGAGTAATGGGGGTCGTTTGTGGAGCGAGTCAAGTCTTCGAGCTCAAGGGCTCACTCGTTGGCGCATAGGCATGGGGGTGGGGAGGGTGGAGCGGTGAGGGCAAGGTCGAAGGTCCGGTCTGAAGAGGATTTCGTTAGCAAGGCAACATTTTCGAGTAGTGTGGAGTCATGAGGGGATGTTGTGGTCGTTCGTTGCAACCTCCCCGGCTCTTGTCCAAGGGGTGGTGGGAAGCACGCCGTAGAGGCGAGCAGAGCCGACGAGGGTGGGAATATCGGTGGAAAGGAAGGGGAAAAATGAGCAGTTTGGGACTCACCGTGGGTCGCCTGGAGTCCGACAACGTTGATGATGAGCGATGGATGGAATGGATGGGGTAATGAAGGGTTTGCTCGCCGTCGGCGGAATGGTGGGAGCACAGAGGTTGCAGCGAGCGAGGCAACGAGGGCAATGGGAGGAGCAGACAAATGGAGTGCAAGGGATAGACGAGAGATGGATCAGCACACGACAAAGGTAGTGCACGAGGGTCTGCAGTGCTCTGCAGGGTGAATGGGTAGGAGGAGGGGTGGTGGTGGTGGTGGTGCGGTAAAGCGAGAGGAGAGGGTTGACGAGTGAGCCAGATGCAGGCGGTGCACTGACTTCTCCACCCAAGCATCGATGCGGGATAAGGTAACCCGCCTCGACTAACAAAGACACGCCGCGCCCACCAAGGTAGTGCGCATGATTTTGAAGATTACAATCAGACGGCTATTGGCTCACGACGCTCTGCGCGACTCTACATAACAAATCACGCACGCCATCATCACCCTTGGCCCGATTATCAAAAGAGCGTCAGATCGGGGCACGCTGTAGGCGCCGCCGCACAGCTCGAGCCACGTAGGATCGAAAGTCAAAGCACCCGCTGCAAAGCAAGCCATTCAGCCATGATTGCTGGCCCTGATCCGCCCGCGTCACCCCGAGGCGTGAAAGCGGAAGGAGAACGCGGGCGGGGACAAGGCGTGCGCACGTCGCAGCAAAGGGGAGGCGCGAGGTACATAAGTTATGCTCGGGTGAGATGGCGGAGGCAGATGGAACTCTGATGGCCCGCGAAACCGATGCCTGTTTTGCGCACCAATCACACGCCTGCCTGCATCGGCCTGCCCATCCCACCCCATGCTGCCCAGCCAGCCATGCCGCGGAATGTGTCATGGCCTGCGATCGGAGGGGTTTGCCATTTCCATGCGCTCCTGATCATGATCGCCTGCGCCGTCTTCATGTGCTGAGCTTGGTTTGAATAGACGTGATTGTGATGGGCGGGTGGCACATTCTTTCGTGGAACCGAGGACGGTTTGCGCCTTTCCAACCCGCAAAAAGTCAAAACAGCCATGTCGCACGGTCTCACGGGCAGCAGCGCATATGGCACATCGCAGTCGCCCGTTTTCATGCTGGGCGCTCTGGTTGGGGCAAAAGGAGAGCTGAGGACAGGGTCGGCATCGAAGCTTTTTCCGCAATGCGCGGGATAAAGCGCTGTGCAGGGAGCACTCCGGAACTTGCCTACTTCCAGCTCAATCGCCTCCGAGTGCGGCTGCCGAGGGAAGACAGCCAGCGCGAGAGCATGTACATAGTCGAGTAGCTCCGAGCAGCAGGCGCGTGCATGGGAATCTCGGCCGTGCATTTCACGTTATTGATCTAGGAGGGGTTGGTTGCATTTGCTGAGAGCCCACCAGCGCTTTTTCAGCCGGCATTCCCGATCTTGGCCCGGCGCTGTTTCAGAAGGATGCCCAAGCCCTTCACCCTTACGCGGACACGACCCATGCGTCGCAAGATGACAGCGCATTTCCCCACAGCTGTCTGGGCAGTGCGCATGTGTCCACGCGTGGTGCCAAAGCATTGAGGATCATCTGTTGCATGCAGGAGTGAGGTTGGACATGCTCGCACATCGGTGAGTGAGGTCAGGTGACGTCGTGGGTTAGCGTGTCGGCGGTGAGAAATTGGAGGCACGTCAAACATGCCATGTCGCACCGAAACGTCCCACGATTTGATGCGCCTGGCACTGAGACACTCAGCACATGATAAAACCCAGCAGTTGAGGGGACTAGATGTGCAGAAGACAGCGCCCCATATTGCGACCTCGCGGAAGACGTGTCGACGCGACGTGGTGGTTGAAGGTGTGACGACAGATTTAAGTTTGAAGCGAGAGGGGAAAGCGTGGGCCAATCGGGAGGCCGACAGACACGGGAAGGCACGCTCCAGGTTCCGCGGCCGTGCCCGAGCCGGGAAAGTGCGGGTGTCGCCGCTGCTATTTGTTGTCGTCAAAACACTCCAGAGCTCGTCGCGAACTTGGCTGCCACTCCAACCGCTCACCCTCCTTCTTCTCCTCTTCCTCCCACGCATCCCTTATCGCCAACAGCGACAAGCCCAAGCAGCGATACCCCTCTTCTGCTCATTCGAGCGAGGACCAGACGGACGGATCGCTGCACGTACGCACGGACGGAAGTTGGCGTGTCGCGGCCCTTCACCGTGCAAACCGTGCGCCGCCGCTCAATGGTGAAGCTGTGAACGTCGCACTTCCACCAACTCCCTCCTCACCCGGCCACCTGCACATCTCACCGTGCTAGCATCACGTTGATTTGCATCGCCGACACGCACAACGACATTACACGCCTCAAAAAGTGCCATTGGCCATCATGGACGCAAAGGTACGTCGTCGTCGCTCACTCATTGCTTCACTCACCCCCAAGCACAAGAAGGAGGCGGAAAGGGTCAAGGGGGGTTTTCATCACATCAACAGTTCATGGCCTCTGTTTCTCCCCCGTGCCCTCCCTCCTCAGCCTTCTCTAACCGCGCCGGCATGCCGCATTCACCGCCGCCCCTCACTCACTGTCACGTCGGCGCTCATGATCTTCAACTGACTCCCGCGCAGCCACAACGCCCTCGCGCGCTCCGCGTGCATGACGAGAACATGCCCCCACCAGCCACACACATCACTGGCATGCCAGGTAAGACACTTCATCATCGCACCAAATCCACTCCTGCCCTATCATCACTCTTGCAAGCGGGCGCGGTGAAGGCGGCGAATAAGAAGGTCTTGGGGGAGGTGAATGCGAATGTACGCTTGTTGCAGCCGGCAAAGGACGATTCGGAGGTGGGAAAGGCGTCGCCGGGAAAGCTTAGCATCCAAGAGTCGGTGCTCCCAGTCAACACGGCTGCCTTCTCGCGGCCAGCCACACGCCCACTTCCGCCCAAGCCAGTCGCGGCCCACAACGTGCCCACGGCGGTGCAAGCTGCAGTGAGCAGACCAACCACTACCACACAGATGTCTATCGGCCAGGCAGAGCCTGAGAGAAAGATTGTTACCAAGAAGAGCACCAAAGTGCTGCGCGACGTGCAAGCACCTGAAGCATCCACCGCCCACGATGTGCAGCACCCCGTGTCGACTCTCCCGGCCCACCAGACCGTGGCGTCATGGGAGACACAGGTCCAACAGTCTGCGCTCACGAATGGCTCGGTCCTGCGGCAAGAAGTTCACAAGACCGAGAGCATCCCACTCCGCGACGAGCCTGCAGCACGGCCCCAGCCACGCACCTCGCACCCTCCGACCAACCCTCTGCCCGCCGCCTTCACCACCGAGCAAGAGTACCGCCAATACATCGACCTCCAGACTGCTCGCTACCAGCAGGCGCATGATGTTGCCAACACCGCCGGTGTGCCAGCTCCCTACGTGCTGCCCTCCCAGCCGATGGACGAGCACTACTTCGAGGTTGATGAGGTGGACGAGTATGACGAGCTCAACACCGCGCGCTCCTTTGGCTTGTACGGCGACAGCACTGGCGGAGTGACGACCATTCTCGGCCCCAAGTACGGTGATCAGATCAACCAGGAGCTGCGCGAGGCGAGGGACTACGTCGAGGCCACACGTCCGGCCGAAGACATTGAAGACGAGCAATGGGACACATCAATGGTGGCGGAGTATGGCGACGAAATCTTCGAGTACATCCGCGAGCTGGAGGTTCGCATGGCGCCGAATCCGCGCTACATGGAGCAACAGACCGAGATCCAATGGTCGATGCGTTCGGTGCTGATGGACTGGGTGATTCAAGTGCACCAACGCTTCAACCTGCTGCCGGAGACGCTCTTCCTCACCGTCAACTACATCGACCGCTTCCTCTCCTGCAAGATCGTGTCTCTCGGCAAGCTGCAACTCGTCGGCGCCACGGCCATCTTCGTCGCCGCCAAGTACGAAGAGGTGCAGTGCCCCACCATCTCCGAGATCATCTACATGGTCGACAACGGCTACTCGGCGGACGAGCTGCTCAAGGCGGAGCGCTTCATGCTGAGCATGCTGCAATTCGAGCTGGGCTGGCCGGGACCGATGAGCTTCCTGCGCCGCATCAGCAAAGCCGACGACTACGACCTCGAGACGCGCACGCTGGCCAAGTACTTCCTGGAAGTGACCATCATGGACGAGCGCTTCGTCGGCTGCACCCCGAGCTTCCTCGCGGCTGGCGCGCACTGCATGGCGCGGCTCATGCTCTACAACGGCGAGTGGAGCAAGGCGCACGTCTACTACTCCAACTATACCTGGTCGCAGCTGCGTCAGTTGCTCGCGGTCATCCTGGAGTGCTGCGAGGATCCGCACAGGCACCACTCGGCGGTGTACGACAAGTATACCGACAAGAGGTATCGGCGCGCGTCACCGTATGTCGAGGGCAAGCTTGCTGCCGGCTTCCGCCTGCCTATCGACAATCCGGCTCCTCTGACGATGGGCGGGCTGGAGTACGGCGGGATGCTTTGAGCAGGTCACGCTGCACTGCTGTCCGACTCGCAACTCATCCACTCAAAGCTGCTGTGCTCTTGCACGGCCTCGACGCTCGTTCCTTGTATACACCAACCACGCTCCTTGTCAACAACTTCAGCCCATCGCTCGCGGCTGATCTGGACGCTTTCTAACTATGGATCGCGTTGGAGGGGGTGTCATCGTCGGTCTGGACCTCTCACGGACCTGGACCGACGACTGGCATGGACGAGGAAGAGCACATCACACCACACCCACTACTCCACACTATTGCACAATACCCACTACCCTGGTACTTGTCACGAACCGAAACGCAGTGACGACCCGACTACGAAGGCGTTTAACAAAACTGGCGGGCTTTTACCTTCACTAATACTCCATTCCTTCGGCTTCCCATATCTCGGTCTTGTTTTCCTTTCTCTTTCGACTGGCTTCTCGGCGGCAAGCACCACGGCTGGCCTGGAAGCGTCTTTCTCTCTACTCTCGACCGGCGAATGGAGGACGGGTATACTGTTTGCTGGCTGGAGAAGGAAGGATGGATGGATGGACATGGTCGGTGTGCACGCCACTCTTCTACTCCTCCCGATGGAGGTTGTGGAGAGGCTATGCAGCACACCAACCTCTTCTCATCTCGGGTGCGACTAGACGGAGGAAAGACGTCGCCGTCTTGCCTTCTGGCCGTCCGTTTTTCTTTGCTTCTTACTACTAGCCTTCTTCATAGGGTTGGGTAGTTTAGAGGTTGTTGCTTTGTCTGTTCAATACCCCAGTCCGTATAGGAGAAAGCTCTTGCTGTGACACTCTTGTTCATCTGACTGCCTTGCTGTTGTTTATGCTGTACGTCGTTGATCGGGATGCTTTTGTGGGGCTGTCGGCCTTGCTGTTTACGGTAGGACATCCCGCCTATCGTCTTTCCGCCTGGGCATTCGTATTCCGCTCTAAAAGTAGACGAGGAGAAGGAAAGGCACACAGACAACCCGACGGAGTCTTGAGGTAAACCCGAAAGTCCGGAAGAATCTTGTCTGGATGGATGAAGACGATGGCTGATATCCCGGGTTGAATGAGCACGGCGATTAAATTTAGCAACGGGACAGCTGGGCGCGTGGACTCCGGACCCCTAGGGGCATCGCTGCGTCCGAAAGGGGAAAGTGGAGGGGTTTGGTGGGAAAAATTGGGGGGGAATTTCAACAGCTTGTCGGGAAGTCGTCTTTGACTAAGTATTATTTACACCGCTTCTTGACCTCTCTGTCTCGCCTCACTCATCTTCTCTACTTCATCTTTCATCTCTTCAACTCGTCCATCGAAGCCACAGGTGAGTTGCTGGTGTTTGCCATTGGGTTGTAGGTCTGGGAGCAAGGCAATGCTGACCGCGAGGTGACGGCAGAAACAAAACACCCTCACAATGGCCCAACCCGTCCTCGTCCCCTCCGCCTCGCTGCACGGCAAGGTGGCCATCATCACCGGCGCCTCGCGCGGCATCGGCAAAGGCTGCGCCCTCGAACTCGGCAAGCGCGGCTGCAGCGTCGTCGTCAACTACGCCAACAGCAAAGCGGGCGCCGACGAAGTGGTGCAAGCCATCATCGCCACCGGCACGGGCGCAAAGTCCATCGCCATCCAAGCCGACGTGTCCAAAGTCGCCGAAATCGAGCGCCTGTTCGTCGAGACGAAGAAGCACTTTGGCCGCGTGGACATTGTCATGTCCAACTCCGGCACCGAGAGCTGGGACAAAACGGAGGAGATTACCGAGGAGAAGTTCGACCACGTCTTCAACTTGAATGCGCGCGCGCAGTTCTTTGTCGGCCAGGCGGCGTGGAGGCATTTGGAGGATAATGGCCGCTTGATTCTCATGAGCTCCATTGCCGCCGGCTTGTTGGGCGTGCGTGACCACTGCTTGTACAATGCGTCGAAGATGGCCGTCATTGGCATGATCAAGGCGTTTGCCACGGATTTCGGTGTGCGTGGCATCACGGTGAACGGCGTTGCGCCGGGTGGCATCAAGTCGGACATGTTCACGCAGAATGCTTGGTATCCCTTCCTCATCATTCAAGCAGCTTTTCATCACTAACGTAGGGATATCAGGCACTACATCCCTGGCGGCACCCCCGAGTGGCCGGCGGACAAGATTGAGAAGCTGATGGCCGACCACTGCCCGCTGAAGCGCTGCGCCGTCCCCGAGGATGTGGCTCGCGTGGTTGCCTTTTTGGCTTCCGACGATGGTGGATGGGTCAATGGTAAGTCTTGACTGCCTCTTCTCCTTGCACAACATGGGCACATTCAGCTGATACTGACGACAACACAGGCCAAGTCATCACCATCTCCGGCGGCTCCTCGCAGTAAGCTAGTCCCGAGCAAGAGGGCCGAGCACGGAACGGAGCAGGAAGAGAGCATGATCGTGGAGAAGCGCGTTGAGCCGTAATTCAATGTCGACCCATGAACGAGATAGGCATGCATCGAGTTATTGATCGGACAAGGCGAGAGAAATGAATAGACCATCTAGGCGACATTGAAAGGCAATGCCAGTACAAAAGTTAGCGTACGTATTTGTATCGTCTTCACCCACCTGTCAAGACGACACTGCACTCTACTCTCTCGCCCCTCAACCTCGCGAAAGGACTACACCTGTCTCTGGTGAAAGTCCACCGCGCGATATCGGGCTCCCACCAAGGCCTGCTTCTTTTGACTTTTACCCGGATTCTCCCATCCAATCACGGCACATCGTCTCGGCCCCGAATTGGGAAGTGGGCGCCATTGGGGAACTTCATCTGGTCATCAGTTCATCCGTAGAAGCAAAAAGTAGCATTCATTGAAAGACTATAGATTGTACATTAATCTCTCGTTTTCTCCCCCTCGAACTCCGGGATATAGCTAGAGAGGATAGAAATAGATCTACACAGCAAAAGAAGCAAGGCAAAAATGCATATCCTCGTCAGTACAACAACCACCCATCCAATCGCAACACACAAAGTACTAAAACAACACCAGGTAACAAACGACGACGGGCCCCCCTCGCTGCAATCAAGCCCCTACATCCTGCCCTTCGTGCACGCCCTGCGCGCAGCAGGCCACAAAGTCACCATCGTCATCCCCGACGCCCAGCGCTCGTGGATCGGCAAAGCGCACATCGTCGGGGCCGAAATTCACTCCACGCCGTACTGGCCGCCGGAACGGACGCCTTCAGCCCATGATCCCGAGGCGCAAACCGCGCGGCAACAGCGCGATGGTGGCGGCGACGGCGATGCGAGGCCCTGGATCCTCCTCTCCTCCACGCCGGCGACGTGCGTGCAAATCGCCCTATCCCACTACCTCGACACGCACGATGTCGATCTCGTGATTTCCGGCCCGAACTACGGCCGCAACACCACCGCCGTCTTCGCCCTGTCCTCTGGAACGCTAGGAGCCGCGCTCGAAGCGGCAGTCTGCGGCCACCGTGCTATAGCCCTCTCCTTCGCCTTCTCCTCCCGCAACCACGACGACGAAATCATAGCCGAGACGTGCAGACATTCAGTGCGCGTGTGCGAATACCTAGCCGCCGACGCGGGGGGGAATTTCTGGGGCGAGGGAAGGCTGTATACGATCAACACCCCCGTCGTGGCGGGCGTGGCTTCCAAACCCACAATCTGGACGCGCATGCTGCAGAACTCGTGGAAACGAGGCGCCTGCTTCCAAGAGATCCCCGCCTCATCAGAAGACCCGACCTTCTCCGACGCAGCGCACGACGCCAACGCCGCGGCAGAGGAGCAGATGACGCGCGTGCAGACGGAGGAAGGCGGCAAGCCTCCTCCTCAAGCGGATGAGGGTCGCAATGGGCAGCAGAAGGACTCGTGGGAGCGCACGCGGCATTTCAAGTGGGCGCCGCGCTTCACGGACGTGTTTGATAGCGTGGAGGCGGCGGGGCCGGGGACGGATGGGTGGAGTGTGAAAGTGGGGGAGACGAGTGTGACGGGGATATATGCGAATTTCAAGCATGTGCAGGGACTGGAGGGGGAGATTGAGTTGGGAGGGGGGCAGCAGGTGTCTTTGGGGAGGGCGAAGGCTGCGGCGTCTTCTCCTGCTGCTGCGGAGAGGTTGTAGATGGTATGAGGGGGACGTGGATGTGGTAGACACTTCTTTCTTCTCTAGACGTACTCACGTACCTATCGACTTCGGGTAAAAGCCAAGACTCCCATCGCTCATCACCGTTCATCACCTTTATGCCTCCTTCGTCCCTCCCATCGCAAGCCCCCAAACCCCAAGAAACACCAGTCCACAGCCATATCCCATTGCCAAACTCCCCTTCCCGGTAACTCAAACGCAAGAAAGGGCCACGCAGAGCGCCAGCCCGATCCAACAAAACACAAAGAAAACAGAGACAAGCCATCAACCTAGTCGTGACTAGATGATTTCGAGCCTCGGATAGGTCGCTCGCACTCCAGAAAACACCGGTGCGCTAGGATCCCGCACGTGCGCGGAAGGATGCAGGAAGGGAAGCAAGGCGCCTCGACGATGCAATGCCGCGCGGAAACGAGATACCGACAACGCGAGATCATCCTCGGGAAAGAATGAACTGAAGATGCTAAGGAGTAGTTCCTCCACGCTCAATGAGAGCCGTTGGGCGCGCCTCCAGTCCTCTGCTGCTGAGAATGACTTCCATGTCGATGATGGTGATGGTGATGATGATGCAGCCGATGTCCGCTTCCACCACCCGACGTCGCAGCAGCAGTAGAACCAGTACCAGCATTATTGCCCGAGCTCCCACTCGCACTCCCAGGCTCCCCCTCACCAGGCTCAGCAGCCACGCACCAAAAGCGATGGCTGCCCCACGCGCCCTTCTGGCACTCCTTACTGCAGTACTTTGTCCGTCTGCAGCGCCGACACTTGGCGAACTGCCGGGTGTACTCCTCCCACTTGCCGCACTGCCAGTAGGCGCATTGGCGGATGCCGCCGCGGGACTCGTCTTTGCGGCACAGATTGCGCATCACCACGCCCGCCCAGTATTGCATGTCGCCTTGCTGCGGCGAGACGGGCGGGTTGTTGTGATGGCGGGATGAGGAGGGTTTGGCGGTGAACTTCTCGATGAGCGGGAAGATGTTGTAGGGTTGTTCCTCGGCTTTGGGCACGAATTCGTTGTCCCATTCCTCGTCCAGCTCTTCTTGAGTGGGGCCCGGGTGGGTTGCGGGATTGTGATCCGGATCGAGGAGGCGGAGGTCGTTGCCGATCTTCAATCGGGGGACTAGGTGGGATTTCTGGAAGTAGGTGCGAAGGTAGCAGTATTTGGAGACGTAGGCGAGTAACTGAAGAGACATGAGCACGTCTTCGTCTCGTGGCATGGCCGCGAGGATGCTCGCTGGTGCAGGGCGGTCGAGGGGAAGGCCGCGCGAGGGATACCACACGGGAGACTGCTGCATGTTGGGTGGGGTTGCATTGACAGCGTTGACCGGCGGAGGGATGATCTGACCCTGCGCGAAGCCCATGGTGGCTTGCGTGGGCGTAGCGGCAGGGCTGACCAGACTTCCATCCGCAGCTGACCGATGAGTGATGTTGAATGTTTCATCATCGGTGCTCGATACGTCCGGAGCGGTCAGTGTCATTGCGTTCGTCTGAGGCTCGAGTAGACTCTCTTCATCGACAATGTCTTGCATGACAATGTCCGTCTCCATGCCCACTACTGCGGGCTCGGGCTGGTCCGTTGGACTGGTGGAGTCCTCCGAAGCCTCCTCAATAATGCCATCGTCATCAGAGCCGGAGATGGAAAGCTGATGTCGAATGGATGGCCTTCGTCTCTGTCGCCCAACAATAGAGTTCTGCAGGCTCACCGATGCGTGGGCCGGAGCGCTGGGTGTGGTCGGTGACTGAGGCTGCGAGCTGTGCTCTGCATGGAGGGTTGGAACCATGGAGGGCAGTCGGTCGACGTCGCGGACTGGCCTGAGTCCGAGACTTGGATGATTGGAAGTGCTCTGAAGAGGTTCAGGATTTCGTCGGTCCTGGCTCGAGCCGGCCTGCAGCAATTGCGACCTGCTGCCATGTGATCGGTGGTGATGGTGGTGGTGGTGATGATGATGTGGTGACTGTCGGAGGAATGATGTGCGCTCGGGGGGAGAGCTGAGAGATAGATTGGCCGCTGGCGCGGTCGGAGTGATGACGCTCGGGGGCTCATCGGCCTCTGGAGGTTCTAGGGGCTCGGGGATGGTGATGGGCGGGGGAGCGTGGCGTCGTGCTCTGGCAGTACGCGAGTCGTAGGCATCATTGCGGCTGGAGGAGCGCGAGAAGCCCTTGGCGCCGGTGAAGGGGCATTTCCGCCGACCTTCCACGTCCGCACGCTCGCGGCACTTGTCGAGGACGTGGAAGTAGTTGTCGAGAATGGTGGCGATGACGGGCACCATGTCTGCCTCGACGACACGCGTGCGCACGGCCTCGGAGCCGCGGACGCCAATGTTGACGATGCACTGGAAGGCGAGGTTCCACTTCCACATCTCCATCATGTCCTTGCTGCGGCCCTCCTTGAGGATGCAGACGAGGCGCTCGATGCCGCCATCGACGGTGAGGATGTCGCGTATGCGGCCGGAGGAGGTGGTGAGGTAGGCGAGGTTGTTGAGGGAGTTGATGAGGGGGAGGGTGGAGGTGCAGTCGAGGGCGCGGCGGTCGTAGAGGGCGGTGGTGATGCCGACGGAGGCTTTGTTGGCGTTGGGGATGCTGAAGTTGACTTCCCGCATGATTGCGACGGTGTGTGAGGGGTCGTGAGGGGTGGAAGGGGTGTGTTTGAGGCGGAGAGAGGGGTGGTGAGAGGCTGAGTAGAGTGGTGAGGGGGGGATGTGAATCAGGCGGTGTTTCGGAGAGACGAGGGCGACGAGAAGGGTCTGCGGCGTCAATCAAGAGCCCAGACGAGACGGCGGAGGGGGTGGAGGCGGTGGGGAGAGGTGTTTGGAGGCGGAGGGTGATGGCGAAGTGATGGAATTGGGGGTGTGGATGGAGATGCGCGGATGGGCGACAGGCAGGAGCGATCCCCTGCGGGCGTTGCCTGCAATCAACCAAACTCCGCCCCACCTCTACTCCCCTTGCCAGCAGGCCTGCAGGCGAAGAGATGCACACATAGAGGGGTGGTGGTGGTGGTGGTGGTGTTGAGTCTGTTGTGTTGGTGGGATGCAGAGAATTGGTGATGTAAGTGGACAGGACACGGGCAGCGAAGAGGCGGAGGAGGAGGAGTAATCGGCTTGGTGGCAGTGGTGGAGTGGAGGCAGGAGGCGAGCCGCCACGAGCGCCAAGTCCAGGCCCGATGCGACGAAACGGGCGCGAAGAAGAGCTCTGCTGCAAATTCTCACCTCTCTGCGCTGCAACCCTCCCTCTTTTGCCTCCCACGCGTGATCGTCGACCGTCCTTGAGCGGGCGGGCGGGCTAATCTTAGCAACGGGCGGTTACCAATTCATTTCAAAGCACGTCGTCCCATACACAACCCTCCCACTGCAAATGTCCTACAATTCCAAGACCCGCGGCAATCTCGTCTTTTGATTGCATCTAGCTTCCTTGCCCGTCCTATCTTACCCGGAGGCCTTCTCACCGCCCTCGCATCCCCCATTATTATTAACAGCAACCGATGGGGCGGGGCTCCACTCAGCACATGGCTTTGGCATTCCGCATCCGTCTTTGCCGCTGTGATGACTATTCCGCTGATGACTATTCCGCCTGACCTCAGTGGCGGTTTGCTTCGGCTCCCTCCGATCGCGCCGCCACATCACTGCAGTCACGTGGGGTGGGAAAACAAAGAACTCACCCTCCATCCATCTTGCTCATACACGCAATGCATATTGTTTACAAAGACAAAACACAGGTAAACAGCATGTAATCTCCCTCTTGTCTCATCCCCACGCAAGCAAACGCCCCGTTGCTAAATCAAACCAAATGACGACCGACCGTTGCGCATCGGCTGAAACACTCGCGACCGATCGCCGCGGTGCGCTGTCCGCCTGCGCCAATCGCCCGTTCGCCTCTCCCCAAATTGGGCAATTACCGTAGAAAGTCCAGTACCTGGTGGTTCATCATCGACTACATCTCTCATGCACGAGGCTGGTAAACAAGCAAGGCTTCTGATTATCATCTCATATATCCATTCATGCTTTCATTTACACATCAAATCCCCTCCTACATGTATGCAAGGCCGTTTTTCGCACATCCAATCCTCAACCCCCCAAACTCCCACGTCTCACGCTGCCAAACCGCCTCGACAGCATCTCCTGTTCATCCGTGCTCTTCCTCACCGGCCCAGAACCGCTCTCATCCTCACCATCGTCTCCTGTCTGCCCGAGAAACTCAATCTGCTCCACAACCCCATCCTTCTTTTCCAACCCCCTCTCCCGAAAACCAAGTAGATCTCTCACCTCGCCTTCCCTCTTCGCCTGCTCTTCCATCTCCACCTCCCTCCCACTACCCATCAATCCCAACTCTTCCCCATCACAAACCCCCAACTTCTCCCTCAGCCCCACATCCCCCTCCAACTCCTGCCAAACCTCCACCTCCGTCGGCATAACCACATTCAACACCACCCTAACCAGCACCTCCCACACCAACACCGCCAAAATCGTAACCCCCAGCGTGACCCACCAGCCCACCTCCCGCCCAAACCCCCGCAACAACGCCCCCTTGACATCATAAATATAATTATCCGCATACGTCAGACTCAACGCCGCATTAAACGCAAACCACCCCCCAACCTCCAGCGCCCACAGGCCCGCCGCCAAGTAGGTGCGATATCGCTGCATCAGCACCTGCAGCTTGGTGTTAATGATGACCACGCACGCCGTGAAGGTCAGGAAGCCCATGGAGTATAGGTCCTGGCCGCCGGGCACGGGCTGCACGGCGGCGCCCCAGAGGGTTTCCATGGTGAAGAAGACGAGCGCTGCTTCGGCGATGGCCATGCTGATCCAGGCGAGGTAGAGGCGGAAGTTGAAGTGCGCGTTGCGTTGGCCGGCGGAGTAGAGTTCGGGGTGCGCGAGCAGGGTTGCGGGGCGGAGGTCCTGGTCGAAGATGCCGAGGAAGATGACGGGGAGGGAGGTGAAGAGCGTGTTGAATTGGCTGTGGGAAGGTAGAGGTTAGTTTGACGAGTATGAATTTGATGAGGCTGTGTCGGTCGGGTCTCACCTGAGCGACCACTGCTCGTACAGCGACGTGCCTGTATATCCGGTGCAGTGCTGGTACAAAGCCTGCGTGAGGTAAAACAGCATCTCCTTCCAGAACGTCGCTAGAGAAAACCAACGAGTCAGCACTGAAAGCTCCAATAAGAGACGAAACGGAACCCACCCAAAGTATACTTGCACGTCCGCACATAATTCCAATGCCCATGTACAAGCAACAACTTCTGCAAAAAGCGAAACTGCGCCACGGCGTAATCCGCGCACCGCGCAGCCTGCAGCCCTTCCTTGCCCGTGATCCCCACCCCAACATGCGACTCCTGGATCATGGCGATGTCGTTGGCGCCGTCGCCGATCGCCAGCGTCACGCTGCGGTTCACGCGCCGCCGGATGGCGTGCACGAGGTGCGCTTTTTGGCTCGGCGAGGCGCGGCAGCTGATGACGCTGTCGGCCAGGATGGCGAGGTCGAGGAAGAGGGTGTGCAGTGTTGGGGAGGCTTGGAGGTGGGCGAGGGTGCGGCCGTCGATGACGATGACGGAGTGCGCGATGGTGTTGGTTTCCGTGGCGTGGTGGATGTTGAGCAGGGCAGCGGTGAGGGTTGTTTCAATGTCGCCGGCTTCGTGGTCGAGAATGGTCACGGTGGAGTAGTCTTTGATCAGGTGGCAGGAGTGGCCAATGTTGATGGCTGTTTCGCGCTTGTCGCCCGTGAGCATCCACAGTTTGATATTGGCGCGGCGGAGGCGTTCGATGGTCTCCGGCACGCCTTGTTGTAGTTTGTCTTCGATTGCCGTAGCGCCGGTAAGCTCGAGTGATTGCTCGATCAGCTCGCCGGCCGCTTCGATCTTCTGCTGTCGATCAACGAGGGAAGTGGTCGCGTCTTGGTAGACCTTCTTCCACGACCGATACTCGTCGTCGCTGAGATAGCGGTGGGCGTATAGCAGTGTTCGTAGACCTTCCGTGGCGAAGTCGTTCACATGTTGAAAGCATCTTTCGATGACAGTCGATTCGTCCGTCGCCACACTCTCTTCGACCCGCACTTCTGAACACACATGCTCTGAATATGCGACTGAATGACGGCCAATTTGAGCAGAAGCTCTTGGCGTATGAGCACTTCGATCCACCAACGAGTCATCGTCATCGTCTTTAATTGGTGTCAGGCGTCCAAAACTCGCCCGACCACTAACAGAACCACTACGCAGCGTCAGGCTCGTCCGCGGAAAACTCCCAACACTGCTTCTGCGATCCGCACTCTCACTCTTCCGATGCAAGACCTCCTGCGCCTCCAGATTTCGTCGCTGGCTCGCACGCCTCTCAACCTCCGCAATCTTCTGTCGTGCAAGATCGGCGAGTCGCAGGCGCTCAGTAATGACAGAATCGGCGCCCTTGCAAACGACACAGAGGCGGCCATCGGGCATGGCGAGCACAACAGACATGCGCTTCCGCGTGCTGGAGAAGTCGATGACGTCTAGAAGTTCGTACTTCTCCAACACAGGCTCTGCGGCCGGGCCGTTGGGGAAGGTTTTGAGGGTGAGCGTGCTCAGGGTCTTGTCGAAAAATGTGTACCCCAACTCACTCGCCGCCTCGACCAAGGCTCTCTCATCTGGGGATGCGGCTTGGTAACTGAGCTCGCCGTCCTGGCCGATCTCGGGGAGACAAGTGTGACATACGGCCAGGGAGAGAATCATCATGCTTGCTCGTTTGGCAAACGGCGTCTGCGGGTTCCGCTGAATGTAGCGGATGATCTCGGCAGTCGACATATCTGGCTGGCGGATAGCAGGGACCGCGGAGTGCCACGAGGTGGTAGAGTTCCTGGGTGCGGCTTCGATCCCGTGCGACGATTTGGGCATGTTGTTGATGTTCGGTCTGCTGCCGGTGGTGGACTTCCTTGGAAGCTTCCACATCGCATGCTTGCATTTGGATTTGCCGTCAACCTTGTCTCCTACCTCCCTGTCTTCCATGGGAGTGTCTTTCAAATCTGTATCATGCAACCAAGCAGCCCCAGCAACACTCAACTTCCGCAATCGCATAACATTCTCCGTCAGCGTGCCAGTCTTGTCACTAAAGATATAGCTGACCTGTCCCAGCTCCTCATTGATCGTCGACGTCCTCGCCTCAAAAGGGGTATTGCTAGCTTCATCATACATGTCCAGATCGCAATTCATCAACGCCATCTGCGAGACCTTGATGATCTCCAAGCTGACGTACAGCGACAATGGAATCATGGTATTAAACATGATGATGAAGCTGACAATAATAGGGATGAAAGCCACGTGCGCGTCGGTGAGGTACCATGCTTTCTGCTCGTAGTCCACGTGCCAGACTTGATAGGCAATGGTGTTGATGAGGGCAAGGCCGACGACGAAGAAGACCATGAAGATGACGATCTTGTTGACGACGCCTTGCAAGGAGGGCGCTTTGATGCGGGGGTTGCGGTTGGCGTTCATCCGGATTTTGCACTCATCGCCGGTATAGAGGATGACTCCGATTGCTTCGGGGGTGTTGCGGAGGATACTGCCTCGGTAGATGATTTCGTTGTTGGTGAGGGGGCTCGTGTCGTCGTGTACCGACAGCCTGCCTTCGAAGTTGTACAGATCAATGTTAGGGTCCTCAACTGCCATTTCAGTTCTCTTCAACCCCACGATATCCTCAGGTGTTGCGCATTTGCCAACTAGAGCGGCACTGGGCTGTTTGGTCTTGAGGTTTGTCTCACCATCCAGCGCCATCGTTTCGATGTAGGCGGTGTTGTTCGGGCCTTTGCTGCTGAGTAACATGATATCGGCCGGTATTGGCTGATCACGGTCTACTTTGACAATGTCACCGACTTGCAAGGACTGCCATTTGACTGTCGCCCAGTGAACCGGTCCATCCTTCAGCTCCTCTGCTTCCACTTGCACGGGCCTGTATGCATGAAGGACGAGTGCTTCTCGATTGTTCTCAGCCTTGTCCAAACGATGCCGACGGAAGTCCTCGTATCCTTCCTTGGCCATTGAGATTGAAACGAAGCACATGAGCGGAATGATGGTGGTATAGGAGCCTGTTGTCGACAGTCCCGGAATCATTTGGAGGATGCTGATGGTCAAGAAATAGAGGTTTGCCAGCTTCGAGAACTGCGCAAAGAGCTGTCGAGGCAAGAAGTTCCATAGCGTGTACTTGGAGGACTTGATAAAGTTGCTCACGAATGGCCGTCGGGTGCGCTCGTCTATCAAAGCCTTCTTTCGATGAGGGTCCAGCGGGATATGTCTGCCGTCCTTGGAAGGTGGGATCTCTTGGATTCGAAGGATCCATTTTCGTAATTGCTTGTATGTCTGTTTGGCGCGCCGGACGGGTAGATGTCTGTTCGCTTGTTCCTGCATCCATTGCTGGTAGTTTGGCAATACGGACATTCCTCGCGGTCCTTTTGTCAGAGAGCCATCGGCAGAAGTGGAGGGAAGCAGGCTGATGCGGCCGTGTCGAGTTCGCTCCGGGGTGGGCGGGCCAAAGTCGCCATGGATTGCAGTCACGCTAACCGAGGGCTGAATATCTTTCTTGACGTGGTCAGAGTCGCTGAATTGGCTGCTAGAGCCGGGCAGGTCGTGCATCTCAATGATCGAGTCTCCGGCCGGTGTTGCTCGGTCGACATTCCTGGTGAATAGAGAAGTGCGCAAGGACATGCCTCGATGTCTGGAGCGCGGCGAGGAGGGAGTGGTATGTACGGGTGGCCTTCTTTGCGTAGGGTTGTTGGCAGCTCTGGTATCGATGCGCATTGGAGAGGACGGAGATCCGTGGGCCTCCATTGCAGTCGGACTGTCCCTGGCAATCTCATCGCTCTTTCTCTTCTTGCCAGCGATATTGCGTGTCACCCCCGCCTCGCCTGTAGACATGGGTCTCGATGATGACAGCGGCGGGGTGATGTCGCTTCCCGAGGAACGCTGCGTGGAGGCTTCGTGTAGACTGAGAGTGCGTGTGCCAACGTGGACTCCATCTCTTGCGCCATCTACGCCAATCTCCGCATCATCGTGATAGTCGTGCGATCGCCTCCGCCTCACACCTTCCTCGTCCGCAGCCTCGTCTGGTGGCATTGCACGTTCGTATTAGCGAGTGGTAGGTGTGGAGTTTGACTGCCATGTTCCGCCGGTAATGATCATTCTCTTCCCGGACTGCTCATGCGCTTGAGCAGGGGTGCGATCTGGGAGGCGGAGTAGACATTGGAGTGAAGTGGAAGTGTCCTCAAAATTTGGGAGGGAATGACATAGCCCACTTGACGCGCGTGTTCGATTCGGGAAGGAGCGGAGTGGTTCCTGCATGCGCCAGCCAACCAGCTCCTTCCTTCTATCTACACCTCCCAATCAACTTGACCAACATCATGCTTCCATGTTGACAGACGACTGTTAACGACATATAGCATTGGAATCGATTTCCTGCATTGCATCGTCGACCTCCATCGCAGCATGACTTCAACCGGACTTCACCTCCTAGCATTCACCTCGTAAGGAGCAACCATGCTTCTCACCCTCGCCAAACTCTCCGACGACGCAGTAGGCCTCGAGAAACTCCTTCGATTCGGGCAATACGCCTCGCAAGCCATCGGCGCATCGTTCGTCCCCTTGTCGTCAGGCGACGCAATCGAAGCCGCAATCCCATGGAGACAAGCCCAAGCGCAATTCGCTCTATGTAACTGCACCCTCTCATCCCAGCCTCGCAAAGACGAAACAACCACTGACCAATTCATCACAGCTCGCCGCTACTTCCGTCTACTCAAATGGCACGGCACCTTCTCCGCCGCTTACACGACCGCCACCGTCGAGCAGCCGACGCTTGAGCGCACGCTGCGGGTGTGCAAGTTCTCCTTTCTCGGCTTGTATCTCTTCTTCGAAATGTTCGCCATCGTACGTCTGGTCCCAATTCTACTTGAGTATGGTGTCAGCGAGCTTATCACGTGCATCTAGACGAACGCCATGAAACTCACAGACTACGCATGGGCGGCGGCAATGCAGCACGAAGCGCTGAAGTTCTGGCTCTACGCTATTGTGTCGTCCCTCTTGTTGGGCATTTGTCTGTGCTTCTCCACACCATCTTCTCCCGCAGGAGCAGCAAAAGCCACGCCAGCGGCCAACGAGGAAAAGTCCGACGTTGCAGTACAGAATGCTGCTCCGCCGCCGGCTGTCGAGTACTCGAAGATCTACGTCCAGCTGGCTATCGATTGCGCCGACGTTTTAATTCCCGGCGCGGCGTTGGGGTGGATTCAGCTTGACGATTTCTACGTTGGTATCGCGGGGACTTTGTCGACGCTGCTCGCGCTTCAGGGGTTATGGAGGCGGGTGGAGTGAAGTTGCTTGAAGGAAGGGGAGCGATGCACAGAAGCCGGGTATCTGGGAAATGCGAGCATGCTACCTGTGTACCCTCAGCCAAACGCAATCACTCTATCGTCCATCTCATTCATAATCCATAACGTCGTATCCGCGCATCAATGCATCTTCCTCACCCCCTCCAACCGCCACCTCACATCCCTCAACACCTTCGAACTCGGCCTCCACTCCTCAAACTCCCGCACCAAAACCTCCACCTCCTCCCGCAGCTTCGCATCCGTCTTCACCACCTCCTCCTCCAGCATTCCGCGCACTGCCCAAGGGAGGTAAAAGGGGTTAGGCGTCGCGCCAGCCGGCGGTGGTTCATAAGCCGCAATACGAGGCGCGATCCCCACGGAAGAAGAAGTCGACAGCGCGCCGGATGCCCGACGAGCGGAACCCGCCAGCGCCGCCAGCGCTTCCTCCCCGCGCGAACTCCTTGTTCTCTCCAAACTCTTCGTTGACTCGCTCTCCACCGACGACGAGGAAGACGAAGCCACTACGTCAGTACTCTCCATCGCGAACTCCACAGCCAGTTGATACACATCCGCCTCGTCGTAGATCCGACTATGCCCGTCTCCGCCCACCAAACTCCCAGCCAAGGGGCCGGACAACTCCCGCAAAAGCCCATGGTCGCTCAGACCCAAATTGCGGAGTTTGAGCGCCAGCACAACCAGGTGCGTAAGGAAGTTCGGCGCATGAATGCGACCATCGACGAAGACGGCTCGTGCGACGTATGGATGGGTGAGGGGTGCGTGGAGCGAGGACTCGAGCGAGACGAGCTGGTCGTCTAGACTGCCTACGAGCGTCAAGCGGACGCCGTGCCGGAGGCAGGTGTCCAGACTGGCGGCGTACGATTTCGAGACGGCAGAGCTGGAGTCGGAGAATTCGAAGAGCTCCAATGCGCTGCCGCCGAAGAACCGCGATTTGTACTCTAGGAACGGTCCGAGGCTGATGCCTGCCATTGCGCAGATTCCCACGCGGACGTGCGGGGCTAGACAGCCGAGGTGGATGAGTTTTGCGACGAGCATGACGGCCACGGGGACGCCTTGGCTGTGACACGCAACGAGGATGAAGTCAGCGCTGCGGAGCTGCGAGAGCCAGTTGAGCAGTAACTTCCAAAGCGTGTTGACTCGGTCCGCGATATAGCCTTCACCTTCAAGGGCAACAGTTTCGATTTCCACATCGTGGATGTCGGGTTGGTGGGCTTCGCACCAAGTCTTGATGGCTGCGGCGGCGTGGTTGGCGAAGCGGATCGAGGTCCCGGTGGGCTGGCCCAAGACTTTTTGCAGAAGGGCGCCGGGGAAGAAGCCGTGGATGCCGATTGCGACTGCGCTCTTGATCCGTGGTGGGGTTGTAGAAATGAAAACATGTTGAGGGGCTGTTGTAGTTTGTCCAGAGGGAAGATGCAGTGTTTGAGCGAGGTAATTAGTCAGTCGGTCCATGTAACCTGGGTTTGTAGCAGGGGCAAATGTTTCACGGAAAGACGGGAGCGTCCAGTTAGGCCGTCGGGTGGAAGTTTTCGCCCTTTTCGACGGCTGTGTCACGTCTGCCGTTGTAGGAGTGCTCGAGACGAGAGATTTGGTGCTCGGGGCAGGCGATTGTTCAGCCGAAGGGGTGGGTGAAGACTGTGCCGAAGCAGTCTTGACTTCGTCCGCTCTTCCACGTTTAGGCTTCAGCAGCGAACCGGACACCTCGGGCTTCGCCTTCTGTTGTTCGCGTTGTTCGCGTTGTTCGTTGAACTGCGCTGCTTCAGGGTTCGACTGTGACGGCGTGCCGGCTACTGCTAGCTCGCCGACCTGCTTCTGCATGCCTCCAGGGGTGGGAGCTGCATCCTTGGCTTTGTCTCCAGACCAGAAGGCCCAGGCGGAAGACTTGGGTGGATCTGTGTTTGGCACTGTAGCGGTCACTGACGGAGGATCATCGTCCTTCATTGTATCTTCCACATTGGACGGCTCAGTCGTCACTGTGACTACCGGCGCAGCTTTCGATGGTGTTGTGCTCGACTGCTCATCGGTCGTAGCCTTTTGGTTCTGCGCCATACTCCACAAGCCAAACCAAGACTTTGATCCACGCTGGTCCACGGCTGATTCATGCGGAACGTCTTCACTCCGCATCTGTCCCTTTCCACCACCCACACCCTCGAAATCCAGCGCATTCCTGACTCCGAAACTCGTCCCCTCATCGGTCGGGGTAGTCCCAGGTAACGGCGTACTGCTCGCCGCTTGTTCATCCTCCGCAGCGTCTAATTTCTGCTTCTTCACCTCCCGCGTCTCTCCATCGCTCGCATAACCATCCGGCCTGCTCCACCAGCCAAACCACGAGCTTCGCGCAGCCACGCGCGCAGCCTGATCGTTGTCAGCAGCAACCACGGGGTCGGGCGGCAGCTTTGCATCCTCAACAACCAGCTCCTGCCCATCACCTCCATCCCCTTTGTCAACTTCCTTCGCCTTCTCCCCCGCCAATGCCTTGTCTTTACTCGCTTGGCCCGTCGCATGCACTTTCGTCGCCTCGGCGACAAGCGGTATACTCTTCCTACTCCCGCGAACGCTCTTGCTAACTGAATTGGGAGGTCGGGTGGACTCCGAGGACTCCGAAGTGGCGCCTTGAGCAACGGAAATGCTCTCACGCGCGATTTGGGCAGTGGGAGAGGCTTTTGGGCGCCATGACCAGCTTGATCTGCTGGGTGCTGGCGAGGATTTGGTGGGAGTGTCGTTGCTATTCGAGAAGGCTGGGGTTGGGTTGGGTTCGCTCGTTTCTTCGTTGAGTTGGTGTTGCGCGGCTACTTCTGGAGTTTCGACGGATGCATCGGTGTTCGTCTTGGGCTTCTTGCGCTTCGGAGGCATGTTGTGGCGTGGAGGTTGTCTATCAAGCGCATCGTTGCGCGAGGCATCTCGACTCGTTGATATCGCATGTCGTCAGATGCCCCGCGCTGATTGGCCCGAGCGCGACGTGACGTGTGGCCTAAGGCATGCACTCTACACGTCTCGCACGCGTCTTCTCCACTTCTTCACCCACAAGGCAACCTCGCACATCATCTCGCAACACATACACCAACTAGACAACAGCAACGAGCAACATGTCCGAAATCACTCCCCGCGTCACGCAACCGTATCTTGGCCACTTCACCGGCAAGGTCGTGCGCATTCTAGGCAAAGTCAGTGAGTTGCAAGGCGACACTGCGAGCATAGATGCTGGTGGCAACATCGCGTTGCATCTGAACCGAGTACGTTTCTATCATTCCATGTCCGCCTTCGAAAATTGGCAACCACTAAGGAACGCCAAAGGAGGCACACCTCACACTCAACCACGCCGTAGAAGTCATCGGAAAAGTACAGGGCGACGACAGCGTGCGAGTCATGGCGGCGACGGATTTCGGGCCGCAGGGGGGTATCGGTGAGCTGCTTTCGCCGTCATGGAGCAACAGAGTAGAGAGAATGATGAAGCGAACGCTGACTTGGTGGTAGACTTCAACGCCGTAGAGGCCGTCGTGGACGCTACACACCGGTATCATGAAATCTTTTACAACAAGGATTAGATGTGACGACGGTATTCGGCCAACGATGTGACGATAAAGTGTGTGTTTTGAAGGATCAAAAGGGATGCAGATGAAAAGGGTGGGCGTCAAAGGCAACCTCTGATAGAGTCGCGAGCATGAGCTGCAATCTACCTGAGATGAAGTTTCCTCTCCGTTTCTCTTCTTCTAGTCTAGATATGCCACGTACATGCCATCGTCAAGTCGTAGATCTCCCGCTGAAGATCGCATGCAACCGCCCAAACTCATCCTCAAGCCGCGGCAATGCCCAGTCCAGCAGTCTGCTTGGCCAACAGATCTGCAGGTTTATCCCCGCCAATCCCCATACCATCACCAGTACTCTGTCCCTTCTCCGCCGCAAAGTTGCGACTTCGCGGCGTTATAGGGGAGAGATTGTAGAACTCGTCCAGAATGGGATGGATGAGGACCGTCTGGTTGTGGATGGTCAGCACGCTGTTGGTCGGTACGGTAACCCAGTTATCGCGCTCAAAGGTCAACGGCTCTGAGGCGACGAGCACGATGTCCGCGCCCTTGTCGCGCCTCTCCATCTTGTACTCGCCCTGTCCGATCTTCGTCTTCGCGTCATGGCCTGCACCGTGCTGTCGATGCTGCTCCGTCCAGCTCGTCCCGGAACTGAAGAACAACGACGCAGCCTCGTCCGTCTTACTGCTGACGTATCGCGTGCAAATCACCGACTTGCCATCCGTGACGGCGAAGTTGAGCAGACTCCGCGTGTCCGCCACCTTCTTCTTCTCCTCCGGCAGGTCGCGAATGAACCCATTAATCCGCTCAATCGTCCGCAACATCGCCTTGCGGAGCACCGAATGGCCAAAGCCGTCGCGCTGCCGCTTTTCATCATCCGGATCGACGCCCATGCGCTCCAGCGAGTCGAGGAAGAGGGCAAACGCCCACTCGCTATCGGTACTTCCGCCCACGCAATCATACCACTTGTCCGCCACGTCTTCTGCCAATCTGCGCTTCACGCCTAGCCTCCAGCCGCCAATGCCGCCATTGTGCATCCACATCAACGCCCCCCGGCAGAAAGGATGGCAGTTACTGTCTCCCAGCGCACCCTCCGTCGTCGCCCGCACGTGCGCAAATACCAACGGCGACATGGTCTTGCTCGCCAGCCGTTCGAGGTTCCGGCAATTCCACGCGGGGATGGTGCTGGTGAAGATGCACGGCTCGGGGCCGAGATCGACGGGCTCGAGGGACTCGCCGGGCACTATGTCGCCCCCATTTCCGCGCCGCCGCGGCGTCGTGGTGGACGCGGTGTAGTAGCCGACTCCGAAGCCATCGCCGTTGTGCGGGACGGAGTCGAGGCGGAGGCGCGAGTCCCAGGACTGCGTGAGGATGCTGTGGGTGGGGGAGGTGATGAGGTGGGAGAGCAGGATGGGCGACTGCCCGGAGTAGATGAGGAAGCGGCACATGGGGCCTGGATGGAGTGAGGGTGGTAGGGATGGTATTTTGGGACGGCCTTGGCCGGAGTTGGCTCCGTCCAGGTGCGGGGGAAGTTGTGGTGCTCGGGGGGATGGGAGTCCTGGTTGCCGGTGAATCTACGTACCCCGTCTTTTCTGCACGTGGAGGGCTAACGCCGTTGACGCAGGAACCCGGTGATCATGGCTGGATCCAGATGTGACAGAATGATGATGGCGGTAGTGGAGGGTAGAGTTTTGGAGGGGCGAAGTCGAGGTCAAGGATGTACTGTAGTAGTTGTAGGTTGTTTGCTAGCTCGCTGATCACGTGCCGTATAATGCAAGACAAGAGGCAACTGACGACAGCACCACAAATGCCATTCAGTACACGACAGATCAGACGCAATTTTGGAGAATAAAAAAATCTATGACAAGCTATGATATCAACACCCCAAAATCACCCAGTTCATCCTCCCTTTGCGTACGCGCCAGGATCATTCATCAACAGTTGGGAAGCATCAAGGAACGTTCGACACCCCTTCCCCCTACCCATTTTCTCTTTTCGCATTCGTCGTCAAGTTTTTAAGGAAAAAGGACACCACATCAATGTCGTGAGCGAAAGAAATCCGTGATCCTCAAAGGGCCAAGGCGCAAGAGATGAAGAAGTCGAAGGTGTGCAGCGTGTCATCCACAGGTGTCGAAATAGCTTCCTCCACTTGGCATCGGTGTCATCAGAGCCCTTCTGTCGCACGGAAAGCAGTTCAGCGGAGTCCCGCAGACGACTCGGCTCGCTGGTCCATATGCGAGGCTTGCGTCTCGAGGGCTTTGGCCATGACATGCGTCACTAGTCGCCAGTGTCAGTCCGCGCACTTGGCCGAAAGCAAGTAAAGGAGAAGAGAAACTTACCAGGCCACACAACCGCCTTCTCCAGCATCATCGCCGTCACCCTCAAAATCCTACTCCCATATCCCCACACACTGATATTGACATTACTCGCCCCCGCCCCAGCCATATTCGCCGCATTATTCAAGCCGTGCAAATCCAGCGCCAACAAATTCTCCGCCTGGAAGCGCTTCGCCTCCAAGCTCTCGCAGATCCGCTCAATCTTGTTCAACAGCTCCACATCCTCCGTCTCGAGCATCATCACCGCCGGCACCTGCGCGTAGTCGACGGCATCCCGCCCCAGTACGCCGAGGTAGCTGCCAACGCGCTCCTGCACCGTGGACGCCCACTCGGCCAGCACCTGGCTGCAGTCGAAGAAGCACATGGCGGATTGCACCGGCAATTCGTGCGCTGCCATGTCGGCGTACGTGAGGTTCCAGCTGCAGGCGATGGTGAGGGCGTCTGCGGCGTAGAAGGCGGCTTTGCGGAGGTGGCGCTCGCGGCGCGAGCTTGACTGATCGGATGCGTGGGAGGGGGAGCGACGCTTGTTGCCGTTGTTGTTGCTTGCCTTCACATCGGACCCGTTAACGTCGCCCGCTGTGTTGGCAATGTCGGCATGCTGTGCGATTCCCGATCCGCGCGCCAGCTCGTCCGCCATTGCATCGTAGTCGCGCTGCCAGAAAGCTTCCTTGGAATGGTCGAGATTCACAAAGAGTCGGACAAAAGCCAGATCAAGTAGAGGAATGCAGTCGGCGGAAAGCGGTCCGGCCGCGAAGTGATTTGGTCGCTCGAGCTTGTGCTGATCGTTGGCTCTCCAAGCGGCCGACCAGGCATTCAGGGCCGGCTCAATATGCGCAAACATGGACTGCGTCTCCTGCGGAGTCCACTGACTGCGCGGGTGCCGGCTGCGGGTTTCCCAAATGTAGTTATGGAGGGCGTTAATCAAGACGAGACAGCCAAAGGTGCTAGGCCGCAGGTCGTGGTCGATGGAAGAGTCGTTGCTCTCTCCAGTCTCCCGACGGTTGTTGTTCGAGGCGTGCTGATTCCCCTGGCGTTGGCTGGCTGTCAACAGTATGCTCAACGCACCGGCAAATGAGATCGCATTCTGCTCGGCAGTGACCAGGCCGCCACGATTCTGCCATTCCTGTGCCGAGTCCGCAGACCACAGTTCCTCGTCACAGGGCAGGTCGAGCAAGATTTCGGAGTTCATGATGGTCGGTGTGTGGTTGTAGGCCGTTGTGAGCAAGCTCGACAGAATGAAAATGGCAAACAAAGTCCTCTTGCGCTCCTCCACTCCTTTCCACGCAAGCCACTGGCTTTGTACATCCCCGTCTGCGCTGAGTTGTCTCGAGACGCTTTCGGTCGGAGCGACGCTAGAGTCACGCATATGCACATCAGCGGAGCCATGAGCCTCGCCTCCTGGTGTGTGGACGGGCGGTTGTGTCAGTTCTGCAGAGCGCGCCAAGCTGACGAGCGCAGCAAAGTGTGTGCTCGCAATATCTGCCGCAGCCTTGTCGCCGCACTGATGTCCATAGACGACACACAACAGCATGGCCTGCACAAGCCACAAGGGTGTGGGATGGGGCGAGTCGCTCGGCGAGCTGACATTGCTCCTGGCAGCGGACAGATCGGCTTTCTGGCGTTCCAAGTAGATGGTAAGCATTCTTCTTGATGCATCAAACAGTTCTTTGGAAGCGGGATGGTCGTATTCGTAGAGTGCGCCAATCGCGGCCATGCCTAAAATCAGACATCCGGCCCCTCCGCGCAGGCCGCTTTGATGCAAGCCCGGTTTGGGTGACGGTGCTGGGGCTCCAGAGGCAGAGTCATTCAAATCGAAGGATAGCGTCGGGATGTGCATGAAAGGTAGGTGCGGGTGCGCGTGTTGGACGAAAGCCTTCACATATCGGCGAATGTCGTCCGAACCTGGTAGGCTTGGTGCTTGGATGGAGTTGCGGCCAGGAGACAGGGGCGAGCTGATTTTGGCCTGAGAGTGCTTGCGCTGGTTGTAGCCAAACATGGAAGGTTGGGACAGGCCTAAGAGGAGAGCTTGGCGGGTGGCATCGGTAATGGAATCCGTCGACATGGACGTCACCGAGCTGTGTCGGGCGCTGGCGATGGAAGAGGATGAGATACTTGGACTGTCGGAGCTCAGAGTAGAGAGCGCTGGGGCAAAGTGAAGTGGCGTCTGGGCTTGCATGGTTTCAGGGGGAGATTGCTGCTGTAGCTGGTGCTGATGCTGCATCATCGCCTGACGCAAGTACGAATCGTTGGTCGGAGTCGGGTCGTGTAAAGTTTCGGGGGAAATGGTAGTCAGGAGGTGGTTGTCAAGGCCAGAACCCGAGAGATTGAGCTGCAGGAGTCCGCCAGAAATCGACTGCCGGGCTTGCCGACTCTGGTTCGCCCATTGGAAGTTATTCGACCCTCCCAGACTCATGCCGCTATTGGCTAAGCTTTCGTTATTCTCGTCTTGCGGACTATCGCCACTGCTCATGCGAGAAGGCGAAGACTCGTCGATGGCCTGCTCGTTCCCGTTCTGCGCCAAATGCATGTTCCAATTCCGCATCCACTCAAAGTCGTCTGCTTGTGCTAAAGGGTCCATTGCCGAGTGGACGGTGAATGGCTCGAGAGGCGGTAGTTGAGGTTGATTGGAGAGCGAGCCACCGAAATGGAGTTGCGCGGGATTGATAGTCGTGCCCTGATTGTTGAAGAGCTGGTCAATGTCGAAGCCGCCAAAGGCATATGGAGGAGCTGTGCGCAGAGCGTCGGGCACGTCCATGCTATTGATTGCCTGCGTGTCCAGTTTCGGGAGGCCCATGTTGCCGTCGTTGCCGAGCGAATGAGACATGCCTCTGAAATCAAAGTTGGGGACGCCGGAGAATCCATTCATGCCCATGCCCATCGACTGGCTCGTCAATCCCAGAGCGTTCATTCTGCTGAGAGCCGGATTGGTGTCCAAAAATGACAAGCTAGACAGGTCAATGTGGCCGAGGGTATTCGCCCGGGGTCGGTGGCCCGAAGCACCACTCATTCCGCCAGTTCCTACGGTGCTCGTGGCGATGGAATTCTTCCGCACTCTGCCGCTCGTGACGGACGCACCGCTGACGCTCTCTCGCCTCCCATTGCGCTGCCGCGAAGAGGTGGTGTTGGTCATGTGCAGTTTCTGCTGATGCCGCAGCAACAGATCTCGCCGGGCGAAGCATCTCGTACACTCGGGACACTCGAACGGCTTTTCCTTGGTATGTGAGCGTTCGTGGCGCTTCAGATGCTCGAGTCTGGCAAAGGAGCGGCCGCATGTGCCACAGACATGTGGCCTGGGCTTGTCCGTTTTCGGCGCCGGGTTCTGGCCGTTGGTTGTGCCATTCTGCGCTGGGTTGGCTTTTCCGTTGGATGAAGGCCGCGCTACATATCACCACACACGTTAGCAAACACCAACGCCACAGGCTACGCAGGGGAAAAGCGCAAGGAGCTTGACCAACCTGTCGGAGAGTCTTTTGTCGGGGTATCTTCCGGCTTCACAGCCTGCGTCTCAACATCCGAATCTTGCTTGAGAGCCTCCGGTTGCATGCTCCAAGTGTGCGGGAGGTGATTGCGAAGCTGTAGTGTGCTGCAAAGGTTGTTGTGCTTCCTTCTCGTGTCCGCTGCAAATTCGAACGACGGCCGCGGACGAGGCTGGACGCCGGCGTACAATAGACTACGTTCTGAGCTCCCGCAACCCACAGCTCCAACTGCGACACAACGATGCCTTCCCTAAGTCTAGGGATCTCTCCGACTCTTCGTCCAGGCGAATTCGGCGTCCAGCGTGGTCGGGAGGAAGCGCGAGGGTGTCAGGTGACGGGATGGAAATCGGAGATATTCCGCGTGCGAATGGCGGGGGGACGGATAGCAATACTGCGTCGCGGACTCGAGGACAAACACTCTGTGCAATAGCAAAGACTTGTCCGGCCGCCGAGAAAGTGTACAAGTGAAGTGAAAGGACCAGCGACAGAGTTCCTGGGCGGCGTCGTGACGATTTGCTTGCTCGATTGGCCCCCCGGCAAGCTTGCAGTAGTCGGGGACAAGTCACCTGGCTGCTTCGATAGAGCTTAGCGCGGGCAGGGCAGCGCCTCTCCAGACATCATTCAGTGGGGAACGCTTGGATCATTGGCAAACTCTATTCTACATCCCAGATCCGCCAGGTTTGCCGGGCGGGCGTTGCGCGCACATTACCTGACGCCGGGCGGGCAAGGGCGTGTTGGCCGCGATGATTCTGCGAGTTGCCCTGGGCCTCTGCTCCGAGTCTTCAACGCAACACCATTATCCTCGATGCCGCCATACAAGAACGAGCGACACGCCGTGCCGCCCCCAGCAAAGGGTCCAAGGCTGGGAGGCAAAGCGTGGTGATCAGGCGTGGTACCGGTCAGCCGGTCTCGGATGTTGAAAACCCGGCGTGTTTCTTACTCTGTGACGGCACTGTGGTGAAGAGTGTTGCTACGCGAGCGCACTCTCAACCAAGATATATCCTGGGTCAGCATCTCGCTATCCATCAGACGCGGCTCGAGATGTTTTGGCGCGCGGATGTCGTGGTGGCCGTCTTGTTAGGGAAGGTGCACGGGATGCGCCACCGCCAGCCAATCCGGAACGAGCGGCCTGGGAAACGAACGTTTCGCACAAGTGTGCTTTACCACATGTGGTGTGGATACGCAGGGCGAGAGTCCACCCATCCCACCACGGCTGCTCGCGGAGCTTTGCCCATTTCGATTTAGGGATGTGCGCTGCCTAGCCATCCTGGCGTAAAAGGATGACCGCCAAGACGCAGAAAGGCAGGCCCGTCGCCATGTTGCATATCTCCTACCAAATCCGGGGTACAAGGCGCCAGGCTTCGCAATGATCTTCTTGCCTTGCACATGTCAGGACAGCACTGACGCTGTTTGCCACTTGAGAGACGCCTCATGATAGTCAAAGGCAGCATCAACCGAGAAACCTAGCGCAGAGATAGTCGGGTGTTGACGTACTTCCTGGAGAGGGTGGCAAGCGTCGCGCGGCGCCCGATCCCAATAATTCCTCCAGGCAGGCATTCATGCACCGAGCAAATCCCTCACCAAAGCCCGCGCATCGGGACATTTCTCACCACAGATCCCGTCTTTTCCATGTGCCGTGGGTCACGCTCCGCGGTTCGGCCATCAGCATCGGGTCGGATAACGTCATCCAGTGGCCGTGCAGCGTTCGGATCCGAGAGGCAGCCAGGCTGCGCAAGCGCGTGCAGCTGACCTCTGCCCTCCGAACGGCCAAATGGCGCACAGGGGGGCCTGCGGCGGGCGGCCCTGGCTGCGCGACGGCGAGCATGCATACGTGCAATGCGAAACTGGTGATCGCCCGTATACAGTCCGATGCGCGAAGCCAGATGGCAACGTCGTCAACGGCTCCCTCCAGAGGCGCGGCGTGGCGCTAGTGCACGCAAAGTGGCTAGCGCGTGTCGTGATTGGTCCACGCTAACCCCAGATCTGTGGAGAAGCTGCATGCGCCAGCTGCGGGCTTGCATGCCCTGTCTTTGGCTCTTGCTCCAACTCGGCCGTTCGGGTAGCCCCGTGGCGGGAGGGTCCGTCGACTAGCCCCAAGGGGAGAGCTCGAGTCGTGGATTGCTGCGAACCTCGAGCGGCGATTGGAGACGGCGCGGCTACGGCTTACTACTTGAGATCTTGCCAGTTGATGATTGGCGTATCTCGCCAGCTGAGAGGAACCTGTCGAACTACCGGGTCCCTGTCAAAGCGGTCCTCGGAGACTGTCCGATGCGCAGCGCCTATGTGGCTGTCTGCGTCGCCTGGATAAATTGCCCTTTTGCTTGCTTGGTATGTGGATACCCAAACCGACCAGATGCCCACCCGCCCACAATTATCATCGCCAGGGGCGTTTGGCCAAGGGCCTAAAGAGCCTCAACAGGCCCTGGGAATAACACGGGAAATTATTGTCGAGCTTGGGGGCTTGGGGCGAGGTTCTTGGGGGCATCTGGACCACAGGGCAGCTCTAGGCTAAAAATCCTGCACGTGGCGCCTGGACTCTACAAAGTACGGCGGCATCTCCGACGACCTGGACCTCGCGTTCTCAATGCTTCAAAACGCCTTCAGGCGGCCAGAACATGTGGCCGCATGAGCGAGAGGCCTGTTTGCCGACGATGCCGTGGGTGGTCAGGAATACGCTCGCAGCCTCGCATCCCACGCTGATCTGGGGGAAAACCATCGCCGATCGGATCGCTGCATTTAATATAATCTGCTCCAGATTTCCAAATGGGGAAGTTCTGGCGAATTCTCAAGGTTCATCCCATGCTGCTCATCACAAATACTTGCCAGGCAACATGCCATTACACATCCCGCTTGTTACCTTGTTGCCTCATATGAGCGGGATTGGTGACGTGCGCTTGAAAGACAGAAAACAAGTGATGGACACGTTGTGTAGAGGATTCCTCATAGCATTCGAGACTTGCTACCAGAAGCATCCCTGCACCTCCAAACCCTCATAGTCATTAGCCGCCCAATGACAGGCGTTTGGCGAGTCATGTTGGTGAGCTTGATGCCACTCTGCCATATGCGAGTGCACATCACGTGATGTCATTTTGCTATATACTGCAGTGCTTCGTCTTCTTAAATGCGCCGACATCCTGGCGTTTTCGGGGAGTATTGACTGCCTCGAGATGCAGTATTCCCTTGAGATGGATGAATCTGCAAAATTCTGCACGGCGCAAGGCCGTGGCCGAGTTGAGAATCACCGTCAACGTTGCCCGTTCCGGGCAGAAGTAGTGTGTCGTGATGTAGTTGCGGATAGGATGGAGGAGCCGTCAACCATCATTCATTTCTTGCCCTTCTTCTTTTTCTTGCCACCCGCGCCACCGCCGCCGGGTTGCGATTGCGGCTTTTCGGCTGGAGCAGCAGGCGCTGCCACAGAGGATTCTGGAACGGCGGGCGCATCGTGCATCTCGACTTCTAGGAAACACAATTAGAACTGACTGAGCGTCCAGCCGGACAGAGCATTGAGGGACAACATACCTTCCACCTGCTCCGGTAACGCAGCCATGTACCTTCCCAAGCGCCCAAGGCCATTGATCGCGCGACCTACATCCGCTGCTCTGTCCGTTTTGAATTGCAACACCACACCGGATTCGGGATCGAAGGTTTTGAGTGTAAGGGTCGCTCTTGGAATCCTAGGCGCTGCTTCCTGCTGTTGCTGCTCCTCCTCTTTCTCGTCAATTCCAGTATTTCGCTTCCTCTTCTTGCTCTTGTTGTACTTTGCGGACTCGAGGTTGGGGATATTGTATTTGGTTGTGATGCGGGTCTGAGAGTTTGAGGTGAGTTGTCAGTAGATGTTGAGGTGCATTGTAGAGGGCGTTGATCTTGACATACTGTCGTCGGGCGTGCTTGTATGAGCAGAGTGGATTGGCGCTGCCATTCTTCGATTGTAAGGACAACCATCTTGACGGTTCGTGAATGGCTGTGACGTTGGGACAGATGATATTCCCAGGCCACAAGAAGAAGACTTCCCTAGCTCGTGTTTTATCCGAGCGAATGCCGTTGACTCGGTATTGTTCTCGCGGATTGGAGACCAGCTTCTTGAAGGTCGCCAAAATCTGGTGATGTCGGTGGTGTGTGGTCTTAGGGTTGCGTTACCCTAAACTTTAATTCCACCACACGTGATGACAGCTCTCTATTCTGTCCTCGACATTGATCAGCCGACACACCCTCTCATTCATTCCGAACCCAATTGCGGAAGTACACAGAGCGATTCCAAATTGACTGCAATCTTGATGAAGCATGGTCGGCGCGAACGTGGGCATTACTAGAAATGGACGCCTGGAGCCCATCCGCTGTTCAAGACCGTCGATATGGAAGCATCCGAGGACGAGAATAAACCAAATGGCGCCGACGTCGTAGACGACAATCCCGCAGTGATCTTGGACGACCTACTCAACCGAGCAAATGTCCTCATCGACGAGCTCAAAGACTTCGAGACCCGGCTACACAAATACCGCCAGCACTCCACATTCGCCTTTTCCCATTTCCGCGCTGCAGTGCAGTCAGAGTGCAGTGTCCTCGACCGTGGACTGGCTAGGCTCGAAGATGAATTCAGCAGCCAAGTGGCCCGCGGATCCAATCTGCCATTCCTGGAGCACCTATGGTGGACGGCGAAAAAATCAAAGGATGTCGTTGCGTTGCAGAAGCAGGTGTACTTGCATTCGAGCGGTCTCGACCTCGTCAGTCGGGTGCAGCGGCTCGATTTTGGGAACTCTGATCGAAGGCCTGACGCACAATCGAGGAAGGAAGCTGTTCGCATCGATGTCATCAGCGATGGAGGGAAGACGTGGCACAAGGTCTCTCTGGTAACGAATACCAGACTCATTTTCGACCTCGCTAAGCAAGGATGGGATTCCGACTTCTCAGACGATGACGATGATGCCGATAGCAGAAGCTCTTTCGAAAATGAAGCCGAAGACCGAGATGTGCCCTTGTTAAAGACCGCGAAAAGCCTTGTAAAAGCTGCCAATCGATCAAGGGTGCTCACGAAACACCCTGTTGTGCAATTCGTGCTTCCCCGAATCGAACGAGGCAAAATGGCCGAGATTGATAAGATTCTCAACGCTATCGAGGCTTGCGGAGCACATGTGACTTGCAAAGGCGACTGGCAGCCACCACCTCCGCTATTGGAAGCGCTTCCGTTCATGGTACGAGATCCCGTCTTGCAATTATCAGAAACGCTCAACATCGACTGCACTATCCTACTGGCACTGGTGTCGGACATTTCGCATGCAGAAGTGCCAGAAGAGCGATCGCTTCCCCCAGATCTGCAGCGTCAAGTAGACAGCGAGGATGAGAGCACTCTCCTGCCTTCAATCCTATATCCGATCCTTGGGGGGCGGGCACTTGTCTGCACCAAAGAAGCGGCGCAACGTATGCGGGAGATTGTCGAGACTATGGCGACTCCATCAGAAAGGGCAAGAACAGCACTGCTGTTGGGTGATGGTCCTTCCAGAACGCCAGAAGAGCTGGTGAAGGAGCTGCAACAATTCTCTGCGTATCCCGTTCCGGCGGAATTACGTCTTCCGATCAACACTGTCGTCTACAACTCCCAAGAAGCACATTCAAGTCTCGGAGCCGAGGCTTTCGGTATCAGCGAACGACTCACTGCTATCAACAAATCAGTCTTCATGCATGGATGGGCTGCGGGCCAAACAACGATCACCAGCAACCGCGCGGCTGTCAAGCAGCTCGAGCACGAGATTGAGAAGCTCGAGGACGTGGAAGACGACTGTCTACCCAGCATATGGGTGTGCTCGACGTCGAGGTCTTTGGCGGGGAAGGAGAGACGAGGGCAGAAAAGTGCGGCACCTCCGAAACTGGATGGGCACAGTGCTCCAGGACTCGCTTGTAAGGAGAGCAATGGGGTGCATGCCTCTCAAATTACCGAGGAGGTCTAGTCTCGTGCGCGGGATGTATGGGCATCAATTAAGACCATCACCACGAACCTGCTCTCAATCTCCGTGTCAGGAACAGCGTTGTTTGTCAGGTCTCCGATCTCGCCAGACTCCAACAACAACTCCCTCTTTCACGCATACCGTGGCAGTGCAACTCGGCCGATAAAGCTCATAGCATCGCCAAAATCTTCTCCGCATCCTCCATCATGACGATACCGAGGTTGTCGCCTGCAACTGTGCCGGTCGGGGAATTCAAGAAACCTTCGATCGCGGATCTCAAGGCGTGTTCGTCCTCACCAGCTGCGTTGTCGAGGCCAGGCGCGTAGGTCGAGTCCGAGTTACCAGCGTATGCATGTTCGTCGTTTGGCGCAGTGTACACTTCGGTCTCCGTGAGATGAGCAGGAGTTGGAGCGACACTGACAGTCTCACCCAGCGTCGCCATGAATTCGACCTCATCTGAACCTTGAAGACCCAGCATCGGACCTCCAAGCGCAGTCGCATTCTCGATCCCCCCACTCACGGCGCCTTCCTCGGCATCCACCTCATCATCCCCCTCAGCCGTCTCCCCGAGGCTCGCTCCCTTGCCCCGACGCGTCTTGCCAACCCGGCTTCCCTTCCCCTTCCCTGCAACTGTATGTCGATCAATCCCATGGACCTTCTTCAAGTGACGATTCAAACCCCACGGTCGAGGGAATGCAGCGACGCACAGATAGCACTTGTGCTCGCGCTCGAGGCGGTGCTTTTCGGCTATGTGCTGCTCGACGTTGTGGGGACCTGTGGATCGCGATGCTCGTCAGAACGGGAAGCGGCGAGCGTTTGCTCGAGTGGTTTCGCATTGAAGCAGAGCGCGAATCTTACATGTAAACGAGCGCGCACACTGTGGATACGGACAGGGGTAGGCGTAGGGCCGATGCTTCTTCTTGTTCGTCTGCGTGGTTGGGATCGTTGATGCTGGCGCGGCGTTCGCGCTGCCTTGGAGCTCCATCTTGACGCCCCGTTTGCAAGTGGGATGAAGTCGAGGACGCAGACTACCGGAGGCAAGAGTAGATGTGGAAGCATGGTGTGTTCACGCGACGAGCCTGTAGATTCCCTCGTGACTATTCACACCTACGACCATGTCGATTCACGTTGGTATCGTTATTCACGCGATTATCTTGCTATGTGAATATCGAGATCCATCGATGGACAAGACGCCATCACCGTGAATGTCGTTTCGTAACATCTAAATCGGGGATATCTCCACGTGACAGACGAGGCCGAAAGTGAACATTCACTTCCCCAAGCATCTAAGTGGCTACCGCCTACCGCCCACCACTTGTTCGCTCTCCACCCAAATATCTCCAATTCCAACCGCAAACTCAACGCGATCGATCACCGCCTAACCCGGATGATCGAAAATGTGCCACCGCACCAACCAAACCTTCACGACCTGCGGCCACATCATCCAAGGAATCAGCAAATGCCGCGATCCTCTCGTGAGCAAAAGCCGCTGGCGCTGTGTGTCGCTACGTGAATTGCCGGAGAGAAAGACGGTGGGAGGGAAGTGCTTGCATTGTGAACTCAAGAAGGCGAATGAGCAGTTTCAGGCGAGGATGGCGGCGATTGTGAGGGGTGGTCAAGTGGAGAGGAAGAAGGTGACGAAGGGAGTTGAGAGGGCGGAGAGCACGGGGGAGGTGGAGGTTGTTGATGGGATGGAGAGTGCTGGAAAGATGAAGGGCGTTGTGGTGAAGAGGATTGGGGGTGGGGCTAGCGCTGCTGCTGCTGATGATGTGTTCGTTGATTGATAAGGCACGAGGCAGCATCGCTTGAGTCCGTCACGGAGCGGGCTGACTGTCCAAGGCAGTGCGTGACATCTAGGGAGAATGTGAATGTCTGTCCTCGGGAAGGAAGGCGTGAAGGGGCGACATTCACCTCTCCATCTAACCTTAGCCGCACGGCTACCTCTTCGCTTCTCCTCCCTCCCTCCCTCCCACCACACCTCCTCTCAACTTTCCAGACCTCCTCCCTCCTTTCGGGAGTCAAAATCAATTCAATCCACCCAACCCTCTTAAACGCAACCCAGTACCACCCAAGATGTGCCACCGCACCAACAACACCTTCGCAACCTGCGGCCACACCACCGAGACGACGACCAAATGCCGCAGCCCAAACTCCACCATCATCCCACGCCGCTGCCTGCCACACTTCAAATTCCCGAAGACGAAGAGCGTTGAGGGGAAGTGCATGCCCTGCGCGATCAAGGAGACGAACGCTGTGCGTGCTGCGAAGGAGGAGATGGAGACGGCCAAGATGGAGGAGGTGGTGAAGGGGGCCAAGATGGAGAGGGCTAGGACGATGGGGGAGGTACTTGGGGGTGGTGCCGAGGTTGTTCATGACGGATGAGCCAAAGCGACTGGAATGCGTGGAGGCTCAGCTTGCGTTTCGTCAAGGCTGATTTCGATGAGTGTGCCGAAGGGGGTTGACTTTCGCGTTCAGAGGAGCGTTAGCTTATCAGCAAAGAATTCTCTTTCGCTCGCTCTCTCGTCTTCATCCTACTGCACTAGGCAGTGTTCTGATACAACCATAACATAGTCGGCTTTTCTCGGGTGCCTGGTCGTGCAGAGGCATCTCGCAAAGTTCGCATCGCTCCTCGACCTCACTCAACGCAGGGGACTGCAATTTGCTCGTAGTCCTGACCACATTCGCGACGATGGATGGATAGTCTTGCTCGACAGATTCAAAGTACTGCCGCATCAGATCGTCGATCGTCGTATTCTTCATGCTGATACTTGGCCGTGGTTTCTCTTGCAGCACCAGATGGACAAGTGGAGGGTCGATCAGCGAGGTAAATGATACGATCTCTTTGCTCAAAAGATCTCGCATAGGGTAGTAGAAGGCGATGCCGAAGGGTGATGTGCCGTCCGTCACGATATACGGTAGTGAGGAACCCCGGCCTTTGGCAGTCTCTGCGAGGGTTCGTTCGGCTAGCCTGGTCGTGCTGTCGCCCCAGAGGATGGCTTCGCAGTTGGTTTTCTTGGCGAAGGAAACGATGAGCTTGCGTTTGAGGATTTGCAGCATGTCTGTTTGGCTTGTTGCAGAGTCCAACGTTGCTAGTAAAGTGTCGAGTCGATTGTTTTCCTCGGATGCGTCTGAAGGCAGATCTGGGAGGGACGACACACCGGAAAAGGGGATGGTAGAATAAGCATGTGTCGGGAAGCGTGCCTCGATTTTTTCGAGGAGCTCTTGATGTCCATTTGATTGTGCAGATTCGATGTCATTCTGGACGTGCAAGACATGCAATTTGAAGCCAGTCCGGCCAGTCCTTTCCGTCTGAGTCTTCAAATGCTCACTCAAGATGTGTAGCAAAGACAGCGATCCGGCTCCGAATGACAGAGGAATCAACAGTGTCGGTTCTTGACCGGGCTCAGAGTGACGAACTCGGAAGGTCTCGAGTCGCTTGACGACCTTGGTGAAGACATATTTGCGGAAGCAGGCCTCGCAGAGCGGTTCGTTGCGTACGGTGATGACCGGCGAGACGACCTGACATCGCCGACAGAGAGAGTTGTCGACGGGGCCGGCATTGCGTCTCCCAGGCATTTTCGACCAGTCTGATATGCTGGTCTCGGGTGAGATGCCTTTGAAATGTGAATTGAAGATGTCGAGAAGAGAAATATGAGATGGAAAACCCTAACCCTAAGCTTGCACCGGAGAAGGCCCCGAACAACCACGATCCAATGCATCTCCTCCAATACTCCTTCAACCTCTACTGCTGCAGCACCCGGGTCGATAGCATTACTCTCGAGTACAGTGCTATGACTACTTCTGCCATGATCAGAGGTTCCTAGCTACACCGCCTTACATCCCGCTCCTTCCGTCTGTTGCATAGCCAAGACATGCATCCAAGAAAGTTTGATGAGTTAGGGTTTGGCTGGCGACCTCATCATTGACCTCTTCTCCGCCACTCCCCGTCTTCCAACGCGTAGTCGGAGGTATTCTTGGGCGAATCTTGGACTCGACTGCTTGCCATCTCTTGTGTTGTACACGCCACCAGCTGCGCATCGGCCCACGCGCCCATCGCTCGCTCGCACGATACCGAGATCCAGCTGAAACCGCATCGCATTCACTCTATACGATCCCGCACTTGGCATTCAACGTCTTGGCCGTTTCCCCCTCCTCCACCCATCTCACCACCTCCATCCAACCTTGATGCAAGCTTCACCAGACGCGTCGAATGCAGAGCGGCTTGACCAGCCCTCGACGGCCTGAATGCATCGCAGAAACAGCCGCCCCCAGTCGCTCGAACGTTTCCTTTCCGCCGAGACCTTCGATCAGCGGCTAATGGACCGCTGATTTCAACCGTCCTGTACAGCCGCCAGACACTGCATCACCTGGAAGAGGCAGAAAAGACATACAACCAAGATGGCGTGGGACCACTTGTCCGTCAACAAGCCCCACCTGGTGTATATCATCTTGGGAGGATTCACGAGCTTGTTCATGCTGTGCTCGTCCGTCATCAAGGAACGATTGTACATTGGAGAAGCCACCGTCGCCACCTTGTGCGGCGTCATCTTCGGCCCGCATGCAGCGAACCTCATCAACCCCAACTCATGGGGCAACGTCGACCAAATCACCCTCGAATTCTCCCGCATTGTCCTCGTCGTACAATGTTTCGCCGTCGGAGTCGAATTGCCCAAATACTACATGGAGAAGCACTGGCGCTCCGTCGTCTTCCTTCTCGTCCCCGTCATGACCTTTGGCTGGCTGATCACCAGCCTCTTCATTTGGGGCATGTTTTACCAACACGCCAATTGGCTGGACAGCCTCTGCCTCGCTGCCTGCGTCACTGCCACCGATCCCGTCCTGGCTTCTTCCGTCGTCGGCAAGGGCAAATTCGCAAAGCGCGTGCCCAAACATCTCCGCGACATCCTTTCCGCCGAATCAGGATGTAACGACGGTATGGCTTTCCCCTTCATCTACCTCGCTCTGTACATCATCAAGTACAAGCATGAGCCGAACCAGGTCGCGCTTCACTGGTTTTGCATCACCATCCTGTACGAATGTGTCTTTGGTGCCATCTACGGCGTCACAATCGGGTACATTGCGCGTCGGCTGATCAGGGCTGCGCACGAGCGGGATTACATCGACCGAGAATCCTTCCTCGTTTTCTACTTCACCCTCGCTCTCTTTTGCGCCGGCTCCGGCTCCCTACTCGGCATGGACGATCTACTCATCGGATTCGCGTGCGGCGTAGGCTTCAGTAACGATGGGTGGTTCAGTGAGAAGACCGAAGAAACCCACGTGTCGAACGTCATCGACTTGTTACTCAATTTGGCCTTCTTTGTTTACTTCGGCACCATCATTCCGTGGGACATGTACAATTCTGGGGTCTTTGGCCTGGATGTTTGGAGACTGGTCGTCATTGCCTTCCTGGTCGTCTTCTTCCGTAGAATACCCGCGATGTTGGCACTGAAACCCCTCATCCCGGACGTCAAAACGTGGCGAGAGGCACTCTTTGCGGGTCACTTTGGACCTATTGGCGTCGGAGCGATTTTCGTGGCGATTCTGGCAAGGGCTGATCTAGAAGACGGACCCCACGGAGGATCCGTACCGCTGAGAGTCGTCCCGGATTTTTCTTTCCCGCATGACAATGTGATCGTCCTGATTTGGCCCATCACGACCTTCCTAGTCATCACTTCCATCCTGGTGCATGGATCTTCGATCGCAGTCTTCACCCTCGGCAAGCACATCAACACCCTCGCCCTGACCATGTCGTACTCCCGGGCGACCGAAGAACCTCACTGGATGGATCGGTTGCCTCGCATCCAGTCCCGCTCGAAGAGCAGCATGTCTCTTCAGCGCTCCGACTCGTCTATAGACAACGAAAAGGGATTGTCGAGCAACAATTTACTGCCTCTCGCCGCTGCGGGCAACTTTCTTCGCCGGCAGAAGGAGAGCGACAACCCGAGTCGCTCGTCTAGTAGACATCGCAGCTCGAAGAGCAGAGACCGTTCGCGCGGTCATGGTGGCCCTATCAGCAGGTCGGCCATCTCGCCCTTCCCCCGGCGACAGAGTGGAGAACAGGGGGAGAAGCAGGAGCGGAGTGATTCCGACACTCTGGCTATGAAGGGCGAGTCGTCTTCGAGCTCTGAAGAGAAGGACAAGCAAGTCGATACGCCTCCCGACGATGCCCAAGATGGAGAGGCCAGCCCGGCGGAAGTTTTCGAAGAAGGCTCGCATACCGTCTACGAAGACAAAGATGGAGAGGTCTTGGAGGTGGAGTCGGATCACGAGGAGAATAATGAGTTGGTGAGAGAAGCATCGGAGATTGACGAGAGCAAGCGATTGGGCAGGGAAGAGTCGAAGCGTGAGGAGTCGAAAGGGGAAGACGAGGCAGAGCATGCTCCTCGTAAGAAATTCGAGCGAGACAAAGATGCGAGCGAAGTCGAAACGAAGGGAGCGAAGAAGGACAAGAAGAAGAGTGATCCTGAGTCGGGCGGGAAAGGCTGGCGCGAAGGCGCACTGGGTTTACTTGGTAAGCGCGGGGAAGAGCGAAAGGAGGCACAGAGATCGGGGAGAAAGCAGTCGGAATCTGGCAAACGCGAGAGCGCCCCAGCACGCGCTTACCAGTACGGCAACACGATCATTCTGGAGGACGAGGACGGCGAGGTCATCAAGAAAATCGACATTCCTGCGCCGGAAGGGCAGCAAGGCCCCACGCACGGAAGCACTCGGAAGAAGCTGGAGGACATCAGCAAGCGCTTCGGCTTTGGTGCGGTCAAGGAGGTCAAAACACAGGCTGGGGCGCCTGGCATGTCGCAAGCGTCTGGCTCGACGGCTGCGCAGACGACCCAGCAGGTGAAGCGTGGCAACGACGATGACGAGGATCCCGATGACCACCTTGTTCGATTCACGACCGGTGGCCGACGCATGAGCAAAGCCGAGCTCATCGACTCCTTCCGCGACATGGACCCCAGCAAGCGGATGCAGGCCGTGGAGGGCAGCAACCTGCCCGAACTCGAGAAGCGGGAAGTGCGAAAGGCAGCGCGCGAGCACAACGCCCGCACCAAGTCACGGTCCGATGTGCCTGTAGTCGAGGAAGATCGCGAAGGAGAAGAAGAGGACGACGAGCGACCTTTCTACACGCTCGGCCGCACCAACACTGCGGACTCGGTGGCGCGACAGCAGTCGTTCCGCGGCGAGGTGCCGTGGCACGACATCTCGCAGGATGTGAGAAGACACCGGCACCGCGGGCGAGAAGGGGAGGAGACCGCGGCGGAGCGCAGACGTCGCCTCGCTTTGCAGCATCGCATGTATGACGACGACTCCGACGACGACGGAACAGAGCGCGTGCCGCCCGCGCGACCTTCGCAGCCTTCACCCGAAGAAAACGAAACGGCGGCGGCGAAAAGAAGACGCCTTGGCGCGATGGAACAACGGAGTCGAGCGAACGATACGCAGGACGATTACTTCACCTCGCATCCGAGCACTGCTTCGCCGCAGGCTACGTCTCCATCAAATAAAGAGGCAAACACCGAGACGGCGGCGGAGAGGAGGCGACGTGAAGGCGCGCTGGGATACAGTCGGGAGGACAGCGATAGCGAGAGCGAGGAGGAAGAGGGCGAGGACGAGGCGCCACCGCTTCCTCAGCCTCCGCCGCACGCTCATACGGCGCCGGAGCCGTCGAGGCCACGGCAGCGGACGTTGAGGTGGGCGAGCAATATTGCGCGCAAGGCGTGAGGTGGGCAATTTGATGTGGTTACAGTATACATGGTTTATGTGGAGGTTCTGGTTGACTGGTTGTAGCGAGGCGTTGGGGGCCATTTGCTGGGCTATGATTACACGAGTATATCGGCCGTTTGATGATTGTATAGCTGCTTAGTGATGATACATGATATTTACATGCTGAGGGCTATCATTGATGCAGTTGTCGGAGAGAGAGAGGCACTCCCGCCAACCACGCACGGGCCGCTTTCGGCGGTGAATGCAGCGGCGATTAGATCATCGTCGGAGCTATCGCAGCTTATCCGTTGCATCACTCCAGTCTCCACCGCCAACTCTCCCGACTTCCGTCAACGAACCTCCTCTCCTTTCCATTCCATCTTCAGCCCGAGCAGTAGTAAAGAGACTGTTAACGGGCTGCCATTAATTCATCATCAAGCCCCCTCACATGCCGCCTCCTGCTGGCCCGCAGAGTGCCAGACCAAAAGCTCTCTCGACCACGCCGACAGACCGGAAACGCAAACGAAACACCAGCACCACGAATCACCAATCCCCCTCATCCGAACACCAGCAACAAACCCTCCAATCCCTCTTCGCCGGCCAGCAGAAACCGCACGTCAACGGCCCCACGCCCTCCTCGCCGAGTAGCAAGCGCCTCCGCAACCCCCACCCCGCCGCCCCCTCTACCCCTCTCGCCACCAGCGAAATGTACACCTTCTCTTCCCGCTCGCCGCCGGTGGCGAACGGCGCCAATGGCAGCAATGGCGTTATCGACCTCACATCCGCGTCACCTCTTCCGTCCCCGCAATCGAGACGAATCAATGGCGCCACGCCGATTAAACGCAACACCCCTGCTGGCGTCGGCATCAATCCTCACACGGGGGCGAAGAAGCTTGTGGTGAAGAATTTGAAGACGCATACCAGCTGGGATGGCAAGGCGTATTTGGAGAAGATTTGGGGGCAGTTGGATGAGGCGTTGACGGTCATCTTCAAAGATGGAGATGCGGGGCAGCAGCAGCGGGGGTTCTTCAGCAAAGAGGATTTGTATCGTGGAGTGGAGAATGTGTGTCGGCAGGGCGGGGCGTCGACTTTGTTCTCGAGATTAGAAGGCAGATGTCGGACGCATGTGGAGAGGGATATGTTTGAGCCGCTGGCGGGGAAGGCCGGGACAGATCAGCCGGTGGACTTGCTGGTGCGGGTGCTTGCGCATTGGACGAGGTGGAAGGAGCAGATGGTCACCATCCGCGCCGTCTTCTTCTTCCTCGATCGCTCGTATTTGCTGTCGTCGAGCAAGCCGACGCTGGCGGAGCTGACGCCGCTGTTGTTTCGGGATGTCATTGTCAACAGCGCATTGCTGAAGGAGGCCATCATCGGAGGAGCTTGCAAGTTGGTGGATGCTGATCGAAGGAAGACCGGAGCGCCCAGCGTGGATGGAGAGTTGCTGTTCAAGCAGGCCGTGGATATGTTCCACGAGCTCTCAGTGTACACGGCGTCCTTTGAACCAGCCTTCTTGACTATGACGCAAAGCTGGATCGCGAAGGCATCAGATGAGATGATTGTGGAGAAATCCGTGGCAGAGTACGTTGCGTGGGCGGGGCAAGTCATCGAGAAGGAGATGAAACGATGCGACGCCTTTGCACTGGACAACAGCACTCGCAGAGATCTCCTCGCTCTCCTTGAGGACCATCTAGTGGTGCGCAAGACCACCGATTTGGTCGAGTTCGAAGCGCTGGCGACCATGCTGGACAACAACGCCACTGCGGACGTGACTGCCCTCTACGCACTCCTGAATCGACGTCGACTGGGCCACCAGCTCCGGCCGTCGTTCGACAAATGGGTCGACGAGACTGGTACGGGCATCGTGCTCGCCAAAGATTCGGACGACATGATCATCCATCTTCTCTCTCTGAAGCGAAGACTGGATTTCGTGTGGGTCAACAGTTTCCAAAAAGATGAGAGTCTCGCGCACGGGCTGCGCGAGAGCTTCGCATTATTCATGAACAAGACGAAGAAAGGCGAGTCTACGTGGGGAACGGACAACACCAAGGTCGGCGAGATGATTGCCAAGTACGTGGATCAGCTGCTTCGTGGTGGTGCAAAGGCTATTCCGGACGTCCTGACCGTACGACGGGCGAGTTCCATCACTGGACAACGGCCTGTCATTGTATCAAACGGCAAGCCGGTCGAAGAGGACAACGAAGACATCGAGGTCGACGAAGATGAGGAAGTGAACATCCAGCTCGATCAGGTGCTCGATCTGTTCCGCTTCGTCCAAGGCAAAGCAGTCTTCGAAGCCTTCTACAAGAAGGATCTCGCGCGCCGCTTACTCATGGGCCGGTCGGCGTCTGCCGATGCGGAAAGATCAATGCTCACCCGCCTCAAGACGGAGTGTGGTGGCCAGTTCACGCAGAATCTGGAGCAAATGTTCAAAGACGTCGAACTGGCGCGGGAGGAAATGCAATCCTACAAGCAACGCCTCGAGGACCGCATAGGCTGGGACAAGGGCAAGAACGTCGATCTCAGCGTCAACATTCTCTCTGCTGCCGCCTGGCCTACGTACCCCGATATTCCTGTTAATGTCCCTGCGAGTATCAGCAAGGCGATCAATGATTTCGAGCTGCACTACAAGTCGAAGCATTCCGGGCGGAAGCTGGATTGGAAGCATGCATTGGCGCATTGCCAAATGCGAGCGACTTTCGGCAAGGGGAGTAAGGAATTGGTCGTGTCGAGTTTCCAGGCTATTGTTCTGCTGCTGTTCAACGGTCGTGGGGAAGATGAGCATGTCGATTATGCTCATATCCTGAACGAGACTGGATTGCGTAAGTCATGCCCACGCCGTAGGTATTTCATTACCACAAACTAACAATCACATCTCCAGCCGAACCCGAAGTGAAACGCACGCTCCAATCCCTCGCCTGCGCCAAACTGCGCCCCCTAACCAAACACCCCAAAGGCAAGGATATCAACGCGACCGACACCTTCACCATCAACACCGCCTTCGAGCACCCCAAGTACCGCGTGAAAATCAACCAGGTGCAGCTCAAGGAGACCAAGGAGGAGAACAAGGAGACGCACATCCGCGTGGCCGAGGACCGGAACTTCGAGTGCCAGGCGGCGATTGTGCGCATTCTCAAGTCAAGGAAGACGATTGCGCATGCCGAGTTGGTGGCGGAGGTGATAAAGGCGACGATGAGTCGGGGTGTGCTGGGGGTGGGGGATATCAAGAAGAATATTGATCGGTTGATTGAGAAGGATTATATGGAGAGGGAGGAGGGGAATATGTACTCGTATATTGCGTAGACACGCTGCGAAGGCAAGGCGATGGGTGGTGTGATGGCGTTGTTGAATAGATGGAAGTAGAGAGGAAGATTTCAGCCTGAGGCAGAATCCACACTCCCTCGACTTCACTTCCCATACCCCATCCGTCCTCCAGCCTTCCAACCTCATGCATCCAAACCCTCCTTCAAAATAAAAGCAGACAGGCAACAATGCCTTCTTCAGACCCCATAGCAACCCTCCTAGAAACCTACCACGACCTCAACCCTTCCGTCGTCGAAGAATTCCCCCACCAAAATGAAGAACCCAGTCCCCTCGAATTCCTTCGCTACGTCTCGCGCAACCGCCCCTGCGTTTTCCGCGGCGCGGCAAAACGCTGGCCTGCGTTGCAGAAGTGGGATGCGCGGTTTCTGAGGGATGCGATGAGGGGACGGAAGGTCAGGGTTGCGGTTACGCCGGCGGGGTATGTATTTTTCGTTACTGTTTTTCTGTTTGAGCGTATGCTAAGGAGGACATCCAGGAATGCGGATGCGGTGGTCGAGCAGGCGACTGGCGAATTGGTTTTTACCGAACCGCATGAGATTGAGGAATCGTTTGAGGATTTCTTGGACGATGTACAGAACGACTCCTCCGCCACGCCCCCCAACAAAGCAAAAGCACGAAATGTGAAATACGCCCAAACCCGTTCGTCCCCCCAACTAACTCCCAACCCCCCAAACCATCGAGCCAAAAGCTCTGAACAATCAAACAGAAAACAACAACCTCCCCACCGAATACTCCCCCCTAACCCCCGACCTGCCCCCAACCCTCCCATTCGCCCGCATAGCCCTCAACCAGTCTGCAGAAGAGGGGCCTGAAGCGCTCAACTTCTGGCTCGGGAACGCGCGCTCCACGACCGCCCTGCACAAAGACAATTACGAGAATTTGTACGTTGCGGTGCGCGGGCGGAAGCACTTTGTCCTGCTGGCGCCGGTGGAGATGGCGTGTGTGAATGAGGGGCGGGTGAGGAGGGGAAGGTTTGTGCGGGATTGTGCCTCGTCTTCTTTTTCTTCGTCTGGGGCTGGGGCTGTGGACGATGACCATGGCAGTGAGACGCTGAAAGTCGAAATCGACAAAGATGGCGAACCACTCCCCGTCCCCCTCTGGGACCCCGATGACCCGCTCAAGCACACAACGCCGTACTCCCACCTCGCGCAGCCTTTGCGGGTCACACTGTACGAAGGGGATATGCTCTACCTGCCCGCTATGTACGTCCTCCATCGCAAATACCGCCAAAAGAGAAATGAGAGAAGCACTAACAGCGAAGCAAAGGTGGTATCACAAGGTCACGCAATCGGTGGGCGACGAGGGCTTCGCCTGCGCCGTAAATTATTGGTATGACATGGCTTTCGACTCGGCGTTTTGGGCGAGTAATTGCTTCCTTCGCGACGTTGTTGAGGCGGGGAGGCAGAGGGTGGTGTATCCCGAGCTAGATCTAGCGGGGGAGGAGGAAGGCGGGACGTGAGGAGTGGGGAAGAAGAAAAGAAACGGAGAGGAATTGTGAATGGTATGAGTATAGATGGGGATGCATCAAGCCAACACCACATGAATGGCGTGACTATGAGCAAGAGTAGAGTAAGTCTGTCGATCCGCAGTCCCTTCAAGCATCAGCCCCCCCAAGCTCCCCATCCCCACCGAAAGAGAAGTGAAAGATGAAAGCAGAAGCAATCAGAGAGTAACGCTCGCTTTTTGTTAAAGGGGGTATCCAAAGGCCAGCCCTCCGCTTGGGACCCGAGCCATGATGGGGGAATAGATAGAACAATCTGAGCAAAGAAGCAAGAAAACAACCTCATTTCCATGGAATCCACCGAGTAATGCACACGATGATCCAGACTGAGATTAGGGTCTAGCAACCATAACACATCTCCCTCGCGTTGCATGTAATATTGCTACGCCAAGGAATGCGGGACTGAAGTCATCATGGCATCGAGTCTTAGTAGCCACCATACCCGCCACGGCCAAAGGGAGCAGGAGCAGAGGGCTGGCCCATGTATCCGCCAGGAGGCTGGCCAGCGTAGCCGCCGGCGCTCTGCGGAGGCATACCGGTTTGAGGCCAGCTGCCGGCATTGGGGTGCATGGATTGAGGGGTCATTGCCGAAGGCCAGCTGCCCGGGGGCGGATGAGAGGGGGAGAATTGACCGCCTGGTGTGGCAGCTGCGCGGACGCAATTAGCAAATTGAACACGACCTCGGGGTGGCGGGGAGGGCAAGGCTCACCTTGAGGCGACATGGCGGTCGGCTGCCCGTATTGAGGGAAGAAGGTCTGCGGGGTGGGCGGATAGGCCGATTGGGGCTGAGAGGGAGGCGAATACCCATCAAACTGGCCGGTAGGGGGCCGGTCCTTGCCCCAGCTGCACTTGAGCGGACGGCCATTGATGTTGTACCCACTAAGTTGACAAATCGCCATGGCCGCGTTCTCGTGCGTGTCCATCTTAATGAAGGCAAAGCCGCGGTCGGACTGGAAGCGAGTCTCCGTGACGTAGCCGAAGTTCTGAAAGAGAGGCACGAGGTCGTTCTGAGTCGTGTAGGGAGTGAGATTGCCCACGTAGCAAGTGGTCTGCCATTGAGGGGTTTGTTGAACGACCATTTCGTACGACTGCGCTCCTTGGGTGGGGAAGGTGTGGTGGCCGTAGGGCGTGGTGGGCGTCATGCCCATCTGAGCCATGGCTTGTTGCTGCGCGTACGATGGCTGCCCCTTTTGATTGGCCCAGTTGCAGCGAATGGCGCGCGATCCCAGCCACTCGCCGTCCATGGAGCTCAAGGCTTTCTCGGCCTCGGCGCGATCACGGAAAGCCACGAAGCCGTAGCCACGGGAGCGGCCGGTCTTCATGTCCCACATGACACGCGCCTCGGAGACGGTGCCGAACGCGGAGAACGCTTGGAGGAGGACCTCATCGTTGACTTCGTTGGAGAGATCGCCAACGAAGATGTGGAAGTGGTTGGACGTGTCTTCTTTGGATGTCGTGTTGGATTGATAGGCCCAATTCACACGAATCTCCTGCTGGTGCACACGTCTACCGTTGAGGGTCTGCATGGCGCGCTCTGCGCCTTGCGGGTCATCGTACTCGACGAAGCCGTAGTTGAAGCCTTTGGCTTGGAACTGGATGAAGGGAGGTGTCAGCGGGTTCAGCTCAGACATGTTGACCGTTTGATGAGAAAGGAAAGGAGACGGAGCGGTTGCGAGCGAGGAGTAGCTGTAGGGTGCGGATTTCAACCACACGCAGCTGGTAACATGCGAACGCACGTCTCCTTTCCTGACATCATATGTTGGATTGTAGACTCACGTTCTTGTCGGGGATGATCTTCACGCTCTGCACGTGTCCCGTCGTCTCGAAGATCTGCCTCAAAACGTCTTCTGTAACCCTGGGGTCGAGTCCACCGACGTACAGGGCGCGCTTGTTCGGTTCGGGAGCAGCACGACTCGCATCCCCACTGGATGGCGAAGAGACACCGCTTCCGCCGAGAGCGGGGCCGACAGTGCTGTTATTTTGTGGAATGCTCAGGGGCGGAGGCATTTGAGCGTGCGAGCCATTCTCGTAGCCGGGATGATTATTGCCGGGGGTTGGGTGCGAGGAGTTGGAGTTGTTGGGATCGGCCATGGTGTGCGAGTGCTGGAATAGAGGAAGAAAGGAGAGGAGGGGCTCGAAATGCGGAGGGGGAAAGGGCACCGCTGTAAGGAAGTATGAGTTAAGGTCTGTGGAGAGCACGGAATGGTGACGGGCAACGGACAGCTGAACGCACAAAGAGACACAAGCTTGACAAAGGCTTAGCTGAGGCGAGCAGAGATAGCTGCAGAGGTTGCCGAGTGTACAGAAGAAGATGGTAGCCGAGTGCGTTGAGATGCAGAGGGCAGCGGTGCTTTGCGTGGCTCGTCGGAAGGAATCGTAAGAACACCGAACGGGATGGCGGGAATCAGCAAGCAAAGCGCCAGACAAAGGAGATGCGGAAGAGGAAAGAGAAGAGGAGAGGAAGGAGAGAGGAGCGGCTCGCTGGGTGTGTCTCGGAAGGGCGAGGAGGGTCGAGGGCGGATGGAGTGGGCGAGAGGGAAAGAAATTGGTGGGCGACACCTGCTTAGCGCCGGCGGGACGTCAAGGTTGCGGCCGGCCCCCGCGGCCCGAAGCGGGGCGGCTGTCTCTAATCCAGCGGCTGTCAACCTTCTTTTCGCACGCCGACAACCACGTCTCTCTTCGCTTGCACTACATCCTCGACTTGTCCATTAGAGGCGCTCTGCATGCCGGAAATCCCCTCAATACCGCGCCATGTCATCTGGGAACCATGAGCAAGCATTGCAGCAACTCCAGACCGAAGTCAATCGGATTGTATGCCGCGTCTCTCCCGAGTCCCCCCCTTCCACTGCTAATGTCTCCGTCAGCTCGAACAAACCGGCCGAATATTTGCAGCGGCCAATGGCTCGTCAAAAAGTACTCCGCAAGCCCAGATGACGCGGCTTCGAAAGATTCTGCCCGATGCAAATGCGCGCTTCCATGCCGCTTTGGACGAACTGGAAGAAGAACTTGTAACGCCTCACCACGACAGTGTGTGGTTCGTTCTGGCCCGCTAACATCGTCTTGGTAGCAAATGGCACAACTAGTCATGCGGCGTGATCTTGCATTGTATCGCGACAAGTCCAAGACCCCGAAGGATGCTCCTCAGATTGAAGCACCTTCCTCGGAGACACTGGAGAAAGAAGAATTACCAAGTAGCGAAACTCTAGCAGGTGACGAAATGGAAGACGTCAAAATTGCCGATGCGTCGCCGAGCGGTGCAGTCAAAGACGAACCAACGGCGGAACCTGCACCGACATCAACTGATGAGCCACCTTCGACGAGCCCGAAGACGAAGGCCGAGCAGCCTGAGGAGAAACCCGAACCCGCTCCCGAGCCTGATGTACCTACCGATTCTAAACCTCAGCCCGAAACCCAGGACAGTGAACAACCATCCAAAGACGAGAGCACGCAAGATCCTCCCCCAGACTCCACCACCTTCTCCAACACTCCCGACCTGGACTACCTCTTCGGCGGTCCCGTCTCCGCCGAGCCCGGGGACAACGCCGCAACCGAGTTCAACTTCGGCGATCCAAACGGCACCAATACAGGCGCCGATGACTTTGACTTTGACGCCTTCGCCAACAGTCTCGCCGGCGCCAATGGCGGAATTCCCGTTGGAGATGACAACATCGCCTCCCTGCTCCCCGGCCTAGAAGACTACGCCAATACCGCCCCCGTGCAGGACGCAACCATGGATTTCGACGACATCTTCAACTCTACATTGCCGACATATAACGCGACTGGGGATGATGGCAATAACTCACAGGCCGGACCGCCGCAGGACACTACCTTTGACGATCTACTTGATTTGCCGGATTTTGGCGTGGGAGAATTGACCGGCGAGAATGGCGGAGAAGACGGAGGGGCAAATCAGGAATTTGATTTTGATATGAGTTGAGAGCAGATATTGCAGTTTGTGAAGAGAAGAGAGTAGTAGTGCGCATCTTGCTAGCTAGTGTGTCGCCGAAGGACAGACAAATTCATGATGCTCGCATCAACTCCCGTAGAATCTCACCGGTCTGAGCCTGTGAGCGGCATTCGCCAGAGTATCGTAGACGTGTGGGCCAAACGAGAGCTCATCAAGCATCCAAGGACACTTTTCCATGCATCTCAGCCAGGCCGCTTCAGTCCTGTCCTTTCCATAGTACCTTCTTCTTCCCATACCTCCCCCTTTGGAATGGATCCTGTCTCTTCCATGAAATTTCTCTCTGATAGCGGTGAAAAGCAGATCAAGAGGAAATCCACACCCTAATCCTCATCCAAATCAGCATCCACCACCTCTCCATTCCCACGAATAGCCTTCAAAACCGGAAGCGTCGTCACCGAAGCCGGCAAGCGCATCGTCTCCGCCAGCGCATCGGAGTAGATAGCCGGCAAGTCGCCCGTGATGCTGACCACTTTGACACCGCGAATAGTCGCGAGGTCGGCGAAGATGTCGTGAACTACGCCAGCAAGCAATCAGTCAGCATGTCCAACAAGCAAACTAAGAAGAGGGACGAAAGGGGGAAGTGAGGAACGCACGAACGCCATCCGGGTACTTGTACGTCTGCGCCTTGAGGAACGCGTCCTTGTCCGGGTCGGTGAAGTGCAGCTTGAACTCCTTCAGGCTGTGCTTGGCGCCGAGCTGCTCGATGAAGGCGCGCATGCAGTACATCCACTGCCAGGCGTCGATGGTGATGGCGAGCTTCTGGATCTTCGAGACGGTGTCGACGTGGATGAACCTGGTGAAGTTGGGGATGCGGTGGTCGGGGGGACTTAGTTGAATACTTGTTAGTGTGGCTTGGTTGGATATGTGTGGGTGTTTGCGTGACTTACAACTTGATCTCCGGGCCGGGGAATTTGAGGTTGAGCGGTTTGCCTTGGAAATAGGATGCGGCCTCGCGAGCGATCTGCTTGTTCAGGCGGAGGACGTTGGGCGTCGAGAGAGCTGGGAAGGGGCAGGGCTTGGAAGTGTCGGGCCAGGCGATGACGGTGTCGTTGAACTTCTTGGTGATGCTCGAGTAGTCTGTCCCGAAAGCACAAAGTTAGCGAATTGTTTGTGCAGAGCAGGAGTGGGAGAACTGACCTCCACAATACTCGTAAATCCAGTTGCGCAGCTCGCCAGGGACATCAAAAAGGAACTCAAACGGCTTCTTCTGCATCCAGAACTTCAGCTCGCGGGCAAACTGCGCATCGATCCCCTTGAACACCACCTCTTTCACCCCACGCACGCCGCGAAGCTTCCCAAGCGCATGCTTCAGGTAGTCACGAAAGTCGCACTTGATCGGCGAGTCCCAGCAGTCGAGTAGATGCACGCCGAGCCCCTTGTCAGACAAGTCGATCTCGAGCTTCTTGATCTGGTGATCGGCGCCCTTCAACGCTTTGAACAAGCCAGTCAGGAGATTGGTGTAGCCGAAAAACGAGCGCAGTTTGTGATTGCCCTCGAGGGTAGGGTGGCCGTTGGTGGAGATGACGATGGTGCCGATGTTGCGGAGGGCGGCTTGGGAAATGGGTCCGTTGGATTTGCTGATGCCGCAGATGTCGAGGAGACCATGGTCGAAGCGGACAGTCATACGCTTGAGCTCAGCCAGAGCCTCGCTGGTGATTTGGCGGTTGAGGAGGAGGATGGTCGGCGTACGACGGGCATGAAGGCGCGGCCAGATCAGAGCACCCTTGGGCTTGTCTTTGAGTTGGGCATAGTAGTTGTTGAAGAAGGTCTCGACGCCTTTGAGGGACAGTGCATGGTTGTAGATGATGTGGCGGATTTCGGCGGGGAGGTCGAGGAAGCGGAAGACTTTGGCGATTTCGTTACTCTGGAACCTCGTCAAGCGGACGTACTTGCTGCGGTCGAGCTCGATGATGGTCTTCACCTGGCGGGTGGAAGGGTCAAGCTCGATAAGGCGCAGCTTGGTGCCTTTGGGCTTGATGGCGGTGGCCTGCTAGAACGTCAGCGGATGTATTTAGAGCATGGAAGACATGAGGAGTCGTACCATGGCTTTGGAAGACGGCATGGTGACCGGCGGCTGCTATTGTCGGATCGGTGACAATAAGAGACCTGCTATTGTAGCCAACAAGGCTGATGTGCGCCCTGTCGAAGAAGAATTAGCCCAGTGCTCTCTCACGCAAAAACAACAACGGCGATGGTGGTGGTGTCGAAGGTGTAAGGAAGAAAGAAAGAAGAAGAGGAAGAAACCGGCGGAGGAAAGGAAATATATATCCTCCTGTGCCCCGTTTGCAGCCATCCAGGTGATCTTGCCAGCAACGCCACCGTTTCAATGACGCAGAGCGCGAGGTGATGTTCGCCCTGCGCGAGAGCGTGCGGGAAGTGAAGTTGCGCGCCCGAGGGAGTGTGTGCCTGGGTGTGGAAGACGAGCACCACGACTGACCTCATATCGCCCATATCAGCAGCAATTGAGTGCTTCCAAAGCATCAGAAGGCCGTTGTAGCAATTGTACAGTGCTCCCAGCTTTTGGAGTGCCTTTCGCCATGGTAGTAGCCATTCAATGCCACGATATCAATCGCAAGCCGCATACCTGTCTCCCACAGCCTCGCGGGCCACAAGCTTCACTTGCTCAATTCACTTGGCCGCCAAGCCCGCGAACGTGAACGTTTCAGGATCTGCGGCAAAATCCTGCTTGAGCAGGATCTGCGCCTCGCACGTGAACTCCTCTTGCAGCCAAGAAAAAAGGAAACTTCAAATCAAACGGCGCGCGAGCAAGAGCAAAAGATCCCGGGCGGGGCAACTTACCTTGCGAGATCACGTGAAAGGTGGGGCAGCATGTTGCTTGCGATGTCTGCCGAGCGCCATCATGGGAGGATGGCGCTCGATGGAACATCAAGCTTGAGGTTGGAATCTAGAAAGAGAGGGAGATGCACACAGGACTCATACGCGCTTGGTGTGATTTCTACGTCAGCGAATGCTTCAGCTACTAGGACCGGACTCATGCTCGACCGCATCCTCATAAGACGCAAAATCACTGCTCAAAATCCCCTCCAAACCCTCCCAATCACAACTCCCATCGCCCAGCGTCAAGCGCCCAGGCGTCTCAAACGTCGGCAAATCGCTAAAATCAAATTGCCGACTGGGACTCGTGAGCAGCGCATCGCCGTGCGCGGCAGCGACAGGGTCGTTCGCATCCGACAGCATCTGCGCCAACTGGCGAGACCAAGGCGAAATGTCGTGTTCGTCGTCGCTGACGCGGCCGGGAGTGCGTTCGAGCCGGCTGGGCGTTGTGCGGAACCAGTAGCGCGCTGAGGCGGGGGAAGTCATGAAGTCGTTGATGGCGGCGTGGTCGTGGTTTGCGGCGTTGGGGTTGGGGGAGAGGGGTTTGCGTTTGCGGCTGGACTTTTGGGGGGTCGTAAAGGCGTCGGCGTGGGTGGTGGATCTTGGGGTGGGTTTGGAGGGAGTTTTGAAGGGAGTGCGGAAGAGAGCTCCGGGCGAGCCTTCGAAGAGATATGCCAAATCGTCGTCTGCGCCGTTGAGAGGCGGCGCAACGTTTTCCTTGCCGATTGTGAACGCTTCAAAGACGTTGGTGTGTTGTTGAGAAAAGTCTAGATCCATTCCTTGTTTGGGCGAGAACGTAGGTTTCCCGCTCAAGTCGGCGTGGGATTCCTCCAGACTCTTGCCCATCTCGCCTTCACGCCGTGGTGAAGGGAAAAGTAGGCGTCGTGTTGGTTTCGGCGTGAGATCTTCAATCTCGATCGGCGATTGTTGCGAACCGTGAAAGCCACCTGGACTGGACTGAACGGCTCTTGCGTCCATCCGGGATGCCTTCCAATTCCCTTGCTCGCCGCCTCGATGTTGTTGCTCTCCCTGCACACTATTTGCTCGTGGTCTGGTGACGGGAGGTGGATTGGCTTCGGCTCTGCCTTCAGCAGGAAGCTGTCGCTCTCCAGATGCCTCCCTATCTTCAGTCGCGCCGCGGTCCGCGTTGTATGAATCTGAGCCAGGCTCCATGCTGTCGGTAAACAAGCCCGGTTCATTCCCGTTCTCATTTTGTCTCTGCTTCTTACTTCTCCGCGTGCCAGACACCCTCGTCCACTTCGATCGTGGGCGCATATTGCGGAATTTGTTGAACCAAAGTCCACACGGATTGCAGAGCACGACATCCTCAAAGCCAGGGCCTGGCAAGCTATCCTTCGTCTTCTTCATAGACTTTCGAATCACGAACTTCGTGGGCTCGCCAGTTTCCTTGTCAGTCTCCGTGACCTCCACGCCAATCGTTTCGCCCTCGCCTTCAGCTTCATCAAGCGGTGATGGCTTTCCGGTGCACTCCTTCACATAAAGGCGGCGCCAGGTGGGGGTCTCGATGGCGCCACAGTGGACGCAAAACTGCGGCGCCTCGCCCTTTGCAATGGAATCGTGCAGGCGGTCGTAGATCATCTTCTTCCGCCTCTGCGCTCCAGAACCTGACCGTGTCGGACCCTTCGGGCGTCCTCCAATTTCACTCGGCGCCGGCGAACCGGCTTCGGAGTCGTTTGATGTCGTGCGTGATCGATGAACCGATGGTCTCCTCGGCGCAGCTTTTTGCGACATCTCTGGCAGATCGGAAGAAGGCGGAGCAGCATTCGGCGGCAGTGCAAGGGAGCCTCTTCTGGAATGCGACTGCTCGAATGGCGTAAACGCTGCCGCTGGGGTGTTGGGGCGCGTGAGGTACGCAGGGGAAGGAGCTGTGACCGTGGATTTCATAACTTGCGATGGTCTGCAGGACAAGCATCAGCATACTTTGATCAAAGCAGTTTCCACGTTACTGAGGATGCACATACCCTTGACTGCCCTCCCTGCGCGGTGGAACACTGTTTCGCAGCATCTTCTGCGGCAGCTCAGTCATGTCCCCAGGCGTCTCGAATTGAATGTTCAAGTCAAATGGAGCCGGATCACTCGGATACGGCGGCGGGGCGGGCGAGCCTCCCACCTTCTCAGTCTTAATGATCGGACGGGACTGCTGCTTGTGCGGGCGGTATTGAGTGGCCACTTCATAGTCCTGAGCATCGGGACTTCGATCTTCGTCACGCTCCAGACTGTCGATGACATTGCTGCTGGTCAGGCCACGCTCGCTCATGTATCCACTATCAGCAAATCGCGAGGGCGGCAGACTTGGAAGGCCAGGGCTGCTTGGCTGATGCGGCATGTCGCCGAAGAAGACGGGCGGGGACGAGGGAATTTCTTGTGGGGATACGTCGGCGTTGATGCTGTTGCCAGGCGACTCCTCTTCTGGCGAGCTCATGATGGCATCGGAGAAATTGTCGAAGTCGGACATAAAGTCTGAATCGGCAGTAGAGGCTTGTCGCAATAAGCTTCGTCGCGGACCTCCTTGTTGCGCTCCTTGCGGCAGCATGACGGTGCGTTGCGGGACGGGCGTGGGCACACGGGGCGGTGGCTCAAGATTGCTTCCGGGTGCACTCGCACGTTTCGCGATGGGACGACGCATCTGCATGGATGCGGTGGTGGCGGCGGTGACACGCAGGTCGGACGACTTGGAGCCGAACGACGACCTTCCGCGCCAGTCCGTCTGCATGACCTTTGCGCGCTTGCGAGGCTGGCCATCTTCGTTGAAATAGACCTCTGTCTGCTGCACGGCGGTGGGCTGGGGAAGGGAGGGGGCGGAGGCTTGGCGTTGATGGACGGGAGTTTGGCATTCACTTCGCACACTAGCGCGACTCGCGGGCCGAGATTGTTCCGGGGGGAAGTTGGGAAGATTGCCAGAGAAGCTGTGATGACGTAGGGCGTCGTTACGGTTGCTTGAATCCAGAGCGATAATTGGGCTTGCCGCTCGGCTGCCTGGCGCGCTGTGAGAAAAAGCGGGGTTGAATGCAAAGGCCGGGTCCGACGGGGTCTCAGCGGTGCCCGCCACCTGCTGCTGTCCGCCACTTCCGCCTCCGCTGCTAGTCGATTCCAGGCTGAAGAGGTCGTCGACGATGGCCATGTCTCTGTCGCTGCTGAACGTGTCGAAGTTGAAGTAGTCGGCGAGGTCTTGTCGATTCCTGCCTTGCTGCGTGTTGTTCCATGCATTTGGGTCGAAGCCACCGGACATGGCTGGGCTCATCGGACGCGAGCCATCCATGCTCTTGGTCATGTCGCCGCCTGTGGGCTTGTGGACCGGTGTGAGCCGCAGCTTGACCTCCAGCGTCTCCTTCACTCCGTTCCCAAACAACGCGAGCTTGTTGGCACAGACGCGTCCTGTGATCATGGTGCTCTGTTGAGACGTCGGGGTGGCGGTGGCGAGCGCGACGGACAAGAGTCCTTGGCCGACGAGAGGCGTGTCGTTTTCGCTGTAGTCGTGTGCGTAGATGGTGAAATCGCCATCGGAGAGACGCGAGAGGATTTCGGGGGAGGCGGAGGTGATGGCGTGCAGACACTGCTTCAGCCCAATCACGCCCACCTCATTGCCCTCCTCGATCGCGACGGCGGGGATGTTGAGGACGTCGGGCACGCGTGCAAGACAATTGGTCTTGCTGTCGTGGTCGAAGGTGTAGAGTATTTTGACACGCATGGGACGCGTAGGTATGTCCCCGCCACTTCCATCCTCGAAATCCATCGTGCGTGAGGTTGGTGTAGAGGTTTAAGTTGACTTTTGAAGGGTGAGCCCGCTTTGTAGTCGCCTGGACGACCCAGGCTGGAGGCTACCGGTCGTGCCAGGGCATGCTGCGGCGGGGGAGGACGAAGGCATGCGATGCTGAGGATGTGAGGCCTAGGAAGGGCAAACCCGGCACGAACAAGCAGTGAGGGCCAACTTGATGCAAGCAAAGGTCATGTGCAGTGAAGAGTCATAAGATGAAGGGAGTTTGCTGGGGAGGAAAACGCGAAGTGAAGGGAGAAAGGGTGGTGTGGTGGAGTGGTTCCAGACAAGACGGGGAGATAACGCGCGGGAAGGACGCGAAGAGCTTCCAGCAACAGCCTCGCATCGATCGGGCGTCTAGTGCCAAACTCTATTTTCTAGCTACATCGGATTGCTCTCCTCCCGCCTTCCCACTTCGCTTGAACATTACGGCAAAATAGTACAGAACTCCGTCCCTTGGGTATGATGCGCCGCTTATGCCAAATGCCGCTACTGTGCCCCCGACTTTGCCGCCTCCAAACTCTCCACTCGTTTCTTCAGGTCGTGACACACCTTCTCAAAGTTCGTCTCGGTCTGTTGCCCGAAAAAGGGCTTCATCTTCAACATGGTGAAAGACATAGGGCCGGTGAATTCTTCAGAGTTTGTGAAAGTTGTACCGCCGGGAGTTGTCTTACTCGGCTCGAAGCTGAACGAGTGGACGCCGAGGAAGAGCCACCACATTCCACCGGCCCACTTGAAGAGGCGCGGAGTATTGGCCTGCAGTCGCGTCACGTGTCAGCGTATTGAAGATGATATGGCATGCTTGTTACAACGCACCTCGATCGGAGCGGTCATTGTCATGTTGCCAAAGTCAACCTTGACGTTGTCTCCTTTAGCCAGCTCCATGGGTTGCTTCGGGCCAACGACCGTAATTGATTTGAAGAATGTGGTCCATTGGGGGAGGTTGGGGAAGTCGAGAAACTTGTGAATGGGTTAGTTGGCTCGGGACTGAGGCAGACAATGATATCAAAAGACCACGCACCACTTCCCGCACGCGTTCAGGCGGTGCCTCGATCTCAATAACTGACCCAACGTGGACCATAGTGATGTAAAGGCAACTGTGGTGAATTGGAAAGAGTTTGTAGGAAAGTCGGTATGCGGGATTGATGTGTAACTGCTGCAAATCCAAGATCTGTCGTACATCTGCCTTCTTATACCCAATCTTTCCTCTAGTCTTGGCTTCTTCTTGGCCTCGTTCGTACCATCACGTCAGCCGGATGGATGCATAGATTGTCATTACCTAAACGGACGACCATGTTGCATTTCACAGTGACTCGAAAGGGCAAGCTGAGCGCTGCTTCGCATTCGCGTCCGGAGGCGGACGAATCCTAAACTCTAAGTGGCCAATCCGCGTGCCGCCGCAGTTTAGCCGGCCCGAGCCTCACACGTCGCAAAAGTCTGAGAACCTCACCAGCCAGAAGTACCACTCCATCACACAACCACACCGCACAATCGCCAAATCCAGAGGCCTTCCAATCACCTCCCACTCCTGTCAAGATGGCCACCCCCGACGCCAAGATCCAGTGAGTCCAGCAATCCCCCCTCCCAACCCCCAAACCACACTCTAACACCACTCCCCCCCAAACAGAGAACGCAAAAGCAAACCCCGCAACGAACTAACAGAATACGAACTCACCCTCCTCGAAACCCACGACTTCACCTCCGGCCCGCTCTCCCTCCTGCAAACGGCCGTGCGCAACCACACGCAAGTCGTCATCTCGTGCCGCAACAACCGCAAACTGCTCGCGCGCGTCAAGGCCTTCGACCGGCATTGCAACATGGTGCTCGAGAATGTGAAGGAGATGTGGACGGAGACGCCGCGGAATGCGGAGGGGAAGAAGGGACGCCCCGTCAATAAGGATCGGTTTATTAGCAAGATGTTTTTGAGGGGGGATAGTGTTATTTTGGTGCTGTTGAGCAGTTAGTGGGGTGGGGTTGGGGAGAGCATGGGCTTTTCATGGGCGTCAGGCGCGGATGGGTGTGTGGCATGGCATTTGACGAGCATGGAATGGCGTTTACGATGGCGTATAGCTGCATGCCTTACGGTCAGGCTATCTTCGAGGCTCATCGAAGCACGAGTGTGATTCTCAGATACTCGGCAAGAAAGAATGCCGGAGCGTTCAAGCAACTACTTCTCAGATCCAGTCAGATTTCATCTTCCTCTCAATCAAGATCTTCTCGTCAACATCAGCCAAACCAGATTGCAATGCAAATCACCCCTCAGCGAAACCCACGAGTCTTCACTTCACCACCCTACTCCAACCCCTCCGCCAACCCCTTCAAAAACACCGCCAACCCATGCGCCCCAGGATCCGGCACCTCCTCAAACCCACTGCCCCCCACATACACCGTCCGCCCAAGACTAGCCTTCATGCCCTTCGTCTTCTTCGCCCCCTCGTCCGCCGCCGCCGCCGCCTTCCGCACATCCCCACTCCGCCCCAACTCCTCGACAAAAGGCGCCAGAGCATCAACCAGCGTGCGATCACCCGGTTTCGCGGGCGTATAGCGGCTCATAGCCTGCAGGGCATCGTGCAGCGCCGCGGCCCACACTTTTGCGTCTGCTTGTTTTTGCGAAGAGGAGGAGGCTTGTGTTCTCAGACCGTGCGCGAGCGCGTTGAGGAAAATGGCGTAGATGGCGCCACTCGTGCCGTCCATTCTATCTTCGACGACGGAGGTGATGGCGTCGAGGTATAGCGCGGCGTCGGCCTGCTTGTCGCTGCCGAGTTTCTCCAAGATGCCTTCGGCGCCGCGCTTGAGGCCTGTGCCGCAGTCGCCGTCGCCGACGACCGTGTCGTATTTGGTCACTTCTGGCTCGGCGGCAATGAGTTTTTCAAGAGCGTGTTTGAGGGCTTTGTCGGCGAGTTGCGGGTCGATTTGGAGGCCGCACGGTTTGTTTTCTATTCCTGCTCCGTGGCCTTCGTCGAGGGTTTGGGTTGGGGGCTTTGTCCAGGTGGAGGATTTGATTGCTGCTGACCACCCAGTGCACTCCGCGGGTGCGTCGAGCAGGTCGAGCAGGGAGTGTTTGCTGCCGGTGTCTTGGAGCTTGAGAATGCTGAGGGAGAAGCCGAGGCCGTTGAGGGAGGTCATGAAGGTGCCGGCGATGATGCGGACGGGCTTGATGCCGTAGTCCTTGCTCACCTGCTCGACCACTTCCGTCGTGATGCCGCCCATTTCCAGCACGCTCACGCCGCCGAGGTTGTTGATGAGCAGCACCGTCTCGTCCGACGACTTTACCTCGAGGAACCCGCGGTCCTTATCACTCTGGTCGAGCATGTACTTCAACATCGTCTTGACCAACCCCTTCAGATCCGCCGTCGACTTCTCCGATCCAGGCTCATTATGAATGCCCATGCCAATCTCCACCTCATCCTTCTTCAGCTCCTCCTCCTCCCCCGCCTCTCGCCCAGGAACATGCACATGGCTCAAACTCGACCCAATACTCACCGTATTCTCCGCCACCAGCTTCGCAACAGCATACACCTCCTCCAACTCCGCCCCCTTCGCAGCCAACGCCCCCGCAATCTTATGCACCAACACCGTCCCCGCAATTCCCCTCCTCCCAACCTTGCCCCCCTGCGACCTCCCAACCCCAGCATCATCGCCCATAACCAGCATCTCAACCCTCAACCCCGCCGCCTTCGCCTTCTCCACCGCCATCCCGAAATTCAGCACGTCGCCAGTGTAATTCATCACGACGACCAACACGCCGCGATCAGCTTGCACGCGCTCGAGAATGCATCGCCGCACCTGGTCGGCATTCGGGCTGGCGAAGATGGTGCCTGCTACGGCGGCGGAGAGAGCGCCTGGCCCCACGAAGGCGGCAAAGGAGGGCTCGTGGCCGGAGCCGCCGCCGGAGATGAGGGAGACTTGCGGGCTGGGCTGGGCGTCTGGGCGGAGGTAGAGGATTTTGTTCGTGCGGTCGAGGGCGGTGGTGGGGTTTGTGAGGGTGATGGAGTGCAGGGCGGAGAGGACGAGGTGGGTGGGGTCGTTGATGAAGTGTTTTGCTGGGGATGGGTTAGCTGGGGGGTGTTGGGCGGTGGAAGGTGCACTTACACGACATGGTGAATGGGATGGTATAGCTCACGTTGGACTAGATGGATGAAGATGAAGAGGATGTAGGAAGGATCGTAGAAGAAGGAGGAGAGATCAGACAGGGGGTTACCTGGATAGCAATGCTTACGAAAGATGAATGCTACGCATGACAGCGAAATGGACCCAAGTGTGCGACGGCTTGGCTTGGAGTTGGAGGCGTGGTCAGGCGAGCTCGAGAGGGATGGCTCTGGGGTTGGAAAGTGGGGTGAAGTGGGAAGAAAGCGGGACCGCTGCGTGCTGCGCTGACCATCCGGCGTTCTAGAAGGCTGGCTGCATGCAGTATTCAGTTGCTAGGATGAAGGCTTGAGAGGTATCCAACCATCAACACGCTAATAATACAGCATTTCTTTCCTAAGCAGCAGAAACCTCTCCTCTACAAGCCTTTTCAAATACAAGATAGCTGACCTCCACCTAATCCCGCTTCCTGCCCATGATCCCACTCCTTTCATTCCCCAGAGCGCCACCCTCATCATCCCCATCGCTCTCATCACTGAATCTGTCCTCCTCTCCAACAGCAAAGATCGTCTCACCCTCCAAACTTTCCCGCGGCAGCGGCATAGGCTTCTGCGGGATGGGAGCCGGCAATGGTGAAGCGTCACGGTTCAGCCGTCCGTTGTACCCCGCTTCTTCGTCAGGCCGTTTATAGCCATTCATAGCTTCCGCATCGTCATCTATATCCATCGAGTCACGGAGCGATGAGATTTCGAAGCCGTCGTCATCTTGTGCAATCTGTCCACTTTGTTAGTTTGACCAACAATACGTTCCCGGAAGGTAAAACTTGCCTCATCCGACATGGCGAATCGTCGATTATTCGCCGACGGCCGCCACACATACGCGACAAACGCCACATCGAAAAAGTAGACGAGATTCAGCCAGCCGTCGAGGATGAACCACCGGCCCTTCCAATGACTCGGCACGAAATCCTCGTCGCCCTGCCCGGCGAAGATCCAGCTGTTGACGAAGAAGAAGACGAAAATGACAACGATGCTGGTGAGGATGCAATACCACAGCTTGCGGTACATGGCGGCTTTGATGGTCTGCTTGCGCGCGACCAGGTCTTTGGTCGTGGCGTTGAGGGAGTTGAGCGTCCAGATGTAGAAGGCGGTGAGGGTGGCGGCGAGCGGGAGGACGACGAGGAGGATGAGGGGGCCGGCATTCTCGGGGGTGACGGAGAGGGAGGCGACGGCGTAGATGACGCCGAAGACAAAGTGGGTGATTGCCAGATAGCGCACGTAGGTCATTTGCTTGCCTAGAGTTGGCTTGACGACGCCGTAGCCCATGCACACGATGAGCAGGAGGAAGAAGGAGAAGCTGTTGCGGGCGGCGCTGAGGATGGAGACGACCACCAGCAACGCCTTGGCGCCGGCGTTCATGCCGTGGCGATTTTGGAAGTCGTAGAAGAGCCAGGTCATGAACATCTCCACCACCAGGAAGACCAAGATGGCGGTAATGTAGTTTTGCACGGGCAGGATGTCGCGTCGGTGGAAAAAGTATAACGCGCCCCAGCCCATGGCCAAGAAGGCATAGACGATGGTGATGCCGGAGTAAAAGGGCAACTTTGCGATCTGAGCGGCCGGGAGCTCGCCAAAGGCGTTGCGGAATTCGACCACGCCATTGTAATCCTCGTTACTGAATGGGGTGGTGCCAACGCAATAGTAGCCGGTCTTTTTGATGGGGTAGTTGACGACGGGAGGGTCGCGCAGGTGGATGGCCTGGGAAATGATTTGCGACTGGGCGACGTCGGTAGCATTGGGCTTGAGGATGAAGCCGCCAAGCTTGCTCTTGTCACAAAGACCGTCGTCGACTGCGTACTTGTCGCAGACATATTGCATCTGCGTCTCATCAGCCTTGGCTCTGTCGCAACATATTTTCCTGGGATACAGACTGTCGGAACGGCATCTGCATCCGAATTGGGGATAGGCATGCCGAGGAGAGTCATGTCATGCCACTCAAACACCACCAGGCTCACGATGGGGTCGACGGCGTTGAAGCTGTCGGGGTTGAGGAATTTGATGAGGATGAAAGGGTCGTTGTTGCCGCCCCAGGATTTGCGGGAGTACATGCCCGAACATACTTGTCGGGTTGCCTCTTTCTGGTCCTGTCGCGATTGAGCTTCAGTACAAGGGTATCGTGGATGTAGAGAGGTGGATGTGGCAGCATACTATTTGCATTTCCACTGCCTGAACTGCATTCGAGGGCAGCTGCAGCAGCAGCACCCCGACTAACCGTATCCATCCCTTCATCTTTCTCTTGTATTGCTACTCGACTCGACTCTTCCGCTCGTTAGATCAGTTGCAGATCTTCGAGGCCTAAGCAGGCAGCCAATATCGATGGGCGGCAGCAATAGGGAGGAAAGTTGGAGGAGGACCTCCCGGGGTTCAGCGGAGGCTGTCGAGTCCCATGGGTTAAGTGGGAAAAGCGCGAGTCGAAGGGGGAGCAGTGGCCGTACTTGTCACAGGCCGCATCAAGGATCTCGTGAAAGAAGATTGGTAAAGTATGATGGATTCCGGGCCTCGAGTGCAGTCTGCGAATGCTGAGGCCGCGAAACGCGCAAGTCACAGAGCTGGACGTAAGGGGAATAGCGTTGTCGCCTCAGGCCAGCCAGCTCTAGCCACGGCGATTGATCTACATCCCTGCACAGCCACGCAGCCACCACCGCGCTGCGCCACATCACCCATGACGTGCACGCGGATCAACAGAGAATACAAAAGTTGGCCGCGCGCCGTGTCGCAAACCGATGCATTCCACACACAACCTGCCCTCATTCGACCCCTTGAGACTGTTCCATCTCGAGCATCTCTTGCATCCGCGCCTGCTTGGATTGCTTCGTCTCCCAGCCATACGACAACACAGCCGCGCCGATCTCCAAGCGCTGCTGTCGCGGGTGTCGTGTTTCAGCATTCAGGAACGCGGAACGCATACCAATTGGCTCGACGTTGCTATTGTCGGCGTCTCACCCATCTCCCCCGAGCACGACCCTTGGCCTTACTATTTAGGCCGCTGCTCTCCTCTCCTCCACATCTTTCCAACTCCTCCCGCCTCCACCCTTCGTCACCATGGCACAAGCAGTGGGAAAGTACGCGGCAAACAAGCTGCTCAAGAAGCACATGAAGCAATACAAGGGCAAGAAGGTCGAGACCGGCAATGTACGTCTTCCAACCCAGCCACCTCCCTCCTCACTCGCTCACCCACTAACACCCCCCTCACAGGACCCCTACTTCGCCATGATCGAAGACCCGCGCAAGCCCGGCAAATTCAAAAAGGTCAAGAAGCAGGTGCCCGCCTACATTCCCGAGCACGACGCCAACATCCTTGCCGATGTGCGCAAGTCCGCCTACCGCCTCGACATGTGCCTGTTCAACTTCCTCGGCATCCGCTTCGGCTGGGAGGCCGTCATCGGCATCATCCCCGAGCTGGGCGACGCAATTGGCGCCTTCCTCGCATTCAATGTCTACAAGAAGTGCTGCAAGGTCGAGGGCGGGCTGAGTTCGAGTGTGAAGACTCGCATGATGATCAACATCATTGCAGACTTCCTGGTCGGTCTGGTGCCTTTTGTTGGCGATCTGGCCGATGCTGCGTTCAAGGCGAACACGAGGAATCTGCGTCTGTTGGAAGTGGAGCTGGATAAGAAGTACAAGCCGCAGGGCGCGCACGCAGATGAGCGGAATTTGGCTGGCGTGGATGCGGCGACGAGGCGACGCAATCGTGAGTCGGGCATCTACCACATCAACGACCCACCGCCTGCCACGGCCTTTGAGGATTTTGACGACGACGAAGACATCCAGCCGCCTGCGTACCAGCAGTCGCAACAGGTGCACCTATCGCAGCCTCACCCTCCAGCTCATCAGCATCAGCAGCAGACGGGAAGCGTGCGTGTTTGAGGGATTGCATTGCTGAGGAAGCGTGTCGCGTTCGAGAGTCTGCATTTCCACGGAACGCGCGATGTTCCGAAGGGCATTTCCTAGCTAGCGTAGTATAGCCAATGACCAATGATACCCCATGAATCGTACGCAAGCCAGGGAGAGCCTGGGCCGAGCAAGTGAAATGTCAAGTCCAAACGCGCTCGGATGGCGGAAGCTGGACGTTGCCGCATCGGCATTGAAAAGCCCGATCGCTCGGGTTTCGGGCGCTGGTCCCGCGTCATGGACAAGGCTGGGATCATCATGGACGTCAATGCTGTAGATAGATCAAGGTATATAAAGACAACACCTTCAACCCCACCAACCATTGAGTGAACCCATCCATCTCTGAACCCTCCAACCTCAGACCAAGTCTCATTTCCCCACGACAACTACACTCCCAACAATGCCCTCCTACGCCATCCTAGGCGCCACAGGCCAAATAGGCGGCAACATCCTCACCGTCCTCCTCGCCAAACAACCCCCCGTCGAAATCCACTGCTTCGTGCGCACCAAAGCCAAACTCCTCAAAGCACACCCAGACCTCGCCTCAGCCTCCAACGTCACAATCTACGAAGCAGGGCTAGACGACACCGCCGCTCTCGCGCAGTGCATCAAAGACACCCGCGCCGTCTTCCTGACCGCCGCCGCGTCGGAGAATGTACCCGGGTGCGAGGTAGCGCAGCAGCAGACGCGAGCCATCATCGCGGCGCTGAAGAATTTGCTTCCCTCTTCGCAAGCGAATGAAAAAGCCCCTGCCATCCCTAAACTCGTCGTCATCAGCTCCGCCTCCGTCACTCCGCGCCTCTTCGGCGCCAGCGCGCCCTGGATCATGCAGCGCATGGTGCACCTCGCGTTCTATCACATCTACACCGACCTGGAGAAAGCAGAGGCCGTGATGCGCGCCGAGAGCCACTGGATTCCGCAGGTGTACGTCAAGCCCGGCGGGCTGACGCACGATGCGGCGCATGGACATGTGCTCGCTTCGGAGCTCAAACCGGGGTTTCTGAGCTTTGTTGATTTGGCGGGGGCGATGGTGGAGGTTGCTGGGGATGATGGTGGGGTGGAAGGTGTGGAGGGGAAATGGAGGTGGGATGGAGTGGATGTTACGGTGAATCCGGCGAGGGAGGGCACGAGGGTGGAGCCTTGGTTGCCGTATATTGTGCCCAAAGGACTGCTGTGGACTTTTGCGCCGTGGCTGTACCCTTATCTGGGGTCTTGGTTGCCTTGATGGCCTTCATTGCGAGGCATGGCCTGGGAGGTTGACGGATGATGATGGAATGATAAATGAACGCGCTGATATGACCCGGCCTGAAAGGTGGTGAGGAACCCGACTAGATGCGTATCCTCTCGAACGAGTACTTCCCAACCAGCTTGCTCTTCTCCCTCGCTCGCGCCTTTACGCTCCTCTTGTCGTTCGCGCTCTTGCCGCTTGCTATCTTCGCCACACCCCCTCGAGGCTCAAGAGACAGCAAAGCGACATTTGCATCCTCAAGTCCGTCCTCTTGTACCTGTATGACACGGCCGGGGAATTTGTTGGTGCCCTTTTGATCGACATTCTTCTCCAGCTCCCTCAGCCAGATGCCAAGCTTCTTCGCCTGGAAGCACCCGTCCAACCCAGCACTGACTTCTGCCCTCAAGCTATCGACTAGCTCGTCGGTGGCTAGAGCAGCGCTGCTTAGTCCAACCAACCACCCAGTAGTCCCAATGGCATCCACGGCGCAATTCAGCAAATCTCCAATGGCTTTGATCGCGCCATCGCTCGGCCGACTCTCTTCATCCTCGCCCAGACCTCGGAGAATGCCTTCCTGCTCATCAGTCTCGTCGGCGGCAACGTAGCTGGACGTCCATCCGCCATCGGCAAGTTCAATGCGGAGAATGTGGATGAAGAAGACAATCTCGCTCTGCGACAGCATGGAGCGCATGAGCGTGGTGATGGAGCGGGGCGGGAACGCGTGCAGGCGCGATGTGATGAGCCGGAGTGTGTCGCTCTTAACTTCCAGTCCGGCATCCAAGGCGTGCATGACGAGGTCCAGCTCGTTTTCTACCGCTGCGAGCTCGAGTTCGGATTCGGATTCGATTTCGTGGTCGTCGCCGTTTGTCATCTCCACGTCTTTGTCGGCGGTGGGATGTCCATTGGGTTGTGCTGGGGCCGGTAGAGCCAGAGGTCCCTCTTGTTGCCGTTGTTGGGCGGGCGCATTCAAGGACTGGATCACGAGTCGTAAGGCTTGGACCACCTCGGCCGCTTCCCAATGTACAGGGAGCGAAAGCAGGTCGTGCATCAACTGGAAGTCGTCATCAAGTTTTCTGATCGCCGTCATCACATCGCCGGGGTTGAGAGTTGCGGCCAGCCCACTAGCGTTGGATGAGAGAGCCTTCTTCAAATGTGTCACAGAAAGCAGGCCGGTAAGCGTAAGCCACTCGAGGAGCTTCAGCGACGGGATCAGGATCTGCAGGGCGCCGTCCTGTCCACTTCCACGGCCGAAAATCTTGGACAGCAAGTACATTGCCTTTCGCTTGTCCACATCCTGAGGGTCGAATGCTTCTGGTAGCGGCCACATCTCCTCATACGTTGTGGCATCAACATCTTCGGCAGCGCTCTCCTCTTGATCATCTTGAAGCTTCTCAATCTTTCGTTGTCTTCCAAGCTTCTTCTCGTTGGCCACAAGGTTCTCCAGGGCCTCAATCTCATCCGCAGCGACTAGTCGGTCAACTTTGGCAGTCCATTCCTCCCATTTCCTGACCTTCTTGGAGTCTCTTTCTTGATTGCGGGTTTCCTTGTAGCTGCCTTTGCCCAAGACATCTTTCAACAACGTAGCCGGTGCCGAGACAGACTTTCGATCCCGCGATAGCCCTTGAACTTGGATGGCGACAAGGTCTTGGCTATCTAAGCCAAGGACCAAACCAACGTCTGGAAACGCAGAGATGGCTTGGAATAACGGAGCATTTTCTACATCCTCGCTCCTTTTCCGCTTCTTGCCAACTTCGCCAGCAGCAAATGACGACTGCAAGGAGATCGAAGCTTGGATCGAACCAAAAGACGTTTCGTAGATCGTGGCAGTGCCATGTGTGAGTGTCAGGACAGACGAGTTCGAGAGCCTGGCAAAGCTAGTGATCGGCGCCAACCTGCTCCCAAGGGTCATGGAAAGTTGCGGCACGGTTCCGGAGAGATCGTAGAGACTCAGCTTCTCGTCCAGCAGTTGGCATAGCGTTCCAGAAGAAGCGTGAAGGTCGGTTAAATGAGGCGATTGCTTGGGATGATGCTGGCCTCCCGGTAACGAGTACGAAGTAAGAAATTGCGATGCGCCGGTGGCGCTTTGGATTTGACCCGGATCGGGGTTCCGCAGGGCATATAGCTCGAGGCCTCTCTTCGACCCCGAACGAAACACTCGGCAGAGCAGCTGAGAGGCTTTCGTGGGCACAGTCATGGCGTCCAGCTGAGCAACGATATCCGCACGGCCTTTCAGAAGTCCTCTCCGAGCAGAATCAATTGGAACCACGGTGCTGTATTCGACCTCGTAATCCTCGCCCGATTTGATCGGTTTTCCAGAATCCCAGTGTAATCTCGAGAGGTCACGAGCAACAAATCCGACGGATCCGTCTTTATAGCTGATCACGATTGATGATTGCGCTTCGTCCTCGGCGACTAGTACGTCCAAGCTCACAACCTCGCCCTCGCGCAGATTGCACTCGCTCTTCTTGGACCCCGCGAACTCCGTGTTCTCGGACTTCTTGCTCTTGACAGCCTCCGTGAAAGACAGCAGTCGTCGCTTCGGACTGTCTGCACCATCCTTCACCGCTAGGAATGTCTGCCTTTGCAGCCCTCCATTTGGCGTCGCCTTGCTGTAAATCGAACATGGTGGGCAGCAGAGGTAGCATTGTGGTGGAATGGCGTAAGAAGCGACGGTACTGTGGCTTTGGACCTGTTGATCATATTAGTCGTGGTTAAAGAATACATTGGCGCAGAACATGCACACATTGTGAATGGTCACTCCCTCGCCGTCGACTCCAACAGCAATCTCATGTCGCTTTCGTTTCGTGCCTTTGCGCAAGCTGTGTACAGGCGCAGCATATGAAAGACCCCGGATCTGATCGAGTGGCTTCGGCACCGAAGCGACCGTATAAGGCGCCTCTATGCTGAGACTCGACATTCCCACGAATAGCTTGCGAAGATGTTGACATGGACTGGAAATGATCAGTAACTTTTTCTGAAGTCCGCCCAAAATTTGGAGCATTGCGGCTCTGCGGGAAGATCCGCAAGCTCCGAGCTTAATTCGCGCGTCACGTCACGTCCCCTCGATTTCAATTTAGGCGACGGACGAGTAGAAACATCGCCTGTCTTCACTCCTTCATGGCCACTCCACAACATACCCACACACTCCACCCTTCGCTTCGATGATATCGTATGGCAGCGTCAGAAGTGCTCCTGGCCACGAATGGCGAGAGGATGCTGCACCCATTCTTCACGAAGACGAGTGATACACCGACCACGAATGGATCTGTCTCAGAGAATGATGCATTCGTTAGCGAGCCACCGCCGCAGGTCGACGGAGCTGCAGACGTTGCGAAAGAGCAGAGATCCAATGAGGGATCCAAGGGTTCGCTCACAGCCGGGCCTGTCAAAAAGCAAAAGACACTACAAGACCTCATGAAGCCCAAGTCCAACCTGAATGAACCTGAGCGGAGAGATGCAATCTCGCAGTCAATTCCTTCAGACATCACTCAAGACTCTTCATCTCCGCGGAAAAGAAGAAAGACAAGTCTGATTGAACATGTCGATCTGTCAGAAGAAGGAGAGAAGCAGGAGCACGTGCCTCAGACACCACCAATTGGAACTCCGCGTCAACAGAGCTCCCCGCGTGTCATCATTCCCGCATCATCGCCGCTGTCTACGACTGTGCCCCACAAAGCTACTGAGGATTCAATGACTCCTCCAAAGAAGATGCTCAGACTCAATGCACTTGGCAAGTTCAGCTCTCCACCAGGGAAGAAGACCGGAGACGAGGAGCAAGGCGAGGAACCGAAGAGGAGGCGAGGACGACCTCGGAAATCCAAAGAGATCGTGCAAGAGAAGCATCTCGTGGTTGTAATCAGATATGCCACTGCATCAAGTGTTGGGCCAAGGATCAGTCGTGTACTGTCCGGCGAAGAGCGAGTCGAGAAAGAACTTCCCAAACCTGCAACCCCGAAGAAACCGCGAACGCCTCGGAAACCACAACCTACGAAGTCTACACATCCCTTTTTCCTGGGCAAGCCCAAAGAAGGAGAGATTCTCCCGAAACATGTCTCCCCACGAAAAACATCAGCAGTGACCCCTGGAAAACTTCGGAGCGAAACAATGGCAAACCGATCACCATTGAAGCAGGATCTGCGGCCTGCACAGGAGTATGCTATTGGATCTGGGCTGCTTAAGGATCGACTCATGTTCAAGCATCCTGGTGCAAAAGAGCCAGCCTGGCCAAATCGAGAGCAGGCTCACGTTCGGGGTATCGAGAACTTGGACCCGCTGACCCCGCCGTCTTCAGAGGACTCTTACAACAGACGGAAGCGCAAAACGGCCAAGCTCCCATTCCCGACCAATGAATCCATTTTGACGTTGTTCTCTTCTCGCTTGACACCAGAAGTCCAAGGGAAGCTTCGTGAGGATGGCTTTAGGGATCCGCATCCCTCGCTCACGTTGCCAGCGAAGCTCCTGATAGCTGGCGAACAGATCGCCCAACGGATTGCTGCCGAGCTATCAGTCAACTTCAACGGAGATCAAACTGTACAATCATCTCCCCGTCAGTCGAACATTATTCACCCAGCATTGCACGTGCTGTACAGCAAATTGCCAATTGTGTTGAGTGCATTTGACGAGAATAGGGGCGAGGGCCTCGGTTGGGTGCAGAAGTACGGACCGACATCAACGACAGCAGTACTACAACCACCACGCGAGATGAACATCCTCCGACAGTGGCTTACATCGCTTACTGTGACTTCCGTTCGCAGCAACAATGACATGGATAAGAAAACGGCCGCGAAACTTGAACGTAAACCGAAGAAGAAACGGAAGAGAAGAAACGACGACCTGGACGATTTCCTGGTATCCGACGATGAAGAAGTCCGGGACATGGATGAACTGTCAGATGATGAAAGCACGCCTCCGTCATCCGCAGCCAATCGCAAAGGTGCGAAATCGGTCGTTCAAGGCGTTGCCGACGGCATGAGGCTCAGTAATGCACTGCTATTGAGCGGGCCCCATGGCTGTGGCAAGACGGCGGCAGCTCACGCCGTGGCAAAGGAGCTCGGCTTCAAAATTTTCGAGATCAGCCCTTGCGAGCGACGAAGTGGAAAGGACGTCCTTGACAAGGTGGGCGACATGACTGAAAATCACCTCGTCAAACATCACGGCACGGATGTCGGGGAATTGTGCTCGGCAGAAGAGCCGAGTAAACACGAGGAGGCATTCCAACGCGATCTAGCTACCGGCCGTCAAGGGACGATGAGCAGTTTCTTCAAGCCAGCGTCAAAGCCGAAGGAGATCTCGCCGAAGGAGAAGCAGATTGTACCGAAGAAGGTGACCATAGAAGCTGTCAAGGAAGCGATCAAACGACCTGCAAAGGATCAACAGCAGTCTCTGATTCTACTGGAGGAAGTCGATGTATTGTTCAAAGACGACAAGGACTTCTGGACCACGATATTCAAGCTCATCGAGTCGTCCAAGCGCCCCTTCATCATGACTTGCAACGACGAAGACCTCGTTCCTTTTCAAGCAATGTCCTTGCACGCCATCCTCCGCCTCTCTCCGCCAGCGCCAGACCTGGTCGCCGACTACCTCCTCCTGATGGCCGCGTGTGAAGGCCATCTTCTGAAGCGCGATGCAGTCTTATCGCTGTACCAATCAAAAGACTTCGACCTGCGAGCCTCCATCGCCGAGCTAGACTTTTGGTGTCAGATCGGCGTTGGCGACCCTCGAGGCGGGCTGAGCTGGATCTTCCAACGCTACCCTCCGGGAAGTGATCTCGACGCACAAGGGAGAAAGCTGCGCGTTGTGAGTGAGGGTACTTATGCACCAGCAATGAGCTCCTCTCTCGACGACGGCCTAGACGACGCGACTCGACTTTGTTGGGCCGCATGCGAGTTCGATCTCGCACCAGCTGATCTCCTTGGGTGGACCGGTGGCGACGCGGGAGCGAGCATGGACTCGCTCAAACGCTTTTCCTTTGTCGCTGACGCCTTCAGCGCCAACGATGTCTACGCCGGCCGCTTCACTGCTTCTCTGCTAGACACAACACAGCCAGAGATGCCAGAGAAGAGCCGGGGCCACTACATCGAAGGCATGAAACTCCTCCAAACAGACGAAGCAGCAGACCACACTCAGCTCTCCGCTCAGCTATCAGCAACAAGCACCCTCACCGCTCTACGTTGCGCCAACATCCTCAATCCAACTCACGCCCTCCTTCGCAACAATCTCGCCCAAACCCTCCACTCCACCAAACAACACACCCAGCACCAACAACACCAGTCCCTAACCCGCCACTCCTTCTCCACTTTCGACCCAATCGCCCTCCCCTCCGACCCACCCGCCCAATCAACCCTCTCGCAATCCTCCTTCGACGGGCCCCTAACCCCCATAGCCATCGACCTTGCCCCGTACGTGCGCAGCATAGTGCACTACGACCTCGCCTTCTCGTCGCAGCGCGAGCGCCTGCATGGCATTCTCAGCGAAGGCGGTGGAGGCAAGCGGGCGCGCACGACGCGCGCTGCGCGCAGTGCTGTTGAGGGGAGTCAGAGGGGCGCTACGAGGAGGGAACGGTGGTTTTGCAAAGACTTGGATTATGGTGCTGTGCTTACTACGGCGGGGGAGGGGTGGCCTAAGTGTTGTGCTGCGGTGGTTGGGCTGGGTGAAGGGGAGAGTCGGGGGCCTTCGAGGGATGAGACGCCGGAGGGGATGGAGGAGTAGCTTTGAAGAAGGCGAGTTGAAACTTGGAATCATGTGTCGTAGCTACAGTCGAGCAATATCTACCTCGCAACCTCTACCCCAAGTCCCCATAATCGCCATCCGCATCACACCCCCCCAACAACCTCCACCTCAACCCCCCATCCCCTCCCAAACTGCACAGCCTCCTCCCTCCGTAAAGCCACATTCACCCCCAAATCCACCAGCCCCAAACCCCACCTCTCACCCCCCACCACAGCATCCAACAAGCCCCTCACCGGCGCCCCAAAAGCCAGCACCCGCTCAGGCCGAATAGCCAACGGCTCGCCTTCCACCACCGGCGCGCTGCCGTCTATACCCGACACGCCGGAGGGGCAGGTAAGAGAGAGGACCGGGGCGCGGGAGCGATTCGCCCAGTCGATGATTTCTCTTTGCGTTGTGGCTTCTTGTTCTGAAGAGGCGGGGAAGGGGGAGCCAGAGAGCAGAGCATCGATGATTAAATCTGGTGGAGCGGGGAGGTTTTTGATCAGAGTTGAGGCGCGGGTCCAAGGGCCGCGTTTTATGTTGGCTGCGCCGGATTTTATCATGCGTTTGAGGGTTGTGAGTTGGGATTTTGTTTCTGGGTGTTGGGCTTCGGGGGCCAGGGAGGAGGTTGTGGGGTTTTCGATTATGATTAGGTGCGTTTGGCGGGTTGCTAGGTGGCGGGCGGCGGCGAGGGCGCGGGCGCTTGTGCTGTGGTTGCCGGCTATGATTACTATTACCGGCGTGTGTTGGGGTTCGAGAGGGGTAGTGGAGGTGAGGGTGGTGGTGGTGGATGTGTTGGTGCGAGAGGGACGGCGGGCGCCGGATTCGGCGAACATGGACAAGGCTGTTTCGGCGATGCCGCGGGCTGCGGTTTCGGTCATGGCTTCGGGCGTCAGGCCGTAGCGGGCGGTCGTCTCTGCTTCGAGCGTTTCCAGGGCGGAGGGGTGGAGGACGGGGCAAGGGGCTTGAGTGGACTTGATGATGAAGTGCGGTTCTGCGACCGCTGAGGCTTGTGTTCTCGCGGCAGCAGAAGCGGTGGAGATGGGTGACTTGGCGCGTATGGGGAGCGGGGAGGCGGCAGCAGAAGGGACGACTTTGGCCGCTTTGCCAGACACCGAAGTGCCCGATCTCGGCAAACCGCCTCGATCAGAAGACACAGAGGCAGATAGAGGGTGCGCGGTCCTCCCGCCACCATCGACCTGCGCACTGTTCTGGCGACTCGGGCCTTTCCTCATCGCCGCTCTCGACACGGAGTGCCTTGAGCTCGAACGGCCGTTGGGCCCGAGATTCAGCTCTGTGTCGGCGTCGCTCGAGCTGTCCATCGCCGCCAGCACGGGACTCAGCACATTCTCCGTCGGATGCAAATTCTTCCCGCCGTACGTGCCCGGCCTGTGAATCCTGTTATGGCTCACCAGTCGGTCTTCGTCGGCGGTTGTATCGCCCTGCCGGAGCTCCGAAAAGACCTGCGCTTTGTCGAAGAGGTTGTTCGACGCTTCAAAGTCAAAGTCGCCGTGATCTTGAATATCTGTCGCATCTTCCGTAGCCCAACCGTTCTGCTGCTCTTCTTTCCGTCGTCTGTTCTGTCGAGCATTAAGCGATGGCTGAGGCGACGGCTGAAGTAACGGAGTCTGTCGCCATCCCTTCCCCCTCTTCACCGTCCCATTCATGTCGTTGCCATTCCTAGAGACTTCGGCGTCCATGACGGGCGGTGGATCTTGAATACTGCCCGCAGGCTGCTTCTTCTTCAGACCCCGCCTTCCCTTCTTCTTCGCAGCAGTCCCATCAACCTGCTCCTCTTCTGGTCCGGCATCGCCTTCATTGTTCACAGGCTGCTTCCCACCCATCTGCCGCCCCTGCCTGCCTCCATCCTCCCCACTCTTCCCCGCCAACCCAATGAACGGCGACGAAGGGTTTCGAGGCAGAGTCTCCGCAGCCTTTGCAAACACAGCCTTGATCGGAGTCGCCGGCTGCTCAGAAGGTGGTGGAGGCCTCGCTGCTGGCTGTGACGGCGCCGGCGACCGGCCATAGCTTAGAATGGCCGGGTCGACGAAATCAGAAGGCGTGCGGCGCGCGGGCGTTGCTGATGGTAACTGAGCCGATGCATGCTGTGTCATCTGCTGAGTAAACGGCAAAGGAGCGGGAGGAGTAGGAAGCTGCGGCGGTGCAGCGGCGGCGGGGGTAGGAAGTAAAGGGTTCGAAAGCGGCAACGGATTAGTTGAGTTGACAACCTGAAGGTCTGCAATCGTGGGGCCGCGAATACTGTACTCCGGGCATTGCTGGCCGTTGTGAAGAAAGTAGACTGCGCAACAGATGGCAGAATTAGCATGCGGTTCATATGGTGTCGCGTGATCTCCTTAGTCTCATACCGTTCTGCAGCGTGAGCAGCTGCCCCGGAACGATGTGCTTCACTCTTCCCTGCAGCACCATGCCGCTGGGTGCTTTGAGCGTCACTTTGACCGTCATGCCCGTGAAGTCGGCCATGGTTGCGACTCTTGAAGGGTTGAAGGGAGAGTAGAGTGGGATGTGACCAGAGGAGGAGAGGAAGTGGGATGTTTCCCTGACGTGAAGCTCGTATCGGTAGCGCATATGCAGGTCCGCTTAACATTTTCTCGAAAGCTTAATTCTCGCAACGTCACTTCTCAGGGAAGGATCGTCGGGGGGAAATGTGCGTGCGGACGACATGCAACACTTAATGCTTGATGAGAAGGAATGAGGACGAGATGCAAGGCATTCGACTTTGGTTGAATTGGGTGATATCTATCAACAATGCGGAAGAAATGTCCACTCGGCCCCTCCACTCCAATCCGGCCGAGTACGCGCTGATAGATAGAGGTGGGGAAGCAGGCCATCCCTTCCAAAGGATCAAAGGTGCCCGGGGGGTATCGGAAGGCGTCAAAGGGAGTCATTGGGGCGTTTGTGTTGGGGGGCTTGGGTAGCAGAAGGCGGGCGATCGTGGACCGCTACCTGGCGATGGGGGAAAACATTCGAGTGTCGTGCATATGATCGCTTAGAGACTGCAGGGGCGTGCGTGCGTGCGGTGCTTGGGCGGGATCGATGCTGTGGCTCGTGGGGTGGGGTGTTGAATGTTGTACTGGTGAGATATGGCAGCATTCGGGCGAGGCGGCGCGGCTTTCCTGGCGCGGCGTGTCGTGGCGGCGTGCCATCCGTTCGCTCCATCGTCCAAAAGCTGTTGACTTACCTTTGCAGTCCTGCAGACGATATACATCGCCAAGACAGACTGTCCTCCTCCTCTTTCTTCTCTCCCTCTCGCTCTTCAGTGTGGATCATACGGATATAGTACCTCGCATTCCTCACATCTCCATATCTCCACCACTTCCATTGGCAAAGTTGAAGTTCTGCTGGCCTTGCTGCTGGCCAAATCCAAATTGTCCGTCCTGTCCCTGCTGCGGCGCCAACTCCACCTCCGCATCGGCCTCCTCGTCCGAGAAGTACTTCTCAATGATGCTGTACGCCTTCATGTAGATCTCTTCGTTGCTGTTGTTCTGGCAATCGTGAATCTTCTCCATGCCGCCGCAGTCTTCGATGAAGAGAGCGTAGCGGTTGACCGGAGGCTCGGCACCGCCCTCGGCAGCATCTTTGTCCATGTCGCCGACCTTGAGGATGTTCTCCAAACCATCAAGGGCGACTTGAATGATCTTGTTGTCGGGGCAGGTGAGCAGGTCGCAGAGGGGACGGATGGCACCAATGGAAACCAAGAAGCGAATTTGGTCGGGCTTTTGCAGACCGCCGGAGGTGGCGTTGGAGATGGCCCAGCATGCCTCCTTTCGCGTCTTGAAATCACCGTGGCTGAGCAGGTGGATCAGCGGTTGGACGAGGTTAGCATCAATCACCGCCTGGATCTGAGTGCTGTTGCCGGCAGTGATGTTGGAAATGGTCCAGCACGCCTCCTTACGGATGCCATCCTTAGTGGAGCTGAGGAGCGACAGGAGAGCGGGCAGGGCGCCGCAGTTGATGATGAGTTGTGTCTGGACATCGTCGCCGGTGACGATGTTGCCCACGGAGCGCAGGGCGGGGGTTTGGACGGAAGTGGAGGCGTGCATGAGCAGCTCGACCAGTCGACGAGGAATGTTCGCTTCGATGACGGCTTGGATCTTGTCGTTGGAGCCATCGGACAGGTAGGAGATGGCCCAGCAGGCATCGATCAGAACCTCGTCATCGAGAGAATACACCAGCTTGGCAAGGACGGGCAGGGCCGGGGCAATAGTGTTCCAGTCTGGCTGCGGGGTCTTACCACGACAGAAGTTGCTCAGCGTCCACGTGGCATTCCTCAACATGCTCAGCTTGCGGCTATCACCCAGCAGACGCACGAGCGGGGCAAGGGCACCCGACGCGAGGACAAAGTCCCTGCAGTGAGGGCTGTCTCCAGCGATGTTTCCCAGTGCCCATACCGCTTGTTCTCTGACATCAGGCTCGGGGCTGCTGAGGAGCTCGACGAAGATGGGCACGGCACCAGCCTCGATGACGACTTGTGTTTGTTGAGCGGAGCCAGAAGCAATGTTGGTCAGAGCCCAGGCAGCCTCGAATTGAACGAGGGTGTGGGGAGAGCGGAGGAACTCGACGAAGCGGCCCACGACGCCGGTCTCGATGACACGCTCGATGGGAGGGTTGCGTTCTTTGGACAGCAGTTTTCGGAACTTGGTGGTGGCGGCGATTTGGTCTTCGATCTTGTCGGAGAAGACACCTTGGACCATGAGGGGGAGGTCTTCGTTCAGCTGTACACGCGTGTTAGTTGGGGGAATGTAGGAGTGAGTGGGGGTTAGTGATGAGGAGCATACCTGTGTCTCCGTATTGGCACCCTCATCGTCGCTGTCGGGCGCGGCACCCAGCGAAGCACCAGGGGCACCATCGCTGCGACTGCCAATCCCACGTCTCTTGGCAAGATTCTCCTCTCGCTTCTGCTTCCGGATCTCGACTTGCTGCTCTTCGCGGCGTCGACGAAGCTCGTCGGGCTTGAAGGTGCTCTTTGCTTTGAAGTTTGTGCGGCGGTGCTCGGGAATGTAGCGTTCCGCCATGGTGGTGTCTTTGCCGCTGCTCTTGTTGGTGGGCAAAGGTGGGAGGCAAGAGCAAAGTGGTTGGGAGGAAGAAGAATATGTCAGAGGGAGGGGAATGTGGGGGCGGAAGAGAGGGAAATGGTGAAGGTTTTGGTGTGAAGCGAACGGGTCGGGGGTCGACGGGTGACGTTGGAAAAACAGAAAGCGCAGACCACAAGTTGGCGCAGGCTTGGCGGAAACGGGTGGTGCTTGCTGTAGTGACGGCCCAGAGATGCGGCTGCTGCGGCAAGCGACGCGATGGAGGACAAAGATGGGACAAGTGTCGGGTGTTGGTGTTGTCCGTGACGACCTCTTCTGATGAGTGTGAAGATGGTAAAGGGGGGGAGGGAGGTGTCAAACAGCTCGCATTTTTCAGTCGTGCTCACATGCATTCACGCCATCTCGGTGTCAGAAGTCGTGGTGTCAGAACTTTATCCTTCGTGTGTCGCCGGCGCGTCTCACGCGATCTAACCCTAAGCACATGCACGTCCAGGCCATCAAAGTGAATCCACCCCTAGGCAATCGGACAAACAAATTGACTCACCACAGATGGAAACAACTCAAGAACTAGTGTATGCAAGCAATGCGAGGAAGGACCCACCCTGGCGCTCCGTCAGCACTTCTCAGTGCAACCACGCTGAGCAATGAACCGCTCATTACCATCACCGGAACTTGGGAGTCGCATTGAAAGCGAGACGCAGTGAAGGCCGCCTTCATACACCAGCACAATCAATTACAATGGCGCTCCCACATCCCTTCATCGACCTCGACAAGGCTTACAACTCTCCCATCGACACATTCGTCAACATCATCGGCGTCGTCGTCGACCTCATGGCCCCAACCCAGGCCTCGAGCGGGCAACACCTGATGACTTTCAAGCTTCTCGATCCGCATCTACGAGACTCCGCCTTATCAAAACGAGGCCTCCCGGCACGTTGGTTTTGCAAAGAAGCCGGCCACCTGCCCAAAGTCCGGCAGGTGGGAGACGTAGTGCTAATCCGGAACATTAAAATGACCTCGTGGAGTCAGCAGCCTTTAGCCCTGTCGAACTACCAGACCGAAGTCACCGTCTTCCCGGCCGCGTCCATCCCCTCGCCCAATTTCGAAATCGCATACCAGGGCCGGCAGCGTGTTGAGACGCTGGGGATCCCACAGCACCTGAAGAAGTTGACGCTGCAGGAGCAGACGTACGTGATTCAGCTCAAGCATGATATGAGGGACACTTTGCAGTCGTGGACCATCAAACCTGGCTTTGATGACGCTCCGACTCGTCCCCCAATCAACGTTCCAACGGCGCCTACAGCCATGCGAAAGCGACCGGGAGAAGAGCCGACAGCGCCACCCGAACCCAAGCGATCTCGACTGGGTCCCAAATATAAGCTCATCCATGATCTTCGATATCCCATGTGGGCAGACTTGTTAGTCCAGGTGGTCAAGAAATTCGCAAACAACTTTGGTTCCTGCGAACTCTATGTCACCGACTACACAGAAAACAAGGAGATGTTCTACTACGACACGCCGGAAGAGGAGAAGAAGTACAAAGACGACCGCGACGGCGATCCGTACGACTACCTGACCTCTGGCCACGGCAAGAAACGAGCCTGGCCGGGACCATACGGCTGGCTCGTGCTGAAGATGAACGTCAAGGATCCGCACGCGCAGTACGCCAATCGCGAAGTGGAGGAAGGTGACTTTGTATTATTGCGGAACGTCAAAACGAATGCCAAGAATCGCTTGGAAGGCGACATGTGGCCGGACTACCTGAACCCCGAGAAGCTGCAAATTGCGAAAGTGAAGGAGCTTCAAGTGCCGGAAGTGCAGGAGCTGCTGGAGAGGAAGGAAAAGTACTGGACGAAGCGCAGGCGGAAGTTTCCGGGCGAGGGCGGTGAAGAGGCGCAGCCTGAGAAGAAGAAACTCACAAAGTCGGAGAGGAAGAAGTTGAAGAAGGAGGAAAAGGAAAAGGTCCAGCTGAGGAAGCAAGGAGTCAAGGGCGCTGGTGCTGTTGTCGACAACGAGGCCCAAAGCGATGCACTAACCGGCTCGAAGAAAGCCGACATCAACCCGCACATCCGATGCATCCACGACTCCGTCCCAGTCAGCTCAATCCGAGACGTGCTCGACCCGACAAATGCAATGCACAAGAACACCACACCAGCAGGCCGGGAATACGTTCTCCCCTTCATAAACGTTAAATACCGAGCGCGCGTGCGAGTGGTGGACTTCGAACCCAAGCGCCTCGAAGATTTCGTCCATCAAGGCCAACCTGCTCGCCGTGAGGATGACGGCGAAGACGAGGCAGTGATGGACTGGGAGTCCTCCGCTCGCTGGGAATGGGGCTTCTCCCTACAGCTGGAAGACGCGTCGCGCACGAAGGAGTCCGACGGGGATGCGAGCAATAGACTGTGGGTGAATGTGCGGCATCAAGACGCGCAGTACTTGTTTGGAAACGATGTTGGCGACCCCGAAGACCTGCGGGACGATGCGCATTTGCTGGCTCAAGTGCGCGAGAAGCTGTGCATTCTGTGGGGCAATTTGGAGGAAGCGAGGGTGAGTGGTGAAGAAGAGGTATCCAATCGGCCGTTTGAATGCTGCATTGCCGAGTACGGGGTGCAGGTGGACGAGAAGGGTTCTGGAACCGGGGGGGAAGAAGGATCCTTTGGGTTCAAGAGGATGTACAAGATGTTCGGCGTGACCATTCTATAACTAGCATCGGCATCCCAAACCATCCAGTACTCTCAAAACTGCTGCCTCTCCTGCTGCATCTCCGCCACCGCCTTGCGATTCTCATCCCGCACCACCTCCTTCACCTCCCTCTCCCACTCCGTCAACTCCTTCCCCTCCCCATTCACCCTCACCGCCTCCTTCTCCCCATTCTTCTTCTCCACAACCACAACATCCCCCGGCGTCACATCAGGATACACAGGCCTCGCATTCGCCAGTCGCTGACTACTCCACCGCACCGGCGCCCCCACCCTTGCGCCCACAATACAACACAACGTCGCGAACCAATGCCACAGCAACACAATCGTCGTGCCCAATCCCCAAGGCAGGAAAAAGCGGACGAACTGGTCGACTTGGTAGAGGTCGTTTTGCGAGCGGATGTAGTATTTGTGGGGCGTCAGGGCGGTGGAGACGGGTTTGGGCCGCTGCTGCGGCGGGAGGTGCAGGTTTGGGCCGCGCTCGAGTTGCAGGACTGTGGTGAGGGTGACGGGGGCGGAGTAGAAGGGGATGAGGAAGATGCGGAAGGTTTGCGAGATGTTGATGTAGAGGGTGAGGTGGTGCTCGTCGTAGGCTGTGCGTCGCCCTTGTGGTTAGTGATGTTGAGTACAGGAGTGTTGTGGACGGGCGTACCTATGGAGTTGACGGTGAGGTCAATGTGCGGACTCAGGATTTTGTACCATTGGAAGATGCTGAGGAGGACGGCGCGGTTGTGGTGGACGGAGCAGAAGGGGTGGAAGAAGGAGGCTTGCGGGACGAAATATTGCTCGAGCGCCTGCTGTTGCGTCCGCGGGGAGCCGGTGGTGAGTTTGAGGATGACTTCGCTGATTTCTGCTACGGGGTCTGCATGTCGGCGCTTGGGTTAGCGGCGTGTGCTTGGGCCATATACTGATGAGCGCAATACTAACCGTCCATTGTTGCGGTGTTTGGAGTCGAGTGTCACAGCTATTGATGTAGTGGCGAAGCGTGTATGGGTTGAGGAAGATGTTGAAGCTCTTCGATCATCGGAGGTGTGGCTGGCTTTCACATGCCATTCAACATCCCTGCACGCGCCATGACGTCGCCGCTGTCATCCGAACATTTTCCACTGCAGGAGCTCAACGCACGGGTCGCCATCACCTTGACATCAGCTTTATGTCCTACACTCCTGAAGCTTTTCCCAGACCGATGCTCGGATAATCATCAACACTCGCCATCTACAAAGTCCAGAGTGCCGCCTCCGCCATGGCAACCACCTCCCTCCACCACACCCTCCGCCAAGTCATCAACACCCCCCTGGAATTCCTCTACCAACTCCTCCAATACTTCCTCTCGTGGCTCCTCTCCCCGACACCCCCACCACCCAATGCCCACCTCGGCCGCCCCAAGATCGCCATCATCGGCGCCGGGCTAACCGGCGTCTCCTCCGCCTCCCACTGCGTCGGCCATGGCTTCGACGTCACCATCTTCGAAGCCGGCGACCGCGACAGCCTCGGCGGCATCTGGGCGCGCGTGAACAACACCTCCGGCCTGCAGATCCACTCGCTCATGTACCGCTTTCACCCTAGCGTGACGTGGAGCCGCGGCTACCCGGATCGCGAGCAGATCGTTGGTCAGATCACGGAGCTGTGGAAGAGGTACGGTTTGGAGGAGAAGACTGTTTTCGACACCAAGGTCGACAAGGTGTACAAGGATGCGCAGGACCGGTGGATTGTCAACAATGAGTCTTATGGGAGATTCGATGGGATCCTGGCGTGCGTGGGTACTTGTGGTGATGCTAAGATGCCGCATCTCAAGGGCCAGGAAGATTTTAAGGGACAAATCTTCCACTCTTCTGAATTGGATGGGAAGGACGCCAAGGGAAAGAAGATTCTTATCATTGGTGGTGGTGCATCGGCTGTTGAAGCGCTGGAGTTTGCTGCGCATGCGGGTGCGGAGAAGTCGTACATTCTCTCGCGCAGCGAGAAGTGGATCATCCCGCGGAACTTTGTCGTCGACATCCTTCTCTCCCTCAACATCTTCGGCTCCGAGACCATCTTCTCGTGGATCCCCGAAGGCCTGCTCCGCCTCTTCTTCTACCGCGACCTCGCCGACCTCTCCCCTCCAAAGGGCAGCAGCACCGGCCTCTTCACCGAAACGCCGATGGTCAACAGCGACGTCTTCAACCAAATCCGCTCCGGACACGCCGAGTGGCTGCGCGGCGACATCAAGCGCTTCTCCAGCAACGGCAAAGGCATCCTCTTCAACCACCGCTCGCAAGGCGTGCCCAAAGACGGTCCCGGGCGCGAAGAGCTAATCGAAGGCGACATGGTAATCCTCGCCACCGGCTACGAACGCCCCACCCTCTCCTTCCTCCCGCCGGAGTGCTTTGAGAAGAAATACGAACCCCCCAATTGGTACCTGCAAGTCTTCCCGCCGCAGCACATGGACATCTGCGCCAACAACTGCACGTATGTCAGCGCCATTGGGACCGTGGGCAACTACCACATCGGCATCTACACGCGCTTTCTGCTCATGTTCCTCGTCGACCCGCTGACGCAGCCCACGGAGCGTCTGATGAAGCTGTGGATCGACTTCACGCGCTGGGTGAAGAAGCGGGCGCCTGCGGGTGCTTTTGAGTTCTTCACTTACGCCGAGCTGCTGTATTGGTTCTGCTTTGTCATCCTCATCAACCCTTTCCGCTGGAAGTGGGCGTTGTTTGTGATGTGTGGGATTGGGGTTGCGTTGCCCAAGCAGATTGTCATGCAGGAGGATCGTGTGCGGGCTGAGTTGGGCATTAATGGGTCGTGGAGGGAGAAGAATTTGAAGGATTAGGCATGTGGTAGACAAATGGGTTTGAACGGGCGAGGGCGGAGATGCATAGACGATACACATAGATATGGACTCTTGCACCTTTCTTGTAGAGAGAGAATGGGAGAAGGCTGAGGTCAGGAGCACGTGACTGAAGGCAGGCCGACCCTGCGCACTTCTCAGTCCGGCATCCATCGTCAGGCATTGGTGCTGCTGCCTGTGCTGACTGTGTCAACGACGACGACACGCTTACCCCGTCTCCACCAGCCTTGTCATAGGGCTCTTTTCTATCTATAATGCTCTCTCCATGTCTGACTTTTGCCACCGCCGTTCTAGCCAGCGCCTGGGGCCATTTCGAACCAGCCGACCATCAAGCCGCAGCGGGGGCGCAATATCGTGGCAACGCAGAAACACGAGCCGCCGATGTTCGGCGCGCGCCCTCGCCAAGCCCTCTCTCCGCGGCCTTTGCAAAAGCGCGAACGCTTCCCCCATGGCGGACTGATCCCACGTTTCTCCCCCTCGCCAAGACCACGCCGACCTGCCGAATGCGTGGTTAGATCCCCCGATGTCACTCGCCCGCCGCCCGGTGCGGGCGTTGCGACTGCTGCGATAGGCATCTACGGCCGAAATGTCTCGCCGCGCTGACCAATGGCGCGCCTCCCAATCGGCACACACTACCGCGTCCCTTCAGCGATTCATCGAGGGCCGACGAATAGTGCGGCGGGCAGCAGCCAAATCTCGCTACCCTGCCGTCTACACGACTCAATCACCCGTCTTCGCTGCTGGTAGGTCTTTCTTGTTTTTTCTTCCCACTGCGGTCTTTGCTTGTCTTTTGTTCTTTGTGCGACTGTCGCTCTTTCCGTTTCCTCTCAACGCCCGGGAAAGCCAAGCTGCTTGTCAATGGCGCCTCCACGATAGTCCAGAATGTCCAGCGTCGTCCGCCAAGAGCTTGCATACGATTAATGCGACGGAAAGCAGCCACGGCACCTCGATTTCCTGCGCAGTAGAAGTAGAACGAGAATCAACGACTGGCCGTCTGTCGATTGCTGCATTGCAAATTCGCTGCACAAACCCGTCCGACAACATCGACCATGACCAACATGAAATCTTTCCAGCTCGCCCATGAAACGCCGATGATTGACGATGAAATTGCCCTGCGCGATTCGCAGACAGCCGATTCGCCATTGCGAACCTGGCTTCAATTCATCTCCTACATCACGTCCGGACGACAAAGGATTAACTACACATATCACGAAGCACCCACCGACGACAGCCTTGGCGAGGATTGGAAAGCCTTGTCGCAACGGTCAAGACGCCCATATAGATCGAAATGGGTATCCAGGATAAGAAAAGTGCTCTGGTCGTCGTCCATTATTGCTCTTTGCTTCTTGTATGCACCACTTTCTCCCCGGTCTCCGCTTCCTCCTCGCTGACAACAGCAGTGGCCTCTTACATATCACCCTAGCTCTTCTTGGCAGAAGACGGCTCTTCTTCGACAGCGCATCCTACGCTGCTAACCTTCCGCAATGGCGAAAGCCGGCGAGCATCGATCCCGCCCTGTTGGAGTATCCCACAGACGCAACCCGAGATATACAGCCCATCCCATGCATGTCCCACAATGATGAATGGCGAAGCGTACCTCTCTTCGAAGCTCTTCACTACGGCTGCACAGGTGTCGAGGCGGACGTATGGCAAGTCGACGGCGAGGACGAGCTCTTCGTCGGCCACAGCCAGACGGCCCTCACACGCAATCGCACCTTCCGGAGCCTCTACCTCAACCCGCTCGAGGAGCTGCTAGACAGCATGAACCCCGACACCGGCCCCTCCGACCCTTCCCGCCACGGCGTCTTTGACGTCGATCCCGAGCAGACGCTAGTCCTCCTCGTCGACTTCAAAACCGACGGCGAAGCCCTCTTCCCCCTCGTATCCTCACAACTAGAAACTCTCCGCCGCAAAAACTACCTCACCTACTGGGACGGCTTCGCGATGCACTCGCGCGCCATCACCGTTGTAGGCACAGGCAATGCGCCTTTCAACCTCATAATCGCCAACCAAACCTACCGCGACATTTTCTTCGACGCCCCGCTCGACCTCCTCTGGGAACCAGAAGAAGGAGATGCAACCTCCACCCCACCCCTTCCTCACCACCCCTCCCTCTTCGGCGGAAGCGGCCAAGGCAACACCGGCATCGAACACATCACCTCCCCCGCCGACTTCAACGCCACAAACTCCTACTACGCCTCCCTCTCCTTCACCTCCAGCATCGGCTTCCCGTGGACCGGCCGCCTAACCGCTTCCCAACTCGCCCTCATCCGCGGCCAGATTCGCGGGGCGAAGCGCCGAGGCTTGAAAGCGAGGTACTGGTCTACGCCCGACTGGCCGACGTCGCTGCGGAATTACATTTGGGAGACGGTGATGCTGGAGGGGGCGGAGGTGCTGAATGTGGATGATTTGCGGAGTGCGGCGGCGTTGGATTGGAGGGAGGGGGTGGGGCATTACTTGTTGGATGCGTGATTGTACTGCACGATGGATTGGAATTTGTGGACGAGATACCCCCCTGACGACGATAGAATCAGAGACGACAAAAATTATTACACGATCTGCCCATGATAATGCCCCCTCATCAATCCTCCTCGCGCACGCTCTCCACCTCCTCACCCCCACCCACCACATCCTCCTCCTCCTCCTCCTCGTCATCCTCAATCTCATCATCAACCTCATCCTCAGCAACAATAGCATTACTCTTGAACCTCCCCTTGCCCTTCGCCTGCCCCACCCCCGCACCAGCACCAACCTTCTCCTTAGCTTTCCCCCTCGCCGCTTTCCCCTTCCCCTTCCCCTCCTTCCCCAAATCCAAATAACTCCCCACCAACTCCTTGAAATTCGGCCCCAGCCGCGCCCGATTCCGCTGCAAGCGCCGCTTCATCCGGCCCCTGTCATCAACGCCCGCGTGAACGGCGTAGATCATCTTGCCCGCGAGTTCGCACAGCGTCTTCTCCGCCAGCACGGTTTTGCGCAACTTGTTCTCGCGCCGGAGCTGCGAGGCTTGCGTCTGCGCAGCTTCGTCTTCGTCGGAGGGTGAGGAGTCGGACATGGGCTCGTCGTCGTCGTCGTCCAGCGGGTCGGCGTGGACGTCTTCTTCGTCGTCATTGGCATCTGCTGCTTTCTCGGCGGGCGCGGATTCGAGTTTTTTGTTTGCTAGCGTGGCGAAGGACTTCTCTACTGCGGTGAAGACGCGCAGGATAGATGTGACGGCCGCCTCGTCCAGACTCATTACCAGCGCCTCCCAATCGTCGCGCATCCCAGGCCGGAGTTTGATCGTTTTCAGCAGGACGGCAGACGCGTGCAGTTCCAGCATATCCTGTGCCAAGCTCGCGCACACACTCTCGCCGCCGGCGCGCGCCTGCAGCACGGCTTCGATGTTGTGCACAAAAGTGTCGCGGCGGGTGGCGAGGGCTTCGAGTTCGTCGTAGGGGATGTCGGACGCGGAGGCCGAGGCGGCGTTTTGCATGATGAGTTGCAGTTTCCATTGCAGGTAGCGCAAGGCGGCGTCGGCGGCGCGGGACGCGATTTGGTCTTCGAGGTGGCTGTCTTCGGGGGAGATGGAGGGGATGTTGGGCGAGGGTTGGGCGCGCTGGATTAGAGCGATGATGTAGTCGATTGCGCCTTGGTAGTCGGTGTTGGAGGGGTTGTTGTTGTCTGCGATACTGCTGTCTTCTAGCGCGGCGATGGGGTTTGAGACTTGGGCGAGACGAGTGATGCGGAGCAGGTTGTTGCTGATGGCCACCAGCTGCTCGGTTTCGGAAGCCCCGCGGACGGTAATTGCGTCGGGGTGGATGAGCTCGGCGAGATTGTTGATCACGTCTTCCCACAGCATGCCGAGCTTCTCTTCCGTTACATCGTCGAGTGCCCCGTACGATTTGGCGTGTAGGATGGCCTCGCTGGCGGGACCAAGCACTTCATCCGTGCCGTGCGACATGAATTGCTTCCGAATGTCGTCCAACAACGCAGCATGCGCCGTGGAATCCTGCCGCAGGTCTCTCATAGACGGCAGGTTGAGTGCGCGCTGAATCCGCAATACCGCGGCGGCAGTGCTCGGGGCATCGCCGAACTTCTTCAGAAGCTTGGGGATGACGAGGGCGAGGTGTCGTGCGGCGTCTTCTTGCTCTTCGCTCAGCTCCTCCTTCTGCTTCTTGGTGAGCTTCCCCTTTGTCGCGCTCTCGGCTAGGTCAATGATAGCGTGCTTGACGCTGGCGCTGACAAGCTCCAACAGGATCACTTCTTCCCGCTCTTTCAGCGCGCTCTCCTGCTTCAGCTGAGACAGAGGATCACTCGCCACGCCATTCGTACGGCTTGCCGAGTGATCGTAGAGCAAGTAACCACACAAGCCCTGCCAGTCCTGAAGTGCGTCTACATTGTCGTAAAGAGCGTCCGCCGCAAGCGTGAATCTCGACTCTGCATTCGCAGCAGCATGAAGAGTCAGTCCGCCGTCTCGGCCACGCTCGACATGATTGGGCACATCGTCTTCCACATCGTACTCTACCATCATCTCTGCAAGCGACTTGAACATCAGCCATTGCAGTCTCGGAGTATCGAAATTGCTCTCGTCGGGTTCGGGCAGAGACTCTTCGAGACTTTCCACCCCGCCGAGGTCGTCCGTCTTGGAGTTGTAGAGATCCTTGACGTTCTCGGCGAAGAAGGCAGCAACGGCTTTGCGTACGCGGGAATCCGAGTCGTAGATGAGACGGCCGACAGCATCGATGTCGTCCGGCTCCAGAAGGCCACTCTCGCGAATGTCGTACAATAATTCAATTCCAGAAGCACGTACACTCGATTCAGCGTCGGATGTTGCAATTTCGACAATGCGAGAGCGGAAACGTTCTGTGAATGTCCCGAGTCCAGTGATCTTGTCTTTGTCTTTGTACAGCCGGTGTAGCTGCTTGACCACTTCGCCTCTCGTAGCTGCGACGGTATCGCTCAGCACCCAGCCAAGGTAGCGCAGGTGTCCGCTATCGAGGAAGTACTCTGGAAGTGCCATGATCCAGTCCACAAGAGCGACCGCACAATCGCGTCGAATGGCTGGATCGACATCACGGTATCGATGGATGAAGACCGTGTCGAACCAGTCTTTCAGCTGCTCCTGGATATACTCCTGCGCTTGTGTGGCCTCCTTCACTCTGGCATCAATATCCCGCACGCGAGCCTTGTTATGATTCTTCTTGTTGCGTTCGTTGGTCGCTTGTCGCTGCCCATCTGCTGCAGCTTTCCCTCTCCCAGCAGAGATTTCGGCCAGAGCAGTGATGATATTGAGCGAGGCGACTGTAGCCGTATGTCTGAATGCACGGTTCCCCGCCGAGGACATGGTGGAGAACCAAACCTCTAGGTTGTCGATGATCAACGGCTCGTCATACAGCTTGCCGCTCGCAGCGACGGCCTTCAGCAACGCGTTTGAGAAGCCGGAGAAGCTCTCCTTGAAGATGGTGCCGGCTTTGCCTTTCGCGATGAGGGGGTACTCTGTTGGGGCTGTTGCCTGGAATTCGTCCTGGAGGTCCGTAAGACGATTGGTGCAGCCGTCGGGATCTTCGATGTCGTGGTCTGTGACTGCGCCATCACATCCGGCGCACTTGAGGACAAAGGTCACGACACTGGCCAGAGCGCGCGACTCATGCTCCTCGAAGGTCTTGAGCCACTCTGCGGCGATTTCTTCGAGTGTGGCCCCGCTCGCGAAGACCTCGCTGTATAGGCCGCCGGCTTCCTCCGCATCTTGCGTATTGACCGCCTTGCCTCTCTTTGCCGCTCGTTTCCTCGCGCCAGCCGGAGCAGGTCGCATGGCCAGTGTCGTGCCGTTCACCTTGGCCTTCTTCTGTGCCGGCTTCTTGGGGGCGGAAGCCTTCGCGTTCCGTGCCCTTTTGCGTTGTTCGCGAACCTCCTCTTCATCTGGTTCGCCCTCTTCTGATGATTGGTCTTCGTCCGACACGTCGTCATCCGTCATTTGTGCATCGCCTTGAGCATCTGTATGATCGCCGCGCTTTCTTTTACCGATGCTTGTTGGGCTCGACCCGGTAGTTTCAACTGGCTTTCGAACACGTCCTGACGCGCGACGAGGGGGATTGGAGGCTTCGCCCACGGCGGACAAAGATGTGGCCATGGTGTGTGATAGCTAGGCGTGTAGCCGCGCCGGGTATGAGGTGAGAATGCGCGTGGCGCGTTATGTGAGCATGCGGTCCAGACTGTGTAGTGGAATCGATGTCACAGCCTGTCGGTCGTGTGTCTTGCGTGAATCAAGATCGTTCAGTGAATGGTGAAGAAGGTGTGTCGCACAATGTTTGGTAGATTGGACCCCTCCGCTCGAGGAACGCGAAACGCGCCGCCGCACAGTCGCGCCGCGCACGGACCACCATTATGCAATCAGTGAGACAATCTCCAATCTTACCTAATCTTGACCGACCTCATCCGATGCCAGCAACATGATAAAGAATCGCCGAGGGCACTCAAGGCGAGGGCAGATCAGATAGAAACACCATGTTACTCCGATAACGACACTTGAACCTGGACAGCAATGTCCTCCACCTTCGCCTCTCCACCATCGACTCCCGGCAATGGAATTATCCACCTCGCTCTCCTGCCTCCCAACACACCCCGGCTCAAGACGGTCAAATACCAATACCCTCTCAAACTCATCTCTCCTGGTCCGCTACGAACAGCCGATGAGCCCTACCACTCAGTTCACACAGTATACCTTTTAACCTACGGCGGCGGATTGGTAGCCGGCGACACCATCGATCTGCACATCATCCTCGAGCAAGCAACGAGACTAGTCTTACTGACTCAAGGGAGTACGAAACTGTTCAAATCGCCTAGTCGAGACATCATCAGCAAGCAAAATACCGTCGTCGATCTCGCCCTGGGCTCGGCGCTCTGCTTTCTTCCCGATCCCATCCAGCCTTTTGAGAAGGCGTGCTTCGAGCAACGGCAAATCTACAATCTCGCCGTAGATGAGGATGCGGAGGGAGTGAGCGGAACCGGCAGTCTGTGCGTCTTGGACTGGGTGTGCAATGGTCGGCCTGCGAACGGGGAGAACTGGTCGTTCTTGCGGTATGGCAGCAAGAATGAAATCTATCTTTGCCCTGTGAATGGGAAGCGAAGATTGCTGCTTCGTGACAGCCTACTTCTCGATGATGAGGGCGCGGACGGCAGTGTTGTAACTCGAATGGATGGGCTGGGTGTTTACGGCACGCTGATCCTCTACGGCAGCGTCTTCCGAAGTCTTGGGCAATTCTTTATGGACGAGTTCAGCGTGATGCCGCGCATTGGTGGGAGGAAGTGGGACAGCGGCAGTGAAGATGGAGAGGAAGACGTTGATGAAGCTGCTATGAAACGAGCGGTTCGGCAAAGGCAAGAGCTCGCTGACGGCCTGCTCTGGTCTGTTGCTTCTGTGCGGGGGTGTGTTGTTGTTAAGTTCGGTGCGAAGGAGGTGGAAGGCGGGCGGAAATGGCTTAGAACCATGCTTATAGATGAAGGGAGTGTTTGGAGAGAGCTTGGAGAGCGGGCACTGCTTTGTTTGCGGTGATAGTATTTCCCTACCATCCACCATTCTATGAAAGGTCGAACAGTAAGACCGTTTCCTATGCCATCGTGATTGAGTTGTGGAGTCTGAGGTGTGATAGGCAGACCCGGCCACCCAGCGTATATCTTACGCTGGTCCAACTTTCCGCCTTAGCAGCACCTTTAAAGCTAACGTTCGACTGCCTCAAGTCGCCTGCCCTGATGCTCGTATCCTGATTGCAGCCATCGTGCTCTTGTGGCGGAAACGAGGAGACAAGCAGCACCACGGGGTAGATCAAGCTCCTTGTCTCATTCTCGTGTTCAAACGAGACAAGGTCGATAGCACCTCACGCGGAATCGAAGAATACATGGTGTAGACATGGGCGAATGCAGTGGTGAACTCCGTCCTGCTCATCTCTCCGCGACGAACCGCATTCTTGATCGCTTGTCGTGTTGCGCCTAGAGTCGTGGTGATAGTGGTCTCCGCAGCTTCCAGATCGAAACAAGGAACGAGTAGCTCACACATTCCGTACTTCTTTAGCGCGCCAGGTCAGACGATGCGGAAGGTCAGAAAGCAAGCTACTGGCGTCTCGGAGAACACGGAAGTGATTGCATGGAGGGTCTCATCAGGCGTCATGCCCAAGACAACATATTTGCTGCCAAGCTCAGTGCGATAAACCCCGAAGTCGATGATGACAGACCCGGGGTGCGAAGCTGAGTTACGCAGCGCATCGTTAACCCATTTCTTCAATGCTCTTGCCGACGCTGCATCGTGATGACGCTGCAGCTTCCAGGCGGCTTGCTTCTCCTCGTAAGTGTCTGTCCGCATACCCGCAAAAGGGGAAACTCCCAGGTCGAAATGCAGGACATGATTCCCGAGTTCGCGACTTCGGTACCCCTTGCTCTCGGCATAGACTTGTTTGCAGGTCATGAGCAGCGCATAAGTAGCAGATGCTGTTACCACTGTAGTATAACGATTGACGATGGTTGTCATCGATGGCTGGTCGAATCGGTTACGTATCATCCACTCAACTTCATCGTTTTGGTGTACCGTAAGTTCGGATGTGTAAGATGCGCAGCTAATAGGAACGTCCTGTTGAACTGTCGTGCGAGCCGATACATGGATGTCGCCGGTGGAAAGAACGAGCTTGTAGATGTTGTTCCGGAGTTCGGGTGGTAACAGATTGAGTGGAGAGTCGTCCATGGTGATGAGTGTGTTCCAGGCCCTGACGATCGGAAGGCAGTGCCGACGGACGGGCGGGTTGTCGGCTGCCTCTGTCAAGAGCAGTGGAAGGAGATGTAGGGTGAGTTCGTGAGAGTGGGTCGTGAGAGAGATGCAAGAAAAGAGACAAGAGATTCGTCCGGCGGCGGAAGAAAGATGTTGAGTGGGTAAGAGTGAGTGAGTGAGGGTGAGGGTGTGTCGGAGAGGATGTGTCGGATAGGGTGGGTTGGAGAGGGTGAGTTGGAGAGAGTGGATTAGAGAGGGTGAGTGAGTGAGGCTGAGCAAGTGAGGATGGGTGGGCGAGTGCGAGTGAGTGATCGAGTGAGCGTGATCGAGTGAGGTTGAGTGAATGAGCAGAATGAACCAGATCCTCTGCAGTGAAAGAATGGATGAGAGAGTCCAAAGACCACCAGAGCGTAAACCACCGTATGTTCGAGTGAACCGTGTTCGCTGAGTAGCCGCAACCATAGTGATGAAATCTCGGGGGACAATGAAGCGGACTGTTATTGTGAGAGGCTCCAGGGTATCAAACGCTGTTTTCATTGCCCAGGTGGTATATACCTTAGTTGCCAGCGGCGAGTACGCATCTCTCAGTTCGCAGGACTGTCCTCTCGGCCAGAGTGACCCCTCAGGAGATGACGAAGGTGAAGTAGGATCCGTTGTCCTGCGCGTTTCACATCTTCACCCTGCAGCTTCCATCTCCTCGGTTTCCCCCATGTCTGCACCACCAGCAGCGTCTTCGTCGTTATCATTCCAATCGGAGGCCCTTGGATCCGCTGTATGGTCACTGCCCAAAGCCCCATACCAACGCCGGTCGATCGAGTTGACAATCTCATCTCTCGCAGCCGGTAACATAGCGTGATACCCAGGATTCGCCTTCCTCGAAAACATCGACGTATGCGCCTGGACTTCATCACCCACAGCCTCATTCACAGAGCGGATCCAGTGCCCTTTACTCTTCGAAGAATCGCGAGCAAATTCCTCCACCTCCGCACCATGATCCATCTCACCGTCAAGCGGCGAGGACTTTGCCGAAGCCTTCTGAGATTTCGCAGGCGGCGGAGCGGCACGAGGATGCGGAGCGTCTCGCTTGGAGCCCGTGGGAGCATTGCCCGCTGCTTTCGGCACAACGCAGAACGTCCTGTCCTTATCCAGCAGCGCACCGGCATACTTTGTGTGAGTCGAGCGTTTATCCCCCAGAGCGGTGTAGAAGTTGACAAAGCCCACGTGGTGCGATTGAGTGAGCTGCACCACCCTCTCCACTCGCTTCTGCAGTTCGGCGCCTCGCGCGAGCGTGTTGACGAATTCGAGATGGCTTCCCGCCCATGAGAAGCCTTTGCTAATCTGGTCACGGCTGAGATACGCTGCGCCAGCGGCACCGGCCAGAGCAGCGGCCGCGCCTCCGAAAGCGGCGTATTTGCCCCATTTGTTCCATGATCCACTGCTTGCGTTTGCGGGCGCCGGAAGCCCTCTGCTCGCTGCGTCGGGGATTGGGGTTGTGTTTTTGGGGGAGTTCCAGCCGAAGAAGGAACTGGCGGAGTCGAATGCCTTGTACGCGGACGAGGCGTGGTTGAGTTGCTCCTCGGCACCGTACGCGAGCACGCCCGGACTTATACCAAGGTATGGTGTGTCGAATGATATCACGGCCGAAATGTGAGGGAAGAAGAGAGCGGTAGAGTTCGCAGGCGGAGCAGAAGATGCTCGATCTTCCTCTTCTGTAGGAGGGGCGAGATTTGTTGGTCCTCTCCCACTCGATGCCGAGGATTGGGTTGTGTAATTCGTCGTGTCGTTCGCCTGAGCTGGAGCAGGTTGAAGCACCTCTTCACTAGCAATACTCAACAATGCCTCCGCAGCCACAATCCCGCCCATAGAATGTCCGCATAGGACGACATGCACCGACGGATCGACGGTGGGCGAAGGAGTCCGATTAGCGACCTCGAGATCAATAACTTTGTTTTGCAACCTGTCCCGTCCATCTCGTCAGCCTTCACAAAGCCTGCCTCAACGTATCCCGCTCCAACCTACCACTCTTTGAACCGCCCCACACACTCTTTCAACTCCCCCCTCGTTTCATACCGCGGATACTGCACGCTCAGGACATCGAGATTGGGAAGGCTGTGCGCAAGCAGCGCTCGCAGATCGGAGGGGAAGTTTTCGAAGGTGGAATCCGTGCCCTTGAAGCCGTGGATGAAACAGAGAAGCAGTGTCTTCTTCATGGTGTCATAACGAGTGGTGATAATGGCGCCGAGGCGCAAGGATAAGCCAATTTTCACATGCTGATGCGCCGTAGAAAGGTGCAATCTGACGTGGAGTTGGATGCGAAGTTCGTAAGAAATGACATAATCAGGCGAAACACGTGACCGTTGCATTCAATCGCTTTCATGAGTAGGGATTATTTCATACGGTAGTAGATAATGAAGTGGTATCCTCAATCGCTGCAGAGCAAGACAAAACTCCCGTTCACATGTCATATGCCGCCGCAACACCAGGCGCTGGCCCTTCGAGATCCACGCGCTCCACTCTATTGCGGATGTCCGCCGCCTCGCGCACGAGGTTTCCAAAATACTTTCGCGCAACCGCGCTCTCGTCCTGCACTCGCACGGTCTCTCTGCGTTGCTCCTGCAGCTTCTCCACGTTCCGCTGCAGGCCTTCGCGTAGTTTATCTGCAGGGTACTTCAGAGCGCGACGGACTTCGGTGGAGACGCGAACGGCGTTGGTGTGGGTGTAGTCGAGTTGGCTGAGTTGAGTGGAGAGTTTGGTGGCTAGACGGCGAGGCAGAGTGTGCGGGATTTGGGTCAGAGTGTAGGAGATGCCTAGAGCCACTGTACAACGCATTAGCAAGACCAATCACGATTGACGATCAGACGCAGCACTCACCAGCAACCACAATACCCGGCAAGACCAGCCGTCTGAGATTTTGAGTACCAACCACCTTGGTGGCAGTGAGCACCCCATCCAGCCATCCAACACCGCCGATCATCCTCGCTCCGAGAGTTCCAGCAACGGTGACGGCCAGGCTCGTGCTGGCCACCTTCTCCTGACGCTCGCCAAGGATGTTCCCAAGGCTCATGTCAAAGAAGTCCCACACCTCGGTGTCCACCTCCACCGATCTCGCCAATGCATCTCTGCGCGACTTGAACATCTTCTCGCTCCGGAAGGTCAGCTCGGTGTACTGATCGCCCAGATGCAGGATGCCGAGCGATTTGATGCCGTTGACGCCCTGGACAGTCTTTTCTCTCGCCCGTTCTTCGCACCAGCGCACAGTCTCAGCGATCTGAGCGAGCATGGCTGATTTCAGGTCGTCCGCATAGTTGTACGCCTGGAACAGGCCCGGATAGGGAACTCCAAGGTCCGCTTCGCCGACACGGGCAATGGAGGAATTGAGCGTGTCTCGGGTCAAAGTGTAGACCTCCTGAGATGTGTGCTCAATATCGCCGGCCACATGCTCGTCAGCTTCGGTCCGTGCTTTCTTCGAGTCTTCGAAAGCAGGCTCCAGTTTCCGCAGCTCCTCAGTCACACGATCGAGTTCGTTCTGAGCGACTTCCTTATTTACACCCGCGAGGGTGTTGAGGTCTCCGAGGACGTTCATGAGGTACGTTTTAGCTGGCGCCAACTTGGACCTGGAGCGTTTCTCCAGCACGAAGCGTCGTAAAGAAGCCTCGAGTTCGTTGAAGTCGTCTTGCGCCTCCTTCGCCTTACCCTTGCCTTTGCCGGGTGGGGGAGAGCCAGGTTCGCCATGCTTGCCGGATGGGTCTTGATTCTCATCCTCTCCATCTTTGTCGGGATCTTCGTGTGCGCCATCGAAGTAGCTACCGGCCCCGCCACTCCCGCCAGGGCCAGTACCCGGCCCGCCCGGAGGACCTACCGGAATGGCGTTACTCGAAACGAAGTGCACCAGTTCACTCGATTCCTTGAATGTAGCCGGCGACAAGTGTGCAACCTGTCTCAAGATCATTTCCTGGCATCTTCGCTTGTCTCGAATACCATCAAAGCCATTCACCACCATGAACATGTACGCCTTCTCCCGAGCGGCATTGAAGATGAACTCTTTCGCACTCAGCGTGAAGTGATTTGCGGCGCTGACCACGAAGACGACCACATCAATCTCTTCTTGTCGAGCGAAAATGGCAGTCGTCTTGAGGCTGTCATTGTTGAGACCCGGGGCATCGATGAGCGCAATATCGACTACTCCATTGTTCAGGAGGCTCTGATCGACCGGTCGGTTGTCTTGAATGTAGATCTTGCATTGGCCGTACCTATCCGAGTCCGTGACGATATCTTCGAGTTGTTTGAGGGCATAGACATGGTAGGTGCTTTCATCATTCCGGTTGTAGTCTGATCCGTGCGGGATGGCATGTACTTCTTCCACGCCTCCATTCTCTCTGGCGTCGAGGACTTCGCAGAAGATGCTGGTGAGGGGTTGTTGGTCTTCTGGTAACACCTTCCGGCGAAGAAGCGCGTTACAGAATGTAGACTTTCCTGCATTCAGGTCGCCAGTTACCAAGACCTTGCTGGAGGTGTCTTCGATGCGGTCACGGAGGGAGAAGAGATGGCGAATGCTGGTGTTGATTTGGTTGTCGAGGAGCGAGGCGACCGAATGTTTTTCGAGCGAATGTACAATCTCGGACTGCGGGAGCCCGTCCATCTTCAGCTCAATTTTCAGGACGGAAAAGTCTTGCGCGAGTTGTGGTGTCACGAGACGAGGCTCATCGGCTGGTGCTCTACCACGAGCAATCTCGTCAGTGGTGTTTTCCCCTAGGGATGTCGTCGCCCGCTGCGGTGGTCCAGGTCGCGAAGGCGGTCGCATAGAGTCATGCGTGTGCTCTAGTGTTTTCGTGTGCACCAAGCCGGGCCGTACAGGAGCGCTCTTCTCTGGCGAAACTGGCCGCTTGACAGTCGGGTAATGCGCGGGCCACTTTGAATTCATCTCTTGCAACCTCTTCAGCGTCTCCACCGTCTGGTTGATTGCCCGGCCCAACGCCGTGCGGTTCTGGTTGTAGAAGAGCTGATGCACATGCGCGGCCAACGCTCTTCGCTCATGCTCGGAGTCTGCATTGCTCTCGCCGTGAAGCACGGGGGTGTGGGCAGGTGTGAAGCGATCCTGGGGTGGACCAGGGTGCCAGGCGTTTTCCGTAGGTTCTCCCATTATGCTTCCTCCATACCCACTGTCCTCGTCAAGGAGCGCTTGTAGTCTTTTGGCGCTCTCTGATGTTGACCCTGTGCCGACTGTCATGTACTGCGGTCGGCCTTGAGGGTGGTGAGAGCCGGACCCGGAAGCGTTGCTGGAACCAGCATTGCTGGGCCCACCACCGGAAGGGTCTGGGAAGCTCATCCTGGCGCGTGTTGTCCTGATCTCATTCTGGTGACTGTAGAGGGTTGTCTTCGCCACGCTCGGGTGAAAGCGTCAACAGTGCATGTCATCCGGCGATGCCAACCAGGAATTTAGGGTTTCGGGTAGATCCGTGTTATCGAACTTTATCTGAGCGGACCAGCCTTCGTGAGGCAGATGCCGTAAGTATTCCATATCAACTCTCGCGCGCTACATTCGACAACCGTGTGACAAATAGCTGGCGGCGAAAGACTCTTATATCACACCTACGCTCCACGGAGCATCTCTGTGTCTCTTCCTCAAGACGACGCATACACACCTGTCGTGCAATCGCTCCGATCTACCTTTCCGGCAGCCTGCCACCGCAACCATGAACGTGCGTCTCCATGAGTTCCTAAAGAAAGAGTACATCACTGAACAGCATGCCTCCCACAGCTCGTAGAATGGGCGTTCGGAAAGCGCATGACCCCCGCGGAACGACTGCGAAAACACCAGCGAGCACTAGAGAAGACGCAACGCGAGCTCGACCGCGAGCGCACCAAGCTCGAACAGCAAGAGAAGAAGCTCGTCGCGGACATCAAGAAGAATGCGAAGCAGGGGCAGATGGGAGCGGTGAAGGTGCAGGCGAAAGATTTGGTGCGCACGAGGCGGTACATCACCAAGTTCTACCAGATGCGCACACAGCTTCAGGCGATTAGTCTGAGGATACAGGTTGGTTTAGCGGGTTTCCCGCAGCTAGGATGGGCCTTGGGCTGACTGGAATGTCTGCGATAGACCGTGCGAAGCAACGAGCAGATGATGCAGAGTATGCGAGGCGCCACGCAGCTTCTGGGCAGCATGAACCGACAGATGAACCTCCCGGCCCTGCAGCGCATAGCGATGGAGTTTGAGAAAGAGAACGATATTATGGATCAGCGGCAGGAAATGATGGACGATGCTATTGACGATGTGACGGGCTTGGAGGACGAAGAGGAGGGCGAGGAGGTGGTCAATCAAGTGCTGGACGAGATTGGTGTCGATTTGAACCAGACGGTCAGTCTCCAACATCCAAATACGGAAAGCTGGTTGGGAGAGAAGGCGATGCTAACGATCGAACAGCTGGGAGAGACACCACAAGGCTTACAGACGAACGCTGTGGCCGAAGGCAAGGTCGCGCAAGCAATCGGTGGTGGAGCAGATCCTGGAGACGATGACCTACAGGCACGACTCAACAGCCTTCGGAGGTAGAATTGGCTGGGCCGGTTTTGCAGCAGCGAGCATGGCCCTCGGTGTATGGGTTCAAGCTTTTGCGCGTTCTTGCCTAGGAGTTGTTCATTTCAATATTGTTAAGAGCGTCGATTGGTGAAGTGGGGCACCCTCGCACCCAATCCGGGGAACCGCGGGGCTATTCGACGTATTTCCACGCAACCAGTTCCCGAGGTCACCTCACATCAGCCTCGCATTTCCGTGCAGACATGATGATAACCGATGTATTGAGCGAGGCAAGTTTATGTTTTGATAGATTTCTTCGCTCTCCTTCCCCGCTTCACTCTTTCAAAAACTTGTCATTCCCACTTTCCATTCCAAAAGTTCCCTTCGTACTACTCATTCGTTCCCCGCAACAATGGCTACCCAAACGCAGACCGTCACCCTCCCGGAGACGCAACAAGCCGTCCAAATCGTGGAGTTCAACAAACCCCACGAGCTCAGGACCATCCCCACTCCCTCCGTCTCCGACCTGCGCCCGCACGAGGTGCTCATCAAAATCGCCGCCTCGGGTCTCTGCCACAGCGACCTGGAATACCTCAAAGGCGGCTTCCCCCTCGATCTGCCCGTGACAGCATGCCACGAAGGCACAGGCACGGTGATTGCCTTTGGCTCCAACATGCATCGCTTTAAAGTGGGCGACCGTGTCGTCGCCGGCCAGACGTTCGGGTGCTGCGGCGATTGCGAGGACTGCAATGGCCCGGAGCATTCCAGGCATTACTGCCAGAATCGCGAGACGATGATGTGTGCTGGGGGCCGCAACGGCGCGTTCCAGGAGTACCTTGTTATCGACGGGAGGGAGGCGTCGAAGATCCCGGATGCGATGAGCTTCGCTACTGCGGCGCCGCTGGCTTGTGCGGGCATGACGGCTTGGAGGGCGGTGTTGAACGCCAAGTTGAAGTCCGGGCAGTGGATTGGCATCATGGGTAGTGGTGGCGGTCTGGGGCATTTGGCCATCCAGTTTGCGAAGAAGGTGCATGGATTGAAGGTTGTGGCGGTGGATGCGAGAGATGACGGACTGGCGTTGAGCAAGGAAATGGGAGCTGACGTCGTCCTGGACGCGCGAAAGGGAAAGGACGCCGTCGTCGAGGGGGCCAAGGCTGCGACTGGTAAGCAGGGCGGAGTGGACGCGACGATTGAGCTCTCCGGCCACCCCACCGCTGCCGAGACGGGAGCCGCGATCGTCAGGAACCACGGAAGATTCGTTCAGGTCGCAATCGTAAGTTTCCCCTCCCACATACCCTCCAACCAGCCCTAACATGAATGCTTCCAAGGTCGACCGCGTCTCGATTCCCGTCCTCGAATTCCTCTTCCGCGACATTCACGTCTCGGGATCGTTGATGGCGTCTCAGAAGGAAACGGAGGAGATGCTGCACGCGGTCGTGAAGCACAAGATCCACGTCGAGAACAACATTTTTGATGGACTCGCGGTGATCCCGAAGGTCGTGGAGATGCTCCAGAATGTGCAGTATCGAGGCAAGGCGGCCATTGTGGTGGATGAGAATGCCGTTGGCGTGAGGCCTGGGGATGGGAGGGTGTAGTTGGTCGCAGTGTTGATAAATTCGGTGTGTACACCGAGGATGTGAACATTCTTGTGAGACTTTTCCCGCGTTGTAGTTGATTATCGAAACGAGGTGAGGTTGGATTTACGTGATTCCATCAAGGTCGGCAGAAGTTTGGAATCGACCACTCCACTCGGTGATATGATTCTCGGCTGCAAGTAACCATGTACTTCAGGCTGTCTCTACCTATGTATGCAAGATCAACGGCCTGTCTTGTTGAACGCCATCGCTAAAGCAACGTAAAAGGGTCTATGTTGAGACGCGCGACAGCCTGTTGAACAGCTGCAGCTCACCACCTCACACACTCAAATCCCTCACTTCTTCGACTCAAAGCCATAGCCGCCCTTGACCTCTGTAAGATGCTGGTAGGCTCGTCCTTCAAAGCCATGCCCGTTCCTCGGCCCTCTTTCTTTCAAGTCCTCTTTCAGCCATTTCAACACCAACTGGCCGAGCCTACTATTCCCTTCCGCTCCGCCATCCGTCTCCGGAACTTCGAAGGAATCTATCTCGCCCCACTTCTTCACCTTGCCCAGAGACATATGGACAAGGTGACTCGGCCAGGCGGCCAAGTTGTCGAGGATATGCGTGGCGTAGACAATCGTGCAGTCGCGACTCTCCGTCTCCTGTTTCAGGAAGGCGAGAAAGTTGTGTCTGCTGAGCAGATCCAGATCCACAGTAATTTCGTCGAGGAGTAGAACCGTCCAAGGTCGCAGCAAGCCCATGCAGAGCTGGACACGGCGTCGCTCGCCGTCAGAGACAGCATGGAGATGCCAGGAGAGGTCCACATCGAGGATACGAACAAGCTCATCCCTTCGCTCAGGATAGTGGTCGCCTCCAACGGACTTCAGGAGCTCCGGGACGGCAATGTCGGATCGCACAATGGGATTCAGCACCCACTCCAGTCCGAGATACGTGACACCTTCCAAACCGGTGGTGAACGGATCGATGCCGGCGATGCTCACGGTGCCGCTCGGGGACATGCGCTTGCCGGAGAGGAGGCGCAGAAGGGTGGTCTTGCCCGCGCCATTTGCTCTTGTGGATTTAGCACTCCGTGTAATAGGGAGTGGGGAGGAGCTGACTTACCGCCAATTAACAGAGTGCGAGAACCACCCGGCAGATCAAGGTTGATGTTCTGCAGTCCCGTGGTGCCGTCTGGGAAGGCGAATGTGAGGTTCTTGACCTGAATGCTTGGTGCTTGCTTGGACCCCATATTCGCGAAAAATAAGCAATGCTATAACAAGACGTAGCAGAATGAGGGACGAAGGAAGCAATCAGAGTCGAGGCAGACGAAATATCATGACCCGCTCACTCCGTCCAGATTTGGCAGGTGGATCCGTGCCGGCAATTTCACACTTCACGCGCGGGCCTGGTCCGCACTTCTGCTACAATCCATCATCAAACTGCGCGATGTAGCATATCGATGTTGCGCATTCCGCGCCATCCCAGACTCTATTCCTACATGACCCAGAAACCGCCGGTCAGCCCTCTGATTACCATCATCGGCGCGACAGGGACTGGTAAATCGCAGGTGAATTCGATCTCATTCCTCGTAAAGAATTGCGTCTAACCACCGGGTATAGCTCGCCGTCTCTCTAGCGAAACGCTACAATGGCGAGATCATCAACGGCGATGCCATGCAGCTCTACGCTGGGTTGCCTGTCATTACCAATAAGATCACCACGGAGGAGCAGCAAGGCGTTCCTCATCATCTGCTCGGCTGTATAGGGCTGCACGAACAGACATGGGTGGTTGGGACATTCGTCAAGAAAGCGCTGGCGACCATCGATGAAATACGCTCGAGAGGAAAACTGCCTATCCTGGTCGGGGGAACGCATTACTATACCCAGAGTCTTCTATTCGAGGACCGACTCGCGGAAGAGGATGAAGGGGAGCAGCAGAGCAAGTTCGTACCCGACACGGCAGAGAAATGGCCGGTCTTGCAACAACCAACGCACTTGATCCTTGAGGAGCTGAAGAAAGTCGACCCAGTCATGGCGGAGCGCTGGCACCCAAATGATCGACGGAAGATACAGCGTAGCCTGGAGATCTACTTGCAGACGGGGAAGAAGGCATCTGAAATCTACGCCGAACAGCGATTGCGAAAGCAGGAAGAGGCTGACGCAACTCCGATCTCCACCACACGCTTTCCAACGTTGCTATTTTGGGTGCATGCCGATGCGGATGCCCTCCAGGCCCGATTGGATAAGCGCGTTGATACGATGCTACAACATGGTTTGCTGGAGGAAGTGGAAACACTCAACGACTTCCAAGCCAACGAGGTGGCGAATGGCAGATCTATAGATGAGACGCGAGGCATTTGGGTTTCCATCGGATACAAAGAGTTCAAGGCGTACTCGAAAGCTCGTCAGAATCCCGACATGGCCGCTGCGCAGCTGGAGAAGCTGCATGCTGAAGCGGTGGAAAGAACCAATATCGCCACAAGGCAATACGCCAAACGCCAACTCCGCTGGATTCGGATCAAGCTGGTGAATGCACTTGCGGATGCTCGGGTGAGCAACAACCTCTACCTTCTCGACGGCTCAGACGTGTCGTCGTTCAATCAAGCCGTGGTAGAGCCGGCTTGTGATTTGACGGCCCAGTATCTCCAAGGAAATCCTATGCCGGAACCGACTAGCATGTCTTCAACGGCGGAGACAATGTTGACGCCGAAACGGGGCTATGACTTGGCCGCCACTCCTGAGAAATGGACAAAGCGGCAGTGCGAGATCTGCGGCGTAACGTGTGTAACGGAGGAGCAGTGGGGGCTGCATGTGAAGAGCAAGGCTCATCGCAAGCTCATGTCCAAGAGAAAGGCAGAGCAGCAACGACAGAATGGGGAGCGATCTTGAAGTAGCTGATGCTAGTCCACCGGCTGTTCCTCCCTGATCATGAGACGAGTCCGTGTAGTCAGTGCTCGGAGCACGGGCAGTTACTTGCTGGGGTGTAAACGATCACGTGCCCCCATATTTCAGTCACATGTCCACCTCCAGCCCGCTTTCCAATTGGTGGCTTCGCCCCCGCGGCTTATCGTTACCTCACCTTATCTTCCAACCCAACCCACCTCCGCCCCATGCCCGCCAACGCGCGACGCGGCGCCGTTCCATTTTACGTATTCCCGGCCTACCTAGGTGAACAGCGCATGAAACGATGACATATTCGGGGAGGGCCAGCCATCCGGATCCGCCGAGTCCGCCCATTGCCTAGGCCGAAGTCGCGTAAACAGGTGTAGGCCTTCCTTACTCTTCTTGTTTCTGTCTATCTTCTCTTCTATCTCGCAATCAACTGTTCTTTGTTCTTTACATACCTGCGTCATACAGGGCGTGCTTGAGTACTTTGTGCTTTCTTTGGGGCTTTCCCATTCACCAGCTTCAGCATCTTGCCAGTTGGAAACTACTTGGACCTGCTTCTGTTCTACGCTGTGCCCACTGATTTGCGCAGGCACTGCACTGCTCGTTCGACCTGATCAAGTCCGGGGCCGAAACCTTGACACACACGAGAGGAGCACGCGGTGTCTTCAATGTCTCAGCCGTCCGACCACCCTTGCACCCTTCGAGATTAAGCATCTCTTTATCTATTACTTCCCGGTATCTCTCCATCAACCCACACCTCGACAATGAACACAACGTACTGGCCACCAGCATCCATCTTCCAGCCAGCCCTACCACCGCACTGCTCCCCAACAAACGATTTTTTTCTCCACGTGAGCTCAATCCTCCACGTCTGCATCCCGACTCCTCTCGCCTTCCTCTCCAATGCTCTTGGCATAGTCAGCATCTTCGGCTGGCTGTTCGCCCAACTACCCCAGATTTACAAGAACTGGAGCGTTTCTAGCACGTCTGGCCTATCGTTCTACTTCCTCCTCGAGTGGTGCTTGGGCGATGCTTGCAATTTATTAGGAGCCATTTTCACCCATCAGGCTTCGTGGCAGGTGGCGATTGGGTCATACTATGTGTTTGTCGATCTGTGCTTGGTCGGACAATGGCTGTGGTATGAGAAGTTGAGGCATGGCAACCGAATGAGAAAGGTGTGGCGGAGGGCCGACTCGGGGCCACCAGACAGCTGGACCGATCGAGGGATAGAAACGGTGCTTGTCAATCCCGGCACCGAGACGGCAACACCCAGTGGAAAGAGAAAGGAACCAACTACACCTCGCATCATCTTCCGCCAACCCACATTCCACCAAACCCACCACGCCGAGCACGAAAAAAACCACTCCTTCACAGCAAGTACACCAACCACAATCTACCGAGCGGGAGGCTCCTCATTCCCCACCCCCTCCCCACGAACCCTCCTCCTAATCGCCTGCCTAACCGCAATGGCTCAAGCATCCCCCCTCCACCAAACCGCCCCCCTCCACCCCTCACAATCCCCTCCCCCAACCCCCTCCGAAACAGCCGGCACAATCCTCGCCTGGACCTCCACAGCCCTCTATCTCGCCTCGCGCCTCCCGCAACTCCTCAAAAACTGGCGCCGCCAATCAACCGCCGGCCTAAGCCCACAACTCTTCGCCGCCGCCTTCAGCGGAAACCTCTTCTACTCCCTCGCTCTCCTTACGAATCCTCGCGCGTGGTACGATTTCAGACCTTACGGCGGGAACGGCTGGGTGGGGAGTGGCGGTAGTGAGCGCAAGCAGTGGATTGCCGCTGCGTTGCCTTTTTTCCTTGGGGCGGCGGGCGTGTTGGGGTTGGATGCTAGTGTGGGATTGCAGTTTGTTATGTATGGTGGGGAGGAGGGGGGACCTGTGGTTGTTGTTGAGGAGGGGAAAGTGAGGAGGTGGAGGAGGGTTAGTGGGTGGATGAGGGGGTGGATGCCGAGGGGGAGTGAGGATCTACGGGAGCAGAGGCCTTTGCTTGCGCAGGCAGGAGAGGCCTATGGCACATGATGACTTTTTGTGATGATACAGGATAGACTTGCATAGTCCTAACGACGAGACGCGCATTATCATCTTCACCATCCGAGCCTCGGTCAGTATTGCTGTTTCTGTCCCGATCGAGACGGAGTCGGTGTGCTCTACCACGTCCGCTCCATGAAATACCACGGATCCTGCCCTCCGTACCGCGGCCCAGGCACTTCAAAAGGCGGCTCAACAACATCGCGAAACACCTCAAACCCAACAACATCGTCAGTCCCAGCTCCAGCCGGTTTCGTCACCGTTCCCACTCCCTCATCTTCACTCTCCGTCTCAGAGTCGTCACCCAGCTCCCGCTCCTCCTTCTTGACAGCGACATGTTCATCTCTACCGCGATACTTTGCCAACGTAGCTGCAGAGACGGGTAGAAGCACGCCACACTCCCAATTCCTGCACACAACTTTGAAACCCTTCTTCGTCTTCTTGTCAAACGACACCTTGCCCCACGCAGATTCAGACATGTTCGCCGATCCGACGTATGCCCACGCAACATCTGCAGCCGCTCTATCAGACTCCTGCGTGGTTGTCTTCTTCTTCCCTCGAGCGTACAAGATTTTGTTGTGGCTTAGCAGGCCGGTGCGCGTGGAGCGGTAGTCGCGAAAGCACGTTCGGGGGAATTTCTCGCTTTCGAACCATTTTCGGTTCAGGCAGATTGTGCCGGCGGAGCCTGCTTTGGAGGCGGTGACGGTGTTGTGGGTGGGGAAGTAGATGCGGAGGAGGTCGCGGATGTCCTGCGTGGCGGCGGCGGTACGGGGTCGAGGTGTGGTCGTAGTGGAGGGTTTGAAGAAGTCTGCTTTGGGTTTGGTGGTGGTGGTTGCTGTTTCTGCTCGCGCTATCATGTCTTCACCCCTGGCTGCTGCGTGCACAGTTTTGAGGAAGTCGTCGTTGAGCGAGCCGATGGATGAAGCGGCGAAGTCGACCTGCAGCCCGTCTTGAGACTCCAGTCCCAGTTGTCGGACAGCATGGGCCAGACCGGACAGACCTGTGCGCTCGGCTTCATCGTCAAAATGGCTGCCACCGACTGTATGCACGAACATCATGCCTTCCGTTGCAGAAAAGTCGAAATTGAGTAGACCTTCTCTCACGTCTCGATCCAGTTGCTGTCGGCGAAGGAAGTAGAGTAGTTCCTGGGCGAATGGGGGCAGTTCATCCGCTTCCGCCTTACCGCCATCGGGGAGTCGCGGCAGGTCAATGATGAACACACTGTTCTCCATCACGCCCGTCTCGCCCCAGTCAAACGTCAGGAGATTGGCAGATGGAATGGCAATACGCAGCTTTTCCGGATGGAAGAGGAGCATGAGCTTGGAATGCATGCAATGGATTGGTTGATACATCGGCGGGAAGCAGAGGCGGAGCCAGGCATGTGCGGCCGCCGTTTGCTCTAGCATTTCCTGTCGGAGTTCGGGGGTATCGCCTTGCATGATGAATATGCATTTGGTGGTGCCGCCTCGCTGGGGCGTTTTGATCTTGGATAGCACCCATTCCATATCCCATTGGAAAGCGGAGAGGACGGCTGTGCGGAGGGTGAGTGGCTCGAGGACTTCCTCAAGTTTGATCTCGTTGCCGGTCCGCTCGTGGCCGAAGGCCCAAGTCTTCTTGACGACACCATTGGGGTACTGCAATACTTTCTGGGTAGGTTGGCGTGGTTCATCACCATGTGGCTCGTCTTTGATCGTAGGTTTAGACGTCAGTGCCTTCAACCGCTGATTGGCAGCATTGGCTGCAGGAGACTTCCGATCCAGTTGAGTCTGATTGACCATGGTAGAAAAGGACTTCAACACCGCACCACTTGGCAGGGACACGGTCGACTCCTCCAACTTTGGAGCCTTCCTAGGGCTGCGAGTGGAGACGGGAGGGGAGATGGACCTTTGGCGTTTGCGAGCCAGCCGCTCTAGTCGCTCCGCTTCCATTGCTTTTCGGTCGAGGCCGATGAGTCCCGTTTGAGTGGTGGCGACAGTATGGATTGGAAGGGTATCGTTTGTAGGCAGGGCTTTGCCAGCTTCATCTTCTGCTGTTTGGAGGGAGAGTGCTAATGCGCGTTTCAGATCTTCCTCTTCTTCGGAGTCGGTGTGAGTCATGTTGGCCGCATGTAGAGCAGCAGGACGATCCGGAAACGTGAATGGATGGTGAACCGGATGCGAGGCTCCGTTCGACCAAAGTGCGTTTGTTGATCTCCGCACGTGCTGTTCCAGAACACCTTCATCGACCGCTTAGCGACATCACATGCATTTGCCCAATGCTCCCATTCAAGGCTGTACGGGAGGAGTGACTCAGGCGGCGAATTAGCAGGTGTTGTAGAAGTCGCGGTGGCAAGCTACAGACGTGTCGATGTTGCAGCCTGAGGAGGCAAGCGCGCTCGCGGCCTTGTCGCGCGGCGGAAGTGATTCCGTCCCGAACCTCACGGCATCGAACTTCATCGAAAGAATTGTCGACGACGGCGATGACTCTGATCTCGACTCTCTCACTTCAACATACATTTATATACCAGGATCCGCATCTCTAGGCTGGCTTAGCATAACTTGGTTGCATCCTCACCTACACCGCATTCGCTCGTATCCAGCCAGTGACAATGTCTTCCAACCCGGTCTCCAACGGCCAGCACCCCAACGACAATGCCTCCCCCGTCCCTCCAATGGGCATGACAAGCGAACAATTCCAACAAGCAGCCGCCTCCTCCGCAGAAGCAATATCAACCTACTACAACACCATAGCCTCGCGTCCCGTCCTCCCCTCCATCACCCCCGGCTACCTCCAAAAACTCCTCCCCACCGCTCCCCCAACCGAAGGCGAACCCTGGAGCGCCATAGAACGCGACATCGAGCGCGCCATCATGCCCGGCGTAACTCACTGGCAGCACCCGAAATTCATGGCCTTCTTCCCCGCCGCCACCACCTACCCCAGCATGCTCGGCGAGCTCTGGAGCGCCGCCCTCTCCGCCCCGGCTTTCAATTGGATTTGCTCGCCTGTTGTTACGGAGCTGGAGACGATTGTGCTGGATTGGATGGCGCTGATGTTGCGTTTGCCAGAGTCGTTTCTTTCCCGCGGGGAGGGTGGGGGCGTTATTCAGCTTTCGGCTAGTGATGCTATTGCTACTGTTATGATTGCTGCGAGGGAGAGGTGGATTCGAAGGCAATTGGAGCGCGAGGGCGTCAAGGGCGAAGAGGAAGTTGAGGACCGATCGTGCGAGCTTAGAGGGAAATTGGTGGCTCTTGGATCGGATCAGTCGCATTCGAGCACGAAGAAAGGCGCCATTGTCGCAGGCACGAGATTCAGGACAATCATCACGCACCACGCCGACGCCTACGCCTTGAGCGGACACGAACTGCGGAAGAAGATTGAATCCCTGAAAGCCCAGGGCTTAGAACCATACTATCTAACCGTCACCCTCGGGACAACGAGCACGTGCGCAGTCGACGATCTGCAATCCATCGCCCAAGTCGCAAAAGATTACCCCGACATCTGGATCCACTGCGACGCCGCATACGCCGGCAACGCCCTCATCCTACCCGAATACCAACACCTCTCCGAACAACTCGCCTTCGTCGACTCCTTCAACCCCAACATGCACAAATGGCTGCGTGTCAACTTCGATGCGGCACTGCTGTATGTGCAGAAGCGACGAGATTTGACCGATACGCTGAGCATCACGCCCGCATATCTGCGGAATCAATTCACCGAAAGCGGACTGGTGACGGATTACCGTGATTGGCAGATCCCGTTGGGGCGAAGATTCCGAGCATTGAAGATCTGGTTCGTCATCCGCACGTTTGGGATTGACGGTCTGCGGGCTGCGCTGCGGCATGGCATTACATTGGGTGATCAATTCGCCGGTCTCGTAAGATCGCGAAGTGACCTCTTCAGCATCCTCACTCCGCCCGCATTCGGCTTGACGGTGTTCACCGTAAACCCGCAAAAAGGACTCCGCCCTATGGTAGAAGACTCCGACGCAGGAGCCGACCCGCGACCCTTCGAGGATACAGAGAAGCCGATCAAGCCGGACGTGAGCGACGAAGAGCTGAGGCGAGGGAATGAAGTGACGAAAGAGGTGTTCGAGATCATCGACGGGCAGAAGGAGTTCTTCCTGACTTCCACCGTTGTTAACGGCGTGTATGCGATCAGATTGGTGTCGGCAAATCCGTCGGCGGAGGAGAAGTATGTACGCGAGGTCTTTGACATTTTGGTCAGTACGGCGGAGGATGTGTTGCGGAAGCGTGAGGCTGGTGTACATACGAACGGGTCGTAGAAGTAGGTTCATAGTGTTGACGGAGGAGTGCGTGTTGCTCCTGATGCTATCAAGGCGTCGTCATCTCATCTCTCAACGTCTCGCTCCTCCAATTGCCGGACCGTTTCCTCCTTGTTCTCCTCGTGGCTGACAAGAATAAACGACGACACCACCACCATAGCCCCAATCCAATACACCGCAGTGGAAGTCTGCTCATTCAACACCATTTGTCCCACCAAAGTCAGCGGGATCGTCATGCTCAACCCCACCGTCACCAGAACAGGACTGGTGAGCAACACAGCATACGCCCACGCCACATCGCTGATCATGCTGCCCGCTCCGTTCAGCAGGAGGATCCAAGTCACGCGCCCAGCGGGTGGAAATTCGAATCTCTCCACTCCCGTCCAATGCAGGATGAAGAAGAAGGGGAAGAGCATGACGGCGTTGAATAGACCGACAAGCCCGAAGAATACAGGCATGCTGACGAGGCTGTCGTCTGGAACGCGCTTTTTAAGGCGTGTAATGTAGAGGGCGTAGATGGCGGCGCTGATCAGCGCGAGCGTATTTCCCCACGCCAGCTCGCCTGTGGTCTTTTCGGGAAAGGAGCCACGGTGGTCGTCGTCGGAGCTTTTGCCGGAAAAGTCCACGGAAGAGATGAGCGCGACTCCAGCTAGGGATAGAATGACGCTCAAGGATTTGCGGAGAGTCAGCTTCTCCACTCCAATCATGGCGCCGAAGATGAGGGTGAAGATGCTGGCGGTGGAGGTGAGGATGGTGGAGGATGCGACGGTGGTGTGTTGCAGGCAGGCTAGGAGGATGTAGCCTGCGCCGAACCAGAGGAGGCAGAATTCGAGACTGAGGCGTGCAGTCTCGGATAAGGTCAGGCGGTTGGCGGAATGGGTGGACTCAGAGTGGCGCCTTTTGATGCTTGGGCTCTGAGATGGCGTTCTTGCCGGACGGAGGAGCGACTCGGTCGATCCTCCTGTTGGATCAAGTGCTCTGGAGTGGGAATGAGTTCCTGTCCGGAAACCCAGTCGACTGGAAAGCTTGGATGCAGCATCTCTGCACTCGTTCATCCATTCGTGAAATTCATCCGGTCGCCGATACGCCTTGTGCAAAACAGCAGGGGCCAGTGGAAGAATGAAGAATAGAGTATTGATGTAGGTGACGAAGAAGGGATTGCTGAATGAGTGGTCTGCCAATATTGCCTACGCGAAGATTAGCAGAGTCATTGGCCACGCGAAGGGTATGTCTGGTACTAACGCTGGCGAGGAAACTGGAGCCAGTCCAGAACACGACGACTAATGCGAGCAGCAAGAGGCCCAGAGTGCGTCTCCAACGCGCTGAATTTCCCTTGTGACTGTCGATACTCGCTGGTCCGGCTCCATGGGAAGAGAGGTCGCCGACCACCGCGGCCGGTAGGGGTGGTTCGAGACTGGCCATCAACGAGCGCGGAGGCTTCCAAGATGTGCGATTCAGAGATGCGAGAGAGATAGAATTAGGTTGTTGAGCCCTTGTAATGCTTCCATGGAAAATTGGTAATGAACGACGCCAAGAGGGTTGCGAGATAGGATGTTGGATAAGACACGAGAAAGACGACGTGAAGTCACAGAACATGTGGTCCAAGCGCGGCCTGGCCAAGCTTCACTTCACGAAAGATATGACTTTCTACACCTCCCCCTCCATGTCCCCATTCCCGCCCAGCAATGGCCTCATAACACCCACAATGTCCTCGCGAACAATCGCCCTACCAGGCCAACCCATCGGCCCAACAAACACGCACAACATCGGCTCAGGAACGCACATCGCCGGCTCCCAACTCCACGCCAGCATCGCTGGCCCCCTCACCACCACCCCCTCCACCACAAAGCCATCAAAAGCCGCAACCCTCTCCATTGCCCGCCCAACAGGCACCCTCCTCCCAGAAGTAGGCACCGTCGTCCTCGGCAAAATCACACGCACAAACCCCCGACAAGCAAGCCTCAACATCCTCGCTCTCGGCTCTACAGGCGCACACGTTTTGCGCGAACCATTTCCCGCTCTCATTCGGCAGCAGGACATCCGCGCCACGGAGATTGACAAGGTGAAAGTGAGCGAGAGTTTTCGCGTGGGCGATGTGGTGCGGGCGCAGGTGATTTCGTTAGGCGACGAGCGCAGCTATTATTTGAGTACGGCGAAGAATGAGCTGGGGGTGGTGATGGCCACGAGCGAGTGGGGAAATCAGATGGTTCCGGTTAGTTGGAGGGAGTTTTGGGATGAGAAGATGGGGGTGAAGGAGTTGCGGAAGGTGGCGAAACCAGTGTGAGGCGTGGGATGAGAACGGATGGAAGATGGGAATTACAGCAAGTCCATTGCTGGATCACTGATGCGTGTCATGGACGCTGGGATCGGATATGTGCGAGGCGGCTCTCGACATATCAAGACGAGGCTGCTGGCCGAGCTACGCTGGCTTAAGTCCATGCGGTTAAATTGACAACGCAGCCACAGCATGACAGCAGCATATCTCGGAGCAAATGCCTGACGCTTCTCGACACTGCTGCGTGATGCTTGCTGGGAGACACGAGGACCACGAGCACGCTCGGACATTGGCCTTTACCTCTTCACGGCATAGAGATGATTTCAAGAGAGGATGAGATGTGGAAGACAGATACCAAACTGAAGCAACTTCACTGTACCTGTTCAGTAATGTAACATACGCTATCCATGCGCAGGCTCGCCGGCCTCGGGGTATCTTCAGTAGCAAAGCCATGCGCCTCCCAGAAACCCCAAGTAATCGTAACTCAATCATGCCTCTCCGCGTGACCTCAGCCAGAAAGCTACGCCACAATCTCCCCCTCGCCTCCCGTAGTCGCTTCCCAAACAGCAATCTCCGGCGAAAAAGCACAATACCACCACTCACTCGCCCTCCAACCCCCCTTCCACAACCCCTCCACTTCCCTCCCCGCCCCAAAGCGCAGCACCAAACCCGTCTTCTCCATCCACGCCAACACCAGCTCAACCTCCCAAACCCAAAAGTGGCCCTTATGCGCCTTCTCGATCCCTTCGGCCGTAGAGCCAGGTTTGAAAGCGACGACGTGCAAAATGGAGCGCAGAACCGCCGCCCAGATGTCTGTGATTAGGTTGCCGTTGATGTCGATCCAGACTGGAGTGGCGTCCTGAAGAGGCGCGAGGGGGGTGCGAGGAACCTGTACGCCAGGGGTGAGATTGTGCTTTGCTGTGAACTTGGCGCCTTGCTCGAAGATGACAGGCTGCTCGAATGGGCTGTCAATGGCTGTCTTGTCCTTCGCCTGCGCCAGGGCACTCTCGGAGAGAGTAGCACGAGGCGTCAGATGGCCTTGAGCGACCATGTTCATCATGGCCAGCATCGTAGACCCAGAGGCTGGAGATTCGAGGCTGATTTGATCGCCGTTCTGAAGATCTTCCACCATTTTAGTCCGGGCCTGAGCAGCATCCGTGAGCAAAGCTGCCTCCGTATCCTTACCAGGCCAGCGCTGAAACTGCGCCAACGCCTGTGTGGAAAGCACGTAGTTGCGGCCTGGAAGCTGGCGGTCGCCTCGTTTTCGAACCAGGGTACGCGCCTGCTCCAGTTGATCGGTGGCCTTCTGAAGGACGGAGCCATCCAATGTCCGCAACTTGGTTGCTGCACTGGCGATGTTGTAATCGTCGTCCTTGGTCAAAGCCGTTGCGCGTGCCCATGACTTGGCTACAGCGAGTTCGGTTGCATTGCTCTCACTCTCCGATTGAGCTTGAATTGGTTTCAGCGTGACTTCATGACCGTGCTCCAGCGCTTCACGAGACTTAGGCAGGTCCTGGAGTTCACTGCCCTCGGTAAGTAGCGGCATGTTGACTTCTCCCCAGCGGACCAGAGCAGGCCAGTCAGCCTCTTGCAAGTTGTCGAAATCAAGATCCTTGATATCGCCCTTTTCGTACGCGGCCAGGATTGGGTCATGCAGACCCGCCTCCAGTTGTCCGAGTCGGCGCTTGCTGGCATTGCTCATAGCTTCCCAATGCTGAATCAAAGACGTCTTGGCGTATTTGAATGCCAAAGCATGCGCGACGATCTCCCAGTGTGGGGTTGAGTCGCCACTTGGCTCTCCGCAGAGCAGACGAACAAGAGCCACGGCGGTATTGTATCGGTGGTGATCGACCATTGCGATAGCTTTCGCCCTGGACCTCTTGGGAGCATGGATGGGGTAGAGCTCCGTTGCGCTTCGTTTCCTGGAGGCACGTGGCCGGTACTCTGCATCCGTGTTTGGCGGCTCAACCACGTCGGCGGCTGCCTCGCCATTGATCACATCCGCACCTTTAGCCTTTTTCCGAGACTTGTATACTGTGGGTGCCGGCAACTTCCTCTTCGTGCCCCGAGAGCTTTGATCAACATTCTGCGGGTCACCAACTTGCAGGTCACCAGTTTGCGAGCTGCCGGACGAGCTCACCTGAACGGCCGGTGGTGACTCTGCCTCTGCCTCTGGCTTGTTGTTCTTCCTCACAGCTTGTTTTCTCTTCTTCCCATCCGTCCGAAGCCGACCCCATTTCTCCAACTTGACATAATCATCATCAACAATCGAGCACAAAGACCCAGTCATGGCGCAATTGCCACACCTCACCTTCGCCGTGCCGCCCTTGCACGTCTTCCGGACCTTGGCGCAGCGCGAACATCCCTGTGTTTGCGAAGCGCTCTGTTGCAAAGCGGAGAGGGTGACTGGTAAAGGTGCTGGGGCCGGGGCGATCGGTCGCTGAGCCTCTTGGCCGTTTGCTACTTGGGACGCTTGAGATGCCGGTCCGAGAAGTTGGGCAATTTGGGCCCGATCGCTGGGTACGCGCGTACACAACGAGCCGTCTGATTTGCACAGGTCGCATCGTTCGGTATCTGATCCCCCGTAGCACGGAGTTTGACGCATCACACACGACATGCATCTCGCCTCGCCAGAATTAGGCTGCCTGGGCTCCGCTGGCTGTGCGATGGGAGCAATTTGACCTCCGGCAGTCGACGGTGGAGTCAATGATGCAGGAGCCAGAGGAGTTCCCAAGTAGCGGTGGTACATGGGATCGAGGCTCGCGCGTGGAGCGATTTGTGCATGTGGTCTCGGCGCAGGCTGTGGCCGGATCGGTGCCAGAGCTGGGCCCGGATCAAGTCGCGGGACCACAGCGGTGGCCGGAGCCTTGGACTTTTGCTTTCGTTTGGACGGGCGTGGCTCGCTATCACACTTCTTCAAGGAAGACAATGTGAAAGGGGAGCTTTCAGACCAGAACTCGTAGCCTCGTGTACGACCCGTGTTGTTGATTGGACAAACGTGCGGAGCCGTGAGGTGATGGTTGATAAAAGTGGGTTTCGCAGGAGCGGCCAAAACACTATGCTTGAGGACCAGGCTCTCTTCCCACAGGTATACCTGCGCCAGCTCGTAATCGAAGGCGTCTTCCGGGTCCACTGAAGTGGCCTTGTCGCGAGTTCTCATGGCCTTGCCGCGGCGATCGGCCTCGATGCTCTGGGCACGATGGAGAAGGTCGGCGAGATCGCGTGGAGCGGCTTCATACGTCTTCCAGAAGCTCTGTAGGCTCGCACGGGCGTCGGAGGCGAAGCCAATTGCGCCAGCCGTACCGATAGTGCCGGAAGACGCATATTCGGTCTGCAAGGGAGCCAGCATCAAGAGACGTTGCATGGCCTCGCCTTCAAGCTTCTCATGTCTCGCAACACTAGCCTTGCGTGTGGCTTTAGAAGGAAGCTCTCCACCGTGAGATGCATTCGCCAGCCGCCGAACTGTGACATTCTCCACTGTAGGAAATGTGCCCCAGTCTCGTAATCGGTTTTGAGGCAAGCCTTTGTATGGACGAGATTGAGTGGTGGCGTCTCCATTCTTGGGGAACCTCTCAACAGGGCCACCAAGCCTGCCATTCTCCTCATGCGTCCGGGTGGCAACTTCGAGCAGATCATCCTCGATCTCGACGCTCTTGGGCAGGAATTTGCGGGGGTAGGCATCAATAATGGACTTCTGCAACCGCCTCACTCGCATCGAAGTCGACAAGACGTTTGGAAGGGTCAAGATGTCGTGCTTCTGTGGGGTACCGTTCTTGTCCACAAAGCCGAATTCGTATTTGTTGAGCTGACGTTGCTTCACCAGTTCATCGACAACGTTCTCGGCCGTGTGCCGGTCTGGTTGCTGATTGTACTTCTTCGACCATGCAGTGCGGAACGGGTAGTACATGTTTTTGCTTCCAGGGAAGGCCCCGCGGGCGGCATTCATGGTGTCGAGCACGATTTGCATACGGTTTGCTCGCACCGTGCCCGCGTGTCGATTGACGCCTGCTTTTCCTGATACCTTGACAGTAGGTGCTGAAGCATCGATGTCCACGAGCACGAGCTCTGGAAGATTGTCGAGCTCATCAGGGTTCTCATCGTCAGACATCGTATCGTCTCCAGCGGCAGTAGCCAGGCTGTCCGTAGCATCTTGCGGGGTCAGTTCAGACATTGCGTGGTTGGCTTCTGGCACCTGCTCTTCTGTGACGGTAGGTGAAGTTTCGTCGTTAATGGAGGGTGATTTTGCTTGGGTGTTTGAAGGCACTGGTGGAGCACTGAGGGCCTCATCGACTTCAAGACCTTCAGAGCGCGGCCGCAGACCATCAACGTTTTCCCCCGCAGATGGTGACTGTGAGTGCGATATGCCAGCCGAAGCGACATGAGGATCTGCATTTGCATGTTGTCCATCGCCGTCCTTTGATTGAGTTGAAGATGGCGTCACAGCCGGTGCTTCGTCACTCGCATTGCCAGTCTCATTCACCGTAGGCTCAGGCTGGCTCGTCCCATCGCGGCTCTGCGGCAGACTTGAAACAACAGCAGCATATTTCCCATTACCGCGGTGCACCCATTTCACGTCAGGATGTTGACGAGTAAACTCTTTGGAGTGCAAACCCTGCATGACCGGCGCAGAGGGGGTGGGAGACTGGGCGGTCTTTGGGGTTCCGCTGGCCGAGTTGGCCGTCGAAGCTGTTGTTTGCGGTTGGGGCTGCTGAGAGCGAGCCAGGTTGGCTGGTGCAGTACGAGGCTGGACGGGCTGAGCTGCTTTCCGGGCCGCTTGTAATTCCGCAAGTCTTGCGCGCTCAGCACGCTCTGCGTTCGAGGGACGGCCACGCTTCCGCTTCTTGGATAGTGCAGCGAGCTGCGCGACGGCAAAAGGCTCAGCACCAATGTCTGAAGCTCCTGCAGATGCTTGTGGCTCCTCCGGGAAGCTCCTTGCCAGCTCCGTCGATGAAGGTAACAGACTGTCCAAGCCAGGTATCGTAGTCTGCTCCACAGGGACGCCCACGCGCTGTCTTGTTCTCGGCAATCGGTCCTCTTCAGGGACATCTTCATCGACTAGAATCTCAACCAATTCTTCACGTAGGACGTCATCCTCATGCGCGGAGGCCTGCGCAGCACCACCCAGCGCTGCCGAACCCCCTCCAAAGCACGGCAACGTTTTGAGCTTGTCAGACTTGAAGACGACCACCATGTTCAAAGGCTTCCGCCCCAATTTGGTGTATTGCGCGAAACGCAACTCCTTCGCATCTGCTGCATCGATGTATACTCCTGGTATGGTACGAGACGATTTCGCAGCCTTAGCCTTGGTGGAACGCAGGTTGCCATTCGTTGCCGGAACGTCAGGGCGATTTGCACCTCCAACAGATGTTGCAGTCTTGCTGGACTCCGTGGCAGTTCTTCGGACTCGCTTGATCGGCCCAACGCTCGAGTCTTTGTGATCAGGGTGACTTTGCGCGTTGTCGTCATCAACAGCAAGCGTCTCAAGGGTAGAGTGTTTCCGTTTCTTGCCAGCAAGAGGAACAACAGCTGCAGCTTCTTCTTCCAAGGCGCCCTCGACCCCTTGCTCAGTATCTGTGAGACCGGTATCACGTCGAGCCGCAGCCTGACAGTCCCGCAAGGTCGCCGATCCACTCCTACCAGCAAAGAGCCTCGGATCCGGCTGTGGGAAACCCCATGCATCAAGCTGACCGGCATTGTGCGTATTGGTTTTCGGCAGACCTCTCGGCTTTGCTGGGGCTTTCTGCTGCACCGTAACCGACGTCCACTCCGCCCTTCCAGCTTGCACGGCCTTTTCAAAGTTGTGAAGAGTGTAGTACTTGTAGTGTGAAAGCTTGCCTTGAACGCCAGTGTCTCTGACGATGGCAAGATGGCGCAAGTGTGGTGGTTGAGAGGTTTGCCAGACGTCAGTGAGCCGAGCCATGATCTCGTCCAGTGGCCGCATCCAGAACATTCCCATGGAGCGAGCGTGCAGGTCCATCGAGCTGATGCCGTCGACTCCCGCGCCATCGACGATGTTTAAGATGAAGTTGTAGGCTGGCATGTCAGGGCTCCACTGAGGTCGAACGCCGGTTCGCAAGGGAGCGTCAAAGTAGTTCTCTTCCTCATCCCCGTGGGACACAGGTGTTTCGTCGTTAGAGTCAGCCTCCGTGTCCAGTTCATGTTGAGTGCCGCCGGTGCTAGGGCCCATCTTGGACGCCCTCTCGGAATCGTAGCCATGGAAACTCAGTCTATCCGCCTCCGACGGCTCTCTGAGTAGCTGCACGCAGCGAACCCAGGTCTCCTCGGAACCTGCACCCGAGCCACTCTCCACCTTAGCTTTGAGCTTCCTGGCCACGCCGATGAGCTCAAGGCGACGAATAGCTCTGGCATAGGCCCGTCTGCCCAGGAGGGTATTGAAAATGCCCAAGCCAGCGCGGAGATCTTCCAAGGCAGCAATCCCGTTGTTCTCCCGCAGTATCCGTATCGTTTCGCTGAACCATTCGTCGTAGTAGATGATCCCGCTGTTATTGTCTTTGCCCTTGCCCTTGTTGTTTGGAAAGGCTTGGACGTGTTGGGGTCTGGCATCCTGCTTTGTCGCGTACTTGCTGAGCTTCAGTATGGCGGTATGCGCCTTGGCCGCGATGACTTTGTCTTTGGTGATGTAGCCCTTTTTGGCAAGCTCATCCGTGCGCTTGGGCACGGAGCGTTTGTCTTGCTGGGAAAGTCTGGTCACGTCCGGTTGAAGGATGCCGTCGGGGCCGTGAGCGGCGATGATGGAGAGAAGATCGAACTCCTTGGCGGGGAGACGCTTAGTGTCGACGCCATGTCCGGCGATTGCATGCCAGACCCTTTCTTCGGAGGTGAAGATGCGTCTGGTGCTCGGGTTTGGCTGAGTGGTTGGTGACGACTCGTTTGCAGTGAGTGGTTGGCCTTCGGCGTCGACACCGTCGATTGATTGGTCGTTGTTGTGCACTTCTTTAACTTCAACGTCTGGATGACGTTCCATCCAGGTCCATACTGCTTGAACGAGAACACTGTCTACGACGTCCAAGTTGGATGGCGGGGCGTCTGAGAACAACAGGCAAGTTGGGCGTTGTTGTGGCGGAGGTGATTTGGGCTTTTGTGAATCATAGTATGTCTTGACAGCCTTTTCGATGTCTTCTCCAGCGATTCCTGTGACGTTGTTAGCGACAATTCCGTCTACTCGGCAACATTTCATCGAGTCCGAGCTAGGCTCGAACTGAGGCCTTTGCTGTGGGGATGGTGAGGTTGTTATTGTGAGGACTCGCCTTTGCTTCCTGACAACGCAACATCGTAGAGCAGCTGCTCCACCAACTCATCGAAGCTTGCCATCACCATCCACGGTCATCTTCGTCTCCTGGGAGGAGTGAGGGGGTTTGTCGGCTGCCAGACGGTCGTAAACTGATCAAAGGGTAGAGGACTCGAACGCGGGATCCAAAAGAGTGGGCATGCGTTCAGCGATGGAAGCTTGCGAGGATCAGGCAAAGTTTGGTGGGGAGTTTGGCGGGGACGGAACAGCGAAATCTCGGTTAAACTCTGGCGTTTGTGGAACCGCCAAGACTAAAGTCCTTTCCTAAATCCGCGGCTTTCACATGCCTGCACGTGGTGACTCTGGGCGTCGCATATCCAGAGCGAGGGCGAGAGACCAAGCATTCACGGGTTTACTAACACGCTTGTCTTGCAATAGATGGTTGCGTGGATACGCATCACGAAGTCATGACGGCCATATTTACCAGTGAAATGCAACAATCCACCCAACGCCTCGCTAACGTCAAACCCTCGAACCCAGCAAACATCTCATTCATACCTCGCCCTCTTGTCCCCTCGCTCTCTCTCACGCACAGGCGCGGCATTAGCCCCCGTCCGCTCCGAACGCCTCTCATCATCCGGCCGGAAGCGTTCATCCACCCCATCCAAATCCCTCTTCTTCCTGCCCACATCCTGCCCCCATCGCCCCGTATCTTCCGACTGGAGATCCCGGTACTTGGTCCGTCCCTTCTTGCCCAAGCGCGTCATGTCCCGGATGCGCATGTACTCCGGCAGCACCGCCTTATCCCCCGTTTCATCTTCGAACTTGACGCCGGCGAAATTGCGGTTGAGCACGTTCTTGACTTCTTCGTCCTCTTCGCCAGCATCGCCGAAGAAAGCGCCCTTGTGAAAGTACTTTTGCATGTACGCCATCTTGCCCTGCCCCTCGCGCTCCTCCTTCTGCGCCTCGATGAAGGCCTGGTCTTCCGCCTCGCGCTCCTCGGCCGTCATGTTTCGTCTGCGCTCAATCTCCTCTCGCTCCTTTTCTTTCTCCTCGATGGCTAGTCTGTCTCGGCGCACGCGCTTAAGCTCCCGCAGCTTCCACGCCGCTAGCTCGGCCTCGGGATCCAAGCCATCTGTGTCGTCGACTTCGTCTTCGGGAGCAATGTCGTCGTCGTCCCAATACTTCTTGCCCGCCGCTCGTGCTGCGGCGTCTCGTTCCAGTTGAGCTTGTAGTAGAGCGTCGGCCTTCTCCCTCCTCACGCGTTCGTCTTCAGCGGCCTTTTCTTCCGCGGATGGGCCCTTGTCGGCGGCAGCAGATTGCTGTGCTCGCTTGGCTTTTGAGATGAATTTGGGCGCCAGCATGGGCTTCTTGGGTTCATCATCAGAGCTGCTTTCCTCCTCCTCTGAAGACCCAGACTCTTCTTCGCTGCTTCCATCTTCATCGTCATCTCCGTCTTCCGAAGACGATTCCGATGCGGTCACAAAGCCTTCTAGATCTTGTTCCGGCGGCTTCGGCGCTTTGGATATTTGTTGTCCAGCCTTGCTCAAATCGACGCCCAGCTTCTTCTGCGACGGAAAGGAAGAGGCTTTTGGCGGCGGGGCTTTCGTGGGCGCATCGTCTTCCTCTTCTTGCTCGGATGATTCGTCCTCTGATTCGGGATCTTCAACTTCGGCTTTGCCAGGTCGGTAGCGAGTGGGCTGTGCCCGATTCTTAGTCATTCGACTCGACGGCGGAGGCATCTTTGCGAGCTGCCGTTCAAGCGACGCAGACGGGATGTGAAGGAAGAGGATGTTAAGCAGCGGAGGTGGTGATGTTCAAAACCGCGGGGCAAATTCCGCTTCCGAAATTTATCCATCTCGAAATGCAGCAACCACTGGATGTTCTCTACTTTACATCAACTCCCCAAAGCACAACATGCCTCACAAACATACCCGCCGGAAAGGCGGCGATGACTCAAAGTGAGTGTACGCAAAGGCTGACTTGCGACTCCGCCTAACGAGCCCATAGTTTCAATCTCGCGCCCTCTACGCTCGCCAAACCGCTGCCAGCCTTTAGCACCTCTACCAGCAGCAAGAAGAAGAAACCGAAGGCGCAAAAGGGCAAGCCAGATGCCACCGATAGCGGCTACAAATATGACGACACGCCGCGCGCCTTTGCGCGCCTCATGCAGTTCCAAGCATCGAAGAAGCGCCCACGATCGGGACTAGACGACGGCCCTGAAACCAAAGCAGCGAAAAAGCGACGGATGGCCGATGGAGCGCAGCAAGGGGCAGCTGAAATTGTGCCTGCAGTGGAAAAGCCAGCGCCCGAACTCCCCAAGATCCAGCCGGGCGAACGATTGAGAGATTTCGCGGCGCGGGTGGATCAAACGATGCCGGTGGGTGGGCTCAAGCGGAGAGGCAAGGCTAAGATTGAAGGGATTCAAGAGCGGCAGACGAAAACGGAGAAGAGATTGCATAAGATGTACGCCGCGTGGCGAGAGGAGGACGCGAAGATCAAAGACAAACTCGAGGAGCAGCGGGAGGAGGAGGAAGAGGCGAATGCGGAGATGGATGGTGGTCAACAACCTCAGATCGTGGTGGGGAAGAGAAGTAAGAAGAGAATGCAGGAGGACGATCCGTGGGGTGAGTTGGTTGCACGGCGAGAGGCGAGGAAGGGACTGCATGATGTTGTGCAGGCTCCTCCTACCTTTAAAGCCGTGCCGAAGGAGAAATTCAAGGTGAAGAATGGGGCAAAGGTGAACGTGGAGAATATCCCGTCGAGTGCTGGTAGTTTGAAGAGGAGAGAGGAGTTGAGCGAGGCGCGGCAAGAAGTCATTGAGCGCTATCGTGCTATGATGGGCAAGACGGCAGCAGGCAAGTCTGTATAGCCTTGAACTAGGGTCCCTTGACGGGCATTTGAATCTCGAAAATTGCCTATTTTCTAATTCATCATACGTATATGATATGATCGTTTCATGTTATATCCTTCGCAATCCGAATCGTACTCTGTTCGAGGTGATAAGGCTGGATCGGCAAGCCGTGCCGAGATGGCAGTGACGTGAAGTGGAAAAAGGATCGCAGTTGGACTTTCGACTTTCCACCACACATCCACCACCAGTCTCTCACAACCAACATGGGCAAAGGTCAGTGCACTTCAAACATAATCTCGATCGCATAAACTGACAGTCTACAGGCACGGACAAGCTGTACGTACGTTTGAAGCCTTCCCCTCCTCCCACTTTTCCCCCGCAACCCATCTAACCTCCCTCCAGATCACGCACAGCGAGTGGTCCTCCGAAGACGCCTTCTCCGCTGCCGCGGGCGCAAACGCGCGCAAAGGCACCACCGTAGGCGCCAGCTTCAGACGCCTCCCCTTCAGCTACTGCGCCCTCTCCCTCCAACCCTTCGAGCACCCCGTCTGCACCGCCGAGGGCACCACCTTCGACCTCACCAACATCTTGCCGTGGATCAAGAAGCATGGCACGAATCCCGTAGATGGCGAGCCGCTCAAGAGAAGCGAGTTGATCAAACTCACCTTTGCCAAGAACGATGATGGGGAATACGTGGACCCGGTCACTTTCAAGGTGCTCACTGATAACACCCACATTGTCGCTTTGAAGAATACTGGCAACGTCTTTAGCTGGGATACGGTGGAGCGGCTGAATGTCAAGGCCAAGAATTGGAAGGATCTGGTGAGCGACGAGGACTTTAAGCGAAGCGATATCATCACTTTGCAAGATCCACAGAATATCGCTAGCAGAGACTTGAGCAAGTTCAGGTTCCTGCAGGATGGCGAGAGCGCGTTGACCCCCGAGCAGGAGAGGACAAAGAGCGCCGGGATCAATGAGGACAGTCTGGGCTCGGCCGCAAAGATCCTCAAGGCGAAAGCCGCCGTTGCTCAGGCGAGAGCGAATCGGGAGAAGCAAGGCAATGGTGCCGGCTCAGTCGAGGCGCAAGCGCTGGCTAATGCCCGGAAAGCCCATTCCGATGTCGCCAAGTCATCCCGAACCACCAAACCCTTGCCATACAACGCCGCCCAGCACACCACCGGCCAAGCAGCCGCCTCTTTCACTTCCACCGGACTCACCCCCAACACATCCACCGAGCGCGCTCTTCTCACCGATGAAGAGTACATGCTTAAGCCAAAGCGAGTGAAGGAGAAGGGGTATGCCCGTGTGACGACCAATCTCGGCGAGCTGAACCTCGAATTGTACCCCGAGTACGCCCCCAAAGCCGTGTGGAATTTCGTCCAGCTGTCCAAACGTGGCTACTACGACGGAGTCAAGTTCCACCGAAACATCAAAAACTTCATGATCCAAGGCGGCGACCCGACAGCGACTGGCCGAGGTGGACAGAGCTGTTGGGCCAAACCATTTGCCGACGAATTTGGCGGACCGCTTGTCCACGACGCAAGGGGCGTGTTGTCCATGGCCAACAAAGGAAAAGATACGAATACTTCGCAATTTTTCCTCACCTATCGAGCCGTTCCGCACTTGAACAGGAAACATACCATCTTCGGGCGCGTCATCGACGGCCTCGATACTCTGAAGCGACTCGAAGCGGTGGACGTGGATGACAAAGACCGACCGACCGAACGCTGCGAGATTGAGAGTGTGGTAGTCTATGTGGACCCTTTTGAGGAATTCCTGGAGAAGCGCTCCGACAAAGAAGCGGCGGATGCCAGGAAAGAGGAAATCAGGAGAGAAGGCGGGGCGGAAGACGACCGGACGACATGGACGGGCAAAAGAATCCGCGCCGATGGAAAGGTGGAGGGCGGGGGTGAAAGCGGCGGGATTGGAAAGTATCTCAAGCAGGCTGCTGCGCAACAACAGGCTCCCGACAAGGAAGACGAGATTGTTGGCGAGTGGGAGGAGGAACCTTTTGCGCCTCCGCCGAAGAAGGCCAAAGTTGGTGGGTTTGGGAACTTTGACGCGTGGTGAAGAATGTGTGGATCAGGATACACTCCACGAAGGCACGAAGGCATGAAGCAATGATTAATCGACGGCTTGTCATCAGATCGGGCAGCCCGCGCAGCCAATGCACGTGGCGGACAAAGAACAATACGAAGCCTCGCCAAGACTTTCGACTTCACTTCATGCCCGCTGCACCAGCTTCCGCATTCGAAGGCTCGCGGTTGCTACATGCCATCCTCGTCTCCAATGAGACTGCGCATGCCACCGACAGCGAATGCGAATAAGTCCTTGACCAGCCTAGCGTGAACAGAGCCTGGAGACATGATCCAAGGGAGTGCTTCTCCGCCATGCATCCATCGTCCATCATCTTCCTTTCACTCACTCTCTCATCTCCTCTCCAGACTTTGCATTACCAGCCAGTAACCTCCAACCTCGTTCCTATTACCCTCATGCCGAGGCCAGATCCGCATTGCGCAGGCCTGACGCAAACCGCATCAGACCTCACATTTCCTTTGTCCCACAACAACAATACTAAGCACCCACCACAAAGCACACGACAACCCACCTCACACTCAAGAACAATATCAAGCCACCAACACAGGATCCAGCCAGTCTACAAGAAAGCCACCGCCCTCCCTTCAAGCCATATCCTTTCATCCCCTCCTCAAGAGAACAACGAACCACCCAAGATTACACCGACCCCCAGTCCAAAACCTTACAAATACCACCCCCGCCGCTCCCAACTCTGCACTTCTTCCTCCTCTCCACCCACACGCAAACATCAGACAGTAAGATCCAACTACACACACTCCTTAGTACATCCCACCCTGTCCCCAACACACCCCATACACAACCCAGCTAACATCCCCCACAGACTACCACCAACCCAACCAACCCCAAACAACCAGCAAAAATGCTCTCTTCCACCATCATGCTCTCCCTTCCCAACGAGCGCGCCTACCAATGGTCCGGCTGCACCATCCAGCGTGCTTACCAGTGGTCCGGCTGCACGATTCAGCGTGCGTACCAGTGGTCCGGCTGCAGTGTGCAGAACGCGCCGGTGGATGCCGCGCCGGTGGACGAGCGCGCGTACCAGTGGAGTGGGTGTGCGATTCAGAAGAGCTTGTAAGCTCGGATTGCGTTGAAGATGGAATGGAGTGACCTGTCGCTTCGCGTAGGTTTTGTCTTTTTCGTGGTTTAGGTTTTCTTGTATTTATATTTCCTTACATTCAGGCCGTCAAAGTAATACCCCGTGCCTTTCTTCGTGACCTTATCCTCCACAGTAAGTCGACCGCTTCGAATCCAATTCGACACCTCGTGTCTATCAGACATAGACAGCAAAGCCCACGCCTTACCTCCCCTTATTCCTCCCCTTATTCCTACTCCCAATTCCTCCCTGCGCGCCCAACGACGTATCCTTCACAACGCCCAGACTCGGCACGCGCCGCATATCAGCCTCATCCCGCAACGCAGTGCCCATCTTCTTGCTCATCTGCGCGCGATGCGCCTCGGCTTCGAGCGTTTCGTAGCCCAGCTGCGTGCTGGGCGGAAGCTCGACGGAAGGAGGATGACTTGCTCGAGTGGCAGTCGGATCGGATGCGGCTGTTGCGAGACCGGTGCTGGGAGAGGGAATGTGCTCCGAGAGCTGCTGCGCGGAGGTGGAGAGTGAGCGGGAGATGCCGCTTGATGCGCGGCCTAGGGGTCGGTCTTTTCGTCTTTGCTGGGGTGCGTCGGGGGCTGCGGAGCTGGGGCGGGAAGCGGCTTGTCGGTTGAGGATTTCGGCGAGGTCGGCTGCGAGGATTTTGGCTGGGCGCTCGGAGGGCTTGGACTGTTCTGTGGGCTCGGTCGGTTCTTTGGCGGAGAGATCTGTTTGTATGGGTGGTGGGTTCGCAGCCGATGGCGGCGCAACGTAATTCTCCTTTGTGAGCGTCTCATTGTGGCCGCTCTCTGGGCCATCGTGTACTTTCCGAGGCGACAGGTTGGGAGACAGTTCTTGCAAGGGCTGAGAGCCGGCGTGACCATCCAAATTCCTGATCGGCGCAATGCTTCGCTCGTCCTCAACTCGTGTCGTGTCGTCGTCGTCGTCTTCGTGAACGAATGGCTTCGATGGCCGTGACGGTCGTGATGTCAACGCAGCCGAGCTGCTCGTGGCTTGCAAAGCCAGCGAGGGTGTAGCGTGCTGTTTTCGCGAGCTGGAGAGTCTTTTCGTTTGACGGTCATCTTTTCTGCCATCTGTCAGTCCACAATACACTTGCAAATGCTATTCACAAAGCAACTCACCTCGTGCCCCGGCGCTCCGAGTCCTTTGAAGCGGCATCACTCGGCAGAGGACTACTCGTTGACGGATCTCCCACAAAGTCTTTAGGATTGATCGCGGGAAGTGGTAAAGAAAACTTCGCAAATGAAGCTCGTTTCTTTGTCTTCAGACACTCCCACATCCAGTGCGCAGAGACCACGGGGATCTTGTGTTTATGGGCGTAAAAGGCCTTTTCTTTCCGGACGGTGTCCACTCCACTGACCAAGACGGTGGTGGAAGGGAGGATCTTTTCCTGATACACTGCCCCCATCAGCTTGACAGCCTCTGCTATCTGCCGCAAATCGACGCCAGTGAAGCCAGTAGTGGAGACGAGCAAATCAGCGAAATCGGGGGTCTGCTCGTATCCGAGTGGTTGACTGAGCGCGTCGTCGATGGGATCGAGTAGTTGCTTGTAGTGGACGCACCGCTCCACCCACCATTCCGTTACGATCACCGTGCCTGGCGGCACGTCTGGTAAACCATTGGAGGAGCTGCGCGTCGTATGTGGAACGACGAGGTATCGCTGTTTGAAGAAAGGTGCACAAGAGGCATCTTCGAGCATTGCTGTCGATTCTGCAATCGTTGCGCCGTTCTGGAGTAGCACATGCCGTACCGACTTCAACCTTTTCCCTTCGAGCCCATGGGTGAGGACGTGACAGCCGGAGAAGAGTGCATTCGCGTCGCTCGGAAGTCCGGATTGACCGGCCGGGCTGTGTTGACCAGCACTTGGGCGAGGCTTGGTGATTGCAATCGAGTCGTTCACTGGTAGATTGTCTCCTTGATGACTCCACTGGTCGTGCTCTGTCGGGGCCGCTTTGACATTCCCCGCCGACATGTCCATCCACATATCCTGACTTTGGCTCTCCAGACGTGTACTCGCAGTCCTCCTCAGCTTCTTCCTCACAGCATCGGTCCCCTGGCTTTCCCCATCTCGACCGTGCTTGCCCAAGCTCGTCCTCGGCCGAATGTGCCGCTTGAAGGCGCCGACGCCTTGCTCGTCGATTGGCATGGTGGGATCGTAAAAGGCCTCGTCGACAGCCATGCCTCGTTCCATGCTGTGCTCGAACCACTTCAACGAGACCACGGAGAGGCCCCAGCGTTTGGCGTGCGTATACTTTTGGCCTTGAGGAGCAGCGGCAATGAGATGGGTGACAGCCTTGGTCAAGTCGCCATGATATGTCGCGCCATGGTCTGCGGCAGTCTGCGAGATCCAGTTCCGCTGCTCGATGTCCTCAAAGCCGGTCAGGCAGATTTGCAGGCCGGAGAAGGGAGGAAGACGGTGTGTGCGCTCCAAGGCATCGACGTCGACATCGCTTCCCTCCATCCATGCTTCGCGGACGGCGTCGAGCCAGGCTGGGGGCAGGACTTTGATGTCGGGGCGTTCCTTGGCGACATACTTGTATTTGGGGGTGGTGATGGCGCCGACAATGAGGTGGGTAACGTCGGCGGTCAGGTCGAGCTTATGGATTGCTCCCATTTGAGCCGCCGCTTCTCCCAGGCCGGTCTGCACAAGACGGAATTAGGGGTGTGGCTTGAGAGTTTTCATATGTGTCTGACATACCCGGACATCTTGAGGCAGCGCTGTACAGCATAGGATGACGCCCTTCAAGGGAAGTTGGCCGTTTACTGTGGTGGTAGGTCAATTGAGTATTGGAGAAAGCAGCGGGAGGCATTTGACACGTACAAACATCGGCATTTTGCGCCATGGTCCATTCTCACGCACGCTTCACGCTTCACGCGATCTCCAACATCAGAGAGACACGCGAAACAGTAACGAGAGCCCGTGCGCGATCTACCACGACTTCCGACATAGCCACGACATTTGACCCGCGCGGCAGCTACCGAATGCTAATCGGGCCCGAATGCAATGGAATGGAAACTCGGAAGAATAATGCCATCACCTTGGCGTTCCTGACATTGCTCGGGTGGCTCATTCAGAGAAAATTCAAGTCAATTTCTCCTCGGCGACTTCCCCGGAGATGCTGCATCGTCCTCGTCCAATTTTGAGCCGTCGTGTTCAACCGCGGCTGCCTGCCTGCCTGACTCTTGCGGGTGGCACGTGTGACGCAACGGCCATCTACGCTTCGAGCACATCCCGTTCGAGCTGAGAGGGCGTTGCATGGGCGAGACCGCTGACGACTGCCTGCTCCGCATGTTGGGAAGGGTTGCATCCAACCGGACATTGCTCATGGTCCCTGCATGCAACACTTGGAAGCAGGATGCCCTCGAGAACCACCCTGATCTGCGCCTAATTGCAAGGTACCGGGCCAGGGTTAGGCAATCGACGACAAGCTTTCCACTCGCGTGACATGTAGTGCTTAGGAGGGACGGGAAAGACTCGGGGCTACAGGCAACACAGGGCAGGTCGGGAGCATCATTTTAGCACACGCAACGTCGATCACTGGCGTCAGACGGCGGGATGGTGCGGGTAGGTAGGGTAGATGGGGATATGTGATGTGATGATGCTTCGGCAGTTGGGTGGTGATGAGATGCGGATGCCACTCACCCTGCTGCCACCAGTGAAACGGACAGCCTCGCAAAAGACGGCATGGACACGGGAAGACTGACTGGGGTTTGTGTCTTAATGGACCCCGACTGGTCTTTTATTGCTGTGCTGTGGTGACTGGGCCTGCCTGGACTGCATGTGCCTCACCGGCGTTGCCACGGATGGCGGAAGACGGACGGGAAAGACTGGATTCGGCTGCGGGCGGATCCAGCGGGCGTTTGGCGGCGGTGGAGCTACGCGTACGCAGACTTTCGCGGGAATGACGCATGTGGTGGTAGGCAAGTCGCCAGCATGGAATTCCACACGCCTCGCCCTGGAATTAATGGCCGAGTGTAAAGAAGGGGGTGAGGGACGCATGGCCTGACTCTTCGTAAAAAACGTCCGTGTTGCAACACTTCACCACCGCCGTCTCCTCCTCCTCCTCCTCCTCCTCCTCCCACTCGCTCCTTCCCAATGTGCAGGATGGGATGAGTGAACCATCAATTCCAAGACGTGTCTGACTGCTGCCGTCCACTCCGCCATCCGCTCGCCGACACCGCCGATCCTCCGGCAGCCACAGGGCTGGCCTGCCAGCCGAACAGAACCTGATCACAATTCCATTTTCCCGCCAAACGTGAGCCTGACTTCATCATTACTTCTCACCCGCACGCCACTCTTCCCTTCTTCATCCACTGCTCCCCGGCCATTCGACATCTCGAGACTACACACCACCCACCCATCCATCCGTCGCTCAGCCCACCATTTCGGACGCATTGCGCAGCAGAGTACCAATTGGGCAGCATATTGCGGGGCACGGGCAGCGTGACAGCTCACAGGCGCCGCCTGCGCTGAAACGGCAGACACTTGACTCTTGTGCTACCTGATTCCTCATCAGTGCATTTGAGAGGGAGCATTTGCCAGGAAAAGCAGCCATTGTGGTAAGTCGCACCATCCCTTCGGCCCGCTGCATTCTTCATGCCAGTGATGCACGTTGTGTTCCCGCGCTGCTATGGAATGGCGGGCGAGCATTGGTCCTTTTCTATCTCTATCCTCTCGGACAATGCCCATGTCTTTTGCTTGGAACTCGTGTTGGGAAGTGGTCATGCTGACGTGCCGTGCGTGATGGCAGTCCTCTTTCCCGACACCCTCTCCTATGATCCTCCTCCACCGCAATCCGAGTCGAGCAGACCACGCAAGCTACTCAGACCCCGCCGCACCACATCCGCACCTGTACACCTCCGCCATCTGCCTCATCCCGATTTCGAGCCTAGTAGGCCACCAACACCCTCTCCCCACCTAACTCCCCCGAAATCATACACGCTGGCGGTCGCTCGTGAGAACGCGAAGAAGTTCCTCCGCTCCGTGACCGCAAACCAACATACTGCCTCCGACTCCACCGACGGATCGGCCGGCAGCAACCGACGACTGAGCAAGATCCGATCGCGCTCCCCCGTCAAACGCACGACGCCCGGTCAGAGCGGCGTAGGCAGTTCCGACGATACTGCAAGCAACATGCGCGGAAACACGCGGCCCACCATCAGTGGGCCCGTTGATGCCCACCCGGCGCGGAACAGGTTGCTGAGCGATGCCGCAAGTCTCACAAACACCCTCACTCACACCAGCACCAACGGCGGCCGCGCATCTCCCTTGTCCCGCTCGCGAAAGGGCTCCGTGGACAGTGCATTCCTGCCCTTCGGTTCGGAGGATGAGAAGCCCGTCGCGTCGGGCAATGGCATTACCGTTGGCCTACTTCTCGCCGAGCCATGTCTGTTTCTCCAGGGCTACTCCGAGAGCACATCTCCCAGCCACACTGCCATGCTGCGAGGCAGTCTACACCTCCGAGTCCAGAAAAGCGCAAAGATCAAAACCATCAACCTCAAATTCCGCGGCAAGTCCATCACCAGATGGCCAGAGGGCATCCCACCTCGCAAGGTCGATTTTGACGAGACCGACACCATCATGAGCCACACCTGGCCCTTCTTCAACGCCCAATTCGAAAGCGCCGAGAATGGCACAAGTGCAGATCGCGTGCAGCTGTTTAGGAATGCAGAAGCGACGACGGCCTCGCGGCTGGAGAGTCTAAAGGCCGGATCCCCCAACAGATCTCAAGAGAACCTGAATCTGAACTCCAAGGAGGCACGCAAACTCGCACTCTCCGTCAACCAGAATCGAAGTTTTGGCAAAGGAGATGCCGTGCCGGGTGGCCCCACCGTCGCCGCCAAAGGCTATCGCACTTTCTTGCCCGGAGACTACATTTACAACTTTGAACTGCCCTTGGACAGCCGTTTACCGGAGACCATCGATGTCGATCTCGGCTCGGTCAAGTATGAGCTCGAGGCGACGGTGGAGCGGTCGGGGGCCTTCCGGGGCAACTTGGTCGGAGTCAAGGAGGTCACCCTTATCCGCGCTCCTGGCGAAGGCTCTCTCGAACAGGTCGAGCCCATTGCGATCAGCCGAAATTGGGAGGACCAGCTACATTACGACATTGTCATTTCCGGCAAGAGCTTTCCATTGGGGAGTCAGGTGCCAATTGCATTCAAATTGACCCCTCTGGCAAAGGTGCAATGTCACCGGATCAGGGTGCTGGTGACGGAGAACATTGAATACTTCTGCTCAAACAAACGGGTCCACCGAATGGAGCCGACGAGAAAAGTGCAGCTTTTCGAGAAGCGCGCCGATGGAGCCCCGACGAGCACCTTTGATGGGAGTACAATGCGCGTCACCGCCGGCGGTGGCATTCCTTACGATCTCAGAGCGAGTGCGGCCGCAGGCGAGGACGTACGTTCAGTAGACACCAATAACCTGCTCGGCGATCTCGAGGGCGACACCAATGTCGGACCAACCGAAATGGAATTCAGCGTGCAGCTACCCAGCTGTCAAGCCATGAAGGAGCGAGACCGGTCCCAGCGACTTCACTTCGATACCACGTTCCAAAACATCCAAGTGCATCACTGGATCAAGGTAAGCAGTCCTTAAAATATCTCCAAACGATGCACAAGACTAACGCAATTTCCAACAGATTGTCATGCGACTATCCAAGCCCGACCCCAACGAGCCAGGCAAACGACGCCACTTTGAGATCTCCATCGACTCCCCCTTCCACATCCTGTCCTGCCGCGCAACGCAAGCAAACATCTGCCTCCCAGCCTACAGCAGCCCCCTCGACACCACCAACGCCACCTCAACCTTCGAATGCGGCTGCCCCGGCGCCCCCCGCCGCCGCAACTCCCCCACCTCCTTCGTCCCCACCCTCTCCTCAGCAGGCACAACAGGCACCGCAGACCTCCTAGATCGCAGCAACACCGACACCCCCACTCTACCGGGCCTGCAACGCCCCCCAACAGCCCACATAGGCGGCCCGCAATCCCAGCAGCGCCCCATCCACCTCCTCCGCGCCCCGTCGTTCAACCCGCCTGCTTTCGAGGACTCCGAGCCGCCGCCCCCGCTCATCACCCCGCCCCCCATGTACGAGTCGATTGCGAGCCCCACGCACGGCCTTTCGGATTACTTTGCGAGGCTGAGTGATGCGTATGATGATGATGATGAGGATGGCGATGAGAGTCATCGGTTGGGCCGGGTGAATATTCCGCTTACGCCGGGCGCGCGGGTGAATCGGAGTATGGATATTCCGCGCGAGTCGTTCCGGTTGCAGGTTGGGCAGTGATGAGCGTTGGGCGGAGAGTTTTTCTCGGCATTTTGGATTTATTGGATGGTGTTTGGGTGTTGGGGTTGAAGTAAAACTAGGGGAAAACGATGGGGATGAATGGAGGGTGTCGTATAATGAGTTAGCGTTTTTGCGTCAGATCACATCTGATGAATGAAGTGAGCAGCTATGTTTTGATGTTTTGTTGTATGGACTGTCCTTGGTGTCATCACAGATGATTGAAGTCTATACAGTCTCTCCCACTCTCTAGTATCCCGTGGCTCATTTGAGCATACATGACACGCCTGGGCACCTCGTGGCTAACGAAATGCAACAGAGTCTCGCTTGAAGATTACAGCCCAGGGAAAGGTTGAGTGCAAGGCTTCATCCTGCCGCAGGGCAATGAGAAATTCTCCACGCACCACCACCACCACCACCCCTCATGCTTGCCCTTGTTCGTCGATAATCTTGCGGTTCAGCATGATGTTCTCCAAAATCTTGGCCGCTCCCTTCTCAACCAGTGCCTTCGCCACGTCCCGGCCGAATTGCTCGGCGTCGACCTTGTTGCGCACGAGTTTTCGCGTCTCCACCTCGGCGGTTTCGGACCCGTCCAGGCTGACGACAATCGCGCGCATAATCATCTCGTCCGAGCTCTCTGGCTCCGCACCTTCGTCTTGCGGACGCGAGGCTTGGGAGGCCGCGGTGGCTACGCCGGTCAACTTGTCGTAGTCGTCCGACGGCATGACGCCTACGCTGCTGCTTTCGGCGACGTATGAGCTTCGCGCCACCCACTCCGTCTCGACGCCAATGGGCACAGAGCACCCGCCTTCCAATATCCGCATCAAACTCCTCTCCGCCAGTGCTTGTCGCGTGGTCTTTGAGCATTCTATCCTCGACAAAAGCTCTAGCACTCTCTTGTCGTCTTTCCTCGTCTCGATGCCTAGCGCGCCTTGCCCTACGGCGTGGTGCATGCCTCCGTTGCTCTTCGACAGGTGCATTGATACTCGATTCTCCATCCCTGTACGCTGCAGCCCACACACCGCCAGTACAATGGCGCTGTATTCACTGTCTGGGTTGTCCAGCTTCGCCAGTCTCGTGCCGATGTTCCCTCGCACATCGGTGAATTTCAAGTGTGGGTAATGTTTCTTCATCAGCGCCGTGCGGCGCAAACTCGACGTCCCTACAATCGAGCCTTCGGGCAGATCGGCCAGCGAATGGTATTTGTCTTTTAAACTCGGCTTGATGACCAGCCCGTCCCGCGGATCGAGACGCTTCGTCACACAGCCCAGGTCGAGATCGTGAGGCAATTGCGTCGGCATGTCTTTTAAGCTGTGCACGATGAAATCCAACTGACCCTCCTGCAGTAAGACCTCCAGCTCTTGCGTCCATAGCGCTTTGTCGTTGAACTTATACAGCGCCGTCTTCTGATTGTTGTCGCCGGCGGTGTTCATGGCGTGGATTTCGAACTGATGGTGCGGCCATGCTTGTCGGAGGGCTTTGAGTACCTCGTCGGCTTGCACGCGGGCGAGGATCGAGGAGCGCGTGCCGATGTGGAAGACTTGGGTCTCTGTCGCGGCATGGTTTGATGTCGAGACGTCGACCTGCATTGGCTCGGGTGCGGCAGCCATTGCGATGTGCGGTTGTCTTGTGTACAATGGGGCGGTTTTCGCAGGATGATGCAAGGCGGAGGAAATAGGCAAGGTGTCCCCCCACAAGCCGCGGTGCCTGCACTAGACAACGGGACGGGGCGAGCCTGGCAGGCCGGGGGTTGGAGTTGTTCCCGGTCTGGTGTCACCACTCCATCACAGCACAACCACTCAAGACATGCTGGCATGATGGCACGAACATGACGCTGCTCTTCCGTTGAAACATGACAAGTGCTGGTCACTGCATGTCTCACCCTTCCGCTTCTCATCTTACTACAAAGCCGAGAGTGTCGTGCTCTTTCTTTGTCTTTTAACATCACCCTCATTCCCTTATCTGCTTCCGGCGCGACGGTGGAAAGATTATGACAGACTCTCCACGCCCCCAAAACTCAGCTCTCAACGACCAGACGATGTCGGAAGCAGCACCTACCGCCCCTCCGGCGCGCGGGCAGGAAATGCGAAAGTTCTTACAATCGCGCCTCCTACAAAAGAACCGAGCACCACCTCTCGTGCACAGCTGGGACTTCTGGCACGCGCGTGACAAGAAAGATGCCGCAAGCTCCATCACCGCTCCCAACAGCGGCAACCCCGACAGCTACGAAGATCGACTCGAAGTCCTCGCAACGGTAGACGACGTCCGCAAGTTCTGGAACGTCTTCAACAATTTCGACATTGGCCGTCTTGCGCTGCGCGACAGTATCCACCTCTTCCACAAAGGCATCAAGCCCACGTGGGAAGATTCGCGGAATACGCGAGGCGGCAGCTGGACTTTCCGCGTGCCCAAAGCGCAAGCCGTGCAGTTCTGGCTGGAGGTGTGCATGATGGCGATTGGCGAGCAGCTCCAGGCGGCGGTGGAGAGTGAGAGGACGACGTTCAAGGACGACATTTGCGGCGTCAGTCTGGGAGTGAGGTTCAACAGCGTGCTGATCCAGATCTGGAATCGTGATGGTGAGCATGCGCAGGGGATTGACAAACTACTGGTGGCTGTGAAGAATGGGCTGAGCGAGGACTTGACGTTGAAGGAGGGATCTTTCTACTACAAGCGGCATAATGAGCATGCTGGCTTTACGGTCTCGCCGGATGCTGTGAATCAGAGGTCGTCGACGACGAGCAGTGCGGATGGCATGCAACCGTTGCAGTCGATAGATGCGATTGCGAATGAAGCTCCGGCTAGGTAGTTAACTGCGCTAGCTAAGAGCGTATGATGAGTGCATGAATGGCGATTGATTGAGTTTTGCTATCACTGCAACATGCCTATAGTCCGCTTCAACTGAATCATATAATAAGTTGCTTCATTCACATGCCCTTGCACGCTGGACTGATCGCCCACCCCAAATTGAGTTTGATCTAGTATGCGGGGCGGGCCGGGCATAAAGTCAAACGGCTCTACTCTCACGCGTCTACCTCTCGCGATCTTTCCATTGACTGCACTGCACCGTTTAACCTCTTCAGCCACCACGCAACGATAATGGCAGAAGGCGTGGTGCCCTCGCCTTCACCAGCGCCATACCCTCTAACAGGCGAACCCGGCCTGACACCAAGCATCCCAAACCCATCCCCTCGACCAACGTCCAAAACGCCCGCTCCAGCACCCACACCGATCCAGCGCGAGCAACGAGAAAAGAAAGAGTCGCTGAAGAAACGGGAGAGCAACGCACTCAATGGCTCTACCACCTCCACCACCCTGGGCAAGCGGAAAGCCGCCAATGCCAACCTGGCCATCCACTCCCCCCTCCGCTATCCCCTTCGACAGCCTCTAGCGACCGACTTCGAGCTGCCGAAAGAAGATGTCATGGTCTCGCATGAACCTTATCCCTTCGAGATGCCCGATGGAGAAAGACAGCTGTACAAACCCGTTGATCTGGCGGAAAACAAGAAGGGTTTTCGATACACGCGAGCAATCGCCGACCCTCACTTTCCGCACAAACAGTACTTTCGCAACACCTCTCCGCCCCCGCATTACGCGCGACTGAGCTTCGAGGACGCGGACAAGCTGATGCACTTCACTACGAATGCGCTGATTACGACGAATGAGAAGGGATGGCGGATGGTGCGGTCGAATGTGTGCGCGCGAGAGGGCACGCTCTACTATGAGATTAAAATCCACCGTGGGGTGCCCGCCACCGGTCCCGATCCAGATGCGCAGGGTCCACAGCCACACGTCAGGTTTGGGTGGGCGAGGAGAGAAGCGCCTTTGGACGCGCCGGTTGGGTTTGATGGGTACAGCTACGGCATTACGGATGTGCGATTCGAGACCATGCATCGTAGTCGACCGGGGAAATTCTACCAGGCGAAGAAGTCGAAAGCAAAGACTGTCAAAGGAGCTGCTGCGGCGCCGCAGTTCGTCACGCTTGCGCTGGAGGATCAAGATGTCAAGGAGGGGGATGTGATTGGGCTGGAAATCCAACTACCCTCTCTCAACCTCCATCAAAAGGTCGTTAGCGGCGTCTACAATCCCGCCGTAGACGCCGGCGATGGCTTCGACGACCAAGCACACACTCTCGATCCCGGAGCAGATACGCTTGACATTGTGCGCGACCGCATACCCGTCCTCTACAAGAGCAACACCTACTTCGAAGCCTTCGACCACGTGTCAACGAAACATATGGAGTCCTACGCCGACCGCACCACCAACCTCTCCTCTCTCGCCAGCCAAATCAACTACTCCACCGGCAAAGACGCCATCAAAGCGCCTCCCGGCCCGAACCACGAACAACCCACCTTGCGCACGCTCCCGCAATCCACCATCCGCGTTTACAAAAACGGGAAACCCATCGGCACCGCTTTTGAAAACCTCCTCGCCTTTCTGCCTCCTGCTTCAGCTCCTAGCAAACTCCCGGCTGGTGGAAGGGAGGGCTTCGACGATGGTCTGGTCGGCTATTACCCTGCCGTCTCTTGCTTCTGGGGCGGCATCGCGGAAGTGAATTTCGGCAACGGGCGACAGGGCTTCTGGGCGCCGCCGGCACACCTCGCCCACACAAAGGACACACACAATGTTCCTCCCCCAACGACGGCCGAGGGCCCCGACGTGGAAATGCGGGATGCGGGGATCGATGCGAGTGGTGCTAAGAACGGCTGGAATCCGGGGCGGTTGTGCAGGCCGATTGCGGAGAGGTATCGGGAGCAGATTGCGGAGGATGTGGTGTGGGATATTGTGGATGAGGTGGACTTTTTCATGCAGGATGGTGGGTTTGGGGGGGTGGTGGGGAGTGGGATGGAGAATGCTCCTGTTGCTGAGAGGAAGGCGGGTCGGTTGAAGGAGGAGGAGTAAGGTGCTGATGCGTAGCTCGCGAATGAAGCCATTCAATCTTCACAGCGTCTCGTGACTTCATCTGCGTTTTTCCCAACTGGAATAGGAGGCTCCATTGCGTGCACCGCCACATATTTGAGGTCGAAGTGAGAAGAGCCCTCTGCTGTTCACCAGAAGCTTCCGTGATCCCGTGGCCCCGGACTTGCTTTGAGGGCAGCTGAGTGTTTGGGGCCAGTCTTTGATTGTTCAAACAAAGAAATGACCCTCGTAAAGCCTGGTGCGTCTTCTCATTTCTCTGCTCCAACCGATGGCTTCTGGTCAGAATCATCCTGCTGCTCCTTTCGCAACGCGGCTATCCTATCATCAAGAATAGCAATCTCCACATCCAGCTTGAGAATCTTGTCGTTGAGCATGTCGGCATACTCCTGATCCGACATGATCTTCACCGGACTGAAGCTCTTCTCGCTCATTCGTTTCCAGAAGCCCGGGCCAGTCTTGACATCGGCGACACGCTCAACAGTGAAAGCATTGTATCCAATTTGGCCCAGGAAACCGAACAGAGTAAACATGACTGCGCCTGGAATGGCATGTGATCGGCCGCGCGTGAGCAAGCCCACTGCGCCTCCTGTGATGCCGCCGGAGATGGAGCTGGCTATGATCAGATCCGACGGAGTCTGGTGCTGAGGAGTCCATGCGTGGAGAATGGTGCTGCGACAGCTCCAGTAGGTTGCGCCTAGGGCGAATGATTGCAATGCTGACACCCCACCGAAGAGGACTGGAGGGACGCCTTTGACAATTCCAGCGGTGCCACCAAAGAGAAAGCCAACGGCTCCTGATGAGGACGTTAGTGGTACTGTACAGACGCTACTCCACAACCATACAAAGGAAAACAATGAGAGGTTGGTCACATTGATTTGATGGAATGTTCGTACCACAAGCCACGCCAACCTTGGCCGAAGAGGCGATTGTGTCGGACAAGGAACTCGGGGCCATTTCTGGGAATCGATGGCTCTTGTACGCCTGACCAACTCCATCCATCACCAGTCGCGGTCAAATCATGCTGAAAAGGAGATTGAGGACGTCTTGTGCCACGCCAACGAGGAGTGAAGGTCGTACACGCCCGGGGTTTAGAGTTGTGGCGTTTCGGCGCGATGGAGCCGCAGCGGGTTGGCCCGCACTGCCATCGCTTTTTTCGAAGAGCGAATTCAAATATTCTCACCCACGCGCCAGACTTCACCCTCGACCTTCCCCTCACCACCTCGAGCGCAGCACCCCGCCAGCGCTCTCAACACACATCCACCGACACACCACACCAGGAGGCCCTCTGTCTCCTTCGCTCAACCAGTTCAAGCGCCGCGCAGACGACTCGTCTGCCGACATCTGCCCAGCATGGGTACGCTCTTCCCCACCTTCTCCGCGACGGCGCCGACGTCCTCGACATCGCAGAGCAGGCGCCGTCATCCTTGTGTGAACTGTTCGCTGACGATACATGTACAGCGCCCAAGAAGAAGCAAGAGAAGATGAATTTGGGGGAGTTTTTGACGAATCAGTGTATGCATACTCTGGCGCCTTCGCGAGGGGCAAGATGCACGCGATGCGACATCTGTGCCTGCACGCCCTGTCACTACAAGAGCTGACACATTTCACGCACAGCATTAGGATCATGGGCCGACGAAATGGACTCTCAGCCCATCCCGGCCATGTCAGGCTACGGCCGCGACCGTGACGGCGGTGAGCGTCGTGCCTTCACACAACCTTCGTGGGAGAGAACCAGCGGTGGCATGGGCGGCGGCATGGGCATGGATCGGGGGTCGAGCTATGGTGCATACAACTACGTCCACGCTCACTCCCTCCAGTGTTAACGATGTTGCAGATCGTCCTCGATTCTCCGACCGCGAAGAACTCCCCCTCCCCGACAAGCCCCCGTACACGGCTCATCTCGGCAATCTCACCTACGACGTCACGTCTGTCGATATCGAGACCTTCCTCAAGGATTGCAAGGTCACGAATGTGCGCATCGTCGAAGACAAACTCGACCACAAGCCCAAAGGCTTCGGCTATGTCGAGTTTGCGACCCTCGAAGGCCTCAAACTAGCCCTCACCTTTAGCGAATCGAATTTCATGGGCAGGAACGTGAAGATTAGCATTGCCGAGCCACGTACGTTCATTGTTCGAGATTACAGCACTGGTACTGACCTCCCCTTAGCCAAAGACCGCGAGTCCACTCGTGACTTCTCCGACTGGTCACGCAAAGGCCCACTCCCCGATCTCCCGCAAAACACCCGCCAGCCTTCGCGCGGCTTCGGTGCCCCACGCAATTTTGACAACATGTCTGACGCCGGCAGCGAGCGTGGCGGAAGTCGGCGTGGCTTCTTCGAGAGCGACAACAAGGTAAGAGACTTTTCGAACTGGGAGCGTAAAGGCCCCCTTTCCCCACCCCCCAGCACCGCACCGACGAGAGAGGGAGGAGGGTTTCGGGAAGGAGCACCACCGATGGAGAGACGGCAGAGTCCGGCATGGGGCGAGGCAAGGACGGAGGGATCGAGGCCGCCCAGGAAGGAGTTTGAGCCGAGGCCGCCGGTTGAGCGCATCCCGACTGCAGCAGAGCAAGACACCCAGTGGAGGGCACGGATGCAGCCAGACCGCTCTCCTGCTCCGACTCCCGATGTCTCTACGCCGTCGTCGCCTCAACAACAGGCACCGAAGGAACGCCCGAGGCTGAACCTTGCGAAACGCACTGTATCCACCGCGGTTGACGCACCCGCCGCGAGCACCACGTCGGATTCCAAAGCGTCTCCGTTCGGCGCAGCGAAACCGATTGACACCGCAGCGAGAGATCGCGAGGTTGAGGAGAAGCGGGAACTGGCCATCCGGTCGAAGAAAGAGGCAGAGGAGAAGGAGAAGGCGGACAAGATTGCCAAGGAGGCGGCGGCCAGAGCAGCACGTGCCGATCGTGCGGATCAGGGCCAGGCGCAGGAAGACACCGGTGTCACCTCCCCTGGCCCGGAGGCGGGAAAGACTCGCAAACCATCGCGTCAGCAGAACGGGGCCAAGCCGGTGCCCAACCAGAACGGCGAGGCGGCTCCTCAAGCGGCTAAGCCGAGTTTCAAGGTCCTTCGTCGCGACACCGACGGCGGCGATGATGGAGAAGGCGTGCCCGCGGAAGGCGAGGAGGATGCAGAGGTACCAGCTAACGGCAGTGCCATCGCACCCGAGCCGACGGAAGTGGTCAAAGAGGTCGACGCGACCGGCACACCCGATGCCGAGAGCACGGCCGAGGTGCTGGAAGACGACGGATGGAGCACAGTCCCCGCGAAGGGCAAGAATGCTCGTCGTGGCGGTCAGCGCGCCGTTGCATCTTAAACTGGTGCTTTACCCCTCCCCCCTCTACTGGTCTCGCTGGCATCCTTTTCACGCCGGCGACAAAAGCTGGACACCCACACACCGTCCTCGCGACTCTTAACGTCGGGTTACGGCGTGTCTCTCACACATGTATACATACGGCGACGACGACGCGTTTCACTCTCACGGCTCTTCTCTCTCTCACGGACAGGTAGTCAGGAAGAACGGCATTCTGGAGCAAGTGTTGTGTCCCCATCGCATCTCCGCTGCTGTTAGTTGTTTCTCCCCGTCCGTTCTCATGGCGCATGCAACAGGCTGGGAGCGCAAAAAGGGAAATGGAATGGCATGAATGGTGTTTTCGATTCGAATTTCATACGAGCGAGGAATGAAGGAAGGGCTTTGGGGGGAAGAGAGAGCCTTGCTTCTCCTCCTTTTGTTCTCTACTCTGCCTGGCTGTGGTGGGTGGGTGGAGTGATAGGTAGTCAGTCTCGAGAATGGAAAGGAAATGCGAAAGTTCAATGTTTCATGCATGCGTTTGAGGTGTGTTGCGGTTGGTGAGGTGAGTGGTTGCTGTTTCTGTAACTCAAGCTGTTCACTCGATGACCCATCAATCCAGCTGCAGTTGGCTTATGAGGATCGGACATCACAGCTCGCAGGCGCAGCATGGCTTGCATATGTAGAGATTCGGCCCCATTCTGTACCCCGCATCTCATTTTGATGGCGGTGTGCGTCTGGTTGTGAGGATAGAAGCTCGGGTCACTTTTCTTTGTTCAAGGAACGATGACTGATCCTCTCTCCGTCAGCGCGGGCGTCGTTGGCCTCGTCGTTCCAGCCCTCCACGGCGCCCGACTCCTCCTAGACGACGTACGAAAGATCATCGATGCCCCTGCCGTCATAGAGCATTTGAAAGCAGACCTGACCTCTCTAGACGCCACCGTGGAATCTCTCCAAGCTATCGAGGAAGAAGACTGGGCACTACTCGGCGACGCCGTAACCTCGCACGCAAAATCCGTCATTAACAACTGCGACAAGGCATGTCGCACCTTTCACGCGGACCTTGCGCGCTGGACGCGGCGATCACCGGGTGGCAAGCTGTCTTGGAGGGACCGGGCGAAGCTTGGGTTCTTCAAGGAGAGTCAGATCAAGGCTATTTCGCAGCAGTTGCAGAGTTGTAAGATTACTTGCGGGAATGTTGTTGAAGTGGCGACGTTGTATGTCCACGTTCTTCGCAGCCTTGTCGGCTGGGTGATTGACGGTTTTCCAGATACAGTTCATTGCGGAATAATCGCCTCACGCAAGAGATGAAAGATGCCCTGGCGGCGAAAGAGACAGACCTCATCGGCTTTTCCAAAGCTACCGATACGCGTCTCGCGGACGTCGAAGCTTCTCTAGCACAGATGCAGCTCGTCGATGTCACTACACAGGATGACGGCGCAGTGGACGATCTCATGAGTGCCGTTGCACAGCTTGAGGAGGAATTGGTGGCTTTGAAGGCTTCCCGTGAGCTTGTCCCTGAACTACTGTCGCGTGTTAGTAAGGAGGAGATTGCGAGGCTTGCTGCGGGTGATCAGAGGTCTACGACGACGGTGACGTTTGGTAATAGCAATTCTGGTTTCCTGGTTGGGGTCAACTCGGGTTCGATTGGTGATGTTAGGGTGAGAAGTGATGGCGGACGTGCTAGAGGCTCTAGGTAAGCAAGCAATGTGTTATACTATCGCTGTAGGTCACATCTACGTACTCAAAAGAGGCATTCGAGCTGCAAGCACTTCGTCAGTCCTGGTCTTCGCGAGCAATCGTCCGCAGCCTTAGGCGTGAGGGCATTCAACCATGCCCCCTACGTCCTAGCGCCATCGAGGGTGCGGGGTTGCGCCGTGCTCGCCTTTGGGTGCCCTGCGCGCGCAGCTCAACACTGCTTTTCAACAATGATGCGACGTGTCGAGGGCGGCCATGGCAGGTGCAAGCACAAGCGTCAGCTTCGGAGGCAGTAATACAGGCTTTCTGGTGGGCGTAAACTCGGGTTCCATTCAACACAACGAGTTCCACCTTCCCCCGGGTGGGTTTAGGCCGAACGGCCCGTGACGGGGCCCGCCATAACTTACCGATCTTCAGAGCGACCGGAAAGCCGACCTCAGCCTTCCACGAATGTGCCTTTCCGGCGCAATAGAAACTTTGTCGAACGTGCCGGTCTCCTGGACCAACTCGACAAGAGACTCTCCATCGCTGGGGGGAGAGTCGCTCTGGTTGGCCTTGGTGGCATCGGGTAACGTCGATGTAGAGATTGGCCAAACGGTACGGATCGTGCTGATGGAGATGTAGCAAGACACAACAAGCCGTGGAGTACACATATCGAGTGCGGCAGCGATCGCCCGATACGTGGGTACATTGGATCAATGCGACTTCCCGCGCGCAGTTCGAACAGAGCATCCGAAGCATTGCGGATCGAGCGCGCATCGAATGGCGCGATGATCCGAATGCGGACGTGTCGCAGCTGTTTAGGGTTTGGCTTGAGGATACTCGGAATGACCGATGGCTGGTCATCTTGGATAATGCCGACGATGCAGGCTTTCTCGTGGAGCGTCCACCGGCGGAGCAAGGACTCGTTACCCGTAGCCTGTTCGATTGTCTGCCGGTTTGCGAACATGGCGCGGTCCTCATCACGAGTCGAAGCAGAAGCGCGGCTTTGAAACTCGTGGAACACGACGAGATTGTTCGCATTGACCCAATGCACGAGGAAGGTGCTGTGGTATTGCTAGGCCAAAAGCTCGGCGATGATACTGAAATAGCACCGTTGAAAGAGCTTGCGGCCGCGCTGGAGTACATCCCGCTGGCCATGATACAGGCAGCTTCATATATCAAGCGCAGAGAATGGAGGAGCTCGGTGCAAGACTATCTCCGCGAACTACAGCGCAGCGACGAGTCGCAGACGATGCTCTTAGACGGTGAAACGGATACGGTCGTTATGCGGACGTGGCTGGTCTCTTTTGAGCATATCTCGCGCACGAGGAAATCAGCAGCGGATCTGTTGTCCATCATGAGTCTGTGCGACCGCCAGGGTATCCCTGAGCTTCTACTCCGCGGACAAGACAATGCAGAGAAGCGCAGGAAATTTGATGAGGACATCGAGGCCCTGCTCGGATTCTCCTTTATTGGTGCACAAGTGAGTTCCGACGGCACAACGTTTGAAATGCACAGACTCGTGCAACTGGCCACGCGAAAATGGAGAGCGGCGTGGAGTGAGCTGAACGGGGACGTCGAGGCGTTCGTCTGCAAGCTGGACGACACGTTCCCCCTAGGGGCAAAAGATGGCGAAAACTGGGATGCATGTCAGGCATGGTTGCCGCATGTAAAGTCAGCCATGGGGTTTGCGCCAGACAGTCGGGATGGGCGGCTTCGATGGGCATCAGCGATGAGCAAAGCGGCCGAGTATGCCTCGAGCAAGGGCGGAATCTTCATGTGGAGTCAAGCAACAGAAATGACAGAGCGATGCTGGGAGACGAGGAAGGCTTTACTTGGAGAGCAGCATCGGGATACGCTGGTGTCGATGAGGGTACTCGCGGATTGCTACGCCTGGAATGGAGAGTACAAGAAATCGGCCGCCGTGCGAGAGCAGTGCTTGAAGATGCAGGAAAGCACGCTTGGCGAGCGGCACAGGGAGACCCTTCTAACGATGAGTGCAATCGCACGGGCGCACAACGATCTCGGAGACTATGAGCGGGCCAAGCATATGGCAGAGCGATGCTGGAAGATCGCGAGAAAGGAGTTCGGTGAGAACGATGGGCAAACGCTTCAAGCGATGACCCGGCTCGCATGGAGCTATCACTGTCTAGGAGACGATAGAACGGCTGCGGAGCTGGGAGAGAGATGCTGCGAGATGGCCGCGAAAGAGCTCGGGGAGGAGCATATAATCACGCTTGACTCGATGGGGGCGCTGGCAGTCTTCTACAGTGCACTGGGAGAGTCTAGGAAGGCCGTGGAAATGGGCGAGCAATGTCTGAAAATTCGAATCGAAAGATTCGGAGAAGACCATCCGACCACGCTGTTGGCGATGATGAATCTGGCAGACTACTACTACCACCTCGGAGACAGCAGGAAGGCCATCGTGACCGGAGAGCGATGCTGGGAAATGCAGAAGAGGAAGCAGGGCGACAATCACCCGGGCACGCTTGGAACGATGGGGAATTTGGCGGTTTACCTGCGGGCTGACGGTCAAATTGCGCCTGCTACCCTGCTCCTTGAGGACTGTGTTGCGCGATCAACTGCCAAGCTGGGAAGCGACTATCCCATCACCGAGATGCGTGTTTCTCTGCTGAAAGAGTGGCAGCAACCAACACCGCGACAACGGCTGCGAGATCGCTTTCGGCGAATGCTTAAATAGCCACAGATGGAAGTCCTCAATCCTCCTCTTCTTCTTCTTCCTCCTCACTCTCCCCCTCATCCGTCCCCTCCAACTCCTCCCCGGCAACTCCAGCCCCCCTCCTCATCTCCCCCAACACCTCCCTAACCCCCCGCCCAAACATGCGAAACCCCCTCTTACAATTCTCCAACCGCATCATCAGCCTTACAACCGCCTGCCCATCAATCCGACTATCCGCACTCGCAGCGCGAATCTTCCTCGCATGCGCCAGCAGCGCGCGCTCCAGCTGCAGCGACGTAGCGCCCGCGCGCTGCAGATCTACATCTGGGAGAGCGAGCGAGGACCAGCCGGGTAAATTCGACAAGCGAAGATCGAAAGTGAAGGTTACGTGTACTTTTGCTTGCGGGGCGGCAGCAGTTCCGCAATGCGTTTGGAAGAAGAGAATGTATGTCGCTGCCTCGATTGGGGGCGCGCGAGCGGGAGCATTAGGATCCAGCGGCGTGTGAATACTCACTCGCCGGATCGCACCCGCGTTGCGCGCGCCTATCGCATCCAACCATGCTGTGAGGGATTGATGGATTGTAAAAGGCGACTTCTCGGCTGAAGGCGGCTCGCCTATTTGCCGGATTTGATGGCTGAAGGTCGTGTGCAGGTGGATTTCGTTGAGGGCGTAGGGGAGGGTGGACGTTTCGGCGCGGAGGAGGGCGCTGGTTTGCGTTAGGGCGAGGGGGTGAGTGGCGGGTGCGGGGTTGGTGAGGGCGGGTTGGTGCGGGCCGCGGGTGGTGTTGAAGGAGAGGTGCAGGCCGGTGGGGTGGTGCAGGGCGTGGGTGTAGATTTGGTCGCGCAGTTCGCGGGGAAGGTTGAGGAATGGGGAGATCGACATTGTGGTGGAGGGAAGGTGGGAGGTTGGTGGGGTAGGGTGGGATGAGGTGAAGTTCGAGCTTCGACTGCAGGCCGCCAGATTTGGAGGCATGCACAATACAACATAGACATTTTATGCATTTTTTGGGGGATATTGATTATATGTTTAGATATAGTGTCTTTACGTTTATGCAAAATGTTAAGGCGATGGCTATTTCCATCATATAGTAGGCCACACAGTCATTCATCATTTCGTAGGCCAGCATCTTGCCTTATCCAAGGCATGCACCAATCATCGCCCAAACAGTTGAGGACTCGAAAGTCAGAGCCTTCTTCATCCCTCTCACACTCAATAAGCACTGACTCCCACCCACCGACTTGGCACGCTCTTTCCTCGTCTCTCCGCCTCTCCCACCGCAATCCCATCCCGCCTCGGCGGCAGCCAAATCCTCGCCTTGCCCATCTCCAACTTGCCCTCGCGCTTCATATTCATCTCCAGCACGACGACGCGCAAAAAGTCGCTATTCTCGCGCAACTCCCGCTGCCGCACGCCCGCCGCGCCCAGCACCGCCCTCCCGAGTTCCGATTCGGGATCAACGCCGCCGCGGTGTTTGGCCGGGATGGCTTTGCGTTTGTTGTAGGTCGTCATTTGGATTGTGGGCGCGCCGTTGGCGCTGCGCTGTTGGGCGAGGTAGGGGGCGTGCAGGGCGAGTTGGAAGGGGGCTTCTTGCTCTTCGAACGTGAGGGGGCTGGTTTGGGGGTTGTGGGGTGCGACATCGGGGGTTGCGGGGCGGATTTCGGGGCTTAGACGGGGGAAGAGGAAGGGGTGGGACCAGAGGACGTCGTCGGAGAAGGGGGAGGGCGGGCGGCGTTGTTGTGTTGCGGGCTTGCTGAGGGAGGAAATGGAGTTGAGTGCGGCGGCTTTCAGGGCTTGGAGGGAGGTGGTCAGGTTGGATGTGAAGGAGGCTTTCGGCTTGGGTGGAAGTTTCTTGACTTTGTAGGGTGCGGGGAGGGCGAATTCGTTGCCAGCAACATCATCGTGGGGGGTTGGGGCGAGCGGGTGGTCGAGGGTGCACTCTGCGGTCGGGGCGACGGAGCGTGAGCGCACTCTTCGGAGAGTGGACATGGATTTTCGACTGCGCAGCGAGCCGGGGGTGGAGGGGGTGGTGTTGTTGGAGAAGACGGAGCGGTCGTCGGCATCGAGGGATGGGACGGAATCCGAGGATGTCGAACGCTCGCAGTGGGGGAAGCTGACTCCACTCCGTGGGGTGGGAAGAGGCTCCTTCTCCTCCTCGCCGTCATCGAGGAGGAAGGCCAGGGTTGGGCTGGCACTGCAGCTTGTCGCGAGGCTGGTATCATTCTTCCACTCATTCACCAGCTCATCAATAGAAATGCGTCGCTCCGGCTTGGCCCGATAGCGGCGAAATTGCGAGGGCTTCGGCCGGGGAATCTGGGTGACGGCGAGGAGGGCGGCGACGGATGGGGGTAGGGCGGATGCATCGTGAGCAGCGGCCTGCCGTCTCCTGCCCGCCGGCGCGCTGTGGGTGTGAAGGAGTGTCGTCTGAGCGGACGGTTTGCGCTCGGGAGTGCGGACGGGGATGGGAGGAGTGGCGGCGCGGGTGGTCTGGGGCGGCGACGACGAAGCCTTCATCCCGTCCTTCCTCTTGCCACGGGGTTGCGGCATGTCTCTGTGCTGTCTGCTCGACCTCTTCTCATCCAGCACGGCCTGCGGGGAGGATGTGGCGTAGGTGTAGGCGCGCGGAAGCAGCATGATTTGGGTGGTGGTGGAGGTGGGCCAGCTTGACCATGGGCAGGAGGGTGATTCGAGCGGCTTAGGGACACGCGAGCAATGAGTGGACGGGCGAAGAAGGGCGATGCGACGTGTGACGTTGGCTTCAGCCCCGGCTTTAGTTGGCAGTTTAGCCGGCGCCGCTGCCCGGTTTCTATGTGGTAATAATGGTGGGGAGTCGCCGCGAGTTTGTCTCAGGGTCACGCCGGCATGGCGAGGGGGAGGGATGTGGTGTAGAGATGGAGTGGGATAATGAGTGGGAGGATGGTGGTGAATATGAGAATGGATGATGGATGATGGGGGAGAGGAAGGAGGGGAGATGCGTGCGTGTCTTAATCAGTCCCGACAGCTGATAAGGCAGCTCCGGGCGACGCGTGATTGGGGGAGAGTGAATGCATCACGTCTACTACACACGCATACTATGAGCAAATGGGGTGTAGATGACGACGAGCTCGACATCCTTCACCTCTTCTTGGAACATCCCGTCCATCCTCCTCTCCCTTCGTCTGCCATCTGGTGCTCGTTGCAGCCATCCCGGCATTCGACCGTTTCGGCTGGCCGAGGCACGCTAGAAGGATGGAAGAAGCTTCCACCCCGGACTTGGGAGGTTTGTGCGGTGGGCATGCATGTCCTGCTCATCATTTCTCCACCGGCTCATCAAGTAACCTGGACTGCATGCATGTGGGCACTCGTCAGCCTGATTCAGCGGCTCCTTGGCGCCAGTCCACGAATGCAACGTGCGTATGCACCCCATGGGAAGGGGCGCGCCGGGTGGATTGCACCTTCCCCGGTATGGGCTGATGGGCTCAGGCTGATTGGCTGCAGATAGAAGGCCCGGCGCCACGTGCCTGGGCGGGCGTTGTTCTGGGCTGGACCCCTGCCTTGCAACTTGCCTGGCCTGGGCAGCTGCAAAGATGTGGGTGGGGGGGCCGAGTCTCATCTTTTTTCACCAGAATGGATGTCTTGGTAAGGTCGGGTCCCAAGGATGCATTTCCAATCCCACCCCCAATGCTGGGCCGGGTAATCTACAAGACTAAAGGCCTTCCCCCGTGCTCCTCCTCCTCTTCAGACACCTTCTCCCTCCTCACCCCGTTCACCCAACGCGCCATCATTGCGTCTCCGTGACGACACCAACTTCCGCTCTCGCCACCCCACGACTCCTCCTCCTCTACCTCCACCACCACTCTTCACCCACCTCCCCCCTCCCCATCTCCCCCCCAAAATGCTCTCCATTCACGCCCAAACCGCGGAGCCCCTTCCCCAATACATCGCCCGCAAAACCCAGAAATTCCTGCACCCCCACCTCCCCTCCGTCAAACGCACCATCTACGAAGCAGGCCGCACCACCCGCTCCACCGCAAACAGCACCGCGCCCTTCTTCCGCCTCCCCACCGAGCTCCGCAACGCAATCTACCTGCAACTCCTGCCCAGAAACCGCGAAGTGAAGCGCTCCCGGCACCCGCGCGCCCAGCCCCGCCTGCCCGCCCTGCTACAAGTCTGCCAGCAAATGCGCGCCGAAACGTACCCCATCTTCTTCGCGGCCAACAGCGTCTTCATGACGCTGCAGCACCTCACCCAACACCCCCGCAGTCCTCTCCTCATGCGCTCGACCCTCAACCTCCTCCCCGACAAGCCCGGCACAGACCTGTGGCGCAGCGTGCGCATAGAGTGCTCCTCCCGCTGCTTCCACGCCGACGGCTTCGCCGTCCTCTCCAATATCGACATTTTCATTGATCGCGCGGCGCAGACTATTCGCTGTCAGCCGCGCGCTGCTGCGCACTACTTGCGTCCCTGCTGTCAGCGCGCGCAGAAGGAGTTTGGCGCGAAGTTGTTGAAGGAGTTGCAGGCGAGGGAGTTCCATATTGGGCGGAAACGGTTGCGGAAGGAGGATTTTGTGCGGTTGGCCAAACGCATGGACGAGAGTAGGGGCGATTGGCCCAAGAGTGGGAAGAGGGTGATTCCCCAGCGATTCGTACGGTTATGATGGTGATGATGACGGTGGAGTGACGAGCAACGCATGGTTTATGACATTTACCTCGAAACGATAGAATACAAGGCAGGAAACGGGCGGAACAAAAGTATCCAGCATTTCAAGGAGCACGAGAGAAAGAAAAGAGAGCCGGATTTTATGCACTTCATCAGAGTTATAAAACGGGAGAGAAAAGGAACGCCTCGCTGGCCCCAAACCAATAACCACAAATACTTCCAACTCGCCAACCTTCTAACGCCCTGCCGTGAAAATCGTACACACACACACACACACACACACACACACACAAGCCGCCGTTTCAAAACGTCTCCACCCCCTCCCCATCATCCGTCCAAACCCCCTCGCTGATCCTCTCATACTGCTGCTGCTGTGGCGCAAACTGCTCCCGCTGCACCCTCTTCACCCCACCCGCGCTCCTCTCCTCCCAACCCGGCGCCGGCCGCTTGGATCCCTGCTGCTGCTGGGAAGGCGCTCGCGCATATCCCTCCGCCTCCTCCGTCTCCGACGTATCCGTGTACGACTCCCAATTCTCACTCCCGCAGACCATCACCACGCTGCTGGCGCCAGCAGACGCAACGGAAGATGTATTACTCGGGTGCCGGGAGGGAGGGGCAAGGGGGTAATCGGATCTAGGTGGGGGCTTGTGGGCGGTGTAAGCTGCTCGATGAGAGGGGGGAGGAGGCATAGGCTGGAGGCGGTGTTGGGAGGGGTGCTGTTTCGTGGCGTACATGTCGTGATAGGGGTCTTCGGGGTCGACGTGTCGGACTACACTTGCGCTGCGGTCGGGATGGGGCGCGTTTTCTTTGTCGTAGGTTGGTGTGGGCGTGGGAGGGATGAAGAGGTCTTTCATTTTGGGCGGCGGGGGGGCGGTTCTTGCTGTGCCTAGGCGGGTGGAGGTTGCTGCTTGAGGCGCGGCTTTGGGGCGGCGTTCGGGGGAGTTGTGGCCGTCGCGCATGGCGCTCATGGGCAGGCGACTGGCGCCGGGGATTTTGGAGGGGCTGGTTTTGGCGGCGTGCGTGGTGGTTGTGGTGGAGGCCGTGAGGCGCATTGTCGACGCGGCCAGCTGACTCCTACTCAGCGCAGCGGTGGGAGTCTTACTCCTCGACGGCGGCGGAGCGCCTCTCAGCGTTCCATTCCTGCTGGGTGGCTGTGATTTTGCGGCGCTCTTGGGCGCGTCTCTCGCCGGCGCCAGCGCATTCGGCGTCTTGCTTCTAGCAGGCGGTGCTTTGGCCGGCCTTGCCTCGAGTTCCTCCAGGTATGGCTCGCCGTGCACGCAGAACGGCCTGCCGTATTCTTCCTCCCACGCCTCTAGAGTCTTCTTCAGCTCGGCCTCCACTTTGGGCAGCTCCTTTGTAATGCGCTTGCGCATCTTCTCCTCTCGCAACAACTTTCCGGGATCGCGCTTCTCGCCCGATTTGGCGCCTTTGGCCATCAGTCGGCTGGCGTCGTTGCTGCTCTTCTCTAGATCCTCGCGGTCTTTGATGAGACTTCGATGCTTCTCCACCGCAGCCAGAATCGGCGCACGCTGGCCCTTCAACGCCTCTAGCCGTGCGATTTCCTGTTCGTGCGCGGAGAGCAGAGCATCAGAGTAGACGTCGGAGAAAGCTGGGGCAAAGTCGAGCATCTCCTCTTCCGAGAAGTACAGGCTGTCCCACAGCTCCTGAAGCTTGAATCGCGCATCCTCGACAAACAGATGGAGGTTTTGCTTCTTGAGCTCGTTCAGCCGCGACAGCTCGTCTTCGTACTCGTTGATGGTGCGTAGGCCACATCCGCGGTTTGCTGACAGGAATTGCTTCCGTTCCGAATCTTCGATACCGAGACGATCCCAGAGGCCTTCGATGGTCGTCTTGAGCTCCTTCAATCGCTTCTCGCGTTGTGACTTCTCCGCGAGCAGCTTGTCCCGCTTTGATGCCAGTCGCTTGAGATCATCCTGATGCAGACCCAGCTGCTCTGGTGCTTCTCGCGCAAACTGCACAATCTGACTGTCGACTTGTGCCTGAGGTGTGCCGAGTTCCGACCACAGGCTGATGATTTCGTCCGCCGTTTGCGTGACCGTATTGACGCGCTTGTTGTACTCTTCGTATACTCGGGTGAACTCATTGTCCAGCTTGCCCACGTATGTCGGGGACAGGTCGAAGTTGGGAGGGATTTTGGCATTCGGAGCGGTGGGGGGAAGTTTGATGCCGACAAACGCCGGCTCGAGATGTGAGGCGTATGACTCGAGCGCTTCCACCAGCTTCTTGACCTGCTCGTAGCGCTCGCGATGTAATTTGGAGATGGCGTGGTGCTTCTCTTTCAGATGTTGGATACAGTCGAGCAGAGGAAAAGTGACTTGCAGTCCATCGCGTTCGGCGTCAAAGTCATCGTCGGGTCGGGTGTCGTCGAGGGAGCGCTCCATCTGGCGAATGGTCTTGACGAGACGTTGCGCTTCCTCTGTGAGGTCGTGTTTCTCTTTCGCGACGAGGTTGAGTTGGTTGTGTAGGGTTTCGGAGAGGGCGGAGAAGAGCTGTGTCTTCGCATTAGTAGGCGGCATGTTGGAGAAGTGTGTTAGCATCTCACCTCCGACTCGCGTGAATCGCGCTCATGACTGGGCACGCCAATCTCGTCGAAGAAGCCATGCAGGCGCTCGATGATGGTCGTCACCTGTTGAGACAGATAGCTGGTGTCCATGGCGTCGGCATTCGTTGGCGATTGTCTCAGGCGCGTAGCTTCAACCCGCCGATCATGGACGTGGGAAGAATGTGGTTGCTGCTGGCGAGCCTATCGGCCGCTGCGGATGTGGTAATGATTGCAGGGCAGCAAGTGACAGCGTCTCGCAAATGCGCGAGTTTGAGGCAGTGATGGGAGAACCAGTGTTTGTGCCTTTTGCATTTCAAGTTCTTTGCGGATCAGGTAAGCTGGAGCTGGTCGATCGTCGGAGCGTGGATGATGTGGTGCTCGCAAACAACGGGTCGTTGTCCCTGGCAACCCCCGGTCGAGGCAACTTTGCCGACTCCCTCTATTCCTGTGTGACATTGCATCGCACTGCATCCTGATGATTACGAGGAGATGTCGTGTTCTGTCGCACGAGGAATGGGCAGTTGTGTACAATCAATGGTGCCTGGCCTGTCTGATAAAAGTTTGTGGTGGCCGTGTCCCTCTGGCCAAGGCGTCCCTGCCGGCCGCGTCGAACAGCCTCTTGTCGAGTTTGTAGAGTCTCTGAAGTTCAACACTGCCAGACCTCTAAGCAGCTGGTGACACTCTCCTCCATGGCCACGTGAAGAACTACCGAATGGCCGTGTATGAGTAGCTTTCGCGGTTGGAAGAGTTTGGTGGAGGAAGAGCTGCACGTCGGCGTCCTGTCGTGGCGGGGCCCCCACTTCTGCAGCGTCAATCCAACCGCACCTCAAGATCTTTCTCCTCCAACGACCTTCTTGGTCTCGACACTCCTCACTTGGATACCACATCCACGGCGGAATGCAAATGACACCATGAGCCGGCTTGCTAGCCTCGCGAACGCTCGCAACACCTCGCATTGAGAGCTAAAGGCCAGCCAACCATGACCCTCCACCTCACCACAACCCTTCGATAAGCACATCGTGCACCCTCTACCTCACCACTGAATCTCCCTCCCTACTCTGTCGCAATGGCTACCGAAGAATTCAATCAACTCCTCAACGGCTCCTCCTCCCGCCTCACAAACCATCCCGAAGACAACGACGTCGCCGAGCGACTTTCTTCCACCCACCTCTCCTCTGACGAAGATGATCGCGCTCCAGCTGCAACTCAGCACCCGGAAGATGATAACGAGCCCCTGTCCAGCAGACCGTACAACACTGTTGTTCCGCAAAGGAGGTATCAGGCTAATACGGGGCCGAAGGGGGTGATTGCCGATGCGCAGAAGTTCCGCGAGGCGAGGAGGGGGGTGAATGGTGCGCAGAGAATGAATGGTGGTTCTGGGATTGCACAGCAGGAGGACAAGGACGCGGGAAAGAAATTTGGCGATCGCGAAAAAGCAGAGAAAGGAGAAAGGTCAGATGATGACTTCGATGGACTGGACGACGACGAAGACGACGAGTTCATGGCGAGATGGCGCTCGAGTAGAATGCAGGAGATGCGCAAAGGCGGCGCCTCCGCATACAAGACCCAAACAACCCAGCGAGGAGCACGAACATACGGCTCCCTCTCCACCGTCGACGCCGCCGGCTACCTGCACGCCGTCGACCACTCTCCCCCCGGCACGCTGGTGCTCGTGTACATCTACGACGACGACTCGGACGTGTCCATCGCGATTGAAGAGGCGCTGCGCGACCTTGCGCAAATGCGGCCCAGTGTCAGGTTCGTGCGGCTGCACTTTGTGGAGGCGGAGATGGAGCCCGCGGGCGTGCCGGCGCTGCTGGCCTATGTGGATGGAGAGAAGTTTGCGGGCTTGGTGCCGGTTGTGGATGAGTTGCCTGATGAGGGGGAGCTGAGCGCGGAGACTTTGGAGGGGGTTTTGAGGAGGTATGTTCTGATTTGTGTTTTGCTTTGCGATGTGAAGGTGACTGATGAGATTTGCAGACATCGGATTCTGCGATGACGATGAAGGGAACAAGACGGACTTCAGTCCATTGCGTTGGATTCGCCCTTCCCCACGCAGGCTGTCTGTGAGGAAACACAACTCTTCCTCGCTCTGAGAGATATTCCAGCGCCCTGAGGCGCAGGTGTGGGGCACGACAGGATACATGCGGGAGCCTGATCTGGACAAGGTGCTATGATGACAGCATTTCAAGAGGAAATAGCACTCGGAGCGTAGGTGACATCAACCCTCAGAGCCAAAGGGCTGGCAAGGAGAGGACTGCATGCACGTTGGAGAGGAATTTGACATGCGAGTTCAGTGCGATACACGCATAGCACTACGCATAGCACCAACCACCCCCTCCCTCACTTCAATCCACCCCTCCCTCCATCAACTCAATGCTCCTCCGCCTCCTCCGTAAACTTGGTATAAGCCTGCGAATCCATCAACCCCTCCGTCTCACTCACATCGCTCAACTCAATCCGCGCCAACCACCCGTCCCCCTCGGGACTCGCATTAATCGTCCCCGGCTTCTCCTCCAGCACCGAGTTGGCCTCGGTAATGCGGCCCGACACAGGACTCAGGATGTCCGAAGCGGATTTCACGGACTCGACTGCGCCGATCGTTTCGCCTTTGCTCACTTCGAGATCGGCGGTGGGGAGTTCGACGAAGACGACGTCGCCGAGGGCTTTGGCGGCGTAGGTGGAGATGCCGATTGTGCCTTGTAATGTTTGTGTTAGAGGTGGAGGACTGAGGGGAGTGGAAGGGAGTGGAGGGTACCTGTCTTGCCGTCGCTGCCAATTTCAATCCACTCGTGGTCTTCGGTGTACTTTTTCTCGAATGCTGCAATCCCGTCTTTTAGCTGGCTGTCTACCGCACGATCTGTAGAGGGGAAGGCGTACCTCTCGCGCCGACGCAAAAGGTTCGTGTTGGGTGGGAGGTGCGTGGGGCTTGCTGCCATGTGGGACGCAGAGAGCGGGAGGAGAGGGTGGTGAGGCGTTGTATCGCTCGGCTGGCCATCATCGTGCGGACTGTGCACCGAGCACACGTGACAAGATGGGGAGAGGTATGTGATGCACTCAGCAGGGTCGTCAGTTGAGGAGAAGTGCAGGGTATCGCTCCAAGATTGCTGTGAAGGAGTTGGGTAAGAAGTGCGGTTGGACATGGCCTAAGAGCGAGCTGGAGGTGGACTATCCAATGGCCGGAGATTGAGATAAGATTAGATCTTGACTTGCTTGTCGACCTCTCGCGCTTCTTTTCCCTTTCATTCCATACCTTCTCTTCTCTTCCCATCACCAATGATCCCGCGATAGCAGCATGCTCTATGAGCTCATCGGCGTAGTAAGTCGCACCTCGTCGCACACCCACATCCACTCCCAACCCGACACCCACTAACACGGGCAATCCACAGGTCCGCCCCGGCAGACAACTCAGCGAAATCAAAGAGTCCGTCTCCCCCATCCGCATCCCATCCCATCCCCATCCTCCTCCAACCACCCTCTAACAACCCACCAGAATCGCCCGCACAACCGGCAACCTAGTCCTCACCTCGGGCGGCGTAGTGCGCGGCATCAGCAACTGGGGTACCTTCCTGCTCCCGCACCCGGCCAAAAAACTCGGCGCAACGTACCACGCCGGCCACTACTTTATCCTGCGCTTCGACGCCGCGCCCAAGACTCAGCATGTGGTGCGGCGCACGCTCGGCCTCGACCCGCGCCTGCTGAGGTACAGTCTTGTCAAGATGGGGAGTAAGCTGGAGGAGATTAGTGATGTGGCGGGACGGGCGGAGTGGGGGGGTGGTGAGGCCGGGCGGTGAGATGGGGTTTTCTTGATGGAGGGTTGGTCTTACGTGCATGGGATGGAGTGAGGAGTGTGTGGGCATGCTTTTGCATGGTGGGAGGCTTTTTATAGAGTATCAATGATTCAAATGCCAAAGAACGCCAGTTGGACTTCTTTCGCCGCGCTATGCAACAGTTCACAATCCCGCTTTTTCACTATAAGACGTTAGCTAAACCCATTCACCCTCGATGTCCGTCTATACGCCGGTTCGTCATCCTGAAATCACAGTCAGCTTCATCTCACAACCTCACATACTCATTCAAAGGGAGCAAATCATACCTCAAGAAACCCAGTAACAAGCAGCAGCGTCCCAAACTCCTCGGCAACCTGCAACGCCTCCTCCTCCGGCGGCCCCGCCGTCTTCTGCACCGCGCTCGTCCGCTTAAACACCGCCTGCATACTAAACCTATTCTGCTGCAAAAACGCCTTCCCCTGCTGCAGTACGTGCGCATTTGCGGGCCCACGCGCCATCACCACGGCCGTCACGACGCGCAGCACCGCGGCCAGCATGCGGTAGAATTCGCGCAGCGCCGCCGGGTTGTCGATGTCGAGGCCGATGTCCGGGTCGGTGGAGAAGAGCTTGCTGTCGGCGATGCAGGGGAAGAGGCCGGAGTTGAGCACGAGTTGCGTGCCGTCTGCTGTGGCGGTGATGCGGAGGAGGAGGGCGAGGGAGGTGTGGAAGTAGGCGACGGCGGTGGTGAGTTGGTCTGCGCTGTCGCTTTGGAAGGAGGTCGTTACGCTGCCGAGGCTTTGGTCGAGGAGGACTGGGAGGAAGTTGAGTTTGCTTAGGGCGCGGAGGATTGCGGTGGTGGCTTTGGAGAGTTGGAAGAGGGCTACGACGCCGTCGAGGAAGAGCAGGGCGGAGACGCGGGTGACGCCGCGGCCGGAAAAGGCGTCTTCTGTTACGACGGTGATGAGGCGCTCGCCGGTCGTTTGGATGAGCTGGAGAAGCTGTTTGGCGTTGGGAGACGGCGATGCTTGTCCGTTGATTATCGTGAGTGGCAGCGCGGCGAGAATTGCACAGCATGTGCGGTAGCAGATGTCTCGCAACGCCAGCCCGGACCCGCTGTCCGTAACGACCTTCAGGCATACGCGAAAGGCTGCCAGGAGTCGTTCGTGCGCGAGACTTGCGTTTCGTGTGGCTTTTCCGTCAATGTCACTGGCGGCAGCCACGGGCACGAGCGTGAGAGTCAAGCGCGCGAGCAACGCCGCGGCATCAAGACTTTCGGATAGCGCTCTTTCGAAGCGAGGGAGAATGACTTGGAGGCCCTGTAGAGCTATGGTGCTGAGCTTCGCCCCTGAAAGCCCGTTGGAGGTCGACATAAGCGAGAGGAGGTCCGTCCACGCTTCCAGCGCAGTGAGGCGGGCAGCTTGAATCGAGCGGAAGTTGTTCTGGCTGGTGAGAGATGCAAGAATGGCCCGCACCTCATCGTCCACTTGCTGCTCGTCGTGTGCTTCCTTGATCAGGCCGGCGTGAAGCATCTCACGCTTCCGAAGAATGAGGAGCTGCTCTACCATGGGAAGGTCGAATGCTCTCGTTGTCGTCTCTGCATCGTCTTTGACGCACATAGAGAAGTCGGTATCTTTGAAGAACTTGGTCGTAGCAGTAGATGCAGCGGCCGTGTCCAAGTCGAAGAAGTCGAAGAGATCAAACACGGAAACGGTGCTTGCTTGTTCTCCAGTCGGCAGTTTGATCGTTCCAAGCAACGCACTGACAATTTTCTCTTGTACGGAATAGGCCTGCGCTTCATTTGCAGTCCGAAGGTCGAGCGAGCCGTATTCGAAAAAGTCTCGGCGAGTGCGCAAGAAGTCCTCGACGCCCTTGGCGGAGCTGTCGAGCAGGAGCGTCGGGTCCTGAAGTGCCACCTGGTCCCAAAGGGGATTGGAGAAGACCAGCAGTTGATTCTGCGACGAGGCTGATAGGTATTCCATGGTCCGGAGTTCAGGCAGGACAATCGCAGCGGTCAGAGGAGAGAGCGCAAGCTTGAGAATGATATCTGCGCATCCACGCTTCACCGATAGGAGCCACGAGACATTGCTATCCCCAATGGCGTACGGGGCTTGAGCTGCATAAGCTGCAACGCTGTGGAACAGTGACTGTCCTTGGCTGAATGAGCCGTTGGGATCGATGCTGACAGTTGGTCCGCTGCATGTGAAGCCCAAAAGACAGTGGGCAACAGATGGTCGACCACCGGCCGTATCCAGACTGCTGTTTAGCACATCGACAACTGCTCGGGCCTTGATCAGCTTCAACGGCTGCTCACCGGTCTCGAGATCCCATTCGAAGACCTGGAAATGAGGCTTCATCTCCGCAGCGACGATCTCGCTCCTGTCCGCAAGCTTGCTAACCAGTCGATTGCCGAGACGCAGTCTGCCACCATTCGCGTATCGCGACGGATCACTCAATTTCCTCGATGCACATAGCTTCTCCAGTAAGCTCAAAGACTCCAGACCAAGGTCCACGTTATTGCTGGCGGCGAACGAGACGACGTCAGCAACAACGTTCAGCTGGCTCAACACCACATCGTCATATGACGAAAAGGCCGAGTTGACCAGCGGCTTTGAGCGAGTGGACGCTTGCGATCCCACGAATGGCCGCACGATGTCCAGATAAGTGGCTTGGAGCTTCATCGCCAGGTTCATGGCCTGCACACTCCTGAGTGCCGCTTGCACGCGTGGTGAATGAGGATCAAATGAGTTCAAGTCATCGACGTTTTGCTGCGCCGCGCTGGCCAGGGCGTGGATGACGTTGTTATTGAACATCCATTCCATGACCCTTGCAAACGGGTGCAGTCTCGTGTACGCGGCGAGAGATGTCGTCTTGATTGCCGTGTCCACGGCGACGTTGGCGATATTCGCGAGCGCAACTAGATCCTCGTTGAATGTCGACAGGGAAAGACAGATGAAATTGAGACAAGCACACCGTAAGACGTCCACTTGCACTCGATCGTTGCCAATGGTCATGGCTGGCTGTGTGGATTTGAAGACGGTATCAAGGACGAAGTCGACGTAGGCGTCAATTCCGGCATGCCGGTTTGCTGCACCGAGGTTCTCTGGGAATGGCAGCGTGTCCTGTGTCAATTCTGAAAGATTCGGCGAAGGAGTAATTAGAGCGTTCAAGAGATTGACCAGTCCAGTCGCAGTCTCAAAGTTTGTTGCAAAGTTCATCAGATACTGTCGTTCAGGGGGCGGTCGTCCTGCTGGGCGTGGGACAGTTGTAGACCCTCCTCCGGGTGCGCCGCCGGCAATCCAGTTGTCCAGCAGCACCCACATACCATCGTTCACTTCAGTCACCTTGTCGGTCAGGAGTGCCGATAGCAGATCAAAACAACTAGCGTGCACGCGAGCCTCATTCCCGGTCGATGCAAGTTGAAACAAGGTCTCCCCCAGGTGAAAGCTTTGCCCTCGCAGAATCCAGTTTCGAGCATCCGGACTGATTCGACAGATATGCGAGGCAAGTCGAAGGTAGGCCTCCAGCATGATGTATGTCTCTGGTTCGATGAAGTTCGCTTCCGCAGAGTCCTCGCTCGCCACCTGATTCGGGTTGACAGCTTTGTTTCGCACTGAAGAGGCATAAAGTTCCAGCTCAGCGAAGATTTGGGACCAGCTTACAGAGTACGTTTTGCGCAGTCTTCCCGACGACATGGTGGTGTCCTCAAGCAGGAACAGATGGGCTTGGTTGCCGGATTTCTCATCGCTCGCAATCGCTCTCAGCAACTCGCAGAAGGCGGCAACCCGAGGAGTAGGCAGTCGTTTTGAGGTCCATGTCAAGAAGCCATAGAGATTGCTTTCCCGATCCGACCAGAAATCTTGAGCGGCGTCCGCATTATCTTGGTAGGCGTATGACACGATGACCAGGAAGCGCTCAAGAGAGAAATCCTGATGTTGCTCGGTCTCTGCGGGCCTAGAGAAGAACGTTCGCCTGCGGTCATCCTCATGCGTCTGCATGCGCCGCAGGTCATCCGGCATGTTGGTGATGAACGCATCGCTGAACGCCTGCAGCTCACTCATCATCAGGTCGGCAAACTCTGGCGAAGGCGGGACAGACTCTTCCGGCACGCTGGGCGTATCTTCCAGTAGGAAACGAATCAGGCCGACCTTGGCCGGATCGTACCAGATCTCGGGCTTGAGGAATTGGCAAGCAGCCAGTAGGAAGTGGAAGGGCCGCTGTGGTAAAGTCTCTTGGAACAGCTTGGAGCGTTCTTCTTCGTCCTTTTGGCGGTCTGCCACCCGCAATGTCTGCGTACTTGTGGGATCGATGAATCTCGCGCTGTACTCTGCCAGCCACATGACCGTTGCCACTGCTTTCAAGGTAGGCATTTTCCATTGCTGCTGATTCGGGCCCGGGCGGAAGAGGTTGTAGATTGCCTTTGCGTCGTTCAAGGACGTGGTGCCTTCGGCGCTTATCTGTGCGGCGCCACAGTTGAGAATGGCGAGATAATGGATGGCGACATCGATGGATCCGTCGAAGGCAGCAGCTCTACTGAGCAGAGAGCGAAATTCGGAGTGGTCGACATGGCCCCCTCGCATCAGGTAGGACATGACTGAGGCCAAGCATTCGTGCTGGCGTACAAGAAGCAACCTTTGCCCGAGGAGTGCATCCACTATGTCGCCTTGCATGTGTACGCCCGTCATTATGGCAGTCTGCTGATGATCGGAGATCTTCTTCAGGTATCCTTCCACTTCGGTGAGCCCTTCCAAACATCGCTGCCAGAATGAGGACTGGCCATCTTGTCGTTGCACCACCCTCCGTACGAGCTCTTGAAAGGCGGCACCGATTTCGTCGCCTGCATCGAGATCCAGTGTTTGCAATAACAGCAAGCGAAGGCAGTCCAGCAGAACGAACCGCTGTCGTTGGAAACGCAGCAGGGCGCGGTAAGGAAGGTTGTTGGTATCTGGTAGGTTACCAGCTTCACCCTCCACATCTATGCACAGCTTTGCCGCCTCCAACTCGTCCAGATCAAGCTCATCAGATACTTGAAGGGCTGCTTGCCGAAACTCTTCTGTGACACGGTATTCCTCATCCTGAAGCTTGAGAATGTCCGGCTTCGGTGCCGTGGACGGATTGACTTGTTTCCGGCTCTCCTCACTCTTTCTCTTCCTCCCCAACAGCTTTCTGAGATCTTCAACAGTCGCATCGAGCTCCGCCGATAGTCTGTCAAGCGCTGGCAATCGCTGTTCCGTGAATGCGATCAGGTCGCGCTGCAGATCCTGGAGTCGTTCCATCGCCGAATCGGGCTCCATACGGGGCCACTCGCGTGATTAAAGGTTGACGGCGATGAGGAAGCGACCGCTATGGAGTTGCTCGGATTGTGTCGGACGCTGTAGTGAATGTTACGGCGTGTAGCATACAACAGACTCCTCAATGTGAAATTCACAGAAATTCGAGATGAAGTTGGAGACGCGAACCCCAGCGCGGCTCGATCAATAAAGTCGTGGGACAGATATTCTCCGTCCCGAACTTCACCTCTCCATCCCAAGGCTGACCAGCGAGAAACAGCATCGCCTAGGGTTTTGAGATTCTCTGCCTGAATACATGCGCCCGGAGCACAGACCGGAATGATGATCTAGAAGCGAAAGGCTCTAGTTCACCAAGTGAAGTCAAACGACACGACATCCCTTCACCCCCAACCAAAGAATGAGGGGCGAGCTCAGCAATCAGCGATATTGCCACGATGAGCGGCGAGGTCACTCTGGACGTCGCGCTGCGTGAGGTCCCCGCTCAGAACTTGAGTTAATTCAGTGCTAATAAGTCCGCAGTGCGTGTCGAATCCAATACCGTCAAAGATCGAGTGGAGGGGCTGAAGGATCTCAAGCACATCTTGCGCAGTAATAGCAAGTACGACACACTCTCGGATCTCTCGTTCCACCGCATATACGAAGTCTTATTCGGTGTCGCCATCAGCGAGAAGTCAGCCTTTCTGAAAGGCAAGACTACAACTACTCGCGGCGCTGCTGAGAATCGGCTCTCCTCTTGTGCAAGCGCTCTACGCCTCGCTGTGGAAGTAGGCGTCCGATATGTGAGGCTCAAGACCGTCCGATCAGTCCTTGATCATGTCAGCGACGCCTTCACGGTGCCTAATGGGGGCTTTTGCGAACCTGTCGCCCTTGACTATGCCAAATGCCTCCGATTTCTCCTCGGCTACCAGCCGCATGTGGAGCATTTATCCAAAGATCAGCGTGAGAAGGCTGCCAAATTCTGCCTCGACTGCATCGAAATCGCCCGGGCTGAGTTGGAGGACGATGATGGCGCGTTCCCCGATGCTGGATTTGTTTCAACCACTTCATCACGTTCGCATGCCAAGCAATCAGGGAACTCCCAGGGAAGTCGAGCTCTGGCGAAGCAAATCGTAGAGGAGATGGTGGCGTGCCTCGCTCTGCTAATGGCTGCTCCAAATGCAGCGCCAGGAGCGCACGCTTCCAGTCTGTTAACATCGCTGAACACTCTTCTGCGCAGCGGCGCCATGGCAGGGACCGCTCGTCAAGATGCTTTCGCCGCTATCAATCGCATACTGGCATGGACCAGGACGGAAGATGTACATCTGACACGCAAGATGACCAGCCCCCTCGTCCGCCTCATCAAGCAACATTGGAGCGCCAAAACTTCATTCGACAAAGCGCTTACGGCCTTCAGAGATGAAATGCTCATCACTCTCGTTTACCTCCGCCCGTACCTCTTCTCTGCCGCACATCACGAGCAAGACTCCTCCCTACGATCTGAGTTGAGCGGCTTGCTGGACGTCATGACCAATGAGTATGGTAAGCGCCCAGAGCGTGATCAGCTCCGCTTAGAAGACATCAGACTGGACCTCCACGGCTCGTCCGTGGCAACATTCGGCGAGATCTCCACTCCTATCTTCCGACTGCGCTGCGCCAACGGTCGTGCTGAGTCTGCATGGACTATGGTGTACATGCTTTCGAGTGTATGCCACACCTTGAGCAATGACGATCAGGATCATGCTCTTTCCGAAGACAGCGACGGGGAGGACGAGATCAACATTCGGCCGCGAAAGCGTCAGAGGTTGACTGAGCAGCTAGACGAGGTCCTAGCAGCCTCTACCACCGGAACGGCTTCCACAAGAGTGTGCGCTCTACAGATCTTGACGTTTCTGGCGCAACAGAGGCCGTTTGGAGTCAAGCGACTAATCAAAGTCATTGACAACTTGTCTGTGAGTTCCGCTGATGACACTCCAGTCGTCTCTTCCTGGGCGATGCTGGCACTGGCAAGCTTTGCCTCACAGACGAACTCCACAAGCTCGCCCCTGTCAAGCCATTGGCTCTCTGTCTGGCAAATAGCCACCAGAGCTATGAGCAATACACTGACCTGTCGAGCTGCATGCCATCTCATTCGGTTGATGCTTGAAGCACACCTCGTACCTCAGCCGAACGTCCTTGAACTGGTGCAGACAATGACAACCTCATTGGATCTTAACGGCCCTTCCGCAATCTCAGACTCCGTTGCGCACCTTCTCCTGCTCTCAATCGCCAAGTCGCAGCAAATCAACCCAGCGTCATCAAATGCGACGGCCGAAAGTATTCTTGGCTGGCTCTTTCGCAGCTTTCGGCCAAGCAAGTTTGCCGACAGAGAGTATGCCGCTCAACATGTCCTACTCGACCCAGTGGACGTGACAGCATTGCTTTCTGGTTGTCTCGGTCATCGGGGACACGACGGGACCTGCCCGCAGTTCTCCGTCTGGGACATCGTTGGACAACTGGTGCTCGAGTGTAGCCAGCAACAGGACTTGATCGCTTACTTGCTCCTGCTTCCCGAGCCATATACCGGCGCACTGGCCAGTGTTCAGGCGGAGGATCGAGCAAAGGCATCATCACACCTGTCGAGGAGTGGTTGTGAAGCTCCAGTTCTGAACCACTTGATCAGTGAAATACACAGAGCTCAAGACGAGTGGAATCAGCTCGTACACGACAAACCGCAAACTATCAGTCTGGACGTCTTCACCTCCTTATGCAGGTCGTGCCTCATCGCCACATGCATAGCCTTTTGCCACTCCTTTCGCGATGCCAGGCGTCAGGGACAACTACAAGAGCGGGTTAAAGACCTTCTCAAGGCCATTGCCGACTTTCTCCCCAACCAACATTGCACTCAGGACAAAGTTGACTCAATGTTGATCACCTTCTCCTCTTCCTGCAGCGGACTGCTGAACAACGGCCGGATGGTGGAGCACTCGAGATGCGAGCAGTACATCTGTCAAACCATATCCAGAGGTCTCGCAAACAGAGCCGCAGCACATCGCAGCCTCAACGGAATGAATGGGGCTGACGATGAGATGGATCTCGAATTCGCTGACGAGTCGCAAGCCAGCAGGCGAAGTGGCTCGGCCGTGGATGCCCCCGAGCCCAAGAATGACTTTGCCGCTCGATTCAGCACAGCTGCCTTGCGTGCTACTACAGCCACGTACGCCATGGCTATCAAGATCAAGGCCGGGGCTGAAGAAAGAGGCGGCTCCGATACTCCATCGGCACTCATCGTCGACTACATATTGTCGCTTCCGGAGAGCTCTATCATGCTGAGCCACTCTGTCATCTCCTCGTTGTCCAATCTCGGGATCGAAATCACTACCGAAGACTGTTACCGACTCATGGATTTCTTTGCTGAAAGAATTCTGAGGGCATACGTATACGAGCGATCGGAGGTGGCATTGGGCGCGGTGCTCAACATCATGTCCAGCTGTGCTGCGACTCTGACAAACGAAAGCGACAAATCCTTGTACGACCTGGGGATCGACATGTACAACTGGTATACATCGATTGTACTGCGAGCCGGCGTCTTGTCACCAGCAGTACAAATCAGCGTCGCCACCCTCCTCCTCCGCCTATGCCATGTCAATACGGACTACGGCAGGGACGAGGGTCAAGACGTACCCTCGGTGCGCACAAGCCTCTTCAAACTCGTCAGGCTTGGTAGCGTTTCGGTCAAGCACTTTCTCGCGGCACGCATCTCGACCATCTTTGGCCTCTTCGTCCTCTCAAACCATGCTCGAATGTTTGAAGACTTACAGGAAAGCCTGCCCCAAGATCCCGACTGCTTGGAAGGCATCGCCATGCGACTGCTGTTTCTGGCGAAGCTCGCCTCAGCATGGCCTTCACTCTTACGGCAATGCGTATACTACATTTTCGAGACCGCCGGCCAGGTCGGAGAAGCGAGCGACCATGCGAGCCGCAATATAGCAGAGCTGGCAGCTGCCTTGAAGTTCAGCTCTTCACGGAAGCTGTTTCAGCTATTTGCTCCGCAGTTGCTTCATACCTGGCTGCAGAACAACACGGTGAAGAATTTGCCATTTGCGGTCTTTCAGTATGCCGATCTTCGGTCGCTGCTCGAGAACAATCGGAGTGAGATCACTGCACAGCTACTTTTGCAGACGAAGGGCACTGGCCTTGACGTCGTCGTGGAAGCGCTGAACACCACCACCAAGTCACTCGTCACCAGCAGCTTCGCGAAGTGCGCGGCTTACTGTATAGGTCAAGACATCACAAACATCACACCAGGTACTAATGTTGCGACATGCGAGAATCGACTGAAATCGGTGATTGAGAGCAAAGAGGAATACAGGCAGCTCATCGACGAAAACTTCCCATCCATCATGAGTCAACTCTACCTCTCGGCGCAGCAAGAAGATCCGGATGATTCGTGGCTACAGAAACGAGAAGCATTCGGTGCCGCCGCAAAACTTTTGGCGGAGATGAAAGCGTTCAGCCATTCCGAGAAGAACGTGCCTACCAGTCAAGACCCATGCTTCAGGAGCAAGCTTCTGTGCGATGAAATCGAGCGACTATGCCGACGTGCTCATCTTGATCCGACAAATGCCTGGGATACTTCATCCTTTGCATTGGCGGTCCGTACCGTAACAGATGCGCTGGACGGTGCGCTTGGATCTCTGCAGAACTGCCTCGTCATTCGCAAATTACGATTGCTCGTTTGCATGGGCGGAGAGGTTGTTTTCTCCGGACTACCACTCGAAATGCTCCTTCACGCCCTTCGTCCGTTCTTGGCTGATAGCCAGTGTGCAGACGATGTGATCGGCATTGTTCAGGTTCTGTTTCTTCACGGAGAGCAGTACCTCCAAGCAAATCCGGCTTTCCTCTACGGAATCGCCATTCTGATGGTGTTGCAAATGCGACAGCATACTCTAGCAATCCCGGACAGCACGACGCAGGAAAGCCAACGCAAATCGACTGTACAGAGGATGCAGAAGCTCCAAGCGTGGTTGGTGGATTATCTGAAGAGACACCAACCGAAAGGGAGTTCGCTTCAGACAGACATCCACGCAAGAATTACAGACACACTGATCAGCGTGCACCTGCCCGGAAATGCACGCAAAGGAAGTCCTGAGAGCACGCTGCTCCTCCTTCTTTTGGCCGAAGAGAATCATGACACCATAGCGGAACGCGATCGGCAGCAAGCGTTGCTCATGCTTTCCAAAGACTTTCAAGTACCATTGGCAGTCTTGGATGATTGCCTTGAGTCCGACGACGATTGTCTCAGACTCGCAGAACCACTGATTAACGCTGTCCGGGTCGGTGGTGCAAGCAGAGCGTTTCAAACATGGGCTGTGAATGCCTTGGGTCGTGCTTATGCTGCTAGCGGAGTACGCCCTCTTCTCGTGGCCAACGACAGACGTACAGCCAACCGCTCGAAGCCCCTTACAGGCATTGCCCGGTCTCAGGCTACCATCGCTTTTCGATTCAGCAAAAACTTGTATTCGATTGATCGCGCAGAAGCCAGCCTCGCGGACTATACTTTGCGACGTATTCTGACGTCCTTCAGTAACAATGAAGAGGCGGTGGAATTCCAGCAAATGCTGCCCCCAGCTGCTGTCCCGGCCTTAGTCGGCGGTACACTGGGCTATGAACCGTCCTACTTCTCGCCGCTACCGGAAACTGGTCAATCCCTGCGACAGGCGCTGGAGGTGGATCCTGGCACAAGTGTCGAGCAATGGGCTCAGCGTGTGGGTGTGATTCTCTGCTCGCAGGCTGTGGACACCGCCATCCTCTCTGCGTTGACTACGGCCTTGCAACACAGTCCTGTGCTTGCTCTTGAGTTCTTGCCGTGTATCGTGCACATATTGCTGGCGAAACAGCTCGAGCAGGACCCGCAGCTTCGTACCGAGCTGTCCACCTCGATAACTGCACACCTGAACGATGACAAGGACCACGTGGAGAAGAAGCAGCGGTTCTTGATAGAGCTGCTGGTCTACTTGCGCAAGCAACCCCTGCCCGGAGAACACACGCACTCGGATCGCCTCAAGTGGATCGAAGTCGATTGGCTGGTCGCTTCGAAAGCAGCGCAAAGATGCGGTATGTCGACTGCTGCATTGCTGTTTGCAGAGTCATCATCATCGCCCGCGCAAAGCAGCAGGAGAACATCGAGTCGAACTTCACTCTCCCAGACTTCCATCACGCAAGTACCAAAGGAGCTTCTGCTATCTATATTCGAGGCCGTGGAGGAGCCGGATTCGTTTTACGGTGTCGAACAATCTCATACCCTGGAATCAGTGCTGGATCGCCTTGACTACGAGAAGGATGGTTACGGTAGTCTGATGTTTCGATCCGCCCAGACAGACACGCATCTCCGATTGAGCCATGAACTTTCCACGAAGGATAACACAGGCATGATTCGTTCGCTCTCGATGTTGAACCTGGACAGCTTGACGTTTGCGCTGCTCAGCAGCGGTCGCGGTCGCGAAGCGTCATCAGAAGAACTCCTCCGTACTGCTCGCCGGCTACAGCAATGGGACATGATGCCTCCTGACGGAAGCAATGGGCCGACTTCGAACACATTTTCTGCATTTCAGCAGCTCAGTCGAACTAACGATCGACAAAGCGCACTGATGACGCTTCAAGATGTTATGAACAAGCACATCGAGCCTTTGCTCAACGACAGCCAAACGAAGACATTGTCCCACGAGTGGTTCAGCACCCTGGCCTCCTTTACCGAGATCGGCGAGGTAATCAGCTGTACACAAGAGAGCTCGCTGCGAGGAAAGTGGAGTCAAATGCTCAAACGACAATCCTGGATGTCTCAGGCTAGCTACGAGCACTTCCAACCGTTGCTATCGAACCGGAATACTCTCTTCAGCGTCCTTGCGCAGAACAAGGCTCTCCTGGGCGATATGAGGGTCGGACTGAAAGAGTGCCGCTTGATGGAAACAATGACCTCGCTCGCCATCTCGCGACTCGCTCGAGACCATGGGCAGCTTCAGGAAGCTCTGTCCGCGACAAGTCTTTGTAACAGTCTCGTTGGGGATGATCTGGCCGTGAGAGCAGACGTTGCTGTCAAGTATGAGACTGCTTCCGTTCTTTGGGGTCTCGGCGAGGTCGCCGCATCCATTAACATCCTTCAGACGATCGCGAATCTATCGGAGGATGAGCATCAAGACATTCTGGTCGGGCGATCTGAAATTCTGGCACAGCTGGGACGTCAAACGGCGGATGCGCGACTTGAGAAGCCGGACGACATCCTGATTAAATACCTCAAGCCTGCCATTTCGCACCTGCAAGATAATCGGAGTGGTCCAGAAGCGGGCAAGGCGTTTTACGAGTTTGCTACGTTCTGTGACAAGCAACTGCAAAGCCCGAGTCTGGCCGAGGATATCAATCGAATCACCAAGATGCGGCAGCGGAAGCTTGACGAGCTGCAGGAATTGCAACGCGTCCCTGGCCGAGGCCACAGGTCGGATGAGGAGAGCCGGGAGCACAAGAGAAGCATTGAAAAGGCCAAGACGTGGTATGACATTGACCATACCGAGTATCTAAGGCTGAAACGCAGTCACGACACTTTCATGCAGCAGAGTCTGCAGAACTACCTGCTTGCGCTCGCAGCCTCGGATGAGCACGACATCTCTGTGCTGCGCTTCTTCACGCTCTGGATTGAGCATGCGGATGTGGTCAATGCCAACACTACCGTCTCGAAGCTACTCCCTAGAGTGCAGAGCTGGAAGTTCGTGGTGTTGGTGAACCAGCTCATGTCGCGGCTGGAGCAAGACGGCTCGGTCTTCCAATCGTCTTTGAAAGCACTGGTCACTCGCATTTGCTCGCAGCATCCACACCACAGCCTGCATCAGCTCTTTTCGTCAACTAGGAGGCCGACAAGCAAAGACCAAGCTTTGGTGGCTCGATACGAAGTTGCGACGGAGATTCGGCAGCAAGTGAGGAAAGAAAGCAAGACGGGCGAGGTCATGGAGCGGATATTCCAGGCCGACAATTGCTATCTCGCGCTTGCAAATAAAGATATGTCTGGAGCGCACAGCAGAGTGGCGATGAAGGACGTCAATGAGGCATACCAGATTGTGAAGAGAGTGCCGACGCTGCATGTGCCACCGCCGACGATGGACGTCCCGCTGCGTGCGGATGGAGATTACGCCGACCTCCCAACCATCGCCAAATTCGGCAGCGTCTTGTCTTTCATGAGCGGACAGAGTCGGCCGAAACGGCTTACCGCGTATGCTGCAAATGGTCAGGCGTACGTCCAGCTGTTCAAGGGTCCTCCTGGGAAAGACGACCTCCGTCAAGACGCCATCATGGAACAGGTCTTTGGGGAAGTGAGCAAGATGCTGCAAAACCACAAGACGACTCGACAGCGCAATCTGCACGTCCGAACTTACAAAGTCATCCCCCTCTCATCGCAGACGGGCATCATCGAATTCGTGCCGAACTCCATCTCCCTATCTGACTACCTCGTGCCCGCACATGAGCGGTACCACCCACAAGACTACAAGCTTTCGACCGCGCGGCAGAAAATCGAACAAGCGAGACCGCACTCGGTGGACACGAGAGTCAAGGAATACCAGAAAGTGTGCGACCACCTGCACCCCGTCCTACGGCACTTTTTCTTCGAACGCTTCAAGGACCCCGACGAATGGTTCGAGAAGCGCACGGCCTACACCCGTACCACCGCCACCATTTCCATCCTCGGCTACGTGCTAGGCTTGGGCGACCGGCATTGCCAGAACATTATGCTGGACGAGAAGACGGGAGAAGTGGTGCATATCGACCTGGGCATCGCTTTTGAGGCGGGCCGCGTCCTGCCCATCCCTGAGCTGGTGCCTTTCCGTTTATCAAGAGACGTCGTAGATGGCATGGGCATCACGAAGACGGAAGGCGTCTTTCGGCGTTGCTGCGAGTTTACCATGGATGCTCTATGGCAGGATAAAGACAGCATCATGACGTTGCTTAATGTCCTTCGCTACGACCCGCTCTATACATGGACGGTATCGCCTTTGCGGGCGAGGAGGATGCAAGAGGAGGCATCAAGGAACGTCGCGGACGCTACTGAGACGGGCGAAGGCGCATCGGCGAGGAAGAAGGGACAGGAGGCCGGCGAGGCAGAGCGGGCATTGTCGGTTGTGGAGAAGAAGCTTTCCAAGACGCTGAGCACCGCGGCGACGGTGAATGAATTGATTCAGCGGGCGGCGGACGTGAGGAACTTGGCAACGCTGTTTGGGGGTTGGTCTGCGTTTTACTGACTAGCCCTTTCTATGTCTACCTTACTTCTCGAAGCATTCCGCCCTGCAAGGTTGTTTATGTGCTCGCTCCGGCCGTGTCCCGTGAAATCAATTCTATCCTCCCACCACATCCTCTCAACTGCAACAGCCTCCGTAGTGTCAGGACCTATTACCCCTCCGTCGACGACATCGACTCGTGTTCATCGTCTCGCATTCGCTCGTAGGCGCGCCCCGGGAGCGACTTTTCGCGTGGGCTAGAGACGGACGAGATTTGTCGGCTCGGGACAGCAGAGAGGGTCTTCTTTTGGCGGGTTTCCGTTTGCCGGTGCGGGGGCTACTGCTGCCTCTCTGGCTGCATTCTCGGAGGGAAGGGCGATGGCTTGAGGGATGAGGACGAGGAAGACGGCGAGCAGGAGGCTGCGGGGGAAGTGCATGGTTGCGAAGGGGCGTGTTTGGAATTTGCGAGTGGGCGTTTGGTGACGAGTTGTGGTGACGAGTTGTGCGAGGCAAGAAAAAGGTGCAAGGCGGCAGCTTTATATGTAGCTGGGCGGTAGGTTGCTGCCGATCTTGAGGAAATGACTAGTCACCTCACCCATACTTTCTCGTGTGCTGACATGCCGCGCCACGTGCTGGAGTCGGGCGTTAGTCAGACAGTTCAGCTTCAGCTTTGGGGGCCGAATGCTAGCCGACTCTTGCATCTGCCGAGGGCCCAACTACTGTACCCTGCAGGTCGGTTGGGAAGGCTACTCCGCCGGCAAATCTTCATGTTGTCTTGCCCTCCTTGCCGCCTTTCCCTTGCTGAGAGCCGCCAAGAGGCCCTCTGTACGGCTCGGGACAGCAGAAGGGGGCAGCGTCTCTGGCGTGCGGTTCGTGTGCCGCCTCTGCCGTAGGAATGTTGGCTGAGGGGAGGGCAAGGGTGTGAGGCAGGAGAAGGACGAGGAAGGCAAGGAGAAGGCTGCGTAGTGGCTGCATGGTTTGTGGAGGGTGGTGTTAAAAGTTTCCCGAGAACTTGGTGTGCTCGACGAGTAGTAGAAGAAAGAAAGGAAGGAAGGAAGGAACGGGGCGTGAAGAGAAGATGAGGTGGCTGGCTTTTCGTTCTTCTATCTATACCCCTCCGTCTGCTCCGCGGCGATGTTGGGTGCTGAGTAAAGGCTGACACGCAGCCTAGACCTAACATTTCATGTTGATCCAAGCAGCCGTTCTTAGTCAGATGCTCGACTTCGCCCCATGGGGGTAATGAGTGGCTCTGCATCTTTGCCGAGTTATCTACTCCGCCGTCAACGGCAGGTCTATAGCAAGGCGGTACCTTATGACGACGATCTTGATGAATGACTACCTACCTAGGTACTGTACTCCTCGGGTGCTGACATGCAGCGCCACGTGCTAGATTATGGCGTCAGTCCGACCTTCAGCGTTCGATGTTGCCCAAAATGGTGGCTTGCAAGAGAGTGCGAATCTACCTACCCGAGTGCCCAATTTATCTGCCGGCATTCCTCTGCTCCCCTTCTTAACTAACTTGTTGGCGCCGCTGCATGTCTGTGGTGGCTAGGGGTCTTTATTGGCTCGGGACAGCAGACTGGTCCATCGGTCCTAGCTTGCACTGCTCGTGCTACCTCCTTGGGTGCGTTGTTGTCTGGTGGGAGGGCGAGGGTGTGAGGGACAAGAAGGAAGAGGAAGGTAAGGAGAAGGCTGCGTAGCGCGTGCATCGTTGCGAAGGGTGTGGTTTGATTGCTTGAGGATTCGGTCTCTCTGCTCGACGCTTGTAGACTAGAGGAAGAGGAACAGACGAGACAGAGCTGGCTCGTTCACGATCTGTCTGTCTGTCTGTCTAGACAGCCTTTTGTATCTCTTTCGAATGCTTCCTCATGCCGTCATTGGCCGCGATGAGTAAAAGCTGACGTACGCAGCTCGGATTCGCGAAGCACGCTGCCGTCAACTGTTAGTCAGATGTTTCGGCTTGGGCTGAAAATGGGGTTATTAGAGTCTCGGGATCTCTCATTTCACCGACCTAACGACTCCGCTAGCAACATCTCTGCTTTCGACGCCGTCAGTTGGTTGGGGCCGCGTGATCAGCCTTGTGTGTGCTGTGGGGAAGACCGCCGACTGTTGGCTCGGGACAGCAGACACCTAGCTGACTGTGCGTAGTAGTAGTGGTGGTCGCGTCTATTGCCGCCTCTCTGCCGGGGTTGTCTGCGGGGACGGCGATAGCTTGAGGTAGGAGGAGGAGGGAGGCGAGGAGAAAAGTGCGAAGAGACTGCATGGTAGCGAAGGGGATTCGATCCGAAGGGTCTCTTGTCTCTTGACGATCTGCTTGACGATTGACTAAGGAGATATGGAAAACACGGCGGTTTCACAATACGCTGTTACGCTTCTTCTATATCCTCCGCCCTATTCCCATAGCCTGAGGATGAGTAAAAGCTGACATTGCAACGCGGATTTGCCGCCCAGATCGTGAAAATGTCGGACGAGCTTGCCCCAATGGGGAGCCCCAATGGGGGAACAAGAGGATATGTTGAATGCGTCGCCCTCTACCCTCGGCCCTCGGCCACACTTCTATTCTATAGACGTCGTAGAAGCGTCTTTCTCGTCTTCGGAACAATCTGCCTCATACGAGCCTCGAGAGCTAATGATCCAGCCACGCCGCCGGCGACATAGGCAGCGGCACACTATCGCGCTTCAACTTGTTGACGGCAAACGGACAACACTTCGGGTAAGCGGTCCCAAACTGCAGTTCGCAAAGGGCGTCCAACTGCGGTGGTGGGTATTAGCAGCGAGCACGTCCACGTTGAAATGATAGCAGCACCCTATGGCAATCGTAGTCCTGCTGGCACACGCCGCAGCTTCCCACGCAGCACTTGTATATGGCGCCTGCCTCGGGACAGCAATCTGGGCCGTCGACGGCGCGCGCGTCCAGTACCCAGTCCCTGCGGCCGTCGTCGGAGGGCAGTGCGATGGTGGCATGAGGTAGGAGGAGAAGGAGGGTGACGATGAGGCTGCGTAGGGACTGCATGGTGGGAAGCAAGCTTAAGAGTTGCCGCGCTCGTCAAGTCTGGTGTCCTTCTCGATTGAGAGATGTGATAGATTGGATGAAGGAGTTTTCGACAATCATGCAATGGCTGTACAAAGAGGATTGAATGTTGAGGAGTAGCATTCTTTAACATCGTTCCCCCTCTTTTCTGGTTCCTGTGGCGAGTAACTTTATGACTTCATCGATTGCTGGCGTAAGGCTGACACACGAGAGGGCATCGCCGCGGAACATGCCGAAGCGCGACTGGCACGTGTTGGCTGCAGGCTGTATGTTTGCAGTGTTGCGTAATAAAACACGATGTAAAGTGAGCCGAGAGGGGGCATGTGGTTCATGCTCTGTCGTTGGACTTCACCGGTTGCATGCCTCTTGATCCTTCGCGTCGCCTCGAGGAGCGGGATACTGTTCCAATTCAGATCCTCGCGCGCTTGCGCCGTTATGTTATCCCACGTTAGCACTTGGATGAATGAGAAGGAGATTGATACCCGATCGAGGCACGCGAACTTACGCTTTCTCACTCCTCTATCCTCGCGGCCTCGGCCGTCGATGTGATCTATGGAAGACGTGGGAGCGTCACGACGCAAGAAGGCTGAATCCCGGCTTTGCTCGCGGCTGAAACTCGAACAGCACTCGGAGTAGGTGATGTGCATTTCTACGGGATCCACTCCCTCTCATTCTTCGAAATATTGCTACGAGGCCATTGCCTGCTCGGTCATACTCCACGAAAGAATGGCATACCACTCCCATCCCATGCCCTCTCGTGTGCTGCGTCAGAAAGTCGGGTTCTAATGAACCAACCACTCCGCCGGCGACATGGGCAGAGGCTCGCTGTCGCGCTTCAACTTGTTGGACACGAACGAGCAACACCTCGGGTACTGCATTCCATAATGATTTTCACAGATTTCGTTAATCTACGGCAGCAGTGAGCAGTGAGCCAGGTCCAGCCATTCGCACGGCCGCGTTCTCCGCCGGCTTGCCACGAAGAGGGATTGGGGGGTGGGAATGCTTGCGATGCTCACTCACCGTATCGCAATCGTGGCCCGGCATGCAGACTCCGCAGCTCGCAACGCAGCACATGTAGGTGTACGTTGGCTCGGGGCAGCAGACGTCTGGGTCGTCGATGGCGCGTGGGTCCATTGCCCAGTCCCTGCGGCCGTCATCGGAGGGCAGGGCGAGGGCATGAGGTAAGAGGACGAGGCAAGTCAGGATGAGGCTGCGTAGGGACTGCATCGTGGGAGGCAAGAAGCGTGAGGTTGGACGAAGATGGAGGAGCTCATGCGATTGCGGCGCCCGTCAAGCTTGGTATATATCCCCCCCTCCTGCCCCGGGGCGAGCGGTCTCGCAAGCTCATCGAGTGGTATGCGAAACGCTGACAGACGAAAGGGGTATTCGCCACATCCCAAAGCGTTACTTGTAGCTCGCCGGCGTAGATAGGTAGGGAGTATGCTTTGCATGATTGGGTGAATCGCAACCGATGTACAGCAAGCTGTCGGCATGCAATGCGTGCGCTGTCATGGCATTCCACCGGGAGCTGGCACCTGAACGTGGTGACAGATCACATACGAGGCTCTCGTGTGTCGACGAGCTCCTGCCTCGACTGGTTCTCGACTGGTTTACGGGGAGACCCCATCAGCTTTCTCATGTGATGTGAAGCCGAGCGAAGAGGTAGCCAAGAAGTACAGGAGAGGAAAACCAGGCATCGAAATGGCGTGTAGTCGTCTGAAGTGGCTTCCATCAATAACGTCGACTGGCATCGATGATTAGCGCAAGGCTGTGCAGGATTCCGCGGCACTCATGCACCTTCCCCTCGGGGTCAGCAGGCCCATTCCATGCCGCTCCGGTCCGTACGTGCTGCATGCATGACTTGAGGTTCCTCCCGCCAACCTCGGAAGAAACGGGGAAAGCACATGCAACCCAGATCCTTTCCGTCCCCTCCCCAGAAGGAAGTCGGTAGTTACCAGATCGAGGCCGCGCCGGGTTATGCTTCTCACACCTATGCTTCACACTCAGCCGGACCCGAAGCCATCAGACGAATCGTCGCTTGTGCATAACATGAAAGAGACTTTGTCCCTTCATTCCCAACAGCTCCGCGACAATGGCCATCGTCCACCTCCTCTCCCTGCTAACCGATCTTTGGAAACGCTTCGACGACTACATCCTCGACCTCCGCCTCCACTTCGGGCACACAATCACGGACGACGCCCAACGCCGCATCACCCGCATCTTCCCCAATCAAGTAGTCAAAGGGCCTTGTACACAGCAAGAAGTCGAGGGCACGCTGTTCGCAGCGCAACACGCCGCTCTCCACTCTTTCACGCCACGCATCCACCGGATTCACGAGCGGCGAGATGGGCGTGCGTTCATCATCATGGAATTCGTAGAGGGGGAGAATCTGTTGGATGTTTGGCCGCGACTTGACGATGTTGGGAGGAGAGATGTCGTGAAGCAGTTATGGAGGAATTTGCAGCAGTTACGCGCATGTGTTCAGCCAGTATCAGCAAGCGGTGTACTCGTTGGCTCCGCCATCTCAGGCAGCGAAGTCCGCGACGGCTCCTACTCGCTTGATCCCTTTGGTCCATTCTGGAACCTAGAAGGGTTCAACAGACTGCAACAGCGGAACCCGAATTTGCAACGCTTCTCGCGCTTCTGGACACCTGTAGATAAGAGGGCTGCGTCGACGGTGTTCACGCATGGAGATATGGCGCTGCGGAACGTTATCGTTAGGCAGGATGGATCACTTTGTTTGATTGATTGGGAGGCTGCGGGGTGGTGGCCAGAGTATTGGGAGATGTGTAAGTGGCATTTTGGCGATTGGCCGCGTTTACCTGGTTGGGTAGATTTGATGGATGAGGTGTCGGGGTTGAACGTGTGATGGATGTCTGCTTGGAATGGTGGATAAGGCGGAGCTGGAGGAGACTCTCACAATCACTTTCCCTCCCTGGAACGACCGCAGACAACCTCGCGGATGTCTCCACTCACGTCCACGCCCGACTCAAATCCCACTCCGGCCGCCCATACCGCCATGGATTCAGCGGCGCTGTACCCGGCATGACCGTGCCATCACTCAGCTCCAAACGAGGAAAGTGGTTATCGCTCCAGATGTGTGGCGTCCGCTTTCCTCCACTGTTATCGCCTTGGGGAGTGCCAGCCTGCTCCGCAGAAGTCGAGGGATTGTCTGTTTCAGCACCCACGGCCCAGCGCGCGTAGCTTGAAATAGTCGAGCCGATAGCGCCAAGCGTCGACCAGACGTCTCCGGCCTCAGGGCCCTGTTTGACCTCACACGCCTCGCGCATCTTCTTCTGAAGAACCGGATCGACGGAGACCAGCGCGCCGGAATGCCAGCCGCTAGCCGCGACGGAGAGGACGCTATAAGCACCGAGGCCGTCCTCGCTATGCAGTCCCAATTTCCCCTCCCAATCTCTGCCCTCCTGCTCAATCCACTCGCTGACTTCCGCGCGACATCGAGTATTTTCAGTCTCAAGCGTCATGGCCATTCGCTCCTTGCTCTCGTCCGGATCGACGCCGCCATCGGCCAAGAACCCCAGCCAGGGCCGCTTTTCCGGCTCAAACCAGATGCGGCGGCCTTCAGTGTAGGCGTGCGGCACGAGCGTTGCGTCGCCTCTGCCTTTGGGCACCAAGCCTCGTAGTCCACTCCCTCCTAGTCCGAGGGCGCCGCAGCGAGCAGGCTCCGTGCCGTAGCTGGTGATGTGTCCGGATGCGTGCAGGGCGTGGAAGTGGTAGTCGCCAAACGCGACCTGGATCACGTCCTTATTCTGTAATGCCGGGATGCGAAGCAGTTGTGGCCAGTCCTCGATGGATTCGGCATGGAGTAGAGCGTCCTGGTCGCCCGTGAGGACGGCGCCTGATTGCGTGAAGACGGCGTATGATCTGAATGAGCCCTGCACGTCTGTCACGAAGGGAGCATGTTCATCCCCATCTCGAGGCAGCGGAATCTCCCGCGGTGGGCTGATTCGCCGGTCTTGATCGTCCCAGTGGTTTTGAGAGACGAAGAGCTTGCCAAGGTCTGTGCAAAACAATACCACCTCCTCCAAGACGATGAAATTGGTTACTTGGCCAATGTCGGTAGTCGTATCGCTTGCTTGGTTTCTTGCATGTTGCCTCTGATCGTGGGAAACAAAGTCTGTGCCGGGCACGCATTCAGTTTCCAGTACCAGAGCCAGATCTGCAGGTGGGTTTTCGACCTCGCTGTGCCATTTCAACGGCTCCCAAACCACGATTCCTGTGCCTTCGATCAGGGCGGCACTCTTGCTCCAGCCCGCGACAACCTTCTTCACCACACCTCGGCCGCTGTCCTTACCGTTCTCCACCGTGTCGTGATGCAGGAACTTCACATGATATGCGTCGCGATGAGCACTGTGCCAGCTCCAAATCCTCCCGCTATCACTCAGAGCGAGGATATGTGTACGTCCGGTTGAAAAGGCTTTGATGGCGGTGCTGGGAGCATGGCGATCAATGGGCCGAGGGAAGCCGGGCGGATAGCGCAAAGGGGTAGGGTCGGGGCAAGGCTCCTGCCGCTGCATCCCATCAACCACACCAACGACGTACACGGCGCCTTTGGTCGTGAGCATCGTCGTCGACCAACCACCGCATTGGAGGTCAGAGATGACGCCGAGAGAGTCAACGCCCGGCAATACCTCGGGCCACGACGTACTGTCTGCGGTTATGAAGCCTCTCAATCGAAATGGCCGGGGAGGAAGACGGTGGCTGCCGCCGTGCACGCGGCGGTGGAATGGCGCTGCGTGGCCTAGACACCCCTTGTCCTGGTTTCCCCAAACGTAGACCAGTGTTTGCGTCAGCATGCGCTTGTACAGTTTCTGCAGGCGGACTCCGTCCTTCTCGCTCGTCAGGTGTTGGGGAAGGCGGAAGTTGGTTTTGGCCAGTCTGGACCAGTAGGAAGGTTCGTAGAGGATATCGGGTTGGTGCAGAGCTTTGCATGTGGCCGTGAGGTTGAGAAAGTCGTTGACGTCCAGGTGGCGGACGATGAGAAGAAGTAGTTCCGGCGGGAGCTGGAGAAGAGGTGTTGCGGTGTCCATGATCGGGGGTTTGTTGGCGGAAATGGGATGTGTGCGGGGGGATAATAACACGACTTATGGGCACGGTGTTGTACTGTTTGCGGAGGAATTGCTGTTGTTGACGAGTCGTCTTAAGGCGGTGTGATGAATGAATGCAGGCAGCAGGCGTGAAAGCAACCAGCAAGAAGTCGCGTTTCACGTAAAGTGACGTCGCTCGCCGCACGCGGTACCCTGGCCCAGGTGCTGACTCATCATACCAGGCTGCACTGTACAGTACACGCCCGTGCTTTTGGGAGCTGGAGAAATGGTTACATCTGAATACAAGGGTTCAATGCTCGAGTGATGAGTCGTCAAATCATATCTATCCTAACGCCATAACAATCATGGATGTCGCAATCCTCTCGAAGCACAGAAAGTAGATCGCCGCATCAGCATCAGCATGAGGTACTCCATAGCCCGCACTCTACTCTACCACCCACCACCGTTGTTGTTTCGGCGATTCTTGACTGCATCCTCAGCCTTGCTGCCCAGGAAAGCGCCCACTAGAGTGCCGATGATGCCGTGGTTGCCGAACTCCTTGCCAGCGAAGTGCCCGCCGATGCCGCCAGCGACGGCACCCATGAAGCCCCTCTCGCCTTCCTGCGGGTTGCTGGGATCCTGGGGGTCTTTGTCGTAGCCGTAGGGATTGCCGGGGTCGCCGCTGGGCGGTGGACCTGAGAAAAAACAGTTAGAATCGCTGATAGCTAAGGATCGTGAAGGATGGTCAGCTTACCTTGTCCCCATGGCCCGCCCTGATTGTGATCCTGCTGCTGCTGCCCACCATACCCCTGCTGATCACCATACTGCTGTCCATACTGCTGCCCCTGCTGGCCCTCCCCATACTGCCCGGACCCATAAGCACCCTGACCCTGGCCCTGGCCGTAGCCGCCTTGTTGACCGCCGTACTGGCCTTGGTTCTGGTCGTAGCCGCCTTGCTGGCCGTAGCCGCCTTGTTGACCGCCGTATTGGCCCTGATTCTGGTCGTAGCCGCCTTGCTGGCCGTAGCCGCCTTGCTGCCCGCCGTACTGGCCTTGGTTCTGGTCATAGCCGCCTTGCTGGCCGTAGCCTCCTTGCTGCCCGCCGTATTGGCCTTGGTTGTAGTCTTGGCCGCCGCCGTAGCCGCCGCGGTTATCGTATGAGCCGGACATGATCCGATGTGGGTGGGTGAGGTTGTGGGGTGTGGGTTTCGAGGTTGCCGGTGAGGGGTGTTGAGATAGAGGAGCTGAAAGTCGCAGAGACGTAGGTGTGTGAGATGGAGAGAAGAAGGGATGAGTGAGAGCTGGATGCGGCCTTAAGAGCTCCTCAGCATTGCCCCACTCTATACGGCGGAGGCACAGGGAACACGTGCAGCTGATGAGGTGCGCGCCGCTGGGGCTGAGCTTCAAACTTTCCACGTCACAGCCACCGCCCGCCGTCCAAGCGTGGCGCGGCATTTCGGTGCTGGCGAGTGCATTCCATTTCTATTCATTTCGATTCATTGCGTATGTTCATCGCACTGCCTACCGGTGGCGTTCTGGGCAAGACACTGTCTGTCCATTTTCATTTCATCTCACGATGCTCGATCACTTCACGTGATTACATTCGTTACACGTGACTTCACGCTTCTCGACATGTGTCGAGTGAGTGCAGCATTGGTTTTCGTCGGATATCATTAGGGTCATACCGCCTGCGCACTCTGCGCTTCCCTATCCTCCACACTAAGCTTCGCAATGTCGTTCTCGAACCCTCCCTTATCCAAAACCAACCCATCCGCAGAGCCATCAACCTGACCCGGAGACAGCGCCCAAGCGGGCAAAGGCGTCTCGTAACTCCACTTCCCCTCCGCACAAGCATACTTCCTCGCATGCAGATAAATCCCCAGCTCGTGCGCGCCAGGATCACTATACAAATCCGTGCCGCATACCTCGCACACCTCCCCCGTCATCTTCTCCGCCTTCTTCTTCTCATAATCCGCCACCATTCCGTCGTGGTACGCGATCGCCTCCGCCACCTCGTCCTTGCCCATGCGGCTGAGGCGCTCCATGATGCTGTCGTCGGACTCGGCGGTCGAGGAGCCGCGCCCGAGATCGGGCCCGAAGACGCGCGCGTTGCTGTAGATGGGGTCGTTGGTTATGGGGTGTCCAAGGAACTGCAGGTGCACGCGGATTTGGTGCGTGCGGCCTGTGAGGGGCATGCAGCGGACGATGGAGTAGGCTGCGCGGCTGGTCTTGCCGTCGTCTGTGGTGAGTGCAGGGTAGTACGCGATTCTGCGGAAGACGGTGCGCGCCTCTTTGCCGTTTGCTCGCACGCGGTTCAGGCCTAGTTTCGGCGATATTTGAAGGATGGGTTGTTCGCAAATCACTTCTTCGTCTGGAAACTCGCCCCTGACGCGAGCGACATATTCTTTGCGGACGGTGCGCTGGGTAAGCTGGGCGGTGATGGCTTCGGCGGCCTTCTTGTGCTTCGCGATGAACATGATGCCACTCGTAAGCCTGTCCAGCCGGTTGCACGGCAGTGGGTTCCAAGCGTGCCCGCGCTCTGCACGCATGATCTCCACCACGCTATTGTAATTGTATCTACCAGCTGGATGCACAGGCATACCAGCCGGTTTAGAAATCATAATGAGATCTTCATCCTCGAAAACAACTCGTATCGGCTCCGCGGTGACAGGCGGTTCATGCCGATGGAGCGTATGACTTATGATATCCCCATTCTTCACAGTGGTGTTGACGGACTGCACCGGTTTGCCGTTGACTTGTATGGCGCCCTCTTCGATCGATTTAGCGTAGTACTCCACGCTGCGATCGCGAAATTCATCCTGGAAAATTTCGAGAAGTGGCCGGCCGCGCCATCGCTCTTTGCACCACTGCCAATCATTAGCCCCGCTGCTCTTGCTCCCCGATGGTGCGTCACTTGCTACGTGCGGTCTGGTATGTGAAGTGGTATGGGGCGACCTGGAGTGCGGGGGTCAGCGAGGGGATCCTAGATATCGCCTGACATATCCAACTCACTCGTCTCAAGCCGTCTTGGAGAAAGTACGGCCGCGGCCACGGATCACACGGCGTGATGGCTGTCGCAGGCGGCTCCTCGAACTTCTCCGCGGGCTCGAGGGGCGGAGGTTCAACAACCGAGAGCGCCATGCTGGAGGGAGGGATACGACCGCGCTTCAGCATCCATGCTATAATGCGAGGCGACGGAGGCATATGCAGATGGCGAGGGCGATTGAAAGGTGCATCATCGCGCGTGCTTCTCGAAAGCCAAAATTTCTAGAAGCTCGAGATCGCGACTTCCTCTTTGGGCAAGTACGCTGTGGCTTATAGCTGTTGGCTGGAACAGGAAGGCTGATGCGATCTTCCAACTCCTCATGATGGAGGGGAGGGCTGGTCGAACTCGCAAAAGTCTTGATATCGTGGCAGTGAACAGATCTTCTAACCCCGAGGATTTAGAACAGCGACTCAGAGACAAACCAGAACCAACAAACTCCCCACCGGACCACCCAACTCCAACCTCAGCACTATGCCCATAACCGTAACCCGCCTAACAGAACCCGACATCCCCGGCGTAATAACCTGCATCCAAACCGCCTTCGCCCAAGACCCCTACAACAACTGGGTCTTCGACGCCGCCACCTTCTCCCCTACCCGCAACGCCGTCTCCCTTACCCTGCGCTGCAAATGGGGCATGCAGCACGCCCTCTTCTTCGTAGCAAAAGACCCCTCCTCCAGCACCCCAGACCAAGTCCTCGGCGTAGCGTGCTGGCTCGCACCCCGGGATCCCTCCGCCCCGCAAACGTGGAGCGAGTGGGCGGGCGATTGGTGGCTGTGGTTTTCCCAAGTGCGCATGAATCTGTGGTATGGGCGCGGAGGGCTTAATGTGCGGCGGTATTGGATTTGGAAAGCTGCGCAGGCGCAGGCGCAGGCGGAGTTGTGGGATGATGGGAAGGGGTATTATTTTTGTAATATTGTGACTGTGTTGCCTGAGGCGCAGGGGAAGGGGATTGGGAAGGTGTTGTTCAAGCATGTGACGGATTTGGCGGATGAGGAGGGCAGGAAGTGTTATTTGGAGAGTAGTCGGGCGGAGCCGAATATGGCTATTTATGAAAGGATGGGGTTTGAGTTGCGGAGGGAGATGGTTTGTGATGATGAAGGGGAGGCGATTACGTTGTATTGTATGATGAGGGAGCCGAAGGCGGTGGGGAGTTGATTGATGATGAGAAGGTGAAATGACTTTTGTTACATCCGGTTCTGGTGGCTAAAAATGCTGTCCGAGACGTGATCGAGACACCCATTAGTATCTCGGGGGGCCGGGAGGTGGCTGATACCCGCCTTGAGGAGGATATCCGCCCTGGGGCTGTTGTCCCTGACCCTGTCCGTAGCCTTGTTGACCACCGTAACCGCCCTGTTGGCCGCCCTGCTGCCCACCATAACCTCCCTGCTGACCGCCATAACCTCCCTGCTGACCACCGTACCCTCCTTGCTGCGGCGGCCCTTGTCCGTGACCCTGCTGACCTCCATATCCCTGCTGCTGCCCTCCGTATCCTTGTTGTTGCCCGCCATACCCCTGCTGCTGCCCCCCATATCCTCCTTGTTGACCTTGATACCCTCCCTGCGGAGCACCGTAGCCCCCAGCCTGCGGACCCGGCGGCAGCGGCGCACCACCAATCATGCTTGTCTTCTCGTCCTTGCTATCATAGCTGGAATCGATGGCGCCGAGGATGAGTTTTATCATCCAGAGGTCGGGTGTCAGGTCTACGGGAGGCTGAGCACGTGCCATTTCGGCCGACTCGTTCTCGTAGTCTTGGAGAGCTTCGTTAGCATTTGCCGTTCTTAAGACGGTGCTGATACTGTTGGGTGTACTCACTGGATGTGCAGTCTACCATGGATCCAATCTGCGGATCGTTGTCGAGCTTGCCGAGAAACTCGGTGGCTTTTTGGTCATTACCGACTTGCGCGAATTGGAAGGCCAGCGCATTCTGTCCGTACTGGCCAGTATGGGAGAAGCCGTAGCGTATGGCGCTTGCCAGGGCATCATTGGGCTCACCGGCAGGTTGTCCGTCCGTGATCTAGGAAATGTCAGCGAACGTATGTGAGTGTGATGAGGTGGATCTGCTCACTCCAACGATCAGAATGGGCTTCTGCATTTGTCCGCTGCGTAACTTCGGAACGACGAGCGGGTCGAGCACCTTCTCGCGCAACTTGGTGCCGAACGGCGTCAACCCCTTGAAGCGCTTCTTGGCCATGATCTGCTCAATCTGCTGCTCGGAGCGAATGCCGCTCAATTGCTGCAGCGGAATCTCCTCATCGTTCATGAAGCGAAGCTCGATGCCGTCATCGTCGAACAGAGTGGCGGCAAACGCAACACGCTGCAGGATCAGCTGGAGATCCTTGATGCGCTCGCCATTCTCCTCGAAGGCCATGGAGCCGCTGTCGTCAATGTAGATGATGACGTCGTAGAGCGCCAGTCGTACTATGTCGTTGGCAATCTCTCTTTGTATCTTCCACGCTTGGCAGATTTTGTCCACCTCTTGCGGGGCTCTTGCGGCGAGCTGCTGGATGCGCGGCGAGCCTGGGGGGTAGAATCTCTCCAGGCCCTTCTCGCGGACTGCTCTTTCTAGCTCTCGCTGATAGCTGGCTACATCGCCCGGTCCCGCGGGTGGACCACCAGCATAGCTTTGGCCTTGCGGAGGACCGCCTTGCGGGGCGCCGTACTGCTGTTGCAGGGGCTGCTGGTATTGTTGCTGTTGAGGGGCACCGCCATATTGCTGCTGGGGAGGGTACTGTGCCTGCTGAGGGGGAGGAGGGCCGCCCTAATGGAGATATTTTGTCAGCGGACATCCCTCGTCTGACTTGAAGCTAACAATGCGAGCGAACGGCAAAGACAAGCACGAACATAGCCATATCCGGGCGGTCCTTGTTGTAGAGGAGGATAGCCTTGAGGTTGGCTATATGCCTGTTGGCCGTATTGCTGTTGGCCGTACTGCTGTTGCTGGTAATATGGCGCTGGCTGGCCGGGATAGCCGGGAACTTGGCCCGGAGGAGGCGGAGGCGGACGACTGTAACCCCCCGGCGTAGGCGACTGGTACGCGCCAGGCTGAGGCGGGCGTTGCTGTTGCTGCTGTTGCGGGGGATATCCAGGCTGCAGACTTGAGGGATAGGGCGGTGCGGCGCCTTGCGCACTCGCAAGTCTGGCCGCGAGAGGCATGATACGCGGGGGGCGTGGTGGATGCAAATGCAGGAGGCAAGGATGGCTCAGGTGAAAGGCAAGAAGAAAGAATTAAAAACTCACAGAGTTGTAGGCCTGGTAGCTAGGCTTGCCGGGCTGTGCTCCAGAAAACCACGCGTTAGCCAAAGGTGCCCCGCGTGGGTCCAGCATCAGACTGGATGTTGGACGACGATGACTGGCACTTACGTAGCCGCCAGTCGCGGGCGCACCGGCGCCAGGCTGCTGCTGTTGCTGCTGTTGCTGCTGATATCCTCCTGCGCCACCTGCACCTGCCGGCGCACCTCCTTGCGCTGCTGCGAGTTTCGAGGCCAACTAGAGGGAACGGTGGTCAGAGTCGATTCTGTGATGACGTAGCCGTGCGGCTACGGCTGCCGTGAGGCTGAGGATGGCGCTTAGCTTACTCCCATGATGAAGAGTTAAAGTAGACGTCGGATTGTTGGAATTGAAGATGGATTTGTGAATGGAGAGGAGTAGAGGAGGATGGGGAGTTTTATTGTTAAAGAGAGGTCTGCATGGGCTGTGCACCTTCCTCATCTACTGACATCAGTGCAGGGCAGGCGAGGAAAGAGTGGACGGGAGGCAAGGATGCTGCTCCGCCACACGCCAGACGTCAAAGACCCTCCCTCGCCAAGATTTGCTAAGAGTGCACAAGAACGAGATTCCATGGGCGTAAGATCATTCCATTCTTTCATTGATGAGTTGGTGGCATGGAAAGTAATGGCTTCTTGTACGCCGTAGGCAACGTTAAGATTCGAAGATGTAACAACTCTATCCAGTGGCTTCAATGTCGTTCATGACAGCCTGGGTATAACAAAATTAAGCGACCAGAAACCCCCTTTGCCCCAAACCTTCGCTCCAAACGCAAGGCTCAACAACCTGTTGACCTGTTCACCGAAGAAGTGTACCAACATTCACAAGCTGAGTCCATCCGTGCTGGGCACAGCATCAGTGAGCTCGCTGGTGTTCAAATCACCAGTCAAGCCCTCGACGGTGCTCTCGATGCCGCTGAGGTCGCCGGTGTCGGGCAGGCCGCTACTGAGGTCACGAACGAGAGCCGAGGTGACGGGGTCAAGCGCACCCTCGTCCTCGCTGACATCCCCGAGCTCGCCAAGGGAGGGAATATCACTGGTCAAGCCGGAGAGGGTGCTCTCGATCTGGCCCGTAGAGAGGTCGCTAGGGACAAGATCGCCGAGCTCGCCGGTCAGGCCGCTGGTGTCGAGTTGACGCGACTCGAGGGCAGACAGATCGCTCTCAAGGCCGTTCAAAGCGTAGATGTCGCTGCCCTCCGGAATGATCTCGGTGATGGCTCCCAAGTCAGGGACGAGCTGACGCGACTCGAGGGCAGACAGGTCGCTCTCAAGGCCGTTCAAAGCGTAGATGTCGCTGCCCTCCGGAATGATCTCGGTGATGGCTCCCAAGTCGGGGATGAGCTGACGTGACTCGAGGGCAGACAGGTCGCTCTCAAGGCCGTTCAAAGCGTAGATGTCGCTGCCCTCCGGAATGATCTCGGTGATGGCTCCCAAGTCGGGGATGAGCTGACGCGCCGCGAGGCCGGTGAGCTCGCTCTCTTCGCCAGTCAGGTCGGACAGGGAGCTGGTGTCGAGGAGATCGCCAGTGAGGCCAGTCAGGCTGCTGGTCTCGGGGAGGTCGCCAGTGAGGCCGGAGAGGCTGCCGGTGCTGGGCACATCGATGGGGAGGGCGTTGACGGCGACGCAGAGCGCCAGGGAGGCAGCGGTGAAACGCATGTTAATGGTGAATTGGATGTAGAAAGGAGTGACTGTGGTGAGTGGGAAAAGAACGTGTGCTGTCGATTGTGGAAGAAGTAGGTAGGAATGGAAGAAACGGGAAGGAAGAGAAGCAAGTCTGCGCAGCGAAAACGCTATATACCTACTCACCACTCCACGCATGTCCCATGTTGATCACACGCGCTTCTCGATCAATCAAAGAAAAGGAGCGGACCCGCGTCCGGCCACTAGAAGGCAACAGTAACATGACCCGTTAACCTCAAACAAGAAAACACAACTGCTGATCGGGATGTGCGAATGGCAACGAGCGCGCCGATCACGAACGCCCGACGTTGAGGGTCGCAGAGTTTGATTACCAGCGCGGAGACGGCATTGGTGTACCATTCGTCAAGGCCCGGGACGATTTCGTGATCGGGCGCGAAAGGGTGCGGTGGGTGTTTGGGGTGGGGGCTGGGAGACGCGGTTTGCAGCTCGTCTTTTGTGACGGCCGTTAGGCTAGCTTCATGCTTTGGCTGCCGAAAGTTCGATCGTCGCTGCGTATTCTCCTTTTGGCAGTGGGAATCATCCGCATGCATATGAGTGGTAATGTGAAGCTGTCGGCGATACGTACACAAACGGGTGATGGTCATCTGCACGAAGCCACCAAGATGAAACTGCAGACGACAAGAGACCGATACAGAACCTAACGTAAGCGAAAGCAAAGTGAAGGTGAAAGCAAGCCAGGGATTCTCAGGAGGTGGAGGAGGAGGGAAGGAGGTGGAGAGCGCAAGCGCCACCCGCAGCTGTGGCTTGCGTCCGCCCTGTCGATCCCCCAGGTCCGAAATGAAAGGCTGAACATCACCTCTCGGCTCCTGCTTTCCCCCCCCGGCGGACATCTGGTACCGTAGAACGCGCGGTGGGGAAATACTAATCATGCATGTATTCAGCCTGCTTCGATCGGCTGGATAATTGAGCAGTGATGATGCAGTGGGCGGTTGGTGCGACGTAAGCTCTGCTGCGGGTCAATCCTGTCGAACATGCTTGTTTGCTGCGCGGTGCTTCGATGAGACCGACGTGTTGCTAGTAAAATCTACTATACGAGCACGTCGTTGCGCTATCGAACGCTTTCGGGACTATTGGTTGTGGCGCGCTCAGGCAACCAGCGAGGTCCGCGCGTGATAAGATGGATGTCTTACTGTCGCAGGCCGGAACGCCTTCACGTGAAATAGAAATCGCGGCATGTGGGCGACTGATGAGGGAGCAGGGATTGAGCAAAGTGATGACAACGGGACTTTGCGCAAGTGGAAAGCACCGCAAATTTGAATGTGGGTATCATAAAACGTCTCGTCCAGGTCCCAGGACGCATACCAGCTCTCACAAACGCCTCGCTGCCTCGCTGACACACAGACGTGCCTTGCTTTGCCGTTGCTTTTACCGGAATTGCTCCAAACTCCTCTTCTGCTTTCCCTTCCACGCCGACCTCTTCATGAAACTCACCGGAATGATGTTGTTCGCTCTCTTCCTGCTCACCGTCTTGCGGCATACGGGACAGCTGCCCACCCCGCGGTCGCTGTTCTTCTCCCCGGCTTTCAGCGCCTGCGTCAAGCACTCATGGCAGTAGACGTGTCCGCATGGAGTGATGGTGAGATTGGTGAAGGGTTCAAGGCAGATGATGCATTGCCTGCGCCCGATTCGGAGGGGCTGTGAGGGGTCGTCGCCGGAGGATTGCTGTTGAGTGGCGATGAGGGATTCTTGTTGTTTGCGCCGGAGCAATTCCTCGGTGGACGGATTGTCATCGTTGGTCAGGTCGTAGGATTCGATGTCGCCTTCTTCCTCTTGAGCCGTAGTTGGCTGAGCTGTGCGCCGGCGCTTGCTGGCGCTTGCTCGCACCCCTCCATCGTTGGCGGCTGAGCGTTTGCGACCGGCCATTTGACCCCGACTGTGTGCTTGCCCATTCACAGATGCCGATTCGTCCGTGAGATCAACAACGCTCTCTTCATTTGCTCGCCGATTGCGAGAAGTTGCTGGCATGCTGGCGGCGTACAAACTGTCGTTGTCGCTTTCCACCAAATCGTCAATATCGATGCCGTTGAAGCTGGATGCTGATGAAGGAGAGGCAGGTGGGTCGAACGGCGAGTGGGCAAACGCTGCGGGGCTGTAGCCAAACGAGCTCGTCTGTCGATTGTGATGTAGTTCTTGCGAGCGTTCTTGGAGCAAGCTGCTTAGGTTGGCAGCCGATGCTTGAGCAGTGGGCCGTGAAGTTTGGTGTAACGTGGTGTTGTGTGAGCGGGACGTGGCGTTGTTGCCTAGCAAAGGCGAAGAAAGCGGGCGTCCGGGCGGTATAGTCGAGGTGGAGGAATGGGGGCCGGGAGAAGGACGAGGTGCTTCGTGTGATGGTGGCGGGCCTCGCTGCCAAGAGGCAGAATTGTGAGGTGTGTTGGTGACGGAGGATGAGGAGGGAGGAGAGTGGTGAGGAGGAGGAGCGTTGGGTTGTTGAGATCGGGAGGCAGTCGCTGGAAGGTCCGCGTCCCTTCACTCGTTGTCAGTTGACTGTCATGCAAGGTTCCGCGCTGTTGCGTCACTGCAATCCACTCACCAGCCTAGTCCGTCATATGCATCCTCAAACAGACCGTCAAAGTTCCAATTTCCCACTCCGTTCCCCAAGTCCTGCCACAAATACTGAAACTCATCGTCTCTTTCTTCGCCACCCCAAGCCGCCATGCTTGCTCCCGGCCGTCATGCGCCGTACGAGGCCAGCTCAAAAGCTGATGCTTGCTGGGGATGGTGTGGTGTGTGGTTTGCTTGAACGAAGGGGTCTGTGACCGGTGGGGAGTTGTAGAGCGCGAGAGTAGAGTCGAGTATCACACCGCCCGGTTATGAAGTCGGAGATATCATTGATCACATCGAGGTTGACGTAGCGCCGGCGCCAAGATTTCCTTCAAACTCCGGGCCCGTATCGATAGCGCGCGTTGCATGCAAGCGAAACCTTCGCGTCACCCTCCTCCACTTGCTGCAGACCGCGGAGAAGTATCGTGTCTCTCCTGTTCGTCTTTTTCCTTCATCCTAATTGCCCAAAGAATGTCACAGTAATACCTAGGACGGCGGTGGAACAATGCGATCGCGATGTCGCCATCATCTGGTCGATGCGCTGGAAAGGACACAGCAAACCTCCCTCCTCCGCATCCGCCCACAAACTCCCCGATGGCAAAGACGACCAGCCAGTTCGGCAGTCGCAGCAAACAGCCCAGCAAACAGCCCAGAAGGAGCTGATATATCGCCAGCGCGCGGCGTCACGGTCTCATGTTCTCCTCGCCACAACCCACTGGGAGTGCAGCAGGTCTCCTCCCACATCCACCCCCAGCTCTTCCCCTCCTCCACCACCTCAGGCCCCACGCCTGATCTCATCGACCTCTCCCGACAACACCTCGCTCGACATGACTTGCTGGGCAAGACGAGTGACAACACCGGTCCTATCGGCTTCGACCTTCCTGCTCTCCATGGCGCCTCTCTAGACGAGCACTTCTACCGCTTGGGCATGGACAGCGCCGAGCCATATCTCCATCTCTCCAAGAAGTATGCCCGAGCCTCGCCTCCCGAAAAGCCGAGAAGATGGGTTGCACAAAGTGGCTGGACAAAGTACCATTTGGACGGCAGTTGGGAAGCGGTGGAAGTGCCGAATGAGCATGTCTTGACATTCGACACCGAGGTCATGTGGAAGGAGTCCAGCTATCCCGTCATGGCCTGCGCCGTCTCAGCTACCCACTGGTATGCCTGGCTATCACCCTGGCTTCTCGGCGAGAGCGAAATTGACAGACACCTCATCCCTCTCGGCTCCCCAACCGAGCCACGGATTATAGTCGGCCACAACATCGGCTACGACCGTGCGCGAATCAGCGAGGAATACTCATTACAACAGTCCAAAAACTTCTTCATGGACACCATGAGTCTACACGTCGCCGCCAACGGGATGTGCAGCCAGCAGAGGCCGACGTGGATGAAGCACCGAAAAGCCCGGGAGGTCCAGGACCAGATCGCCGCATCAGACGATACCGCCGAGCTCTCTGCACTCCTCGATGCGAAGGGCCAGCTGGATGAAGAAGCTGATCTTTGGGTGGGCAGATCCAGTGTCAACAGCTTGCGCGACGTGGCCAAATTCCACTGCGGCATCACCATCGACAAAGCCAGACGGGAATGGTTTGGTGAATTGGACCGTGAAGGCATTGTTGCGCGCCTCGATGAGCTCCTCGACTATTGTGCTGCTGACGTGGAGATCACCCACAAGGTCTATAAAAAAGTCTTCCCGCTGTTCTTGGAGAAATGCCCGCATCCAGTCTCTTTTGCTGCGCTTCGCCACCTTTCGGCCGAAATCCTGCCGGTCAATCGAAGCTGGGATGACTACATTGCGAATGCCGAGGCCACCTATCGGACCCTATCTGCTCGTGTTGAACAGCGTCTCGTGGAATTGGCGGAGAAGGCCTTGGAACATCGCTCGTCACCCGCTGTGTTCGAGAGGGATCCATGGCTTAGGCAACTCGATTGGGGAGGGCAGGAGATCCGCATGACGAAGGCGAAGAAAAAGGGCGAGGAGCCCCGACCTGCTGCCAGACAAAAGAAACCCGGCATGCCCAAGTGGTATCGAGATCTGTTCGCTCGCAATGACAGTGACATCGCCCTGACGGTTCGCACGCGCATTGCACCGCTCCTGTTGAGATTGGCGTGGGATGGCTATCCTCTTGTCTGGTCGGACAAATTCGGCTGGACGTTTCGCGTACCTTACGAAGCTGCCACCAAGTATCGAAGCCAGGGCATGACTGATTGCGACATGTTTGAAGAAGAAATGCCGGCGCTGCGAAACGATTTGGACCACACCTACTTCAAAATCCCGCATCGGGATGGTCCGACCGCACGATGCGTGTCCCCTTTGGCTAAGGGGTACTTGCAATTCTTCGAGAATGGCATGCTGTCCTCCGAGTATGCGTACGCAAAGGAAGCCCTGGATATGAACGCCAGCTGCAGTTATTGGATCTCCGCCAGGGACCGCATTACGAGCCAGATGGTGGTTTACGAGGATGAACGCCTTGATCGTGCCAAGACCGACCAAACAGACCTTGGATACATCCTTCCGCAAGTCATCCCCATGGGCACCATCACCCGCCGAGCTGTTGAGAACACCTGGCTCACGGCCTCCAACGCAAAGGCAAATCGAGTCGGGTCGGAGCTCAAATCCATGATCACCGCCCCGCCCGGGTACTCTTTTGTCGGCGCGGACGTCGACAGCCAAGAGCTCTGGATAGCATCGCTGGTTGGTGACGCGGCGTTCAAACTCCACGGCGGCAACGCTATCGGCTTCATGACACTCGAAGGCACCAAGGCCTCTGGGACGGACTTGCATTCGCGGACTGCGAAGATTCTCGGCATCTCAAGAAATGACGCCAAGGTGTTCAACTACGGCCGCATCTACGGTGCCGGCCTGAAATTCGCCCAGTCCCTTTTGCGACGCTTCAACCCGAGTTTGAGAGAAGAAGAGGCGAACCGCATTGCCGACAATCTCTATCTCGAGACCAAGGGCAAGAAGGAGCGTCGGAAAGTCATCAGCGACCGCTCTTTCTGGCGTGGTGGAACCGAAAGCTTGGTGTTCAATAAGCTGGAGGAGTTTGCCGACCAAGAACGCCCGCGCACGCCCGTCCTCGGGGCGGGGATCACAGAGGCGCTCATGAGGAGGTTCATCAGCAAGGGCAGCTTCATGACCTCCCGCATCAACTGGGCCATCCAATCTTCCGGCGTGGACTACCTGCATCTCCTCATCGTCAGCATGGAATACCTCTCCCGACGCTACAACATCGATGCCCGCCTGGCGCTCACCGTGCACGACGAGATTCGCTATCTCGCCAAAGAAGAAGACAAGTACCGCTGCGCCATGGCTTTGCAAATCGCCAACGTCTGGACGCGCGCCATGTTCAGCCAGCAGATGGGCATCGACGACCTCCCGCAGTCTTGCGCGTTCTTCAGCGCCGTCGACATCGATCATGTCCTACGGAAAGAAGTAGACATGGATTGTGTGACGCCCAGCCATCCCACGAAGATTCCCCCAGGCGAAACGGTGGATGTTTCCCAACTGCTCGCCATGGGCGACAGAGCCGTCTTGGACCCCAGGGTAAAGGCGAAAGACATGCCGGATGTGGACCGCTTCTCCTACACGTACCGCCAGCCCGTGATGGAAAGCCTGCACCTCCCCAACGCAATGCACTACCTCCGCGCCCAAATCGCCGCCGACACCACGGAGCTGAACAAGATTGTCAAGGAAATCAAGCCCGCCACAACCACCTCCTCAACTCCAGCTCGCAAATCGTACTCTTTGAACGACGATCCAGACTCGCCGACGCCCAAGAAGCGTGGCCGGAAACCTAAAGCGTCGCTTTCTTCTGCTGGCACTTCGTCCCCCTTCTCGCACTCGGGAGGGGTGCCTGTTGTGAGGAAGGCGTCTTCTTTTGCTGATTACGGGCGCGACTATGATAGTGTCAAGGAGGCGATGAAGGATTGGCATGCGCATGCTTTTTCTTGGCCTGAGGATGAGGGGCTGGTGGTTGAGAGTCGGAGGTGATTTTAGAACGCCTAGCCGAGCTGCTCTGGATGCACGAATGACTGGCTGATGGCTGGACGAGTTTTGTGTATACGAATATATGTCCAGATAATGTACAGCTATATACCTGAGTGCTCGCGTGTCTGTTTTGCGTGGCGGCAGCTTCTACCCCCTTGCGTCGCTGTTTTCGCTTGTCAGCGCCAGGCTCTGCTCTTCGTCTAGCACCTCGACATCATCGCTGTCAATGACGCGCACGCCAAACCGCCTTTTCCCGACGATGACAATCAGCTACCAGGAGCTTGCGAAGATCTCGAAGCTGGAAAGGCAAAGCCCCAAGACCGCGAAGTTTCCCTTCACACCGCAACTACATTCGCTCCTGGAAGCTTCAGCGGAGCCAACCTCGCGCAATCCTGGAGCAAATGGGCAGCGCGCACAGCACCCCAGTTCGCTACATCGGCACAACCAGAGGGTCCGCTGTCTGCAGCTACAAGTAAGACGTCAAACACCTCATCGCAGGTGCCCCTGTGGATCTCTGCTGGACTCTTGGACTTGGGTGATAGCGGCAGTCCATCTTCCATCGCAACTACGTTGTCGAAGTCGGCAGAAGAGCAGGAGAACGTCCCAACGTCGTTGGCGGTGCGACTGCACTACATATTACAGCCTTGCTCCAGGAATGCTCGCGTCCAACGCAAGAAGGGAGTCGGCGAGCCGAGACCTTCCAAAGGACTGCTTTTTTGGTACCTACGTCAGCGCCTGCGCAGCCCGTTCCTTGGATACCAATATACGACACAATTCACAATTATGTACTCCAACTCCTCGACAAGATACAGCGTCTGCCTGCCTTGTTTCTGCAGGGGTACACAGAGGTCCAGCAGCCGTCCTAGACCGCTTTGTCGGAGGATGGAATGGACGTGATCTTCTCGGATCGCGAACGCCACTGCAACAGATCCGGAGGCGCCGGCGTCATGTACAAGGTCGAGGAGCACTGGTACGACAATGCGTTCGCTCTCGGCAATGTCGAGCGCAGCCAGGACGCGACTACGTAGAGACTGCGATGCCAACCGTCGTCGTCGTGAAGTCCATGCCGGAACGATTGCGGCCTGCTGGAGAAGCCGAACGCATCATCCTGGATGTCTGCCCCTCTGTTGGGACGAACATCATGGCCGCGTATATGCAGCTGGTCGACGTCTTGTTTATAACAAGATGGAGAGCGCCGTGCATTCACATGCCGCCGCCGCGTCCTCTGTAGCCTGAAGCACGCCTGGGGCCCGTGGTGACGCGCTAGCAACACCTTTCGGCGTGAAGTTCTGGACTAGGAAGTCACGCTAATGCTGTGTGCACTCACTGCCAGGACAACACCTTCGGCTTATATTCGTGCTCTGGATCTGCACAACTTCCACACCCACACATCCTCTCATCCTTCAACGCTATCGTCCAACTCAAGGCCTTCATCAACTCCTACCATCATATCATCACCAAACGTCGCAACATCTTCCCCAACCCTCACAAACAAGATGTCGAACGTTTTCCGCGGAACAACACCGCCAACACCGCAGTGGACCGCTGTCAACCAGACGGCCGAGGAAACCGAAGCGATGGACGTGCCGATGCTAGATGCCGATGATGCAAACAACAGCATCACCGACGAGACCGCCAACGACACTCTCAACGAGAGCGCGCTGGCCAGAAGGCACGCTTTCCTGGAAATGTATATCCAGGACGCGACGGAGGAGGATGACGTGCTCGGCCTGCGTCGCCTCTTCACAACCCGAGCAGCCCCAACAGCGGCCACCCAAGAGGCAGACGAGGCCATTGACATGGGCTCCGACGATGACGGCGAAGAGGAAGATCCCGCCCCCGCCCCAACCGCCAATGCTGTCCTCTTTCCGACTGTTGCAGCCTACGGCGGAGGCATCACCGCGAGCGACAACCAGATCTTCAGCGACGAGAGGCGTCTGAAGGGCGCGGGAATCCTTCAGGTGGCCGCCAAATACACCGTCAAGAGGATGACGGAGCTCGTGAACGCTCGAAACCACCTCGGCAACCTGACGGAGAACGCGGTCAGCTCGCGTCTCTACAGCGCCATCACGAGTGAGGCGAAGCGTCAGGGTCGTCCTCGCGCCGAGCTGAAGAAGGAGTTCGACGAGCTCAGGATCGCGAATGGCGTGTATAAGCAGCGCTTCTCTGGCCGGAACATGAAGGCAAAGGGAAAGAAGGAGAGCGCTGGGGATCAGCAGGAGGAAGGCGAGGAGGAAGATGCCGACGAGGAGTAGAGCGTGAGGGTTGAGGAAAAGGGCTGTTGGTTGAATGATTGCAGAAGATCATGAGCTCGAATGGCCGCGCTGATGGAAGGAGATATGGATTCATGATGAGAATGGCTGCTGCTTGTGATGGCTTGACTTACGGCGATCAGACTACGAGTGTGCATACATGGGAGCAGTACACAGACACTGCCAGTGATCGGAGAACTCCAGTTCACAAATACCTCAATGTTTAATTTCCCTCTCTCCGCGGTGAAGGTCTTGCCAGTTCAGATTTCGCCAAGGTGCAGACAGTCTTGTAGGCAGGGACACTGCTCATATTTGTAATGCAGGCATGGCCGTTGCGCAATCCGCAGCACCTCATCCGATCTGTGATCAGTTGCAGATCCCGCGCCACATCTGGCGACATCCGTCGAAATAAAGTTGTTGACCAATCCGGTGCCTGATTACGCTAGACCCGTCCGGGGCAAATGTGGTGGTATCGGCGCGAACAGGGCGAAGTTTGATTTGCCAACTTTTAAGTGGAGCAGAGCATGGGACGGCTCGAGGAGGTGGAAGGGTGAAACACGGAGGAGCATTTCAGATTGATTGACAGCTCGCGCACTCACTTCTTGCCTCCACACTACCTACCCTCCCACTGCCTTGCTGACCAGGCTGGACTACACACGGCGCATTTGCAGTCAACAGCGACTTGCCAAGGGCGGGCATTGGCGCCCTTGGCCTCGACGACTCGCGGGTGACAGCGCCACTGGAATCCTCCTCCCATTTGTTTCCCTCCCCACAACGCGCATCAGTCCTCCGAGTCGCATGCCCTCGCTCCCCTCACAACTCCAGTCTCCTTGCACACCAGCGAGGGGGCTGCTCGGCCCACGCCCCCAACATGACGCGCCCTCACATTGTCCGCGCGGACACCATCGACCTCCAAAGCGCCGACACCCCTTCCGCCGCCGAACACCACAAGCCCCTGCTCCAAGGCGGCCTTGCGCCGCACCAGCGCGCAGAGGTACACCATGTCATGGAGGAGCGGACGTCGGAAGAGCATGCGCTGGCGGATGCGTGGAGGATGGCCGACGACCTCACCGAGGAGCCGGGCATGATTGATGAGGCGCAACACCAGCACAACCTTGCCGGAGAGCCGCACATCAATGGCGTCCGACACGGCGAAGAGGAGGAAGGCGGTGGATTAGAGGGAGACGCAGACGATGACATGCTCGACCGAGTGTCGAGTTCTCCGAGTATAGACGATGGTGGGTACCCGCTTCCCCGTTCTTCCCCTGTCCCGCGCGCGCGAGTGATGATCTGGCCGGAGCGAAAGTCCAGTCTGTCTCCTTCGCCGCGCAAACGCCCTACCCCTACTTCCCCTTCCCCGTCGGATTTGACCAAATCCGGCTCCTCTTCCCCAGCCTCCTCGCCATATCAGCATACGCCGCAGCATCTACCATTGCACGCGCGTACGACTGGCCACCCATCTTCTGCTCTGTCAAACGAAATCAGCCCCGATTTCAGTTGGCACGAAGACAGTGGGGAGGTGACGCCAAGCGAGAGGCGGGAAGAGGATGCTTCCTTTGTGTCCGAACATCATCAGCAGTCGGGTAGGTATGGGAGGACAGCGGATTCGGAACGATTGCCGCGCATTCACCTGGACCTCTACACAGACGAAGGCTTCTACGACAACGAAGACGACGAGGATGAACACGCCGATAATTCCGAGTCTTCTGCTCCGTCATTCACGAGACTCGACGACCCGCCGTGCACAAATTCACATTTCATTCACGACCGCGATCTTGGCATGATTTTACTGGAAACCCCGCGCGGCAACGCATTCTCTAACAACTCCTCCGACCATCTGGCACTGGATCTGCAACCATCTCCCAGTCTCAACAGCATGGCAAGCTGGGATTTGCAAAGCGTCTTGCTTCCCGTCGATGACCCTCTTCTGGACCGAGCCTCCTCTCCAAACGGCTCATCCTCGTCATGGGAGAGCATCCCGATTTCCGAAGAGCACCCTGCTGGCGATAAGGAAGCCGGCAACGACGCTGATGATGCTGATGACACTGATGCCCTCTTCCTTGACTTAGACGAGCGTTTCATTGACTCTGGTTGGGGTGGCGAATGCTTACGAGAGACAGAAAACATTGACTTCGAATTCGTCTACGCCTTTCATACTTTTGTTGCGACGGTGGAAGGACAAGCCAACGCCACCAAAGGCGACACCATGGTATTGCTGGACGACAGCAATAGCTACTGGTGGCTTGTCCGAGTGGTCAAGGACGGGAGTATTGGTGAGTGGTGGTAGAAGTAGCCTCGTTGTGGCACGACCTCGCTGATCGCACCCACCTAGGATATCTGCCCGCCGAACATATCGAGACACCGACCGAGCGATTAGCGCGCCTGAACAAACATCGGAACATTGACGTATGTTTGCTTGCTCGCACTGTTTGCTCGGGATGTCTATCTAACCACCTCGCAGCTGTCCGCGACGATGCTTGGCGATCAGTCAGAAAAGACGCGCAATCCGTTGAAGAAGCTGAGAAGACGAAACATGAAGACGGTGCAGTTCGCAGCTCCCACCTACGTGGAGGCTTCTGACTACGAGTACGACGACGATGAAGAAGAGGAAGAGGGAGCGGGCGAGACTCTTGCGGATGGAGCGGCGGTCGACAAAGCAGAGCAAAATGGCGAGCGGGATGCGGACGTTGCAGCAGGTGAGCAGAATGCAGCGCAGGAGGAAGCGCCCCGAGCATCCACGCCAACCCGAGGCTCTTTCGACCGTGAACAAGCCGCAACACTATCCTCACCGCAAGACGAGCCACAAGTCAGCCCCAAGCTGGTCGACAAAACCGAAGCCGCGCCTTTGAAGTCACGGAAAACCCGAAATACCGACTCGTTCCTCAAAGACGATTCTATGGAAACGCGGAAGATCACATTGACGCCCGGGATATTACGAGACGAGCAGGGCAAAGGCCTTTCTGCCGCGAGCTCGCGGAACGACAGTATGGAGAGTTTGGTGAAGTCGATCTCGCCGTCCGACTCGCTCGGCAAGAAGGACAGCAAGAAGGAGAAGGACAAGAAGAAGGAGGGCAAGTTTAGGGGCTTCTTCAAGAGTAAGAAGAAGGACAAGAAGGCTGGCTTGGAGGTCGAGGCCGCCGAGGAGAACCATTCGGCGGAGTACTCGGGAGAATCGGGGTTGACGAGCCCGGTCGAGACGCCGGCCCAGGATCTAATTGCAGCCGCCACATCCCCCGTAGACACTCGATCTCAAGCAGATGTCACTTCGCGATCACTCTCGCCTGTGACTGCTCCTGCTGCTGAAGAAGCAGACCAGCCGCCACCGGCAGAGGCGAATGTTGCGGAGTTGGAGGGCTCCGGCGCTGCTACAGGGCTTGCGACTGTTGGCCTTGCCCCGCTCAACACCGCTCTGGCGACACAGGACAAGACGAAGGAGAGTGCGTTATCTCCCATCACCAATATCCTGAAGCGGGACGACAGCAAATCCGCCAAGCCTGCAAAGGCAAAACGCTCCAAGGAACGCGTGATGTTGGACGATTTCGACTCGCCCGAGCACGATGATGGGCCGGACTACTTCGACGGCCCCGAGGCACGCCATGTGGAAGACGACGAGGACGAAGAGGATCGATTGTCGGAAGACCCGATAGAAATCACCTCGAGCAGCCTACACGGTACTGAATCGGTTCATGTCCCCACACCTGGTACATATGAAGAGCGTGAATTGGACGAAGACGACGAGGATGAAGACGAAGGAGAGGTAGTAGATGAGCCGGAGAGCATGACCAGCTCGCCCAGCTTGATCGAACACCCCGCCGAACCCCTCGAGACACCCAGCGAACCCACCACCCAAGACGACAGCGACTCTACTCCGCGCGGACCGCGCTCCCCGAATCCGACCGCAGCAGCCGCTACTACCACTCCATCCATCCACAACCTCTCTACCACCGACAACAGCACTACACCCTGGTCGCGCAGCCCCGTCACCGACCGCGGCGCCTCCCCCGCCACCAGCATCTCGCAGCAGTCGTGGAGCGACACCTCGCTCCGCAGCTGGCTCGAAGACGGCAGCGAAGTCAAGGACATGCTCGTCCTCATCCATGATAAGTCCGGCGTGGTGCCCGTCGGCGACGACCACCCGCTCATGGCGGGCTTGTTCACGGAGCAAAAGAAGGGCGTGCAGGACATGATGACGCAGCTGGACGGGCTGCTGGGGAGCTATCTGCAGCGCAAGGGCATTGACTTTGGCTGATGCGGGATGGATGGATGGGGAGAGAGGTAGCTATGCCGATCCTTCTCTGTTCCGTCGGCTGGGAGGGGTGGGGGTGAACGGTGCAAGCGAGCGTGTGTATGGTATTGGTGACGCTGCTGCTGCCCGGGCGGCATCCCAGTCACTGGACGCGGATGAGGCCATGTGCTTGCGCGACTTTTTCCCCCATGCCTGTGCCGGAAGTCGCTCATGGGTGTACTGTATAGGCAATATACAGACTTTGAGATCGTCATTGCTCGCCCGTCTTGACATGTTGATCTTCCGCTCGCGTCTGTGTTATTCTTGGAAGGTGGAACGTCATCGCAACCACGCGGAGCTTTTTATGTAATGGTTGTTGATGATGAGGATTTGAGGTAGCGAAGTATAACGTCATTCAGCACGGCGGGTCGACGACAGTGACCTTCCACATTTGGACCATTTGACTCTCCAGACAACAGTGATGACTTGGAACGTTGGTAAAGCAATTCCCTGATTTCTTGCTAATGGGCATTCAAAGGAGTGCAGAAGAGTATATAGTACAATATATACAGCTTGAAATCAAACACTCAGAAACTCCATCCCCCTCCACCCAGTGCCGCCGTGCTTCTTATTGCATATAAGATGCACTTAAAGGGGAAGCCCGCCACCGCCGGAGGTGGTGGAGACGCAAGTGAACGTGCCCGGGCCGCTCTCGAGGTCCTGCAGGAACTGCGTGAGGCTGTTGGACGAGTTGCACACGTAGGCGGAGGCGACGTTCGTCTTGGCGATGCTGGTCTTGCAGTGCGCCGCCTTGGAGGCGACCTTGGAGTACTTCTTGGCGCCGGCGACGAGGCTGGTGCAGGTGTAGAGCTCCACGACGGGGGGGATGGCCAGGGGGTTGGTGTAGGTGGCGGAGATCTCGTAGGGAGTGTGGACCTGTTGGTTGGGTTAGTTTGGCGGAGTGGGGGCTTGGGGGTGGTGGTGGTGAGGACTGACCTTGGGGCTCTTCTTGGCCTCGGGCTCGGGGAGGGCCATGGCGGCGGTGGCCGACAGGGCGGCGAGGAAGAGAGAGGTGAACTGCATGTTGATGGTTGGGTGGGAGATGGGGGCTTGGAATGTGGATTGGATAGTTGGTCAAGCGAGTGCAAGTGTTGTTGTGATGATGATTCAAAAGAAAGGCAGAGGAGTGCGAGGAAGGGCGATACTTATACCCGAATTTTCGAGGCCCCGTCGTCCAAGACGGTCAGCAGAGGCTCATCTCACAAGAAGGAGCGATCGGCATGGATACGACGCCTGCCTCGATGCATCCACGTTGGAGTGATCGTCGGTAATCCTGCTCCCATCGTCCACATTGGGCGCCTAGGCGAGGCTGCGCCCTGCACCTGGACGCTACGGCCGTGCCCGACGTCCCCTACGCTACCACGGAAGGATGAGTGACGACTTGGCACACTTTACACTGTCGATCAGCACACGCACCGCACGTGGAGGCATGCTGCGCTTCCGCCATATCCACGGTACATGCCGGGGCTTACACTCGCCGGCGAACTTCGTCCGCCAATTCCTCTGCACTCCTCGTGCAGTTGTGCGACGGTGTTTGCAAGGCCGTGAGTGTTCTTCACTGCGGAGCGTCCGCTGCTCCACTCCCAACCAAGCCCCCCGAACCCAACGATGGGGCGCATATTGGCCGCTGCCCAGAGCACCCAGCCTTGCAGCTGTGGGGAAATAGACTCCGACCCACTTCCCGTACTTGCCGCATTGGGCAACGCGCGCTAAGCGAACCACACCTCCAAGCGAGCTCACGCTACCGAATCCGTGAGAACGCGCGCAGGATGTCCAAGAGATCCCACCACCGTTCGGCCGATGAGGAAGCTGGTGGGGACCATGGCTTCCTGCGCCTCCACCGCGAACAATACGAGCGGCCAATCAGCGTACCTACGCTGTCGCCGAATTGGTGTTTGCTGCAAGCCAGCTCGGATGGGAAGGAGCGGAACGTCTAATAATCAGCGAACTGCCCGGTGCCGGCGTCAACCCCTGCGAACTACGCGTCGGCGAGTTACTCCTTAAGCTGGGTTGGAGCTGCGGATGACGATCGTGATGACGATCTCCAGGGCAGCAAATTGCGTCCAGCGCGCAACGCCCATTACGCAACACAACACCACCGCCGCGGACGCGAGCTCATCAATGGGATACGATGGGAGCGCCTTCCCTGCTTGCCGCTCTTCCGGCCGTATCGCCCTCCCTTCACCATCAGACGCCTGGTCTCTCGTGTCCCCACTGTGCTTGGCTCTCGTGACTGCGGCGGGGTGGCGTGCTCTGGAGCGCAAGGTGGCTTGCGGGAGAGTGGATGAGGCATTGCACTTGCAACCACGCCAAGCGGGGCTCGACTGTCCCCTACCTGCTCACCAGCGATTGTCCCCGCTTTAATCCCTTGTGTGGGAAGGAAGGAAGCATTGGCCTCTCGCTCGAGAAAATAACTCCGGAGGGTTGCGCGGAGCTGTGAGGATTGATGACGTGGGGAAGCCGTTCTCGGTAACAAGACAGCGTTGCCCAGTACGGAAGGCGCGGATGCTGTCAAATCGCCGCGTTGAGACGTTCAATTTCCCTCTGCTTGCAACGACATGAATGATGATATTCGAGGCATCCAACACGGTGGCAGGCACAGCCCGCCATCGACGCCCCCAAGACGCCACTGCTCATTCTCGTCGCGTGGCATCTCGAGTCTCGACTCCATATCCAAGCCGTGTGGCGTCCAGCCCCCAAGCCTGCCACACAGTCTCGATTCATAGACAGGCCCTGTGGCGCGGAGGAGGCCAAGCCGTTTTCTCCGGCCCGATCGTATTGCGCATGAACGGTGGGGCGACACGACTCAGAATCCGCCGTCGCCAATCATCACCTTTACTCTGCTTCGCTTGTGGGTGTTTATGTGTTTTGGCGCTTATTCTTGGACATGCATAGGCTCATGTCACTTTCGACGGGCCGAGTGAGACAGGAGACACTGATCGTCGTATAGGACAGGGTCTCCCGCGGCCGTAGGGATATTGATCGCGCAACATTACAGAGGTAATGCCAAGTTCTTGAATGTCGCGGCGTGGTCGGACCCAGCGAACTGGTCGTGTCCATGTGTGTCCAGAGCCAGCCGCCACGTTCCACTTCAGCGCTCGCACTTGGCTACCCTTTGCAGTGGTGAGCCAGTGCTTGCCTCTCTGGAGCGGACGACATTCGGAGCCGAACATCCGGCCACCCACAGCCTGCTATACTCGCTCGCATGTTAATGCCTGACGGATAGGGCCGATACTAGAGGCGCTGCCGTGTCGGCATATCGTGCACACTCTCAACGCCACATGGGGCGAGCCTTTCACAGCCGTCCAGCAGGCTTGGAACTTCTGTTTAGTCGCGCCTAGGGCCTGTTGCCGTCGTCAACATCTCGAGATGTGCCGTAGGTCAGACGGTATCTGCCGTACGCCACGATCGGGGGCGAGGCATCAACGGCCGAATCTCAGGCTGGACATCTATCCACGCAAGCCTAGAATGGCTTGGTTATCAAAATATCGTGGCGGTCCGGGCCAGGCTCCTTGGCTGAAAGAGTCATCAGGCGACATCTGCTGCGCCCTCGGCGGGGGGAGGAGGCTTGGGTGGTCGATCGTCTTGACAACGTCGGACCACCCTACGGACTCGCCATGCTTATCCACACCAGCCACTCGCACGTAATCCGTAAGGCCAGACCATTCCAGTCGGGTCTCAAAGCCACGCCGGTGAATCTGCAGTACCGCCTGCGCCTCCGCTCCATCACGCGCCGTCTTGTAGAGTCTCCAACACCGCACTTGCGTGTCGCCGTTCCAACTGACGTGCACCACGGTTCTATTCTCGAGCAGGGAAGTGGACGCCACCACTTCGGGCCGCGTGAGGGGCCGGCCGACAAAGGGAAACTTGTAGGCGCGGTAGGAGCCGATGCGATCTGGAACGAGGCGGGCTTTCAATAAAACGGTGCCGTCCGCGGCGTGCTCGCTGAGATACGCATGTTCGGACCAGCCCAGGAAGACATGGCCGTTGTCTAGAATCTGCATGTTCCCTCGGCGCTGCGCCAGCAGGCGGTCTGGATGGTCGTAATGGGCGACAAGCGAAGCGGTCATGTTGACAGTGTTGAGGGCGATTAGCAGCCCGCGGGAGAAGTCGTGGGTCGGCGGGGCCTCATCCTCGCCAAGTGCGTTGTCCATTAGAGACACGATGGTATGCGTCGCATTCTGGCCTCGGAAGCGAATGTCGTGCTGCCGGGAAAAGTGAACGTTTCCCATGTCGAAGTCCGATTGCTTGCCTCCCAAGCGCCAGATGATGGAGCCGTCGTCTTTTGAGATTTTGTAGACGGTGTTGGTGTGTCGAGCGTTGAAGAAGTAATGTCCGTCGTAGTTCGACTTGTCAATAGAATTGGCGTGCATGAAGTCCCAGCCCGCTCGGCAGTAGTTGGTGATGTTCCTTCCGGCGTGGTAGACACTGCTCTCCTCCAGACCAATCCGACCACGAGGATCGAACTGAAACGTGACACCGGCAGTCTCGACATCTAGCTCGACCAACTTGTTGTACTCAACCCAGCAAGCATCGCCGTCAAAGCCAATAGCCTGCTTATCTCGCTCAGTGGCCCGCTGTCGGCGATCCATAATGACCAACACCTTGGTTCCATTCTCGACAAACTTGAACTCGTGAGCATTGACGCCTTCCCCGACTCCCTTCTTCACAACTTCCAGAATCTGGCGGATACGATACCGATCATCGAATATCAATCCCAACCGGCGATTGCGGTCGTAGAGAGTCGGTACAAGCTGCCCGCCTACATTGCTCAGGCGGAAGTCGTTGACGTCCGTGGAGTCGAGCTGGGCGGTCCCGCTCCATACTACGTCTCCGGCGTTGTCGTATATCACGGGGCCCGGCCATCCCTCTCCCGATCCCAGAGTCACTCGCGAAGCCTGCTTGGGCGCAACGAACCAATATCCCGGGCTGAGAGCGCTTTTGTCATAGACTGTAAGATTCCATTTTGGAGGAGTGAGGTCAGGTCGCTGGAGATTATCAGTGTTCTCTTCTCCCCGAGTCCCTGGTTCCGGCGGGGTTCACTCACCGTGACAAAGTGGCAAAAATCCGAGGCCTTCCACTGCCCATTGGTCGGCACACATGCGCACAACAGCGGCAGCAGCAAGAGCACAATCAGCCCGATACGTTCCATACTCTCTTTACCCTCCGGAGTATTCGGAGCGGGACAGCATTGCGTTGTAGAATGGCCTCGCTGAATGTGACATCAAGCGAAGTCGAGCTTCGTCCCTTCCCCCACTCCTGCCAGCTTCGTTGCTTGGCTCGGCTTGCGCCATTTGCCGCCGCCGTCGATCATTAGATGCTCTCGTCCACACACTTCGGCGACGAGAGTTGTGTCAAACCTGCACACAGTAATGCGCGAGGTAGATCCCTGGCTTCGAGAGCGCTTCGCTTCTATCAAACCTCCAGCGATCGGCGGCGCGAGACGGAAGTATCCGGCTGATCATTTCCGTCAAGCCTTGCGAGCCGCTTTCCATCCTTTCCATCGAGAAGGAGACTTTGACTCTCGTTATTTCTCGCTTCAGCACTCGAGGATACTGTTTTTAGTTCCAGGGCTGATCCGGCTTATTTCCTTCGCTAAGTCACTACAACATCGGAAGGAAAACCAATAAGTCTTGACGCGAGCACTCGGAGACATTACGGTGCAGTACAATACAGATGTCGATGACGAGAATGCCGCGTCGGTAGTTCACCCACGAGATATGGGACTGGGACGCGCTCGACCAGATCACGGTATGTTCCGGCAGTTGCATCCTTCCTCGATACCTTCCGTACTTGGTAGCCAGTTGTTGGCCAGTGATCTTGAACGTCGGAGGCACGCTCAAGTGTAGACCTGAACATGTTTGGATGCTGCATGTGGTGTCTCATGGGAATGCTGCGTCATGCGAATGCTGCGTCATGGCTACAACAGACGGAGCCCTTGGCGAGAGCCTTTCACTTCGCCCTTGTCGATGCTCCATGGCGTCCCTGACCTGCCGACCAAGAGGTTTCGAACAGCCCGCCGGAATGTTGTTTCGCTCGTAGCACTCATGAAAGTACATATGACATTGATCCGGCGCGGAAAGGCAACGAAAGCTGTCGGAGAGCAATGACAGCAAAATGCTACAATGAATTGAGAAGAATTTGGGTTCTCTGCAGTCACCGTCGATTTCGGCTCAACAACGAGTGTTGTGGTCCAGATGCAATCGATCATCGTTATATGCTGGCACTCGGGTGAGTGTCCTCGGTTTCACGCGCTGTCAAGCAAGCCTGAGTCCGAGGGATCTGACTTGCACAAAGCGCCGTGTCATGCGAGCATAATCGAGTGTAAGCAGCGATTGACAGAGTACAGACTGGCGGCTGTGTGACCAAGGCGCGTAGCTTTGATGCGGTGATCGACCGCGGCGTAAGGGAGTGTGGTGCAGGTGGCGTCGATTGGTGGTCGAAACGGGAAAGCACCAGCTGTTCTTTCTCCAGATGTGGCGTGGCTGACAAACTCCCGGACCCTGAACTGCCCTCCAGTCTCCTCGAACTCGCCCATCTTTTTCCAACACTTCTGTTTCTCATTTGGAAAGCACATCATCGAGTCATTGAGCAACAATGGGTCGAATCAACCAATTCTTGAGCGCTGGCCTCGCCCTGTTGGCGACAGCATCTGCTTCGGCGGTCATTGACCTTGATCCGAAGAATTTCGATGGTAAGCTGCTCTATCCCTTGACTCCTCCCGCTTCTCCACCACAGAGGCGCCAAGTACTAATGGCCATGGCGAACAACAGATGTCGTCCTCAAATCCGGCAAGCCCGCCCTCGTCGAGTTCTTCGCCCCCTGGTGCGGACACTGCAAAACTCTCGCCCCCATCTACGAAGAGCTGGCGAGCGGCTTCGAGTTTGCCAAAGATCGCCTCGTCATTGGCAAAGTCGACGCCGACGCGGAGAAGACTCTGGGCAACCGGTATGAGATCTCCGGCTTTCCGACGCTGAAGTGGTTTGATGGCAAGAGCGATACCCCGGAGGACTACAGGAGTGGACGTGATTTGGAGAGCCTGACGGCCTTCATCTCCGAGAAGACGGGCATCAAGCCGAAGGCCAAGAAGGCTGAGCCTAGCGCGGTGGAGATGTTGACGGACTCGACGTTCAAGGAGCAGATTGGTGGGGATGCGGATGCCTTCGTGGCTTTTACTGCCCCGTGGTGTGGACGTGAGTATACTGCTGCTCGTGATACCATTTGGCGAGGACAGCGCTGACAATTACACAGACTGCAAGACCCTCGCGCCAACGTGGGAGTCCCTCGCAGCCGACTTTGCGCCGGAAAAGAACGTCCTCATCGCCAAAGTCGACTGCGAGGCACCCAACGCCAAGGCCACAGCGGAAGAAGCGGGCGTCACCAGCTACCCGACGATCAAGTACTACCCCAAGGGTTCCAAGGAAGCCGTGGATTACACCGGCGGCCGATCGCCGCAGGATCTATTCAAGTTCATCAACGAGAAGGCCGGCACGCACCGTGTGGTCGGTGGTGGGCTGGATGCTCTTGCCGGCACCATCCCGTCGCTTGATGAGATCGTTCTGACGCTCAAGACGGGCGGCGAGGAGGCGTACAAGAAGCTGGAAGCCGCGGCTGCTGCTCTCCAGGGCAAATACGCCGAGTACTATGCCAAAGTGGCCAAGAAGGCGGAGCAGAATGCAGAGTATGTGGAGAAGGAATCGAAGAGGTTGCAGGGATTGCTGAAGAAGGGTGGGCTGGTGCGGGAGAAGGAGGATGATTTGATCAGCCGGAGTAACATCTTGGCCAAGTTCAAGGGCGACATCCTTGGTAAGGATGAGCTCTAGATGGCAGTGGATGTATGATGGGTGGGCATGAACGGGGGACGTGCAAGTAAATTGTGGCAGCAGTGAATGATGACGGTGTTTGTGTCGCACGAGCATCCTTTGAACTGCAGTGAATGAAATGTGTTGCGGTGAAAAGAAGCCCTTTCTGCCTGAGGCTGCTTCTTGGCAAAGCCAGGGCACCAATCGGAGGAGCCCCACCCACAACCCTCGCCCGTCGAGCGTTTGTTTTCTGGCCATCGCTCTTCTTCACCCTTCTTCCCCTTCACTATCACCTTGGAGCTCTTTCTTCTACACTTAATTGCTCCTTCATCTCTCCATCAGACAAACCCTCCCTCCGACCAGCTTGTTCCACCCCCATCGCCCGTCAACAACGCAAACATGGCCAGCGAAGAGAGCAAAACCCCTAGCACCACCGCAGATGGCGAGCAATCGAAGACCGTGGCCCAGAGCGCCGCCGACACCGCCTCGGCAGTGAAGGACAACGTCTTCAGCATGTTCGGCGGCGGCGGCGCCAAAGCAGCAAAGACCGACGACAATGCAAACGAGGAGAACGACCGCTCGGGCAGCTCGAAAGCACAAAAGGACAAGGCGGCCGCTGCTGAGGGCGGTGACGACGACGAAAAGGCCGACGAGGAGGAGGCGGATGTGCACTTTGAGCCGGTCGTGCACCTCACGGAGAAGGTGGAGACGAAGACGAACGAGGAGCTGGAGGAGCAGATGTTCAAGATGCGCGCCAAGCTGTTCAAGTTTGATCGCGATAGTCGGGAGTGGAAGGAGCGGGGCACGGGGGATGTGCGGTTGCTGAAGCATCGGGAGAATGGCAAGACGCGGTTGGTGATGAGGCGGGACAAGACGTTGAAGGTGTGCGCGAACCACTACAGTATGTTGGAATGTCTTGTGGATTTGGGTGAGCTTGGCTGATTTAACTTGCAGTCGTCCCTGATATGAAGCTGTCGCCAAACGTCGGTAGTGACCGCAGCTGGGTGTGGAATGCTGCTGCCGATGTGTCGGAAGGCGAGCCAGAGGCATCCACGCTTGCGATTCGCTTTGCCAACTCGGAGAGTACGTATAGAGACGGCTCATGTGTGCGTGTTATTGGCTCTTACTGACATACTTCAGATGCCAACCTCTTCAAGGAAGCATTCATCAAGGCTCAACAGGAGAACGAAGCTCTCTTCAGCGGAGCGAAGGAGGAGGCGGCCAAGACGGAGTAAGTGGTATACACACTGGCGAGCAGCGAGTCGACAAGGAGCGGCGACTTGCTCACCTTCTGGGCGTGTCATCGGAGGTCTTTCACGACCAGGCGTCTATAACATCGGCATGCTGCGGAGAGCGGTATGCCGGGTTCCCTGCAGCATTTTGGGCGTTCATCACCATCACCACCTTCACCAACTTCACATCACCATCGCCAACCCCACCAACATCGACTTGTCCCGTCCGAAATGGACCTCGCACAACACCCCAATCACCTTGATCATCATCGCAGCACTCCCATGGAAAGCGACAGGTGTCGGTGGAAAGCTGAGTAGATAGAAAGACAGAAAGCGTGGTAGAGACGCGAAAAGCCCCTTCATTACAATTCATATCCCCTCATCTTCTTACTTCCACCTGTCCAATAACTTCACTGATGAACATGTGATCCACAGCTAGCATTTCGTTCACAATCTCTTCATTGCTAACAATCGCGTTCAACGATACCCTATATCGCACCTCGTCTTAATCAATTTGGGTTAAAGTAGGGGCAGGCGCGAGCCGAGCCTCTTGCCCATCGTCCCTCCCTTCGCTCCGCGTGCAGCGCGCAGCCCCACCCCGACCTCATTTCTCGCTCACTGCAGCTACACGTCCTCCAACTCTCCACCACCCATTTCGCTCTTCCCCAACTCATCTATTTCCCCCAACACCATCGTCCTCCCATCTTCGACATCTCGCGATCCGCGTGTGCTATTTGCTTCACCCACACCTTCACCACAAACTCCCTCTTCACCGCTTGCGCCGCGGGCCCTTGCAGGCGCGCAGCAATCACTTCAATATGCCGGACGTACGTATTTCATGGCCTCTGCCCTCCCTTCTGCTCACTCCATCCGCTCTGCCATCATCCCCTTCATCATGAGGCGCAAAGCACTAACGCGAGCCAAACAGATCAAACGCACCGTTAAGCTCGTCACCAACCAATCCATCCTCCCGTACGTTCTCCCTCCCTCACCCCTCCACACCACTTCACCCCAACTCACCTCCCGGCCCAACAGAAATGAAACGCCCGAAGGCGAAGAAATCCCCATGCGCGGCTGGGACATCTCCATCTACCTCGTCGGCCCCGACGGCGAAGAGCTGCCGGCCAACTGCTTCGAAAAGGTCGTCTACGTGCTGCACGAGTCGTTCGGCAAGCGCGCCAAGCAGACGATCAAGACCCCGCCGTTCATGATTAAGGAGAAGGGGTGGGGCGAGTTCGACATGCTCATTACTCTGACGCCGATCGGCGCGCCCAAAGGCGGGGACCAGACGCTGCAGCATGATTTGAATTTCGCGCAGGAGCGGTATGAGAGTACGCATAGTGTGGTATGTTTATCCATCTCTGGGTTCATATTGTGGGCTAGGAGTGCTAAATCAACCCTCAGGTCTTCCGCAATCCTAAGCCCGAACTCCTCAAAATCCTCCAAGAGTCCGGACCGGCTGGCGACGCGAACGGCGCAACAACCACAGGCACGAGCAAAGCGCCCAAACGCAAACCCGCGAGTCGAAATGTCGACATGGACAAACTGGCCGAGGCGCTACCGCAGCTGTCAGAAGACGACTTGCTGCAAGTCGTGCAGATGGTGCACGACAACAAGACGGAGGAGACGTACACCAAGAACGATCTGGAGAGTGAGTTTTCCCCTCCGTCCCTCCCTCCATCTTTCCTCGTCCGATGGCTAACGGAGTCTAGACGGCGAATTCCACGTCGACCTCTACACCCTCCCCGACAACCTCATCAAAATGCTGTGGGACTTCACCTCCAGCCGCGTCGACATGAGCGTGCTCTCGTAGCATGACAGCGCCGTCGAGTCGGCCACCGGCGCAGTAGAGGCGGGCGAGAGGAGCCGCAAGCGCACCAGGCGGAGATGAGCTTCAATCACCATCGCATCATAGCGAGGAGATGGACATGGGCATAGGTCAAGAGGGTGGAGTGGACGGAACCTGGGCACGTTCAAGGGTTCGAGGGCTTTTTGCCCATGGCGACGGTGCTGGGACAGGGCATGAGGACAGGCAGAGAAGGGAAAGGGAATGGAAAGGAATGAAAGCGATGGCGTTCAGGCGTCGGCAGGGACAGGACAGGCGGCCCTTACTTTGGAATCTTGCTTTTCACTCTCGCGGTTGCGGCACTGCTATCATCTTCCCTGACTCCGAAGGCTCAAAATGCGAGACTTGGACCTTTCTTGCTTCCTGTTCTCACTCGTTGCGAGTGCGCGTGTTGACTCTCTGCGATGCAAAGACGGGTCTATGAGGTGGGCTGCCGACGGGGAGAAGAGCAAAACGCACAAGATGACTTTAATGATCTCAATTCACAGCATTACAAAGTAGAGAGCCGCACCAACTATCATCGCCCTCCTTCACCGCACGAGATGCCTCTATGCCTCTTCGCCGTTGCATCTGACCTTCCGTCCCGATCGAGTCATTCCGTGAAAGGAAAACAAACCCCCATTCCAATGCGTTCCCTTCCCCAGCAATCCGAGGTATATCCGTTGATGAGAACGCCAGGCAAAAACAAAACCTTCCATCTCATTTCACGTGTGTATGTGCATCGAAGCATTCAAATCCCTCACTTTGGGCCAGGGGCTTTGTGCTTCTTGCCGTGCTTCTTCGGCCCCTTGTTCTTCTTCTTGTCCTTCTCGACTCGGGCGTCTTTCGGAGCAGCAGCCTTCTTGCCCTTCTTGCCCTTTTTGCCAATCTTCTTCTCCTTCTTCCCAGCAGACGCTTTGACATCGGCCTCTGGCGCTTGGCTGGGGACAGTAGACTTCGATGCAGCACTGACAGAAGCAAGGCCATGCAGCTTCGATTCGCGAGCTTGCAGGGCCTTCTGCTCCCTCCGACACGCCTGGTAGTCTTTGGCCTGAGAGCAGCGAGCAATGTCGGCGAAACTGCCGGCCTTCTTCGACTTCTCGGTCGGCTTGCCGAAGATGTTTTGCAAGCGTAAGGAGAGCTCTTTCGTCGCCGAGGTGCTGTTAGCGTCGCGGTGTCCGGCGAGGGCCTTCTTGATACGCATCGCGCGCTCTCGAGATAGAGCCAGGGGCCGCTTCAGAGTCTTCATCGACGGGATCAAGGCTTTGACGCTCTTCACTGAAGCTTGTGTAGACGGAACCCAGGCCTTGACACGCTTGACTGGAGCGTGCATGTAGGGGATCAACGCTTTTGCGGTGTGGGCTCTGGAGATGAGCGACTTCTGCACGTCGTTGCTGAGCTGGATGAGGTCTTTCTGAACGGCGGCAAGCTCCTTCTTGAAGTTCGCCGCCGTTCCATTGCTGGCCGCCGCCGCCTTCGTAAACACCGAGAGAGCCGTGTTGGCCATGATGGTCAAGTCACGAACGATGTAGATAGCCACCTCTGTAGTGACGTTTCTGGTGGCCGCTGCGCCTGCGCTCAACTCCAGACTCATCTTGCTGCCCAGAGACTTGGCGTTCTTCCGAGCCACCATCACCTCCTTGCCGATAGTCTTGCTGAGGTCGGTGCTGATTTTGTCGTACGTGTCGCGGTGCAAGATCCTCATTCCGAAGTTGTGCTCGACGACGATGTCCCTCTCGGGTAGCTTGGGCCACTTGGCGTACAGGTTGACGGTGACTTTGCCGGATGCATCTTCCGGACGGATCGTGACATCGTACACACCATCGATGAGCTGAGTCAGATTGTGCTCGATCGATGTGTTTGACCGAGATGCCGTTGACGACACGACATGAGGGAAGCGGTTCCAATTGAGCTGATGCCAGACAAGGTTGGTCTTCTCTGGAAGAGAGATTATGAAGTGATTTGGCGGCAGGTGCTCGTAGCGGGCCTGTGGAGGAGCGAGCTCTTCGTCCTTCCAGGCTGCCTCGTGGTAGGGAATCAGGTATGTCATGTTGAGAGCCATTGCCGTGTCCGTAGAGTTCGTCATCTTGGTTAGCGCGGACGCAAATGCCTCTCTGCGCATTGCGACAGCTAAGCTGGGATCAGGTCCATCAAGGATGTGAAGGTAGGGCTTGATGAAATACGCCAGCACGACGGCAATGAAGGTGAGAAGGTGCCAAAGACTGATCGAACGGAAGTCCTGGCGAGTAGGGTACTTGAGCCCGAACTCCTTCTGAACGCATTGTAGCCAATCGCTCGATGCGTTGGTCGCCTTAGACTGCGTGGTAGGCATGCGAGCGTGCTCCGTCATGAGATCACGTATCGCCTCTCTCACATGTCCATCGTCTTCGCCAAACAACTCATCACTGCTCAGGACGAGCTCGCTCTCGAACAGTTCTTCCTTTTCGATCCCAGGAGGCGTAGACAACTCGACACCCGGGGCTGAAAGAGTGATAGCCGGTGGCATCATGGGAAGCATGTTCGACTTGACGATGTTGTGCCAGTCGGGGTAGGTGGAATCGTGCAAATAGTATACCACGAGGTCATACAGGTCGGAGGGGGCAATACTCTGCTTGTCAGCGAGGTTGGACATGCTGACATCGTCTCCGTCAGGGTATCGGAAGAAGTAGGCGAGCTCGGGCTTACGGTCGTCGCCGGCAACGAACTGGGCGTCGACACAGAGCTCGACAGCCAGCTCAACATCTCCCAAACGTACGGACAGATGTGTAGAGGACAAGTGGCCAGGCGTAGCACCAACGCCAATGCTGGCGATGGTTTCTTCCATGTTTTCGTCAGCGGGCAAGAGACACGAAGCGAAACGCAGGCATGCATCAGACACGGCGTCGTTGCTGGTGGAGCGGTCCGAGACGAACAGGATGTGGTAAGTAGACTTGGTGATAGTTGTGGCTGGTGATGATGCTGACGGCGGACCTAGAGTGGTACGGCGAGCACGAGCGTTGTGGAGGGTCGACTGTCGAGGAGTCTCAAGATCCTCCGACATGTATGAGTCCAGCAAGGCATTCTCGGCTTTGACCTGGGTGTTCGTTTGAGCATCACGGGTAGGGCGACGGATACCGAGCTCAGCATCGAGGTCAACCATACTCTCGCCCAATGTATGTTCATCCTCATCGTCTGGGCGTGTAGAAGTGAGGCTCGCGGTCTCATGTCCGTCAGACAAGTCGGAGATGTCGTCAATCATGTCGTACTGGGCGTCGAGAGAGGCCTCCGACAAGCTATCACTCGTGTGTCCTGCCATCATGGCTTTGGCTCCCAAGGAGCTCAGAGCAGCCGGTGGGGTCGGGGGATATGGCGAGCGTGAAGGGAGATCTGAGAGCGAGCCGTCGAGGGCAAGCTTGGGAAAGGCGAAGCTGGATTCGTGCTCGCTAATGTTGGAGCTCGTGGGGGATCGTGGGGAAGAAGACTGAGATTGAGGTGGTGTGGTCAACTGCTCTTGGTTCGCTTCACTGCTAGACGTCTGAGGAAGAGATGAGTCAGATTCCATAATGAGAGCTCATCGGCGAACGGGCAGAAGCAGAGGGAGAGATGTAGGATGATAGCAGCAGAGGGGAGGGAGAGTGGGTGAGGGAAGCGAGTGTGCGTGAAGGAAATTCAACGGCCAACGAGAAGTGATGGAAGGGTGAGGAGTGAGTGTGAGGAAGTGTGGCAGCTGGGCGAGACCCGCAGTGTTGCCTGGCTCGCGGCGGGGTAGAGGTGTCTTACTGGTCAGCGACAAACGTGGCCTCAGGCAAGAGCGAAGCAGTGAAGGAGGGGAAGTGATGGACTGAGTCATCCGTCACTTCATTAGACCCATCCTCAGGGAATAGAGGGCAGTGGTGCGGATGGTGAAGGGGATGGATGGAATGTGGGAGTCGTGATCAACCGCCGCTCCAACCACACCTCCACCCCGCATATCCTCTTATCGCCCGCGATAAGCTCGGCCCCTTCCGAAGCTTGCCCACTTTGGGAACAGCCACGCGCATCTGCACCTGCACGTCGTCACCTCTTCTTCCAATACCTACCTCCAGCCCCCCATAATTCTCTTGACAACGTTGGATGCGGCACAGGATGGATGGCCGACCGTCGCGGTATCTTCGTCCCCCTCATCATCCTCGCCTTCATCTTCCTCTCCCCTGACCCCGCCCGCCCCGCTACCCGCCAACTGCGCATCGGCCGCACCCTCGACGATGTCATTGTCGAAGAGCAGCGCTCTCTTGCCGTCCTACAAAATTCTTCCTACGCCTCCCACGCCCTACCACAGCTGAATTTGACGGGACTAGAAGATGCGCGAGGCTACGCGTGGGATGCGCTTCCAGCAGTGCGCCAGCGTGGACGTGAACAACTGGAATATGCGTTAGGGCCTTTTGCCGGTGATGCGCTGGGGTTGAAGGACGACACCGGTTCGAGTGCGTCGCCTGCACCTTTGTACCACAACATCACGGGATTCGTCCACGGCACATGGGTTCGCTCCAAAGTGGACCCCGACCTGCCTCGTCCTCACCTCAACCTCTCCGATTACGAGATCACGGGCCCTTTTGGACTCATCTCGCCCCGAGCCTTTGACCGAAACGTTACTGGCGAAGAAGGAGATGTCCGTCTGCGATTTCACAAGCATCGGCCGCCGGCAGACGAGCTGGCCAAACACGATGATTTCGGCAACGTCACCAGTTTAGTTGCCGACCTTACCATCACCGATGACGATTCCAGCGAGTACTCTGCACGTCTGTTCGGAGTGTACTTCCTTCATGCTGGCCAAGCAATCTTGACCACCACCAGCGACAAATTCGCCGGTATCTTCCTGCTACCCCATCTCGCCATGTCAGAACGCATGTTTGCGGCTTCGAGAGGACTATTGAACGACACCATTTCCAAAACACTCCAACGCCAAGTGGACGGCCGCTCTGAGTCCTTCAACCCTTGGTCGTCAAGCACTCAGGAAGCTCCGGTCAATCGCGTTAGCTTTCCTGAGTGTGAAATTATTGTATACTTACAGCAACACCCTCCGACATCTACATCGCGAGCCGCCCCGGATGCTTCAGTACTGTCTGTGCTCGAGAAGGAACTACGCTTTCCCACTGGAGCGTATGTGCCTCCCGCTCCGGACATGAAGTTCTCCATGACTGCCTTTTCTCCGGACTGCGGATACGTTCTGGAATCCAAGGGTCCACCAGGATATGCCATTCAAGATGGAGCACATTTTACTGGCCCGAAGATGGAAGTGCTGAATAACAGCAGCAGGAAGCACGACCTCGTCTTCACACTGGTGCTGCTTCTGCAGATCTTCCTCTTGAAACGTCAAATGCACGAGGCTTCTACACCGTCCACGCGCAGCCGTATCAGCCTTTACACCGTCGCCATGCTGGCTCTTGGAGACGGCTTCACCTTCATGACATTCCTGCTTGTCAGCTTCTTCATCGGCGGGCTGTTTGTAACGATCATGGCCACAGCGTTTTTGTCATTCGTCTGCGTGAGCTTTTTTGGCATGCGCTTCCTCATGGACATTTGGCTTGTGCAGGCGCCAGAGCGAGCAAGGAGGCGGCGAGAAGAAGCTGAAGAGTGGCAAAGAAGGGAGGAGATTTATCGAGAGGCTCTTGAGAGAGTGCGGGAGAGGAGGGCTCAAGATCCTGCTCTCAACGGCGGCAATGCTGCGAGTAATGGAGGTAGTGCCAACCCTGTGACACCGGCACAAGACATCAACATCACCCCGGCACCATCAATACCTCAAGAAGACGTCCCGCCAGTCGCTGATCCTGCTGTCACGGCCACCCCTGATCAGGCTCCACCTCCAAACCCGGCCCCTGTCGATTCTCTCCCACCTCCAGTGACCATGCAACGACCCACCGACACCGGCGCAGCTCCAGTCTTCATGCCCTCAGACCAGGTAGATCTCGAGCAATGGGCCCCCGCTCCGGGCGCCGCCGGCCAAGCACAGATGGTGTACCGTGAGAGCTTCGGTTCCGTGTATACCCGCTTCTACCTCCTCCTGCTTGCGATATTATTCATGAGTCTCAACGCCATGGGATGGCCATCCGGCCTCCGCCGCGTCTACTTCACCACTCTAGGCGTCATCTACCTCTCCTTCTGGATCCCCCAAATCAACCGCAACGTGCAACGCAACTGCCGCAAAGCGCTCAAGTGGGAATTCGTGCTCGGCCAAAGCTTCGTCCGCTGCCTGCCCTTTGCTTACTTCTACACCTACAAGCGCAACGTCGTCTTTTCCGACGTCGACTACACCAGCTTGGCCATTCTTGTCGTCTGGCTGTGGGTGCAGATTCTCGTCCTCGCTTCGCAGGAGCTCATCGGACCCAGGTGGTTCGTGGGCAAGAACTGGGCGCCGCCGGCGTACGATTATCATCCTGTGCTTCGCGAGGACGTGGAAGGAAGCACGATGCCAATGGGCTTCTCGGAAGCCGCTGCAGCAGCAGCATCCACGCCTTCATCTCCAATCGCCGAGCGGGAAGGCGGCAGTTTATCTCGTCGCGCGTCGCTGGCAGCGAAAGAAAGCAGGGAAAGAGGCAAGCGCGTCTACGACTGTGCAATCTGCATGCAGGAGCTGGAAGTGCCGGTCATCGAGAGCGGTTCTTCCAGCGAGAGCATGAGTGGGCCGACGGGCTTGCTGGCGCGTAGGATGTACATGGTGACTCCGTGTCGCCATATTTTCCACTCGGGGTGTTTGGAGGGGTGGATGAAGTATCGGCTTCAGTGTCCCATCTGTCGAGAGACATTACCTCCGCTGTAGAACTATCCATAGAATCCCAAAATCATGTCATCATCATCATCACTCCTCCCCCTCCCGCGGAACATACCTCCCATCTCTCTCGTAAAGCCTCCGAACCCTCTCCCACCCCCTCTCATCCTCCTTCCTCTCCCGCTCCCCAACCTCCCGCCCCCTCTGCCCCCTCACCCTAACCCTCAAACGCCCCATACTCCCCCTCCCCGCGAAATCCAGTCTCCACTCCACCCCCAACATCCCTCCTTCCGCCCCATCCGGACTATCCTGCGCCTCAGCGTGCACCCAGCTGTACCCCGCTTTGAGCAAAATCTGCGCCGTAACAGTGAACGTGCCCCAACCTAGCCGACTGACTTCGAACGGGGGCCGGGTGCGGATGACGCGGGCAGGGCGGAAGGTGGGTTGCAGGTGGATGTGCACTTCTTCTAGGAGGTGCGGGTTGCTGGGGCGGAGGAAGAAGGTCCAGGCGTGGCGGTTTGGGGGCGTGGGGTCGGAGACATCGACTGGTTGCGTGGGGGTGGTGAGCTGGTGCGTGTTGCCTATGTGGAGGGTGAGGGTTTGGAGCGTTTGCGTTGTGTCCGGGTCAGAAGGCGTTCCTTCCGCTAGGCGTTGGGTGTAGGCTTCTGGGTATTTGGTTTGTAACTCCTGGCTTCGAACTTGGTCTAGACTGGCGGTGGTCTGTGTGCGACACATGGGACACCGGGCTTCGAGTTCCTCGGCGGCATCGAACGGTTGGTGGCTTTGTTGGTCCTCGATGTCGGTGTCGATGTCGACGATTTGCATTTCGTGGCTGAGGCTCACTTCCGCCCAGGTGGCCATGCAGGATTGACAGAGGGTGTGATTGCATCCTGTTTTGACCGGGCGGTACAGGAGGAGTTGGCAGACGGGGCAGGTATCGTCTTCTGATATTTCGGGTGGTGTGGTGGTAGAATCGTGGTTTGATTCCGGAATGGACGATCGGGACGGCCTCGGATTTAGTCTACGCCGTTTCGCCATGGTTGACGGAGTTGGTATTACTCCATTCTGATGTACGTTGCGAATGCGTCGATAGGCTGTGGTACATCTGATGGTTACTGCATTGTCGTCTGCAGCTCAGGCAATCGTACATCGGATCTACACGTATCCACACAAATCGTTGTCCATCGTGGGTCTTCGTCCAGCAACCCCGTCGTCCAGCCTGCAATTAGGCATGCTCTCCCCGAAAGATCGAGGCGAATTACAAGGTGTTGATAGCAGAAATGCAAAAGGGTACTGCCAGCCTTAACACGTGATGTCGCCCAGCAGCGGCGGGGCAGAAGTGACGTAAAGCTCGGACGCCTCGCGTGACTGGGAACCAGGCAACCACCGCCCACCAGCCCTCTGCTCTTTTCTTCCCCTCCTCCTCATCAGCTACAACACCAACCAGTCCAACACACAGCCACCACACGCCCCGAGCCTCGACCACCCCACAACTCGCCGCAAACATGTTCAACGCCATCCTCCCCCTCCTCTTCTCCCTGCTCTCCTGCGCTTACGCCGCGCCCCTCACGGCCCAGAAAGCCGACGGCCCCATCGGTCTGCACGTCGGAGGCGGAATCGTCGGCTTCCTCGTGCTGGTTCTCGATGTGATTGTGTGGAGTACGTGTTCCTTCCTTCCTGTCCCAAAAGCAACATCGGCAAACCTTTGCGGCTGCAGGATGAATGTGGACTACAGCTGACAATCACATAGTCGAGGTCCTGCAATCCACCCGCCCCATCTCCCACAAACTCCTCTGGGCTCTGCTCGTCTTCATCTTCCCGATTGTTGGCGTCATTATTTACTTCCTCTTCTCCAACCGCAAGGCTCATATGGGCGGGTACGAGGCGATTCCGTAAGCGGGGTCAGATTTGAAAGTGAGGAGGTGGGGACGTGGTTGAAGATAAGGCTGGCGGCGGTGAGTGCCTTGGGACTTGAGGCTGGTGTGGTGCGAGAAGAGACAAAGGAGAGGGGTAGACGTTGGCAAGGACAAGAGATCGAGGCACTGTTTGGACGACCTGCACTTTGGTTTCATGCGTTCTTGATTGTACTATGGACTTCATGACTTCACCTGCGAGACGATACGCTATTCACTTTGCCCAGCATATCATGCCTTCTGACGTGCCCCGTACCTCTACCCATTCAACGTGGCCAACACCGTTGCCCTCCCGCTCACAACTTCAGATGCTTGACCGGCGTGGCCTTGCGAGGACTCTCCTTCTTCTGCGAAGCCAACGAACTGCCCTTTGGGATCGAGAGATCCAGATTCTGTCCAACTGGAGACCGCACGGCCAAGCGCTGAGTACTCGCCGGCGATACGTTCGCATGCTGTCCCGTCAACGCTCGAACGAGGCCTTCCAGCTTGTCGACTTTCGCTTGAAGAGTGGCGACCTGCTGTCGACTTGCCGCGGCGTTGCCAGTGATCCCCTCACGGAGCTGTTGCAGCATCTTGCGATGTTTCCGACTCCGCCTCTCGGTGATGGCCACGCGCTCGTTGCATCGCTCCTCGGCATCTACGATTTGCTTTGCGAATGACTGGATCATTGCCTCTTCCTTTTTAATTGCCGTTTGCTGGATCTGCTTGATGGCTTCCTCGCGGACAGTCGCCTCTTCTGACACTCGAGCACCGATTGTGGATTGGGTGGCCTTGAAGGCAGCGTTCACCTCCTTTCTGAAGTTTGAGCATTCTCGCTCCGTGCTGCGTTCGAGTTTAGTCAGGGATTGTGCCGTGAGATCTGCCGTCATCGCATGACATTCCACGGCCGCCTGTAGAGTTCCAAGGCGCAAATCGAGGATGGCCTCTGAGAGCTTAGAACGACGACCCACTTCCGGGTCCATTTCAGCACGAGAATCAGCGGCCTTCTCTTCAACCTGTGCAAGCTTCTCGTCGACTTTCTTCTCCAGAGCAGCCATCCGCTGGGAATTGAGCTCCTCGATACCAGCCATGCGCTCATCAGCCTCTTGCACAGCCGTCTCGATTCGTTTGTTGGTCTGGCCGAGCCATGTCACCATGGCATCTCGCTCGTCGAACAGAACCTGAACCTCATCATCCGTGCCGGCGATCTCTTGCTTGACTCGGTCGATTTCGTTCGTAAGCATGGCCATCTTGACGAGGGGCTCGACGCCATTGGTTTCGTCTTTGTCTTTTGCTCGCTGCTCGTCGAACTTCCTCTGGATCTCTCGATTCACTGCTTCCGCGTACACAACCTCGAGTTTCTTCTCCAGCAGCACCAGGCGCAGCATCCGCGGCCGCGCAGTCTTGAGGTGATTGTCCACTTTGTCTCTCAGGCTTTCCAGCTGCGCTGCCATCGCCGTCGACAGGTCATCTTTCTCCACCTCTTTGACCCGCATCTGGCTCTGCATAATGCTCACATCGGACTGAAGTTTTGTAACGTCGTCTTCGAGCGATTTCGAGTGCTGCTTGCTTTGTTCTTGGTCGAACATGAGGCCGTGAAATAGCCGCTCGACTTCAGTGTCGCGTTGCAGTTCGTACGAGTGCATAGCTTGCACGGCGGATGCGGGAGGGAGGCGATTGCTGCAGCGCTCGCCGATGGAGCGTAGTTCGTTGTTCGTGTAGGTCGGAGCCATCTTGCGCAGTGGGCTGTGATTGTAATGGAGGTCTGCGGTGGTGTAGATTGATGTACAGTAGAGTTGGCGGCACGGGGTGTTTGCTTTATCAATTGAGGAAAGTTGGGATCGAAGTATGTTGGAGGGAAATGGACAGGAGCAGTTGACGTGGAGGAGATTGACTTATGTCATTGACGAGACATGTGAAGGCAGGAACGTACATAACCTGCATGGACTAACGAGGAAAGAGCAAAACGGTACGGGCTGTTGAGATCTCATCTGCTCTACATCTAAACTTTCAGCTTTCGCATGTCTGTGGCAATTAAGGATTAATACGTACATTCTCAGAGCACCCGGTGCTTGCGGTCATGGCTGTACTCGCATCGCCGATGCTCTGCATGGCCACGGAGGACACACATCTCCTCCGGCCTCCAATGCTTGGAAAGCGATAGAGCAATCTTGACGTCGATCCGGCTGCGGAGTATCACTCTGCGTGAATCTGATGCCCACTATGAGTCGGCTGCCTGCTCTCGCATCATCGTGTGATCCAGTCCATGACCTTGGTGATATCCGTCCTCTCGGGCATACATGATTATGCTCACTCAAACCCACTCCTCGGATCAGGAGCAACATAACCCCTCCTCAAAAGGAACCCCGACACGCCCTTCTCCAAGCGCGTGAGCTGCATAACAAACCAATGTCAGTAAGCGGCAAACGCACATCGCAACCTCCAGAGCCATGCATACCAGTCCATGGTCCTCAATCACCCCCTCCCGCACCCACACCCCATACGACCCCATCATATTCGCCATCATCACATCCGTGAACAGCCGATCTCCCACAACGGCCACCTGCGACGCACACGTCACCCCCGAATCAGGCGCATTCCGGAAATGCGCCATAATCTCCGAATGGCAACCAGGCTTCTTCGTCGAGTGTCGCAGCACCTGCACGCCCGTGTTGCGCTCTAGCAAATCCGCTTCGGCGCCATTGGGATCAGACGATGTGCCCGCTGAGTTGGAGACGATGAGCAGTCGTGAGCCCGGGTAGGCTTGACGAAGTTGTTGGAATCTCTCGCTGTAGGGTTCGTGGATGTGGTTTTGTTGTGGGACGGCGAAACAGTTGTCTTTGTCGAGGACTACTGCGCGGATGTCCGCGGGCTTTTCGTTGCCATGTCTCCCTGCGAAAGCGCTGCTCAGGGGAATGGGAAGCTGATCGAAGGTGGAGATTGTGTGATGCGGAAGACAGAGGGATGGGTTAGTAAAGAGCCGTAGGACATTGAAGGTGCCGGAAAGATTTCCCGGCATCGTGTCAATGATTATAACGGAGGGATGAAGATGATGCAGATGATGATGATGATGGATTAGGCGGTCGCCTTAAGACCAGCGAATCACGTTGGCATCGGCGTATTCCAGTTAGTGTAGTTGCCCTGAATTGGGCAATACGTTAGCTGCGGCCGAAATTACCTGCGAAGCGCGCGTAGTGCGCTTGACTGAACACCGCTATTGAGCCGATATGCATTTCGCGCCTTTTCCATCGTCGCGTGCCCCATTTCCAACGATTCGTGACGACAAGATGATGCACGCAGGTTGGCTTTCATTGACCTTTGTGGCCTTCATTCACGCCACTTGACCGTGTAAGTTCAAGAAAAGAACAGCTTCACAAAAGTATTGCGCCTGATATCCAGATAGATGTGTCCAAGGCTTGCCAGAGGCAAGACTAATCTTTAGTAATCGTCAAAAGATCATTCTGTGAATGGCCGGCACCACCATGAAAGCCGTGCGAGTCACGAAAGAAGGCTCTTCCACTACATTACGCATCGACGATATCCCCAAACCATCTGCTGGCCCTGGCGAGCTCCTCGTCGAAATCAAAGCCTCGTTTGTCCAACCAGTATGTCACCAAGCTTCTCCTGAACATTTTCAACGCAGCCAGCAACTAACAACGTCCTCAGGCAGACATCCTCAACTCCAAAGGCAACTTCGCAAGCACCACCTACCCCCGCACGCTAGGCAAAGACTTCTCCGGCATCGTAGTCTCCGGCCCATCCGAATGGCTCAACAAAGCAGTCTACGGCACCTCAGGCGCAACCTTCAGCTTCACCGAAGACGGCGCGCAAGCCGAGTTCGCCGTGCTGAAGCAAGGCGCCGTGGCGCTCATGCCGCGGAACCTGTCCTTCGCTCAGGCTGCTGCGCTCGGAACGCCGTGGACTACGGGCATGACCACGTTGCTTCGAGCGCGGGCGAAACCTACTGATGTTGTAATGGTGCTTGGTGCTAATGGGTCGGTGGGCTCGAGCGTGATACAGATTGCGAGGCGGATGGGGTGCAGGACTATTGGCGTGGGCAGGAGAGGGGCTGATATCGATTCGTCGAGAGATCCGCTCCTCTCCAAGGCCAAGGAGTTGTCTGATGGCCTGGGACCGAATGTGGTTGTTGATACGGTGGGCAATCTCGAGCTGACCAACGCAGCGGTGAACGTTATGGCTTCCAAGGGCCGCATGTCTATCATTTCCGCTCCGAGGCAAGGGAATCGAGAGCTGCCGCTGGATTTACTGGATTTTTATCGACGGCAGATCGAGCTGGTGGGGTGCAATACGGCTGCCGAGTCACAGGAGGAAATGGCTCGACTGCTGAACGACTTGACGCCGGACTTTGAGTCGGGGAGGTTGGTACCGGCGGAGGAGAACACGATGAATTTGATTGATATTGAGCAGGCGGCTGACGCTTACTCGGGCAAGATCAAGAGAGCGGTGATTGTATTCCGTTGAGCTGCACAATATCTTTCCACACTGAACACCAGAACACGATACAAGTTCTCGCACATCTTAGAAGGCTTCACTTCCGGTCTCAATACTGGCACCCCTCAAAGCAAGTGCTGCACTGCCCGGACCGTCAACCCAGCCAATGTCAGCGAGCTCAGGGCGAAGATGCGGAATCTCGTCATGATGGGATTCGCCGTCGCCTGCACCAAGCTGTGCAACACCCGCAAGCCCACGTAACCCCACGCCAATCCGACAGTCAGATCATCGTTCGCATTCAGCTGCACGAGCGCGAAGAGCGTGGCGTAAAATTGAGTTGGTTGTTCCTAGATTTCGTAGGCTCGTATTAGTGTTGCCTGGATTATAAGGCGAAGGTGAAGCAGGAGCGTACGCAAAGATGGGCGAAATTATCCGCGGCCCATTGCGAGGAAGCAGGGATGACGGAGTTCATCTCGGTCTTCGTCATCTCGGGGCGGAGCTGCAGTTTGCTCTTCTGCAGCGCCGGGATGCGGAGGGCGTAGAGCTGGTGGAGCGTGGGCAATGGGTCAGTCTATTGTCTAGATGCTATTCTTCGAGCTGGCTGCGGGTGAAACGCACCCAGACTTCCATGACTGTGCAAGGGTATATCGTTAGTTTGCGCGTGGATGCATGATTTGTGTAATGGAGCTGTGGCATTGCGTACTCAGTGTCCATCCGCACAGGGCGACGCCGGGCGCGATCAAGGGCGAGCGAGGAAGTCCCAGGGAAGACATTTTGATCACTGAAGCTTGGTGCGGTGTTTGTATGTGTTTACGGTATTCGTCGTCAGATGATGTCTGTTCCTTGTACGAAATGAACAGGAGGTGAAGAGAGCGGAGGTGTGACATAAAGTAGCCGGTGGATGAGTAATCATTGTTCGTCGATCAAATGGCTCTATGCTCCTTTTGAGACCTTGCTTTGACCCACGGCCAAGGGAGCGAGGAAAACTCCCACGATGAAGAGGCATTGGCTCATGCTCTGAACGAGCGTGACGTCAGTACTCCTCCCCTTCATCAGGACCTCAGCACACTGCCAGGTTGAACACGTACGATAGCAGACCGCCTTATCAGCCTTACGGTCGTACGAATCTCCATCTCCCAATCTCCTCACAGAGCGTGGCATCTATATCCGAAGGCGCTAGCACACGTACTTCTCGTAGCATGGCCTCGGGTCAGGTCTAGGCTTTGGACCTGTTTCGTTGGGGTACGCTGTGTTACCTTGTGCTTGCGCACCGGCTTTCCGCATTGCCAGGGATGGCGAATATCAGCATTCTATCAGGGCCATGAGATGTTCGGGTTTGAGGTTATTTTGGCGCTGTGAGCAAGTTTCACGTGGGTGGTGCTGCATACGGGCCGCCCGTGATCTTCACATAATGACTTGAGCTCGTAGGATCGTAAAGATGGTTGAATTCCACAGACAGATCAACGAGTACCAACGCGAAGCAACACCCCATCTCCTGGCACCAATCAGTCTTCAGTCAACAAAGGCGTCTCCGAAGACACAGACGCCAACGATGCCAAGCGGTGCCGGTAATGAAATCGCTGCAGCAGCCCGCGCACCGTCAAGCACAGCCCCAGAAGCGCAAAAGCATCCACAACCAGCGTAGCAAAATTAGCGACGGCCAGCGCACGCTCGCTCAAAGACGGCAACACCTGCTCCTTGGCAGCGTCGGGAGCCAGCATGCCTGCGTGTTGGGCCTCCGAGAGCTGAAGCGTGGGTGGTGGTAGTAAAGGCTTGGCGGCTTCTTTCTCTTGTGCTACGCTGCTGTCTTCGCCTGCCGACTTGTGCTTGTTGTGCACCGGTGGCACGAGGCGGTCCGCTGGCGTGCGGTCTAGACTCATCCCTTGGAGAGCGGGATACGGCAGGGTGTACTTTTCGTCGCTCGCGGCGGGCGTGATGCTCGTCACGACGGATTCGCCCAGCGGCTGGCCGTCAGCATCGAGGGCGACTGCATACGCATATCGCACGAGGGTCGGGATCACCCATTGCGTTTCGAAGCCGCGCTTCTTGACGGTCGCCAGTTTCCGCATGGATGCCACATTCGGGCTGTCGCCGCTGTAGAAGGCCCAGGAGCGTACTTCCGTCGCTCCGTTCCAGCTGACGTAGAATGCAGTGGCGATTTTGTCCTGCCCGATGCCGAGGGGCAGGATGGTAAGGACTGGTGGCTCGGTTGGCGCAGCTTTGAAGGGGAATTTGTACGCGCGATACGAGCGTTTGCGATCCGAGACGAATCTCGCCTCCATGATTAGCCGGTTCAGCCCGTCTTTGTAGTCGTATTCGCTGATGTAGCCTTCGAAGGCCCAGTCGATGAAGACATTGGCTGTTTCGGGCGGCTTATCACCAAGGAGCGAAACGCTGCCCAGAGCTGCCGTTTGCCCGTAATCAGGACGATCGAAGCGGCGGAGCATTTTGGCGGTCATGGGAGTACTTGCAGTATCCAATATGATTATCTTTCCGATAGGCGGATTCTGGCCGAAAGGTTCGCCGCGATCTTTGTCCTCGCTTGCGTTGTCGAACACCGACAGGATGATGTGCGTTGTATTTTCGAAGCGTATGCGCGAATGGTGCTGCCAGAAGAAGGGTAGGCCTTCTTCAAGGAGGAAGTCGGAGGTGTTGTGACACCCTCCCAGTCTCCAGATTACGTGGCCGTCGACCTTCGATACGCGATAGAGAGTGCTCATATGTCGCGCGGAGATCAAGTAGTCGCCGTTGGCAAACTTGTCTGCCGCGTTGATGTGGAAGAAATCCCAGCTGCCGGTATCCTTCCCGTGGTTGGCAATGCCGGTGGTGTCGCAGCTCTCGTTCAGCAGAATACCGTGGGATATTGGGTCCCAGTCAAAGCGAAGATCCCCCGTGTTCAATTCGATTTCCTGGAAGCCGGTATTCATCACTTTGCGGGTTTTCTGGCCGATCATTGATGCATCGGTGTCAAGGCCTTTGAGAGTGGTGAGCAAGACTGATCGGCCGTCTGGCATGAAGTTGAACTCATGTCCGTCCATCAGATAGTCTTTGGCACCAATTCGACTGACTTCCTCATAGTGATCATCCATCAATACCCCCGTGGGCATCCGATCGGCGGGAGAGAGATTGAAGCCATGTTCCTCGCCGGGCAAGTAGAAGGTGAGCAGATCGGTGCCATTGATATGCACCGGGCGGAAGTTGAAGATGATGCGATTATCGTACTTGCACGCTCCGCTCCAGACCAGATTGCCGTCCCCATCGTAGATGTGCGCGCCGTTCATGCACGGAATGTAGTCCTTTTGCTCCGTCGACGGAGGCAGACCGAGTCTTGTGTAAGGCGTGACGAACCAATACCCATCCGCAATCGCTTCCGGGTGGTGTTTGACGACCATGTATCTCGGGGCTTTCAGCTCTGGCCGCTTTTGCTGGAGGTTAGCCTGAAGAAGCAAGCAACCTTTCATACTCTGGAAGATTGGTATACCGTGACGAAGTGATGGAGATCACGGCCATCGTGAAAAGCTTTCCAGCCTTCAGGGTCTTTCCATAGTGCGCAAGCCGGAGTGCTCGCGATCGCAAGGATCCAAAAGGCGCTTCGCATGTTGAGACGAGAGATGAGATCCTTGCAGCATCACGATGATCATAACGGCGCAATTGAAACAACAAGATGAATGGGAAAATGACGACTTCCGGACGCCGATAACGAGCAGCTTCTTGAAGGGGGAAACTGCCATGTTCGTTCTTCGCGGATGAGGATATGGTAGGTCAGCGCAAGAAATCAATGGGAGAAAAGCCGTTAGTAAGACATCCACACGCTATCGGTTCGAGCGGTGAAAATAGAAAGTCCGTGTCTTCACCATGGGTAGAGTAGAGTCGATCGTCTTGGTGGGATTGTATCTCACCGTGGACGGAGTGCATTGGATTTCTTACCTCTGGATGACGAACGCGGATGCGTGGTGGATACTGATGACCTACCGCGTGGACTGACAATGGCGTCCGTTGCATGGAATATGGGCCGCCGAGCCTATGCGTCCGTGGAAAGGGATAATCTGGCGGTGTATTGGCGGTATGGTAGAGTCGAGTCGATGCTGACACACGGGACGACTCATGGGCTCGAGGTGGAGCGGTTCGTGCTGCGATACCGCTCCCGTCGGCGCAGCCTGAGGCATGCATTAAATGGCCGCGTACAGATGCACGACTCAGGATGCAGGATGCAGGCAGAAGGAGGAGAGGGAAGGGGAAGGGTAGATACATATATTGACGCAGGAGGCCCTCCTTCGCTTTGGTTGGCGAGATTTGGTGAAGGGATGTCGCCATTCGCGCTTTCCCCCTAATTTGGTTAAGGGCGAACGGGCGGATCTGCTGCAGGTAAGAATTATAACCGGCTCACCCCCAGCGACATCCTGCACGCATGAAACCGATCCGCCGGCAACCCCACCGTGGCGGCCTACCTCGTCCTAGCCGTGTGGAACCGCAGGTGCTAATGTACGGCCGGGAAGATTGATGCACACAGCATGTCCTCTCTCTCCAACCTCGCCCCTCCTCCCTCTGCCACACCACTGTCGTCTTCCCCTACATCTCATAGCAGCATCGGTGCTCGCGAAGAGACGGCCAATCCCGACCTCTCGTCTGAATCGGAAGCGGTGCGAACGTCACAATGGCGCGCGATGAGGAGCAGTCCCTGGGGCTGCTGGAGAAGGACAAGGTGGTAGAGACCGACGATGCCTTCTCCCACCCCCGCACCGCCTTCGCCGATTACTTCAGACCCTCGCGATGGCTGGGCGGCAGCGGCGAGTCCAAGCCGCTGCGCAAGACCGCCTGGCTCGACGGCCTGCGAGGCTTCGCCGCCCTGCTCGTCTACTCCCTCCACCACCAAGTCTGGGGCCACTCGGGCATCCACGGCGAATTCATCCTCGAGAATGTGTTTGGCTGGGACCGGCAGTATTACTTTGTCTGCCTGCCCGGCGTGCGCATCCTCTTCTCCGGCGGCCATCTCGCCGTCGCCATCTTCTACCTCATCTCCGGCTACGTCCTCACCCTCGCCCCGCTGAGCCTCCTGCAGTCCACCGACTCCGGCCGTGTGGCAGACAACATGGCCTCTGCCCTCTTCCGCCGCTGGATCCGCCTCTTCCTCCCCGTGCTCGTCACGACGTTTGTGTGGATGACGCTGTGGCATCTCCTGGGCATTCGAAATAACAACCCTATTGCGGCTCCGCCCGAAAGAACATGGTTGGACGAGGTGTGGAAGTGGTACTGCGATTTCAAAAACTACAGCTTCATCTTCAACGACAGCATCTTCAACGCATACAACGACCATGCCTGGTCCCTTCCCCTGGAATTCCGCGGCTCCATCCTCGTCTGGACCGTCCTGTTAGGCCTCTCTCGGTGCAGGACCAACATGCGGCTCATTCTCGAGGCGTCGCTGATCTTCTACTTCCTCTACATTGTGGATGGCTGGTACTGTGCAGCCTTCATGACGGGCATGCTGCTCTGCGACCTGGACCTGCTGGCGGAGAAGAACCAATTGCCCGAGTTCCTCGAGCGCTTCCAAAACGTCAAGACCTGGGTCTACTACGTCTTATTCGCCATCGCCATGTACCTCGGCGGCGTGCCGTCCATCAGCAACGACATCGGTCATCTGCGCCAGTCGCCCGGCTGGGGCCTGCTCTCCTACTTCAAGCCTCAGGCATTCTGGGACTTCCGTTGGTTCTTCCGCTATTGGGCCGCCACACTTTTCATGATTGCCATTCCCCGCATCGGCTGGCTGAAGGGCTTCTTCGAGACCGCCTTCTGCCAGTTCCTTGGCAGGATCTCCTACTCGCTCTACCTCGTCCACGGCCCCATTCTCTGGTCGGTGGGCGACCGCATCTACGCGGCCGTCGGCCGGATCCATGACCGCCAAATCGCCACCATCCCCGGGTGGATGAATATCATGCCCTTACCGAGCTGGGGCCCGTTTGGCTTTGAGCTCAACTATCTGATTCCCCACCTAATCCTCCTGCCCTTGACCTTTTGGGTAGCCGAGATCGTCACCAAACTTGTCGACGAGCCTAGTCTAAAACTGTCCCGCTGGCTGTTCAATTACACTTTGGCCACCAAACCGTCGCGGACTTGAGGACTCTGGGGAAGGGGTTGAGCAGGCATGATCTCATGGCACGAAGCGCAACGGTCTGGACACTCATTCATCAGGCCACTTGCAGCCATCACTTGGGCAAGAGCTCCAGATGCGTCTGGCCACAGCTTCAGACGCCAACCATTGAGCGAAGGCTTGCATACCAATACACTCGTGCATGCCAATAGACTTCATGCGTGGATACTACAGCTGCTTCTGCACAGGACAGGCATGACGGATAACGTGAGCGGGTGTCAGGCCACCCGGCCGCCTCGGACAGCTCTTGGCCCTTGGAGAGCAGGCGCGTTCTGAGCTTCACGGTGGACATGGAGGGGAAGCATCGCAGAGTAGACGGCATCACCGACACTCGCTAGAGCGGGATAGGCGAAGGCCAGGCGAAGCTGGGCGCCGGGAGGAGACAAGCATTGCACGGGATAGCATGGATGTAGCGAAGAGAGTGATGGGGAGGGGTGCTCTCGACTGGATCAGCAGATAGCAGCGTGAATAATACAAACCTGGCCTTGGCCGCTCGCTCACCCTGGTCGGCCTCAGCCTTGAGCCAGTTGCGTTTAGCTCGCTCGGCCTTGAGGGGAACGCGAGCATGCAGCGGTCGCCGGCGTCGGAGGCAGCAGTAGTCCGAGCGATCACACGTGGAGACGGGGCGGACTAGGTGGAATGGTAAGCATGATGCTTGGCTACCATGAGGAGGGGGCAGAAGGGGAGTGGGCCAGCGCAGAGCCTTGCATGAAAATTAACGTAACGGGACGAGTTAGTGCGCATGCAGGTGCGGCTACATGCAGCGGCGGGCCGTCAATGGCCCAAAGTTAGTTTTGGCTTCGGCAAATGCAGGCCTGAACTCTCGTGTCTAGCTCTTGCCGATGCTCATCATCATCACCGCCGACTCCACTCCCCTCCCGCGTGCGCGAACGGAGGGCCACTGCGCATCGCCCAAACTGGCCGACGAACTGCGACGATCGCTGCCAGGTGGGGGTGAATTGACACATGCATCCGCCCTTCATGTCCTGTCGCTAAAGCCGCCGTCCTTCGCCTGCGCGCAATCAATACTCTGCCCAGCTGGTCCGCTGCCCACCTCGTCCATCCGCCGCCCACTCGTCCTGGCTGCATTGCTTGGATCTGCGGCATGTCATTATTGCCTGCAGGAGGGTTTCGTGCCCCGCCTGCCAACCTCCAGCGGACGCTGGGTGAGGTGTGCGGCGCACTCGGGTCCAGCCATTGGGGCGAACAGGTGGAACGCGGAAAGTCGTGGGACGCCGGCCTGTAATCTCGCGTGCGTCGTCGGCGAAAATAGAACCTCCGCTGAGACAACCCGTCCTCGCCCAGCCTCGTGCTCGCACTGCGTCAGAAGCACACGTTGCCCCCGTCCGACTCGTCGCATTAAATTACAAACAAATTGTCCAGGAGGCGACGCCGGCAAAAAGCGCTACTGCGTGGTGTTGTCTTGCTGCTCGCCCCCCACCAGTGCTCTGGGCTCGGTCTCCTCTTTCGGCGTTGCATCTCTCGATGAACAGCCCGGAGGTAACGCTAAACGGCCATCGGACACTTGGCAGTTTACCCGCTTCCATATTCGGAGGTGGAAACGGCGCGACCATGGAATGAGGAGCGGCATGGGTGCCCCGTGCGCAGCCTGCCTAGAGCCCTCTTCTCCTCTCTACCGGACAGCCCTGCTCGCTTGAGGCGTTAGGAAATGTGGGCACCTGGGCATCGGCAGGCACGCCCGTGACCCAAGGACGGCGGCCCCATGCGTCAGAAACGCTCTCTCTCCGAGATGGGAAAACCTGGACGGGGAGCCAGCGCCGTGGCGGTCGCTTGACCTGTCCCAGCTTTGCCTATATGTACGCCCGCCGGCCGATTGCGCCGACATTGGCCTTTCCTCTCTTTTTCCGTTGTGGTTGACCCAGTTGCGAAATCCCCTTCGCACTTTGTCTTTTCTCTCCCTCTTAAGACTGCCATACACTCGTTCACGGCGTCTTTACCTTCGTTTCCCCAAAGACACAACCCACCACCTATTACCATAATGCGATCCACCACCGTCTTCCTCACTGCCCTCGTGGCCCTGACCGAGGCTGCTAGCGTCCAGAAATGTGCCGTAAGTTCATGGCGAGCGATCACGCAACTGCCCTCCCCTGTTCTCTTGGCTAATGGTATATCTTCTCCAACAGGGTAGCTGTGTCATCCAGGGCATTCAGGCCTCGGGCTGCTCGTCCGTCGACAGCCACTGCATCTGCGCCTCCGACGACTTCCACTCCACCGTCGCCGACTGTGTGCCCAAGGAGTGCCAGACCGACGACCATGAGTGTAAGCACTGTCGAGCAAGGTCTGTTGATGTTCCGTTGCTAACGTACCCACAGCTGCCCTGTCATTCGCACAAGACTTCTGCAACAAGATCGACCTGGTCAAGCGCGAGGCCCTCCCCGTTGTCAAGCGCGAGGCTGCGCCTGAGCCTGAGGCTGAAGCCGCTCCTCAATGGAGCTACGGCGGTCAACAAGGAGGTGACGACCACAGCCAAGGCGGATGGGGATGGGGAGGATGGGGATGGGGCAACGGCGGCTGGGGCGACTGGTGGAACTGGTGGAAGAACCACCCTGAGCAGCACGGCAAGCCTCAGCACGGCCACCACAAGCACCACACCGTCGTCGTCGGCCCGACCAACACCGGCAAGCCCAACCACCACCACCCTCACCCCACACACAAGCCCGCACCCACCCACGTCTCACCGCACCCCAAGCCGACAGGCACTGTCATCCCTCCGTGGGGACCTCCTGGCTACGGTGGCAACGGTGGTAACGGCGGTTGGGGTGGTCACGGAGGTCACGGCGGTGGAAGCCCCTCTGGCCCGACCAACAACAACGGCAACGGCCACGGCTGGGGCGGCTGGCCTGGCTGGGGTGGACAGCACGGCTGGGGCGGCGGTCACGGCGGCTGGAAGCAGTGATTCACCTTGCTTGGGGAGTCGCGGAGTTGAGGAGAGCGCAAATGATACCCCTAACGGGACGCGGACGATGTTACATCTCTCACGTGTGGGATTCAGAGCGGCGGCTCTTGGGTTTTCGTATCCGTCTTCACTATCTTTCATTACGGCGCCAGACGGGTGGACAGTGTCATTGCTTAATCCCTTATACGCAGCAGTCGCTCAATGGAAACTCAAATGTATACAACTCTCACGAGCTCGCGCTCCCTCAATCTCCTCCGTTGCTGCTCTCCGCCAATGCTGCCATGGGAAAAAACCGTGCAACGCCAGACTGGCTTCCCCGCTCGAGAGTAACGTAATGCATCCCCAAGAACACGAAGAGGCGTGCCGGGGATCCATCTAGACGCAGCCACTCGGGCTGTCACCAAAGGTCCAGAGGCCCACGATGCTCGTAATGGAGGAGGCGCCTTGGCCCGCCCGGCGCCCAACCAAGCAGACTGGACGGCTCAACGAATCGTCGATACTCCGGCCGAGAAGAGGAAAATGACCATCAACGCGTGCCGGGGTGGTACAGAGGGCCACGCCGCGGGCGGGACGTTGCATGGGACTCGCGCGGTGCACTGGCAAAGGTCAGGGTCCCGCGCGGCAGCAATAAGCACCAGCCCGCCAGCCGTGTGCTGGGTTGAGGTGAGGTAGGAATTTAGTTCCCCTTGCTAACCCGATGCGGCAGCTGGGGCTAGGGAGGGCCCGGCGCCCCCAAAACGGTCGGCTTGCAAGGGGCCCCTGGCTGGACGCGAGATGGATTAACTGCCCTACCGAGCCGGGGGGCGGGGAGCGATGTTTGGTACGCTTCGCTCTGGACGCATGCGAGCCTCAAGTCTGGTACGCCGGACGCCTTTGGCTCAAAGTCTGTTTGCTGCCCCTGCGGTGAGATCGCCGCTGCCCGCTGGTCTGCTGGTTAGGCGGCGGTGTTCGGCACTCTATTTTGAGCCTTGGCGGCGTGAGCCGACTGGGCAGTGGCGTTGGGGCGCTGATTGTCTCGTCCCTGGTGGGTGTAACTTCCAGCACATCTGCGTAACACGCGCTGTGGTGGCTCGTTGAGACTGACGGACGGCGGCGTTCTGGCCTCGCTTCACAACGGTGCTACTGATACGAGTGTTTTCGACTTGGCGAGAATCAGGCGACAGCTGATGCTTGTCTCCGTTTGGTGCACGCCGTTTGGAGATTGTGCAGGTGCTGCAGCGGCGGGATGTACGAGGCATTGCCGTCATACAGCGCTGTAGCCGAGACTGGGCCTTGAGGCGCAACGCATGCTCGGTAGCCCTGAGCTCTCCAGTTGACCCTCTCCCTTTTCGACTGTGGGGGGCGGCCCTTTCTCTCCCTCCGCCGCAAATAGCTAGCGGGCAGAGGATTTGCTCGGACGTTCGTACCTTCCATCTCCTAATCTCCAACGCAATCTGTCTACTACTCTGCCCCGTTCTCGTCCCTTTTACTCATCCATCACCACTTGCATCTCTCTTCCTCGTCGAGGAGAGGATGTCCTTGCCATCCATCTGAGCGTCCCCGTCTCCTCTCCTTCTCACCCCACCCCATCCTCGCGGGAGCACACAGGATGGGGGTCAAACTCGCCGCTGGGCGGACCTCCATGAGACCTCTGCCCATGGGCCAATTCCGCATCATCGCCCTGCTCGCCATCGGCTGCACCGCCTTCTACCTGCTCTCCCACGCCTTTGGCGGCTCCCGCTACCCGGCCTTTGTGCCGATGGAGAAATTCCCCAAGAAAATCTGGCAGTCGTGGAAGGTGGAGCCGCTGCGCTTCGAGGAGCGGGATATCGAGCGGGCGCGCACGTGGACCGTCAAGAACCCTCGCCATCGGTATGAGGTGTTGACGGACGACAATGCCATGAACTACGTCGAGGAGCACTTTGGTCCTTCCGGGTACAATCGTCCGGATATCGTGTCGACGTACAAATCGCTCAACGCTCGCATCATCCAGGCGGATCTGCTGCGGTACTTGGTCATGTATGTGGAGGGCGGCGTGTACACGGACATTGACGTGGAAGCCATCCGGCCCATCGACACCTTCATCCCCAAACGCTACGATGAGCGGGATGTCAACATGGTCATTGGCGTGGAGACGGACGAACCCGAATTCAAAGACCACCACATTCTCGGTTCCAAGGCGCAGTCTTTTTGCCAGTGGACTTTCATGTGCAAGCCTCGCCTGCCTGTCATGATGCGGCTGATTGACAACATTCTCCTCTGGCTTCACGACATTGCCCAGGAGCAGAACAAGCCCATCTCCGACATTGAACTGGATTTCGACAAGGTCCTCAGCGGGACTGGCCCGTCGGCCTTTACTGCCGCCATTCTTGCGGAGATGTCGGAATCTTTGGGCGAGCCGGTGACATGGGAAGTCTTTCACGATTTGGAGGAATCGAAGCTGGTTGGAGGCGTGCTGGTGCTGCCTTCTGAAGCCATGGCCGCCGGAACAGGCCACTCGCAGTCCGGCAATCACGGCGGACGCGCGGCGCTGGTCAAGCACCACTTCCACGCCTCTTCCTGGCCCTCGCAGCATCCTCGCTACCGCCACCCCATTTACGGCGAGGTGGAGCGCTGCAACTGGGACATGGAGTGCGTCAAGCTGTGGGACGCGAACACGGCCTTCTTCAAAATGCTGCCCAAGGAGGAGCAGTTGAAGATGATTGCCATCAAGGACCTCGACGCCGCCAAGATGGACCCCGACGGCGTCGACCACCCCGAAATCGCACCGCCCAAGGGCCATCCGCCTACGCAGCCGGTCGGCGGCATCCCCGGTCACATTCTCGACAATCTGCTCGACGAGGTATCGCATTGAGCGAGCGGCGGGCAAGGACTACATGTGCCATCATGGATCAAGCGGAAGCATTGGGCGCTTTTCATGAGCGATTGGTGTATGGGAATCTCATCATGTTGGGTTTGGCAAGGGGCAGGGATTGTTCGGCTTATTTTTCCTTGGGGAGTATAGACAGCGGCATGTATGTGCTTGCAATGAACCGATCACCTCTATCCATGCATCACTTGTCCATCTGCCGGCATTGCATCTTTGGGATGTGCTTCGCTCAACTACACCTTTCCCCGTTAAGGAAGCATCTCGCTCGGCGCAAACGCGCTCAAACTAACGCCGAGCCATATCCACCTGGACTCCCAAAGGCTTGTCTGTCCGCTTGGCTCGTGACGGGCGACGGGGCATCTCCTTTACGCATCCCCCGCCGCGATTGGCGTCGGAGGGTTCGGCGTTAATATTACACCTCAAGACGACAGCACGCTATCACTTGGGTAAAAAAGGCCGACGCGTGGTTGTGAGGAATGCTAAGGAAGCGTACCAAAAGCCACGGCGTGCCTTGATCCCCTCGGGCGTCGGCGTTGACGTGGTGTATCGGGCTTATGTAATCCGTGCTTTTTTTGTGCATGCGTGTGTGTGTGTGTGGGAGAATGAGACGAGACGGAGAGGAAGGATTATGGAACGGAGGGGGCTTGCTCTGGTACCGCGCCCTCCCCGACCCAATTGCAGGTTGTCGCGGCCTCTGCCGCAAATATTGAGAACGATCTCGGTAAGAGAGTGTGTGTACTGCAAACGAGATTCCCAGCCCCGCGTTTCACGTCGGCGATCCTGCCTGGCATCATCAGCGATCGCAGGAGCCTCAGCATTCTGCTCGTGAGATTCTGACATTTCCGCAGGCATTCGAGAGATCAATGAACAGCTTCGGCCTCGTCCGCGTGTGCACTTGCTTCATTGCCGGCAAATCTCCCAACTTGGCGCCTGCTCGATCCACCAGCAGGCTGCAAGAGAATCAGCAGCACTCTCTCTGGCGCACCGCCGCGCCTAATGGGGCACTAATCGGCGCCCGCACCGCACGGCACGCCCGCCGGTTACGCGAGTATGCCACTTATCACTCGCTTGACCCCATCACGCCCCTGGCCGGCCCTCCCGCACGGCCAGCCTTTTCGCTGCGGCGGCGGCTGCTGCTGTTGATCATGCCGCCGCCGCACTACACACACGGCTTTTTGGCAGCTCGCGCGCGTGCACCGCTCTTGTTTCGCCTGGTGCCGCCCGTCGGTCGGTTGATTTGGGACCCGCGCGCGCTCCACGTTCCCCCCGCCGCCAGCGTGTCGGAGGTGGTGCACCGTATTGCCTTCAATCTTATCGTCGTCCATGCCACTTGCTGCCATCCGTCATCCTGTCAATCATACCATCCTTTCGCTTTCCCGTTATTTCCTCTCTGTTTACTGCTCCCCGCATTGATGGATTGAATGCTACGTGGTCAATCGTCTTGCATCTCTCACGAACACTTCACTCTGTTGTTCAGGGCAACGACATGATCTGACGACCGTGTTTTTTTCGGCGAGAAGATACCCCCACCCCCGGCCGACTTTACTCTCTTCACATCAACCGTCATGGGCCTGCTGGACAACCAGCTCGAAAAGGGCCACAGTCACCGAGCAGCAGGCAGAGGAATGCTCAAGCAGCGTCTCCGCCAGCCTCTCCCCCTCCTCTGCGCTCTATTCCTCACTGCCCTCCTCGTCGTCTCCCTCTACACAGTCCACGGCGGAACCGACGTGCGCGACTTGGGCTTCTACAAGTTCGGCGGAGACAGCACGAGTGCGGAAGCCGACAGCACAATCGACCCCTCGGCGGCGGAAAGCGGTGCCCCTTCCTCCGACGACCGCACATTTGCGAGCCTCGAATCGGTCTTCCAAGATGCGAAAGCCTCAGACGCACAGAGCCAGCCAGGCGAAGCTGGATACGGTGGCGCGGTCTACGACACTACCTACGACCTCGGCCTCGGCTTCGACAGCGAAGACACGCCCGAGTACCGCGAGATCTTCTCCTACTCGACCCGCGATCGCCGCTTCATCCCCTTGTTTGCGGAAGGCGTGGGCCTGCTCAACCCCAATCTCATCCCCCATCCCACCAAGTCCGACATGTGGATCCTCATCGCCCGCCGCGAGATGAGCCACCGGCTCCACGACACCGAAGAGGAGGTCGTGTGCGCCGCGGGCTTCTTCGAGGATGTGCTCGTGTGCGAGGGCAAGCCGCAGGCCATGGCCATCAACACCACCGTGCTCGGGCAGTGCGACGGCCAGATGGCCCGCGTCAACGAACACTTCGGCCCGCGCGATATGCGAGTCTTCCACGGGCCCAATGCCCCATACGTCGTGTACGGCTCGCAATCGCAATTCACCTGCTTCGGCGTGTGGCTGCAAGACGCGCGCATGCTGCTCGACGCCTTCCACATGGACTCGGCGCTGTCGAAGCTGTTCGTCCAGCCCACCGAGCTCCGCCGCCCGGGCCGCTGGAAGGCGATCGAGAAGAACTTCTTCATCTTCTGGGACAAGGACGACAAAATGTACGTGCACAACGACCTCTGGCCGCAGCGCAGTTTCGCGAAGCTGGAAATGGACGGGTCGGTGGGCGAGGACCTGGCGCCCGCCGTGGCGTACGAGGACCAAGTGTGCTACGCAAAGTACATGCCGCACGTGGCGGCGCAGCAAGAGTGGCTGCAGCAAGCGACCAACGCGCTCGCCATCACGCTGTGCAAGCGCGAAGACCCCGGCTGCGTGCCGAGCGACTCCAACACCTTCAACATGCACATCTTCCACGTCAAGTCCAACTACGCCGAGCACCGCATCTACGAGCCGTACGTCATGCTCTTCCAGCGCACCGCCCCCTTCGCCATCCACGCCATCTCTCAGCAGCCCCTGTGGGTCTCCGGGCGCGAGATGCTGACGGTCGAGAGCGGGAGCGTGCAGTATGAAGGCAAGACCGAGTCGGATATTCCGGAAGGCCACACGGAGCGCTTCTACATGACCAGTGTCAGCTGGCGCACGCATGGCCAGCGGTACCACGGCTACATTGACGATGTGCTGTTCCTCGGCTTCGGCATCGAGGACTCGCGCGCGGGCGCCATTGATGTGTTGGCGGGCGATATTCTGCAAGATTTAGCGTATTGTTAGGCGATTTTTTGTGCCTGGGCATCGGTTGAGTTCTTTCTAGGCAAGCTATAGCATACATTGGAGATGGCGAAAAGAGAAAATGTTACACACACTTGACTTACTGTTCTCCACCCTCGTGAGTGGGATCTGCCTTACCTCTCGGGTGCGCTTTCCACGGCCGGGACGTCTACAGAGACATACCCGGTGCTCAAGCAGCAGGTTCTTGGGACCGCAATCTAGACAAAAGTCTTATCGCCCGGAAGCTTTCGATACGAAGCCAACGGTAATGAAGGGCATGCAGGCCAAGCCATGAAGCGAAATGGTCGTCTGTGATGCCTCATAAAACGCGCATCCCACGCGAAAGGCCCACGGGCGGGAGGACAAGGCTGCTAGCCAAGGCATCAGGCGAGACGTACTCGTCTGTGATGCCTGATAACGCAGGACCCCCGCGAGTAATGCGATTGGAACTGCAGGCCAAGCCATTGGGCGAGAGCTTCTCTCACCACCCCTGAAGACGGCCGCTGCCTGCGCGAGCTTCACGGGTAGATGACAGGCCGGCAGCCTACGGTGTCGAGCAGCTGTTCCGACGGTAATACCTGAGGCCACACTCCGCACGCCTCTCGCCTCTCGCGGTGAGGGTGAAGTGGCCAGCCAAGGCATCAACAGATATCACCGTGATGCACGAATCATTCACAGCCACTGGCGCATCGTAGACGGATGGAACGCTCGTTGGTAGGATGCCCCGGCCGTCACTGACCTCGGAGGATAAGCAGCGCGACCACGACAACCCCCGAAGTCGGTGATTGTGGGCCAGATGGTTCTCGGGGCGCGCGCGCGCACACACCAGCGGCGGTGGTGTTCGTGATAGGGATAGGCGCTGGCGTGGAGCCCGGCGGTCTTTGCTATCCCCACAACCAGCAGCAATTTCGAATAGACTTTTCAATAAAAGCGTGCAGGAAGCACTGTGCAGGCGGTGTCGACGGCGTGTCGAGGCGTTTCGATAGCGTATCCAGGGATCGGAGAGGTGTGGGTGGTATTGGAGAGCTCGGTCGGCGGCCGCGGGCAGGGGCAAAGCTAGGGGACATTGGCATCGGCATTGGCAGTGGGCCGGGGGGTGTTTGCTGCGAAGACGAGGAATGACGATGCGCGGACTGCGTGTGGGGCGCCCGGGTACGAGGTGGTGTGGGTGCGGTGCGCGGGCGATAAACTCGGGGCAGAATGGCTCGGCGCTGCTGGCGAGCTCGTGCGCTACCAAACTTTCGTCGACAGTCCGGCCCCCGCGCTTGTAGGCCTTCGTCCACGCTCCGGCGCAAACTTTGCCGTCTTTTGATTGTGCGCCGCAATTTCCAGTGTCTGGCTGTTAATCAATTGACCTGCTTCTTGGACCTACCGTATTCGGCTGAAGACGCGGCGTAAGCTGGGAGGAGATCGGCGAGCCCTCAACGAGTTCGACTGTGGCCTGATCATCTTGCGCATTTCAGCCTTCACTTGCCCAAGCGCGAGGCCGGGGGTTAGGGCGCGGGCGTGGGTGTGTGTTGTGCCGGCGCTGCACTGCGCGGGAGCCTGGGTCAGGCAGCGAGAGCCGACGGGTTATGAGGCCGCCGATGCCCTTGCTCTTTCTCGTCTCCGCCCCCGTCCCTGTCAGTCTCAAGTGACAGAATTCGTGGTTTCGAGCGATGCGCCAGCAGCGTTCAGCCGCAGAATCGACTGGCAGGGCTTGCGGTCGGAGTCGTTGTCGGGCTTCGAGGCAAGGCTGACCACCGTTGCGAAGCATGGTCGAAGCTTGCATTGTCCCATACGGCGCATACAGTAGCTGGTGCGTCGGCACCTGCACGGTCGTGGTCAAGACCCTCATCGTAGGAGGCGTCGAGCGTGCCGTCGCATAGACTCGACATCCGGCTCGCTGCAACACGGTCGCATTCGAGGAAGCGCATCAAGGCGTAGGCCAAAGACCAGCAAGTAGCAGGCGAATGTGTTTCTGTCGTGCAGGCAAATCCAAGAAGGGCCAGGGCGAGGGGATTTTGTATTGGGAGCCGCCACGCGGCCGTGCGTGTTACCAAGCAGGCGTCAGCGTAGGCTATGTCGACAGCTGCGGGCAAGCTCGAGGTGCAGCCATCCAGAGAGCAGCTTTCGTAAAACCAAAACATCGTGACGACAGTCATTCCACACCTCGCAGCGTACACACGTAGGAACAGAATCGAACAGGCAGGAGTGGAGGAGGCACGAGGGCACTGCGTGTAATAAGTAGATTTCTTCCAAGGTTGGCGAGGGCCCGTCGGCAGCACGCAATTGGCGGTGGGTTTTCCGTCAGCTGTCACCCAGCCAGCCTCGCCCCCGTGGCGCCCTGCCAAAAACGGCTGTCTTCATTTCCACCCCCTCGTCCAAGGTACTTCATGTCTCCACCGGGAATGCCGTCTATGCGGAATTGAGCTGCTTTGATTCCATTTTTGCGTGGTTTCGCCTTGGATGCGAGGCCTGGGCCATGTCGCGGACAGATGAGTTACTCCGGGGTGTCGAAAGCCACCCAAATTCCAAGCATTTCGTCGCTTCGTTCGTAACTCGTGGCGAGAGCGTACGTGGACTGTCGGGGGTCGACCGGAGCTGATGGTGGTGTAACGCAGCCATGGCGAAAGCACCCTTGTCCAATTGAGATCGATTGCCGCACTCCAAGATCCTACACCAAGATCATCTGCAGCGCGATCGTACGCATGTACCCCTTGGCGGTAGTGAAGCCTGACGCCCCGCGGCCCTCAATGCGCCTTTCACCACGGCGACACACTTCTCAACATCTCCAACATCACACATGCCACTCGCATGCCATGTTGTCCATCGCAAGGCCGCGAGACAGTTGTTGAGTGAAGAAGAAAAGAGACATCCCCGATAGCCGCGATCTCATCACAAATGACAAAGGCATGTCTCCCAAAATGGAAATCTGAATTACAGAAACGCCACAGGGACAACGTCGTGCTGAAAGCCATGCACGTCCCGCCCAGCTGACCAACACCAACGTGGCAAATCAAAGAGAAAGCCGCGGGCGCCTCTCTATTCGATAGACCTCTCGCTTACCCTGGCTGCGTGGGTGAGAAATCACACGATGCGCGCATGTGAGTGCATTTCAGGCCCCCAACGCCCCCTCATCAACGCGCATCGTTATATTGAATTCGACCGCCCCCGGGTGGCCTTAACGCGGGATGTCTGCTTTTCTTGCAAGACTCTGCCACCTTTTCTCCCTCTCGTACTGTAGCAGCGTCGAATCGCGTGCCACCCACTGCATTCTGTTGAGGGTGCAGACATTATACGCTGTTCGCGCGAGCGGTCACGTTCCAGGCATGCGGCAGTGTCATGGTAGTATCGCCGTGGACAAACGAGCCATCGAGCTTGTGTCGAGTACGATGGACTCTGGGCTTCTGTGTGCTTATGACGCCGCTTGCATTCTTGTCGTGGAGTGAGAATGAGATAGGCAGAGCCACTTCACCTGCACGGTGGCATGGTCCAAATACTATCCCTCGGGGCGAACAGGCCTTTCAGAGAAGATGGATCTATTGGCCTTGGTGTCGAGAGCGTTGTCTGTATTTCCAGCGTGGAGGACATCCAGCTGGCTCACAACACTGTGCGCCTATGGATTCGACAGATTCCTCATGATGTATGACATGCTACTCGGTGGCGAATCACTCCCGAAAACCAGCCATGAAGATCGACCGGCCCGCCTTCAGCAGGCGTGCGAAGATGCTCCGCGGCGACGTCGCCACAATTACTCACGATTGCGCAAGCAGATGAGTAAGGTGCAGGCTGTTCCTGCCCGCGCGTTGGTGCTTGCCACCGGCAGCAGGCATGATTGCGCATTCCGGTGAATAAGCTTAATTTAGAGATGCGGCGTGAAGTCTCCTTATCCCGGGCTGGACGGACGAGTATCTGCGATGTGCGGATTAGCGTCAAGCCTCTGCCGCCTGCGGGTGGCTTGGTAATAATAGGCTCGACGATCGGCCGCGCAAGGCTGTGGCCGTGGGATGTCCGGGTGGGTGGTGGTGATGACGTGTCTGCTCTTTTGTCATGTATGTTGCAAGTGATGACGATGTTTTCCACAATTTTTACCGTCGGACAATTGAGAGCGGGTGAAAGAGTTGGGGCAGCGGTGGAAATGTGGCATCCCTTTGGTTTCCACCAGGTGTCGTCCGGGGTGGGATTTAGCCTTTCTCCACTGCCGCCCGCTTGGCAAGGTGGGGTTCAACCAGGCTGTGGCCGTCGTTGAACGGCTGCCGGACAATCAATGGAAAGATAATCAACACTATCCGGTCCTACCACAGACTTCGATGCTTGATCTGCGTGACGAAACGACTGTTGAAAGGGAAGACATGTTATCTGCCTCGGCAGTACGCCAAAAACCACCCCGTTGCGTGGCGGGTTCCGCCTCTTTTGAACCTCTGCTCTGACCCGAGGCATGCATCATGTCACTATGCCTTCTCGTGTTCCTCTGCTTCTCCCATGCTCATTGTCAACAGAGTCATCACAACCCTGCTCTTGTTGCGGAACACCACGATGCCGAGTCACTCTTCCAATTCGTCACCCGGCCGGACATTGAGGCGCCGAAATGGGACATTACGATATATGATCAAGAAGCGCTCGCGCCAGGCTACTGGTTTCTCGCCCCTTATGCCAATCTGCAGCAGACCTCATATCCATTGTGGAACGGTCCGCACATCTACGACCAGAATGGCGACTTGATCTGGAGTGGTGCGCCGCACTTCGACCACAGAAATGTCTACGATTTCCGAGTGTCAATCGTCAACGACACGCCGATGCTGAGCGCCAATTTTCCACATAATTTCTCGAGCGGCAATGCTGTTATTCTGGATGAGACGTACAATACCAATCGTCTCGTGGACATGGTGGGCAACAACTCCGGAACGAACATGCACGATTTCAATCTCATCGACAACGGCAAACGAGCACTCTTCTTAACTGCTGTTGATTTGGAGGAAATGCTGGTGAGTCTGCCTTGGTTTAACGGGATTTGTAATGTTGGGTGGCAGGGGTTCAAAGAGGTGGACGTTGATACAGGGGAAGTGGTCTTCGAATGGAATGCCAAAGACCATATCTCTCTTAGTGAGAGCACGTTCCTGCCCAAGAGTACTGTTGCGTTTTCCGAAGCCTGCATGAAGGAGTGGGGTGAGTGTGTCCGATGAATTGATGGAGTGAAAACGCTAACTGAGATAAGACATTACCCACTTCAATGCGATCGATAAATTCGACGACGGCGACTATCTGCTCTCCGCTCGCCATACAGACACTCTGTATAAAGTGTCACCAAATGGCTCAATCGTCTGGGGGCTGGGCGGCAAGCAGAGCGACTTTCACTTTACAGATGAGAGGGCCAAATTCTCACGACAACACCATGCCCGAGTGCACGAACAGAATGCGACCCATGCAGTCATCACCGTCTTTGATAATGCCATCGGGTCTGGGAACAACGAATCAGCCAGCAGCGGCTCGTCATGGGGTCTACATCTCGCCCTGCGCACCGACACCATCCCCATGACCGCCGACTTTATCGCACGCTATGAGCACCCCGACTGGAAACGCTCTCGCTGGTCGCCATCTCGTGGCAGCATGCAGTTGCTGCCAAACGGAAATGCCTTTGTAGGCTGGGTATTCGACTCGTTGCACTCCGAGTACTCGGCGGACGGCCGGTTACTAATGCAAGCCAACCTTCGCCTTCACGGCACCAACACGTACAGAAGCTACAAATTTCCCTGGACAGGCAGGCCAACCCGGCCACCTGATGTTAAATCCACCGCTTTCAGACCAATGACGAACAACAGCGCTTTGAACACTGTTGTCTACGTGAGTTGGAATGGCGCAACGGAAGTCGCTACATGGAATTTGCTGCACACCAGTTCCAACGGACGCTTCTCGGAAATCGTTGCTTCGTCGCCTCGACAAGGCTTTGAGACGCAGCTGCGCTACGATGGCTTTGCCAAGTATGTTGTGGCTGTTGGCCTCGATTCAGATGGGAAAGAATTGGGCAGGTCAGAGGTCATGCTGACCAAAGTCCCTCGGGGTTTGCAGAGCAAAAATGTTACAATGGGAGAAATGCAATGGGCTGCAGCCGCCCAAAATCAGTCTTGGCAATGGAAGGCGCCAACGATCTTGCACACAGAGCAAGAGGGCCGGGAGTCGGATTGGGGAATGCCCGCATTTGCACTTGGCATCACGGCTCTAGTTGTTTGCATGGTGCGCTTGATGTTACATTGGAGCCGGAATGGACAGGAATCGGGGTTTGGCTTCGCATCGAAGTTCCGACAGAAGGGGCTTGATACGGAGCAAGAGGCTGAGCAGCGCGAATGGATGCTCGCGGACGGCGAGATAAGAGGTCGTCAATGTATGCATTGATTTGGTATCCAGCTGCACCGACTGTGCAAGTGAAAGTTGATTCTGTGACATTTCCTCTCCTGCCGCCTCATATGAAGAACGGTGTCACGTGGAGAGGGTTGATCTACATTGGTATCGTTCGACGGAACAAGTCTCGGATGCTGGAGACGTGAGATGTGGTTTGCCACCGGAGAAGCTTGCGTCGATCGCCGAAGGATGTATTGCGGAGGAATGCCAGATTCATACGTTTAACTGCACGATAGATTGGCCAATACATACTTGATATGTAGGTGAGAAGAAGGTGAAGGATTGATGGTTCTCACCTGCCGGTTTTGGAGAGTTTACGCATCAGGCTAAGCCAAGCTGGCTCGCTGGCTGGTTGCGAGGCAGCCAGTCACGGGCCGGCGCGCATGGCTAAGCGGGCGGTAGCGAGCCTCGCGTGGACGTTAGCGCGCCAACTTCACCTCCTGTTTCTGCTTCTCTCCGCCCATGCAAACGCCTACCTTCCTGATACTCACCGACAGACAAAGACACGCGCCGTGCATGAGACCGACATGACAGGCGCAGGTACCCAGGGGCTCGTCGCCTCTCACAACGACGGTGTGCGTCGCGGAAATGCGCAGGAACGCCGGGCATTTTCCATGCGAAATGAATGGCTTCTCGAGGCTGCCGCTTGATCCTCTGAAACCCACTGGACCCCTCTCTTCGTCAATCACCCGTCCCCGCGCCTCACGCTGTAAACGACCCTTGCTGAACATGACGCGAAGATGTGCGAACGATGCCGGGCCGCGCGGGACTGTGTAGGAGTGCTGTATCTTCCAGGAGGACTAGTGATTCGTCCCAATAGCCATGCTTGGTCCCACCGCGCACCAAAGCGACCCAATTGTACGCTCGCGAGCGGGAAAAGCATGCCTGCAATAGGGAAACAACCATCGCGCGCGTCCGGAGGCGCGGTTCGCCACAGCTCGCCATGCCCGAGCGTTGCATCCCCTTGTGCCAAGTGCGCAATCCCCTCTCTCTACTCTCTTCCCATCCCAAGCCTATTCGAGCTACCTCAGCATCCTCTACCACTTCTGGCGATCGGCCACTTCTTCCTCTGGTACCGTGGTTTCTTTCCACCCGCTCCCCATCCTCACCCACGCTCCCTTTCGGTCAATTCACTACGCTCTTTCAATTACTTGTTTCCAACACTCGTGAGCTCCTATAATCTTTACACCTCACCGTCTCAACCACCACGGGCACCCCCCTCTCTATATCGCCGTCTGCGCCCTCGACGCAGCCTTACACTCGCTTTTGTTTTGCCTCTTACCTGCTGCCCTCCGCGTATAAAGCCGTACACCGTATGACGAGCAATGGCCGGCCGATTCTCGACACTTAAACTGGTTGCGTTGCTCACATCGCTGTTCGTTCTCCATGGGCAAGCTACACCTACATCACCGCTGGAGAAGAGGCAATACGACGCCACCGAGATCAAGATTGACGAGTCGAAGCATGACGAACAGTTCTACAACTTTGTGACGGTGAGTCCATGCATGGCAACGGAGTATCGCATGGAACAGCCTTCTGACTTGAAATCTGCAGCGGCCCGATATCGATGCACCTCGGTGGAAACTGAAGGTCTACAACGAGAGTGCACTCTCCAAGGGCTACTGGTTCACCACCGCATACGGCATTGTCAAGCAGACTTCGGCGAACCGCAAAGCCTACGTCGGCCCCTACATCTACGATCAAAAGGGAGAGCTTGTGTGGAGTGGTGCCGCCTCGGTCGACTTCTACTCCATCTTCGACTTCAAGGTGTCGAAGCTGCACGGCGAGCCCGTCATCAGCTTCCTCCACCCAAACTATGGCGCCGCATACATCCTTAACCACGAGTATGAGACGGAAAAGGAACTGGTGCTGCTCGACCGCGATGGTAACATGTTGGACAAGGATACGGTGAACATCCACGATCTGCAGATCTGGGACGACTCGTATGGAATCATGACTCGCTATGCGCAAGATCTTGATCGGAAATCCATGCGCTCGGCCTTGGGTTACAATGGCCCCTGCAGCGTGGAATTTCAAGGCTTTCGGGAGTCGAATCTGGACACCAATGAGCTCCAGTTCGAATGGAATTCGGATGCACACATTCCTCTGTCGGATAGCTACTTAAAGGCCGAGGGCAGCTGTGACGATGACGCTGTATGGGACTATTTGTGAGTTGTCAACCTGCTTTCATCCACAAGCCTTGCACTAATTTGATTCCCCGCAGCCATGCAAATTCGATTGACAAGTTCCCGAACGGCGACTATCTGATGTCCGCTCGCCACTCCTACTCGCTGTACCGAATTTCTGGCGTCAACGGGTCTATCATCTGGCAGTTTGATGGAACGGGCGAGCGTCAATCAGACTTCAAATGGATTGGAGACGGCCATTTCTTGGGACAGCACGATGCCCGAATGCTCGCATCAAATGGCACCCACACCCTCATCTCCATCATGGACAATGCATTGGGGCCTGGTATTCCACGTTCAAACAACCCAATGTCCCGTGGCCTCGTTATTTCCTTGCGCGAGGACGAAATGACGGCCTCGGTCGTCGCCACTTTCGACCACCCTGAAGGCCGCTACGCTCTCGGCCGGGGAAACATGCAACTCCTGCCCAATGACAACGCCTTTGTCGGATGGTCGGTCGATGCTGCCCACAGCGAGTTCACGCCGGACGGCGAGTGCATCATGCATGCGAGAATGCCGGCGGGCCTGAAGACGTACCGCAGCTACAAATACGAATGGGTGGGCCAGCCCAAGAGTCCCCCGGACGTCATGTCCAACGCCATCGTCTTCAAAGGCACCATCATCACCACTGCCTACGTGAGCTGGAACGGCGCGACAGAAGTGGCAACATGGAACCTCTACAAGACCAACGCAGACGGCGAAGTGATGGAGCTCATCGCCACGCGCCAGAAAGAAGGCTTCGAAACATCCATCACGCACAAAGGCCTCGCGAGCTACATCATGGTCGAAGGCGTCGACGCAAACGGCAAGCGCCTGGGAATCTCCAACGTCATCAAAACCGCCGCGCCCGCCGACCTCAACTCGCTCTCCCCCGCCGTCGTCGCCGAAAACAAATGGCAGACGGACCACTCGCAAGGCGTGCTCGTCGAGTCCCGCCGCGGCCTCTTCGACAACTTCTCCAACCCCTTCGTTGCCTTCCTTTCCGGCATTTTCTTCTGCGCCGCCGCGCTGTACACCATCCGCGCTTTGAAGGGCATGCGTCGCAAGGGCGGCAGCGTGCAGTCATGGTGGCTGCCGAATCAGTACGAGCGCCTAGCGTCGTATAATAGCGATGCGGGCGATGAGGAGAGCCAGGAAGAGCACAAGCTGAACAAGCTGGGCGAAATGAAGGAAATCCCGCCCAAGTATGAGGAGGATTACGAGGATGATTCGAGATGAGCTTGGCCCTGCGCCATTTTGGATAATCGCTGCATTGCCTTTCGATCGAGCTATGCATTTGTTTTCTCGCCCTTCTTGGATGCAGGGTTGTTCTTAGCATTTCAGCGATACGTTCACTTGACTCTGAAAATGCAACCGCTTTCTGTTGCATGGTTTTAATCATGAGATGAAATTCGAGAGAAGATTCACATGGCAATACTTCTTTCATGCACACTGGCTTACATCCTTTGATCTTGTGGTGTTCACCGGCAAAAATGTGATGCATTATCATCATAAATACAAGTCGCTCAGAACGTCAGACCATCAATCTATTCTATCTCGTGATCTTGCATGAAATTCCCCCGTCGGACTGCTCGGACTGCTGGGGTAAGGGGACAGACTAAGAGCACTCATCTTGCCCTCGTCCAGCGACGCAATGCTCGCTCGCCTCACCGCCTGATACGTCTTCGCAGACCACCAGGACGTCGGGCTGCGCTTGCGTGTATATGGCAAAAGAGTGACGACGAGGGCGCAGCAGGCGAATCCGACGATGAACCACACCACGGAGCCCATGGTGGAGAGCGAGATAGATGGCACGTAGGATGTAGATGCTGCGTTGCTGCTGAAGCGCGCGGCGGCGTATTGCTCGCGCTCCGCCGGGCCGGCGACTCTGCTGACGCCGTATTTGAAGCTGTCGAAGAGCTGCAATGGGAACGCTTCTGCCATCAACCGGTAGCCCTCGTCGTTGGGGTGGATGCAGTCTCCCGAGTCGAGGTTGGGATTGAATTCCGTCTGATTGTTTGTGTCTCTAAGCACAACGTCGAAGTCAACGACAGCGTCGGGCCAGCCGCTGCTGCGGATCCAATCATTCACCCGCAATCGCGTCTGCTCTCGTATGGCCTCTCGGTACTTGGCCCCCGGGTGCGTGCATGCGAAAGGCCCAATGGTGCTCATAAACACAGGTACACCAAAGGCATGCAGGCGTGTGATGGTCTGCTGATAGGAGCTGATGAGCCGTTCCGCAACCTCGTTCTGGCTAGCAGAGCTACCGCCTGCGAAGTTGATGTCGTTGATGCCTTCGAACATGAAGGCGTACGCCAGCGAGCTGTAGGCCAGCACATCGCGGTCGATGCGGGAGACGGCGTTTTTGCCGCCAGTGCCGTCGGTCAGTTCGCGGTTACCGGCTGCGCCTTGGTTCAGGACGCTGATGTCGTCCACGCCTGCCGCTTGCATGCGATTGAAGAGCACGTTCGGCCAGCGAGCGTCGGCGTTGAAAGAGCTGTGCGAGCCATCGGTCAAGCTGTCGCCGAGGAGGATGAGGGCACGAAAGTTGGATGGTCTCCACGCCTCCACCCCGCTGAGGAAGTACCAGCCTTGTCGAGATTTCTTCCACAATACATCCCAATCCGCTGATTCTGTATTGTCGCCCAGCGACAAGTAGGTGTCGGTGCGACTGATGGGGTGTGCGGTGAGTTGATCGCTCTTGAAGCCGTCTCGGAGGTAGATGGTGATGCTCAATGCCTGCCCGTTGGCCACTTCCAAGGGCACCGGGTCAGACACGGCCAGGGCGGCGGGAGGGAGGAGGACGGACTCTTGCCCGCTGAAGGTGATGGTGTGGATTGTGTTGAGATCGATGCCGTGGGAGCCCGTTTCGTTGCGGCCTGCATGCGGTACGGGCTGGGCAATGGTGATTTTGGTGATAGGTAGGTCTCTCAAGCCGAATGCATTGGAGAAGCGGAAACGAAATCGCTCGGCGCCAATGGACAGGCGGATGGTTTGACGGATGGAGGCGTTGGCGAAGACAACACCGTCATCGTAGAGCTCGGGGGGTTGTGTGTTGGAGTCGATTGGCTGCGGCGCAGCGGTCCAAGTTGTCACCCAGCGACCATCGGCAAGGTCGCGCTGTACCGGGGAAGCCGCAGCCCGCGCGTACAACCACGAGGTGAGCAGAAGCACGACGAGGGAGAGCGGATGCATCATGCTGTGGCCAAAATGCTACAAGCAATGAAGGAACGATCAAGCCAAGGCGGAGAAAAGAAGAACAAGCAAGGCCAAGGCGGCAGGATAGTGAAGATCAACGTCTGGCAACGCCGCAGGGGCCGCGCATCACCTGCTGGCGGTCTCGAAGGAAGGAAGGAAGCGAGGCGATGGTGTGACAGGTGGGTGGCTGTGGTTACGGCGAAGCGAGGAGAGCGGGTGGGGATGAGGATTTGTTGGGTTGGTTGCCTCAGGTTTGCACACCACCACTTCTCAGCACCATTCTGGCATGAGCCACACAGTTGGAGAGCACGGAGGTGGAGGCCGCACGCGCGTGGTGCAGAGGAGATTGCGATATGTCGGCGCGAAGATGCAGAGACACTTAAGTGCCCGGTGCAAGATGAAGAAGGGCAGGCCGGCGGGTTTGTTAAAAGTCGTGGGAAGGATTGAAAGTTCATGCGCTCGCCAACAGGCAGCGCACAGCGGCTGTTTCCGGCGCTTGAGCCCAATGCCAATCGGTCACTCCCATGTAGACGGCCGACAGACATGCGTCCCACGACTTTTGTTTCCATCCAGTCCACATGTGCCGTCGGCATACAAACCTTGCATCCGGCACTCTTCAATGGCCCGTCCTGCCAAGGCTGTGAGTTCGGCGTCCGCCTCCCGTTGCAGCAAATGAATATCACTCTCGGCGACATGGCTCGTCCAAGACAACACCGTGATCACATGGCAGACGCTGGACAACGCCTGGGCGCTCGTGGCTTATCGGAGTCCGCGAGCCTCGACGAGTCTCGACGTCCTGTCCCCGACGCCCCTCGCCAGATTCTGCTTCCACCAACTCCCCCAAGCTCGGTCGAGGAGGGGTCCCAGAGATACGAGTTTGGCACTTGGCAGGTGGGGTGCGCGCCGCTGTCGGACACGCTCAATTACCTGGATCGGGGCTTGCAACAACGTGGGAGAAAATGTCCGAGAGGCGTCGGTGAATTGGGAGGGTCGGACAATTATCACCAGCGGATGCGGCTAATTTAGCGCCACTTTAGCGCCGACCGGGATGCCGGTAACCCTGTCGGACCCAAAGCAGACAAGGCTGATGGCCCGCTCGAAGGTAACTCCATCGTCAGGATGCCGCATACCCACGTCCACAGCCAAGCAATCGCGCTTTGGTAGAGCTCGTGTTTGGTTCGCGATTCGCTTCCTAATTGATTAGGCAGTCTTGGCCCTATTGCCATCAACCCCGGACTTCAGCTCTGGAATCTCGTGCCGTCCATTAACGCTAACACTCACCAAAAGGCTTGGTTGGCGAGGGCAGCGTGGTATTGCTTGATTCTTGTGGTACTTCATCACTTGTACTTCCTTCTGGACTCTCTCTTTCACCTTCTTTTGTTGTTCCTATTCGACTCTCGTTATCATCGTCTCGAGTCGAGTTACGCGGTCGTTCGTTCAATGTAACTGGCTTGCACCACCACCTGCCTTACCATGTCTCCTACATCACGTCTATCCCTCCTCGCTCTATGCGCGACAGCCGCGCTTGCGCAAACACCGATCGCCCCCGTCGACAAATGGAGCGCCAGTGGCATGGAACATTTCATTACCGTGAGACCTGCCCGCATTGTACACCGCGAGAAACGCCACTAACGCATAAGTATAGAGGCCTGAATTGATTGCCCCACGATACAAAGTTAACAAGATCCACCCCGAAGCCATAGCTCCAGGTGAGCATGAACATACTACCTTGCCATCCTCAGACCCAGACCCAACTAACTCCTTCACAAGGCTACTGGTTCGTCACTCCCTACTACGTCACAGCGCAAGAGCAGCGCAAAGAAACGCTCGAGTACATTCCATGTCAAACGGGAGCACATATCTTCGATGGCGATGGGGTATGTTCAAACTACCCCACTCCATCATGTGCACACAATCCTGACAAGCCCCCTTGTAGCACCTAGTATGGAGCGGAGCCTGCCAATACGAGAACCGAAACATCTTCGGCTTCCGACCAGTCGAGATCAACGGCACCCAACACTTGTCCATGTGGCTTTCCCGACAATTCGTCGGCATGCCCAAGGAGAGAATCCCGGTCAAGGATCAGTCCGAGTCCGGCGTCATTCTCAACAACCAATACGAAGAAATCCACCGCCTGATCCTCCCCCACGCCTTGGACTGCCACGAATTCCGCCCGCAGCCCGATGGCAAAACCATCCTCCACACGTGGCATGAGCGAATCGATGTCGACACTACTGGTTCCAATCTGCCGCATGTGGTAGATGGTGAGAAGCGCAAGGTGCTCAATGGCGGGTTCTGGGAGACGGATCTTACGACCCACGAGCCCGTCTTTGCCTGGAGTCCCCTTGAACACGGACTGCATCTGAACGAAAGCTACGACACCACGGGATCAGGCTGGGTCGGCACTGACGACCATTCCGATGCCTGGGATTACATTCACATGAATGCCGTCGATAAAACCACCGATGGCGACTACATCTGCTCCGGCCGGCACACCAGCGCGGTGTACAAGGTGTCCAAGGATGACGGGCACATCATCTGGCGCCTAGGCGGCAAGCGCTCCGACTTCGTCATGGACGCCGACGTCCCCTTCTTCTGGCAACACCACGTCGCCTTCCTCTTCGACAACGCCACCCACACCATCATCTCCGTCTTCGACAACGCCGGCGAGGACAAGGGCCGCAACACCTCCATCCCGCAAATGGTCTCCAAAGCCAAGCTTATCGTCCTCGACACCGCCGCCCGCCCCATGACCGCTAAGATCCTGCGCAATTTTGAGCGCCCCGATGGCGACCGCACGCCCATGGGCGGCTCCGTCTACCCGCTCGGCGACGACCCGGCGACAGCCAACATCTTCGTCAACTGGGTGCTCCCCGGCTACGTGAGCGAATACGACAGCAACGACCGCCTGATCCTCGAAGCGCGCTTCGAAACAGATGCGGTGAAAGGCTACCGCGCCTTCAAATCCGACTTTGTCGGCCGGCCCACCGAGCCGCCCGCCTTCAAAGTGCTGCCAGTCGGTTACGGCAAAGACGAAGCCGCGTCCGCCTTCTACGTCAGCTGGAACGGCGCGACGGAAGTCGTGGACTGGACCTTCTACGGCGCCGACAGCGCTTCCGGGCCCTTTTACAAACTCGAGACGGTGAAGAAGCGCGGCTTCGAGACCAGCTGGGTCATGCCGGGCGTGGTGCAGTACGCGTACGCCGAAGGCGTGGACAAGAACGGCATCTCGCTTGGGCGCAGCGCCGTCGAGTCCTTGGTCTACCACGGCGCCGGGGGGTACAAGATCGCCGCACCGGCGCTCGAGGGCATCAAGCAGATGGCGAGTCCGGTGAGCGGGCGCCCGGTTTCGAGCGAGCGCCTTACCACCATCACCGCTCAGCAAGTCGCTGACTCGGACTCGTCGGTGTTGCCGGCGACCGATGGCCTGCTGAATCAGCAGCTCTACGGCTTCTTCATCTACTGCCTCGCGCTGTTTGGGCTCATCTGTGGTGCGCGGAAAATCTACACCACGATGGTGTGGAGGAAGAAGGGATACTCGGCGTTGCCTGCGTTTCGGGTGGATGATAAGTAGAGGTCATTTTGACTGGCGTTTGGGGCGGGAAAATTGAGTGCTGCGTAATTTAGCGACTTGTTTCGACCATCGGCAATTCTGCTGATGATGGCCTTCTTTGTACATACTTTTGATCACATTTCACATACTCTTTCTTCCAAAGATCTTCTTCTGAATACGAGAGAATTGGTACAATTGAAGGCAACAGGTAATTCAATTCGTTCATTGTCATTATGTAGAAGGATATCTGTCTCCGTCCCCAACGCCCCTCTCCCAAATCCAAAAGCAGATCAATGAATGGCTTGTGAAAGCTTCCAAGCGGGGCTCAATAGCGGGGAAAAGAAATGAAAGGGATACCATTTGTACGATGAAAGCGGCGAGATCACGACGCAACAGGCGCAAGCGGCTGTCGCGCCTCCGTCATGGGCAGCAGCGACTCCTGAGCTTCATCCTTGTTCTCCTGCTTCGACTCCCATGAGCGTTCGGGGTTGAAGAGCCAAGTGCAGAATTGGCCGCTCGGGCCCTCAAACACTTTGGTGGCGATGCTGGCGATCCACACCATGAAGGGGAAGAGCAGCAGGTTGGCGGCGAGGTAGTTGACCTCCAGGCCCAGGGGACCCCACTCCGGGAGAGCGAAGAGGTTGACCCAGAAGGGGATCAGCTCAGGGGAGCGAGGACGAATGCGGCCGACGGCGGCGTAAAGGCGATCACCGATCGTCCACAGCAGCGGGCCTTGCACGAGGTAGAAGCTGAAGGTGATCTTGCCAAAGTCGCGCAGGATGCCGAGCTCGAAGAAGGAGCGAAGCCAGGGGATGCGCGGGATGGCGAGGAGCACCAGCACGCCTGCCCATGCATTGTACCAGTGCGGGGCGTTGCTGGAGGCGCGCGGGTGCAGGTACGTGAGCCAGTACCAGCCCGGGTCGCTGGCGAACTCGCGCGTGTGGGTGTAGGAGGGGCAGGTGGACAGCCAGAGGCCGGCGAGCAGCGGCAGGTACCAGAAGTACTTGCCCACATTATAGCTGAAGGGCCGGGGCAGCGTGCCGTTGCCGGAGAGGATGTCGATGTCGGCCATCATGATGCCGAAAGTGGTAAGGGCGCAGAAGTATCTTGGCGTGTGTTAGCGTGTTGGTCTCTCGGCATCGTTCACGTGTGGTGGATGAGCACGGAAGCCATTACCATGGTTCCGGCCGGGCCAGATTACATTGGCAGAATTGTTGGGGGGAAGATGACTTACGAATCGACGCAATAGCCAAAGTAGATGGAGAGGGCAAACATGCTCCAGATGCGAGCGCTGGCGGGGTATTTGCCAAAGGCGGCCATGCAAAGCAGGATGATGTAGGTGAGGACGGATGCCTGCATCTGCAGCGGGATGTACCAGAGATGCGGGTCGTAGATGTCATTGGGCCGCATGGCCTCTTTGGAGAAGAGATAGGACTTGGTGAAGAAGTTGCCGATCCAGCGGGGGATTTCGGCGAGGAAGGAGTTTGCGGGAGGGTAATGGGTTCCGTCGGGGTAGATGTTGAAGATGTGCCTTGCGAAGGGGATTAGTCTGGGTGAGGTGTGTATAGAATCGGGTGAACGACTCACCAACACAACATAAAGGTCAGCGAAACCATGCAGGCGGGAAGCCAGAGTCGGATGAAACGCTGGGGAATGGCAACGCCGATGCGCTGGCCAACCTTGCCAATGTCACGCGAATGCACGAGCTTGAGCAGCGAGACGGAGGTGACATAGCCGGAGATGGCGAAGAACAGCATGACGGCCAGGTTGCCGGTGTGGAAGAAGACGCGGATGAAGGGGAAGGTGATGAAGTTCTTGTGGCCATCCCAGCCAAAGGCATGGTGGATGATGTCGCGCTGGGCGGGATGGGCGTAGTCGATGTTGTGCTGCTGGTAGATCATCAAGGCCGCGAAGCCGCGCAGACCGTCGAGGTAGGCGGTCTTGCCCAGCGGTTTCCCACTCGCTGCCGAAGCCCTGGCCGAGGAGCCCAGGAAGTCGGGGGTGAGGATGGCGAGGATGGAGGCTCCCATGGCTCGCAGGCGGCCTCGTGATGCCGAGGATTGCTTCTCATCGAAGCCTGAGCCCGACGGGGCAAGCGCGGCCTTGCGCCGCCACGGAAACATTGTCGAGATGTAACTGTCGCGACAAGGCAGTAATGGAAAGAGGGGAAGATGAAATGTTTGTTAAGGGAAGCACGAGAGTGGTGGAAGAAAGTGGAGGTGGTTGGTGGTGGGTGACTAGCATACAGCTAATAATAATGAGGACAAGGCGCTAGAGAGTGTCCGGTGGGAAGACGTGATGGGGAACGGCAAGATGATTACCTACTGGGGAGGGATAGGGTAGAGACCCAACTGCGTGCCGTCCCATCGAGGGCTGGGCATTGAATCCGTGGCATGGCACGGCAGAAACGGCATGCACGCCGTGGACGAGGGAGAGAGATCAGCGGGCTGCTTTGGGCAGTCGGAGAGCCCTCGGAGGGCCAGCCAGCCATGTGCATTGCATGGGTGTGTATTCGCCGTCCCCGACATCCTTTCGTCGATGTTTTGGGACAAGTGGCATGTGTGGTGATGCAGAGAAGGAGCTCTCCGAAAGTGCTGGATGCAAGTCCGAATGAGGAAGTTGTGCGGCCGCTAAACTAGTCGCTCCGCACCAACCACAAGTCGAGGAGATGATAATGCTGCTGCTGCTATCCGCCGTCCACCTCCGACTGTCTCAGACCTTGTGCTTGGCTCGGCGTGTGCCGCAGAGCTACCCTGTGCATGGAGAAGTCCAATGCAACCCTCTGCCTCTTGCATGGCCGTGTCCGTATTCGGCCCAAGGATAGCACCATGTCGCGTTACGGCCGAGAGGGCAGGGCCAGGTGCTGGTCGTGTGACGTACCATCGGGACGATGGAATGGCCAGCCTTGGCGGCGGCGATGAGCCCCCGTGAGGCTGACCTAGCGCGGGCCCACGAGAAGCATATGGCGGCAGCCGCGGAGAAGCTGGTGTAAGGTAACGTCGGTCACTTAATGCCCTACTAATCCAAACCTTCAGCTCCCGACCCATCCGTCACTTGTTCTTCTAATCAAAGATTTGTCAAGCATTGTCGGGACCTTTCCCATGGTTTCACACGATTTGGCGCTCGGCAGACCTCTCGGCGGAAAGAAGGGACATCGGCATTTGCTCGCGTGGTCAGGAACACGCCTCCTGGACCTACGTGATCCAGCACGTAGCCCGTGACAGCGCAATTGCTTCCTGCTCTCATTGAAGATCGATCGGGTAGGATGCTCTGCCCCAGTACCTAATCTCACTAAGATCGATCTTAGCAATTTCGGTGCATCGACGCTCTGCCCTCACTCCAATGGATAGCGCCGCCTCTACTCAAATTGCAGGCCCCACGGAGAAAGGCGCGCAAAAAATCGGAGAAAAGAAATTGGGAAGGCAGGCGCCACCACGTGCGCTGGACCAGGAAAGCACATCGCGGTACCCTAGGCCCGCGAGAAACCGTGGGACTGGGCGAAACACTCCGGAGCGGTGGAAAAGGTTTGGTTGCCGCCCATTATTAAGCTTCTTTAACTGTCCTTCGCCCAAACTTGCGGCGCCTGAACAAGCTTCGGCGGACACAGGGGCAGCGGCACCGCCGGGCGGAACCCTATTTGGGGGCGCGGTTTGTCTTTTCACCTCCACCCATCTCACTTTCACCCTTGGCAATCCGCGGCAAGACGGCCGTCAAAGTTTTCATCGGCGTGAGACAGACTGTCTACCAGGTGAACTGAGCCGAGCAGCCCTCTGTTTCGATCGATCGGCCATCATCCACTGGCCCATCACCACCCAGACCATCGGAGGGTGTCAGCACCAGTCCTCTAGCCTTCCACCAATTGCTCTCCACGGAGTCCTCCTCGGGCCCTCACCTCCAACCCAGGTTCCTGCATTACCGGCCGGCCACCTAGCCCCATCAGCAGCCCCATCAGCAGCCCCATCAGCAGCCCCTGCTCGTCCGCGCCGACACAGCCAGGTCATCATGGCAGCACCACCCCGTCTGCCACCAATCGCAGCCCTCCCAACCCTCCCAACAGAACAACGAGCCGCAGTCCTCGATACCCTCTTCGAGCCCAGCGCGCAGCTCCACACCCTCTCCCTGCCCCTGCTGCACGACCAAGCTTTCCCCTCCTACCCGGACCTCATAGCCGCCATCGGCGTCCAGCTAACCAGCCTAGCCGCCTCCGCTTCCTCCTCCGACACAACCTGGCTGGAATCCATTCTCGGCAGCCATCCTCGGCTCGGCGCCCCCAAGGTCGACAGCGCGCAGTCCGCGGGCGAGCAGGCGCAGTTGCAGGGTGGGGAGGGGGAGAAGCTGCGGGAGCTCAACGAGCTCTACGAGCAGACGTTCCCGGGGCTGAGGTATGTGGTTTTCGTCAATGGGAGGAGTCGTGAGGTGATTATGGAGGAGATGCGGGGTAGGATTCGGGAGGGCACGCTGAGAGGGGAGCGTGAGGCTGCCATTAGGGTGAGAGTTTCCTTGACCCCTTCTCGATTCAAGTCTAACCGATTGATGGCAGGCCATGTGCGAGATTGCGGCTGACAGAGCGGCGAAGTTGAGTTGATCTATGCATGTTGGCGTTTGCAAGGGGTTTCTGACGACGTGATGAATGGGAGGAGACGAATGGACTCATAGGGCGTTGAATTCATGACAGTACAGATGGTCGGCACGTGCCGTCTATAGTAATCCACCGAGTCGCCATCCAGTAGCGATAGCATCCCGCCAAATTGCGCCCCTCCTCCCACCCAAACCCAAGTCAGGTCTATACAGCCTCCCAGCCCAGCCGAACTCCCATGAGAATCGCTATACGGTCACCACCTTGGCTGGGGTTTCGGCCCCTTTCTTCTCCCCATCCTTCCCTTCCTCCCCTTCGTGCTCCGAAGCACTACTCCTCTCATCCGACAACACACTCACGGCCGTCTGGCCCCGCGCAATCCCCGGCCGCGCCAGCACAGAAAGATGATTCTCATGCTCCGCAATGGGCTGCAACGTCTCCTCCGCCGCCGCCGCCTCCGCCTCCTCGCGGATTTTCCGCTGATGCTCAGCCTGTGCTCGCCACGCGTCGGTGTTCCAGAAGAGGTAGGAGCGGCCGTCTTTGATGAGGAGCGGGTTGCTCTCGTCGTGTTTGATGTCGAGGGGGTTGTCGGCTGGCGAGCGCGCTTTGGGGGACGCCGTCTTGTCTTTCGTTGCCGTGGCAGCCATTGCTGCGTCGGAGGTGTGCGCGTTTTTGTTGGCTGCGTGACCGTTCCAGTCGGCAGAGGCCGCCGGACTCTGACTGAGCGGCTGGTCTTCGGATCTGGTAGGTGAGATACTGCGCGGCGTGGCTTTGGGCGATGCTGTACGCCGAGCATCGGCGACATTCGGCATGCTGGCAATGCCCTGTCGCCAGTGGAGGATGCTGTCGGTGTGTGCTGCAGATGACGCAGACATCCTTCCCTCTCGTAGGCTCGGTTGGCTGCCTTTCGTCATGACCGAGCCCTGCCTGCTGAGCCGGCCGGTTCGCTTGCTGAATATCGACGCCCGGTCGTCGTCTGTCTTCCGCTTCGACCAGGCGCAGTCTTGTCGGAAGACTTTGATGCTGCCGGTGTAGTCGGCCGTGACGATGATGTTGCCCGCCGTGTGAGTGGCGCGTTGGACGTACGACGCGGGCTCCTTCGGCTTCTTGAACTTGCCTTCCGCCTCCGATGGCGTCGCGTGGATGCTACCAGGCGCGGATGCCGGTGCAGATGAGCCCTGGCTCCCCGTGGCGCTGTTCACCCGGTCTTCCCGACTCAGCATTGCCACCGGTGGAGGATTGCACAGGTCGTATACCGGATCCTCAGAGTCCCCCAGCAGGACCCGCGTCTTGGTGGGAGCGAAACATACGACGGTGGTGATGGAGTCGTGCGCCTCGAACAGCTCCATCGGCCTCTTGTCCGGCTTGTCCTCCTCAACTGGCCCCATGGACCAAATATATGCTTTGCGATCTTCACTCCCACACACCACGTACTTGCAGTCGTCTGTGAGTGCCGCGCGAATCTGGCTGTACTTGTTCTCATTCCCTCGGAACTTGCCCTCCAAGTTCTTGTCGCGGAGATTGTAAAGGCGGACACGCGAGTCGTTACTCGTGATCAGCAGCTTGATATCGCCTCGACTGTCATGATGCGGTTGGATGCCGGTGATTTTGCTGCTCTTGCCATTCTGCCCACTCGAGCGAACTTGCACTTGGCTGTGGTATTTCATCCCGTCCGCTTCGTAGAAGAGACATGCGCCTCCCAAACAGCCTGCAATGGCATATTTGCCGTCAGGGGTGAAAGCGACGGCGGTGATCATGTCCTGCATTTGCGCCGCGTACGCCACGCCCTTCTCGGGGATGCTCCATAACCGAAGTTTAGCATCCAGCGACCCGGCAAGAAAGAAGCGGTCGTCCTTGGGATGAAAGGCAATCGAGGGTACGAAATCGTTGTGCTTGAACGTGCATAAGCACTGCGGCCGGGTGACGTGCCACAGGCGGACCGTCTTGTCCATGGACGAGGATAGAAGGAAGTTGTTCTTGCTCCAGCTTAGATCCAGCACCGTCGAGGTGTGCCCTTCGTATTCCCGGACCGGGCGGCCGATGAAGACGGGCGCGCTCAAATGGTGGGAATGAGGCTCGCCGCCGTTCGCCTCGCTCTCCTGCTGCTCGTGCTTCTGCCGATCTGCCGAAGTTGCAATGACTTGCCACACGCGCACCACGCTATCGGCACCTGCAGCCGCGAGGTATTTCCCGTCTTTGCTGAACTCCATCGCCCACACGGTGTGTCCATCTGCGGGTGCCGAGGACTTGCGTCGTAGCTTGCTGGCACTGTTCTGTCGCAGCTTCTTCGCGTCTTTCCTGACATTCAGCTCTTGCGCGAGAAACACTCGATCAAACTCCCTCTCCTTCTTGTACCTCGACGACATCTTGATATATGGCGGAGGCTGCGCATACTGAGGGCTGAAGCCGACGTTGTCTGTCGGCTGCGCAAAGACTTCCGCGTTGTTGCCCTCCACTCGGCCGTCGTTCGATGTCGATTCGTCGTCAGCCACACCGTCGCCATCCTTCTTCTTGCTGCCAATCAGTTTGCTGATGAATGCCACCGCCTTCACTCCCTTGCGCAGATCTTTGTGCGCGGCAGCGACGCTGTCGTTGGACTCCACTCGTTGCACCCGTCCCATATCTGCTGGTATCGTGCCTTGATCCAAGCTTCCTCGATCCCGCCGGTTGCTCGTGTGCTCCGAAAAGCTCGATCTACCGCCGTTCTGCGAAGTGTTTGGCGTGGTGGTCCGCGCGAGGATATGCTGAGTGTCACAGTCCGCGTCAGTGAATGTCTCCACGCAAGCCCAAGACAGTAGAGATGACGTACCTGAGTCAACGGATCAAATCCAGTATGCGGCTGGCCCTGCGAACCCTCATACTGGCCATTGGTCGATTCGCGTCGCGTCTGACTGGCAGGACTAGCATTACTAGACCCTCTCCCCTTCATCAACCGTGCCGGCGAAGCTCGCGCGCCATCTGAACTCGGGCGATCCTTGGACTGCTTCGCTCGCGTCGGTGTCTGCGGCCGCCCTCGCTCCTCCTTCAAAGTCGCATCGAGAGGCGACGCCGGCGCATCGCGCGTGGGTGAAAAGGGTCGAGCTGGCTCGGATTCTTGGTTGTGGCTGTTGGTCAACTTGATGACGGGTAGGCTGGTATTGCTGTTGTCCACGGCCGCCATTTTGCAGACTATCGGGGGACTTGTCGTGTCCGACCGCGCCTTACTGTTATGTCCGCATGATTCGTGGTCGAGGTGACTCGACGGATGACAGCGGATATGCTGGGATCGGGGTTAATAGTAACCCCGAGGATGCGAATGGGAGCAATTGATGGGCGATCGGAGAAGGTGGGATCGGAAGGATACGAATATGGCGAGGGAGAATGTAGATAGGGTGGAGGGGAGAGGGGGGAGACGGGTAGGGCGGCGCGATGCAGTGCGTGAGATTGATGTAATGCGGCAGCGGTTGAGGTCGAGGTCGGTTAGACTGAGACAGCAACAATTGGATCCGCATCATCCAGTGGAGCCGATGTGCCGCTTACCTAAGCCACCTCCACCCTCGACCGTTGACCTCGTGGCACGCGCATCAACTACACATCGCGCGTCGATCATCCACGTGGCGGAGCTCTGAATGACACAAAGATGGATGGTCAAATGTACACATCTGCTATGAAGAAGCACAACAGGCTCAAACGCCAGCTGCATGCGTGGAATATGAGTGAGTAGAGGCGAAGAGAAGAACCGAGACATCTCCTCCAACCCGCGCCGTCCACCCATCATCCGTTACCCAAACGCCCGTCAGGAGTGCAAGTGAAGTAGCGCATCTAAAATTCCTCGTCAAACGCAAAGTCTCCATTCATGACCGGCGCCACAAAGTCGGCATCGCCCTCCTTCTTTTCCTGGTGTCGCTTCGTCGACTCCATCACTCCGGCCTTTTGGTAGTCACCAACGCGCTTCTCGAAGAAGTTGGTCTTGCCAGCCAGCGAAATGTTCTCCATGAAGTCAAAGGGGTTGGTCGCGTTGTAGTACTTGGTGTTGCCGAGGGCGAGCAGGAGTCGGTCAGCGACGAACTCAATGTATTGGTTCATGAGATCCGAGTTCATGCCGAGCAGCTTCACCGGGAGCGCGTCCGTCAGGAATTCCTGCTCAATGGTCACGGCTTCGGTGATGATGCTCTGCACCAGAGCCTTGTCCGGCTTATTCCTCAGGTGAGAGAACAGCAGACAGGCAAAGTCGGTGTGCATGCCTTCGTCGCGAGAGATGAGCTCGTTGGAGAAGGTGAGGCCGGCCATGAGCCCGCGCTTCTTGAGCCAGAAGATGGCGGCAAACGAGCCGGAGAAGAAGATGCCCTCGACGGCAGCAAAAGCAATCAGCCGGCACGCAAACGTCGAGTTCTTGTCCGAGATCCAGCGCAGCGCCCAGTCGGCCTTTTTGCGGATGCAAGGGATGTTGTCGATGGCGTTGAACAGGTACGCGCGCTGCTTCGGCTCGCTGATGTAGGTGTCGATGAGGAGGGAGTAGGTTTCGGAGTGGATGTTTTCCATCATGATCTGGAAGCCGTAGAAGCAGCGGGCCTCGGGGATCTGCACCTCGCCGCTGAACCGCTCGACCAGGTTTTCGTTGACGATGCCGTCCGAGGCGGCGAAGAAGGCGAGGACGTGGGAGACGAAGAAGCGCTCGTCGTCGTTGAGGCGCTTGTTCCAGTCGTGCAGATCTTTCGACAAGTCGATTTCCTCTGCCGTCCAGAAGGATGCCTCGGCCTTCTTGTACATTTGCCATATCTGTATGCAGGGTTAGTGGGGTGGAGGGTGGATGAAAGACGCGCGTGAACGCGTCGCGTGACGTACTTCGTGATATTTGATGGGGAAGAGGACGAATCGGTTCGGATTCTCTTGTAATATTGGCTCGATGGCCTCGTCTTCTTTGATGGTGGCAGCGACGGGCAGAGTTTCGGTGTCCTTCACAGGCACCTCTGGCAGCTCGGGGATGCCCTTGATGGGGACGGCGATCTCGCAGGATTCGTACTTGGCGTCGATGTTCTCCTTGTTCTCCTCCGTCACCAGCTTCTGCATCTTGACCGGCGACTCCATTCTCAGACCCTCAATGCCCGTAGCGGCCTGTAGCTCTCGTCAGGTCTGCCGCCAGCGACGGAGGCGATGCGGTCTTGACGTACCTTTTTGGAGGGAGTGGTATCGATGCTCATCGTTCTAGCGCCACGGTGAGTTGGGAGGATGTGAAGGAAGGGTGGACGGGGTGAAGAGGATGGTGCTGGTGTAAAAGTCGTGTTGCTATGAAGGACAAAGAGCTGCAGGCGCCTCTTAAAGAGAACGCGATTAGCGCGTCAAATTGTTGTTAGCCAAGGCTATGACGCGCTGATTGGCTAGAATGCTGCAGCTGCCTGCATGCGCCGCGCCCGCTCTCGACCTCTAACCGAGCAACATGAATGCAGGCCGTGCGTGCATGATGGAAATCACTTTGATTTCCCAGCCACCGGCATTCTGTTCATCATCTTGGCTGCTATAATACCCATTGCCCGGAGGAGTCAGCTTTGGGGCAAGCTTGCAGCGGATCATGCTAGTACTTCGACCAGAGTGAGAGACTCATTCGAGAGCAATGCAATCAATACACAGAATACTGCTTGAACCAGACATATCCCAGATCGAATGCTACACTGGCCACCGCAAACGGCAAATCCATCTCAATCACGCTCCATATCCACAGCGTGCCGAGTGGCGGCGCCTGCTTCATCACCGCATAGTATCCGTACACATTCGCCGCGTAGATGACATAGCATCCCGATATCGTGCCCGCGATGAGGAAGAAGATCTGCCTGGGCAATGGGAATTGACGCACGATGGACGAGCGCAGAAGCAGGACCAGCACAAATAAGGGGATGATCATGGTGATTGTCCGTTTTGTGATGACCGTCCATTCGATCTCCTGCCTGTACTGGCTGTACACGAGTACATCGAGGGTGAAATGGAGCGTCGCAAGAATGATTGACCAGAATGTCGCGTCCGCAATGGGCCCTATCTCTCCCTCGTCATCGGGAATAGATTCGACATTGGTGCCATCTTCGTCGTGAACCGGATCGCTTTGCAGCTTCTGCGCAACCGCCCGCTGCAGTACCTTCCTCTCCTCGTGAATCTCGAGCAATGTTTTGCCTTTACGTCGGGAGCGATCAGGTTGCTGCAGATGGATTCCGGTCGAGGTCGTGACCTTCTCGCTGCCATTGCGCGAGTCGTCTTTTCTCATGTCTGACCTTCACCGCATGCATTCCATTCGATGCATTGCGGACTGTGGAGATGGGAGTTGCTCTTTCGTGTATTGGCAAGAGGAATTCCAAGCTTCGGCAAATCACTCGCTCAGCAACCCAACCGACCACGCTAGGCCTCTTTTGACCACCTGCAGCGTTTAAGCTTCTGTACCTGCCGTTACTGTGTACACCTGCAAACACACACGAATATTTGAGCATCATCCTGCATGAACGACTTTGATCTCCTCCAAAGCGCTCTGACAGTCATCAGCGACCTGATCGTGGAGGAGATATCTGCATGACCGACTCTCAATACTCTTTCACTCAGCCGCCAGCCCGCCATGGGCTTCGGCAGCCTCGAAGACACCTGCGCCAAAACACCGCTGCCAATATGTCTCCTCATCGGTCCGACGTCGCCTCTCACCGGCACGCATATGATCCAAGCGAGTTGTTACTCACGCTCCGTCGGCCTCGCAAACACCGTCATCTTTGAAGGGGCGGCGGGTGTGGCGCACATCCTTGCCCTCATCATGACAATAACCATGATCCTGCATGTTAGGAGCAAATTCACGGCTGTCGGTATGTTGCTGCGAAGCATCGATACTTCGGCGGTTCAGACACTAATATTACGCACGATATATAGGCCGAAAGGAAATCACCGTCTTCTTCTACAGCTACGTCCTCCTCACCATGGCCTCGCTCGTCGTCGACTGCGGAGTCGTGCCACCCGGCAGCTCCTCCTACCCTTACTTCGTTGCCGTACAATGCGGCCTGGCGTCTGCGACTTGCATCTCCCTCATGATTGCTGGATTCGTCGGGTTCCAACTGTACGAAGATGGAACCACTCTTTCCGTCTGGCTGCTCCGACTCTGCAGCGTCGCCATGTTCGTCATCAGCTTCGCCGTCTCAATCCTCACGTTCAAAGGCTTCGCTGGCCTGGAGCCCGAGAACACCGTGGGACTGTTCGTCGTGGTCTACCTCTTCAGTGCCCTATTCCTCACAGTCTACGTGGTCATGCAGTTGATCTTGGTGATTGGGACGCTGCAGGATCGATGGCCGCTGCTGCACATCTTCTTTGGTGTGCTGTGCTTTGTGCTGGGCCAGGTGACGCTGTATGTATTGAGCGAGACCATCTGCGTGACGGCGCAGCACTTTATCGACGGGCTATTTATCGGCACTCTGTTCAATTTGTTTGCAGTAATGATGGTGTACAAGGTGAGTGATTCGATTCGATGTTGCGGGGAAGCTGCTGACGTCTTGCACAGTACTGGGACACCATTACGAAAGAAGACCTCGAGTTCTCCGTCGGTCAGAAGCAGCATAACTGGGAGGTGAAGGATGTCGTTCCCGAAGACTCGAAGCAGCCGGTGGATGATGGCGACTACTCCAACATGACGTTTCAACAGCCCATCCATCATGGGGGTTCTTTTGGCGGCTAATGCCAATTTTGAGTGCTGGGATGAACTGGCGTGACAGGGTTTGAGATTTATTGGCAGCGAGGGATTTGGTAGCATGTAGCAAGGCATCATTGGACCTCCAACTTATCCCATTTTCTGTTTCACTAGATCGTTGACGACCATGTACCTACTCACCCCGATCCAGCCCCACCGAAACCAGCGCATCTGGCTCTTGTGCGCCGAGACCATGGCCGACTGGGCTCGCCAGATGTCCATCGGACCACTCACCGCCAGCAACGGAGTGGGAAAGGCGCCCTTTTCCTTGCGGAAGCCCACGATGGTAAACACGGTCAGGACGGCGTCGAGGATGCTGCTGTACTTTCGCAAGACGTTCGTGGACACGAGCGTGTACAGTTTCGTGGGACACTCCCATCCCGCGTGGCGGGCCATGAGGGCTTTGAGGTACGCCTGTGCGCCGTGCATGAGTGAGATGTGGTTGGGATGCCCCGAGACACCCTGGCCGTCAAAGGTGATAATGGCATCGATGTACGCGGTGGGAGCGGAGGTGGAAGGGGTGTTGGCAATCTTTGGGGCAAAGTAGCGCATGAGGATGCTGCCGATGAGCTTCGCGTCCCAGGTGGTGGTCATGGAGTCCGGGAATTTGGGGTCTTCGATGACAATAATGTGCTCGTCCGACGTGATGCCGAGCAGCTTTGCACTCTTCTTCAGCTCGTCCTTGCGGATGTGGCCAAGGCCGTCGGCGTCGCCGCTGCTGAAGCACAGGATGAAGACGGAATTGCCGCAGTCGGGGCGCGTGATGCTGCGCAGGATCGGGGCGAAGAACATGGCTTCATCGTCGGGATGGGCGATGAGGAGCAGGATTCTCTTGCCGGTGAGGCGGGGAAAGGAGGCTGTGATGAGGGATGTGAAGAGCCAGAGGAGGACGATGGAGGCAATGATTTGGGCGGCGAGGAACCAGGTCTCCATGTTGGGGGATGTCGCGTCGATTGTGGAGGATGTGGAAAACCAGTCTTGTAGATGTGGACCGAACAGATGGATGTCTAGTCCTAATAAAGTCGGCACGAGACTATGAACGCGACATGGTGTCCTTGGGTGTTGGGTGGTTGTTAAAGGACATCGGGCAGGGGTGTCACTTCGAGTTGCTCTTTTCGGCAAATCAACCTCATTACCTAAGCGCAAGGTTTCTCGTTTGGCGCTGTCATCTGTCTTCGACCCGCCGGTTGGAAGGCTGTCAGGATTCATCAAATCCTTTGACGTTGACGTACATGCAATGCTGCACTGCTCGCATACCATTGCAACTCCTCTCTTCGCGGCCAATGACATTCTGTCCGTGTCTTCGATAACACCCCCGTCATTCCCCATCCGGCCAGCGTTCATGCACAGACGGATGGTGGAGCCGCCGAGACGGGATTAGAGTTTCGTGAACCCCGTACTGATCGCAAGTCACGATCAGCTCGATCGATCGAAACACCACCATCTGCCTGCCATTGCGACCTCTCATCCTCCTTCATTCTCGCAGTCCAGTGACCCTGCCCACCTCTCCCTTCATCGCCATCACCTCCCTCAAGTGACGATGCGCGAGGCGACGCATGGCTGTCGATCCCCCCCTCGACTCCTCCCAGTGAGCCCGTGATTTGGAGAGCCTTGGGTGAAAGAGTAGGATTGGACAAGATGTCGCTCAATGGCCTGGACAATCCAGTGGTGCAAGAAGCATACCAGGCCACGATCGCCGAGCCCGGAGGATGGTCAGTTAATGCCTGGCCAGCGGCAAACAGCAGATTTCAGTGTACTGATGCAGGATCCCCACAGGTTGCTTCTCAAATACATCACCCGAGACTCTGTCGATCTGCTGGGCTGTGGAAAGAATGGTGTCCACGAGGCGCGCGCGGTCGTCGCAAAATACCCTGATCCATCCCCCTTGTACGGCGTGATCATATACCGCCGGCGCAAAATCCTCCTCAAGTACCTGCCTCCGGGTACCTCGCGCGTGCTGCTCGCTCGAACCGCCGTTCACTTCCAGGATGTCATTGAGAAGTACTCTCCCTACGAGGCGCTGCTAAATCCCACCTCTGCCGAAGAGCTCACCGACACCGCCCTCGCCTCGTCCTTTCCCCTGCACACGGCCACGCCGTCGGGAGCATCCTCCAATCGACTCGGTGAGATTACCGAAGATGGCGAGGATCCTCCTCTTTCACGGTCTCTTACATCCGAAGAGACGCGTCTGGGCGCATCATCACCTCTGGCTCAGCGCTACAGAGGCTTCAATCGTGTAGAGCAGCGCGTGCCATCCGTCCGATCGCCAATGTCCGAGCTGGATCCCGCGGCGCAATCAGTCCGACTTCCTTCATCTCCGATCCTTCCAAGCAAGACTTCCGTCTCCCAATACTTGGTTCGCAACGAGTCTGGCAAGCCCTCCATCACCTCCCTCGGCTCCGACTCACTCGCTTCGATGACCGAGTATGACGCCACGGAGTCGTCCGCAAAGGATGCAAAGTCGAGCATGAGCACTTTGGACTCGACCAGCACGGTCTCGCCGGTATTACAGGCGCCGTCAATCCAGTCTTCTACGTCAGGCTCGCACATGATGCAGGAGCTTCAGAGGAGGAATCCCACAGAACTGCGGCCGTCGACGGGAGCATTAAGGCAGTCCACAGATCGATCATCATTGTCCACGCGACCAACGACCGGGGCGCATTCAAGTTACGATGCCGATCTCTTGGACTTCTTGAAACCAAAAGTGAAGCTCGGCCCAAGACCAGTCGCTGCGGGAGAAAGGACGAAACAGCCGCCTATCGCGGCAGTCCCTGCCTCCTATCGGCTTAGTATGAGGAGACAAGATCCTGTGCCACCGAGCCCCCAAGGAAGGAACCTCACGCCATCAACCCCTCTCTCGTCCTTTCCATCACCCCCGCCTATCCCTGACACTCCCGAATACTCGCCACGGCCGCTTTCTGGTGGCAGTATCAAGTCGTTACCGTCGCATCGATCGACTGCCATGACGCCAGACAAACTCCGTCTCATGAAGGCTGTGGAGTTACGAAAGAGACAGTTGCGGAAGTCTAACCCGCAGGCTGCTACATTCGTCCCTCCGCCGGAGGAGGAAGTGCCAGCGGTTCCAAGGATGCCTGAGCCGGCGCCAATGCCAGACCACATCGCCCCAGTCGAGCTGCCTGCGGAGGATCTCGTGTCTACAGGCATAGCCCAGACTTCTGCATCAGCTTTGGCCACTGGCAAGGTAGACTCTGGAGTGCAAATGGTGGTTGCCACCCAATCTGGCAAGGAGGTCACCCCCGGCTCACTTGAGACGTATGTTCAACCACCGATCGAAGAAGAGCCTGTCGCACCCGAGATACCAGAGCCCGAAGAGCCGATGGTGGCAAGGAGCGTCGACGAATTGCCGATACAAACGCACGCATCCGAAGAGTCTGCTTCGGCTGAGCCTCAGAGATTGCTTGCTGAACCCGCCCAACCGCTCCCGGAGCCTTCTCCGGTGTTAGATATCCCAGGCTCATTCCTCTTTCCAGCCTCACCCGAGTCTGAAGCGGACGACCCAATTGCGCATTCTGATATTGCGGCAGAGCAAGCCGTTGAGAGGGAAAAGTCCCCTGCAGAGCCAGAAGGCAGTCACCCTGTCAATGCCAACGATGCTCCTGCATTGGAAACACAACTCGAGGTTGCAGACATACCAGCGATTGTCCTTGCGGATGGAACACGCCCCATGACTCCAGCCAGTCAACCAAAAGACACTGAAGTGGCTCGATCAATCCACTCAGACAAGGGCGGCTCCTTACACTCAGACAGCGCAAGTAGTAGTGGAGAGTTTGATGCGTTTGAGATGAGTCCCAAGCGAAAGAACAGTGATCTCGCGCGCAGGCGCCAAGGCTACGTAGAGCCGATACCAGTCGACACCGAGACGGAATCCATGTCTGACGATGAGTTGGAAGAAGTGCAATTCGCGACGCTACTACAGGCCAAGCCTATCACGGTCTCCAAGTCTTCACCCATCCATGAGTTCTTTCCCAAGCAGCGTCGACCGAGCAACTCCAACACTCTGGACTCATTGGTCACGAACGAGCCGGGACAAGTGTATGCTCCCTCCTCCTTGACAACCGACACTCCTGTAGACGGGCAGACAGCCTCGTCTGAGCGACGGAATGAGGTTCCTGCAACCTATCGACCGAGAGGAAGCATTGATAGGAATGATGCGCCGGTTGGGGTGAAGCGCAGCGTGTCCAACGAGATTTCCAAACGCATACAGGCGCTGGCTGGATCCTCCAACACTTCTCCCAGATCTCGATCGCCGGATGCATCGGCTCCTTCGAGGGGAAGCGTGCGCACTCCCGGCCACTCTCGCAACCCCTCCTTCGTGGCAATCCCCAGCCGCAACCCGTCACGTCTGAACGCAGCCCAAAACCAGTTCACCACCCCCAATGGTTTCTCGCCGCCAATCCAAGCCACGCCGGTGTGGAGTGTCCATCGTGACCCCCTGACCAACCGCGAGTCGGTGACGGTCAGCTCGCGCATTGTGCGCAACGCCACGCAAGACCCGGAGGCGAACAGCATCCCAGAGCACGAAATCGTTCCGTCCCCCACCCAACTGACCCACCTAAGAGATGCATCGACCTCAGCCCCAAGCTCCCCCAACCTCCACCGAACCAGCCCAGATCCCGTCCCATCCGCCGCGGCTCCCAAGCGGGCATCTGGAGCACCCACCACGGCCTCATCGACCTTCTCCGGGACGTCTCGAGCAGGATCTAGGATGTCCATGTTCTCCAACTCGCAAAAGGCGATGCCGTCGCCCACGGCCGAAGACTTCCCACCCCCACCGCAAAGCACCCGTTCGTCCGCCATGGGCGTTAGAAACTCCGCGTACGACGAGAATGGTGCTCCTAAGGAGGGCAGCAGGACGACACGCTTCTTCAAACGCATGAGTAATATCGGCGGCAAGCGGCGTAGTGCGATGCAGCAAGTCCCGGAAGGCGGTAGTAATGCTGCTGTGAGCAATAGCGCGACACCGATCACGACTGCAGGAGGCAACATACTACCCGCCGTGTCAGTGGGGGATCTCAATATCCAATTTCCTGACTCGTTGGCAAGTTCCTCTTCTCCCTAACATACGATTCTCACTAACCAACGTCTAGCTCTGGAAACGCCGAACGGTCCTCATCGACGAGCACGGCCAAATCAAATTCACCCTCTCCTCCTCCTCTCCCAACTCCCGGCCCGGCACTGCTCTCGGCACGCGCAGCTTCCCCCTCACCGCTTTCAAAGCGCCGTTTGTCCCGGACACGGATCGTATGGAGCTGCCGAACTCCATCATGCTGGACTTTGTGCGCGAGGCTACGACGCTGCAGCTGGCGTGCGAGGATACCGTGTCGCATATTCATGTGTGTCATGTGTTGCGGATGTATTGGCGGGCTTGGAATGGAGTTGCTGGGAGGGAGTGAGCGATTGGAGGATGCTCTTGGTATAGCGGTCGGGGTTTGGATTGATGTGATCCAGTCTTGTGGATGACTTTATTACTACTGTGGCGTGATGAGGATGCTCTTTTTGGCTTTGAAGTAAACATACCCCTTTAGCATGGGAAAGAGAGGTGTACGGTATTCATAACGCATATGGGATTCAATGAGGAAGTGAAGATGACATGCTGCATTCATGCTTCTGTAGCCATCCAGTAATGAGTAGCTGAAAGCCGGGAAGCACCAGCATCTGCCCAGCGACGTTCAAAGAACTCCACCAACACCTCGCTAAATCGACGAGACCAACGAAATCGCTCACGCCGCATCCGCATCTGGCAGCCACATCATGACCTCGCGATCTGCGCTCGCGATCAAGTTGTGGCGCGGATTATATGCCACCACCGCCGCACTCTTTGTACTCGGTAAATCGCACGACGGCTCCAACACCTTCTCCGCACCGCTCATAGTGTCCTTCAGATCCCAAACCAACAGCCCGGTCTGTCCTCCGTTCCCACTTATCACGTACTGTCCGTCGGGAGAGAAGGCTGCGTCGGATTGCAGGTAGCAGGGGTGTGATTCATTCAAGACATCGCCGGGTGCGGGGCGCGTGGCGCTCCCGGACGGCCGATGGAGGTAATGGATGAGATCGCCGGAGAAGGCGTCGAGGAGGTAGTGGCCGGGGCCGTTGGTGGAGAGGAGCAGGTATTTTCCATTGTTGCTGAACTCCAGCCCCGTCCAGCCTGCGCCGCTCTTCTGGCCGTGGGAGGCTTGATAGCGCTTTTCTGTATCGAGCAGGTCAAAGGTGGCGAAGGGGGGCTTGTCGTAATTGCGGAAGTCGTAGAGGTGGATGGTCTGGGCGGGGGGAGAGGCGATAGCGATGACGCTGGCGCTGGGGTCGAAGGCGGTGAGGTAGGGGGCGGTAAAGTCGAGCTGGCCTTGCGCGGTGGGCGAGCGGCAGTCCCAGAGCTTCACAGTGTTGTCGAGGGAGGCGGAGAGGAAGACGTCGTTGCCCGGGCTCATGCTGAGGCTGGTGACGCGTTGGGTATGGCCGCGGAAGTAGCGGATGAAGGAGTTGTCGTGCATGGACAAGTAGCGGATGCCATCGTCGACCTTTGTGCTGGCGTAGATGATGGAGGTGTCGTGGTGGGTGAAGCGGGCGAGCGCGCTGCCGTACTTCTGGCTCTTGAGTTCTTTGGCGTGCGCGCCAGCTTTGGTGTTGAAGAGCTGGATTGTGTCGTCGGTGCGGCTGAGCAGGAGGAACTCGCCGCTGTCGTTGAAGTCGATGGAGGTGTAGTGGGCGGAGGGCGGGGCTTTGAAGAGGCGGGTGGGACGGAAGGTGGTGATGACGTCCGACACTTTGCTGGTGGGAGGCGGGGGGCCTTCACCGACCATTGTGCTGTGAGGAGGGAGGGAGTGGGTGGTTGAAAGTGTGGAAGTGCGTGGTAGGGAAATATCCAGAGTTCGATGGATTGAGGTTTGGTATGGAAAGCTTCAGCGAAGTTTGCAGCACGACGCATGCGCCAGCACGGGAAACTTCGCGTCCATTCACGTTGCACGCGGCACTCGCACTCTCGCGTTCGCGCGTGTGTGCTTGGGCCTCGTTGTTGCCTTGCTGCTGCCTGTAGGGGTCGATTGATTTCTAAGCGCACCTCAGCTTGAGGACACGATTCAGGGTCGGCGTCGCCATCGACGTTGTAGTCATAAGGCGGGGTGCAATCCGACTGCATCAAATATACTTCAGTCCACGATCCCCAGCTTCAGGCTGTACTTTTCTACACCTTGATGTCCCCCAGCCTTGACTGACAACCATGGCCACTACCGATGCCGTCTCCCTCAAGTCCACGTGCCATTGCGGCGCCATCAGTCTGACTGTCACGCGCATGCCTGAAATGATCAACGAATGCCAATGCACCATCTGCCGGCGTTACGCTGCCGCATGGGCTTACTACTACTCCAACGAGATCGACTTTCAGCAAAAGGGCAAGACCAAGACGTACGTGTGGGGGGACGGAGATTTGGAGTTTCACTTTTGTGAGACGTGCGGCTGCGTAAGTTTGTCTTGCTTCGTCATTGTCGATACAGAGGGATCTGGATGACGAGAAATGAGCGCCGCTGATCTGTCTGACCATCCACAGGTGGTTTACTGGTGGCGCATCTTGGCAGGAGCAGATGGCATCCACGAGGTTGGCATCAATTCACGCAACATGAATCCCATGGAGGTGCTGCTGGTGGAGCGGAGGATCCAGTATGACACGTTGGTGGGCGCGATTAGGGATGGGTCGTTGAAGCATCCAGATGATATCGCCAAGTACGTGTGAAAGGGGATGTGGGCGAAGGCATTGGGAGGCCATAGACGAGCCAAGTAGTCCTTGCAATACCTTCTGTCGAACACCACGGACATGTGTTGATCGGCAAGATCTGCTAGCCCGTAGACGGTGCAACTTGGCAGGAGAAGGTAGCGTGGTCGCAGGGAAGCGATAGACACGCCGCTCGTGGTCGTCGGCAAAAGATGTCGGGTTTCTTTTGGCGGAAGGAGTCGATACCAAGCCCGACAAGGGCGGTTGGATAACAGACGAGAGATGGAGATAGCGGGTAGCACTTTGGCCCAAGGCGGACGACAGATCGATCTGGACGGCTGGGCAGACTTACCCGAAGCAGGAGAGTGTTGGAGGAGAAGAAAGGTCGGGTGGGGAGATTGAGGCGCGAGAACACGCCGAGACGGCGTGGGAGCGCAAAAGAGAGTGGAGTCGGAGGGAAGAGGGCTAGGGGGTTGTGGAAACGAGGCAAGTGGGGTGCCACTTATTAACCCTTTCTTGGCCTCGCTAGACACGTTTCCGGCGGAGCGAAATGGGCGGCTTTAAGGCCGAGCGAGCTGCAACGTGTGCATGCATGAGGAGACGCCAGTGACACCCCACGCGATGGAGCCAGTTGTACAATCAATCTGCACGGGAAAGGGTGATGATTCTTTGCAAGGATGGGGCAGCACAGCAGGGGAGAATGGAGGAGAAGACGGCGACGATTGCTCTGCTCTGCTCGCCCGCCCAGCCAGCCTGATCCCCCGACCGGGCTTAATTGGGCGCGCCACCTCCGGCACCGGGCGCGCCGTCTTGGTTGGACGGATAGTTTCCCTTTCGTGGGCGTGCAGGCGGGCGGGTGGATTGGATCTACGGCGATTTCGCCCAGACACAGACGCGAGCCAAACCTGCACTACTCTCTTTCCCTAAATTGGCCCCGGAAAAAAGATGGTCTACCACTATACACCACTGCACCTTCCCGCATTCTTCTTTTCCGCATACACCTCCTCTTATACCATCGTCGTCGTTGGTAAACCCGCTCTGGCACCGTGAGCCTTGTTATGTGTGCCTCTGCCGCTCGTTCAATCTGTTGCATTGTGTGAAGCGGCCGCTGGAACGGGATTTGGCTGCTCACGTGGTTCTCGCACTGCACGTTTAAATCCACCACCTCCGCCACCCCCCACTCCTTACTCCCTCAAGTCATCCTTACTCACCAAAGCCACCATGCCGCTCTCCCTCTGGTTGACCGTCACCGCCGCGGTTGGCGCCTTCGCCGCCACCGTCAGCACCAGTCTGAATGGCGACATCAGAGATCCGCACGGAATGGAGCACTTTGTTACGGTAAGGCCCCCTTACGCTCGGTATCCATCACCACCCTCCTGACATCTCCCCTCAGCGCCCGGAACTCATCTCCCCCAAACTCATGATCCGGAAACATCACCCCGAGTCAATCACACCCGGCTACTGGTTTGTCACGCCGTACTATGTCACGAATCAATTGCAGCGCCCCCAGACCAAGGAGTACATTCCCTGCCAGACCGGAGCCCACATTTACGACAGCGATGGCCAGCTGGTCTGGAGCGGAGCCTGCCGCTACGACAACCGCAACATCTTCGCCTTTACTCCCGTCATGGTAAATGGCACTCAACATCTCTCATTCTGGCTCGGCCATCAGTTTATTGGTGACCCCGCCACCATTCCCAAGGATGATGTCCCCGCCTCCGCCATCCTGCTCAACAACCACTACGAAGAAGTGCAGCGTGTTTTCCAGCATCCTTTTCTCGACTGTCATGAAGTTTCCTTCCAACCCGATGGCAAATCTGTACTCCTGACCCGGCTGTGGAAGGAGAAGCGCGATCTTACGGCGTACGGCAAGAAAGGACAGGAAGTCTTGCACGGTGGCTTCCGAGAACTCGACCTCACCACCAACACTCCCCGCTTTGACTGGGATCCTCCGGCGAACAATGTCACGCTCGATGAGAGTTGCGACAAATCTGGAAAGGGCTCGGATGTTGGTGATGCTTGGGATTACTTTCACGTGCGTTTGGCTTCTCCTCTACGCAGACTGACTCTCCCTGCTAACTCCCCATTTCTAGATCAACTCCATTGACAAGAACGCCGAGGGCGACTTCCTCATCTCTGCTCGCCACACGAGCACCATCTACAAGGTCTCCGGCAAAGATGGCACAGTCATCTGGCGCCTTGGCGGCTATTACTCCGATTTCGTCATGGAAGACCGACTCCCTTTCCACTGGCAGCATCATGCAAGGCTACTCTTCGAAAATGCTACCCATTCGATTGTGTCTGTCTTCGACAATGCTGGGGACGATTTTGGCCGGAATCCCGACATTCCGAACGAAGTGTCGTCGGGCAAGATCATGTTGCTGGATACGGCGAGCACGCCCATGACGGCCAAGATGCTGAGACGTTTCGATCGTCCGGATGGATTGAGGAGCCCGATGGGTGGCAGTGTGTTCTTGGCGGGCGGCACCGACCCGTTTACTTCGAACGTGCTGGTGAATTGGGTCATTCCTGGTTATTTCTCCGAGTACGACGCCCAGAACAACTTGATCTTGGAGGGTCGCTTTCAATCAGAGGGCATCAAAACGTACCGGGCGTTGAAGTCGGAGTTTGTCGGTGAGTACTAACACCAAATCGCGATCGGGATCCCTACGCTGACCGTCTTACCTTTGATAGGCCACCCAACCGAGCCCATCGTCATGAAAGTTCTCCCCATCACCTACTCCGACGACAGCGTCGCCTCGACTTTCTATGTGAGCTGGAACGGCGCCACAGAAGTCACTCATTGGGCTTTCTACGGCAGCAACACCGCATCCGGGCCCTTTACACTCTTGAAGAAGGTCAAGAAACGGGGGTTCGAGACTGCCTGGGTCATGCCTGGCGTGGTGCAACAAGCCTACGTTGAAGGCCTCGACAAGAATGGCAACGTGCTGGGCAAATCCAAAGTCGAGCCCATACAGCCTCCGGCGGAACGCATGGGGACATTCCAAGTTACGCTACCCGTGCTTGAGGATGCGGTGGCAATGCGTGGACAAGCGGCGCTCACCTTTACCGATGCCGAGTTCGCCCACGCCGCCGGCTCCAGCGCCATCGTGCCTCCCGGTGTTCCTCCCACTGTCAACCACGCGGCCATGCCACCATCCGAGGACATAATTGGAAGCGGCGGCAAAGGCGTAGGCGCCATAGGCGGCCTCGGCGCTCCCGGCCTCACTCATGGCCACCCACCGCACCACGTCGGCCCACAACCACCCATCGACCTCGAGAAATCCACCACTCCGCAATCACTGTCCATGGCCGGCCTCATCAGACCGGAGGAGTGTCCCAGGCCTCCCCCCATTCCACCTACATCGCGTTACTACCCCGCTCGCGCATCCGACGGCGCATCGCAACTGGTGGTGGATGCTTTTGCCATTTTCGGCCTCTTCTCCGTCGCGAGGGTGCTGCAGACTCGATGGCTCAAGAGGCGGAAGGGCTATTACGCTGCCCCGCCGTCGTACTTTGAGTCGCCAGAGTGAAAGTCACACGGAACTCATTGTGTTTTGGATTTTGCGCATTGGGTGTGGATATGCATTGGCAAGCAGGGTTTGAGTTTTAGCGACGCGCATTCAATGTTTGTATATGTGATAATCTTGGAGAACTTTCGTTTTCCTGCCAAATTGCTGTCTGACGCATCTCGACACCTTTCACGAGTCCCTCGCAACGCACTCCGTCATTTGGTCTTCGCCTTTCCCAATTGCCGCATGACCTTCTTCCTTTGCGCCAGCATATGCGTGAACAGTACGTACGCACCTGCAACGTACAGTCAGTATAGATCCGTATTTCATAAGGAAAGGGAGTCTCACCCGGCGCGTAAAATGCCAACACCCCCCAACAACACCTCTCAAAAAACGGATGCACTTTCCGCGCCGGTTCGCACGCCAGACAAACCATCCACACCTCACTGCCAATGCCGAGCGGATACAGGACGAGGAAAGTGTTGTACCGCAGCCACTTGAGCCAGTCGGGCGCGCTGCCGTACGCCAGCGAGGCCGTGAAGTAGGAGTACCGGATGACCTCTGTGATGCTCCAGGCAAGGAGCATGGTCGTGTAGGCGAGCGAGGAGTGCGCGAGTGCGGGGAACTTGTCGACGATGAGCCAGACTAGCAGGAAGCGCGAGGCGACTTGCATGACCGTTGTCGCGACCGGGGCGCGCACGATGCCTGGATGTGGTGAGTGGGGTATTACAAAGGGGGAGGGAGCGCTGGTGATTCACACACCAAAGATGGAATGCAGAACTTCCATTGCCGCGAGCGTTTGCGTCCATTTGGCGAAGAAGCCCGCTCGCTCGTAGACGTGCATGTAGTCGTCGTTGACGAGAGCGAGGATTACACGGCCCAGCAGGGCGGCCCAGAGCACGGCGGAGACCCAGTTGTAGAAGAGGAGATAGAGGGTTCCGAGGCTGAACACGCCCTCCTCGTCGGGCTTTGGCGCTGCCGCCGAGGATTTGGCGGGTTTTTGGGAGTCCTTTGGTCGGTCCATGTTGCGGTTCGACTTGCTTGATGAGGGGGAACTCGAGCAAGAAGGGGATTTGGCACGGAGAGGAGGAACGTCGAGATGGCCGGAGGTGGAATTGCTTTGCCCGCGAAAACTCTCGCGGGAAGAGCCGCACTCGATTCCTCAGGTCATCACGTTGATTCATGGCCACAGCGCGCTCAGATCAAAGAAGGAGTATTTCATACAAGTAGTGTTCGTAATGTAGTCCTCGATGGAGAACTCTGAGCATCAAATCCCGCCACGTCGTGCTTCCCGTGCACAGCGAGCGAATGTACTCGTCCATCATCGACATTCCCGGCATCATGGCTCGTCCGGCTCCAAGCTGCGAACGGATTACTATGCCAAACCCTCCTAACTTCCCAGATAGACCAGAACCATCGACTTGGACGAAGCCGGCTTGCCACACCCATTCACCACACACTTCTTAAATGGTGGTGGCAACGAAGGATCCTCCTCCCACACCGGCGCTTTCCCTTTGCCCTTGCCTTTCTTGTTCTTGGGCGACGTCCGACTTCGATTTTGTGCGCATTCGCCGCAGTACGCCTGTGATTGCCACAGTTAGCATGTCCTCGCCTCGATAAGGTCATCCTCCAAATACTCACATGTCCGCAACCCTTGACCACCCACACCTCTTGCTTCGCACCCTCGGCCCCCACAGCCAGCTCGTCCCCGCAATTAGGACACACGAGCACGTCGTCTTCACCCGGAGAGCGCGTGAATCCAGCTTCGGCGGGTGGCGGTGGTTCGTACTTTGGACTTGGAGGTCGCTGGTTGTGGTGATGATGGTGGTGGTGATGCTGCCTCCCGCCCAACCCCAGGTTGAAACCAGTCATGTTGTAGTTCATGAAGCCCGGCATTTCGTGCATGATCCGAGCAGCCGTTCCGACGGCGCCCAGGTGGAGTCCGGCGTGGGTGCGATGGTGATGGTGATGGCCAGGTTGACGAATGGGAGCAGGTAGATGGCGCCCTCTCTCCCGCTCTGGCTGTGCTTGAACCGCGGGTATTCCGGCATCCTCTCTTCCTGCATAGTCTTGGATCCTTTGCAAGAGCCTTCCACCAATGTTCACTCCACCTTCTCTGAGGAAGTTTGCAATGTTTCCCATGTGCCCGAAGCCAACATCTGCAAAATTGCGCGTGCCCACGGGGACTGGTGGCTCGTTGTTGAGGTTCGATCGCTGCCGGGTGTTCAGATGTACGACATCGTCATCGTTGTCCAGCGTCAAATCAATAGTCTCTGCCGCGCCCGCACTGGTAGCTAGTGGCGTCGCAGTTCGTCGAGGGCGAGGCGTTTGCGCTGCGGAGGAAGTGGCGGAAGGCTGTTGGCGAGGGTTTTGAGCAATGAACAGAATGTCATCCATATCGGCAGGTGGCAGAGACCTCCTCGCCGGTCTTCTCAGCCCCGCGTACCGAGACCGCGATGAATGTCGAGGGAAATCGAGGTACTCCACGCCAGGAAGCTCTGCTGTGCTCACTTCTGCCTCGTCACCAGAATCACCAAGGTCGATGACGGCGTTTCGAACGGCTCGAGGTATTCTGTCTGCACGTGACGACCTTCCCCCCGCTGCTGCCTGATTTGTGTCGTCCTCCTCTGTCAGATCGATCACCGCAGCGGCGGGAGGGTGTTCCGCCCGTGCGTTTCCATTCACGCTGCCACCACTTTGCGGCGCCGCTGACATCACCGGTCTTCTGAAGTCCAGGCCGTCACCGACATAGCGAGGTTGCGAAGGGCGGAGAGCAGACTCGAAGTCGTCGAAGAGGCGTTGTCGACGCGCGGCGTGCTCGTTCTCGTAGTGATCGTCTCGTGGAGGAAGGGAGTCGGTGCGGTGGGAGGCGCTCATGTTGCTGAAGCTCCGCTGTGATTCGGTGTTAGCGGGGGGTCTGGACTTGGTGGAGGGTGGGAGGCAGGAACGAAGGTGGAGCTTGTTGTAATCACGAGAGCACGGAGATTGAACTCACCTTGTTACTTTGCTGGCGCAGGAACGGAGGAAGATTGTCGCCACCGTCCATAACGCCGAGCAGACCTCCGCCGCGGGCAGTGCCCTGTGAAACTCGCGCAAGCAATGAGACGCTAGTTCACACCTTGCTATTTCCGGAAGGTTCCATTTGCAGTAGAGGAGTAGGCGTCGAACGGAGAGGGAAGGGGGTGGAGGTGGTGTGGTGGGGTGATGTGGGAGCAATGTGTAGTTGGCCGGCGGCAAAGGAAGTCGTGAAGCCAAGTTCTGCCTCAGGCAACAACGCCAAAATCTCAAAATCCCCAAGTGACGCACGAATTGAATGAACCCCTTCACCCTCGAGCACTCAGAACAACCGCAGTATTCCTTCACCGCCTCGTCAAATCAAGACACCAAACTCTCTACCGAGTGATCGACCATGGCGCAATCCTAAGAAGATGGCGACCGAATACGCGAACCGCAGACGCCTCGACCTGCGACACGGTGATTCCCATTTCATTCCCTTACACTGTTCCATCCGTTTTCGAACCACAATCCAGAGCAACCCACAGAGCCAGCCATGGCCGACGCATCTATCCCAACGCCGACCCAGGAGGAGTCAAAGGTGTCGCCGGCGGAATTGAAGAAGCGAGCCAAGGCCGAGAAGCAAGCACGGAGGGCGGCGCAAAAGGAGCAGCAAGGCGTGGTGGTGAATGGGGATAACCTGGCGGCCCAGGCAACAGAAGCTGCGCCGTCCACACCTTCACAACTTCCCAAGGTAGATCGACCGCCGAAGGCACAGCAGCAGCAGCAAAAGCAGCCCAAACCCAGCAGCTCCTCTCAGCCACAAGCAATGCCGGTGCGCCAACGACCATCTCAAAGTGGTGCGCCGAAGCCCATTCTCAAAAAAGACGCCCCCAAGGAAGACCACAAGCAAGTGGAGCTGTTCAGCCATCTCTACACCCAATCCCGGCATCACACCTTTGACGGCGTTTCGAAGGATGTTCATCCCGCCGTCCTCGCCCTCGGCTTTCAAATCAGCAGCTACGAAATCTGCGGCAGTAGTGCACGCTGCGTGGCAATGCTGCTGGCATTCAAGGAAGCCATCCAGGCCTACACCACCCCCACTGGCACCTCTCTCGCGCGACATCTCACCCAGCATTACCTCTCCCCTCAGATCGACTTTCTCAAAACATGTCGTCCCATTTCTGAATCAATGGGCAACGCGATTCGCTGGCTCAAGAAGCTCATTGTCGAAATCGACCCGAATACGCCGGAGCAGGAAGCGAAGGATGACCTATGTGAATTGATTGATGCCTTCATCAGAGAGCGCATCATCGTTACCGATCAAGCTATTGCTGCTTCGGCCAGCCGTCAAATTAGAGATGGGTCGGTGGTGCTCACATTTGCGAAGAGCTCGATTGTCGAAAAGACGATTCTTCAGGCGCACGCAAATGGTGTGAGCTTTCGAGTGGTGGTTGTGGATTCGCGGCCACTGTTTGAAGCGAAGAGCCTCGCCACCTCTCTGATGCACGCCGGGTTGGAAGTGGAGTATCTCCCCTTCTCCGCCATCTCCCACGCTGTGAAGCAGGCCACCCTGGTCTTGTTGGGGGCTCATTCCATGCTCGGAAACGGCAGGCTGATGTCTCGCATCGGCACAGCAGGCATCGCGATGCAGGCGGCCAAAGCGGACATTCCGGTGATTGTGTGTTGCGAATCGGTCAAGTTCAGTGGAAAGGTTGCGCTGGATAGCATTGTCCTGAACGAAGTGGCGCCTGCTGAAGAACTGCTGCTACGGCAAGTCGCCAAGCAGAGTGATATTCCCGAAGAGGACGGCAGCAAGGGCAAACCCTCGGATGACGCGAAGAGCGAAGCGACAAAGGTCAAGACGATGGCGGATTGGAAGGATATCACCAATCTGCAGGTTCTCAATCTGATGTACGATGTGACGCCGGCCGAGTATATTCGCATGGTCATCTGCGAGTACGGCAGTCTCCCGCCCAGCTCGGTGCCGGTGGTGCATCGGTTGGCGAACGAGGGCATGTAACGGTGGGGTATTCACGATAGTTCAATACAGCATTCTTCATCAATGTGCTACAGAGTATATGATGCTTGTTCCGTAGACGTCCTGCCCAGGTGCGCACGAATGCTGTGCTCGATTCATGATGCCATGTCGACTTCGCAATCGTACGCTCGATGTGGCTGTACGCTCTCGGCCGAGCCTAATCGATGTCTTCGATTCCAGCTTTCCGCCTGTCGGAATGTCGATTCAGTAGGTCGTCCATAATGTGGTCATCGTGATCTTTGGCGACATGCTTGGTCGGATTGGCGGCAGTGGATGTACTCTCAACCTCCGCCGCTTCGTGATCCTCATCTCTCTCGCTCAGACTGCTCTCATCATCATCCCTAGCCTCCTCCAACACGCCCAGGCCAAGGTTCATCTCAATGTGGTCTTCCTCATCATCCACCTCTTCCATATTCACACCGTCCTGACTTGCCAGAAGGTCATTGGCTGTCGCCAACTGGGGGAGCAGGTTTTGGAGTCGCGATCGCAGGTCTCCTGCTCCTGATGTAACTGCCTCCCTTGCCATGTTCGGTTTCTTCGGTCCACCGATGGTGACGATTCTTTCTTCCGTATCCTCATCGCTCTTTGACTCGGAATCGGAGGAGGAAATGGAGCTTGAGGACTCGGTGTCTTCGTCAAGAGACCCTAACGAGCTGGCACTACTATGTCGAGTGGTCTGAGTGGCGGGTGGAGTGCTGCGCAAGGCAGAGTCTTCGGAGATGGAGCCTATGGACGGGCCGGTGCTGCTGTCGCTTCGGTCTTCGTGGGTGGGGGAGAGTTTGGTTCGTTTTGCGCGGCTTGTGCGAGGTCTAGGAAGGGTGGAATCGAGGGCATCGCCAGATCTTTTGGTCCCCATTGTGAGTAGTAATGTGCCCGGGAATGGACGTTTAGACAGTAGTGCAGGGCAGACGGCCGAAAAGTTGGATTTGCTTGAAGATCGACGTCAACCGACTAGCGTCACTTTTTTGCGGAGGCGGGCCGTTCCAACGGCGCTCAGAAGAAAAATAGTGGGGCGAAATCTTGGCCCTGATTTTCTTTCCGTGAAGGTGAATCGTCTTGAACTTTCGGATATCCCGTTCGCAACACGCTGTCGGCCCGAAACAATGGCGAAAGCAATTCGAGCAGGCTCGGCAGCTCGATTGGAGCGACGACATGACCCTCTCAGCGAAGAATACTCCCCCACCCTTCCGATCAAGCAAAAAGCAGGCAAGAAGCGGAAGCAATCTCATGATCCGGAAGAGGAGCAGAGTGGGTACGTGGACAGCAAGGCCTCGCGACGCATTCTTGATCTCGGACAAGATCTTGCCGCGGAAGATGAAGCGGAGACACGGTCGAGGAAACCCGCTGCCCCGAGCACAGCTTTCACGTTCGAGAGTCGGTTTCCTATCGAGGCCGTCGACGAAGAGGAGGGAGGCGCTGAAATAGGAGAGTATGACGACGATGAGGAGGCATGGGGCTCAGAAGAAGAGGTGGAAGAGGTAGAGGTGGACCCCAACGATCTCGACACCTTCAATCGATTCAATCCTTCATTCGACCCTGCGGTGCTGCTGCGTCCCGACGACGATAAGATCGACCGTACAACGAGTGGCCCTGGAACGAATTTGGCGGATCTGATTCTGGAAAAGATTGCAGCGCACGAAGCTCAAGGGGAGCTCCACGATGACCACCCCCCGATCCTGGGCGGCGGCGAGCCGGACGACGCCGTGGAACTGCCGGCCAAAGTCGTCGAAGTCTACACTCAAGTGGGCATGCTCCTCTCTCGCTACAAGAGCGGAAAACTCCCCAAGCCCTTCAAAATCCTACCTACACTGCCTCAATGGGATGTCTTACTATCAATCACACGACCTGACAGCTGGACACCCAACGCCGTCTACGAAGCCACGAAAATCTTCTCCTCCTCCCGACCCGCCGTCGCGCAGGCGTTCAACACAGATGTGCTCCTGCCACGAGTGCGCGAGGATGTCTACGAGACCAAAAAATTGAATGTACATCTCTACAAGGCGCTGAAGAAGGCTCTGTACAAACCCGCGGCATTCTTCCGTGGCTTTCTCTTCCCCATGGTGGGAGGCGGGATGTGCACATTGCGCGAGGCACAGATTGTCGGCTCCGTCCTCGCACGGGTGTCAATACCGGTCTTGCATTCCGCCACGGCGTTGTACAGGTTGTGCGAGATTGCGGCAGAACAAATGATGCATGATGTGGAGTCTGCCGGGGCTTGCAACATCCTCATCCGGACTCTGCTTGAAAAGAAGTATGCGCTGCCATTTCGAGTGGTGGATGCGCTCGTCTTTCACTTTATGCGCTTCAAGAACATGCAGCAACCCGGCGATGCGAACGGTGATGTGTCCATGTCGGGCCCCGGCTTTCCCGGAAAGAAAGGCGCGGGCGATCCAAAGCTACCCGTGCTCTGGCATCAGTGTTTGCTCGCCTTTGCGCAGAGGTATAAAAACGAGATTACCGAGGATCAACGGGAGGCTCTGCTGGATCTATTGCTAGTCAGGGGACACAAAGGCATCGGGCCGGAAGTCCGGCGGGAGTTGCTCGAAGGGCGAGGCAGGGGCGTTGTGGAGGAGCCTGGGGCTGGGGTTGGCGGTGATGATACCATGATGGATGTATGAGCTGGCTCGATGGTACGTAGAAGAACTGATCTGCGGCGTCGAACGTCGCCTTCATTCATTACATGTCATTACAGCATTCAACCTGGTCGTTCCTGCCAAGCTGACGAGGTCTATCCCATTCCGACCAGATGTCCTCGACAATCAGTGCTTCTCCGTCTTCACAATGCTTCGGTCTATGTTCAAGAGTCAGTAAAACAGTCGGGCGAGACTAAGGAGGCCTGGACTCACCAAAGGCGATATGATCCTTGATGTGTGCCGCCTTGGCCAACGGCGTTGGGTACGCCCACGCCGCGTCCTTGTACGTTTGCCCACCGACTTGGAGGTCGTAGTACTGGCTCTCGCCTTTCCAGGGACACGTGTACTGCTTGTTGGAAGGGACAAGCAGCGATTCGGCGTCTTTGAGCGAGGAGAGGGGGAAGTAGATGGTGCCCTCCACGAACTCGTAGGAGTTGGCGTCGGCGATGTTGGTTCCGTTGATGCTGGCCGTGGCGTGGTGACTTGAGCCGGACTTGTCCTTGTCGTGGTGGTGGTGGAACATGCCGGTGATTTTCTGCATCTTGGGCGGTTGGAGTGGGGAGCGGATGAGGTTGGATGGGGTGATGGGTTGGAGCGTTGGACTTGGATTATGAGAAAGACCCGAGACGATGCCCGGCAGGGTCTTTATATAGTCCGCGCATGCCACACGGTGCTCCTCACCGGCGAGGATGACGTTTCCTTCCGGCGGAAGACTGAGCTGCGTGAATGGTTGTGGAATCTTGCGGTTGCTCGATTGGTCAGGATTACGAGATCATTTGTCAACTTGACTCCCAGTTGCATCCGCTACTCCAATCAGTCATCGAGGAAGGCAACTCTAGTAGGAACATCCTATTGCCTATTCTGTTTCAACGAAAGACTGCGAGAGGATCGACAATTGTACTGGTCGTCCCGCAAGAAGGCCCCAAAAGGTGGAGATCTCGAGCCGCAGGTGCCTGAGGCTGTTTCGACATCACCTTGCTATCCATCACGATCACAACTTGCCATGAACAACTCTAGACCATCCGTGGACAGCCTGCCTCAGTGAATGCCTTCCAATGCCATCTCTGCCCTAATCCGGCTTCGAGCTGTTCGATGAGACCAAAACTTCCTCGGCCTGCACTGTCCACAGCCTTGTCCCCGCCAGCACAACGATCGTGTCTCCGGCCAATGCGAAATTCGCAATCGGCGTCGCCTCGGCCGACGTATTCGCGAGGAAGTACTCGCCATTGAGCACGCCAATCACCTTGCCCAGTGAATTTCTGCAAACCACTCCCTCGCTTTCCCCCGTCCACACTCGCCCGGAATCGTCAACATGTATCCCATCTGCGATTCCCAGCCGCACCTGGCCAAACATTGTTCGACTCGAAGGAAGCATGTCTTCGTCAAGCTTGTAGGCATAGATGAACGGACCGAGCCACGAGTTCACGCCGACGCCCGTGGGGAAGCTTTCGTACACCGAGGAGGAGTCGGGTACGTAAAGCGTCTTCATGTCTGGAGTTACGCGAATACCGTTGGGGCTCAGGTCATTCCTGCTAATGACCGGGCGCAATATCTCGTTCTGCGGATCCCAACGATAGACACTGCTCGGAAGCATCGGTGATGGCCCGTTGGGATACGCGGCTTTGGTGAAGTCGAGATCCGTAAAAAACATGTACTTTTCGCTGCGGTTGGCCGGGTTGTACACCCAGACGATATCATCCGGGCCGTTGAAGTGCAGCCCAAAGTAGCTGTTCACGATCGTTTGAGTTTCAAGAGTGTGGACGTCGACGCTGATGATACCGCCGGGGTAGGTGTCATTCGCAGGGCCAGGAATGCTGGTAAAGTAGACCTTGCCTTCAAAGTAGTAGCCACCGTTTGGATTGCGGACTTTGCTACTGCTGTTGAGGGGACCAACGTGCCCAGTATCGAGGCTGAGGACATAAACTGTTCCGGGGAAGACGGCTAGTTGGGAGGGGGAGTTGGAGAACCAGACTTCGTTTCGTTCGGGTACCCAGACGCCGGCTTCGTGGGCAAACATGTCGTCTTGTGCACTTCGGTCTTGGACGAGTTTGATGGCAGGATTTGAGCCGAAGATGTTGCTGAATTCTGCGTCGTACGCAACGATTGGTGCTTGTGTTGCAGACTTTAGGAGTGCGTTGATGCGAGGATCGTTGGTCGTTGTGCCGTTGGCAAAGGTGTAGTTTTCGTTTCCGACAAAGCCATTGGGGAGAATATAGGTGTATTCGTAGGGAACAACGACGGGGGAGTTGCTGCTGGTGTTGTACGAAGGAGTCAGCGTAGCAGAGACGCCAGCGAGGGATGTTACTAGGATTGACGAGGACTTCATCTTGACTTGTGAGAGGAGGAATGAACATTGAAAGGCGGTGCCGATGCTTCTTCTCCTTTGATGATGTGGGCCATATCCCGGCCGGAGATCACGTCAAGCTTCTCACACCACGTCATTGATCGACATGGCGAGTCTGTATGAGTAGCCAATGGCATATACATTATAATTCCATACTGGGCATGCGGTTTGAAGGGCGGAATCATCGATCGAGAGCAACGCGGCAATAGATGTGTATGTGCTTGCGAACGAGCGGATAGAGAGTTGGTGAAGGAGCGGGGTAGAGCAGACGGCGTCGATCGATGACCAGACACAATGCCTCGGTGGCGTTCTCTCAACATCTTCCATTGTTATATCTTTATCGCTTTGCAGGGCTAGATATCTCCGAACCTGGGGAAATGCAGGAGGCATGGCAACGTCGACGACCACGGATGATGCCCAGCTGAGACAGCTGCTGCGAGACTTCATCTCGGCATGTCACATCTTGCACCATCATCGGTGAGTTATGTCTATGACCACCAGCAAATTAGAGGAGACTGATCAGACAAAGGGTCCTTGATGCGTTTGGCCATCTCTCCGTTCGCCATCCTCGTTATGCCGACCGATTCATCATGTCGAGATACATTGCGCCTGGGACAATTTCGTCGGAACGCGATCTGATTGAGTACTGGGTGGACGACGCCGAGCCGGTCAATCCCAGCGCATCCAAAGGCTACACCGAGCGCTGCATCCATAGCGAGATTCTGAAGCGGTTCAAGGATGTACACGCTGTTGTTCATAGCCACGCGGAAGCCGTGATGCCGTACACCATCTCCGGCGTGCCGTACGCCGTCCCTTCCCCTCCATGATATCGGAAAAGATTCGTTGACAGTTGGTGCAAGATACACAGATTCCGACCCTGCTCCCACATGGCTGGCTTCTTGAGCAGTACGAGTTGTCCGGTATTTGACATTGGCGACCACTACGAAGCCGGCGATCGAAAAGACATGCTGGTACGAAACACGAGACTGGGTGGAGTGCTGGCGTCGTACTTTGGCGAAGGTGAACCGGCGCATTCGGTGGTGTTGATGCGTGGGCATGGATTTACTGTGCAGGGCTCGAGCATCATGGATGTGGTGCTGCGAGCGGTGTATACGCTGCAGAATGCGAGTGTACAGACCACAGCTTTGCTAACCCAGGCCGCATACTTTGGGGGACCAGGTGTGAGGTCGGGAGGTATTGACGAGAGACCCGAAATGCATTATCTGACTCAGGAAGAGACGGAGGCGACGACGGAGATGTCGAGGCGGTCGGCAGGAAGACCGTGGAGGCTGTGGTTAAGGGAAGTGGAGGCCACCGGGATGTATGTGAATGCTGCGTGAAATATGTCACCTTACTGTACGCCCGTAGGTACCAGAATGGAACCTCCGCGGCACACAAGGCGGTGGCCTGTCGTCTTGGCGATACGAGTGTCTCATGATTGAGTGCCAAATATGGTAGCGTTGCTTTGAATTCGTGGCTGTGGCTTCGTATCCAAACTTGGTGACATTGTCACGCCACCCCGGAGACCTCGACAACAATGTCTATTAAAACCAGAAAGGTCCGCGACAGAGGTAAGAGAGTATTCATCAGCATCTTCATACTTCACTCACCATGCATTCCTTCATTCCTGCATTCATCGCTCTTCTCAGCCTTTCCCCGAGCCTCAGCTCAGCTGCGCCGGGCCATCGTCCTCCTCATCACGGCGGCGGCGGTAAGAAAAGTCCTTCCTGCCTCACAGATGCCGAAGCGCTCGACATCTCCACCCGCTGGCTCTCCATCTTCTCCAGCAACAACAACATCACCAGCATCGCCCAACTCGGCAAGATTGTGGCCAAGAACATCACCAGCGCAGACGACACCTTTGGCCCGCCTACGCAAGGCATCGACTCGCTTTACGCCGACATTTCTCCCAGCGGCCCCAACCCCGTCAACAACGTCCTCCAGACTCCGCTGTTTTTGCTGCATTCCTGCAATCAGATTGGGCTGAGATGGCAGTATACTGGCACGACTACTGGTTATGACTCGTGAGTTTCCAACCTGACCGCTCAATCACCGCATGTCTAATTATGGCAGGAGCGTCCCGGCGGGCACGAAAGTCGCATTTGAAGGCAATGATATCCTCACGGTTGACTTGGACACCAAGTTGATCTACAATGCCACATCTTCCGGCGATTGGATCTTGTTGGCGAGACAACTTGGCCAAACTTGTGACGTTTGAGGCGGGAGTTCTTGAGGGGCGTTGGTTTCATCAAACATAATGTGTACTGTTAGATAAATGTCAATGGCATAGAGGAAAAGGACCACTACTTCTGGGAGCGTTCGCCGTACCCGCTCACGAAAATAAGCCGGAACGGAAGGAGGGAATGTGTACAGTGGCCTACGTTATCCGGTCCTAGCTCCGCCCTCTTCTTGCATAGCCGACTCTCTTATGCCTGACCAGCAGTGTTGAAGTCGTTCAACGCGGTCTGCACACGCTTCGTCATCGTCTTCTCGCCCTCACGCACCCACACTCGGGGATCGTAGTACCTTATTCGCGGTCAGCACAGCAACACTTCCATTGGAATGCATCTCAAACTCACTTCTTGTTGGGCTTGTCGTCGCCTTCGGGGTTGCCCACTTGGCTGCTGACGTAGTCCTTCTTCTTGTACATGTAGTCGCGGATGCCCTCGGTGTACGCCCACTGAAGATCGGTGTCGAGGTTGACCTTGACCACACCGTAGGAGATGGCCTCCTTGTAGTCCTCCTTGGTGGAGCCCGAGCCACCGTGGAAGACGAGGAAGACGGGCTTCTCATCCTTGGTGCTCTCCTTCTCCTTCACGTACGCCTGGTGCTTCTTCAACAGCTCGGGGCGGAGCTTGACGTTGCCAGGCTTGTAGACACCGTGCACATTGCCGAAGCCGGCGGCGATGGAGAAGTAGGGGCTGATGGGGCTGAGCGCCTTGTAGATCTCGTAGATGTCTTCGGGCTGGGTGTAGAGGCTGTTGTTGTCGACGCTCTCATTGTTCACGCCATCCTCCTCGCCTCCGGTGATGCCGATTTCCATCTCCAACCACTGCTTCATGGGCGCGGCGCGCTTGAGGTAGTCGGCGGTGGTCTTGATGTTCCAGTCGACGGCCTCCTCCGACAAATCGATCATGTGAGAGGAGTAGAGGGGCTCGCCGTGCTCCTTGAAATGCCTCTCGTCCTCATCGAGCATGCCATCGAGCCAAGGGAGGAGCTTCTTGGCGCAGTGGTCGGTGTGGAGGACGACGGGAACGCCGTAGGAGGGAGCGACGGCGCGAATGTAGTGGGCGGCGGCGATGGCGCCGGCAATGGAGGCAGACTGGTCCTTGTTGTCAATGCCCTTGCCGCAGAAGTAGGCGGCACCACCCTGCGAGAGCTGCAGGATGATGGGGGCTTTGGCATCTTTGGCGGCTTCGAGAGCAGCGACAACGGTGGAGGAGCTGGTCACGTTGATGGCGGGGATGGCGTATTTGTTTTCTTGGGCATGCTTGAAGAGCTGCGTGGGATGTCGATCAGCCCATCAATGTCGTGGAGCTTCCTTCAATGGGGTCTAGAAGGGAGTGACGTACCGTGCGAACATCTTCGCCGTAGATGACGCCAGACTTGTTCTTGAGATTGGGACCCATTGTGGTTGTTTGTGGTGTGGTTGGTGAATGAGGGAAGTGATTGGAAGGTGGAATGAAGATGGGGAGATGTGTTGTTTATGTAGAACCGCCGACCTTACCCTTGAGCCGGTGCTTCGAGAAAAAAAGCCCCACCAATTTCACGTTGGCGTCGGCGTTGGCGTGGAGGGGCAGAGCAGCAACCCGGTTCGGTCCGACTTGAGGAGAGCCTCGACTTTTGGCACGACGCGACTTTTGGCACGCATCATTTCCTGACGACCGCGAAGACTTTCACAAAAGTTTCGAGGAGGCTCTGAAGACCATTGATCAGTGAAGGGATTGGCCAAAATGCTCTGCGCAAGTATGTGTTGACCGACCGTTCCATCTTCGCTCCTTACTGATATGTTTTGTAGTATCTGGCGAAGCGCCAGAACATCCAGTAGCCTCCAGAAAGTCCGGTCGGTCAACGCGCTCAGATTCCCCCCCGAGCCTCTTTAACAGCAGCATAGGAAACATCTTCGAACGGCGATTGATCGAAGCATACATCAGCGAAAACGGCACTGACCCAGTCAATGGCGAGGAGCTATCCATCGATGACCTCCTCGACCTTCGATCCGCGCGCGTGGTCAAACCCCGGCCTCCCACCCTCACCTCCATTCCCGCCCTCCTCTCCACGTTTCAAAACGAGTGGGATGCCTTGATATTAGAGTCATTCCAGCTCAAGCAACAACTGGCCGAGACTAGACAAGAGTTGAGCACCGCGCTGTACTACAATGATTCTGCACAGCGGGTGATTGCGCGACTGCAGAGAGAGCGGGATGAAGCAAGAGATGCGCTGGCCAGAGTGCAAGTGACTGGTGGTGCGGCGAATGGTGTGTCGAATGGCGATGCTATGCACGTCGATGGCCAGGCCCTGCCCGACGAGATCATTGCCAAGGTGGACGAGACACAGGCGCGACTTTCGGCCGGCAGGCGGAAGAGACCAGTGCCCGCAGACTGGGCGACCGCGGATGCCATTGCCACGTATGATGTCCGCACCAAGGCCGATACCCAATTCACGGGCGCCAAGACCCTGGCCGTCGATGAGTCGGGTGATTCCTTCCTGTGTGGAGATTCCGACGGCGACATTGGTGTATATGATCTGCAGGCGGCTGCCTTCACCACGCGAAGCAACGTGGGAGCCGGTGGCATCAACAGTGTCGGCTGGGCGAATGACAAGGCTGTGGTTGCTACTGCAAGTGGGACAGTCGTTGTCACACAAGGCGGATCGGTCGAGACGAAATTCACCCAGCATGCCGGAGCTGCTACCGCCGTCGCTGTACATCCCTGCGGCGATGTGCTTGCTTCTGTTGGCATCGACAAGAGCTACGTGCTTTATGATTTGCAGAATGCGAGAGTGCTGACGCAAATCTTCACCGATTCGAGTACGTGCAAGTGTGAATCACTGATGTGGAGCCACATGCTAATCCTGATGCAGTCCTCACCTCCGTCGCCTTCCACCCCGACGGCCATCTCCTGTGCACCGGCACAGCCAGCGGCAACATCAAACTGTTCGACGTCAAGACGAATCAACTCGTGCACACTTTCGAAGCGCCGCCCAATGCCGTCCGAGCGGTACAATCTCTCACTTTCTCGGAGAACGGCACATGGCTGGCGTCATCCAACGTCGATCAAACGAGCGTGTGGATCTGGGACTTGCGAAAGACGAGTCTTCTCAAAACCCTCGAGGTCGGCACGCCCGTCACCGGAGTGGCATGGGATTACACCGGGCAGTATCTCGCCGTTTCTGGCAGCGGTGGCATCATCGTGGAGCAATACGCCAAAAGCGAAAAGGCTTGGAGGGAGGTGCTGAGGAAGGCCGTCCCGGCTGTGGATGTCAGATGGGGAGCGAAGGCGGGCAGTCTGGTTGCTTTGACGGCGGAGGGGGATGTTGTCGTTCTTGGTGCTTGATTCGGAATGCCGTGGTCTTTATCGAGCGAAAGAAGTTGACATGCAATGTAGCATAATCTCCATTGCTTAAACACCTACTCTCCTTGTCGCAGCGATGGATGTCTCCCAAGCTCCTTATTGAAGCTTAGTCATTCCATTCGACGACATCAATGACCAGATGTTCTGAACTGGCATCGTCCTCGATGAACTATCTTTGGGTATCTGCAGTTGCCTTGGATGACATCTTCAGTGTAGGGATACATCTCGCCGAAGCTGACTCCGATGGTCGCTGACGGTCAGGCAGACAGCTAGGTACCTTACCCAATCGAGTGCGATTCCGCGATGAAATCTCGGACTCTGGTCCAACCACATACCATCGCATGTGGTGATCACCAGGAGCGACCAATCGGGAGACTCGGCCATTCTCAAACGGGCATGGATTCTGGCCAGCTTGCGTCGTGTCTCTATGCCAGAACCGCGCTGAAAGGACGGTCGGTGTACCGCTCGGGATACCAGCCGGCCGCCAATGGATCAATTTAAAGAGCTGGTCCGCCCTTGCTGGACCTCGACGGGTTACATTCAAGTAACTTGCGTGTTTTACATGATGCTTTCTCGACTCTTGCAACTGTCTGTTCTGGCTCCGGCTGTGGTGGCTCGCGGCATTGTTTGGGAGTCCTCCTGCCTGTCAGAGGTCACATCGCTCAACTCCACGCTTCCGATCGTGTGTGGCAGCCTTGCGGTTCCTCGGGATTACACGAACAACACCTCGAACGAAACGCTGGTATTGCCTATTTACAAGATTCCCGTGGCGAACGGGACAACATCGAAGCACAGCGTGCTGCTGAATTTCGGCGGCCCTGGCAATCCTGGCTTGAGCTCGTTCGCTGCGAATGCTTCTGCATTGCAGCTGTAAGTAAAAGCGCCGTTTGGCGAATTGTGAAGAGATGCTGACGAGGGTAGGCTTCTTGGAGGAGACCATGACGTGATTTTGGTGACCCCAAGGTGAGATGAGACGCCCTGGTTTCGATGCGAGTCACTGACAACACGCAGAGGCGTAGGAGGAAATCTTGATTTCTCATGCTCGCAAACTGACGCCGTGGCTACTCTGCACGCATCCTGGACGACTCTGAATGGTAACGCGTCGAATGTCGCTGAAGGCGAGTTATGGGCCACCACTGGTCTCTATGCAGACGCCTGCAAACAATCGCCGGGTGCTGCAAACGGCGACCTCATTGGGACTGCTTTCACCGCGAGGGACTTTATGCAGGTGGTAGAGGCTCTCGATGAAGACGGGCTGATATACTACCACGGTAGACAGCGTCTCTGCCTTCGCTTCAGCCGTGACTGACCTTGCGTGATACAGGCTTTTCCTACGGCACCGTGCTCGGAATGACAATCGCTGCGCTCTTCCCCGACAAGATTGGCGGAATGGTCCTAGATGGGAACGTCAATGTGTACCAATACTATCGGAATTCCTACGTCGGCCAATACCTCGACACCGACAAGGTCTTTTCTCTGTTTTGCTCCACCTGCATCGCAACACCGCGATTGTGTGCCCTCGCGCACAACCAGTCTTCGGCGGAACTCGAGAATGATCTGCTTGCTCTGTTTTACAAATTGAAGAGCCATCCTCTGCCGGTATTTTTCCCCGACGGCCTGGGAGGGCTTGCTGATTACACCTATATCACGAATCAGGTCAACTCGGCCCTGTACGAGCCGACTTCCTGGCCTGGTCTCTCGGTCCTGCTCGCTGGCCTGCTTGCCGGGAATACTACGCTCGTGACCGAGGCCAGTCTCATCACTACCAGCAACGCCGGACACGATTGGCTGTCCGGCATCAGATGTGGCGACAACCGGGTACGCGTGTCGGAACCAAGCGCCCTCAATTCGAACATCAGCGCAACTGAAGCCGAAAGTCCCATTTTCGGCAGCGACGCCGTGTCGTTTTATTACACGTGTGCACAATGGTCGTTCTATGCCAAAGGCAACTTCTCCTGGCCCCCAGGTGCCGTACGGATTCGCACGGCGAGCCCGGTCTTGCTGGTCGGCAATCTGTACGATCCGGTAACTCCACTGGTGAATGCAAAATCCAACAGCGCCGACTTGGAGGGAAGTGTGGTGCTGCAGAATGATGGCATTGGGGTGAGTGCCTGTACCGCGCTTCAAGACTCGACTAACCGTGCAACAGCATACCAGCGTTCTCTCACAGGCTTCGCTCTGCACTGCAAGAGCCATACGAGCGTATTGGTTCAATGGAACTTTGCCTCGGCCGGGCACGTCGTGTCCGGTGGATGTGCCCGCATTTTCTCTCGACAATGGATGGGAGACGGTCTGGAAAGAGCTTGCGAAAGAGGTTGGGGAGACTTATTATCCATAAGGCGGCCGTTGGTGACGATACTGCTGACGGATGGATGATGCAGTGGTGTTGTAGAATGAAATTCAGTGCAGGGTAGAACAAACGAGTGTGTTACAAATAAATCAAGCTGGAGTGTCGACGATGTACGCTCATCTTGAACTCAAAAGGCGCGGCGTCTCGTCCGGGTTGCTGAGCCTCTGACGTCGCAGGCAAGTTCAGCTCCTCCAACAACCGCGGTATTGCTTCCACTTTTACACCTTCCGCATCTCTTTACGAGCTATGGTGAATACCAATCGAGATGTCGGAGCCAAAATCGGCAGGCTCTAAACGACCACGAGAGAAATACTCCCGTCTGATTTGCCTAGGCTGCGGTGAGCGGCGGATCAGATGCGAGCTGCCCGATAAAGTGGATATCCCCGAGCCGGGGGAGCTACGAACCGTTCAAACACCATGCTACCGATGCAAGAGACTGGGCATTCCTTGCGTTGTTCGGCGGGCCATCATCGGCCGACCAGGACCGCCAAAGCATCCAAATACGGCGCTGCCATCCAGCAGCAAAGACCTCGAGCGGCGGGGAAGGGAAACATTGCTGATTCACAGCCCGCAATCGGCTGAAACAGTCCTCGTCATTCGCGCCGTCGACACTCTTCGCCGCCAGCGCGTCGAAGAGGAATGGTTCCGACATCTAGCGACCCATATTGGACGCACAGAGGCCTTGGATCTGTCTATCAAATGCATGGTTTCAGCTTGCGCTCTTGCAAGAAAAGAGCCAAATCTCACCCCACGAGACTGCTACGAAGTCCTTGCCCTTGCCCTCAATGCACTGCAGGCAAACATCAAGAAGTCTGACGGAGAGCCGAGCGATGATATGCTCGCGTCTACGGCGCTACTAGCTCCCTTTGAGGGCGTGATCGAGGCGCATGGTATTCCAACGCATCGGCATGTTGATGGCCTCGCTGCAATCTTGGCCGCAAGACCTGCGTCGTATCCCGTTACACAGCTGGCGAGGGAGATTCTGGACTACTATACTTGCGAGTCTGCCATCGTGGCCTTTATCCATGGCAAGCCCTCCTGTTTCGATGGCGTTGATCGAGCGTACTTTCTGAACGATCGGATGGGATTCCACGACAGTGATCGAGCTCAGCTTAAAGCTCTCGGCACCGAACTCTTCATTCGTACTCCGCGGCTCGTGGTGCTCGTTCGCTCGTTGCGCCTCGCGCCGTCTCCCCCGAAGCACTTGTTGCTGGATGCACTTGGCTTGTTGAGGTCACTCCTCGCGCTGCAAGACTCGCATGCCGAGGAGCGCTTGCTGCGGAACATCGAGATCCATCACTCGCCCCTCGGTCAGAGCCTGCGTTTTGCCCGTGTCCAGGACTTTGAAGCACTCGCATGTTACTGGCAAACCCGACTGTCCCTGCTTCGACTGGAATCGCGTATTCATGACTTGGCCGTGCAAGCCGACAGTGGAGATGAGGCAGTCCGCCCTACCTTTGGACCTAGGACCGATGAGATGTCCCGGCTTGTCAAAAACATTGTGATGTGTTCGGAATACGTAGGCGAACAACCCATCCGCAGGCACTTGCATCTGTTTGCATACGCGATGGTGGTGGTTTGGGGTGTGACGATGGACTTCAACCGGGATATGACTGAAAGCAGACTGCCTGACCTGTTGCTACGAACCATGAACCGTGCCCTGTCGGCAGAACCTGCGCTCACAATCTCAGACATGGACACGGCGGCGGACATATTTGCAGGTGGAGAGCCGAGGGGAAGATTTGCAGAGCTCTATGGTTTGTGATTGGCATTCTGAGCAGCGGTATGCTCATTTCAACTCGACTGGACTTTGGGAGTAATGGGCCTGATCTTCAGGTCGTTTGATTTGACCGCTACCTGATTTCCGATGGCAACGTACCGTCGAACCCCTACCGTATACTCGCGTCCAAACGGTACCTCACCTTGATCGGAGTCAGAGAGGGTTCGCGACAGCCACTCCCCAACAACCACTCGTTCGGGCTGCTCTCACAGATGCCCAGTCCACGATTGTTCCCTCTAGAGTTAGTCCTGCCACTGCCCCGGCCTACATGACCAACCTTCGCGAGCATCCGTGCTACGAACGACAATGCCGGAACAGGGCTTTTTGGAACCCCTCCGCAGTGCCCGCCTACGATGCCGATTTCCTCTTGAACCCGAGTTTGGGGTCATTACCAGCAAGTCTGCAAACCTCAAGATGCCGAAGCCACGAGATTAGGAAGCCGCAGAGATCGTGGCCTCAGATGCCAGCGATACGGAAAGGAGATTGCTGATGGGAAATGGCCGTCTAGGATCGTCTCTTGATCACCGCATGGTATCTGGTCGGCCTGACGAACCAATAGCCCAGAGTCTTCATCAGCCTGTCCTCCTCTTGTCCGACCATTTGCAAGTCGAAATTGGTGACCAGGATTGGCAGGATCTTGCACATTTCCAGATTCGAGATGTGTCGTCCGATGCAGGTCCGCGATCCCATTCCAAACTGTATATGTTAGCAGCGCATATGGATTGGAGGTGCAGGGGACGTACGGGGATGAAACTGTTATCCAGCTTCCTTCCGAGGTGGGGATCTTTGCTCGCTTCGATCCATCGATCAGGCCGGAACTTCTCCACATCATCGCCCCATATATCTCGATCATAGTGTGACACCCACGAGTTGATGCCCACCTGGGAGCCTTCGGGGAAGAACTGGCCCATCACTTCCGCGCCGCCGTGAGGAACTGCTCGCCACATTGGCAGACCAGTTGCCGGGCACAATCGCAGCCCTTCCTTAATGCACGCTTGCAAAAATGGAAGGTCCTGGGTCTCCTTGAACGAGACGGTGTTCTTGGTCATCCTCCCTTGACGGATCGCTTCGTCCAACTCAGCACGGAGCTTCTTCAGTACGTCGGGGCTGCGATAGAGATTCCACGTAATACTCGCGAGGGAAACACCGGTGGTATCGCTGCCAGCCCCAACGTTCGACACCAGCGTCATGAAAACGTCGTAATCGTTCACACCCCTTTCATTCTTTTCCGTCATGTCCAGTAAGAGGTCGAGAAAGTCTCGTTGCTGCGAGCCCGTGTTCACAGTCGCCTTGCGAGTTTTGACGCGAGAGCCGATTTCGCCGGCCACCGTTCCAAGCAGGTAGTTCATTCCGGAGGCTCCAGATCCAGGCAGTTTGGAGGCGATTTTGTACGCGATGGGATGCGCCCAGCTGTACATGCCGATCCAGGAGCCAAACTTCATGAAGCTGTGCATCCCGGCCATAATGCCGCCAATGTCTTCTCCTCGATCGAGGAAACCGAGACGTGCTCCATAGCTGATATATCCCACCACGTCAAAGGCGTAGCACTGCATCCAGTGAAAGACATCGATGGGAGTTCCAGCATCCGCTAGACGATCAAAACTCTGCCTAAAAACGTCCAGCGATGCGTCGACCGAGTGCTCGTACTTTAGCAGGTTGGAAAGAGAGTAGAGGCTTTGCGTCTTTCGTCTCTGCTCGGCGTGCTTCTTGATGTTTTGCAGCGTAAAGAGGTCCCACTTCTCGGGCGATGGATGCTGGAGGCCGTTGTAGAAGTCTGTTTTGGGGAACTTGGAACTGATGCCGTAGACGTTCTTATCTGGCTCGCTAATGCTGTAGAGGTTGGGGCCTAGTCGGACAACAGGGGCAAAGTACTTGCCGCGAGGTGCGTGTCGGCGATGCAGCTTGATCAATTCTTCATGCGCATGGCCATCGTAGGTGGTCTTGGTCCACCAGAGCCTTGAGAATCGCGCGAGTATCGGGCCAGGAATGCCGCGAGGAGATGAGAGGAGTGGTGATAATACGATATACGCGAGGGCAGCCGCAATCACTATGGAGGCCAGAGTGCTCAGATTCGCGACCTCCGCAGCCATGGTTGTGGCGTGTGAGGATTTGATACCGGGGACATGAACAGGCTACGTCCTCCATTTAGTTCGCGATGAGCATCTCGCTCCGAGAATCTGATGTATCCTCTTGTCGACGAAACCCACATATTGATCTTCATTCTCAGCCCCAGAGCTTTTAATGGTAAGCTACGATGCTCCACTGAGATCGGCCTTTATGATGACACTTCACGACTGCCGACAAATTCGCGCAATTCCACTTTGCTTTGCGACCGTAGGGAAGACAACCGAAAGTTTGTGAGTGTTTGAACTCGGCAATCTACAGCGACAAAGTGTCCAACCTCTCGGTCAGTTCGACCTCCAAACCATGCCACTTTGTCGGAAATGAGCCCTTCTCTCTCCAAACGCTTCCGCCTGGACCTGGCGCTCCGTCCAACTCGTTCAGGACCTTCAAGTCAAAATTGAGGTAGAAGCTGGCCAGCATTTTCGACATGACGACCCAAGCGAGATGCATTCCCGGACACTTTCGAGAAGGCGCGCCAAACGCGAGATTTCTGAGCTCCATATCGTTGCGGCGAGACCTGTCCGCTTCGAGCCACCGCTCGGGTCGGAAGGTCCGCGGATCTGGTCCAAAGATTTCCTCGCTGACGCCGAGCTGTTTCGAGTTCATGCCGATGGTGTAGCCGGCGGGAATGTAGTAGCCATCAAGGACAATGCCTTCAGCGGGGACGTCGCGGGGCAGCCCAATGGCAATATTCGGCCACATTCTCATCGCTTCCGCCATGCATGCTTGAAGGTACTCGAGCTTTGCCGCCGCCGCGTAGGGGACCGGGACATTCTTGCCGACTGTGCCGGCTTGGATGGCGGCATCGAGCTCCGCGCGCAGACGAGCGACGACGGCCTTGTCGCTGCTGATGCCAGCGATCATCGCCGCGAGGCTCCAACTCGTCGTATCGACGCCTGCGCCGAGGTCGGTCATTGCGAGTCTCGTGCCCCAGTTGGGCAAGAAGTCGGGGCGATTCTGGCTGAGTTGACGCAAGTCGTTGAGAATACATGGTGGCATCTGCGTCTCTTTGTCTTTGGTCTTTGCTTCATCGTACTCCATGATCTTGCCGACGGCGTACTATCGCGGGGAGTCAGCATCATCGGTCAGGCGCAATCGAATTGGCAACCGGCCTACCGCGAACACGGGCATCTTGTGCCGATTCTGATTGCCCGTTATCAGCTTCATGGCCACCCGCGCATACCTCTTCTCCAGATCATCCAGCCACGGGATATTCCCAATCATACCCCACCACTCCCACACCTTGTCCATGGCCGCCATGTGCCCATCGTCGGTCCCCTTCTCCACCGCCCCGTACTCCTGTCCAAACGTCACCGCCGAGTAGACATCCACAGTGGCCATCTCCCATTCATGATAGATGTCCACGACTTGCCCCGTCAGTCCGTTGAACCTCTTGATCATTCGTTTGAGAGTATCATCGATGTGATGCTCATGTTTCTGGATATTATTCGTTGAATAAACCGGCCCCGCATATCGCTTCTGCACGCGAAGCTTCTCAATATCAGTCTCCACCAGCATGTTCAATTTCTCCCGGCCTTGTGGCTCCGTTCCATCCTGCAAGACGTTGTAGAAGGGGCCCTTGGTGAACTTTGTGCCTGCTCCGTAGACTTGTTTGAAGTATGCCGGGTTGGAGAAGATGACTTCATTGGGTGAGATGCGGACGACGCTTCCATATTGTTTGTGGAGATCGAGGTCCAAGCGCGGGCGTCGCTGATGCGAGGACTGCCAGGTGATCCAAAAGGACGTGATACTCGCGAAGAATGGGCCCGGGATTCTCGCAAGTGGGTGGAAGAGGCGTTGGTAGATGATATAGACTGCCAGAGCGGCCACGGGGGCGTAGAGTAGCCACATTTTCGATGTTGTGGTGTTGGGAGGGGTAGACGATCGCAGCGGGGAGATTTATTAATGATCAGCCGCAGCTGATGCTGATGAAGCGGAGGCCGTCAGCATATACCTCCGACGCGATCCTGCAACCCACCCGATTACATGATCTACTACATGGGGCAGCCGATGCTGACAAGATTTTAGAAATCGGCTGCTGGCCGTGCATCAATGCTCGATGCGCCTCACCTGCATCGATAGTTTCTTCCACCATGCGGGCGCATTGAGTGGCGAAATCATCGTGTTGTCTTGCACGTTGTCAATCACCGCAATGCGAACGGCAGGCTGAGAACCCATTCCGAAATCTCCTGACGATCGCACGTCCACATAAGAGTACTCAAAGTCCACCGCATGCTTGCTCTTCTTCCGTGCTCGATACATACCCTTGTATAGTCATACTGCAGGTCTTCTAAAGCGAGATCAGCTGGAGCCGTCAACCGGCAGGCTGTGAGATGAAAGCATGTAAGAGGAGCGCGTAAGTGAGAGGAGTAAAAGGGCTTCAAGCCAATGAGCGTAGCGGAAAGCGGAGCGCTGCGCCCCCGCCCAAATTCGCCTTGAGAGCAGGATAGCTCGGAGTCAGCTGGGTAAGATTATATTTGCCATAATGCTCGGTCTGTTTGATGAACTGTGTCACGAATCACTCTTATCTGCAGTCTCTTGCTTCCCTTGTCGGTCGTGGTGCGTGGCTTCTGCATGATCCTCGAGATCGGGTCTTCGCAGCCTCGCGAACATCCATGGAGGTGGCTTGATCGTGTGAATCAGGACAGCGACAAAGAGCGTCAATGCCACCGTCGGCAGAATGTAGGGGCTCGATGCATAGTTGGTGAATGCGCTACGCGTCATTAGATTTGGCTTCCCCTCGGCAGACATGCATCGCAATTGACACTTACTAGCTGGGAGACGACGGCGAGTTAGAAAGCGCGATGAGGGCGATCAGACACAGCGAGACGCCAAGGAAGCACGAAGATGCCGAACGCACCCAGTGAAGCTTGGACTTGGATCGCTCACTGATGGCCGCGATGCAGCTATTAAAGATGATGACGAGGCCAACCGAGACGAAGAAGTAGATGAACGTTAGCTCGAACACATTGGAGATTCTGTTGACTGTAATGCGTGTCAGCAAGTCTGCCGGTAAATCTGGTTGTATTCTCGTAGGTCTTACACTCTTCGAGTGCGCTGTTCTCCAGCTCATTGACTCCGGAAGCAGGGCGGCTTGATCCGTCGTCGTAAGTGGAGCTTGGGGGCGAGAATCCCGCAATGTCGTAGAGCACGGTCGATAGGCTGCCGAAGTATAAGATGAGAGCGGATTGTATTTGATCGGAAAAGTTCTCAGAGGACACGGTAGTTCCGCTCGCGACTGTGCGCAAAGCAGCGTTCACGTTGGACGTGACGGTATCCAGGATGTAGGTGGTTTGACGAAAGTTTTTGCTGCCCTGCACACCGGCTTGTAGAATGATCGTTGCCGTATCGTTGAGAGAACTGGCCGCCGTGCGCTGCAAGATCGTCAGTCCCAGCCGCAATGTTGCCTCGGTGGCGCAGCACACTCACCCAAACAGACGGGTCGGTGGTAAACGTATAATTTGCATTGACAAGCTGCTCCAATGCATGTGTGAGGTCATTGGTGAGGTTATTATCCGCAACAGTCGCCGCGTTCCATATCAAACACTGCCCCACCCCCTCCACTGCAAGGACGAGAAAAACGTGAAGCGGGAAGTGCAGGAAGGCCCAGATCTGTTGTCGAATGGTGCCAAAGTGCTTCTCCTGAATTCGATCGAAGTAGAGCATGTACAAGAAGTACAAGATGAAGATGCCGCAGCAGACGTTGCCGAGAGTGGATGCAGCCGAGATGTCGAAGACTGTGGCTTCAACGATGGCGGAGCACCTTTCCGCCAGTCCAATCACGCCTTCGCCGAGGATGATGAGTGTGAGGAGGGACATGCGCTGGACGAGATGCGTGCCTTTGAAGCTGATGTGTCTCCAGATGCAGGATATTGTAGTCACCAGTGCCGTTTCCATTATCGCCACCACGTACCACGCGATGAACGAGTTATTCTGAGAGCCATCCGCGGATGGGTGGAAAGACCAGAACAACCCGAGATACACCACTGCGGCGATCGAGTAGGTGCTGGCGATGAGCACCATAGGCAATCGGGTTCGCTTGAAGTGTCGCATAAAGAATAGACTTTGTATGTATTGGCAGACTAAGATGAGACGACTTGCCATGAGAATCAGGGAGAAGTATTGGAACGACCGGTACGATGGCCTGAGGCTGCATTAGCAGTGTCAATGACGGATTGGACCGCACATACCCTTCTCCTTCCTGCTCACTGGACACTTGACCGACATCAAACTTGGGCCCTGTAATCGCAAACCCGAGCATGACACCGAAATGACATGCCTTGGCGGCGCGCTCGAACACGCTATCCATGGAGAAGCGGACGTCGTACAGACCGACCTGGTCTATGAGTTGCTTGCGTCAGCCATTGTCGTCATTGAAAATCATGAGGCGTCACTCACACCACGTGAGCCACAAGATGCAGAAGAAGCCCACATATTGCTCCAGAGTTTGAGCACTGTTGACCTCGTGGACAGTAGTGAAGACGGTCAAGTTGGCGACGAAGAAAAGGTCGTAGAACAGCTCGGAATTCGTGGCCTCGGTGTGGCGGCGGAACTCTGGCCTCTCGTGGAGTGTATGGTCGTCGGGAAGGGCGAGATGGGTGTCGAGGCGGCGGAACTCGGGCCTCTCGTGGAGTGTATGGTCGTCGGAGCTGGCAAGATGGGTGTCGAGGCGGCGGACCTCTGGCCTCCCGTGGTCGGGATTGGCATGATGAGTGTGGTGCTCGGGAGGAGGCCCAGGAGAGGAGGCGCTGACCGACGTAGAGTGGATTAGTGGACTCTTGAACAGCTGAAGGCCTCTGTCGGCCTCCTCCTCGTGGGACATTTCGACACGTTGGCTGAGAGGCCGGGTAGCAGCAAAATAGAACAACGAAGCGAGGAGGTTAATGACAAAGATATCGTCAAATGTTGACCGGAGGATTTCAGGGCTCAACGTCCGGGGGCGCCTTAATTTCTCCGCATCTGAGACCGCAACGGGTTGGCGGCGGGACGCCTGATCGCCAGGCTGGGGGCCTTACAGCAACAGCCTCATCCAAAACCGGCTCCGTGAGATTCCAAGCCGTTGCCGCGTCTCAGGTGGGGTCCTGTCATTTGTCGAGCGCCACATCAGAACTGCTACTGTTTCGAACATGACCAAGGAGATCTAGCCTCCAGTGTGCCTGTGACATTGTGAATCGCGGGGGGGAGACTCGTCTCATGAGATGGCGTGACTCGAGGGGCCGATGTATGGTTCGAGCTCCGAGCTTCCCGAAGCGGCTGAGCAGTTCGGGCACGATGGCCGCGTCTAGACCTGAGAAATCGTCGCTGATCCGAGTCCATCACCGTCCGATGAGATGAGGTCGAAACCCCAACATTCTGAGCAGTTGGTGCGGGGGAAGTCAGTCTCGTGCTCCGACTTTCACTCTACTTTCCACCCACTCATCGCTCCACTTCTTCCATCACATTACAAGCGTGCGCACGCTGCAATCATCGCTCTACATGTCTGCGCCGATGCCTAAACGAGCCTCACCACGATAACTGACTGCACCGTCTCTCTCCGCTACCACGAGCTCGACGCCCGGCAGCTCTCTCGTGGCGCTGTGATGGACAGTCGGCACCGCTGCGGCCGGAAAGATGAGGGTATCGCTTGACGGCGATGAACCGCCTTTTCTCCTCTCTTCCGCTCGATGATGGGAAAGAAAGTGAGCATGGCTTGATCGCGCCGCCCCTCAGGTTTCGAGCGCAGCCAGCCTCCAGACAACTCTACTGCAGAGCGGAAATGGCGGAATGGCGGTGGTCTCGACGAGCCATCGCACCCCAACGTTCGCACAGCAGTCTTCCTTGTCTCGTCTGGACGCGAAGCGAGACAGTCGAAAGGCGAGTAACATCCGGCATCAAAGATCGCAGCGTCACGGCATCCCCCAGTCAACACCTGCTCAAGACCCTCTCCGTCTGCGATTCTTCCTCCTGCCATCCCCGGCTTCACACCACGAGACCGCCCTCGGAGTCTACTGATGTAGGCGTTCCCCCACCCCGGAAAGAGATGGGTAGATGAGAAGAGATGGCACACCTCCGCCTTTGCTTTGAAGAACACCGGGTGCCATGGAGGACTGCGTCGCTATGCAAAGCATGGGCGTGGTGCGACCCGTTGCATTCAGATTTGATGAAGGAATGCACTGCCATGTCGGCGTACTTCTCCCACCGGTTTTGCCTACTTTGAACCGGTCCGTGCGGAGTCTATTGCATTAGATTTGAAATTACGAGACAATTTGTTTAAACTGCGTTGCGTCTCTTCCAAGTTTATGGCCCTATCTGGAGTCGGTTATACTTACCGGCATCTAGTTGACCGTCCTGTGAACATTTGCCGCATGATTTCGGAAGTGTTGCTTGTCCAATAGTCTCTCGTCACACTCCGGGTGTGGACAATCGATGGCTGGCCATCCGGCAGGTGGCGTAGATGCTTACGCTCGAAGTGTTTCTTAAGGTCCCCGCAGCTATGGAACGCCTTCATGCGTTGTGGGATAGCCATGTTGTTTTTTCCCTAGGCAGAATATGCATTGTGTAGGCAGGCGATTCATTGGGACCGACTGTGGCTTCGGTGCCTTCCTCTCGCAGTCTTCGCTCTCCTGCTCGGCGGCAAGTAAGACATTACGTTGCTTGGCCTGACATGCTTTTCGTATCGGCGGCTCCTGGACCTTTCTCAGTGCGGTGACTGCGTTGATCGCGATCGATCGGCGTTTGCATTCCTCGGCAGCATCGGTGCTCGCGAAGGCGAAGAGCAGCGAGCTGAAACCGGAATCGCTCCTCACTTAGCTGTTCACGGTTTCGTGCTTGTCATGAGGCCCACTGTTATCAGATCCGGGACCGTGTAGCTGGTTGGCGATGTCGACTATCGGCTGCTCTTCGCGGAGCTTGGCCCGGGCCACACCTAGCACCGCCTTTCATACGGCCTTCTTCTTGCTCTGCAACTGACGACTGATGTCCATGTATACTCGGTACGCGTCCGTGCCCTTCGCAGGCGACAATGCGGCCGTGTTTCGTCCGAATGCGCGGTTTGAGGCCTCCCTCCTGCGCCGAAGCAGCGTCACCTCCGGTGACGATTAACCACAGCCAGCTACCGATCATTCAATGTTCGCGGCCGTTGCCGATCGATAGATCGTGTCATTCCACTCCCAGCCCTCATGACCGCTGCTTGAGGCTTCAAACCCCGGTAGATCGCTTGCTTGTCCTGACCAATGTAGTTAGACATGTAATCGTGCTGGTACACTCCCGAGTTCGCATGCTGGAGGATCTTGTTGCGCTGGGAATCGCTGATGAGACCTGGAGCATCGGTCAGTAACTGTCTTCCCGGTTCGTCGTACGACATACGTACTACTGCTGTCCAGCGCTTCCCCATTCCCCCGGCGGAAACAGTACGGGCCCAGAGGGAGGTCGAACCCGGTGACTTCGCCCAAATGTTTCATTCTATCGCGCAGCCACTTGTCTGTCACCCGCTCGGTTTCGGAGACCTCGTGGCCATTCTGACCGCTCCTGAGTCCGCGAAACAGCGGCCAATCCATCTTCGATTTCTTGATCGGCACCTCTTGCTGGTTCAGACCGGGAAGGACCTTCAGCTGGAAAAGGTCTTCGGGTCCAGCGAGCCCTTCGAAGGCTCCATCGGCAAAACCCAAACTAAGTACCGAATTCAACGTTGGCATACTCGTCTTTGGCACCCACTTAGCTCTTGGGTTTTTCGAAACGCAGTTCGATAGTTGGTCGGGGCCATTCGCTCCTGTCAGGATCGGAGCAATGCGACTTTTACGGGCTTGTAACGAAGGCTGAGGAGCGCATCCGGTCGACTCCCAGTGATACCGGTGAGCTGTAGGAGTAGTGCAAGCTGTACTCGAACCCGCTCGTGCTCCATGCCGACTTCCACTGAGCTCCGTGCGGTCCGGAGCAGCTCGAACTGATCCTCGGCCCGCATAACGGGCTTGGCTTTCTTCCCAGCGTCGAGCCGAAACTCCTCTACCGAGCTCTGCTGCACCTGCATCCTCGTCAGCGTGCAATATTCCTAGCATGCCACACGAATTGTACACCACTCACTCCTTCCCACTACCTTTTGATCTCGATGTCAATCAGCAGCCAGTCTCCTTACGCCGGACCAGTGCAAAGGTGTTCCAATACGTTTGCGCCAAGCTCGCGGCGCGGACTGAATCGCTTCGCTGTCGGAGGACTCAGTGGAAGAAGGTGTGTACCACTTCGATCGGCATGAGCTTCAATTACTCGTGCGTATCGAGATCCATGAATTGGTAAAATCTGGAGGGTCTCAATCAGAACGACGGTCGCGTACATCCGGCGCGTGTGATCGCTAGTACAGACAGACTCGCCTGGTTCCACAAACTCTTGACCCATCGCTACAGCGCTTCCGTCTATTCGGCGTAGATCTTTTGTGTGAACTTCGTCTTGTCACTGTAACAATCACGGATGCCGTCGCCGGTGTGTGGCTTCGCTGAGGCGCTGTCACTGTCACCTTTGGCGGAACGCGGGGGTCGGCCCATGACGGGTGTTGCGCAGTCGATGTGATAGAGACGACCGAGTTGCGTTGCCAGGTGGACGCCGCCGCCTGGCCTGTGGGATGGGGAGGGAGCTCATTTTGTGAGGGCCCTGCCCTGTGCTGGACCTGCGGCGGAACGAGCGCCTACGTGTGGCTTGGATGGGTTGTGAAGGGGGTTGGAAAAACGTCGAAAGAGCTCCGCTTTGCATTTGCATCCTCTAACTTTGGCTAAAGCAGGACCTATCAAACGTCTCGACCCCCGGAACAACGATCACCTTGAGGGCAGACTCAGCTCCGTTACCCGCCCAAAGCAAAGGCCGTCGGAATATCAGATTGTGCGTCATATCAATGTCATGTTAGAGCAGGAGCCATGACGCGTGCACAAGCCCTTGCGACTGCGATTGAAGCGCGGCATGACGCTTGACTGTGTAAATCAGAAGGGCATGTAAGCGTGAACGCACGATGTCGTGCTTGTACGAATAAAATTATATCCAAGCAATCGCCCAACAAGAGCTTCCACTTCTCAAAGCCAGCGCAAAACCGGCAAACATGCTAGCCAACGACCAAGCCGGTAACCCACTAACCAGCACTTGGCCTCCACTCTACCCATCTAACCCTCGTTCTAGGCAATGATCGCGCCACTCGTGCTGTGGAGGGGGACGACGTTCCGGGACAGCGAGAAAAGAGCAAGTTTAGCGAGGCATTCGATACAGTAGCTGGCCCCTTACAGGCCGCGGCACCAGGAAACAGCGGAAGCAGTGATATAGCAGACAAGCTGAAAGAAGGCTTGAAGGGAGGAAACCCTGCGACATAAGCGTGCTCCAACTACGCTAAGATGCCGAGTGAAGCCTTGCCGTCAGAGAGCGAATATGGTGAAAGGCGCTGAATTAATTAAAGCTATCATCTATTATCAATTGAATTAGTTAAAGCGTTCGTTTCCGCTGGCACTTCGTGCTTGATCAATGCTATCTTGCCCTCACTCTAGACAACAATCACGCTCATTTTGGACCCCAAGAAGACGCGGCGGTATTGTAATCCTCGCCAAACTCCCGATACCATCTTTCGACGATTTTCTTGCTTGGACCAGCCCCGATCGTCTCTCTATCTTCCTTCCACGCCGCAACGACGTCGTTCATGAACACATCAATAGGCATCGCAGACGGCCCCTTGTTGTCATCCGGATCCTTCCGCTCTCGATGCAAGTCCGTCGAGACTTGGGGTGGTGCGATCTCGATGACGCGGACATTGGTGCCTTGGAGCTGCGTTCTCAAGTTCATGCTAAAGAAATGGACCCAGGCCTTCGAGCCGTTGTAGACCGGATTGATAATGGAGGTCGGCAGGTATCCGAGCGTCGACGAGACGTTCATGATGATCGCACCCTCCTTCCGCCGTTGTAGATGTGGCAGGAGACCCACGGCCAGATGCATGGGACCGTTGATATTGATTGCGATTTCTTGGTCGGCTTTTTGCAAAAACTCCTGTGGGCTCAACTCGCTGACATCGAGCGGTTTCTGGACCCCGGCATTGTTGACCAGACAATCGAGATTTGGGTGCTCCAATGTAACCTTTTCGATGAAATCGGAGAGGGACTGGAGGTTGCCAGTGTCTAAGATATAGTAGGATGCTTTGTGACTCAGTTCCTGTACGGTTTCTTGAAGGTTCTTCTCCGTACGGCCTGCTATGATTACTTGCTTGCCCTGCGAGACAAAGTACTTCGCAATCGCCTTGCCAATGCCTCCTCCGCCGCCGGTGATCAGCGCGGTGTGGAAGTCTAATGTGCCAAACGTCATTGCGGCTTCTTGTGAGCTTCCAATCAATTCGTGATGCGGTTGCAGACGCGAGAGATTGCAAGTGAACGGAATAGTGCCAATCGGGAGCGAGGCAGAGAAGATGAAAACCACGTTAACATATACACGGTAGCATCCACGTGCTGCTAACCGGATGTGGTACGTCATCGCTATGTAACCAGTGTGCATATGACGTGTTTAGATAGATGGAGGAGTTCTGGTTTCTCATTCCCAGACTTGATTGTAATTGTTATGGGTGGCCCGGCAAATGTGTTGTAGGATCAGCTGATGACTGAGGTCATGTGAAATCTGCTAAGCCTGGTCGTCCGCAGGCGGAGATCTCTATCGTTGTGTGCAATCTAATATGCATAAATTTCGCACATCAATTTCGGTCGTCCTCTCCTCTTAAAGTGTCTTGTCGAACTGGCGTAGCAGTTGCTGCACTTTGTCGTCGACCTTGAATTCCCAGCGTTCCGAGTTGCGAGCGACAAAAGCATTCGACAAGATGCGTTGTTTACTGGCGTGCGCATCCTTGTCAACAACATCGATCAGGCCAGGGTGGTCTCCAGGAGACAGCGCAGACGGATACGATCCGTCTTTGACGCAAGGCGTAGAGTGGTCGTAGTTGGTACGAATGGCGGCGGGCGATGAAGAAGAAACAACGTTTGGTCCCAGGCATATGACGGAATGCTTCAAGTGCGCCTGGTAGACGTCTCGACAGTGGAGTCAGCGCCGTTTCCTCAAGACGAAAGGGATGTTAGAGACGCCGGACAGGGGAAATGCATCAGGGAAACGGCGAAGGTTCTTGACGTCGCGGAAATAGGTGGCAAATGGCTCTAGGAGAAAAAGGGTGAGGACCAAAACAGGTAGCAGGGTCAGCAGAGGAGACATTGTGCTGTTGCAGTGTCTGAAGCGATTTCGAATGGCGAAGTCGCCTTGTCGACTGCATGCAATTCGTATATAGGAGACGATCATGTTTTGTTGACGTAGCTCTATTTTACTGTTGTGCGGAGGAATATGCTGCTTCTAGCAACTGGACAGGCTGGACTCGACGTTGCCCACTCTTGCAGGATCGCTCCTTGGGCACAAAACCGCAAAGCCCCTGAACCCGAGCGCACATACTTCAATGACTCTGCTCTTGTCTCTTTCAGGAAATGTCTTCCGCAAGCCTGTACTATGCTGTGGCTGTCCTCTCACTCGATCATCGCAGTCGAAGCTCACGCAATTGACCGTACTGACGTCTCGAATTGGATCTTTGATGGAGCATGACCACCCCATTCATGGCTTAGATATGTTTCATCACAACCCAAACATGTTTTTCCTTTGCTCATATTCCCAGCATTCAAACGCAGGTATTGCCGTATAAGCATGCGGTCCCGAAGATGAAAGCCCAATTCAATGTGTTGGCATGTTCCCAGTCTCAGAATGCGCTTCTTGTACGGTAACTTGAAGGTGTAGACCGCCGTATCATCCGTGATCCAGCCTCGCTTTGTAAGTGTTGCTTGGGGTCAGCGGTGTTTTGACAGAGCTTGCTCTTCGGGAGCCTTTGTGTCAATGTCGTCTTCGCTCTACTGCGTCGATCGAGTCAGCTCAGTCGCTTTATCCGTGACAATACCGGATACACATTCTACGACCGTGTTAGCAGCAAGCCAAGACACTGAAAATCAATTGGCACACTTGCCGTTCAGCTTCTCATAGGCGTAATCGTCATGCACACTTGAGAATTCCTCGGACGTAGCATAACGAACCGTACTGGCGTGCATCAGGGTCGAGGCAGCTCCGCCAGGATGCCAGGAGAGTCGTCCTCTGAAAGGCTGGTATCCGTTCGGACGTGCTTGATGCCCAAATGGCCAGTGCCGTCATTGGTCTCGAGATTGAACCTATATTCTTTTTCATGCCGAAGCGCACGCAGAAGGGCGATTTGCTCTGGCGTGTACTTGCTACGAAGCTTGTCGTATTCGCTTCGATTGTCTGCTCCGTCTTCGTCGTGGTCTTTCCGTCCGACACGATCGTTAGTCTTGTCTTTTCCATCATCGTGAGGGTTTTCGGTGCTACCACTTGCGTCCTCCTTTTGTTGCTGTTTCTTCTCTTGTTGTTGAGATTCTTGCTCCTTCTGCTTTTGACGCTGCTTGGTATTCGCTGGCCAATCCTGCTGGTTCCTCATTTTGTCCTCGGTAAAATCAAGCACATAACGCCAGCCAAACGGATGACCTTCAGGGTGATACAATGAGATGTCCTGTGAATCGGCTTAGCGCTGGGAGCAATGCAACGTTCAGACAGCTTGCCTTTTCACTCCTCACAGCATCTTGCCAGTTCATCAACCGACCAGATTTGGAGTCCGCTGCCGTCTTCGCTTGCAAGAAGGCAGCTTCATCTGCTTGGTAATCTTCGCCGTATTCCCTGTCTTCATGCTCATATTCCCGAACGAACCCTGGTTTCTTCCCTTGCTTGTTCTTGAAGCCCGGATAGTGCTCGTTCCCACATTGCGCCAGTCGGGTTCCGCAGCAATATCGGCCTCGCTGGAGCCCTGATGGTCTCCTTTGGTGACTTCCCACACTTCCTGAGAGCTCTGAGAGATGGGCATGGTTGCGGCGATGTGGCCGAAGTCACGTTTTCCACGTTGCAAGGGAATTGTGACTTGCCGATGTATGTGAGTTATACGGGCTTCGGAACAACCTCCGGCGAACCAGCACGACCAACCCATTTCATGGTCGCCTCTACGCGGAGGCGTCTGAGTGGAGAGCCTGTGAAACAAACCCAACGAACCGTAATTCGAGATCGGTTCGCGCAAATGATGCGACATGGAGATCCTGAGATCAGAGTGACAGCTTGCGAATTAAGTGACGCAGCTTTGCCATCATTCTCGACCGACGAGCGTCATTATTCCCTTCTCGGTCTCATCAAGCCCGTCACACTCCGTCAAAAATGATCAGAAAATCGCGTCACTCAGGAAACAGTGTGCCACTGGAACCGGATAGGACGGGTTGCTCATTTGCTTATCAATGATACAGACGGAACTCAATTCACCTTCGAAAAACCCTACGCTTTGCCTTCCACACCTTCCACACGTTACTTACCCGTCGACAATTCGAAAAAATGGGATCAAACGGTAGATTGGCGTTCCATTCTCAACATCTCAACATGAGCTGACTACATCCTAGATCTCCCAGGATTCCCCTTTGCTCGCGAACATGGTTACCAACCTCCCTCGTTGAATGCAAAGCTCCGACGCGAGTGTCCCATCTCCCAAGCCCAGCTGTTCGATGGGAATCGGGCGTGGATCTTGACCAAGCACAAGCATTGTTGTGAGGCTCTGAGCAGTGACAAGCTTAGTGCCGACCGTCGTGCCCCCGGGTTTCCAGAGATCCACGAAGGAGGCAAGGCGGCCAAAGATGCAAAGCCGATGTTTGTCAACCTTGACAACCCTGAGCATGACGAGCAGCGAGCAATGCTGGAGTCTGAATTCACTCAAGACGTCGTCGAGGAGAAATGGCGGCCGATGATGGAAAAGTCAATTGATGGATTGTTGGACAAGTTCATCGCCAAGGGCGCCGATCACCAGCCTATCGATCTCGTCAAGGACTTGGCGACACCGATACCTACCACTATCATTTATCAAGCGCTCGGCATTCCACAGAAAGACGTTGAGCGTTTGTCGAATGATAGCGAGGTCCGTAACAGCACAAGCCGCAACGCAGCGGAATCGGCCAACACGCATCTACACAAGTACATGGCAGAACTCGTTCACTCGAAGATCGAGCAGCCCGGTGATGACATTATCAGCACACTCGTCAAGCAGTATCGTCAAGGAAATCTCACCGAAGACGACATCACCACACTGGCCTTTTTGGTGTTGACGGCTGGGAACGCTGCGCTCATAAGCAGCATCAGTGTCGGCGTTCTGGTTCTACTCGAACACCCCGAACAGCTCGAGGAGTTCAAGAAGAGGCCGGAATTAGCCGGGAGTGTCGTCAATGAGATCTCAAGATACCACACTGCCTCCGCGTTGAACAGCCGGCGCGCCGTCAAAGAAGATGTCGAAATTGGGGGACAAATTTTTCGACGGGGTGAGGGTGTAATTTGCTCAGTCCAAGCGGGCGATCGTGACGAGGACAAGTTTGGCCCTGATGCTGACCGATTCAATATCCATCGCAGCTTCGATTTCAGTGAATCGCTGGGATTCGGCTACGGGCCCCATCGCTGCCAGGCGGATAAGTTCGCACGAGCTCAACTGGAGATCGTCTTCACCAAACTGTTCAAGCGGTTACCGAAGCTCCGACTAGCGAAGGAGCCATCTGAGTTATCCTACACCGAAGCGACCATGAACGCGGGCCTCTCTGAGATGCCGGTGTATTTGGAGTAAAGTATAGGTCGCCGTTGAGCCTTTCGTTTCGTCCGGTACGAGCAAGAATGAGGCTCCCTGTCCGGCCGTAACATGACGGGACAGCAGTGCTCGAGACGCTCATATTGAGGGGTACTACGCTGCTCTTATACATACCACAGCCACCTCATCAATATCCTCGAACCTGATGATCTGTCTTCTCCCATCTGTTCACCAAAACCTGTCGGAA